TGTCGTTCCCGCTTCGCTTGTCTTGCCCGTTGGCTCCGTGGTTCCGTGCAAGGCTCTTGTCGACTCTGGTGCCGCCGGCAACTTTGTCGACCAGGACTTTGTTTTCCGTTTCTCCGTTCCGACTGTCGCCAAGTCCACTCCCTTGGCTGTCGAGGCCGTTGATGGCCGGCCCTTGTCCTCTGGCCCCATCACACACGAGACTGTCTCCCTCCAGCTCCTCCTTGGGGACAGCTCTCAGCGACTCAAGTTCGACGTCATCAAGTCGCCGCACCAGCCCGTCATCCTCGGCTATCCCTGGCTCCGGGATACCGAGCCCAAGATCATTTGGTCTCGCGGGATTCTTCATCTCTCTTGTTCTCCCGCTCCCGTTGACCCCGCACCTTCTTCGCAGTCTTCTTCGTCGTTGCCCTCGGTGCCCTTTGCTCCTTCCTCGCCTCCTGCGAGTGTCCCCTCTGTTGTACCTCCTTCTTCTCTTCCTTCTTCTTTGGATGTACACCCCGGCAGTATTCAGAATAAAGTAACCGTTCCACTTTATTCTGATGCTGTTCCCACTCCTGCACCGACCCCAGCTGCGGCTATCCGGATCCAGAGCATCACGGCCCGCTCGATCCAAAAGTCTTTGGCCCAGCCGGACTTGGAACCCACCCTTTTGTTCCAAGTCCATGCCTTGATCGCCGACGACCCTTCTTCTGCGTCAGTCGAGTTGCCCGCCGCCTATGCGGACTTCCTCCCTGTCTTCTCCAAGCAGGAGGCCGATACACTTCCTCCGCACCGGCCTTACGACTGCCCTATCGACTTGGAGCCCGGGAAGTCTCCAAAGTTCGGTCCGCTCTACTCCCTCTCAGAGCCCGAACTCAAGGCACTCCGCGAACACCTCGATGAACACCTTGCGAAAGGTTTCATCCGTCCGTCGTCCTCGCCTGCCGGTTCGCCCATCCTCTTCGTCAAGAAGAAGGACGGCTCTCTGCGTCTCTGCGTGGACTACCGCGCACTCAACAAGATCACGGTGAGGAACCGCTACCCTCTGCCGTTGATCAATGAGATGCTTGACCGGCTCCGAGACGCCAAGGTATTCACCAAGTTGGACCTCCGTGGTGCCTACAACTTGATTCGGATGCGCGCCGGCGATGAATGGAAGACGGCCTTCCGTACTCGATACGGACACTTTGAGTACTTGGTGATGCCGTTCGGGCTCACCAATGCTCCCGCCACCTTCCAGCACTTTATCAATGATGTCTTACGCGATGAGCTCGACAAGTTCGCCATCGCGTATCTCGACGACATCTTGATATACAGTTCCAACCCTGCCGAGCACGAGCGCCATGTTAAGCAAGTGCTCTCCAAGCTCCGGGATGCCAATCTCTACTGCAAGTTAGAGAAGTGCGAGTTCTCCCAGTCCAAGGTCTCGTTCCTCGGGTATGTCGTTTCGCCCGAGGGAATCGAGATGGAAAAGTCCAAGCTCTCGGCAATCCTGGACTGGCCCGTCCCCAAGAACGTTTCCGAGCTCCGTTCCTTCGTTGGCTTCGCCAACTTCTACCGTCGGTTCATCCATGCCTTTGCCAAAGTCGCCGGGCCTCTCACTCGCCTTTTCCGAAAGGGCAAGGCCTTCCAGTGGACTTTGGACGCCGAAGCTGCCTTCCGCGCCTTGAAGGACTCGTTCGTGTCGGAGCCCACCCTCACCCATCCTGACCCATCCAAGCCCTTCGTTGTGGAATCCGATGCCTCGGATTTTGCACTTGGATGTGTCTTGTCTCAGAAGGATGATGAGGGCCGACTCCGTCCTTGCTCGTACCACTCGCGCACCATGTCCAGTGCCGAGCGGAACTACAGCATTTACGAGAAGGAGCTCCTGGCCATCAAGGAGGCTTTTGAAGTTTGGCGTCACTACCTTGAAGGCGCCCGCCATCCGGTCGAAGTCATCACCGACCATAAGAACCTGGAGTACCTAGCTACTGCGCGAATCCTCAACCAGCGCCACGCCCGATGGTCCCAGCTCTTGTCCCGCTTCGACATTCGTATCCAATACCGTCCCGGATCCAAGAACGGCAAAGCCGACGCCTTGTCCCGCCGTCCTGACTTTGTTCCTCCGTCCGCCCCGGTATCCAGCGAGCCTCCCCTCCTCGTCTCGCCCGAGTCCATCGTCCGCGCTGTCCGTCGCCGTGGATCACCCGTCCCCGATCCCACTCCTCACGAAGATCTCATGAAGATGATCACTGAGGAGCAGGCGCGCGACCCCGCCATGGACAAGTTCCGAAGCGATGCCAAGTTCTCTGTTCGAGACCAACTCCTGGTCCTTGGCAGCCGCATCGTCGTCCCCGAGTCGTGCCGAGTCTCTGTACTCAAGTCCTGCCACGACCGAGTTGCCGTTGGTCATCCCGGCATCCGCCGAACCACGGCACTCGTCTCCCGTCTGTTCTGGTGGCCAACTGTCCGCAAAGACATCCGAGACTATGTCTCAACTTGCGACACTTGTGCCAGAGCCAAGGTGCCCCGTCACAAGCCCTTCGGTCTCCTCCTTCCCTTGCAGACGGCTCAGCGTCCTTGGAGTCTCGTCACCATGGACTTCATCACGGACTTGCCCAAGTCCGACGGCAACACTTGCATCTTCGTTGTCGTGTGCAGCCTCACCAAGCTGGCGCACTTCCTGCCCTGCCGTTCCCTGCCGTCCGCCGAGGAAACCGCTTCCTTGTTCCTCAACTACATCTTCCGACTCCACGGGCTCCCCGAGAACATCGTCTCGGATCGGGGAACCCAGTTCACTTCCAAGTTCTGGCAGGCCTTGTGCTCCAAGCTTGGCATCCAGACCAGTCTGTCCACGGCCTTCCATCCTCAAACCGATGGACAGACTGAGCGGGTGAACCAGGTGATCAACCAGTTCCTCCGCTGCCACACTTCGTACCAGCAGGACGACTGGTCACGATTGCTCCCGCTGGCCGAGTTCTCCTACAACAACTCGGAGCACTCGTCGATCCACGCCTCGCCCTTCCTCGCCACCTACGGCTTCCATCCCCGATTCGAAGTCCCAGTCCCTTCGACCGGTCTCGATGTTCCCTCTGCCTCTGAAGTCGCCGAGCACCTGCAGCAGAACTTAGCGCTGCTCCGTGAGAACCTGGAAAAGGCAAAGTCCGACTACAAGCGCTTCGCCGACTCCCGCAGGTCTCCCGCTCCTGACTTCAATCCTGGCGACCTTGTTTGGGTTTTGACTCGCAATATCAGAACCACCCGTCCCAGCAAGAAGCTCGACTTCCAGCGTCTTGGCCCCTTCAAGATTGTCGAGCCTGTCGGTCCCCTTGCCTTCCGTATGGACCTCCCCAAGGACTTGAAGATCCATCCGGTCTTCCATGTTTCCCTCCTGGAACCGTATAAGGCCAATACCTTCCCCGGCCGCGTCCAGGATCCTCCACCCCCTGTCCAAGTCGACGATCACCTCGAGTACGAAGTCGAGGAGATCTTAGACTCAAAGTTCGTCCGGGGCAAGCTGTTCTACCTGATCGACTGGGTTGGCTACCCAGTCACGGATCGCAGCTGGGAACTCGCTAGCAATCTTCACGCCCCAGAACGGATTGCTGAGTTCCATCGACGATACCCGGACAAACCAGGACTTAGGTCCCGGCGGGGTGGCCCGACTTTGAGGGGGGGATAATGTGATGCTCCGGCATCACAGCGACCTTCTCCGCACCACAAACTTCACTTTCCGCACCATCCCCATCCATTTTGGTCGCTCCCCGGTCCCTCGAGGACCTTTCTTGCACTCCGAGGTCCCTTCTCGCTTCCTCTCGCTCCCTCTCGCTCCTCCCTGCTCCTCCCGGTTTCCCACACCCCGTCCCATCCGTTCCCGGAGTTTATCCGGTGTTTACCCGTAGTTTAGCCGCCCTTCCGTTCACCCGGCGCCAAGCCGGAACCGTTCCGATCCCTCCGTCCTCCTGCGCACCAGTAGTTTCCTTCCACGTCTTTTGTTTATGCTCGTGGCTGACCGCGTGCTTTTGCCTCGCCCTCTGAGTGGCTCCCAACGGCGCCACCGGGTAACACATGCCGCTGGGCTGTGGCAAGCCTCTCTCGCTTGCACCTCGCCTGTCCTCGCACCCCCCTTCTCGGTCCTCGGTGCTACACCGCCCCCGTCGCCCGCCGGAGACCGCTTCCGCCCACCTCGTCCCCCGGAGGTGCCCCCGGTCTATAAATAGGCCTGCGTCCGCCAGTATGTATCACACTCCAGTCAGAATAATAAACAGTCTTCCTTAACAACCTCTTCTACCAAGCACCTGGTCAGGTGTTCTCCCTTGCACACACACACTCCCCATCGCTCCCTCACAGGATGTCTCCTTTGAAGTTGGAGACCTTGTCTACCTGGACGCCGACAACATCAAGGTCCCCGAAGCCCAGTCAAAGAAGTTGTTGCCCAAGTACCGAGGACCGTTCAAGATAGCGGCCCGACCCAGTCCCCTCAACTACCTGTTGGACTTGCCACCTGGAAGCAAGCTCCATCCTGTCTTCCATGTGTCCAAGCTGCGTCGCCACACGACCCGCAGTCCAGCACAGTTCCCCGACGCCGACGAAGGTGTCCCGGACGACGCACCACTGGAAGACGACCTCGGACAATACTATACTCAAGAATATGAAGTCGAAAGGATCGTGAGGCACAAGAAAGTGGCTGATGGGTCACTTCGGTTTTATGTCAAGTGGGTTGGTTACCCACACTCGGGCAACACATGGCAAACACTGGAGGACTTGTCCCATGCACCCGAGGAGCTGAGTAAATACGGTAAACACCTCGAGGAGCCCCAAATAAAGAGCACACGCAGGGCTCCTCGCAGGAAGCCTTCTTAAGTGTGGGAGTGTAGGAGATGGTATCTCCGACGCTGTGCTGCGCGTACTGCGCGTACTGCGCGGCGCAGTGGGTCGTGACCTGTGCTGCGCTTTGCGTTTTCACGCACCGCAGGCAGGCCACCGCAGGGTATACCTGCGGGTTGCCCCCGTTCCCCCCGTTTGTCTGGAGTTCGGTTTTATCGTGAATAAACGTAAGTGCTCCCCGAGCTCACCCGTCCGCTAGAGTAGCCTAGCACCGCCCTGTTCTGCCCCGTCCTGTCTTGTCTTGTACCCCCTCCCTCCCCGTCTTGCCCCAACGTCCCAGTAGTGGACGTTACATTACCGCTGCTGCTCATCAAACTTCGCGAAGAAAAGATCAGATCCAGACCTGTCTGGTTGATCAGCACATAGGGACTGTAGATCGTGACCTTGCGGCCGCCGCGTTCGGGCTTGTCGCTGTACTTGATTCGAAGCCGCAGCTGTCGGCCGTCGGCGTCACTCAGCTGCAATGTCTCGTCGCGGAAGCTCGTGTCGCTGTGGCAAATGACAGCGACCTCGCTTCGTCCATAGGGCGTACCCGGGATCTCGATGGCCAACACCAGGACGTGCGTTGGGTTGACTGTGTGGATGTATGCCGCCTCTCCGCGGGTCAGTTGGTCGCGGTGCTCCTGCTGGCCGTGCTTGTCGACGATGACGTACTTGAAGTTGTAGGGCAGCAGGTTCTCGAGCAGGAACGGCGGCAAGAGCTTGATCGTCATCATGGGATACCCGGAGCTTCGGCTGTGGAAGATCGTGTTGACTTGGAATCGGAACACGGGAGTGGACACGTCGTATGACGGGCACTCGACGAGAGGGAAAAAGCGGTCGCGCTGCAGATCGCGCCAGTACAGCCGCTCGGTCGACCATTTGTAGCCAAAGCCCTCGTGTGGGCGGATCATGATGGAGTCGCAGTACGAAGCCTCGATCGGGATGAAGCACTCCTGTCCGGGCTCCATGTTGTAGATGCCTGAGGTCATCTGCTTCTTGGAGTTGACCACCATAAGCTCCAGTGGGAGATTGGTTTCGTTCTGGACGACGGTGACCGAGCGGAAGGTGACAATCTTGATATTGTCCTTGAGGCGCACATCACAAACGAAGCGATGGGTGATCTGATTGATCATGGGCCGCAGCAGATACGTTACCACGCCTTCGGTGTCGACCGTGATGTTCTTGAGGCTCTCCCACGACGGGCCATTGATCTGCACCGAGAGCTTGTTTGGCACCGGCATGGTGCTCTCGCGAGTCGCTCGCCACTCCTCGAAGCGCCAGGGCATGTCGTCGTTATTGCCGAGCGTATGGATTTGTGTGCCCGAAGTGTCGGCCTGGGCTTCGCTCCAGATGAAAATGCTATATCCCGTGCGGTTTCTGAGCAGGTACGGGGCGTGGATATCCCGTCTTGTGGCCAGATTGCGGTCCTGGTTCTTCTTGAGCAGTGCCATGGTGCTCATCACGGTCTCGCAAAAGACGTGGCTGATATTGACGTCGAGCTTCTTGCGGGACACAAACTCGACCGACAGATGCTTGCTCTCAGGGTGCATCACATGGAGACTGCACTGCCACGGTTCGACAAGAGGCTCCCAGTGCGAGTTCTTGAGGTTGAAGTAGTTGACCTTCAGCAGAAGCCCGGCGTCAAGTCGCGGCATCGAAGACCAGTCAAACAGCTCCACATACACATCGTCGAAGCTTGCGTCGAACATGGGCAAGTGGAGGTCGGTCAAGTCATCGATCAGAACCAAATGAAAGCCCTGGGTGATCAGCTGCAGACGCTCGCGGCACATGATATAGTGGGGCGTGGTCGGCGTAGTTGGACGCACAACAGGCGCATCAAGCGCCTTGGCGCCTGTGCTCTGGGTCGAAAGCTTCGTGAACGTGTTGCTGATGTCGGTGATGAGCGCCATGTCCTTGTAAGATACTCTAAGAATAAGAGGCGTGACGTTGATCATCAGGTTGGTCATCTTGTGGCCCGGCGATGTGATGCGCTCGTCCATGTTGAGGGCAAGGTCAAAGTTCTGGATGAAGCGCAGCGTCGTCTCTGCGCGCTTGTCCATGGCACAGAAGAACATTCCGAGCTCCTTGACGCTGAGCACCAGCACCGTGTCGTACGAGAGCACCAAATGCTTCCCGCAGAGGAGGATAGCCTCGCTGTGGGCGACGGTGGGGTCCTGCACCAGAGTCATCTCCATGTCCACCAGCGCGATGCGGTACGTGAGCGACTGGCCCTGATCAGGGACCTCGGCGATTGCTGCAGCCTCAGTCTCAGCCTCGGCCTCAGCCTTTTCCACAGCCGAACTAGCGCTCAGCGACTTTGGCGCCACGGCGAAGCTGCGCATCGCAAAGAGATGGTCCAGTGCAAGAATAAACTTGGGCGAGTCCACCGTGACGAGGACGTTCTTCTGACCCGCGGAGCTGACCTCGTAGCTGACCAAGAGCACGTCCTTGTCGGCCGCCGAGACGGGGATGACGTTGCGGAAGAGTGACTGGGAGTCTGGTCGGGTGTCCTCCAGCGAGATTGACTTGACTCGGAGCTCGACAGCCATGGACGAGTCTGCCTTGGTGGCGTACTGAAGCGAGAGCTGATCGACAGAGAAGCGTGCCAGCGTGGTCTGCGACACAGCAGCGGGGCGGCTGTAGTCGGTGTCGTGGAAGATCTCCAGGAAGAGCGAGGGCATCTTCACCACGGCCTCCAAAGATGCCTTTGCAGAGGCGTTGCGGTTTGTCTCGGAGCCATCAGCGGCTGGAACGGAGCGATCATTGGCTGAAAGCTGCTGGTCGGGGGCACTGCCAGAGACGGAGCCGAGGAAGCGCATGACCGAGGTGCTCAGATCCAGCAGGAACTCATATTGTTGTGTCGTCAGTCTGAGCTTGACTTCAGAGACATCGACGCAGATCTGCAGTTTGTGTCAGCCAAGCAAGAGTTAGCAATGCACCGATGCTTTGGACCGTGTCCTACTGCAGAAACCACAATCCCCGGCCTGCAGGCAATCCGGCTAGATTGAACTGTCTCAGCACCATCAGCACCATCAGCACCATCAGCACCATCAGCACCATCAGCACCATCAGCACCATCAGCACCATCAGCACCATCAGCACCATCAGCACCATCAGCACCTCCTCGCCGTAAGCCACAGAGCAGCATATCTCACGAGCATGGCACGAGACTGCGGCGACGAATCGTGAAGGGCGCTTACGCTGTTGTCGGGGACACGCTTGTTTGTGGATGTGAGACTGTCCAGGTTGATGGAAATGGTGACGTTGTCGATGATGGGCAAGACCTGGGGGGCGTGTTCGGCATAGATGAAGCTCGACTCGAGCCGCATGGAGCTGACGCTGGCAACCAGCTGGTTCGCTATGGTCCCGGGCAGAGCCTCGGTGTACGAGTTCTTGGCGGAGATCGCGCCGAGGTACATGGTCACCGTATCGCGAGTCTTGAATGTGACATCCGGCAAGATGACGATCGGGGTTTGGATCTGGACGTCGTAGCAGAATCGGCCAACGGTCTCCATTTGCTTGACGGCGGTCTCGATTGCGGCCTTTCGCGCTGTTTCGTAGACATGCATGCGTTGGAACTCTTGTAGATAAGCCAGAATACCATTGAGCGACGCTTCCACAAACGTCAGCTTCAGCGACCCAGTGCGCAGACGAAGATACTGGTCGTGGCCTGGATAGGTGGGCGAGCTGGGGCTGTAGGTCTGGTAGGCAAAGTCGGCCACCTGGTCACCTTCGATGCTCAGAAGCTGGCGGTAGGGATAGTGCGGATCGGGGTGCTCGAGGTCGTCAAAGACACTCATTTTGCCAAGCTGGCCCTTGACCGCCAGCTCATTGTCCTTCAGGGTCACGGCCAGCAGACCCGAGCCAAAGTAAATCGATGCCAGGCGCCGCTCGTCCTGGTTCATGATGACATTGAATCCCTTGACACGGATCTTGACAATGAGCGCGCCTGTCTGGCTGGTGGTTCGCCGAGCAACCTCCTCCAGCCCGCTTGTGATGGCCGAGAGATCCGGCACGACCTCAGACTTGCTCGGTCCAAGCGATTCACTCGAAGGCGAGCGGTTGTTGCCCGCAAAGGTGGTGAGGATATAGTCGTACAGCGACAGCACGCTCGAGCGCGTGAGGACGAAATCGGCGCTGGCAAAGTCGATGCGAACTATCTGGCTCTCGCCCTTGTAGTACGGCGAGCTGGGATTGACGCTGGCGTAGCTCACCGCAACAAAGTGCTCGATGAAGCCATCCTGTTCGCGCTTGGAGGTGCTGAGCAGGTTCGGGAAGGGCGACGACTGTGGCTGGAGCTTGTCCTCGATCAGCAGCTCCTTGATGTTGACGTCTAGATTCATGTCAAATGGCCGAGAAACAAACTTGAGAGACAGGCCCTTGATCACAAGATCGGCCAGAGGCTGGTCTTCCAGGTTGCGGTTCACATTGGACTTTTTCACCGAGGCAGAGGCGTGGGTGATCTCGAACTGAAAGTCGATCAGCTTTCTGTCGGGCTGATTGGCGCCGGTAGCTTCGCTGGGCATTTCCTCTGCATCAAAGAACTCCTCCTCAACCATGTTATCCGAGGACAGGGCGCGCCAGTCAATGGACATGGGCTTGATGTTGAGCAGCGACACCGACCGCGAGGAGGTCTTTGACTGCGGCTTGGCTCCAAAGATGGTGTCGAGGAGACGCATCACCACCTTGTACTTTCGATCAGAAAAGTTGAGGTGGAGCCTGGGCAGCTTTCCCGAGATCTTGGTTTGGGGCAGGTCGTTCTGCCCAGGAATGATGCAGCTCTCGAAGCAGAACTCCATGTCAACGCGCTCGACAAAGTGGACATCGCTGCACAAGCTGTTCTGGGCATGCGCTCGACAGTCCTCGGCCGAGACTCCAACGAGGAACTAGATTGGAGCAGTTGTTTTTGTACATACACATAGCAAGGTCGGTGGTCACATGGGTATCCGAACAGAGACACAATCAACTGCGTCAGCCAAAGCGAAAGCAAGGAACAGCCGAAATGCGATCCTGCTCCAACTCAATCTCAAGCCGCTCGATCACCAGCCCAAGCGACAGCGTACAAATGCACAGGTCATCGACAAATGCGTCACTCGATCGGCAGCGATGGGTCTGGAGCAGTCAAGACAAACACATTTCTCGGTAACAATCAATCAAGGACATACCTGGACGTCATTCAGCTGGCACTTGAAGCGATCGTAGAGCAGCGATCGAAGCGTCTCCAAGTCCTTTGGAGAGAGTTTTGTGCCTTGCTTGGCCTGCAGCTGCTTCTTCTTCTCTTTGGAAACAAGATCGCTTTCGACGTACAAGTGGCCCATATTGACCAAGAGAACATAGCCGTTCTTGTCTGTGCAGCTGTGGCAGCGAGTCTGGATTAGCACATCATCCGCTATCCGCCTTTCGACGGCGCAAATAGCCCTGAGCCACTTACTTTTCCGGAACAAAGAGGTACGGGGCTTCCAGATCAACCTTGAGCTCGAGTGTCTGGCGTGTTTCAAGAAGGTATTCCAGGCCGGCACGAGTCTGTGAGGCCATGCCCTGCAAGGTATCTTGAGCAACAGCCAGCAGCGTATTGGCTGTGTCGATGTCTTCCTCTGGAGGCGTGAAAAACGAGACCAGAGCGCTGATGGCCACAGGATTGTAAACGACCTCGAGGGGGAGCATGCGGATCTCGATGGCTTTGTCGGCGCGTTCATCGAGAGGGTTGAGCTCAAATTTCATGTTGAAGAAGGGTTGTTCGGTATCGCTATGACGCAAACAAAGACATTGGGTTCCAGAATCAACCGAGCAGAATCAACCGAGCAGCATCCGGGAAATGAGTTAGTCAATCGGTTGAACCACATTTGATGGCGCTGCCACATGAGCTGGACGGCGAAGGATCGCGATGACCAAAACCCGAGCTCCAGCAGAGTCTCGCGCTATATCATGTGACGATCCATTGCGCTCAAGCGAAAGAAGACATACGCTCTGGGCGATCGCTTGATGATGGACGAATAGAGATTGTCTGGGGTTGTGTTATCCGTCGACGTCATGTCTTGGACCTTCATCTCGCCCAGATATGATTTGGGATAAGCGACCAAGCTTGCCGCAAGCTTCTGGAAGGCAACAGAGATCAACTCTTGTCGGATTTTCTCGTCGTTCCGAAGCAGTGTGAACGAGCCGGACTCGAGCTGCCATTTGATTTTGCAATAGACAGCCTGTATGACCGGCATTCAGGAACGATGTTAGAGCCAAACTCCGCTGCTTCCCTGCCCAGAATAGTAGTCGCCTCTGAATCTTACATCGTTGGGCAGGTCTGACGGCAAGGTCATCTCGGGATCAAACTCAATTGTCTCCTTGATCTGCTCCATATCAATCTCGGTGAGCTGCGGTGCTTCCTCGGCCTGCACGAAGCGATACAGACGCGGATAGGTTGACCCAAAGGCTGATTAGCGTATGGACATGACGGGAAGCCAGGCCGGAGTTGACAAGCCTGTATAAGGAGTGCCCACAGACGAATCGCCCATGCCATCTGGCTCGGGTTCGACACATTCGATAAGGATGGAGTCGCACCTTGGCTTCGGTCGCCGATGCGCCAAACAGCCAGCCGACCCAGGTTTGCGAAGCTGCGGCGGGAGTGGGGGCACTCTCTTGATCTACGACAACCGGCTTGACTGCTAAGCGTAAACGGGGTTACAACAGGGGCGATGCCTCGGTCAATCTGGCGTCGAGTCGCCTCCATGTCCCTGTCCAAGTCACTCCGAGAAGGCGCGTTGCTGTCCAAACTCATCAGCGAGTATCGCCCGAGCAGATACCAACCCAGGCTCTGTTCTTTCTTGAGCTGCGAACGTGCGATGGTACGGTAGAACTTGATGTCGGTGTAATCAAGCTTGCGCTCCAGATCTGAGAGTCGAATGCGCTCATCGGCAGTGATTGATCCGATTCTCATCTTCTTGTAATGCTCAATGTACTCCTTGCGGTCATCCCGACGCTCTTCAAAGTATGCCCAGGTCATCTTTCGGTGCTTTTCGTGGACCTCTCGGAGGACGGATTGTCCTGGATGACGCCATTGCCAACGGCAAGCACCATCACAGCCATCCCAATTGGATATCATACGGGAGTGCATCGTGTCAGCGGATGTATGCGAGTCAATCTCGTGCTTGCAAGTTTCTCGTCGATCCATGAACCACAAGCAAGCGTAGAGTGCTGACTCGTCCAGCATTCTTGCTGCGACCAGCCCGTACCTGCATACTCAAGCCAAGCTCTGGGATTGTCCTTGGGTCTGACCCCGGGCGGGGGACGGAGAGAGCGATACTATAACAGCGGAGGACAGCAGAGTAAGCAACGGGCGCGTATGCGCCAAATCAAGCAACTATACCACGCTGCAGGGCTCAGAATCTTGTCCAGGGACATCGACATAGCCATTTTCGACGAACGGATGGGCTGCAAGCCGGTATGTCCTGGGCATCTGCAGCAGGGTCGATCGACATTGACTGACCTTTTGCGATTTGATATACAGCGAAAATGAAGCCAACAACGCCAGCAAACAGTGGTACTGGTCGTCGTCGAGATTGAAGGCCAACTTGTCGAATTCGATGTCGGCATCGTACAACGGCTTCCCGGGAACATACTTCTTGTGCATTTTGAGCTGATGCCGCAGTTCGTGATCAGATTAGTGTGCTTCATGATGTGGATTGTGGCGGAATGCAGTCGTCTGTAAGCTCAGCATACCCACCTTGCCGACACCCGAGACGGGCTTGAGGATATACTGATGTTGGGTCAAATCGTCCTTGTGGGAAATCTGCAAGTCGCAAGATGTCGGTTACTCACGAACGCTAGCGCCACAGGACGAGGTCTATCGAAGCATACTGCCTACCTGGCTGAGGAAGTAGAGCATGGCTGTCTTTTGGTCATATCCCTCCAGCGACTCCAGCTTGGTATTCCAGTAGACAGCCAGCTGCTCAAGCTTCATCAACTAAATAATTGGAGAAACAGTCGCAGATATGAGTCGACTGGGCCCACAAGCCGCCGCCTTGAGCAATAGCATCACGACGGCCGATGCGCAGACGAGCCACCACCACCAACCTTGTGGACGAGGCCGTTCTCGGACTGAATGAACGCAGGGACCCACTCGGTGTTGGTTGAAGTGATGGATAGTTCCGAGAGCGTGATTCCTACAGCAAACGGAGTCTGAGATCGACGCCAGAAGCGCGCGAGTGAGTGGAGTTGTTCGAATCGAGGGTGTCTGAGCATATGGCGCTGGTACTCGACGCCGATCATCGACAAAAGCAGACTCTGACCTTGCTGCTGACCGAGTCCTCGAAGCGAACGTGGATGTTTTTGATTTGGACTTGGATATTGTCGACGATCTTCTGGGTCAACTGGGTCAGGAACGATTGGTCCTCTTGCTTGGTTGCTGGTGGTTTGTGGAAGCAGACAAAATACACCAGGAGTCCCGTCAATGACCTGCCTGTAGGCCTGTCCGCTCGCCATTCGGCAACCATGCATGTCCCTCTCCGTCAGACCATGAGATGCTCACCGGGTCCAGAGCTTGCATCGACGACCATCTCGGCAGTCGCGAGCCTGTCTTGCTTGAGCTTCTGGGCTCGCTCGTCCTCGAGGACCTCGTCATATGCGGTATCGGCCTTTGGCTTGGCAATGAGATAGACTTGGTCGATGCTGATGTGGACAGGCTTGTTGGTCAGATCACTCCATGGGATGGAGAGCGTCAGGCGGCCAAGATAACCTGAGAAGATGTAGTAGCGGTGAGACTATTGTCGCCGATGTGGACTCTCGAAAAGCGCGGTGGCATATGTCGGTCCATCAGCACCGATACCTTCGGTAATGTCGATGGGGAGATTGAATTTGTCGAGTGCCTCGCGTCTGAGCTTCAGGTTGTTCAGAATAACATTTCCTGCAAAATAGCGAGATGGTTCGTCAAGACCGAGACAAACAGCCAACCAGACGTCATGCCGCAACGCAACGAGTGGGCCAACTCGGATGCGCAGGCCAGGATGCAGTTGCAGGAGAAGCATGGCGAGTGAGTGTGTCGGGACACACCTGACCAGATGCCGATGTTGAGCTGCTTGGTCTCGAGGTTATCCACATAGTCGCCCAGAACCTGATTTAAAGGAGGCGGGGGTGCACAAAACGAGCGAATATGCATCAATCGGACGCAGACATAGATGCCCTCGTCGGGGAAGCCGGAAAGAAGGATGCGACAGATGCTGTGAGCCTGCTCCAGGCGATGCTCACCTGGTTGAGAGTCGATGCAACGATGGACTCGAGCATGCTGAAGGTAAGGACGAGTGTGAATGCACAGCGGTGCGGTGGGAGCGAAGGTGGCGGAAAGGCAGACGCAGGCCGAGGAGGGCCAGGGACACCGGGATGGGAAGGCTGTCGAAGTGGCTGCCGGTGTTGGTGCTGATGGTATTGCTGGTTCTGTTGCTGCTGGTGGTGGTGGTGGTGGTATTGCTGGCTCTGTTGCTATTGCTGTTGCTATTGCTGTTGCTGGCGATGCTGGCGATGCTGATATCGAATCCAGGCAAGAATGGAGTCGGCGGACAAAGTGTCGGCTCTGGGCTGTCCAGGCGACGATGCTGGTGCTGCGAGCCAGGGAGTCGCCCGGCCTTTTGGGGCGAAATGCCGTTGCAGCCCAAGCACGCGGACTGGCGGCTCTGATTTCCATTCTCGTCGACGGCGCTCGGCGAACCTCGGCCCTCTCGCTCGCTCGCTCGCTTGGCGGCCGCCTGTGGATCTGCCCTGTTCTCTCCATCTCTGCCCTGTTCTCTCCATCTCTGCCCTGTTCCCTCCGTCTCTGCCCTGGCTCCTGCTTCTACTGCTGCCTCGTCATCGCATCCCAGCGCTGCCTGCATCCGCCAACCATGCTGCCCACGATAACCACCCGGGACACCTCCGGGCGCGCTCACTCGTTTCTGGGCTCGCCGAGCTCGCCGGCCTATAACCGAGCGCATCGACGGCCACGATCGCTCAGTTCCGTGCCGACCTATCTCAGACGGCTGGTCAACTTCTCGCAAATGGATTTTGAGTTTGCGCTATGGCAGATGCTCTATCTATGCATTTCCCCGCAACGACTGTAAGCGCTACTGGCTATTGCGAGTCCTTGCCATCCCGCCAGCCCCTGGCGCTGCTCGTCCCGTATCGGATTGCGAGGAGCCATATCGGACTAACGGCTCCCTTGATCACCACGACGCTTGTCGATCCGATCCGCTGCACATCCACATGCAGATACCGAAACATATACTACCACAAACGTCCGTATGACCGTCGCCGCCGATCCGGATGTCCGCACACACGCCGACCTGCACGCACACGACATAGACTGAGGACTCGCTCGATAACACCGCTGGCGTTTGATCCTTACAGAGACCAAGAACCAGTGGGCAAGAGACGACCCAGCCTTTGTTGTCCTGATTGCCGCATGCCTCAGTGGTGGGTGGCTGTTTGGCGGCCCGGACCCGAGCACGACGGCATCCAGCATCCAGCATCCAGGATCCAGCATCCATGGGCATGGAGATGTCAATGCAGACGGAGGGGCTGGGACTCCGTCTCGGCCGCATCAGAGCAACTAATAACCCGCCCGATACGACTGTGCAGTGACGGCTATCGCATACGGAATCGCATACAAGCTAGGCGCCCTTGGAATCATCGGAGCTCTGTTGTTCATGATTTTCATTGATTTTCTGCTCGTGGGTGTGGTTGTTGCGACGGCTGTTTGGTAAGTGCCTAGTCGGACCCTGAGCGCCAGGCCTGCAATTACGACCGCTGTCGCTGGAAAGCAGCCCCCCATCCCGGAAGTGACGGGCACCAGCGTCCTCAACACTCTGCAGCCCCGCTGGCGTCAACTGCAAATCAAGCCGACGCCGAAGCGGGTATCCACAGCCGATGCACCGGGAGGATGCCACCTTTGCTAACAACAGCCTGCCACGGCACGCCGGATTCGGATGGTGCCATGCAGGTTCTTTGCAAACCGGTATCTCATCCAGCATCACACCCATTCGGTTGAGCAGTCGGTCGAGTGGGCGTATGCCTTCGATGTCCACTGCAACTCGTTCTTCCCGATGTTCCTGGTGACGTACGTCTTTCAGTTTTTTTTCCTGGCGATCGTCACCAAAGACACCTGGGTGGGCCGGATCCTGGGAAATACCCTGTATCTGCTGGGGACCTCTTACTATGTCTACATCACCTTCCTCGGATACAAAGGTGAGTGTGTGCCGGGCAGAATCGGTGTCCACGGAGAATTCTCGCCGGCATCACTCTGCCTGTGTCGGCACCAGCAGCGCATACATACCCTCGGTGGAGCGAACGGGAGGAGATGCTGCCCCGAACTTCAGCCGTTCAGCAAAGCTCGCTAACACGGGGTACTCTCGGTTGCTGCTCCAACAGCCCTCCCTTTCTTGAAGAACACCACGGTGTTCCTTTACCCCATCGGCGTGATCGTGATTCTCTACGTTATTTCACTGCTCGGCTTCAACGTCAGCAAAGTGATCTTGGACCTGTACTTTTGAGACAGCAGCCCGGCACGGCCTGTCTGCTGTCTTCTGCCTCCTCTCTCCAGCCGTGTCCGATCGTGTATGTATAGGAATACAGCCTCTTTCCACAAGCGCACATCTCCATTCGTTGTTTGCAGCCAACAGAGAGTGCGCGAGGCACCGCCGCGAACATGGCCTCCAGCCCTCGGTGATCCAGCGGCGGCTCGCTGCGATGCACAGGCAGACTTGGCCGCGGCATGACGGAGGACACATGGAACCGAGCGAATGCCGGCATGGCCCGGGTCTTTGGCGAAACCAGCTCCACACCGCGCGCCCTCGCCGCGTCCTCGCGCGCTTCTCGCGTGCTTCTCGCCCGCCCGCTTCTCGTCCACGTGTTGCTAAGCCACACCTGCGCCACATGCGCCCCACCGGCCTTTTTTTCTCGCCGCCGTCCCGTGGCAGACGATATGGGCGAATCGAGCCGCCAACCTCTTTCCTCCTCCTTTCCAAATTTACGTCGGCCCCTTCGTATAACAGGACACAATGGCTGATAACCAGGTAAAGGACGTCTGCACCTGGCTGTCGGGGGTGCCGGTCTGGATGCAGGCCGCTGCAGGCGTGTCTGCTGGACGGGCCCTGTGTGTCTGAGGACCGACGCCGATCTCGGCGAGGAAAGCTCTGGGAAGAGCCGACACCGCCGAGGATTCATCGTGCCCAAGACGGACATCGACGGCGGCTCTTGAAGATAGACCAACCGATATCGGCCGGGGCACGAATGGACTGGCATGCAGTGCACTGAGGACGGAGAGGCACACTCCCCTGCCACCCCACCGGATGCCGTGGGTCGCCAAGCGCCAGAGATCGGCCTGGACAAAGTCTTTGAGACGCTCGTCGATGCGGGCTTTGAGGCGACAGGGCGACGCCCGCAGCGCGGCAGATGCGGATGCTAGGATGCCGAACTCTGCCACAAAGAACACAGTGGGATCGCCGCCGCCGCTGAAGCACATGTCCATCCGATATTGATCCTGCCCGTCCATTTCCAACTGTCGTTCTCGGGGGCCGCGGAGCATAGGTCGAAAAGGCTTTCCAGAAGCAGGCTATCTTCCTCAACGCCAAGTCCCTTGGCAAGAAGTCTGTCAAGCGCTGGTCCAACAGCATCGGTCTTGGCTACAAGACCCCCAAGGAGGCTCTCAAGGGTAACTACGTCGACAAGAAGTGCCCCTTCACCTCGCCCTCCGTCTCCATCCGTGGCCGCATCCTCTCGGGTGTTGTCGTCTCGACCAAGATGAAGCGTACTCTGATCATCCGCCGTGAGTACCTCCACTACATCAAGAAGTACAACCGTTACGAGAAGCGCCACAAGAACCTCGCTGCCCACGTTTCCCCCGCTTTCATCGGTGTCCAGCCTGGAGACTTTGTCACTGTTGGCCAGTGCCGGTACGTAGATCCTTCTCTGCTAAAGTCAAAGATGCGCCTTGGATGGGTGGCTCCCAAGGCTCCCCGGCAACAACGACTGTAGTCTGGCCGGACTCAGAGCCAACATCGAGCCGGATCGACGCTGTCAGCGATTACCATGCGAGTGCTAATGGTGAGCTCTGCTTTGTCCCCGCCAGCCCTCTCTCCAAAACCGTCCGCTTCAACGTCCTGAAGCACCAGAAGCAGGTTGTCAAGGGCGCCAAGACCTTCAACAAGTTCTAAGCGGCTTGTAGCTTGGTTATCACAGTGGAATAAAACGTGTTTTGATACAACGTCTCCTGAATGCTCTCTGTAGTGGTTGTCTGGGGGACGAACCCATCGTGTGCAGGCGCAATGGTAAATACCCGGAGCGCTGGATGACAGCATCCCGCGAGGGGGCCGTTCCAGCTCCTGTCGCGAGGGCCGTGCACGGCCGCATCCATCGGGAACAGGCCACATCCACAGGGCACGCCCGAAAATCTGATCGTCGCAACCGCACTCGCCTGCTTGCCTGTCTGCCCAGGCCGTTCCATGTCTGTGTTTCGCTCGCTGTGTTTCGCTGTCCCGCCCTCGTCACATGCGCCACGTGCCAATCACGGGCGCCGACCCTGGCCCAATCCCGGCTGCGTCCCTGGGTGGTGCAGTTCGGCGACTCGGGCGATCGTCCATCTCCCAGTTCCGATCCACACCAGCCGGCCGTTCGCCCGTGCAGCACCCTTCCAGCCCGAACCGTCGCCCACCAAGCATCGAAACCACCATGGTATGCTCCACTCTGCCGCCGTGCCAGCGAGCCAGCCAGCCATCAGCCATCAGCACCTGCCGCACCGACGCTGCATGCCACCCATTCGTCTCGTTCGCATCCCTTCATTCCAACTGACCGCATATCACCCCAATGCCTCCGCAAACCTACACTTGCCTATACATTAATCCGACCTGGAAACAAATGTGAATCTGCGGCCTCGATCGACAGAGCTCCTATCGAATTGTTCCCGCGGTCCAGCCGCCCTCAAAAGTGAGCGTGACCGATGGTACCAACGAGTTCGGAACCCACGACACCATGCGGCACGGTCTCGCTTCGATTCGGTCCCAAGTCATGCCAAGCCATCCTCTGGAGAGCCACCTGAAGAATGTAATTTGGGCGCATGACGACTCTGCACACTGTTGCGTCAACGCATTTGCGTCGCTGCGAGATACCACGCCTTGATCTAACCCAGCCGTCCGATCCGGCGTCTGCATCCACTTGCCCGTGCCTGTCTCGACCCAGTGGGACGAGACCCAACAGCAGCTCAGAAACACGATGCAGAGACAAGTCTTTGGGCGCCACCTGCCTGTCCGTATGCAGCTGGATAAGCAGTATCTCTCCCAAGTATGTCCAGCAACTGGGTGGCCCGAATGATTTGCGGCGTTGATGCGGCGGACTGCTCTGAGGGTACTTCCATGCTTGATGTGACGAGCGGTATTGCGGGATCACACATCCCACATCGCTCACAACTGTGCTGCCTTGCCGCTGCCGATCTGCAGCTCCGTCGTATGCCTGGGCTGCCGTCGTCGAACCTTGGACTTTCCATCCTCGAAGGTACCGACGGAAACATTGATTTCGAGGACTTCCTCACAGGTAAGGCGCGGCCAGCCGTTCGCCTCTCGGTGCGGTGCCACGGCTCTTTGGAGGAGAACAATGCAGGCAGGATCGTCGCAGGAGTATCGGTCGGCGCTCGGCCTCACCGCGGCCATCAGGTCCTCCCAAGACCAGCCCGAGTCATTAACGGCGCGGCCACGACATCATGCTTTTGATTCACACAGAGGCTGTCGAATCGACCGATGTGGACGGCCACGGCGCAATCGAGCGGGTGCTTGGAATCAAGCTGTGAAGGCGCTCTGTCGTGTGGTTGCCTCGAGTGCAATAGGCGTGTCCATTCTCCGATGCAAACCCAACGATCCGTCGAGGGATGTGGATTGATAAAGATGATCAAGCTCATCCGCGCATTTCCGATCCGCTCGCACAGATCATCGCTGGACGCGAGAAGGGATGAATAGGATCGAGGGGATAGCGGGAAGACTCCCTCCATGTTGACGGCGCTTACAAAATGAACCGGGCACCCAGCTATCAGCCTCGTGTTTGGGTGGACAGAGCAGCCATGTCAGGTATCCGTTCCATGGCCCTCTGTGGAGCCCCACTGAGCGGGGATTGGCCATGAATGCTGGAAGTGTCCAAGCGAGCGACAGAGCTTCGTGGAACAAGTTGTGGCATCGCAGTGCAGCGCTGCGGATGATGGGTGTGTGTATTCCATCAAAAGAGCCATCAGCATAGTGCCATGTTTCGATTCGTGGGCACTACAAGGGCAGATGCCTGCCAATGCGTCACTGGCTGCCCTCAAATACTGGGTTGATTTCGTTTTCGATAATGTCCTTGACGTGGTCCGAGTACTCGGTGGATACACCAATGTCGTCCTCGCCCTCGGCATCGGTCATGGCGTGGTCCAGATATTTCTCGGACACCACCGCCACCTCGTCCAGAAAGCTGCCTACCGGCACCGACATGACAGTCTCCAGGAGGTTCTCTTCGTCTCCGGCATGGAAATATCCGTTCGCACGATCGATGTGCTTCACGACCTTGAGGACACTCTCCTTATCCTCAATGCACAGCGTCTGGAATGCCACCAGGCTGAATTCCTCGATCAGCTCACAGAGCGCTTCGTTCAACTTTGTAAACTTTCGTCCAAAGTTGTCAGTGTTAAGGCGTTGGAGCAGATACGACAGATCCTGGACTTCGGTATAATAGTCGAGGTTGAATGCTGAGCGCAGGAACAGTTTACTGCATATTAGTTTGGTTTTGGCAGCCCAGGGCCGAGTCTTGCTGCCGCCATCCACGGCTCTTGCATTGGTGAGACGACACCTCGACAGCCACAGAGCCTTAATGATGCTCATGAGCGACACCAGGCGCAGGGCTGTACCCACCTAGCGTCCCATAGGCCTCCATCAGATCTACTTTTGAGAGAATATTGACATGCGGCAGCTCGAGCTGCATCATTGCCTTCAGCGACAGTAGAAGCATCGCCACGTATTTGGCAGGATCCGTACAGTAATGGGCGTCGACGAGGTGAACGGCACACAGCTGCAGAACAGAGTTCACGTATTGGATGATCAGACATCCGAGCCCTGGGGCTGAGAAGCCGCCGACGACACAAACAGCCCCGCCCAGTCAGGTTCTCTGTGCAGGGCCCATTCACGGCCATCAGCACTTGCTCGGTAGTTTGCACATTTAGAACAAACTTGCACTTCCTCTTGCGGCCGCGGACGCTCTTACCCGATAATCATGTTGCCGCGATAGGACGTCGATGATGTTGCGCATGGATGGGTGGTTTGTGAAGATCTCGACTTGCCCGGGACAGTCAATGATAATGTATTTGCCTGTGGTATCAGGTCGACAGAATCTATTGTCAGAGCGGATCCAGGCGACGACCTTCACTGCATGCCCAACAGACTCGGGATTGCCACGATGCTTGGCTTACCATCGAGCGTCTGCAGCTTTTCGACGAGCCAGTCGATGTTCTTCTCGAGATACTCCATGCAAAAGATCATGGCTGCGGGCGTTTCTGTTGCGTTAGCAACTCTCGCTGGGCCGGGTGTTGGACATGTGCTCTATACAGCGTCCGGCTTGGCGGTCTCACCTCCATTCGGCCCCAGGCCATAGACCTCCATGGCATCGTCCAGCGTGATCAGCTCGGCAATGTCGATATCGGCTTCGTATGGCAGCCCGTCATTGGCGGGATCCAGATTTACAATAGCGACATCCCTGTGGAGGCAACGATGTGTGAGTCGCTATCTGTTCATCCGCCGGGCAAGTGATGCGGCGGACGATCCATTGGTAGGCTGGCGATAGCTTGGATGTCGTAAGCTATCCCCATCCATCCACACCAGCGTCATCCCTCTCGCCCTCCGGATTGCAGCGTCGATCACCCGCACCAGAATCATCCGCACCAAGATCACCGTCCCGCCCGCTCAGCTACCTCTCGATCGCCCGATAGAACTGCGAGATTCCATGGCAGTACGTTGACTTGCCCGACCCGGGCGGGCCGACGACGATCTGTCCAAAGTGCGGTGGCATCGGCGGTCTGATGAATGACACCGTCTGGCCTCGCTGTTGGCTGATTCAAATCAGGACCGCCGTCCACGTGGCCGGATTGGGCCTGGACCAGTGCCAAACGGCCTCTGCAAAGCGGACGGAACAAATCCACATCTGCTGCTCACCGGGCAAGAGAAGGCGGGCGGGCGGGCGAAAGCATACGATACCACCCCGCTCGGCCGATACGACTCACTCGGCCGATACCACGCTCGATATTCGACCAAGACGGCCATTCGACTCATCCGACCGACGCAAGCGCATCAGGCTCCACGGCGCACTGGTCATGGATGCCGATGCTTCGTCTCCATCCAGGGCCTCGCATTTCCTGGCTCTCTCGCGCAAGATCTGCCGCTTGGCCGAGGCTTCGACGCCGTCCCAGCTGCTCGCCCAGTATCCGGCGCGGACCCTCTGGTCCGTCTGCTCGTACATCAAGGCCGATCTAAGGCTCATCGTGCAGACCCAGTTGCCACACCTAGAATGCCCGCCTCTGGCTCTGATCTCGACTCTGTCGAGGGTTCTCGCGGCTCTCGCCAGGCATCCCACCACCACCAATGTCCATCCAGACCAAAGCCGCCAGGAAGAATCCAACCGGATCCTCGAAGTCATCTACGCCGTCATCCCGTTCTTGAGCGTGTCGGCCGATCTGCCCTGTCGGCTTGCGGCTGCCATGTTGATTGCGCAACTGCTTCATCCAGCCCAGTCGGTGCAGCATCTTGCCTTCAAGCCAAGGACCCTCGTCGCCGGTATTTTCGACTCCAACGACCGCTCCCGGCACAAGGGCACCAGGCTTCTCCAGCACACCATGCTGCTGACGTCGTTTCCCAACAAAGACCTCCAGCTGTGCACCCTGCACATCTTGCTGATCGTTGCCCACATCGCTCCGGGCCAAGTCGCCACCGCCCTCGCCAAGACCGGCCTGGCCCCGCTCACCGACATCTTCTTGCAAATTGCAGCCTCTCTGCGAAGCGATGCAGCTGGCTCGGTTCTGGAGCCGTGCATCTCGGACAACTGGGTTGCCGTCACCAATCTCGTTCAGACCATGGCAAAGTCAAAGACCCTGGCCGTCGCCGACTGTCGTGACCCAGACCGGCTTTTCCCACGAGCCGTCCTCTCCACAGCCGTTTTGGCCTGCCAAGCAGCCGCCAACCTCGACTCTGGTCGTCTCACGGCCATTTTCTCGCTGAACAGCAAGCCACTCAAATTTCTCCGCCATCTGCTCGAATCCTTGTCGCTCCTCTGCGAGCAAGATACCTGCTGGCGAATGCTTGCCTCGACGCTGGATCTGGCACGATCCCTTTCGCTGTTGCTCGAGCGGCTCTTGGGCGCCATCACCGGCGATGCCAAAACTCTCGAGAGTAACCCAAACGCCGCCTCGGTCGAATACCTCAGCGAACTCTTTCATCCCATCAAGAGCGGCCTCCAAGTGTTTCTATGCCAGGCGAGAGGCTCCGCGAAACCGCACTGCAACCCGCAAGAATGGTCTTCTGTCGTATTTGGCGCGGCACAACGCCTTCTGAGCGAAATCGGAGTGCTGCTATCCGGCACAGTTGCTCCTGCTGCTCAGGGAAGCACTGAAGCAACGGAGGATGTTGAAGACGATACGATCTGGCTGGAGGCTCCTGCGACGGACTGCTGGCCCGCCTGGGTCCAGATTCTGCGGCCTTCACTCTTGACCTCGGTCTTTGACTTACTCAGCATCCTTCTGGGCAAGCAGGCGCCTTCAAAACTCGACCACGCCCTGGTTCCAGCGCTCGTGACACTGCATACGTTTGTGCATTCGAAAGAATTCCAAGCAGCTCATGGGCTTGACAAACAAAAGATGACCAAATGCCGACTGCTCAAACTGGTTGCTACCGTGATTTCGACGTCCGGCGGGCTAGCCAAATTCACCGCAGTGCGAGGCCCGTCAGTCGAGCAATTTTTCGCCGACCTTGTTAGCAACATCGCTATGCGCGAAGCTATGCGCACAGGCGACGAGGACGATCTACTGCTGCGTGCCCTGCGTGTTTCAGTCCAGTTGGCCGGATGCTCTTCTCTGCGCGCCCTGCTGCTCAAGGCCGGTGTCCTCAGAGAAAACCTGGCTGTCGACTTGGTCCCCGCCTTGTTTCGGCTCCCGTCGGCCTCCGAGCTGCTATTACGCACCGTCTATGCATGTGGGGCAGACTCATCGACGCGGGCACTCCTCCGAGATCAGTGGGAACTGCCCCAGATTCTTCTGGCAGTCTTGATTGGATACCGCAAGTCGATCGACGAGCCGCTACCCTGGACGACTTTGCAAACAGCCTGGCCTGCCAAGCTGGCCGATATGGCATTGTCTATTCTCGCGGACCACTTCGTTTATGACACTACCATGCTGTCCCATCTCTGTGACTGCAGTCTCTCCGCTCTGGCGGCCTCTGGTGTTTTGCCGATCCCTGCAAGTATATATGGCCGAGTTCTGGACGAAGGCTCTGCTCAAAAAACCGTATCGATCATTCCGGTCCTGTGGAGCTTGATGCGGCAAGACACACAGCGCCATTTGCTTGTTCTGCGATGCCTTGACGCTGCCACCACAATCACACTTGGGCAGCGGCCCTTCCTCTACAACAGCGTCATATTCTCTGATCTCATCCAATGCTTTCAGTCAAGTGCGCTGCGGCAAGGGTCAGCCCCGAGCTCATCTGATACGGAGGCGCTTGCACTTGTGCTTCGAATCATCATCAAGCTTGTAACCAATCCAGAGCTAACATACGAGAAGATAGCGGAGGGTATCTATTTTCACGCGCTCTACCCAGTCTTCCAGTGGGAGGTCGCTCGAAATCACCGATACCAAGATCTCAATATGTCCAACTTGGCATCATATCTATGGCCTGTGAATCTCAGTTGGAGCTCCCTTGGGCTCGGAAATGTCATATATGCTCTCGAGCACGACCTGGAGCTTATGCAAGTTCTCAAGACCGCCTTTGACTTTTACCATGGCGACAAGATCAACGACCAGACCCGGCCTATGGCTGAGAAGGCAGCGCTGTCCATAGCATGGTGCTGTCCCAGGAACAAATGGAGCCAGTATCTGTTTGGCGAAGAAAACAGTCCCGGAGGACGCTCTCTGGCAGAGCACGATCCCAGTAGCCGCCCAACGGTCCTCGGCGTTATCATGGATATGTACATGAGTTTGCAAGATCCTGCTGCTCCGCGCGGTACCCAGCGCAGAGGCATGGCAGCATGCACTATCGAATTCCTGGCCTTCCGAAAGTTTGATGACTGGCCATGCCACCCGTGGGACAACTTGAGCGATACAGAAGGTATCCTTGTCGGCATTCTATCCAACAAGCTGAAACACGAGCCGCCGCCGGAACCGAGTCTGGATGTCCTCGTCCTGTCTTTCGAGGAGGAGGAACACGAGGAAGAGCACGAGGAGCAGCACGATGTGCCATCCCAGCGCCCGGACAATCGCCATCTTCGAATATCCAGAAAGCTCCTCTCTGCGGCATCACCGATGCTGATGACCATGTGCTATGGGGCATTTGCCGAAGCACAGCAGACCGAGGTGCATATTTCGAGTGGGACGATGGACATTTGGCTGGATATTGCATGCTTTATCCAGTACTCGTCGCGCCTGCCCATGCATGAACGAATCAGCCCAGTCAACCCAATCAACCCAGTCAGCCCAGTCAGCCCGGTCGATGTCGCAAATCGTCTGATCAAGCTTGCTCACATTGCGGATCAGTACCTGATGGTGTCCTTGTTCGATACATGTCTGTCCCTGATGGAGCGACATGTCCAGGCTTCAGGAAACGCTCGTAGCGCAGAGCGGGTGTATGCTTGGTGTCGCTCCGAAGGCGATGCGCTGCTGGGTATGACTGCGAGACTGGATCGCTTGCGGCAGGCATCGCTGCGGGGAATAGCGCTGGGATTGCACAGCATAGAGCCCGAGCCGTTTCTCGCTGCTTGTCCCGACGCCTTGAATGAGCTTGGGCTTTTGCTCCGTTGAAGCGCCTATCTTCTGGCAACCATCAGCGGAGAGCAGTGCCGACAATACATACACTATGAAAAAATTTCTTGTTAAAAAAATGAGCGAGAACGAAAAAACGCGCTCTCGGAGCCACCTCGGTCGGCGAGAAGAGCAGTCTCTGGCGAGAGACCCCCGAGGGAAGGCGAGAAGCCTCTCGCCGTCACACACACACACTTTGCACACACACACATCAGCACACACACACTTTGCACAAGGGAGTCAACCACCTCCCATCGACCATCCCAAGAGGGATGGCAACCCCGAAGTGGACTGCCCAGAATATGGGCGACCCGGCATCCACTGTCGAAATGCACAACAGTGCGAGATACTTACAGTCTATCCAGAAAGAAACGGGACAGTCACTTTCTGGCTTCTGAAGCCCGCTGACTGACTTGTAGGCCCAGCGGGCAGGCCGTGGCATTGCACTCCTGTCTTCGTCGGCAATCGCTTTGTTTTGTTGGTCTCGGGAGCACAGTCTTGAATACACCCGGTCGATCTCCATGGGCGATGATCGACTGGCATACCGAGATCATATTCCTGGCTGCATTGATGTCTCGATCCCACAGCGTATGGCAGCTTGTACAGCTCCGGACAAAGTGTGGTTTCTCGATATCAAGATGCTCGACCTTCTCGAGTCGCTTGGCTTCCCGACAATGTGAGCACACCTGGGATGTGTTGAACTCGTTCACCGAGCACACATGGATCTTGGAGACGGATCGGTCTGGTGGTCGTCTCTGGTGATGGTGGAACTGCTCAAAGTACTTGGCAAACCTGAGTCTCCTGGGACTGGAAGTATATCCCTTCCCCTGTTTCCAGGAGGCATTCCCAAAGGCAATCACCACTTCGGTCTCCTTTGGTGCCTGGTCGATGACTTGCTTGCACATCTCGTGGACAGTGCGCTGTCGCTTGCTGTGGAGATCGAGTCGCTTGAACCGCCGTCGCCGGGTCAGGCTGAAGTACAGCTGTTTCTCCAGCATGTCTCCATCGAACACATGGCGAATGTATCGCAGGAATGAAGCCAACCCAGGGATCTTGGGGCTCGGTGTGGTGCTCATCCATTCCTGCAGACCAAGGATCTTGTGGGTGCTCTGGATCCACTTGGTCGCCTGGGTGGTGACTTTCGCTTGCGGGGAGCCATCAGTGCGAGAAAATAGCGACGATGGCTGGTTCTGCCCTTGGGGAAGAAAGAATCTCCTCAAAACCAGCGCATTTTGGGCTGGCAGAGATACTGTGCAGTGGCGTCCTTGATTCAGATCCAGAAACGCATCGCTCGCTCAATCAGTGGGAAGACATCTTGTCAAGGTGAGTCTTGCCTGATAGCCAAACGATCATGTCATCTCACTGACACACAGTCACGCTTGACTAGGTTTCCAACCAGAGAGATTCAGACGGTGGTGGTTCTTGTCCGCAATCGGAGTGGAGCTTCCAACAATGATACAATTGGTCATTCCTCCACACCAATCGCCCACCTTCACGCCGACACAATCGGCTCAAGGTGATACCAAATGCCGTCAACCGACCATGGCCGGATTCCAACTTTTGCTGCACCTTGGTCTACAGCGTGTATTCATATTCGAGATGAGCAACCGCGAGGGGGCCGGAAATAATTGATAGTGATATTCAGCTGGCTCGATCGACCAAAATCAGCCGTCGTGCCCACGTGAGTTTCCGCCACAAACGAGGCGCCCAAACCCCGGAGCACCCACACAGCTTCGTCGCTCGCCACCTCGCCTCATCGCCCTTCCGCACCCCCCTGCCATCCCGCCTGCAATGCGCCTGATCGTCAAGAAAAGAGACGGAAGCACCCTGACCGAGCTGACCCTCGCCGACGATGCCAAGGTCAGCGACGTCACTGCGGCCATCCACAAAGCCAGTAAGTCATATCCCGCCGCACGCCATCTTCCGCCGCGTCCCGATCCTTTAACGTCTTCTCAGCTCTTGTTTGGCGGCTAACGGCAACCGGAACCTTCATCAGAGCCCAAATACTATCCATCTCGCCAGAGACTGACCTTCGGTAAGAGCAGGGCTCTGGATCAATAGCCTGAAACGGCTGCCAGCGTACGAGCCAGGGTCGACAAAGACGGCATGCCATTCGCCCTGGGCTTTTGGGTAGGACTCGGCAGCGTCCCGCTTTCAGCCTCGCAGGCATTCTAACACTCCCCGCCGCGGAACAGACAAAGGAGGAAAGGCCAACGCCAAAGTACTTGAAACCGGCAAGTCGCTCGCGGACTACGAGATCAAGGACGGAGGTAGGGTTGCCTCCCCTGATCGTCCTATGCCTGTGTCGAGGGCATTCCCTCCTACCCTCTGGCGCAATCGCAGCCAGTGCCGCGACTCAGCCTCGCCAAGACAGATGATGACAGTTCTGCGATACAGTTCGTACGCTTACCAGGCTCTCTGCCGCTCTTGCCCCGTTGCAATCATGTCCTCTCTGAACCCAAGATTATATTCTCTTCAAGGACCTTGGCCAACAAATCGGCTGGCGCACCGTCTTCGTCATCGAATATCTCGGCCCCATCCTGATCCATGTGCTTCTCTACTCGCTGGCGCCGGTCATCTACGGCCAGGGCTTTGAGCCCACCTCTCAGCAAAAGTAAGTCTTTGCCCAAGACCCATTCTCCGGCGGCGGTATCCTGGCGATCCACCACATCGCCACCGAGGATAGCTGGCCAGCTTGAATGCATGACTGGCTGGATCGTATGCCGGCTCAGGACTCACCCGGCTCGCCCCGCACAGGCTCACCTTTTACTTGAGCATCGCTCACTTTGCGAAGAGAGAATACGAAACCTTCTTTGTCCATCGCTTCAGGTATGCATCGCCAAGGGCGTCTCTAAGGACAGTCGTTTGCCAAGCGCACAAGCGATGTCCAGGCTCTTTCTCTGTCGTTGCGTCGGGTCTGAAAGTCCCCGTATCGTCCATGCGCGGTCCGGTTGTAGATCAGGATATAGTGTGATCGTGCTCGTCTGCTGCCTTGGTTTGCATCGACCTCACCTCGGCGATAATCATGTCCCTCTTCTTGCAGCCTCGAGACCATGCCTATCTACAATCTTCCCAAGAACTGCGCGCATTACTGGCTGTCGGCCCTTTGGATCGCAGTGGTCACTTACCGTCCAGGATTCCATGGCGTGTGGCCCGTGCAGTTCAACGACCTGGGCAACTATTTCCTTCTCTTCGTCTGGGCCGTAAGTGCAATGAGCCGCAGTCTAATCAACTCGCGGAGAGGAGGTCGGCCAGTCTTGCTTCGCTTCTCACGACCGCTCGCTCTGTATTAATTATCCACAGTGGGCCGAGGTCTCCAACTATGCCACCCACGTTACTCTCCGTAACCTGCGCCCCGAGGGCTCCAAAGTTCGCCATGTATGTGTTTGCTTGCCCATGCATATGCTCCGTCGACGCGATCCCTCCGGATCAGATCAACACATCGCATATATCATGTGGGCAGTATTGCCATTGCCTGGACCAGACAGTCCTGCTCGGCCTCCATAAACGCTCCCGGCGGCTATCCATGCATGCAGATGCATGCAGATGCGTTCAGATGCGTTCAGATGCGCGCAAGTGTGTGCCTCCATCGCTCACACAGCATAACGTGCAGATCCCTCGTGGCTACGGCTTCAATCTTGTGTCGGTTCCAAACTACCTCTTTGAAATTGTGGGATGGATTGCGTTCTCGATGCTGAACGGGTCCCTGGCCGGTATGTTGGCGATGAGGCTGCCCGGATCCTACACTGTGTTTGACGACGAAATGTGGCCTGGCTCCTGCAACCATCGAGGTCATCCGCGGATCCGCCTGCACAGACACTGATGTATCTTCTTCGGACTCTTTGTCACCCAAAGCCTGGGCCTTCACCGTCCTTGGCGCTGCCCAGATGTATCTGTGGGCCGTCAAGAAGCATAAGCGATACAGAAAGGAGTTTGGAAACGAGTACCCAAAGGGCCGCAAGATCCTCATCCCTTATCTCTTGTAGGTGCTGAGGCCGCCTGTTCGACGACTCGGCTGCTCTGCTCTGCGTTTGTTGTGAGTCCCGAGCGAAATACACCATTTTCAGAGTCGAGGAACACTCTGGCAATCAAGCAACGGACGATGAAGACCTCGAGTCGAGGGTGCGATGGGCCCGTTGTGAATTGTAGATATGTACCCCCTCGTTCAAAATGGATCGACAGAAGCACATAGTCCGGGCACATTTCGCGGACGTTGTATATTTTGGTTGGGCGAAGGGGCGGTCCAACGCCAAAGCGATACATAGCATAATCAGTTTCATAGAGCTACCATAGACACATGACGTTCTTTTGGCCGAGTTTAGAGCGGGTTGCCCATATAGTCGGTGCCGAGGCAGTAAAAGTCCTGGTAAGTGCCAGGGTTAAGGAGCCAGTTGGGCATCAGGAAGCCGCCAACACCGTTTCCGTCCTCGTCCGTCTTGAGGAAGAGGAGCTGCAGGATGCCGATCAGAACAGTGGTGATGGCAGCTCCAGAGTCGAGCGAGGCAGAGAGCACAAAGTTGTACTTGCGCCACCACTCGTTCTTGTAGCGGAACAGATAGAACTGGAAGAAGGTGCCAAGGGCAAGGACGGTAATGACGCCGTTCATGTTGCCGTACTGGGGACCGACCCAGTTGGCCATGATGGGGATGTTGACCAGGTGCCAGTAAGGATGCTTGTAGATCTTGTTGCCGAGCCAGGGGAGGACGGGGAGGAGGAAGCCGACGGGGAAGGCATAGAGCATGTCGTGGTAGAGAGCGCCGTTGCCGAAGAAGCGGGCAGGAGCGATGGCTCCCCAAATCGTACCGGCAGAGTAGAAGACACCATGGCCGGTGGCCTGCCAGTCGCCGTGGCCAAAGAGGGGCGAGAGCGTGAAGGCCGTGGCGATGGGGACGCAAATGAAGGCCGAGAGGATGGCGCCAATGACCTGGCCCGCAACCATGGCACGGGGAGGCACCTTCATGTAGTGGCCGATCTTGAGATCGTTGAGGAGCAGCTGGGCCTGGATCATGACGTTGTAGCCGAGAGACTTGAAGGACATGACGGCGACCGTCTGGCCGGGGATGATCAAGCCAATCAAGAACTCGGTCAGGACGTTGAGGCCAATGTACTGGCCCGAGATGGCGGTGATGACCGTCAGGGGAATCACAAAGATGACTCCAAGGGCGACGGCAAAGATGATGCCCCACCACTGGAGCTTGTAGGGGGTAAAGGCGCCAACAAAGAACATCAGGATGGTCGAGAGCGCGAAGATGGTGAGGTAGACCCAGTTGCTGACTTCGGGGTAGGCGGCCATGAGCTTGTTGTGGATATCCTGGTGATCGGTGTCCTCCTTGAGCTGCTTCATGGCGACGCGGGCCTGCTGGACAATGTCCTTGCCGTACCAGAGAGCGACGTGGGTGATGGCCGAGGCAATGGTGGCAAAGGATGCGCCGTAGACAAAGATGAAGGTGGTGTTGATGTGAATGGGGTAGGCGCTGTTGTAGGCAGCCAGGTCCAGATCAAAGGTGACTGGATCGAGGAGGATGTGGCCGTTGAGGCGCTGGGCGAGGTTGGAGCCGTTGAAGAGGCCGTTGCCATTGAGGAAGCCGCAGCCGTTGGGACCGGGTTTCTTGCAGTTGATTCGCTTCGAGTCCCACAGGTCGCCGGTATAGGCAATCGGAACTGCGATCCAGGCCCAGATGATGTAGCCGATCATGTTGACGAGGGTAGCCCAGTACGGAGTCGTGAGAGGAGCGATAAAGCCGTTGAACTGGGACCAGTCGAGGGTCAAGGCACCGATGCCGACACCGCGGGTGGCCGAGCCAAAGATATTGACCAGGCTGTCCTTTCCGGCACCAAAGAAGCAGAGGACGGCAATGCTCTGGAGGGCAGGCGCAATGAAGCCGGGGACAAAGGCCCAGGCGGCATAGAGACCCGTCCACACCCAGAAGAACTTGAAGCGAGACATCTTGTACTTGGAGGCCGAGTCCTGGGCGAGGACGTTGGCGTCGTGGAAGGAGGAAAACAGCGCAAGGGTGCCCATGTTGCCGGGCCAGTACATGGCGGCAGGCTTGACGAGGAACTCACGGGCAATGCCGGCAAGACCGAGACCAATGCACTGGGTGGCGAGAATCCAGAGCATCGACTGCCAGATCTGGATGTTGGTGTCGCCCATGAACTGGGGGGCGATCTGACCAATGACATTGTCGATGCCGTAGGGAGTACCGGCGTTGGACATGATGTAGATCAGGACGTGCTCCTTGACGGAGAAGGGGCCGGGGTTGAGCGAGTTCTCGACGCCAAAGAGCTTGAAGCGGACATCGGGCAGAATCTTGGCAAACAGGTTGCCCAGGGGATAAGAGATGATCTGAAGGGCGGGACGGGGCGGATGGGCTTGCACTGGTCAACAGAGGTGCATCGTGGAAGGGATGTGGCTGTCCCGGGAAACTGGCAAGCGGACGGACGGCTGTGCGCGTGTGCACCAGAGTCAGGTGAAGACCAAGGCAACTCACCACAGGGACATAGGCGGGGATGGAAAAGGCGTTGGTGCGGAAGCTCAGGACGACGTTGACGGCCGAGGTGAAGATACAGAAGAAGATAGCCAGAAACAGGGCGCGGATGGTGAAGCACGGGATCGAGGGGTCGTCCGTCGTCGAAACCACGGCGCTGACCTGGGAGTAGGCGTTGTGGGCATCGAGATGCTCGACATCGTCAGAGTCGATGGTGGCGATGCCGAGGGCCTCCTTCTCCTCAGTGTCGAGCTTGGGAGTGGTATGATGGTGCTGGTGCTTCTCCGTGTCGGCCATTAGGTTAGAGGCGAAGGTTTATGGTGGGTTGGACCGAGGCTGCCATGCCCAGGTACTTATAGGGCGACGTCGAGCCGCCAGGGGGAGGGGCCTCCTGCAATGCGCCGATTGGCTATGGCTCCTTCCCAGCCTTTTCGCGCCGCACAGGTCAGTGATGCAATACCATCCAGCAACATGCAGTACCATGTAGTACCATGTCGTGCCACCTCCTCACGCCATCCAGCCATCATATGACTTGGGCGTCTGCAACGTCGTCTTGTCTCTCCTCGCTTCCCGCCTGGCCATGGTGCCCCCGGAGGCCCAAGAAACCCTATCGAGAAACCAGCCCAAGTGGGACAACACCACGGGGTACTCGCAGCCGATCTCAGCTGATGCCAAACCTTGGGCCCCATCTGGCTGTTGCAGCTGCATGGCCGAGTATTCGGCCGCAGGATGGCACGAAAACGGGCAAGGTTTGGTTTGAGTTGGAGGAGTGCCAACCTCGACTCGCTTGTCATGAGCAGATTGCCGGGGCTGCTGCAAGGCTCGGCGCGGCTGGTGACGGGGCGCTGGAGCACAGGGCTGGGAGGGCGCCGATAAACTCAAATGGTAAACTTTCGTGCAGCCATCCAACCTTCGGCCGATGATGCCGCAGCGGGCTTGACGATTCTTTCTCCGGCGGTCGTCACCGTGGACGCAAGTCCCCTCCTCCTCGGCCGGCGAGTTTCGGGAGCTGCATCCACAGATGACATGCTGATCGGAGGGCCAAGAGCCGATGCCAGATGTCCACTCTGCCACCATGGGTCTGGCCGTGCCTGGGATCAGAGCGTGTGGCAGTGCATCGTGGCCCGCCAATCGCCACGAGCGCGGCACGTGAACACGGCGAAGGTGGCGAGTGTTGGCCAACGGGGGCTTCTGTCTCGGGGGCGAAGGGGCAGATCGGGCAGCCGAGCAGCAGCAGCATGTCGCAGAATCTGTCGCTGGAGAACACAGTCGTCTCAGTCGAGCTGCTGCTGAGCCCACCGTCAGTTAGGGATGGATTCAGCAAAGGTACGCTCGCTCGTCGGGAATCCTGGCCACCACAGGGCGAGAGCCAGCCGCGATCAGAGGCAGGGTCATAAATAACACATGGTTGACCGCAACAGAACTCGAATATGAGCTCCGCATTGTGGGCTGCGAGCTGATCCAGTCCATGGGCATTTTGCTGAAGCTGTGAGTGAGCCCAAATCGGGCCGTCGTCGATTCCAAACCGGATATGGACAGGATGGGATTCCGAAGCCATCACATGGAATTGCAAGTTGATCTGACAGTCATCACCCTCCCCCGATCCGTAGGCCACAAGTGGCTATGGCAACTGCTCAGGTTCTGCTGCAGCGGTTCTACTACTGTGCTTCATTCAAACAATTCAAAGTCAGGGCAAGTACACTGTCCAACACATATACCGAATGCGATGATTCGGCACGGGCGATGAGGCTGTCGAAAGCATTTGCCCGTCGTTGGTCCTGATCTCAGCTACATCCGAACTCGCGAATCAGCATCTTGGCAAGCGGCTAACCGCCTGGGTCTATGATCAACCCCCTCCCCACTCGCAGGATATTGCTCTGGGCGCCATATTCCTTGCATCGAAACTCGAAGAGTGTCCGGCTCGGATCAGAGATATCATCCATACGTGCCACTATTTGGAAACGGCATTCCGAGGCCAGGAGCACCAGCCGATCGACCCCAGCAGCACGGTATTGTGACTCGGCCATCACCACACAGAATGCGGGCGGTTCGACCGAGTGCATTGAAGCGATGGCCGAAATGGTGAGCGGTGCTATGCGGGCACTCATGGCCATGTTCTTCGTCGCTCACCCATAGGAGATTCCCGAGCTGAACGACGCTCTGATCAATGCTGAGTCGCAGATCTTGGTCAAGCTGGGATTCAATGTTCACGTCCAGCATCCGCACGGATTTATGATCAATTATCTCCGCAGTCTCGGGATGGCCGACAATCGCGAGATGGCTCAGCAAGCCTGGAACTATGTCAATGACAGGTGAGATGACATTGGCAAACCCAGCTCGTACGGGTCGATGTGCAGCGGTAATGGCGGTGCATCGTGGATGTTGCCCTAAAGCAGTCTTCGCTCAGCTTCAGAACCAACTGCTGCGTGTGCTATCAGCCATCGACGATTGCCTGTGCGGCCATATATCTAGCAGCACGAGTCCTCCAGATCAAGCTGCCGACGAGTCCGCCGTGGTGGGAAGTCTTTGAGGCCTCCGATGAAGATATCCTTTTCATTTCTACTTTCTTTGCTCTCGGTGACGGGGCAGGTCGTCTGGACATATCTTGCCGATCTCGGGGCCACGCGAGGCTCCAAATCCACAGACTATCCTTGACCTTAGCCGGGCATATCATTATCTTCATTACATCTAGTGGCCATATCCGGATGCATCTTGAAACTATACCGCACCAAGGTCGAAAAATCAATGGCGTTTGCTTAGATGCAACGGAAATCCTTGATGCGACTGCAGCCAAAATCTTACCTCCGCATCGATGGCGATATTCGCCTCGCCAGAGACGCAGCCGACTGTCGGACACATATGCTGTTGTTGCGGGGAAGCGAAACCCATCAAGCGGTGCTCTGCTCTGCAGGACGCCATGCACTGGTCAATGGGAGGGAGGTAGCGATATCCCTTTGGTGAGCACTCGATACAGTATGGCTCCGAGCTCGGTCAGTGAAAGACCCGATTGACCAGTCCACGGGCGCTATTGCTGGGTGCTACGCGCAGATGATAAGCCACCGCTGCATCGGCCGCCAGTCGTTCGGAGCTGGCATGAGTATTCCAGTTGCTGCATTGAGGGGCTGCATGGTCACCCCAGTCTGGCGAGAGAGCGTTCTTTCTCGGTGCGGTTCGGCTTCTCGGCGTGCTCGGACAGCCAAATCCAACCCTGCACCAAGCCTGGTCAGTCCGGGTCTCGCCAGCACAACCCGCCCCAGCCAAGCGACTCCAAGAGCAAACGGCTTCCTCGGCGAGCCAGGGCCGCCTGCCTGCCCTGTTACATCAGCCCGACGGTCTCGGGACTCCCGCTATCGACAGATGAGCGCCATGGACCATCTGAAGGCTTTTTTCGTGCTCCTCGCTCTCCAGGACAATGACGGCGCTTCCAAGTTCCTGCCGTCGCTGCTCAGCTCGGCGTCCTGGACCAATTACCATCTCTCCAAGTCGTCGCTTAGCAGTCTGCCCTCTCCCACGCAGGATCCGGTCGATATCGCCGTGCTAAAGGCACTGAGTCCTATCCTGGGTGGGCTCGTCGCTGCCGAGAGCAGCTATCACACTCTGTCCTTCGTGAGGTCGACGCTCTTCTTCAACACTGTAAGTGGCAGCTCTGAAAACGGATGGCTTCTGGCAAGCGAAGGTTTTGTCTTGAACGGTTGCATCTGCTGCGTCTGCTGTTTGAGCCGCTCTCCTCTCCCAGCCAACACTCCAGTCAGAGATCTGTTGAATGACCTCGCTTCGTCGGCTCATTCAATCTACCGCACCGCCCTTGCCTGCATTTTGCCGATCCGAACCACCGGATAGAAACTGGTCGATCGATATCAAGCACTTGAAACAACATGCAGCCAGCAGTTCAGCAAGCTCGGTTTGGAGCTGCAGGCATCCCCGTCGTTTGCCCGTTGGCAGAGTCTCAAGCTCGCGCTGGAAGGACTGCTGGCGATTCGGAGAGAAATGCTCCGCAGGTATAGGTCGTGCTTGTGCTGCGTGCATATATCCAGAGCCGTCGGGGCTGATGCCGATTGTCGAAAAGCTAACCAGACTGATGCTTCTGCGCCGGATCTTGTCGCCCAGCTACGCTCGGCTCGGGGAGTTTGCCAGCAATCCAGCCGACTTTGGCGCCATTGTGAGCATCATTGAACCCTTGAAGCAGATGATTGTCGATCTCGATTTTGACGAATATCTCGGGGAGCTGTCCGAAACACTCAAGTAAGTGCGGATTTGTTCATCTATGCCAGGCACATCAGGGCCGAGATTGCCATGCGATTGCATGCGATCATCTCTGACGCCTCTCATGCGCAGACTGGAGCTGGATATCCTCCAGTCGCTCTGTCGAGCACAGGACGCCCTTTACGATATGGACTTCAAATCCTCGACCCTCGATATGTATGCCGCACGAACATCCCTTGCCCGATGGATGGACAAGCTCGGGCTGCAAGCGGTCAGTTTGGATTTGGACTGCGCGTTAAACACTGAACTCGTCGCTGTCGATAGCACTGGCCATAGCAGTGTGTGCATGTCGGCGATGCTCTTCTGGACTCTCCAATAACGCCATTCATCCCGCACGACGCTTGTTCAGTCAAGCAACAGCAAGGAGCATCGAGTCCTCATGTGGCTGAGTGTTTTTGCCTCGGCCACGCGGTGGAAGTTTGACTGCTACTTTTATCGACTACTGAAGAGCAGCGACTCACTGACGTCAAAGTCAGCCACATCAATCGAGGATAAGCATGTCGAGGCACTGTCGTTCCGATCTATGTGAGTGTCCGCTGGACCGGCGCTCCATCCCAACATCCAGAACCATGATCTGGCGAGCAGTTGCGATTCCCGGGCAATAGCGATACCCCGAATCGAATGTGCCCTTGTGCTTGTTACAAGGATCGGCAGCTTCGAGACTGCCTTGATCGCTGCAATTGTATGACCGATGCTGACCTCTTCGGCAAAGATCTATCCGATTGATATCGACGAGCGAGGACAGCGTCATGCAGACTCACGCGGATTCTTACATTTGGACCGATGCACCACATACAGACTGTCGAGCCAGTGCTTGAACCTCCCCCTCAGCAACCTTTCGTTCATTTATGTGATCCCTGCCGGAGGGTCGTACTTCAAAGACGGGTATACGTGTCGGGGACGCGACTCGTATGAGCAACTGCGCGGCATTCAGTCGTTTCCTGCGATCTTGAGTTATCCCGAGGTGGGTAGAGATGACCTCGAGCCTTGACATCCATGGTATTGCACTTGGCTGCTGATGCTGATGTGATGGTTGATAGAGCAAGTCCAGTGGCAGCGTCACATCTGATGACTGCGCCGGGAATGCGTTGCTGGGCCCTTATCATCTGCCCCACTGACGAGCAACTCCTGCTATCGGTCCACCGCCCCGTGTCTCCCTGCTCGGGCTGCCCCTCGTGCATCCTCGACCCCCAGGACACCCCACCAATGTCGCATTGGCCAAACATCATTGGTGTGTTCCAGGATCACTTTGAACTGCGGTATCTGGAGGGGCAGTCTCGCCCGATCCTGGTGCAGCGGACAGTGCAGCAGCGCCCGATGCTTGGGTCAAACTTTGCAAAGCTTGCGTCGCGGTCACAGCTGGCTTCGAGCGGGCTTGTTCAGTTCTACGACGAGGCGGTGGATGTGACCTACTGCATGCACAAAATGGATCGATTCCTGGCTGCAGTCATCATCTACCAAGGACGCGTATCCAACACCGACGTCATGGCGCGAACGCTGGCGCTGTTCACGCTTCTGGCAGAGAAGCTGCAGCTGACCGATGTGTTGCGAGTGTTGAAGTAGCAGTGGCCTCCTCTGGTACGGTAATAAACGACTTCATTCACGGCCTGGGGTACAATTCAGATGCCCGCGAGCACCAAGGGAGGAGCCACGTTCCTTCCCATTCGACTGGCTGAACCACCAACCGTTTCAGCGACGGTGGCATCTATATTTTGAACACCTCGACACGGTACTTGCCAGCGCCCTCGACATCGGCGACCATGCGGCGCCACCGCTTGCCGCCCTGCTGGCCTCCAGACCGAATATGGGCCTGCTCCTTCCTGAGTCTCTCCTGGCGAATCTTTTCGCGAACAAGGGCGCGCTTGGCCCTCTCCTCCTCTTGGTGGAATGGCAGCAGGGCCCCCTTCAGACGCCTCTCCAAGATCGACAGCAGCAGCGTGGCGTTGGAGACGGCCGAGCCAACCGTGGAGAGCAAGGGATGCAGCTCCGGAGTAAGCATGACAACTGGGAGATGCGCATCCAGCAGCAGCGTCAGGGTGTCCAAGGCCTGGTTGGGCAAATGGGGAGCAGGGGGGGGGTTTCGCCACGGTGTACGATTGATGATGGTTCAGCGGACTGGCCACACGGAAGAATGCGAGGATCTTGCGCTTTTGGTCGAGGAACAAATGCGCTGTCGCCTCCGGATGGGAGCAGAACCCGTCCCAGACCCGCACGCAGGCTCACCTTGGTAATCTTTTGGTAGCGTGCGCTTCCTTCATCGTCCCACAGCCACTCCGATGGTATCTGGCGACCTTGCTCGAGCAGCGCGACCTTGGTAGATTTTGATTTGCGGGCCTCGGTTTCCTTGGACTCGGCAGCCAGCTCGATGACGCTATCGGGCTCAACGCGCTCTGATCCGACGACCAGAACAGAGCCCACCCATCGCAGCAGCAGCTCGACTTGATTTACTTGCAGCTGCCGAAGGGCAACAGTAAAGTGATGATCGTTTCTAGGAACGGCAAAGCAGAGCTCCAGGAAGTACCGCTGTGGTACCGTCAGATCGCATTCGATCTCGCTTGACTCAGCCTCAAAGTAGTTCTTGGTAAAGACTGGGTGCCGGTGCACTGAAAAGGCGTCTTTGAGCTGCTTCAGGCGCTTGTCCATGGGGATATCGAACTGATCCGTGTCGCCGCAGATGTAGCGCACAGCCAAAACAACATCCCTTTCCTTCAGATCGACGACGTGCTGCAGAATCAAGGCCACAATCTCGAGATCACCCTTGAGGAGCGCTTTCCGCATATATGACGTCTCCGAGTCATTCATGGCGTTCGTAACGATGCCGTTTTTGAGGAGATACTTGAGGACTTTCCGCGGCCAGAACGACGCGGGATCTTCGAAACAAGTATTGACCAAGGCAACTTGGAGAGGCTGCGAAATGTCAACGTACTCGAATGCACTAATGTCGGTCTTTTGGGCCGGCTTGGAGGGTAGTTTGGAGCCAAGCCAGCCCCCGACCAGGTTTTCGAATTCGACAAGCTGGCCGTCCTTCCATCCCTTGGGCTTTTGAAGCGCAGAGATGAACGCACTGTCACTTGCAAAGCTCAGCTCTGATTGGCTAGCGAGGTTTGGAGTGTCCACCACCCCGACGAGGCCCAGAGGGGAAAAGCCAGTCTCCCCGGCCGGCAGGATCGTTCCTTGGGCGCGTGCCTTGCCGAGGGCGCTCAGCAGATCAAGCTTGGGACAGTAGTACGGGAGGGTGAAGGACGATGCGGTGAACTTGAAGACATCGGACTTGAAGACTGTGGTGGCCGTGAGAGCAAGAATGGGTCCAGAGAGGGTCGAGCTCAGAGTTGAGAGCTGATAACGCACACCAGCGCGCGAAAGCGAGAGGCAGAGATGTTAGGGTCCAGCGCATAAATTATGGCAACGCAGCGCACATGGCTGATCGCAAGTCACGCGCAAGCAACAATCATTGGCGATGAGCGCGGTTGACTAACATGCAACGATCGCCCTTTGATATTGTCTGCTGGCTCAGAGAGGGACTGGACCACCATTTGGGCCTGGCACGTTCCGAACTGGGCGTCGTATACATGGACAAGGGCGTCCACTAGAAGCGGACAGCGTTGCATAGAAGCACAGAATAGTGAGTGAGGTTGTGCGATAATCAACATGGCGACCGACTGCGGAGGAGCACAAAGGACGCCATGTCGAGACGAGCTCGTATCGATGGGTGCCAATATGCAGTGCTGCTGATGGCGATGGCGATGCTGGTGCTGGTGCTGGTGCGGAGGCTCGAGGATGTCTACATACATGTGTCCTGCTGAATAAACGACACTGCCAAATACGATTTGTCGAGCGCCGTTATGTCGATCGATCTAAACAGATTGTCCTGCATCGACGGACACACTAGATCAGTACTCGCATCGTCCATCGCAGCGCGGACTCGAGGGCTCCCTGTTGACCCGGTCTATCGTCGCACGAAAGGATGCAGCTCCGAAACGCCATCTTACATCAAACTTTTTGAGCGGGGACGACGACGCTAGAGACAGACACAATTTCTCGACCAGACCATTGCTCTCCAGCTGAAATAGCTTGATGATGCCGTTGGTGTCTGCGGTGGAACTGGACATCAGCGATCGCAGCGAGGACGCCATGCTCCATCCAGCAGCACCGTATTTGTCTCCAGCGCCACTTAGGGCTGGCCGGAAAACGCTCTGCCCGCGACGCCACCGAGAGGTGCAGCTTGCCACAGACATCCTTGCTACATACATGCAATGCTGATGACTCTAGATTCCGAGTTTTGGTAGGCAAACGCGGTCGGATGGGCATAGTTCGGGAGGGAGGGCACTTCGACTTCGTCGGTGAGATGGAAGCTGAATCGGCCGGCCTTGGATGCAATTTCGATGAAGCGGACCGAGTACACGGTCTTTTGTGCTTCGGCAGTGTGTCTCAGGGCCACGGCCAGGGATTTGGGCCATTTCTCATGCGAGTCAGGCTGCAGGCTCGACCAGATCACAGAAGACGATCTCCCCACCGACGACCGCGGGGCGAGTTCGGCCAGGGGATTGCTCAGATCCTGAGGATAGATGGCCAAGTCTCCCGTTCGAGACACAACGAGAATGCATGACGTGGCAGGTCCGGAGATGGGGCTGAGACTATATACGGGATGAGGGACCTGAGGAGGGGAAGGGGGTGTAAGTCGATTCGCGCCTTTGTCGGGTTGAGGTCCACGCATGTTGTGATCCGAAGTGGGGCAAGATTTGCCACGCCCCAGATCGAGCAGAAAGCGGCACCGCACTGCATACTGCTCTCACCTGCTTCGAGAACTGGGGCTCCCTCGAGATTTCTTGTGTCGACGCAGCGTCGATCCTCCATGACCAAATCAGCTGTCCTGGTTTGTCCTGGGGCTTGGTGGTGGACTCGATCGCCGCAAAGATGTGGCCCGAGGCCCTTCGTCCGAGGCTTTCAACGGCGACCTCGTGAGCATCCGTCGAGTCGACGGTGGGATCGATATCGGCGTCCAGTCGATTGTCGGCCTCGACATTCTCGCTGGCGGCGGGGGCCTTGGATAGGAATAGTGCTGGACAGGAGAATGTGAGTCCGGGCGGGACGGACCACGAGTTTAGACATTCCTGGGAGGCGATCTGGATGGATGTTGCAGATGCGTCAGCGGCAGCCCGGCCACAGGAGTTCCTCGGTACCACTCCTCCTCATCGATGTGAGTGCAGCAACAGTGGCATTATGGACTCACGTCGTAGAGATAGACGCCGCCGCCCTGGACGGTCACAATCGCAATGTCGCCGGCGCGATCAGCGCTGGCGAGATCGACATCGGGCACACACGAGACGAGAGGGAGAGGGGGCGGGCTGGCTTTGGCGGCCTTGGAGCTCTTCTTTGGAAAGGATACTGAAAATGGATGCGGCGAGAGCGGCGTTGGGTCTTGCAGCGTGACGGACTGCGGCATTTTGAGCTGAGATCAGGATCGTGCGAGTATCGTGGATCTGAGGGTGGGTGGGAGCAACGCGGCGAGACTTGGCTCTGGGAGGAGAAGGGGAGAACTGCGTAGATATCCACGATGGCGGACGCAGATGCTGGATGCTGGATGCTGGATGCTGGGTGCCGATTGCCGATTGCCGATTGCCGATTGCTGAAGCAGCGAGCATCGGCACCAGCGCTGTTTCGGGAGACGGCCAAAAAAGAAAACCAGCGCGCCATATTAATTAAGCCCACGTGCCGGCGTCTTCCGGGGCGGATGGCGACTCTGTGGCGCGCCCATTGTTGCGCCGCGTCCAATCGGTGCCGACACGTTGGGGGAGCAAGCCCACACAGGCTTCTCTGCGCACGCACAGCAATCCTCCTCCGGACCCATCGGCAAGCTCCAGAACCAGCCGGCAGCAGCCATATAGATTGGCCGTGGCCCCCGCCTCGTTTGCAGGCCAGGCTCTGACCTCTGTCTGCCGGCCCAGATCATCCCGTCGGCGCTGGCTTCCCCCTGGTAAGCTCGGCCTGGCGCCGGTCTCGTCCGAGCGTCGCTGCTACGCGGCCGTCCTGACTCATACTTGTCACTGCCCGCCAGAGACCCCGACCGTCCTCGATCCTGCATCGGTAGCCATGTTTGCGTCCAAGATCCTTGCCTTTGCAAAGTCGTCGCTGGCCAGAGACGCCAGCAAGTACAATCCGATAAAGGGCAAGACCCGGGTCGGCTTTGACCGCGGGCAGCCCGTCGACATTTACCATGAGATTCATGGCTATGGCGAGCACAAGGTTCTTTTCATCACGGTAGGCATCTGCCCACCGATTCTGTCGAAAGGAGGGTGGCCTTCGAGACAGCGCTGCACTCGACCTCTGGGCGTCGCCGCGTGCTGGCTAGGCGCCGTCACTGCCGTTCTCCCTCTGATCTGGAATTGTGCATGGCTCATGCCTGTTTCTCTCTGGCGTTCCGTTGCATGCCGGTCCGCTCAGGGATGGGCTGGCTCGTGCGATAATTGGAAGTTCCAGGTGAGTGACCTGCCGCTCTAGCAATCCCGACACCGTCGCTCAGGTTGCTGTCGCTGCCACCCGATATCGCCAAAGCATAAATCGGCTGCCCTGACGAAGCATCATCTCTATCGCTCAAGACCGAGTATTTTGGACGACACGGCGACTTCCAAGTCTGCATATACGAAAACAGGGGGTCGGGATTCTCGAGTGCCCCGCTCAAGCGCTACAGGTTCGTTCTCGAGGAAACACAGACTCCGAGGACTGCTCTGGCCGGCCCTTGGACTGGCCTGGTCCGATGCTAACGGAGCACCCATGCGGTCCGCAGGATGGCCGACATGGCACATGACGCCAAGGAACTGATCCAGCACCTTGGATGGAAAAATGTCCACGTTGTCGGTGTCTCCATGGGTAAGCCACGCGCAGCCATCCGTTCGCTCTGCACCAACCGCAGTTGGGCAGCCCACTGACAGGAGTGAATCGGCATCGCCAGGCGGCATGATTGCCCAGGAGCTTGCGTTGATGATGCCCGACCGAGTCCGCAGCCTGTGTCTGGCGTCGACCCACGCTGGTCGGGCATTCCCTCCTGCAAAGTACGCTCCAATGGTCATGTCGACGCTCGCCAAGATTGCCCTCGGCCTCGAGGAGATGAAACAGAATGTGCCCAAGATGCTGTACAGCCATGTAAGCTGCCTCAGTGATGGCTGTGGCATGGAGTTGGCCTCGTTGCGACAGTTGGGGGAGGGGAGACGCACATCGAACGAGTCGTGCCGATATCGTCGCACTGCTCTGCACCTCGGATATCTCCTCGGTTGTCTCCTTGCGCTTACCGCTCGACACCACAGAACTGGCTCTACAGCCCCGCACCACCCGAGACGGGATATGACACCAATCTAGAGTACATCCAAAAGGTATGTGTCCACTTTCTGCCCAGTATGCACTGTCCGTGCCCTCAGGCTGTGTCAACCAAAACACTAAGTGTGCTACGTTTGGCACATTCAGTTTCATGATGGCCGGATAGACGAGCGACCGCCGCAGTCGATTGCTGCGGCCTTTGCTCAGTTCACCGGAATACTGCGACACTATGTTAGCGCCGCTCGTCTTCGCGTCCTGGCCGAGCGCTTCGAGAAGTACTCGATTCCGGCCATGGTGGTCCACGGAACAGAGGATTGTGTAAGCAACGTCCACTGCGTCATTGGTGAAACCCGGCTCAAGGGAAGGCATGGTCATGCGAGCGTCTATCGATGGTCGTGTTCTGATAACGGCACTCTCGCACTCTCTTTCATCCACCGGCTGGTCTAGCTCGTCCACCTCAAGAACGCCTATGACCTGGCCTCAAATCTTCGTGCCAGACTCGTTGTTTTTGAGGGCCGTGGGCACGCCATGAACCACGAAGACATCGATACATTCAATTCGCTGCTCCTCCGGCACTTCTACACCGCCATCCTCGGCAAAGAGTGCGAAGCAGCAAGTCGCGCCGGGTGGCAGGCCGAGTCGAGCACTCACAGCGAAAGCGGAGGCGCCCTTGTGCTCCATGATCAGTCGCCTCTCAGCTCGGCTCGGCAGCTGCTCGGAATGATTGCCAACGACCCCAAGCTGTACATTGAGTGGCTTAGTGCCCATCGAGAAGCCCTCAAAGCCTCACACTAGTCCACTGCTCTCGTACACGGCTGATGCTGTCTGTCGTGCATTGGATGGGACCATGCGGGCTCTGTCCCTTGCCCGATGGAGGTCTAGCAAGAGGTTTGTGCACGACAAGGACAACCAGTAGCGCCAGCCCTGGCTTTGGCAACTGCCTTACCGACGACATTGCACCCCTCCCTCTCTTGCATCTTGGTTCTTCATGTTTCACCTATCATATTCTGGCTCTTTCCTCACTTCCCTTACGCTTGACCAGAGCGACGGTGGTCGGCAGATGCAGCGGCTGTCTGGTCAGCTCCTGCTCCATATCACTCAGCACCTCGTAGTTTTCTCTCTCGGCGATGCCTTTTCCAGTCGAAAATGGCCATCGCCGAGGTGTGTGCGAGGTCCTGTCGCCACCACTTGCCTGGAATTCCCTGACGGCGCAGCTGATAGTTCCCGTCGCCTCCCCACCTCATACTTTCGGGCCCCTGTGGCCCATTCCTCTCTCCGATCCGTCCTCCAAGACCTTCCACGAGAACAGGAGCAATATATATTGTACCATCTCTTCATCGGTTGTGTTATACGCACAAGGGGCTTTGTGGGCGACTGTCGGAGCCGTGGCCACGGCTGCTTGCACTGGCACCGCGCGGTCATTTCGGGCTGTTGGCTGGCTTGGAGGCTGTCTACACCAGAACTTGATTGTCATGGCTCCCAGCATCGACTTGGACCTCGACAGAGAGCGGCGCTTCGGGGGCGAGCAAGTCGTGTGGATGCTCGTCCGTGGGAGAGTGCGGGAGAACGGGGTGTAAGGGGTTCAGCGCGGGCGGTTCGCCGCCTGGAGGAAACAGCTCGTCCCTCAGACCGGGTAAGAAGGGATCGAGATGCTCCCAAGTGCAGCTCCAGAGATTCGATGTCGGGCTTCCAGTCTCGGTGAACTGGAAGACGCCTTGCATGGACATGACCAGCAGCATATTCTTGAGGGACTCCAGCACGCCCTCGTACTGAGCGAGATTGCAAAAGCATGTTCGTTAGAGACAGACCAAAGGATTCATATCAGCACCAGCACCAGCACCAGCACCAGCACCAGCACCACCAGTATCGACTTTGCGAACCAATGCTCACCAGAATTCCTGTGCGTCCGACATTGTCAGGCATCGACGCCACGTCCAGGTAGCTCTTCATGTACTCCAGGATTCGTCCCCACAAGCCCACAAGCTCCCTCGAGCTCACCAATCGGGGCAGGAAGTTCAAAAAGAACTTGCAGAGCAGACCGACGGCCCGCATCCGTGTCTCATCCATCGAAGCCTCGTCGAGTTTGAAGACGGCTGGCTTGAGCAACTCCTCCAACAGGGGGAAGAGGACATTCTCGAGGCAGCTGATCCAGCATTCCAGCCTCGAGCCCTCCAGCAGCAGCTCCCGCGAGAGAAGCGCGCGCTGCAAATAAGTCAGAGCGGCCTGTCGAACCTCCCGCGACGGGTGGTAGCATTGCTGCTCAAGGCCAGACAGAATCGGCAGCCAGTACTCGAACCATGCCCGCTCGGGACGCATCGATGTCTGAGTGATCAGCTCGGGGATTCGGGTATGTAGCATGTAGAGGCGCTCCAGACTCTTGAGCGATCGTTCAATCGCGGCGTGGACATGAGGACTGAGAAACATAGAATTGTGCCACATGCAGAATCGCTGATCAGTCGGGGAGGGAGGGGAACCTGAAAGCTATGCAACTTGGCAGCAGCGGCGGACTCTACCATACCTTTTGCCGCGCTCATGAGCAGGTACTGTCGGACGCGGGCTTTTGCGATCGGACTCGGATAGCTTTCCAGAGCCAGATCCGCTGCCAGCGAGGAGCAGTGCCCCAGAGGCGACCGAATAGCCGATCAGCAGATCGACACAATCCGAAAAGTTGTCGCTGGAGACGATGCTGCTGGATCCCTCCGAAATCAAGAATGTTGTCACTTGGAAGCCATATCCAGCCGCGGCCGGGTTCATGCTGGATTTGGACAGCAGGGCCAAAATGGTGTCGGACTTGGCGCACGAAACAAGCAGGCTGGAGTGCGTCTGGACAAGCTGCACAAGGCCAGCCATCAGCGGCTCGCCAATGGTGGCTAGGGTGTCTGGGGAAAGCTCCAGGAGAAAGTCGAGTGACTGCAGGACCTGGGGCATTGTGTCTTGGTGATGGGCCAGACGCATTATCAGACGCAGCAGAGCCGAGGCGCTGTGGCACTGCAGAGCATCGGTGCGGAAGCCCGCTTTGTAGCCGAGGAGTGTCTTGATGTGCTCAAAGGCAAGTGGCCACACAACCTGCAGGCGATCGCGGTTGAAGATCGTGACCTGGACCAGCAGCTCGAACAAAAAGATAGCCGACGGGTTCAGTTCGTGCGGTTCGGGTGCTGACGAGTTTCCACTAGGATCATGTGTGATCGCCGCCTGCTCTGAAAGATTCGATCGCGATGCGGATCCCGACTCCTCGACGAAGGAGGACTCGATGATGGCGCGCATCATCAGCTGCAGCGTCTGTGTCTCCAGGAATCTACACGAGGGGACAGGGTGGGAACAGTCAGAGACAGCAGCGCCGACTCGGTTGGCTATCATCACCGATGGGGCCAGCGCCACTGGGATGGACGTACCGGCTCTCGCTAAAGAGACGCTCGATGTTGGATGCAGCGATGCACTCTGTCGCCCGCCGCTCGGCATTGAGATCGGACTCTTGTGGGGACTCGTCGACGCGCTCATCGATAGTGGGGCCAGCCAGCAACAGGAGCTGCTGGAGAGTCGAAAATATGCCGGCAGTATCCCTGCGAGCCTCAACGACGGGCCTTTCGACTGGAGGCGGCTGCAGCAGCGGAATCTTGACCCGACCACGTAGGAAGTCGTCGACCTCGACCAAGTTCGCCGGAATCAGGTTGTGCACAAAGAGACTCTTGAGGCATGCCATGATCTAGTCACATTGGAGCCAATTGTAAGAATGGGACGTCTTTGAAGGGCGACAGCGTCGGCGCCGCTGCGGCGGATCGGGCACGCACCGTTCATCAGCCACACCCGCTTCCAGTAAACTGAATTCCTTACGTTTTTCCAGCCAGTGACGACCACATCGCCGTGCTCGGACACCAACGAAAACAGCAGCACCGTTGCAATCTGGCCCTTGGTGTTCCTGCCGAATTCGATGGCCCACGGATCGACCTTCTTTCCGGAGGAGCCACGGTCGTCGCCCCATGCGAGGTCGGTCCCCGAGAATTTGCCGTTGGACTCCAACAGCCCCGAGACACGGGCAAGTGTGTCCACGATCGTGTCAAATACATCGGATTGATTGAAGTGCGTTGCAAGCAGAGCGCAGTTGTAAAACCCGACGATTCCTTTCTGGATCGTAAGATCGTCCTCTGCATTCTCAAACACTGGGGCAGATGGAGGGTGTTAGCAGCCTGGCCAAAGCCAGGATAGCCAAAGCCAGGATAGTCACAGCCAGGATAGCCACAGCCAGGATAGCCACAGCTGCTCCGCCAGTCTCGGTGTGCCTTGGATCTCGGCTGCTCGGCGGAACTCACCATAGCTGATAGCCTCCAGAATCGCGCGCCAAGAAAGCAGGAATAGGTCCTTATCATAGGCGGTCGAGCGGTTAAAGATGAAAGGCGTGGTAGTTTCGGACGACTTGAGCAGGCCCTGCCAAGCGTAATTGAAGCCAAGATCGCCCTCGTGCTCCTCGGGCATAACGATTTCGTAATCTCGGATGGTTTGATAGATGTCGAGCTGTGTTGCACAGGTAAAATCAGTCCCTAGGCGCGTCAATATACAACGACACCACGAAGCAGGCCCTCGGAGCCCTGACGTTTGTGCGATGGGATCGAAGCTGTACCAAATATTCCTTTGAGAAGTCCTTGCCGTTGTTCACGCCGCGAAGGTTCTTGCAAAAGTCATCGTACGTCATTCGTCGCTAGAATCACAGGAAGAGTGTGGCAGAAGCGATATATATACGAGGTGAGTCCCGCATTCAGCCCAGATGGGTAACATAGAAAGTGGCACTGCGGTGCAATACTTACTCGGACTTGAGGATTGTGCTGGTCGGTGTTGAGCATAATGACCGAGTACGACAGGATATATGTGGCGTCCTGGGTCTCGATGTCCCTTTCGGGATTTCCTGGAAAGAGCGGCGAGTCTGAGTATTCTGTTGCATTCCCGAGCCAGCCGTCCTGTACACGCACCTTGTATAGTCTGGAAATAGATCTCGGCAAAGGTCTCCATGATGCGGGCAATCTGTTGAGACTCGCCAGGAAGTCGGAAACTCTCCAGCAGAAGCCGCAGAGCCTCATCCAGGCGTTTCTGCACCCCCCCCCCGATTGAGATGGCGTTAGAAACAATATCTCAGCGAGGGTTCAGCACCAAACAGCCGTATCCCAATGAGCTTGTGGTGTCCCAATGGTGCCTACTCCGTTAAAGTCAAACATCTCGATAAAGCTCTTGAGGACACCGAGGTTATCGGGTCGCGAGATGTAGTCGCCCAGCAGCCGCTTATCGATGCCAGGGGTCGTCTTGAGCAGGGCTGCCACGCTTTGGGGCGTGAGATCAGCAGGCAGGTAGTGGTTCTCTGTTTCGAAGGAGCAAGCGCCAGGAGCACGATAATAGTCAGCATAGCATCGTGCGCGCATGTATCGTTGGGAGGCTGGCTCTGGAGAAACACCTACCCTGCCAAAAGGCGATGCCATCCTTGGGTTTGATGTTGAAGCGATCGGCTCCCTCCTTCAAGACACGCTTGCGCGTCTTGTTATGAGCTATATGTTCGGGAGACAGACCCTATGATACGAATCGCGGATTAGTTAGTATCGAACAGTCACCAGGCAAGCGACAGCCGTGCACAGGTGTTGAGCACAAACCTCTGGATGGGAGCTAACATCGATGACATTCTGACACAGTCGGGACAGATGCAGATCCAACATTCGCGTTGGATGAATATCAAAGGTGTGAGATGAGGCCAAACGAGCACGTAGCTGATCCGCCACGACAACCGAGTGTGTCGAGAGCGTGTTTGGAGGATGCTTGGCTCCAGGGACCTACTCTTCTGTCGACGAGATGCTTGATAAACATGAGCAGCGTATCGAAGCATATGATTTGATGTGTCACTGCTGTGATGGGGCCGTTGGGAGTCATGTCCGGGAAGGAGTTCTGAGAGTAATGCACATGCAGGTGGCAAGAACCCAGTCGGAGCAATTACGAGAGCAAGCGACGTGGCGAGTCGTGAGCGCAGCCAGGACGAATATGCATCAGAATTAGCATGATGCTCCATATCAGAAGCAATACGAGGATCCTTGCGAGAACCTGCATCTGTGTCGAGGATACAAATTGCCATAGCTGTACGCAAACACACGGGGCTGCTGGTGATGGGCACCGGCGCTCGGCCGCTCGCATCAGCACGCTTACCCGAGCAAGAAACCACATGAGCTCCTCAAAGAGATGCCTTGCCGACAGGAGATCGGCATCATAGTTGATGTAGAGCTCTGTCATGAAGTGCGGGTAGTACGACAACTGCAGCGGCAGTGGTAGGGTCGATTCAGTGGGCGCCCGGACAGGTGCATGCATCAAAGTAGGCGTCTGTCTGAGTCCTCGCCAATGCGGTGCCCATCCTCCATCCAGCTCGAATGGCTTTGTCATGTTTACCTGCAGGATGGTGTCGAGCACAAGCTCGCGGACTTCTCCAACAAGGATTCCGGTCTTTTGGAGCCCCAACACCGACGGCGAGCGATCAGCAACCGAGCTTCGAGAGCCCGTGGCAACCTGGGACGCATCGTCCTTGAGATCGTCAATGTTCATCCAGCCAACGAGGCCGTTGTCGACCTTGCTCATCAGCCACTGGAGCAACCACTCCTGTTGAACCTTGAAGTGCTCTCGCTCCGTTTGGAACAGCGCAACAATGACCCGGAGGGTGACGTTGAGAATTGACAGCGTCGTGGCCGAGGGCGGCGACTGGACCGTAACGTTTGGATTTTGGAGCAACTGGAAAGGCAGCCGGTCGATGATCGCACCAGATAAAACAAGCGCGTCGCCGAGACCATGCCAATGAATACGTTGTAGGGGTGGCCATTGAGCGAAAGACTGCGACGGAACGTACCTGGAACAGATGCTTGCACAAATCATTGAGGACCAGGTCCTTGACGGCAAGGGCCATTTTGTCCTCGTCTGAAGCATCTTCGTCTGCGGTAGTATCGATGGGCGGAAGCAGATTGGGCTCTGGATTCTCTGACTCGATGGCCGAGAGCGGGGCCACGGGTTCCTGAAGTCCCTGCGCGGGTGGGCTGGCGACATCCACGACTTGGGTGGTGTCTTCCTCGCTGTTGAGGATGATCGTGGCCTTGGTGGTCCCGGGCTGTTCCTCGCTCACACCCACGCTGACGACCGAGCTCACGGGCTCCTGCGTGGTAATTTTGATGTCACCGAGAAGTGGAAGCCCGCCAGAGCTGCTTGGTGTCCTGTGATGATGGCCGTGGTGACCGTGGTGGTGATGACTGTGGTGTCCAGCCGCAGCTTGCGATGCTTCGCGCAGCTTGCGCTCTTTGGTGTATTGGGTGCCTTGCCCAATCCACTTCCCGAGGGACTGGCCACCGACTTCAACTGCGGTGGCCAGCAAGTTCAGCGCCACCATACGGTGCATGCTATCGGTGTGGTTACGATTGCGTGGATCAATGAGAGTGACGAGCACACGCACGAGCTCCAGGATTGAAGGGAGGCCAAAGGGCTGGAATTCTTTCTCGTAGCCGCCGTAGTCGCCCGCAGAGGTGGCGCCGCCATCGGACAGCGTCGAACGGATAGACTTTTGGCGCTCCAGATCCGACGACGGCTCTTCGACACCAGCCGAGTTCAAGACGTGATAATCAGATGGAAACGAGACGGTCGGTGATGCAATAAGAGGCAGCGCCGGGGCCCGGTTGCTGGGCAAGGGGGTGAGCGGCGCGGAAATCGACAGGCCCTCGGGCTTTTCTTTTTTGTACTTTCCGAGCGACAGGTCGCGCATACGCTTGTCGTGGTCCTTGGCTTTCATAATGGTCGTGAGCCTAGAGTCAGGATTTTCTTGAGGTCAAGAGCGGAACACAACGGGCAGTCGGAAAGAAGGTCCAGCGCCAGCCACATCGATCCGTGTGTGCAGTTCCATAATACGCCTGGTCACATCAGGGAGTGATGGTGTCACGCCGTGTGCTATCCAAGCAGCGACACTGACCTCTCGAACAGGGCTTGTACAAGTTTGCTCAGGGTTTTGTCCGCAGCTCGGCGGAGAAGTTCTGCACATGGACAGACGATACATTTGTCTTAGTCTCTGGCTTTCATAAGGACATAGATGACTACGAGACGGATTGAACTGTATCCAACTCGAAACGAGTATCATGGTGCAACCGTTTGATTCTGGCGCCGCCCTTGCTCAGTAGGACGGGGGGGGGCTGTCAGGGGCTCGACTTACCGCTCGATCGAACCTGGAAGCACATGCCAAACGAAATCTCGACCATTTCACAGATGCCCTTGTCGCTGAGACTTTTCTGCCCGGCATCGGATCCGACAATCACCCGAAGCAGTCTCAAGATTCGTGAAAGGACCACTTCGTCCGAGACAGCGTCTGTCGCCTGGAACTTGCATTGGGTCACCGAATGGGTCAGGAGAGCCATGGCGGCAGGCAGCGAAGGGTGGTGGGGATCTGGAGGGGGGGGCCGGTGGTGTCGCTTGTTAGGATAGCTGTGGCCCACGAAGCCCTCAGATGCGACAACAGCATCCTGCAGTCGCCAGGTCCTCACCAAGAACGCGATACTTGATGAAAGCCTCGATGCTGTTGAGCGCCGTCCCGGTGATGGGGCCGGTGGTGTTTCCGCTTCGGATGATATCCAGGAATGGAGCAAGAAGGTCCGAGGGATCCAGGTCTCGCAAATCTGGGTTTCGGCAGAAGCCACAAGACAGATGAGAAGCTGTGCTCGAGGGCAGATTCCAACATGGCGGCATCGCCATCCCCGGGACCACGTTGGCCGATCTCATCATCATCCGCAGGCAGATCTGGCGAGGGATTCAAGGCACCCGCGGCGCAAACTCACCGTGGATCAGGGTCAGACGAGCCTTGAGCTTGGCGAAGCCATGGAGCAGGTTCAGGGTTGGATTGTCGGCCAGTGTGGACAGACGGCTGTCGAGCTCGACATGGTCATTGCGGACCGCAGAGGTGAATTCGAGGACCGACTCCAAGCCGTCGACTCCGTGGACAGCGCTGTCGGCGCAGTAATCGTAGTCGCTGTGGAGCTTGGGGATGGCAAATGAATCGTAGCTTGAGAGCGACCAGCGAGCATTCTTGCGCATCGCGGTGGTGACGGCGGTGATCTCCATGTGGATGATTTGGATCCAGGTGAGCTCGGGGCGGCTTGCCCGCGCAGAGGGCACCATCCGGGCGAGGACCGACGGCGTTCGGGCAGGGCCGAGCGGCAGGGGTTCGGGCGCAGACATGCCGGAAGATGATTCTGCACGAACCTGGCTTGAAACGGTGTGGGAGGCCCGGCAGCCCAAGACACGATCCAGGGCGGGCGCGCTCTCGCCGCGATCGCCGAGACGCATGCCGAGACACATGCCGATTGGCGCCCGCGGCACCGAGAGCCCGCCGAGAGCCCGCCGACCGAGCCAGCAACAAGGCTCGACACTTGCCTTTTCCGGCCGGGACTCCACGTGTAAGACAGCCGTTCTGTGGCAGCACGCTGCGCATCCTGCACGTGCGCCATGGCACACATCAAGCCACGTGAGCAGGCGCGTCAATGGCCTGATTGGCGCATCAATGGGCGAATCAATGGCCGCACCCCCTGTGTCGGAGCAACCCCTGCCGCCGTGGCAGGCACGATCCTCAGAGAAGAATGCAGTGCTCCCGCTGGGCAACGGGGACGGCTCCACATCGTTGCTGCCATCGTCTCCATCGTTAACCACCGCGGCCGCACCTGCTGCACCGCATTCCACCGCACTACACATGGTCTCCAAAGCCGAGCCGGCCCGGATCACAGCTCGTGCAGCACCGAGACGGCCCTCAGACACCACCCAGAAGGTTGTCGTTGCATTTGGTCACAGCATCAACGTATCCGAGGTGCCGCCCCTCAGCCGGCGAGAATCGGTGCGTTAAGTTGACATAAAAGCTCGCAGGCGACCTGCTCCCATGATTCTGCTCGTGTACAGTCTCAAGGCCTCATACCACTTTGTGCACTCGTCAATGAACTCCCTTTGGTGGCTCTCTAGACTGTCAACGAAACCCCCGCATTGCATGCTGATGAGAACCCAGCAATTACGGCGAGACTCGTCAGCGATAAGCTCAAGAAACCAGCCCAGCCCAGTGACCCAAGCAAGCGGGGCAAACCAAAGCCATCTCCCCAGAAGACCGTGCGCTTCAACAAGACCGAGGTCAAGCCCTTGGAGACGTTACCCGAAGAAGCAGAGTCGGTCTCATCCATCAGCAACATCAGCAACAACAACATCAGCACCCGGACCACCACGCAAAGTATGAACCCGCACTAAGCCCGCAGCAGCAAGCCACACGATTTTTCACCTGCCAGGGTTACTCGTGTTTCCAATTTGTATGGCGGGATGACAAACTTTGCTTGCCATCGCTGCTGTGCTGATTTCAGTTATCGTCGATCGGATCTCGCAGAAACCAAAACCCCACCCAAGTCGAACAAAGGCACCAATCCAAAATCTTCAAAATCCAACCGCGGTGATACCGCAACTAAATCGGGGGCAAGGCAGTCCGCAAAGCGAGGCCAAGGTATGGACGAGGGGCGTGAGTATTTGCCGATGGGTGTGCCGATGCTCCAGGGCTGACCATGTGTTGGTGCCCAGAGCCCAAAAGCGGCACTGAGAATCCGAAACGACGCCCCACTACCAAGCCCGATGCGGCCGCGGCGGGACCCGGGCCCAGGTCCGAAACGAGTCGGGCTCGTCCCCCAGCAACAGCCCCGGGTAAGTAGTAGTATACAGCTGCCCACTCAGGTGCGATGCAGAGAATCGTAGAGACACCAAGGGCATAGTTTGGGCCCTCCTTTAGCCCAATCGTCATGAAGATACTCCTTCGAGTGCGGAACCTAATGAAAATACCACCATGTACCAATACCCATATGAATCATCAACTCATGGGACTGGCCTGTTGCCTCAACGGCCAATGACCGATGGCCAACTACCGATGGCCAATTTTCTAACGATAAGCGGCAAACCATCAGCAGCCGAGCAAAAGCACGACCAGCCCCATACTTAAGCACTCGACTGTATCAGCAAGCACCAAAGCGCCAAAACCGGCCGTTGTAAAATCAGACCAAAAAATCGGACCGAAAGAGGAGGTATTCAAAAAGATCGCAATTCAGGCTGTCGACACAGAACCGAGCTTGGAGTCGGAAACAGCTCCCGCAAGCATCGTAGGTACAAATGCAAAGGCGGGATCTGACAACAAAGCCAAGACGAATGAGCCCGTGGTTGGGGTCCCAAGGTCTAGGATGATCAAACCTGGCGCAATTCAGAATGACGATCTCGCTCGCCATAGAGCTGCCACATCGATTCAGTGTTGGTGGCGCAGGATCATTCGGAATCGGCAGGCGCAGGCGACGGAGACCCGAAATACCAATAAGGCAGCCACCCGATCTAGATCCAAGAAGAGCAAGGCGGGTGATCAACCTGATGCATCTGTCGAAGACAGATCCTTCCGAAGCGAGCTGGCGGCTGCGATTGCAAGCGAGATCCGGAAACAGCAAGTGTCGTCGCTGATGGAGGAGAAAGAAAAGTTTCGGAAAGCTCGCAAGATGCTTGAAAAGGACCGTATCCGACTTGAGCTCAGCGACCGGGCCGACATGAGCGAGGATGAGTTTGAGCTGCTCGATGCCTTGCTTCAGAGCAAGTCGGCAAAGAAACTCGCTGAAAGACTGAAACCGCAACGGGAAAAGGCGCCAAGCAAGCTTCAGAGCGAATCTATGGACTCGATCGAGTCGATCGGTTCGATAAATCAGCTTTCAGACGAATTCAGCTCACAAGAGGAGAGCCCAGCGCCCAAGCAGGACCCTGGCCGACATCGGTCTCGCAGCGAGCGGCCACACCACGATGCCGTGCGTGAGCGATATTACGACGTAAGTTCTAGTTTCTTGACGTGCAGTGATATTGCCAGACTGTGCGACTCTGTGATCAGAGGATGTCGCAATATGGCATCGTGCATATCAGTGATACTAAGCGTAGACTCCCCAGGGCTCCTATTCGGATGACGAGGTGGCATATTATCAAGACCAGGAACCACTCTCAGAATTCGACAGTCCGCCGTATGAGTGGTGTCCACGACCACCCTCGCCACCAATGCAGTTTCTGCCCCACTACCCATATTACCCCGGCGGGACGATATATCCGCCTCACTATCCGTTCGGATACCCATATCCAGACATGTACCCGGGCATGCCGCCAATGCCGCAAATCCATGGGATGCCCAGTCCCTTTCGCCAATCTTTCGGAAGACCCCGCCGCCGCAAGGCCGCAAAGTTGCGTGCTACCCGAGGCATCGACAAGCCTATGATGGTCGCGCTGCAGACTCCGTTGCGCATGCCCGAGCCTCGACCCGGCGATCGCGATGAAGACGACTTCAAACTCAAAGCTGGTTTTGCCTCGGAGCCCTGGGAAGAGCCGCCAGAGGAAGGGGCTCTGCGAGAGGCGGGGTACCGACACCCACCAGCTCGCGAAAGCCCCACCGGTTTGGATAAGATCGGCTCACGTCCGAAACCATGGCCTGTCGGCTATGTCAACCAAGAAATCATGGGAATACTGGAGAAAAAGGAAAATGATTCGAGACAGGCCGAGAGAGCGGACCAAGATCAAACGACAGGTAACGAATCTATCCTGCACACCAGCACGGCGTTGTCTTGGACGATTCTAGCCCTGTGGAGTCGCTCAGTGCGGAATGCGTGGTCAAAGCGCCGATAGCAATCTTCCCGATCCACCCAAGCCGCGTGATGTCGCTCAGCAGCTTCGCTGGTCCACAGCTCCGAACTGACTTGGTAGCTGTGTCGCTTAATCCACAGAAGCAACAGAGGTAGATGCCGGACCATACGAACAGCCCTCATATCACCGCTCCAATGTGGAACATGCTGCGTCGCCGTCCGTCGAGCTCACAGACCGCAGCGGTGCAAGCTATGAGGACCCACCAAATGGCTATGTGGGAAAATTACCTCTGGACCATGATCTAGTCTACGGAGTGCAACAGCAGCGATCCTCGGCACAGAATCATCCTTTCCAAACAGGGCCAAATCCCGAGTCTGCTTATCTGGCGCGCTATCTCGAGCGAACAGGCAAAGCCCCGGTTCAGATTCGCCATGCCCCCCTTCAGTCGATTGGCTCGAGACCGTCCCAGCAGTGGGGACTTGGACCGAGTCGACGGCCTTCGCAGACACCCGCTCGCACTGACTCCCTTGTTTCAGCCAGCTCTTCGGAACCTCGATACACTTCGCTCAAGCCGATCGCCAGCCAAAGAGAAATTGCGGCGAGAAGACCGCTCCAAGCGTACCAGCAAAAACCCTTGGGTGCCCTGTCCGATGACTCGGCTGTGGCAGGAGGAAACCCTGTTTCTGCTCCAAAGAAGAGATTGACTGGCGCTGTGAAGCCGGCACCGCTCGCAGCCTCATCCAAGCCAGTAGTGGTTGGAAAGACTCTCGGAGTTGCCTCGTCAAATAACACTGGGGCTCCTGATCAACGGCAGTATCTCCCACCACTTGTCTCCCAGCAGGAACAGGAGAGATCCGAGAATGCATACTTCCATCCAAACGAGTCGATTCCACACGAGCATGATGCTTCTGCACCCCGTCAGCGACTTCCCGCTTACCACGGGTATTCGGCTCAGCGTCTTCCTCCATCGGCATATTTCGAACATCCCGAGCATCATCAGCCTCTTCAGCTGCCGAGACATCCTCCATCATACAACTATGGCTCACCTCCGTCCGCGCCATATCCCCAGCAGCACGCACCATATCCCCAGCAGCACGCACCATATTTCCAGCAGCACGCGCCCTACTCACAGCACCACACAGCGTATCCTCAGTACTCCCCGCAAGCAACTTACCCGAATCCGGCTCCAGATCACCCCCCACCTCACCATCGACCCTGGGGCGATCCCCGCACCGGATACGCCACACAAGAAGCATATGCAGGCCCGCCATATCCCTGGCCATCCGCGCCGCTGCCAAAGAGCTATGAACCAACGGGCGCCGATATGTACCCGTGACGGCAAATCCGAAAGTCTGCGAGTCGATGTCTCGAAGTTGGTGAAGCAGTCGCTTGTCACGTCCTACAGACATGGCCACTGCCGGAACTGCCCGGGCGAGCGGCACAACGTGGGATGAGCAGCTTCATCACCGGTTTGGTGTTCATCGGGGTGCAATTTGATGGTATATTGCACACGATACGTCGAAAAGGGTGGATCTGCGGACGGGACGGTCCTGGCGATGCGAGATAGCCGGTCGCTGTTTACAATTGCCGGGTGGGCTGCCATCGGCATTCATTCAGCCTCCTCCATGACACTCTCTCTGGCGTAGGCTTCGAGCTGGTCCAGCTGCCACCCGATCTCCTCCTTGGTGATGGCGATATGGTTGAGCTCGCTGGCGAGCGATTTGATCTTTTTATCGCTGTTTGGTAGCCGCAAGGGTAGTGGTAGGTCAGACCGACTGCCTGATCTCAAGAAGGCACTAGCGAGCTGCTCGACGGCTTTCGTCACTGCCGACGGCACACATACCTCGCTTTCTGAATCCAAATGCAGTAGTCGTCGATGTACAGCCTATTGAACATGTAGCATATTTCGTCGCGCTCGAGGAGATCCTTGATCTCCAGGAGCGCCTTGAGAATAGCTCGTCGCCCCAGCTTGAAAAGAACAGCGAGATCCTCGACGATTTTGAGAGACAGACCGAAATGGCGATACAGCGGATAGGTCAGCGACCGGCGAATATCTGCGACGAGAGTCTCGCGCAGGGTTGCAAACACCTATTTATGCGATCCCGATAGAGGGACAGCCAGTACAACCGACGGCGGCGAGGAAGAGTCAGTAACTTTGACGCCAATTCAAACCGAACCATGGCCGTTCCCATCGACCGGACCTGCTCCAGCGGGCAGGATCGCACCTTGCTGCACCAGTTCTCAATAAAATGGTCGTTCGCGATACGGCTTACCTCAAAGCATGCAAGGGTGGCGCTCAACTTGCATATGGTCCATCCAGATCCAACGGTATTGTCTCCCTCGGTTGTCCTGTGGTTGTAGCAGTATGCAAACATGATGTCGACCAGGCCAAGATAGATGGCCTTTTCGTCGTCCAGCAGATCTATTGTGCCCACCAGATCCGCGCAGAGCAAACCGTCAGCATTGTCAAACCACTCGACAGGTGGTGAAACAGCGAGAATTGGCGCTGCTGGCTGCAGTGTGCTCGACACTCACATTCTTTGTTTGGGAGTCGCAACATCTGTTCACGCTCTTGGGCCGAAAACTCGAGCCAGCCGTCGACAGATTGAGTCTCGGTGGACGGGTCGGTCTCGGTCTCGGCTCCGGATGGCGGCATCGCTTCGCTTGAATCAGGACCCGGCCGCTCGACAGAAGCAACAGCTTTCCTCTTCTGGATTCTGTTCAGCGTCCTCCAGGTCTCCGGGATGTACTTGAGGACACGCTGGATCTCCTCGTCATAAAGGAAATCGCCCATATAGTACTCATCGTCAAACTTGAGTTCCTCTCGCATCAGCCGCTCGGACCGCCGGGAGGCTGGGGTCGATGTGTTGATGTCGGCAAGATCCAAGACTTCGTGGCACAGCTCCATGAGCTGCGCTGCGTTCTCAGAGTGCGAGTTGTTGAAGCCGTAGCGAGCTTCTGTCATAAGTTCCTAACGCCATGGAGATGCCAGTACTCAGGGGACAGATCTTGGATCCAGTGGCGGAAGGCGAACGTATCCGCTCGGCCGCTGTCCCGGTGCTCACATGCTGCGGCGACGGCTTACCGCTTCCTCTTGGACTGTCTGCGGGAGATCCCAGTCAAAGTCCTCAGGGGCATCGGGCGCATCTTCACCTGCTTCGTCTTCCTCCATGGAGTCCGGTTTGTGATTGGGTTGGGTGGCAGGATCGGAGATAACTTCGATCAAGGGCCGCTGCCTGTCGCCGAGAAGAGAGACACTCGGGAGGCCGGCGGTGTCCATGGTGTTGCTTACAAGATTAAATGCCTCGGGCGCCGGATTCTTGGGCGCTAGTAACTTGGTGAGCAGATCCAAGTCTGGAAAATGCTGACCCTTGGTCACCTTGGGCAGAGTTGCAACGATTTCGCCCTTGCTGACGTCATACGAAGCATTCTCCCGGCCGTCTTCCACGATCGGACAGGGCAGATTCAGTCTGGAGGTGGAGGGTACTGGTCAGCGATGCGAAGCCCTGTGCTGAAGGTTGCCCACGATGAGATCCAGAACACACCGCAGGAAGTACGGTTTTGCATAGAACTTGAACTCGGTGTCTTCGAGGAAGAACTCAACCTCCTGGGTCTGTGTGTGCAATAGCGAACGGACAAAGGAGCGAGCCGACACAAGCCGACAGGTAAGCAATGGAGCAGCAACACCGCATCGATGCCGTGCCGCTGTCAATCAGCAGCGGCGCTCTGGGGAGGAGAGACCCAACTCATACCCGGACGTACGGGCACCGGATGGTCACATAGACAAAGTCGTCGTCCTGGCGGAGCGAGAAGCTCGGGGTGATCATGGCGAAGCGAGCGAGGCGATGGGAGGAACCGTGCAGAAGTCGAGACAGCTGGGCCGGGCGATTCAGAAAACGCGGGCACAAAGAAAAATGATTGTCCGACGGGCTGGGTGAAAAAAAAAAAAAATGCTTCATGCACAGGCCGATCTGGCGGCAGCGACTGCCTGTCGTCGTGCTTTCATCGCTCACAGCTGCCCGGCGATCCCCTCGTCTGCACCCAGGCGACACCCGAATCTGCAGCCAGTCCCGTAGGCGTGGTGCATCTGTATCTTCGATCATCCGCAGCAGCGACAGCGGTGCCGGAATGAACATCTGCCGCCCATACCTGGCCAAGCTGTGCTCCACGCTTTCTGGTGGACCCGTCGTCTCTGGATGCCGCTGGGTCTCCAATGGCCCAAGATTCCCTTTCCACAGTGTCAAGGATATCAAGAACTGGGATCTCGACTCGGACCACCAGATTTTGCCCCCGCCCTCAACTATCTTCGCGCCGTCAAAGGGACGCAGAACGAGACATGTAAGGACCTTCATCCGAGCCCCTCCTCGCGCTGATACGTGGAGCCCACTGCGGCAGCAACTTCGGCTGGTGGATGGGCCATAGTTGCTCGAATCTGAGGATACCACGGACCGAATGGGTGGCCTGATCGTCGGATGTACCCAGGGCCAGCGAACTTGCCCCTTACGAATTTGCAAATCGTCCACAATGCCTCTAGGACAACTTCCTAGACTTCAAGCGCATCCGGGTTACTGCCGGCGGCGGCGGCGACGGCTCCATCGCATTTTCCCATTCGGCCGTCCAACCCTTTGGCCCTCCTTGCGGCGGAAATGGTGGTCGCGGAGGCAACGTCTACATTATGGCCTGCAAGGACATCACCTCGCTCAACGGCATCCTGAACAACTACACTGCCGCCAACGGCACCATGGGCAGCTCAAACAACATGCATGGTGCCAACGGCGAAGATATGGTCATCCGTGTACCTGTTGGAACGCTGGTACGGCAAGTTCAAGCACCAATCTATGCGTCATCGACAGCGGCCGAGCTTGGCGACGACGAAGGCGGAGTCGAAGCTGTTGGTCAGGACGAGACCGAGAACGCCGACGAAGACGAAATAGATGTGGAGGAGCAAAACGAGATCTACGCCGAGCAGATGATGCGACTACTCGAAAAGCATTTCAAGTTCAAGACCAACTACCGGCCCCGAGAAGATCGTGCCCGCTGGCTGATGGAGCGTTTGCCCCCGAAGCCGTATGTTCCGCCGCCTGTTCTGCTGGACCTGACGGTTCATGGAGAGAAGCATCTGATTGCCCGAGGCGGGCGTGGCGGCCAGGGAAACCCCCATTTTGTAACCCACGAGATCAAGGGTCCGGCCATTTGTGAGCGAGGCGAGAAGAAGGAGCCGGTTTGGCTCGAGTTCGAGCTCAAGTCGATCGCCGATGCAGGGCTTGTCGGGTTGCCGAATGCCGGAAAGTCGACGCTATTGGCCGCGATCTCCAATGCTCATCCCAAGATTGCGCCGTATCCGTTCACAACCCTGAATCCGTATATCGGCACGATCGACTACAGTGACTTCTGGACCATGACTCTTGCCGACATTCCTGGGTTGGTGGAAGGCGCCCATCTCAACTACGGCCTGGGCCACCAGTTTCTGAAGCACGTCGAGCGCACCAAGGTTCTAGTCTATGTAGTCGATCTGGCAGGCAAGGAACCCTGGCGGGACTTTGAGATTCTCCAGGCCGAGCTGGAGGCATACAAGACCGGACTGACCGCTCGGCCGACACTTGTTGTCGCCAACAAGGCTGATCTTCCAAGGGCCCGGTCGAACATGGAGGAGTTCCAAACCAAGGTGCAATACCCGATTGTACCCATCTCTGCCAAAGAGCGTCGAAACATTACGCACCTAACCGGGGCCCTGAGATCGATTGTCGAGAAGGCCGGAGCCCAAGGCTGATCTGAGCCTGGATGATCGCCGTAATGGCGTATGCCGTATGGCGTATGGCGTATGCCGTATGGCGTATGCCGTATGCCGTATGCCGTATGCCGTATGGCTATCAGGGAATTGGTTCTCGCACTCAATGAATATACTTGTGAATAGCAGTGGCTAAATTGCCAAATATCATGCAGTCTGCGGGTGCCACTGCTTGCTCGTCGAGCTCGATAATGGCCAATTCCGGAAGAACACTGCAGCGCCCATACTAGAACAAAGCACCAGGCGCTGTTTCGTCTTGGGCCATCTCCCTCTGTCGAAGCCTTTGATGCTCAGTTCAAACTGGTCTCCATGCATGCTGTAAACTACCTGGAATTGCAGAATGTACCAAGACCCGCCAGCCCACTTGCTCAGTTTCCATGCGGTACTCCATAAGCCCGCCGTCAGATTTCTGGCGTATTGATACTCGCACTCTTCTTGTATGAGCTCCATATCACACTGGATAATAGAACTGTCGGACTGCAGTAAGGCGCTCAAGGCGACGAGCGGATGGCACCAGGCTCAACGCTACATGACAAGGATGCTGTGCACTCGGCATGGACTAGTTTGCAGGCAGTATTCAGGAGCGAATGAGGCGCTCGCTTCAAAATGATTGGCTTGTTTAGCACAGAGCCAGTACTGGGTGAGTGATATGCCCATGCTGGCCCGGCAGTTCTCTGCGCTGTCGCGATAGAGGCGCCATGATCCGGCGCTTATCGGGCACGACTCGACCCCAGAGCATCGCCCTTGGGCCGTCTTCAAGACCAGATACAGCGGGTTGGAAAAAAAAAGAAATATATCGTCTCATTCGGACAAACACGGATCAGATCACGCACTCGGTCGAGTCGGCCATATCAGTTCCCTGCGTGTCCTGTGTGAGGGAAGAGGACACAGGCAAAGAGCAAAATCACCTCGGGATTGCATAGGGTTTCGGGTGCCAATCAAAGCCGTCTGATTCACACAAGCCACACAGCTCACACAGCCCACACAAGTCATTCGGGTGTGAAGGTGTCCCGTTTCGAAACTAGTTTGCTGAAATCTCCGTGCGCTGCAGCGAAATTCCGGAGCCCCAGCCGCTGGAGACCCGTCTCGATATCCCGCATCAGTATGAGTCTGCTGCCACCAGCAACCGCAGCTCATGATCGACCGCTTCCACCCCTGCCGGTACCGACCGAGCCAGTCATGGTCAACCTCAGGCCGCATCGCACGCGTGCGACGCCGAACGGCTCGATTTCCGAGATCTTTGACTATGCCGACTGGAAGATCAAAGGCGAGAGAGCCCCGGTTCTCATGGAAACGCGTCCGCTGACGCTGTTCTATCATTCTGGTAGGGCTCACTCGCGTCGGGCTTCGGCGCCTGTCAATTCGGTTGTAATGACGCATGTACTTTCCATACTCTCTGCACGGCGTACGATATATCCAGAGCGGCTGCTGCTGAAAGCCATACGGGCACTGCGAGATACACACGGCTCAAACGCAGAGCGAATGCACCAGAGCATCGAAAAGGTGCACCAATACCAACGCGTGCTCTTGGAAGCAATCTATATCGTATTCTCGGAGATGGACGCCTGCCAGAAGACGCCAAAAGAGTATCGCCAGGAGCTTTCCCCAGAGGACCGCATCGAGCTCGAGAATCGTTTCTCAGAGAACGTCATGTTCGCGGCGCAGGCGGTGCGTGCTTCTGCAACACGTCGGGGTACCGGCAACGAGCGCAGGGTCGAGACAGCGGACAGCGCAACGAGGAGCAGATAGAGGGTGAAGAATGGATGCGGCCCCGCTTGCTGTGCCTGTTCTGCTTTGCTTTGGGTCCGCCCCTGACCGTCCGGCCAGCGTTTCTGGTATCTGACGCCTGACGCCTGACCCTCTCAGCTTCACGGCGGATATCGAATCCGAGGGATCGAACAGTACACCTTCGATCTTGTGGCCGAAGCCAGGGCGGTAGGATCTCCGATAAATGCCTTGAAGTTGCCTGTACAGCTCCACATTGCTCAACTGGCTGCTTCGTTGTCCCTTTTTCCCTGCCTGCGATCAGGATAGTCTGTTGGGCAGTCTCCTCCATCCCTGAACCAACGATCGCTGTACTCGTTTGACACTAAGTGACCTTATCGCCACGCGCGGATAGCTCTGCGAGGCCAAGGAGAGCCTCCGATTTGCATTTCGGAACAGAATCGTCAGCAGTGCAGCACCGCCACATACCGATCTCTTTCCGTTTGTTCAAAAGTTCGACCAAGCGTGGACGGCGTTCGAAAGAAAGATGTGCCGCATATACTATACGGTCAAATACGACACTGCGCCTGGCGGAGTCGATCAAACGGACCTCTTCGAGGTAAGCAATCGATGCGCCATCCCGGAAAGCTCCGGAGTCAGCATTTTCCAACGCAGCAGGGAAGTTTCCAGGGTCTCAGGAGCAGTGCCTCAGAGGGGAGCTCGCGGCCAACCGGTGCTGATGGTTCTGCTCGGCACTCAGGTCCTCATGAGCGAAACCATCATCCGCGCCATTTGCAAAGGCTATCACGACTGTGAGCAGCTCCAGTCGCTGGATCCAATCTTGATGTTCTCGATACCACGACTGGCCATCGTTGGAGGATTTGTGCATTTTACCGGGGGCGTCGACCTGCTTGAGTTTCGATGGTTCAAGGCGCGCCGCACTGAAATGGCATATGTGCGAGATAAGATGTCGCTGCTGAGCGAGCCGCAGGTTGCCGAGCTGGAAACCATGCTGTCCCAGAACAAAGGCCGAGACGATGAAGACACCCCGATTGGACTGCTGGATCTATTTCGTAAGATCTGTGCAATTACGGACGACCTGCAAGGCGGGCGAATGGCCAAGGAAATCAATGCACTGATGCACCGGGTTTTCAAGATGCATCTCGTCACCCCGCAGAACAGCCCAGAGCACGACGGAGGAGTGCCACTCGATCGACAACTGCCAGTGCGGTCTGCGATATGAGCCCGCGGGACTCTCTCTGGAGGCACCGCGAGTACCGCAACAGCCCCTCGTGCCTCGTGTATTGCCATATGGCTGCCACTGCAAGCCACGAAAGTATGCTGAGTGGGAAACTACCGGTTTGTGTATTTGAGCGAGGGGCGTGTGCTCCAGCGAGCCATCATACCCAGGGCACACAAGGCGGCTGCAATTCCGGTTGCCGAAACGAATACCAAAACATCCGCGGCAAGCACAAAGATGTCGACGACTACAACTACAAATACAGACACGTTCATACCTAGAAATACAAGTGCAAATGAAAATGAAAATGAAAATGAAAATGAAAATGAAAATGAAAACACAGACACCAGTGCATCCGATCAGGGGGATGGCATGCGGCACCAGTACGCTGGACGCATGCGGCTTACAAGCTGTAGATGATGCCAAGCTTGTCGATATTATCGGCGGCGCCTCCATAGATTCCAGCTACAACGGCATTCGGGGGGCAGACCAGCGAATGGCGCGCGCCTGCAGTTCCGAACCACTCTGATCTGAATCCATTGGAAAACAGGATCTGGAATCCATCGATCCACCAGCCTGAATTGACATCGATCCGCTGGATTGTCGCATTTGCAGGGAGGTTGAGGGTTTTCTTTGTTCCACGAGCGTGGCCTGCAAACACGGTGCGCATCGAGCCAAAGCAGAACTCGATGCCGTTGACATAGGTGTCGGCAAACACATTGATGCGGACGAGTGGGTCTTCGTCGAACCAGATAGTAAAGTCGCTGTCGCGGGTGCCAAAGCTCTTGCCTTCACCGACAGGCACCGACTTGCCAAAGCGCTTGCCATCCAGAACCATGATGGAATCTCGCAGGAATCCCTCGAGATCCGAAATACTGGCGTGCTGTTGGTTGATGGCGGTTACCTCAACCTTGATCTTGCGGCTAGGATCGCGACGGCTACTTGCAAGGTGGCGGATCTTGTCCTCGATGTTGTGGATTTCGTATGTAAGCGGGAGCGTATCGCTGAGATCTTCATAATCCGCAACATCGGGCTCGATGTACCACTCAATCAGCATGATAGGGGACTCGGAGGCGATAAAAAGCGAATCGTTGCTCAGCTGGATCGAGGGCGACTCGGGAGAGATGACAAGCTCGGGATCGGACGGCAGACGGAGATCGGGGTGGAAGCGAAGTCTCACGCAGTCAAGACGGTGCCAGTGCGAGCCGTCCTCGAGATGCATGGTGATGGGACGAAGCCCAATGTAAGGATCGCGGCTATTGAAGGACCGGTTGAAGTGATTGAATCCACGCGACATGATGCCTGCCGACCATGTTGGCATGGGCCGAAGGAAACCCGGCGATGTGCAAGCCGAGAGATGATGTCAAGGCAAACCAGGGATACACAAGGGAGCGTGAGCTGATGAATGACAACCACAGCCGAGATGCGAACAGACGCCGGAGCGAAATCCATCGCAGAATCCAAGACAGCCACGCGCTGACCGTGAGTCAGCAGGGTGATGCATACCAGAGGGAGTGTGTGTCAAGGTGTAAGAGTGGCCGACCTCGTGGAGGAAGGCACCAGATCCAATACAAAAGGCTTTGAAGCTGGTCTGGCACTCGCCATTGTCGTTGGCGGTGGCAGTCGGGTCGTTGGGGGTGTCGTCTTCGAGTGACTCGATAAGGTCTTCGAAGCAGCTGGGCCAGGCGTGGGTCAAGTGCGATCTATGCAAACACTCGAGTGTTACTATAGCTGCAGACCAACGCAATCTGCCGCGAGTGCATGGAGCCAGCTTGCTGTGTTGACTGCCACGGCCGAGCGCAGGTCACTACATACCCAAACATGCCAAGCGAAATATCGCCGCCCGACCCACCCAGGGCCGCATGGGCAAGGATGGCGTTCTTCTTGGGCTCCCAGTGGCTGTCGAGGATCAGACCAGCGACATGGCAGGGCTTGTCAAACGGGGCGCCGTATCCCCTGAGCGCATCGAGGAAAATACTGTACAGATCGGGTCTGGACACCTCCGAATCGTCCGAATCGTCCGAGCCCGAGCTGGAGCCAGACTTTTGCTGGGCCAAGTCCCATCGTCGAAGCTCAGAGAGCGGCTCCTTGGTTGGAACAACAAAGACCCGGGCTGTTTCTTGGGGTGTGCCACCGAGCCTCTGGCTAATCGTTTCTGCAGAAGGAGATTTGCGATGCCAGCCATTTGATCAGACAGGTACGTTCCAGCCAGGCGAAAATACCCTGGCCACGCAGGGTCAGGGGCTCAGCCACCCAACGAGACAGGTGCGAGCTCTGCATGACTGGCGATAAGCTCGCAGTGGTGCAGCAACAACTGAAATGGTGCTTAAGAGTCCAAACGACGGCAATACCTTCGATGAGCTCCTCGTGGATGGTGAACGAGCGCCGACCAAATCCGTTGCGGCGCATCTGCTCGGCCGTGAAGGCCTGCCACATGTATGCGTTGAATCGCAGCTTCTCGATGGCGTCGGTGATGGTCTGGCGATGCTTGTCGTGGGGCGTGTCGATGGCGAAGGTCGAGTCCTTGGCGACGAGGATGGCGAGGTGCAGCGGCGGCAGATGCGACTGCTTCTGGTAGGTGAGCGCAAGATGCTGCACGATGTCCGGCTGCTCCTGGAGCTGAAACCGGAGGTTGTTCAGGCCAGGCTGCAAGATGCACAGCGCCTTGAAGAAGCCATCGACGCAGGGAAACTCGAGCGTCGGGAAGCCGTCCGAGTGGACAAGGACGGTGGCATCAGCCAGGGCAGCGCTGGAGACCCGGCCATAGATCAGGACGGCCCGCTGGAAAATGGTCTCGTTGTAGGTGACGTTATGGAACTCCATGGCTGGGGAGCGATGCGGGCGAGATGGAGATGAGCGCAGAGACGGGGGAAGCAACGGGCATTCGCGACTGTCGCTGGATACCCTCGGATTGGCCTCGGCGAGAAGCAGAGGCGCTCTCGTGTCCGTTTCAAGGCCATGGCCAAACACAGTAACATTCACCGCTGGCACTCCGAGACCAGTGCAAGGCCGTCCTGAAGAAGCCCCAAGGGAGAATGATGTGGTGATCGCCTTTGGCAATGCGCCATGACGACAGGGCAAGGGCTATACATCCAGTCTCAGGAGGCAGCGGTTTGCTTGGTACTTTGGGCAGTGCAGGTCGATTGTGGAGACCGGAGAGCGACCCACGTCTTCACTCGGAGATGATCTGCACTATTTCTTATGGCACTGTTGGACGCATGCCATCACATACAACACCAACATATGGTTATGGGCTATTGTCGCATGAATATAGTGTGTCGCTCGATGCCGCAGCCAGTGCCCACCGACGCAGCCACCCACAGCAGCATCGACATCGCTGCATCGAATTCCTGGAGCTCTTCCACTGATCCGGGCTGTATTCAAGTATCAGCTTGCATCAGAGACCCTCAGCGCCGGTCTTGAACGATCAGCCCGATGTCTATGCTCCCGACCAAGGGATGCCCAGAATGCACCCTCAAAGCAAGCAGACCAGGAAGATGCAAGCCACAGGCGCGCTGCAGCTCAGGCACGTCGACAGCATGCTCAGGCTCGTCTTGAGCTCTTGGGCTTCTTCTTGACAAGGCGAGTCTGCGAGGTCTCCTCGTCGTCGGCCTTATTCGAGTCTGTCGCATCGCGGAATCGCTTGCCGCCCCGTTGTTTGAGCTGCTCCTCCTTGAGTTGTACGTGTGCAAAGCGAACGGCCTCGGACACACGCTCTTGGAGCATGAGCACTGCCGACTTGTCGCCCAGGGGATACTCGGGCAACTTTTTCTGGATGGCATGTTCGATGCGCTGGTACCATTCGATATCGTATCTGCGGAAAGCGATCAGTCGGCAGCGTGAGCCAACAGAGCCTCGCAGCAACTGTGCGGCTCAACAAAAGGTCAAGTCGCTGGTCCAAGAACAACTTACTGAGTCACCAGGGTGACAGACTTGCCACTCTTTCCGGCTCTGGCCGTACGACCAACGCGATGGATATAGTCCTTTGAGCTCTGGGGCACATCGTAGTTGATGACGGCGTCGACCCCGGCAATGTCCAGACCTCTGCTCGCGACGTCAGTTGCAATCAGAATATTGCGCTCGCCGCTCTTGAACTTTGCGAGGGCACCCAGGCGCTTTGGCTGGCTCATCTGGCCGTGCAAACACACGGCCTGGAAGCCCAGATTACGGAGCATGAGCGCCAGCTTCTGGGTCGAGACGCATGTGAGCGTGAAAACGATGACAGACTGGCCCGAGAGCTCGTTCAGGAGGTACGTGAGGTACGTTTCCTTGTGCTTGAACGGGAAGAACAGATAGTATTGTAGGAGTGTGGCCACGGTCGAGTATCTGTGTCGGCGGAGCAAACATCAGCACTGCAACTAGCGCCGAGTGGCTGGCAGGTATCTCTGAATGTATGCACCAGTGCAGTTGCGTGGACAGCGACCAGACCCATCTCGAGGTCCATAGTCATCCAGAGCGTGCGGCGGACAAACGAAGGCTGATACGCAGACAGCACAGTGCAGCACGGGCCAGTTGCTTACTTTGTGGCAACCTCGACCTTCACAGGGTCCCGTAGCGAGGCCCGCTGGAGCTTCTCGACCTTGCTTGTCATTGTTGCCGAGAACAAGTAGGTGTTGCGCTCCCGTGGAATCACCTTCAGGACCTTTTCGATTTCGGCACCAAAATCGAGGTCGAGCAGACGATCGGCCTCGTCAAGAACAAGGTACTTGAGTTGCTTGAGATTGAAGCCTTTGGTGTTTTCGAGGTGATCAACAAGTCGGCCGGGAGTACAGATGATGATGTGGGGCTTTTTCGAGAGCGCAATGGACTGGCTCATCATATCCATGCCGCCAACGAGGACGGCGCATCGAACACCAATCGTCGACCCCAGCGCTTCGAACTGCTCCGAAATCTGGATGGCGAGCTCTCTGTTTCCGAATTGCCGCAGCAATCATTAGCAAGAGCTTTCAGGGTGCGAGAGCTCGCAAGTGTGCGCAACTGCATGTGTGGTGGGCTGCAGCCGGCATCTGCCTGCCTGTTTGCCAGTACCTGGTTGGCGCCATCACACAGGCAAAGAAAGGCTGTGGGGCATTCCAGAGGGCCTGTAGAATCGGCAACGCAAACGAGGCGGTCTTGCCGGAGCCGGTCTGGGCAAGGCCGATAATATCACGGCCTGAGGTCGAATGACATGGGTATGGATGTGAATACAATGCGCAGGATACTATACAATATGAAAGGCCGCACACAGAAGCCACTCGATGGTAATGAGCTGCACAGCTGCATTGACGGCGATGCTGCGAAAGATAACTTCAGAGCCAGGTCGCATTTCATATTGGCCGAGAAAGCAGACTCGACGGATCGGGCTTCTGTACCTTCCAGCGCAGGCGGGACGGATGCTTTTTGAATGTCGGTCGGAACCTTGAAGCCCAGGTTGGAACAAGCTTCGCATATTTGAGGAATCAGACCCTATCGTTTGTCGAGCGTGATACGGATGAGCAAGCGATGCCTGACACCTCGGCGTCGGACCACCCAACGAGCAGCAGAGATGCAGCATGGACACCCACCAAACCCTGAAATGTTGCCAGCTCATGCTCGTCGTCAGCACGCTCGGGAGCATCGGCATCGGCATGGGCATCGACATCGACATCGACATCGACATCGACATCGACATCGACCACGTCGCCGATGCTGTTGCTGTTGCTGTCGCTGTCCTCGTCGACATCGGCCGGCCGCTCGGGGGCTGCGGCTGCCTTGGCAACGGGAGCAGCTTTGAGGGGCGGGGGCGGGAGCTTCGCGACCTTGGATTTGGATTTAGGGGCCATGCTGATATGTCTCGATTCAGTGCAAAGGTCTCGTCGGCCGCCTTACGCTGAGCGGGGTCAATGGGCGGCGGCTGGCAGCAGCGGACTGGGACGATCGCGGGCGAGAGGATGTATTTCGGACCAGCAACAAAAAAAAAAAGTGACGTGCTGCGCAACACGGCGCTCACAGCTCGTTGCCGATCGTGACCCAATAGTCCCGCAGGTTGTTCTTGCGGCCAAAGATCTCGAGATACTTGCCTGCGTCGGCAAGCAAGCACGGTTGCATGGTGGCCCAGGCGGAGCGGCAGTGTATGCGAGGCGACAGCAGTGTGAGCACGGCAAACAGGAGGTCGTCCCAGATCCCACATGCAGCGCTTCGAATCGTGCATACCGTTCGGCACCAGCGCTTCAACCATTTCGTAGAGCTCCTCGGGCTTCTGGCTCTGTCCGCGTCGCTCGGAAAATATCACGTCCGACATGACGTTGTGCTGGCACCCGGCCGGATCTCTCCCTTTGCGGCCCACAAGGCATGTTTCCTTGGCGTGCTGCAGGTAGTATCCGTGACCTTTGGCCATTCGGCGGTTGACGGTTTGCTTGACCCAAGTGATGTCGTCGACATAGCTTTCCGGGCAATTCAGAAGCCGCAATGCTCTGTCAGAGGGCGATTGTTGCTTCTCATGGCTCGTCACCATTGCCCATTGCCCATTGCCCATTGCCCATTGCCCATCGCCCATTGCCCATTGCCCATTGCCCATTGCCCATTGCCATGGCGAGGACCAGGATCGACCCACCTGTATCCCCATTTCTCCATCAGGTCAAATGCCTTGACGTACTTGTTGTTGATGACCCAGATGAATATGAATCCGTTCGTCTGCAGCTTCTCGATCGGCAGCTCTTCAATACAAACATCCGGAAGCTGGTGGTATGTGATGGCCACGCCTCGGGTTGGTGTGTTGGATGCCAGCTGCCACGGCGGATCCATGATGATGACATCGAATTGGCACTCGCTTGCCAGTCGCTGTGCGGCCACGCCAGTCAAAGGCAAAAGCAGCCATAAGCATCATGTTAGTCTCAGGAGCACACCGGCAGGATTTCGGCGGCGCTGGACGGGCGGTCGACAGCTCATCGTCCGATGTACGCACATCCCATTCAAAGTCCATCACATTCGCCTTGATGGGTATACACCACTTAGGAGCTTCGTATTCCTCCAGGTTGATCTCGGCATCTGGATGCAAAAGTTGGGAGGGCGATGAGGCTGGGAAAGAGTACCAGCATTGACGCCCAACAAACAGAGCCGAGTCGGCACTGTCAATCCCGAGCGGCGAGATCAGTCACCTTCCAGGCAAGCTGCGGACGACTCCAGGGCCTTGCTCTGCTCCTGCTCTTCGAGCTCGCGGATCTCCTGTTTGAGGGTCTCGATCTTGAGCAGGAGGGCCACTTCCTTTGGCAGCAGTGTCTGGAGCTCTTCCTCGTCAGACTCATATGTGAAGGAATCGACATTGATTTCAATGTCTTCGTCTTCCTCCGAAAGAGACATGGATCGATCGGTGCGGCGCTCGGGCGGGTGGGGAGGATCTGCTGGAGAGAACAGCCGCGGTGCGAGTCGGCGGGATCGATGGTCTGCGCTTGATCTGCGTTTGATTTGCTTTTGATCTGCGGGCGCACACACTCTCTTCAATACAGCGTTTCCAAAATGAAATGGGACACCCCGTTTTGAGCCATGACAGTGATTTTTTCTGTGACCTGAATACATCCACCCACTCATCGCAATCACGGCCAAGCACAGCACCCTCGATTTCCGCATCGCTGTACTGCGACCGGTGGTCTTCACTCGGAGGCTGCCAAAGTGATCTGTTCTATTTCTTATGGCATAGTTGGACGCATGCCATCGCATACTACGCCGACAAATGGGTCCCATTTCCCCCTGAATACAGTGTAAGTGTGATCGCCATTTTAGCCGAACAAGCTATATAGCCATGTCTTGGCCCCAGTGTGTCCACGAGCAACATCCACAGGCCGATTCTCATATATTGGGCAGTATTGCAATCCGGCATTGCAGCATCGACGCAGTCCAAATGACATCAGTACGCAGCGATCATTGTCTATGCAAGTCGGCCCCACGGACCCACGGACTCAGGGCCATGCTGCCCAAAACTAGCTTGTTGTCGGTCACTGGCGACAGTAACGGCAATGATGATGAATCAATAGCCCCCACTGCCTCTTGGAAGAGCTGTGTGTTCGTAGCGCTCTTCATGTCTAACGGGTCTGGCGAACTCTTAGTACGAGCCACCGTGGCCGTACTGATCGTAGCCAGAGTATGACTGATAGCCCTAACGTGAAGCCACAGGAAGCGTTAGAGCAACCATGGGGAGCAGAATCAAAGCCGCGGTGGAGCGCCGTGTTTTGAAGTCGATTCGACAAAGCCTTACCTGACCCTGTCCCTGCGACTGGCCGCCGTAGCCACCACCGTAACCCTGCTGTCCATGCTGGCCCTGCTGGCCGCCCCAGGAGCCGTAGTACCCCGATGCAGGAGCAGACGAGGCCGAGGCCGAATGCTCGTGCTCATCTGTGCGGTGCTGCTTGTACGAGTGCGAATGGCCAGAGTCCTCGATGGGTCGCTTGCGAGATCCAGGAGATGTCGAGGAGGACGTCGGCTTGATCAAGGTCGAGAGCTCGCGCTCCAGCTCATTCAGGGCACTAATGGTGGTGTCTCGTTCAAGCAAGAACTCGCGGTATCGTTGGCCCAACTGCCCCTTCTCCTCGCTCGACAGGGTAGATCGGGTCTGAATCGCCTCCCAGAGAACCTTGGAGTAGCTCAGGGCCGAGTCGCTCGTTTGGTGGATCTCAAAGAGCAGCCAGTTGGTCCAGAGGAACTTGCTGTTCAGGAATTTGGACGAAGCCTCCTCGTAGATCTGGCGGGCGGCATCATTGTCCAGCTTGTGCTGAGGATGATGCAGCCGGAGCAGAGAGTGGCAAACGGAGCAGAGAGTAGCAAAACGGAGCAGAGTGGAGACAGATCAGCAACAGACATCTACGCTACGGATGGCTAGGATCAAGGGCGAGTGCATCGATCAGAATTCTGGCGTACCTGAGCAGCGAGCTTGGCCTTGTACACGGTAAAGTACGCCTGGAGCTTGGCGTCCTCTGTATTGCTGATGGCCGAGCTCAGGACTTCTTCGGCGTCCTCAATCTTGCCACTGCGGCGCTCGAACTGGGCAAATTTGATGGTGGCCTCGACATGGCCAGGGACTGTGTCCCGGTCGTTGGTTAGGGGCATGGATCTTGTTCGAGTTGGCGGTTCGCGTGCCTCGCGAGCCCCATGCTGCACCTCTGAACGCAGTTGCTCGACACGAACTGCCTGACTCACCTGCAGTTATCAGACGCTTGTAGGCGGCACGGGCCTCCTGGATCTGCCCCTGCTCTTCCTCGAATGCCGCATAGGCAAGATGCACGAGAGGACGTCTGATTTGAATGTGCTGTGGCGTCAGTATCGCTAACATCGCTAGGCAAAATGGCTCGAGCCGCGGCTGTCATGCTGGACTTACTGAGGGGACAGGAAAATGGTTGTGGCGCGGACAAATGCGCCGCGTGCGCCGTCAATATCGCCCTGCGAAGCGAGATACCGGGTATAGCGCTGCCAGAACTCTTCGTACATGGCCTGTTGGTCAAGAGGGTTATGGACGTTAGAACATCACTCGACATCTCCGAAACATGAGAGACGCCTCCAGTGCAGTAGCGGCTGGTGCTTACGCAAGGAACAAGGCACCGCTCATAGAGAGCGCGGATCCGCGCGGCGTCGCCCTCCTGCTCCTCAAAGTCGAGGTACGACCGCCAGTTGGAGAGTGCGGCTTCGTCGAGGGACTTGACGTGGAAGTAGGTGCGCTTGATGAACTCAAACGACCATCGCTTTCGGATCTGGTCCTGGTTCTTGTTGAAGATGGCCAGACGAGACGCCTGGATGCGCTGCCGTACTTCAGCCTCCACAGCCTCGTCCGTCTGCGGGGCTTCGTTGTCCTGGGTGGCGGTGCGGACTTCGCCTTCGATTTGGGCATATTCCTCGCTCGAGACGAGCTCCTTAACGGGCAGAGCTGCGGCGACTTGCGTGTATCTGAGGTATTCCAATGAGACGAGGGCCGTTAGCAGAAATCGCCCCGATCAGCCAAGGAGGCGAACACATATGCAGACTCAGACCCGAGCACTATCGCCCAACCTACTTGTCAAAGAACTGCTGGTAGTCGCGCAGAGGCGTGGCGATGGTCTTTTCCAGGATGGTGAGGACGTTTCCGGGTTTCTGCTTGGACTCCTCGAACTGGATATAGGCCAGCCAAAACGGATGGCTCAGGAAATCCAGACCGACGGCAGCCGCACCTCGGGCATAGATGCTGAAGACAAAGCCCAGTATGTGGCAGAGACAGCGTGGGGGGTGTGATGGGAAGAGGAGATGAATGTCAGTTTCAGGGGCATCGTTCACCAATCAATAGGAGACGCGAAGAAAAGGCGGGCGGTTGCGGCAGCGTGACAATGTCTGGCAAAGACATTTTACCGAAATCAAAGAAACGATTGCATGTGATTCCCACAGAGGCAGCATCCAGGCGCAGGGATTTGCAGCTGCGGCCGCCCTTTTGGATATCACGCCCCCAATAAACAAAACAGCAAACGAGAGACACCACCGCCAAAGAGACATGCACTACTACGACGGTTGCTGGATGCGCAGGGGTGCCCAAGGCAGCAAAGTAAAGCAAAGTCGCCAAGGCTGCCCTGCCTCCGAAGCCAAGAAAAGCAGCCTCAGACTCAAAGGACAAAAGGCACAAGTCCGCCGCAGTCCGCACGCTAAAACATCGCGCCGCCAGCCCAGTTTTTGATGCAAATAGATCATCAGCGTGAGACGTGGCGTTTGACGGTAGCGTGCACGATGCGACTCGACAAGCAGCAGACGATGCGATCCGATGCAGTGCAGCCTCACTCGACAGCTGATTTGCGGGGAAACGATTCAGGCGAAAGCTGGATGGAGGACTCGGCCAGAGCAGCCCACATGAGCTGAGCGTTGGCGCAGATCCAGGGTGTCCACGAAGAGCACAATCCTGGGAATCGATGAAATCCAGGTTTGATTCGATGGCGATGGTGATGTTGCTGGCGATGGTGGTGGCGATGCCGACGTACGGTGTCGATAGCCGCCACATGTGTTCGGAGGAATGCTGCCGACGATTCGGTACCGGTTTACCGCGACTCGGCGGCTCGCACACACAAACACACCACGAAATGATGATACACAAAGCAGGGGACCAACGAGGAAATGGCGAGCACGCAGAAATGCAAGAGATGGAAAGGCACGAATGGCCCCGGAAGGCTCCGGGATGCGTGGGCTACTTTACCCTCGGATCTCCTCCTCGTCGGTGCTGTGGCGGGCCTTGAACTCGCAGTAGTCGATCCAGAGGTCGATCGAGTTGTGGATTCCTTGGACGGCACGTTCATAGACCTGCGAATTGCAGAGGCTTGCGCGATCAGCGATCAGCAGTGATCTCGCGACGGCACTCGGAATCTCTGGGATGGCCACCAGGCCAAGCGACACGATCGAGAGCGCCATGCATCCCCTCCAAAATTGGCATGATGATTGGCCCAAAGCACAGCAGGACACGGTACATACCTCCTCGGCCTTGGACGGCCCATCCATAAGCAGCACCAGCGCGGCATACTTTTTCCAGTAGACAAAGCATAGGGGGAACTTTGCCAGGAAATGGTCGTATGCCTTTCGTACATTGGCCTTGTCGGCTTCGGGCGACTCGGCGCTGATGGGCCCAGCAGAGGGCTGCTCAGCAAGACCAATCAGGTATTCCCACGACGAAAAGTCCTCCGGGTTCTTGGTGACAATCTCCCAGTGCTTATCCCACTCGGACTGTGGGGCGGCTGGGGTGACCGATGGCTGCGGCTCGGCAACGGTGCTGCTCGAGGCTTCAACGGAATCGGCGGTCGGGTCCATGATCAGCGGCGGAGAGAGAGAGAGGGTGGGAGTCGGGCGGGCAAGGGCGATCGGAGACTCGATGGCTTGGAGGCGCTGTGGAGGTCGGGCGTGCTCAGCAGTCGCAGACCAGGCAAGCCAGTTTGATGTGGGCAGAAGGATGGCGGGCCGTGGGTGCGTCCAGCCAGGGACAAGGCAGAAAAAAAGGCACAGCACAGGCAGGGGCGGAACATGCTGATGTAAGCGTGGCGCAGCGCATCTGTCCCCGTTTCCCGCACACTCGACCAGGGTGGTCATGTCCGCCGCGCTGCTGCTGCCACGGGGAGAATGGTCGCTGCGGACGTGTGTGTATTCCATTCAAAAACAGGAGCGACAAACACAGGGCCCCATTTCATTTGATTTCATTTGATTTCATTTGATTTCATTCTGCGGCCGCTGAGGCGGACTGGTCCCGTTCGGCAGCGCCGCTGCGATGCAGCCCGACGGCATACGACGCCGGATTCTGCGATAGTTCGCCCTTGATTTACTTCACAGCCTTCTTCAGGATCTTCTCCACTTCCATGTAGTCGTCGGTCGGGACTCGGGTGATCTCCCGACCAAAGTGGTTCGAGATCTTCATCATCTGATCGTAGCTCTTTTGGTCGTGACAAAAGTTGATGCTCACGCCCGTGCGGCCAAAGCGGCCTGTTCTGCCGATGCGGTGGAGGTAGGTTTCAAAGTCGGGCTGGGGACTTGTGCCCAGCAGGGGAATATCGTAGTTGATGACGAGATTGACCTGCAGAATGTCGATGCCGCGGGCAATCACGTTGGTTGTGATCAGGACCTTGCACTTGCCCGAGCGGAAGTCGTCCATAATACGGTCACGCTCCTGGGGCATGTGCTGTCCGTGGAGACAGGTGACGGTGTGTCCCTGGGAAACCATCATCCGCTCGAGGCGCTCGGCAACATCGCGGCGCTGTAGAAATAACACAAGCTCGTTAGCTCGACAGCCATACACACGAGCTCGACAGTCATGCACACGAACTCGACAGCATACACACGAACTCGACAGTCACGCATGTGTACTCGACAGCCATCGCTCTTGACAGCAAATCAAGCCAGTGCCAGCCGCACTGCCGGGCCAGCCTGCGCACCCAGCAACTATGCTAACGCAGAGCACGGATACTCACGTTGACAAAGATGATGCTCTGTCCGATGGTAAGCAGACCGTAAATGGCGCACAACACCTCGGCCTTGTGGTTTTCGTTTTTGCAGTCCATGTAGAACTGCTTGATGCCGTCGACCGAGAGCTCCTCGCGTTTCAGCGAGATTGAGTTGGCGTTGGGGGCGAACCGGTTGGCAAAGGACCGGATTTGATCGTTGAAGGTAGCGGAGAAGAGCACAATTTGACACGAGGGCGAGGCACGGACGACAAAGCTGGATCAAATCCAAGCAGTTAGTGCCAACATTAGCAGCGTGTCCCAGTCGTGATCGCGAATCACCAATCCAAAAACCCGCATCGAACCAATCGATATGTCAGATCCGAATCAGTGGGAGGTAGCTCGGCGGCATGACCAGCAAAGGTCAGCCGGTCAAAGTCGAGCTGACCGAGCTGAGAATGTGATTCTCGAGGTGCAGCTCACTTGCTCGAGGTGCAGCTCACTTGCCCGGCCCGATCGGTCCGATCGCCGCATATCTGCGGCTGCATCACTCATGCCAGCCGCTGCGACCACCGAATCGAGGCCAGGGAGCAGATGACGAAAAGATAGCTACGCACTTTTTGGCCTTCAGACTTTGCTCCTGGAGTCCCTGTCCGTCAAGCATGTTGTCTGCCTCGTCGAGAACAAAGATCTTGACGTTCTTGAGGTCGACCATGCGCTTCTGGATGAGGTCGAGGAGAGTGCCGGGCGTACCGACGACGATCTGGGCGTCGACCTTCTGGCCCTTGGGGATCGAGTCCTTGACGGCGTACGCAGTGGTGACGCCCGTGAACTTGCCCATTTGCGTCAGGTTGTCCATGATCTGGCCGGCCAGCTCGCGGGCAGGCGCAAGACAGATGGCTTGCGGGCTTTTGAGGTCAAAGTTGACCCGCGAGAGCATCGAGAGGACAAACGCCGCGGTTTTGCCGGTTCCTGACTGCGACTGCCCAATCATGTTCTTGGGGGGATTCGAGAGCAGGAGCGGAAGAGCCTTCTCCTGGATCCTCGATGGCTTCTGGAAGCCCATTCCGTAGATGCCCTTGAGGAGGTTGGGGTTGAGTCCAAGATCCTCAAACGACGACACGGCGGTGTAGAGAACGCTCTGGTCTCCGTCCGCCAGGCTGACCTCGACCTGATGCTCGCCACTGTCCTCGACCAGGCCACTGTGCTTGGGGCGGCTCGGGACTTCGGGCTCGTCTTCGGCCGAGGCGGTTGTGGAGAGCTCTTCAACCTTGTTTGCAAGCTGCTCGACGGCGGCTGCTCGAGGCAGGAATGTGTGGAGCCGGCGAAACAGACGGGAGATAGGTTCCGACCCCAAGCGGATGGACGTTGATTTGGAGGAGCAATACCGAGTGCCCGAGACACGCAGTCGGGACAGGACGCCGAGGAGCGGCGACAGAGATGAGCGACGGCATGAGTGCGGGTTGACGAGCAGAGGATCGATGAGCGGCGGATTGATGAACAGAGGGCAGACAGAGGCCGATGCTTAACAGGCGGTGCAAGCGAGACGAGCGAGGCATGGGATCGCAAGTGCGTGCGGCTTTGAAGCTGCTGCATGGCTCGGCTGCTGACCGGCTCGATATCGCCGTCGGTGCCTGCCAGCGACCAGAGTTCGCTTCAATCGTGTCTGGGCGCTGTTTGGCAAGGGAGACTCGCCGGAGGCATACCGTTTTGCTTAGCGGGATCAATCGGGGTCAGCTCGGGCGGAGCCGACCAGCTCGAGGCAGCAGTGGGGGCCTTGCCCCATCCGGAGTCTTCCGATGCCATGTGTGCGGTCGCTTGGGTGGTGGTCGGTGCGGGGGAGAGGCAGATCAGTGCAGACAAGCGACGGATGCGGAGGCGAGCGGCCCAGCAAGCAGCCAAATCCAGGCGTGGGAAAGGCCTGGTGCGACAGCGACGGCAATTTTTTCGCACGCGCTAATGAAATTCATTGTTGCGAGGTCGTTCCTGGCTGCATTGCCAGGGCCATGCCGCCGACCATGCAGATGCCGATGGATGCAAAATGAGGTACGGGATAGTCTCGGCGATGCAGGGAACGCTATCGGATGGCGCTAGTGTGGTTGCGCTGTGGGTGCAGCGGCGGCTCGTTGCGGCCGCACATCCATCGCAAGCAAGGCAACACGGCAGCGAGCGAACACTGTCCATGACGGAAGGCAACGGCATCGAGCCGCCAGCGAAGCGACCGCATTCCAGAGATCCGATATGCCCTCCGCAGCACGCTGCCGAGCCGCCGCGCAAAAGTAATGGTGGGTGGTGGCGGCGGCGGCGGCGTCGGGATGCTGGACGGGACCGATTCAGCGAACTTGGTTTGAAACGGGACACCTTCACATGTAGATGGCTTGTGTATTGGTTGATGTTGATCGATCTGGCTGAGCGACTTTGATCGGTACCCAAACCAGCGATATTGCTCTTTGCCCTGTGTCTTTCTCCCTCATCCCAGGTATGTCTTCGTGCCCTGACCTGCAGTGACTACATCTGGAGCGGCTCGCTGGTCCCGTCGTGCCCACTCGCTGCATCCATCTCTCCCACACAGGACACCACAGGCCGGGGCCCCGCCTCGGATCCATGGCGGTGAAGGATTCATCTCAGGCAGCAAGCATCTCGGCACTATCCAATGAGGCCTGAAGTAACAACCTTATCTGTCACTGGGGAGTCGAGCGTGGCCTGCCTTGACTGTTGTGGTGGACTCTGTCGATGAGATATCGACTGCAGATATTGGAGGCATGGACGGACTGACACCATGAGGCAGACCGACTCCATGGGACGGCCACAGGGAAATGGTTAGATCCACTTGTGATATGATCCGACCACGCCGTGTTTGTCCGTGTGGGACGATGTGTCTCATTCTTTCTCCAACACGCTGTACGAATCGTTCTTGCAACGCTCCTGGCAGGAGACTCGCCAAATGTGGGATCCAGCACCGGTCAGCACGGAGTCCAATGTCGCAGGAGGATATTGCCCGGCATTGTCGAAGAGGAAGGAGGAATACAGGTCTGGCCCGCCAACGACCGTGGGAGCCGGTCCCAGCAGCCAGCAAAAGTACCTGGAGAGGTGTGCGTGCGTTGGAGCCGAAGATCGCTTCTCGTTGATATCGCAGAACAACACAGCCAGATACTTCCAACCGCTACCCAGGTGATTCGCAAACAATCGAACCGGCATCCAACGGCAGTCCTGCCGGGCAACAACTGGACTGCTGCCGGCCTCAATAGCACGGCCGCCTGAGGGCGGGGCTTGCATCAAGAGCACTGCAAATGCCGACAACACCGAGACGATAGCACTGCTCGCCCTGATAGCATTCCTCGCTGATAGCATTACTCGCCCTGATAGCACTGCTCGTCCAGAACATTACTCGTCCAGAACATTACTCGTCCAGATCCACCTCGCCCCCGTCGATCCGTCTTGCCCAACCACTTTTGCGCAACAACCCTTTCCCACCGGGCTCGTCGCCACAGCCGCCTCCCCCGTCCAAACAGCAAACAGTCAGGCCCCGTGTGGACTGCGTTTGCACAGAACCGCCTGTTGCGGCCTTCTCTGCAGGATCCGTCGATCCGTCTTCTCTTTTCCAGAGGCCGACCGCCGGATCTGCAGACCCTCCCTCCCTCTCTCGGAGCAAGCCGTCTCTCCTCTTTCCGGCCCTCGCTTCACAGTCTCTTCCCCCCCCCTTCCCGGCCCCGCTGCTGCAAGCCTTGGACCTGTGCCCTGCTTGGCTTGACCCGGTGCTCGCCCCTCCCCCTCGCCCTCCGCATCTCGCCCCTCGGCTCCATCCCGCCCTTGCCTCCCCAGCTTTTGCGCTTTTTTGTCCTTGGTGGTCGTCCGGCTGGCATTCCTGGCTGGAAGTTCTTTCTCTGCGCATCAAACCGCTGGCCTCAATCTCCCCCGATAATGCTCGGACCTCCCTCTTGCGACTGACCCTGCTCTGCTTCAATCCTGTCAAGAGAACTACCTGCGCTCCCGTCGACGCTGACAAAGCCTGCTTCGTTGCTCTCTTGCTCTTTCCGGCCTGCCCACACTCAGAACTGAGTCAAGCAGTCCGCCTGTTTCCCCTCCCTCCAATTCTTCATTCCCAAGCCCAGTCCCCTCCCCCTCATTTGCTTTCGCTCTTTCGACTGCACCTCCCTCTCGGTCTGCAGCCATTCTTCTGGAACCGCTTATCCGCCCCCGGCTTCGGCTTCCGAGTTACGAGTTCCTGATCAGTCCCGCCTCTGTTTCAACCGACATTCTGTATTCCTCGTCCAGCCTCCCAGCTTTCTCCGGCTGACATCAACACCTTCTTGATTTTCATAATTGCGTATTCGTTATGTCTTCGTATAATACCGTTAATCACATTTGCTCTGGTTCTTCCCAAAACCATGTCATGGGTCCGCATCCTGGACAATCCTACTTCCACCCAGGCTCGCATCCGTCGACCAACTCGTCATCAGTGCACATCTTGCTGAATCAAGAACAAGCCTTCTCGTCAATAGCCTTGAGCCCATACTCGAATGGGAGCCTCGACCCAGCCCATCGCCACTCGGATCCGTCGCAGTCCTTCATCGACTCTTCCGACCCTCTCCGGCCATCCGGCAAGCTACCGCAGACTGCATTTCTGCCCGTGCGCATTTCCGTCACCGGCTCTCATCCAGACGACTCGCCCAAGCTCCAATCATTTTCGCGATCACAGCCAAACCCGCTGGATTCGTCGCTGCTCTCGTACGAGAGCGCTTTCCCGCTTTCGTACCCATCAGACTTTCAACCGGCGAACGGTGTTCCGTCCATCGACATCGAAAAAAGCAGCCAGCATCTTTCCCCGCCGTCGTCCCATGAAGCTCTGGTTTCGCTGCTGTATCCGACTTCGGTTCCTGTCTCGGTGGCCGCGCTGGTGGCCAACGTCCCACACACACCATCGTTCTCGGGCCCAGGAGCATCGACACCGCTGTTCAACCACCACGACGCCGCATCGCCGTCACTGTATCATCGAGGCGGTGCTCCATTCTCGCCCATGCTGCCCTCGGGCCATCCTGCACCATCGGCGTCAAGACCACCACCGTCGCAGACGGGCTCGCTCCAGCGCCCCTTCCACCGCGGATCCATGAGCACCATATCGATGGAGGGCGGCCTCCACAACTCGTCCATGATCGGCTCCAGCCGGTATAGTTCGCCGTGCTTCCCCCGAAACTGCAACGCCGAGCTGCTGTCGTCGCCCGCCCCCGTGGCCATGAACTGGGGCCACAGCCCGTACTCCTCGCCGCTGGGGTACACGGGATCGGAGCCGGGCATGCAAGTCTATACCCGCTCTGGGGCTCCATCGTACAACACCACCCCCGTCGACTCGCACCTCTCCTCCAACGTTACATCCCCGCACAGCTTTCTCCACCGTACGCCCTCACGCAGCGAAATCCTGGCAAACCCGTCAAGCGTGCTTCCTCAAGGTGTCAAGCGCGGCCGCAGCCCGGGCATGGTGTTTGATGGCCGGCCGCCGTTTGTGTCGACTCCCGGCCACCCGCTTCTTCCGACATCGTTGGCGAGCGACGCTGCCCCATTTGGCTACATTCCCAGTCTGGAGCCATTCGACGGCTCGGTGCCTGTCAGCGCTCCTGTTCTGCCCCCCGGTGGCTCGTATCAAACGCAAGGCCGCCGACGGTCCATTCGGCTGCTCACCCGAAGCCTGCACATGGGCCCCACATCCGGCCTGGCGGGTCTCCGGGCCGACCATCCCGATCTTGCCTCGGCGAACGATGCCCGCGAGCCTGTCCCGAGCCACGGTTCGCTGTCGTCGTATTATCCACCATCGGTGCCCATGACCCAGCTGCCAAGCTCGATCTCGCACCTGGTGTCGGCCCAGTCGCCGACGACACTCAAGTTTGTCGAGTCTTCGATGTACCCAGAGCCTTTGTTGAACCTACCGCTGCCAACGACACTGCAGTCTCAGCCGTACCCACAGCGACAGTCACAACAGTATCCTGCGACTCTCTCGGAGCTACAGACGCCGTCGTATCCGATGAACCAGCAGCCTCTCGTGTCTGATCCCCTGTTGGCCCAGGGCTTTGTGGACTACGCTGGCTCGGGCCGCATGCACACAAAGGCCTCGCAGTTCGTGTCGCTGGCTTCCCCAGGCTCCCAGCGACTGACAGGTGACGGGCATGCGTCGCAGCTCTACCTCTACCCCAAGGGTTCCGGCTCTGTCAATGCTGGCTCCTCGAACCTTACTTTGATGCCCTCTGCGCCGGTGGGTTCGACGACATCAAATCCATCGTCGATGAATGCTTCTTCGCTCGGGGTGCCCTATGCATTCCCAGCGCCGCCATCGCGAGTGTACGCCAAGACGGACCCCCACATTGTCCCGCTTCCCAAAGCCCTGGAGCTGCACCACGCCCCTGCGATGGGCCTGCCGCCGACCACGTCCTATGTTGTCAATCCATTCCCCTATTCGGGCAACAGTGTCGCCTCGCAAAAGTCACTCCTCCTCGCCAGCCGCCCATCCGACCACGGGATCTCCACCTCTGACTCGGGCTCCAAGCCCAAGCGACGGAAAAACAGTGGCCCTACCTTCTACCCACCCAACCACGTGCGTCCGGCCTCCCCACAGGTATGAGGTGTCGGCTGACGTTAGAGCGCTGAACCGGAGCGCCAGTACATGCAGCAGCGCCAGTACATGCAACAGCAACAGCACATGCAACAGCGACAGCGACGATCAGCGAGCAACAGTCATACGCACGTAGAGTTGTGGGCTTTTGGACTGGTACCTGCTGGTTCGAGCGCCAGCAGAGCGATATCCACCGCTAACCGCCAACGCCATCCTATGGGCTGCCCTGCCACTCGCCAGGCGCTCAAAACACCGGTACAGCAGTCGTGTGACGACAAAGATGGCCACTACATTGTCAAGCCAAACGACATTTTGGCATCGCAGTGTACGTACGACTGCAGGCGGCGTGCGTGTGTGTCTGTGCACGCAGACTTGGTATCGGGTGCCTAATAATTGCACCGTGGTTTTGCTGCCACAGACCGCATTATCCGTCTCCTGGGCCAGGGCACCTTCGGAAAAGTTGTCGAGGCGACCGATGGCGAAGGCAAGAAGTACGCAATCAAGATCATTCGTTCGACGCCCAAGTACAGGGAAGCCTCTCGCGTGGAGGTCCGCGTGCTCGAGCACATCAAACGCGAGGACCCCACAAACTCGATGTAAGCGGCAGGACCGTTTGGCCAGCCCTGTGACTGCGGATGAGCCATCTGCTGCAGCTTGAAGTCTAACGACGCCACCTTTCGGGATAACCGCCCAACTGACAGGCAATGCATCCAGCTGCGGAAGTTCTTTGAGTACAAGCACCACAGCTGCATGGTGTTTGACCTGCTGAGCCAGAGTGTCTTTGACTTTCTCAAGGACAACCACTTCAATCCTTTCCCGCCAGAGCACATATTCCGATTTACGAAACAAATCGTGACCGCGGTTGCGTTTCTGCATCGGAACGAGCTGGTTCACACGGATCTCAAGCCAGGTTGGGCACACTGCGCTGACAGATGCGGTGGGGAGGCATTAGGGAATTGGAGCACAGTTGTTGGTCCGTCGATCATGCTGTTGATGGAGCGGCAAAGAATGTCGACACTAACTGCTGCACTGGCTTGCTTGTGACGTTTCCTGCGGCTCTTGCTCGACAAACCCTCAAGAAAACATCATGCTGAACGACAATTCTTACACGCTCTCGACGACCGATATCGGGGTGGGTCTCGTTGGCTCTAATGGCCCATCGTTAGGATCGGGAACATTGTCAGCCAGGTGCAGCCTGGCGAAACCCAAATCGCACCGCTCGTCGCTGATGCCCTTACTCTCGTCCACAGCGTGACAAGAAACCCAAAAAGCTCCTCAAAAACGCCACAATCCAGCTGATCGATTTTGGCAGCGCAGTCTTTGAGCGCGAGTATCACTCGACTGTCGTCAGCACGCGCCACTACCGAGCGCCCGAGGTGATTCTGAATCTCGGATGGTCATATCCGTGCGATATGGTAAGCAGAGTCAAGACTGAACGGGCACGAGACGAGCCCGACCGCTTGTATATCTGAGGCTTGTTGCTTTGGATGTCTGAGGTTGAAAGTCCCGGTTGCAAGATGCTGTTTATCCTACGGTGGTGCGTCCAGAACGGTTGCCAGACTGGTCAGTTTGGGTTGAATATCGCAGTGACCGCGCTAACAACGCTTGCTCGATGACATCAGTGGTCCGTCGGGTGCATCCTGGTCGAGTTCTGGACAGGCGACGCGCTTTTCCAGACCCACGACAAGTAAGTCTGGGGGGGGGGTAGATGTGGTGCAGGCGGTCTGTTCATGTCAAACTACTCTCGGCGGACTGTATACTCACGATGTGTGATGCGGTCGTTCAATCCCAGTCTGGAGCATCTGGCCATGATGGAACAGGTGCTTGGTCGATTCCCGCTGTCGATGATAGAAAAGTCTTCGGTCTTCCAAAAGTATTTCAACGCCGATGGATCTGTTTCCCATCCAAAGGAAGACACTACCAAGACCAGCATCAACAACGTGCGGCGAATGAAGCGAATAAGCGTAAGCGGCGGGCCGGCAACCAAATCCCACATGTTGGCACAACCCTGCACCAGGCTATATCGCCGGATCCCTCTGAGGCGGTCGCCGAACTGATGCCGATTGCACCCCGCTCTCCCCATACTCTGCAGGATATCATCAAGGTCAAGCGCAACGACGACTTTGCGTTCCGCTTCCTGGATCTCGTGTCGCGCATGCTCACACCCGATCCAAAGGAGCGCATTACGGCCCAGGATGCCCTGCATCACTCATTCTTTTCCCTGTATCCAGGATGTTGACTGGCGAGATCCTCCCCCCCCCTCATTCCTCCCACCCCTCCCTGCGACCAACACCAACTGCGCGTGCGCATCTGCCGATGCAAAAGCAAGCGATAGAACGCCGAAAATAGACTGCGCCCTCTCTCCCCTCCCGCTCCCCTGTCTGATCTCCCTTCCTCCGCCTCTCCATGTCTCGCCTGTCTCTCTTCTGTCGTGCCTTGTGCCTGCCTGGCACTGTCCGAGCCAGGGGCACACAGCCGCCCGGTGCCGCCAGCAACCACCACAATAACACCGATCCCTGACCCACGATCTGTGCGATGTGCCCTGCTTGCTCTGCTGCGTGTGATGTCGCCATCGGCAGATCTGCCTGTTTCATGGGCGCCCATGGTCGATCTTGGCGGCTGACAAACACCTCGATGCAGGACCAGCAGTCGATGCTCGCTCGACCAACCAGCAAACCCTGGCAATGCCTCGCCCTCCCTGCATGTGGAGTTGCTGATTCTCCCGAATATCCTTTGTCGGCCTTGGCGAGACCCTGCCCCAAATACCGCTTGTGATGTGGTTTGTTGGGGCCCAAGAAGGAAGGTGGGCTTGGCAGCACGGGAACAGTCGCGCCGGTTGAACTGGAGGCCCCCGTTGGCCGACCAGGATGAATGCGAATACTGGCCGATTGCCACCGTGGCAGCAAGCCAAGTGTTTTTGCCGTGGCCAGGATTGTCCCCAAAACCATCTTGGTTGTTGCGATCGGGCTTGCTCTTCCCCCCACCACCACCACCACCACCGCCGCCTATATAGATGCTGCAATGGTACCCCGTCCCGCCGCCGCTCTGCTCTCTGCTCTCTGGGCTATCGCAAACACACTCCAAGCCGACTGCATTCGACTCTGCGCGCATCCTGCCAAAGCTCCAGCACATCCCTCGTCCTCTGCCATTGCGTCGTTCTCCCGTGAAACCACAGCAGCTCTCTCAGCACCACCATGAGCACAAGTACCGCCACACAGCCCCAGACCGGCGCCGTCGAGATTCCTCTCACCCGGGGCATCACCGTCCGGGCCAAGACCTGGGGCAACCCCGACAACGAGCGCATTCTCGCTGTTCACGGATGGGTAAGGCGTCTGTGCTTCAACGGCGGCATCGAGCTTTTTTTTTGGAATTGCGCAACGGAGCTCGGAATGTCACTTTGCAACGCTAATGGTGTGATGTATCGTGGCGGCCTCCTCTGCCGTTCCCCCCTCTTCCCCACTTCTCTTCTCCTCCTTTGGCCTCCCAGCTCGATAATGCCAACTCGTTCGATCTGATTGCCCCGCCGCTGGCCGAGAACCACTATGTCGTGTGCATTGACCTGCCCGGCCACGGCGAGAGCGATTACTACCCGCCTTACTCCAACTACTACCTCTGGGAAGCAGTGTCGGACCTGTCGCAGGTGGCCGAGGGCCTCGGCTGGGTCCAGCGTCAGGATAACGGCCAGCTGGCGGGCAAGTTCACGCTGCTGGGCCACTCGCTCGGCGGCCACATCAGCTTGATGTATGCCGGCACCTTCCCGGAGCACCTCAAGCGGCTGCTGGTGATCGAGAGCCTGGGCCCAACCAACTTTTTGAAAGGTGAGGTTTGATTATGGTTCCCTCCCCTCCCCCGAGTCCGATGGGTTGCTTGCTCGCAGAGCTATGCATGAAAGCCACCTGGATTCCGTCGTGCCCAGACCCTAACTAGATCGTCCTTCCTGTCACCATCCCTCGGTTTCCATTCGACCCCCCCCCTCAGATGAGGCCGAGGACCTCGAGAATTTCATCCGGACCCGACAGGCGGCCGAGGCCTCCCTGGCCAAAAAGGCTCTGTACAAGTCGATCGAGGAGGCTTGCCAGGCCCGAACCCGCGGCCTGACCAAGATCAGCCTCGATGCTGCCAAGGTCCTCTGCGAGCGAGGTCTGCGCGAGGTTCCGCTCGAGGACAAGGACAAACGACAGCAGGACGGCGGATCCGAGACCGCCGTCGACGGGCCAGAGACTTCCCAGGTTGCCTATACCTGGACGAGCGACAAGCGGCTCCTGCTCCGTCAGTTCTTCAGGTGGAGCGAAATCACTGTGCTGTCGTTCCTGAAGCGCATCTCGTGCCCGGTGCTGCTGATCATGGGCGAGGACTCGATCCTCTGGAAGGCGAACCAGGAGTCGTCCGAGTGGACCGACCGCCTCCGGGCCATCGAGCAGCTCACCAAGGTTGATCTCCCCGGCGGCCACCATCTCCACCTCGAGGCCGATACCAGTGCGGCCGTCGTCGAGAGTCTCCTGCGGTACCTCCAGTCGGCTTGAGTGCAGCACAGCATCGCGGCTGGATTGGATTCCTCAATGGTCCTGAATGGCCATATCCCTCGCACACTCCTTCTGCCGTCGGTACTTGGCGCTCTGTTCTTTTTGGCAATACAATGTCCCCCATTCGTCCACTACTTTTGCCTGTGTGCTTGGGTCCATCATCGTCTGCGGTCGTCCGCTCGCACGTGCACTCGGGGATCCGGCGTCCTCAGCAGGGTTTTTGGTATTATTGGGATGAAATATTGCGATGAAAAAACTATCTACAACCTCTTCACGCAAACGGATCATCAGAGAAAGAAAGGCGAGGAACGGGACAGGGAGGAGGGAGCCTTCCCTTGCAGAGCTGACCGTCTCAGCGTCATGCTCGATCCAAAACGACGGCACCCAAGCGATAGACAAGCACAGAGAGCAGTCCCCACCGCTACCAGCGGTTGGTGGGAAGGTCGCCTGCCTGTTCAGTCTACGATCTAGATGCACATCGCATTGCCTCGGAAACAAGACGGCCGAATCGGCCAGCTGAGCCGTTCCTCGAACGAAAATGAAGTCGGATGGTTTGGTCTATAGATCGCTGAGGCACATGCGCCGAGATTTAGACAAGCAGCTTCTCGATCTCGTTCTTGATGGCAATGATCTGGGACTTGAGCTCCGAACCCTCGTTGGTGGTGACGGAGGCGGAAATGACGGGGCGAGAGACACCGCAGGCACGGCCGAGGGCCTGCTTGGAGGGAACAAAGACGTATGGGACGTTCTGGAGAGCAGGGCAGAGACGGGGGCAGCATATTGTTAGCGCAACACAGAAATGGAGCCCCACAGGGACCCAGAGCGAGATCGCACGACGCCATGCCCGACAGCCCGACTCGCTTCGCCAGAGCTTTCCACCCAGACATGTGGGTCCTACCTTGTCTTCGCAGAGGAGGGGCAGGTGGAGCAAGATCTCGAGGGGCTCGGTGTCGGCGGCCATGATGATGAACTCAGAAATACCGCGGTTGAGGGTCTTGGTTGCTGGCAGGACCGAATCGGGATTTGCAACGCGGGCCACAACAGGATCGTCGGAGAGAGAACAGCAGCAGGCGTTAGAGCTACGGCTCCCACCTCTGCGGACACAGATCGAGGGCAGAATGGCACGAGAAAGCGAGGGATCGCACGGCAGCCGAGATGGCAGTCGGATTTAAGCGCAAGGTAGACGGCCCAACACTCGCAAACACTTCTCACCCTCGTTGGCACCCTTCTTGAGCTGCTTGTAGTGGGACGCCTGCTGGACCAGATCAAGGATCTTGGTGGTCAGCTGGGAATCAGAGAGAGGGAAGGCCATGGGGTTGACGGTGCCGGACTAGACAATCGTTCCCGGATCGCAAGATTGGAGGGTGGTTAGAATGCAGTCAGTGCCCAGGTCCACGACAAGTCCATTGCGACAAGTCTGTTGTGGCGGTTTTGCTGTCGAGGAGCTTCGGGAGATTGAATGAATGGCATAGTCGTCACCCTACCATGTTGCTGGGAGGTTGGGGGATGCGTGGGGATGCGCGATGCTGGGTGCTGGTCGGGGGGAGGTGCAGATCAGGACGGCCGTCGGGTGCAGATCAGGTCGAAGGTCGGATGCGGAAGCGGATGTGCTTTTCGCCAAACACCAAAGAAAAAAATGCGCAGCCGCTTAATGGACACACGTGATTTAATTGTAGATGACACATAATTCCGTGTAGTGCGAGCTGCCGTTTCTGGCGATTGTCGGTGTGGCAGTGGCGGTGCAGTGCAGCGCAGTGGCGGTGGCCGCTGTGGCTGGCTGCGGAGCACAAACGTGACCAGAACAAGATACAGCGAGCAGGACAGGGACACCGAAACATCATCGAGAACGACGGGGCAGACCAAGAGGAGTTCATAGGACGAGACAAAACTAGAGAGGGGTTGGCGCAAGGTGTGTAGATGCAAAGGTGCGCGAGAATGAGAAGAGCGGGTGCATTACCAACATGAGACTGGCCGCATTCAAGACAAGCCGGAGGTGGGAGGGAGCAGCAACTGACAGGCAGAGAGGCAGGCAGGCAGGCAGACAGGCAGGCAGGCAGACAGGCGGCCAAAAAAAAATAGATTTGGGTGGTAGTGGTGGCGGCGGGGATGACGATGCGGTGACGATGACGAGGCGGAAGCGGCTGCAAGCCAGGCCAAGCTGCGCGAGCGATTACGTTGGATATGGGCAAGATGGACGAGACCCGAATGGTGGGTTTTAAGGAGCCAGAGGCTGCGTCCGCGCACTGGGGAGGGACGAAACGGCCAAGCCTGCTTGACTCGTTTCCGACGGCCGGCCGTCAGAGACATGCTCTGAGGGCGTCGGCGAGGCGCTCTGGCTGGTCCTGTCTCTGCGAGGGACCGACTTGGACGAGCCGTTGTCGGTGGGCGAGCGGCCGGGCTCTCGTCGGTGCACACCAGCGTCCGCAAGGCCGCCTCCGCTCATGTACCGCGCGAGCTCCTCGTTTGTTGGGATGGACCCGTCCTGGCGCTTCTTGACGAGCTTGGAGAAGTGCAGCCCACAAGCCTGCCCATCAAGGAGACAGAAAGTAAGACCCGTCAGCATGGTCGGCATGGGAATGGGGCACCGATCAAGCGTGGCCCCACCCGCGCCACCAAGGCAAGCCGGACCTGCGCCAAGGGAGGAGCGCAAAGAGCCACTGGCAGACGAAATGAGGGAGCAAGATCGGGGTACTCACGTTGCAGAGCGTCCGGGCGCCATCGGGGCCACGCCGCCACTCGGGCGTCTCGCTGATGTTACATGAATGGCACCGGCCGGGCTCGGATGCCGTCCTCTGGAGATAGGATGGACCATACAAGACCGTGGGAACGCTGATTAGTGTGCATCTTGTGGCCAAGGACGACGCAGTGGGTCGGGGTGGGGCCTCGTGCGCGGGGTCGCTCGTCGTCCGCCGCGGGATCAACGGATCTCCCAGGCACGCGGGGTCGCCAATCTCTGTCCTCGATGCTGGGGTGTCGGCGCTCAGTCGCTCGCTCGGCGGCTTGGGCAGAGACGAGTCCGCCGAATGGTCCTCGCAGTGGGTGACGGGTCGTACTGTGGAGCCACCAGAGATCCCGAGGGAGGAGTCACGGCAGCGCCTGGCGACCAGGAGCCAGAGACAAGGCGGCTGACAAGTGAGGTTGCTCGTTGCCACTTACGCTTCGCTTCTTGTATGTGCTTCGAGATCGCAGCTGAAAGTCTTTGGTCTGCTTCTCCTTGAGCATCTCCGAAACCGAGAGGGACTGAGCGCACGAACGACCCAGACGAGACGCAGGACCAGGATAAGCGAGCCGATCAAATGCCCAGCAGATCGGTCAGATCCAAATCCGGATCCAGATCCGGATCCAAATCCAGCTCTAGAGTAGTCCCAGCCAGTGGTGAGAGGGACAGGCCCCGCTATGAACCCATGCAGTTGGACAGACCAGCATGCCAACTGCAGCGACAGGCCCGAGGCGTGGCTTACCTGAGTGCTCGTGCCCGGCGCTCCCGTCGAGTCGAGGGTCTCGACCAGGTTCTGGAGAAGCACGTTAATCTTTTCGGACTTGTTCCATAGGTGGACATGCTGCTCCTGTTTGGCAGACTTGAGTTGGCGCTGGCACTCCATGGCAAAGTCTTTCAGCACCTCGCATGTGCTGGCAATCTATTGGGGGAGAGAGTAGTGTGGAAGGGCCAACGAGCTTCGATTGAGCCAGGTGGATACGCGGTGCAAAACAAGCTCCGGAACCAACTTTGGATCCGGGAGCCAGGGACCAGCGGGAGCTGCTGACACTATCGGCGACCACGACACACGAACGAACGGACGGAATCAAACATCGGCACCACCTACATTCGTCAACAGGGTTTCAAGAGCACCGAGGTGCGAGACATGCTCGTGGGCGATGACCTTTTTCTCGGTGGCACGGAGCGACGGTGAGGAGCTAGCAGGCGATGCGCTGTGGCCGGGCCAGGACGGCGTAGAAGCACGAGGATGAAAGTGGGATGGGACACTATCGGGGACAGGTCGGAGCTGCGGCTTCTGCTGCTGATGCTGATGTTGTTGCAGTTGCTGATGCTGATGCGGTTGCTGATGTAGTTGGTGTTGATGTGACTGCTGTAGTTGATGTGGCTGCTGTGGCTGCTGTGGTTGCTGTGGTTGCTGTGGTTGCTGTGGTTGCTGTGGTTGCTGTGGTTGCTGTGGCTGCTGAGGCTGTTGGAAGGACCAAGGCCCCTCAGGGCGAGAATAGACACCGTGCTCGGGGGCCAGTGGTTGGGGATGGCCAAAGTATCGGCGCTTGGAGCGATCGTGTTCTTCTGCCGACTCACGACGATGATCGTCGTATGGCGGTGCGAAAGAGTCGTACGCCGACCGCTTGAGAGGGGAGAGGCTGTGACGGGAGCCACGCCGATTTGGCGGGAAGGATGGATGGGAAGTCGGAGAGGAGGCAAAGGGCGATTCGGCCACGAGCGGAGCCGGAAAGCCTCGAGACGGCGTAGCCGGGTCGGGAGAGGGTGGCCGGAGGACCATGGAAGCTTCCGGTCGCTGGAAGGACACAGGCTCGTTGCGGAGATCGAGGACGGCAGCGCCCGAGGGCCCAGCAGGGACGTGCGGGTACTGCGGCGAGGTGCGGGTATGCAATGGCGAGTTGCCGGGTTCCTGAATCCGCTTCTGGGCAAAGGGCTCAGAGGGAGGCGGGTAGGGAAAGGATGGGGCGCTCGCGTCCTGGTTCCTTGGCCACGGTAGACTGCTGCCAAGCAGGGCCTTGAGCGGCGGAAGAGGAGTATGGTGTCTCGACGAAGCTTGTTGGGACGGTGTCGGGTTGGGACCGCCGGGCATGAGCGAGCCTGGGTGCGACATTGCGGATGCGGGGCAGAGAGAGGGGGGAGGCCAAAGCCCAATTTCAGGAGAAGCGGGGCTGCCGAGGGGTGGATGGCGGAGTGGAGGGGGGGGGACAGGAGAAGGTCAAAGCGGAGAAGGTGAGGCGGAAGGGGATCGGCGATGGAGAGTATCGGCGATGATCGAAAATGTCGCGGGATGTCTGGGAAGAGCCCAATCGCCGAAGCAAGTGCCGGGAGAACAATCCAGAGCAGACGCTGGGAGGTGGAGGCTGGAAATAAGGATGAGGAGCAGGAATAGACACAGGAACAATAGCAGGGACAGAGGCACGCCAGCGGCAGCGGATCGACGGCAGAGAGGTGGTATCGGGCCTGTGGACAGGGGGCCGGTCGATGCGAGAGACGAGCAAGTAAGATCCGGCGGATCCGGCGGTGGAAAAGCGGAAAGACGTGCGATGGAGGACGGGGGTGGGCGGCACAAGCTTATTTAACAGATCTTGCACGGATCGGAATCGGAAGGGTCGGGAGGCTCCAGTCGCAACGGCCGCAGCGACTGGTGGACAGTGGCATACAAAGGCGGCCTTGGGAGCAAAGCGCCGGCGGCACATTAGGGCAATAGGCGGGGCCGGCTGAAGGGGCAGGCGCCCGCGGGGCGGAGCCCGATGGGACGGGCCTTGGGACGGGCCTTGGGAGGGGCCTTGGGAGGCAACAAGATCGGTGTTTACATGATCACGAACAAGCGCGAAGGACTCGGGCGGTGTCAGGGCCGCTGGCGGGTGGGGCCGTCGCACCGCGGACGAGCGAGCCATGTGCGGGCAAGCGACATGGTTTGCGGGAGGGGCGCTCAGCTGTGCATCGGTGTGTTTGGACACACCGCGAGATGTTTTGTGGTCGCTGTTGCTGCTTTGGCGGTGGGACTGGACAGGCAGTGCATTCGGCCGACTGAGCATTGGGACGGGGGAGATATGCGGGAGGGGGGTAGACATGCTGCTTGGGTGTCTCTGGTCGCGCTGGACACGGACCCACATGCCCGCACACCGATCGAGCCGATCGAGCCGATTGCACCCGATGGACGGCGATCGAGGGCGATCGACGAGTGATCAACAATCGATCAACAATTGATCAACAATTGATCCACGAGTGGTCGACAAGTGGTCGCCATGTTGGTTGGATAGTGGCGACACGGCATCGACACAACTCCAATGTCAGCAAAAGCATTAACATCCATGTCAGCCCCAGCCACAATGTGACAACACCACTGGCGATGTGACAACAGCAGCAGCAGCAACAACAACAACAACAACAACAACACCACCACCACCACCACGACCACACCCGCCAATGTCGGCCGCGCAAAGTGAGAAGACCTTGCTGGCGAACTTTCTTTGGAGTGAGTCTCCACGGCCGTCTCTTGTTGCCCTCCACGCCCGATACAGCGATGCCGAAGCGCTGCTGCCTTGAGTGGGAAAACGGCAGTACTCTTATTTGGCCTGGTGTTATTGCCCTGCCGACCCCGTGCAGAGCCGAGAAGGCCGCCAGAGAACGCTGAGGAGTCGCTGCGACGCTGGTGTGCTTTGGAGCGACACTGAGGACACACCGAGGACACACCAAGCAGCATCAAAAACATCAATCAACACTAAAAAGCGGCAATCAACATCAACCAACATCAACCAACTCCATGCCGAATCGGCGAGGGTGGATCCGCCGCCAGCCCGTCCCGCCCCATCTTTCCCATCTTGCCCTCCCCACTGCCGATCTTGTCACCATCGATCGCATCAGCACAAGCACCGGCACCCATCAGCGCCGGCTGCCGCTTGCCACTTGCGCCCACGGGGCGTTGCTCGGCCCTTTCTTCTTGCCGTGTTTGTTTGCGTCCGGGCAAGGTTGTGTTTGCGGTGTGTCGAAGCTTTTGCATGGGTTGTCGAGGGCCTCACGAGCGCGAGATGCCATGTCTGCCGAGCATGGCCAACGATGCTGTTGCTGCTGGTGGCATACCAATCGCATGCTAACAATATCCAGACCACACCGTCACCGATCACCACGGATCGCCCACACTGCCAACAACCACCCGACCGAGGCCCATCATGGATCGCAGACAGCCTCGCCGCTCCGCGGTGCTGTCCATGGCCGGGTGCGCTCGGCTGCCGTCTGCTGCCCAGGCATGCCTCTCCGCTCGCTCACAGCCCGTGGTCCTGCCTTGGATGCCGTTCACTGCCGCCCCGTCCTTGCCGGCGCTGCCCAGTCGATCCGCCCACTGCGCTGCCCGCGCCCGTCTGGTCGTGCAAGATCCGATCGAGCGCAAGGCAAGTACCACACTCTCTGTCGCGACCGCAATCTCGAAGCCATCGCCTGGTGGCCCCCTGGCCCAGCCAAGCACAAGCCCGTCGTCCCACAAGGCCACTGTTGCACCCATGGTGGCACCGCCCTTGGCCAAGCCCTCCACTCGGCGGTCGCGTCGCTCCCGTTCCCACCTGCCCCCACCATGTCCGACAGGGAATGGTTTTTTTGGGGGGGGGGCTTGATCTCGATCCCGGTCTTGCGCTTGATCTCGATCCCGGTCTTGCACTTGAGCTCCAGCCCAATCCAGTCCAATCCCGTCAAACAGCTGCCTTCTTGTTTGTTGTCCACCATGAATGGGCAGATCTCGCCCGCGCTCGCCAGCCAACCTCGGAACCCAGTGGGCCCGTTTCTGCCTATTCTGAACCAGCCGCGGCTTTGTCGGCGTCGCTAGTGAAGGTGGGAGCCACCATCTGCCATGAATGCGGGACAGCCTTCCCGCATCGGCGGATCCTCGGTGGCTCCCACAGCGCCTATCCCTTCTGGGCAGCCCCTCGCTGCCCTGCTGCTGGCATGTGCCCAGCTGCAACATGTCCCCGTCCGGTCCGATCCGATCCGGTCCGGCCTGTCTCAGCCCAAGTCCCCTGGTCCCCCCATGTCAGCCCGTCCCCACGATGCTTCCACCAGGCCGCCACATCTTGCCCTCTGTGGCCCTGATCGTCTTTCCGATCGGGCCCGAACCAGCCTTTCCTCTGCTTCCTTGTGTCGGGCCCATCCTGCACCGGCATTACTCTTTTTCCTTGCCTCGCTTCCAGCTTGACTACAGCATCGTGGTAGGGCTTGCGCCTCTGCTTCCCGTCTGAGACGGTCGCCGCTGCTGTCCCGCTTCCGCATTGCTTCGCCTTGCCTCGTGTTGAACATGCTATGATGGTGGGAACCGCCCGAGATACTTGAGAAACCCCAACCGACGGAGACCGGAGGCATATCCCGCGCCCTGCATCCATAGAGTCGATAGCCATTGTGGATGATGGATGTATTCCATTGAAAAAAGAGGTCTCTTGGCTCGGACAGACCACCCAGACCACCCAGACCACCCAGACCACCCAGACCACCCAGACCAGGCAGACCAGGCAGACCACGCAGACCAGGCAGAGCATGCATCCGCAGATGCGATATCAGGCGCGGCCATGATATCTCCCCGGCTCGGTTTAGTCGTGGCTAAGAACGAGGGCAGTTCGGCTGGGGATGTAGACCTGATGGACGAGGGCAGAGACAAGTGGCGGCGTCAGCACAAACATTTGCTCGAAGGCCAAGCGCATTTCACTTCAGGCTTCTCTCTCGACCTGATTGCGGAGAGTCATGTGGAGCTGCTCTCGCTGTCGAGCTGATTGTCGCCATCCCATTCATCCTCTCCCCTTCTACACATTGTGTCTGTCTCGGCCTCAGCCGCCGGATTCAAGGCCCTCGCTGCAAACGAACGACACCTCCATCGACTTGTTCTCACCTGGATAAAGTTGTCACGGTCGTTCCATCCCAATGGGGTGGTAAAGTACTCGCCCCTCTTGTCGATTCGCTCCTGGCCACCAAACTCCTTCTGATCAGTGTGGAAGGCCACTCGGTGGCTGGAAAACATAGCGGAAGAAGGATGTAGCAATCGTCAGGAACGCAAGCCACAGCAGCAATTCATCCGCTGGACCGTCTCGCCCCCAGAGGCGAAACAAGACGAGAGACGAGCCTGCACCAAGTCTACTTGCTCTGGTGCGCTCAGTACGCGGTTGCATATCTAGCCTTTGGTGACGAGGCACACCAGATCGACTCCGAAGCTGTACTTACACTCCGGCCCACGAGGTGCCCACGCGGTAATCCGAGTAGCTGTTGGTTGGATGGAAGTTGAAGATCCAGAGCAGGTTGCCGCGCTCAAAGACGATAACCTTGTCTCCTTCGTGCTTGAGGCTTACGAACTGGCCATCGCCCCACAAAAGCATCAGGAAGCTGTGAGAATCGACGTTGTGGGCTCCCACCCCACTTCTCTCCTTGCAGCCTCAGAGTGCAAGCCGTGACAATGGATCCATTTGTCTCCCTAGCCTCTTGGCGACAGGAGCTTACCTGACTCGACTCGAGCCAGCCATACTTTTCTTCGGCATGCTGCATAGCTCGGTCAAAGTTGTTCAAGTACTTGTAGCGCAGCAGGTTGTCGTCGACCAGATTGAACTGGCGGCGGGCATAGTGAAAGCTGTCGGTGGTGCAAGGAGTCAGTATCGCAGGTTCAGTGGGACGGAAGCTACGTCCAACGATAATCTGTTGCCATCATCCCGACGACGCTGCACTACCAGACCAGACACACAACCGCTGCGTGTTTCAAACTGCGAACCGTACCTGTTGCCATTGCCGAAGCGAGGAAAGTCCTGTACACAAAGCCGAGGCGGGTCGAGTCGTCGTTAGAGGGCTTGGGTTTGAGACTCGTCCGACATGGCCATGACACATGGCACTAAAGTACAGAGCAGGGCAGCGCTTTATCCTTGGTTCGAGCAGCAGCATGGTACTTACGAGCCACTCGGGATGGCCAAACTCGTTTCCAATAAAGTTGAGGTATCCCTCACCGCCAAGGCCGTGAGTGACGAGGCGGATCATTTTGTGGAGGGCAATGCCTCGATCAATGATCGGAGTCATCGGGCTCAGATCCGACATGAAATCGTACATCTCCTTGTCCATGAGCCAGAAGGCCAGGGTCTTGTCTCCGACAAGGGCCTGGTCGTGAGACTCGGCATAGGAAATGACCGGCTCCTGAGAAACGCGTTGGCAGGTACGGGTCAGCATCGACCGAATCGCTGGATCGCTCGTCCTCTGGTTATCCTCGCCCTCTGGTTATCCTCGCCCTCCGGTTATCCTCGCCCTCCGGTTATCCTCGCCCTCCGGTTATCCTCGCCCTCCGGTTATCCTCGTCACTCACTCACCTTCCAGCGGCGGTTGGTCAGGGTATGAGCAATGTGGCCCATCTTCCAGTCGTCATCCTGTGGCAAACATGGAATGTATGAGAGGGCTTGCGAGCATACACGGCCGCCATGCCCGCACTTGGAGCTACTGCAGCACGAGCCTGTACCGACTGCTCCTTGAGCATCTTGATCCACATGTCCGGGATTGACATGGCCAGACGATAGTCAAAGCCGATGCCACCATCCGAGACAGGGCGGCCAAGAGTGGGCATTCCAGAGACATCTGTGCGTTGCATAAAACGATGCCAAGCAAATATCCAACAGATGCGTCAGCAACATGGCCGTATGGACAGAGATACAGAAAGCGGCCGGCACCGTGAGCCTCCAAGGTACCTTCGGCAATGGTGATGATGTTCGGATGGAGCTCCTTCATGATGTAGTTGGCCTAGACGCAAGCCGACGAGCATGCAGGTAGTGTCAGTCCGACGCCCGAATGGATGAGCCACCGGGCTTGTGAAGCGTGCCGGATCGAAAGCTTTGGCAGAGTGTACCCACCAACATCAGATAAACAACGGCCTCGTTGTCGACGGCGCTGCCAAAGTACTCATCGTAGTGCCCGCTGAAGCCCGTGCCCATGCCGTGGTGGTAGTAGAGCATGCTGGTCACGCCATCGAAGCGGAACCCGTCAAACTGGTACTGGGTAAGCCAGTAGCGCAGGTTTGAAATCAGGAAGCGCATAACTTCGTGGTGGCCGTAGTTAAAGAGTCTGTGGGACGGAAGCGGTGCCAAGTGAGAGGGTCAGCGCGTGTCCATCAAGCCCATACGTCACGGCGCCTTTGATGTACCTGCTATCCCAGAGATCGTGGTTGCCGCGCCCGCCGGCGTGGAAGTAGTGGTGATCTATTGTACATGGAGGTGCGCAGGCAAAGGGAGAGAAAACGCGAGTGAGCGAGTGCCGCCAGCACGACGAAATCCAGAAGCAACCCCAGATTAGTTGTGGCTCCTCAAGAGCCGTCGCTGCAGAGGCGAGCACTGCTTACCGGTGCCATCAAAGTTGTTCAATCCGTCGAGGACATTCTTGCACGCGTGCGAGTGGACGACATCCAGCAGCACAGTGAGGCCGTATCCATGGGCAGCATCGACCAAGGCCATCAGCTCCTCGGGGGTGCCTGGTAAAGTCTCAAAGCGTGAGCCAGGGCATCGATGACGGACCATTGTCGCCACAGCAGGCTCCTGTGGCGTTTATAACCTCACTGAACCCCCAATCCGCTCTCAGTCCAGGAGTGCTGTCGTTGCCTTCGCTCTGCATTGCTTCCATCACTCATCGACCGGGCCTGTGACATCGCTTGAACGAGGTACTCACCAAAGCGGCTCGATGGAGCATAAAAGTTGGTCACTTGGTAGCCGAAGCTGGCGTAGTAAGGATGCTCCATGATGGCCATGAACTGCACAGAGTTGTAGCCCAGATCGGCGATTCTCGGGAGGACATTGAGCATAAACTCTTTGTAGCTGGCGCACTTGCCCTCGGGACTGGCAATGCCAACTAAAGCGATGCAAATCTGTCAGCAGATCTGGGCGAGGAGGAGCTGCAGAATGCTACTCTCGGCAGAAGGAGGCCGCATCGCACCCACCGTGAGACTCGTAGATGCGGAGCTTCTTGGGCTTTGGAGGAGCCTTGTTCTTGAACACGTACTTCTCGGGAGGATTCCAGAAGATGCCGTCGTAGGTGGCGCTGACGCTCAGGTCTTGGGTTGCGCGTCGGATGAGGGCCGGGATGCGATCGATACGCTCACCGCTGGGGGTCGTCATGGAGATCTTGCGGGTGGATATTCAAGCGCCAGCCAAGTTATACGGGCGATATGAGTGTCAGAAATCGGTGGTTGTGGCAAGCAGCAGCAGTAACAGCAGCAGCAGTGACCGGGCGACTTCAGCAAGTGTAACAGCATTGCGTCCAAATATCACCAGGCACAGATGTGCCTCCACACCGACTCAACGGCGAAGATTTGGGGCCAAGCCCCGGCAGACACAGGCCACCAGAAGATGAGCCCCCTGTTTCGGAAGCGAGGAAACAGGGCTCCACAGCGATCGCCAGCACTGACCCAGGGGGTCGCGGCTTACCTTGACTTTGGTGTTGTGGGGGATGGCAGGCCCGCTCTCGGTGTTGGGCAAGAAGATCTCCCAGACACCATAGGGATCCCGGCTCATGGGGTGGCTGGCTGTGTCCCAGTTGTCTGGAAGCGGCAACAGAGGCAGAGACGAGTTGAGGACAACCAAGAAGGTGCAGCCCCCGACCACTCAACCATGCTAACGACCTCGCCGTGTCAACCGCTCGACTGTGCCAACAGACCCGGTCGCAGTCTCCCGTTGCTACATGCACTGACAGGCAAAGCCAACATCCCCCTGGATCCCCCCCGTCAGAGCCCAAAAAACTTACTGAACTCTCCGATCAGACTCGCGGTGCTTGCTCCGGGAGCCCATTCGCGGTAGAAAATGCCCTCGGGGGTAGCGTTGAAGCCGAGTTTTTCGTATCCGCGTGAGAACTTGTCGATGCCTCCCTCGTGCTTGTTGATGGCATCGACCCACTCGTGAACCTTTTTGTATCTGGGCGAGAGCAGCCGGGGGGAAAGGCACGATTGGTGGTAAGCATCCCACCAGCACGGTCGACAGCCGAATATCTGACAGGAGCGACCATGCATCTCTTCAAGCAAGTACACCTACCGGTATGCGATCGTTTCGCGGTAGGGAGACAGGTACGGATCGGTCTCAAACAGGGCCTCGACGGGGCTGGGTTCTTCGACGGGGTTGCTGTTGGTCATCGTTGGCGAGAGTGGGAGCTGAGTCGGCCGGGATCGGACAAGCGAAGCGGACAAACGAACGGGCAAGCAAGGGAGCGGGCTTGCAGGAGAAGCGATGGGGCGGAGGCCAAGCTGCAGGGCGGTGGAAGGACGCTTTATAGAGGGAGCGTCGGGAGATAACGGCTGGGCTGGGCTGGGCTGGGCTGGGCTGGGCGATAGCTTGCAAGCCGGCGGCGACAGCAACCGAAGCCGGCGGGCATGGGGGACTTGGATGTCGTGACGGCGGCGGCGGCGGCGATTGGCTGCGGACGTGCACCAATGGGCGCGCGTGTGGCTGGGATCCTCTGTCTTTCGGGCCCTCGACAGCGCCGCCGACGGTGCTGGTGCGATGGCCGTGCGATGACATGCGATGGCATGCAAGGGTCGGTGAGACGGGAGGACAGCGACATGGCAGTCGACGGCCGAAACAATAAACAGTATGGGGTGTGAGGGATAGCGGGGTGATGAGCAGTGGCCACATCCGCGGAGGGTGTCGATGGTTGTCTCGGCGGACGATGCAGGCGACAAACCCAGCAACCGACACCGATGAGGAGATGCACCAATGCCGGCGGGGTTGGCACAAACGGACTCGTCGGCGCCTCTTCGTGCGATCACATCCACCACCAAGCGTGCGGGTGGTTGCCAGAGGGGCCAATCTGCGTCTGGCGCTGTCCGGCGCTTGTGCATCGGGCGGTGTCCGGGAGGGCCCCAAGGAAAAAAAAAATGTCTCGACAAGCGACTGGGGCAGCGGTGCTGTGGTGACAACACCCAGCGAGGCCAGAAAAAAAGTCCCTCATGGCGATCGTTCTCGAGGAAGCGCTATCGCGGGAGATACGCAGGCTCATCTTGAAACAGGACACCTTCACACCCGCACACCATCGCCGGCCCTCTCGGCGTCTCCTGTGGCGACGATCAACTGGCCTTGATGTCTCGATGTGGGAGTGTAAGAGCTACTCGGCCTTCTCGAGTCGCCCCGCCTCCCGTCTCTTTGGACACACCGTTTGCCCGTGGCGGACGATGGATGGATGTGTATTCAGGACCCAGACAGGCGACAGCCCCGACTCAAAACAGGGGTGTCACCCGCTCGGGTCCGTTGTAAACGATGTGTCTGCAGGCGGGGCTGCTTCCCCTCCTCAAACAACCGGCCTGTTAAAACCCAGGTCCGTTCGCCAACATAGCCAGGAGATTGGCCTGGTCGGTGTCGAGGCCCTTGGTCGGATCGTGGCCAGTGACGATATTGTATCCGGGAGTTCGAGCCTGCAGAGAGATCCGGGTTGGGCGGCCGAGTGTCAGAGAAGCCCCAGATGCAGGGTTGTATCTTGTTCGCCTCGTTGCAGGTATATCGAGAGGCAATGCGATTCTTGTGCAGTCCACTTACGTTCGTCACAGCGTCGATGTGTGCAAAGCTCTCGATCACCGCACGGCGGCCCTCCTTGTAGCCCGAGTAGGGCTCGCCCGTCGGATGGCCTGACTCGGCGTTCGGAGATGAATATCAGCGGCGATGTGGATGACAGTGTGTCTCGCATCTGGGCATACTCTGCACAATGCTGTCAGGGGACATCAGCCCCGCTGTCGCCTTCCCACTCCAGGACAGGCAACTTGCATGTACCTGTGATGATGTTGTAGCGATGTCGGAGAGACTGTCCCCCGCTCTGTGGGACGCCGCTGACAATCCTCCTTCTGGGATAGTGCTCGCCGGTCTGAGGTAGATGGTCCAACATGCCTGGAAGCGTCAGGGACGTGTTGAGCGACCTGCCGTTCATGGGCGGCGGTTGCTGGTACGCCGGGCAATGGACATGGCGGTTAACCAACATTCGATGGCAGCACATCCAGCAGATTCTCGAGATACTGCGACTTGCAGGCGCTGTTTCCCTGCGGATCCGCTGCTCTGTATTGGCCGGCGAGCAGCATGGTTCTCACACCCTCTTGACCACGACAAGCAGCCAGCCTGTCGACCACCGCCGACTGAACCAACCTGGCCTCCTAAAAAATGTTAGTCTGCACCAAGCGTCTTACCCAGATATCCTTCTTTCGGGACTGAACTGCAGCATACATGTACACATCCTTTTCTTGCGTTGCAATATTGGGCAGATTGGACGGCTGTCCGTGGTTCTGGTGGTACGCCTCGGCTCCGCCCGAGATGGTTGCTGTTCTTCGAAACGACTTTGCATTTGTGCCGGCAGACTTGCCTGTCTTGACAACCGCCTTGGTGGTCTGATGCCCCTTTTGCGAAGCTGGAGTGGGGTCTTTGAACGAAAGGCGGTACTCGGTCATAAAGGGCTTGTAGGCCGATGCGGATGTGGGATCGTTGGACTTTGATCGCATTGATGAGCCCACCGTAGCGGTACTATGGCAAGTGTGGGGGATAGCAGCGGTCTTGGCCTGCTCTCGTTGATTGTGACCAGGAACTACTTTGGCGGCGTTACCGGCCGCTGGACCCTATCTTGAGAGGGTCGGCTAGGGAGTCTTGCGGATACCACGGGCGCTGCTCCTTCAAGACTGGTCGGCACCGCCTACTTTTGCTCGCTATCGAGATGAGAGGAACGCAGTCGATGACTTCAAAAACTGGCCGCTTTTTCTCTGGAGCCAGGATCGGCGCCGGCTTTGTTCTGTCGGTGAGCACACAATACCCTTCGCGCCCATATGTGCTTCGAGACAACTGATTGGCAAACATACCCTTCTCCCGATTGACCAAAGGCGCAACCCATTCACTCACTGGAAAATGGCGTGGTCAATCGATGTGTCTGCTCTTTTGTCGGCCTGCTTCTCTGCTCCGGACGCAATGGGCCGCACAAGCAGGCAGGCAGGCCGACAGAGTCGGTTGGCGAATACACTCCCACACCGACCTTGCCAATGCAAGACTGGCTCTTTGCCGACCGCACTGATGCATGGCTGGACGAGATCTTTCGCAGCGCCGCATCGTCTGCATCCTGCGCGTCTGAATACCACTGTATCGCTCACCACCTCTCTCGATCGGGTAGTGGCCGACCTGCTTGCCCCACGTCCCTCCCGGTTGCCCCTTTCCCACGCGCATCACGTGCCACTGCGCCACGCTGCTCTGTCCGTTTTTTTTCTCCCTGGCCACCAGCAGGCGTCTCTTGGGCCGGCGTCCAATAGCAGACGCAACTCCTCCGTCTCTGATCGCAGCCGCATCCACAGCAGCAGCCCAGCCCAGCTCCAGCAGGACCGGCGCAATCCACACCGCATCGCCGCATACTCGTGCCTCCATCTCGCACCGCCGGATCAGCCGCCATGACCGACTCCTTCAACTCCAACTTCCTGCACCTCAACCTGCCCTCGAGCACCGGCTTTGGCGTGTCAGTAGCCCCTCTCGTCCTCTTCTCCATCCTGGATCACCACCTCCGAAAGGACGATGCACAGCCCCGAGTCATTGGCGCTCTGCTTGGCTTCCGCTCCGAAGACGGATCTGAGGTCGAAGTTCGAAACTGCTTCCCTTTGAGCCACAACGAGGCCGAGGACCAGCAGGTACCTATCCCAACGCATCTCCGTCCCACTGCCTTTCCGAGTCGCTGTTGCTGGGATCTTCGATTGTGCACGCACGATCCTGCAATGATTGCGATATCCTGGACTGCAAATGTATCGGCTCCCTGAGCCCACGGCGCAATCGGATCTGGACACACCAGATCATCGGCATTCATGAGGAGGAGCACCGAGGAGAGCCAAGAGGAACCGAAACATGAGGCTGGCACGAACCCAAGCCGTGTATTGCTGTTGTTATGTGATTCTGCCAGACCTACCGTCCTGCGGCCAGACGCAGATCGGCTTCGTAAGGAAGTTTGCCAACTTTGTTGCTGACCCGATTTGAATTGCTCCTTCACGATCCCTAATCTGTCCCAAGGTTGCTATCGATACCGAATACCTCGCACAAATGTACAGTCTTCATCAGCGAATCAACACCCGGGAAGTCATTGTTGGATGGTACCGTATCGACTATTGAGCGATGAGCAAGTCCTCTGGATGATGGGGATGTTCTGGACGATCAGCTCGCCTCTCTTCAAGCAGCCGAGGGCATTCGATATAGACATGGTCGCATGGCAGATCGACCCATCCGACTGGCTGTGCTGATCGATTCCGCCGCAATGGCTCTCTACAGGTACTCGAGCGGTGTCGAGATCAACGAAAACTCGGTCTGGATCCACGAGTTCTTTGCCAACGAAACAGCTCCCCTTGCCCCCGTTCATCTGGTGATGGACACCACCCTTTCGAATGACAAGCTTGGCGTTCGCAGCTACATCAGGTAACGCCTATATGATCCTTCAGCCGGCAATCCTTTTGCGCTACCACGGCTTTCCTGTCCATGCCGCTCATATCAAGTGGCTCTGCTCTGCTCTTGTTGTCAGCTCCCCCATCGGTATCTCCGGCGGCCCCGACCAGACCCCCGGAAGCATGTTCACCCAGATTCCGTGCGAAGTCAAGTACTGCGACGTCGAGCGAAGCGGCCGTAAGTGTGCTCTGCTGTACTGCCGAGTCGGCTCTCGGAGAGCTGTATGCACGGCGGCGAGCCCTGGCTCCAGATTTCGTGCATGGTGCGGAATGGCCCGTCGCTGACTTCATCCTCACTTCATCGCATCCGTGCCCACTCCTGCACTCTCCCATCGCGCCAGTGGATGTAATCTCGCTGGCCAAGTCCAACCCAGACTCGGCGTCAAGCCTTCTCTCGGATATGGACAACCTGGAGCGCTCGATCTACCAAATCCAGGATATGATTGAGACCGTTGCGAACTATGTCGACCGAGTCCTGGTAGGCAGCCCTCTCTTCCCCCCCCCAATTCTCATCGGCACCTTCCTTGGCGCGCTGCCATCGCAAAGTATCTGTCGATTTTTGCTGACGCCGATCCAACCGCATCTTTGTAATCGTGGGGTGCTATGTGAACTCGTACATATCCTGGACAACATCGGGCCTCGACGACCGACATTCGTGCTCGGCAAACACCCATGCGCAAACTGGGACTGATTCTGACCCTGCAGGACAGATCGGAGGTCGAAAACAACGTTATTGGTCGGCACCTGATGGACATTATCACGGCCGTGCCGCGAATCGATGCCGGCGAGTTTGAAAAGACCTTCAACAGCCACTTGCAGGTGCGTGTATGCCAAAGATTGAGCGCCTGGGAGGGGGAAGATTCAGGATCCGTGCATCGAACCTTTGCATGGATGTCAGCCAGTCCGTGCACGCACACCCGGCGTCCATGGACGGATGGCGAATGAATGGATGGATGTACCGTTTGAAGAAAGCGCCACCGGTTTCATCGCCTGCCGTTTTGCGATACTCATCGACTCACAACCCCACAGGATCTGCTCATGGTTGTCTATCTGGCCGGCCTCACAAGAACCCAACTGGCTATTGCCGAGCGTCTGCAGAACCTGGTTTGAAGAAGAGGAGGTGCGGAGCGGCGAGGGATAGGCGGCCCACTGACTCGACGGTGTCGTTTCCGGCCTGTGCTGCTGGTCCTTGGCAGCTAGCGGCCATGCGGAGCAAAGCAGCTCTGCGGTTCCATTTCAGGCTCAAGCGTGTGAATATATATTTGTCAAATGCACAGGAACAGCGCAAGGACGTGGGCCCCACGCCGCGGTACAATACATTTAGTGCCAGGCCGCGGTCGCGCAGCCATCCCAATCCCATCTTACATCTGTCAAAAAAAGGCAGAAATCGCTTCGGCTGTTAGAATCGCTTGAAGGACTTGCTCTTCTGCTGCTGCACCACGTTCCAGACAACGTATGCAAGCACGAGGATGCCGACGATCACAAGGAGGGCGGTCAAGAGCGCTGAGCCGACGCTCCCCTTGGACTGGACGGGGTTGTAGGGCTTGGGCTGGGACACTGGCGAGCTGGCGCTTCCGCGGGCGGGAGGGAGGTTGCTGCTGCCCGACTATTGGGGGCAGAGATACAAAGCGAGGGTGAGAATCGGCAAGGCAGCAGCAGCATCACCGCGGGGCTCGGTGATGGCATGGCCGAGGTTGGGTCAATGTCTTCGCTGCGCCAGTCAACTTACATTGACGAGTCCAGTCGTGGTGATTCCGAGAATGTCGTGGGCATCTGTACAGCAGCGCCAGGATCAGCACGCCGAGCAAAGTTCAGAGGATACGACGGCAGTTGGCCGAGCTGCTGCTCACGGCAGAACGCAGACATGCCCTTAAAAGCTTGGACGTACCATGAACATCACCAGTGTGGGCCGTGAAGCCCATGTAGCCAACCGAGGGGAGGGTGACGTTGGTCACGGAGAAGCAATCGTTCCACATGAGCACGCCGTTGTTATCCGTGACTCCAGTGGTGGTCCGAACCTGTGGCAGAACAGACATGGACCAAGCGCCAAGAGTCAAACATTGTATCCAGAAACGATGGTGCGAGCTTATCGGGGACTCCAGTGCAGATGTCAGCGGCCATTTTTGAAGCGGAGGCCAAGGACCGAGTCGCCGTACCTCCAGCAACTCGCCGCGGATGTACTTGATGGTGGCCCGGGCGCTTTCGAGGCCTTGGAAGTGGAAGGAGCATGAGGCAAGCTGGTTTGACCTTCCGTCGTTGTTGTGATCATAGTAGGTTTTTCCGTCGCCGACCATAGCGCTGACGATCGGGAAAGGCTCCTGTTATGTTTGAGACAATAGAAGTCAATACTCGGCCCTGCCTCGATCTGCCCACCTAGCCGACAGGAGCCGTCCGGTGGCCGCCGCTGGAGAGCGATCTCCGCTGCAGATTTGGACGGGCCTTACTCGATGGCGGCCGTTGTTGTAGGTGTCAAAGAAGATACCGAGTCCATTGAAGTAGTCCTTGCTTCCAAAGACGGGACCTGCGACGAGACGACTGCTCAGAACAGATCGAAGTGGCAACCAACCGAGGGCAGACCATCAAAGCCCGCCGAGGATGCAGAGCAACGATGGCAGCAGCATAGACATCGCACACACCTTGGATTTCCTTCTCGGAGGTGTACCAGAAAGCGAATCCGTCTCCGTACAGCGAGTTCTCGCCATGGACGTGGAACTGAATCTCGCAGATCCATCCGGCGGCCGTCAATGGCTGCGTTCATTCGGGAGTATCCGCATTCCGACCGGTGTAGAGGATGGGATTGCTGGGGGTGAGCTGGTTTGCTATGCACGGCCTTCTTCGACTAGGACGGTTTGGCTCCACAGCAACCGATGCAACCGATACACCCGCTCTATTCACAGAATGGCGCAGGAGGGAGACAGTCTATACGAAAAGCCCGCAGCAGAGGGCCGTCCAACCGCCAGCGGCCATGCAGCGAATGCGATCATACCACTTTGCCCCAGAGCCATCCTGACTGAGACGGCCTGTCGGAGGTCAGACGAATGAACTTGTTGGACTCAACGATGGTGTCTGGAGGCCGACGTCGTGCGTTAGGATGATGCGTATGTGTTGGGGGCTGCATCGAAGCCCAGGGCACGGCACTGCATATGCACTCGCAAGGCTGGATGACCGACGATCAGCAGTTCAGGAGCATCCTCGCTGTGCCAAAGCTGGCTCCTGTCATTGAAAGTACCTCCTCCAAAGTTCCACCATCTGCGGACCAGGAAAAGAGATATGGATGAGGATCGATACATAGCGACGGAATCTGGGCTTGGTGCAGGTGGTCGACCAGGGGCCGTCGTAGATATATATCCGCCCAGATAGATCTATTTGGTTCTCGCGGTTTCGAGTCTAGCTCGGTTGCGCACCTGTTGTTAAGATTGTCCTCTGTGATTTGATCGTATTGCCGAGGTTCGTCGTCGATCGCATTCGTTTGCGTTTCGGAGAGGGCCAGGTTCGCCGACCGGGTGGAAAGGCAGAGCAGACAGATCAGCAACCTCGCTTGGTCCAGCACCGGCAAACAACGGTGCCTTGGAAGAAATACGCTGCCAACATCGCACTTGCGTGCACGCCTGACGCATGTATATCGGAAGTATTGCACGACAGACCGCCAGCTACAGCAGGAACATGTCTACCAACCAATAAACGGAGGATGGAGCGAGAACGAGTAGAGCGGGATGCGGGTGGGCTCCTGGGACTGGCCGGGCTGTCCTCTTGCGGCGACTGCCCAGATGCACAGGAGAAAGACGAGGACTGATTTGTCTGCCGGGAATACCATGGCGGTGGAGGCTGCTACTGCTGCTGCTGCTGTTGCTGCTGCAGATGCAGATGCTGGTGCTTCTGTTGCTGTCGCTGCCGGGAGCAAGTCTGCAGCCATCGGCGGACTGGGCAGCGACCCGTTTGTTTCTCTCGGGCACGCCTCGCCCGCGTCTCGCGTGCCTCTCGGCGGCAGCGAGAGCCCAAGCCACAGCGACGTGGATTTCGGGCACGGGCTTGGGCACGCGCGAGACAATGGGGCTGGACATTGCCCCGGTCATGTGCAAGTCACGCGCATACGCCACAGCCGGTCCAGCCCGGCGCGTCTGGTCGGTGCTGTCGCAGCCAGCCCTCCGAGTTACAGGCAATCCAATAAAAAACGGGACACCCGGGTTTTTGACCATTCATCGAATATTTTGTTACCCAATGCTATCGCGCGCTGGCCATGACCATTCGCCACACATCCGACTTTCGCACCGCCGCATTGCGATGCTACGACCTCATCCATAGCCTGCGTAAGGTCGCCTCCATATTCAGTGTATCCAAGAGCACCATCCATCGATGGCACCGAGGATGCAAGCTGGATGACCCATCCCGGGTCCCAGCTCGCAGATCCACTTTCTTCGAGCAGGCATGTCCAGTCATTCACACCCTGATTGAACAGGACCCGTTCCAGACTGGTCCTGTGTTGCGATGCAAGCTCGAGTCCATCCTCCAGAGGAAAGTATCACTCTCACTCTGCCACACTGCCATCCACCGAGCAGGTCTCTCACACAAGAGGGCAACACACCTCTACAAGTCCAAGCGACTGGATGAGCGAGTGGCACAGTTCAGGGACCAGGTCCGCTCCATCGACCCACGACGATTCGTTTTTGTCGATGAGACAGGGATCAGGAAATCCATTTTCCCTCTTTACGGATACTCACCGAAGGGTGCTCCGCTTCGCCAGCGCAATCACATGAAACACAAGTCTGTCTCGGCTGCATTTGCCATCAACCACTCTGGTGTGCTGCATCGAGCGCCGAGGATGGTCAGTGATCTTCACCCCACCTGCCTCGCCCGACATTCAGAGTCGGGATGGTGACCCTGTTTGAGTCTGCCGTGCGGAGAGTGCTTCCAGATGTCTTCCCACGGCTGATTGAGCGAGCGATGCGCTTCTGGGGTTGAGTTCCCTCCAATCAAGCCGCCATTTTCACGTTCACATCCCTGGCTTGAACCTCTCGGCGATTTTTGAACAGGGTCGCTTCCAACCAGCCCGCGCAGACTGGTTCCTGCTCTCGGGTATAAATGCCACACCTTCGTCCTGCTGCTTTCTTCCCTCATCTCGCCTTGATCTGATCATCGCGCTATTGTACGATAAAAAAGTCTCTGCTCTGACCAGTACCACTGGCAGGCATCCAGCATCCTCTGCCCCCATGCCTCCGAAGCGTAAGGGTACCGGTGATGGCCAGCCTCGGCCACCCAGGCCCAAGAAAGCCAAGTCACAGTCGGAGCCTGTCTCTGGTTCGTCTTCTGATCCCACGCATGCTTGGTCGTCTGTTGCTCCGTCGCTCACCACCACTGCTTCTGCAGATCCAATGGATGTCGATCCCACCGAGCCTGGTCCATCTACTTCCTCGAGTACCGGCAAGCGATGTCGCCAGTGCGATGGCACCGATCACGAGCGAAGCAACACCAACAGGTGTCCCAAATACCGGCCCCTCAAGAGTTCTGTCGTCCCACTCGTGGATGGAAGGTCATCCGCCCCTCAATACAGCTGCTTCAAGCAGACCATGGACGGCATCTTCTGGAAGAATGCAAAGAAACAGTGGCTCAATCCCGACCTCTGGGGCAAGATCCAGGCCACCGTCGCAGCCATGACCCAGATCCAGTTCGAGGCATCCAGGCTGCTCAACCTGCACATCCTCCGGTGCATCGAGCAGGATCTTCCCGTCCCTGTCATCTCCAAGACCACCCCTGCTTTCATCCGCCAATGCTTCACGATTGTCGAGGCCGATGCCCTCTCGCCGACCGGGGACAATGAGAAATACAACGAGCATCTGGTCGCTTCCTTTCGCGACTACCAGACCACTCGGCACGCAGACCTGCCTCCGACCCCTCGTCTGCCTGATGGTGCTCACAGTCAGCTTCTCACACTGGCTGTCAATGCCTATGCCACCAACTGCACCACCCACCTCAACCTGGCCTACTGGCGACTCCTTCGCCGCTTCTGCGCTGCCGTCTTCCCAGCCAACAAGCATAAGCACGAAGCCATCGAGGCCTGTCTCGAGCTCTTCGAGAAACCAGGGCAGACTCCACCCAAGGCCGATCTCGAGTTCCTATATCCCGACTTTGGTCACGTCCTGGACGAGTTTCGGTACAGCAACGACCAGGACCGCTTCCGGGCCCTCCATCGCCTCTCACACCATGTGGGGATCATCGCCCGGGACAAGATGGTCGACAATGTCCACAAGTGGATCGACTGTGACATGCCCGCCCTCCGAGTCACCGAGCTGCAGCGCCAGGCCAAGCTGGACGAGCTCACTGCCCAAGGCATTCCCTCCGACGACAAGAGGTTCACCAAGGCCAAGTCTGAGCTCGGCACCACCAAGTCCAAGATCAACAAGCTGGCCGCCAGGATCAACTGGGCACTCAAGCAGCTCGCTCTCGACACTCCTCCGGCCGTGTGCACGATGGTTCCTCTATGCACTGCAAGGGCCAAGTATGTCAAGATTGACACGGTCACTCTTTGACAACTCCTTGACACCGAACATCGTCTTGGACTCACCAGGGACAAGCTCAAGGATGAAGGTGATGACGGTGTCAACAACCAGGATCGTCTCTGGCGCAGTTGCTTCAAGCTGCGTCGTTCCCTCTTCCAAGAGCGGGACGTGAACAAGAAGCTGTTCAACTACGAGATCAGCACCGATGGCATTGGATGCACCATCGGCCTCGTCAAGTTTCTGCCTCGAACCGATCGCTCCGAGACCTCCGAGCCTCCTCCGACTGCCGAGCAGCGTATCCAGGCCCACATCGGCGACCCAGACCCCGATCGCACCACTTGGATTGGCATCGATCCTGGAGTCGGCTCCATCTTCACGGCGGTCATCCAAGCACCGGGCCACCAAGACGAGGTGGTCTCGTTCTCCAATGGCCACTACCAGCACATGTGTGGCCATACGTCCAACACCAAGTGGCACAATACCATGAAGTATCGACTCGATATCGAGACCTGGATGTCAACCACCCCCTCGCCCAAGGTGTCGTCCTCGGAGGCTTTCAAGGTCCATCTCACCCATGTCCTGCGACCGGAGCTGCGAGTGCAGCTCGACTTCCACCTTGGCAAGAAGGCCCGTCACCATCGCTTCACAGGCCACAAGAGGCGCCAAGTGGCCGTCGACAGGATGTGCAAGGCCGTCCTGAAGCACGCCCCGATACGGACCGATGTGGTCATCGCCTTTGGCAATGCGTCATGGCGACAGGGCAAGGGCTATGCATCCAGCCCTCGGAGGCAGCGGTTTGCTCGGTACTTTGAGCAGTTCGAGCACCACCGACGCCGTCCCAATCACCATCATGGAAGCGTCAAGGTGGCCTCGACGAACGAGTTCAACACCTCGCAGGTGTGCTCCAAGTGCCTGGAGCCAGTTCGGTTGGAAGGACTCGATGCGCCCAGCGTTGCGAATTCCCACTTTGTCAGGAGCTGCAAGAATCCCAGCTGCCGGACAGTGTGGAATCGCCAAGTCAATGCGGCGCGCAACATGATCACAGTATGCAGGTCGATTGTGGAGACCGGAGAGCGACCGGCGGTCTTCACTCGGAGGCTGCCAAAGTGATCTGTTTTATTTCTTGTGGCTTTGCTTGACGCAAGCACAGCACATACTACATGTTCATGGAAACGGCTATATTGTCCCTTTTTTTTCTGAATAAAGTGTATTTGTCTCGCCTGGAGACAGAAATCCCTCGGATTGGCGTGCGATTCGGACTGGGTGCGCCGGGCCCATAGCCTTACAGTTGAGGGCACTGGGTGAGTTGCCGATTTGCCACTGGACTCGCCCAACGTCGACATCCGTTCAAATCGTCACGCCAGCCGCATTCACCCCTGATTGGGGCTGAATGCACAGACAGGCACTCGCACCAGTTGGCTGCGTTAAGCGGTCATCCATTTCCGATCAGTGCATAGCCGACACCCAACGAATCCGAACCACCCTGCCCATTCGCGATCATCCACATATCCTGCTCCCAAGACAGCGAAGGACATACGTAATCGGACAGAGGTTTGCTCAGCTTCGTCCCGCAGACTCGAGCACGATGGGGTCGCTCATCGGCCGGTAAAACGGTGGCTGACGCCGCAATTTGACTTTGGGTCATCCTTGCGCTCGACATTCGCATGGTCTCTGCCTGATCCCTCAGGATTGTCGCTGTCCTTTCGGAATCTTCCCCCAAGCCCCACGCGTCGGCTGTCGTCAAGGATGGATTACTCGGATGAGCTGGACAAGATCTACGAGAAGATGTCTGGCATCCATCTCATCCTGCTGGTCGTCTATATCGTCGTCGCCTTGTATGTATCCCGGACTCTGCCGGCTATGCTCGATGTGGCCAGAATCCACAGAGGCACCGCTATCCGCGTTGGTTGCATGCCCTTGGCCGTGCTGGTACCGAACGAGTCGGGCTGTCCATACCGGCTGCAGAAAGGTTGTGTCGTTTGTCGGCCAGCTCTCTAATCCGGCAAATGCTGGCGCGTCGTCAGTCTCGTATGCTCTGTACATATCCTCCAGATCATGCGCAACAGGCTACTGTTTCGCAACATTCCGTTAGCAGTCATCCAGCACATTGGAAACATTGCCCTGGTGGGCTCGCTGCTGGCCTCGTTTCTGCAGGGCGGTCTCTGTTTGCCCTCGCTGGTCTTCACCTTTGTCGGCAATGGATTCGTGCTGTTCTCGACCAACTATCAGACCATTCTGTTCAAAGCACTCAAAAAGTCTCAAAAGAACAAACTACACCTGTCACCTTCCGCTCAAACATGGGCGGTGGAAGCGGAGAGAGATATCAAAAGCTGCGCAACATGCATGCACAGCAATCTCGAGCCCGAATCCGCCACAATGCAACTCATCCTGCGCCGAGACGTCATTTTCATCTATGGCCTCCCAGCGCTTATCTGCGTCATCGGCGTTGGGTACGGTCTTGTCGTGAACTATCTTTCTCCGAGTCTTGCCGCGCCAAACACCATGACCAACTCGTGCAACCTGTCGACTCCCGAGTTCTGGCCGGTGCTGGTGATTGCTGCCGTCAACTCTGGGATCGTCAATCCGCTGTGGATCTATTTGCTGTGGTCCGAAGACGACAACTTTGGCATCAAGCGAGAGCTGATGCTCTCGAGCGCGCTCAAGGTGGTGTCATTCATAGCGTAGGTATCGAGACATGGATCTGCCAGGATCGCCTTGTTGCTAGTGCATGCTGCTAACTCGTTTCTGCATGGTGCCTGTCGCACTCTGATCCCTCCACTCTCATTCCCTCCTCCACTCTGATTCCCTCCACTCTGATTCCCTCCACCGCTCAGGATTGTCGTGTGGTGGTCAGCGATCCCATTCTCGTACGGCGATATTCCTCCAACCGTACGGAACTACTTTCAGATCAACGACTGGGTGGCCGTGACCCTCATCATCGAGAGCGTCAGCGTCGTGCTTATTCCCACGTTTCTCTCGCTAATGCCCGCAAGCTGGAGGCCGCGACGGGCCGCCAACCAGGCCAGCTACAACAACTGGGAAACCTTCATGTTTGTGCTGGGCACGCCGGAACTGTTCCAGGAGCTCAAGAGCTTCGCTGTCCAGGACTTTTGTGTCGAGAATGTGCTCTTTTACGAGGAGTACCAGAGAATCATCCAGAAGGCAAAGCTGTTCATGATTTCGCTGCAGTCAGGATCATCGGACACAAGCGCCAACCACAGCCGGATCGATACCCAAACCGACGACCATCCCCGGCGCTCGGATGTCTCGCGCAAGCGGCCGGCCTCACGAATCTTTTCGTTTTCGAAGGATCTCTTCGACAAAAGGTCCGAAGACGAAAACGGCTTGGTTATCAGCATGGAGAGTCTGATCACATGCAAGAGCGACCAGTGCGAGGGGCAGCTCTGCTTTGACGAGCGACACAGCAAGAACCCGCTCAAATGGGTCCCGCATCAGTTTCGGAGCGACTTTACGCACTTTTATCGCTGCTTCATCTCCAAGAGTGGGCATTTGCAGGTGAACTTGCCCAACGCAATCCAGCAAGCCGCCGAGAGCTACTTCTGCGAGCCTGCTCCAGAAGATGTCCCCATCAAGGTCTTTGACGATGCCAACAGCGAAGTTTTGCTCATGATCTTTTCGAATACCTTTCTGCGCTTCATCAACGCCCCGACCAACGTCAAGCTCATTCGCGAGCATCAGAGCGCTGCCCGGCGAGCCCGGCGACACCGAGAGTCGTAGATGCAAGTGTAATCGGCGCTCTATTCGCGCGTCTGTGTACCAAGTTCCATGGTCTGGCCCCGCTCCGAACATCATATTTATGGCAGTCAATCGGCTGTGCCGAGTCTACCAGCGCATTTGTCGCCGCCTGTACCATCCCTCGGCTACTCTGCCTCCAAACCAAATAGCACCTGATCGATTTCTTGCGCCATCGGAAGCAAGCCGAACCACTCGGCTTCTTGTTTAAGTTCCAGCAATGACTGTCGGCCCGCAATGCTGCCGGGTTGGAATGTGGCTGCCGCGCATCCGATTTGACAGTCAGCATGAGAGGACGTCGTGTGGGAATGGTGTGCTTCATGTACATTTGGATCGAAGGCTTGATTTCCCGCTTCCTGGCGATCGCTGTCACCCACACGAGTATCGCACTGTACTCACCGCGCAGGTAGTTCAGGATGTGCCGAAAGTGTCTGGGGTCCCGGTCAATAAAATATGCTCCGTCGATGGTTTGTCGGGCCCAGGCCTGGGTGCCATCGAGCATCGTCTCGAAGCGGGACTGGGCTGCCTGGGGGCTGCTGAGGGTCGAACGCAGTGTCTCGAAATGGGCGCCTCCGACGTTGAGCCTCACAACCTCAGAAGCCAGCATGCCTGGTGCTGGGCCACCCGATGCCGGCGGGGGCTGTGATGGAAGAGCTTCGGCGAACTGGGTCGGGGTGTCGCCGGGGAACCGCAGCCCAGGCGGAAAAACGGGGCCGGGCCAACTGTGGGCTGTCTGAGAAAGGTGGTGGTGCCGAGAATAAAGCCGTGAGACAGTCTATGCAGCACCCTGCATGCATCGACTAGATCGCCACAGTCTCCAAAGTACCTCGCAGCCCCTGCCCCTGCACCCCCGCAGTCCCTTGGCCTGATTTCTCCTGACCCAGCGATACTCACGTCACCCAGATAGCATGCTGCAAACGACTGCAGGACAGCCGAGATGGAGAGCGCGACGAACTGGATGTGGATCCGGAGCAAGTAGTTGCCGAACTCGCTCAGCCGCCGTTTGAGTGACAGCTTGTCGATGAAAAAGTCCATAAATCGACCGGCGATAGATGGAAGGGCCGATTGCTGCAGGAACTCGAGCACCGACAGCACCAGCAGCGCCGAGAGCTCGATCGCGGTGTTGAACCAATGAAGTACATCTAGATGGACGGCATGAGATACAGAAGATCGGATATCACCACTAGTGAGTCGATAGGCGCCGTATGTCTCGAGGTCTGACTTCTAGGAGACAGTGGATATGGTCCTTCAATTGTCGCCCTCCCTTCTCCGGGAAGATACCCCTGCCCGTTCCAGCAAGTCTCACAACAGGAAGCTGCAGGTCAGACCCGGTCCGAGCCCCGTCGGGCTGCTTTGCTCTCAGTCGCTGTGGACAGTCTTACGAGTCTGGAGAGTCCCACTACGCTTCAAGGCAGCAGCAGCAGCAGCCGAAGAATGGCCGTCTGGACTGGCGGCTCGATGCTGGCGGCCAACCGAGTCCGAATACCTTTGGCCGGCTTCATGTTTGGGCACAGACGGACGTCTTGGGTCTGCATCGACGGCGCAATCGGCCGGCCGGGTATGCGGCGCTGTTGCGGAGTGGTTGGATGAGCGACAGGACGCAGCGGCCCTGGCATCGGAGAGCAGGGCGTCCAGACCAGGGTCGAAGAGGGTCTGGCGATGGCACGGCTCCATCAGTCGGTCGCGGCCGCTTCGTGGGATGGTTTCGGGGTCGGGGCTTGGGCAAAGTCTGCGGGTCCGTCGCTGGAATAGAGGGGACATCCGATCCAAGCCCTGCGTCTCGGGAGCCAAGACGGCTGCAGAGCGCTGGCGGCCTATTGTCGGCCTCGCCATCGAATCGGCCTCGCCATCGAATCGGCCGACGCAAAGGCAGTCCGCGGGATCGCCGGCGAATTCGTGCACTATATTCAGGGGAAATGGGACACCTGCCAACAACCCATTTGTCGGTGTCGTATGCGATGGCATGCGTCTAACTATGCCATAAGAAATAGAACAGATCACTTTGGCAGCCTCCGAGTGAAGACCACCGGTCGCTCTCCGTCTCCACAATCGACCTGCATACTGGTCTCGGAGTGCAGCGATGCGGAAATCGAGGGTGCTGTGTTTGGTCATGAATGCAATGAGTGGATGGGTGTATTCAGGTTCCAGAAAAAAGCCCTGTCATGGCTCAACGGGGTGTCCTGTTTCATTGTGGAATCGCCGTAATGCCGCTCGCGCCACATTCGACACGTTCGAAATGGCCAAGGCACGGACACGCCCGGCAGTATCGAGAGCGCAACGGCATCCGAATATGCCCCCTCTGAGGGGCCTGGGCTCGCTGCTGGCGGCATCGACCTGATCTTGTTCGTGCAGACGCTGTTGCCCAGCTCGCCGGCCATCCACTGCCCACTCGTCTCGCCAGGCCCTCTGCGTCGTCTGCACGCCGGCCACCAGCATGACCGTTGCAAACATCCCACCACAAAGCCCACCGCCGTCGACAGCCCCAGCCGACAGCACCTTCCACAGCGCTTCGCTTGCCCGTTGGAACAACGATGGTGTCGACGGGGGGCCCAGCTCCCTCACCGTTATCCTGGACTGGCTGCGGACTCCCGGCAACTATGCCAAGTGAGTTGCGTCGTCGTTGGATTGCTGCTGGTCGCAGGACTATCATTATGGGCGCTCTGCCTGGACCAGCCTTCTCGTTGATTGCAACGCCAGGGCTGCTCCGGGCACCTTGCCTCAGCGATGTTGCCGGAGACTGTTGCGTTGGCATAGCTCCAGTGCTTTGCTTGGCATGCTCATCCAGGCAGTGCTGCCCATAAGCATGTGGATGCCCCTCCCTCCTCGTCGCTGCATGACCAACAGCTCTGGCGTGCTGAGCCTCTTTACCGTACTTTTTTATGGCGACGATCGCTGCCTATGCTCGCTTTTGTTTTCAATCGGTGCATTCGCCTCACCGCCTTTTCCACCAACCGATGTCATCGCTGTGCAGATGGCGAGGGGACATTGCCGGCATCACCAAGAAGGCCCTCTCTGCTGAAATCATCGCCAAGCTGGCCGAAGTCAAGATTGTGCGATCGCATAGCCAGATCAGCAACAAGATGATCGAATTCCAGACCAAATACAACCAAGCGGCCCATTGGCTCGCAACTGTTGGCGAAGGCCAGCAATACGACAACCAAGGCAAGATCAAAGGTGAGCGCCCATCTCCCCCAGAGACGAACCTGTTGTGCAGCATCCCTCTGCGTTGTCTCGGCAGGATGCTCGATAGCACCGACACTGGCGGCATCGACAGCCTCGACAGCATCGCCAAATTTGCAGATCGGTGGTCGCATCGCTGTGGTGGGCAGGATACCGAGTTGCGGCTCATGGGCCTGCTGCACAAGGGCTCCGTTTCGCCAGCACCCCAGCCAGGTTTCCACGACCGGTGCGGGGGGTTGGCCCGATCGATTGCGCAGAGCAGCCAACCATATCTCTGATCTCTCACAGCAACCCTCTTGAAGCTCTGCTCGCTGTGGGTCGAGCTGCATCCGATCATGTCGATCGATGGCCCGTCACTATCGCCCCTCGCTTTGGCAGCGGCTCTGGCACACCCAGCATCGGCACCAGCACCCCTCCAGCCATCGACTCCTATGCCGGCCTCCACATCGACCCAGGTTCACGCAGTAGCATCCCAGCCCTCGATGCTGACGCCTCCCGGTCCTGTCGATCACTATCCCGAGGGCGGCAGCGGCTTCTCAAACCTTCACCTGCTCGCCGACACAGTCGAATCGGCCGCACTCACCTTCGACTGCCACGAATCCGAGCGCGACCCCGAGGAGCCCGTTGCCGATTATCCTGGATCGGCCGTTCGCGACGATCGCCCACCACCGCCGGCCGTTTTTGGCGACAAGGATTTCCATCCAGTGCCGATGGCCCTGGCCTATGGAGGCGTGGCGCCGGTGCTTCCGGACGCCCGTTCACTCGGACGGAGACTGGAAGACCGCTATACGCCTGATCGAGAGCCAGGCGACTTTGTGCCCTTGTCGTCGTCATCCAAGAAGCGAAAGCGCCCTGGCCAGCGCAAGGACAAGGACGTGGATGGCGATATCAAGTTGGACGAGTCCAGTGCCGTCGCACCGTCGTCCGTGACGCCTCCGTCGCCGCCTCCCTCGATGCCGTTCGACTGGTCGGGCCCGAGCGGCGGCAAGGGATACAGGTACGACAAGCTCAAATGGGAGATGATCCTGGGCGAGAAGCGCCTCAAGCTGACGGAACGAGTGCGATCAAGGCAGGCCGAGGAGAAGCGCGAGATCAAGTTGGCCAAGATCGGTGAGAATAGTCGCCAGTTCCATCTGGAGCTGGCCCAGCGGAAGCGAGAGCACGAAGACTATGTCGAACTCGAGCGACAGCAGAGCCATCGTGACTATAAGCTCGCCGTTGCCCGGCAGCGCCTCGAGGTCATAGTCAAGCTGACGGAGCTGGGATACTCCAAGGAAGATATACAGGAGGAGCTCAAATATCTGTACTAGCACACATCACACTGCCGCAGCCAGCTTGCTATTTCTTGGGCCGACTCCATGCAGCGACGGGAGCCGCCGCGCCGCGCAATCTACACGGCATTGGTGCATGGAGCGCAATACATTCATTACAGCTTGTTCGGGACAAAAGTGTTCCTGAGTGTTTCTGAGTGTCCTTCACTGAACCACTGTCTTCAGCGCAGAAATTTGTAGGCTGCGGTGAGCAAGCCATGTGAGTACACTCCAATCTTTGTGGACGGTCGAGTGGTTTTGACTGGTTTGGGAGGAGGTCTGGATACATCCAGTCGATCTCCTGTGGCGATGATCGACTCGCACCTACGACCATGCTCTTGACTCTGTCGATGTTGCGATGCTGATCTATGGTGTATCAATTTGATGGACTGCCTCGTCGACTGCATCCAGCCCAGCATGAGCACATTCTGATAGTGGAACTGCTCGAAACAGCGAATGGACCTCGGACGGCGGAAACTGGAGGCACATCTTTCACCTGTTTCCACGAGGCGAATGGTCACTGTGCATCACGGATGCATATATTAAGATGGTGAAATTTCCAGCGTCATCCATTCGGACGGCACCTTACTCTTGTCTGATATGCTTGCTGATCCCTGTGTCCAACCTTCGGACTTGACGTATACCGCCTCAAGGCGAGCCAAGACCCTGTGGGTATCCCTTCGTTTGTTCGTGTTGGTTGGACGCAAACCCTTTGGAATGGGCCTGTCCGTTAGGCAACGACATCATAGTTGTTGTCGCTCACTCTCGGGCCCATCTCCGTCTCTAACGCTGGCAGCTCCTGACGAGCCTGGAGACGAATCCGATTCGTTGTATCCCTGCGCGTCGATATCGGCGTCCTTGGCACCATCGTCGAGTAGTCTGCTGTTGGAGTCCATGGGGACGTTGTCGAGATTGCCAGCGGCCGAGATCGTGACGACGGGTATATGTGCCTCCAGCGGAACAAACTTTTTGTCGCAGAGCTCAGCCAGATCACTGTTGGACACACCCTTGGGCATGGTGTTCCAGAACTCCGCGATGGCTGGATTGACCCAGGGCTTCTGCAGCGGCTTGGAGAACGCCGGATTGACGTACTTGGTCATGTACCGTTCAAGGTTATGGTGCTCTGGGGACGTGACAAATTCGGTCTCGATGGGGCTGTCGGCTCCCAAGGAGTCCAGAGCGGCCGGTGTCATTGGTGTTGGTACCAGCGGCGTGGGGGCTGCTGGTGAGATTGTCAGCGACGGGGGTGCGGCCGGCTGGGTTGTGTGGACCTGCAGCACCCCCGAACGCTCGTCTGATCTTTGTTGACCAGCCGTTTCGGTACGATCGGCTGCGATTTCTGATTGGGTTGCATTTGGGTGTCTGTCGCTCGTTCCCGAAGGCTTGGGAGCCAGTGCGTCCGCTGAGCCTGCGAGCGACTGCGCTGTGAGATCGGGGCCCTCAAACAGCTGATCGAGCGGAATGAACCGTTTGACAGTTCGTTGCTTGAATGCGATTTCGCAATATCGGTGAAACGCGACGGTGATCGGGACAAGAGCAAACACAACGATAGCTGGGATAAGCACTGCATCGGGTTTGGTGCAAGCAAGCCACATTGAGGATAGCCGCGATCGGGATGATCGTCCATTGTGATGGGTGGAGCAAGATCAGTATCGCAGTCGATTTGGCGCCACAACCACGGTGCATTCCGAAGATATCGACAACGCGCAACGCAGCTGACCGGTACAGTGGATTCCGCATGCCATCGTGATAATAAAAAGGATTCAGGTCTCAGGCAGCCTCACGCTCTCCAAGACAAGCAGAAAGGTACTGGCGCTGGACAGAGCCCACGGGCTCTCGTTCAACTCGATAGGGGGCATGCTTACCGTTCTTTGCCATCAGCACCCCGCAAAGGGTCAACTGACCGATGACGATTCCAACGATGCAGTACGTAAAAACCTTGCACCAGTGCCTGCCATATCCTTCCCACTCCTTGACATACACAAAGAGCAGTTGGTTGCGGTATACAACCCACCCGATCAGGAAGAACAGCGTGCCCGGCAGGAGCACAAGTGGTGCAATGACTGCATAACAGGAAATGATGACAAAGACAAGCAGTGGGAACGGATAGAGCGCTCCGTAGTTGAGGTACGACGTCGTCAAGCTGCCCTCGTGAAAATCGCGCGGTGTGAAGCTGAAGAAGCGGTAGGTGATTAGGTCGTAGATGGTGGCCCCTGGGCGGATGAGTTCGAGTGAGAAGAAGTTGATCGAGTACTGAATGTAGTTGATGAAGAAGGTGCTGGCGCCCGGAAGCTTCGTGGCCAGCAATGAGGTGATGATCGTCATCGGATTCTGCCAGAACTCGACCACTATTCCAAAAAATGCGCCGCTGAGGGCAAACACGAAAAAGACGTTCAAGAACAGGAAGAAAAAGTCTGGCATCGGTCGTGGAGTGACCAGACGAGTCAGTGACTTGGACGCACTGGGCTCTTGCGAAATACCGAGTCCCGCTGGAAGCAACAGCATTCTAATGCACATGAAAGCCATGCGGGATGTGCCATCTGGATCGCGGACTCTGCCTTCAGGAGCACCAACGAGCCTCACTTACATTTGGTCAGCGTTGCCACTTCAACATCTGTGTGTGCATATCGGGCTTCAAGGTACGATATATCTGTGGTCAACAAAGCCGAGTGAGTCTCGATATCGGACCGTGTCTGGTACAATGTCGTGCGATGTTGCCAAATGCAAGGCTCAGCTACGCACCGTCAGCACAGTGCTACAACTGGGACAGCGGATGCGATGACACGGGCATTGCGCACGATCACTGGGGGCAACTCACAAATCATGATGTATGGCACCAGCAAGTTGAGCAGGCCAAGAACCATCGGGGGTCCAAGCGAGTTGATAAGGAAGGTAAGAGTCGGGTTGTCGGCGACAAGGTTGGTGATGATGTTCTTGAAGTATGGGATCTTGGCGAGATTGTCGAGGTTTACGAGTGACGACACAGCCGCAGCCGGGATGGTCCAGAAGAGGCAAAAGAAAAAGACACCGGCGCCAACAACAATGCGTTGCATGTAGCGCCTCCACAGCGGCATCGACACTGATCCCCAGATGATGTCATGTGGAGACGGTGCAAGCAGCACCCTCATCTCGGATGGGTCCGGAGTGGTATAGGTCAGCAGTTGGGCCGCCATCTGGGCGGCGCGCTGGGACTTGAACGTCACGAATCCGGTGCTGTTGTAGAACACGTCGTTCTCGGAGATGTACCAGTCCGGGTTGCGAGCGATTAGCCGCTGCTGCTTGATGCGGTGTGTGAGCAAGACCAACTTCTTGGAATAGAACGCAATCATGTCCTCCTGATCGGTGCGCCGGGTCTGGGTGCGTGTGAGGGTCGGACGGAGACCCTGGATCTTCTCGTCGGTCAGGCCCTCGGAGATCTCCAACGGAAGCGTATTCTCCCGATCAAGGTCGTTGGATTTCTTCAAAAAGTACACAAGCCAGCCGGGCTTGTACCAGGGCCGCTTGGGACCAACAAGCGCATCCCGCTCTTTGACGATGCGCCGATACCACATTTCGTAGGCCTTCTCGAGCTTGGCCAGGGTGCGGTTCCGCTTCGACATGAGCTTCTCGACGCTCTTGCTGGAGCGCCGATCGATGGTGACTCGCTGCACATCGCCGATGCCCAGCGAGTTGAACCAATCCTTGAGCTGCTCGTCGTCTCGGATCCGGTGCGGGATGCCCTGGACCATGACGGTCCGCAGCTGGATGAGCTCGCCACGCCGCCAGCTTGGGGCACGTCTGGCGAGGACGCCGTCGTATTCCTTGAAGTACGCCGTGGCCATGTTGGCATAGAACTTGTAGTCCTTATACAGAAAGGCGAGCATCGAGGCCGTGACCGTGTAGGCGCATAGCACATGGACCCAAAAGGCCTGCGATCCCTGCTGAATCCCTGCGACGCTGAAGCTGTCCATTTGCTGGTCCTGGAACAGAACCGTGTGGTCCGTGGTGTTGACCATGGTGATGGTGTCGCCGATGACCGAGAGGTAATTGTTGAGCGGCGTAAGCGATGGCGTGAAGAGGACGGCGAGCAGTCCAAACATCAGGAACGATGTTCGCATGAATCGAAGAAACCTGCGGCGAGACGACAATAACAAGAAGTCAGAAGCCGGCTCCCCGCTTACGCCGCCACGCAGTGACCCGCAGGATCACTTCCACTATCGATTCTAGCATCAACAACCCAGGCCAGCTCAGCAACATGGTTGCTGTAACCTTCCCAGGGTCGCAGGTACGATAGTGGTGTCGAAGGATGTTGCAAGCGATGAAGGGGTGGCAGACCGCAGACCGCAGAACGCACATCACAGCATCGAGGCCAATGTTTTCAAGAAAAAATGACTCGTCTGTGGTAACAGCCACTTTGACCCAGCTCAGCCAGCCCTTTGGGATCGGCGGAGTCTGGTCCCTATAAGAAACGGCGACGGCGTGAGCACAACCTCATCTCGGGAAGCAGCGAACCCTCTGTCAGCGCGTGCCTGTCGTCTGGAAACTGGTGGTTGTGCCGGCGATGGTGAAGAGAGCCCACGCATGATCCTAGCAGACAACGAAAATAGCCTTCCGGGCGCCTTGTGCAAGCCTACTGGCTCGTAGACTACACGGCCCGCATCGACGGACGGATGAGTGGATCTTACTTTGTGGTGAGGCGCCGGGTATAGAGTACCCGTTTCATGAACTGCCTGACCCTGATGACTTCATACGCGATCATACACAGGATAGCCACGATGGTGGTGATGCCGAGCCAGAGCAGGACTCCCTTGATGCTTGGATCGGAGACGTTGTATATGGGGAGCGGCGACGACGACGGAGACGGGGAAGGCGAAGCGGACGGGGATGGCAGCAGACTCTCCGACGCTGTGGGAGACGGCGCCGGCTGAAGGGATGTCGAGACAGACATGGCGTGCGCGATCTTGGCAGAGACAGCTCCACGAACGGCGGTGGGATCGGCGACGGCAGGTCGGGACGTGATGGAGGAGAGCTACGGGGCAGAGAGGACAGTCCGTCCTCAGGAGCCACCACAACCCAAAGAAAAACTCCGAGCGAGGACAGGCGATTGGCCGGCGGGCCCAGAACCAGCGCGCACGGCGATTGGTCGGCTGACGAGAGTTGGTTGGGCTGAGTCGGGCGGGGTTTGACGGCTCGGCTCAGCCCAGAGCGGAGATCGGGGTGTGGTGAATGATAATTGTGGATGATGAATGTCTGGGCATTCTCCCCCCCCCAACGACAGCTGTAGCAGCAGGATGTCCCGAGTCGTGTTGCGGATGCCATTTTATTTTTTCTTGCGTTTCCCTCCGGGCCTTGGCGACAGCAGCATGTCCAGCGCCTCGTACCGCGACAGATCTGCATCTCGGGTGTCTGATGGTCTGGGCACATCGGCGGGATCATGCAAGCTGCCATGCCCATACTCCTCCTGCAGCACCTTGGAGGTCAGTTGCTGGACTTCACGATTATAGTTGCTGCGCCGCGTGTTCTCATCTCCGCTGTCGTTGCTGATCTGCATGTCGCTATCGCTGAGCTCGATGGGCTTTGGGGGCAACTTTTTCTGTACTCGCTGTCGCTTGCGGTTGCTCTTTGGCGACCAAGCAGGCGATTTGGACTTGGTGCCCGGTGGCTCCTCGTCCGAGTCGTCGATCACATAGACATAGTCGGTCTCGGCCTTGGACTTTCCACCCTTCTTCCTGCTCCGGTTTTCGGTTTCCAGACTCCATGACAAGGGGATTTCCAGCCGAATGTTTTGATCTCCACGCACACGCTCCCAACGCTCCTGGATCTCCTGCCGATGGATAAGCACTTGCTTTGGAATCGTGAGGATTGTTCCCAGGATAGTGTTGGGCCGTCTGGGCTGCTCAAATACAGTTTCGTTCATCGACCGCCGCCGGCTTCGCTGCCATTCCTGGTGCTGTCGTTCGCGATGAACAAAGGCGCCGATGATGCCGGTGATCCGTGTGTACGCCTTTCCAAACTCGCGGCGAATGACGCCGGCATTGTAGGATCCTCGGGTAATGTCGTTTGCTATGTCGACAAACAGGGATGAGCAAGGCAGGAGCAGGAGCAAAGGCCGGTCGAATGCGACTCAGATACAACCAACTCCATCGCCATGCCGTCATTCCACCCGCAAATGCAAGCAATGCTGTGCCAGGCAACTTACATGGATCCTGCGGATCGAGGACGGTAAACATGAACTTTTCTCCGCCAAACCGGCGCTGCTGTCTGAACTCGTCCTGCGGGCGACAAGGGACTGCATGTGAGTAAATTGGCTCGCTGACAGGCGAGATCGAGCGATCGAGCGAGACTGGTGTTCCACTTGTATCGTGGCCGAAATTGGCGACATCTGGACAGACCGCATCGAGCGCTGTCGAGCGATGTGTGTCTGTCAGACCGAGCCTCACCTTATTGAAGTAGTAGACGCCATCAAGAGTGACAGCCAGCCCCATGTTGGAAAAATTGAAGTTTCGGCCGTAGAGCTCGAGGAACTCAATAAGCAGGATGCCGAGGTTGCGTTTGGCGTCGATTTGTCCGCTTTGCAGCAGGGGGTGCACCTGGGGTGTTTCGCAAGAGTGTCAGCGTCCACCAGCACGGGTTCCAGTGGGCGCAACCTGGTGCCAAGCCATCTATCAAGGGCAATGCTTACCTTGAGGAAGGCTGCCACGAGCGACAGAACCGCGTAGCTGCCCATTCCTCCGGTATAGACTTCATTCAGATACCGCTGCATCAGGAATTGCTTGATGATCATCACCAGTGGTTTTAGCGCCACGGCGCACGACGGATCCTCCATGAACTGTTTGACGATGGAGACGGATTGCACGCCGCCTGCGATGTCGAAGCTGACATCAACCGGGAAACCTGTCAGTGCGTCGACATACTTGAGGATTGGGACCTGGGCACCGCATCCGTCGCGGGAGGAGGGATCGGGCAAAAATGCGCCCGAACGCGCGCCGAATGATCAACAGGCTGCGATGGTGGTGGACAAGCGCGCGGCTCCTCAGCGCATAAAGTGCCATCGACCATGCTATCCCGGCGTCGTCGATCGCATGGGCCGCCATCCAAGTCGTGGAGCCACCTTGGGCACATGCGCGAGTGTCTAGGAGATCTCGATTACCTTGGCGCTTGCAATCACTTCAACTTTGGAGGCAAATTTCGATTTTCGAAGCTCGCCCTGGAGCGTATATAGGCACGAGGGCGTCCGCTCCCCACAGCCGAATATAGCAATATCGACATCGCTGGACAGAAACAGCGACGATCGGCCGTCAGCGCAGCTGTCGAACGATGTTGCTTCGAACGATATCCGGTAACGCCAAGGGCATCACAGGAGCCACCGACGCACCTGGATGGGAGGTAAAGCTTGGTCTCGAAGCTGCCAAAGACGTTGACGGTTGTTTGTGGGCCCCATAGCCGGATCGCCAAATCCCGGATACGCTGGACAGTCAGCACTCTCAAAGAATGCTCGGCCTCGTTCGGGACCATAAAATCGACAAAGTCCGTAACTTCCTCGTTCAGCCTGAATAGACAGAGCGTTTGTCAGCATAACCACTGGGCCTGGGGGTGCGGTGATTGTCTGAAATGAATGGCAGCGCCTTACATGTCGACCAGGTTCTCAGAGTAGCGACTCGGATCGTCAACCCATGGCGGAATGGGAAGCGGCGACAGGATGTCAACGTCCCTCACACTGCGGCTCCCAGCTCGGTAGCGATCGCTGCGGGAGGTTGTGCCAACGCTATCGGCCTCAACGGGCAGGCTCTTGTTGTCGGCCGCCTCGACGTTGTCCCCGCTGGCAGCTTTGAAGGCATCGTCTCCCAGAAGATCAAAGGAGATAAAGTCGTCATTTTCGCGGATGCTTTCGTGGCTTTGTTCGAGGTGGTTCTCATCAGCTACCGATTCGCTAGTGGTTGCCGCCCGTGGTTCGCTGGGGGGTTTGGATGGCGCAACGACAGCCTGACTTTCGACTTCGGAAATCTCTCCGGATTCTACTGACAGAACCTCGTCCACTTTCGCCGACGATGTGGATCTGCGACTGGCTTTCTCTGCAAGCCTCTTGGTCTTGGACGAGAATGTGCCCTTCTCTTCGTCGTCCGAGATGACATTTTGCGCGCGATACCAGTTATAGACCTCTTGGTCGTCGGCGTTGTTTTTTTGGTTCTGCGGGTGTTTCCCGGAATTATCATCGACCGAGACAGGTGACTCACTCGATTCGATAATCTGCATCACCAGAGCAACACATTGATTCTGTCAGCGGACATGGAACAGACCGATCGTAGCAGCCAGCCGCAATGTGGGCCCGTACATAAATCTCCTCGGTGGATGCTTGTGGCTGTGAAGATGGCCGGCCGCCCTGCTTGGAAGCTCTGGGGAATGAAGGGTATTGCTGTCGATGTGGCAGCGAATCGAGAATGGGAAAGAAGGCGGGATGGAATAAGCCTGGCGCACGGCATCCGTGGTGGCAGTGTCGGTTGTCTGGATCTCGCATCGTCTGCGGCAGACCGGTCGCATGACTACCTTGCTCATGGCTACGATGCCGGCCAAAATGCGGGCTCGACGGTGCGGCTGTCGCTGCAGAAGTGGTGGGCGAAGGGCGATCTGGGGATATGCAGATGTCGCTGGTGTTGCTGTTGTTGTTGCCAGCAGACGACTGCGGTTCGATCCGGTGGCTTGGCGACGTGATTGGCCGGGGCAGATGAATTTCATTTGCGATAGATGATATATCCCTCAATTTGCCTCGCCCAGCCTTGCCCTGACCTGACCTGATCTGACCTGATCTGCTGGACATTGCTCCCTCCCCATCACCACCCTCCCCATCACCACCCACCATCACCACCCACCCCCACCACCCACCATCACCACCCACCCCCACCATCCACCACCCCGCACCACCCCATGTCCATTCCTCCACACCCTGAGCATCATGCCCTGCACCGTGCCAGCAGAAGTGCCGGAGCCTCGGCCCGCGCTTAGCCCCAGCGGGCCGACGCTGCAGACTCTTTTGCCGAGCGCTGCTCCGGGACGCAGCAACCGAACCGACCCCGCAAATAGAAATTGCAGAGTATTGCCCATTGCTCTGTGATGGGACGATGTGGGAAAACTAGCGTCACGCATCCGGGGCCGGCTATTTGAGTGCCCAGAGACCCGGTGTTTCTGGGCGCACCAGCCGTGTCCCGTACATTTCCTTTGGCTATAACGCTTGTCATATTGATCCGTCGTTGGCAGTACCGCTCGCAGAGGGCCGGCCTGTCCAGCGAGTTTGGTTTGAGTGGCCGGCGATCGATGTGGATCGCCACCACTCACCCAAAGAAGGCGGGAGGCTGTTTGAGGAACGGGAGAGTGCGCTACCGGTGAGCCTTCGTATCGGCCATCCAAGGCCGCTCTGGTACGATCATCATGGACCATGCCAATGTCCCTCCAGCTTTGAGAGCGGGAATTCAAACCTATGGGCTGCCAAGAGACAGCTGCGACCGACGTCCAGCGACAGCCTCGTGGTGTGCCGCATATTGGCGATATCAGATATCAGATGTTGGCTTCACTCCGGCACGAGGGGCTGGCCACACCCCCTGGAACGAGGCGCAAGGCATTCTCATCATCGCCAGGTGTCCAGCTGCTCGCCTGTGTCTGGGTCCAAGCGTCCACATCCGTTTCCGTTGCGCCCTCACAGGCAGTTTGCGGCACTCCTGTGCAGCAACAATCAATCAATCACGGCGGCCCATATTCACTCACACAAGCTCGAAAGTGCCTGCCTTGGCTTCGTCGAGCAAGCCTTGCCCAAGCAGCGCACCCAGCAGCCGCTCAGCAGCCTTCGTTCCCACACGCCGCTCGAGTGCTCTGTCCGTCTCCTCACCCAAGGGCTCTGTTTCTAAATCCTGCGGGCGTCCGGTGTCTTGCTCCATAGCTTTACCCATGGCTGCCTCAGAAGTGCATGACCTGGTACGGCAGCATCAATGCATCCGCAAGGAGCTGCTCCTACGCTGAGACCGACCCCCGAGCACAGGAATGCCCTCCGCTCTCGTTGTGTTTGTATGGTATCGTCCCAGACGGCAAAAGCACCAACTAACGGCCTGATATGTCCGCGGCTCCGGTGGATATCGCCTTGCGGATCCAAGGTTGTTGTTGGCTCTGGTGGTGTCGGCAAGTCGTGTTTGACCGTTCGGTTTCTGAAAGACGAGTTTTCAAATGACTATGATCCCACAATTGGTATGGCAGCACACTGGCTGGTAGAAGGCGTCCGGGCCGTCATCGACAGCGATACGCTATGCGAGAGCACCTGCCGACTGTGCGCAATCTTGTCCCGGCCCCGTCTCTGCGTGCTCGGAATCGCCTTTCCAAGGCTCTCCATCATCCCGTTCACTGCCTGCTTGTTCACTTGCTCCCTGATATCATCAATGCTATGTATTTCTTGGCCACAATGGCCCTCGGGTGGATTCGCTGCGCGTTGTGCTCGTCTATTCGCATCATGCTCCAGAGGAAAACTATCGGAAGAACATCGACGTCGACAAACAGCCCTGCATCGTGAACATCATTGATACAGCCGGGCAGGTAGGGATTGTGCACCACCCCAAGGAGAGTGTGCGAGACGTGCTCGAGCAGCTCGGGGAATGGCCCGCCCGACGCTGCTGTGCGATGACGATGTTAGCTTGGTGCTTACATCTGGCTCGATATCAATTGCGGCGACAGCATGAGTACACATCGTTACGCGACCAGCATCTGGCTTCAGGAAAGGGCTTCCTGCTCGTATTTGCGCTGGACGACCCCATTTCCTTGGATGAAGTTAAGGTGCTGAGAGAAAAGATCATCAAGCTGAAGGATACCAAGCGTGTGCCGCTGGTCGTCTGCGGGAACAAATGCGTAAGTCTGCTCTCCCCCTCTTCGTAGCAAGGCTGCAGTACCTGGCATCCTGGCCGCAGGTCTGCATCCCATTGATGCATAACCCGTCTCATACGTCGCCACGACCTCCAGGATCTACCCCCCGACCAGGTCACAGTCGATCGTGCCGTAGCCACCGAGTTCTGCTCGCAAAACAAAATACCCTATCTGGAGACATCGGCAAAGGTAGCATCGGGGGGCGAGGGCACAGATGGCCGTTTGCTAATGCAAGCTCTATGAGTACGCTATGCTGCATCATATATGCTGACTGCCCTTACCACCCACTGCGGCAACAGGACTCTATCAATGTAACAGAGTCGTTCCACAACCTGGTGCGAGAATGCCGCAAGTTTGCTGCAAAAACAACCGGCGGCGGTGCATCAGGCGGGACAAAGGCCAAGGGCGATGTCAAGAAAGAAAAGAAAAAGGGGTGCACCATGTTGTGATCGGCAGCGATCCACCCCGCTCGACCCTCGGGGCTTGGTCTTCCTGTGGCCGACGATGTGGCCCTCATTCTGGCCGTGGCGTGTCCTGCCGGGACTTGTCGGGTAAAGGAGATCTTTGATTACCAAGTACAGGGAGCTGTGTTGGTGAGTGTCCGATGCCGGTTCGGCACTTGGCTCTCCATCGACTTGCTCTCGAATGGTTGTCTGCATACGCTGAAGGACACGTCGTACTGGTTTGCTGCATCGATCTCGAGCTCTTCTATCGCAGACTTCCCTCCGCCTTTTGCAGACCATGGACAATACATATTCCTTCGGACCCGGGGTTTTGGAGTTCAGAGCTGCCACTTTCTCTGCATTCTGAGCACACACACACATCTACCGTGGCCAAGCAGTGTGTTCAAGGAGACGGGCGCTGTGGCTGCCTTTGCGAATGCCTCAGGGTTGATAGGGATATAGGTACACGGATACATCCATATTTGTATTTCCAGAATCATTGACAAAGCAAGGATACACACTTGCGAGGAGAGCAGTAGCAAAAGACAGCGACAAATACGGAAGGACGCGGGAGAAAACGGATTCACCTCCCATATCGAATGAGATCGCGGCTGTGGCCATCGCATCGCATCAAACATCACATCCCACATGGCATCGCGCTCTACACCACCCGTCGAATCCCTCGTGCCATTAACAAATCGCATCACATATTGCATCACATATTTCAAAGGGATTTGGCTTTGTACTTGAACAGATCATGCTTTCGGATGGCGTGTGGATTGTCTCGTCCGGGCTAGAGTTCGGCTTACATCAGCAAGTAGCCATGGCGATCTTGGGCGGCTACAGGATATGCGTCACCATCGATATGCGCATCGCCTTGATGGCCTCGAAGAGCGTATCGACCGAGTCTGGCGAGACATCGCATTCGTCCAGATGGCGGACGAGCCACTGGTGCAAAACCAGGGCCTGTGCTGAGTTTGGCTCGTTGGCGATCCGCTTGAGCTGAAGGGCATCCTTCCATAAGGCAGCAGCGACATGGGGGCGAATGCTTCCGTTGCGGGCGAGCTGGGCCTCAAAGGCCCTCCAATGGGCCGCAAAGAACGAGCCGCCGGCACGAGGAAAGCTCTTTGGCGCTGGGCCGTGGACCAGAGCCACAGCCGCCCCGATCGTGATTTCAAACGACTCAATACAGAGCTCGACGCCAAGCCGGGGAACCTTGGGCGGACCCGAACGGGAGGTTTGATAGATCCTGGGTCGCGACGGGCCTATGCCCACATCATCCGCCTTGGTGGGCTGGGCATCTGGGTCCGGTACTGGACGCAGGGTGTATCGCAGGCACCACTGACCACCCTTGCTGTCGAGGATCTTGCAGCGGATGCCCTCGGCCGGCAAGCCACGCTCGACGACCTCTGCGACGGGCTCGGTCCGAACAAATCCAGCGTACCAGCCACCGCTCTCGACCTGCCACTGGGGGAGCTCGGTCGAGCGGCCGTTGAGGGCGAACGACATGAGCCGTGGGAAGGTGCGGAGTGAAGGCTCCAGACCAAAAGCGCGCATGGCAGCCACCGAAGGCGACTGGACAGTGGGCCCTTCATAGTCCTTGATGGACGAGCCGATAACGGCGGGGGTCCGCGGGCTCTGTTGCGACACCAGATGGGCAGATGGGCAGATGGGCAGATGGGCAGATGGGCAGATGGGCAGATGGGCAGTTGGCAGGTCGCAGTCAGAAGATGCCGGTTATGCGGAATGGAGGGGAGGCGCATCGGGGGTCACGTCCACAGAAGGCAGCGATTCCTGGGCCGAGCCACCCGCCTCTGGCAATGCGATGCATGATGGTGCCGTGCAATGAGATGCAGCGCGGGGCGATAGAACATGGCTGCGGGAATGCGCACGGACCAAGACCCACACTGCCGCTGTTGCCGCTCCAGCAGGGAGAGGGAGGATCCGTACCTGCGATGCATCCGAAACCGCACGGGGCAGAAACACGAATGTGCCGAGCTGCGAATTGACCGAGCTCAGGAACATTTGCAGCGAGCATTCGCCGATGCCGCCTGGGATGGTGAAGCTCACCAGGGCCTTGGCCCTGCGGTACCGTTGGAAGAGCGTGGTGTCGGCAGCGATGCGGAAAGTGTGTGAGACGCACCGCAGCAGCTCGAGGCTGCGGCGGTCCATGAACCAGAAGATGGAGACGATGATCTCGAAGGGCAGCGTGGGTGTGCGCCGCTCCTTGCGGAAGGGCTTGACCTTCTTCTGGATGAACGAATAGAGCGACCGAGCAAAGTCAAGCGTGCTCTCGGGAAGCTCCAGCAGGTTGGGTTCGTTGTACTTGATGATCAAGGGCGAGTGGGGATAGGCCTTAGTCTTGATAAGCGACAAGTTCTTGGTATAAGGCTGCTGCTGCTGCTGCTGCTGCTGCGTCGGCAAGACGCCGTTGGGCCCGGTCGACAGCGAGCGCTTCAGAGTGTGGAAAGGCCGGGGGGTTGGGGCATACGAAATGATGGACTCGACAGAGCCCCTCCGTCGCAAGCCACCATGACTTTCTGTTGGGGCCAAGGATGACATTTAGGCTGTTTGCATGATTCAGCCGCAGCTGGACGGTCGAGTGAGGCAGAAGAGGAATCGGACGGGCAAGAGGGCAGCGCCGATGTTACGGAGGGATGAGTGCGGCCTGTCAAAGAAAGCCAGGAAAGCGGTGGCCCGGAAAGTGGAAGATAAGATGGAGACAGGCCCCGCAAGGGCAGGAGAAGTGCTGGTCGGGAGAGCGGCGGGAAAGGCGGCTGAACAGGGCGCTGCAGGAGCGATATGGCGACAGCCAAGTGCAGGGCAGCGAGCCTGGAAGATGCGGGGGAGCCGCTGCACGATGGATGCGAGAGAGGGAGAGAGGGAGCAGGAGTGCCCTGGTGCGATATGGTGACCGAGCGAGCGATGCGGGCACATGGGGGCAACGGCGCCATCTCCCCCCGCCATGGCCGGGACACCCTTTCTCCTCCTCGTCCACCTCCTTCTCTCTGTATGTGGGAGCATGCATCGGACGCTCTCGGGCGACGGGCTGTTGCAGCGACGATACCAACACCGGTGTCGCTGCGATACCCCCGAGGCAGTCGCAATCCCACACCAACCAAGTCTGCGCAATGCAGCCGAGCAGCAGGCCGCTCGTGGTCGCGTGCGGTGGCTGGGTGCAGACCTGTTTCGGCTCGCACGAGGATCGCCCAAGCCGGATGTCCAGCAGCAGAGACCCCAGGACGAGCCAGGCGGATGCGCAGGGCGGCAGCTGGACCGCGAGCGAGGCGGACCGCAGCATGATCGAGTGTACAGCATGTTCGGAACGAAACGGGACAGCAGCGGGTGGCCTCAGAGCAACGCATTGGTTTGTGGCGACATGGAGCTGGCGAGGATCTCCTGGGTGATGGTGTCGAGGCGGTCGTCCAGGACAGAGACATTGTCTCCGAGCTCGTCCAGATAGAAATCCCGAACCATCGATCGGATCTTGTCGTCGACCACAGCCCGGCAGTGCTCATACGCCATCGCCATAAGTTCCTGCAGCGACATCCGCAGCAGCCGCTCCTTGCCAAACGAGTCCATGACCTGAGCCACCAGCGTGGATGGGTCCAGGAACTCGAAATCCTCCGATTCCCACTCACCCTCGACACCACGGTGGTGGGCCAGCTGCACAGAGACCTGCTCTCCGAGCCATTCGATCTCGAGTCGCTCGCGGGCCTTGGCTCGGGGTGCGGGCTCTGTCTTGGCCATCGAGGTACTGTCCGGCTCCACCAGGTCCATGGCCGGCGGACGGGCGACTTCCTGTGTCTTGGCTGGTCCCGAAGCACGCTTGCGAGCCTTTGTCGGCGGCGACCGTTCGCCTGCACTGGGCAGCTTGCTGGCCGAATCAGCTTCAACGGCATGTGTGCTTGAAAGAGCCGATTCAGACTCGTTTCGGCCCCGCTTCGAGCCGCTCGGCCGACCGACCTTGGAGGTACTCGACATAGCAGGCTCTGCGGTTGTCGATGGTTTGGCCGCCGGTGCCGAAGCTTGTGTCTCGGTTTTGATCTCTGCCACGACCTCAGGGACGAAATCAGGATGCGATTCAACCTTGGGTGAGCGCTCTGGCTTGATCTCCGCTTCTGGCTCCTCGATCGCCTTGGCTGCCGCTGCCTTTGCAGCTGCCCTTGACGCTGTCTTTGCAGCGGGCTTGGGTACCACTGTGGATGTTGCTGATGGGGACGCCGTTGGAGTTTGTCCAGATTGAGGTCCGGTCAGCTGGGTACGGGAATCTGGGCTCTTTCCAGCCGGATGGGTTTGCAGGGGCTCTTCCTTCATAGCCACGTCGTCGGCATCGTCGTCTTGAGCAAGATCCACCGGGGCCCGCCGCTCAGGACGCTCCTTACTCCGAGGCGCGGGTACGCTCGCATCGACGGTCGGTTGGTCGCTGGTAGTGTTGGTGTGCGTGTCAGTTGATGCTGGCAGTGTGTCAGATTTTGCAAACAGCGCCGTCGCCGTTGATGCTGCACTGGGTTTCTTGAGGTTGGCCGAGCCGGCGACTCGCAGGGGACTCGCTTTGGGTGTCATGGCTCTGGCGACAATCCGCTCAAACAGCTTGGCGGGCGTGACAGGCGGCACCGCTGTGGGTAACGAGGAGCCGGGTTGAGCCGGCGCCTGTTCTGGGGCACTGGCTTCGGTCTGCAATGCAGGAGGCTGCTGCTGCGACGCTGACGAAGCCTCTCCGCCCTTGACTCGAGCCAGCCGGCCACGCTTGCGCTTGGGCTCGGGAGCAGACGCAGGCTCTGCAGCGGGGGCTGAAGGCGCTGGTGCTGAAAGTCCGTCGTCAGCCAGGTCACCGGCATTGCTCTTGGCGCTGTCCGATCGACCGAGCTTCCTTTTTTCGGCCTCGGGCTTGTGTCGGACCTTTTTCGTCGGATCGGTTTTTTCGAGCTCATAACAGTTCAGGATTTTTTCCTGAGCCATGAGGGCTTTGCCGCGTTTGGGTCGCACTGTAGTCTTGCTGTCGGACTTGCTCACTGCACCGATGCCGCGCGGGGGTTTGCTGGCTCGGGGTTCTTCGGCCTTGATATCTGCATGGATCTCATCCGCTGGGACTGGCTGCGATTGTTTAGCAAATTGACAGTCAGATGGTGCTCACAGAGGCTCATCGCACAGAGAATCAGCAGGCAGTTGGATGGCATTTGGGACAGCATATCCACACCTCCTTTGTATCGCTTTCTGCGTCGGTCCTATGCTCGACTTCGGCATCCGCTTCAGCCTTGGGCTCAGGTTCGGCTTTGAGCTCGGGTTCGAGCTCGATTTCAGGTGCAGGTGCAGGTTCAGGCTCGGGCTCGGGCTCGGGCTCGGGTTCTTTGGGAGTTTCCTTTCGCTTCCTGGTGATTTGTCTCCGTTTCTTGGGTTCTTTGGTGGGCTCCTTGGTGGGTTCTTTGGTGGGCTCCTTGGGAGCTTTGGCGATTTCTTTGGCCGCTGGTTTGGTAGATGCCAGAGTAGGCGGCTCCAGAGTTGCCACGGCCGCCTTTGAGTCGCCAGCGACCAGATACTCGATCAACGGGCAAGCTATGTCACCGGATCGGCGCTTTTGATGCTCCAGGCTAGCATAGGAAGAGCGATTGCAGGTACGATGAGTATAGCGGCTCATGATCAAGATCTTTGGTGGACTGTTACCGACCAAAGGGATCTGAGGAGGAGCAAAGGGAGGGACGGTCCGATACTCACAGCGGATCGTCGTCTTCACCCCATCCGTCGAGGCCCAGGTCACAGTACAGACATTCGCAATAGTCCATGGAGCTTGGGTTGGGCAGGTAGCACCATCCGGCCTGGGCCATCTGTGCGTGAGCGCGCAAGCGAGGGAAGGAAATGGGGTCAGGCGCCAGAGCCTCGGGCCTGTCATATCGATGGGCAACAGTTGACGGAAAGGAGCCACCCTGGATGGATCGGCCCTACCTTTTCCGGAGGCAAGAATACTTGGTGAGGCCAGTCGTCGTCAAAGGTTTTCTTGCGGCTCTCGACACAAGCCTTGGACCACGGAGCCTCTGCAGGCTCCTTGCTCAACGGCCACGACTTTTTCGAATGGTTCAAGATGGCCATGGGGCACTTTGGCGAGATTTCCCAGTGAATGTCCTTTGGATCGTCAAAGAAGCCCAGGGGCTTGGAGGTGGCCTCGTGGCAGAAGAAGCACTCGCATCGATCGGGTAGGTCGGGGGTTGGACTGAAGTAGAACCCGCAGCGCGAAAGCTGTAATGAGGATAGCCAGCGATCAGTTTCGCTTGCAACGGCTGTCTGCGGGCGAGAGCAAGGATCTGGAAAGCAAGAGCGTGCGCAGATGGGATGCGGCAGCTGCAGCTACAGGAAGGTGCCGGGGGTGGGAGCAGGGCTTACGGATTGGGGAGTGAGCAGGGCGCCGGCGGGGGCCTTCTTGGTGATGCGGTGAGGCCAAGTCGGCTTCTTGGTCCGCCGGAAGGACTTTTCTCTCAGCTCCTGGAACCGCATCGCTGGGAAAGGACTTGGTGTGCGGTGCGTTGGAGAAACACGGGCGTCGATTCGAGGCCAGAGCGAGGGAGAGGAGACCGAGGCACCCGTTTTCGCCAACGATCCAAGACAGGCCAAATTGAACCAAGGTCACGTGGACGGCTGTGGATTGGCTGTCTGCGGACCATGGAGCTGATGGCAGATGGAAGGAAGCATGGCAACGGGAGCATATCTATTGATGCCATGGAGAGACTGGTTTGCAGCCCGCTCATGGTGGAGCCGGATGCATCGCGGCTCTGAGTGTCCGCAGCCTGGACAGACTACTCGGAGACAGCGATGGCCTCGCAGACGACATGTGAACAGGAGCCAAGCGTCTGGCTGACCCAGTTTTGGTCCAGCAGCAGCAGCCGATTCTCACTGCCAGGTGGATAGCTTCGCGGCAATTTCTGGTTCGGAGGGCAGCAGGAGACACACGGATGAATACAACATCAGCCACGGACCATGCTGGATATCCATACTTGGGCAAACTCGACGATCGGCAGCAGTTGCTGGGCTGTGGTTGCAGAGCGATTGAACCCAGCTATTCCACACACACACACACCCAAATCTTAAGGCCTGGTCACCACGAAAATAGAGCATAGCCGGCTGGCTCTCGGCTCTCGGCTCTCGGCTCTCGGCTCTCGGCTCTCGGCTCTCGGCTCTCGGCTCTCGCAGTGCGCTGGGTATTACCTTGGTCACCTCTGAGTACGTGGCCGCTCGCGAGGTGTATTCCCTGACGAGAATGCTCTTTCCGAATTCGTGATAGATGCGGGTCTCGTTGATGCGGAACGTGACGTTGTCGACTCGCAAGAAGAATCGCAGCAGCACCAGGAAGCACGAGGGCATGACTCGCTGGGTATGGAGAGGCGGTACAGAGTGTCAACATGCCGAAGAACTGCAAGGACGAGGTGGGTCCCTCTTCTGGCAAGCACCGAGCTGCAAGTGAATAACAAGACTTACAATCCGGGCCGTCATACAGGAGATGCCATTGTCATGCAGTTCGTCTTCATACAAGACCAGCTCGTCATAGAATAATATGGGCTCTGGGAGCCGCAGACGGTCGAGGTCAACCCCGACCAATGACGGTTCGAACTGGAGAGGGCAATGCAACAAGTGAGCAACACTCTGGCCACGTAGTTCCGGCGCCGCTGCTGCAGGACACGGGGGGTACCTTAGCGCCAAGCGAGGAAGAGAGAGTGCCCGAGTACGACGACAAGTAGATCCAGTTGTAGGGCTTGACGACATCCTTGATCTGATCGTTGGCTTCGAGGCTGGGATCGATGGCTGGTTGTCAGCAGTCGGCGATGAGCCATGCGTCGAGATCGACAAACAGATCCGGCAGCCAAGATGCAGCCCGGCCCCTCCCCGGGTCGGAGCAATTGCCGACATAGCACCACATCGACCCCAACGGCATCGGCGTTGTGGAAGTGGAGGCGATACCTCATCTTGGTCCAGTGCTCGGCGTGAGCGACCTGGACAGACTTGTGTTCGGACTCGGGAATGCTGGCGACGTTGCGAAGGGCATCGAGGGCGCTGATGGAGTACTGGAAACCCGACGAGTGCTTGAGTTCGATAGCATTGTTTCCAAAGAACATTTCTGGAAACGGCATCTGGATCTCCTTTGAGGCACTAGAGAGGAACGAGGATTCCCCGGGATGAGGAGGTGGGTGATGGTGAGCTGCGGCTTTGAGTCTGCTTGGTAAATGGTGGTGGTGACTGTGGCAGGAAATGCCATCGCAACGATAGGAAACGAAGGGCGATGCTTGACGAGCAGATGCGGACACTGAGGATATGCGACAAGCACGTGTGATGGTCGAGCGGCTCGATCGGCAAACAGGAACGTAGGGTACTTGTCGATCTCGGCAGAGTTGAATATGGGGTGCTTCTTTGTGGTGATGGTCCAGCCAGCATGTGCGATGGAGTTGACGGCGCCGGAGGAGAATGTGGTGTGCGGGACAGGATGGCTGTGGTGGATGGTGGTGCCGGCCTTGGGCTCTGCCGGAGCAGCCGAGACGATCGAGACCGAGGCAGGCGGGAGGGTGCGGTTGAGCATGGAGCGAGTGTCGGGGACTGGGAGAAGAGCGATATCTAGGGCCGGGGTCTGGCCTCGTCTCAGCGCGGACGGCTTTGATGGAGGTGATCGGGACGAAACAGGATGCCCTTGGCTCGGAGCCGCTTTTCTTGGCCCAGAACGCACATGCCCAGCCAACGCACCCGACAACTCCAAAGCCCACAGACTCGATATCCGCGCCGCCGTGCTGCGATGCGAACGCTTCGTCCAGAGGCCCCTACAATCCTTCCCTCCACCATCGCCGGCATGTTCAAGGACGCCATGTGCGGTCGCTGGCTCGTCTCGCGGCAATCTGGACGACACATTCGAGTCTGCGCTGTGTATTCGTCCTCGCTCGAGCTGCGACTCATGCATGGGAATCAGACGACGGCGCTCGGCGTGCTGCAAACGGCTCTCTCCTCCGCAGATGGCTCTCTCCTCCGCAGGCCGCGGGCGAAGCCGTCTGATTTCTCATGTGCTGCGGGCGATGCGGGCGATGGTTGAACCCAAAAGTGACGACTTGCTCATCCGCCCCCAGTGCCGCGTTCCACAACGGCGCAATCGCGCTGCGCACACTGTGCGAGTGTTTGTGCAGCTGTGCTGTCGCGACTCACCATTGGTCAGCGCCCGGTTGATAGCCTGCGTTTTTTGGGGGGGGGTTGCTTCGTTTTCTTGCTGGCTTTGGCTCATCGCAGGCACCCGCCCTCATCAGCCGCTATCTCGCATCGCTCCTGCTGTCCCATCTGCTCCTGCCTGCCTGCCTGCCTGCTCCGTGCTTGCCATTTCCTTAAAGCCAGCAAGTGCAGCCTGATTGCACCCTCGCTCCACTGGCTCTCGTGCTTGCTCGCATCTCCGCAAAATGCAGTCCGCCGTGCCCTCGACATGGACTCCTCCCAGGCTGGAGGACTACCTGATAGATGCCGTCTACGGATTCCTGCCGGTCAACCCGCCGCCCCTTCGCCGCCTCCCGGAGTACTTTGAGCCTTGGGAGTTGCTCCTGGACGACATCTCGGCTCTCCTTCTTGTTGGTGCCCTCCGCACCCGCATCGAAAAGGTCCGTGTCGCTGTGAATCTGCCGCACGAATTCCTCGCTCTCTGGGCAGCCACGACTCCGGCTCCAACCCCGGCTCAATGCAGCCGGCATGGAGCCATCGCCATTCATTCGCCAGTGCTGCAACAGAGCGCCGCATATTCATGCGGTCGCCGGCCAAGCGGTATCTCTTACCCTCCCCCCTCTGCTTGTTGTACTCTCCACCGACAGCTGCCGGTCATGGATACCTCCAAGCTTTCGAATCTGCGGGAGACACAGCGGGCATACCTCGTGCTCTCATACTTGGCTCATGGCTATGTCTGGCAGGACAAGACCAATGTCGCGCAGGTAGGGAGTCGGCCAGGCTGCTGTGGCTGTCCTCGTCCAAGTGCCAAGCGGATCGGCACGAGTGCCTCTCATTCTCCCGCCTTCTTTTTGGTCTTCTTGAGGACGTGAATCGGGCTGCACCCAATCTCCTGTGATATGCTTTGGTGCATTGTCTGACATTGTCTGACATTGTCGCCGCGGACTCGGGGGGCCTCCGTCTCGTGCCCTGGACTCGCAGATCCTTCCCAAGAACATTGCCGTCCCTTGGAACGAGGTCTCCACAAACCTGGGCCACAAGCCCGTGCTGTCCTATGCCGCTGTCGAGCTCTACAACTACAAGCTTCTGGATCCCGAAGGACCGTGTGACCTCAGGTAGCGGAAATGCGAGAGCACACAGCAGTCCGAGACTCGAACCGAGAGAACCTCGGCTCTGAGGGTGCTGCTCGAGGATGCATGCTCACCCTTTCTGTTCGCGGCGACACAGCAACATGGCAACGCTGCACACCTTCACCGGCGGCACGGACGAGTCCTGGTTCTTCCTGGTCAGCTTGGGCATGGAGGCGGTGGGCGCCCACGCCCTGCCTGCCATTGTTGCCGCACAGTCGGCCATTGCCCGCCATGATCTCCCGGTGCTGTCGCAGTCGCTGTCTACCATCGCTGACGCCATCAAGAAGATGGAGGACGTCCTGGTGCGGATGTACGAGAAGGTAAGCGCACCCGTGTACCCGAGCGCAGATGGACGGGTGATGGAGAGCAACTATGTGTTGGAGGAAGGTGTGTCAATCGGCGCGGATATCCGTCCGGGTGAAAGCACATTCCCTTCAAGGACGTGCTCGCTGATACTGCCCTTGCTTCCTGCAGAACGACCCGCACATCTTCTACTACCGCATCCGGCCATTCGTCGCTGGATGGGAGGGCTCCGACGACCTGCCCAAGGGTCTGTTTTATGAGGGCATCCCCGACGAGAACGGCTCGTGGTCGACGGCAGATGGATCGTATCGCAAGTATGCCGGCGGTAGTGCTGGCCAGAGTGCTCTCATCCACAGCATCGATGCCGCCCTCGGAATCGAGCACTTTCCGACCCGCAACCGGGCGCTCATGAACATCAGCAGCGCCACCAATTCGCCGTCGGCATCCAACCCGGCCCTGCACGGTTCCCCAGCCGTGCCCAAGCCTGCTGCCGGTACAGCCGAAGCGGCAGACGCCCCCCGCAAGAACGTCATGCTGGAGATGCGCAACTACATGCCCGGCCCCCACCGAGCCTTTGTCGAAGCCATCGCCAGCGGTCCGTCGATCAAGGAGTTTGTGCGCACTCTCTCGGACGTTGTCAAGTGCCAGCCGACCGAGACCAGCGAGCAGATGCGGCAGGTGTGCGCTGAATTCAATGTGTGTGTCGATGCCCTCAAGAGCTTCCGCGATAGCCACATGAAGATGGTGGCTCTCTACATTGTCTCGCAGTCGCGGAAGCGGACGCAGACTCAGACCGACGCCAACTCGCCAGACTCCCGCAGTCGCCAGATACCCAACGTAAGTGTGCGCGAATGCCAGGGTGTCTGGCTGGGCAGCAGGGGCGACAGCAGCGTGGCGGCATGATCGATTCTGCGAGACTAACGCCGAGTCGCTTCCTCTCTTGCTTGCCGACACCCAGTCCCTGGCTGCCCGTGGAACAGGCGGCACCAACCTGATTCCTTTCCTGAAGCAGTCACGGCAGGAAACCGTGGATGTGCGTGTCGATCTCGAATAGACGGGTCGCTGGCCAATCTCGAGCCAACGTGTCCAGCGATCCCGCAGCGGCGTTTGATCAGCCAAAGAACCTGTATTCCTCTTCAATTTTGTCCACAGTCAGGAGCGCAGAAACGAGTCGCCGCCAATCGGCGCTGGTGACTTTTTACAGGCAATCCAATAAAAAACGGGACACCCGGGATTTTGACCATTCATCGAATATTTTGTTACCCAATGCTATCGCGCGCTGGCCATGACCATTCGCCGGACAGTGTGGAATCGCGACGTCAATGCGGCGCGCAACATGATCACAGTGTGCAGGTCGATTGTGGAGACCGGAGAGCGACGTGAGGTCTTCACTCGGAGGCTGCCAAAGTGATCTGATCTATTTATTGTGGCTTTGCTTGACGCAAGCACAGCACATACTACATGTTCATGGAAACGGCTGTGGTGTCCCGTTTTTTCTGAATAAAGTGTAAATGCATGCATCGATTCTCCAGCGTTGCCCCCTGGCCTTCCAGGTCAATGTCGTGTGGGAGGTGTTTCCTGGCATAGATCCGGCCGCCGATCGAGCCCCAGGATAGCCACAGCGGATAAGGCGGTGTGGTGTGGTGTGGTGAAGCTGGTCTTCCAGCGCCAGTGGCTGTGCGAGTGCGACAAATCGGCAGAGGCATCCAGACACGGCCCTGGTGCTGTTTGCCAACATCTCGACCACACACCAACACTGCCATATTCGCGACCACCCAACAGCTTCACGATCAGCAACGTCGAGACAATGATTCGCAAGCCTGTCGCCGAGCCCACCAGCATGGAGGTGCGGACGAGAGCGAGGGACTTGGGTTGGGTGTTTCGGCGACACTCTGCGCTTGTGTCCGGCAGTTTTCGCCGACGAGATTCTCATTCGGGTTGCCTCTGCCTCTGGCCTCGCTCTTTGTCTCCACCCGACAGGATTACTCTGAATACGATGAGGCCATGGAAATCGACAACAGTGGGCCCGTCGGTCTGGTTTACGGACGCATGGGCTCTGGTGTCTTCCCGGAGGAATATGCAGGACCCGCCAAGCAGCGAGGAGCCCTTCGATCAGACGATGCCATCGTCGACAGAGACTTTTTCAACAGTGGGTATCCAGCGCTACGGCCAGCGAAGATGGGGGCAGCCCAGAGGCCAGCAACAGGGAGGGCTTTTGCCAAAGGATCGACGAGCCAGATACCTGCATTCCGGTCGATGGCCCAAGACAGTCGACCAAAGCACTGACGATGCCCCGCTCTAACGTGGTATCATACGTTTCTCTGTCTCTGCAGAGTTTGATGACGATTTTGATGACAAGGATATGACTGTGCCCAAGAAGGCTTGAATCGGCGGAGGACGGCTCGCATTCTGCAGATGAGCAGGATTGGATTTGGAGTTTGCCGCAATGGCCTTGGCCGGGGACACCGAGACGCTCGATGACGGAAACAACGCATTTGGCTGAGCAACACCGAGCGATCGATCGACGGATCTGGTCCTGGGACTCGCTAATCGCTCAAATGACGGTGCGGTCGGGGACCCTTCAGCAACTCAATTCTCCTGCCCTCCCCAGGCAACCGTCACGAGGAAACCGAGGCAGGAAATAATACATCACGTTCTCAGCACGCAACGAGCGGCCGATGGAGGGGGTGAGCCGAGCGCCGGAGCGAGCTGACGAACGTGGGACGCTGGTCTGCAAAATGCGGGTGGAAAATGGGGGGGGGAGAAGGGAGCCACCTGCAGAATGCGGGTGATGACGGTTGCAGGATGGACGACGACCGACAACGTGCTGCTGCCCAGAGCGGGGACGGTCCTGGTGTGAGCTCGATGGTGTCGATGTCGATGCTGCCGTGCTGGATGGCCGACGGTTCAGCACATCGACGCATCGGCACATCGGCATATGCCCGACACAAGGCCCTCTCCCCTCCCCTGGCAGGACATGCCGAGGCACAGGCGATTGCGCTGCTGTCGCCGGCTCGCCCATCCTGCAGGCCAGCGGACATGGTCCCTTGCTGGGCGGAAGCCTTCTGGCCCCCGACGGACGGCCAACCGATCTGGCGGGTGCGTTGGTCGGCTGCTGCGACCGGAAGCCGTGCAGTCCCTGTGGACGGCGGCAGCACACAGGCCCGGGTGCGACCCGGCGTGGCTTGGCTGCAAGGAGCCCTGCCCGAGCTGGCTTCCAGGGCTGCGACCCCAGCGCGGCGACGATTGGCTGCCGGGCGGCTGCCTCGTTTCGCACGACAAGCTGGGGAGTGCTGTCTTGTGGGTTTCGTCTGGGGATGGGCGGCTTGTGGGCTTCGTCTGGGGATTGGCGACGTCGCAATGGCCTGCCTCGCAATGCGTCGTAATGCGCTGGCTGCCAGACGGGTGCGCAAGAGTACTTGGCGAGCGTGCTGTGGAGGCACTCGGCGATGGCGATGGCGATGGCGATGGCGGAGCAGAGTGCCGCTGTTGGGCCGTCCGTGCTGGCCAGGGAGTCTGATTGACCGTGCTGCCGAGTACTAGTGCTTGGTGCAGGAAGCAGATCCCATGGCCTGCACCAGCATTTGCACTAGCATTTGCACCAGCATTTGCACCAGCATTTGCACCAGCATTTACACCAGCATTCGCATCTCCCGTGCCTTGCATGGCATGGCATGCACGCCCTCCTCCTGCCCCCCCCCGAGATCGGCTGGCATCGCCGCGGTGGCGATCTTCCAAAATAAGGACGGCGGTCGGAGCGACAAGGCCGTCGCTCTCGCCACGCTCTCGCCGTTCTCTCGCCGCGCTCTCGTCCCCGCATACCACCCGGCGAGAGCGCCCTCGCCGGCGTCGCTGCCGTTCGCCTCCTCGGTCGTTCCCGTCCCTTGCCCAGCGGCCGCCTGGCTCTTCCGGCTCCGCGTCCTGCGGGTCCTCTGCTTTCCCGCGTTCCCGCACTGCTGCGACTACTCGCCCGGCCCGCATATAAATACCTCGGCGGCCTCCCCCGCTTCCACCGTCGCTGTCAAGTCTTTCCATTGCCTGCCCGCCTCGCTTTTGGTTCCCCCACCACCAGCCACATCCTCCGGCTGCCCGATCACTCTATACTCGTCCTCCATCCACACGATCGTGCATCGTCCCGCTTTCGCTCTCCCTCATCAAAGGTAGGATCAGCCACAGTCGCAGGCAGATCGGCCTCTCTTCCGACCTGGCCATCGATCCGCCACGGCGTCTGCTGCATCGCTGGTTTCCGCTTGTTCTTCCTTCTGCATCGGCCATTGCATTCGGCTCGTATGTTTGCGACAAAGTGCGCGTTTGCCATGATTGTTGCTCGCTCGTGTGCTGTGGTCCGATGGGCTGTCTGTATTTTCTCGCATGTTTTTGTTCTTGGAAGACTGTTTCATCTTTCGCCTTCGCGGGCGGCTGCCCATGCCATTCTGCCCATACCAATCCGCCTATGTGGTATCGGCAGTTGTGTCGGCAGCACTGGCAGCAAACGGCACATCGACGGTCGTCCTTCCTTTGGCCATTTTTGCGTTTGCACACAGATCCGCGTCTACCAGCCTCTCCCTCCTTTCCTTCTCCAGGCTGATCTGATTAACTCTCCCGTCCGCGCTCTAATTACCATGCAGAATCTCACGTCACAATGACCTCCAAGGCCGATGATTACAATTCCACCGTCTTTGTTGGCAAGGCCGAACAGCTGAAGCAGGTCTGCGCCCACATCGAAGAGAAGGGCTTCATTCCCAAGGAGCTCGTCCAGAACGAGGTTACCTGGTTCTACGGGTAAGCCTGGACTGTCTGTGTGTCGCCGATCACACCCTGATCCGCACCCTGATCGATGATTGATTGTGCATCACGCTTTGCGGCTTACTGCATGCGAATACCGGCGCTTCCATGCCGGCAGCGGCTGCTACTGCTACTGTTGCTGCAGCTTGCCCTCGTCATTGCATTGCGCCCCAGCCATGTTTGACCGGCCTGGCCCTGGACTGGCGTGGTCTGGTCTGGTCGCCTCCCCCAATCATCGGGTCTGTCGAGCTCCATCCTGACGTTTGATCTCTGGTTTCCGACTCTATCTGTCACCCAACAGCAACCTCGGTATCGACGACATGTACTTCTCCGGCGAGACTGTCGAGACTGTCGCCCAGCACATCATGGCCCTCTACGGCTCCAAGCTCTTGGCCTACATCAAGAACGACACCGTTCTCGACATCAACCTGGTCCGCGAGACCGACGACGGCGCCGTCTACATCCACACCTCCAGCCCCGGTGTCTCCAACCTGACTGGCCCCCAGCACGAAGCCCGCATCGACTCCAAGTTCCTGGACCAGAGCGCCACCAGCCACACTGCCTTCCGCCTCGAGACCTACCGCTCCTCAGGCACGGTCTCGTCGTCGTTTGCCACCCAGCTCCGCACCTACTTTGTGCGCAAGTGCCATTTTGTCAAGGACGACCCCACCCCCGAGGAGTTCACCGACATCCGCAAGATCTCGGACGTCACCTTCCTCGAGAAGGCCACCGAGAACACCCTCGTGACCTACTCCAAGATCATCAAGGAGGTCCTCAACCGCCACGGCCCTGTCATTGAGATGTTTGATGTCCCCAACAGCCGCGAGAAGCGTGTCGTGATCGGCTACCGCCAAAAGACCACCCAGTCGTTCTTCTCGGCCCTGTCGGATCTCTACCACTACTACGATCTCTACTCGACCCGCAAGTACGTCGAGCAGTTCTCCAACGGCGTCACCGTCATGTCGCTGTACCTCAACCAGCTGCCCAACAGCAAGGCGCCCCCGATCGAGAGCTCCGTCTTCCAGGTCATCAAGGAGGCCAGTTTGATCTACTGCATTCCCACCGCTCCCCTCCGCCTCTTCTTCCAGACCGGCCAGCTCAGCGTCCAGGAGGCCATGTACGGCCAAGTCGGATGGATCTTTGCCCAGCACTTCCTCAACCGCCTCGGCAACGAGTACGCTGCCCTGTCCTCGATCCTGGACCTGCAGAACTCTGCCCACGTCGAGGTCCTCACCAAGATGAAGAAGCGTCTCCGCTCCGACACCTTCACCCGCGAGTACATCCTCGACATCATCAAGCTCTACCCCGAGCTCATCAAGGCCTGCTACGTCAACTTTGCCATGACTCACTACATCAACCCCGCCAAGAACACCCTCAACCCCTCCATCTCGTACCAGCGCCTGCAGAGCGTCCCTGCCCTCTCGGAGGAGGCCCTCCTCGAGAAGATCCGCAAGACCGTCACCAACAACCACGAGTACATGATCTTCGAGTCGTACGTGGCCTTCAACAAGCACGTCCTCAAGACCAACTTTTACCAGCCCACCAAGGTTGCCCTGTCCTTCCGCCTGGACCCCTCGTTCTTGCCGAGCCTCGAGTACCCCATCAAGCCCTTTGCCCTCTTCCTGGTGATTGGCAGCGAGTTCCGCGGCTTCCACATCCGCTTCCGCGACATTGCCCGCGGCGGCATCCGCATCGTCCGCTCCCGCAACAAGGAGAACTACAGTATCAACCTGCGCTCGCTCGTCGACGAGAACTACGGTCTTGCCTCGACCCAGCAGCGCAAGAACAAGGATATCCCCGAAGGCGGCTCCAAGGGCACCATCCTGCTGGACATTAACCAGCAGGACAAGCCCCGAGAGGCCTTTGAAAAGTACGTTGACTCGATCCTCGATCTCCTCATCCCCGGCCAGTCGCCCGGCATCAAGGAGAAGATCATTGACCTGTACGGCAAGAACGAGATCCTCTTCTTTGGCCCCGACGAAGGCACTGCCGACTACATGGACTGGGCCTCCCAGCACGCCCGCAAGCGCGGCGCCTCTTTCTGGAAGGCCTTCACCACCGGCAAGAGCCAGTCGATCGGCGGTATCCCCCACGACACCTTTGGCATGACCACGCGCTCCGTCCACCAGTACGTCCTCGGCATCTACCGCAAGAAGGGCCTCAAGGAGGAGGAGATCCGCAAGCTCCAGACTGGCGGCCCCGACGGCGATCTCGGCTCCAACGAAATCAAGATCTCCAAGGACAAGACCATCGCCATTGTCGATGGCAGCGGTGTCCTCTACGACACCGACGGTATCCACCGCGAGGAGCTCCTGCGCCTGGCCTCGAAGCGCCAGATGATCAGCCACTTTGACGTCAGCAAGCTGTCGCCCAAGGGCTTCCGCGTCCTGGTTGACGAGACCAACGTCAAGCTGCCCGACGGCACCATCGTCGAGAGCGGCTTCAAGTTCCGCAACGAGTTCCACCTGCACCCCCTTGCCGGCGCCGACATCTTTGTCCCGTGCGGTGGCCGCCCCGAGTCCGTCGACCTCAACAACATCAACGCCCTCTTTGACGAGAACGGCAGCGCCCGCTTCAAGTACGTTGTCGAGGGCGCCAACCTGTTCTTCACCCAGGAGGCCCGTGTCCGCCTCGAGAACGCCGGCGTCGTTGTCTTCAAGGATGCCTCGGCCAACAAGGGTGGCGTCACTTCGTCCTCGCTCGAGGTCCTGGCCGCTCTGTCCTTCAGCGACGACGAGTTCAAGCAGCACATGCAAGTCCTGGACGGCGTCGCGCCGGCCTTCTACACCCAGTACATCAAGGCCGTCCACCAGTTCATCGAGAACAATGCTGCCCTCGAGTTTGAGTGCCTGTGGAAGGAGAACCAGCGCACCAAGAAGCCCATCTCGATCCTGTCGGACGAGCTGTCGTTTGCGATCGTGCGTCTGAACGAGGAGCTGCAGCACACCACCCTGTGGGACAACGTCCCGCTCCGCCGCATTGTGCTCCAGGAGGCCTTCCCCAAGATCCTGATCGACACCCTGGGTCTCGATACCCTCATGAAGCGCGTCCCTGAGAGCTACGTCAAGGCCATCTTTGGCAGCTACCTGGCCTCCCGATTCGGTAAGCATCGCGCATGTGGGTTTTGGGTTTTGGGTTTTGAGCACACTTGGATCCTGGGTATGCATGAGTGACAGCAACAGCAATAGCGACTGACAACTGACCCATCTCCTGCCGCCTTGCTCCTCTGCTTCTCCAGTCTACAAGTACGGCATCGAGCCCAGCCAGTTTGCCTTCTTCGAGTTCATGGCCCCCTACTTCTCCAAGATCGAGCAGTAAACGCAGCGCACACCCTCTTTCTCTTTCTCGCTTTCTGATTTTGCACGTCTCCTGCTCGCACCTCTTTGAGCGAATGAAACGTGGCACTCTGTTTTCATAACCGATAGCCGCGCTCTTTTTCTGGATCCTTCAATACACACACACTACTCATCTAAAGACCCAGCGAGATCTACCAGAGGAATAGAGGGATCACCCCGGAGTTGTCCCCCCCCCACGCCGGGAAAGGATGCGCCTCCCGCCTGTGCGCACCTCTGGTCCTGCCATGCCGGACAGGTGGTCGTCCCCGTGACGGACCCAGCAGGCCAGAGCAGGACAGGACCGCAACGAGCAGGACATGGCATCGGCCAGCAGGACAGCAGGACAGCAGGACAGCAGGACAGCAGGACAGCAGGACAGCAGAATGGAGTCAAAGGGCGTCGCCGATTGCCCTATCTGCCTGTTCATTCTGCCACGCTCCTTCTGTCCCTCGCTCTCTGTGCATCGGACATGTTGCCAGCATGCACGGCGCCCCAAGCACAAGCTGCACATCGCCAGCCCCGCACAGCAAAGGCCGCAGCGCGCAAACGCAAGAGCCTTTGCCCCTCTGGCCTCCACCCGGCCACGCTCTGGCTGGCCTCAGCCGCCCTGTGTCGCGGCCTTGCCTCTTCGTGCTCGCACCAGCGCCCTGCTTGCCCAAGGGCCGTGCGACCGACCTCGAAGGAAACTCTAATATTCTCAGAGTCGTGAAGGCGTCCTGAAAGTGTCTTGGTGCCCTTTGACGGCCGGTCTATATATACGCCTCGGGTCTTCCTGATGCCGCCGCGGCCTGCGATCGCCTCTGCTCGAAACGATCTCTGCTCGAAACGATCTCTGTCCATCGGCCGTGCCCGACCCCGTCTCGACCCCGTCTCGACCCCGTCTCGACCCCGTCTCGACCCCGTTCCGCCTGCTTGCCGTGGGGAGGAAAAGTCTCGCGCACCAACTCCAGCCCCCTCGACGCCGCTATCTGTCGCCATCCGCCCTTCCTCTTGGGTGACGTTCCCGCAATTCAGGTGGCCGCCGGTCTCGGATATTGCGGCTGTCAGCTGAGACACACACCCCGCCGATCGTCGTTTGGGCAAGCCGGGAATCGCCTTCCCTCCCTTTCCGTGCCCCGTCCCCGCTTCCCTCTCCCTATATAGCCGCCTCGAGCAGCCCGGGGAGCCTTGAAGACCGGCCCTGCTCTTTCTTTCCTCATCGGACCCAACACCCGTCTCCTGTTGTGTCTCCCGGACACCTCGCGGTCATCGACGAATATCAGACCCGCCAAGCTTTTCCACCTTTCCACCTTTCCATCTTTCCACTCTGCAATGAGCTCTTCCAAGTTCCTCCAGCCTTTGCTGTACGCCCTCCTGGCGTCGTCCGCGGCCGTCCAGGCCCTCCCCAACACCTTCCCCATCTGGAAAACAAACGGCACCACCAGCTGCGACTCGGCCGTCCAGAGCTTTCTCGATGCCAAGTGGCAGACCTGCGAGTACCCATCCACGACTGATGGCGGCGACATATACCTCGAGCTCGACGTGCCCATGAACAAGGAATGCTCGGGTGAGTCGTCGTCGGTGCTTGCTTTCTGCTGCTGCTACCCAGCCCGGTTCCTCGGGTGTCAGGGTCCATTGGTTTCGAGCAGCCCAGTCCCCGCCGATCATCGTTACCTTCGCGGCTGGCAGCAAACCACAGCGGGCCTGTTGCTGCTTTCAAACCCGTCGGCCCCATTCCCAGGCCCAGGCTTTCGACCATGCCGGGTGCCTGTCCCGTGTGTCGTCTATCCGTGTCATGCGTCCTCGCCACATTCGCTGCAACCGCTCACCCGCTCTCCCCTCCTTCCTGCATGCTGCTATTCAGACTATGCCTGTGCAAACGTCGGCCCCCAGTTCAAGACCCAGATCCAGTCGGCCTGCGGCGACACCGAGATTCTGCTGCTGTCAGATAGCAGCGGCAACTCCAAGAACTTCAACATCTCGCAGATTCGCTTTGATGTCACCACGGCTCTCCCAAGCCACAGGCCATACTGTCTCCGCGATATCGATACCGGAACGGTAAGATTCTCCCCCCCCCCTGTGTCCATGTTTACCGGGAAGGGGTAGTGACCATCGCCTAGCCCATATTCCAACCGCACTCATCGTATGCGTCGCCTCGACTAACCACCTCGCTTTGGCACCGTTGACCTGCAGAACTGCATCGCCAGGTTCCTGCGCGACTGGCGCGGCGTGACCAAGACCGCCGACAACTCGACAGACGACGGATTCCTCCAGTACCAGCTGGCATACTGCACCCAGTGCGCCCGCGACCTCTACTTTTACTCGCTCAACAACAGCACCGACAGCAACGCTGACACATCCTTCAGGATCGCCGAGACCGTGCTCTTCACCTTCAACATCACCAACACCAACAACTCCTTGGTGACCTTTTGCGGGCCCGATTTCGTTGCCGTTCCCCCGGACACCCAAGACAACCCGCCGATGCAAATCACTGACCGCCTGCAGGACGTCACTCCCGTCATGGTGACCCTCAGAAATGGCACCGCCACCCAGGTCAATCCCAATTTTGAGGTCTACTTTGAGTTCCCGTCCGCCTGGGTCTTCCCAGCCATCATTGCCGGCACCAGTGTTGGCGGTGTCTATGTCTTTATCTTTATCGTCTGGATTGCCAGCCGGGTTAGCTACGGCTAAGCGCCTCCGACACCCGACCCAACCCAGCGAGCGCTGTTGTTGATCGATCTGCTCGCTGGCTCCCCAGCTCTCTTTTGGCTCCTTGGCAGCCACTATGCGTCTTCCCTTGCCCCTTGCGTCGGTTTCTATATTCCCCTTTCTCGTCCCTCTCCTCCCTTCGTGGGTCACCCTGCGTTCTTGGTCTGTGGCTGCTCTTGCTCTCGCCATTACCGCCGATTGCCTATCAGTTTCGTCGGGGTTCTGTTCCCCGATTCCGTTGCATCACATTCTCACCGGCATTGGCGACTTTTGAACCTCGCCCCTTTCTGATATGGTGTGTGGCCAAAGGCGCTTTGTCGCCTCTAATGTGGCATTGTTCCCGACCAGCTCTGGGCATTGTTCTCGACCAGCTTATGTGGGCTTGGGGGTCGTCCTGGCTTGGGTCGTCCCGCCTCCCTTCCTGATCTCGACCATAGTCTGATCCAACCGTAGACCTAATATATTTCCCAAGCCCGAGCCCCAAACCAACTCTGACCAAACGTCTCCCCCCGCCTCCCCCCTTCCTCTCCGTTCACATTCCAGAGCTTATTCGGCGGAGCCTGGGGGCTATGAACATGAACATGAACATGGGCATGAGCATGAGCATGGACATGAGCACGAACGTGTGTCAGCATGCGCCAGCATCAGCATGCCCCGCTCACAGCCATCGGGCCCATACAGTTGATATGTAGTTCCATCGTGTTCGTTCGTTCCATCCCTTCTCCGCCTCCGTCTGCCAGGACCGCCTCTCGCCACCGCATTCGCATTCACATTCGCATTCATGACCCAAGCGGAAACTCAGCCACCAGAGCCCAGTCCTTGATTTCGCCCTCCATCGACCATATCTGGACGCTCGAGATCTCAAACTCGATGCCGACGACTGTGCTCTGGCGCTTGATCTCGTCGGCCACACGCTGCTTGACAGAGTGCTCGAGGTCGCCGTATACCAGGGACAGGTGTGGCCAGTATTCCGGTGCCCCGATCTGGCCAAAGCCCTCGCGGGCTGCCTCGTTGAGCCGAACCAGAGCGTCGCTTGGCCCGGGCACCGCCATGACGCACTGGAAGAACATGTCCTTGATGGCGATTGCCTCGAGCTTGACCCGGAACGGAGGAACGGCCTTGGCTACCTGTGCTGTCAGATCACGCACTCGCTCGGGCTTGGAGGCGATCCCGCCAAGCAGGGTGATGTGGGGCGACCACTGATGGTGTTTGAGATGGGTGGGTGACGAGAAAAAAAAAATGAGCGGTGGACGGCGGAAACGGTGCACCATTGGATCGAACGGCTGGGACTCACCAGCGGGGTGTCGAGCTCTCTGGAATAGTGGCCGATGATCGACCCCAGCCGGGCGGCAATGGCAGGGTCGCTGGGGACGAGCCACAGCGAGTAGGCCTTGAGATCGGTGCGCTCATAGTACGACATGGCTGGGGCGAGAGAGCAGCAGCAGTAGGGTGGGGTGTTAGACCGGGACTGGATCGGATCGGCGGCTCGAGGGAAGCTGGGCCGATGGTTGATGGGAGGAAGAGGCTGGTGCAAGTCCCTGGCCAAGAGCCGCAGCCGCCGCGTCGCTCCAGGGCGTCAATCATGCCTTGGTGCCTCCAAGCAGCCCTCGATTCTGCCCCCTCGCCCCGCTCCCACAGTCGTCTCGGAGACAGCGGCAATCACAACTGCTTGGCCCCGCAATCGACGTCCGTCGCTGCCCCTGCTATAGCCTGAGTCTCACTTGTCCTCGCCCCGCTCCCGCTAGCACTGCGATTTGCTCTCTCGCCGCCAGAAGCCTCTCGCCAGCAGACCTCTGATATCACCACTACCAGATACTTGCACCGACCAGCGCGGTCGTCGATATATTCTCCTGACTTCCTTTGATACCTGGCTATGGCAGAACAGGAGCTCCGGAGCTCGCAGGCCGCCCTTGATAAGGTACCGCTCCGCGCTGCAGTTCGCATCTCTGGCATAGGCATCCGCTCGACGCGAACCTTGATCTCTCCCACACTGTGACGCTGGGCCGACTGCGACAGGGCGAGGAACGAGTGGATGCGGCGAGGAACGAGTGGATGCGGCGCCGAACGAGTGGATGTGGCATCGAACGAGTGGCACACTCGTTTCCTCCCGCTTTTTTTTCTCCTTGACGGGCTCTATGCTCTGACGAGACCAACGGTGGCATTTCCATTCAATGGCTTCTGGTTGTAGGCGCTCTCACGCGGTGGATCAAAGCAGGCACTGACGTCGAGCAAACGAGGGAGCAAAGCCTCGCTGCGGAATCTCGGTAAGCAGCGATTCCAGTCCCGGGAAATTACTGTGCCCGGATGGCTTGGACGGCCGCGCACCGATGCTGTTAGCCGAGACATGACAAGACCGCCAGCAATTCTCACGACCAAGCATCGCCGCACTATCCTGTCATCTCAACACCCACTCTTCCAGGAAGCAAGAGCCAAATCGGATCCAAGACCAACTTATCTCAACCCGCAGCTACAGCCGATCCCTCCAAAACTGGCACTGCCGAGCCGCCTGCAGAGAGCTGTGATGCCTCCGACAACAAGCCCGCAGATTCCCAGGCCCCACCGCCGTCCGAGGGAGCAGCTACTTCCGGCACACCTGGTGACGCCAAAGCCGCCGAGGCAGGCTCATCTGGAGGAGCAGGAACAGAGGCTCCGGATGCGAGTCAGCCCGAAGCCAGTGGCGAGCAGCCGTTGCCCGAGGACGAGCGACCTGGTACTCGCGGCTCCCTCGTAGATCTGGCCCGGATCGATGGTCTGGGCCAAAGCAACGACATGATATACGAAGACATCTCCGAGGCCGAGATCGCAGTCGATGACCAGGAGCAGGAGATGGAGGTGGTTGCCTCGGTCTCGCGCACCCTGGTCTCGCCGGCGCCCATGGACTACCAGGGCTTCACATTCATGAACGTCAACTACGAGCTGGATCCGGACACACCCCTCGTCGACTTGGTGACGCCTCTCTCGAGAGCCGACTCGATGCGGTCCTCTCCCGACGACGAAGCCCGAGCAGCATCTCCGCAGCGAACACAATCGCTGCAGGAGAACATCCCCATCATTCGCCCCAGCACCCCCACCGAAGACGCCGGCACCAGCGACGCCATCAAGGCTGTGGTCGGCGACGTCGTCATCCCAGAGCTTACCAAGGCCAACGAAATCATTCTGGAAGCTATCGACCGCGATGAGGTGATTTCGAACATCAAGGCTATCTTGGAGGTCAAGGAGAAGCTGCGGCTAAAGAACGAGGTTCTCCAGAATAAGCTCGCCGAGCACTTCAAGCGCAAGCGGGTACGAGGCCTGGCCGGCTGCATGTCTATACTTTGCTGGCCCGAGTCGTCGATTCCTGGTTCATCCAGTCTGCATGGAGCCTCAGCCCAAGCTTTTCACTTTGGCTCATCGATCCGCAGCATGACGGACTGCCGATGGCTTGGGAAGGACGGCGCTGCGCTGTGGATTCACTGAAGGGGAAGAGGGAGGATGACACAGCCGATGCTGGGTGAGTTCTTTGCAACTGACACTCCCGCTGTTGTGTCCAGAGCGACGACACCCGAGATACCGAGAAATCGGTGGCCGACCAAGAACAACGCTATGCAAACTGCATGGCTTCCCTCGTCGAGCTCCGCAAGGAGTACGAAAACATCAACACGAGCAACTCGCGCATCGTCAACGACTACAAAATCAAACTCGAGGAGAGGCTGGGCGAGGCCGAGGCTCGGGCGAACGAGTTTGCTGGCTTCAAGCGCTCGACCGCCCTCAGCTCCGAGAACTCGCGCACGGGCAAGTCCATTCCGATCAAGGTGCTGGACCAGCTCGAGGCCACGGAGCAGCGCAAGGAGAGCGAGGTTGTTGCCGTTCGTCTGGAAAACATCAAGCTGCGGAACAAGCTGCGCCGCCACGAACAGCTCTTGAGGCAGAAGGAGGAGCTGGCGGACGGGCTGCATCTGATCGACTTTGAACAACTCAAGATTGAGAACCAAACCTACAATGAGAAGATCGAGGAGCGCAACGAGGTCCGTGGGTTGAGAGGAAGTCGGCGGTCGAGGAATCGGCTTGCCGGGAGAGGAGCGAGAGCAGCGAGAGCAGCGAGCAAGAGTCCGAGCGAGTGTGAATGCGATTTGCGGTCGCTGGCTGGCACAGATGAATGCGGGTGTTTGCGAGTACTACCACTTGGGGGGGCCATCGGTGCTGACCCACGCCCCAAGAGCGGATCGGGATCCTCGCAGCTTCCGGATGTATCTGACAGCCACGCCAATCGATTTGTGCGTCGGGGTGGCATTGCAGGAGTTGCTCAAGCTGCGCAAGAAGATCACCAACATTGTCCAGGTGCTGACACATGTCAAGGAGAAGCTACAGTTTGTCCAGGTTGTAATCGCTGCCGCAGATTGCTGTTTCAGTGCTGGGAAGGAGAGAGGGAAGGGGGAGGAGGGTGAAGGTCAGCGAGCCGGATGGCCTTGATCCACAGATCATTGTACTTGCTGGGTGTTTTGCACAGTCTTTGGCTGTTCCAGCAGCCCTGGCTGATGGTGCTGCCGATCGTTCATTGCGCGCGACTGCTTGCCCTTGTGCAGTGTTCCCTGGCATCGAGATGTCGCTCGATTCGCCGTGGGACGGTCCTCGGAGCCATGATCGCTGTCCTTGACTTTCGGGGACCGATCGAGATCCCGGCTGCATGGCCAAAAGCTGGTCCCCTGCGGTCACCACTGTCACTGCTGTCACTGCTGTCACTGCTGTCACTGCTGTCACTGCTGTCAAGGCCCCCACGTTTGATCGCTCCTGGATCACACCCGCCCTCGACTGTCTCCTTCACAATCAACTGACCTCGATCTGCCTGTTTGATGCGTTTCTTCTCTCCTCGGTAATCAATCCTGCAGGGTGAAAACAGTGAGCTCAAGAAACAGCTGCGCCGGCTGGACGATGAGGTCTCGACCGAGCGGGACTGCCTGCCAACCGCCAAGCAGGAGCGAGACGGCCTGCGTTCCGAGAACCTGTCGCTGCGCCAGCACAACGGACTGCTGGGCAATGTCCCGCTGCTGCGAGACTTTGAGGGCAAAGTGGTGAGTCAGTCACCCCATCCCTGATGGGCGCCAGAATGGGAGCGGACCAGGACGGGAACGGAGGATTGGGCCGAGAGCGAATGGGCTTGGTCGAGGACAGGCACTGTTCGTTGTTCGCTGTTTGTCGTTCGCTCGTCGTTCTGGGGCCAGATCGGGCTGGCTCGGGTCGGGCTTGGAAGGAAGGAAGGACGAGTGTTTGTGTGCAGTTGGTGGATCCGATGCATTCGAGATCGCCCGATGCACTCGTTTCCACGGGCGCGCTCTTGACCTTGCATCCAGCGGGAGGAGTTGGTGCGATATTTGGGCAGCACCGTAGTTTCCATGTTTGCTGCCGGGGGTTACTTTGACGACCTGGCGTGCCTCATAACGGGCAGCGGGCAGCCTGGTGATGTTGTGAATCCAGGCCATATTGATTTTGAGGCGGTGTGTGGCGCCTTGGGGGAGGACGATGTTGATGAGGGCCGATCAGGTACGAGGCCTGGGCAAGCCAGGTTGAGCCAAAGCCAACCCACAACGAGCCACTGACAGTCCGCGATTTCGTTTTGGCCTCTGTCCTGGCTGCTTTTTGGGTTTGTGTTGTGCACATTCCTCCTCGTTAGGACGAGACAGAAGGGCTGAAGAACAAGATTGCCGAGCTTCGGTCGCAGCATGCCGAGCTGTCGGCAGAGATCCTGGTCGTCAAGCGCAAGATCCAGCGGGCACAGATGACGGCCTTGTAGCGACGATCCGACCCACCCCTCGGCTCTGCCCCCATTTCCCGCTGTCGCTCTTGTACTGCTGCCAGTCCTGTCCTGCTGCCAGTCTTGTCTTGTCTTGTCTTGTCTTGCTTTTGTTGTCTTGTCTTGACCTGTCCTGCCGTGGTGGCGCCTGTGCAGTGGGGCGAGATGATCCCGGGTCCGTGTGCACGTTTCGTTTCTCCTGGATCGCCTTGAGTGGTGCTGTGACCCAGCAAGGATGCGGAGACGGAACAAAACACATGTCCACCCACATCACCCGCAACCGCACCGGACCGGTCTGCAAAGAGTCCACGAGGGGAGAGAGAAGCGGACGAGTGGTTCGTTTTGGGAGAGAGATCTGTGAAACTTTACTTTTTTTTTGGGGGGGGGGAAGGAGAGAGGAGTTGTGTTCCAAGCAAAGTGTACTCAGTGAGAGAGGAAGAAAAAAAGAGAGAGAGAGAGAGAGACAGCAGCTTCAGGCGAGACTGGAGGAGAGGTTGGGGAGACGAGATGGCGGCCGAAAACGAGGGGTGTGAGAAAGCATGGATATGAGGCTTGTAGCAGCCGCCACCAGGAAGAGAGAGGAAGGAAGTGGGTGCTTCGAGAGCAAAAGGAAAGATTTGGTGGACTCCGTCGTGGGAGCCGGGAAGAGGGACGGGGGCCATGCTGCCAGGCCGGGTCCAGTCGGGATCAACGATCAGTGCGTCCTGCTGCCTGGTTCTTGCCAGGGAAGGATCACGCAAAGCATCGCTCCTGGCAGGACCCAGCTGTGGTTGGCCTGGCCCAACCCAATCTGGGATGTATCAGAAAACCAGGAAGCTTGTCTAGAGAATGAAATGGAGGAAGGGGTGATATAAGAAAGAGTGGAAGAAAAAGAAGGGGGTGGTGAAAGAAATAACCCGAGGAGGCAAGTAGTGAGCCCATTTAGGGGGTAGAGAGAAATCGACGACGCCGAGGCTACGCGATGATAAAGGGTGAAGAGGAAGGAAAAAAAGTGTCCGAAACGAAGCAGCACAGGATGCTGTTCCTGAGCAGCTCCATCGCCAAGTGGTGTGCACGGTGGTATTTTGATGACTCGCTTCAATATTTCGCCACGTTATTGGGAAGAGGAGTTCATTTCAGAAAGAGGGGAGGGGAGAGGGGAAGGGAAGGGGGGGGAGAGCTTTCAGGCTGATGCAACTGAGGGAGCTGTAGAGAAGGGTGTGGGGTCGCCACCAGCAAGCCGAGCGAGCAGTTGTCGTGAGAGCCATCGAGGAGCATCACCGCTTGACGTACTTCTCAGGATTGCCGCTGAAGAGCACATCCAAATAAGGCTTGAGGCATGGGTTCTCGGCGAGGATGTATCGCAGAAAGCCCACAGCTTTGCTTATTGGAATCCTGGGGGGGGGGCGGGAGTGTAAGACAAGGAGATAAGGAAGGATATATGCATCAGGAACACGCAGCATACAGCACAATTGAGAGAGACGGAGGCCGTTTGGCTCGCAATTACATTGGCTTTATCCTGCAAGCGCAGACACAGCAGCCCGTTTCCCCCTGTCTTCACACTGTCTGGGGCAGTAGTAAAGTGGGAGACCGGCAGCACATCGACGTGTGCTTACCATACACCTTGGTGGCTCGCTGAGCCATGTCGAATGACTTGACGGTCTTCGATTTTCTTCAAGGCCGAATCTCGCTTTCCACGACTAAAGTGCTGATTTCCAAACGAGATGGATCGATGGGGGTTGGTTGGTTGGTGGCAGAGATGGCCGGAGAAGAAGATGAAGCCAAACAAGAAGCCAAACAAGAAGCCAAAGAAGAGGAAGCAAAAGCGAGATGGGCGGAGAAGAAACCAAACGAGAAACTAGGAGTGAGCGAGGGTTACAAGCGTCACAATGTCTATGAGGTCCAGGCAGATCCTCTGCTTGTCAAAGATACCGCCTCCCCTCTGACGAGACATCGGGACAACAACGGCCAACTGCGCGATCGAGAGCCGTACCAGTTTTGCTAGGTTCAGGAGCTTTGTCCCATTGATGTAGTCATTTTCCATCATTCTTCCGACCGGATTCCAGGCCGTCGATGTTCCTTCAAACATTTGCAGATACATATTAAAGTAGCTTGGATCGGTGATGCCGGCTTCGAGGAATTTACTCATGGTGAGAAAGGTGCAATCGTGTGGGATATTACTTTGTGGAGACGAGACTGGAGTGGTGAGGGATGCCATCGGAAGAGGCAAGGGGAAGATCGTTGGTGTGGGAGCGCTGTGCAGACTGGGAGAGGGCGGATAGTAGTCCGGGGCCGGTTCATCGTCGGGGTACGGAGGAGACTGCGATAGCGTCTGGGACGAGCACGAGGGGTAGAGAGGTGGGACTGATGGAGGGTCTTCGGGGTACGGCGGCGGCGGCTCGTAAGAAATAGAAGGCCGGAATGGATCGCGCGTGTAGACAATGTTTAGCTCGTAATTGGCGGAGGTCAAGCCCAGCTGGCTGATGAGACTGGCGACGGTTGCGCCGGCGAATGATGGCGTGGTTTGGAGGTGGGTTCTGTTGCCCAGCACCGAATAGAACCAGGCAGGGTCAATCGACTGGTGGTTGATGGCCAAGCAGGCCTCGACCCAGTACTTGTGGATCAGGTACTCCTGGAGGGTCCATCGCTGCGGAATGCGGCGATGCGCCTCCCTGGGCGAATGGTGGCTGAAGGACTCTGCCAACTTGTCGCGGTCATGATCGAGGACCTCGATGCACGATGAGTACTGGCTGTCCGCGGCCGTGGCCGTGGCGATGGAAAGGGATCCTTGAGGGCTCTGGTCGTCCATATCAGGACAGGAAGAGTCTATGGCCATATCTTCATCTGGAGACTTGGTGAGGGCCATTTGCATGTCGTCGTCGTCGTCGTCGTCGTCGTCGTCGTCGTCGCCATCGTCGCCATCGTCGTAGAACGACCAAATCCGACTCTCCATGTTCTGTTGCTCATCCTGGAGATCGCCTGGGGCGGGTGCGACCGAGGCATTCGCATTGGCATGGGCATGGGCATGGGCATGAGTGTGGGTGTGGGTACGGGTATGGACGTAGGTACTGATCTGTGAGTAGGCCGGAGGAGATATCTCGGAGGGGACATAGGGGACACAGGGGTCGGGCTGGGCATTGGGCTGGGCATTGGGTTGGGAGATGGGTTCGGAGTCGAGCTGAAGGACAAAACGCGAGTCGAGCGACTGGCGGGATCGCTGGTACGACTCTGAACGGGGGTATTTCCAGCGCGTGGTATTGATACGGAAGGGAGGACCCAGCGGGCCGGTACAGAGAATATGAGAATAGGCTCGCGGACCATTGGCGCATCTCGATCAAGACCATCAGGGACGGGGCGGGGTCAAAGAGCGAGCTGGAAGGCGGGGGTCTGGTGAGGGTGATTGGGGGAGCATGGGACGCGCAGGAGCGGGATCCGGCGAAGGGCGAGGCGAGTTCCCCTCAGCCCCGAAAAGCGAGGCGGAAGAGCACGCGGTTGATGGATATGAGAGTGATATGGGCGGGCTCGGGACGGATGTACAGGACGGCAGTAAGGACGTACCGGCGGCGCTGATGGCAGATAATTCAGCGATATCGTCGTCGTCGCTGTCGGACTGGGTATCGTCCTCGTCGAGCTCCTGGTGCCAGGACGAGGGGGTGTAAGGGGTCTTTGAATCCAAAAGCGAATGCTGCAGAGCAGACACGGGGATTTTGCGACGGGAAATGGATATGGAGACTGTAAAGTCGAACTTGGAGCGTTGCGAGGACGCTTTGCAGAATTTGGGCATTTTTTGGAGCAGGACCGAGGGGGGGTGAGGCGAGCCGGGAGGCTAGAGAAGCAGCCAGGCGGCACTGGGCGGCGCCGGGAGGAGGCGGGAAAGGCGGAGGGAGGGAAGAGGAAGGGATGGTGTGGCGATCAGAGACCACGGGCGGGTATGATGGAGACAGAGGCACCGCAGAGACAGGCGCTGGATCGAACGAGAGCGCCTGGGAGGACACGACTGCTTGGACCGAACGAGCAAGTCTGAGAGAGCACGGCCACTCAGCAGCAGCAGTTTGCCTTTGGAGCCGCGGATCAGAAGCCTGGCCAGAGCCTGGGGGGGAGCAACAAGCGACGAGGAGCAAAGTGCACACGGGCGAGCAGGCGCTGAGTGTGGCTGCCTTTTCAGCGCTTGTTTGCGCAGGTGAGACGAAGATAATTCTTATGCATGTCCTTCTCGGGCGGGGCTTGTTCGGCAGCGCCGATGCACCAGGGGAGGACGAGTGCTGCGCGAGGGATGCAGCCGCCGATTGGTGGGCAAAGGACAAGATGCCGCCGGGCGGGGGTTGGAGATGCAGCCAGGGCGAGAGGCAGGTTGATGATGAGGGGGGCAGTGGTGCAGCCGGGCGTGGTGCCAAGCAGGCTCTCAGCAGACATCCACCTGCGCTGGCGATACAAGACACAGTAGGCCGGCCGCGCTGTTTCTATGCTTCCCCCCCTGTCTTTCTCGTTTGTCCTGGCGCCAAGGGGAGCCATGCAGCAGATGTGGCAGGTGTGGCAAATGGAGCAAATGCAGCAAATGCAGCAAATGCAACAAGCGCGGATGCACAGCGGGCGAGTGGGTGTCGGGCGTGCAACGCGACCGGGCGAGAAAATGCATTAGGTTGTGTCGCAATGGCCGGGCAATGACCATGGGTGCGGCGCAGGGCGCTGGTGCGTGGTGGCATATCGGGAGTGCATGTCGAGAGTGCATGTCGAGAGTGCATCGAGACCACGGCGGTGGCGGCGACCAGAGCCACCGATGATCGATACCCTGGAGATGGCAAAAGCCGTCGCGGTCCTGCCGAGGGGGAGGGAAGGGGCAGGTCGCTGCAGACGGCGCTGGTATCGTGTCGGGTGACCATCGGGCGACTGTGGTGCTGGTGCTGGCAAGCAAATGGTTGGCGGATGGCAGGCGGATGGCAAACGAATGGCAGGCGAATGGCTGGTGTCGTCGATCGGCATTGGTGGTTTTGGTGGTGGACGGTCGCATCGGCATTGGTGTTGGGGTGTTGTCCATGCCACGATGGTACCGCAACGGCGCTGGCCGCCCACCATGCACGTTCGCAGCGAGACTTGGGCGGTGTCGCCTACTGGCGGCCGCATGCCGGCACAAGTCTCGTTGGTGCTGCTGCTGGTGCTGCTGCTGGTGCTGCTGCTGCAGGAGGTCGCTGCAGCAATGCGGTGCAAGCGCTGGCTGTCCGATCGGCTTTGTCGATGCATTAACGACTTGACTGGCCAGCGCATCGACACGCCCTTGTCAGGCCCGATCGAAACTGCTGACTCTGCGTCGTCTCGGCGGCTGCGGCGCGGCCTTTCCCGTCTCCTGCCTCCCCCTCCCTCTCTTCTTGGGGCTGTGCGGGTCGGGTGGAACGGCAGGGCGATCCGCGTCCATGTTTGGTCCCGCTGGGTGGGGGTGCCGGCCGCCATGGTGTCGTCGCGGCTGTGTCCAGATTCGCCCCTTGGTGCTCGGCCTGCCCGGATGAATTCCCTCTGCGGTGACTCACATTCGAGGCCGTGTCTGCGGCTGCCCGTTGTCGCCTCCGTTCCTGTTCTTGTTCCTGTTCCTGTTCCTGTTCCTGTCGGTCTCGTTGCAGGGATGCTGGCTTGTGGCTCTGGCTCATGCCGGCCCTGTGGGTCTGCCACTGCCACTGCTGCTGCTGCTGCTGCTGCTGGTGCCGGTGCTGGCCCTGATCTTGTGAGTCCTGTGGATGCTGTTGGCCATGACGCCCCATGCGATTCCCTGGTCTCTGGCGTCTCGATTCTGTTGCCACCAGATCTGCCCAGTATCCTCAGCGCCACATTCCACATGTCCAGCAGCCTCCCGACGGTCCTGCTCTATCCTGCCTCGATGGCGGGCGCTGTCGGGGGCTCACTTCCACGAGGACTCCGTATCCGGCGCCGCTCTCTGACGGGCGGAATGGCCATTGTCCCCGTGCTGTTCCAGCATCGGCGACCCAACTCCATGCCATTCTGGCACCGGCGACTCAGATCCGTGGCATCGCCATGCAGCCTCCTGGCATCGGGCACTGGCATCGGGCACGTCGCTGGCTCGCAGACTCGGCGCTGCTTTCGTATTGGGTCCATTTGCATGTGAATGCTCCTCATGAGCGGATGGTTGGTCCGGGTATTCTCCACGGCCATTTCTCCAGCCGCCTTTCCTCCAATCCGGCGCCGCGTTGCCCTGCCCACCAACATCCTCCTGATCTTCCCTCCCCCCCCCGGCCAGCATCGTCGTGCATCCCGCTCCGACTCTCTCAGCTCCGACCTCACTGGCAATCTCTCTGGCCGTTCTGTCTCGCTCCCACCTGCTGCCATTCCTGCCTGCTGCAATGTCGTTTCGCGATATGATCGGCGCCGGTGGCGAGTGCTCTGCCAATGGCAACTCGCTCGCAAAGCTGTCCAACCATCTTCAGGCTCCCAGCAGCAGTGTAAGATTGAGACTCTTGCGAAGGACCGCCAACGACGATGGGCTAAGCTTGGTTGAGCCGAATTGAGTGATGTGGGTCTGTGGCTCTGGCTCTGGCTCTGGCTCTGGCTAAAACTAAAATGGCTGTCGTCCTCGATTCCTCGTCCGCAGTCCTTTCGTGCACCTCCGAGTCTCATCAACGCCGAAGAATATCTCCAAGTGAGTTCCTTTCCTATCCCCCATCGTACCCTCCATGATCGCCGATGCCATCCAAGCATCCCACTATCCAAGCATCCCACTATCCAAGCATCCCACTATCCAAGCATCCCATCACCCATTCCCATCACCATTCCCATCACTGGCATTCCTGCACTCCAATTCGTCCTGCGGCCCCTTCTGTACTGTCCCATGGCACCTAATGGTATTCGACTCTCTGCCGGCTCCACGCCTGCTGCTGCCGGATCTTTCCGATCAAACAGAATCCTCTGAACAGACCCCCGCGTGAAGGTGTCTTCGATCCAGCCGAGGTAGAGCCACCGAATCTATCTGCGCATTTGCCTATGGGAGCCTCACTCGATTGCGCTGCTGCATCACCGTTTGCCCATGCGTTCTGAAAACTGCCTCGACTGAAATGCTCCTGCTCATGTCCGCCGCCCTCGCTCTCATGTCGTAGTTTACTCGGGATTTTCTCGGCTCCTCCCGCCCTGGTGCCCCGCGGCTCGCAGGTCCCAGAGAGCCCTTCCAGCTCGACGCCGTCCATCGAGAGCTGGAGCGCACTCTGGACCGAGAGCGACCAGTGGAACCCTCTGGTACGATCGATTTGACTCGCAGCCGCCAGCATGCTGCCCCCATATGCGCCGCTCAGGCTCTCTGTCGTCGTGGCTGCTGACATGTAGGCTCCTCGGACCGCTTTCAATGTCCTATCTAGCCTCTGGCTGGGCCTCCGAATTCAACCGCTTCAAGGGCAAGCACGTTCCAGCTGCATCCCAGTTCGATCCACATTTCGAAACAGCCTTCCAGCAGGCTGCCCTCGCCTCTTCGAGTATTCAGGTCCGCGAGTCGCAATCCGGGCCGATCGTGGACGATGCCGCCCAGAGGGCCTTTGACCAGGTTTTCGAGCAAGTCTCGCAGCAGCACGCCGTCGACTGGACCCAGGAGTTCCAGGCCGCGCATTCGACTGCTGCTTTGCTGCAGAACGAGTCGAGCGTGGCGTGGGCCGACGAGTTTGCAGCGCACACAAGCCAACCCTTTGCCGGCTCTGCGGACGAGCAGCAGCTCAACGAATCTTTCGAAAAGGTCTGGCAGAATATCAAGGACCAGATGCCGCTCCGAGGCGACGGCCTGGGCACAGACTTTGTCGATCCGTCGTGGGAGGACGAGTTTCTCGGAAACAACTCGACGTGGCCGGTGCAAGACTTTAACGACGTCAAGTCGATACCATATCAGTTTGAGAGCGACAACCCTTTCCTCAACCACCCGGATCCGTTCTCGGAGGCTCTGCGGCTCTACAACGAAGGCGGAAATCTGTCGGATGCCGTCCTGGCGCTCGAGGCTGTCGTCCAGAAGCAGATCGACCACAGCGAAGCGTGGATGCTGCTTGGTCAGATCCAGGCCGAGACTGAGCGGGAGATTCCTGCGATCGCAGCGCTGCAAAAGTGTCTCGAAATCGATCCCAGCAATGCCGATGCCCTGCTGGTAAGTGCTGGTGCAGTGTGCGGGCGGGACGGCGCCTGTTTATCCGTGCCTATGCACTATCGGATCGGCATCCTGAGTAGTAGCGAAGCGCCGACAGGCTGGAGCAATCCGTCAGACACTATTCCTGTCGACCGGGGCACTGCTGGGGAGCATGTCCGTTAGCCAGATCGGGCCGCCCTACTGCCTGAGACGCTCGGTCCTCGTAGTGGGCTCGTGCATTGAACTCGTACCATGGATGGGAGCCACAGATTGCGTGATGTTGGTCTGTATTCCTGCTCGAGAAAGCGCGTATTCAACTGCCATTGCCGTTTTCCACCCCCTCCCTCCAAGGCTCTGGCTGTCAACTACACCAACGAAGGCATGAACAACGAATCGTATCTGACCCTCGAGCGTTGGGTCCAGACAGCATATCCAACGCTGGCGTCCTGGCGTGAGTCTCGGCTGTCGCCATTCTTCTCCGAGAACGATGTGCGCCAGCACGTCATGACGCTCTACCTCGAGGCAGCACAAAAGGGCCCGTCGGCGGGCATGCAGCGCGACGGCAAGACGAGCACCAACGGACAGATCGATGCCGATGTGCAGGTCGGGCTCGGGGTGCTCTGCTACAACCTCGGCGAGTTTGACAAGGCCATCGACTGCTTCACGTCCGCGCTGTCGGTGCAGCCAGACAACTACCGGCTCTGGAACCGGCTGGGCGCCACGCTGGCCAACTCGGGAAAGAGCGAGCAGGCAATCGAGGCCTACCACCGGGCGCTTCAGATCAAGCCGACGTTTGTGCGGGCGCACTACAACCTCGGCATCAGCTGCATCAACATTGGCTGCTACAAGGAGGCCGCAGAGCACCTGCTGGGAGTGTTGCATATGCAGCACTCGGGCGTGCTCCAGGGCCGGCATGCCGACGACTGGGGAGGGCAGAGCGTCTGGGAGACGTTGCGCCGCGTCTTTACGTTGATGCACCGGGAGGATCTGGTCCAGAAGGCATTTGACCAGCCCGACCTGGCGCTGTTCCGCGGCGAGTTTGAGTTTTAGGCTCCGGCGTCGTGGGCGATCAGCGTGATGAGCACCTTGTAGTTGCCGAGTTTTGCTTCTTTTATTTTATTTTATTTTATTTTATTTTTGAAACATGCTGAACTAAGTTCGGGAGCCCAGTCGAATCTGTTGAATCGGTCCGGCAGCAGCGGTCGCAGACACAAAACGGAATGTCGGCCCACGCCGACCCAGACACCCGTGAGGCTCGGTCGGCACCAATGCGTGGCGCAGGATCGGAATCACGTGTCAGAGTTCCGCCTGGCGAGACGCGCGTGCTCGTGAAGGGCAGCGCGAGTCGACACAAACAATGCTGCGGACAGCGCGATTGGTGCTATGAATAGGAAGCCTGGTGCGACGGCGGTGTGACGGCGGGAGCAGGATTGTGTGGACGGCAAGGGGGCAGCAAGGGCCGCGTTGTGTGGTGTGTCCGGTGTGCGTTGAGCTGTGCTGCACTGTGTCGGAGCGTGCCGTCGCACTGTGTGAATTGCACTACCTTACAGCCACATACTGTCGCTCGTGCCGAGTGGCGTGTCCCACCCGCGCGCCTCCACAAGCAGACACACAGCACACAGTCGCAAGCTGTAGCTCAGTCGCACCCAAGCGCTGTCCCACACTTGCGCCAGTCCCGTGCGACACTGGTGCGACACGTCCGGCGCCCGTGTTACCGCCGCATGCTGTATGTCCCGCCGCAGTGTGCGTGTGTGCGCGCACAGAACTGCCGCACAGAACCCCCCACACCTGCCCTGCCCACAGGCCTTGGCCAGGCGCTTGCACCCATCCTCGCCGACACCCGCCAGCCAGCCCATCTCCTCCTTTGCCTCCGTCTCCTCTCCCGGGGAAGCCGACCGACGACCGACGACGATATCGACGGCGCCTGCCTGGCCCTCTGCCCTCCAGCCAGTCGCCCGCTTCTGCCTCCTGCTGCCCGTCGCCCGATCGCCTTGCCCGGCCACCACGTCCCTGCCGCCTTCCACCCGCCGGCCATGAGCTCCTTCAACCATTCCCAACAACCCTCCGCTCACCACAACGGCACCTCCACCCGGTACCACCGCTCCTCTCAGATATTCCAAGAAGGTAGGATCACGGCCGCATCTGTCGGGTTGGCTTGGTCTTGGCGGCCTGGTCTCGATAGCTGCCGCTTCGTTGGCACACTGCGTCTGCGCTTTCTGGGTCAGTCCGCCGGCTCCTTCGGGCAATGCCGCCAGCGCATATCCGGGCCGATGGCGCACCTGTCCGATATCGCCAGCCAGCCGGCGGCTGCAAGAAAGCGCCTCTGTCATCAAAACCACGGGTGCTGCTCGCCAACAACGCCGCTATATCAACCGAGTCCGAGCTCTCGCTCCCTCAGGAGGGCGTTGCGCTGCTCCAATCCCCACGGCAATCTCTGTCCGCAGTCTGGCCATCCGGCCGAGGCCGCTGGCACCGCACCTGCTGTTGATCAGAGGGAGTCTGCTCTGCCGGAGCCCTCCCCTCTCGCACGTGTCTCGGGTGCCCTGCGCTGCCGCCGTTGAATCGCAGCCGTGGTCCGATCAATCTTTGCCGCGGAACTTGCACAGGCAAGCAATGCAATGCTGACCCAACAACATCGTGCCGCATATGCTTCTGTTTCCGCGCAGATCCCTCCTTTGATGCCCTCTCCAAGGATGCCGGATCAAGTGCCAACGCATCTCTGCACGGACGCAACCGTGGCTTGAGTGCCGTCCGACGGACCAGCGTCCTCGCCAACCAGCCCTCGAAGGACAATCTCGCGGCCGAGGAGTTGGCTCCTGCTGCCGAGCTGCAGCGCAACGGCTACCTGGACCACCGACTCAGCACCCACCAGAGCTCGCTGGAGCGGGCCGTCCTAGGCGTCGCTGCTGCCAGCGCCTCCGTGTCGTCGCATCTGCACTCTCCGTCGCAGACACCGGGGTCGCCAAAGTTTGGTACCGCCCATGTTGTTGCGTAAGTTCCTCTGGCGTGGCTCCCTTCGTAGGCTATGCTCGTGTTTCATGGACTTGGATACCAGATTCATGCAGTTTGAGTGGGTGGTCTGGTCCAGAACAAGCCCTCCGTCGCTGATCAGGGAGCTTGTTCTGGATAGCAAGGATGGATGAGGCGTCCCGTTTCCGTGTTCCTGTTCACGCTCTTCGGCCTTCTCTCAGCCTTCCCTCGGCCTTCCCTCGGCCTGCCTTCCGACTTGCCATGATGTCTTTCCCGACCCCGTTATCACCTCCGCGCCGCGCGCTGCCCCCATTCGTTCGCTCGCGGTCGTGCACACTCGATCACACACCTTGCAGTCGGACTTGAGCCCAGAGCTAACCCCGAGACATCCACCCTGCATCGTAGACGCAAGAAATCGGATGCCGATGTGTCGGGATCCGGTCCCTCGACTGCTCTTACGAACCGAGCCAGCTTCCATCGGCCCGTCGACAAGCCGCCCTCAAGCTTGGCCAAGAGCCCTTCGCAGACCCACCTTAACGGCAAGCGTGCCTCCGCGACCATCAAGCCCTCGATGCTCCCCGTTCCCACGTACTCGGTCTCCCCCGAGTCCCGCCCACGCAGCCAAAAGACGCCGACGTCATCCACGTCTGTGCCGTCGTCCAGGGTTGCCCCAAACTCGGCTGGCACACAGACGATGCCTCCCTTGAGCGCAAAATCATCGGTGGTCTCGAGCACCGTGTCTCCTTCAATGCCGACGCTGCAGCCTCCAACCATGCTGACTCAAAAGTCGAGGGCCTCGCTGGGCCCCTCCAGCTTTGCCTCGCAGCTCTCTCAGCAGCTTGCCCAAGTCTCAGTCAACTCCAACGGCACCTACAAGACTTGGGGCAGCGGACTGGCCTCGGTCAACCCTTCCCACGGCTATGGCGTCGAGAGAAACCCCTTCACCAACACCCGTGGACCCTCTCCTCAGAAGCTGCATCTCGAGTCGCCCACCAAGACGCCCAGCCGATCGGGTTCGGGCGGGAGCGAGTCTGCATCCCCGGGCATCTCCTATCCACTCTCGGCCTCTGGTGGGTCCTGGCGACCGCATGTGCTGTCAGTGGTGATGAGGTTAACTGGGTCGGGGCGCCACGCTTATATCTATCGCGATCTCGCTTGCGAGAGATCATGATTTGGCCCTCCCGAAGCGTCTGCGCTCCTTGCTGATCCCGGATATCGGTGCCTCATCCTCCCTTCATTTTCAGATGCATTCCACAACTTCAAAGACATCCTTACCCCTTATGAGCACAACGAGCTGTTTGGGTATAGCAACGAGATTTATTTCCTCGGCAGTCCTAGCGTCGACAAGATCGGCAGCGCGCGCCGCCGCACGGGTGCTGACGACGGATCGAGGTCCACCCAGGAGATCGAGAGCGCCGTCTACAACAATGGTACCGTATCGATGCAGCACTGTGCGGACCACGTAGACTCGAGTCGCTCCTTTGGTGCGCATGCAGCCCGCGTGCCTTTCCTAACGACGCTGATCCTGACCTCCTCACTCCTGCCTTGCGAAACGACGCACCAACCAGGCTATGACGACTCCCGCGGCGATTACTATTTGACCAAGCACGACCATATTGCGTATCGGTACGAGGTTCTGGGCCTTCTCGGCAAAGGCTCGTTCGGACAGGTTGTCAGATGTCTGGATCACAAGACCAAGAAAACGGTTGCTCTCAAAATTATCCGAAACAAGAAGCGCTTTGAAAAGCAGGGCCTGGTGGAGGTCAAAGTTCTGGAGCAGCTCAAGAGCCAGGTACGCATCGGGATGAGTGGCCGCCGATGCGTCGTCTCAGCCACGTTGTATTTTGAATCTTCGCCGGCCAGATCAGCGTCGCCAGCCCTCTCACGCACTCTCACCTGGACACCAGGATCCCGACGACACCCACAACATCATTCACATTGGCGAAAGCTTCCACTTCCGCGGCCATCTGTGCATCACCTTTGAGCTGCTGGGCATCAACCTGTACGAGTGGCTCAAGGCGGGCAGCTTCCGCGGCGTCCATCTGGGTGTCGTCAAGAGGTAGGTGCATTCTGTTCAGTAGGGAATGCCCTTGCGGCTTGGGTACGTCTGAGCATTAGCACGCGGGGCCTCACACGCGTCTCTATCGGCCCTAGATTCACGATCCAGCTGCTGCAATGCCTGCTGTTGCTTCAAAAGGAGAAGATAATCCACTGCGACTTGAAACCCGAGGTGAGTATTCTCTGTCGTGATCAGCGGGATGCATTGCCCCTGCTTCGGCTGAAGCGGTGTCGCTAACCCCTGCTGCTTTGCACTCCTCCTCCCCAGAACATCTTGCTTCGGGACCCTGGTTTCATCTGCCCAAGCCGCAGCGACGCAAACGAGCACCGCGGCGCCCCAAGCCCGCACAGCCCGTCGCCCACCGGGAGCCCCTATCCCCCAGACTTTGACATGAGCTCGCCCGCCTACGGCATCAAGGTCATTGATTTTGGCAGTAGCTGCCTTGAGCACGAGAAGGTCTACACTTATGTGCAAAGCCGATTTTACAGAAGCCCCGAGGTCATTTTGGGTACGTGCTGAGCCCCGTGCGTCCGAGTGGTGGTGTTCGAGGGAGGATATGTTCAGCGAGGCTGCGACTTGTGTCTTGGTCGGCACTTAGGGAAGGCGCTCGCGGTTTAACATGCTCCGTGCATCATCCAGGCATCAGCTACAGCACGGCCATCGATATGTGGTCCCTCGGCTGTATCCTGGCCGAGCTCTACACCGGCTACCCGCTCTTCCCAGGCGAAAACGAAGAAGAGCAGCTGGCGTGCATCATGGAAGTCAAGGGCCTCCCTGACGCAAGCTTTGTTGACTGTGGCAGTCGCAAGAAGAAGTTCTTTGGTAGGTGCTCCTCGCTGCCGCTGCCGCTGCGATTTGGGGGGGGGGACGCTTTGTACTTGACGGCCGAGCGCCGTCCCTTGACCACATGGTCGCTGCAAGCATTCTGACCTGATTCCGAACTGCCATCTCGTATCAGATAATGGCCCCAAGCTTAAGCCCAACAGCAAGGGCGTGATTCGTCGCCCCGGTAACCCGTCCAAGTCTCTTGCCAAGGTCTTGAAGTGCCACGACACTGCCTTTATCGACTTTATCGAGCGCTGCCTTATCTGGGACCCGGACAAGCGCATGACACCCCAGGAGGGCTTGAACCACGAGTGGATCGTTGGCCACTCTGCACACACGCCTCATCACATCTCGCTCGTGCCCACCAGCTCGCCCGAGACCGGCTATGCTGCGCCCCCCAGCGGCTCGTACCGACGCAAGCCCAGCATTACGGGTCTCAAGAGCCCCACGGCAGGACTGGTCTCTGGCCGCAAGCCCAGCAGCGGAAACATCAGCACCCAGTACACCACCCCGGCCATGGCCTACACACGCTCGCAGCCGGCGCACTCGACCCTCAGCGGCACCCTCAATGGCGGCCTGAGCAGCAACCCCGAGCTCCGAATACGCGGTGGGATCATCTACAATGGCGAGAACCAGCCCGTAGTCTCGGCGGGATCCACAGTCTCGACGGCGTCGCAGTCGACTCAGCAGCGCAACGCTTCGTCCAGCGGCTCGCAAAAGTCCCGGCCAAGATCGTACTATTATCGCGCCGACGGATCCGGCCCATCCGCATCTGCGTCTGCGTCCGGCAGCTCTGCTCGGCCCATCGCCACGGCCCGTCGTAGCCAAGCCAACTTGGACGTCGGCGACCTGTCCAGCATCGGGGGCTCTAGCCAGCTCCCACCCATCAGCTACGGCACTCCGGCGTCGTCGAAGCAGCCGGCCTACGGCAACAACTCGCTCTCCCGGAGCTACCAAGGTGCCTCGTACCTTAGCGGCACCCTGACTTCCGGCTACACCGGCACGGGCTCGGCTGCTATGAGCGGCGCCGCCGCCGAGTATTCGCCCTATGCTGGATCGAGCGGCGGATCCGGCGTGCCGGTCCCTTCTATGAATCGTAAGTCTGCCAAGAGCATGAGTGGCTCGACGGCCGTCGTTGGTGGCCTCGTTGGCGCGCCCACGGTCAACACCGCCAGTGCCTCCATCGGCCGACGGAGCACTGCATCCAAGTCGGCCACCGAAACGCAATTCAGCCAGCAGGTATGTTGCGTGTCTAGCAGGTCCTCTCCTCTCCCAACACGGCCGACGAATACAGCAGTGATGTGACGACGGATATCTGACCTCCATTCTCTCGCTCTTCTACCCGGCGCCCCCAAACAGAAAACCTGGCGCAACTAAGGCTCGCCAGGATCGGAGATCATTCCATTCGCCTTCGAAACAGCGGCATGGGCCCGGGCGCCATCTGCTCCTCAACTTTCCGCCCCCCCCCCTTCCCATCGCTCCGCTCATCGCACTCCTCCTCTCCTGCCGTTTCTTTCAAGCCCTGCTTTGAATCCCTCTTCATTCTCGACTTCTGATCTGTTAACTCACACGCACCTCTCTCTCTCCGACTTTAGACAGTAACTCCTAGTTTTGACTCCTACTTTCTTCCTCTCCTGGGCCTGTGACGGCGAAAGACCCCCCTGGACTGCCTTTTTTTCCCCCCATGTTCACCAGGCTACAAAACAGAGCTGTCTTTCTCGCCCTCTCGCATCCGAATAGTTGCTGGCTCCTTCCTCTCTCCCTCCTCTCTTTGTTTTCCTCCAGGTCTCTCCGTCGCCGCCTCTGCCCATGCCGCCGTCTCGAGTGGATGCGAGCCGCTTCGGAAGCTAACGGGAGAGGCACACAGCCTCGACGGCCCCATCCAGTAGCTATCTGGAGACAGACTACTCCCCTCAACCAAGCTTGACTCCAAGGGCTTCATACTGCTTCCCACCCACCCCGGAACCTTAAACCAACCATTTCTCTCTCTCTGCCTCCCTTTCGCTGCTTGCTCCTCTGCCCCACACCATCACCAAGCATCTGCCGCGACTGCACCTGTTGCCCACCACCCAAATGACTTCATGAATTCGTAACCAGATCGACGGCGCTCCACCAGAAATGAAGTGCGCAATCCCCCCCTCGCTCTGGATACGCCGTTCCCGAAACTGAACCGGGATGCTCTGTATTTGAGGCCAATGGCCGCTTTGTTTTCTGGACCTTGAAATAGCACCCTCAATGCTCAATGCGATTCTGTGCTTGGTAGAGTGCCGAGTTCATGGCCGCTCGTGGTCATCTGCAAAATCACACTCGCTTCATCGGTTCCATCCCAACCAGGACTCCCGATAGTTCTTCAGCCTGCGTCGTCGGAGGAGTGTTGTGTTGAGGCACTGTCGTGAGTGTCGGCTCGACGCTATACACATACCATGCGGGATCCGGCGCTCCTCTCGGATCGATCTGCTCCAATATGCCTCCGTTCATCTTTTCGACATCCATTCCCCCCCCCATTTTCTTTCAAATTCCATTCACATAACGGCTACAACTTACAACTGGTATCCGTGCTCTTTGGCGATGCCCACAGCGGCGGTAGACCGCACCCCGCTGCGACAGTAAAACACGACGAGCTGGTCCTTCTCAGGCTTGTTGAAACCATAGAGGGTATGGAAGGTCTGGGCCGGCATCTCCAGGGCCTCGTTCAAATCACCGACTGCGGAAACCGTCCGGGTTGTTGGGAGAGGAGATTCGTCAGAGGGCAAAGGCGTCGTTCGTGCCAAAGAGCAGGATATGACGATGGCTCGCAAAGTCGAGACAGATCTTGCCACCAGCCCGCGGCAGAACGACCAGGAACTCTGTCGTTGCCGCGTGGGGCTCAATAGGAATTGCAGGTGCCGCTTACCAGGGATGTGCATTGCAGTCGGGATTCGTCCCTCGATGACCTCATAGGGCTCGCGAACATCGATCAAGATATAGTTCTGCGATTCGCACGGAGCAGATGTTGTGTTGCCGCCGAAGTCGGCATCGGCATCGGCATCGGCATCGGCATCGGCATCGGCATCGGCATCGGCATCGGCATCGGCATCGACATCGACATCGAAGGACAGGATCCAAGAGGTTAAAACCCTTGCAGACGCAGTCTTCATTTGCAAAACCCGCTACGATTGCCTGTCGGCTGCCCTGACCTGCTTTCCAGACTTTTCGGCGTCGGCGATGAGCCCTTCAAGCTCGTGTGTGGTGATGATCCCGGCATCTTGGCCGGATTTTGTGGAGAGGAGCCGGGTGGACGCACTGGCCGCCCAGCGATTCGGGGTGGCCGTCCTGAAAAAGACAGCAAGCTGCTGCCCGTAGCAACCGCAGCAGTTACGGAGCTGGGATGGCAGCAGCCGGGGCTGGGCGATGGACGAAGCCGATGCAAGGGCCAGACGGCCGTGGCGCACGGCCATTGCTCTGGAGGATCTGATCATTTTGAATGGAAGCGGGAGGCAAAAGCAGGGTCGATGGACAGCGGTTGTTTGAACGATATCTGCGACAGCGCCGTGAGCCCTCCAGTGTTGATGGCTCGGCGGAACTGGGCTTGTGCGTTGCGATCGCTGTTGACGCCCGGATGATGCCGATGATGCCGAGTGCGCGGTGCCGACAAGCCCCGAACAGGAGCAACAGCGCAACAATCGCCAGGGCAAGCCACCCGGTCTGATCCCCGGCCGCATCGATAGCGACGTCAACGGGGCGGATCCATCGCCGTCCGGAGCAGCCGCAACAGGGAACCAGGATGCTCAGCGCTCTTTCAAGAGCAGTGATATCAGGGAACTCCAGCGGTTGGTATGTGCGAATTGAATGGTGTTCTGGCTTAATACTGTCAACTGATCTGGCTGAGTGCTGTTATCGGCATCCGAGCCCCAACACACCATCCGTTCACTGGGCCCTCCAGCAATATCGCCCTTTGCCCTGCGTCCTGCTCCCTGACTCCAGGTGTGTCCTCTTGCCCCGATATGCAGCGACAGCATCCGCAGCGACTCGTCATGCCCACTCACTCCGTGCATCTCCATGTTCACACGGAACATACCCAGGGGGATGACGACCTACTCGATCGTTGTTGACCGAGTATGATAGAGCACGCTGATATATAGGCTAGCTGCCCTCAGTCCTCAGTCCTCAGTCCTCAGTCCTCAGTCCTCAGTCCTCAGTCCTCAGTCCTCAGTCCTCGTCACTCTGTCGACGATGCCGACCTTCCGCCGCTTTCGCCACAGAGTGCACCAGGCCCAGCAGCCGTAGTGCCCGGCTTCTTGCGGAGGGACCTTGCCCTCGACCGGCGCTGTCGTTCCGGCATCCTCTGGGGCCACCTTTTTCAGGTTGGCCTTGAACCGTTGGGCCTGTTGCAGCCGCATGCTTAGCGAGCGGTGAACCTCCAGGATGTCTTGCTTGGGCGGAACAGCCGACAGATTTATGGCGCTCGACACGGGCGAGAGCTGGCTGTCGGCGAGGTCCTGCTGGAGTGTCATGAGCTTTTCAAGCAGCGCCTGTTCGATCTCGCTTTGGTTCATGTTCTTGCTCCGCGAGGAGGTCGAGTGGTGGGGCAGCGTGAAGCTGTCGGGAATATTGATGAGCGGAGTGACCGAATCCAGGAGTTCGTCTGGATGCAGGCCCGGCCAGAACAGCAGCGAGATGAGTGGTACTGCGATACGGTGTGCCGATAGAATACGGCATGGAGTTGCTTCTCGATCCCGGTCGCCAGGAGTCAGGAGCACCCGCAAGCACTGTCATCAGCACAGGCACCCCATGCAGCAGTTGCCCAGGTACCTGAGAATGTTGGCGACATGACCCGGTCTGGTGGTGGTGGTACTTTACATGCCAAATCCTGCTCGATCTTGAGCGGAACATCGAACGACTCGCGAGACACATTGATGCAGGCCTCCGAGGCCATTGGAGTGTCGAGCGACCCGGTTGAGGTACTTGACATCCGGCGACTCTCGGGAGTGAGATACTTGCTTTCGGCCGGGCTGCTTTGAGAGGGACTGGACGGGCCCACGATCCCAGAGTTGTTCGCACTCTTTGGACGCCGCTTCTGCGATTCAGGAAACAGGAGAGACTGTCGCCTGGTGGTATCCGAGGCTCGCCGCGTCACAATACGTTCGTCCGTCGGTGGTGTCCCTGGATCGCTGCTGTTGCTTGCGAAGCTCGTCTGACTCGCCAGCGGACTCGAGCCTCTCCGGGGTGTCCTTTCGCTTGACACAGAAAGCAATCGGGACGACTGTGCCTTTTGCAGATTCTCATCATAGCTCCGCGAGTGCCTTGGCGAGTCTGCTCCTCCAGCAGACGGCGGAGCTGGCGGCATCGACACCCGGTTCTGCGCCGGATATCCTTCCGCCGAGTTTTTGCGCGGCCGATGTGGGGCATCGACGCTCGCTTTTGGCAGTGACTCGTTGCTGGATGGAAGCGGCGGGGATGACTTGACCGATTTCGGCGCCCCATATGTCCCCGATGTTGCGAATGCGCCTCGTTGCCTTGCAGAAATGGGTCGGTCCATCTATTGGCATTACTCTCCAGAGAGAAAGTAGCGGGGCTGAAAGAAAGAATGAGGGAGCCCGCAATGCAGCTGGATATAGAAGCCAACAGTGGCTCTGCGTCAGTTTGAATGTTTTGTAGATTGCTCTCGAGGACTGCGTCTGCCTCGGTGCTTGGCTACAGCCTGGGGCTTGCAGAATCCAGCTCGGGTGCTGGATTCGTCCGAGCGTGGTGGAAAGAATAGGGCTATGCGAGCTGGAACCGACCTGGCCGATGCTCGATGCCCAATCTGCGAGGAATATAGCGGTACCCCCACGCCCTGCTCCACTCGCTGGCTGCTTGGATTCAACCAGATTCAATTCTGCTGGCTCGGAGTGCATATTGGGGCCTCCGTCAGTGTTGGTCTGTTCAGTTCAGCGAGTTGGCCAGGTCGCAATCGGAACACACTGCGCTGAATAGCACTGGCAGAGCGGCGATGAATCGGACCGAGCTGGACCGGGCTGGACCGAGGTCAATGGGACTGACTCGATTGGCTCACTTCTCAGACCGCTTGCCTGTTGCTGTCACTGCGCCAGCGAGACAAGTCCTGATCCGAATCGTGTGATTGATTCTGGGTCGCACTGGTCATTATCCACATTTGATCGGGCAATAGAGTGAATGGCCGGGGTCGGCCTAGCTGCGGAAAGTATCCGCTTGGGCTACTCCGTCCTCCCCATTCCCCGTCGAAAGCCTCCTCTCTCGGCATCTTGCCTGCCTGTCCGCTCCACACCTTCACGGAGCCATCACCTTCGCCGATTAGTTTCTATTTCACCCGGAGCCGCCCGTCTTCGGACCCTCAGCATCAGTGCAGCTCAAGCTTGCTCCGTACCACCCACCGACAAGTGCCCAAGTTATCAAGTCCCTGCTTACTCGCAGCATCCCTCCTCAGCCTGGCTGTTCGATTCCCATTTCCAATACCCCCCCTATCAGTAGACGCTCCGCTCTACCCACGATGCAGGACAACGAGTGCACCCATCCCTCCTCACTACCGCAAGAGTCTGAACATGAGTTCCGACCCCGATTCTACTCGAGTCCAGCTGGCCTTGGCATTAAAAAGTCACTTGCATCGGTACTCGAGGAAGACGAAGAAGGCGACTTTGACAGCAGCGGCGAGTTTCGGCCATGTTCGCTCTCCGGCTCTATAGTGGCCAAGCCCGACACATCCTTGGAGCTCAAGTATCTGGCTCGCAAGTACAAAATGGAGCGAAGATCCCTGGACCTGTGGGCTGCTTCCCACGCTCTCGGCAGCGGCACTCAGGGACCCGAAACGGACGACGCCGGTCCCAGTAAAAACGAGCCTCTCTGCTCCGAGGGCGATGGGGACGACGACTCGGAGGACTTGAGGCAGCTGAACCAGCGGCTGAAGGAGTGCTCCGATGGCTTCGAGCTTGAAGACGAAAGTCCCCTCTGGAAGAAGAAGAGCGCGTTTGAAGAGGGCTTTGGGGTCGATTTCGCCGCCCTGGACCATCCCCACCGACAACAGCGACTGGTGGATGGCGACATCTTCCCATTCCCTGAGACAATCATTCGCGAGCCCATCGAAGTACGTTGTGTCTGCCGCTGTGTCGTTGTGTCGTTGTGTCATCGATGGCAATTCTGGCTGCTGCGACTTGGCGATTGGTTCTCACGAACACCAGCATCTTGTACAGCTTGATACTGGTCGTGGCTGCATCAGCCAGCCCAGTGCACTGTGCTCTATGGATTGCTCACCAATGCTCATCAATGCTCACCAATGCTCACCAATGCTCCTTCCATAACAGAATGTGAACAAGCGCTGGATGGAGAGCATGGAAGACATCCCTCAAAGCGAGCGCGATGTCCCCGAGACCGCCGCCCATGCTCACCATGTTTCGTTTGCCGAGCGAGTGTCGGCCGAATGCAAGGGCACCATCCTCAGCGAGAAAGCGACTCTTATCCAAAGCCCTGGCGCGCCCGATCCTCAGTCGCTGCCGGACGAATCAGCGGTCCCTGTAAAGTACTCGGTGGATCTATCGCACCTGAGCCTGGATAGCGGATATGAGTCCCGGCGTGAGTCGCTCATGAAGCAGATCCGACTCTCGTCCGGCCGGCCGTCAATGGCATCGACCGTCAACCGATCCATGTCGGTGGCCACGGCCTGCAACGAGAAGTCGCCGTGTGTCATCAAACTGGCCCCTCCCAGTGTCCTTCCCACAGACACATGGGCAAAGAACCAACAGGCTCTCGGCGAGATTAGCGAGACTCGCGCGCGGCTGGAGCGCCTTGGAATGTATCCCCCGAAAGTCTCTACGACCGATTCGTGGGTCGTCCGTGCGCTCGAGCGAGTCGTGGGTCGGCTCTCCAGAAAGAGGCTGTTCTTGGACTTTTCAGTCAACAACCCGACAAACCGCAAGAAAAGCCACGAGGATGTCGATATCTCCGCGGCCTAGGTGGGTGCCCCCTATGGACTCTTGTGGGCTGGGTCGTGGGTCCGCACTGGATGATGCAAGTACAGACGGGCACTTTGGGTTGGGCCACGACAGCAGCGACCAGCATGGCGCGCAAAGGTGGCTTTAGCCGGCTGCCGAGGCCGCCATGCGGTACTGGCCAAGTCACCCATGTCGCCCATGTCGCCCTGGTCGAGAGTGCCGTTAGAGCAGAAGCCAGAGGCTCATGTTTTGGTTTCAACAACGGCAGTTGCTTCAGACGCATGCGACTCGTCTCGCCGCCATGAGTCTCACCGTGCTGCTCGTTTCCACTCCCACCAGACACACCAACGGTGTTCCGACAAGCGCTATCCTGCGCCGCTGCGCTTCTGTTGTTCTGCTTCACCCCGTATCTGTCTTGAACCAAGACTATGAATATCACCACTAGCTCCGCCCATTTGCGCCTCAGCATTTCTGATCGGTGAGCGGGGGATTCAGCAAGCTTCGGTCATCGTGGTTGAATCAGGATTGTCGGGCGCTCAAGCTGTCTGCCGCATGGTCCGAGCGGATTGACCGGGACCAAACCTTCCCGTTCCCGCTCTCCTGCTCAGCACTGGATCCGAGCGGTGCTCGTGCAGCAGAGCCCGCGCGAATCCCTGCGTTCTCAGTGGCAAGCATGCCGCCTCTGATTCGGCAATTGCCTCCCCACCCCAACTGCTGAGGTCATCCACGAGGCTGCCAGCTCAACGACATTGTCGACATACCCGCGCATTCAATCAGGCCACTTGCACGGATCGGCAGCCCTGCACGACATCCTGTGTTTTCCCGATACTCCCGCCAATTTGCAGTAAAGGGAACTACGCGCTGGCGAATTGTTGCTCATAGATAGATCCGACGGCGAGTCATCCCCTGACGGCGGGGCTCGGCCCGGCCGTGCTCTCTCCAATCACAAGTGGCCCCGCTCAGTTTCGCCGATTCGTATTGCCCAGAGCAATTTTCCCTGGCCACCGCGGAGAGTCGGTCCTTGCCTTCGAAATACTGATCGAGTACGGTTGAAAAGCCGCGTCCAGGCTCCGGTTGGCTTTCCAGACCCCTTTGCGCATCGGACGACAAGAGCACCAGAAGCGACGTCTCTCCTCCAGCCTCGTGCACCAACCTTGCTCCTGTTTCACATCCGCAGCTCGATCCCTGCGCGGTGTGTATCTGCATCAGATCCCAATCGTCGGCGCAGGTGTTTCTGTGGAGAGTGTCGGAGGAGGGGAGCAAAGGGAACGGCTGTGGATGATGCTGTGGGAATGGAGGATGACCAGAGCGACGACGGCACGGTAGTCGCCAGACCAATTGCATGTGCACATGTTGAATTGCATTCAGCGATTCTGACCCACTTTCTCTCGCTGGCTATTGTCCCAATGGCGTGGTGTCGCTGTTGCCCAAATAGACTTCTCCGCGGTCATTACCTGCAGCACCTCCGTCAAGATCCAGCCCGACGGGACAACCGGGCCCCACAAAAGATGGCCACATTCAATCCCGACGATGACCTCCGGCTCTATCCTCTCGCCGGCGATACATACTCCAAAAACATTCGGCCAACCCTTCCGCCATTATCGATCCTCTTGAGCCGTGTTCCCCCGCCACCGGCCCGGCGGCCATCCACAGCGCCGTCGCTGCTTCATACCTTGAGCGATCAATCTCTACCGCGGCCACGCCCGTCGAGCGAGCAGAAATCCTACCTCATCCACAGCGCAAGCGCATACAATGCAAGTTTCCCATCATAGCCCTCGCCGATATCCGCTGTCGACTTGGTTTGGCTGGTCTTTGCTCTACCGTTCGTTTCCATGGCTTGCTTTCCGCGGAGCCACCTGATAACACGGCCCCGAATCACGAAACTCGGAATCCCATTCTGACCCGAGGTGGGTGGTGTTCAGGGTCCTGGCTTCTCATACAGGCACCGAAACGACTTTGATTCCGAGTCTTCATCATCTTCTCGCGAAGATCCGTTCTACCCTAGCACACAGCACCGTGAGACTCTGGTACGGAGCCTCGCTTTCGTCGCGCCGTTATGGACGAGGAGCAAACCGAATCTGGCGCAAATTTCTGTGAACACCTGCGCTTGCGGGTGTGCCAGATATCCCTCTGCATACTTATGCCCCAAGCATCTCCATGCATATGATGATCACAGCGCCGGTACAGCGCCGACTGCGAGCCAATTTCGCATGGCGGCCTCAGCGGTCCATCACGCGGAGACACCAGAAACGGTCCTCCTTCCGACCATTGCGACGATAAAGCCCGCGATTCCCCGAGAGGAGAACCACCTCAAACGGGACTCAGCCCGAGTGTAGCCATCAAGCGAACTCGCAAGCTTGTGCGCTCGAAGCTCTATGTGCATCGGGCATGTGTGAGCTGCAAAAACTCACACGTGGCTTGCGATATTGAACGGCCTTGCCATGTAAGCCAGAGCGATTCGCCGCGCCGATCCACAGATCCAGCCGGCTCGCATGCAGAGGAGCCGCTGGCGGGATGGACGGAAGGCTATGTCGTCGTGGGAGTACTCAGTCTATCGGGTATATCAGCCGCAACGGCTCACGATGGCGGACTGGAGGTCGAAATCTGGCTCACCACGGCGACGTCTCCATCGTTCTCTTAGCGATGCATCCGGCTGGGAAAGGCCGACAGCTGCGTTGATGCCGAACGCAAGAAACGGGGCCGCCCAACGACAATTGCACTCAAGTCACAGATGGCCACATCGCTCAGCCGCATCGGCTCCTCTGCCGAAACTCGCTCTACTGGTGGCGCTCGGCCATTTGTCGGGATGCAGCGCGTCCCCAACATCGGGGCTGGCCCATATCCGATGGTCGGTGGTGCGCATGCATCGGGGCGGATAAGTGGTGCAGCGCCACATGGACCAGCACAGAGGTACCCGCTATATGAATAGTGTTGTGTCTGTCGCAAGCCTTTTCAAAGATTCAACAGGTTCTCCGGCACAGTTCCACCAAGCAACCGTGCCACGCCGGGCTTGCTCGACGTTGCTGCTGTTGCCACTCAATCGAATAAACCCGCAGTTCATCTACTCAACTGGCTGTTGTGTTCGACAGGGCAGAGTGGCGCTGAGTAGCCTGTCGAGCGGCATTGGTGTGGTAGTTCAATAAAGCGTTTTGTTTGATCGTCGGCGATATGCTGCCTGTCAGGTGCATGTGTATTACAGGCAATCCAATAAAAAACGGGACACCCGGGTTTTTGACCATTCATCGAATATTTTGTTACCCAATGCTATCGCGCGCTGGCCATGACCATTCGCCGGACAGTGTGGAATCGCGACGGCAATGCGGCGCGCAACATGATCACAGTATGCAGGTCGATTGTGGAGACCGGAGGGCGACCGGTGGTCTTCACTCGGAGGCTGCCAAAGTGATCTGTTTTATTTCTTATGGCTTTGCTTGACGCAAGCATACCACATACTACATGTTCATGGAAACGGCTATATTGTCCCGTTTTTTTCTGAATAAAGTGTACACAGACACAGAGTGTATGCGACTGACATGTACGAGTGCGGGTGCGGGGAAAGTCGGCAATCTCTATATCATAGGTGGAAACGGTGGATGTTGGCCGGGCTGGCAGCGGCGGCGGCGGTAGTGGTGGTGCTCAGAGCGTTTCCTGTGTGGACTTGGCTGCCTCCTCTGTTCTCTTGACTTTGCATTTGCTCGCGGCCAACCCAAGGACAAGGACTGTGGCGATGGACATGCAGGCTCCGCCAAAGAGCATGGCAGGAATAAAGTTGATCGTGGTGGAGCCATCCGAGTTGTGCGTGGTGCAGCGATCGATGATGAGGCCGGCCAAAGGAGATCCGATCAGGTTTCCAACCATGAAGCTCTACACAACAGAATAGACAAGCAATATGAGCATTCAGTGCAATATGGGCACTTGGTGCAACCTGCATCCGGGCTGTATCCAGTCGGATTCTCAAAGCAAACCGGCCACGCTGCTTACGGAATAGAGCATGCCGTTGATGGAGGCAATGTTCTTTGTCTTGAAGAGCTCGGCGATGACTGGGAGGAGAGGAAGCATTGATCGGGGGCGAGTCAGTGGATGCAAAGGTGCGAGTCTGTGACTGTGGATCGCGTTGGTTTCAATACTTACCAGTTGGGAACAAGCTGATGAAGCCGCCGATGAAGCCTGGAGTGGAAGGAAGGAGATTGAGGCAGCCATTGTCAGAGAAGCACCCAGAGTGCATTGTAACTGCCACCTGCCAGTACTCGCAGTCCACGATCCACAGAATTGAGGCAGCAACAGCAACAGCAGCATATCGATCATACGTACTGCCAAAGATGATCGCGAATACCATCAGGGACCAGAAGGCGGTCGAGAACGGCCATATCAACAGCACCGACAGCGACGCGGCGGTGATGGTCAGGGCCAGGGTGTTCATGTGGCCGAAACGATCAGCCAAGTATCCCCAGAGGAGGCGACCGACAGCCGAGGCACCGTTCAAGATGCCGACAAGCAGGGCAGCATTGTCGGTCGAGATGCCGTAGTACACAGCATAGGCTGTAGAGTGCAACGAGATGGCATCAGCACAGGCATGAGATATGTACGATCCGGACGGCGATATGCTGGCAGTCGACACAGATGGAGTCGCTCAGCCACGATACTTACACGACAGGAAGAAGAACGGGATGAAGTAGCCAAAGGTGTTGAAGAAGGCGATGACATAGAGACAAGTAAAGTCCCAGATCCTGAACATGCCAAAGTCGATCGCGGCTGCACGCTGATGGGAGTGGAAGAGGGAGATCGATCAGAGCCCATGGCAGGCTGAACAAGCGCCGAGAATGCGACCAGTGCCATTCGCAACAGGGCTCTGGATGCAAACATACCTTGGATGCCACACGAGTCTTGTAGAACAACGCTGCGACAACCGTGGCTGCCAGATGCAAAGTGGCCGAGTCAGCAAGGTCGGCGAAGAGCCATGTCAGTGTCAGTGTCAAATGGAAACAGGATGGACCTGTCTCAGGCTCCAGCCCATCGAACGGCAGCATGTATCACTCATACATACCGACGAGACACACAATGCCGTTGATGCGGAGAGCCCAGCGCCACTCCAAGAGTCGGATGAGCAGGCGGATCAGGGGACTCAGGGCCAGGCCGCCGACGCCGCTGCCGGCGACAGCGATGCCAACGGCGATTCCACGCTTCTTTGCGAACCAGTGGGAAATGATGCTGACGGCGGGCATGTACGCAAACGAACTTCCGATACTCGAGAGAACGGCCTGGGTCAGCCACATGTGCCATGTCTCTGTCGCAAAGGACGAAACAATGTAGCCCAGGCCGGCCATGACGCCGCCAATGACGGCGATGGGGCGATATCCGTACTTGTCAGCCAGTCTATAGACGATGGGGGTCGAGATGCAAGGTTAGGTCGACTTGACATGCGACAGGGCAGTGTCCGGAAGAGGCTCGTCTCCGCCATGGCTAGCTGTGTCAAGACTGCCATCGACCATGAACATCATGGCGCAGGTCCGACACCTGTGGACGGACATGGATGCAGACTGGAGACCTCACTCTGGTCAAAGAACCAGTTCACTCAGCCCAAGGCTGCTTGCACAGGAATCCAACATACCTTCCGGCTGGGATTGCAAAGAGAGAGAGGCCACAGGCGCTGATCGAGCCGATAAAGGCGATCGACAGGTTGGAGGCATCTGGTTGGAAGTAGATGGTTGGTTAGATGAGCTTGGCTGGTGCAGCATCGGCCGATTCCAGAGTCCAGGCGAGACGACCTGGAGTGCATGGTTCGCAGCTTGTTGAACCAGCCGGACAGAGCAGCCGCGCCATGCAAGACTCACTTGGAAAGATTTGCCCAGCGGTAAAGTGCTGCAGATACACGCCAAAGGCCGAGGCGCCGCCGACGATAAAGAAATGGACCCAGAAGCTGGCAATGACAGCGACCCAGCCGTATCCGCCTTCGGGGTGTGGCTCGGGGGCCGAGACCGGGTCTACGGCGTCGACGATGACGATTTCCTCGCCGAGCTTTGGAGACTGATCGTCGTCATGCGTTTGCGTCGGCGGGTGATCGATCGTATCGATCGTTTGCGAGCTGTCGGTTGGATGAGCCATTGAGGCGAGACGGGCCGTCGATCAATGTGCTCCGATGCCGCTCGGGTTCTTCGGAGCTGCCGATGGTGGGTCCATAGATGCCGATCGGGACAAGTTATAAGCCCATTTCGATCGATCGATCCCGGCCATGGGAACCCTTGTGGAACCAACGTGGCTGTTGATGATCGCTGAACGACAGCAGCGCTGCGCCTGGAAGTGATGTCAACGGCAGCCCCGAGAGCGCCATGACCAAACCATGCCGATCCTGCCCGAGCCAGCTGTGTTCTGGCTATTTCATGGGCGCGTGGGGGCTTGGCTGCTGCATTGCAATGGCTGGGAAGCTGCGCGGGCGCCAGTAGAATATGTATGAGTCTGCGACTGCCACCGGCCAGCTGCGGACAGCGCATCAACGATGACAGTGGGCGGGCTCGGCAGAGGAATATCAGCACCAACGACGGTGTCCAAGACGACATAGCCAGCCGCAGCACCCGATAAGCCGACCGAGTTGGCGCAAAGACACTCGCAGCAGCGATATGCCAAGAGCGACTGCGGTGATTCCCAACTTGGTCATCGCCGGCGCTTCCCGGCCCAGTTGACCAAGCGCAGCGGCGATCCAGCCGCAGCACACCAGCAACTCGGTCGCTGGAGCGATTCAAGCAGTCAAGGCCGGGGAAATGGCGCCTTCCGGCTTCTGGCGCCCATTGCAGATTGCATTGCAGATCGCATTGCAGATCGCAGCATCATCAGAAGCCAGCATACCTATCCGCATCGACGCAGATCACCTGCAACCGCATCGGTGCAGATCGTGGTCAACGCCTGCACCCATGATTCGGCGGACGGATACTGTGACCGACAGTCCGTGACCCGTCCGCCGCAGCGACGATGGCCGTCAGAGATGCGCCGCAGGAAAGCAGCAAGAGCAGAGACAAGAGCAAGAGCCCGCCAGGGCCTCGTCGACGGGCGTCGTCAGCCCCGCATGGGCTTCGGGCCAGCAATCACAGACGACATTCACCGGCGGGGTCCCCGAACACAACACAGCCGAGCATCGCATGCATACCCTTGATATCCAAACGGCTAGCGCCCGAGTAGTTAGCATCCAAACGGCTAGCGCCCATCTCGCTGTCCGAGCTGCAGTATCTCGCCGCTGCTGCTGGTACTTGGACCGGCGGCGAGTCTTGCACTTTGCTCTCCCCTGCTCCCACCCAGCGGCCTTCCTGAGATACTGCCGTTCATCCGTTCCATGCCCTCTCCCTCCTTTTTCCCCCCGGATCCACTGACCGGGGTACCCTCCGTTGCGCCCTGCCGCCAGTATATATATCGGCGACGGTGTGCCTCCGCTCGCTCCGTTGCCTGTCGCCCCATCGTTCTGTCGATCTGCCCTTCATCTCCACCGAGCCCTCAAAGCCTGCTCTTCCCGGTCGCTCTCGACCAGTTCTCTGCTTTCTTGATCGATCGACATATATAACCTGTAGTCTTTGCTTCTGGCCCTCCCAAACCCCTGATCAGCTCGGCATGGGTGCCAATGATGCAGTCCCAGCTAATTCCTGCATATCTTCATCGCACACTCGTGCCAATGGGCTCCATGGTCGAGCAGCACGCAAAGCCTGTTCAAGCGTCCTCACAGATGGCCACCGCCCAGCCCGCCGCAGACTCCGTCGCCGAGTCAGGGCCAAGTTTCGAAGTACCCAGGCGGCCCCGGTCGTATCAGCATCTTCAACGGCATTGCTCCCTGGCATGAACGATGCTGCTGCCAGTGCTTCATCCGAAGGCACTACGAGATCGGCTGGATCGGACTTGGCTGCAACGTCCTTGGCATCGAATATCGCACCGGCACCAGCGTCCATCGCCAGTATCCAAGGCACAACGACCGGCAGCTCGACAGGGACCCGGAGCACCTCGACAGCAAGCACCGATGCAGGCCCGCATGGTGCTTCGTCCAGCTCCGCGCCTCTGGCCGTTCCCACGGCCTCCGACTCCGTCTCTGTTTCCATCTCCGTCGCCAATTCCTCTGCTACCACCCCCGCTGTGCTGCAGACAACCGTTACCTCGCTCCAGACCTCGCCGATCGAGACATTAGCAAATATCTCGGTGTCCACTGACACTGCCGCATCGACTGCCGCCTCATCGCTCGCTGTCCCGATACCGACTCCGACGGCGCTGAACTCTGGTCTGCTGTCGACCACGGCCATCATTGGCATTGTCGCAGGCTCGGTGGCCTTTGTGGTGATCGCAGGCCTCTTTTTCATCGCCTGGACTTCCTACAACACCAAGCGTCGGTTTGCCCACCCAAAGGCATCGGGATTCCGCCGGTTTTCGGCCCAGGCAGCCTCCAACAAGCTGCCGACCAACGCCCCGGCACCCTCGCCCACCCGATTCCTGTCGACCGAGGTCCGTGGTCATGAGAATCCCTCGCCATACCATCCATCCAACTCCCGGGCAAGTCCTGCTCAGTCCCGGTCACCCTATCAGCAGCCGCCGCCGGCTGTCAGCATCGCTCTGAAGCCCCTGCCGGATCGCCTGGCGCATCCCGGCCCGCTGCTCACGCCCGTCTCGCCACACGCCCCAGCTCGGGAGCTGCCGTCGCCGAGCCATGCTTTGCCCTTCCATCTGTCCGCTGCAAGTCAGCCTCATCGCTCCCCAATGAGAAAGCTCTCGATCCACAGCCTCTACACACTCGGCAAGCCCAGTCTGCCCCGTCGCAACGACACCGGCTCGACTGTTCCCTCTATCGGGCGACTGCATCCTGCGCGTCTGGATACCGACAGCGCGCAAAAGGCCCTGGCAGATTCAACGCTGATACGCGAACTACCCGTTCGCAATCCCAGTCTGTTTTCGGCCATGGAGCAGCTCGGCTCCGAATACCGGGAGCGACGCTCAATCTTGGATCTGGTCGATCGGTTCTCGTTCCAAGGCGAGCCACCCCAGGATAACTCATTCCTGGCAGTGACAGAGCACCACCCCGAGCAGCCTGACGAGATCTTTGTGCAGATTGGCGACACCATCGTTGTCGAGCGTGTGTTTGAGGACGGCTGGGCTGTCGCTGCAAACTGGACGAGATCCACCAAGGGCGTCTTTCCGCTGAATTGCTTGGACCCAAAAGCAAAGGACAGGCTTCTGCAGATGGCAACGTGAAACGGAATGCACCCGCCGCCGAGGTCGATGAGTCCGGCTGATTTCTTTCTGGAGGCTGAATCCACACGTCCAACTATGCCATAAGGAATATAACAGATCACTTTGGCAGCCTCCGAGTGAAGGCCACCGGTCGCTCTCCGGTCTCCACAATCGGAGTGCACACTGGTCTCGGAGTGCCAGTGGCGAATGGTCATGGCCAGCGCGCGATAGTGTCGAGTAACAAATTGCACCACACTACATCACATCACATCGCATCACATCACATCACATCATGTCGCTGCATTGTGTTGTGTGGTCTTCACGTGTCCCGACCGCAGCCAGGGCCGCCGCATGCGCAGCCACCTCTGCGCCCTCCGATTGGCCGCACGCCGCCGATGTCCTTTTGCGGCGTGAAAATTTTCGCTTTTTCGCATCCGCCATCGCCGTTATTTCGACGCGCACGCCGGCTCCGGCTCTCGACCCTCGTCCGTTCCTCAGCACAGGTATGCGGATGGCAGGACATATGCGTTTCGCCGAATGGCCGTGCCAGACGACAAGCTCCATGGCCTTTGAGATAATGCCGATGCTAATGCTAATGCTAATGCGTCCCCGGCTCCCACAGGATTTCGCCCGTCATGCTTCGTGCTCTTCAGTCCGTCCGAGTCGCCTCCTCCCGCTACCCTTCGTCCATGCGTTGGATGTCGGCATGGGCTCACGTCCAGCAGGGTACGTCGGGGCAGTGCTCGTAGTGTCCGCTGGCTATCTCTGCGGTGCCGGCCAGTGTATGCAGATCTGTGAGGCAGATCTGGATTGCCCAGGGAACTTGGGCATACACACTTTGTCACCCCATCTGTCGTCGGCCATTTGTCGTCGTCGTCGAGCGAGGGTGGCCAGATCCCGCCTGCTGACTGCCTGTGCTGTATTTCGCACAGGTCCTCCTGATCCGATCCTGGGTGTCACCGAGGCCTTCAAGGCTGACTCCAACCCCAAGAAGATGAACCTGGGTGTCGGTGCCTATCGCGATGACAACGGCAAGCCCTATGTCCTGCGCTGTGTCCGCAAGGTGCGTTGTCGTCCCGACCATCCAGTCTCGGCATAAAGGGGCTTCCTGGCCGTTGGCGCGATATCGCCCCGGACGGCATGCTGGCTCCTGATATCGGAACGGTCTTTCTGTGTGAAAGGATGCCTTTGACCACTCTGCATTTATCCAATTATTGATCGGTGCAATCGCCATCCACACAGGCCGAGAAGGTCCTGAACGACCTCGCTCTGGACAAGGAATACCTCGGTATCACTGGTCTGGCTGGCTACACCAAGCTCGCTGCCGAACTTGCCTATGGCGCTGACTCTGCTCCCCTCAAGAACGGCCAGGCAAGTGAGCCAAATCTCGTCCGTGACCCCCGGTTCTCGAAAGAAAGGGTGTCTGCATTTGCACTTGCATTTCGGTAGCTGATACAGGCCAAAGCTAATTCCCACGTGGTGATTGCAGATCGTTACCTCGCAGTCTCTCTCCGGTACCGGTGCCCTCCGCATCGGCGGCGAGTTCCTGAACCGCTTCTACAAGGGTGCTGGTGGCAAGACCATCTACCTCCCCACCCCCAGGTATGTCTGGGATGTGGAGCTATCGCCCGATGCGAGACTGTACATGGCCCAATATTCTGCCCCCGTTCAGTGCAAGCTTTGTGGAGATGCTGGTGTCTGCCTTCTGCCAGCTTTGTCGTTACTCGACGGCTACTGCTACAGGGTTGGAATACAGCGACGCTTGGTGCTTTTGTTATTCGATCTACCGGAGGAGGTCGTTTCGATTTACATCGCCGGCCGTCTAATGTCCTCTGTCTCTTTCGCGCGCCAGCTGGGGCAACCACGGCAACATCTTCCGCGATGCCGGCCTTGAGGTCAAGCAGTATCGCTACTACGACAAGGCCACCAAGGGCCTTGATTTCGACGGATTGGTCGAGGATCTCAAGGTACAGCCCCTCGCCGCTTGCTAGCACGCTGGGCCGTCTGTCGCGCAGGGCCGTTGCTGGGATTGAGCGCCGCTGAACCGTGAACGTCTTGACATTCGCTGGATTCTAGACCATCCCTGCCGAGTCGATCGTCCTCCTGCACGCCTGTGCCCACAACCCCACCGGCGTCGACCCCACCCAGGAGCAGTGGAAGAAGATCTCGACCGTCTGCAAGGAGAAGGGCCACTTTGTCTTCTTCGACATGGCCTACCAGGGCTTTGCCTCTGGCGATCCCACCAAGGATGCCTTTGCCCTTCGTCATTTTGTCGAGCAGGGCCACCGTGTCATGCTCGCCCAGAGCTTTGCCAAGAACCTCGGTCTCTACGGCGAGCGTGTCGGTCTCTTCTCCATCGTCACCGACAGCGCCGAGGAGGCCAAGCGCGTTGACAGCCAGGTCAAGATCCTGGTCCGTCCCATGTACTCCAACCCCCCTCTGAGTGGACCTCGTATTGTCAAGGAAGTCTTGGGACTCGAAGAACTTCGCAAGGAATGGTCAGTACCCCTCGCCGGATGGAGGCATCTGTGCATGTGTCTGCATCTGTGTGTGCGTCTGCATCTGTGTGTGCGACTGCATCTGTGTGTGCGTCTGCATCCTAACTCGTAGCCACTGTCCTGTCAACAGGGAGGACGAAGTCCGATTCATGGCCAACCGCATCATTTCTATGAGACAGCAGCTCCGCGACCACCTGGTCAACACCTACAAGAGCACTCACAACTGGGACCACATCACCTCGCAGATCGGCATGTTCTGCTTCACCGGCCTCAAGCCCGAGCAGGTCGACCGCCTCCGCAGCGAGTTCTCGATCTACCTCACCCGCGACGGCCGCATCTCCATCGCCGGCATCACCAGCAAGAACGTGCAGTATCTCGCCGAGGGCATCCACACCGTCACCAAGTAGAGCACGACCGACGCCTCACATGTCTAGACTCATCGACACAGCACAACCCAACCATCATGCATGCTGTCCCTCCTCCTCCTCCTTTCTTCTATTCGTTTTTCTCTAAGTTATCGGCGACTCTATTTTGTATCCATCACTCGAGTACCTTGCTTTACAGCCGGGCAGGAAGCACGTTGTGTCGTCGGTCGGATTAAGTGTGTCCTTTGGAATCCTTTGGAATCCTTTGGGTCCGCTTGTGCCGGTCCGCCGGTTGACCTTGTGCATCGAATCGGGCGCCTTTCGTTGTTCATGCCTGTAAAAAAAAATAAACGAATCTCTTGCAGAACTGCCGTGCCTCAGGCTTGGTAAATGGAGTGTGCGGTGTTCTGCGAATGAATCGGTGAGGCCGGACCTCGGAGTGCAGGGTCATAGACTCCCCAGCAGCGGGGGTGTTGTATTCGTCATTAGAGATAGACACGCCGGTGTTCTGGGCAAAGACAGTAGGTAATGGGAGGGGGCGACGGCTGTGTGAAAGCTTGAGTGCTCTCGCAAAGGGCTGACATAGCTAGGTTTTAGTACATGGACAGATAGGAGGGGAGGGGGGAGGAGAGATTGATAGACAAGGTGGACGGGGAAGGAGGGGGAGGGAAGGAACAGCGCGAGAAGACCGGGATATCTATTGTGGGAAAAAGTCGGAAGGCAGGGAGTGCCGTCGAGGAACTTGCGAACCAGAGAGTTGGTCGGACTCGGGTGACTCGTCGCCCGTCAGAATGCCGGCAGGATCCCGAGGCAGCACAAGCGACAGCGTGCTTCGGCGGTCGGTCGATCGGATCGATGCCGCCGAGCTTTGAAGCGACGACCGCATCGTCGAAATGGACTCGCAGTCCGACGCCGTAAAGTACGTCTGTCCCAGGGGAGATGTAAGCGGCTCCTTCCGGTTCAGGATGTTCTGGCGAGTGAGGGGCCGCTCGTTCCCTTGCGATAGCAGCTTGAGCGGCAGTGGTATCTGCACGATGGGCCGCATGGGCGGAAGCTTGGCGACACTTTCAGGATCGGGTACGATGGATGAGGACCGCCGCTCGGGGAAAGCAGGTCTCGGCAGCGACAGCAGCGCTGGAGGATACGAAAGCGGGATGCTGGCGCCGATGAAGCTGGGGACTGGAAGCTGAGGATGAGGGCCGAGCAGCTCGATTGAGGTCGCGTTGGACATCATGGATGCATGCAGATTCGTCGTCGATGGGCTGCGATGCAACTTTGCTCGGGTGACCCCAAGAACAACGGCACCCACGACGGCACCGGCAAGCAGCAATGCCCCGACGACGACCAGCGGGATGTTCTTGGTTGGGCTGTCTGCAGAGCGGTAAAACGGTAAATCAGAGGGACGGTGAAAACGGTGCACATGATGGACATGATGGACACGATGAGCATGATGAGCCTGATGGACAAGTGAAGGGAAGGCGTGGGATATTGGCCACAGCACAGATGAATTTGCGATGGCGATGGGAGAGTGTCCGGAGGACACGCACCTTTGAGAGAGTTGGGGTCGGTGGGGTCGTTGGTGGGCGATGCTGCCGTGGCATTGGTTTTGATGGCCGTGATGGCCGCATCTGCAGTCGAATCGAGCAACAGTAGATTAGAACCCCTGGGCCACACATCGAGTCAGTTGCGGGTGGCAGACAGCGACAAGACGGAGGAGACGAACCGGTGTTGTGGAGCGACGGGCGGTTGGGCATCACCGGCCCTGAATCGACTTCGGTGCCGGTTGGAGCTGGCCCCGGGTTGTCAGTGGTCGTCGCTCTTGGAGCCGCCGACTGGGACTGCGGGGACAAAGTCCGTCCCGATGCAGTGGCAGCGGTCGCTGTCGAGGGTCGGGTCGAGGTAGACAGATCGGGGACAATCGGAGGAGGAGCAGCGCTGGAGATGGGATCGACGGATGCGGTGGGATGCCCGCCGTTGTTCTGGGACGAGACCGAGGTGTGCGGGAGCTGGCAGTTGGAGGGTGTGCGGTCCTCGCCGGTCATGTCGTAGCAGCCGCATCGGCAGTTGCATCCGCTGACTTCGAAGGGGCATCCGCTATGCGCCGGATAGGCACACCAGAAGCCAAAGTTGAGCGACGTGCAGAGGGGGAAGTCGAGCACGGCACTGCACTCGAACTCGCAGTCGGAGGTGTTTTCCATCCCGAGCTGGAGCGAGACAGGGACGAAGGCGAGCACGGCGAGGAGCAGCAGCAGCAGCAGCGACGGCCCTGCTCCCGAACGACGAGACGGCGCTACCGAGGCAGATGATCGGCCTGCCATGGGGGGGGGAAGAAGCAGGCCAGGAGAGGGCCGATGGGAGAGGAGGAGGAGGAGACCAGCAGCCGAGCAGGGCGATGGAGTTGCCGAGACAGAAGACAGGCCGCCACGACAGGATGCAGGAGCAAGAAGGACGGTGGCGGCGAGGGGCGCTGCTTGGCGAGCGCGGCGACAGGAGCGACTGCTCAGCGCTGTCGATTCTGCTGTCGATTCTGCTGTTGCTGTCGATAGTCCTGTTAATGCCGTTGATGATACTGCTGTCGATGCTGTTGCTGTTGCTGTTGCTGTTGCCGTTTGTGCAATTAACACTGTCGGTGCTCCTGCTGTGCCAGGTGCAGTCGCACATTCAGCGCGCACATTCAGCTGCACCGGCGGCCCACTCCGTGCTGCTGGCATCAGCCTTGACTCGCACACGGCCGTCTGTGTCTGCAGGTGGCCCACCCCCTCCCGAGCGTTGTCCCTCGGCAGCATCCCCTTGATGATGCGATCCACCTCCCCAGCAATGCCACCTCCCCAGCAGCTCCATCCCCAGCAGCTCCATCCCCAGCAGCTCCATCCCCAGCAGCTCCATCCCCAGCAGCTCCATCTCCAGCAATGCCGTCGCAGGGAACATCGTCTCTCCAGCCCGCCAGCGTGCTTTGGTGCACCCAAGCGTCCGCGGCCGCCTCTCTCCTCGGCCCCGCCTCGACCTGGCCCAGCCGCTCTTGGTCGCACGACTTCCCCACCCATCTGCTCGGCAGCACACCAAGTGGGCTGCCATGGAAACCCGCGCCTGGTCACAGGGCTGTGTTGCTGCGCACACACACACACTCGTATGCTTACTGTGGCGCAGCACAAGCCGGCCTGGTTTCTCCACCGTGGGAACGCAGCCGCCCTCGGACTGCCTCGACTCGCTTGCATGCCCTGGTTGGCCTTGGCTCTCCACACTACACTTTATTCAGAAAAAAACGGGACAATATAGCCGTTTCCATGAACATGTAGTATGTGCTGTGCTTGCGTCAAGCAAAGCCACAAGAAATAAAACAGATCACTTTGGCAGCCTCCGAGTGAAGACCGCCGGTCGCTCTCCGGTCTCCACAATCGGAGTGCACACTGTGATCATGTTGCGCGCCGCATTGACGTCGCGATTCCACACTGCCCGGCAGCTGGGATTCTTGCAGCTCCTGACAAAGTGGGAATTCGCAACACTGGGCGCATCGAGTCCTTCCAACCGAACTGGCTCCAGGCACTTGGAGCACACCTGCGAGGTGTTGAACTCGTTCGTCGAGGCCACCTTGACACTTCCATGATGGTGATTGGGACGGCGTCGGTGGTGCTCGAACTGCTCAAAGTACTGAGCAAACCGCTGCCTCCGAGGGCTGGATGCATAGCCCTTGCCTTGTCGCCATGACGCATTGCCAAAGGCGATCACCACATCGGTCCGTATCGGGGCGTGCTTCAGGACGGCCTTGCACATCTTGTCGACGGCCACTTGGCGCCTCTTGTGGCCCGTGAAGCGATGGTGACGGGCCTTCTTGCCAAGGTGGAAGTCGAGCTGCACTCGCAGCTCCGGTCGCAGGACATGGGTGAGATGGACCTTGAAGGCTTCCGAGACGACACCTTGGGCGAGGGAGTGGTCGACATCCAGGTCTCGATGCCGAGTCGATACTTCATGATATTGTGCCACTTGGTGTTGGACGTATGGCCACACATTTGCTGGTAGTGGCCATTGGAGAATGAGACCACCTCGTCTTGGTGGCCCGGTGCTTGGATGACCGCCGTGAAGATGGAGCCGACGCCTGGGTCGATTCCAATCCAAGTGGTGCGGTTGGGGTCTGGGTCTCCGATGTGGGCCTGGATACGCTGCTCGGAAGTCGGAGGAGGCTCGATGGTCTCGGTGTGATCGGTTCGAGGCAGAAACTTAACGAGGCCGATGGTGCATCCAATGCCATCGGTGCTGATCTCGTAGTTGAACAGCTTGTGATTGATATCCCGGTCACGGAAGAGGGAACTACGCAGCTTGAAGCAACTGCGCCAGAGACGATCCTGGTTGTTGACACCGTCCTCACCTTCTTCCTTGAGCATGTCCCGGGTGAGTCCAAGACGATGTTCGGTGTCAAGGAGTTGCCAGAGAGTGACGGTGTCAATCTTGACATACTTGGCCTTTGTAGTGCACAGAGGAACCATCGTGCACACGGCCGGAGGAGTGTCGACGGCGAGCTGCTTGAGGGCCCACTTGATCCTGGCGGCCAGCTTGTTGATCTTGGACTTGGTGGTGCCGAGCTCAGACTTGGCCGTGGTGAACCTCTTGTCGTCGGAGGGAATGCCTTGGGCAGTGAGCTCGTCCAGCTTGGTCTGGCGCTGCAACTCGGTGACTCGGAGGGCGGGCATGTCACAGTCGATCCACTTGTGGACATTGTCGACCATCTTGTCCCGGGCGAGGATTCCCACATGGTGTGAGAGGCGATGGAGGGCCCGGAAGCGGTCCTGGTCGTTGCTGTACCGAAACTCGTCCAGGACGTGACCAAACTCGGGATAGAGGAACTCGAGATCGGCCTTGGGTGGTGTCTGCCCTGGTTTCTCGAAGAGCTCGAGACAGGCCTCGATGGCTTCGTGCTTATGCTTGTTGGCTGGGAAGACGGCAGCGCAGAAGCGGCGAAGGAGTCGCCAGTAGGCCAGATTGAGGTGGGTGGTGCAGTTGGTGGCATAGGCATTGACAGCCAGGGTGAGAAGCTGACTGTGAGCACCATCAGGCAGACGAGGGGCCGGAGGCAGGTCTGCGTGCCGAGTGGTCTGGTAGTCGCGAAAGGAAGCGACCAGATGCTCGTTGTATTTCTTGGTATCCCTGGCCGTCGAGAGGGCATCGGCCTCGACAATCGTGAAGCATTGGCGGATGAATGCAGGGGTGGACTTGGAGATGACGGGGACGGGAAGATCCTGCTCGATGCACCGGAGGATGTGCAGGTTGAGCAGCCTGGATGCCTCGAACTGGATCTGGGTCATGGCCTCGACGGTGGCCTGGATCTTGTCGCGGAGAGCGGGATTGAGACAACAGCCATCCATCGTCTGCTTGAAGCAGCTGAACTGAGGGGCGGATGACCTTCCATCCACGAGAGGGACGACAGAACTCTTGAGGGGCCGGTATTTGGGACATTTGCTGGTGTTGCTTCGCTGATGATCGGTGCCATCGCACTGGCGACATCGCTTGCCAGTACTCGAGGAAGTAGATGGACCAGGCTCGGTGGGATCGACATCCATTGGATCTGCAGAAGCAGTGGTGGTGAGCGACGGAGCAACAGACGACCAAGCATGCGTGGGGTCAGAATACGAACCAGAGACAGGCTCCGACTGTGACTTGGCTTTCTTGGGCCTGGGTGGCCGAGGCTGGCCATCACCGGTACCCTTACGCTTCGGAGGCATGGGGGCAGAGGATGCTGGATGCCTGCCAGTGGTACTGGTCAGAGCAGAGACTTTTTTTTTATCGTACAATAGCGCGATGATCAGATCAAGGCGAGATGAGGGAAGAAAGCAGCAGGACGAAGGTGTGGCATTTATACCCGAGAGCAGGAGCCCGTCTTTGCGGGCTGGTTGGGGAAGCGACCTGTTCAAAAATCGCCGAGAGGTTCAAGCCAGGGATGTGAACGTGAGAACGGCGGCTTGATTGGAGGGAACTCAACCCCAGAAGCGCATCGCTCGCTCAATCAGCCGTGGGAAGACATCTGGAAGCACCCTCCGAACGGCAGACTCAAACAGGGTCACCATCCCGACCCTGAACCCCTCAGACGCATTCAGCGCTCCTGCCTTCCTGTACTGATGCTTCACAACCCCAAAGAAGTTCTCGATGGGATTGAAGTCGGGCGAGGCAGGTGGGGTGAAGATCACTGACCATCCTCGGCGCTCGATGCAGTCCAGGACAGCCATTGTCTTGTGCATGCTGACATTGTCCATCACAATCACAGAGTCGTCTGGGAAGCTCGCTCGCTCAAAGAACTCGACCATCGAGTGTGTCTTGCAGTTAATCCAATTAAAAGCGGGACACCCGGGTTTTTGACCATTCATCGAATATTTTGTTCCCCAATGTTATCGCGCGCTGGCCATGACCATTCACAAGTGTGTCCAAAAGCATCATTCACCGCCCGCACTCCGAGACCAGTGTGCAGGTCGATTGTGGAGACCGGAGAGCGACCGGTGATATTCACTCGGAGGCTGCCAAAGTGATCTGTTTTATTTTTATGGCATAGCTAGACGCATGCCATCACAAACTACATGTTCATGGAAACGGCTGTGCTGTCCCGTATTTTTCTGAATAAAGTGTAACCGATCACAGGACGAAGCGCATCCCCGAGCGACCAGCCCACAATCTATGTTTGCTGGTGCAGGCACAGCGGTGCGGAATGGGGAGGAGCAGAAGTAGAAGCAAAGGAACAAATAATGTGTGGGCCTTTGCTCTGAGGAAATGCGAGAGCATGAACACGCCGAATGCAACCGTGGCTGCCCCTTGCGCTAGACCTTTTCGGACTGCTCAGGGACAGCACTGATCTCGACATCGCTGAATCCGCCGGTGGTGCTTCGAGCCACCGATGCCTTGCGGTTGTTGCTCAGCGACGCCCTGGTGAGCGAGGCCTTCCGAGTGAGCGAGTATCTCGATGTGGCGTTCTCGTCCTCGGGAGCCTTGGCCTTTTCCTCGGTCTCGCTCTTGGGCATGGTAAAGAGAGGTCGGATATACCTGGTCGGCAAGAGCAGTGGCGACGGTAACAGCATTAATATTTGAAATGGGGCAGTAGCAGTCGACGATATGGGTTAGTGTTGCTTGCGATTGCAGACCACTCAACATGTGGCAGGGGCTACTGTGCAGGGCATGCATAGAATCGGTGTCGGGGTTGGGAGGCAACGTCAATCAATGCAATCTCGAAGACGTACTTCATGTCCAAGCTCTGCAGCCAACCATAAACCACGCGATCGCCTGAACCAGGATCGTCGTCGTGCTCGTCCCCATCAGCGAGCATCTTGTATTCTTCGCCGTTTTCGCGCTTGGTAATCTCCTTGGTCGAGGTATGCTGCTCGGCCACAGCACCAGCAGCACCAGCAGCAACGTCGCCAGCGTCAGGGCTGCTAATCTTGAGCCACTTGAGCATGTACGGCGTGAGACCTCCCAAGATGATCACCGTGATGACCACCACCATGACAGTTGTTCCAAAGATCATGCCCTTGACATCGGCATCAAAGACGGGATGCTCCAAGAATGTGACGCCAAGGGCAAAGGCCACGGCGCCGCGGAGCCCAGAGAACCACATGAGAACCTGCTGATTGAAAGGGATGGCGGTCTCGGGATTGCGACGGTGGATGAGATTGCTGGAGCCCAAGATAAGAAATATATGCGTTCTAGACACCAGGATCGAGATCTGGCACGCGCAACCAGCGAGAGAATGTCAGATCTCGTTCAGCAACGTTATCGAAGCGTGTGGTGGGCGAAGGTGGGTCGAGACAACGTGGGCACCAACATGGGCTCCAATGAAACCACCGGGCATGGCCATGCGACTTACACAGGCAAACAGAATCATCAAGGGACTGTATGTGGTCTTGCCGCCAAAGGACAAGAGCCCGAGACCCAAGTAGATGAAGATGAAGGACTCGCACATATGTCCAATGACTCGAAGAAACACCTGGCGGTCGTGTTGTTGCATGGCAGTTGGGTTGAGTAGAGGTTCAGTGGAGTGGACGTGGTAGCGGTGTTGGGACAGGGAATCAGATAAACACAACCCGGTCGTTTAGGATGGCTGCGAGCGACATACATCGGCGAATGACTGGCACAGAAAGATTCGACGGTTGCGATAGCAGCGAGGCCCAAAGCATGTACAGGGGCCCACAAGATCAAACAGGCGCCATCTTGCGTCCTGACACACATAAGCCGCCAGAGCCGATGATGGGCACACTCACCTTGATGAAGCTCGCCGATTCGGGCGACAAGTTGGGGTAGGCGTAATGGGCCATGGCAATGCCGCAGAAGAAGATCGAGATGATGCCCGTGAGTCCGAGCACATCGGCCAAGAGATAGGACGTGTACGCAAAGACGATAAGCATCACGCTTTCATAAGTGGTGGCCTCATCTTCGTGGACACGGATGTGCTTGGTAATCTTGGCAAAGATCAGGCCGAGGATGATGCCGATGGCAAAGGAGCCCAGAAACACCCACGCCGACTGCAACACGCTGAGGACGAGCGACGTGGCCGACAGCCTCATCTTGGGGTCGGCAATGTCCGTGAAGAAGCGGTACAGGATGATGGCCACGGCATCGTTCAGAGCAGACTCGCCAAAGATCAGGATGTAGAGGCGCTTGTCGACCGTGGGCGGGAGAAGTGACAGAACCGTCACCGGGTCCGTGCTGCTGATGAGCGATCCAAACACGAGCGACTCGACAAAGCTCCAGGGGGAAATGAGCTTGCTGAAAAAGTACATCAGGCCCGATGTCACGAATGTGGAATACAGCGCGCCGAGAAAAGCCAGCGCGATGATCAGCAGGACATTCTTGAAGAACGTGAGGCGCTTCAGGCTGAATCCACCCTGTCGATCCGACGGGAAGATACCATCAGAGAGAGATCAGTCCCGATGGCAACATGGACGAGCGCGAGGTATCGGTGGAGCGCTGGGATCTGTGATGACGAGAGTCTGGCGAGCCGCACCACAGTCCGAGCGGCGTGCCAGAAACAACCCGCTTCTCCTGCTGGCACCCGGCCACAGGGATGACGCAGGGCCTGCGTGGTCACTTGCCTCGAAAATGAGCGGAGGAAGGAGCACCATATAGAAGAACTTGGACGACAGCTGGATGGCGACATTCTCCTGGTCGTAGGAGAACGCGATCCAGCACATGGCCGCAAGGAGACCTACCAGCGACATGATGGACCATCGCGATGAGCATCAGTCCAGGCGGCCGTCGCAGCCCCGGCTGGTGTCCCACCGGCGATACGCATCCGCCTTTCGCATCCATTGAGGTCCCCAGAAGTAGCGGCGTCTGGAGTCGGCACTTTCCGCTCTCCACCTCATATCCACCCCTTCCCACGCGTACCAGTCAGAATCATCACAGCGGATTCGCCGACGTAGTGAAACTGCGCCTTCTTGAGAGCCAGGTTGACGTTCATCACCACAACAATGAGCGAAAGCAGCAGGATTGCTCGAATAAAGAGCGCGTGCTGCTCTTCCTCGGCCGTGGCAGCCACCGCCTCGGCAACAGTGGTGTTGGTTGTCATGGCGTGTGTTGGTGTTGCTGGATGAAAGGGAGAAAGGCCACCTCGGGAATGGAAGAGGGGGCAGCGACCAGAGGCGAATGGAAGGTCCGAGTGTCCTTCGAAAGCGAGCGAGTCTTGACAAATTACGGGGGTCGCGAGTGCGATATATAGCTGAAACTGATCTCTCGGCGACTTCTTTGAGGACCACCGCAGCCGGCCAGCGCATCGAGCGAGCGAGCCTGATAGCAGGAGCGCCCCGGCGGGATCGGCGCCGTCTCTGGGTCGGGGCTGGATTGGGTGCATTGGACCAGACTGCAGCAAATCAGATATTCCGCTGCGGCCCACTTGAAGGGGCAGCAACGTCATTTCCACGCAATCTCCCAATCGGCATCCCAGTGACGAGGTCAGTCCCCCGCCTCATGCGACATTGCAGCTTCGAATGCCCACAGTCTGCTGCTTCCGAAAACGAATATGCCGTCATGGACTGGCGGGAGCAGCTGTAGTGGTAGCTGATATAATTTACACCCATGCCGGCGCAGTATGTGATGGCATGCGTCCAATGAAGCCACATGCAATTCAACAGATTACCTCCGAGTGAAGACCACCGGTCACTCTCCGGTCTCCACAATCGACCTGCACACTGGTCTCGGAGTGCCAGCGGTGAATGGTGCTCGTGGACACACTGAATATGGAGGCAATATTCCTAAGGCTGTGGATGACAGGAGCACCGCATCACAGAATGGTCATGGACAGCGCGATGGTATTGGGTAACAAACTATTGTGTTCTGAACCAAGCGAAATGTCCTCTCTGTTTATCGCCGGAGCTGTATTTGGATGATGCAGAAGCAAGGTCAAACGGCCAAGGAACTGTCTGAATTGCGATGGACAATCGCCTGATCTTGAGACTCCACTGAAATCAGCGGGCGCAATCACGCGCGAGCACAGTTACAACTTGGCCGAGAGCACAGAGCCTTTGGGCTGACGGACAGCGTCCTTGATTTCTTGCAAGACAGATTCGTCGTCGATGGTAGCGGGGACATCATATGGGGATCCGTTGTAGATGGCGCGGAGGATGCGTCGCAGGATCTTACCCGAGCGAGTCTTTGGGAGGCGATGGACAATGAAGACACGATCGAAGCAGGCAAATGGCCCGATCTGTTTGCGAATGGCTGCAACGAGCTGGTTGATGATTTCATTGTTCGAGTGCACCGTTCCGTGCTTCAGGACCACAAACTGGCGGACATGATAGTCAGCGGGAGGTCAGCGGCAAGAGACACACCCAGCTGGCCGAGGTCATGAACATTGCTGATGACAGCTGGCCACGCCATAGCCATCGCCACACCACAGCCATCGCCACACTTTCTGCAAGGTGCATGCACGCCAAGCGCTTACGCCGATCGGGATCTCGCCCTTGAGCTTGTCTTGGCCACCGATGACAGCGCACTCGGCCACATCGTGGTGGGCAGCCACCACTTCTTCCATTGAGCCAGTCGACAATCGGTGTCCGGCCGTGTTGATGATGTCGTCGGTGCGCGACATGATGTTGAGGTAGCTGGAAACGGGGATCGCCCAGTCAGCTACTGTCTCCGCATCCGCACGAACACACAGCGCTGCCAAGTTGGAAGGGATGCAGGCATGTCTACTCTGGACTTACCCATTGGAGCTGAGGTATCCAGCGTCCGTCAGGTCAAAGTAGCCCGGGAACTTGGAAAAGTAGCTTTTGAGATAACCCGAATGGTTCTTCCACAGTGTGGGGAAGCAGCCAGGAGGCAGAGGGAGTTTGAGGGCGAGAGTGCCCATGACATCAGGCTCGGTGGCCTCCTGCCACTCAACGTGGTTGTGGCTGTCGTCATGGTCCACCTCATGCTTGTGCTTGCCGCTGGTAGAGATCAGAACCTTGACGTCGTATCCGGGAGTAGGCGGCCCCGCGCTGCCCAGCTGAGTGGGGGTGCTCTTGGATGGGTCGTGGAAGGCGCAGGCAACGGTGATAGGCCAGCCTGTTTCGGTTTGCCAGTAGTTGTCGCTGCCATTCGCAGGGGGGGGGTAGACAGTTAGCCGCAGTCCCAAAACCCCAGCGTCGATGCTAGCTCGTCCTGCTGGCAACATGGGATCTTGGTGCTGCATACTCACCGAATGGGCACCTTGAGCAACGCTTGGAAATGCTGGAGCGTATCGGGATCACTGCGTTCGCCAGCAAGATACATGTTTCTCAAGCTTGAGGTGTTGTATGTGCGCGTCAGCTCGCCGTGAGGATCCTCTCGCTGCAATGTAGCCGGATTGGAGAGAGCAAATGGGTTACATCAAGCGATCGACCCTTTGACACGAGTCATCCTCAGATAGGGTGACGGCTGTCGGCATCGCTGAGCCGTTACGCACTGCCATTCGAGAGGGATGCATTTGCCAGCCCGAGCAACCCAAGCAGAACCCACCTTGATGGCGCGAGCCGCCGTTGGGGCAGTGAACAGGACCTTGACTCGGTAGTCCTGAATGATCCTCCAGTACGCCCCGGCATCCGGTGTGCCCACGGGCTTGCCCTCGTACATGACCGTGGTGCATCCATTGAGAAGTGGGCCGTAGACAATGAAGCTGTGGCCAAGAACCCATCTGTGTTCGTGGGCCGGCGCATTTGGTCAGTCAAGTGGGCCCAGAGCTCGGCAACGCGGGATCAGAGGCAAAGTCAAGCATTCTCCAGTGGTCTGTGTGGATTGTGACCATCGCTGCAATGGGATCGGAGAGGAATGTCGAGCGACACCGACCCAGGCAGATACCAAGATTGAGAAGGAGAGGGAAACGAGCGCGAACCCACAACTTACCCGATATCGCTAGAGGTGAACATGGTCTCTCCCGGGCCCACGCCAAAGATGTTGTTCATGGACCAAATCAGAGCCACTGCATAACCGCCGTTATCGCGGACCACGCCCTGTGGGGCCGAAAGCGGATGACCGAGGCGGGTGAGCAGATGAGCCGTGCAACGTATAAACGTTCTTCTCAAAGTATGATAGTGATGGCCGGCCACCCGATCGGAACCCCGTGGACCACCATGCCGTCGACTCACCTTGGGAACGCCGGTGCTGCCCGAGGTGTAGAGGAGATAGAGAGGATCTCCAGACTTGACAACAACGCACTCGGGCTTCAAATTGGCTCGTCTGGAGCGCTTGACTTCGTCCTCCCAGTCGTACTCGCCTCGGTTGGCATCGAGTCGGACACGACACTGGGGGCGCTGCAAGCAGATCCTGATCGGCACGACATGCTTGCTGAGGCTCAGAGCCTCGTCGAGCAAGGGCCTGCATGAAGAGCGTCGGAGGTGAGCCTCTGCCGATGCCCCCTCCCCGCGAGAGTTTCTCTCGGAGACCAGACAGACCAAGGCCAACGAGGCAAGCCGCCAGAGAAAGGCGGCGATCCACGAGGACGCCAGCACTTACTTGTACGGAATCACACGAGACGGCTCGATGCCACACGAAGCGAACAGAACGACGCTGGGATTGCAGTCGTCGATGCGCTTGGCCCTGCAATGAAGGAGTGTGCGGCATGTTGGTTGACCGGAGGCGATCATGCCAAGAATTGCCTACCCCGCACAACAGCCGTGCCTCCCTCCATCCCAAGCCGGCCGCACAGATAATACTTACAGCTCCTTCGCAGCAAAGCCACCGAAAACGACGCTGTGGACGGCGCCGAGTCGGGCACAGGCAAGCATGGCCATGGCCGCTTCCGGAACCATGGGCATATAAATGAGGACGGTATCGCCCTTCTTGACGCCGTGCTGGGAGAGCACGCCGGCGAGCACCTGGACATGCTCCAGCAGCTGGGCGTAGGTGAACTGCAGCTTGCTGTTGGTCACGGGCGAGTCGTAGACCAGCGCCGTTCGAGAGCCCCTTCCGTTGAGGACATGGCGATCCAGTGCGTTGAAGCAAGTGTTGAGCTGCCAGCGAGAGGAGTAGGGTAACGATGAGCCAGAAGAGCGAGATATCGGTGCCGAGGTGCCGCTACGCATGGGGGCGGGACCGGACCCACGCATGGTGACCGGTTTTCCGAGAGACGAGATGAGAGATCGCCGGAAGTCGGTGATAATGAGCAACGAAGAGCGAGACGTGCACGAGCGCAGAGCGGACAGCGGCGATCGCAACCGCACCTCGCCGTCGGCAAACCAGGTATAGTGAGGGGCTGGCAGATCCCGATCGACCTTGAGGATCGAGGTCGGGCGCTTGAACCAAGTGACGCTGTTGGCTTGCTCGGCCCAGAACTGGCTGGGGTTGGAGAGCGACGTGGCGTGGAGACTTTGCTGGTGGGCCATTTGGGCAAACGACGGGGTTTCAGAGCAGGAGAGAGACGGAGGAGCAACGGGGCGACGGGGAGAAGAGCTGGCGATGGCGAGCCAAGGGGTACATATGTGATCCGGGCTGTATCCGAGGAGCGTCGCGGGTGGGCCTGGCCTTTGTTTGCGGCCATGAACAGGCACATGGGGGCCACGCGGCCGCAGCGGGGCTCGGCACAAGCCCTCTTGGGCCTTCTTGGGCCTGGCGGAGCAGGACGACAACACGGCCGATGGTCAGGAGGACGCACGGCCGTTGTCGAGAGCCAGCCGCTGGTCGTGGGGGGGGGGACGTTCTCCAAGCAGGCCTGCCCGCCGCCATGCAAGCCAGCTCACGGCGTCCCCGGTCCCGCGCTGGCACCAGCGGCCTGCGAGTGGTGCAGCACCGGCAAAACATCGACGGGCTGTGCCCAGAAAGTCGGTCTTGCAACCACGGGGCTGTGGGTGAGAGAGGGACTCGGCGCGGCGTGCAGGTCTGGTGCTGGGTGTGGTTTGTCGACAGCCGTGGGAAGCGGTGCCTGCCGCCGCAATCTCTCACACAGCGACACGGGCGGCACCCCGTCCTCATGAAAGCAATCGCAGATGGCTCATGCTGACACCGCGGGCTGTCGGGGCATTGCTGGACCATGTCAGTCTCGGCTGGCTGTTCGGTTGTTGGCAAGTCCCGCACCACCGGCGTCGGTGATCCGTAGATCAGGCGCAACAGACAGGCAGTGGACAGTATCAGATAGCAACGCCCGACATCAGTGCCATATATCAATGCCATATATCACACCCGATATCACACCCAATATCACACCCGATATCAACACCCAATATCACACCCGATATCAACACCCAATATCACACCCGATATCAACACCCAATATCACACCCGATATCAACACCCGATATCAACCGCCAGAGACCGATGCCAGAATCAACCACCAGCCACTCAGCAGTCGAGACCCTGGCTCGATGCACGTGATAGGCGCTCGCGCCAGGGTCGTCAAGCGGCCATATGCCGCCCCCGCTTGCCAGCCTTTCTCTCCTCTGGATCGACAGAGCGATCGGCATCAGACAAACAACGACCGACCGACCGACTATTCCAACGCCAGGCGCCTGTCCATCAATTTCCCCCCCCCAGACACTCCCTGCCATTGCACCAGCACACTATGGCGACGCTTGAAGACAAGGCCATCTGGGACCAGGCCCAGCAGGACGACAATGAGGACCTCGGCCAGGACATCCTCCGAGCAAGCACAGACGAGATTGCAAACCGCATCCGTCTGCTGGAAAACGACATCAAAGTGATGAAGAGCGAGCAATCCCGGCTCGGCCACGAGCACATTGCCATGAAGGAGCGGATCAAGGACAATAAGGACAAGATCAAGCTCAACAAGCAGCTCCCCTATCTGGTCTCTAATGTGGTCGAGGTGAGTCCCTCTCTGTGGCGGCCGCGCATCTGCTGCTGCCATTACGACTCGCTACCCGCGGAAAATTTGCTGAATCAACCCACCCGGTCCGCCCGTCCAATTTCGGCTTGATAGATTCTGGACATGGATCCCAACGAGGAGCCCGAAGAGGACGGCGCCAACATTGATCTGGATGCTCACCGCAAGGGCAAGTGTGCGGTCATCAAGACCTCAACACGCCAGGTAGAGATGATATGTCGCCGCCTGCTGCCTGGCCCCCACTTTGCAAGAAGAGCTCGCCGAGTTGTGCAGGCTCGATGAATTCTCCGCTGATCCACCGGCACTGTGCATATCAGACCATTTTCCTGCCCATGGTCGGCCTTGTCGACACCAACACTTTGAAGCCCGGAGATCTCGTCGGCGTCAACAAAGACAGTTATCTGATCCTGGATACCCTGCCCGCCGAGTACGACATTTGCAAGCAGCAGGGGACGGATGGGTGGACAGCGCCGCATGACATCCAGCACCACTCGTGCTGCTCATGCCTCCGATGCCTCTAATGCCGTTCGTGTCTATAATGCTGGATGGTAGATACGACTCGCGCGTCAAAGCCATGGAGGTCGACGAGAAGCCCACAGAGGACTATAACGATGTCGGTGGTCTCGACAAGCAGATTGAGGAGCTCGTTGAAGCAATCGTCCTTCCGATGACACACCAGGAGCGTTTCAAGAACCTGGGCATCAAGCCCCCGAAGGGTCAGATAGCCTCGCCGTCGATTGTGTCCATTTGCGCCACCCTCCCCCCAACAGCCGTCTCGATCCGCAAGGCTGATGCATGCTCGTCCTCCACACAGGCTGTCTCATGTATGGTCCTCCCGGTACTGGCAAGACACTGCTGGCTCGTGCCTGTGCTGCCCAGACAAACTCGACGTTCTTGAAGCTAGCTGGGCCCCAGTTGGTCCAGGTATGTGTCCGAGATGCAGGAGGGTCTGGGTGCTTACTACGCATCGACAATGCGATACTGGATATCCGGTTGTTGCGCTGGAGTCTGAGATCCGGGTCTCTGTGTCCGTGTCGGTTGTCTGACCAGCCGCATTGTTCAATCGCCCTCGTATGCAATCCGGCTTTCCGCGCAACCTATCGGCTTCGGCGACATCGCGTCTGCAGATGTTTATCGGCGATGGTGCCAAGCTAGTCCGAGACGCCTTCAACCTCGCTAAAGAAAAGGCACCGGCCATCATCTTCATCGATGAGCTCGATGCCGTCGGTACAAAGCGTTTTGACAACGAGAAGTCTGGTGACCGCGAGGTCCAGCGAACGATGCTTGAGCTGCTGAACCAGCTGGATGGCTTCAGCAGCAACGACCAAATCAAGGTAATGCTACCTCGTGTTTGCTCACGTTTCTCCTGTTGCTGCGAACCTTGGTCGTGAGGCTGCCACGGAAAATGGCTCGGCCAGCGATGCCAAGCCTGAATCCAGCCATGCAAAGCCACGCTCGCTCGGCCGCTAACGATCTGTGCCGCGCATCCAGGTCATTGCGGCCACCAACCGTATCGATATCCTCGACCCGGCGCTGCTTCGATCTGGCCGACTGGATCGCAAAATCGAGTTCCCGCTGCCCACTGAGGAGGCGCGCGCTCACATCATGCAGATTCACTCGCGAAAGATGACAGTCTCGCCCGACGTCAACTTTGACGAGCTGGCCCGAAGCTGTGACGAGTTTAACGGCGCACAGTGCAAGGCTGTCTGCGTCGAGGCTGGCATGATCGCCCTTCGACGCGGGGCGGTGGAGATCCGACACGAAGACTTTATGGAAGGTGGGCAGCGATGCTGAGCATATTCACATGCGGGGGACAGCTGTTTGCGCTGAGGTATCTCGAGATCGGGCAGCGGGTCTGGACCCAGCACGCACTAACCTTCCATCCATCCCAAACATTGCAGGAATACAAGAAGTTCAGGCCAAGAAGAAGACCTCTCTGCAGGTATGCCGGGTTGCCGTGAGGGCGAATGCTCAGAACTGCCGAGCAGATCTGATGTGGGGGTGGAATGGACTGTCTCGGACCTGTGCTGACTCTTTGCGTGTCTGTCCTGCTTGCGCCAGTACTATGCATAAGCTCCAAGAAGCCGGCGTGTCGGCCCGTTGCGGAACCAGGCAGCCCATGCCTCCAAGGGCGCAGATCGACGTCGTCTGTCGGTTTGGTCGGACGTTGAGCCGATGCCGCATGTGCTGTGAATATATGCATGCTGTCCTTGATCACAGTAGCGTGGAGAGTGCTCATTGCCAAAGACAATCGAAGGCGGGAACCCGTTGGGCGGCACAAACATCCTCTGCGACCAAGCGCAAGAGCGACCAGGGCTTTGAGAGGAGGCCGGCGGCTGGGATAGGGTGGTGCCCCTGAGGCTGATGTGTGGCTTTGGGTCCACAGGAGACAGCGAACTTGGGCAGGAAGTGGATCGAGACATTGTGGATAGCTGCTGTATGTATTAAGGATCCCAAACAAATAGGCCAACGAGCCCAAAGCAGGAGATCTGCCTCGTTTCGTTTCGTTTCGTTTCGTTTCGTTTCGTTTCGTTTCGTTTCGTTTCGTTTCGTTTCGTTTCGTTTCGTTTCGCTCTGTATCGCTTCGTCTCGCTTCGGACGCTCAGTTGCTCGACGTGCCCTCGGCGCCTTTGCGGAGCTCGGCCAGCAGCATGGACAGCTTCTGCCGGAGCTTGGTGATCATTGGGTCTTCGTCGGGCTCCGGCGGAGGCACCTGGTCCAGCAGATATTCGGCTTCGTCGATGGAGAGGATGATGGGGCCGCGGTTCATGGCGGTGGGCAGTCGGTGGTGATGGTGGTGGTGGTGATGACGGCGATGGTGGTGGTGGCGGTTCGCAGACAAGATCCGCCAGCGAATCGGCGGCCGGCAGCCACAGCGCGGCTGGCCGTGCTGACGTCACCACTTCATTAACTTGGCCGCGCACGCCTCGCTTGGCCGAAAAAAAGGCAGACGGGGCAGCGGCCATGCCCCAGACAGGACAGCACGGCCAGACGCAAGTCTCTCGCTGCTCTTGCATCCGCGGATCTGGACCACAGCGACAAGCGCCATCCGCCTTCCGACCGCTGCATCTGATCGCAGCTCTCGCCCCACACCGTCGCCCCCGCTCCCAACACCAAGCACATCGCCATGATCAGGGCGGCATCACAGGCATTTGCCAGAGCCGCATCGGCAGCCCCGCGGCTCCAGCTCCAGCTCCAGCTCGTCTCGGGCTTCCACTCCTCGAGCCGATCATCGTTCAAGCATGTGCTCAACAAGCTCGATATACTCCCACCCGGCGCCCACGTCTCGTCATCGACATTCCTCGCCATCGACCCTCAGTTTGCCCAAGCCACATTCTTTGCCCAGCATCGTCCGCTGCCATTGACGACAAGCCCGGAAAGCTTCAATCCGGAGGATCCCATGGACTTTGAGCAGGCCCAGGCACAGACACAGACGCAAACGCACGCGCAAACACACGAATCGATCGTATCGGAGGTGTCTGCGAGCTTTGCCGGTAAGATGCGCGGGGCACGATCCGACTTGGCTCGGCTCGGCGTCGGCAAGCCAAGTCCCGAACGAGGCTCGGAACCAATCGCAGACCAGACCAGACCAGACCAGACCAGACCAGACCAGACCAGACCAAACGGGGCCTAACCCGGCCTCCTCCACCGATTGCTCTTCACAGATGTCCCCGAGGCACTCAATCACGATACTCTGCAGAATACCCTGCCGGATCTCTTTCTCAACTCGCCTGCGGCACACAACCAGGACGCCATCCTGTCATCGTTCTTCAACGGCGAGGGCATCCAGCCCACACAGGACGTCGTTGTCGTTCCCGAATTGATCGACCCGAATCCAGAGCAATCGCTCATGCAGATGCAGCGTGAGTTTTTCCAGAACGAAGTGCAGGCGATGAACATCATGAAGATCCGCAAGAAGAAGATGAACAAGCACAAGTGGAAGAAGCATCGCCGCGAGGTGCGGCACAACACTCGCTACAACAAGGAGAAGCTCAGAAAGATTGGAGAGAACCGAGAGAAAAAGGAGCCCAGCTCGTCTTAAAGGCGAAAGGCGACAGACAAGCCCCCCCCCAGAAGCCTAGGTTGATTGCCGCACAGCCCTTCCAAGAAAGATATGGACTCGTCAGCTCCGGACTCGCCGTTATGTTCATGCAAAGGCTCGCATCAACGGCACTGAACTGAACCATCGTTGCCGGTGTTATCGCCAGTCGTGATAGCAGGCTCGTTTCGAGCGGCAGACCTTTACAGTCAATCTAATAAAGGACAGGACACCTTGGTTTTTGGTCGTTGACCGAATAATGTGTTTCCAATACCACCGCGCTGTCCATGACCATTCTGTGATGCAGCGCAGCGGATATGTGCGTCTCTGGTAATGGTGGAGTCGCTCAAGGTACTTGCGCACCGAGCCCGCAGAGACTCAGGCTCGGTATCCCTTCCGCGAGGCATCCATCATGCTATGCTTGTCCTCTTCATGGCGCGTGGAACAGCACCCTGGACGGAGATTCAGGCGCTCCTGGATGGCCTCAAGAGAGCAACCCCGATCATGACGCTCATGAGTCCCCAGGATGCACACAAGGGCGGGTATCTCGCCCTGGGTCTGATCCTGGATGTAGTGCGCTTGGGTACAAACACTCGGAACGTTCTGGTCGGTCCCGGTGCTCGGTTGGTTTCTGTCGCTTTCAGTCAGCGAGCTTGTCCAGTCGCTTGCCGCTTGCCGCATATTTGATCAGCGCCCGCGGCTCCCAGTCCAATGCTGTCCTCCTTGCCCGTGATCTCAAAAGCAAAGGCCTGTCCATCGGCCCTGGCCACTTCACTCACATCCAAAACTTCAAGCGACCATCCGAAGCCTCGCCGGCAACCATGCACACGTTTGCGAAGCTCATGGAGCTGCGAGCCCTCGGTGGCCACCAGCACCGAGCCGAAACACAAGCCACCCATCGAGCGCTTTTCGAATCTGGCTCCAACGCTGCCCTGGCTCAGGCACTCTTCCGGCAGAATGGCTCGACGTTTTCTTACCACCGGTGAGCATTCGTCCAGCGCTGAGCTGCCATCGTGCCGCTGGCCATGTTACCCACCGGACTTGATGACACTCCATCTTTCCGCAGCGAGCTCAAGGGCCATTTTGGCTGCGTCAATGCCATCGCACTCAGCAAGCGTGAGAGCGCTCTCCTGGCCTCTGGAGGGGACGACACCCGGGTTCTAGTATGCAAATCTAGTCGGCAATGCTGGGCATTCTGGGTCCTGTGCCTTGCTGACGAGGGCCGAGCCAGAGACCAAACTATCGTTTTGGTCCGCCGAGCGCAACCAAACGGTGCGGTATCATGCTCGATACTCACGGCTGTCCTTTGCTCCTTTCAATCGGCATTTTACGGATCCATCGTCGATGCACAACGCAGATATGGAAGGTCTATGAGGAGTCTGGCACACAGAAACCCATCGCTTGCTTCTCCGGACACACCGAGAACATTTTCTGTCTCCAGTTTGACTCGACAAACCAGAAACTCTATTCGTGAGTCCCCGATGCCCATCTCTGACAGGCTCCCTCTCAGCCTCTTGAGCCACCCAACCGCCTCGACCATGAACTATGATGCTGAATCGTCGTCTTCGTCTCGTGCAAGACCAGATGTGCAGCAGATGGGATGATCATCCAGTACATGGTCGAGCGAGGCATCGCATCGTACCCACGCACTCGCCTTCCGTCGAATATCAGTTCCGCGCACGACGACATGATGAGCAAGATTTCGATCATGCCGACCGACGACAACATCCTGCTCTCATCCGGGTGCGTTTCGATCCAAATGTAGCCACGAACGGTCTGTCGGCATTCCATGGGTTCGATCGCAATCAGAACCGTTGTGGCTAACACTTACCTTTCCCAACAACTGGGATATACGCCCATCGATCGCAGACATGACCGTGAGTTTCCCGCCCTGCATCCACATCGAAATTTGCAACGGGATCGCAGACGAGGCTGTGGATTGTCCGCGTTAGATGTGCATGGTGGGGCGACATCTTCCGCTCTGCCCCTCACACAACACTGCTCCCACCATCCGCAGACTGCATCAACCTCTGGGACATGAGGTGTCCCGATCCTTTCCAAGCAGCTATCGTAGGACAGTCAGCCCAGAACAGCGTCGAATTCAATCCAGTACACGATACGATGTTTCTCAGCTCGGACTCCAGCGGCAATATTCTGTGCGTGCCCATGGCCCTTGGCCTCTGCATGCAGATACTGAGTCGCTGAACTGCTGTGGATGCACGAGCCCGAGTCTTGCACTCAAAGCTGACCCTTTGAATCGCCGCACTTTGCAGCCTGCGGGACCTGCGATGCTTTCGAACCAGGCCGTCGGTGCAAGCGAGCACTCCGACGTCAGCCAGCGGTGTCCTGATGAAGGTAGCGCCCTACACTGTCGTCACCTGTCAGGCCGGATGACCATGGTCTCATCCGCAACTTCTACCCCCTTGGTCTGCAGTACTCCACCGATATCGAGAAGCACGGAGAGCGAGCCCGGCCGTTGGACATTCCTTCGGCTACATGGAGTCCCGACGGAAGCCACATCGGCACCGTATTCCAAAAATTCTATCCCACGCTCTACCACATCTCCCGTTCTGAGCCGATCTGCATATTCAAGTCAAGGAATAAAGAGAAGCACAACGGATTTCGCTCGGCACAAACGTACGTGAACATTATGTCAGCACCGATGCCGCCTGCCAGTTAACAGAGCATCTCGGATCAGCTGCGGCTCAGGCTTTGCGCCACAAACCGGTGATCTCAGCTGCAAGGGCTCCACAATAATCGCTCCGTCTCCCTGGACAGGATCAAGACTGGAGCCTTTGGTAACCTCTTGGGCAGTCATTTTGCCTGCGGAAGCGAAGATTTTCGCATCTATGGATGGGAGGTCCCGAGGAGCGCCGGTGGAGATGTCGTGCTTCCAGACACTGGCACATCCAGCACCAACACCAGTCAAGGTAAGCACATCTTCATCATCTGGATGTGCGGCTGTAGTGCCGAGCTAACCGTTCGACTCTGCGACAAGATATTGCCTTTGTCGTCGATGGCCAGCGAGTTCATCCGCCGCAAATACAAGAGACTTTTGTGCTCGAAGGTACGATGGCAACAGGGACGGGGCTGAGCAGCAACGGCCGCCGATAGCGTTCGTGAACGGACGACGGGCGGCGAGTCATCAGTAGCTCTCGTGACAATATCTTGCAACCCCACCAGGCCCAAGAAGCATCGTCAATTCGGTCTTGTTCCATCCGTATATGCCATACGTCTATTCTGCCGGTGCGTTGTAGCAAGCATTGTCGATGGCTGTGCAGTTATGGGATTACTGGCGACTGCATCACTCCGCGGACCTAAGACTGTGCTTTGGTGATATCTTGTTCACAGGCGTTGAAAAGGTCGTTCGACAGCACTCCATCTTCCGCTTCCCACATCAACGCGATGCACAGGACACACGCAACATGTGCCCCGACCGGTTACCGCCGACGGTGCGAGAGCGCCGCTGGGCGCTGCTTGGTCTGGTGGTCCCTGCCTACGATCCACCCGACTCCTATTCGACTGAAGAAGACATATCGACGCTGCGGTTTTTCGATGCCCTGGTATGCAGTCGGGTTACACTGGCGCAGCGGCCGCTCGAGATTTGTGCGGCCCTTGAACTAACCATATCCACTAATGCGTAGGTCGACACAGACCGGACGGACGGCGACTGGGGTGAGGAGCTGTCCTTCCATGGCAGCGATTCAAGCGACACGAGCGATGCGAGCAGCAGCAATGTCGACTCCGAGCTGGAACCCAGCGAGAGTGACGAGATTGATACAAGCTTGTCGTCGGACTCGTGGACTACGATCGACGATCTCGATAACAGCGCCGAAGCCGACGCTGAAACGGAGATTGTGGCCGACGCGCTGGGAGTGGAGGTACCCGCTGGCGAGGTGGAAAGTACTGCGGAGGCAATTCGCGGCAGCAGTAACGCTGCTACAGCGAGCAGTAGGAGCGGAGCAGGCACCAGTCCGGCCAAAGCAACACTCGAGACCGAGACCACCAATCTGGCCGATCGCGGTAGGGATGTGTGTCTGGGCTGTGATGTGTGCCCAGCAGAATCAGTCGAGGTCATGCGACAGTGCGCCGTGGAGGCGATATCCGATGAACTTACTGGGGTTGTATCTCACCTGTGCATACAGACGAAGCAGGGTCGTCGGCTCACAAGCGGCCACCGGAATCACCATTCGAACAGCCTCGGCAAAAAAAGAGGCACGAAAGCCCGTCGCGAGACCGTGACCCGGACAGCTCTTGATATCGTCGAGGGTCGCTTGCTCGTCAGGAGCCTTCCCCAAAACAACTCAAGACGCCGGCTCCTACCAATAACCCTTGGCTATATTGCACCCAATGGCGTGGACAAATACATACAAAAATCGAGGAGTTGCTGGTTCCGTGAGCGCCGCGACCAGAACAGCCGTGAGCATGGCAGTCAGCACAGCAATTAACTGTCTGGCACTGACTTCACCGCCTCGGCGGCCGATAATACGGACAGAAGCAGTGCCGGATCCAAGCTGTCCTGCTCTTTCTCGGTGTTGATGGTGTCGAACATCTTCTTGAAGATGGCCTCGGAAGTTGGGGCGCAGTTCTCTTTGACGTACTCGGAAATCTTGCTGAGTTGGTGTGGAACTGCGGCAGCCTAGGAACACAACGGAATCAGAGTTAGTCATAGCCGGTCGTACCAGTAGAAATGGCATTGGAAGGGGCCGAAAGGGGCGCATATCGCTCGACAGGACAGGTGCCTGCGACGACATGGTAGATGCTGGCTTTTGCCAGCTTGAGGCGGCACATCACGTACCGTCAGGGTGATGTCGTCCACAAGCTCATCCACCCATTTGCGGTACTTGATGGACTTGAGACAGTCATCGTCCCCCTCAGCCTTCTTGTTGAAGCTGTTCAGGTAGCTGGGCACAGTAATCTCGGCGCTACTTCCATCGGTTCGCACCGTCAGGCTGAGCGAGGTAATGTGTGGCTTCTGGCAATACTCCTCCAGCTCCCGCAGCCGCGATTGTGTTTCCTCGCCGATTTGGATCTGCCGGGCGCTCATCCGCGCAATCCATTCCTGTTCCTCTGCTTCAAGCCTGCGAAGCATGGGTCCGGATGGTGTGAGACAGCATTGGCGGCATGGCTTAATCAAGCCACATCTCAAAGACATTCATCCATCGATCCCTCACAATCGCCTCTTGGCTTTGCGGCCGAATCACATACTCTTCCAGGACGCGCTCGAACTGAGCCGCTACTTCTGTGTTCTGGGTGTTCTGCGGGTGCGGAATTTTCCCATCTGTCGAGATCTTTTGTGGCGCACTCTGGGGGGATAGGGCCCCGTACGTGGTGCCAATTGTGAGTGCTGGCTCTCGCAACGGACGTATGTTCCTGCAGTGAACATGCTCTCTTGCAGTCGTAGTGCGCTCCTCCGTTTGGCGGTATTCAGTACTCACCGGCCGCTGGAACCACGAGGTGTTGATGGATCGGTCAGCAATGCCTTGTGTGATCTGTTTTGCACATGCTGGCGGCGGGGTGTGGGTATAAGTTACAGATGCTCGGACGCCACCATGTGGCACTTTGGGAACTACGGAGCGACCAGCGCCGGTGGTGGAGAGCTGGAGCTCTGTCTACCTTTGAAGGTCTTGTCTTCGTCAGCAGTAGCGTTGGGGATCAGCTTTTTCCTCTCGAGGATTTGTGTCTGCCAAAAGAGCAGCTGCCGCATTCGCACCGGGTCGAATGATTCTGAGTCGATATGCTTGTAGTACTCGCTTGGCTGGATGTCTGGGTGAGGGAGAGCTAGGCAGCCGAGCGTCGGGCAGGAACATGGTCAGTCGTGACACACGACATATGACGCCGTTGTGACCTTTCCAAAGATGCGAAACACACTCACAACACAAGCCCGTATCCTTATTGACTTCTGAGACTCGTTTCCCCCTCAGGCCGAGGCTGGACCGGCGCCGTCGAAGCAGGCTGGTGCGACTCTTTCTCCTCTGGTTGACCTCGGTCTGTCGCTCTGGCGTTACGGCCAGCGGTACTGTGTATTCCTTGAGATATTTCTGATTTGGTCGAACAAAAGCAGAAACCAAGGCGAGCGAATTAGTCGAGGAGGTTCGGGTGGGATCTGGACCACATTCGCGGCTGCGTATGTATCAGCGACGAGCTCGCTCGACAGGTGGATCTCCCCAGCTTGCTGACAGGGAATGAGGGTAGCGACAGACAGAGCATGGCAATGTCCCGCGAATATGAGGGCTGGGGCTACCGATCCGCTTAAATCGGTGCAATGTCACATCATGCATACCGACGATTCCAACAAAAACGCTTTCGGATCGGGCATCGGGACAGCTGACGGGGCATGTGCACCGAGATTTCCGTTGGCTGCGCTGGCCTTTGATTCAGATTCGTGAGAAATCTGATGCAAATAGACGAGGATCAGTGGCCCGTCGCAGCGCACGCCAAAGGGATTTCATCACCAACTCGAAGCAGCCGCCGTCGTCTGCTTACATTTGCAGCTGCACTGGAGCTGCCGGTACGGTTGGGTGCTGGACTCTTGGCCGGCGCGAGGGTCTGGTGCTTCAAAGCCGATTTGACGGGCCGCTCAACCTTTTCAGTTGCAGTCGATGATGTATCGGCGACAGGCCGGATGGACCCATTGCTGGGCGCTGGGAGGTCGGGCTGGCGGATTGTGACGGAGCTTTGTGGCGTGATGATTGTTCGAACCTTGCGTTTCTTGGTGACGAACTTGAAGATAGCTGGATCAAAGTCGACCGGATGGCGGTCTGGAAGCGATAGACGGTTGGATGCATGGCCAGCGGATGAGTGTCTGGATCCAAGGTTGAGGCTGCGACCGGCTGGCGAGTGTCGCCATTCCTCCATCGTCGCAAAAGCACCACTTACCATCGGCGATATCGCTGAATTTGGTTTTCTGGCGTCGTGAATCGAGTTCGTGCACGGGTCGACAGGAGCAGAATGGAGTCAGTCAAACAGCCGCCTCCGACATCGAAGCCTGAGGCCTGAAGCGAAAGTGCGACATGGCAGAGGCGGCCTTTACCGCAGGGTTGGCAAGCATCGCGTAGAACGGGCTGGGCTTGATGCAGAGTGGAGGACGACGTCTCGACTTCGAACGACAGGCGTGACGGAAATGGAGGGTGTCTGAGGAGGTCTGTGGAACGGCTCTGGTGCTGAGACGGTGTGCCAAACGGCGGAGGGGTGGTCGAGGGGTGTGTTGGCGATTGGACAGAATGCTGTTGGTCTGGTGCGCTTCAGCACAGCTTTGGTGGGTTGCGATGTGATGGCGACGCAATGGTGGGCTTCAGCGCAGCTCGGCGTGGTCGAAACAGATCCGTGGCAGATCCGGCTGGGATTCAGAACAGGAGACCGACAACACAGGAACGCAGGGCCAGCCAGAGGACGGCGGGAGGGGAAGGGCAGCGCGCTCGGCGCCATCCCCCAGCAAGCACCACGTGGCCTTCCATTTTGGGCCAAATTGATCTCCGCACAGCCGGGACGGATGGAGTAGCGGCCAGACTGTGGCTGGCCAGCAGAATGTCTGTTCCTGTCCCTGTTCCTGTCCCTGTTCCTGTTCCTGTCCCTGTTCCTGTTCCTGTTCCTGTTCCTGTTCCTGTTCCTGCTCCTGTCCCGGTCCCTGTCCTTGTTCCTGCTCCACCATTGATCCCGCCGATTCGAACACCGGCCGATCGCGAGCAGCGGCGTGGTGACTCTGGAAGATTGTGCATATCGAAACCCCTGTCCAATAGCAGTGCCTGTCAGCCAACAACGATGGATCAGTTTGTCATTCACACAAAGCGCCCTGTGTCGACCAGCACCGAGGTCTCGTCTAGCGAGCCAGCTGCGACTGTGCAGGAGGCCGATGCGGTCGGGCCAACGCGGGGAGCAGTATCGGGCACCAAGGTCTCGCAGGCACAGAGGCTTTCACCCTTCAGCTACCAGAACCCGGCCCGGGGCCACCAGATCGTACCGCATGGTGGTCCGGGCAGCTTCACCATTCGGGAGCACTATCAACTCATTAGCAAGAAGCGTCGGGAGGAGGCGAGCCAGCGCAAGGTAAGGACGCTGCAAGACAGCCTATATCCTGCATGTGGGCACGGAGGAGAAGGGTCGGGCATGGCGATGTCGGTGCCGACAGGTTCCTATTTCTGGTGGTATCCAGGCCCGAGTTTGTTCGCCAAGCCGGGATCACTCACCCATGTCCACGAATAACTTTTGAGCGGCAGGCGACAGACATTCTCTCGGGCGTGGTCGCTCACATCGACGGTGAGCCGTTTTGCGCCGTGCATAGGCAGCTCGGGGAAGTGCTCGCTGCGAAGTCCCGGTGGTTTCCCAGATTCCCAACGAAACGTTGATGCCTGGTGGGAACGCGACGCGACATGATCGGACATGATCTGATCCGACATGATCTGCATGTTTGCAATCTGCAGGATATCTTGGAGAGGGCGTCAACGACCTTGAGCTCAAGCGTCTAATCGAAGCCAATGGCGGTCGGATAACGTGAGTCTCGCTGTAGATGTCCACGCGGCGCTGTGGCCCTTTCTGATCAACGCGGTCAGGACCAGCGAGCCCGCCAGCTGTTTCTCCTCCCACCCAGTACATTCTCATTTGCTCACTTGCTCGCTTGCTCACTGGCCTTCGGTTCCGCACATGCCACGGCGGGCCCCGAACAGCCGCGGTCCCTCTGCAGCGACCACAACTCATTTGGTCTGCACGAATCTGGCCACATCCAAGCGGGCAACCCTGGGGTCTCGGAAGAGAACCAGCTTCAAGATCGTCGATCCCAAGTGGATCACAGACTCGGTCGCCGCCGGGCACAGACTGCCTGAAAGACCCTACGAGATCCTGTGAGGCTGCAGCGGACCCTTCCTGGAACTGAGCTGGCGCATCAAGTGACGGCATCGACTTTAGACATTTGGCCGAGTCTGCCGGAACAGTTATCGATTGAGAGGATGTCTCGCCGTCCAACACACACTCGCCACCCAAGACACACTGCTCGACGCCTTCTTGCCTGGCTTCATGCGACATCGCATCGCCACCTCGCAAAACGAACAAGATGCCTCTCCGCTGAAAGAGAGATGTCGGAAGATACAAACAGCTTCATTTCATGCGAACAAAGGCGGCGCCATCATGGCATTCGCAAAGGCAATCAACAGACTTGCTGAAACAGCTTTTGGTCGTGACATTCGTGAGAGGTTGGGTGGAGTTGGGTCAGGGAAGCAAGGATGAGGGGAAGGGCAGAGACTCCGGGCAAGCCTCCTGACATGACCCCATTCGTGATTCCAGCGCCAGAGATTTGGTGTGCGTGGGACGCTGTTACTCGTCATCATCCGCAGCGGCGTCCTCATCATCGTCGTCACCGGACACTTCTTCGTTCTCCCGCTCCAGCTTGGCCATGAGCTGAGCCAGCTCGAGGTCATCGTTCTCGCTGATGGCTCTTGGCTGCGGACAAAAGATCGGTTGAGCGGTTAACACCGAGTCACTCGATCAGCGCTGAGCGACAGGTCGACATCGAGCCCTTGACATTCCAGCAGGCGCACGGTGCTCGCAGGGATCGGAGCGTCGTCAGGTGCGTTGAAAACTCAGAGCCTCACCTTTGTCTTGACAACCAGTCCTCCGTTGTTCTTCTTGATGACCTCCTCAATCTTGACGATGGCCTTCTGGAGAAGCTCGATGCCCAGGCTCTTGTCGAGGGCGTTGGTGTTCATGACGTATAGCGGCGGGGCGACGAGCTTGATCTGGAAGGAGGAATTGATCAAGAGAGTGGAGTACGAGAATGAGTGTGAGGGAGATTCATTCGCTTCGGTTGAGACGGGGTTCCCAAGATAAACGGCGAGATCGACAGGCGGCTGCAAAAGGGAGGATTGTCTCGGGTGTAGCCTCGAGCCCTTACCTTGATGGGAATATCCGGGGTGGACAAGGCCTCACCGGCACTGAGGGCAGCCTTGATGGCATCGATGCCATCGTAGCCAAAGCATGTGCACTCGATATCTGCGCAGTGAAGCGGCCAGAAGTAGACGGCGAGATGGTGAGACAGCGAGACGGTGAGAAGGCGGGTAGCAGTGGCACCTCAATGCAGTTGCCTTGGGACTGGTTTGCGCGGCAGTGCTAGCTTACCGGCTCGGATTTTGACGGGTTGAGGGGTCAGGCGGCGGCGGATGTTGCTCTCGAGTTCTCTTCGGACCTCGGGTTCAAGGTTGAACTCGTCAAAGATCTTTTCGGGCTCGCTGAGGGTCGGGGAGGTGGGAAGGGCCGGGTCGTGGAGATGGTTAGGCCATGTCAAACAAACACCAAGCTGTCTCGATCGGCTGAAGCATCACGCACCGGCTCACTATCCGCAGCCACAATCCGTCTCGTATGCCCGCTAAAGAATAAAAGTGCTGAAACAGATGCCGCGTGATGGACTCACTTGATGGCAACCTTGAAAGCCTCGTAGGCATGGCCATACTTTCGGTAGAGGGGCCAGCCAATCTGAACGTACAGATCCTCGAGCGAAATATTCAGCTTCTCGGCAACGTGTCGCATGATGCTGTGGACCTGCGGTATTCAACGGAAAGTCGAGATCCACAGCAAGGCCAACAAACCCACATCCAGGAGGCAAATCAAAGGACCGCCGCCGGACATTGTGGTCGCAGGAGTGTGTCAGTCACGTCGGCAGCATATTCACGCGAAGATCCACATCCCAAGAGAGGGCAAGGCGGCAGATACGGGCCGCCCTCAATGGCGACACCGACCACACGGACGGACACAGATCGATGCCGGGATCGAGCATCACGATCTACAGTTCCCGTGCAATCGCTGTCCATCCAGATCGCATCGGTGCCACAATATGCATGGTTGGTGGCGAGCCGACAAGAGTCGTCCGAGAGCCGGTGGACGAGCGTCCCCCAATGAGGGGAAGGAGCCCCCCCCCTAAACGCAGCATTCCCTCGAGTGGCCTTCTCCTTCGCCTCCGCTTTGGCCTAACCCCACACGAGATCCTGACGACGCTTACCGCCTTGGACTTGTTGAATTTCTCCTCGCACTTTTGGATATCTTCGGCCGAGACTCTGCGTTTTGACAAGTCAATGTAGCCCTTCTCCTTGTCGACTCTGAGGACGACGACGACTTCGGAGCGTCCGACACGGATGAGCTTCTGGATCGATCGGATGCGGCGACGGGAGAGCTCCGAGAGCAGAATCATGCCCTCGATGTTGTTGTACTCGAGGAGATGGACGTAGGCTCCCATGTCGGCAATCTGGCGAACGTTGACCATGACCAGATCGTCGGCCTCGGGGTACTTGTTCTCGTACATGCGGCAGAGGAGGCGGGACTGCTGTTCCGAGAGAGCGGCGGCGGCGGCGGGGGTGCTGCCCTGGGCCATGGCCAAGCGGACGACCTCGGGATCGACCTGCTCGACGCCTCCCAGCGGGACGTTGGCCTCGGTGTCTGAAACCTCGCTGTCAGAGTGCATGGTTGCGGGAGAGATGGTGGGAGCGAGCGAGAATGTGCGCGAACTGGGGCGGACGAAAGGCAAGATCGACGACACAGCCAGCGAGCAGTCAGCTTGCTCGAAAAAAGGGCGGCTGTGGCAAAGCGACGCAGCGGCCTGAGAAAAAAAAGTGTGTCGGCGGTCACGTGTGCAGGCGCGGACGAGGCTGCAGCCCTCCCCGTTTCGGCAGGCGGACACAGCCAGAGCGCCAACCCGATCCGAGAAATGGAAGCAGCACCGCCAGGACACTCCTGCACTCTGTCTCCCCCCGGATTTGTCTGCGCCGCTCTGCCCGATGGGACGCAGCGACGGATTGAATGGCCAAAAAGGCGGCTCTATTCCATCCACTACCGACAGCAACAACGTCAAGAAACCTGGGTGTGGTCCGCTTTCTCTGAGAGGAGCTGTACTATAGGGCTTGAGGGGACAGGTCTCTGTTTTCTTGATGTATGGTGCCAAGGATCCAAATACGATTCCAAATAAAGACAAAAAAAAGAGGGAGCAAATGAAAAGAGGGAAGGGCAGCGCGAAGGAGGAGGGCAAATCACAAAAGAAGCTAAAGTGAATAAAGGAGAAAGAAAAAAAAGGAGGGGGGAGGGGAAATCTTTGCCTGCTCGATTCTTAGTATGAAGTAGATAGATTCAAATTCCTGATTGGGTGATGATTTACATCAAGCCGCAGTCTCTCAAGTTCGTTTGGATGATGATATCGTTGACGGCCGCCATGACGAACTTGATCTGTGTTGTATCCGTGGCACAAGTGAAGTGTGTGTAGATCTGCTTCTGGTCCGACTGGTTGAGCGAGACGAATCGGTTGAGGATGTACTCGCAGGCAGAGTCGTAGTCGTCACCACCTGTTGAACAGAGTCGCACGGGGCGGGGCAAGTTAGATCATGCAGAGACAAATCGTCGTCGATCGGAGGCGGTCTAGACATCCACGTGGTGTTGTGGCTGTCCGGAGCCGGGTCGAGCGAGGGTGCCATCGCTCGACAAGTCGCGCCCGCCAAGAACTGCGTGGGGACTGGACACCGACCCGTGTAGTCAGGGAAGTATTTGCCCATGGGGGATCGCGGCAGCTTCTCCTTGAACAGATCGATCTTGTTCAAGAAGAGAATGATGGAGGTCTTGACGAACCATCGGCTGTTGCAGATCGAGTCGAAGAGGGTGAGAGCTTCTTGCATGCGGTTCTGGTGTTAGAGGGGGGAGTTAGAGGGAGGGGGAGTTAGAGGCGCCGATGGTGCAGAAGGTGCTTGTGTCTGACTAGCAGGGAGATGCGCCTGGACACAAGCAGCCATCTCGACAACTGTGAGCATCGACGGCACAGGAAACGGTCGCATTGGGGAATCAATGGATTGTATACCCACCACAGTCTCGTCCTCAACAAGCACTTGGTCATATTCGCTGATGGCCACCAGGAAGACAATCGCTGTGACGTTCTCGAAGCAGTGGATCCACTTCTTGCGCTCGGATCGCTGACCGCCGACATCGAACATGCGGTAGATGAGATCACCGATGTGGAACGACGACTCGGTGATACCAGTGGTCTTTACACGCGAACGCAGGACATCCTGATCTGTTGGCAGGTAGTCTGCCGCGGCAATGCGATCGATCGAATCAAAGTAGCTGCGAGGGTAAAGAGGGACGAGGAACGCGGTTAGTACGGTCTGGAGGTCGCAGCTCCAGGCGATGACAGGCAAGGAGCGATTCGCCGGCCAGCACATCATCAACTTGTATCCGGTGCAAAAAAGCAGCCGAGGTGTATCACAAGTAGACCGACGCCAATCCGAATGGCGGCAGTGCTGATCCTTGCCACGGCGGCACAAGATCGACACTGGGGACGCGCGCATTACAGCCAGCAGCGAGGATGCCTACTATTTCGAAGAATCGTTGAGCTGATACTCTCTTGATCGAGCAAAGCACGCCTGGACGCCCTCGTCGACCCACAGAGCCTTGACTGCCGCAGCGACCTCGGGAGGGAAGACATCGGCCTCGATCTGATTTGGGAGCTCCATGATGACGGCGTGATGCTTGTCGTTATCGGCCTTGCCAAGGGCGATGCCCATGTTCTGCATGGCCTCGAGGATGACCCGCATGGACTGGACTGTGTTCGAGAAAATGATTTCTTTGAAGGCCTCGCGCTCATCGTTGCTGTAGCCGGTGTCGTGGATGAGCTTCATTTGTTTCAGGATAGTTGACTTGCCCGATTCACCGGCGCCTATTACGACGTGCGTGCGTGCGGGCAAGGCTGAGTGAGACACATGCCAAAAGCAACAAACACGAGCAGCGGCCTCATCACGTCGACGCTGGCTGCCAGCAGACTGGCAAGGGACGGGAAATGCCACGCGCCTGGATATCCAGAATCACAGAGCGAGCCACAGACAGCGGATAGACAGCCACACGAGGGACAATAGAAATGGAATGGGAGCGCGGACCGAGAGGGTGCTTTTGCCGCGAAGGACATGCGATAGAGAGCGACCGCAGAGCTGGATCTGGAGGCACGCTCGAGGGCAGGTGCCAAACGACCGAGGGTGCTCACCTAGCAGAAGCATCTTGACTTCATTTCGTTGATTCAGCTTTTCTTTCTTGAGAGCATTGTCGATTTCGTCATTTTTTCGACGCTGCTCCTGGTCTTCTGCACTCATACAGCAACCCATCTTGGAGAACTACTACAAGCCGCGAGGCGGACGAGAGGGGGGGGAAACAGAGAGCGGGGACTGCCAGAACCGTTTGGAGGGGGGGGATGTGAGGACGAGCGCGAAGCGGTGGAGGGAGTGCGTGAGGACGCCGATGGCAAAGATGTGCGTTAGAGCGAGTGTGTCGGAGGGACTTGCGGAGGAGCTAGCTGTCGCCGAGCCGCTGGAGCAGCCCACAAGGTCAAAGGGAGAAACGGGTCGCGAGATAAAGCGGAGACGCAACGTCCAGAACCAGGACCACTCAAGGCCGAGAGGGGCTGGGCAGCACAGGAGGTGGGCAGCACAGCACAAAATGGGAGAATATTTCCGCGCTGGAATCCGGGGAGCAAGCGCCTCGGGGATCAGAAAGCGAGCACTCTGTCGCGGACTGCCTGTGCCGGCTCGCCGACACGAAGGCGAAAGGCAACAAGCGGCCGCCCACCGAGGCCAGCCAGGGCCCGAGAGCCCAGGCAGCAGAGGCGACGCAGGCAGCCACAGGAGCCGAAAGGCCAGGCGATTCAACGGTCTGAAAGCTGCCCGAGAGTGGCCAGGAAATACCAGGCAAGCGAGGAGCGCAAGGGGTGCAGGGAATGCGAGAGATGCAAGTCGAGCCTGGCTATGTCGACGTGGCCTCCAGCGAGACGGGGCTGGTCGGCACAAACGACCGCCGGCGATATTGCAAGTGGGCGATGCGGATTGCCGGCGTGGGCAAGAACGGCCCGCGACGACGACGACGGCGGAGAGTGTGGTGGGTGGTGTGCAAGTCTCGAGTGCCGACGCTGCGGTGCTGGAAGCAGAAGCAGGAAAAGGGTGGGTGGCAGATGAAACGGAGAGCAGCTGTCTTGGGCAGGCCGGGGCATACCTCTGGTGAGATAGAGTCGGATGTTGGAAGGGCACCTCCTTCAGCGGGCTGTCTCGGCAGGGGGGGTGGCCAGAAACGCAAATGGACAGAGACGTGCGCTGGCGTGTGGCCGGAGACGAAAGACTCGGCAACGAAGAGCGGACGTGGGAGGGGAGCGAGCAGCGAGTCGAAGAGACGAAGACAGGGAAAGCCTCGTGTTGACGAGCCGAACGAAGGACAGCAGACTCGGAATCGGCCGTGGGATCGACGCTTTGGAGACGAAGAGAGAGGGGAAAAAAAGGTGGGCGTTTTGGACGACGACGGGCAGATGGCAGCGATCTGGTTGTTTGTGTGAGAGGAGGTATTGTTGATTGCTGGCCATTGACGGACGAAGCACTTTCCTCTTGTGCGGGCGGAGCGCCATATGTGCGCGTGTCTGCCCGCACTGTCTGTGTGGGTGGGTGGCAGCTTGTGTGGGGGCGCGCCGGTTGTGATCGAGCAAGTCGCCACTGGACTGCGACAGCCCCAAAGCCGGATCGGCTGCGGCTGCACATTCTCTGTGCCGCGCCGCGCTGTGCTGGCCACACGCTGTTGCTGTGGGTCCATTGTCTCTGTGCACCCACCCGCCACGCGTTGTGTCAGCAAGGCCGTTGATGAGATATGTCACAGCACGCGTCGCCCGAGCCGCCCGCAAAGTCCCCCAGCCGGCACCGCATTGTTGCTGTCGAGTGCTCTGCATTGGGCTGCTGTTCTGCAATGCATCGCTTCGATCTTGGGCTGCTCCAAGGCCCCATCCCTTGCCATGATCCAGCATCGATCTCATCAGCCTCGTCGGTCTCGTCGGTCTTCTGGCTGGCGGCATCTTCTGCAGCGCTCTCTGCTGCTGCCACCGAGGGGTCATCGTCCATTGTCTCATCTTCCTCGTCGCCCTCGCGACACGCCGACTGCCTGTTGCGGCCTCGTTGCGTGTTGGTGCTCCCTGACCCTGCTCCTCGGACGCACCGCGGATTGGATGATTGGGGCCCCTGGTCCAATGCCAACGAGCCGTCGACGAGCATGCCACCGAAACATGCTCGCCGAGCGTGCCGGTGTGCTTGCAGAGAGCATCGGCCTCGACTGCTTGGATCGGTCGCCATCGCAGTGCCCGGTCTGCTGCCAAAGGCCCTCAGCAGCGACTGCCGCTCGGCTCAGCCCGGCCCAGAAGATCCCACAGGGTCGCGTCCTGCACCGTCCGCATTCTCATGGCCGATCTGTCCGGTCCCGCCCGTGCGGTAACCCATATTGTCCGACTGCGGCCGCCTGGCTGGTGGTGTCTCTCGGAATCGTGGGAGTCGAGGAAGGGGGCCATCTTGCACAGGTTTCGAACGTTCCCGGAAACATCGCACGAACATGTGTATTTCAGCATCTGCTGCTGGACATCACAGCCCGTCGTGTCAGAGCTGTCGGTGTCGTGGCTTCTACTTGTCCTGTTTGCTCGCGAATAGATTGCCTCCCAGCATCCCGGCTTGTGCCATCATAACCTGCGTTGGTGGCACTTGCAGCTCCTCATTCACCCGCGCGGACATGTACTGCCGCAGCAGGCTCTTGAGTTCCTCGTTCTGTCGAGCGATCTGGTCGTTGTCCCGTGCCAGATTCCATCGCTCCATCAACACCACATTGTACCGCTCCATGGCCGCGCAGACCGCCTGGGTATCAACAGGGCGCATGCGTCAGCCATATCGTTGCCATCCAGGTTATCCACCCAAGGCACGAGTCGATGCAGACCGCAAAACGGCCGATGAGTCAGTCACCGAGACGCCCTTGGACAGCTCTGCATGCCATCGCACTTCCTGTCATGCATGCTCGTGCATCCTGAAATGGCACGGCGGAGACACTTGCTCCTGTCTGTCAACTCTGGGTTTTAGCTTCCTTACCGTCCAGATTCGATAGTTGCGATCGTCCATGACCGACGACATGTGCTCCCAGTACTCTTTTTGCAGCGTCGTTCTGCTCTTTGTCCCGTTGGGCTTGTTGGACTCTTCGTTCGGGTTCTCGCCATTTGCTGTCGAATGCTCGGTATCGTCAGCATCATTAGATCGCACTCAGACACACCCTTCAGGAAACCGACGCCTCTCTTGGGTGCGCCCAACCGAAGAAGGTCCGTACGAACAAGCACGGCATCCACGCCTCAACTGACCCATTTCGTCCGCTGCCTCCTCGGCGATCGTCGCTGCATCGCCATTCAGCTCGGCCCCGCTGTAGTGCTCTACGAATTTCTTGACAGCGGAGATGACGTCGTTTGGATGGATGAGCTGCGGGAGTGGGCTGCCTGACTCGTCGAGCTCCGGCTCGCCCGCTATTGTCTCGCGCGAGATAAAATAGCGCGTGAGCTTCTCAATGTCCTCGACGGTCTCCACACCCAGGGCCTTGAAGATCGAGTCGAGCTTCATGAGCGACTGTTCGTCCTTGTGCAAAGGCGCAAGCAGCTTCTGAAGCTTGTCCTCAACCTAGTGGCCATATATCCAGAAATCAGCAAACCCTAGTACCCCACTAGCTGCGAGACAAGCTGCGCTTCCGACGGTCCAGGGACCAGTATCCGATCATGAATAACCAGTGCCCATCGGGAATGGCAAGTGCTCAGGCGAATCTAACGCCATATGCTGTGTTCCATGGGTCCACTGCCATCCACCGATCATCGCCGAATGATCGTGATACCTACCAAGAATCCAGCCTCATTGCATAGCAGCTCCAACACTTTCTTCATCGTTCGAGAGTTGCCCTTGTATTCGTGCAGCTTGGCGCTCAGTGACTCTCGGCGAGACTCAAGATCGGCCTCGCCGCCTCCTCCCATCTCAAATAGCTTGCCCATGGCGTCACCCAGACTCGGCGACCCGCCGCCGCGCTGTCCACCCTGCCGAAAGATTGATGGGTCGACAGACTTGAAGAGATCCTCGCGCGGCGGACGCCACTCCATGCCGAGCTGCTGCTCATGGATGATCCTGTCGGCCTGCAGCACCTTGCGCATCTGCTCCCGCGCCAGCTCCTCGTTCATCTGCCAAATTTCTTTGAAAGTCTTGTGGTCCGAGATCTGAAAGTGCTTGAACTTTTTTTGCAGCTCCTGCGCGGCATAGTGTACGGATGAGAACGAAAGAGCCACATACCCCTGCCCATGGCCGCTCGTGCCAGCGGAACCAAAGGGATCCTGTGAAATCCTGTGCGATCGTGTGCGATCATGCGCGCCGGAGGCAGCTCGCACCTTGTATTGTTCATTGATACGGTTCTTGTCGTCCTGGAGAGCAGAATGGTCTTGGGAAAACTGCTTCTCTTGTTTGGCCAGCTTGGCTTTCAGAGTGTTCATGTGGTCCTATCGGACGTCAGATTAGCGGATGGCAGATGGCGGATGGCAGATGGCAGATGGCGGACCAGTCTCCAGTCATGGCTGCTCGGTCTGATCGAATGCCTGGCATCTGGAACGGACCAATCAAGTCGCAATGCCCTACAGCTTGATAGCGCTCGCCAATAAACCCACCGTCAGTCGTGTGATCTTTCTCTTCTGTGCACTCAAGATGGTGCCGTTTTCTTCCTCGCGTTTCTTGAGAACCTGGAAGTTGTACTCGAGCTTCTCGATATTCAGCTGGTATGTACCGCGCATCTAATCGAGGACAGAGCATTAGCATCCCGATCAAAGATGCGCGCCCAGATCGAACGCAGTCGCTCGCAGATGCTCGCCAACTGGAGCTGTGGAGCATCTGAGTACCTGCTGAAGCTGCTGCTCCAAAACTTGAATGTCCGTCTCGAGCTTGATCTTATTGACGTTGTGTTCCTCGGCGTCATGGACTCGCAGCTCCTCAAGCTGCACAATCTGCTCGTCAATTCGGCTGCTGCGTTCCTCGAGATATCGGCTGTGAGGTTCCGTCAGTAGCGTTGGTAAATCGCAAAAATCTCGGCCACCCAAGCATGAAAATACCGGTTCCTCAAGTGCCATAGCTCTGGTCAGCAGCACAACTGCAGCAACGTCGCTGCTTCGACCTGGTATCAAAAGAGCGACAGCGTGCATCATGCGTCCTTACCTTTCGTTGGTCCCGCGCTGCTCAAACAGCCCTTCTAATTCTTTGATGTTGGCTTCGATGAGCTCTGTCCGCTCTTGCACAAAGGACTTTTCGATCTGCTCGAGCTCCTCACGGAGGGTGCTCTGGAAATTGCGATATTGATTGTCCATTCGCTCGAGGAGGGTATCTACAGCGCCGAGGCAGGCATCGTCCCGAGGGAGACGGAAACCGCAGCGACAACAAGATACTTGGGTTACTGCAAATCGGCAAATCCGTAGAGGCCGATACAATGGCGACTCGTGGATATTGTCCCTTGTCATCGTGCTACTCTTTAGATCACTTGAGCATCGCACGGCCAGACACCATCTTTGTCGAATGCGGCGACGGATAATTCAACTTGATCGACTCTCCACAGCCCAATTGCACAAACAGAAGCACTTGTCGCACTTACTGATCTCCTCCGCTTGGCGCTTGAGCTCCTTGACATACTCGTCGTCCTTGGTCTTGAGCTCGGAGATGTATTCATTGATGAGCTTGTTCTTGATCGATATCAGATTGTCGCAGGCGACCCGTTGCTTGTTCAATGCCTGGTTGGACAAGAAGGTAAGCGCAAATCTGATTCAATGACAGGATCTTTGGCTGTGTAGCGTCATGTGGGATGCCAGAGAATCGCGACGAGGGTCGATACTGTTGCAGAACCCAGTGAAGATTGGCATCGCTTGCGGTGCCGACGGTCGCCTACCTCGTGCAGCGCGTAGGGCCCGTCGATCTTCAAGACAACATCCCACTGCTGGTCGATGTCCTTCTGTAGATCACCCGACGTCTTGATTTCGTCGTCTTTTCTCTTCTCCCAACCATCGGCCTTCTTCATGTGCTCCTGGCGCCGCACATACTCTCGCGCCGCCACTCCCACACGCAGGTTCGTGACAAGTTCGGTTCCGGAGATCTGTCGTTGGGTCCGCGGAGAAGCGGTGGGGGCAAGAAGGGTGGTGAGCCTGCTGCCTCCTCGTTTGAGCATCCATCGGCTCTCCTCTCCCACCTCCTCCAAAGCTCCAGAGTTCCGATGATTGCGTCCAAGGCAAAAGTGACCCAACAGCGTATCTGAGTCACCTTGGTTGACTCGATAATCTTGCGGCTTCCAGTGATTTGAGATTTTGACTTGCTGGCCTCTTTGGTGTCTTGCTCGACTCTGGGCTTGCGACGGACCGAGTTTTCTTCAAAGAAACCATCGCCAAGCGCGAGACAGTTAGGATCACAATACACTCCTTAGTCGTGTCGATCGGGTAGCCACACCATCCGGTGCCACCGCACTTGCAACGAGTCCAGACCGGCAATTCATGCCGACAATTCGCGATTACGCAGTTGTCTTGCGCTTTCGTCGAGGGCAAATCCGCCATGAGGGCAGCCAATCGGCCCAGACGCGTGCATCATTTAGTCTGGAATGGGCTCGTGGCTTCTGGTAGCCATGCCAGAAGCATGAATGATGCTGGTTCCCACGACATCCAGCCGCCCAGAAGATTTGCCTCCACCGCCCAGTCTGTTCGGACAGTCCACCGACAGGTTGCGGGATCGACGGACCAATGGCCAAAACCCACCATCGACCTTCTCGGGACGGAGTTTGGCCAATCTGTTGGCCTCAATGCGCTGCTTGCGCTGGGCAATGCGTGCGGTTCGGTTCGAGTCTGTGTTGTTGAGTGATGCAGTGGCTGCTGTGGTGATTCCTCCGTTGGAAGCGGGAGCTGTGGCGACGGCCGCTCCACCACCGCCGCCACCGGGAGCATCGGATTTATTATCGCTCATAGCTGTGCGTGCTAATCGTCGGTGGGCTTTGACTCCGGAGTGTCTGATCAGAGACAGGTCGGGGCTGGCAGTCGTCCGTCTCAGGTGCCCGCAAACACCCCGCCAAAGAATCCGACTTGCGCTGAGCACCCGCACGTGATGGATCATGATCGATCAAGCACATTCAAAGCGAAGCGGATAACCTGGATATACGAATGCCCGTCTTGGACCTGAATCGACACCCACCAGCAATGCGGGGCGATTGTAGAGGCCGGCGGGGCGCGGGCTATGGATAAATCTTGGCAATGACGCTCGTAGCTATACTGTTCATGAGACTCGACAAAGGTGTCTGGCCGCTGCGATGGAGCAAGTGTCGATGTGCTTGCTATGCATACACCCTTGTCCAAGCCTATCCCACACATCGTTGCCGCGGGCCCAGGAAGCAGAGACTGACGTCAGGCTCTGTTCGGATGCGCAAAGTGTATTCTATTGACTCCTGGTGGACAGATTGGCCATAGATTCGGATATCGACGACGGACTACTCCCCGACCGACACAACCTTCCGTTTCAGTCCGTACTTCTGGATGCACTATGCGGCAGTACATTCACACATCAAATCAGGCAGCCGCGGGGCTGTAGCTGATCGCAAATGGTCTTGCTCATTCGAAACGATTAGCAGCGGGCCAGCCCCGTGAGAAGAGGATGGGCACTGAGGCAGCAGTGCTATGCGTTCGTGAAGGGTGCGAGAGCGATTTTGCGTCGGTCGCAAGGGAAGGATGCTGTGGGAGGGAGCTGTATCGTTTGAGTCGACGAGCTTGTTCAGGTTATTCTTGAGGGCTGGATCACAGAAACGCTGCCACCGATCGTCGCCGTGGACGAGTTAGCCCAAACAGATGCAGACTCCTGCATATGCCTTGCTCGCTCGAGTGCTGCCACTTCCTGAAATCCCGGGTGCCGGGAACGATGCTCACCTGGACCAGACGAGATTCTCTTGAGCATGGCCTCAATGATCGCTTTGCGTCGCTCCTCAGTCACAGGCGCGGCGTGTGACGGCTTGCTGTTTGGGGCCTCGTCTTCGTCCATAGCGTCTCCATCGTCGTCTCCAACCTCGTCTTCTTCTTCTTCTTCTTCGTCTTCATCGTCGCTCTCGTCTGCTATTCGCAGCTTGAAGTCATACTCCGAAGCCAGCATCTTGAAGGTATCGTACGCGCCGTCGGCAATGTCGTCGTGCCTGTCGACATTTGCCTTTGCTTGGTACTGGCGAGCCCAAGGTCCGATACGCACGTATCCGATACGCAGTGTGAGCAGCCGACAAGCCGAGTGCATTGCAGATCGGCTCGGTGTCGTGTGTGTCCCAGCAACCCTGGGGCCTCGATGTCCGATCAAAGGGCACCGTCCGGCTCGTTGGTCGACGCAAGATACTCACTCTCCAGGCTCGGGCAGCGGCGGTCTCGTCTTTGCTGGCGTTGCTGATGGTTTCCATCGACGCTCGCTTCTTGGTATCGGCATAACTCTCCTCGATCTCTGGAATCAACTTGGTCCGGAGCAGCACCCGCGGCACTGAGCAGCCCCAAGCGACGTGGAATCCAATGCGCAAGCATCGGCGTATGTTAGCGCTCCATTGCCATTTGTGTTTGCTGTTGTGGCCCTGGAGCCTCGAGGAGTCGTATCCGGCAGATGGACAAGAAGATATGCCCCACAGGAAGCATCTGTCGCTGTGCGTTCTTACAAAAGTCGGGGTCCTCCACAGGCAGGGATTTCGGGAAGACGAGGAGCTGCTTGAGAACATCACTCCCGAGCTCGTTCACGATGGTCTCGTACTTGGCCAACAAAGTGCTGAACTGGCTCTGGACGACTGGCCTGGGATCGGACAGCAGCGAGGGTTAACGGACAGTGCCAGTCGATGGCCGGCGAGGCTCCTGTTGTTGATCCAGGAGCAAGATGCGCACATTGCGGATAGGCGTCTAGCTGGCTCGCTCCATCGTCACGGCTATTCGAACAGGGGATGCAATTCCAGTCCCAGCAAACGCACCATGGAGAGTGTGGGTGGATCTGCAAAAAGTCACTGAGCGATTCGTGGAGCTGCCCGAGCTTGAGCCGCAGCGTTTCGAGCTCTCGGGAGCCGGCAGCAGTAAACTCGGGCTCTCGTGCCGGGCCGCTGCTCATTCTCGGATGGGATCTATCTCGCCGGTCGATGGAGGCCGGCTGTCCTGTCTCGCGGGTCGATGAAGATTGGCCGGTGCAGGCCGGTTGGATCGCCAGGCAGATCGATCGCAACAGATGCAGCCAGGGCTCGTGCGCGGTGGCACTATGAAAAAAGTTCTTGTTAATAAAATGAGCGAGAACGAAAAAACGCGCTCTCGGAGCCACCTCGGTTGGCGAGAAGAGCAATCTCTGGCGAGAGACCCCCGAGGGAAGGCGAGAAGCCTCTCGCCGTCACACACACACACACACACACACACTTTGCACAAGGGAGTCAAACACCTCCCATCGACCATCCCAAGAGGGATGGCAACCCCGAAGTGGACTGCCCAGAATATGGGCGACCCGGCATCCACTGTCGAAATGCACAAGGAACAATATACTTACAGTCAATCCAGAAAGAAACGGGACAGATCCCATTTCGGGCTTCAGATATCTGAAACCCGCTGACTGACTGTAGGCCCCAGTGAGCAAGCCGTGAAATTGTTTCCCGTCTTGGTTGGCAATCTCTTTGTTTGGGTTGGTTTCGGGAGCACAGTCTTGAATACACCCGGCCGATCTCCTGTGGCGATGATCGACTGGCATACCGAGATCATGTTCCGTGAGGCATTGATGTCTCGATCCCACAGCGTATGACAGCTTGCACAGCTCCGTACATAATGTGGCTTCTCGATATCAAGATGCTCGACCTTCTCGAGTCGCTTGGCTTCCCGACAGTGTGAGAACACCTGGGATGTGTTGAACTCGTTCACCGAGCACACATGGATCTTGGAGACGGATCGGTCTGGTGGTCGTCTCTGGTGGTGGTGGAACTGCTCGAAATACTTGGCAAACCTGAGTCTCCTGGGACTGGATGCATATCCCTTCCCTTGCTTCCAGGAGGCATTCCCAAAGGCAATCACAATATCGGTCTCCCTTGGTGCCTGGTCGATGACTTGCTTGCACATCTCGTGGACGGTGCGCTGTCTCTTGCTGTGGAGATCGAGTCGCTTGAATCGCCGTCGCCGAGTCAGGCTGAAGTACAGATGTTTCTCCAGCATGTCTCCATCGAACACATGGCGAATGTATTGCAGGAAGGAAACCACCCCAGGGTTCTTGGGACTCGGTGTGGTGCTCATCCATTTCTGCAGATCAAGGATCTTGTGGGTGCTCTGTATCCACTTGGTCGCCTGGCTGGTGCCACATCGATGCTGGTACTCCTTGTTGGAGAACGACACGATCTTCTCGTTGGCGCGCTGTGCCTTGGTCACCTTGACACCGTCTTGCTCCTGGATGGATGGTTGACCGGGTGCTCGATTGACAGCGGTGAAGATCGATCCCACTCCAGGGTCGATCCCAATCCATGTGGTCCGAGAGTCGTCAATGGGACCGACCCTGGTCTGGATCTTCTTCTCGGGAGTGAGCTTGAGTGTCATGTCGTCCTTGTCTGTGGTTTCTGGCTTGGCATCAGGGTCCTTCTTCTCCAGGATCTTGTATCTGAGCGTGGTGATCGAGCACCCGACCCCATCGGTGGTGATCTCGCAACCAAAGAGCTGCTTCCCCTTCTCCCTGGCACCAAAGAGTCTCGGATCCAGCTTGAAGTTGGTCTGCCAGAAGGTCTCTTGCTTTGTGGTGTCATTGACCTTGGTCTTCAGGTCGTCCCACTTGAGCCCAGTGCCAGTCTGCTATCCAAGGATCTCCCACAATGCTTTGGTGTCGAGCTTGATGTACTTGGCTCGGGCATCGCAGAGCGGGACCAAGGTGCACTGTGCTCGAGGGGCCTTGTGTCGCTTCTTGGTCTGGGCAAGCCGGTCGGTCAATCGCTTGATCCGTTTCCTGTTGATGGTGATCTGCTTCTCCACCTCCTCGTGTTGGGTATGGAGTGTGTTGTATTTATCCGACTGCCTTCGTTCGATAGCGCGACACATCTCCTCGTTCAGTCGCCCACGCTCTCCTTTCAGATCATCGGTCACCCTCGCGAGCCTGGGAATGATCATCTTCTGAAAGACCACCATGAAGAGGGCCTCCTTCAGGTGGGTCAGGCGAGAGACTTCACTGGCCAGAATTGGTACGACTTTGTACAGGTCCTGGTGGCTTTCGTACCGAAGCTCATACAACTGGTCGGCATGGTGGGCGAAGGATTTCTTCAGATCACCGAGGAGTGTCTTGGAGAGGGGATTCTCCATCAGCTTCATGCAATCGTCGATGTGTGTATGCCGTTTGACATCCTTCGGAGCAATCAGGACCAGATTGCAGTATCGACGGAGGAGAGACCAATACCGATCGAGAACGTGTGTCTCGCAGTTGACTGCATAGGTCTTGACAGCCAAACCAAGGACCTGTGAGCCAGTGCCCTTTGGGAGGGACACTGGAGGCAGGATACACGTCTCACTCCATGTACTTCGATACATGTCATAGGTCTTGATGATGTGCCTGTCATCTTCTGGGGTGTTCGTCCTGGCACCCACTGTTCCTGTCTGTACCATATTGAAGCACTTTCGAACAAACGCGGGTTCACTCGACGACACAGTGGGGAGGGTGATGCCCTCGTCCAAGCACCGCCTGAGATGCAGCTCCAGGAGACGAGATGCTTCGTACTGCACTTGAGTCATGGCTCGGACAGTCTCCTCGATCTTGTCGTGCAAGGCATCGTTCTTGATGATGGCATCGAGGGTGCACTTGACGATCGAGTACTCGGCCTTGGCATACTCGTTGGGGCCACAGTCAGGCAAGGTAGAGCTCCAGAGTGGGTTCTTCTTGGTACACAATGAACTGTTGCTTCTGGCATGACCCACTTGCTTGCACGTGGCACATACAGGGACCTTGGGTGCTTGGCTGACCATTTCAGCGACCGAGGCAGGGCTGCTGTCGACTCTGGCTGTACACTTCTTGGTGAAGGGTTTGACATGGTTGGTCAGGCCACAGGCACGACACGATTTGATGGTGAACTTCTTGGCCACAGGAGAGTCATTGGGTGATCCCGGGTCGGGATCGGGGGGTGTCTTTCGTTTGGGAGCCATCTGGCGAGAAAATAGCAGCGATGGCTGGTTCTTGTCAGGAACGGAGCTGGACTTTGGCACCAGACAGCTGATGGTAGTCGAACGGACGGTCGTAGGACGAAGGGGAGTGTATTCAATAGGCTAAGGGCAGGATACAAGAGGCAAGGTGAGGTGCTGGTTCTGAGGCCACAGCACCTCGTTTATATCTCTAAACGCCGTCCTTGTTCACCGCAGATTTTTCTTCCACTACAAGGGAGATTAGTTATCTGCGACGGGGGGAAATTAGATCCGAACGTTTCCCTCGCCCGCCGGGAGGTTTCATGTCAGCGCCTTGCCCAACATTGCACATCAAGGAAACAGGACACGGGTTGGGGCGCCCATGAAACCATCCACCGGGCGTGGAAACGCGGTTCATGACAGTTCTGCCCTTGGGGAAGAAAAATTTTCCTCAAAACCAGCGCATTTTGGGCTGGCAGAGATGCTGTGCAGTGGCGTCCTTGATTCAGATCCAGAAACGCATCGCTCGCTCAATCAGTCGTGGGAAGACATCTTGTCAAGGTGAGTCTTGCCTGATAGCCAAACGATCATGTCATCTCGCTGACACACAGCCACGCTTGACTAGGTTTCCAACCAGAGAGATTCAGATGGTGGTGGTTCTTGTCCGCAATCGGAGTGGAGCTTCCAACAATGATACAATTGGTCATTCCTCCACACCAATTGCCCACCACCACCGTCAATCGGCTCACGACGATACCAAATGCCGTCAACCGACCATGGGCGGATTCCAACTTTTGCTGCGCCACATCCAACGTGACTTTCAGGTGACCGAGATGAGCAGCCGCGAGGGGGCCGGAAAAAATTGATAGTGTGGGTTGGCCCATGTCCCAAATCTGCTCGCCTCGCCTCTCGCCTCACTCCAACCCCCTCCCGCTTGCCCCGACATCGTCTTGCTGCTCGCCCAAGAGCCTTGCCGATAGGGCGCTTCTCTGCCATCTGCCTGGACCAGCGACCTGCAAGCCCAAGGACAGCCCCCACATTCCGCCATGGATGCCACCTGGTCTCGTATCATCAGCGCCCCGTCCGACGCTCTCCAAGCCATCATCAGCAGCGCCAGCAATGCCGTCGGCTCCGCTGCTACGACCGCCACAACGAACAGCACAGCTGCAGCCGCTGCTGGCTCTTCCATGGGGCTTCCGGCAGGCACTTCAGTCTCGCCGCCATCATCCAGTCCGCAGCTTGCTCGGAGAAGATGGCCGCAGACCCTTGTTCAAGACGTGATAGACTCGACAGCGTCGTTACCAGGGACGTCCACGGCAAACGGAGCCTCGAAATACTCGATGGAGAATCTGAGGTCGGTATCGCTTCCAACTCAGAACCACGGTGGCCCCGGAGATCGAGTTGGTCCTGCATCTGGATTGAATTGGTGGCAGGGATCTGGCCGCTCCTCGCTGGACACTGCCAGTTCCAGAGGATCGCAATCTTGTGCCGGGTATTCCGGCCTTTGCACTCCCTTCCCCCGAACAAGTTGCAACTACGAAGGCTCTCGGCTGATGGCGGCTTCCCCATCTCTCTCCAACCGACACATGCAGACGCATCGCACAAGTCCTGCGCAAGAACCAGCCCCAGAGCTCGTACAAGAAAGACGACACCATCGCGGCCCTGAACGAGCTGGCTGATATCTTGGTCTATTCAGACTCGCACCAGCAGCGGGATCTGTTCGAGTAAGCGCTCGCCTTCCCGTGCCGACATGGGCCTCGGTGCTGTTGATTGTCCCAGAGCGCCGCTCCAACCCGTGCCAACATACTCTTGTGGGCGCTCTCCCGTCGTCCAGGTATTTTCTGGAAGAAAAGGTGCATCTTGTCCTCATTCGGTATCTATACTCGGACGATGACGATGTGGTCTTGAATACCCTCAAGTTTTACAATGTGTAAGATGGCACAACCCGCCTGTTCCCATCGCAATCATCGCGAGCTGGTCGGTATCTCCGGGTGTGCTTGAGTCGCCGATGATGACGATGCTTATCTCTGCAAACCACAGGCTCTTCGAAGGCGTCAAGCAGACACACATGCTTTGTAGGCATAGGACGCTGCAGCTCCGCAACTCGACATGCTCTGTGCTCCGAATCCTGAGTCGAGCGACATCTGACTGGAGATGGGGACATATCTTCCTTTTCGTCTCCCCAGACTTTCTGTTCTCGAACAACTACATCAACGACGTGCTGCTCATCAAATACAACACGGCTAACGAGGAGATACTGTATCATTTCATCACGCTCTTGAAGAATCTCTCGATCAAGCTCGACGAGCGAACCATTCGCTTGCTCTACAACGAGGTAAGGGCACGATCGCCAAAGGAGTCCGCATCGAATGAACATGCGGTGCAGATAGTGCGCGGCTCGACTCGGACGTTGGACGCGGATGGTGTCTCTTTGCTAGAGATGGCTTCTGGATGAGGGCGGTACATTTATCGAATCGCATGGGCGAACCGCTCGCCAGAATGGCTGGAGGTAATGTGGCAACATCCAAGCTCTTCCACTAACTTCAGCTACAGCACTTGAACGATTTCCCGCTGTTTTCGGAGGCCGTCAAACACCAGCGTCACGAGGAGACAATGATTCGAACAGCAGGTTGGCATGGGACATCGTCCTGGATCCATTTTCAGGCTTTCGCGGCCGTGACCACGACGGACCGATTACTGATAGCGTGTGGCTGCGGACCTCTCGCTCGCCACCTTACTGACCATCCATGGACTGGCACCACTTACATGTCGCCACTGATTCCGTCGATATGCGCATGCTTCATCAGTGCGTACGATCGTACTGAACGTCTTTAAAGGTGGGCTGGTGCCACGACGCATAGGTTTCATGGTGTGTCCACGGTCCAAGAGACAAAGTCAATGACTGACGCACTTGCTTTCCTTGTTAGCCGATGATTCACTCGCGACACAGTTCATTATCGAGAAGAGGCGATACTTTGCGACCCTATGTTAGTTTCAGCAGGGCATTCGCTGTGCGGCTGGCTGGCACACCTCGTTTCGGACCCAGAGTTGGGGCTGTCATTTGCTGGAGCACCTTCACCAGCCAGGACATATCTGTCTGCACAAACGAGCCCTAATTATCCTCGTTCTGTGGTATAGGCCGGTGGCTGTCTTTGGACTGCGAAGACCTCACCGAAGTACTGGCAGCCGAAATGTGAGCTATAGGTCCTTCCACCGATACTGTAGCTGTTCCTGGTTGAGTGAATATGGGCTAACTCGTCATTCTCGCCACCCTCATTCACTCCACTGACTCCACTGACTCCACTGACTCCACTGACTCCACTGACTCTATTGAACCCAACCCAACCCCCACAGCCCTGATCGATACAAGCTGGAGAGCATCCATGACAATATCACCGACCAGCTTTTGTTCATCCAAGACATTTTCCTACTCAACATAGAATACATCAGCAAATCCCTGACCGAGACACTCACGGATCACTTACTCCGTCAGCTCCTCTTGGATCTGTCCCAAGGCGCCTCCGAGACCAAGGCAAGTCCTGGATGGACCACAAAACGGCGATGCATCTGGGGGGGGGGTGATGCCTGGCGGTTTGGTTGGCTTCAGGACTGAGTCGAAGATGGATGCTATTTACTTTCGATGGAGCGCGCATTGCATCGGCTCTAACAGACACAGCTGCTGCTCTTGCCCTCGGCCTTTGTCCACTCAGCTCCGTCAGGCACTGTACCTCATGACCTTTCTCGTGACCATCGGCCACCCACCACTGACAGACGAGATCGTGGTGCAAATATTCGTGGACGTCCTCGACCGCGACTGGAAAGAGTCCGAGAGCCTGTTCCGGGTGTCAACCATGAAGCGCAAGGAAGAAACGCGGCGGTCGGAAGGTAAGGGCTGTTGGTGGCCGGCTGTACACGCTCCGCCATTGCAGCAGGCGTGCATGGGCTCACGGATGCTGAGGTGTATGCCTGTAGCTGATCGATGCGGTGTGGGGCTGATCGTGGGGAGCCAGCGCAAGTCTATCGCACCAAGATCATGGGTCTGCTCGAGCCCTCTGCTGTCCGCGGGACGACGCTGCTGGCGCTGATGTTTGTGTACAGTATCGTGGTATCAAATGCGTCGCCGCGGATCCTGAAGGCAGCGCAGCTGTATCCCAGACGACATGTCAAGTCCAAGAGTCTGATGGTATGACAGCGCACACGGAGGACTGGCGGCAGAGTTGTGCATGTACGCTCCAAGCTCACTGTGTGGTGCCTACTTGATGTTTTTCTTTCTGGATCGTGCGGATTGCGCTTTGGACGACGCCGGCGGCCAGCTTGCCTTGATGAATGCGCCCAACGACCCTGCCGACCAATCCTCAAGCGTGCCGTCGTACCATTCGGAGCTGATCTCCAAGTTGCTCGAGTATCTCAAATCGGTGTCGCTCACGTCGAACCACCCGCTGATCGAGATTCAGCTCTGTGTGCAAATCATCCTGGAGCTTCTATCGACAGGCCTCAAGACGGAGCCCCTCCTCGACGAACACATGCGGCTGCTGCGTGAGATCCGACAACCCTGGACGAACAAGCTGGTCGAGTGGCTGCAGCAGGACGCCTCGCTGTTCTCTGAGATCTTTGACTTTGAGGCCAGCCAGCCCCAGGGTACGACTGGCGCCGAGGCTGAGGGAGTAAGAACTGCATCGGCGACTTCACCGCGATGCCGCTCTGACCTCTGCCACTGCCGCGATTCACAGCCTCGGATCTGCAGTGGATCTTTCGGGACAGTCGATTGCTCACGATGGGCAGCAGACGCGACCGCAAGCCCGATGAGACCTGGACCAACGGCGAGATGATTGACCGGTCGATCAAGATGTGGCTGGTGCTGAGCGAGATGACCTTCAAGTTCGACCCCGATGCTGCATACGTCCCACTGCGCCTCGATCCTGTCCCGAGCCCGCCTGGTGACCTGGTAGATCTGGGTGAGTTGCCGCCGAGCTTCGAGGTTGATCTAGCTCTCTGAAATATGGCTTTTCAATCCGCGGGTCAGCGCAGTGTGGTCGCAGACTGGTGTGCTCCGGACCGACGCTGTCGATGCCGATCTGATTCCACCTTCTGACAACCTCGGTCGACCGACCGGCCGGCCGCAGTGGGCAAGAAATTTGTATCGTGCGTGTACTCGGACGGCATCAACCCCTCGGTCAATTGCTACTTTGTACTGGATCCCTACTGGTTCATTCTGGTAGGCTGCGCGACGCTGATGTGCGAACCACTGCTGACTCTGCGGAGCCAACTGAGGGTGCGGAAGAGGAAGGGAGAGCACAACCGGCAGTGCTGTTGGTACTCAAGTCTGCATTAACACAAAAACAGGTGACCCCAGACAAGCTTCAGCTCGGCAAGGGGCGCATGTTCAAATACTGTCGCCATGTTGACGTCGACGTAAGCGGTGCTGTAGCCTGGCTCGGGAGCCGGGTGAATGAGAGACTGACAGAGGTCGCCCTGATGGACTGAGGCAGATCGGTCTCTGTTGTGTGCACCTCCTACTCTGGAGCACTGGTCTCGCCGACACGACTCTCGTGGATATTGTTCTCGCGGACCTCGTTCTCATCGAAAACATTCGCTCAGTGCCTCCAGGACGATGGCTCTCCGTCGAGCGACTCGTTGGCGCTTGTTGCCAGCAGAGCAGACTATATCACCGACTCGCAGCGTCGCACACAGATGGTGAGCGCACCAGATGGCCTCAAGAACACGCCTCCGCTGCGACTGCGGTCGGCCAAGAACAGCACGACCACGAACGCAAGCAGTGCTCCGGGACAGAGCCTCCTCCATCGCGGCAGCGGCTTCAACGTTGTCTCCATCGAGACCGAGTGGAAAGCGTTTCTGCGCTTCCCTGAGAGCAAGAACCTGGGCTTTGTTCGGGCCCACATTGCCGCGCAGAAACAACAGTTACGCGAGGAGCGGCGGCAGAAGCTCGAGGCATTCATGCTTGGCAATCAATAAATCACCAAGGCTCTTGGCAGGGTCTGCTCTGGTGGTTCTAGGTGCGGGATATCCTATGTATTCGCGTTGGTGGCATCAGGACCGAGCATACAGGGCACGACTGCGGGGCGTCTGGCCTGGCCTGGCATTGTCACTGCTGTCGGCAGGCTAGAGCAGGGAAAGGCCCATCGAGTAACTCTGGCGCTGGCCCGCAGTGTGCGGAACAGACGGCATGCTCGAACTGCTCTCTGCGGCAAGCGTTGTCCTCGTATCGTCGGCTCGTCGGATGCGGTGCGGTGCGGTGCGGTGCGGCGAGCGGATCATATTGTGTGTCATAGCGTGGAAGGCGACCGGTCCGAGCGAGGAAAGGATGGAGGATGTGGCCTCCGCATCGGTACTGTGATAGTTTGTATGGTTTATGTGCGGACATGCAATCGTCGATGGGTGCTGTTGAGTCTTGACAGTGGTGTGCTGGTGGCGTTCATGGTGGTGGCGGTGGCGCTGGTGGCTGAGATTTGGCAACTAACATGCCTTGGCACCAACAAGGTATCTGGATGAAATACGATGCATCTCGGTCAGGTCCTGCGGTCAAGGCCGATGAACATGTGGCCTGCGACGACACTGGCACACCGCATCGAGTTGGGAGAGGCTTCGGTCACGCTGACACATACCCCTTGTTCAGCAGAACGCCCCGGGTGTGGTCAAAGGCAGAGCACTTGATCACCCAGCCGACGTGGATCGACCCTACATCCGAGGCGATGACGCCATGGCTGCTCAGGAGCTTGAAGAGGTGGGTGTTGGGCAGGAACTCTGGAGCCACGCAGAGAACAGCAAACATCAGCTTGGACTGCAGCGCGACCTCACGGGCAACTGCAGCCAGTGCATATGCAAATGCGTACCGAGAGAGTCTCGATGGGCATACACCGAGAGGCCCTGGGACTCGGCGTATTCAATCAGATCGTCGATATCCTGGGGCGAGCTCGAGATGTTGACCTGGACGGCGGAGGGCAGAACCTGCGGTGGCGGGAGCAATGTGGTCGGTGATGAGCGAGGGTGTCAGGTCGACACATCTGCCTTCCCGCGCCGAGCGGGGTTTAGGGGACCGGAAGGCCATCGCAACTCGAGCCAACTTACATCGGTTGTGGTCTGCAAAAAGCTCTCGAGTTGGGGCTTGTTAAGGCCGGCGACTCCGACACTCTTGACGTCGCGGTCACGGATGCAGGTCTCCAGTGCCCTCCACAGCTCGCCCAGCTGGCTGGACGACGGGGCCGAGAGATCCGTCGCACTGTCGGGCGACTGGACTTGATCCGACGACTCTTCGTCGTATTTGCCGGTGTCGAACTGGACAAAGAGCGAATCGATCGAGGACGAGGGTGAGACCAGGAACTTGTAGTATTGGCAGGCCTCTCGCACGTCTTGGGGGGTTGCGTCTTTGGCGAAAAACAGCTTGACTGCAGTCACGGCGAGCGGGAGAGGGTGAGGGAGAGAGTATAAGCGTTGCTGTCGGGGACAGGCCAAGTGCCAGTGCGGGCGACAAGAGCTGTGCTGATGAGCCACCAGCTAGGAATGATGCCCTGAACGCAGATTGGACGCAATCAGTCGACATTCAGCAATCCATGGACGCCGACAGCGTACCTGACAGGTCAATGTCGGCAGGCTCCTCATCGTTGCTCCAGGAGCTCCACTGGTTCCAATGGCCGATGACGACAGCGGGAGTTTCGTTGGTGCGCCCGACGAGGGCATAGGAGCCTGTGTGGATGGCTTCAGTGAGGTTGTGGAGGAGCTGAAGACGTTCAGGTTGGGCCGCAGGCACGAGCAAACGAAGCACAGAGTCAGATTGAGGTGGGACTTGTGGGAGCAACGGACCCAGCGTAATTGCATCAGGCACCACCACCACCATCGGGCATCACCACCACCGGGTACCACCACCGTCAGAACAGCCATCAGCACCATGCCCGCGGCTGCGTCGGTGGAATGCAGACGGAGCTCACCTCGTTACGAGAGCCTTTGAGCTTGGACAGGTTCGAGCCGAGGTTGGTGGTGCCGTTCCCGGTCGAGAGAACCAGACTGGTTCCGACAGGCAGCAGCAGAGGCGACCCAGGGACGGGACTGGGCAGCGGCCGGTTGGCAGCGAGACCGGCCGCGCCGCGACCAGTGGCCAGGAACTGGACGGAGGGATCAGAGACTTTGGACAGATCGAGGGTCATGGTATCTTGGCGTTGGGGTTGAATTGCGGGGCGAGGGGTTCAACGGGCAGCGGGCACGGCTGGTGGCAGCAACAGTAGTAGCAACAGGAAGACGAAGACAGCGTCGTGGCGACAGGGTGAGAACGACAACGGCGGGAGCGGTGCTGCGAGGGATTTATACTCCGATGGGGGCCGGTGAGAAAAAAACGGGCATGGCCCGACAAGGCCGATCCGCCAAGGGACCACAAGCGCCCCTCGCCCCAGGCAAGCCGGCCGGGCGAGGTTTGAAATCACAGCGCGGCGACCGCACCGGATGCCATTCCCGGGCGATATGCAGCACCCGACCGCCGCTGTCGGCGGCATCGACAGCACCGACAGCACCGACAGCACCGACGCCCCCGCCCATCCGGGCAGTCCTAACAATCAAGCCCAACCAAGTATCAACCGAACGGCCCCGTGAGCAGCATCGCTTTGAAATGAAACACCCGCCCGGATGTCAACCCCACGCCGCGCCGACAGTGCTGTGGCGCTGCAGCGCCGTTGTCCTGTGAGTGTCGTCCCTGGAACAGCATCCAGCCACCCCCGCCGTTGTCGCTGTGCGCCGATGACAAATGCAGCCACAGCGACACGTGTCGCCACGCCTGCCCCCACTGGCTCCGCGCGCCGCGTCGCGTGTCCAATCAGCGGCGGGCCCGTGTGCGCGGCCATCCGCCCTGGCAACAGCGGGCTGGGAACAGACATCGCGACTCGACCAGCATCACGCAAACATCACGGGCGTCGATGTGGATTCAGGATCCAGATCCAGATTCAGGCCAGATTCAGGCCAGATTCAGGCCAGATTCAGGCCAGATTCAGATTCCAGATTCAGATCCAGGCCAGTCGACGCCACCAGCGAGCCGCGCCTCTCGATGATAGCCCGTTTGGCAACCCACATAACACTCGTCAACGCCGTCCAGGTCAATGTCCGGCTTAATATTACACAATGGCGCCCCCGCAATGTCGTCTGGGAAGACACACACGCCAACGATCTGGCAAGCGTGGCGGAGCATGTGAAGCGATCAAAACTGAATGATGGACAAGTGTCACGGTGCGTGTGGGGAAAGAACAAATCAAAGTACAAAAGGAGGAGGCGGGGAAGTTGCGAACATCAAAAGATCACAACACAAGGCTTGCGGGCAATGTCAATGGGAAAATTTGGGTGGAGTGAAGCCCCCGCCCACAAACGGCGCTATCGAGCGAGGGTGATGTGTAGAGGGAGGAGTGTGCCGAAGCCAGCTGCTGTCTCCGTCTAGTTCTTCTCGTTGTCGCCACGGAATCGGTGGTAACCGTGTCGGTCGCGCTGCGAGAACTGGATGAAGGTGCCAACCAGGCCCAGGACGACGGTGCCGGCAAGGAAGCCGTAGACGGCCGCGGTCGAGGGAGGGAAGCCACCGCCGTTGAAGAAGGCAATCGTGGTCTCCTTGAAGCCGGTGCGGGCAAAGACATCAACACCGAAGGCGACGGCGTAGGCGCCGGCAAAGGACGTGGCCAGGATAAAGACAGGCTTCTCGGCAAAGAGGGCAGCAATGCCAAAGACGAGCATTGACACACCGAGGATGATCTTGTTCCAGAGCTCGTTGGGGGTGATGCTCTGGGGAAGCAGGGTGATGACGATCATGGCGAGGACGAGGCCGAGCAGGGCGCCGACGGCAAACAAGCCGAGCTTGATGACGCAGCGGAAGAGGAGGGCAAAGATGATACCCGAGATGGCGCAAACGATCAGGAAGATGATGTCGCGGTGGGTACCGTAGATGGTGGGGTTGTTCATCTCAATTCCGGTGAGGATAAGCAGGGCAACGACGACTGGTGGCGGGCGAGAAAGGCAGGCGTGAGATGCTTGAATGCACCGAGAAACCGCAACGGCGCCCGCTGGGTGCAGGCGGGAGACTTGCTCGCTGCTGTCACAGCAAACCGCAGCGATACAGCCGGGTCGTTGGCAGCATACACAGGGGCCTCGCGAGGATCACGCCGCAGGAGCACAGATACATACCACCGGTGTAGAAGCCACTGATGGCCAGGATGATAGGGAAGACTCGGTGGCCGAAAAAGACCAGGACGACACCAGAGGCAATCAGGAGAGCAGCCAGGATACCGCTCTGGATGTTGAGGGACTCGAAGGCTGGATAGATCGGTGTGGCGCGGTGAGGTGCGGTGAGGTGAGGTGCGGTGAGGTGGGATGAAGCATGGCAGAGCCAGGATCAATATAGGGTATACGCAGGCGCATGAGGCCACGGAGGAGCAAGATCGCAGAAAACACTGGATGGGACTGGCTGCTTACTCGAGACGGGGTGGGTGATGGCGCTGGTGGTGGTGTTGCTGAAGATGGTGCTATCGGCTGGAGACAAGGGACGCAGACGAGACTGATCAGTGGCGGCTGCAGATCCAGATGTAGGGTCCAGAGGGGACAACGCTCGTCCAGGCCACCTGGACGGATGATGATCAACCAGAGCATAGACGTGTGCAGATCTCCGAAGACGATATGCAGCCGCAGACGATGATCTCGTGGCGTGCTGCTTATCGGTGGCGGAGAAAGAGAGAGAGAACCAGGCGCGGCGCTTACCGGAGGAAACGGCGTTCAAGTTGGTGGGCTGATGGTACGGGACGGAGTTGCCAGGGGGAGAGGCAAAGGAGACGCCCTGGGGGTTGCCGAACCGGCTGCCGAAGGCCAGGTTGAACGAGTCAGAGCGCTTGGAGAGGTCGCTGGAGGCCGACGGGGCGGCGCAGACCAGGCTCAGACAAGCAACGAGCAGGGCAGCAAAATGCAGCAGCTTCATTCTGGGCGAGCTAGTGTGGGACGGAGCCAGTAGAGGTTTGTGTATGGGGCGGGGCTGGGAAGAGCTGGGTCTGGAGGGGGGGGGAAGTGTCGACAGACAGACGAGCGGCTGGATCGGTGGGCGACGGGAACGAGCAGAAGAAGGCGAAGGAGGTGAAAAGACGAGGATTAAAAGGGCACGGCAGCGGCGGGACATGGTTCACAGCCACGGACACGGTGCAGCGGCTTGGCAGGCACCGCCCCCGGGCGGGATGTATGGACGGGGGGAGGCGAGGAGCGAGGGCGGCGAGAGCGCCAGAGGCAGCACCGAGACGCCGCCGAGACGCACCGCCGAGATGCACCACCGAGACGCAGACACGGCCACCACGCGGACCCGTTCCACCCGACCCCACAGACCCGCATCCTCGACAGTGCCCCTCCAGATGCCGAGACATTGGCCTTGCTCTCGTCCTGGCTGCCAAGAGCTTGCTCTTGTCACATAGGCAAAGGCCGACACGCATCGGCTGCTTGGCGATGCGAATAAACAAGCATGGGCGGGACGAAGGGTATTGCATACCGTGGACGAAGAGGGCTGCTGCACGCCAGGGCGAGAAGGATCGCAGCCAGCGCCAGGCGCGCTGCCCGTCCATCCAGGCAATCCGGGTGTATATTGCTATCCTTCAGGCCGCGTCGGCTCGGGGACGGGCGGCTGGGGGTTCGCTGCCAACGACAAACTCGTCGCCCGACAGCACCACGGCCGCTCCGGCACCACCGCCCTTCCATCGGAGCATCGGCCCATCGCAGAGCATTCCCTCGGACTTGCGTCCGCCAACGGTGGCCTTCTTGACGACCACCTCCTCGCCGTCGACCGTCACGGTTGTGCCGATCGTCGCCACTACGACCTTGAGCCCGACCTTGTCGACGTTCTTGGCGTTCGTCACGATCGTCACTAACTTGGACGAGTCGACGCTGTCGTCGTCGAGATCAAGGTCTTCGTCCGTGAGCTTGATCTTGAGCTGCCGAAGCTTGGTCTTGGGAATGGCTTCCGTCGCCACGACCAGGCCGATCTGGAAGCCGGCATAGGGCGAGACTGCCTTGGCTTGGCCACAGGCGATGCACTCGGGGTCCTCGGCTGTGTTTTCCTGTTCGCACTCGGGGCAGACCCAGTCTTGCGTCATGTCGGGCAGTTCCGTGGGGTGTGTTCTGGATTGGAGCGAGCGATCCGCCAGCACAGGTGCAGATGCAGATGTGGATGCAGACGTGGATGCAGATGTGGATGTGGATGTGGATGAAGATGCAGAGCACGGAGACGGAACCAGAGATCGGGGCTGGGACGGCGTGGCTTGGGGCTGCGCGTTTCTGGGTTTGATCTGGGGGATCGCTGCATTCCAACACAATCGCGATGCTGCCGAACGAACCGCCTGCAAAATGGCCTTCTCACCACAGAGGGGGCGGCGTCTGGCAAACCTCGACACCCGGCCAGTGCCCTGCTCGTGAAATTGACAGAGTATCCTGTATTGTTTTCATTCCCGACTTCCGAATCGAGCGAACAGGTAACGAGGAGGACAAAGGGCTGTCCAAGGGAGGCAAAAGGCCTCCCCGGGCAGTCGAGAATGAGAAGAGCAATTAGAGCATAGGATGAATAGGCAAGGGGAAGGAGGGGAGGAGGAGGAGAGGAACAGCGGGGTTCTCTGGACCATGAACAACAGGTCGTCCAAACTGGGACAACGACGAAGACAAAGGTAGAGAGCCGGAAGACAGAAACACAGCAGGATGGAAAGAGGAGGAAAGAGTGAAAAAGAGAAAAACAGAAAAAGAAAAGGCAAAATCTAGCTTACAAACAGGCTCGCTTTCGCATCCAGGAGAGGGAAGATGTGTGAGAGGATCAAAGACGATGAGTCAAGTCCAAAGAGAAACGAAAGAGATTCGGAAGAAAGAAAGAAAGAAAGAAGAAATAAGAACGAAAGCGGCACGGGAGGTGTCATGAAAACAGGGGTGGGAAATATCATAAACAGGGTCTTTTAGAATCAAAAACATGCAACGGACATGAAACCACTATTCGGCTGTAGCTGAATCGGCATTTTTGCTGCTGCTGCTGTCATTGTCGTCATCCACGCTGTTTATTTGTTGCCTCAGTGAAGTTGTGCGATTCTATCTTGCATGCAAGCCGTCTCTTTCAGCTGCGAGAGAGGGAGAGAGAAAGGCTGTGTGGTCGGTTGGTCGATTGATCGATTGGTAGGGTCGAGTGGCTGGGCGATCGAGGTTGCGGCTCAAACTGCCCTGCAAGAGCGGTGCGGCGATCTAGAAGCGCGTCTCGAGAGTGCTGGGCGAGACAGGGGAAGAAAAGGCCGGGGCGGTGTCGGGATCGACGTAGGACAGGGGGAACACTCCCGAGAAGCCGGAGCGCCAGTTCATGCCGAGACACCAGCCATCGGGATAGCTCTGGTAGATCGAGACGGGGTCCTGCAGATGTGCAACAAGGCAAGGGGAGATGGATGCGAATCCATGGTCAGCATTGGACACACAGCGACCTGAGCGTCTCAGGGTCGTCACCGCAGCCAGCAACACATGCCGCCGATGCTGCAGACGCCCGAGAGAGAGCTGAGAGATATGCGACGGGACAACACAGCGTCTGTGCATCGTCACAGGGTCCGCATGAATCCTGGTTGTGGCTGAGGATCCAGAGTCCGGCGATTGGTTCGCTGGTCATGATGGCGATGGTGATTCTGTATGATGATGATGATTCTGTATGATGATGATGATGATGATTCTGGATGATGATGATGATGATGATTCTGGATGATACCCTCCGAAGGAACTGCCACAGCGATCGCTTTGCCACTGACTTTGGTGCTTCCTTGCTGCTTCCTTGCATTGATGCCACATGCTCAGCGACGCCACAATGCACGGCTGCCTCCTCTTGGGATTTCCTGTCATGAGCGGCAGAGCAAAGCTGGAGAACAAAGCGACGGCAATGTGACTTACGCCAATGCGGAGGGCCAGCTCGTCGGGCTTTCGAGGGGCATAGGAAAATTGCGACAGCTTTCTGGCCGAAAGCTTGGGGGTGACGCTGGATCGCTTGTCGACGGGGGTGGCGTTCTCGGGGAGGGAGGCGAATCGGGGCGAGGGCTCGGGGCCCATAAAGAGTCGGGACGATCGGGAGGAGCGGACAGACTCGCGGTTCTTTCGCTTGAGGGTGATGTCGGTGCTGTCGATCAGGATGGGCGGGAGAACAGGCACCTCGGGGGTGACAATCGAGAGGCGCTTCGAGGCAAACTCGAGATCGCCCTTGGACTTTGAATGCGCATCGGTCTGGGCTGCCTTGTGGACCGCCACAGCCAATCCGACCACGACCAAGACGACGCCGGCAAAACCACCGGCCAGGGAGATGTAGTATGAATCCATGGGTTCTGATTGTTGTTGTTGCTGTTGTGGGGGGGGGGTTGTTTTCTATAGATTTGCTAGTGGCCGAGCTGCGGTTGAGCTGCCGGGAGGCGGGGGTAACATTCCGGATGGGAAGAGATCGCAAAGCGCGGATGAGTTAAAAGGTTGAGGGGATGGGCCAGAACGAGGAGGGCAGCAAAGGCAAGAGGGGCTGGCAGGCAGATCTGCCACAGACTGTGCCTGGGTACTGCCGCGCAAGCGAGGAGCAGACGACATACAGGCTGCGAGTCGGGCGAGTCCCGGCTGCCGAGAGACCGAAATAGGCGATGAAAAGGGTAAGGAAAAGGAAAGGCTGAGCCAAGCCAGAGGGGCCGGTGGATGCTGTAGGGGGGAGACAGAGACAGACGACAGGAGCAGGGTCTGCAGCAGCCTCGGTGGAGGGGCAAGTTACCTGCTGGACGGGCAAGTGGACGGGCCTGGGAAGAGGGAGAGACGGATGCCCAGGCAAACACAGAGGCAGAAGACGACGGGTGCAAAAGGCGGCAAGAGAGCACGCAGGGCAGAGGCGACCAGAAATCGATGCAGCGGCGAGCGAGGCCGCGGGCGAGAGGGCGGCGCCCGTCTCGGCGAGAGTGGCGGCGGCTGCTCAGGACTGTTGCGCGCCTGTGCCCGCTGAGCTGCCGGGCGGGGCCGACGCGTCTGTGCGACACGGGCACCCGGCACTCTGTGTGCAATCTGTGTGCAATATGTGTACAATCTGTGCGCTCTCGGTGCGCTCTCTGCGTGCTCTCGCCTCTCGGCAAGGCGCGCCCTGACCAACGCGCAGGGGATCCGCGTCGCACCGCCGTCGCCGTCCGTCCCGATTCGGCCAGGCGCGTCCATGGCCCCTGCGCGCACAGAGTCTCCGGGGCGCACCGTGCGCGACGCGGTGACCTTTGTTTGTGCAAAGCCACACGACCCGGCCTTTTCCCACATGCGCTGTCCTTTCGCCGTCCATGACCCGCCATGACGCTCGCTGTGCAAGGATTGCCTCTCAAGGCGGCTGTATTGCGACCTGCCGGCCGTCATGGCCAATATGTGCGTCGCCAACCTGTGCATCGCCAACTTGTGCATCGCCAACTTGTGCATCGCCATTATGCATCCTGCCGCCGTCGTCTCGCTGGACGACCAGAGCTTCACAGATGAATCTCCTCGACGATGCTCATGGGCGGTCCGCCAACGAAAAAGGACCCGGCAGCCAGACCCGCCAGCAGCGACAGAATGATCGACACGTTGAAGGTCATCACCAGCATCACCAGCAGGAAGCCAGACGCCGCCCCAAAGAACCGGAAGAACGCCCGGAGCAGCTGGACGTTGATCCACTCTGCCAGGCGCCGGATGCCGTTCGCGAATCCTACAAACCCGCGCTGGAGATGCTGTCCCAGGCCTTGCGGTTCGCCAGCAGCGGCCTGGGCGGTCTGGCCAGCACCCAGCAGCGGCTCGTTCTCGTTGGCATCTTCGGCCTGGTCGTCGTAGGGATCAACCAGTCCAGCTCGTGCTTCGGCTCCTGCGCGGCGCCGAGCCTTGTCCTGCTTGAACCAACGGACCTCGAGGCTGCGGTGGCCGTACAGGAGCATCTCGTAGAGGAACGCCAGCGCAAACACCGTAAGACAGGTCACCGACAGGCCGTACTCGGTCCCAGGCACAACCCAATCAAAGACGACATAGTCCATCGTGTCAAAGTGGAGGTACGGCTTGAAGGACGGGCGCGGCGGCGGCTTCTCGCGCGGGCACAGGCCCAGCTCGGGGGTGGCCTTGCACATCTTGAAAAAGTCCTGGCACTCGGCCTGGTCTGGCTCGGCCTTGCTGCACAGGACCGAATAGACTGCGAGCGGCTCGCAGGTCTCGATGTCGGGCGAGGGCAGGCACGTAAGGCACGCCAGCGGCGGGTTGACCCGATTCGAGTGCTCCGAGCAGATCGTCGACACATGCTGCTTGACCGGCTCTGTGAGCGGGAGCGTCGCGAGTCCGGACTCGTTCTCGCACTGGCGCACCATCGAAAGGGGCCGGCATACCTGCACGTATGTGCGGCAGCCCCGCAGCCTGGGCGAGTCGCGGGCGCAGATCGACGACAGCAGCGAGAAGGGGCTGCAGAAGGGCTCGTTCTGGAGGGTGCTGTTCAGCTCGCATGTGCGCTTGAGGGTACAGCCTGCCGACCGGACAACCGAATGAACGGATAGGCAGAGCAGGCGGTGGGCCGATGCGCAGAGCGTGTGGTGGATAAACCGGCAAGATAGAAAAGACGGATGAGTTCGATGGACGTGCGGACGAGCAATATTGGCAGGTGGGCGAATTCACAAAATGAATGAGTCCGATAGGCGAGCTGACACTGCGCACCAAAGAACGCATGCGGCTGGGTCGATCGGCAACGGGCGAATGCAACCGCCGTCCACAGGAGCGCCTCGCATCTCGCTATCGAGTGCCGCCACCAACCGCTTGGCCATGCTGTCACCGCCAACCGGCTCCCAGGCACTCTAGTCAACTCGAAGGAGGACACCTCACCTGCAAGGGCTGGCGACGTGGTGCACGCATCCGTGAGCATCGGGTGGATCTTGAAGTCCGGGAGGATAAAGTCGGCGCACTCAACCCGCAGCGGGTCTGCAATGCAGTCGGGCGAGTCTGGCTGCGCGACGGCCGCGGCCAGGAGCATGGCGGCTCCGAGAAGGACTCGGAGGAGACGGTTCGTAACCATGGTGGCGGAAGCCGTGTGTCGGAAGGTGAGTTGGCGACGAGGAAGTCGGGGCCGAGTCGAGTTGAGTCGAGTCGAGTCGAGTCGGTGGGCTGAGTCGAGCCGAGTGTGGCTGCGGATGTGGACGAGGGCGAAGGCGAGGATGTGGATGCGAACGAAGCAGATATGCTCGCAGCCGGGATACACGAGGTCTTGGAGGCGGCCGATAAGAGGCAGGGCTATGGAACTAAATTTGTGCTGGAGCCGGATGACGAGGATCGATGATCAGAGATCGGTGGTTGAGACGGCCCAAGAGGCGAAGCGGGGGATAGGCGGGTGGACGGCGGAAGGGTGGATGGGCAGGCCTGGCCCTGGCGGAGATGCTGGACAAAGGCCGGTCACGTGGAGGCGTGTGCGACTCGTCGCCATTTTTTTTTTTTTGGGAACAACGCCGATGCGCTGCTGCCGCCGCTGGGCCAGCGACATCTGCTCATGGCGATTGCGCCGCTGCCAGCAACCACGCCGCCCATGCCGCCCAAGGAGAAGCAGGAGAGCCTGAAGCGGCTCGAGGCCATGATGATGGCCCAGTTCGGCGGAGCCGTCGCCGCGCTGGACGCAATCCCCAAGAAGAAGAAAACCAAAAAGTCCAAGGGCGCCGCGGCGGAAGCTGCACCCACCGATTCAGCAACACCCGGCTCCGATGATGAGCCCCACGCCAGCGCACCTTCAAAGGCCTCCCCAGCCTCGAACAGGATCGTTGACGACATGAGAAGCGACGACGAAGACGAGCTCGATGGAGACGGAAATGGAGACGGAGAAAGCGTCGAGAGCGATGCCAGCGACGATAGCCTCGATGCGGACGAGCTCGATGCCATCCTTAACTCGGCTCTGGGCCGGAATTCCAGCAGTGCAAGCTCGAGTGGCCAGCGAAAATCCAGCGACCTCGCTTCCTCTGCTCACGATGACCGGGGCCTGAAGCAGAATGGCTCTGCGACATCCAAATCCACAAGCAAACCGTCCAGATCCGTGGTCTCGGCGCCCCAGGTAGTGGTCTTTGACGACCGACAAGCGACTCGGACAGAGCCCATTGCAAACAAGCGGGACTGGCGCACGTTCATGGTGAGTCGTCGTGGATCTCAAGCGCCATCCTGCAGCAACGCCCGACTTGCGATGAATCAATCCGACCAACACCCAAACGAACACGGCCCAATAACCCAATCGACCGGTGCTTTGTCCTCACCCAATGTTCCTTTTCGTCTCGGCCGCGCTTGACAGTCCTCGGATATCAAGAAAATGATGGAGGAGCCCAGCAAGAAGAAAAAGCTATCCGAGGCAGAGCAGAAACAGGACGAGTACGTTGGCAACTCAGGCGCCTGGATGCATTCACAACGCCCTCACGGCTCGTTTCCATCGCTCGTCGCATGACCACATATGCTCGACGCCGAAGGCTTCGGTGCAAACCTTTGCTGCGATCTAACACCGTCCATCCACCCGAAACATATCTCACGCGCCAATGTACACTGCTGCAACGATGCCCTTGTGATATTTTTCTCGTCACCCCCGACTCTCGTTGCCTTCGAGGACAGAGAGGACGACCAGAACGACCGCGAGCTCATGGATCTGCTCAAGGCCTCCAAGCTGATCGAGCAGTACAGTGCGTGGCTCTGCTTTCGGTGTGCATTTGGATGGCGCCGGCCGAGACGCAGACGCCCTGACATACATGTACCCTCTAGCTGCATCGGAGCTGACCGGCAAGGACAGACGAGCATATCAGCAAAACAAGATGATTGAATTGGGTGCCAAGGTAAAGCAGCTGCTTTCCACCGCATCTCTACCCGGCACCCACGGAGCTGATGGGACCTGTGTCTATGCCACGCATTGCGGCCTTTCTTTGCTTCTCCGCCTCCCGACCCTCAAACCATTGACCCATCCAAACTCCTGCTTCCCACACAGGTCAAGCAGCAGAAAATGCCCCAGAAGATGAAGACGGGGCTCGAGAAGGGACGCCAGATTCGGCAGCAAAAGGCGCTGCAGGAGGTGGGCATACTATCCGTTGCAACACTAGTGTGTCGAGCGGGCTTTGATCGAGTTCCAGCAGCCAGAAATGAGGACCCGGTGCCTTCGAGTGCATTTCAGAACATCCGGCGGTGGTTTGATGAAGGGGAGGGTATGCCGACGGCAAGGTGGACAGCCGATAGCAGCCCTGCGAGTGGCGTAACGAAGCTCTGTGCTCGGATCAGGGACTGATTGCCCATCGCTCTCTGAACATACTCTCTGTTCAAGGCCAAGGATACGGGCATGTATGACTCCTCGCTGCGGCGACAGATCATGGGGCTGGGCGCACCCTCGCCCAAGGAGAAGAAGCGCAAGACAGCCGATCGCGGCATCACCAACGGTGTCGGTCGTTACAAGGACGGTGCCCTTGTCCTGAGCAAGAAGGAAATCGCCAACATCGACTCGATAGGCAGCCAGCGTCCCTCGGCGGGCGGACGCGGCCGCAGTCGCAGCCGCCGCTCCCCGGCTGACTCGATATCCGGAGGATTTGAGGGCGGTGGCGGTCTCTCGAAACGGAAGGGTCGTGGGAAGCCCAAGCGCAGATAAACGGCGGTGTGGCAACAGCGACAGCTTCACACATGCTCGCACATGCCCGCACATGTTCGCAGCAACCGCGCAGCTGAAATATAGATCTGGCTACCCAAAGGTCATCCGCATGTCTCGAGTATATCAACTTTTCCCTTTTACTTGGGGCTTCTTTCTTTCTTGGCGACAAACTATACAACACGACCAAAGGTGAGCGTATCGACACGTAGATACGCGATAAGCGTCCGGGAGCAGACAGGAGACGTTCAAAATACACATGGGCAAGGAGAAGGTGAGACTTGAGAATGGATTCCGAAAGAAGATGGTGGTGGGTATATCGAGGGAGGGAGGGCGATGGCGACCAAAATTAGCTGGGCTGAATAACCCGCAGAGGCCATCGAGCAGCAAAAAGACGTGCAAATAGAGCGGTGGGTGAGTGTGTGCGATGGGTGCAAACTCCAAGAAAGACGAAGGGAAGGGTGGCTGGAGGGATGGGTTGACTTGCTGGCGGTTCGGCTGAGTGACTCGTTCAGCGCAGCGGTCTGTGCCTGCGTCCCCAACAGATCGGCACAAAGCCATCATGGCACGCTGACCGATCTGGCCATCTTGGAGCAACTCGTTCCCATCGTCGGACTCGTGGTACCCGACTCATCTTCGGAAATCAAAAGTGTCTTGGACATGTGTGACCGACAAGAGAACCCATTCCTGCATGATGTTTGGATGCGAACGCCGTCGGTGATTAGAACAATGTCAACCAGTCGCCGTGAGAAAGCGCCACAACGATGCCCGGACTGCTGCGACAGATGCGCAGACTCACCTTCATATTCCTGAGATACTCAGCCCGGACAAACAGGAACAGGAATAGATAGCCCACGCCACCGATCCACTGCACCAGGTCGACAACCGATGCCCAGCCATGCAGATCGGCGTTGTCGTCTGGTCCATTCCCGGTGGTGGCATCGAGAGGAGTGCGCCACCAGTATGGCGGGATGCTGCAGACACGCTGCACCAGTGACGAGTCAGGCTCGATGGCGATCCGGAACCAGGTCATGAGTCCGCGACTGAGAACACTGGGCTCGATCCACCACGCAAGGTAAAAGACCACACCGACAAACAGCAAGATCCGAGAAGACAGCGCCGGCCCGAATCGCCGCCGATACATGCTCGAGCGCGCCGAGGCCGATGCGGACAGGCTCGAGACCGTGGGAAAGGTCGTGATGATGAGCACCATGAGCACCACAATGGGAATGCGCTGCAGGATGCCGAGGAACACGTTCAGGTAGAAGACCAAGGACGAGAAGCGGTAGGGCTGTGACGACACGAGCGGAGGCGGGAGTCCCCAGAGCCGATCGGCATCGATCAGGAAGGACTTGTCTGAGAGCTCGACGGGTGTTGATCTGGGTTGCATGCAAAAGAGGCGAATTAGAACAGCAGCGATGCAGATCGATCTTCACCGAGCCACGAAACCATAGTGTTGCCTGACGACGACGCTCAGATATCCGGGGAGGTCATGGATGGTATCAGAGGGCTGCTCGCAGCAGCTGATGGGCAAGCCACAGAACCATCCCTGGCCACACTTACATTTGCAGCCAAAGCCCAGCCAGGCTCGCAATCCACAGGAGCACGAACGAACATTCCCAGCTGACAGCGAGGCTGTAGACTGCCCCAAGGACGGTGGTTGCCCACTGCGGGAGGTACTCAAGATCCGGTGTCGACGGCCGGAAGCTGCTTGGAGTTGTTGGCCGTGTCAGAACCTCGACGACATCGGCAATTTCCTCCTCGCCGCCTCCGCCGATGGAGAGCGCACGAGGCCGAGGCGCTCGGCGGGTGTTGGGGACATGGGTTGCTCCGTAAACGGACACACGAGGCGGACTACTGCTTGCTCGAGAGCCCAAAAGCCCTGTTTCCTCGGTGATGACCAGGTCACGAGCAGGCTCGCGCGAGAGTCGACCGGCCGAGACAACAGAGGCATTGCTGTCGGCACGGGAATGTCGGCGGAAGCCAGCAGGAGCACGCGAGGCAACCTGGTAACCAAATTGCGGGTAGAGGGCAGCGTACGAGTCCTTAGGATCCCCTGCAAGCGGCGAGAAAGCGGTTAGCACCGGTGGGTTTTGAGCGCGGGAGGCTCGACTTGGACAGGAAGCCGCAGTGCTTACACTGCGATCTGTACTTGAGCTGGTGGAGGAGTGCCAGGGTCATGAAAAGGACGCTGCAGGAGCGTGCCAGCGACGACACCAGCAAGAGACGGGCATCCAAGACTCGTGGATGGACCTCCCAGATCTCGGAAGCGACACCGCCAACGTGGTCGGGGATCGTGAAGGGAGAGTTTGGATAATCAAAGGCGTAGCGGTAAAAGTCGATCGAGAGACTGCGACAGGCGGGGACGAAGCATAGCGGGAAGGGGAGCAGAGAGCGGCAGGGTGAGAGAGCAGCGCTGGAATCGAGTGCAGACCCTTGCAGAGCTGACGACGAGCCCGGCAAACGGCAGGGTGGATAAGCGATAGAAGGGAAGGAAGGACCCAGAAAAAATGAGCCGGCCCACAAAGAGCGGTAGAATGCAAGAGGTGCGGTGGCAGAGGCTCCCAGGCGTCGACAGCCAGGATGACATCGCCGCAAGGCAGAATTGCAGGAAGAACGATGGCGATGGGCAAAATGGCCCAAAGCATAGCACCTCAGCCCAAGAGCACGGCAGTGGCGGCGGCGACGCTCCGGGCGATGCGATCGGCAGCCGGACGACTTACGCAAGCGACAGCGCAAAGAAGCAGGCCACCCACGAGTAATTGGTGATGCTGGGGTGTCGGATCTGGCGGTTGAAGACGGCCAGAGAGCTGTAGTTGGCAGCCACGGTGGCAGCCATGACGAGGGTCATGGTGGCCAGGACAAAGTAGGTGACGGAGACGACGATGTTGGAGAATGGAAAGAGCCGCATGATGCCGTCATGACCAGGGCCAGCCCAGACAGCAGAGGCCAGAGTAGCTCGGGAAGCCCAGGGGTCGCTGGAAGGCGACAGCAGGCAGTTGGGCAGCGGTGAGCCGCCTATCCAGTCCTGGAGGAGCATCCAGCATGGGTTTGTGTCATTCCCGCATGGGCGACGGAGGGAGGAGCCCAGGGCAGAGAGCATTGCGGCTGAGATCGCAGGCGTATGCGACAACGTTGGTGAGTGGGTTGAGTGCAGGCCGGTTGGGGACGCTTGGGGCGAGACGCAGTGAGCGAGCGCGAAGGGCGACAGACGAGGGGCGACAGACGAGGGGCGATGGAGACGACGGAAGAAGCGGGGAGAGAAGCCGGGAGGAAGAATTGCTTGCACCGGGAAGAGGCAGGCCAGACGAAGACGCAGCAAAAGACCGCAGCGCCCAATGCCCGGCAGGAGGAACTCATTTTGGCCAAAAGCGGCGGCGACAGCACGCGGAGGGGGAGAGAGCCGGGAACCCGAGGGCAGAGCAGAGCACACAGACGAGGACGGGCATTGGAGAGGGATGGATGGATGGATGGACGGATGAATGGATGAATGAATGAATGGATGAGTGAATGGATGAACGAATGGATGAACGACAGATATGGTGGACTCGGCATACAGTAAGCATCGGCGGTGCTTACACCGCTCTCGGTAGTGCATCCGGCACCAGCCAGGCACTCTGGGTCCCGCTGGTTGTCGTCGGGAACAAGATGCGGCCATGTCGGCTGCGTTGGGCTGGTGGGGGAAGCGACGAGCGGCTGGTTGTTCCCACACGTGCGGCCGCCCATCCATCGATGCAAGTGTCTGTCCATATCGGCAAGCAAGCATTACTACTGCGACCACCACCGTCCCCAATCGCCGGATGACGACGCTGTGGCCTCGTCTTGGACGCACGGTCCTCTGCTCGCCTGTCTTCCAGACACTTCCTTCTCGGGATCTGCGACTGTTCGGCATCGACGAGTCCACTCTCACAAAGCTGCTCCTGGATCCCGAACCATGCAAGACAACGACGCCGACCCGCCCCAGCCCATCATCGTCATCCCCGAGTTCAACATTGAGATCGACGACGAAGATGGCGACTTTGAAGGCAACCCCGACAACGAAGCCGTCCCTGCCATCTACTCGCAGCCGGCGCCGGCCATCGAAACCATGTACACGCCCAACGCCGATGGCGAGGCTGAGCCCATATCCATGAACGCAGACCTTGCAATCCTCAATGAGCGCGTCGACACCACCCGTCGTCCCGACCAGCCTTTTACCATATCACGACGAGCCAGTGTGCTGGGCCCGATCGTCAAGGAAGACGAAGTCAAGGTGCCCGACGCCGCCACCATCATGAGCGCCATCGCCGCCGTCGAAAAATCCCACAGGAAGCGGCTGAGCGAGGCCATCGAGATCCCCGAGAGTCTCCGGGCTGCGGCAGCCGAGATCGAGCGCTCCAAAGAGTCCCAGAAAAAGTCCCTGGAGACCCAGTTTGCGATTCCGACCAACATGACAGGTAAGAACCGTCCGAGGCCATCGAGCATCCATCCGACTGCCACCCCAAGTGCGATAGTGCCTCTCGGACGAGCATCGGCCCAGACTTGGCCCTCATGTCCTTCGCACTGTGACCTCGCAAGACCTGGCCAAGTTCGAGCTGCATCGGGTCAGCTCCATGAACGTGAGCGATGCCCGAGCCATCCGCGCTTCTCAAAACCTCCACACCGACTCCTTCTCCAAGCCCGAGGGCCGCGCTTTGAGCACCGCAGAAATGTACCCCGCAAATCAGAACATCTCCGGCACCGTCTATTCCAGCGAGGAAGTGGTCGGGAAAAACTATGTCGAGAGGGGCGCCCAGATGTACGTGACCTTCGATGCCTACCGCTTCATCACCAATCGCATCCTCAACATGAATGCCTACTCCATCAACACCCTCGAAAACTACTACAACATCCTGCTGGAGAAGCGGAATATGGACGACCTCCAACGGCGCGAGCGGGTTGTCCGCCGGCTCTCGGGCCTGGAACGGCGGGCGAATGAGTTGTCGGTCGAGTGCAAGAAGCTGTTCGAAGCCAGGTGCGCCCTTGAGAAGGAAATGGTCGGCGTCCAGAAGAAATGGGAGACGGTAGGCCAGCCATCTTGAGCGACCCTCGATGCGAATCTCAACAGCAGAACGGGGATAGAGATTGCTCACACGGTGACAGTAATGTGCTTTACCCAAAGCGATTCTGTTGGGCGGCGATGGAGTCTGCTCCCTCACTGCGAGACTCAGTGACCGTCGATCATCCACCTACAGACGATCCAGATCCTGCGAGAGCTGATGCTGATGAACACCCATCTTGCCGAGCTCAAGGTCCAGTACAAACCCGAGCGCATTCGTGGATCGCAGTACCTCGGATCTCATGCGAGTATGTACAGCGGCAGCAACATGAACTTGGGCAAGGGGACCTCGAGCCAAAGTCAGCTCGAAGGCTTTGGCTCCACTGGCGCAGCTCTGTCGAGACGAAAGAAGGAATCCGACAGCCCCTCAAGCCATGCCGGCGGACTGGCAAGCGGCTTCAACATCTCAGGCAGCCGACAAGGAAGCTACTCCCACAGCCGGCAAAACAGCGTGCAATACAGCCGGCCCAGCAGCCGCCAGGGCAGCCGAGTCGGGAGCCGGCGACAGAGCATCATTGGGGAGCTCGACAATATCCAGGAGCAGGCCTCCAGGGCGAATCTCAAGGGCTGAGATCGCATCCCTCCTCCAAATCCACCGGCGGCCATTCTCTGCCCAAGGTATTTGTATTTGTATTTGTATTTGCGTTTTGTTCAACTTGCGGTCAACTCCACGGCGGCTCAATGCAGAACAATCAAAGACCCATGTCGCCACTGATGATCATTTTGGCGAGAGTCTCCGTGTCCGAAGTTGGAGCGGCCGAGGCGCTCTGCAGTATTTCGTTCTGGCGATCCACAATGAAGCGGGGCAGCAGCGGGTGGTACTGCGTAAATATGCCCGCGCTTGAAGAATCTTGGGAGTAGCCGTCGGTCAATCAACCAGCGAGCCAGAGGTCAGTCAGCCACTCAGCCACTCAGTCAGTCGGTCAGCCACTCAGTCAGTCGGTCAGTCGCTCTAGCGATCGTGCAGTGAGTCCACAGCGACGATACTTTGTTCGACTTGCCAGCGATCTGCGCATCAGCCCCAAATCTGACAAGCGACAGTGTGTGGGGGCGTTGCATGTTGCGGCATCGCATGTTGAGACACAAGTCTACATACCTGGTCTGGGCCTGTTGGCATAGAGCGCCCCGATCTGCCAGCCAAAAATGCACCCCAGAAGCGTGGGAACCGCGCCGTCGAAAGAGTACGAAGAGAGCAAGACATCAGTGGTTTGGTCGAACTCTGCTCTCAATACAGAGTCGCGCACAAGTGCGGAACAGTAGCCCTGACCAGAGATGATGTTGGTGAGGTTGCAGACGACGGCGTTCCAGGAGACGCCGGGGCTGCCGTGTTATTGCGGGGCAGCGCTGTTCCAAACGACGTGGAGATGGTGGGGCGTTGTGGCTGGGGGCCCTGAGCAGCTTCCGAAGGACGACGATTGAAGAACATGGTCTCGAAGGGTGGTGCTCGAGCGTCGACGGAGCAAGAGCGATGATATCGGGTGGCGGATCGACGGCAGAGCAGTAGCAGGGCAATGGCGGCTGTCTGCGTGGGCGGAAAATCGCCCAGCCGATATGCCAAGGTGCGGCCAGCTATCACAACCCCTTTGGATTCATCCAGAACGCACAGGCGCCGTGATTGGGATGGGCGGGTGTGCTCTGCAGGAGCGGCCTCTTTGGCGCATGCTGTCCTCCGTCCAGCCATCCCTCCGCTGCACATGGCTCCAGACATCTTTCTCTGCATCATCTGCGCTCGTTGGCCGGGGTACTCGTCGCTCTGGCACCCGGCCGTCTCATGCAAATCGATCCCAACCCATCTGCCACTTCGCATGTGTCACATCTCGGCCACATCTCGGCCACATCTCGGCCACATCTCGGTCGCGTCTCGGCCACCTCTCGGCCGCGTCTCGCTGACATCAGCAGTCGCTCCTGCGCAGCACATCCACGTCCAGCCGCACCGTGGCCGGCCAGTGCGCCGCGGGCTTTCTTTTGCGTTTTCGAGACCAAAGTCACAGGTCCGGAACGCAAGCACCAGCCGTTTGCCTTGACTTTTGTCGCCTGCGAGTCCTCTGCTCGAGCCACCGTCTGCCGCCCCGGATACCGATAGTCTCCTGCATCGCCATCCCTCTGCGAAGAAGCCGTCATGATTGTCGCTCGAGCTGCCCTTTCGCGAGGAGTCCCCGCCCGCTGTAAGCAACTCCCTGGCTGGTGACTCACCGGCGATTCCCCAGCACCTCGGCGGGCCCTGTCCCCGCTATCGCTGGTCTTGTTTGTCGTCGGCGCTTTCCGGCGATCAGCCCATATCGCCAACGATACCATCGGCGGAGTGATATCCTGCCGAATAGTGTGTCGCCATGCAAGTTGGCACCCGTCCTAGGCTAACTGTCCGTGTCTTTGACATTGCTTTGGCTGTCTGTGGCCGGCGTGTCGCTCTGCAACACCCCCAGTCGCCTTCCAGAACCCCATCTTGGCCATCCAGCGATCTCGGTATGTGCCAGTGAGGATCCGACAGGTGTGCTCGACTCTGGAGCCTGTTGCCTAGCTCGTGCTAACCGTATGCAACCGGAACCCACCTCCCGGCCGACCATTCCGGACCATTCCGGACCAACCGACACGGCAACGCCCATATCCAGCTTCAACACCTCCAACGTCACCCGCGATGCTGATAACGGCAAGCCCACGCTCCAGGTCGACGCTTTTGCCCGTTCCCAGCGCCTCGGCCGCCCCAGAAGCCCTCACCTGGACATTTACCAGCCCCAACTCACCTGGGTCATGTCCGGTGCCTTCCGTGTGACTGTGGTTCCCATCGGCCTGGGTATGCGCTGATCTGTCACAACAGCCTTCGCATCGATATCTGTCGTGTGCGTGCGCCGATAGGCCCTTCAGACCTGCCATCGGCTTCGTGTTGTGTCCGCAGCGTGAAGTCGGCAACGACACAAAGTCGACGACATTCTCACATCTCCTGCTCTGGGTCCGCGTTACAATCAGGCTTCTATGCTCTCTCTGCTCTTTACGGCATCGTTCCCTTCGACTCTGGAGCTCTTGCTAGCGCCATCCACTCCCTCCCCGGCGCCGCGATCCTGCTTGGCAAGGCCGCCGTTGCTTTCCCAGCCACCTACCACGCTCTCGGCGGCATCCGCCACTTGGTATGCGCTGGCTCCTATCTGTATTAATCGCTTTGCGGCGGCAGCTCGTGATTGGTGCTTGGAAGTATCGCTGCATCGTTCATTTATGGTCGCTGGAGCCGATCTCTGACGCATCTGCCTTGCTCTCCCTTGACTCTCAAATCGGTTGGATAATGCGCCCTGATGCAACGCTCTCTGACCACGACGCTCGACACTGGATGCACCCGATACAACCGATCTATCGATTCCCCCGATGCGCATATTCACCAACTCACAAATGCGGCTGCTATGCTGTCAACGCCAATGCCAACGCCAATGTCAACGCCAATGCCATCGATCGACTGGCTATGCGTGTGGCTCGTGGCTCATTTGCATTGCCTTTGTCTCCTCCCATCGCAACTATCGCCGTAAAGCTCTGGGACACTGGATCCAACCTCACCATTCCCGGCGTTTACCGAAGCGGTTACGTCGTCCTGGCCGGCACTGTCCTCATTGGCTCATACCTGTGCACCCTCTAAGCACGTGGCCTCTCCAAATCAATACACCCTCCTCCCCTTCGCACTTTATTTGCTGATCTGTCGACACAGTCCCCTTTCAGATATCGTCCTGCTGTGTGCGCATGGAGCCAAGTGCCAGCGGAATCCCACCCTGCCAAGCGGGAACTTGCTTCATTGAGATGGTCCAGGACGCTTTGGTACCTTGGCACTCACCCAAAGAAGCCAGAGTCGTGTGGCCACGATGTGCGAGCCGATCGTCGTCGCTCACAGACATCAACCTCGACCGTCGGTGTCCTTGCCTGTGTGATGCTCTCGGATATGTGCATTGCATATATTCAGAGTCATGCTGGATGGGGTGTTGTACAGGATGGTGATGAGCCATGTGCGCCAGAATATTCGCACTCAGCAGTGCGGTCACGATCGCAGCTCAAGGCTTTTCGTAGAGACGGAGGTCGCTCAGCTCCCCAAGCGTCCGGCCCTCGCGCTCGCCGGCCTTGACGATGCCCATGTTCTCGAGACCCACCCAGGGATCGCGGCCGCCGCCCCACTGCAAGAGCTCGCGCCGAATGAGTTCGCCGTTCTGGCGCCACTCGGGGCCAAAGACCTCCTTGCCCTCAAAGTGGGTGTTCCAGATGCGTGAGGCCCACAGTCGGCACCACAGGTACGAGTAGTAGCTGGCTCCGTATGAAAACAGGTGCGAGAACTGGACCTGCCACGCTGTTCCCGGCGTGAACGGGATCACATGGATGCGGTCGGTGAGCTCCTGCAGGATCTTGGTCGTCGAAAAGCCAGGGTCGAGCACGCCTGTGGAGTGGTAGAGCTGGTCCAGGATCGCCATCCACAGCTGCTGGTGCACCTCGAGCGACTCGAGGGCAGACTGGTTGAGTTGGTACGATTCGAGAAGCCCCAGCGGCAACGGCTCGCCGGTCTTGTAGTGGAAGGCAAACTTTTGCAGAACTCGGGGGTCGCGTGCAAGGTACTCCATGAAAATCGACGGCACCTCGACAAAATCGATCGAGCAGCGAGTGCCTGCGATGTGTTGAAAGTCTGTCCGTCCCAGCATAGCTGTGAGGGCGGGGGGGGATCAAAGTGAGTTGGGGAATGTGTGAGCACTAAGCACAGCGGCAGCATCCATGGTCATCAAACAAACCGACAGCGCCAGATGGGCGAGGAATAGGATGCTTGACAACACAGCGCTCCAATGGAGCATGTGGCTGTCATGGCCGGTCTCGATACAAGACCCATCCAAAACCGAGCTGCCGGCACCCAAGGCCTCGATTCGTCAGCCCCATCCCGCCGCTGTTTGACGGAGCCCGCAGCGACTTGATCGCTACTCACAGTGCATGGCGTGGCCCAGTTCGTGGAATAGCGTCTCGACCTCGCCGAGCGACAGGAGCGAAGGAACATTGTTGCTTGGCCGACTGAAGCTTGTTACCAGCACCACAATCGGGAGCTGGTACTTGAAGGTGCGGGTTTCGGTCGCGCCCGACGGCAGTTCGACCGTCCGCGAAAACTCTCGCTCGGCCGCCCGATTTTGCATCACTGCTCGTCCGGCATGCCGGCACGATTCATCGTTTGAGGTCAGCCGCGAGCACCGTACGGTAAAGTGGGCTGCGGACTCGTACTTGCGGGCCGCCCCACTCTCTCGGGCAAAGAGATCGCAATAAATCGTGCCGATCTTGCCGTCGCGCTCGTGGATGACGTCGAGTTTGCGCACATCCTTGTGCCAGGCTTCTCCGGGCTTTGGCGCCACTGGCTGGAGCGAGACGCCGTACAGGGCCTGAAATACACTCGAGAGACCCTCGAAGGTGCGGCCGACGCTAAAGTACGGGGCCAGGGTGTCGTTCGAAACATGCTGTGCCGTTGGATGGAATGGCTCGCCCCCGGGCTTGGCCGTGGCAGCAACAGGGGCAATGAACTGGGAGTAGAAGATACGATCCCAAGCGTTGATGACCGGATTGGTTTGGCCGGTGTGTACGGCCTTGAGCTTCTGCAGCTTCGCAATGTCATGCTGAGCCTTGTGCTTATGTTGCTCCGTGAGCGACTCCAGAAACGACAGCACATTCGCTGTGTGGTGGCATTTCACCCCCAGGGGAAACAGTGCGGGGGTCAGCTCAAACGCACATTGCAACCTGCGGGGCCGAGTCGCCAAAAACCCCAGCCTGTACGGCTACGTTGTGCGTCGACGCTACAGGCAGTGTCATTCGGCCGACTCACCTGGTGTTCCGGCCATCTTATCGACAAGGAACATCTCGGCGTAACTTTTCTTTCCCAGGAACTGAGCAAGCTTGGCCCGTGTCTTGAGCAGGGCCTCGAGGCGATCGATCTGCCTGCGTGAGCCTGAGTTCAAGGCCATATAGACTTTCTTGCGGGTCTCTTCGCTCTGGGCCGACTTGAGGATGGTGTAGGCAGAGGAGCTTTGGGTGTTGATCGAGAAGGTCTTGGAGAAACGCGATCTCGCAGCAGTATCCAGAATTCGCTTTGGGATGCCTTCGACGGCCTTGGACGAGGCGTCCAGGGTGATGGTCTTTTGCGAGGGTGCGCTGTCCATGATAAAGTCCTGGCCCAGCTGCAGGATCTGGTCGTTCAGCTCGACAAACTTTTGCCGGATGCCGTCATCCATCGAGATGCCCGATTTTTCAAAGTCGACGATGAGGAGGGTGGCCACCCGCTGCTCCTCCCGGGACAGTTGGTTGAAGACACTGGGAGTTTCAACGACTCGCTTGAGGCTCTGTGGTGCGCCCCAGGACAGTAAAGGCGAGTGCCGAGAATACCGGGTGAGCGGCCTGATGGATCGCCGAGCCGGCGGGGCGATCCGGTGCTTCCCATCGATGCATCCCGCCTGCCTGTGCTTTGGCCGGCCGGACATGCACCATCACATAGCGCCATACGCACCCGATAGAGGCCTTGATGGGTATTGAGCTGGTTCAAAAAGTTTGCAAGGATTGCATGCGCATGGTTGGCGCTCTCGACGACTCTTGGATCGGGATGGACATTGCGGACGAGCTCGGCACAATCAATGACGGCACAGAGGACGTCCGACAGCCGATCGAGTCGCTGGACGGTCTTGACCATCTCGGCCTCGGTGCGGACCGAGCAGACGAGATCGACTAGATGAACCGCGGCCGCAATTGAGGCCTCTGCAGCCTCGACGAACCCAGAGGGATGGGACAGCAGATCGTATCCAAACAGGCCAGTCGAGGAGCGGTCGGACGAGGCCGCCATGAACGAGGTCCAGTACGATGGATTGTCAAAGACCTTGGCAAGCTCGGACGACTGGGGGCCAGAGTGGGTTGTTGCGAGCCATCGGATGCCGGCGGCTGCAGTTGTTGCTGCTGGAGCACGTAGCCATGTAATGATTGCACTCTGAGGGGCAGCGCGAAGTGTGTGCCGGAGGGATATCGGTGTCTTGGACAAGAGCGTGAGGCCACCACCGGCCATTGACGACGACGACGACCGCCTGAAGAGGATCATAGAGAGGCCCGGAATTGGAGGTGGTCGAGATCGGTGGGCGGCGAACCGAGATCAAACAGGATGGCCGGAGAGAGCAAATGAACAGAGGAGCAGAGAGCCCAGAACGCGAGCGGCAAGAGAGGAAAAAAAAAAAATGGAACCAAGAGAAGCGCGGGGATGGCAATTGGTCGCTGAGCGTGGGAACTGGAGTTGTGGCTCGGTGCGGACCAGCGGTATTGCTGCTGGGGCTGCTTGCATCGAGACTCTGCAATCGGGCTTGAGCAAATACCGCCATTGCGACCACATCCAACCGGACTGGGCAACGGGCCGACAGTGCAGCAAATGGAAGCCTCGGAAGCAGCTCCCGCCGGCATCTGCGGGTGTTCACAAGGATACAATATATTGACGGTGCCAGCCCAATCGACCCTCATCCGCGGAGCATACAGTTTCAGCACTATTCCAAACGGGTCTTGCGTCCGCGCTGGCTGATCGCCGTCTTCAGGCTTGAAGCAGTTCATGTTCGCAAGCGAAAGCTGGGGATGGGCCAATGAGCAGCAACAGCGTGTCGCTGCGAGACATGCCGATGAGTTGGCTGCAGTGGCTCATATGATTGTCAACGGACGGATTGTGCAATGATCGGTCGCAGCTGGATTGGGACTCCAATCTCGGCTGTCACGACACCAGTCTCGGTTCGTGACGCTTCCGGCCTCGGTCCATCACGACTCCAGCTCGTAGAACCATGCATTCAGATTCCGCATAAAGTCAGAGAGGCTGATGGCGCCGATGGCGGCGTAGGCTCGGTCAACGACCCAGATTCGGTGGACCCGGCCCGTCAAAGTGAGCCGCATGGCATCGGCGATAGAGGTATCGATACTGCAGGTGACGGAGGACTGGTCGATGGATCGGCTGAAGCACTCTGGACCCTTGGAGAGCTTCAGAAACTCAAACACGGTCATGTTGGACAGCATCGCTATCAGCTTGGCCAGCTTGACCTTGGATGCAAGCAAAACGTCGCGCAGATCGCTGATCGAGATGGTGTTGACCAGAATTCCGCCCAGCAGAGGATTGACGACGGGGACGGCGCTGAGATTATGGACCACCATGGCCCGGAAGATGTCCATCACCGAAGACGACATGTCGGCCGTGAACACCAGGCTGGAAACGGGATTGCAGAGGCCGGCTTCGTAAATCGAGATGGAGAGATGCTTCGAGAGCTGGTAGTCCATATCGGAGTGCTGCAGAATGTATCGGATAATGTCGGACTGGGTGAGCATCTGGAAGTGCATCGAGTCCGTCTCGACGCCGTCGACGGGTCCCACAAGAATGCGGTGAATGCCCTTGCTGAGAGGCTCCAGCATACGTCGGATCTTGTCGTGCGGAGAAGCCACCCAGAGGCTCTTGCCCTCATTGGTTTCGCCAACGACCAGCATGATTGAGATGGAGCTGAGGGACTGGTTGGACATTGTTGTGGATGTGATATAAACGACAATATCCAAGATCTGGAGAGAGAAGGCAAGATCGTTCCGCGACCGTGTCAGCAAGCGGGGGCATGACGGTCCGATTGGCGATAGTCTCGAGGCACTTCGGGTCGCTCGGTTACAGTGCCGCAGGCTGGGCTTTGAGGCTGCCCAGTGGAACCCAGTGGAACCCAGTGGAACCCAGTGGAACCCAGTGGAACCCAGTGGAACCCAAAGTGAAAGCGGTACTCACGCTCACGACGGCAATGTATTGCTTTTCGTGGTCGATTGTGTTGGCCTCGGTGGTGCCTGCCGAGAGCCAGTGGCCAGCCTGTCCCCAGATCGGGATGGCTGCATGGAGAAATCCGGTGCGAGAGGATCAGCGGCTGCATCGATCGACAGGGACCGCGTCATGCAAGGCTGGCAGGAAATGCTGTGTGGGACTCGGATGTGCAGACCTGAGAGACGGTGCTCCGACATGAGGCCCAGGACATCAGCAACCGACGAGGTTGCCGGTGCATCAATGAGCTGGCGGTGCGGCTTGTTTGCGGAATCGAGGATGCAACTGAGGTCTGCATCGACGATGGGAGAAGGGAGTGAACTCATGAGTCTGAGTCTGAGTCTGAGTCTGGTTTGGATGGAAGGAGGGTTGCAGCGATGGATGTGGGATGATGAGCCCAGTGCGAGTGGGGAGAGTTACAGGCACATGAGAACATGGTGGGTGACGGATATATAGCCAGCACTGCACATGCTTCGTCACAGCGCATGCAGGCCAGCGATGTTGTCCGCTGGGGACAGCCGGCTCGCTCTGGCGGACTTTGGTCGGCGATCAGAACAGCGCTGGATGGGTCAGGAGCGGTCATGGCGAGGGGGTCACGTGGGGGGACAGCGAGAAGAGACCGAGACAGGCCGAGACGGGCGAGATGGGGGCGAGATGGGGGCGAGATGGGGGCGAGAGGACACAGCGACAGGGTGCGCGAGGCTGACTCACGGGCTCTCTCCGCGGAGTGCGCGAAACAGCCAGAACGGGGCCAGGCCGAATTTGGCAATTGCGGTCGCACGCGCCGGCCGCCACGCGGCTCGCCAGGCCGTGCGCAGCCGCAGGCGACCAATCGCGTGCGTGCCGCCAGCTGATAGTGCCAGCCTCGTCCTCCCTGGTGCCAGACAGGGCCCGCGCGCCTGGCCGACAAGCCGCACAGCGACAACGGCGCGCAGCACGGCGGCAGCACGACAATGCAGACAGTGCGCACAGTGCGATCGCGCCACACACACACACGCCTCCTGCCACCGGCCCGCCTTCGGCCCCGTTTTTCTTCGTGGCCGTTTCGCCCTCTGACCGCTCCCGCTCTGTCGTGCTCCTCGTCTTGGTCGCTCCTGGTCGGCTGCTCCTGGTCGGCTGCTCCGCTCGTGGCTCCTGTCTGCTTTCCTGCCCATCGCCTTCCCTCCCGGCACGGCCTCGTCTCGTCTTTTGCCTGATCTATTCTCGCTGTAGCCATTGCTGCTGTCCAGAAACCCGCCCCGCCACCATCTCCTCAACAGGCTCCGAAACATGGGAAAAGGAAAGCGTGCCCACTTTGACAAGAACTACGAGCCTCCGCTGTCGTCGGCCGACCTGATTTCGTCCAAGGCTGCTGCCGCCGACGCCGTCATCCAAGGCCCGCCTCCGCTGTACAAGCCCGAGGTTGCCAAGACCGAATGGAAGCACGAGGAGCAAGCCTTGGAGCAAGCCCCCATCTGGGTCCTTATCACCACCTATCTGAGCTATGCTATCCTGATTGTCTACGGCCAGATTCGTGACTTTTTCGGCTTCCGATTCAAGCCCAACGAGTATGTGAATCTGGTGGCCCAAAAGGTGCGTATCTGCTCGCGTTGCCCCGTTGCATGCCGCACGGGCTCGTTGGTGCATTTGCCCAGCGCTCTCCTGCGCCTTGGGACTTGCAGTGCCTGCGTATCGGAACTCGCAGAGCCGGCAAAGCGACCGTTGCATGCCCTCCGGCCTCGCGATGCGGCCTGCCGGTGGCGCTCGATGCCCCGTCTGCACACCGTCCGACTCACATTTGCCTGCCGTTCCGGCGCTCGCTCCTTTCCTTTCATCCCCTGGCCGCGTCGTCTTGCAGGGATACGCCCCCCTCAACTCTGGATTCGACACCTTCTACCACCGCAGACTCTACACCCGCATCTGCGATTGCTTCAACCGCCCCATCACCGGCGTGCCCGGCCGAACTGTCACCCTTCTCGAGCGTGTCTCTCGCAACTACAACCGATCCTTCCAGCTCACCGGCAAGACCATCGAGGCCCTGAACGTCTCGTCCTACAACTACCTTGGCTTTGCCCAGAACGAGGGTCCGTGTGCTGACGCCGTCGAGGCCAGCATCAAGCAGCTCGGTGTCTCGACCTGCTCTCCGCGTCTGGAGGGCGGCACCTTGGAGCTCCACCAGGAGACCGAGGCGCTCGTGGCTCGCTTCATGGGCCAAGAGGCCTCCATGATCGTCAGCATGGGCTTTGCCACCAACTCGACCTGTCTGCCCGCTCTGGTTGGAAAGGGATGCTTGATCATCAGTGACTCGTACAACCACTCCTCGCTCGTCTATGGCGCTCGTGTCTCGGGTGCCGCCATCCGCATCTTTGAGCACAACGGTAAGCCACTCTATCTGCCCCTCGCCGCCCATCCTCCTCGTATCCTTCCAGTTTTGCGTTTCATGCATTGAGCTGCATCGTTCGTGACTTGGCTCGGCATAGCCTGTCAGCCCATCGTCCTAACGCGCGGTGGAATCGTCCTTTGCAGACCCGATCGACCTCGAGTCTGTCCTCCGCAACGCCATTTCTCAGGGCCAGCCCCGTACCCACCGCCCCTGGAAGAAGATCCTGGTCGTCGTCGAGGGCCTGTACTCGATGGAGGGCAACATCTGCTGCCTGCCCCAGATCATCGAGCTCAAGCGAAAGTACAAGGTATGCGGTGCCGCACTCTCAAGCGGCCATCGATGCAGTGGCATTCTTCCGCTGCCCTGGAGTCGCTTGTGCAGCCCTGCTGACAATCTGTCCTTCGATATTGCGCCACACTGCCCAGTTCTACCTGTACGTCGACGAGGCCCACTCCATTGGTGCTCTCGGCCCCAATGGCCGTGGCGTCTGCGACTACTTTGGCATCGATCCCTGCGAGGTTGATGTCCTCATGGGTACCTTCACAAAGTCCTTTGGTGCGGCCGGCGGCTACCTTGCCGGCAAGAAGGATATCATCGACCACCTGCGCCTGCACTCGCACTCGGCCACCTATGCCGAATCCATCACCCCTCCTGTCCTGCAGCAGATCTACACGTCGCTCCGAATCATCATGGGCGAGGAAGCTGGCGATGACGGCCGCCGCCGTATCCAGCAGCTTGCTCGCAACAGCAGCTACTTTGCCTCAGAGCTGCGTCGCATGGGCTTCATCGTCTACGGACATGACTCGCCTGTTGTTCCGCTCCTGCTGTTCCACCCTGCCAAGATCCCGGCCTTCTCGCGCGAGATGCTCAAGCGCGGCATCGCTGTGGTCGTCGTCGGCCATCCCGCCACCCCGATCATCACCTCGCGTGTGCGCTTCTGCCTCAGCGCCGCCCACACCATGGAGGACCTCGACTTTATGCTCCAGCAGATCTCCGAGGTCGGCGACATGATGAACCTGAAGGTGTCCCGAAGCCGCCGCATCGCGGCCTAGACGACCACTATGACGACGATGACTGAGCCACATCCCGCATCCAGCGGGTGTGTTACTTTTTTGATTCTGCATGGCATTCTCCTCCATCCAGCTTTCTTGTTTTGTCCCTCCCATCCCCCGCTCCAAACCTTCCCACGTACATATCTATCGATCTTTTCTCTCTCTCTCTCTCTCTCTCTCTCTCCTCCTTCGTTCTGTGCTTCCAGACTGAGGCTGCTGAACGTAACCCCCCCCCAAAAAAAAGAATAGCAATTGCGAAATCTGCACTTCATAGACTTGATACAACCGTCCCATCGAAGCAAGAATGTCGCTGATGTGTGTGTGTGTGTGTGTCGTGGCTCTGCCCAGCAACACAGAGCGCCGAGGCGCAGCAGCCATGCTGCGCACCGAGCCCGGCCACGCGATGCCCACGTGTGTTGTGCCAGATATTAATTAACGTTTTTTTTGTGGACGCTGGCCTGACGCATTCCCGATCCACGGCCATCGACCGAGCCCATCTGGCATCTGTTTCTCCCCATCAACGAACCCCAACCCAGCACCGCGCTCGGCCAGGTCGACAGCGCAGCGCACAACCCGTATCTGTCCAGCTGCCTCTGCCTCTCGGATCTCTGCCCTCGTTTCGGCGTCCACACCGACACAATCCAGCCTTTCGCAGATCTACGCTGCCCTCACCCAACTCGGTCTCGTTCAATCTTAGCCCAGCAGCATCCGGCTTCACGTTTGCCCGTGCATCACATCGCCGCAATCTCCTCTGAAAGCTATGGGCAAAAAATCACAGTTCAAGGGCACCAAGCGGCCCCGCGATCAACCCCGAGTTCAGGACGACGAGCTCGACTCGGGCGACGAGATCTCCACATTCATCGAGTCGCAGCAGCTGACCAAGGAGATGATGGAGGTCGACAAGGCCTCCCGCAAGGCCGCCAAAAAAGCCGCCAAGAAGGTACATCTTGCGCATCTTTCGGCCAAGGAAGAGGCGCGCGAGGCCGCTGCGGCTCGGATCAAGAACAAGGGCACCAACGACGACGACGACGATGACAACGACGACGACCAGGACGATGAAGACGCTGCGCTGGAAGACATGGACGAAGAAGAGAGGGCCGAATACAACGCATACATGAAGCTGATGGAGGAGAAGGGCGAGGCCGTGGCGGAGAATCCCCGCGCTCCCAAGACCTTTGCAAACAACCAGGTAATAGCGCCAGCTGAACGCACGGCAATCCCGTCTTGGGACTGCGGATAGGAGCTGCCGAGACAAAACACAGCAGACGAGATTCAGACAGCATTTGTGCTCAAGGAAACCCGAGTTCCTCCAGTTACATGTCAAATCGGGCATGTTCGTGGTGCTGTTCACCCACTCGCTCACTCACCCACTCACCCACTCACTCACTTATCTACTCCCTCTCTTCCTCCTCCTTCTCGTATCATCGCAATCGGACGTGGCTTATTTTGCGCACCGAATCAACGTTGGCGCGCTGTGCTCGGCTATCACTGTGAGCAGAAGGGCCTGCTGCAAAAGCTGCGGGACATCAGTCTGGAGAAGCCCGGGCGACTACTGCCGTGGTCCGAGGTCCAGGCGATCACGACAAAGGAGCCACTTGTGCTGACGCCTTCCGATATCCACGACGACATCAAGCGCGAGCTCGAGTTCTACAAGCAGGCTCTGTACGCTGCCACCCAGGGTCGTGCCAAGGCCATCGAGGCCGGCATTCCATTCTCACGACCGGACGATTACTTTGCCGAGATGCTCAAGACAGACGCGCACATGGCCAAGGTCCGCCAGAAGCTCATTGACGAGCAAGAGTCGATTGTTGCGGCCGAGAACGCCAAGAAGCAGCGGGAGGCCAAGAAGTTTGGCAAGAAGGTTCAGCACGAGAAGCTGCTGGAGCGTGTGCAGGCCAAGAACAACGAGATCGAGCGCGTCAAGATGGCCCGCAAGAAGAAGGACTCGATGGGCGTTGCCGACGACGACTTTGGCATCGAGCTGGAGGACAGCGACACCAAGGGCAGCTCGGGCGCTCGGGCGGGGTCCAAGGTCAACGCCAAGCGACAGAAGAAGAACGAAAAGTACGGATTCGGAGGCGGCAAGCGCCACAAGAAGGAAAACACCCGCGACTCGGTGAACGACTTCCGGTCCTTCAGTGTCAAGAAGATGAAGGGCAGCATCAAAAAGTCCACTGGCAAGGGCGGCGCCGCCAAGAGACCCGGCAAGGCACGACGACAACAGTCTCGCAAGTAGCCGCAGCCCAGATTGCTTCCCAATACAGTCAGTGCATTGTTGAGACATGGTTGGTCCATACGATGCAGACAGTGCTTGGCCTTGTCAAGCACACTGAGTGGGCGTTGTGGGGATCGCGGTCGAGAGAGACGAACGAACACACAGCAGGAGCTGTTTGTCCCTTCCTCCAGACGTCGAATATGCATGTGTGATCAAGCTGCTGCGGCACAGTTTCTCCAAGAAATGCATGTCGCCGTTTGGGCGATACGATCCACTGCACGGACAGCCTCAGGATGTGAGTACACACCCAGCCATCCATCACCAGAGACCACCGGAGCATATCGCGAGCGGCTCGTTCGACACAACCATCATGATGGCAACAGCCACTTGATACGTTGGAGGGCAGTGGTACTCATGGCAGACCCACACATGCTCTTCATCTCTCTGGAAACATATCACGGGCAGCTTTATCATTGTCGGCTTTGGACGCATCGGCTGGACCCAAATGTGTCCAGGATCCATAGCAGAGCGGTCAAGTCACTTTGAGGACCAGCCGCCTTCGATTTCACTTTGCGAGCACTGCAGAAGCAAGACACTTCTGTTTGCCTTTTTTATTGCATGAATGCTCTAAACGATGTACTGGATCAATCTAGTTGGGTATAGGGAGTCATTCACACACACATTTTGGGAGGGGGGACGGGTAGTACATTGGCTGGGTTGCTGCGTTCAGCACGCATTCCCACTCGGTCTGCCATGGCTCTGCGTTTGGCTCACTCCTTGGAATCCAAGTGATGTCTCCCGAGACATCCTTGGAGACACCGGATGAGCCTCTGCAGCATTTTGGGGCCTGTCTTGGGCGACAGAACGCCGTTGCGGGCCGACTCTTGGTCTTGGTCTTGGTCCTGGTCCTGGTCCTGGTCCTGGTCCTGGTCCTGGTCCTGGTCCTGATCCTGGTCCTGATCCTGATCCTGATCCTGATCCTGGTCTTGAACTTGGTCTTGGCCCTGCTTGTTCTCGACTGCGAGAGAACTGCGGCCGATCGAGTCGCCAAGGGCCATGGATGTCCGCTGGCGATGCAACAGTGAAGAAGGCGCGGCAGGTCCCGATGCTCTGGGACCAAAGAAACAGGTGGGTGTCGCTTCGTCGCAGCTGACGGCCACCTGGTTCATCGAGCGCGAGCAGCTTGGGCTTCTCACAGCGGGCCGACGACGAAGCGTCAGCGACCAAGGTTCCTGATGCGGACGAGCGGCTCCGCAGCGAGGTCAGGCACCCAAACAGAGACTTGGCCTCTTGGTATTGGCTCTGTCGTCCGTTGAGCAGCTGAGGCTGTGACTGCGACTGCAGCAGCAGCGTGCGGGAAGACTGTCCTCGGCCCGACGATGGCGAGATAGCAGCCTCCTTCTCGCTGATGCTTCGTGACTCGTGTCGGCTCGAGGTGGCCGAGTGGGTGGACTGGTCGGCGCATCGGCCTGAGACGCCGATGTCGTCGAAAATCCGGTCCGACAGGGTCGCGCTGGAGGCATAGGCCGAGAAAGCAAACGACGAGAGGCTAGGCCGGCGGTCCGAGGTTCTCTGGAGAGATGCATTGTCCTGGGGTGAACCTGAGAGGAAACGACTTCGGGTCTCTGGCGAAACCCCCTCGAGCTCTCGCATGATGATGACTTCGTAGACGCAAAAGATCTGGTTGCGGCTGAGCTGCTGGTCCGTGGGAAAGTGCTGCTGCATCTTGTTCCAGCACAGCTCGATGTCGAAGATGACGTCCGACAGGCGCTGCTGCTCAAAGTCAATGGTGGGCTTGATTCCCGAGTCAGGGACAAAGTTGAATCGCTCCATAAAGTTGACCGACTCGGTCGGGGACATGCCTTGGTCCAGTAGCATCCGATGGACCTCGAGGACATAGCGGCAAACTCGGGACCGGCGAGAGGACGACGACGAGCTGGCGATCGTCCGGTGGCCGCTGCTGAGACGGCTGAAGAGGCTCCATCGGGAGGAGGTGGCTCCTCGAGAGTGGAGCAACATCGGGAACCCCACGCTACCTCCGTTCGAGGGCGCCTTGGAAGGCGGCAGCTGCTGGTCGGCGTCCAGCTGGTTGTCTGAACCCGATCGGAGGATCATTTGTCTCGACGATGTTGCCAGCGAGCCCAATGAGGGCCGCCGTGAACCGGAAGTGATGCAGTGGATCGACTTGGGCCTGTGCTTGTATCGAGAGAGGCTCGCGGGGCGGTCTACTTCATCGGGATCGGCCGCCGCCCAGCTCGAGCGAAAGGATGAGGCCCATTGCGACGACGCCGCTGGGCCAAGCGGCGAGCGATTGTATGCGGCCGAGGTGCTTTCTGAGCAGCTGTACGCACTGAATCTCAGCGCATTGGCCTCCTTGTCCGAGGTGATCCCGGAGAGGCTCTGTCGGCGATGAGAGCGCTGGCCTGCGTCGGGAAAGCGAGAAGGAAGGGGCTTCTGTTAGCCAGGTCTCTTCTCGTGATCACAGGGGCCGATTGCTCGGGGCGACTTTCAGCTCCGACTGCACCGCGGGTGGTCAGGTAGCTTGTTTCTCAGCGAGCAGTACCTTTATACGACGCCGAGATTGCCATGATCGATGGGTGCTGCGGGAACGCACGTCTGGGGGTGGGAGTGTGTGGGGACGCTAGGTGTCTGGAAACGGTGGTTTCTGGGCGGAAAAACAGAGAGCAGGGCGGTGTCTGCTCATCGGCAGTTGGTAAATTGGAGCTGGAGCGCAAAGGAGACCCCGGTGGGCTGCTTAGCCTGCGGGAGGACCACGGACCAGGGTTATAAAGCCGTCCGTTGCGCATCGGTGTTGGGTGTAAATATTTCGCCATTATCGCTCACACCATCGGCCTGCACCAATGACAACCCGCTATCGGACTCAACATCCAGACGTCATTGCAGCAAGCAACAGCCCGACAACCACCTTGCGTCATCGCCGTTGCCCAACAAACAAATGGAAGGGTGAGGCAGACGAACCCTCGACAAGCTCGTGTGGCCTGTCCAGGGCAGCGCAGTCCTGCTCGGAGCATTTCGCCGCTTGTCGAGATAACAAGTCTGCGGTGGCTTCCTGTTGTTGCGCAAGACGACTGGCTCCTCTGATGCGGCTGCTGCCGAAGGTCCCTGCCGCACGGTTGACGTCATATCGCCATCAGCGTATGACGGCCAGCCCGCGGCCGCCCCTGTGGTCCCCCCTCACGCCAGAGAGCAGCCCAGGCCACGTAACATATGCGGACACTGCACATTGGTGCCGGTGACGAATTGGTCAACCATGCAGTGTTTGTTTGTTTCGCCGTTCTCACGGGGTACAGCTCCAGCCAAGGTTGCAGTCTCCAAAGAGGCCGGCGACGCACTCGCCCGAGGTCGTTACAGCACACTCGGTTTGAAACGGGACACCCTGGCGTGCGGATGGGCTGTCGATTGTGGGCTGGGTGGATGATATGATCCGACTTTGATGTGTTTTTGTCCGAGTGAGACGGTGTCCCATTGTTTATTCAACACGCTGTACCAGCCATAGACTGTAAGTGACTCCGCCCAGGAAGCTCAGGGCGAGGCAAATGTGATCCAGCAGCACGGAGGGGTGGAGGAATCGAAGCCGAAGCAGGATGTGCCACGTCAGAGCGGCGCAGACCAGGAGCAGCCCCAGGTCCCCGACGATGCACTGGCTCGTGTGCAGTCCGTGGCCCTCGACGGATGACACTGACTCGATGCGGAGGTTCAAGGGCATTGTATCGCTGCTGTGGGCAGTCCATACTTGGGCAAGCGTTCTCAAGGCAGCCAGCGACTCGATGGTGGTGTCGCCCTGGCGATGCAATGGCGCTCGAGCATGGGTGGACAGTGGCTCATGAGGCATCCAGCGCTGCATTGCGCTTGCGACAATCACCACCCAGGTTGATAGAGCGGCACACGAAATGGTGGCCAGACCAAGCTTGGTGGGAACGGGGAGGTGCGCAACAGCCTGGTACAGATTGCTCGGGCTGCCGGTTGACTGGGGGTTGCTTGGACAGAGCGGATGGGGGCACGGTGATTCCAACTGGAACCAAATGTGGGCAACCACACCGGTGCCGACTGGGTGAGGACGAGCAAGAGGATTTAGTTCCTGCGAGCAGGCTCGAGAGGCCTTTGGCGGGGCTCGCTCTGGCTGGAATCAAGCAGCTTTCGTCCTCCGCAGACAATCAGGACAATCAGGCGATCGGGATAACCAGGCGATCAGGCGATCGGAACAATCAGGGCATTGGCGACGCCTCCCTGGGCACAGTGCACGGTCAGAAACCTCCGCTCACAGCTCCGACATTACCTGCATCGGCAACGTGGCAGGAAGCCTGCAGATGCGACGCAACGCTGCGACGGGGGCCTATCCATTGGCATCCAGACCGTGCAAAGATGCAACGGATAGGGCTCTCGGCCATCAGCCGGGCTTGATCCGGGAGCGGCTCGAGAAGGGCCTGCTCGGTGACATATGTTCGGCAGAACGGGCATTTCCTGGAGCTGGACGGTTGAGACAGCCAGGGGATGAGCCTGGGCGGGTTCCAGCAGAGGAGCAGCGACGGAAGCGACAATACCCAACACATGCAGATTCGCAGGCGACATGGCAAACGGGCCAAAGCGAGATTGACGTGATCGGGTGTGTCTTACCCTCTATGCGCCAGCCAGTGGTGGGCGCATCCTCGGCAAATGTGCTGGCGGCAGCACGGCAGCCGCACAGCGACAGAGAAGAAGGAGTCGCAGATGGGGCAGGTCAGGGCCATGCCGGCAGTTTCAGAGGCATCGTCATCCGCCAGGACGTATTCATAGGTAGGATGGATGGGCAGCGGCAGGGTCGTTCTGGAATGGGCAAGCAGAGACAGCGTTCGGAGCAGGAACGACAGAGGAGGCTGGAGCAGCGACTCTGGCTCAAAGACATTGGAGATGCCGGGCCGGCCGGAACGAGACACAGTGGTGGTAGCAGAGCCAGCGGGTTCACGGATATGAGGTCGATGGAGGCGAGTTGGCGGCTCAGGGCTGTTATCGACAGCAGCCATCTTGGATGGGTGGATCGGCCGAGGGCATTCACAACCTGTGGAGATGGAGAGGCGGAACGGGCCGCGGCAGCAGGTTGGCCCTGGACAGCAGTTATGGCACTAGAGAGGGAGGGAGAGAAGGCGAGAGAGAGGCAGATGCCAAAGAATGAGGGAGGGCCAGAGCGGGAAGGAGGGCGATGGTGGGAGGGAGCGATGTTCCTGGCGCCATGGCCGAGCTCCCCGGCAGGGTTCAGTTTCATGCCGTCCGGGGCTGCGGACGCGGTACGGGCAGAGCGACCCCGCGGCATGGACCAGGGGGCAGCAACAGCAGCACCGACAAAACGCACAGGCACGGCCGGCCGGCGTTGCGGATCAGCGCTGCCGGTCGAGGCGATGATTCGGTCGGTGACGAACTCGGTTGCTGGAATGTACTTGGTTGCCGGAATGGACTCGATGGCCAAGATGCCGATTGAGGGGCAGCAGCGGGTGCATCTCGCTGTGATTTGGGCACGACGCAGGAAACACGATCATGCGGCGAGAGTGTGGGCCCAGATGCGGCGAGCGACACCACCGAGGGACGACAATGGGCGAGACAGCCGATGGACGACAATGTCGGGCTCGGGCGATGCGCGGGACAATGAGGGTTCCTATGAAATGTATCACTCAGACCACAAGCGATATAACCAATGGAGCGACGGTCTGCGCAGACTCTTTCGGGGTGATTGCCGCGTTGGCATCCAGCGACTCAATGCATCGCCATCCAGAAGCTCGCTGTGGCGTTCAAAGCGAGAGGACGACAACGATGGTGATGGCTGCGATTCAAACAGAGCCACGTGAGCCGAACGCACCACAATGCAATCCGATCCAAATCCAGAGCCGTCCCAGTCGAACACACTTCGCACTTCGCACTTCACACTTCACACTTCACACTTCACACTTCACACTTCACACTTCACACTTCACACTTCACACTTCACACTTCACACTTCACACTTCACATTGCAAATTGCGCATCGGCCGGCCCAGCTGCCCGCACCGCAGAATTCCCGCGGCTGAGGTGCTGGTCCTTGTTGGCGCTCCTCCAGCCTTCGAAACCTTGCACCCGACCGCCTCTCTCTCTTTCCCGTTCCTTGGTCCTGGGCTGAGCGGCTCCTTCTGGGCACTGTGGTGTCCTCGTGCCCTTCTTGCTCTGTCCCGCCTTCCCCACGTCCCTGTGCCTTGCTCTTTCCTCTTTCTTTCCAGATGACCTTGTCCCCGTCGGTCACCTGCACATGCGCCGGGCTCACATGTGAGGTGCAGATGTACAGATGTACGTCCCATAAAAGCCTGTCCCGCCTGCCCTTCGAGTCCCCGCCAGTCCTCGCCAGTCCTGCAACCCGCTCGCCATGCTCAAATTCCTTTCCCTGGCCCTCCTGGCCTCCTCGGCTGCCGCCCACATGGTCATGAGCTATCCGCCTCCGCGAGGTGAGTCGTAGCCCGAGGTCATCGGCCGCCAAGTCGGCTCGTCCCACACGCCAATCCCATCCTAACTGCCGCGGCCATCGCCCGATGCACTTTCAAGGCTCGAAAAGCTCCCCGCCCATCGACTATGACTTGAACGCTCCCCTCGGCGACGGCAAGCCGTTCCCCTGCGGTGGCAAGAAGGCCAGTAAGGTCACTGCCACTCTCCACGCCGGCACCCATCTCAACTCTAGCCTGCTCGATGCCCCCGGCGCCAACTTCCACGATGGAGGCCACTGTCAGTTTGCCGTTTCGTATGACGAAAAGAACTGGGTGGTGCTCGCGACAGTCATCCGCGAGTGTCTTCGTCAGGACGGCCTCAACTACGACATTCCCATCCCGATCGATATTCCCCAGGCCGACCGTGCAACCTTTGCCTGGACCTGGATCAACGCCGAGGGAAACCGCGAGTACTACAGTGAGTATCCACATCCACCGAATCTCGGACATGTGTTCTGCGGCGACACCGGTCCAGCATGGCCCGATCTGCAGCAAACATGTCGGAATCAACTGCACTCGCAGCCGTACTTATATCTCTGCCCTTGGCTCCAGTGAACTGTGCCGACGTCAAGATTGTCAGCAACAGCAACTCTTTCTCGGGCCCGGAGCTCTTTGTTGCTAATCTGCCCGGATACCCAACCATCCCTGAAATGGCGCTTGTCAAACCAGCCAAGGATGGCCGCCAATACCTGACGGACGGAGCCCGCAAAACTATTACGGTCAGCAACGGCAACCAGCCCACTGCGACGGCTAAACCCACCACCAAGCCGACCACAGCTGCACCCAGCACCGCCAAGACCACCAAGACCACCAAGACTACCAAGTCCAAGAAGACCAAGTCCTCCAAGACCAAAAAGTCCAAGTCCAAGCAGGCATAGGGCCCCTGGGAGAATGCCTCCGACAAAGCAAATGGACGTTCTGCCTTATCTAGCATCGGAGCTGTAATCATTGGGTGGATCTTCAGCGAGATGTATTGGATCGCCCCCGCCGTGTCTGTCGCTCTCGGTCGTCCTCGGTCGTCACTGGCTGGCTTCTCTTTGGACCACTTCGTTGTGAACACGGCTGATTCCAATAACGATGGCTGATTCCAATAACGATGGCTGATTCCAATAACGATGGCTGATTCCCATAACGGTGGCTGTGCTCCGTATTGTCGCATTCCTGGCTTTCGCAAAGGATGGTGGCGGTCGTGGCCGAGTACTGCAGTTGGAAGTAGTGCATGTCAAGCTGTCACATCACCAGCGCAATAGTCCCAGGGTGCAGGAGTGGGTGCAGGAGTGGCGTCGGTCGCATTCGAGTCCATGTCCGTGCCCATGTTCTTGTGGGATGCCAGTGTCCTGCCTTGTGTGCTGGATATCTCTTTGCATTGATTTCTGGCTTGCGCTTCTACCTGAACAAGAGTCGCCAGAGGCGCTTTGCCGCCTGCATGACTCCCATTGCGACAAACACCGATATCTGACCCAGTCCACTGTCAGTGCTGGACACTGCATCGAGACTTTGGCCATGCCCGTTCACTCACTCACTCACGTAGATGTAGTCATCAGGAGCGATCAGCGGCTGCCACAGCCGGAGGATGGCAACCACTGTGCCAACATACAGACTGTTCGCTGAGATAGCCCGTCGTTGGAAGTTGATAGTCGAGGATGGCGGTGTTAGCGAGGCCCAAGTAGCCCCCCCTCCTCCATAGTGGCAGTGGGAGTATCATGCCCAACAGGTGATCGCACACACCCCATGAATATGGTTCAGTCGTTTCAAGGACAACATACCAACGAGCGCAAACGGCGGCTCGAGCATAGATGCAATCCGTGATGAAATCACATAGACAACAATGCCGATCGCAACCTGACCCACACCTGAGTCGAGCGTAGTTTGTTAGCTTGTGCATAGCGGTGGTATCGGTGCGCTGCAAAATGTACCCTACCGACCTCGCCATGCTCGAAACGATGTTGCTTCAACGACCGAGGATACGAGATTCATCGGCAGCAACACAGCGGTCTTTGCAGACTCGATCCAGCCGCTGAGGAGATGAGCAGCTTCAAGCGTTTCAGCCAACACCTCGCCTATCGCTGATATTCTCGTCGCAGCGAGATGATGCGACGCCTCAGCCTCGGCGCTGATTTGGTTGAGCTGAGTCTGCCTGACGATGTTAGCGCCCTCGAGTACATCATGCTCAAGCTCTGTGAGAATCTCAACACCCCCATGCGATCGTCGTACCGCCATGTTATCCAAGCGACCGTCCAATAGCTGTTGTAACGCCATATGGCTCTCGGCAGCAGCCTTGATTGTGCTCACAAGTCGCTCGGCTTCACGCAACGATTCAATGTGAACGCCGGCGATTTGAATCAAATGATCCTGCCAGTTCCCAGAAATCAGCATGGATGGCCATCCTCTGCTTGACCATTCAAGTCAATGGCAGTGCCCAGCGATGATGCAGCCGACAATGCCAGCAGACCTGCTGCGATGTAAAGAGGCTGCCGATGCTTTCTTCCAACTCCATAACCAGATTCTGGATGTCTTGGAGGTGCTGCACAACACCCAACTTGAGCTAGAACCGGCTCTGCCGAATCAGAACAACGCTAAAACTGCAGTAAGAGGCTGCACCTGTACCTGTTTATAGTCCTTGCGCTGCTCGAGAAGCAATTGATCGATAGTCTCGGCGGTGCTCTGCGAATTGTAAGGCAATCCTTTGATATCAATATCATGTTGCCTCGCTCGCGGCAGCCGCCCTCAGGCGCAGTGCAGTTCTAGTTACTTGTATACGGGCCAGGACCAGACCAGTTTCCTGCTCTTTATCCATCACAACAGTCCACCTCGTGTTGATGAGCTCGATTCTCCGATGGGCTTTGTCGATGCCCTGCAGAGTCGTTGATCAAGGCTGGTTTTTGAGTTACATACTTTCTGGCAGGCTTTCCAAAGCGTGTGGATAGGCCCGATGACAAACAAGCACAGATTTCAATCACTCGCGATAGCACGGACCTGCTCCAGGAGCACCATTTGCGCAGAAAGATCATCCGCAAATGAGACGGCTTGGTGCTTAAGCCTGCCCAGGACATCGATGGCATCGGTGTGCCCGGCAGAAAGTCGCTGGACAAGCTCCATTGATTCTTGGAGATCGGCGTTAACGGACTGGATCTCGGCAGTGGCTTTGACACCCAGGTTCTGTCAAATGGATGACGGTATGAGTGCTGCGAGCACTGGTACAGGTGCTCAGCCAGCTGGATACCAACATTGGCCACATGAAGCTGCTCAACTAAAGAGTGCTGCGAGCGAGCAATCTGGTCCAGCAGCTGGGACTGCTCCTGCCTCCATATTTCAAGCTTGTCCCGGCCTTCGTTGGCGAACTCCAGATTGTCGATCTGGATCCGGGTCATGTTCCTGTATAACTCCTCCGTGAGGTCTTGGTGCGGCGACAGTCAGCCGCTTTGCTCAACGAGGAAGTGGTGTCTTTGATACTGCAACATGACTTGCCTCGCTCGACTTCCTTGCGGAAGGAATGGCACATGGCCACTGGAGAGAATCCACCGTTCAGAAAGCGAGAGAGATCACCCCGAGAGCCGCGCACATGCGGCCAAAGCATCCAGCTCCTCACCAACTTCGCGGTAGTACCCGCTGCCAGAGACGTCCAGCGGGCATCGAGGTTCGGTGTGAGTATGTGGATGGAAAGGGGCCTGTGAGACTGTCGTGCCGGGTTTGATGAACTGTGGCCATCCACTTGCCTGTACGAAGTCCAAAGCTGCGGCGATGCATGCAGCGATCTGGGTGGGAGATGCATCCAGACTTGTCAGCATGCGGTGCCTGGTCATGTTGCAGCTTGATCCACGAGCGGCCGACCTAACACATTTGGATCGAGTCTCTGGCATATCCATGTCGCCGGTGCACTCTACAGGCATGGACTGGCGAGCGGGTCCAATCTCGCATGCCGTCAAACGGATGGCGTCTTGGGGTCAGTGAGAGTCGAGAGCGTCAGGGGGAGGAAGTTAAGAGTCTGAAGGGCTTGGTTTGACTGCAACGGATCGGAACGGTGCCTCACAAATGATCTTGGACTCGTCTTGTAGCTCCAGTTCTTTGCACCCCCTCTTCAGTTCCAGGGTTGCTCCTTTGAAGCACTGGCTGACTCCGCTCCGATACCGCTCGAATATGCCTCGAACCCATCGTTATGGTCAATGACTCAGCTTCCTGCGGGCCTGCACCCGAGCAACGGCCAGAGAATACATGTTCGACCGGCGTGTGTTTCATGGATACTTACTGAGACCGGCGGAAGTATCCAGCGGCATCGGATCAAGCAGTTCCGCCATGAGCCGTCCTGCAGCGCCCTCTGGTGACCATGGAGAGTGCAGCCGTTTGGTCAGTGCGAGCGACGCTGTCCAGCAACTTGACTTGAGGGATCACTATTCGCTTACCGCGGGCCCCAGAAACGGGCAAGGAACACAGCCAAACACCGCTTCCTATCAGTGCCATCACCGACCACACCACACGGCCCACGATAGACATGGATGCAGCCGAGAGAATCATGATGGGATATGGGATCGCGACGGGGTATGGGATATTGGGTCGCGATGGAAAGCCATGACGCGACTTGGGGGTCGCAGGGTATGGTGGCTCTCATGGCCCACGGGTGCTGCCTCCTCACACAGCTTTGTCCGTATGCCTGGCTGCATTTGCCTCTCGAAGATAGCTGATATTTCAGACGGAGGCTGTTGATATGATATCTCAGATAGAGGCTATGGATGCGGATCGCTCCGTCGGCATCGATGCCGCGGAATGGATACACCTGTCATTCAGTCCGGCACCCGCACTGCCTCGATGAGCATACATACGCATCGCCGAGATGTACATGTGCACCACCGGGCCGTGGCCGAGCGCTGCCGAGTGTTGCCGGTGCATTCATCGCATCAAACATGCGCATCAAACATGCGCATCGCCAGGAAGCCCCACACACCACCCGGCCTTTGCGGGTGAGTCGCGTTGCACAAGATAGCGCAGCAATCCACGGGATATCGCCGCCGAGCTTTTTAAACCGCTTCATTCGTCCCCATCGCGGGTCTGCATCACACCCGTCTTCGCTCGCTGCAGCTCAGCCCTCAGATCCTGGACGCAATGCCCAAGCTGTATCTCCTGGACTACGGAGCCGGAAATGTGCGCTCGCTCATCAATGCAGTCCACAAGCTCGGCCACGACATCGAGATCGTTCAGTCGCCCGAGGACATCCTCAGCGCCGATGTGAGCGTCGTCGCGACTTGCAGTCCAGACTCGGGCGGATGGGGCTGCGGTCGCAGCGCCTGTCTCTGCTGCCATTTGTCCCTTGCGAGTCTTTCTGGCTCTTGTACGCCTGCATCGAGACGACGCCGTCACTCCCGGACAGACGTGCAGCCCATCGCCCGCGTCGCTGCAGCTCCATGTCTCGATCCGCCCACCTAACAATATCGTCATCGCAATTGTGCTGCGATCATGGTCGTCTCTGCAGAAACTCATCTTTCCCGGAGTCGGTGCCTTTGGCGCTGCCATGGAGAAGCTCCGATCCAAGGGATACGCCGAGCCTCTTGTGCAGTACATTGCCTCAGGAAAGCCGTTCATGGGCATCTGTGTCGGCATGCAGTGTCTGTTCCAGGGATCCGACGAGTCGCCCTCTGTCGCTGGGCTCGGTCTGATTCCGGGCCAAGTCAAAAAGTTCAACGATCAAACCAAGTCCGTGCCCCACATCGGATGGAACGGTGCCTCCGTTGTTCAGCAAGATGCCACAGAAAGCCTGGGTCGCCTCAACCTGGACGGACCCGAGAAGTCCCGCTACTACTTTGTTCACTCCTATGCAGTGCCATATGCTGAGTCTCTCGCGGACTGGGCATACTCGCTGACAAAGTACGGCGATGAGCTGTTTGTCTCATCGGTTCGCAGGGGCAATGTGTTTGCCACCCAGTTCCATCCCGAGAAGAGCGGCTATGCTGGCTTGAAGCTCCTCAAGTCGTTCCTGGATCCCGAAGACTGCCGCTCGTTTGTCGCCACACGAATCCCGATCGACGCTGTCGTCGATTCCCTCACGCGACGCATTATCGCCTGTCTGGATGTGCGATCGAACGACCAAGGCGATCTGGTCGTGACCAAGGGCGACCAGTACGACGTCCGCGAGTCCGACGCCAACGGATCCCGAGTCCGCAACCTGGGCAAGCCCGTGGATCTCGCCCGCCGCTACTTTGAGGAGGGCGCTGACGAGGTTACGTTCCTGAATATCACCTCCTTCCGCGACTGCCCCGTCAAGGATCTGCCGATGCTCGAAGTACTCTCAAAGACATCCGAAACCGTCTTTGTGCCCTTGACGATAGGCGGCGGCATCCGTGACATTGTCGAGCCTGATGGCAAGACCTGGTCGGCGCTGGAGGTAGCGGGCGAGTACTTCCGATCTGGTGCCGATAAGGTCTCAATCGGAAGCGACGCCGTCTACGCTGCCGAGGCGTACTACCGCAACGGGAAGCAACTGACGGGCAAGACGGCCATTGAGCAGATCGCCTATGTGTATGGTGCCCAGGCCGTCGTGATCTCTGTCGACCCGCGCCGAATCTATGTCAAGTCGCCGGACGATGCCCCTAACCACCATGTGATTCCGACAGCCTTCCCCGGCCCGGGCGGCGAGCGGTTCTGCTGGTATCAGTGCACCGTCAAGGGTGGCCGCGAAGGCCGCGATTTTGACGTCCATCAGCTTGTGACGGCATGCGAGGCCATGGGTGCTGGCGAAGTTCTGCTCAATTGCATGGACAAGGACGGAACCAACTCGGGCTACGACCTGGAGCTCATCAAGGACGTCAAGAGCAGCGTCCGAATTCCAGTCATTGCGTCGAGTGGAGCGGGCAAGCCTGCTCATTTTGCAGAGGTCTTCCAGGTCAGCAATGCTGACGCAGCCCTGGCGGCGGGCATCTTCCACCGCCGCGAAGTTGCGATTGAAGACGTCAAGACATATCTCAGCGAGCACGGTTACTCCACCCGCTTTGACGCTCCCCTGTAGATAGGAATGCGGAACGAGGCACTTGGCAACGACGACCACCGTGCCCGACGCCGCTCTTGCTGGGGATTTTTCTGTGCGCTGTACTCTTGGTTTGTTGGAATGCGCATAATACAATCGATCATTGCTGCTGAATCGACAAATCGCGGAGTGCCGTGGGATCGAGTGCAAGCGCAGTTTCCATCCGATGACTCGGGTGACTCATCGATGCATCCATACATCCATACATCCATACATCCATACATCCATGCACGCATGTGCCGCACCAAGACATCATCACCCCCAGCAGCAGTTTCATCAGCGGCCCAGAGCCTTGCCCGTCGGTGGCTGACCTTGCTCATCGCTGTCCGCGCACGTGACCCGCTCCATTTGCAGCCGGACCGTGGCCGTTTTTTTTTCAGTGGTCGCCCAACAGCACAAGAGCCGGCCTGCTCTGGCGTCTGCGTGTCGATCCCACCGATCCATCAAAGAGCTTATGAAGAAGATTGGCCGCTGCCATTCGTCTCTAAGATCCTGGCCACGCCTGTTTTGCACCGCTCCACCAGCCCCCCTCCTCCTACGTGCAATCCGTCGACCCAACGTCTTCAGCATCCCCGCAATGGACCGATCTGGTGCTCCCTGGTTTGAGGTCCTGCCGCTGAGAGCACACCATGCTGTCGCCGGCGGCGAGAGCGGTGCTGCTCCGGCTGCTCCAGCTGCTCCAGCTGCCCCGACTCCTGCTGCCAAGGCCGGCAAGTCCAAGGGCGCAAAGGCCCCCGAGTCCGAGCCCGCCGCCAAAGACGCCGCCGCCGGCTCCGGCAACAAGAACCCTGAGAAGGAGGCCAAGCAGAAGGCCAAGATGGAAAAGTTCCTGGCGAAGCAGAAGAAGCTTCAGGAGCAGTCCGTGAGCGCCAAGCCCGAGAGCCAGGTCGGTAGTCTACTTGGAAGGGATATGGACGGAGTCCGCTCATCTCTGGGATTGCCGATCACAATAGACCGCAGCACGCTGATACTTGGGCTGCCAAGGTCGCTTCCGAAGTGTTTGGCGAGGGTCCGCAAATCCGCTCGCAGCAACTCACGCTTGCGGCGCGGCTGCCTCTCCGATCTCTGTGCTGGTACTCGCAATCGGCGTTCGATTGTTTGACACAGGACAAGAAGAAAAAGGAAAAGGAGGTCAAGCCTGTTGTTGAGGTCCCTGCCTTTGTCAACACAACCCCCAAGGGCGAGAAGAAAGGTACTTGATCGTGCTGATCCCAAAACCGACACCGACACCGAACTGTGTCTTTGGCCCAGTTCCATGGATATTGCACTGCTGCCTGGATTCTGCACTGCTCATAGTGGCTGCCTCTCATCTGCTATGCGTTCATGTTCTGTAGATCTGAGCCAGCCCATGGCTGCGAGCTACGATCCCAGGGCTGTTGAATCGGCTTGGTACGACTGGTGGGAGAACCAGGGTTTGTTCAAGCCCGTTCTTGTCGACGAACAGCCCAGAGAGGCCGGGGCCTACACAATTGTTATCCCCCCGCCCAATGTCACCGGATCGCTCCATCTGGGACACGCCCTTACCTGCGCCATCCAGGACTGCATGATTCGCTGGTGAGGACAAAGCTCGATCCTTGGTCATTTGTTGGTGTGTGTGATGCTGGCGGATGTGCCAAGTAGCGACGAGGTTGTCTGCCGTGCTGGCTTCCAAAGAGCACCCATTGCGCCAGATGAGTTCTGGGGATGGGGGGGGGCAAAGGCTGTTGCCATGTTCTATTTAGTGTGAGCTGACTTTGGGGATGCGTCTTGCGACTTCTCCGTACCTGTAGGAACCGCATGCACGGCAAATCGGCGCTCTACGTTCCGGGCTGCGATCACGCCGGCATTGCCACGCAGATTGTCGTTGAGAAGAAGCTGATGCGAGAGCGTGGCATCACCCGCCACGACATTGGACGTGACGCCTTCCTCGCAGAAGTTTGGAAATGGAAGGACCAGTATGTATCCTGTGATTGCATCGCTTTGCAGGGAAGACGAAGCCAAAGTGCTACTGCTGCGTTTCACGCGCGAAACAGAATCAGGCACCATCGGCCGGTCATATGCAGCTCGCACACTCATCATGCGCTCTGTTGCCCAGGTTTGGTGATCGCATTTACAACCAATTCCGCCGTCTGGGTATCTCCGTCGACTGGGACCGCGTCCGATTCACAATGGATCCTGTGGGTATACTGATGCACGATCTGATGCTTGTGCTGTGCACAGTCGCATTTCTTTCGTGGCCCCGGACGTGGGATGGCTGAAGGGCTCATACTCTTGGCGACCTGCTCTGCTGACGCGATCGTATCGCCTGGCTGTCTATTCGATGCGGATGGGGCGCAGATGCTCTGCACCGCTGTCAACGAGGCTTTTGTCCGTCTGCACGAAGAGGGCGTCATCTACCGCGATAACCGACTGGTCAACTGGTGCACGGTTCTCAACACTGCCGTGTCGAACCTGGAGGTACGCATGCTCGATCTGATTGCGGTTGCGGCGCCTGCGTGTCGCGGCAGGAAGCCTCGTGGATGTGGATCTGGGTGCCCCGTGGAGAAGCTCTGTCGAGATCAACCACGGTGCCGTGTTTAATTTGGCCTGCCTCTGGCTGCCGCTATCCCGCTACAGGTCGAAAACAAGGAATTGGAGGGCCGCACGCTGCTGAGCGTCCCCGACCACGACCCCAAGAAGAAGTACGAGTTTGGTGTTATTATCTCGTTTGCCTATCCCGTCCATGAATCAGACGAAGAGATTGTTGTTGCCACGACTCGCTTGGAGACTATGCTCGGCGATACTGCTGTCGCTGTCAACCCCAAGGACCCCCGATACAAGGTGCGAGTCTTGGGTCCACCATTTGGAGTGTTGCTGCGCCGCCTGTCGCAGCGGACTGGTAGTCTGACTCTGTCCATCGTCCACGGCAGCATCTGCATGGCAAGAAGGTTGTCCACCCTTTCAACGGACGACTTATTCCCATTATTGCGGACGAGTACGTCGACATGGAGTTTGGAACCGGCGCTGTCAAAATCACTCCTGCCCACGACTTCAACGATTACACCGTCGGCAAGCGAAACAACGCCGAGTTCATCAACATTTTCAACGATGACGGCACCATCAACGAGGCCGGAGCTCCGTTCACTGTGAGTATCTTCGCCAAAAGCTGGCGGCGAAATCGTTTGGTAATCGACTTGACAGGCACTTTGTAGCAAGAAATATGCCGTCTGAGAAGAATGCCTGTAACATCGGATTGGAATCCACCGGCAGGGTCTGAAACGCTTCGATGCTCGCGAGGCCGTCCTTGCTGCTCTCAAGGAAAAGGGCCTCTACCGCGAAACCAAGGATAATAAGATGGTGCTGCCTATTTGCACGTACGTCTACCCCCTCGACGAGGGCATCGTGCACTCAACGGCCTTCAAATGTATTCTTTGCACTGGTCGGCCATTTGCCTGAGTGTCAAGACGCAGCCGCTCGGCAGAACACTCTAGCCTCGCACAACCAATAATCCAGACTGCTGACTGAAACACATGCTCTCCGGCCAGTCGATCGAACAACATTGTCGAGCCTCTTCTTAAGCCCCAGTGGTGGGTCAGCTGCAAGGACATGGCCGCCGAGGCTATGGAGGTAACGGACTTGCGCGAGGACCGTGGTTTCTGCAGCCGCAAGCTACTGGCCATGGACATCGCTGAGCCATTCATCCGCGTTTGCAACTAGGCTGTTCGCAAGGGCGACCTGAAGATCACTCCCCAAGCCTCCGAAAACGAGTGGTTCCGATGGCTTGAAAACATCCAGGACTGGTGCATTTCGCGCCAGCTGTGGTGGGGACATCGCGTCCCTGCCTACTTCATCAAGATCCGTGGTCGCCAGTCGGTGGTATGTTAGTGAAGGGCTCGTCTGGACGTTGCTCGGCTTTTCGGAGGAAGATGTCGATATCAATTGGATGTACCTGTGCTCCTCCGCAACAGGACACTGAAGAAAACTGGGTCTCGGCTCGAAACGAAGAAGAGGCTTACGAGCGCGCCTATCAACGGTTCCCCGACGTCAGCAAGGATGATATTTCCCTGGAGCAAGGTCTGTGTCCTGCAACGCTAGTGCAGTCGACCGTGGTGGATTCTGTCTGGCAAAGTGTTGCGGCTTGAGATGGCTCTGACGATCAGATATTCATGTCTGGCGGTGCCAATCAGACCACGACGTCCTGGACACCTGGTTCTCTGCTGGCTTGTGGCCCTTTGCCACCCTCGGATGGCCCAACAATGTGAGTTGTACAAGGCTGCCCCACCGACAGCGTGCGGTTGGTGACGGTATGAGCGCCGTCCTATCCATGGCTCGTCGAAGAATGCACACTGTTTGTGCGGATTTCATCTGACAGCCGCCTGCGACTTGGGCTGGGGAGATGCTGTATCTCGGTCAAACGTGGTCGCCTTCCGCTCGCATTGGAGATTCTCACCTGGCTCCTTTCGGTTCTGTGACACTGCTTAGACGCCTGACTTCAAGAACTTTTACCCGACCAACCTGCTTGAGACTGGCTGGGATATTTTGTTCTTCTGGGTTGCAAGAATGGTCATGCTGGGTCTGAAGCTCACTGGAGAGGTGCCCTTCCGCCAAGTCTTCTGCCACGCGATGGTCCGCGATGCCCATGGCCGCAAGATGAGCAAGTCTCTGGGCAATGTTATCGATCCCATCGACGCCATCGAGGGTATCTCTCTCGAGGGCCTGCAGAGCAAGCTTCTGTCTGGCAACCTTGATCCTCGTGAGGTTGTCAAGGCCCAGGCCGGTCAGGTATGAGTGGCTTGCGTTTGGTCTGATAGAGCGCCATTTAGGCAACTATACAAAGCATCGGCGCTGATTTGTTTCTGTCCATATCCTCTGACTCCAACAGAAAGCCGACTTCCCCAACGGCATCCCTGTCTGTGGCACGGATGGACTGCGTTTTGCCCTGCTGGCATACACTTCCTCCGGTACGAGCGTGGGCGATTGTTCCAAGAGCCGAGCATCTGGGCGCAACGCACCCGCATGCTGGCCACACTGCTAACTTTGGATCTCGATAGGTCGCGACATCAACCTGGATATCCTCCGTGTCGAGGGCTATCGCAAGTGGTGCAACAAACTCTGGAATGCAGCCCGCTTCGCCCTGATGAAACTCGGCGACGACTATGTTCCTCGCTCGGGTGTCGAGGTGGGCTTTGGCTGTGCTCCAGGCAGCGTTGGCTATGGGCGTGCACGATAGTCTCCGAGGCAGTGTCGCATGTGGAGCTTTACTAATTACACATTTGTGCCCTCTTGCTGGACTGCTGGACCTGGATGATTGCTGTGGCAGCTTACGGGCAACGAGTCGCTCGCTGATCTCTGGATCCTCGCCAAGCTCAACAAGGCCACCGCTGAAGTCAACAAGCACCTGGAGGGCATGAACTTTATGTCGGCTACCAGTGCCATCCATAGCTTCTGGCTGTACGAGCTCTGTGATATCTACCTGGTAAGCACATCTGACACTGCGCCCGAGTCGAGGATTAGGAGCCTGGTCTCGACGCACTCGCAAGCAGCACTTTTGTATGAGTTGCGCACGATCGCACCTTGTTACAGCGATCGCGGCAAATCAATGCGGAAGTTCCCTGCACTGCTGGCTCCGTGCCCCGTGGATGCTGTGCTGATGTAAAGTCGTGGCATCTTACACAGGAAATCTGCAAGCCTGTTATTGACGGAACCGACGCCGTCAAGCGCGAAGCTTCGAAGGACGTCCTCTACATCTGTCTCGAGCGCGGCCTCACTCTGCTGCATCCCATGATGCCCTTCATCACCGAGGAGCTGTACCAACGCCTGCCGCGTCGTCCTGATGATGCCAAGGATACCATCATGCAGGCTCATTTCCCCACTGAGCGCGACGAGTGGAACAACGAGCAGGTCGAGAAGAACTATGAGGTCGTCAACGACGTCATCCATGCTGCCCGTAGTCTCCTCACCAGCTACCCGATCAAGGGTGGCGCTACCTGTGAGTAACCTACTCTGCTTTGCTCTAATCTGCTCTAGGCATGTCGTTGGGTCGCTCGCGCTGCTGGCCCCGCCATCTATCCCATCATGGGGCAACGATGGCGTCGCATGCGACCAATTGCCCAGCACTTACTAATGGCTTATGTGCTCTGTTGCAGTCTATGTGCACGTTGGATCAGAGGCTGCCACCGAGCTTTTGGGCTCAGAGGGCGCGATCATCACCTCCCTCGTGAAGGGCGCCAAGTCTCTGACCACCATCAGCAAGGCTGAGCCCGCTCCCGCTGGCTGTGCTGTCTACACTGTCAACGAGGACATCAACCTGCTCCTGCTCGTCCGCGGCTTTGTCAATTTTGATGAGGAGCTGGGCAAGCTCGAGAAGAAGCTGGCCAAGGCCAAGGAGAACCTCTCGACCTGGAAGAAGAAGACCGAGGGCGCTGACTACGAGGCTAAAGTCAAGCCCGAGGTGAAAGAAGCCAACGAGCTGAAGGTATGCACTCTTGACTGCAGCGCCCTCTGTGTGGGAATGGAGCATATCTGCTTGGGTGGCTGGATGAGCAAGCGGCGCACAAGAAAATGTCGGAGTTGCCAGCCTCCGACTGTGCTCTGACGGTGTCACTACTCACAGATCAAGGGCTTCGATGCCGAGGTGGAGGCTCTTACCGCCAGCATCAACAACTTTGTGTCTCTGCGGGATGCCTGAGGAACATAGCGAGCACCACCGTGATTTGCGACAGGGTCGTGGGGCTTGCTTGTTGGGGGATGAAGCTCGTCCGTGAATATCAGCGCATCCAAAACGAAACGGAGCATCCTGTCCTTTGAACCAGGCGGTGGTACCTTTATTTCGCGAGTCCTCAATACACCCATCCGCCGTAACCAAACGGTTTGGCGAAGAATCACAGCTGCCGTGTGGCAGAAGCGCGATGTCAACACAGGGCGAATGGCAAACTCGAGAACAACCCGCGCGGTTTCACTCGGAGACTGCCAATGTGATCCATGATCCTTGCAAACAGCCTTGTCGGGAGGTGTTCTGTTTTCCTGAATATCGTGCCCAGCCGCAGGCAGCACCTCCGTTCGAAACTGCATCGTTGGCTCGGCGTCGCCGCTATCCTGGACGACGGGTCAATTGATCAGGTTCATGCACGCCTTTCGCACCGCAGGCAGATCCGACAATCGGTCACAACACGGCTGAATGTGGGGGGAAACAGAACACGACGGCCACAGGCCTCGATCTGGGGTGCCCATTTCATTTTGTATTTCAGGACAAACACAATCCGTACAAACACGCCCAGCCCAGCCCGGAAATGTCAAATTTAAGCAAGGTTCTTCTTGAGGGTGCCGAAGTACGAGTTCTTCTCCTCGATGGTCTGGAAGCGACCGTGACCGAACTTGGAGGAGGTATCGATGAACTTGAGGCTGACCTTCTCGAGAGCCGAGCGGCGGGTGTGGACGACCAGGGACTTGCGGAGGGTGATGACACGCTTCTTGGGACCCATGACACAGCCCTTGAGCATGACCCAGTCCTCGTTGACGACACCGTAGTGGGGGAAGCCACCGAGGGGAGTGATGGGCTTGTCAGTGAGATCGAACTCGGTGGAGGCGCCCTTGGCATCGCCAGCCTTGCCGACACGGTAGATCTTCTTGTTCATCTCAGTGCGGTGGTGGTAGCCCATCTGACCAGCACGGGGGACGGTGGTGGTGACGTGGGCAGGATGCCAGGCACCGATACAAGCAACCTTGCGGAGACCCTTGTGGGTCTTGCGGGGCAGCTTCTTGACACCCCAACGGGCGACGACACCCTGGAAGCCGTGGCCGCGGGTGACACCAATGATATCGATCATCTCATCCTGCTCGAAGACAGAAGCGACGTCGACAGTCTTCTCGAAGTGCTCCTTGGCCCAGTCGACCTTCTGAGCGACAGTGCCACCGTTGAGCTGGATCTCCATGACGTGGGCCTGGATTGGGCACGATGAGCGTCAGCGAAATCCGAAATCTCTATCGTTTGCGGACAAAACCAACAGACCAGACCCACACTCAACCACCGCCCCGGCTACCCACCTTCTTCTGACCAAGCTTGAGCTTCTTGATCTGGGTGTGGACGATGACACGGACGACCTGGCAGTACTTCTTGATGCGCTCCAGCTGCTGCTCGATGGGCTTGGCACCCTCGGTGTACTTCTTGGCGTACTTGGTGAAGGCCTTCTCCTTGGAGCGGTACCAGTTGCGGTACATGCGGCGCTTGAGCTCATCAGAGAGATGCTCAGCCCAGACGGTGGTGAGGGAACGGAGACCGCGGGGAGTCTCGACGTAGCCAACAACACCAACAACGACAACGGGGGGAGTCTCGAGGATGGTGACAGCCTCGACGATCTCCTTCTTGTGCATCTCTGCAGTCGCGGAACAGTGTCGGTGAGCCCGCCGAGTTTGCGCTTCGAGCCCAGATCCATCACCACCAGCAAAGACAGTACTTACTGGCACCAGGACGATCCAGGTCACGGACAATGTGGGTCATGCCGGCCTTGTAGCCCAGGAAGGCAGTCAGGTGGACGGGCTTCTTGGCGTCGTCCTTGGGGAAGGACTTGGCCTTACCACGGTGTCTGGCGGCACGCTTACGGGGGTTGAAGCCCATAGAGCCTACGATGATGATGATAGGACGGGCCAATGGGTTAATGACGTGAACGCTGGCGCGATCCCGGGTGTTCCGCCTCCGTGTGAGTGCCTGTCCGTTCGATCCTCTGCCCACCGAGTGTTCCCATCGTATTCCAACCCCGCCCACGTCTGGAGGCGATCGTTACCGTTTCTGGGGTGCTCAAACTTTCTGTGAGACTAGCGATGTGGGCAGTCGACGACGTGGTTGAATCAACAGCGTTGGCAGGTGTGGTTGAATCGGGACAAGCACGGAGGGAGCAAGGATTAGCCTGGCATGCCACACCCGAGGCCAAGCACGAACAGCGCAGCCGGTGCTGGATCGTGGTGTCGGTTCCAGCGATCGTCGGCTGCAGCGATGCAACGACGCTGCAGCCAGCCGTAGGCAGCCGCCGCGAGAGTCTCTCGGCCTGCCTTCGCACTCGGTGCATCGTCCTGCAGCGCGGCGTCTCGGCCCCGTCGCTCGGTCCGTGTCATACCATTGTTCCGGGACTGTCAGAGAAACAAAAGTCCGTGGGTCGGGGAAGAGGAGGAAGAAGGCCGCCTGCTGCAGAGCAGCTTCTTTTGGTGCCGTGGCCGCGGAAGAAAAAAGACACGTGTATGGCTTGTGTGGCGCAGGCTGATGTCAGCGGCCTGTGCGACGCTGCGGCGCATCCGCCCCGGCTGGCGCTGGATCGAGGGCGGCTCGAGCCAGCGCACACACACACGGCCGGCATTGTCCTGGCATTGCTCCGTCTGGCTTGTGCTCTGCGTTGCCTCGCTGTCCATCGCCAAGTCGTCTGTCTGCCCACAAGCCCGCTGCCATGGTACGCACCCTGCTCGCCGAGCGCCGGATGCTGAGAGTCCCTGCGGCCTGCGGCGACAAACACAGATCGCATCATGCCGCTCGATCGGTGGAATCGCCAATAAACCTCGCTCTGCATCCGCTGAACCTGCATTTGCACGCGTTATCCTCTTCCGCCCGCGAATGAGCCAGTCCAACAACCAGGGAATCTCAACACTGCTTGAGGCCGAAAAGGAGGCCTCCAAGGTGATCCAGAAAGCCAGACAATGTAAGCCTGCGGGTTTTTGGAGGTGCAGCCCGACAGCGAGACCCTATCCTGGATCCGGTCCGCCCGTTTCGTCGCGACCGCCGTCGTGCCATCGTTTTACACACTTGCTGGCAGCAGCAGCTGTGTGCCCCCCCCCCAAAGCCTCTCTCCAGTGCTAAAGGCCTCTATGACACCCCACTCTTCCGTCGTGTGACCTTGGTTTTGCATCCGTCGTTGACATTCGTGTCTGCATTCCAGACCGCGTCCAGCGTCTCAAGGATGCTCGATCCGAAGCTGCCAAGGAAATCGATGTCCTGAAGGGCGAGAAGCAGCAGGAATTTGTCCAGTTCGAACAGCAGGTTCGTGCAAATTAATCAGCAGATCCGCTGGCCACGCTTGTCGCAGGCGGTCGAGCCCTGTTATGCAATCCAGATCATCGACTGCACCTCAATACTCCGTACTTCAATGTCGATCTGCGTCGCCACGGCCGCTAATCATGCCGTCGATCTCTTGGCCGTCGCACCGTTTGTCCAGTTCGCGGGCTCATCCGACAGCGCCTTTGCCGGCGTCACCAAGGAAACCGACGATCGACTGACGTCAATCAACGCCGCCTATCTCCAACACAAGCACACCGTCATTGACAAGATGCTTGCCGCTGTCGAGAACGTCCATCCTAAGGTCTGTATCAGACCGGGCATCCGAAACTGGGGCACTGCTTTTGCGCCCTCCCACCAAGCTGCTCGGCAAGATACGGCCTCATTTTGCTAACATCGGCGTATTCTCTCATCCTGCCCTCAGATTCACCCCAACGCTATCCCTGTCTCGCGGGAGGCTTGAGTGCGAGCATCTGGCTGGATGCAAGTGAATGTCGCTCATCGATGCTTCTGCATGCAGTCTTCTCGTGCCAGCTGGACGCATTCCTAGGCCTCAGCCGTCCCGACAAGCCCCGCCGCCTTTCTTTGACGGTGCTCTATTGTAATGGTGCGGCTGCAAATACAGGAACCTGTCCCTTTCAGTCGATAATGTGCAGAAACTCCTTGATCGTCTGCACATTCATCTGCCTCATCTTGGTCTATCCCGGTCCGCAACAGTCAAGACGTGATAGCCGCTGCGTCAGTACCAGTTATTGCCTTCTGCACTGCGATTACGGTAGCCTCCGCCCTCACGTGGCTTGAGCCCGAATCTCACCTTGTAGTGGACCAGGTCGGCGTCACTGCCGTTCATGATCTCGGTGAGCCGCAGGCAGAACTGTGATGGGTACTCAGGCTCGACCCGGAGCAAATATGTCAAGCCACTTTCGGCCATGATCTCGATTTCGCGCTGCTCGGCGTGATACTCGATTGCCACACGATATTCGGCCTGATCCTGAATGAGATCGCTGAGCTCGCTCTGGAGGCTGTAGTATTTTTGTGCTCGGTTGTAGGCTTGACGGGTCACAAACGGCAGCATGGCACTGAGATTCGGCAGCTTAAGATTGGCGTATGTGATAATATCCTCGATGGGACAATCCAAGCCGACGAGCTGTACATCAAACGACACCGCAGAAGCTCGTTAGAATTGAATACCCAGCCCGACTACCGACAGCCATGGAACAGCGGCGATGCATCTCGATTCTTTGCACAAACCTTGGCATTAAGGGTCAGCAGCGAGCCCCTCGAGCCATCGGGATTCAGGATCAGCTCCAGCACAATGTCGCTTTCACCAGGGGCAAACGGCGCATATGCAATCCTCAACCGCGTTTCCGAGAGATATGTGATATGGCTCACGCCGTTCATCTCCTGCAGGAAAGCAGCCATGGAAATGAACCTGTGGGGACAAGAGCATCAGCCAGTCAGCAACTATCGCCACCGCTCGGATCTGACAGTGCCCATCGGATTCGCGCTTGCTTTTCCGACGACAGAGAGGGTGGCGTCATCGCGGTCATAGGTCCTCACCATTTGCCTGTAGAATTGATTCTCTTGTCGCGGTATTCGGTCATCACATCAAGCTCGTGCAGTGTCTGCAGGGTGTGAATCTTGGACCGTTTGAGCTCAGCAACCTCCTTATCGATGTCTTGGTTTTGCTCGTTGATTTGATCCAGTTCATAGTGCTGCTGCTGCAGCTGGTGGCGAAGGCTCTCGAGCTCGATTTCCTTGACAATGATACATATTTGTCAGCGTCGTGGTGTTTGTAAGAAATGACCTGCACTTTAACGACAAATTTGCTCACAAGAAGCCCAGCACAGTCTGCGTCCACCAGCAGGTTAAGCCTCTCTATTGTGTCTTCGAGCCCTACCTGTTCTGCCAGCTCTTGAAGAAGGTCCTGGGGCGTATCCTGTTTTAGCCGCGACAGTCAGCAAACTATGGCGTAGCTGACTCACGGCGCTGACGGAATCGGTCTCCAAGGTCCCAGGGAAGAAACAAGCGCAGTGGTTGTTTCTATCGGCTCCAATTCGTCGGGCGCTTACCTTCGCCATCTGTGATACTTCCGATAGAAGCATGGCATGTTCATGTTTCTATTGGGGGGAGGGATGAATCGATAGACCACTGTCCGGTGAGATCACAGACTTGTAGGCCAAGCATAGAGCAAGCGACTTCAATACATGGCCTCAGCACATGAATGCTTCACCCACCAGACTCTCCGACTGGGACGCGAGATGCTCTGCATTGCCTTCCATAGTTTGGAGCCTCTCGGACTCTGATGTTACAGTAATACAGATAAGCACATATCGCCGGGTAGTTTGGGTAGCTGTGTGAATCACGCATCTGCTTGAACAATACCTTGCTGAATGGACTCGAGAACCCCTTCGATGTCCTTGACCCGCTGCTCGTAGAGCTCCTGGAGCTGGGCCAGATCGGCCTTTTCTTGCTCGATATCTTGCTCTGTGAAGCGACAGGGGACACGATTACTATCGATCATGAAGACAAGGCCTTCTTCACCATTTGGAGTGCCAAAGATACATACCCAGCCTCGCCAGGTCGTCACTGTTGGGTGGTCGGTAAGAGCTTGGGATCACAGACTCAAGAAATCGCTTCTTCTTGTTCAGTTCGGTCGAGACGAGCGAGAGGCTGTCGTATGCTTTCTGGAGGAAGCGCATAGAACGGTATCAACATCATGTCTTGGTAACAACAGAGCCCGCATTACCGATACATCCCGTCGCTAGAGCTGCCAGAGGCGGTATGCCGACCTTGAGAAACTCGATTTCGGCCAAGGCAATGTCGGGGTTGAGGAGGAGCAGCTGGTTCAAGTCCAAGCCATCCTCCGCAATCCTCAGACTCGGCAGTCTCGATTCCGATAGCGCGGCCTTGAATTGCTCCGAGTAGACATGATATTGGTACGGCTGTTCGCTGGCAGCTGTAGATGTCCTGCGAGGCGGCCCCAGCGAACCAGTTAGCCACGGCTGTGGTCCGACCGCATCGCCCAGCCATATGCGACGCATCGGATCTCCTACATCCCGCAAGCATCAGTCGGCACCGCTTATAGGCTGCATACTCGTTCGCGGCAGAATCCATGGTGTCGGTGCTGGTGTCAATGCTGGTGTCGGTGCTGGTGTCGGTGCTGGGCAGATCGCAGATCAGAGGGGGAGCGGCCGGCGGTTGGTGCTGGCTGCCTTCCATCTTGGGCCAAATTGATTCGATTCGTTTCGAGCCAGCGCCCTCGCCGTGCATCCGAATCAACACCATCGCCGACACAGCGGCCCATCTGCACACCCCTGCGATAGATACAACGGTTTTCGGTTACTACCCTTATTTCATGGTCCCTTGCCGCAATGGAGCCTGATCAGCCACATATTCTCTTTTCACTTGGAGGGCATACGGCCCCTGTTCTGGCCCTCGACATCGACCACCAACACAATCCAACCCGTCTCCTCTCCGGATCCGAGGACGGATCTGCTCGGCTCTGGGACTTGGAAGCACGGAAAGTGGCCCGTGGCATCCGCGCCGTGCCGAGCGATCCAGCTGCAGCGGTTAGTGCCTCGTCGGTTCAACTTTCACCCAAGCCCCTTGGCCCGATTTTCGCGATAAATAGATCTGTGCACGAATGCTGAATGACGACGATATGCCCCACATCAGCCTCGCCCCGTCACCGCTGTCAAGTTCTCGCCTCTCAGTCCTGAGCATACCGTGTACATCGCCGCTGGAAATCAGGTCCGAGCTATTGCTTGACTCTATCGACGCCAGTATCTTGAAGATGTGAGCACAAGCTCCTCAGCGCATTGCCACGGATCGCCGCCTACAAGCCACTCTTTCTCACTGTCGCATTTGATCGATCGCCACCATCAGATGCTCGTTTTTGATCTGCGTGCGCCTGGCATGGTGCTGTCCACTCCATCGTCAAGCTTTCCGCCGGCCAAAGAAGAGATCAACAGTATTGCCATCAGCGACAAGGAGCAGTACGTCGCAACTGTTGATGACTCGGGGGACGTACTTGTGATGGACACCAGCTTTGACGGAAACCGTGGTCGCTGTCGGAGGATGCGACGAGGGCATGATAACGTAAGGATGACCGCATTTGCTCTCAGCAACCGCATGTCCCGGAACTGTGCTATGGCACAGGCATCGCAACTCATGGCATTCGCAGCATCCACTATAGATTGACCGGATTGGCAGCTGATGGCACTGGCCTGGCCTATTGACCGAGCGTCGGTGTGCATTTGGATCGATGATGTTTTTCTCAGATCGCTATGGCCGTAGCCTTTCGTCCAACCAAGACGTGGGAAGGTGGGCTTGCCAGACACTTGCAGCAGTCTAACGACCCTCGCTTTCTGCCTCACCATCCGCTGTACTCGTGTACCCACTGATCTCGCTTCGCTCTCCGAGCCAGTTTGGTCCGGCGGAATGGATTCGACCATGAAACAGTGGGATTTTTCACGCGGCACCACCATCAATGAGTACGACATGAGTAAGTCTTTAAAGCTTGCCATGCACCGGTTGGTAGTCTGGGGCCTTTATCGTGGCGCACGATCTCTCGAGGCATAAGTCAAGTATTCTGAGATTCATCTACAAACGCCAACAGCCGTGGCAGAAGCCGCTCCAACACCACAAGTCGTCAATCCTCCGCATATCCATTCGCTTGCAGTGGCATCGGATGGACGAGCCCTCGCATCAGGCCTGGGCGACGGATCTATATTCGTGCTGGCCCAACCGGCTCCCGCGATTGACACCAAGAGCAAAGGCAAGGACAAGGGTGACAAGAAAAAACGAGCGCCAATGATTTCAAGTCGCCTTGAAGGGCACAACTGGAGCGTTTCCGCAGTGTAAGCGACACTCACGCCCTGCACATTTTCTTGATTTTATCAACTCTGGTTTTAACTTTGCCTCTGATATCGCCGATTCAGAGACTTTATCACAAACTCGCCCACGGCGACAGCCACCGCATCCCAGCTGCTCGTTTCAGGAGGCATCGACGGCCAACTGAAGCTGTGGGGCCCATCCGGGATAGAAGAACAGAGCCCATATGTCGTGCGCACAGCGTACCAACTGGACAAGAGAGTCAATGCCATGAAATGCGCCTGGATGCCAACTCGGACTGGAGGTGATGTCGCGCACGATTCCATCGTAGCATTTGTGTCTGGTGTTAGTCGGTCCGACAATCCAGCATCGGCCAGGGCGTCAACCGAGATCGAAGCTGTGATGGTCGAGCAACTGGCTCGTACGTGAGGCTTACAGAATACAAATCGGCACAAATGCGACCATGACACAATCCGAGCCATCTGGGCCGGGCCAAGATTCTGCCACTTGGATCAAAGCAGCCCGCCCACGATCACTGTTGGGCACGGTGTCCTCGACGCTGTTACGGACTCATGGATTCATGGGTCGCCCCCAGGAGCTGCGGGAAACGAGAATTGCTCGCCATCGCCCAGCATCTATTTCGCATTGCGGCTGTGTGCCTTTTTAGTCTTGGCATAGGACCACATGCTCGTGTGCTCCCCACCTCCCAGGACCCGTAACTTTGCCATATTATCAACCAAAACATCCATCGGATCATCGATTTCGACCGGGGCTGGCGAGTGCGGCGAGATTCGTTCTTCCATCGACTCGACGCTCGGCTGAGGCTCTGTTATCAGAGTAGATTGGCCATCCATCGACGATGTGGATGGAGCGCCGCTCAACGAAGCAGCCGCCTTCCTTCTGTTTCGGCGATTTTTGCTTACGGTCGGCTTTCTGTCACCAGCTGCCATATCAACTTTGACCGCTTGGTCCATCGCTGCCAGCATCTTGGTTTGTAGATCGGCAATGACAACAGCGGCTTCTGTCTCGGTTCCCATCAAGACATCGCCATCGGGCTTTGGCTCGCGATCGTTATTGCACTCCATCGATACATTCGGCTCAGACTTGCCCTTTTCTCGCCGCTTCGTCCCGGGATGGAATATGACGTCGGAGTGCCTATAACAGAGGCGCTATCAGAGGGCAGCCATGGCTCGGCAACACCACCGACCCCCGCTGCTCGTGGCTGCCGCTTGAGATTCTTCCCCATGCTACTTACCCATGCTTGCTATGGTGACCGCTGGCTCGCCGCCCAGGGCCTCGCGGTTTCTCGCTGAGGGCTTTTGCTGATCCCAGCACAACGTCAAAATGAAAGTCGGCAGGGAATCGATGCTGCTCGATCAGATGGTGCTGACGACTCTGTGGTGACAGGCTCTTGACGGGGCAGCCCTCGACGTAGCACTCGTACTGGTAGTTGGCAAGAGAAAGAACCAGGCAGGATCGATGCGCGGGATCGATACTTGCGGATGAGAGCTCAGACTGGAAGAGCATGGCCGATCAGCTCTGCGGCGAATGGCCTGAACGAGCACTGCAACAATCAAATCGGCGGGCCTTACCGATGGCGCACGATCTGCAAGGACGGCAAAGAACGAGTCATGAACTTCGAGAAGATGCAGGTGCAAGAGCTGCTCGGTGTGCAGATAGCGCCTGCATATCGAGCATCGGTGGTTGTGGGCAATGTCATGGTGAAAGTCGTATTCGCTCATGGAGGCAAAGGGGCCTAGCTGGCAGCAAGTGGGCGTCAGCCGACAGACGAGCTGGAATCTGCAGAGATATAGAGTGTCAGGCTGGGAGCGTTGTGCGGTGGGTGCTCGGATCGGCTCTCGCAACCTGCCCAGTTAAGCGAGCTGAGGACGGGGATACCTCTTGCCAGAGACTTTTGCCCTCTCGGCATGGTAGTTAAGGTCCTCCTGGCTGATTTTGCCATACTCCTTCATGGGCTCAAGATCAGAGTCGACCTTTTCCACATCGTCGATTGCTTTCGGCGGCTGCTCGCCATCTGTTCGCACCGGGTCTGCATCCGCCTTGGCCCAGTTGATGCGCTTGGTTGGGCGAGCCGGCTTCTCATGGCAGCCCGAGGCAGTCACCGGGCTGTTGGTGTCGGTATCGGAGTCAGGGTCGAGTTTTCGCTTCGCAGGCCGAACCTGTGTCCAGGTCCAGGTGGAGTTGTCAGCGGGCCCAGGTGTTGCTGTCGATGTTGATGCGCTTGACGACATGGCAGATCGCTCTTTGCAAGCCAAGGCGATGAACCTGGCTGATCTTGGCTGGAAAGAGACGCGGCCGACAGGCTCTGAAGAACGAAGCTGGCGGACCAGCTCCCTTTCCTGCTCTTCCCTGCTCTTCCCTGCTCTTCCCTGCTCTTCCCTGCGCTGTTCCTGAACCTGGACCTGAACCTGGACCTGGACCTGAACCTGGACCCAGTATCGACCGTCTTGATTGGCTCGTCACCCATGTTGTGTGGACGAGCTGCTGTCGTGGGCATTCACAGCCTTGGCTGCTTGGGCAGCATGAGCCGGATGGGTTGCTTGCTTCGCCGCCACATCCATGTCTCGCCGGGCTTGCACTCGTTGAAGAGTCTGTTGCAGCCCAAGCCTGTCCAGTTGAAGCTGGAGAGTGGTCTCGAACGCAGCAACGGATCCGACGACAATGGTCCGAGGCGCCATGTGCCTGTCATGCTCGAGGAAGTCGTGGAGTACCTGCAAATGAAGCTAGATCTTGAGACTGGGGCTCTGCTCGACGATGCCTTCAACGACCCCAGCACCAAGCGGCTGTTTTGCGATGCAACCTTTGGGGAAGGCCATTATACCAGGAAGCTCTTGGGTAACTACTGGTTTGCAGGCTTCGATGAGATTCCCCGATCGATGGATCTGCTCCAGGCAGACGGCTGACTCCACATTTCGGGTGGGGGCAGACACATTCAACTGCGACGTTGTCGTCGTCGATCAAGACCCGTTTGCCATAGAGCGAGCAAAGAAGCTGGCGGATGAGGAGCCGTACAGGTATGTGGAGGCGTCTCGTGCAAACATTGATTCCGTTCGTCTGACTGCGGCGATCGTTGCTCCCTGTCTGTTACCAGGGGCCGAGTCGTTCCAATCCATGGCAAGGTATGTGTTTCGCCCAGAGTCGGCTGATTTAGTAAGGACCTGGCCAGTGCAGCTGGAGTTACTCCGAAGCGCTAACATCCTCGTGTGGCCGACCGCAAGTTTGGGGATCTCAAGGAGCTGATGCATAGGCGACTCGGATCAAGGTATGCATCACGATCTCCGACATAAGTGCCCGTCAGAGCATGCGGAGGCTCAAAACGATTCTGAACCAGCCTGTCCCTCCGACTGCGGAAGAAGCATGCCATGCTTGGATGGTATCGTTTTCGATGTTGGCGTAAGCTCAAATCAAATCGACGAGCCCTTGCGCGGATTTTCATTCCGAACAGAAGGCCCACTTGGTCGGTAGTGTCGCCGATCCGTGCTTGCAGAGCCGCTCACAGGTTCGAGATGGGAGACTTATCAGCGTCCCATCAAAGACATGAGAATGTCGTCCACAGGGGCTCTGGAGCAACCGACTATCGAGCCGCATGTGGCGAGCGAAGGACTGAGTGCCCTGCAAGTAGTCAACGGTAAGCAGCGCACTGCCGAATCGGCCCGGATCTCGTTGATCCAAAGCAACGGACGAGCAGAAGCAACCCGATGAGTCTGCCGCCGATGGAGCATGATCGTGAACAGCGCTAAAGGCTTGTGCTGCCGATCTCTGGTTGATTGCAGAGTTCTCACAGGACCAGCTGGCGCATATTATCAAAGAGGTATTCGCGTAACTCGCACCAGGACAGCTCGCTGACAAGCACGCCAAGTGTGGACATGGCACAAGGACCCCCAATCGTTTTGATAACGAGTGGTGGTTGCTAACAGACCTTGTTCCTCGTGGATCAGTACGGCGAGGAGCGATTTGCGCACAGAGTCGCCCGCTTCATCATCAACGAACGCACGAGAAAGCCCATCACTACCACCAGCCAGCTGGCATCCGTCGTCGCAAACGCAATTGTCCCGCGATTCAAGGGTAAATACGACTGGTCCAAGCACCCAGCGACAAAAACGTAAGCCATGACTTGTTTGAGAGCCCGGAATGCCGAGAACCCGGGAGCAAGTGGCGGTGATGCTTACTCTACTGTTGAATGCATTGCTCTAGATTCCAAGCGTAAGCGCACAGACATCGTCTGCAGCTGTCCCCTGCTCCTACCCTCCAGCAGTTGATTCGACTAACGCACATACGTTGACGCAGCATTCGGATATATGTCAATGACGAGGTATGCACGATGGTTGTGGCAACAGGAGAAATCGTTTGTGCTATGTGTGGCAACATAGGCTTCACTCTGAACTCGAAATTGCATGGTGACTAGCGCGATGGAACGCACTGAGGCGACAGCAATGCTGTGGTATTAAACATGGAGTTTGCATGACACTCGCTTCACTTTCTATCCACCGCGGTTCAAGCTGAATGAGCTCCGCAAGGGCCTCAAGGCAGCGGAAGAGCTTCTGAAACCCGGCGGACATTTAGTTGTTGTCACATTCCACTCGCTCGAGGACCGTATCGTGAAGGAGTTTATTCACACATGCGCGGGTGGAGCCCACAGGCTTTCTCAATCAGAGATTCGAGGTATGCCACCATGGCTGTCGTCATGAATGATCTTGTCTCTGTTTAAGCTGATTTGATTATGTATTTCATGTGAGACGGAGCGTTGATGCTCTAATCAAAATATCTTCGCCCCTCCCCAGCTCGACGAAAGACTCACCATATCGAAAGCGAGCGAGACGAAGAATACGCAGCCTCAGCTCACTATCTAGTGGAGGATGCCACTCGAGCAGCACGGAGTGGTCCGAAAGACATGCATCTTCAGTCTCCACCATCCTTCTTCAAGCTCACATTTCGCACAGGTACGCCAATCCTCCATCCCCTGTCTACCGATTACTGTCGCAATTGGTTGATACTTATGCAGGGCACATCGTGCTCGTCCACCATGTCGTACATCCATATACCCATCCACTCGGCCCATATTATAGTGAAGCCAACTTCAACCGAGATTGAATCAAATTCGCGTTCGAGGTGAGCCAAGTCCCGACTGCATTTGCAACGCAACGGCCAACTGGATGATGGATGGGTGGATGGATGGCTGATATTTCGACCATGAGGACAGGTCTGCCAAGCTGAGGGCCGCTGTTCGAACCTTAAACAGTCCTATGTACGGACGACGCCTCGGATAAAGCAGAGCACATCCCCCCTCTCCCGCTATGGTCGCACCCGAAGAGTGGAGTCGCTTCCGAGTTGGCGATGCCGATCATGTCTGCGCAGCCCCTCCAAATCGAATGGGACGCCATAATTTGCTTTGCAGTGGTCATTGAGCGATTCGTATATGAAACGCTGTCGAGTCATCATATCCCGTCATTGTCGCCAGCGGTCATTGACAAGTTTTCTTGAGCATAGCATGTATGGTTCCCACAACTCGATCATCATGAGCGACGATCGACTTGCACAACTTGGCCCACGGGTGGATGAACTATGATGCACCGACCACCTCCCACAGGAACCTGAGGCATACCCCCTATCCATCCTCCATGGAATAGATCGTGGCCGTGCGCTTGGACAAGTCACAGGCATCTATTCACATCCAAGAGAAGCTGGCTGTCAACAAGAAAACGGGGGCGTCCCATTGCGTTTGTGAGCACTGTACTGGGATATCCGAAGGAGGCGACTGCATCGCCGTGCCATCTCATTCGTGCTTGGATCAAACTGCCAGCCGTCAGACAGGGCAAGCGAGATTCAGTACTTGTTCAGTCGCCACGTCCGACCAGCATCGTCTCTGGCCGAGGCCCATCGGACTGTCTTCTTTGCCGCACTTCCGGGCCTGCTTGTGGAGCTGCTGGACGCACTCCTGGTGCCTGCTAGGTTGACCACGACCAAGTCCTCGTCTTCACAGCAGTTGCATTCTCGCCCGTGGTTAGCTGTTGGCGACGGACGATTCTTGGATTGTCCGGCTGCCGCAGATTTGTGCGCAAAGAGGGAACCCATGGGCAGAACCGATGCCAGCCGCAGCAGATCCGAGTCAGCTTGAGTCTGAGGTCGTGTAAGTGAGATCGTAGTTCAGTGGAGGTTTGTGGAGCTTTGGCTTGGATTGGATGTTGTGGATGGGTACGGCGTTGGTTTACAGATTTGCTGTCGGGGCTCGGCTCGCAAAGCTCTCAAAGCTCGTCTGGATCCACAGTGTCGTCGGTGTCGATTTGGCAGTCCAAACTTACCGGAAATTCGATCACCAACGAGTTGATCGTTGCTCCCGAGGGATTTGTCGGCACGGTACTCGGCCGGATGCCCGGAGGCTGCATGCGCAAGTCCACAGGGGCCGGTAATGAGATGATATGGCGTGGCAAGAATCGGTCCCAACAGCAGCTCGGAAGCTTCCAGCCCGATAGCAGTCATTTCCTTCACCGCGCCGGACGTACCAGAGATTTTGTCCGAAAGCGATTGTCTCGTTCGACCGAAGCTGACGCGGCGGTCGTGGAGCGACTCATCTGCGCCACAATATGGTTAGCAAAATCAGCCATGCATCACAGCCCCCCAAAGTGCATGCACCGCAATACCTTTATAATCTCGCCGTTTCCATTGGGGCTCTTGCCTCGAACCGGACTCTGCGGCGACAAACCATGAATGGGCACATGAGTACGCGGCTCGTCGAGACTCACTTCACTACAGATGCCAGCCCATCGCTACCTTGGCTGGCACCGGTGGATTGGTTACAGATCTGAGTTTGGCCGGGGTGGCTGTCACGGTGTTCCTGGGTGACGATGGGACGACATTCAAAGACAGGCCTGATCCGGATGCCATTGGAGAGCTGTATGGCCGGGCACTTGGCTTGCGCTTGGTTAATTTCTTCTTGCGCACCCGCTTGACTCTCAGTTTTTCGTCGTTGGAAGTTGTTTCGGACTCCTCGCTGTCGATGTCAGCATGAGACGGTCAGTATGCACAAAATTGTCGGTGCCAGAGTCGTTCGAGATATCTCGCGGCATACCTGGCATCGGGAACGAAGCTGGGCATTTGGTTTGTGAGTCCGTCGACGAGAGTCTCGTGGACCCTTCGGCTTTTTTCTGCTATCGAGTAGTCCATCAGCGTCTTGCCGATATTCTCGCCCATTTTTTGCAAGTCCATAATCGTGTAGTGGAATCCACCCTTGCTGTGAGTGACACTCCCGCAGAACGAGGCCTCAAGCGTAAAGCTGTTGAGGATGTCAAAGCTCTTCCATACTGCGACCTAGAGCAATATGAGGACGGATAAGTCCATTCGGGTCTGTATCGGCCTGGGCCACTCTGACACTGTGATGTCGACAATGCGGCGTCATCGGGGCCATGTTTGTTCGTTTCAGTGCGGCATCTATGTCGGCTCTATCGCTACCACTTCTCCAAGCACAGGAGCTCCAGAAATTGCGTAGCGAGCTTCCCGTCAGCCTTCCGTCAGCCTCCCGTCAGCTTCCCGCCAGCTACCCACCCGACCGGTTCCTTCCTTTGTCTTTTGGATCTTGAACTGGCATTTTTTGAATGCAAAGAGCTGTTCGGCGTTTTGGGAGAGCATGTACGGGAAGACACGTTCCTTGTATCTGCGGCGATAGTAGCAGAGTGTAGCACAATCAATGACCGATCCAGCGTCAAGCTCAAAGAAAACGGTAAGCTGGATCTCTAATGGTCCGACTGAGAGGGCATGACGATCCGCTCAATGTTGCGGCGAAAACCGCTTTTGTGACTCACTTTCTCTCTTTGTTGTCGTCGTTGTTGCAGCCATAAATAAATATACCATGTTTTCGACTGCTCGGACGGAAGAACTGTGATGAGTGCCGGTTCAGTGGTACGACCACGCATCGACCTCTTGGCATCACCTGTGTCCATGGAGATCACAATACATGATCACTTCGCGAGATTTTATCGACTGCTCGAGAACGTCCCTGATTGCGAATATCTCTGGAACTTCGTCCTGTCGATCCATTTCTGCGTTCCACTGTCGATTCAGGTCGTATCCTTTCAAGTTGCATCGATAATTACCAACGATCACACCATCTGTACGGAGGTCGTGTCAGACCGAATACCACCAAGTGCTCCTCACAGTTATCAGACAAATACGTGAGCGTATCTGGAGAACAAAGTCACTCCAGGCCCGCTCGATGCAGAGAAGGGTCTTGTCCACTCGTTCAGCGTACCTGGGTTAAGCATTGGAACTATTTTGATGATGTAGTTGTCGCGCAGAAATCGTGCCTCCGCCGACTCTCCCAAGATGAACTCAATAAACCCCTTGCGTTACCAAAGTACACCCGATTAGATGGTGCTGTCCAACTGGTCAACTGATGCAGGGTCACCAACGACTCACTTTCATCATCCAGCTTGAGTTGGTTTCTCCTGTGCATATTGTTTTATAAGCCGCACACATTGTCAGTTCTCTGGCGCATAGCTTGATCGTGATAGCATGGCCTGTTGGGGGGGGGTACTTTTTCGCTGCTGACTCACCGGGATGGACCCTTGCCGACAGCACGATGCCTTTGCGGGACTTGAGGTCATCTGGATGCTCAATCTTGGTTGTGACCGTAATGAGATCGATGCTTCAGCGAAATGGATGGCCGTAGATTGGTTATTAAATGCCGTAGCGCGCACCAAGATATACATCACTGGCCCTCGCAGATACAGCGACAAGACATATCCCGTCGAAAATCGTACTTGTTTCCGCCCAAGGTCTTTCCGACAACCCGATGGCGGAAGTAGCATGTTCTCGCTGAGTCTGACTTTAGTTCAGCGATGTATCTGCAGCACAAGATCAAAGTGGATGTGTGAGCCCGATGCCGCGTACGGTTGACAAGAAAAATATCCAGAGCGCCAGCGGTGCTGTAACGAACAACTCGGAAGGTAGCGTCGCTTCGTACCGCTGCAAGTCGGTGTATGTATATGGGTAGCAATGTGCAAAGTAGCACGTATCATTGTCATCTGAAAAAAGGAAAGCGATGACACCACGTTAGGCCGGCACAGACGAGGTATGGATCTTACAGCCGTGCTCGGTCATAGGCGCACTCGATACAGCGGTGGGACGCACAAGCCGATACTTACGCCCAAAGATAATGGTAAACGTAAGTGTGAATAGCGGGCGCGTCTGGTTCGAGTCCTGGGTCTCTGCACGATCATACTTGACGTCCGATCCAAGTCGCTGCCAGCCCAAATCTAATAAACTCCCCAGACGGACAAGCAGCGTGCATGTTAATGGCTACAGCCCGGCCTGCTATGCCCGTCGCGAATCTTGGCTTCAGTTCCTGGCCGACACTGTGTCCTACCTCGTTGCTTTGCGTCTTTTTCCGAAAACATCAACGGGAGCATGCCGTGATTGTAAAGACTGTCGGGCTTCATGAAATTTGTAATGTTGAACTTGTACGGCACACGTGCCCGAGTGTTCGACACTCTAAAGTAGAACCACTGCGTATGACCTGGTGCAAGGGGTTTGGAAGGTAGTCAGAGTGGCGACAGGGTTGGTGAGATCTAGACCTAGACCTGCCCTACCTTTGGTGTTCAAATCGTTCCTGACCTGACAATCATACTCGTATTCGCCCCTGATATGTATGTGGGATCAGTTTAGCAGACCGAATGGTGCCTCGAGGGCAGCAATCGCAAGCGCTACTCACACTCTCGAAGCTTCTTGCAAATTGCCGCTCTCGAATCGAGACTCGAAGACAAGAGTGGTATCTCTGTCGGATGCTAGCTTGTAGTATGGCTCCTGGTGTTCGGCCAAAATGTTGGCTTGTTGTGCTTCTCCGCACTGTGTAGAACGTGGCTATGGTAGTGCCGCATAGCATTTAGGATACAGCTCCTACCTTTGCTCGTTTGCCAAACACAGCTTCATAGACTAGAACGGGATCAAACAGAGGGGTGCTTTTCTTCATATATGGGGTTTTTGTTGATTCTTGTCGCATTTGAGTTTGGAGCGTCGAGCAGTTGCGGTGCGTTAGTATGTGCCGGTACTCGAAGCACATATTTGCATGCTCTGGAAGCCAAGTACCAGCAACCACGGCCTGCAAGGACTCGCCGGATGGGTCGAAGCTCACCATCAGGGAGGCTAAAGTACGATACGGATTCACTTGAATTGGAGAGAGGCTCAACGTTCGGTGTTATATCCGTGCTTCCCATACCAGCCGGCCTGATGTGATGATGGTGATGATGGTGATGATGGTGATGATGGTGATGATGGTGATGATGGTGATGATGGTGACAATGTCAGTAATAATTTGAGGGATAGACACGCGGCGATTCATTGGTTGCAGGTCTGGTGCAATGCCTACCATCGTGCAACAGGCAAGGTCTCCGGAGCTTCCGAAAGTGGGCGTGGACCTGATATTAGGTCGGGGTTCAGCGATCGGCGTGGAAGTCGAATCTTTGGAGCATCTGTAATTGTAAACGAGCGTAATCGCAAGTGAGGTTGCGTATCTGCGGCTCAGTTATCAAACCAAGGGCACGCGCCAGCCCTTCCTCTGGGCTGTAATGACAGTACTCGAATGTTCACTCTTTCCCTTTATCGTAGCAAAGGCACAGCGATATTGCGTTTACGATGCGGCATCGAGCCCCTGTTCGTGCGGGATGAGCCGCAAGCGATGGTGCTACTACTGAAGACAATACCATCTTCTGATGAGTCGCTCGAGTCGTACTCGTCACGTTCCCGCTCCTTCATCAGGGCCTCGAGACGAGCAGAGGCACTTTCAAATGCCTCGTCATTGTAATGATGGTAGGATTTGGATTCACCTTGATTTGCATCCATCGATGTCCGTGTTAGCTTATCTCACACGCAGACGCTTCGCTGGTTATGCAAACTTACCCGTTCCGTGCCAGGCCTTGAGCGAGTCTCCGCGGATCTACGGATGGCCAATGTTAGATCACCAACCGACAGCGATACAGTTCAGTTTGGGGACGCTCAGAGAGCATGAATCCACACGTCGGTCGATCAAATCACGGCATCGCCGATAGAGTCAGGCCAACACGGCTTTGACATCTGCTAACCCAGCATTCAACATATCGCTCACCAGTGAATATGGATCTGAGTCGTGGCCGTCGACATATTCTTCGTACGATGAACGGCCGTCCCGACCATGGTTCGCCAGCTCCTGGATGCCTTCGATATGGAAGGACGCGCCAGTGGCCTCGAGGGAGCTGTACTCTCGCACGGAAGCCAGCTTCGAGCCAGAGCCGAAGTGCTGCTCAGAGGCTATCGGCGGCATCGATGTTTCTCGTCGTCGCCCGGGGACAGTCATATCAAAGTATACGGTGAAACCGCCTCCGGGTGATTTAGGACGCGGCTTTGGGGGGTCCCGGCCTGTCGAAGAGGGTGGGTAGGACGCCGATAGCGCAGGGCCAAAGATGGTGCCGGGGTCTGTAAAAGACCGCTTGTGGGTGCTGAAATGGGGGTGCGGGTGGTCTCCAGAGGATACATTCTGTGGAGGCTCTGCTGGATGGGCATCGGCTCGCTTGGGAATCGCCTGGCTGCCAGTCCTCTCGCTTGCTTTTACGAGCTTGACCTCGGCACCGAGTATGGTCGAAAGCACCTTGGGCTCAAACACAGGCCGTGTTGGGGGCGAGGGTGGGAGCGGGCTTGCTCCAAGTCCGTGTTTGGTCGAGGCGTGGGAATGTCCCTGGAGGGCGCTTTCGCCAGGGCCGCGATAGTGAATCAGCGGCCCTTGCTTGGCACCCTTCATGAAGCCTTCGTTGGGAATCTTGTTTTGCAGTATGGGAGCGGGCTTGCCTCCGCTGTCCAGAGCCGATACCATCCTGGCATACTTTTGTCGAGGGTCAAGAGGCACACTCATCAGGCGGCGATCGTTTCAGCGGTTTCCAGGTTGGGTTAGTTGGTTGGTTTGTTGGTTGGAAAAAGCGACCAGCCAGCAAGCGTGCAGACAGTCCAAAGGCAGATTTCAGGGTGAGGCGATTGCAAGAAAATGTGCCGACTAGCGAGCAAGAGCATCCAGCCTGATGCAAACACGATTGGTTGTCGACGGTCTCATCAATCAATGGGTCGTCCCGCAATTGGCCGGCACCTGGATCTGCTGGCTGTGCAGCATTACAGCGAACGCATTTTGAAACGATGAATGGCGGGAATGAGTGCATTCCCACCTGAAAGAAAGCGGCAAAGGCAGGGCCACGTTTCTATGAATGCCGCATTCTTCACGACGCACACCCTGATCTCGCATTTACATCCCATCGCTATCGCAAGATGAATGCTCTTCTCCAGGAGGCGTTGTTGTCGACCAAGCACATCAACCATGCAGCTATTGTGCGGCGCAAGGATGGCTCGATCAAGGCCAAATCTCCTCAATTCGTGGTCAGCATCGGCAATCACTCGGCCTCCGCACATTCGATGCGGCTTGCTACTCTGTCGATCGATCACTTGATGCAGCTTGCTACTCTGTCGACCGTTCGTGAATGCGGGACTCTTGCTCACTGCTGCTGCCGCTGGGTCTGTTGTTTTCGTTTCTTGCGCAGATGACTGCCCAAGATCTGCAAAAAATCGTCACTGCTTTTGACAGCCCACGCGAAGTGCGAACATCAGAAAACGGCATCACGCTCATGGACATGGGATACCGAGCCGTGCGAGCGGACACCCTATCTATCTACGCGAAGAATGTGAGCTGTGTCGGAGGAATAGCGGCCGGATGGCGGTCGCCGAAGGAACTGCTTATGATCATGCCATCGCTGCCATGTCTCGGCGTTTTTTGCCAGACGGAAGCCATGCATCTCAGGGCGCTCATCGATATTGACTGATTGCTGCACGACAGGACCGTAGCGGAGTCATCATATGTCGGACGTACAACCACTATATAATCGGCACGTATGACGGGAGCATGTACGCCTCGGTCGCTGCCGAGGCAGTAGAGAAGCTTGGTACAGTATCCAGACGGCGGCGTCTCGGTGCGGGCCAAGCACATGGTATTTGGCCGACGTATGGGCCGATGCTCACGAATGATACTGTCTCAATGCACAGCCGAGTACTTTCGGAAGAAGAACAAGTAGCCCAGCGCTGCTGTGAATACATCTCTGGCTGTCCCCTGGTTGCGGCGCCAGAGGCTGAACTGGCGAGCGGATGTCTGATGTCTGCGTCGATAGGAGATCTGGACGGCCATAGCTGCGGAGCGATTCGGGAAGTTGAATGCGAATCTGTTCCTCGGCGTCCCGGCCTTGCTGTGGGAAGGGACGCTCCATGCCATTCTACCCCCCTCCAGCAAATGTGCGGGTGCGGAACTGGCGCGGCAGAGTTTGGCTTCGTTGCGATCTGTCTCGAACAACCTCCAGCCCATCGCTGCATCCAGGACCGCCTGAGCCAGCCCCAGCTGCTAGGATCCCATCAACACGCCCAGATGAGCATCGCTGGCCGCTCGCCGTCCGATTCGCTTGTTCTATACTCGGGCCTGGCCATCGCATCCCTGGTGACTCTCGCCTTCGCTTTGGGTGCAATACGAAGGCGAGAGTCCCGTCCCCAGTCGAGCCCCGAGGTCCCCAAGGTCCGTGCAAACGTCGCCGAGCTGATTGGAAACACGCCGCTTGTCCGAATCAACTCGCTCTCGGATGCGACCGGTTGCGAGATCCTGGGCAAGTGCGAGTTCCTGAATCCGGGCGGATCATCGAAGGACCGGGTCGCGCTGTCGATCATCGAGGATGCCGAACGGCGCAACCTCATCCGACCACATTCGGGCTGCACGATCACCGAAGGGACGGTTGGATCGACGGGCATATCGCTTGCGACAGTAGCGCGGGCCAAGGGATACCAATGCCACATTGTGATGCCGGACGACCAGGCCCAGGAGAAATACGAGATCCTCGAGCGGCTTGGTGCACGGGTCGAAAAGGTGCGTCCGGTCTCAATCGTCGATCAGGGTCATTTTGTACGGGTCGCCAAAACCCGGGCCGAGTCGATCACTCAGGAGGCCATGCGAGCCAACGAATCCGGCCCCATGGGCTCGCTCGACATACCAACGGGAGCAGGTTTCTTTTGCGACCAGTTCGAGAACCTGGCGAACTTTGAGGTGAGAGCCCGTGCCGTCGACAGCATTGGTGGTGTCGGTGGTGTCGGTGTCTATCGAGCTGGATATCCAACCGGCTCGGTGGCATAATGAAGCCCTTGGTCGAACTCTCAATTGGGATCTCTGGATTGCTGTAGATGGTGTCAAGGGCTCTGGTCTTTGTCTGTGCTGACTTTGTCAACTCTCGCTCGCTGTCGACGACTTGACGCATGCCGACTGAAATGCATATGGCTTGCTCTCGGGGATCGTCACTGGGTCTCGCATCTGGGTGAATCAATTCGGACTCTTGCATGAAACCACCGTTCCAACAGGCGCACCTGCGGACTACTGGGCCAGAAATCTTCAGCCAATGCAACGGCCAGCTGGATGCCTTTGTGATGGGTGCAGGAACCGGCGGCACGATCGCCGGTGTTGCGCACTACCTCAAGCCCCGCATGCCCAATCTTCAGATTGTCTTGGCGGATCCGTGGGGGTCAGGACTCTTCAACAAAGTCAAGTTTGGAATCATGTATGCTCCCACCGAGGCCGAAGGCACCCGGCGCCGGCACCAAGTCGATACGGTCGTGGAAGGCATCGGCATCAACCGGTTGACAGAAAACTTCAAGCAGCTTCTTGGGAAAGCCCATTCATCCGAGGCTGGCTTGCGGCCTGTCGAGCACTACGTCGACGATGCGGTTCGCGTGACAGACCGAGAGGCCGTCGAGATGTCTCGGTATCTGATGCGAGAGGACGGTCTCTTTGTGGGCAGCTCTTCGTCGGTCAACTGCGTGGCAGCTTACCGAGTCGCAAAGCGGCTAGGCCCGGTATGTGACTGCCTGTCGGTGGCCGCAACCAAGACAGCCGAGGGGAATCAGGCCGGCATGTAGATGCCCGTATGCCCTGCCCTGGGCCCGCACCGACGACTGACACCCAGTACTTTGGTACATTTGCATTTCCCAGGGACACCGGATTGTAACTGTGCTCTGCGATAGTGGCTCAAGACACTTGACCAAGTTCTGGTATGTGACTGGCGCAGTGCCCCGCCATGACACCGCCGTGGCTATCTCTACTAACTGCTCCATCTCTGCGCCCCGCTCTTGCGCTTGCGCTTGCAGGAGCAACGACTACCTCGAGAAGCTCGATCTGCTCCCGTCCGCCGTCGGCCTCGAGTTTCTCCATGTTGCCGAGCGCTCTCCGCTGTCAGGATGACCGCGTTGCTGCGCAGGCGCCGTTCGAGCCATTCGATCCGCAAGAAGGGCCCGCTCTTTTCGTTTTTCGTCGTGGCCGGCGTTGATCGAGAGCGGACTCGCAGGCCGTGCTCTCCCAACCACACCACACCACCGTTGCTGCTGGCTCTGCTGCTCGCGACCAGCCATTCCTGCAGCTGCCACCGGCAAAACAGCCTGTCGCATCCTTATTGAATACAATGCTCAGACTTCCCTGGAGATCGGCCGGCGTTCTCGGCCGCTGCTGCCTCATTCCGCCCACCCCTTGGGCTGCCAAGTCGCCAGTCATGCCGCCAGCCATGTCGCCGGTCATGTCGTCGACACTCCGTGGACTGCCGGTGTGCCTGCGTATGCTCTCGACATCGCCAAGGCTACGGGCAAGTGTTCCGCCAAGCACAACCGACGCCATGGACTACCGCGAACGCTACTGGAAACAGAAGCGGCACGAAAGCATGACGACGGCATACTACAGCGCCTCGGTTATTGTCATATTTATCGGCCTCAGCTTCGCAGCAGTCCCGCTCTACAAACTCGTCTGCACGCAGACGGGGCTGGACGGCACCCCGCTGACAACTGCGGGCCACAAGTTCGAGCCCGAATCGATGAAGCCCGTGCCTGGATCGCGGAAGATCAAGATTTCGTTCGCAGCATCGACCTCGGACGCCATGAAGTGGCATTTTGTCCCCGAGACCAAGGAGCTCTATGTGCAGCCCGGCGAGACGGCGCTGGCCTTTTTCACCGCATACAACCCGCTGGATGAGGACATCGTTGGCATCTCAACGTACTCTGTTGTGCCGCCCAAGGCCGCCCAGTACTTCAACAAGATCCAATGTTTCTGCTTTGACGAGCAAAAGCTGAATGCCAAGGAGGAGGTCGACATGCCTGTCTTTTTCTACATCGATCCCGAATTCGCATATGATCCATGGATGCAAGATATCAAGCACATCACTCTGCACTATACTTTCTTCAAGAGTAAGTGGCCATCACCCGAATTGAGATCGCAGACCTCGGTCAAGTCGCTGCATGCTTGCTTGGCTCAGAGGGCTATCTTTCCGGTTGCCGAGCATCGTATCTGCGTCCCGCTGGTCGACGCTGGTCTAAGCGATCTACTATTGCAACCCTCCCCCCAACGTGATCGAGGGACATGGCTGCGATGCGACAAGAGTGGTTGGCTGTGGATATGCGCTCACCCCTTGGCCCCGTCTCCTGGATATGCCACGATTTTTCTACCCACCACTATTTGATCCACTCCAGGCAAGCACCAATACTGATGGACAATGAATGAAGGAAGGAGAACATCCCACAGCTTTCGCAAAATGAAACGGGAGACCTGATGAGTCTCCAGCGACCTTTTCTGGATCCTGAATACATGCATGCTCGTTCATCCCCCCCCTCCATTGTCGCTAACGGTCTTCGCAAGGGCTAGATCCAGGATCCCGCCAAGACTGGCTACACCAGCCGGCCCAACCGACATAGTGCTTGTCGGGCTGAGAATAGCATAGGTCGGCTCCGAGGCGGTACATTTGGCAGAGAGAACCGTGATCGGATCGACATTGGATCGCATATGATGCACTGGAACGTATGGCAATTACCGAGTCGCAACTGGCGAAGAAGGGAGACACGCCGTTGGGCATTTCGACACCTCATCAGCAATACATCAGCACTACGCCAGCAGTATATCGACAATGTGTCAGCAAGCTTCCGCTGGCGGACCGCCATAAGCTTGGGCATGAACACGAGTGCAGCAGCGACACCGAAGCGTAATCTGAAATGACTCACTTTCGGTTGGATCTGTGCGGAAGGACGCCGAAGTAGCTTCTTGGCGGGAGAGGGCGGCAGGAAAGAATTGGGCGGGAGCCGTCCTTCAAGAGCCCTCGATGGACAGCAGATCCATCGATGTCTCGCTCGCCTACGATGATTTCGCATGCACTTGCAGTAGGCACATTGATGGTAGCTATCGGGCTCCTGCGTGGTATCCACGCCGTCCCATACTCGCCCAAATCTCTCGATCTCTTCCTGCCTGGCCATCCTTGGAACACCAAGGTTGACAGCATCCCCAAGAGCAACCAGTCCGATGCCATCATCAACTGGCTGAGCAGCAACGGTGGATGGGGCATGGGCAACACCTTGCGCATCGACTTTTCGATCAGCCTGCTCACCGCCGACAAGTCGACTCCGTTTCTGTCGTGGAAGACCACCGATGACTGGTACTCACCCGACTGCGACTTGGGCAGCTTTCCCGTGCCGGCTGGCGGAGCCTTGGAGGGCGAGAGCGGGTATGTTTGTGCCCACGATGGCGACTGCCATCTGCTGGTACATGATCCAGCGCATATGCGACTCTACGAGATGTGGAGAGCCAACTATGCCTCCGAGCCCAGCAAGTTCCAAGGAGGATGCTTGGCGATCTGGAAGCTCGACCGAGTCTATGGGCCCCATCTCCGCGGACAAGACTGTACTTCTGCCGATGCTGGTAAGCAAGTGGCTCGATGCACATAGTCAAGCCAAAGCATGCCGGGCAGAGGGACGGCGAAACCGCCATAACGCTGCTTCCGCATCATCCCCAGGTGGCTTTCCGATTGCTGCAATGCTCTTCAGTGCCGACGAGGTGGCTTCTGGCACGATTGCGCACGCCATTCGCTTCATCCTACCGAACCAGCGTATCCGACGACTCGTCTATGCGCTTCCAGGCACCCACTCAACGTCTGCAACCAGTGCGACGAATCCAAACGCACCTCCGTACGGGGTGCACTTTCGCCTCAAGAAGAGCTTTGATATGACGCGGCTCAAGAGCAGCGGGGCTCGGGTTGTTGCCAAGGCTTTGCAGACCTACGGAATGTTTCTTGCCGATGGCGGAAACATGGCACTGACGGCAGCCAACGATCAGTTTTCCGTCAAAAAGTGGACGGATGTTGGAATCGACAGCTATGCCTTGGCACCGATCCAGGTTGGGGACTTTGAGGTTGTCAACCTGAGTCCCGCAAACACCGTCCACTACGCAGAAAACTGCGTCCGCAGCTCCATCTAGCAGATGCCGTGTCCGGGTGCTCTCAATGCAAAGTAAAGATCGTGCCATACCTCCTTCGGGATGCAGCTCCTGTGGGAAACTGAATCTGCGATGGGGGCAATCACGTCGCAGCCTGAAAACATGGTCCCGAAGTCCACTTTCTTTGCCGCGCTGGCGGTATCTTGTCGGCTTGGAGTGTCTTGCCGCCCTCATCACACTGGGTCCATTTCGTCGGGCAAAAATGGCTCGTGCCAGTGTATGGATCTGGCAGAGGCTGGCCGGATCTGCCGCCAAGTCGCCGCCACTGCCGAGAGGCGCGGATCGCACTGCAAAGCCGCCTGCAGGAGAAGCATCTCCAGCACGAGCGCCGCCGTGGACAGCATCTTGGAAACTTCGAAGGATCTGCCCGAGCATCTGTCCAAGAGCATGTCCGACGACCTGCGCAAGGATGTGTCCGCGCTTGCATCTGCCCCGCTTGCCTTGCTGGCCAAACGCACGATTGCTGTCTGGCCCCGCCGTGCTCCCTTGAGCCTGTTCCCTCCGAAACACCCTTTTGTTTCCGCTGTTTCGGTGGACTGTACACCGCCACCGGCGTCGCATTGCCTCATAAAGCCGCTTCGCCCGTCTCTGTCCGTCGCCGCTTCAGCCCACCGCCCTTTCCTCCAGCGACCGGCCGGCCTTCCCTGCAGCCTCGGCCTCGATGCTGTCTCGTCGCTTCTTCGTCGCCGGCTGCGCCCTGCTCTGGCTCGTGCTGGGCCTGGCCCACGCCGCCAAGAACATTTATTCCACCGAGATCACCCCCGCCATCGACCTGAGCAAGTTTGCTTTTTACGAGGATCGTTTCACCAATGACGGCACGCCGTCGCCCATGAAGCTGTTCTGGAGCATCGAAAACCAAACCACCCTCCATGGCGTCATAACCTTACAACCGACGATTGTGTCTCCTGGCCAGCCTGTGACAAATGCTTGGGTCGGCTTTGGACTGGGCGAGTCCATGCTCACGGCTGACCTGTTCTTGGTCTGGGCCAACAGCAGTGGCCCCGTCATCTTGGTCGAAGCCACGTCCGGCGGGCAGTACGGACCGGTGGTAGGTGCAGGTGCTTTGGCAACTTGCTGCAGTTTCGGCAGGGAGTCGACCTGTAAGGCTGAGGCAGGTCTGATCAGACTCTGGACAGACCTACCTCTGTGGCGGTCCCAAACCAGGCCAGTTTGTCGGCGATCTCTGCCAAAGTCCGAGCATCCATCTCTGCCAAAGTCCTGAGCGTCCATCTCTGCCAGCAACTCACCCACCTGCTTGCATTCCACCCACTTCTGCACAGGTCAAGCTCAACCCGGGTGTGATGACGGTTCTCTCGAGCTCGCAAGCCAACAACACTCTTATGCTGGAGTTTACTCGGCCACTCCTGCCCAGCGACCCTCACAGAATGGCAATCACCGGCTCGACGCAGCAGCCCACCATCTGGTAGGTTGCCTGCCACCTCGCCATGCACTGATCTACATGGAGCTGACACTCACGCTCTCCACTTTGCCGGTCAACTTGATGGCTGCGCTTTGCATCTCCTCTCGATCCTCTCGATCCTCTCGATCCCCAAAATCACCATCCAAGGGCGTACAACCTCCAGCCGGACTCCAACAGCCCCGGTGGCTGGATGTTCACTCACGGCATCAATCGTGGCAGTGTTGATATCAACTTCATGACCGGTGACGCCAACGTTGTCCCCTATGGACTCCCACGCACATCCAAGTTTATTCATGGTGCCTCCATGACTTTTGGCTATATGATTATCTACCCGGCGGGCGCCTTTATCGGCCGCTACTGCCGGTCGATCGACTCATGGCTCCAGTACCACGTACTCTGCCAGAGTATCTCAACCGTCATCAGCGTGGCCGTGGCCATCTACCTCGCCACGAGCTTTACGTTCCCCTGGTGGACTCTGACCCATCGCCACACCATCCTCGGCATCACGCTCATCACCTTAGTGACCTTCCAGGGCTTCACGGGCTTGTTACACCGTCTCTCCATGACGAATGAGCGTCTCGCTTCGTTCAAGAAACCTCTCCAGGTCTACCATCGCTATAGCGGCTGGGCTATCATCCTTAGCGCAACGGTCCAGGTTGGCTTCGGCATCCAAATCCTGTGGCCGCTTGAGGTCGCGTCGTCGGGCCATGGACAGCTCGCCTTGTTCTATCTCCCCTGGGCCATATATGGGCTTATCATTGTCTTCTGGATCGTCCTCTTCACGGGGGCAGAGATTATCTATCGCACGAAGTTCGTCAATCGCGACAAGAAGCTCTCAAAGTCGGCTCCTGCCACTGCCGAATCCAGCCAAGACATCAAGAACCCGCTGCTGTTCTCCAACAACGTCACAGATGGAAGCGAGTATCCCGAGTGGACCTGGCAGGAGATTGACCAGCGCGTCCAACGTGGCGAGCTACTGGTCGTGGCCGACGGCACGTACATCTACGATGCCTCCAAGTGGCTCTCGTCGCATCCTGGTGGACAGCTCGTCCTGCAGTCCGTCGCCGGTACAGACATCACCAACGACTATTTCCAGTAAGTAGCCTCGGCAAGGCGCGTTGCAGCGGTGGTCGGGTTTCCACATAGGTTGCACCCAACTCGACTGGCGGGCAAAGCACTGAAATTGCGGATCGAGCGTCCAGTTCCAGCAATCTTTCCGCTCTCTCAATGCGATAGTCTTGCTGACAGTACCCGCTCGGTTTTTCCAGTGAGGCGGGCTTCGACACAGAGACCTTCATTGCCAACAATGCCATTGTCGATCGTGCCATGTCCAACATCACGCGCTCACTGCCTTCTGAGCTGAGGCGTGATTTCGTCCAAAATCCAGCTCTCCAGTCTTCCATAATGAGAGAGCGCATCATCAGCTATCGCCCGTCCGTGATGAGCGTTTCGCACATGCAAATGCTCACCGAAGCCGAATATCACAGCGTCTTCCGCGCCCGCCGCCCGCACGTCCACACGCGACTCGCCATTCAGAAGCTCTCGTCGATGCTGGTTGCTACGGTCAAGAACAGCGATTATGAGGTGTCGAATCGCGATCTTGCCCAAGACCCGTACGAGTACCGGCGATACGCCGTCGTCAGCAACCTGTGTGAAACAACTCTGACGACAGGCGAACCCGTCTTCAGGATGAAGTTCTCGCAGCTGTACCCTCTATACAGCCGTTTCCGAGAGGCCGAGCCATTCCTCCCAGGACAAACAGTCGAAATCCAGATCCGAATCGACGGTCGCCCCCAGACTTGCTCGTTCGCCCCCGTGAATGGTAACACGTCGGTCTTTGAGATCCTGGTGCCCTCGGGCGAAAGCAAGTTCTTGAAAGTCTTGACCTCCCAGATCGCAGGAGAGCGCCAGGTCAAGATCCGTGGACCCTTCGGAGCACCTCTCGTCAGCCCCAGAGCCCCGATCAATGCCCTGGGTGGATATTGCTTCGACTCGATGATCATGGTATGCGAAAACAAGGAATTTTCGCTGGCCCTCCAGCTCCTGAGCTACCTGTTTCTGCCGAAATATGTGAACCTGATGGTAAGTGATGTGCGAAAGCGTAACTTGTTGTGGCAAGTTGGGAAGAGGCGGCAAGGTGTCTTTGGCATGTGTACTATGAAGCATGTTGCTCATCCGCACCTCTGTTTGCGCAGGTCAACACCCCCTACGTCGCCCAAAACTACGACCAGCTCACCATCCAGCCGGGCGACTTGATTCTTGTGCACGAGCACTACTACGACGGCTGGGCCAGAGGTGCGCTGGTCTCGACGGGCCAGATCGGCTACTTCCCACTGGGCGTCACCAACCCGTACTGCGGCAACATCGTTCGTCTGATCATTCTCCATGATGCCAACAACGCCAATGACGTCTATGGTGCCAACATCTTGGAGGGCGCTCAGTGCGCCTACCCCGGCAATATCTCGGTGATCCACCGCTTCGAATCGGACCGTCCGCCAATGTCCGCCCAGCAGCTGGATGTCATTGCTCCTGGACAGAAGATCTGGGGCAAGCCCCGAGGCTCGATCATTCGCAGCGTGCTCGATAACCCCACCAACGGATTCTCTCGCGCCGGAATCCCGCCCAGCGACGAGTACCACAGCCAACGCATCTTCGTCTGTGGCGGCCCTGAGCTGGACAGATTGGTGCGAGTCACTGCCGCTACTCCGGAGGTTGGCATTCCCCAAACCGATATTCTTACCGTCGTAAGCCGATAGTGTGCACGGCATCACGAAAGGCCGCCCTCCCTATTATGTTCTCTCGGCTCTCGCTCCATCCCCCCCCCCTGCGTAAGCGTAACTGGATGCACTTCCACTTTCCCGACATCACAACGTACAACCGACCAAGTTGGGGACAAGCGACAGCGGCTGTTCTTGGCGTTCACACCTTTGACCCATCATTATTCATCAGTGCCCAACTCAAGCAGTGCCTTTTTTTCTCTTGTGGAGCTTCCAATACAATGCCGTTACTTTCTCTGAGATGGTGCATTATTGATCGGTAGGGTGGGCTGGTGGCAGCGGGGCCGTGAAACTATCGATGGGAGCCCAGGATCATACCGAGGGCGATAGACGATGGATGGGTTATATATTCACATTCAAAAGCAGTCCCCAGTCAAGGCAAAAACGAAATGATCCGATTCATTTCAGGGGCAATGTGGTGGTACTAAGGGGGAGGGGCGGCGGCCGGACGGACACGACTCGAGCGAGAGACAGCCAGAGTGAACAGATCCCCGCGGGCGACAGGCTGGATTCGAGGCCAGAGGCAAGCACTCGCTCACGCCGAAACAGGTTTGCCGCTGAAGCTGCAGACCCGGATCTGCGTTGCCGGGTGACGCTGCTTTAACTTGGCCAACGATGCTGGATCCAGACCACAGGCACCGGTCATAACAAGGGTATCGAGGACTGGGTGGGCAGCAAGGAAGGACGAGAATGTGTCGTCCTGGCGGGCCCAGGTCGCAAACCGGAACTCGAGCGACTGGAGCTTCTTGAGCGCATGCGGCGCGAGGCGGTCAAAGTCCTGGAGGCAAATAGGACCAATCCAGCAGAGCTGTTGCAGATTGGGGCACTGCTTCGCAACGGCCAGGAAGCGTGCGGTGTTTGGGAGCGGGGCTTGGAGCCGCCTGAGGTTGGGCATGAACTGCAGGACGGCGACCAGAGTGCCCGAGACAACCTTGGCCTCGTGCAGAACCAGCTCGAGCAGGTTGCGACCAAGGTCGGGCAGCGAGCGATGATGGGCCAAGAGACTCGTAAAGTCAAAGACAGATGGATCGGTATCTTCAAAGGCAAGGCTCTTGAGTTTGTGCAGCTGGTGTGGGCGGGTCTGGTAGTGGACGAGCGGATCTCGTCGAGAACCGTCAGGTTGGATCTCAAAGGTGTTTCGGAAATCGACTCGAGTGAGCTCGTTGCAGGCATCGAGGATTTTGGCAACGGCACCAGGATCGAGAGTCCGATAGCGCATGGTGAGTGACCGCAGGCGCGTTGCCGACTGGGAAATCTGCTCCACCAAGGGAGAATGAACATGATGCGGGCTGGAGATGTCCAAGACCCGAAGCCGTGTTCCTGCGAGCTTGATCAGCCTGGCGAGCACAGCATCTCCAAGAACCGGGGAAAATGCGACTTCCAAAATTTGCAGACGCAGCTGGGACAAGGTCGGCTGGCCATCAGAGGGCAGGAGCCGCTGCACAGAGTCGGAGCTTGGATTCGACGGTTGGCCTGCAAGTGCCGTGGGATCGAGCGAGTCCAGAAAAGCACCCCACAGCTGGTCGCCAAAGGTCCGAGCCTCGACATGGCGCATCGTCAGGACCCTCAGTTGCGGGAGTAGCATTATGACGGCAGAAAGGAGCTCCGCGGTCAACGAGCACTGCACGAGCGAGAGCGAGGTGATCGAATGGAGGGTGGTCTGGCTGAAGATGGATGACGACGAGGGCAGCAACAGCGGCGCTGAGCTTCGAGCCGCAGTGTCGTCGCAGAGATTCAGGGATCGAATGCGGTGGGATGGGAAGCGCGCCAGGAACTGCTCGATGGAGGAGCAGGAGCCTTGGAGGTGTCTCAGATGATGCAAATGGATACTCAGCAGCGCCGGAAAGGTCGGTAGAGCTGACTGAGAGTTCGGAACGGCGTCACCTTCCAAAAGGGAAGATGACGCCAGAGAAACGGTGCCCCACAGGCCCGAAATGAAGCCGACATACCAGGCGCGGTTGACTTGAACCAGGGGATAGAAGAACCGGGGGGAATCGGGCAGAAATTCAGCGATATGGTAGAATACTTCGAGTGGCAAATTGCTTGAGCGAGACGCGGTAGCCATTCGGAGGAGATAGCTTCGAGGCAGATGGGCGGCAAGGAAGGTTGGTCGCGAACAGTTGGAGAGTGAGGCCACAGCAGGACGGATGAGGAGACGGGAGGCAAACGCTTTCGTGCGGCGGATTGCTTTGGGGGAAGGCGACGGCGATGTGTGCTTGGATGATCCGGGGGACTGGGCGGGTCGACGGATTCGCTGGCTTGAGAATCGGATTCAAACCACGAAGCAAGCGATATGTATGTAATGGGATGCGCAATGTGTGCGATATTTGAAGACGAGATGCTGGTGGATGATGAAGCGGAGGAAGCAACGGCGGATCGGCGGCTCGGACGATGGGAGCCGCGGTCTGGCAGCGGTTCGCTGGAGGCGGGCAAGCAGCATGACCACCGGGATTTGAATCGGAATCCGAGCCGACCGGAGGAGATCCCCACGTGAGGGGTGCTGGCAGGGTTTTTGGGGTGTTGATGGTGGTGTGGATGTGTGGGGCGCAGGATGGCGCCGAGGAGGTTGCGCAGGGTCAAGCGACGATTGCGGCAGCCGGGTGACCTGCGGCGGCGTGGCAGGCAGAAGATCGGGGAGAATGAGGGTGTGCCGTCATCGGGAATGAGGGTGTGGAAGAGAATCATGGCGAATAGAGTTTGAGGGAGGGCAGTGATGGCAGCGACGGCAGCGACGAACGAGAGAACACACAGGCGACCAAAGCAACAGAGGCGACAGAGGCGACAGAGGCGACAGAGGCGATTCATGGCCGGTCTGTTGCAGCAGCAGCAGCAGCAGCAGCAGCAGCGCAATGCTGCGGTGTGGTGTGGGTGGAGTTGCGGCGGTGTAATGGTGTGATAGATCGGCGAATCTATTCAATGATGGGACAGGCCGTTGGTTGATTGCCGTGCGTTGGTTGATTGGCCGACTGGCCACTTCGCACATGGCCAGTCCAGGACATAACGGATTGTTGCCAAGACACACTCCGAAACACACCCGCCGCGATGGGGTGCGCTATTGAAACAAAAACACACCCCTGCACGGTGAACACTCGCCGGCGCCCGACAACCGACAGCGCAGGCTCAAGCAGAGCAGGAACAAGCAGAGCAGAGCAGGAACGAAAGCCGCGAGAACCCAGAGGAGCAGGACAAAAAGGACCAAGCAAAAAAAGCGAACAGGTCCCACCGAGATTTGAACTCGGGTTGCAGGAGTCAGAATCCTGAGTGCTAACCGCTACACTATGGAACCGTTGGGATGTTGGCTGTCATTATACCATACTGATTCATAAACACATCAGTTGTCTGCACACTCACCAACACCCCGCCAACACCTCAACCAACACCTCGCCAACACCTCAACCAACACCTCGCCAACACCTCAACCAACACCCCGCCAACACCTCAACCAACACCTGGATCAACACCTCATCAACACCTCGATTAACACCTGGATCAACGCTCGGCCCGAACCTTCCTGGCTGGCAAGGCCAGTCTCGGTGCCAGAGCCCGACAGCGACGCCAACACAATCGTCTGGATAAATGGACCCACCATTGACTCTGCCTGATATTACCATTTAATGCCACCATCTGATACTACCGTCTGACACGACCGTCTGGTGTTACCGTTCGATACCGCCACCTTGCTGTCCTGCTGGTGCTCATACTCCTCGCCCCTCGCCCAACCCATGCAGTGCAATCCCCGCTGCACCACCAACCCGATCTTACAAGCCTACTTCCACTGACCTGATCGCATCGACTAGCCGCTCCTGCTTGAATCGCACCAGTCTCCTTTCGCCTCCTGTCTCGCCACCACCTCCAAAGGCGGCAGGAAGTGGTGCGACATACCACCGCCATCCTCCATAAAACTGTCGCCGGCCACACCTCGAACCAGCGCGAGGCATGACGAACAATCGTGGGCCACGGCAGCAGGCCGCAATCTCGCACAGCGCCGCAAAATGAAGGACGACATCCATGACACCAAGGCCCAGCCACCACACACTGCGGCGCGACAGTCACCAACCAGCGACCTTCCAGGTTTCCCACGCTGCAAGGAGCTGTTCTTGGGACAAGAACCACCACATTGTATCCACAGAGCAGAGACATGCTGTCCCAGACGCAGGGAGGCACAAGAGAGAGAGAGAGAGAGAGAGAGAGAGAGAGAGAGAGAGAGAGAGAGAGAGAGAGAAGATGGCTTGCTTGCCTGTTTCAGACTGCCTTGTGGTGTTTGGGTATCGGTGATACCGTCCCACCAAGACAGATCCGCGTGTCGTGGGGCTTGATTTCATGCATCGCCGGCTCTCTCGGTCGCTCCTCTTATACCTGCCCTGGCCGTCGTTTCGCCCTATCGTCTTCTCGTTCCTGCATCGGCTCGGTTCACGCCCACAAGCTATGAGCTCCCCATCACAAGCTCCACCGAGCCCAGGCTTGGCCCCTGAATCCCTTTTGGGATCATACGATCACCAACAGTCTGGTGCATATCCTGCTTCCACCATGCAGGAGCACCAATGTACACAATCATATCCCACCCGCAGCGCAGGCGATGATCGAAGACTCTATCAACCTCCGCAATACCAGCACCTCGCACCGACGTTTGTGTCTCCCAACGATCACCACTCCCCGCCTCCTTATTCTGGGCCTGCAAAGTCAAATGAAACATCCGTCCAGTTTCGCAACCAGTACTACGACCCTCCATCCCCGACGCAGTACAATCTTCATCATCAATCTACAAAGTCAAATCAAACATCCCCCCGGTTTCGCAACAAATACTACAACCCTCCATCCCCACCGAAAAACTACTCTCACATTCCGCCCGCTCGGCCATACCGGCCATCTGCCTCTCCCACTTCGCCCAGCCCAAGCCATGGACAAATCCTCATCTGCGTCGTCACCCATCTTGAGCACTCGGCTTTTTGCGTGTCCCCCGTCTTCAACCATGGCGGAATCTCGGACGCTTCTACCAGCCCTACTCCTCAATGGTCCTTTGATACTACTCACTCCACTAACCCGATCTTGCCAACCAGTCATCTACTCCTTCCCGAATACTCGACTGAGAAGCCTTCGCTGCAGAGCTATTCCAATACTCACCCTGCTCCAAATGATGTGTTTTCGCCACTTTCCTCTGAAGCTTCGAAATATCCCTCGCCGCTCCTCCGCCAATCGACTGATTCCCCTTTACAAAAGGTGGAGTCGCGGCGATCCTTGCACTCATACAGCTACAAAGACGATGACATCGACCCTACAGCTCTTGTGCAGATCGCCCGGGATTTCCAAAACAAAATCAGCCTTTCGGAGAACGAGATGAGCGGTATCTCGTATCCCGATTCCTTCAACGGCCGTACGGCCGTGACAACTTTGATGACCATTCTCAAGACCACCGATCGCTCGCTGGCCCTGAAGGCTGGCGAAATGCTCAGCTATCAAAAGCTCTTCCGCGATGTCGTTTACTTGGACCTTGGGCTTCTGATGGATAGCGATACTGAGCTCTATCGACTAGAAATATCGACCTTAGATAACCTGATTGCAAAGAGGTTCGTACAGCCTTCCGCTCGAGAGTCTGTATCCTGCGACAGACCTGCGAGAGCCCCTGCTATCTCGACCAGGTATTGTGTAGAACAGTTTCCTGAAAGTGGCCCTTTCTAACTTGGCTCCATGTGCCTCCGTGACCAACAGTGCATCCCACTCCCAACAGCACCCCGAAACCCATCTGGATCTTCAGCAGGATGTAAGTCACTCCACCAGCTACTGCATTACCGATCGCACTGCTTTTACAAGTTCGATGCTCACCTAGCCGGTGTTATTGCGGCTCTGCACTAGCCTTGGGAGACCTGCGTGTCTCGCACCGTCTTCGACAGCATGCCAAAGGAAGAAAAGAAGCGACAGTTTATGATCCACGAGATCATCGCGACAGAGCGAAACTACATCAACTCCCTGCGCTTGGCACTCGAGGTATAGAACCGCGTCACCAATCGCCACCCAGGACGGCCTAATGCTTACCACGTATGCCATATTCGCTCGTTCTCCGGCACAGGGATTTGTCGAGCCCTTGCGCAGTAGCAACGATTTGCACATTTCTGAAAAAGAAAACTTTATCCGAAACGTGTTTTTGAACATGTCTGAGATTTTCACGATCGGGCAAGAGCTCTATGAGCGTCTGTATGAGCGCCAGCAGGCCGACAAGTACGTCATTCACGAGATTGGAGATATCTTCCTCGAGTTTGTTCCCCGCTTCGAGTGCTACTTCCAGTATTCCTCGGGCCACGTCTATGGTATTGAGATGTTCAAGAAGGAGAAGAGCAAGAACAGCGCCTTCAGCGCACGTCTTGAGGCAAGTCTGTCTGCTCGCACCTCTGACGCCACTGCATCCGTCCCGCAACCCCACATGGTTTCCGGTGCGTATGGATTGCCTCTGCCTTGCAGCTTCTCCTAACGCGTCTGTTTGTGCCAATCCACAGGCCTTTAGTCGCCTCCCAGAGTCAAAGTCGCTTCCCCTTGAAAGTACCTTGATTAGCCCCACCACTCGCCTTGGTCGCTACGGCCTCTACCTCAAGGACCTTATCAAGTATTCGCCCAAGGACTCTCAAGAGCTCCAGAACATCGAGACGGCTAACCGCATGATCAAGGATCTCACCCAGCGTATCAACGAAGAGAACCGAAAGCAGCAAGATCGCCTCACTTTGAGCACGCTAAACTCTAAATTGGCGTGCGAGGAAGATGTTGATCAGGTGCGTGGCGATCTCGAGGCTGATCTGGGGACGGCCGAGTGGCGTCGGACTTGACTCGACTGGAGTTGCGGGCTTGGTGCAGTCGAGCTAACAGTCCACACGGATGGATGTGCATTCGTTTCTATTGTCAGGATCTGCGCCTGATGGACGACGATCGTCGAAAGATTCGTGAAGGTGCCGCCTCGCTGATTCGAGCTGGCGAGATCAAGGTCTACGTGTATCTCCTTGACCATGTGCTCCTGTTAACCACCGTGCGTCGTGAAAAGATGGTACTCTATGAGAATGTAAGTGGCTCCGCGATCACCCGGCTCGTCATTTCACACTGTCCGCGCCGTCTAACCACCGTATGCGATGATGCTATACTTTCCTAGCCCATTTTACTGGATCTGATCAAGCCTGAGAGTATCCAGACCCGCGCCGGACACAGCTCCGAACATGGGCACTTGTCACTCGAAACTCACTCTGGCGAGCGGTTCGACTTGAAGTTTTCTCACAGCATCGATGCCACTGCGTGGGCCACTGATATTCGCAACCAGATCCAAAAACACAACGAGCAGGTCGAGCAAACCCCGGGCACACTCGTCCCCAAGAAGCTTGGCGATCTTCCGCCCAACACAGTAGCCAATTATGAAGGCGTCAACTACGATGAGATCGTTGGCACGGGCGTGCTGCGCGGCAAGCTCATCGTTGCCACCAAGAAGGGTGTCTTTATGGGGCCAGAGTCCAGCGCCACTCCTTCAGTCGAGACAGACAGAGCCGTTCTGAACTCTGTCTTTGGCTCAAGCTTCAAGAAGATTCTCAGCTCCGCGAGCGGTGATATCAACTTTGTTCAAACAATCGAGACAAGACACGATGACCTGATGATTATTCGACAGGGTGAGCCATCTGCTGCTCGTCGTTGATGTGGCAAGTTGCACACGCAGCCTCTGTCAGTGTCAGCGTCATCTAACATGACCTTGTGGGCTGTCGTCTCCAGACAAAACCGTATATCTGTATCCTGTCACCAAGCAGACCACATCCGATCCCTCGGTCATGGCCGGCGCCGCTTTCAAGCTCAACTCTGACGTGGACCTGATCCAAACTGGTATTTGCGGCAACCGAAACTTGATTGTGCTCACCAAGGTTGCATTTGCCTTGAAGGACAACACCGTCCGTATCTGGGACGCAACTGAGAAGGCCGAGGTTCAGAAGGGCCTGTTCAGAAAGGAGACGGTTCCTGCCAAGAAGTTCGAGGTACAGTCCACACCAAAGCACATTTGCAGCTGAGCTGCAAGAGATGCAGTATTCGGCTCTGCGCACCGCACACGCCGAGCTGCGTCAAGGCAGATACAACTGCTGATACACGACTCCTCTCGACAGGACCATTACCATCCATCCAAAATACTCTCGGTGGATTTTATGGGCCAGATCCTGTGTCTGGGCTCCGTGAAGGGCTATGAAATGCTGCGCGTCGACGTTCTGAACAATGAATATGCCAAACCGGATGGTACGTTGACGCAAGCGCCGCTTCGATGGCCGCGGCCATGGCCCAAGTAGCCATCGCTCCTCTGCTTATGACCGCGGTCTCTCACTTACTCACTGAACTGCGTGTGTCTGCATCCCTCGCTCTGCAGCCCTCCTCCGACCCGACGATCCCAATTTCGCCTTCATCACAAAACGTGAGTCGGTGCATACCCACGGCATCTTCAAGAACCAGAGTACCGGCGACTTTTTGCTCTGCTACGACGGTACGTTGAGTTTACGTAGCATTGGCCAAAGCCATGGGCGTCCATCGAGGCTGAGTAAAGCAATGTCTGCCTGTCTAATGCATACACGTTTCATTCAGACATCGGCGTCATGATTGACAAGAATCGATATAGCACAAAGCCACCATGGAAGATTAAGTGGTTGGCCAAGCCCCAGGCCTTTGGTGAGTGGCTGCCATGGACTGACATTGTCTGCAATGAACCTTGTGCGAATCTTTGCCTGTGGCTGTGGTTTGTCGGTGCTGACGGCCCTCCCCCTCTTGTGTCCAGCCGTCATCCAGGACTCCCTTATCGTCTTTGGCAACCGGCTGATCGAAGTCCGCCGACTGTCTGACGGCAAGCTGCTGCAGCTGTTCCCTATCTCGTCGAGCAGCTATAGTTGGCGTGTGGTAAACCCTGCGCTGGGCCATGTTGTGTGCCTGATGCCAAACGGCACCCAGCAGCTCATGAAGCTCTGTCCGCGATCGTGAGTCGCCCGCGATGATTGTGTAATTTATGTCGCCCCTGTCTTCTTTCTCCCTTAGCGCCGCTGCCTATCTGTATGCCTTTGTTACTGCTGCCCCTTTGGCATTCCCAGTTTTTACCGCACATTCAGCTTGCAGCATTTCCAATTTCAAGCTGGACTCCACCTATTGCGAACGATGGTCGCTTTATCCCAATACCTGAATACACACAGGCTCATTCATGTCGAGCAGCTCCACCATTCACCTCGCGAGGATGCAGTGAGGGAGGGATATCAAGCCCTGAGGCCTCTCAAGTATTCTTCCACCAAGCAGGGGCTGCTGATGCGAATACACCGGGATACACTTGTCTGTCGAGTTAAAAGTCATACATATGTGCTCGCGCTGGACCCGGAAACGGAAACAGACGGGAATCTTACAAAGTGACTATCAACATGGGATACTTTCTTCCCAAAGCTATGCCGCGGACATCGCCAGAGAAAGGCCACAGTGGAAAAATTGAGCCATCAACGAGTCATCAACGAGAAGCCACAGGTCTATCGCGATCATTTCGGTCGAACGCTATTGCTGTATTTGTCTCGGCGGTCGTGTCAGACGGTAGTATTAAATGGTAGTATCAGATGGTAGTATCAGATGGTGGCATTAAATGGTAGTATCAGGCAGATTCAATGGTGGGTCCATTTATCCAGACGATTGTGTTGGCGTCGCTGTCGGGCTCTGGCACCGAGACTGGCCTTGCCAGCCAGGAAGGTTCGGGCCGAGCGTTGATCCAGGTGTTAATCGAGGTGTTGATGAGGTGTTGATCCAGGTGTTGGTTGAGGTGTTGGCGGGGTGTTGGTTGAGGTGTTGGCGAGGTGTTGGTTGAGGTGTTGGCGAGGTGTTGGTTGAGGTGTTGGCGGGGTGTTGGTGAGTGTGCAGACAACTGATGTGTTTATGAATGAGTATGGTATAATGACAGCCAACATCCCAACGGTTCCATAGTGTAGCGGTTAGCACTCAGGATTCTGACTCCTGCAACCCGAGTTCAAATCTCGGTGGGACCTGTTCGCTTTTTTTGCTTGGTCCTTTTTGTCCTGCTCCTCTGGGTTCTCGCGGCTTTCGTTCCTGCTCTGCTCTGCTTGTTCCTGCTCTGCTTGAGCCTGCGCTGTCGGTTGTCGGGCGCCGGCGAGTGTTCACCGTGCAGGGGTGTGTTTTTGTTTCAATAGCGCACCTCACCGTGCAGGGGTGTGTTTCGGAGTGTGTCATGGCAACAATCCGTTATGTCCTGGACTGGCCATGTGCGAAGTGGCCAGTCGGCCAATCAACCAACGCACGGCAATCAACCAACGGCCTGTCCCATCATTGAATAGATTCGCCGATCTATCACACCATTACACCGCCGCAACTCCACCCACACCACACCGCAGCATTGCGCTGCTGCTGCTGCTGCTGCTGCTGCTGCTGCAACAGACCGGCCATGAATCGCCTCTGTCGCCTCTGTCGCCTCTGTCGCCTCTGTCGCCTCTGTTGCTTAGGTCGCCTGTGTGTTCTCTCGTTCGTCGCTGCCGTCGCTGCCATCACTGCCCTCCCTCAAACTCTATTCGCCATGATTCTCTTCCACACCCTCATTCCCGATGCAAATTCTATCCGAGCATCCTCTTGTGTATTCGTACTTCAAAATAAGTCGGGGATGGGTTGGTCTCGTCAGGAAGCACTTCCCAATCTCCTCCAAAATAGAATCCAAAATTATAGTCGTTCTTCTGCGGCAGCGCTCTCGTTTGAGTTGCTATGAGGCGCTGGACTCTCGCTCTTCCTTCCACAGATGCTTGGCGAGTCGTCGCACAACCAACCCGCTTGCAGCGTCTCGATAGGTGTGTATCGGCGGTCTTTCGCCATTGGCTTCAGCGTCACGACACCATGTACAAATCAGCGACCGCAAGCTCGCCTCGGGCGTTGCTCCGTTCATGTTGAGCGGAATGGAGTGTTCACGGGACAGGGCTGGATGCGAATGACAGAAGGAATCGCGGAAGGGGAGGGGAAGCATTAATATTGTGTCTGCATCCCGTCTCGTTTGTTGATAGGCAATCTCCTCGTCCACAAGGCAGCACTACACCGAGTCCCATCAGCACTATAACTCTTCCACTCTTGCCCTGCTGCTCTCTGGCTCCGTCCAGACCACGGCAATGTGCTGGACTGAAACAAATCTGATCCGTACCGATGACATCGCGATCGCGCGCCGGTCGATTGCCGATCTTCCAGAAGAAAGCAACGACAGCCATGCGCCGCCCCTTGCTTCGATCCCGGAGCGTCATCAGGGAGTAGTCCGGCTGGATGCTTCCGTCGACTTCGATCGGACCATACGGGGGCTCCTCTTCCCCCGAGGCGGCGCTCGGATCCAAGATTGCCATGGCCCCTTGATGCCCCTCAAGGGCCATCCCTGGGGTTTTCTTATCGTATCGCTTTCGTTTCCGGACAGGTGACACCGAGCTTGATGATGAATCAATACTCACGGCGCTTGCTACTGCGCCCTTGGATATGGCTTTTTTCTTGGAGGGTGGATTGGGTTTTTCGAGAGAAGGCGTCCCAACGTCGACCGGCGTGCTGGCACTGGACGAAGCCGAGCTCGTCAAATATGCATTGTTCGACACAGCGGATGTGGGCGTGGAGTCGATCGTGGCTGGATTCACTGTTTCAACCGAGGCTTCGATATTGGATTCGCCGCTGCTCCTATTAGGCATCCCTGCCGAGCGCTTGTGAGCCGTGACCGTTGGGACAATCATGATGGGGAGGAAGGGAGGTAGGTAGTCCGGATCGTGGCGCAAAGGGCTCTGAAAGAGTGGGAGCATGCAGAGTAGATGTCAGATGTGCGCGATGTCGATGTCGGTGTCGATGTCAGTATCGCCTGTGTCCCATCAACCTGGTATCGGCATGCCAAATGCTACATCACATCACTGCGGCCAGGTTCAAGGTTCAAACGTGCTGCAGATATGTCTGCCACTGCTTTTGTCGATCCCACCCTACTGCGATCTTGTGATTTTCATGCGGCAGGACGGATCGCAGCGTTCCTTTCGGCTGCTGGTCGGGCGCCAAAGCGGCCTGTGCTCTCTTTCGAGCGGCCCGTTGTTGGTCTCGCACTCGAGATTGCAGCCATGAAAAAAAAAAAAAACCGAGTACTCGTCACTGCATACAAACCTTTATGCCCCGACATACATCGGTGGCTTCAGCTTCGACCTCAGGTTCGACCTCGGCCTTGGGCGATGGCAGGTTTTGAGAGAGGCTCAAATGTAGTTCGTGGCTTGACCCCGGATCAAATCGGGCCCGCTTGATGCTGCCGGTGTCGTGAGCGTCGCTCGTGGTTCTCGGTGACGAGCAAGATTGAGGTCTGCCACTGCACTTTGGACCATCGTCTGGCGAACCCGAACAGGCGGGATATTGTGTATCTCTGCCGCTATGCGAGTCGCAGCCAGCCGAGCCTGGATCGGAAAAGGGCATGCATCGGTCGGCCGAGGGTGGAGGTGTCGGGCAGGGCGAAGGGGAAGAGGGCAGCGTCGGCGACTGTGAAGGTGTCGATGCCCACCACCGCAGCTCATGATCCCAAAGCCCATCCCATGGCTCGAAAAAGACTTGGGTCGGGTCAGCCAGAGGATGGTTGGGAGTATGTAGTGTCGAAGGCACGTCCTTGGAGTCGTCAGTCAGACGCTCGCCGAGCTGCTGGAGCTCGTTGTAGTCATCGTTTGGATGGTATGAGAAGAGCCAAGTGTCGCCCGTGGTGGCCCAGGCCGCCGATCCGTTGCTCCGCTTCCAAAAGAGTGTTGCAGGAGGCGTTTGAGTCATCACAGACTTTTGCGGCATGCTCAGGGATGGGGCCTCGGCCAGAGCAGGTGTCGACAAGGGGGTGAGTGACGGAGATGCCCACGTTTGAGGCGGCGACGACGAGAGGGACAGGGCATCCCGCCAGTCTCGCTGGGCTCCGGCATCGGATGAGGACAGCGGCCGTGTGGAGGAGAGCGGTATCGGTGCTGGGCTCGGTGCGGCATTTAGCGAGTCGAGCGGGCGAGCGGCCGAGATCAGACCCGAGGAGTCGCTAGGCCGTGTGTCCATGGGGTCATCAACCGTGAGCGCTGCGAGGGCCACGAGGAAACGAGTCGGGCACGCTATCGGGCAGCCACGACGGAGCAGAGCAAGATCGCCAAAGAGATGGATTCCAAGGCAACGGCGGGACGGCGGCCGAGTTGGCTCGTCATGCCTGCTGCTGGCGCTGGCCGAAACAGGCAGGCGAGACAGAGCGGGAGGCGTGCAGGACCGGCCGTTGGCGCTTGCGACGGAGGCGGAAACAGAGAAGCAACCACCAGCGACGGCGAGTCGACGTCGATGCGATCACCGGTTGGAAGGCTGGATGTAGATGTGGATGCGGGTTATCATTCGCGAGTGGTTGCAGCGACCGGCAGTGTCCAAAGTAGTGGCGAAACGAATACACCAGTCACACCATGTTCCGCTGGTTTCGCGACAACGACCTCTGGATATCATTCAGTCTTATGCTCCTCAGGATGGTGGCATATGAGGCGAATTGGGTAGCGGAGCACCCCAGAGCGAGGGGCAGCCGCGCTCAAATGGGGATGTCAGCGCTTCATTGTGATGTTTGCTAGCAGCACTGAACACATGCGCAAAATGTGGGGTGACGGACACGAGGAAATGATGGAGCATGCCATGGTATCGGGGTGGACCCATACAAAATACAACGGTCCCTGAAGGAGGGGGCGGAGGCGCCTGCTCTGATCTCGCTGAATACGCTGGCCGAGAAGCAGGGCTTGTCGGAGGCGCAGGTCAATGAAGGAAGACCACACAAATGGGTGATGTGTGTCCGCAAGGCCCACCCAAGCGGTTGGAAGATGGCCGACGCCCGGGTGGCTCAAGCAGAGGCGTACTTCTTTGTCCATTCCTTGGCCGTTTTTTCAAACTTGGAAAAGTCGGTTTTGTACTGCTCAGCGATGGTGCCTTGCAGGGCATCGTCGGGATTGGGTGTTTCGAGGATCAAATGGAGCGACAGCAGGATATCGGAGACACGGGAGGCGGGCTTCCACACCTATCCACAGCGAGCCAGGCCGGATATTGGATGCGATGGAAGCCATCGGGGTCGTTGAAGGCCGCCAGGATTGCCAAGATTGCAGCAAGTCGATCGAGGGCCAGGCGATGTGGGTCGGAAGGACGTCAGTCAGAATTCGACGGAGCCAGAGCCATCCAGCAGGATAGCCAGCGAGACATTTGCTGGCACCTACGCATCCGCTCGCATTTCAGGACCCAGGATCCACGAGTGCGCAGGCAAACACACAATGCCCGGATTGCCAGGATGGCCACTCACATCAGACTTGAGCAGAGCGATGCAAACCGATCCATCGTCGTCAATGTTGGGATGGTAGGTCTTGGTGATGAACTTGACCTGAGTCGTGGACAGAGGATCCAGCGTGTGCATCAGAATGAGTCGTCAATGCCAGACCTGCAAGACCGTCAAACTGACCAACCCACCAGAATCCCATTATATCTCGCCCCACCCAGTCCAAATTCAGTCCAAATTCACAGCCCAGTCTACCAATTCAACCCGATCCGATCCGATCCACTTTGATCCGAGTCGGTTGTCAATCCACACGTCTCCTGCACCAACCTGAGGGGGCTTGAAGGGGAACTCCTGTGGGAACTCGATTTTCAGTCGAAAGATGCCGCCGCTGTATGGGCTCTTGCGCTGAAGAAATGAAAGAGCGGAGCTGGAGCATAAGGCAATCGGGTGGCGGAACACAGAGCCGTTGGAGCAGCAGAGGCATGATGGAGGTGCGATGGAACGCTGCGAAAGCCTGGTTGCCGAGTCGCACTGAGAGCCGATTGCCTTTGCCGATCGCCGAGCTGGAACTTACGGGGCCCATCAGGTGTCCTTCCCAGTGGAAGAGGTTGTCATCGATGGGGCCGGCGTGGGCAAACTCGATGGGGTTCTTGTTGAGATCGACAAGTTCCTAGACGAATGATCGTGTCGGTGAGCAGGTCAACACTTTGCTGTGCATATGGAGCGATGGGAGCAGGCCGATGATGGTGCAGCCGGTAGCCCAGGCACGGTAAAACCCCAGGGCAGGATGCATCCCGCCCCATTTCGTTTGGCTTGGTCGGAATCTTGGCAGAGCCGGCTTTGGTCCGAGATACCGATCGAACAGCCATAGCCAAGTCGAGGGGGAAGACAAGAGCCACAAGGAAGCAGGCAGGGAAGGATGCATCGGGCCCAACGAAGCTCACCTTTTGGATTCTTCGGACAGCCATCTCGGTCGATGCGTTTGGAGACAGCAGAGCAGAGGGGAGCAGTGGGGAGCAGAGCAGAGGGAAGCAGAACAGAGCAGAGCAGAGCAGAGCAGAGCAGAGAGGAACAGCTGAGGACGAAAGGTGGAGCAGCAAGGGCGGTGCCCTTGACAGAGCAGCTGCTGCGCACCAGACGGCCAGCAACGCCGCGCACGTGTGCAGGTGTCCGGTGACCAAGAGCTGTTGTGGGATCATCGCACCGCTGCTGTCGCCAAGTCCGCCTTGGCCTGGAAGTATCCATGATCGACGGGCACACCTTGCGCTGCTGCCATAGAGCGGATGGTCACTGTGGAGGATGGATGTGTGTATATTCCCATCAGAATAGCGGGCGATCAGGTACAAGAACAGGGATATCCCGTTTCATTTGCGGGTGCTGGCACGATACAATATCAGGTCAGTCATGGAAGAGAAGGCGCATCGCTGGTGTGGTTTACTCTAGCCCTAACAGCGATATCATTGTTTATTCTTGGTCTGGAATAAAATGCGATAAAGAAAGAGCAGGTGGTAAAAGGAGAGGACGGGGAAGGAAAACGTGAAGGTGACTCTGCGTTCGACAGATGCAAAGCTGGGCTGGTGATGTAGCTCTTTACAGAATCATGCACTTTTCCCTTCTCTTGGGTGCAGGTCGGCGAGGAGGATGCGCGTTGTTGCCACCATATGCGTCGTTGGGCTGAGTTCGCGGGTTGCGCTGCATGTTGTAGCGGCGGATCTGGAGGGGGGGGGCAACGGGGGCGGCCAGAGCCATGCCGGGTCAGTAAAAAATCGACGATAAAGCACCACAAAACCAGCAGTCCGTAAGCTGGAATTTGCTGGGATGTCCAAGTTGTATCTGGAAGACTGTATCGCCGTCGCTGCCTTCTCTACGGAAGCGATGCACAGACAGGATCGGCTTCGGTGCAGCGCACACGCTCGCAGGCCACAGCCGGCTGTGATACTCGGCATGGGACCTGTTGATGCGGCTGCCTTTATCGCTTGCCACAGAGTCGAGCCTACCTCGCGAACAAGCTGGTAGAAAGCCTCATCGACGTGAATTCTCATCTTGGCAGAGGTCTCGACAAAGTTGCAGTTGAAGCGACGGGCGAGCTCGCGGCCCTCGTTACTGGAGACGACGCGCTCGTGTTCGAGATCGCACTTGTTTCCAACAATGATGATAGGGTAGGAGTCACGGTCCTTGACTCGCAAGATCTGGTTGTAGTATGTGCTGATTTCTTCAAAGGAGCCGCGGTTGTTGACGGCATAGACGCAGAGGAATCCCTCACCGGTACGCATGTACTGTAGGGACAGAGTCGGCGCCAGGTCAGAGACGAGTTCAGGATTCCCGAGGGATCAGGAGATCGGCCGAGTGCGATGAGTAACAAGGAATGACAGACATACCTGCTCTGTTGGCGAGAATCCGTGTCAGACAATTGGATTGTTCGGATGCATATTCATTTGATTGTGGGGAGGGGGAGGCCAAATGAGATGTTAGACGAATCGGTCAAAACGGACAGAGCCACGGAGTGCGGAGTGACTCGAAGGGCCGCTGCAGACGCCGGCGGAGAAGCAGGCTCGCACCTCTCATGGCGCTGTACTCTTCTTGGCCAGCGGTATCGAGGACATCAAGCAGGGCGACTTCGTCGTCGACGACGCACTGTTTGCGGTAAGAGTCTTCAATGGTGGGGTCGTATCTGTAAACAGAGAGTGCGGCGATCAGCAGCTGACCAGTGCGGTTGGTGTCGGATGGGCCGACGCTGGCTGGGCGTCGGGACACAGAGGCAGCGCAGGGTAGCATCGGCAAAAGCAGCGACACAGCATGACGAAGCTCGCACGCATGCGGAGGCCACGATCGACGACGGCCGCTACATCGGTCGAATCGATCGGCATGGGGAGAACCTAGGTGCGGATGGGGAAACATACTCATCGACAAAGTGCGATTGGATGAATTGAATGGTAAGAGCCGACTTGCCAACACCACCGCCGCCGACAACGACGAGCTTGAGAGCGGCAGCCACACAGACAGATCAGGAGAGATGGGCAAGCGGTTAGTCCAACCGGATCAGCGGCCCACGGAGGACATGTGCAGAGTCGGCGAGACAGCCGGCCTGTGGATCATGCTGGCTCAGCCAGGGAGGCCATGGCGGCCGTGTCGCTGTGGCCCCGATGCAGGCTCGCCAAGCTCGTCGGCCGGTTCAAGCGCAAGCGACAGCGCACGAATCGGAGACAGCCCCGGCCGGGCAAAGTCGAGCAAAGGCAGGGCCGGGCCCGTCAGGCCAGCCAAGGCCAGGATAGCGCAGGAGAGCGCAGGACCAGCACGCCGCAACGAAGGGTGGTGGGCATACCTTGTATTCACGCAGGAACGTTTGGGAGGGGCCGCGGACAGACATGATTGATATCGGGCGAGACGGGCTTGGGCAGGCTCGAAAAGGAAAGAGGTGGCAGGGGAGTGTGAAATGAAAACAGGATGAGGGCCGAGACCACGGCGGCGAGATTCAGATGAGATGAGGGGCCGGGAGGAGCAGGAGAGGGAAGAGCCCAAGAAAAGGACAGGACGGCCAGCCAAAGGCGAGCGAGCCAGCGGGCTAAAAAAAGGCGGCCTTGTGGGATGTGTGTGTGTCGACAGAGACTGTGGCGGCTGGCTGCAGCGCGTTCATGGCAACTGCGTCTGTGTGATGGCTGCACGGCAACCGCAACAGCAGCAGCAACAGCAGCAACAGCAGCAGCAACAGCAGCAGCAACAGCAGATACAGCGACAGCCGTACTCTGGCTGTCCAGCCAGTCCCGCCAGCCACACATTCTCTCGCGGCGCTCGGTGGAGCGCGTCCACCACCCAGCCCGCTGTGCTGCTGTGGACTGCTCTCTCCTGTGAGCGCAGCACATCCCCCGCACATTGCTATTCTCGGACACCGCGTCGGCATCTGTGCGCGCCAGGGACTGCTCCCGTCGCACAGACGGCGCGTACTGTGGTCCTGCGGCCGTCAACAATGCCGTCAACAAGCGGTCGCGTCCGACGGGCAGTCCGAGTGCACCCGCCCAGCTGTCTGCTGCGATGTACAGCCGCCACGCGATTGTGACTGTCGCATGGACAACCGAGCTGCACAGCAAACCGGGCCGATGGAAAGAGAGTGAGCCGGAGAGCAAGCTGGAGAGCACCGGCGGCACAATAACGCAACGCAATAGCACGGAATGGCCAATATCGCAACACCACACCACCACACCACCACACCACCACACCACCACAACACCACAATACCACAATACCACACCAGCACGGCTCGACCCATCTGTAAACAAACCAGGCAAGACCAGCCGCGCACTCCGTATGAGCGGCTCTTGAGGCCACCCCCAGGCGTTGTGCCAGTCAGCCGCTCCGCTGCCCGCGCCCCTCACAAGGCCCAGGACACCCGCGTTGGGCTGCACATGTTACGGCGGTGCACACCGCTCCCTGCCAGAGCCGCGGCCGCCATGGGCAGGCCCACAAAGCCAGCCCAGCACCCGACAAAGCCACACCGTCGCCTGTCGTCGCACAGGTGCCCGCGCCGCCGTCGCCTGCGTCCAAAAATGGTCGCCCCGTGCGCTCGGCCCCTTGCTGCTGCTGCTGCGCGCAACACAAGGTTCCGTGGTCGGCCTCGCCCTGGCCAGATGCCGCCACAACCGCGCCCGCACACACATGACCTGCCCTGCCGCTCGCGCGCGCCCATTGGCGCATTCCGGACCAAGCCGCTCCCGCGTGCAAGTCTGGTGCGACTTCCATGGCCGATCTGGAAGCGGTTCGGATACAGCGTGCCAATGCTGAAGTGGAATGCTTTGGTGGTTGGATGGTTGCCGATCGATCTTGCTGAGCGACATCGATCGGCGTTCGCACTGGACTCGCTGAGGGAATGCCGACCATTGACTCCGTGGGACGGAAGGACTGTATTTCGGCGTTCCTCTGCGATGTGCCCGCCATCAACATGACATGGCATCGTGCCTCTGTCTGCCACCGCCTTGCTGTTCAGGCCTGCAGGGGCTTGAGCCCCAGCGACAGACGCATCTTGTTGGTCTCTTCGATCGACATCGATTCCCGGAAGGTGCCTTCGCTTCCGCCTGCGCTTGCTCCGGCCGGCTTGGCGCTCCGACTCTTCTCGTCGTCCCCGGATTTCTTCTTGAACAGCCCACTGACTTTCTTGGACGACCAGTTCTTGCTCTTCTTTCCGGCCGAGCTTCCCAGGAGGGCTTCGTCGACCTCGCCATCTTCCCGGGTGTGCGCACGCGCATCTTCGCGGCTGCGGGACCGACCAGGGCTGGTGCTTCGAGAGGGCGATCTCTTGGACCGGTTGTCACGCTCTCTGTCCCGAGTTCGATCACGACTTGAATCGCGGCGCTCAGCGCTGTGGGCTCGGCCTTGGTTTCGGCTGCGGTATCGTTCCGGACTCTGTTCGCGATCGCGGCTGCGATCTCTGCGGCGTTCTCGGCTGTCGTTGCGACTGTGGATTCGACTGCGGTTTCGGTCGCGGCTGTCGTTGCGTCGTCGATAGCGATCACGATCACGATCGCGATTGCGGTCTCGATCGTACCCGCGGTCCCTGTATCGGTCGCGGGACCCATCGCGAGACGGCGACCTGTGTCGATCGCGGCTTTCGTTTCGGCGGCGGTCGCGGCGACGATCTGCACTCGTGCTGCGATCTCGTCCCCGTGCTGAGTCCCGGCGATCCTTGTAGTCGGATGATTTGGGCGACTGGTCGTCCGGCAGTCTCTTGTCGTGGCCACCGTCCGGCCCTCTGCGGCCACCATCATCATCGCTGCCGTGTTCTTGCGCCGAGTGTTCTGCCGGGGCAGGATCTGGACTCTCCCGATCGCTGTCGAGAAGATCCTGGCCCAGTTCGCTCTCGAGCGGGCTCACTCGAGGCTCCAGCTCGCCGAGTTCCTCGAGCACATGTCGTTTTGTTATCCGCGGCAAGATTGTGTCGCATACGCGCTCGGCCGTGAGCAGCTCATCGACAAACTCGTCAATGAAGGTCAGATCGTATCCCTCTGTTATGGGCATGGCAAAGGTTATCCACCTGGTCTGTCCTGCAAATCGCTCGTGTCGTCGTCTGGACCCGATCCCTGATCCTGCCAGTTGCGCGCCCCGAATCGGCGCCATTCATAACATACTCATTCCTCGTCGTCGCAACTTGCGCTTGTCGAGCAGGAGTGGCTCGAGTGACTTGTATATCTCTACAGACGTGCCTGTCAGGCGCAGATAAAATGCACCCAGGGCGCGTAGATATCTATCTCCCACGGGAATCGTTGAGCAACCGGGGCGAATTGTTTGTCGCGACAGCCATGAATGAGCCAAACAGGATCAGAATAAACGATCTGAATACAGGACTCGGCAGGCGCTTACGGCTAAATTGGCATCGACTCGCCTTTCTGGGAAGAGTCTGTGCTACTGACAGTCGACCAGCACTGACTCGGATGCGATATCTATGCAGGGTTGACAGTGCTGGACCAGTCTCACAAGACGGCCCACACGATCCGCTAATCAGGACACATGAACCCCACTTGGTGCTTACTTGAATTCCTCGTCCTCGATAAACAGCTGGATGATCTCCTTCTCTGGCTGGAGTTGCAGCAGCTTCAGGGTAAGACACAGAAACTCGGTCGGTCTTTGATTGCCATGCTGCCCTCCGATGTACTTGAGTGCCACGGCTTTGTCGACCAGGGTCTCCGCTGCTCTCCGCCGAGCAAATCACAAGAGGGAACTAAAGTAAATGAAGGCCCAAAGCCAATGGTCGGCCTATCGCCGTGAGGCTGGCTTTACCTCCTCCCCCTCCTCCCCAATGAAAGCGAAGCTGGTGAAGACAAATGCTATCCAGGACTTGGCGGACGAATGCGGCAACCCCGAGAAGCCGAATCGGGCCGATCGGAGCAGTCCGGATGGCGCAGTTGAGCCTATCAATGCCGCCACGCACAACCAATAACGTCCCGGACTTTGATGTTGATACGATCGATACTGGCCCAGACAGAGGCCAGTAATATCGACACCAGCCCAAGCGACGCCCCGGATAGAGTGGAAGCCGATGCTCACCGGACAATCCGAAACACTGCTCCTTCCAATAGAGGGTGTCGAGGATGCGCGTTCGGATGATCTTTTCAATCAGGAACTGGGGGTTGGTTCCGTGGAGAGCAACAGCATGGGTCGCTGTTGGAGTAGTTGTGCAGGTTAGTCAGAGCAATTGCAGACCCTGGAGAGGGTCGAGATCGGCTCATCACCGGCGGCATGTCTGGCAGAGCCCCCTTGGTGAATAGAATGGACAAACGAGCCCCCGAGCTGCATGAGACGCATTGAATCGATGAGATGGAGGTTGCGCCTCTGGAATCGAGATCCGTACCAGTCCGGTTTGCCATCGTGCGATCGTTCCTTTGGGCGACAAGGTCAGGGCGGGGTCGTTTCTGGGCGATTGAGCTGCTGCGGACAGAGACAGGCCGGTTGGGCGAGGGTCAGAATAGGCGCATACGATCGGCACTGCATCGAGCAAGTGATGGCCAGGTGGTGGCCAGATGGGCAGCCGCCCGCGACAGGCCCGAGACCAACCTCGAGGACCGCCTTGCAGATGATCGCCTCGACGACCGGCGCCTGGATCGGTTGGCAAGAGATCGCTCTTGGGCGCCGCTGGCGACGCAGACAAAAGTGTCGCGGCCACACACACACGCAGGACCAATCGGCTGCGAAACCGGGGGTTTCCGGCATGAGCCCGGCGGCTTCTCGGCCTTGTTTGCCATCGGCGCTTTCCGCAGCCCGCTGCGTTCCTCTTGCACTGCCGAGCAGCGACATCCAGGATCCAAGACGGTCGGGCTGGCCAAACGGCATCCAGGAGACCTGCGGCCTCCCGCTCTCGCATCCATCGCATCCATCGCATCCATCGCATCCATCGCATCCATCACCGTCATCACCGTCGCTGTCACCGCCATTGCAGCTTCCCGCAACATGGATCCTGTCTCAAAGCGACTTCTGAAGGAACTGGCGGACTGCCGTCGCAGCCTGGCCTCGCAGCAGCCCGCACCAGAGATGGAGCTGATTGCCGAGCTCGGCCCCATCGACGACGAGGATCTGTTTGCCTGGAAAGCTGTCCTGAATGGGCCTCTCGATTCTCCATACCAGGGTGTGTGTCCGGATCGCTTGCCCATGGAGCCTGCCAGAGGACGCACGATGGCTCTCCGTCGATCTTGCTTTCGGCATTCTCGCTTTCGCTCTTGCTTTTGGCATTCTTGTCTTCGTTTTTGCTCAATCCCACGACAAACCCCACAGAGCAACCAAAGGGTCCGAGCAGCGAGTCCATCTCGCCGCGGCCGTATCTGGACTGCCGATTAACACCCGTTCCATCGTCGCAGGCGGCCAGTTTGAGGTTCTCTTCCATATCCCGCCCCAGTATCCGATACATCCGCCCTCGGCCAAGTTCACAACGACCATATGCCACCCAAACGTCCACTTCAAGGCAAGTTTCCTGCTCATCCCTGCTATGGCTCACGGCACTCGAGCATTGATGCCATCCAGCCCCCTATGCCAGCCTACCAGGATCCGCTCGTATGGCCATCCTGGATGTTCCTGGTGGAGCAGTCGTTGATATCGCACGCCGACAATACCTGGTTTAGCTGGCCTCTGACGCTGTTTCCTTCGTTTTCGTGGCTAGACAGGAGAAATCTGTCTCGACATCCTGAAAGACGCCTGGAGTCCGACGTGGACGATTGCCTCGACCTGCGTGGCCATCGGCGTCCTTTTGACGGTATGAGGGAACTCGGCAGGCTGCGTTTCGGCCACATCCACCGCCTCTGCGGCCCGCTGCTTTGCCTCACTTTATTCCACGGCATCGAATTCACACGAATGGTCTCTATCCTGGCCCCACTTTGTTTGCACTCGAACGTTCAGTCCCCCGAGCCCAACAGCCCGCTGAACTGCGACGCCGCAAATCTCCTGCGGTGCGGCGATACCCGAGGATACAACTCGCTTGTGCGCATGTACACTCTGCTGCATGCCATGCCGAGGTCATGACCGAGCCTCGGCGCATATCACCTGCACTGGCTGTTCGTGTCCGATCTGTATCATATCCCACGATCTTACCTGCTGGGTTCGGTCGGGAAAGAGATTGCTCTGCGCCTTCACCTCATACTCCTGTTTCGGAAGGGGGATGAGAGCGTGCGGCATATGCCAGGCATTCAGCTCGCACTCACGATGTTGTGTGCAGAATCAGCATTGCGATGCCACTGGCTGAAGATGGTTTCGGCTTCACAGCCCGCACAGTCCCGCACAGTCCCGCAGCTCTATCCCGCAGCACCAGGCAGCCAATCCAACACAAATCCAGCCGTACCCAATCCGTCCATTCTCTGTCGTCCTCTCCACGGCGGTGTAATTTGATTGCTGTCTCATCGTGCTGGACAGAAGCCCCGCCTGCAAGTCGAATTCCGACTTGCCGTCTGTGGAGAACCCGGTGGAGTGTCATATGCGCCGCTGTTTTGGAAACAATGTGCTCGCTCTCACGACAGAAATCTGTTCTCGTCGGCCGTCTTTGCTGTGTCTGCCCTCCAATCTTTAAGCGGCGAGGTCGTCAAGAAGCGTTCTGGTACATATCTGTGGCCCCGCTCATCCCCTCCCCCTTCCCAGTATCATCAGTTCCTCCCTCCGCCAAGCTTTTGCCCCAGTATGCCGCTCGAGATATCTACAATCGTCACTGGGGTGTCGGCCCTGGTCTACGACGTGTCCATCAGCTCGCTCGTGGGAACGCTTCAGGGGTCGTTCAAACTCTTCTCCGCCATCAAGCTGGTTGAAGAGAACAAGAAGATATGGACCCGTTTGGCCAACCTCTCCTTCCAGATTCTGCAGACCCTCGTCCAGTGCCAGTCACCTTCCGCTGTCTTTGCCCAGCAAGCCGACCGCCTGCAGCAATTTCACAACAAGGCATACAACTATGTGACCGACCTCCAGTCCCGTCCCAAGATCGAGAGACTCTACAAGGGCCGCACAACCAGGGCCAATATCGAGCAGCTCTGTCGAGAGCTTGACCTGCTCTGGCAGAGCGCTGCCACGGCGCTGTCGATCTCTGCCGTCAAGCGTCTGAAGCAGTCCGATCTCTCCCACGCCATACAAGACGACCAAGCCCAGGAAGAAGCTCTCCTGGCTCAGATTTCGGCTCTCCTCAGCCAAGAAGACTCCTCTGTTCTTGGCCTCGTTGGCATCTATCTCGACATGCCCGACTGGAAGATCCGCCAGACCACTGCAGCGCTGATGGCCTTGGCCGAGGACAGCAGCTCTACCGCGATGGCTGATAGGATAGTCAAGCCCCTCCTGGCGATGCTCCAGCGGCTCTCTAGCGTTGCTCGCTCGATGAAGCCCGAGCCTTGGCGGATCCCAGCCAACGCCGTCACCAACCGCTCCCCGGATCCCGTTGCCCGAGGAGGATTCGGGCAGGTCTACATAGCATCGTACTACGGCTTGGATGTGGCCGTCAAGGAGCTCCTGTGTAGCTACGACGAAAAGGAGATTGGTGAATTCCGCCGAGAAATCTACATATGGCACAAGCTCAGCCACACTAACATCCTGCCTCTCCTGGGCGCCTGCGATACGGCCGATCGCCCCTTCATGGTCTCGCCGTTCATGCGCAACGGTACTCTCCGCCGCTTCATCTCTGACCCTGAAAACAGGCGCCCCCTCAGCGACAAGCTCCAGCTGATGTTCCAGGTCGCCTCGGGGATGGCCTATCTCCACGACCACCACATTATCCACGGCGACCTCAAGCCTCTCAATGTTCTCCTCGACACCGGGCTGCGGGCCGTCATCTCGGACTTTGGCATGGCCCGCACCAAGCACACGTCTATCTCGGCCTCCATAGGCAAGCACAATGAGAGCATCGGTGGCACGCTCGACTACATGGCCCCGGAGATGCTCGACGACGAGAAGCCCGTGGACTCGACCAAGAAGACGGACGTCTATGCCTTTGCAATCACGCTCTTCGAGGTGATCAACAACGGCAACCGAGTGTGGGTGACAGTCGACGGCAAACCCATGCGACCCAGCGCCATCGAGCGCCATGTGTGCAAGGGCAGCCGACCCAAGCGGCTCGAAGGAGTTCCTGACGAGATCTGGTCGCTGATCGAGCAATGTTGGCACCAATCTCCATCGGAGCGACCCAAATTCGCAGAGATTCTCACCAGTCTGGATCCCTACAAAGACCCCAATCCCGCTGTAGACACTCTGTCCAACATCATCTCGTCCTCGCCCCCGTCCTCGATCTTGTCCTCGCCCACACACACATTCGATCTCGCCAAGCCGACTGTGGACCTTGAAACCGGGAACGACTTTCTATGCTTGCAGCCCGGCTGTCCCGACCGATCTCTCAGCCCGTGCTCGGTCCAGTCCGACGCTGATCTGGATTCCTTCCCAGGCGTGCCGGCTTCCCTCCAGCAGCTCTGCAAACAAGGAGACCCAAAGGCATGCATGCAGGCAGCCAAGGCGATCACTGAGGCCAAGCTCGCATCGGATCCGGCTTGGGGACATGCGGCCCGGCTCTTTCGTGCAGCCGCAAACCACGGCAGCCCGGAGGCAAAGTTCCACCTTGCCTGGCTGAGTCTTGCTGGAATCGGAACAGAGCAGAGCGACGCCGAGGCCCTGGCACTCTGGCAGCAAATCCACGACACCTCCAACGACGCAGAGATAAAGCCCATCAGCACCTTTTTGCTGGGCTGGCTTTGCTATCTGGGCCGGGGATCGCAGCAGCAAAACAAGGAGAAGGGAATCGTCCTGATGCGGCAGAGCAAGACCAACGACTTCACGCTTGCCGAGGACAGTCTCGAGCCCGAATCCGATCCCGTCTCGTCCAACTCTGTCGTCGCCCAGCTATTCTTCCGGCTCTGTCTGCTCGGCTCGGAGCAGGACTGGCTGTGCAAGCATCTAGAAGCCGTCTGCCACATCGGCGGCTTCGGCACCGCCAAGGACCAGGCCATGGCTGCGGATTTGTTCGACAGCCTTGCCAACCAAGGACACGATGTGAGCCAGCACTGGTTGGGCCGATGCTATGGCTGGGGCTGGGGTGTGCCCCGAAACGACCCCATGTCCTTCAACTGGTACAGCCAAGCTGCGAGCCAGCACAACTCGTATGCCCAGAGCATGGTCGGCCGATGCTATCGGAACGGCTGGGGAGTTGCCAAGGACGACGTCAAGGCCGTCGAATGGTACACCAAGTCGGCCGAGCAGGGAAACGCCGTTGCTCAATGGAACCTTGGTCGCTGCTATGAGCACGGCACAGGGGTCGCCGTGGATATGGAACGAGCTGTGCTATGGTATGAAAAGGCCGCTGATCGGGGACTCACGGCTGCAAGGCATCGGGCCCAGCGGATCAAGGACCAGCGCCGAGTCTGAATCCAAGCTCGGAAGGCCGGAATGTCGGAAGGCCGGAATGCTAGAAGCACAATCATTATTTGCACAGCCAAGACCCACTGCCGGAGAAGACCACTTCCACATACAACGCCCGTCCGCGAACAAGCGAATGGACACGGATTCAACAATCGGATTCAGTCATCGAGCACTTTGGAGTTTGCTTGTTGCTCGCCCCAGCTGTGCGACCAATACGTAATGGTATAGGGTTGCTGTCCGGGCTTGCCTTCGGCCCCAAGAGCCAACTTGCATGCGCTTCCGTTGAACTGCGGCGACTGGGCACTGCAGATAGCGCCAATCTGGTGGGCGTTTGCCCAGCTGTACGGATAAATGTAGCCTGATACCAGGGCCAAGATTAGGAATATATGGACTCGCTACCCACCGGGAGCCGCTGGCACCGGCAATTCTGTCGAGAGCCAGCCAATGCTCAGGCATGCCTCACCGAGGCTTACCATCATCGAGGGCGACCAGACCTTGAATGTCGTTGTGATTTGAATATGTCCTGAAGAGGACCACAGGGCCAGCGAGCTCCTCGGCCGTGGTGTTGGCATCTGATCTCCTGAAAGCTCGCATGATCTCGTTGACGACGAACATCCAGAAGGGATGTCCGGGTGCGCTCGCCATCCATGCGTTCGGCAGCGAGTGCTCAAACTGTGTGTCCAGACCCATGAAGCTGATGAGGGCAGATCCGCGCTCGATCAGCGCAGGCCCACCCTCGACAACAGGTGCATCCATGGCTCGGAGACACTCCATGTCGAGATCGGCATATACCCCTCCGTACTTGTACATGTAAAAGTAGCGAGAGGCATCGGCCCGGTTGATGTTCTTTGGAAGGGCGTCGTATGTGTCGAGGAACCACGGGAAGCTGGTCTCGATGAACTTGCGGTTCATGTCGTCTGTCCACAAGATGTAGGTCCATGTGGGATGATGCTGCTTCCATGAGTCGGACCACTGCACAAATTTCTGCATGACATTCGGCAACGGACAGATAGATCAATACAGTTATAGTAGATTTCTGCTCCTGCTGCTCCTGTTGCTGCTACTGTTGCTGCTACTGTTGCTACTGTTGCTACTGTTGCTACTGTTGCTACTGGCATTGCTGTCTTCAGCAACTCCGGGCATATACACAGGGCCCCCTCCGATGCAAAGACGTTAGGAAGCTGCGCTCATGAATTCGCAATATATCCCCATACGCCCGATGGGCACTGACCTTGGGTAATGCCTCGGTTTTCCACGACTGATGGATAATTTTGGGGATACTGACGCCGACACCAGGATCGATGAGGATGTGGTCTGATGGGCTGGCTGGCCATCCGGCGAGCTCCCCCGTCCGCTGCTGAGGCAGATACCAGAGCGTCCAGAGGAGCACTATTCCGATGATGCACAAGGCAAAGTGACGAGAGCGGTTTGAGTTGAGCACCATCGGTCCGGAAATGCATAAGTTGAGCAAGACGAAGAACAAGGCACGGCGACGCCGATGCTGCCGGTCTCGGAAAGCACCCAGGCCCAAACCGCCTCTCCCTCATTGTTCGGATGCGGGTGGGAAGGGGGGTGGCGGGGCTTGATTGTGCAAGGGGGCGTCTGGGCTGGCGGCTGGGGAGGACAGGCCGGGACCCCGCACACAGATGGCTTGTGGATCGGTTGATGTTGATTGATCTGGCTGAACGGCTTTGATCGGTACCCAAATCAGACTTCTCTCTTTGTTCTGTCTCTCTCCCTCATCCCAGGTATGTCTTCTTGCTCTGACCTGCAGCGGCTCACTGGTCCCCGTCGTGCCCGCTCATGCCATGCATCCCCTGCTCACACAGGACACTACAGGAGATGATTTGACCCACTCGGTCGTTGTTGGCCAAGCGTACGGTCTGATATGATCCGACAACGACGTGTTCTTGCCCGAGCGAGATGGTGTACCCATTGTCTGTATGGCATGGGGTCCGTGGCCGGTATACGGATGATTCTATTGCTTGATTGATCGTGGGGATGACTCTGCCCCGTGCACTCCAGTTGGGCTCGCAAGGTATAACAGTTCACTACCGAGCATGTGCTGCTTTCTGGTCAAGCACTTGCTTGTTCGACTTTGCTGGCTCCCATACATGGGACCAATAGGTGATGGTGTAGGCCAGTTGTCCAGGCTTGCCCTCGGCCCCTAGTTTCTTTTTACACAGCTCCTCGTCGATCTGGTCGGACTGAGCACTGCATATCGAATAAAGGTATTTGACATCGAGCCAATTGTCGGGGTAGATGAATGCCTCTGCGCTGTTCTTGTAGTTCCAGTTGTAGGGGTATATGTAGCCTGCGCGTTGTTCAAGTCAGTTTAGATCTGTGCCTGTGCTTCTTGAGCGAGTTGGGAGAAGCGCATCGTACGTCCGCTCCAGATGGACATGCTTGCGATCGATAGCACTGGCAATCTCACCATGCTTGAGCACCGTCAGCCCGCTGCGCTTGGCGGTCGGGAACGAGCGGAAGCGCATCCAGGCTTTGTAGAGCACGACGGGGCCTGTAGCTTCTTCTGCGGTTAGAGTCGTTGAGCGTGCGACGGCTCGCATGATTTCGTCGACGACGAACATCCAGAAGGGATGTCCGGGTGCACTTGCCATCCATGCGTTTGGCAGCGAGTGCTCAAACTGTGTGTCCAGACCCATGAAGCTGATGAGGGCAGATCCGCGCTCGATCAGCGCAGGCCCACCCTCGACAACAGGTGCATCCATGGCTCGGAGACACTCCATGTCGAGATCGGCATATACCCCTCCGTACTTGTACATGTAAAAGTAGCGAGAGGCATCGGCCCGGTTGATGTTCTTTGGAAGGGCGTCGTATGTGTCGAGGAACCACGGGAAGCTGGTCTCGATGAGCTTGCGGTTCATGTCGTCTGTCCACAAGATGTAGGTCCATGTGGGATGATGCCGCTTCCATGAGTCGGACCATTTTTGAAACCGCTGTCAAGCATGGCCGTATCCAGGTCCGGGTCAGCTCGGTGGCGCTGGAACGATGTGGCGACGTTCGCTGGCTTTGGGAGCAGTATATTCCCTGTTTGCTCCGCGGGCGACTTACCTTGGGCAGGGTCTCATTCTTCCAGGACTGGTGAATGATGCTCGGGATGGTGACATCTTGTCTCTGATCAAAAATCGGATCGATGTAGGGATTGGACGCTTGGAATCGCGCGAGCGAGTAGACAAAGAGACACGCCGCCACCAGCATCGGGACGACGAGTGCCGGCGGCCATCTGCACGGAGCCCTCATCATGGCGAGGTGCAGTCAGCGGTCGGTGAGTTGGACAGGCGGTTGCAAACTTGCCAGCAGCAACGGTGCGATCGGCGGGATGGGGCTGGCCGTTTTCAGAGAGCGGCGACAGGGCGAGGTGAGACGCCGTTGTATGTGCGTGGCTTGGCAACACCAGGGCGTCTTGGCGCGTCCAAGCGCGCTGAACCAACCAGGGCGGATGACACACACACACACACACACACACACACACACACCCTTGTCTTGGCAAAACCATGGCGGCAGCGGAGCAACTTTGTTGGCACAGACAGAGAGGGGAGAGGAAAAAGACCAGCGACGGGGCATCATCCCTGGCAACATCCCTGGCATCGTCTCTGGCAACATTCCCTGGCATCACTGGCTTTTCGTCGTGTTGGTGGTATCGTTTGCTGGGTTGTCCAGGATGTCCTGGTTGGCTCTTTCGGGCTCCCAGGTGTGGGACCAGTACGTCAGCGCATAGGCTTTCTGGCCAGGCTTGCCTTCGGCATTCAATCGCCGCTTGCATTCTTTCTCGTCGAGTGTGGAGAGCTGGGCGCTGCAAACCTCAACAAAGCCATCAGAGTTGCTCCAGTCGTACGGAAAGATGAACTCTGTTGAGGCCAGAGGCGAGTTTCGGCAGCACGAATCAGCAAGTGGATACCAGCCGGGGCAATCATACAAGCGTTTCCATCAAAACAGTGATATAGAGTGGTGGAGGCGACGAGCAGATGGGGGGGGGCATCCATACCATGATCCAGGGCTACTAAGCGGTTGACCTCCGTGACGTTGAGTTGCGAGTAAATCTTCCAGGCCGAGTGCAGGACGACGGGCCCGGTAAGCTCTTCGGTGCCGCTCTTGCCGCTGCTTCGGGCCTTGATCATCTCGTTGACGACGAACATCCAGAAGGGATGTCCGGGTGCACTCGCCATCCATGCGTTTGGCAGCGAGTGCTCAAACTGTGTGTTGGTGCCCATGAAGGCAATGAGGGCCGACGCACGATCGGTCAGCGACGGCTGGTCTTTGTCATAGGGAGCATCCATAGCTCGGAGACACTCCATGTCGAGGTCGGCATATACCCCTCCGTACTTGTACATGTAAAAGTAGCGAGAGGCGTCGGCTCGGTTGATGTTCTTTGGAAGGGCGTCGTATAGGTCGAGGAACCACGGGAAGCTGGTCTCGATGAGCCTGCGGTTCATGTCGTCTGTCCAAAGGACATAGGTCCATGTGGGATGATGTCGCTTCCATGTGTTTGCCCACTTCTCGAATCTCTGGGGAAGGCGGGTACAGAGTGATTGTGCAGCGTCAGCAAGGGTCCAGAAAGCGATCAGCGGTCCTTTGGTAGCCCAGCGTCAATCATCAGGGCGATACCCGCCAAAGGAGATGCCGTCAGGTAGAGGCATATGCGCAAGCTGGCGACGATGCAGCTGCAGTGGACGGTTCAGCCAATGCCAAGTCGCTATCTGGTGCTCAGAGCCCAGTGCCCTCCGAGACCGATCGACTTGCCTTTGGCAGCTCACTGGTCTTCCAAGACTGGTGGATGATCTGCGGGATACGAGGGCCCTGCGGGTGGATTCCAAACATATCAAACTCGACGGGGCCTTCAAGCTGCAGACTGGGCAGCAGGTAGAACTGGGCGAGGGTGACCAGCAGTAGAAAAGAGAACACCGCAGTGCTCAAGACCGATAGCTTGGAGAGTCGGACCATGATGAGGAGGGGTGTCCCGGCCGTGAGAAGCGGAGGCTGCTCGACAGGAGGACGAGATCTGCAGCAAGTTGCTTTGCGATTGCTGCTCTGAGCGACAGGAGAGCCGGATGGGGAGACAGACGAGGGGAGGCAGGAGAAGGCTGTGTTGAGTCAGCCGTGTTTGTGGGAGCTGCTCTGTTGGGGACGACGGCGACAAGGAGTGGGCTTGAGGAACCCGCGCCGGCCAGAGGAACAGCGACGGGCGATATCGATGCTCGCTTGGGTGCTGCTCGTTGGAGGGACGGGCGCTCCTGGCATTTATATGTCTTCGACAAGCTATTTGCATGCGATTGTGAAGAGACATGGTTCTCTCAATGGTCGCCGGTGGATGTTGACAATGCCGACAGACAGAATAATGGAGGACCATTCCTTCGAATCATGATTGATCTCCTCGCCGGCTGGAGCGACACTGCCACCGTTGTGCTCCTCACCCTCCCAAGCCCCGGACGTTTGCTATCCTCTTCACTGGGGTAAATCAATGTATCAAAGTGATTTATGAACTCGTTTCGGCCTTGTCGCCGCCACACACCCACATAGGGCCAGCATTACTTGCTGCTGCCGGGCTTGGCCGTGTTGCTGGGCTTGACGGTGCTGCTGGCCTGAATGGTGCTTCCGGGTCGAAAGCTGCTGGTGGTGCCAAGAGCGGTGCCGCTCAGGACCGGGATGCCCTTGGCCCAGCTCTTCCACGAGTCAAGGGCATGGTCAATGCCGTGGGTGAGCGATCCATATCCGTCACCAAGCGAGGCGTACACCGGGGCAGACAGGAACCAGTTCTTCCATTCGTCAACAGGAGCACCAAAGGTCGGGGCGACAACCTGGGCGGCGGACGACGGGGGCTCCAGCGGCATCGCATAGACGGCGCTCAGGGTGGTGATGAGGTTGTTGAGGCCGGTCAGGTACACACTGTCAGGCCCGGGCTGGTCGGTGCTGAAGTAGGAGTGGTTGAAGTCGATCGAGTAAACGTCTGCGTGTGCCTGCGGTGCATATTTTTCGTAGTTCTCTGGGTCCCAGGCGGCCTTGGTGTCGCCCTCGTAGACAAGCAGCAGGCTGGAGCCTCGCAGTCGGATACCGTTCAGCTCCGAGAGGGTATCCCGAAGTCGCTCGAGCTTGGTGACCAGTATGGGGATGGCCGCCCGATGGACAAGTCGGCCCTTGCCGTCGCAGAAGAACTGGCGGAGACCGAGCGGCAGTGTCACCGTGTTGAGCGCATAGCCATAGCTCTTGGGGAACTTGAGATAGTGGCCTGAGGGCGGGTCGTAGATCTTCATGCCGCAGAGCAGCATGCCGGTGGCCTCGACTGTCGTCACCATCGACCGGACTGACATCCTGACCTTCTTCAGAAGCGATGCATCGTTCTCGTAGAGCTGGGTCCCGATCTTGATGTCGATGGTGCAGGGCTTGGTGAAGGTGCTGGTGGCGTTGTAGGTGCGGATCCATCGCTCGTTGGGAGAGGGATGGCTGCCGTCCTTGGGCGCTGGAGGAGTGCTGTACTCGCCGTAGAAGCGTGGGATAAAGTCAATGTAGGACGCGATCAAGATGTTGGGCGGATTGAACCGGTATTCTTCAGTTTTTTGGTAAAAAGCAAGCTCCTTGATCTCGGAGCGTTTGGCGACAATACCGTCGCCGAGGTCGATGATTGTGCCATGGCCAGCCACCGCCTCGAAGCTGGTTCCGGTGATGGGCAGATTGGACGGCAGCAGCGCGGAGGTCAGAGTGGGCGAGGCCGGGGGCTTGTGGCCCGTCGGGACGGCAGCAGGAGGGGCCAAGTTGGAAGCTTCTTGTTCCTCGGGCTCGACGACAGCAGCGGCGACTGTGGCCATGGGGGCCGAGGAAACAGCGGCAGGTGCGCCAGTGATGGTTGGGACGGCGGCGGGAGGAGCAACAAAGTCTTCGTCGGACATAGTGGCAGCGACAGATGGTGCGGGACGGAGAAGGTGGCTGGATTGAGCCGACGGGATGCTGCGAAAGCGAGGGCTGGGTTAGCAGAGCGAATAGATGGATGGAGAGATGGATGGAGGGATGGATGGAGGTTGACGGATGGATGGCAGGGCTGGCACATGGACGAACGGTCATGTGCAAGTCACAGGCCGCTGCGCCACAGTGTCCAGCCGCCCACTCTGGCTGTCTGCACCGAAGCGCTGAGCCCAAGCATCAAGCACCAGCAAGAGTGCTCTTCATTCAGATGCCACGATGCTGAGCTGTCGAAGCGGCGGCTCTGTGGCCTCGGATGGACTGGGCGGCTCTCTGGCAGCCTCTGCGGTGGGAGCTGTTCTCGGCGAGGAGCCGCATTTCGCAGCACCAAAACATCTGTATCTGCTGGCCATTCGGAGCACAGGCACAGTCATCGCTTCCGGCCAATGCCGAGGGCGTTGATTAAACGGGTCCAATTCAAGCGGGGAACTGCGAGCGATTGAGTCAGCTGGAACTGTGCGGCTCGATCGCATCAAAAAGACGTGGCTATTCTCGAAAACAGGGTGCAATATTTCGCATCGTAAAGCGCTGTATTGGGTGGGCGGGAGCATGCATCTGAAAGCGGCCCTGTGATCGTTGTCGATCCAGCGTTTCGGCCTCCAGCGGATGTTTGAGGGCGCACCGAGGCAACGTTCAAAAGTCGTAGACCCGGCCTTTGCGTTCCCAGTCGCCAAACCGAGTCGGCTCAGCGCCCTTGGGGCCACCGATCTCGCCCGTCTGGGGATTCTTGTTGCCCTCCCAGCCCTCCAGCTTGTGCTGCTGGGCATCGGGGTGCTGGATGCCGGCGGCCACATCACTTGAGATCTGGCTGTCCGCCTGTTTCAGCAGGCGCTCGAACTCTTCCTGGTCCTGTTTGTTGCCCAAAGGAATCGGTCGTGGCGAGGAAAAGATGCCAGGCGACACGGCCGAAGCACTGGAGGATGATCGAGCAAGTGTCGATGTGGAGAGACAGCGGACAGCACCGCATGGGCGGAGGCGGGAGAGACGGTGCATGTTCGAGACAGACTTTGGTGAATGTGTTGGCGAGGCTGGCGCTGTGATGAAAGCCTGAACAGAGTCCGGCGAGTTGATCGGTTGGCTGCGGGTTTTGGAGAGAAGGGCGCTGTCTGGCTGTGGACGCGCTGCTGCATTTTGCATATGGCAAATCGCATGTTGCAAATCGCACACTGCATATTGCATTTCGGGTTGTGTTGTGTATTCTGCATGCTGCGGTACATTTCTCAGGGCGCCGGGCATCCTCTGAGATTATATCCCTCGCACAGGCTTCAATCGAGTTGGAATCAACCCCCGCAACAAATGCCGATCAGTCCAGCCTCGCTATTGCACTCCCGTTGATTACAACCAACTCGCCGCCAACTCAGCACAATTGCCATCGCTATCGCAGATATGTCTCTCATACGGACTCGGTGCGTTGACTGGCTCGGTTGTGGACCAGGTTTCGGCGCCGATACTGGGCCGAAAAGTCATTCAGGACGCTGGAAAGCTTGCGGGGATCGCGCTCGCCAAGTGCGCTGAGGACCGTGCGTCGAGCAAACCGATGGACAGAACAATTCAGGTCAGCGAGGTTACGACGCGGCCGGGTTTATGGTGCAGGTGTCTGCTACGTTGTGTGGCGCACTCTGCGGCATTAGACAGCGCATGCTGATCGCGGTCGACAACACGACTTACATCTCGACCTTCTTCACGAACGCCTGGCGGTCTTGGAGAGAGAGTTGGGGGTCAGGCAGCTGCCCTATGAGGTTGGAGATGAATGCCACAGTTTGTTCGGGCATCATCTGGTAAATGAACTTGAGGATCGGGCCAATCTCTGCCACAATGAACCGCTCCCGCGGGAAATGGAAAAAGAGCCCCTCGAACAGCATTCCGACCAGTGGCAGTCCCTGTTCACGGCCGATTTGCTGGATACGTTCGACCACAATGGGCGACGACGACGTCGAGGCCTTGAAGAGCTCATAAAAGTACGCCAGGACCTTCTGCAGACAGTCAGGCTCCTCCATGCTGAGGAAGGATAGCCCACACTGGAAGATCGCGGGCTGGATAGCGGACTGGGTTGCAAGGACTGGTGATCGCTCCAGCGTGCGGGTGATGAGAATGAAGAAATCCTGGATAGCTGATGGATGTTGCGGCGGGGTTGCATTGGATGGAGCCGCGGAGTTGACGATGAAACCGGGTCCGGGAGACGCAAGGGACCCGTCGGGGATGTAGAGTCGATAGCATTAGCATTCTAGTTGGATGCCACATTTGGCACTTGGCCATTGATCGAGGGGTGAGGTGAAAACCAACTCCCAGATGCTGGAACGAATGTCGTTCTTGTCGAAAGCCGGCTCGACATTTGCCCGGGACGCTGCTTACCATCGGGATTCATATCCTGCTGCTTGGTGCTCTGGATCAGGCGAAGCATCAAGCCCGTCATGTGCTCCACAGCCGAAAACACAAGCTTGCCGTTGTCAGTCGTGTCGCTGGCGTACTCCTTGACAAACTGCAGGACACTCCACAGGTAGCACGGACGGCCGGTCTGCTCGAAGGCAGCGTTGATCTTGGCGAGCATTTGCGGGAGCAGGCTCGTGAGTCCACCCCGGCAGGACTCGATGCTGTATCGGAAGCATCTGGCGATCGCATCGCCAAGTGTGCTGTCGGCAAAGTTGCTCAGCAGCAGCTCAAAGATGGGCCACATGTCGTGGATAAACTGTACGTTTGGAGGGTTGGTGCCAGTGGGAATAGTCTTGGGACGCACGCACTTGATGAAGATGGCAACTTGATCAAGGATCTCTACGGAGCCGATGCGAGGTGAGTATGCTTGCCAAATGCGACTCTGCATGTGATTCGTGGACAAGAACACATATCCTCGTTTCAACAACATCTGAATGATATGGATCGAAAGAGGCCCTCGACGAGACAACGCAGGCTCATCGAGACAGCGCAGACTCATCGAGGTAGCGCAGGCTCAACAGAGTGACTCACCAATAGCCTTGTTCACAGCATCGACCTCGTGCTGATGGTCGGCAGGTTTGCCTTTGATTGCGATTTCGTGAAGCTGCTGAGCAAGAGGGAGACAGAAGGCTTGCAGAGCCTTGAGCATCTCCTCAATCGGCACAGAGTTGACAATATATGCGATGGCTTCGGTGAGCTCTCGTCGATCTTCACGGTGCAAGACGTCGATCACCTTCACGTAGAAGGGGTGGAGTTGAGGCAAAAAGTTGACCAGAAGCTTGTGGAGAAGATTTGAAGTTCGCAATGGGAATGATGTTCGATGAGATGGCACATGGCGTGTCAGACCGCATGGCGCAGTGGAGTGTGTTGGATGGCATTTCCACATGGAAAGCAGTCAGCCATGCATCGTGCATGCCATCGATGTCAGCCACACCGTCCCCGCACATCCTTACCGGTCCACATTCTTCACAGAGATACTTCATGGCCAGCGCGGCAGCGGCAGTGGTGTCTTCGTCCGCGGGATTCTCAAAGCCCTTGGAGATGAACGAGATCTGATAATTGATGTACTCGGGGTGCATGCGTGTCCAGCCGGCGTATCGTCCAATGACGAGGATGGCTGCGTATTGGATCTTGGGATGGTCCGGCAGATTCTGCAAGAGACCCATGATCTGCGGCAGCACTCGGGACTCGTCGTTGCTGATTTTCCGGCCCATGGCACGCAGCGAAAACAGCGGCGCCTCCACATCCTGCCATTTCACCAGGTTGGCCGGAGTCGACAGCGTCTCCTGGATCTTGAGGCAGGCGCGGCCCAGAGCTTCTTCCTGCCCGACGACCGAGACACAGTCCTTCAACACATCGCCCATGTAGTGGCGGAAGTCTCGGAACTGGTCCTTCTCTTCGCCCGTGACACTGGACATGTCTTCCGGGTACCGGAGATGCTTGATGATGATGTCGATCAGCTGACGATAGACGTTCAAGAACAGAGGAGCCTTCTCTGGACGGCTTTCGAGCCCATCGGCCACCATGAACCAAAAGTTGAAGGTGATCTTGACGATATCGAGGTCATCGTAGTTTGCGCACTGTAGCAAGCCTTCGACGATCCCCTGGAAGGCTTCAAAGTTGTCGAGGACCAAGTCGACGAAGGACTCGCCAGCCTCGGTGAAGATCCGGCAAATGCCGCGGACAATCTCGCCATCGTCGAGGCTCTCGCGCAGAAACCCTTGGAGAGGGAGTAGCCGGGGATAGATCATGTTGATGATCGTGGCGTTCTTTTGCTGGCCCGCCTGGCGAATGATCTCCGTCGAGCAGTCCACGGCCACCTCGAACAGATCGTCCGACTTGAGAGCATCGAAGCACATATTGATTATCGGCGTTTCGGCCAGAAGCGCGACCTGGATGTCGCCAAACCGAAGCCACGACCACAGAACGTCGAAGCAGTCGATTTGGATCTCGGTCGTTACTCCTGTGGGCAAGAGAGCGAGTCCCATGGTCATCAGATCGATCGATCGATCGATCGAGTGAGCGAGCGAGCGGCATTCAGCAGCAGAGGGATGCCACTGACGTCTATGATTTTGGAACGATGCTCACCTGGGGCAACCAGGTACGTGATGATCATCTGGAGAACTTGCTGTGAGTTCTTTCGCAGAATCTGGTCCGCGCGCGCCTCCAGATCGGTTTTCTGAGTGGTGTGGCAGAGAGATGGGTCTGAGTGAGTAGCTGGCACAACAGTGGTGGGATATGGCCAAGATAGCACTCAGCCGGAGAGAGAGTCCGAGTGAGTGCATCGACAGCCACCGACGGATGCAGATACACATTGACGGCTCTGAGATGCATCGACCGGCGCCGGAAGAGTCATAGCCCACCGCCCCAATCGGACTATACGGCGATCGTCCCAGCACACACACGGGCACGGCGCCGGCAGACGTGCTCATACATCGATTGGAATCCTCTGGTTCCCGTTCGTTTCCTCAGGCAGGATCCTCAAAAACTCGAGCAGGATCCCGACTGTCTTGGGGTCTTTGCCGAGGAGCACAATCATCTGGTTGACGGGATCTTCCCAGCTCGAGGTCTGGATAGCGAGGTCGGCGAGGGCCAGGCAGAGTTGGGTCTTGATGCTTTTTGGCCCGCTCGAGAATTGGGGCAGAAGGTTGACCAGCGAGTCTCTCAGCGACATCCGCGAGCTGGCATCCAGATCGATCAGGTCATACATGACCTTGGGTCAAAGCAGCATCGGGGCGGGTGCATTAGCCAGACTGCCTGTTTGTATCTCGAGAAGGGCTTGCTAGAAGCGACTGCGATGGCACGGCCGAAAAGCCGGATATCCCTTACCTTCTGGCGAAAGGTCTGCGCGGCAAAGATCCGGGGCTCAGGACCAACGGTCTCTGATCTGATTAGCTGATCGGCGATGGTCCACGCCGCCGACTGGGAGCCGTTGGAGAGGGAGACCGCCCGGGAGAAGGGTTAGAGGACTCGGGCAAGCGGATCGTAGTGACCGGCACCCTCCGGTTGTCAGCTTGTTGGGCCGGCTGGGCAGGAGGTCCAAGGCGAGGAGGGTGTCCGGGGCGCTCCTACCGTCTTCTGGAAGTCTTCGAGCCAGCGGCTGGCCTCTTTGAGCTTGGCATCGTCGCCGTCGGGGAAGAAGAAGGCGTGCAGGGCCTGGAGAACCTGTTCGACTGTAGCGGCCGCCATTCGGTGCAGGGTTGTCTGGGGTGCTGGCCGGCCGATTGCTGTTGGGAAGGGTGAGCGGGAAGGGAGGCAGATGCGACGAGGAAACGCAAAGAAAAATGCCGCCTCGGTGCACCCGCCGCGCTGGGCTTTTGTCGTCCATCTGCCCTCCTCCCTCGTCGCTGCCGGTGCTTCCTGGCGTGCCGGCCATGTCTGCGGTGAGCATCAGCCTGCGGCCTGTGCCGCCGATCCATGCTGTTGATGCATCGAGTCTGTCTGAGCCCATCATTGCGCTGACTCATGCTGCCATGCACATCCATTCCAGCTCGGCTTCCTCGTCACTGGGCTGTATCTGCTCTCTCTGGTCTATCTCATTGCGCTGCTGCTCTTTGGCCACACCGAGTGCTTCAACAACTCGGTCCTGGGCAAGTTCCAGCGATTCTGGACGCTGACGGTGCCCCCTGTTTTGATGTATGTGCCGTCTCGCTGCAGCCTTGAGCGCCTGTGGCTCAGCTCGGCCGACTGTCTCCATGACTCGCAGCACGCCAATGCAGCAATCTCTCTGTCTCGATCGTCATGGGAATCGAAGCCAAGGCCGTGACAATCCTCGGCACTGGGGCCACCTCGATTGTAATCTCCGTCCCGGTGCCACCACAGCCGCATCTCGAAGCGCATCGTTGGAGAGCGCATCGTCGAGGGATATCTCAAATACTACGATGCCCTGACCAATTCTCGACATCCTCTGGTTCAGGTGTGTTATGGCCGTGCGACGGACCATCCCATCTTATCCGTCTGTAGCAGAGCTGTTGGCGGGCACCCGATCTGCCATTCACAGCGGATTGATTGCTCGCCATTCCCGTTCGTGATGGCGCTTTCCAGATATTCTACCTGCTGCTGGTGACGGTCTGCGCCGGTGTGTTCTTTAGAGATGGATATCACCGAATCCCAAACCAGTTCCTCTCTCCCATCCACAGGTACAGTGGTCTGACATGCGTCGCTGAGGACGGGTGTGTCGGAGAAAGGAGCTCGTGGCAAGAGGAATTTGCGATGCATATTGGCCTTCATCGAGATGCATCCGGCGACTCTGCCTCTGATCTGTTGTGCACTTTACAGGATCACACTGCCCCTGGCTCTTTTCTTTGTCTACGGGTCATACTACGCCATCTGCAACAGCGACCCTGGCACGTTGACAAAGCGCAACATCGAACAGGCCAAGCGGATGTATGACTATGACTTTGTCCTGTTCACGCCAAAGGAATGCAGCACCTGCCAGCTGGACAAGTAAGTGCTGCCACCGCACCCAGGCTGAGAACATGCACATATATTCGGCTCGGTCGAGAACCCATACAGTTGCCGATGCGCTGATACTCTCATCTTTGAATCCAGGCCCGCACGCTCAAAACACTGCCCGCTGTGCAATAAATGCGTGGCTCGAATGGAGTAAGTCTGCAGGACGACTGGTCGCTGTGCTGCTCTTGATCGTTTCCCTGATCATGGTGTCTTCTGCCCCTCATTGCGCATCCGGGTTCTGGGACGCTAGCCACCACTGCGCCTGGGGTAAGCTTGCTTGTCTGGATTCGTTCTGTAATTCTGCGGGTGCTCGGGTCGTCGAGCCGAGTTTTGTTCGTAATTTGGCCGCATGTCGTCCTCCAGTCTGCCGACTGACATGTGCTCGGCCCTGCTTGATCTACGACCTGCTCCGCATCGTCCTTGGGGCTCAATCTGCCAAAAGTCAACAACTGCATCGGTCAAGCCAACCAGAACTGGTTTCTGCTCTTCCTTCTCGCGACAACCCTCATTTCGCTCTATGGATCGTATCTGAGTTTTCAAATCCTACGCGCCGAGTACGTCGGGAAGCGGCTTCATCAGCTGTATGTTGTCGACAGAGTGACTCGACAAAGCCGTCCCTTGGTATGGTGGGAAGGATGTTTGGTAAGTGGAATATGTGCATATGTGGCCGATATTCTCGCATCTGTTGCGGCTGTGGCTGTGGCTGTGGCTGTGGGCTCGCTACTCCACGGGGTCTTTTGATCCTGTCTGTATACCGTTCATGTCTCCATGGTACAGCCTTCAGCCCCGGGCGGCTTCTGCAGATACTCGCTGCCCAAGGCCGTCTCTCGGCCTGCTGCTCACTCTCAACTGAGTCACTGTTTTGGTATTCTGATGGTTTGCAGTATATCACGCGCAAGGATCCCGCTATCGGCATTCTGTTCATCTTTACGTTGCTGGCTGCCGTCGTAGTCATTGGATTCATGGGATACCAGCTCTCGCTCATCTTCCGCGGCACGACCAGTAAGTTGCTCTTGTGGCAATGGCTGTGCTGTTTCAGTCCGCATTCTCCTCTGTATGCGAATCAGGCCGCGAGCCCTCCAGCTTTCTGAGACATGTCTTCAACTCGTCTGCAGCGAACGAGAGTTTCAAATGGAGCGACCTGGACTATGCCATCCGCCAGCGAGAGGTAACGTCCATCGACCGTGACGTCTATGAATACAACCGCCGCTACGACTGGCGGAAGCGCGGACAGTACTTTGACGAACACGGCGACCTGAAGCTCGAGGTTGTCGGCCACCTCCACCCAGCCGAGACCGACCCGGCCCCCAATACCCTGAGGCGCCGACACACAACTGGCAGGCAGTCACCAGAGCAACCCGATTCTGCCGAGACCCTGGATCCCGACAACGATTCCGAGGATGTTAGTGGTACCTTTGGCCGCGGAGAGATGGTCGAGATCACCAAGGTATCGCAGTTCCGCAACATATACGACCGCGGGCCGTGGCAGAATCTCATGGAAGTGTTGCATCCCGAGTCGCTGTGAGAAGATCGCCGAGAGTCCATTTCTGTATCCTCAATCGCCGCACGACGCTGACGAGAGCCACCATCGTAGCGAGCGCCTATTGCCCAAAGACTCGCGGCACCGATGCGTCTGGACTGGGCCCGGCTGCCCTTGCTCCCCACCTCTGCTCTGGTCCGTGCCTTCCAGTCGCGCCATTTCTCCATGCGATGCACGATATTTACGACAACACGAGATTCGGTCATGTTCAACGGGTGTTCAGCAATATAATATGGCTGGTGTGCCATAAACGAAGCGATTTTGCAGCGACGGGCACGGGGGTGGATAGTCATTCTCGACAACACCATCAGGCAATTGCGGAACGGATGTGCAATCGGACGAGCAACCCGGCGCGCCGGATGCATGGCCAACAAGGGTCTACATTGCCGTTCTAGCACGGCCAAAAAGCGAGCGACAAAGGGAAAGGGAGCAATCTCAGCGGCCCAGCTCAATGTCGCCCCACTTCCCCTTGGCCTCAAAGCCACCATCGACGCCAGGGACGTTCGAGGCCAACTTGCGCGACTCCTCCTCCTTCTTCTGGACAATGTATGCCAGGATGTTGCGGAAGTGCTTGACAACCGAGTCCGACACCTTGGGGCTGTAGATGCCGTCGTCAAAGAGCGAGTTGGTGCTGCGGCCGGCGCCGGAGCCAAGAGGGTTAGAGCGTTGGCCCGTCGGAGCGATGAAGGTCGATGCGTTAGCAGACGAGTCGATGTTGGCCAAGTTGGTCTGGATCAGGTCGATGAGGGAGTTGAGGTACTTGACAGTGATCTGTGCGGCACAAATCCAGATAACAGAGAAGGCAAGGCAGGCAGGGCAGGCAGGACGAGCAAGGCAGCCAGGATGGGCGGGAAAAGCTCGGTCAGAAACGGTGTGATGCAGCCATTGGGACGCGGCAGGATGCCGTCGTGACAGGTAACACTTCCGAGGCGCATCGCAGGTATCTCAATGTGCAGCTGTAGTTCATTGCGTAGTTACACGTACCGCCTCGTTGTGGTGCTCAAAGTACCACAGATATCGCTCGAGAATGTCGACAAACAGCTCAATGTTGACGGTCTGGTCCATGACAGAGTCGGCGATGCGAAGGGCCTTCTGCAGACACTCCAACACGCGCTTGCCGTCGCGATAGACGGGCTTGTCTTCGGCGCGCTTGACTTGATCGTCGCCCCAGAAGAGATGCGACACCAGAATGACCCCGCGGCACTGGTCGATTCGCTTCAGGAGCCGGGACGAGTGGACGGCGCACTTGGTGATGAGGGTTTCGTAGTTTTCGTACCCAAAGACGGTGGTGGTGTACAGCGAGCCAATGATCAGGTTCAGGGCAGCCACCTGTGCCTTGGTGTCGGAAATGGAGTCCTCATAGATAGTGAGCGCCTGTGAGCAGAGACAGGTGAGACGCACACATCAGCATCGATTGGGGCCGAGGCAGCGATGTCATTCCGATACAGGGACACGAGGCAGCGATGTCATTCCGATACCGGGACCCAAGGCATCTGTCCCCAAGAGGATGCTTCCTCAGAGTCATAGGCGCCAGAGCAACGGAGATCTGGCATACTACAAAAAGCTCACCTGGACAAAGAACTCGTACGACAGCTCTTCGAGGTCATGCAGATCGGTGCTCTTTGCTGCCATGACAAAGAGTCGCAGCGACATGTCGGGAGGGCTCAGCAGGCCTCGTCCCAGGCGGGAGCTCGAACCAGCACCGTCGTCACGCGGGGAGTGGCCATAGTCGTCGCTGATGGCTTCGGGAGTCTTTGCGAGACTGGAGATGGTCTGGTGAATGAACTTGTAGAGGGCCGCGAGCTTTTGCTTGGTAACGTCGTCCTGCAAATGGTAGGCGCGCCGAGTGAGACGCAGCGCTGCGACAATCGATGCGTTGGGATCGCGTGTGGGTCCATTCACTTGCCGAAGCTCATGCGGCTGAACACGGGACACTTACTTCGGGGCCATCACGAGAAAAGAGCGTGGCGATGCGGATGCAGGCGATCGTCAGGGCCGGGAGAGTGAAGCGGATACGAAGCTCGCCGCCTTCGCCAAAGTGTCGGCGGGCAGCCGAGAGCAGCGCAAACTCATTCTCGGCGTTGCCCTCCTCTGTCTTGAGCAGATGAACCAGCTTGGCGACCATGCTTTGCTCCTCGACAATGTCGTCCCAATCCAGGGGCAGCTCCTCTGCCGGCTTGGACCGGGGCACGTACTTGGGTCCGTCGGCAGGCTCCTCCTCCACTGGCGAGGACTTGGGCCCGAACAAGCCTCCGTCCCGCTGGTCCTTGATCATGACGCTGCAGAGCTCGCCGAAGATGGCGTTGACACCATCGATGGTGCTGATGATGAAACCGTTTGTCGCAGCCTTGATCGCGGTAGTGGCCACCACATGGGCGACCTGGCGACGAGTGGTATACGGCTGGAGTGCCAATATGTCGGTGAAGTTGCCGGCCTGGCTAGCGCCGTCGATTCCAGCCCCGCGGATGGCTGAGGGGAATTTGAGCAGGGTAAGGACATTTGCATCGTAGGCACGGATGGGGCTGACGAGCAGCTGGACAAAGAGGTTGCTTGTCTGGGTCGTCTTGAGCTCCGGACTGGCACCGTGTAACCCAGATGAATGAGTGATTAGGTCTTGGAACAAATCCGTCAGCTGCCCTTTGTTCTCTTTCTCGCAACCAAAGAGAAAGCATGATCTATCTGCCTCATGCTCTGGCCAGACTCCCCGCACAAAGTATCTTCTCAGTGTTTCGCGAAACACTCTCCGACACCTACGCGTTCTGTTCCTGGGCAATCAAGAGCTGCTCCTTGGCAAAGCCCAGAACGTTATCGACGTTGGAGAGTTGCTCGGGGTAGCAGTTGAGAGACAGGTTCATCAACGACACGAGTAGAGCGATGATGTCGTGGATGTTGAACTCGGGACGGGCGCGAATCAACTCGGTGACCTGGCCCCAGAATACATCAAAGAGCTGGATGTCGTTTGGAATGCCGCTTCCCTCTGGGAATGGAATCAATGGAACCGTTCCGTGCCGGTTTGGATATAGCGAATAGTGTCAGCGGAGATTATGGAGAGACCATGCGTTGCATATCCGCGCGATCATTGCATATTGACTCCTCTGATACGCACCGCTCTTCTCGTCGTGCTCTTCGCGAGTACGAGCGGCATAGCTCGAGAAGCGATCAATGAGACTGATGACGATCTGTTTCACATTGACGCTTCGCTGGAGCTGAGCAGTAGCTGACAGGAACGAGTCCAGGGAGCGGAGATGGAAATCGTCGGGGAAGACCTAATGCGCATGGTCGAGTCCAAGCGCAAATGTCAGTCGGTCAGGTTCGAAACATCACCATGTTGGATTCGCTAGTCGGGCCATTGGAGCTGCATGGCATGAATGGGTTTGCAACGATGCAGCGACGCAGCAGATACCTGAATGATAACCTCCATGAGGTATTCCTGGGCGATCAGGTCTTTGCAGCTCACGATTTCGTCAAGGATGACGGGCAAGACAAGCTAGGAGATAGTTCACATGTGAGTGAGGGAGTCGTCACCAGGGCAGAGCAGGCACAGGCAACACCGGCGGGGCATCATGCTAGCCGTAAGGTAATCGACCAAGCCAACCACTCATCATTTCCAAACCTAGACCGCTAACTCGTTTTGCTGCCACTGGTGACGGGAAGCGGGACGGCGGCCTTACCGAGCTGTAAATGCCAAAGTCAAGGCCATCGAGCTGGCTGAGCCGGACGAGGTTGGATCCGACGAGAAGACGCAGCTCTTTGCGCTCTCGCTCGCGGAGCTCGCGCTCCTTCATCGGACCCTGGTGCTGCAGTCTGACCCAAAGCTTGTTCATCTCCATAAAGTTCTGCAGGATGAAGTGGATCGAGTCGTGGATGGTTCCATGAGGGCTGCGGGGGTAGGAGCAGTGAACAGTGAGACGTTGGTGATGGCCGCAAGACAGTCAGTCGCCCAGCCAGACAGAGCGAAGGATCAGGTATCCAAGGCAGAAGGCTAGAGAGACACGGTAATGACGCTGCTTACCCATCGATCGTTCCGTCGGGCAGATAGTCTCGGGTCATGGTGCTCAAGTAGTAGCGCAGGAACAGGCCGCGGGTGGGGTGCTGCACTCCACGGGACATCTCGAGCATGTCCTTCATGAGCTCCTTGATGGGCGGAACATCGGCAATTGGGTCTGATGCTGCCTGTGAGTTGCCGTCCTTGGATGACTGAGCCTCCTTGGAAACGCGCATATAGACCGAGCCGACGGTGACCATCAGATAGAGGCGGGGGACGACACTGCCGGCGTACTGGACCAGCTCGTAAAGATCAGAGAGGTGGTGGCGCCGAGACATGTGCGCATCGTAGAGGTAGATGGTCAAGTGCCTGAGCTCGTCAAAGATCGACATGTCTGAGAAAGACGACGAGAAATCGCAGAGATGTACGTTTAGGCGCACCGCACAGGCAAGAGAGGGAGAGCAATCCTGGCAGCACCACCAGATGGCCGGACACGCTTCCTGAACGCAGACCGTTTCAAGCGAAAGGCAGATCATCTCTGGAGAACGGCTGTGGCAGGAATTGAACCACCGTAGGTGCTGATGGAAAGGTGCCGGCGCGCTCGAGAGGCAGGGAGATCCCACCCAGGCGTCAATCCAGGTATACATACAAAGCTCATAGTAGCTCTTGGGAGTAAGCGCCGAGGTTCGGAGCTCGGTGAGCATTGTCGAGCAGTGCTTCAGCGCATCCATCAACTTGTTGTTCTCCTGGAAATCGAAATAAATCAGCGGTGGATCAAGAATCTGATGCTTCGGGCCTGGGCTTGTCGAGGGCGGCGACCAATGCAAACCCGGGCTCTGCGATGGCGGCCCTGCCTGCCGGCACCGAGACGGAGCCGCCCCATGCATATGCATCAGGAGAAAGTGATCAGGGTCGCCAGAGACTCTACGCTGGCAGAAGAATGAGCGACCGCCATGCCCAGGAGTCCTGCCGATGGCGACGCCGGGCCATGCGGGATCCTACCAGGCATCGCTTCATGTGGAAGGCCTGGACCTTGATGACACTGAGGGCTTCCTCCAGAATCTTGGACTGCGCCTCGATAGGGGCAGGCGATATCGGGTTGGAGACCGGGGCAAGATCATCGGTGGCGGGATTGGACGGACCCGTGTGGACGTAGCTGGACATGGGGGATGCGGGATGCGGCGGCGAGAGGCTTTGGTGGGCTGAGCTCTGGTGAGGAGAGGTGCTGGAAGCGAAAGAGGACAGGAGGAACCGACGATCCAGGACCAGGCGCGGCAAATGGCTGGGGGGGGGGCGAGATGCCAAGGAGAGCGGCGTTCTCGGCGAGAGCAGACGAGAGCGGGCGAGACGACGCGACCCCGAGGAGCAAGGACTGAACCCGGGCGGAACTCAGACACCCTGGGCTGGAGCGGGACTGGGACATGAGCCCCAAGGGCAAGACGCTGTTCCCGGCATTCGCTACGCATGTCCGCACGGTGCGCTAGCGAATGCCAACTCACGGGGTGGTACATTGCCATCTGAGCGCCGCACTGTCCACGAGATGTGCAAGCAAGATGTGCAAGCGAGTCGTGGACCAGGCAGCAAGGGAGATCGAGGTGCTGATTGCCTTTGGAAATGCCTCCTGGAAGCAAGTGAAGGGATATGCATCCAGCCCACGAAGACTCAGGGTCGCCAAGTACTTTGAGCAATTCATCCACCACCAGAGACGTCCAGGTGAGCTCGGTGAGCGAGTTCAACACATCCCAGGTGTGCTCGAGGATCTTGATATCGATACACCGTAGAACTGTCCAGATGGTCGAGTGAATGCACCACACAAAGAGATTGCCAACCAGGACAGGAAACAATCGCGTGGCTTGCCCACTGGAGCCTACAGATCAGCAGACTTGTGTCGCTGAAGCGAGAAAGTGACTGTCTCGTTTCTTTCTGGATTGACCGTACAACCGGGATTGGCCTGATATATTCCCAGGCGAACAGGCCCTCAGCGACCGATAGAGAGGCTCTTGGAGTGAGTCGCGAAAAGCACATCACAGTGCGGTTGGCTCTAAACGCGAGAGCCAATCCGTCTGGGTAGGCTGGATGATTATGGTTTTGCACGGAGACGCAGGTGGATACGAGGGAGGCTGGCAGAAACAGATGGATTCGAATCATGGAAAGGAAAACTTCGTGGAAATAGAACCTTCATGGAAACAGGGCTTCCATAGAAACAGGGCCCGTCATTAGCGTACCAGGCGCGCGATATTAGTGTGGCCTATCGATTGATGAATAGGCTGGGAGCCGCAGAGCGCCCTGGAAGATGGGACGGATCTTGTGTATCGGAATCATTCCCACAGCGCCTGTGCTCTCATTCTTGCCCTAGATCAGAAGAACGGCAGATCACAGAGTCAGTCCAATGCGGGCGAGAGCGAGCTAGATATCCCCCAAAGCAAGCATGTGTGCACGAGCGCGGTCCCAGCCATTCATGGAGAGGAGCATCCCAACGGGGACAACCGACGAGATACCCGACGAGTTATCCACCAAGATCGCGAATCAAGTACAGTCAATTCCATGGAAGAGCGCCTACCTCGGCTCGATCCCGGTCAAACGCTTGGAAGAGCTGGATCCGATCGCCGACATTGAGCTCGATCTCTATGCCATTTGCGTCATGGAATTCAACAACCTCGTAGTTTGCGCTACTCTGGCCGGACGACACCGACGTCATCTCCATGGTATCCGAGCCAGAGTTACGCGGCCCGGATGACTCTCGGTATCGGTATTTGCTGTCTCCGCCGGTGTAGAAGGGCCAAACGTGCTTCCCAGACCCCGAAACGGCCATGGATATCGTGTCAGCGGGGCTGTAGTCCATGCGATAGGATGCATGTGGGGACACGGCAGAGTCGCTCTGGTGGGTTGCAGTCCGTGCTGTCAAAGGGCTTGGTAGCGCAGGGAAGGAGAGAGCATCCATTGAAGTAACTGTCCTCCGGACGTCAAAGCTTGGTTGAGTGTCGGCACTGGGTGCGGACGAGACCGCAACAGAGTGGGCAGTGTTCACGCGCAAGGGATGGCCGGCATCGTAGAGGTTGGGGAGGGGAGGGGTGGCTTCTGTCGGCAAAGTGGGGTCTGTGAGTCCGACATGGCTGCCTCCGCCAAAGCTTGTGCGTTGATGGTCGCTCTCGTACGCTCTGGCTTGAGTTGTGGCCTTTTTCCTGCGAGCGAAGAAGAGTGCAGCGATGACACCAAGAAGGACGACTACACCCGCAACAGAGCCGATGATGGCAGCCATGGGAAGGGATGAGGACGAGGAAGAAGAGGGCGATCCAGGTGTAGGAGACAGAGATGAGGTTGGCACAGGATTGAGCGGCGTATTGGCACCAGAGGAAGCGCTGAAAAGAGGAGGAGGATCGGTGGAGCACTTGAGATTGCCAAAGTCCCAGCCCTGGCTGCCCGAGGGCATCGCGCAGCTGGCCAGCCGAATTGTGCCGCTGAGAGCCGGGTTGCTGGAAAAGTCTCTGTCGGCCAACAAAGCAACTTGGTGAGCTAACGCTGGATGTGAGGACGCAGAAGAAGATAGCGCCATCCACATGAAAGTCGACCTGGCTAGTGTTGACTCACACGTAGTTCAGTAGTGTAAGGTTACGAAAGTCCAAATCGACAATGCCCGCGAGCTGGTTTCGGTTGACGTTTCTATTGGGCAAGAGGATGAATGAGAGAGGGCCGCGCATCTCAAGCGAGGATACCGGACCCAGGGCGTGTGGCTGCCAATCGAGATGCTACCGGACTTGCTGTAGCTGCTCAGGCACCACACAAGATCGCCCAAGAATCGCCTACATCTTGGTCAGTTGGGTCATTCGGCCGACACTGGAAGGAAAGAGGCCAGTAAAAGCATTGCCATCGAGGGTGCTGCGTTGACGATAGAAGCAAGTCAGGTGGCGATAGGGCCTGGGCTTTTGCGCACAACTCGGCAAATGCAGCAGTGCAGGCGAGTCAAGGGATTTGGATCACCACTTACAGTTGCTGAAGGTTCATTAGGTTGCTGATGCTGTCGGGAATGGTGCCGCTGAGCATATTATTGTGTACGTCGCTGGGAAAATGTCACAGTTAACGGCCGTGGATGAGAGTGGCAGTTGATATTACAAATGAGAATGCCACTCAACCTGAGAGACTGTGCGGGATGATTGCAGGGTCGTGCAAACATGCAGGCCATGCTGGGACATGCTGGGATATGCTGGGACATGCAAGTCGGCGTGCGGGCCAATGGACGCGTCGGTATTGGGTGCTTTGCTTACATGAAACGGAGGGCAGTGAGGTTTCCAATGCTATCGGGAAGAGGTCCTGTCAAACTGTTGGATTCCAGGTGCCTGCAGGTGGATACAGATGGACTGGGCTCAGTAGCAACACAGACGACGCACCGCAGCCCCGCCTCAAAGCACCGACCCCAAATATCATGCCAGCAACGATAAAGACCTACAGGACGGACAGCTGCTGGAACGTGCCGATGGTGCTTGGAATCGAGCCAGAGAGCAGATTGGTATCCAACCGCCTGGTTCCAGAAGTCAGTTAGAGGCATGCGGAAGGGCACCGCTGCTGGTGCTGGTGATGATGCAGAAGTGGCTTGACGAGTTGATGCCGTATTGCTGACTAGCGGGCACTCACAGGGTCTGCAGGTTGATGAGGGTATTGATGTCTGCGGGGATCGATCCGGTGAGTTGCGTCGCGCTCAAGACCCTGTTTGCGACGAGGGCGAGTGGGCGAGATCGGGATTAGACGGGACAAGCAGCTCAGGCGCAACGACGAGGCACAATTGAGCTGGTTTGGAGGCCGAAGTTAAGCGCACCGAACGGTGGACAGCGCGAGATGGCAGAGACTGGCATCTTGGCCCCCATGCCCGCTGGCGCTTTGCTGTGCTGGCCAGTTGCCGAGATCCAAAGCGGCCAACCAGAATAATGCGATCCTCGGTATTGAGCAGGCATACTTACAGGCTGGTGACCCGGGTGCCTGTTGAGTCGCAGCTGATGGCGCTGGCATCGCTGCAGCAGGCGAGCGGAATGGCAGGAAAGGTATTGTGGACGTATGTGCAGTCGGAGCCTGGCGACCGAGATGGCCAATTGACTGATGGTCAGTAGGAGCATTAGGGAACCAGCAGATACACAAGAGCGGATGCATACTCATGGCCGATGATCCTGCGGGAGAGGACTGCTGGGCTTTGCGTTGCCTGGATGGAAGCCCGTCCTGAGGATGCCCCAGACGAAGAGAGAGAGGGCCGAGCGATGCACGGCGACGCCGAGATAGATTGCGGCTTGCGAGCGAGGTCCTCTGAAGCAGCCTGAAACAAAGGACAAGGGAGGAGAGCGACAGGACGAGGGCGACGCCTGGACATGGCCGCGGCAGTGTGTGTCGGTGGTGGCACCGGCAGAGCCACCTCTGTCGCACAGTCGCACACGCGATGCTGCGGTGTCACCGCACCGGCGGACCCCCATTTGCTGTGTGCTTGCGAGAGCGTGCTGCGCAGGCTGTGGCACAGACCCATCAATCAGCAGGGCTCGCACAGGCGCGCACAGCGAGACCACGGGGCCGATTGAAACATGCGGTGGGGTCGGTGGTGGAGTGCAGCGACAAGGGCCAGGGATCGCCAGCAACAGCAAGGCAGCAGCAAGGCAGCAGCCGGACACATCCCCGGACAACGTCGCTGAGCATTGACAATCGGCACAATCAGCACGGTCGGTGTCTGTGTGCCCAGCACCAGACCGCACCCCCAAACACACGCCGAAAAACGAAAGGAGCGGCGGTTGTGATCGCACAGCGGGATCGTGGTCCTGATCCAAGTGCCTCCGAGATGCACAGACCGATCCGCGCCGCCACAAACGGCTTGCTCCACACATTCATCCGTGCCAGGTGAGTCTATTGGCCAAGAGGCTATACAAGCTCCAGTCCGTCGTCAACCCAGCGAGGCCGGCGCTCCTGGCTCGACAGGAATGCGTGACTGGTCAGATAGGTGCGTCCATCGCCTGGATTGCGGCAGCCATGGCAGGAGTGAACGGGATGGTTAGCAGCGGTGGTTACAACAACTGGAGCCCGCACAGCCTGGCCGGGCAGTACACGGCGATGCTCCCACGACTTACCCAGAGGCGGAACCGCAATCGGCAGCAGAATGGTGTACCACGGGCTGCAAACATGAAGCGACGGAGGTGTGGTTAGATATGGCAAACGCCCCGTCCACCCCAAGCTGCGATTGTGATCGCTTACAATTTCTTCCCGATTCCGAAAAAGATGCGTGCGTTTCTGATTGTTCCGAGGTCAAACTGATTCGAGGACGATGAGAGAAAATATGTGAGGAGTGGGGAGGAGGCGGCGGCGATGCGCAAGTACATATCCCCGGCAACTCCGGGCCTTCAGGCGTCTCCATCAATGGGCGTGATCATGCAGATAGCGATAACAAGCTTGCACTGCGGTTTCCTCTTCACCTCGTTGATATACACCTGGATATTGAGCAGATCGGCGCCGGAAATGAGCACATGAGGCGATATGCGCGACCGATGGCCCGTCAGATGGGAGGAGGCCCATCATCCAGACTCTCAAGTTGGTGCAGACCGACTGGTGATCCCACTTACATCGCCGCGAAGACGGGCCAGCTTGCGCTTGCTTTGGTTGTCATAGTACTCGATGGTAGTTTGTCCTGGTGCAGAGATAGTCGATTCGGCGTAAAAGTCAGTTACGGTTCGAGCAATGAGTATGCAGAGCCCATCGAGCACGGCTGCTGCACCTGCACCAAGAACAACAGATTGCGCGTGATGGCGCCGTGCTGACGACGCGGACGCCCCAAAGGTGTGTTGGCGTACCAGTCAAGACCAGGTAGGTGTGCCACGACATCAGCGATCCAACGCCAAAGATGAGTGCAAAGGCCAGCAGGAAGCCAAATGCGGCCAGGTGCTTCATGCCACCAGATCCCCAGTCGACCTGGATCGAGACGGGTTTTCCAAGCGCATCCGAACCCAGGACGCAGCAACAGAGTCAGTAAGACGGCATTCGAGAATATAGCGCCCTAGTGGGTAGCATCAACGCAAGCGGCGATTCAGGCTGGCGGCGCAAATTACCTCCTGATGGTACCAGTAGTATCTCAGCATGATCGGCGCCATGCAAATCACAAAGTAGACGCACGCGATTGTCAAGTAGACCAGAAACAGGTAGAAATAGCGGTGGTTGTGGTATCCCACGCTGATGATAGATGGTCAGCGCAGTGTCCTAAATGGCCGTCTGTCCTGCCGTGGCTTGGCCGAGTAGCTCAGGAAGCTGTCGTGCAGCGAGCGGACTTCACTGCAGGGGATGTGACGCTACTGTTGATCCAAGCGGCGGCATCGTATGGGGACGCTGGTTCTGCATCGGTTCACTCACCAGTTGCTGATCCACTATTCATCGGCGCGGTGTCGAGAAAGGGATGGGTTACTTTGCCATTTTCGGGGGCGGAGCATTGTTTCGGCCAGTTGCTCGAACAGGCCATGCGCTTGCCATCCCGTGGGCGATTGCAGAGTCTCTGTTCCTGGAACTTACAGGGCAGTGGTGGTCCATACGCAAGACACATCTGTTTTGCAGCAGCGAGGAATTCGCCGCGTCGGTCCGATGGCATTGAGTGATAGATACATGGCGCGCCGAGTGAATATCCCCGTTGCAACAGAGGCGAGTCGATATTCAGCCAGTCAATTCCAATGAACATGACGGATCCGGGAGCATCCATGCAGTAGCAAAGCAATGTGGTCTTGAAATGGGCCATGGTGCTTCATCCAGACAAAAAAGTTGCGGGATTCCAGCACAGATCCCATGCGGTGACAGCCCCCATACCGTTTGCAAACTCGACAGTGGTGCGCCCGCTCAGGTTTTGGGATGAGACCTTGGTTCAAGCAAATATCCAAATGAGTTGGCAGCTCACTCGCAGAATTACAGGCAGATCGAGCGATTACTCGACGGATCGAGTGACCAGCGCCGTGTCCAAGCGTTCCTCGGCAAGCACACGGGCATTCTGCCATCCGGACTTTCTCTCATCTTTTCCCTCCTCGCGAGATCCAGCTCAGCCTTGGCATTGTGGCTCGAGCATGGCCCCTCATCCGCCATCCATGTTGTGTTGCTTCTCGTTGCCTTCTCATCTGCAATCATAAACCTACATTTTTTGCACACTTTTCGGTGGCTCTCGTGAGGCTCGGAGATCCCAACTGACGTATCGTGGGTGTGTTCCGAGTGCGCAAGAGAGTCGTGCGGGACATCCGAGTGACCCGATTCCGTATCCTTTCAGTTGTCCAACCGACCGATCGATTCAAATCGGGACAAATCCAAGAACAGCCAGAAGCCACGTCGACAGTCACCCCAGCGACAGACGAGGAAATGAACACCGAACAAGGTCAGCTCAGGCCCCATGAGATGTCTTGCATGCTTTGTACCGGAGGAGAGGGAGGACGCAGTTCCTCATTCTGTGGGTATCACCATCGGGGGATGAAGAAGCCACCAAGGGTGGACGAAGCAACCCCTACCTTGTCGGTCTTGCCTGGACCAACGAGCACGGCCATTCCGTATTGGAAGGCGATCAGCACCAGGAGATAGACCGTGAAGAGGAGATGCGTGTACTTTGCGATCGCGCCCCACGTCGTCAGGGAGTCGGCGGGGAAGGTCTTGGGAATGAAGACGTTGAAGTAGACATATGCACAACACGACACCAGCCCGATGGCGACCACCACGAAGACGGGTCCGCCGCCAGAGACCATGCCCAGGACGATGGCCTCGATGAGGCTCTGGAGCCGCAAGGCCGTGGCTCTCCGCAGAATCCTCATGCTGGCTCGTTGGGAAGTGAGAGAGGAGGTGGGGGTGGAAGAGCGATCGGTGTGCCAGCGAGAGCAAGCAGGAGCCAGGAGTGGCGGGCGCATTTGTATGGGCGGTGCGCGCTGGTTCCACACAGCACCACGATGCTGCTGCTGCTGCTGGCTGGCTGGTTCGCAGACACATTCACTCGGGGTGCGTTTTGGCAACATGATGAGCAAGCAGCCCACTGTCTGGGCTGTCCTGCGCTGTTTGTTGCGATCGGCAACAGGCGATACATTTAAACGCTGTATATTGGGCGAGGGTGGAAGCTTCAGGAATCATTGCACCTCTAGCACATGCCAGTGTCCACGGAGGAGTGAAGGGGGGGGGTGAAGGGAAGGGCGGGAGACATACACCAGAGAATTCATGAGAGGAGGAGAAAGGAGGAAAACCAGCGTCAAGCGCAGTGGAGCTCTCGAAAGTATATGGCCAGTGACAATGACATGTCGGACAGCCCAGCCAGTCATCCGGTCCAGCTTGCAGCGATCAGCTGCTGACGCTGAGTCGCCGTTGCTGCTTATTTTGGCGGGCAGGCCGGTTGCTCTTGGGCTTGGGCTCCGGGTTCTTGGGAGCAGCCTGCAGCGCGGCCTGCTTCTGTTGCTCCTTGCGCTGGCGGTGGAGACGCAGCTGTTGCTTGATAAATCCACGGAACCACATGACATGGAGCGGGAAAACGGCAACCGAGATGATGAAGCCAAGGGGCCGTCCGGCAGGAATGAAGGACAGATAAAAGTGGTAGATGCAGTAGATGTGGAACAGGATGCGCGTGGCGAGGTAAGAGCCGCCAAAGAGAGCGTCGTTGCGCAGCGACTTGTTGATGCAGCCCAGCGACATGATCAAGGTGGGCAGCTCCATGATGCCGACCATGGAAAAGAGACTGCTGATGCGGTAGCGGACGATGTTGAAGACCAGGAAGGTGTAGAGGGTATGGTGGAAATAGCCTGACCAGGGATCCATGTGCTCCGGGTAGAAAAAGTGGCCCAGGACCAGATCATGGATCACATAGGTTATGAAGAAGGCACACAGGCCCCGAGACAGCGACGCATCGAGGCTGGCCCAGGCGGCTGCCGAGTGCGGCTGCGTGAAAAAGTCCCACAGGACCGGGAGCGAGCCAAGCGTCATCGTCAAGGCCGCAACCATGGTCAGGATCCATGCCTTTGCCTTGGAGGTCGAAAAGTATCTTGGCAGGAGCCGCGGAACCGCAAAGTACACGACCGGAAGCAGCACCAGGCCGTAGCTGAAGGGCAGGTAGAAGGTGTTGTCGTGGAAGACCTCCGAGACGGATCTTGGAGCGGGCATGGCGAGCAGGGGAGACGAATTGGACCGGGGCGGCAATGCAGACGGCGACGGGTGCGCAACTGAACGGACGGACGCAGGAAGGGTCTTGAGCAGCCCAGCGGGGACGAATGCGACTTGCGAGATGCGGCTTGCGAGATGCGAGATGCTCGAGACCAGAGCAGCGTCCGATGATGGGCAGACCAGGAACGAGCGCAAAAAAACGGCCAAAGGCCGAAACCACAAGGAGCCAATGTGGCGAGGAGGCTGGGGCGGGTGGGGGGCCGGGCGCGGCGCTGATTGGCCGGCGCGCGGGGACACAGCTGCCCCAAAACACCTGACAGTGGCGCTTGCTGGCGGCGTGCTCGTCACGTGGACACAAGCACGTGCAGATGGCGCGATCCCACGCTGCGCCACGCCTGTGTCTGGACTGGGCCTCACGGGCGCCTGGGTCGCTGTGGGCGGCGTGGGATGTGTCTCGAATGTGCCCTGCATGTGCCCTGCATGTGTCCTATGAGGCCACCGGCGACGGCAGCCTTGGTGTCGTTCGGAGCAGGGAACCCAGCCACCCGGGCGCGCATACCATCGGCACTGGGGGCAAGGGTGATGAGGGCTTGTATTCGGAAGTGAAGTGGTGTGTGTGCTACAGCGCCGATGCCACCGAACATCGGCCGATTCGGATACCCAAAAACTGATAGATATGAGCCTCAGACGACGACTCGGGTGTAATCATGTCTTTTCGCATTATAGGACCCGCAGCAGCCATTCATAGCACCAGATTGAGAGCGCCGCTGAAGGCACGCTGCGGACCAAGCTTGCAGAGAGTCCCTTGTAGAATCCACGCACGCCTTCCTCGGCAATAATCAAGCGGGTGGCCTGGACCATGCCATGATACTTGTTGATCTCGGGTTGGGCGTCGTTTGGATGGAGTGTCTGCAGCCGCGTGCGGAGAACCTTGGTGTTTTCGGCGCCGTTGATGAGAAAAGTGCGCGGTCAGCCACAGTCGGTCTCCTGTGGGTCCTGCCAGCACTACTACAAGAAGCAGCCGCGTGGTCTGCACACTCTGTGCTATCTGGCCGCTGAGGGCATGACCACGGTTCTCACCTCGTGGGGATATGTTGCGATGCAGGCAATCATCTTCGAGACCGAGCTTGCGATGATGATGCCGGTGTTGCTGAGCTCGTGCTGCGGATCACGTAGTCGATGTCGCTCATCCTCTGAACCAGTCGGATGGAGAAGTGGGATAGTTGGCTCGCCGCCAGTACCCAGCCAAGCCGTCCGCTTCTCTGCAAGGTAACAAGTCCATGCTCGAGTCGTCCGGACCAAGCCCACCGCTGCCCCTACTGTCCTCAGCGGCCTGCCTGTCGGCCAAAGCCGGAACAATGCCCGGTCCGTGTAACAAGCGCACAAAAAGTGCAGCAAGCTGCGGTGCGATAAGCGCCATGCCGGCGCGGACATCATGACCCACCAGCAAGAATCTGCTTGAGCTTCTCATAGACCGGGAACTGCACGGCTGCGTGGCTTACGCCGAGCAGGGTGGGGCCAAGTCCCTTGTAAAGCGCCGAGAATCCCTCGGTTCGGATGATTGTCGAAAAGGCGTCGTACATGGATGTGTAGTGGTGAGAGAGCGACGATGCCGGTGAAGGATGTGGGGGCTGCAGCTACTCGGCAGCATGCGGCCGAAAGTATGGGAATCCATAGAAGTGATGACAGGTCAGTCGGTGCTCGTCATGCTGAGACTAAAGCCAAATATAAGCCTCGCTTTGGGGCATCCCGAGTCTTCAGAAGACAGTGCACGATATCCGTGGCCGGGGCTGACGGGAGCCCTGGGCCAAAGATGCGGTTTGAAATAAGCCGGCGGAGACCTACCATAATGCGTGTTCGAACGACCCAGATAGGATTCAAGAGCAGCGTGTTCACAACCGAAGCCGACAATGATGCCGCAAGGTGGACTGATGATTCGTCCATCGAGCAGTCTGCCAGTCAGGAGCAATGGGTTAGTGATCTCAGGAGCATCAGAAGCTCAACAGCCCTCCGCACCCAATCGGGCCCAGTCGTCGCAGACCAAGGTCCCGAGGCAAACAATATCAGATCGTTGACTGTGCCGGGTTGGTGGTGAAGATCACCCACCCCTGGCAATCGCATATGCACAGCGGCGGCTGCATCATGCCAGGTGCTTACGAAAGGAGTCGGCAAAGAAAATTTTGAACTTGTAATAGCACGAGAACCAGATCGCTCGATCCGGTAGGTAGGAGACAACCTGAGGACCGACAATGTGCAGCGTGAGGATCGACCAGGAGGACTGATCGCCAAGTCGAAAAGGGGCACCACCTCAGACTCGAAATCCATCAAGATTGGTGCTTGCCGATTGTCCTGGCAGGCAGCCGAGGCACAGCGATACATATGCTACTGCAGCTGTAGCCAAAGATGCAGCGCAGCAGCAACAACAACTTACCGCAGGACTCAGTCCCCGATATAGGCCTCGAACACCCTCCTCGCTCCAGATGGCTTTCAAGGTCGAGACGGTTCCGCCCACATATTTGGGGACCGAGCTGGCCGTCTGATTCTGCAGCCGGACCTTGACGACGTCGAGAGGACACACCATTATCGCCGCAACCAGACCCGACACAGCACCGGCGGTTGCTGTTTTGTACATGGAGTCATGGCTGCATCCAGCAATTGCGGAACAAAGCACAACGGCAGGTTAGCCCGACATACGCATGTGCATTTGGGAGAGAGAGAGAGGCAAATTGCTGGTTGGCTGCCAGCTGCACTTCGCCAGCTCTTGTGAGACAGCAGTCGGGATAGCCAGCATTAGCCAGGCCGTTGCAATAGCCGACGAGCGCAGGCACCGGGCGGGCCAGCATCGCTCGGGAAGGGGTTTGGGAGTTTGGGTGCTCTTACACTTTGAAGAACGAGTGGATTTTCTGAAGCAAGCCATTCGAAGTCCCAATGTCCATCGCGAGTGCCGAGGTTGAAGAAGCAGATGCAACAGACAGATACGATGGGCTGGGGTGTAATCGGCGGGCCGAGCGTTGCAAACAGGCCAGATGCTTGTGTGGGCGTTGTCGACGGAGCCGAGCGGCGAGGGATTGGCCCAGAGAGAGTGCCAAAACCGGAATTGCGGGCGCAGGGACAGGACTTGAGCAGCGTCGGCCGGGCAGCGAGCTTGGGCGATGCAGACAAACGCAGACGGAGGCAGACGGATGTGGCCGCGCAGTGTGTGCCGTGTTGATGTCGGGCCGGCCGTTTGTTTGCTTCTGGCGCTGTCGTCCAGGGAGCGAGAGGAAGACGGGATTGCAAATTGGGCCGTCGCGGATGGAATGGCGATTGCAAGCTTTTTTTTCGGGTGGTACAGCAAGGGCCAGCCACGAGCGACACCAGCGCGGTCCTGCGGACCGATGCCCAGGCCGGGACAGGCTCCCGAGGACATTGCGGACGCTGCAGGCGATGTTGCAAGCCATGTTGCAAGCCATGTTGCTGGCGATGCTGCATCTGGCAAAGCTCCCTGCATTGCATTGCACTGCTGCTCCTCCGAGAGCCGCCATTGCCTCGCCGACGACACCCAGCCCGGGCCGTCGAATGCCAGCTCCCATGTCCCTCCCGGCCTCGGTCATGGCGGCACCACACAGGCTCCGACGCCCATGTGCGTTCACGCACTGTCGTCGCAGAATGCACATGCCCGGGCCATGGCCACCAGAGAGACGAACGGCGCCATGAGCAAAGTAAATGTGCCTGGCGAATGAATGCGGTTGCTCGCATGTGTTCGGAATGCAGCCGAGCCAAGCACTCATGCCTCGCGGAGCATGATCTCGGTTCGTCAGTCGATTGTTGCCACAGCAGATCAACCGAGGTGTATTCCAGACTGTGCCCTCGAGCCAGCAACTTAACCGAAACAATCGCATGGCTGCAGTGGTGTTGTGCGCCACGGGTCATTGTGTTGAAGGCAGCGGTTGATGCGAAGGAATGCCGGTGCGGGTGTCGAATCCACACAGGATCTCTAAGGAGTGCCCCAGGGCATCTCAATGCATTCATTCAATCTATAGCGTTCGGGGTGCTCTGTTTGTTCTTGCTCGAGCTGTGAACGATTGCTAGACTAGCCCGTTGAACAGCTGCAGTGACTGGAGAATGGTCTCGTCCTCTTTCGCGCCCTTATGAAACTCCTGTATCGAGATTTGTCCATCTGGGCTCTGTTTGCCGGGGTCTGTGTTAGCGACGAGCATTTTCGTCGAGCCATTTGCTTCCACACACCCGCATAATGCATTGCACACACGCCGCCCGTTCTTGCACGGTCCACACGGAGCGCTTCGATGCCGAGAGCTTACCACACCCATCAGCCTGAATATCTGTTCGTTCGTGTGCATTCAGCATATAACAGAGGCGTCAGCAGCGTGCTTGGCGGGTCTTCTCCAGCTCGTTCCAGCACCAAGGCATATCGCCAGAGTCGATCTCGCAGCAATAGCACCTCCATCAAGAATCGGCTTGCATCGGCTTGCATTCGTCCTCGGCCAGCCTATCGCAGCAGCATCGGGCCGGCTTCATGCAAAAACTCACATTTCGGACGCGCTTCTCTGGGGTGTCCTCCTCGGAAGAGAGCTTTGTTACTCCGCCCATCATCTTGTAGATCGAGCCCACGACCACGAGCATCTCGTCATAGCTGATGTAGCCGTCGTTGTTTTGATCGTACAGCCGGAAGGCCCCTGCGAGTGATTGTCGAAGCGTGGTTGGGTCAGTCGTCGGCCGCCGTTTGGCATATCGCAGTAGGGTCTGTTTCGGCCTGCTCCCGCCACAACATCAATCCAGGGCGATCACAGGCGTACATTGGAGCTTTTCGTCCATCTGTCCCTTGGACGTAATCGAGAGCGCTGTCAGAAACTCTTTAAAGTCGATGAGGCGGTCCTGGTTCTCGTCAAAGACGGCAAACATCAGCTCCGCGAATGTCGATGAGTCGCCAAACGGGAAGTATTGCTTGTACATTTCCTTGAACTGCTCGAGGTTGAGGCTGCCCTTTGGACAGTCTTTGATGAACCCGCGGTACCTGAATCGGCAGAGTAGTTGTCAGCAACAGAGCTGGCATTTAGTCGTGCAGCACCGCTCGCCTTCACATCATCACGGTGGCTTCTGGCCGCTGCCAGGGTAATTCGCCTCCTCCCCCCCCCGAGCACTCTCGAATGTCGCTGCGGCCTGTGTTTTGGACGCACCACTGTTGGATTTCCTTCTTGTCGACTGGATTGGCGCAGAGTGGAGCGGGGTTATGGCCAAGAGCCCAGGAGAATAGGTCAGAATGCCGAGTGCATCGCAAAGAACCGTGTGGCAACACTGGAACATGCCTAATCCGCTCCGCCCGCTGCCGCTGCCGCCGCCATGCTCTAGCGATGAGCATTCAATAGCTGTCCTTCTTGCAGACCGGGAAACGGCCATGGCACATACAGTGAGTCGACTTTTGCAGCTCAACCAAGAGCTCTGGGGACAGCTTGCTGGTGCTTCCACCCATGGCAGCGCGAGACGGTGCTGTATGATGGAAGGCGAGGACAGTGTGGCGGATTGCGGCTCGGTGCGGCAGGCGAAGGGGCAGCGCAAGGCAGCAATGCGATGCGGCGAGATGCGGAGGACGAGGGCGATGGGCGCAAGAGCGACAGGAGCATCGGCGGGCAGATCGTCCTGTCTGGCGCCTTGTGGCCCAGGCCGAGCCACGGCCATCCTGCTGCCGGCGTTGGACTCGGGTTTGCTCCTGGTCAGCCCGCCAGATCCGGCTGGTCATCCATGCTCAACCCCTACTCCTCAATCATGGCTGCGACTGTCCTCGCCTTGGTTGTTTCTGCGGGGCTGCTCATCGTGCCGGGCTTGCTCCTGTTCGTATGGACGGCTCTTGTCCGCAAGACCCATCGCAGCCGGGTCACCGTTCTGGTCTTGGGCGATGTCGGGCGCTCGCCCCGGATGCAGTACCATGTCCTATCACTCATCCAGAACGGCTTCAGCGTTGACCTGGTGGGCTATCGCGGCGCCGATCCGCTTGCCCAAATCTCGTCGTCGCCGCACGTCACCCTGTGGTATCTGCCCCAGCCGCCCAAGATGGATGCAAGCGGGTCCAGGGCTCTCTATCTGCTCAAAGGCGTGCAGCGCTCGGCTGTGCAGTTCCTGCGAATCCTGGGCTTGCTGCTGTTCGTCGTTCCAAAGCCCGGCCATATCCTGATCCAGGTGAGCGACTTGTGGCTGCATCGAGGCTCAGAGCACCAAGGCTTGTCGCAGTCAAGGTTGCTGCTGCTTGCTGGAAACAATGCCCAATGGTCCTGCATCCTCTACTGCCGCTCGACTCCGAGCTAGACAACATCGACATCTCGCTTGCGGCCCCTGGATTAACAGCACCACGGGCGATCGCCTTTATGCTCCAATGGACAGAATCCTCCGGCCATTCCGACGCTGGCTATCGCTCAGATCGTCCGGCTCCTCAATCGCTCCCGCCTCATCATCGATTGGCACAACCTCGGCTACTCGATCATGGCTATATCGCTGGGCGAGACCAACAAGATGGTCAAGATCGCAAAGATGTACGTTTTTGGGTGAAGAATGCCACGAATCTCTGACCACGCAAAGACGCGAATGTCTCTCGCCCGGGATGTTGGCTCATTATCGTGGCCGCCGGACATCATCTTCTCCACGAGTCGGGCTCAACAGCATTGTGGCTGCCATCCTCTGCGGACTGCAATGCCCACCTTGATCGCTGCTTTGCTCGCCCTGACCAATGGCAACGTCACTGACCTTAAGCATCGCTGTCCGGCTCTCAGCTACGAGAGACTCCTAGGCTGCTCGGCCGATGCGCATCTGTGCGTGACCAAAGCAATGGCATCGCTTGTTCAACAGAATTGGCATGCAAGGTATGCAGGCCATTGATTCGACCGAAACAACGCCGCTCATTCGCTTGCCCGTGGCTGACCCTGCTGTTCGAGGTTGGCTGCTCCATGTGTCTGATACTCTTGCTCGACGACTTTCGTTTCCCCTGGCCTGCAGCGGCGACTGTGTGGTGCTCTACGACAAGGCCCCATCCAACTTCCATCGGCTGTCGCTCGACGAGATCCACAACGTACGTCATCCGTCAAGTCGGCTCTGGCATCGGCTCCGGCCCTTGGCAGCTCGTTGGCCCCGCTAACCATGCCCGACGGACTCAGTTTTTGCTCAAGCTGGACTTTAGCCAGAACGAAATGCAGTACCGGTGCGAGCCTTCGGCATCCTTGTCGACTCTGCTGACCGCCAAGCAGCAGCCCAGTAGCCCAGCCTTCTCACGGCCGGACCGACCGGCGCTGATTGTCAGCAGCACCAGCTGGACCGAGGACGAGGACTTTTCGATTTTGGCGGACGCCATCCAGGCCTATGACCGCCAGGCCGTCGCCCGGGCTTCTAGAGCTGACCAGCCCTTGCCGCGTTTGTTCATTGTGATTACGGGCAAGGGTGCGCTGAAGGAACCGTTCATGGCCTCGATCAACGAAATGGACCTACAGTTCGTCACTGTCAAGACAGCATGGCTGAAGATGGAGGACTACCCTATGCTGCTGGGTACGGGACCGCTGTCGTTGAGCCGAGCGTCGGCAATGATTGCATCGGACATGCCGAACTCGGGGCTATCAGACTGATTCGTTCCATGTTGAGCGAGCGAGCGGACCACCCCTGCCATCGATTCACGCTGACTGTCTCTCAATCGTTCTGCTCGTAGGATGTGCCGATTTGGGTGTTTCGCTGCACTACTCGTCATCCGGTCTAGATCTGCCGATGAAGGTTGTCGACATGTTTGGCTGCTCGCTGCCTGCATGCAGCATTGGATATCAATGGTGGGTCTGCAGGCACACGCTCGAACGCAAACCGATGCAGATGCAGTCCGCGGCTCGTTGTTTTATAAGGAGGTAGCAAATGCCGATACGGCGTTTGTGTTGTATCCAGATGAACTCATGTGCTGTCGTTATCAACTACAGCATCGATGAGCTGATCCGACACAAGAAGAATGGCCTTATCTTCGAGAGTGCCGAGGAGCTGTCTAGCCAGTGGATCGTAAGCAGCAGCAGCGTATGACTGGTTTCATGGTGGCTGGCGTGGTAGTCGCATGGATATGAAGCCATGCTGTGCTGACCAACTGCCTCGGATCGCTGCTATCCAACCGCGTGGTGCAACAGGAGCTGCTCGAAGGGTTTCCCCACAAGACCGACAGGATTGACGAGCTTCGTCAAGGTATCCGGGAGCTCAGCCAAGATCGGTGGAGCGACAACTGGGACAAGCACGCCAAGGACCTGTTTGCCTCGCGCCGCTAGATGTATTTGCGAGAGCGGGCTTTGCAGCCGCTGCGATAGGCTGTAGGCTTCATCACAACATTCCATTTTGAAACGGGACACTCTGTGTTGAGCCAGGACTGTCGTTGCTTCCTGGGACCCGAATACACTCGCCTGTCATGGCCAAGCACAGCACTCTCGCTTTCCGCACCGCTGCACTGCGATCGAGAATCTGATTCGGCCGCCAAGGCGTCATCATTCCTTCTTGGTGTCATTGTTGGTGTGGATGGTCGGCGCATGTGGTCGTGGTTGCGTCGGGTGGATTACATGTATAAATCTCGCACCTTCGTCCTCGGCTCTCGAAACACCAGAATCGTGCTCGCACATAAACCGCATATCCATAGCCCGTTGAGCAAGGCAAGCCGGGCCAGGTTCACGAGAGTATTCGATGGAGCGGGTGGGTTCTGCTCGATGTGGGCAACCTCAGGATGTGCGGGAATCCATCACTATCCTTGTCATCAGCCGGGAGCGATGGAAACGCAGGAGCGGATGGCGAGAGACCTGTACGGAGACATGAAGTATAGAATGCTCCCCCCAACCTTTACTCCAGTCGCTCGTCACCCTCGGTCACATCGTTGACATTGAGCACCTCGACCCGACCTCGCCCCTTGGTTTCGGAGTCTACAAGTTCGCTGATCTGGCGATAGTTGCCAGGGTCGATCAAACAGATCTGCAAGAGTCGGCCGTCGCCGCACAGATGCCGGCAAGAAGATAGCAGGAGTCAGCAAGTGCATGATGAGGCACAGGACGATGGTATGTCTGCCATAATGCGTCAACGCAGTCGTGTGGGTGCCTATGGCCGGACAGGCAGGACTGCTGCTTGCTTTGGATGAGAGTGCGGGCCATCGCAACCGTCCGGGCGAATACGGGCTCCTTGCACATTTTTGGTTGCGCTGACCGACGACTTACCACTTCGTAGTCGTCGCCCCAGTCCTCGTCCTCGGTGTTGGCAAACAACGGCTGCATCTTGGCCTTGAGCCGCTTACCATCCTTTCCAGGGATGGCAATTCGCAGGCGCATCTGAGCCCGGGCAATCGGCAGGGTGCCCTTTTGCTGGAGCTCGCGGATGACGTCGAGAGCCTACGTCCAGCGACATGAAGGCATATCCAAGGACAGTGAGTCTCGCTGCTTGTCAAACCCACGTCGCAGAGCGATTGGCGCTTCCAACAGTCTCGTACCTGCTGCTTCGCACTGCGGTTGGGGTTGACGGAGAAGTGGAGATCGGCCATGGCCTTCTCAATCATGGTGACGGGATAGGGCCGCTTGGTCTCTGGGTTGATGCATTTCTCGGCCACGGTTGTTGCGATATCGCGGTACATGGTCTCGATCTGATTGCTGCGCTCTTTTTCGCCGACCTGCAGCTCGCCCTTCTTCAGAATCTGCGACGGCATTGGCGGGATGGTGCCGAGACCAGAATATCGTCAGATGTGGCCTGCATACGACGAGCATACAACACCACTAAACGGCATGTTCATCGAGTGTGCCAGAGCAGAGTGCATCATATCGCACCTCGAGAATAATGGCGTCAAGATCCTCGGTCTTGAATGCTTTTGTCAGGTCTTCCTTTGCTGCGACTTGGCCCTTGGAGACGTTGGTGAAGACGTTCTGGATCTGGATGACTTCGTCCAGGTCTGTCTCGCTGTGGAGTGCACACAGGCAAACGCAGGTCGGCATCAGCGTCGTGCAGGGCTGGCATCGCAGGAGCGATACCAATCTGGCCGACTCATTGCGAGCATTTCCGCCGAAGCGGGCGGACTTGGTCGACTGAAGCCGAACATACACTTTGTTTCGCCACTCCATGACCTTGTTCTTGTAGCAGGCGATCTCGAACCGCTTTCCGCCCTTTTTCAGACGGACGATTGAGACGTTCGTTAGCTTCAGCTGGTTGATTGGGGTGAATATGTGTGCCATTGCGGGATGCTGTGGGCGATCTGTGGTTTCTGGACGAGTTGCAGGTTTGTCGGAGCGAGCAAGACGGAGCGATAGCCTGGCCTGGCTGGGTTGGTCGGATGACGGAGCTCCAAAAAAAAAAGAGGTGATTCGGGTCTGCGCCGTTCTGTGCCAGGCCTGCGCCAGTTCTGTGCTGCTGTCGAGCGACACAGAACAATCACGGGACACAGCCATCGCTCCCGGATTCACCGGGTTGTGGAGACTGACGGCAAATGCGTCGTGGCTTGGTTCTTGGTCGCCGAGTCCTTCGCTGGCGGTAAAGGTCAGAAATCCCAAAGCACGCTAAAGTGTCGGACACCATCGCACCCCACCCGCCGCATCGCACGCATTAGCATGGATCTCAAGAAGGAACCGTCGCCCGTGCAGCTGGAGGACGCAAAGCAGTATCTCGCGTCCAACAAGGTCATGGAGACGTTGAAGTTCCTGATGATGTCCCTGCTGACGCATCGCCCAGGCAAGAAGAGATCTCGGTTCGGTATCCGCCGACGTCCAGATTACGCGCTGTCACTGACATTCATGGGTCACAGACGACCCGCACAGCTTCATGGTTGCAAAGTTGCAGGAAATGAGAAGTGCAAAGGTTCTCGAGTTCCCGCAGCTGTCGCAGTGCGGGCAGCGGAATTGTGATATTTGCACCAAGGGGGGTTTTTGGGATGCTCCACGCGCCGAGTCTTGTGCATCAGGCTGGGCCATGGGCTCATTCTCACGACATCTGCTCCTGATTCCGTCGCAGGTGCGCGGCCAAAGCTTGCAGTTCTACTCTCGCGATAATCTCTCGGCAATTTTCCGGATTCTCGATTCGTCGAATCGCGGACACATAAACCTCGACCAGTACACCGAAGGTCAGTTGCCCGCGATTTACGCCCCGGCTCCGACTGCCTTCGGATTCCAAATGGCGTTTGCACCGAGATCCGGCCTGATAGCCTCCGATTACTGCACAGGCATGAAGACCATCGGCGCAGTCAACTTCAATCCACGACCGATGGTAAGCAGGGCGAGTTGCGCTCGCGTTCTCACTGGCCGCATCGACAGAACTGCAGCAATGCGCGACTGAGGTACTGAGGTCGTCGCTGACACAAAGGTGCGATAGGGCGGCGCAAAGATTCTGATGGACACCTTCATCGACGAGGCGTAAGTGTTTGACGAGCACAAGCTGCTACGCAACGGAGACAAGTGCGATCCGCGGCTAATGCAGCACCATGGACCTGGTATCAGCCAAATTGCCATGGCCCGTCCATAATCGCCTGGTTTCGTCCATGGGCATCTCAGCCAGTGTCCCATCGTCTGTGTTCCTGAGCTCCAGCGAAGAAAGATGAGCGCGGATGTATATCCAGCACCGGCCTCAAAGTTGGTGGAGTGGATGCTGGGCTATATTCGCGTCGTTCCATACCGTCGACGGAGCAGCCATTAGCCCCACCGTTGCTGCTGGTCACCGCTATGTCGCTGCTCGCGAAGATGATCTTGAATACACACGGAGCTGATCTCCGAGAGCGCTGTGGACTTGCGTGCCAGGATCATTGGTGGTTTGAATTGACGTGGCTGCTCCGGGTTGTGACAGTGGCTCGGACTTGAATGTCCATTTGCGTATTCACCATCCCGAAAAATGTGAGGCGCTGTAGTCGGTTGTCTCATAATCAGGTCGCCAACCGACTCCTGATGCTCGTTTCAGCCGTACCCTGGACGGCTACTTGCACCAATCAGTCAATCGGATGGTCTTGTTTTCTTGAGTGCCCAGCGACTCTCCAGACGCCGAGCGCTCTGGCTGACCTGCATTTGCATCTCGAGCACACGGCCCAAGCCCGATTCTGGAGCATCCACCTCTGCCCGCGACTATCACTCGCCTCCGCAGAGGCCAGTATCACGGACCGCCAGCCACGCTGGTCAAGGCGGATCTGCGACGAAGCTTTGTCCGCTCCAGACACAGTCACAGCCCACACAGCAGCCACAATTTTCCGGACCCGGTACCCAAATGTCACAAGCGAAATCATTGTCGCGTTCAAAGACCACCACCTCGGCGGGGAAAAGGTCCCAGAAAGCCTCGCCGGGGTCATCGGGGCCATCGGGGTCATCCGGGACGCTAATGGGGAGAGGAGTCGAGGCCAGCCCCGATGTGGTCTACAAAATGTGCAAGAAGATAGCCCAGCTTACCAAAGTCATCTACTACCTGAACACCAAGAACGAGGATCATGGCGTCGAGATCGACAGCTTAGCGGATGCGTACGAGAACGAGATTGATATGGTACCGGATAGCTATTTCTGCCCGGTTTCCGTGGTGCAGGACATGCATCTCGGAGGCTTGTCTCCGGGACTTGTCAAGGCTCGACTAACACTACCGTGCCGCCCAGGTGATCACCGATGGCAAGGCCATGATCAGCGAGCTCAAAATTCGGGCCGAGGACGCCGAGCTGAAGCTCAAAGCGCACGAGGAGGTTATCCAAGTATGTGACGCAGGCGCGAGAGACGATGAGAATCCGCTCCAGTCGAATGCTGCCCACCAACTAGCACACCGCCATGATATCGGTGTCTCTGCTGTCTCTGCTGTCTCTGCTGTCTCACCAACTGACGGAGCCGAGCAACGTTATCACAGTCACAAATGGAGAGCGTCACAGAGTACCAAAATGAAATCAAGATGCTCAAGGATACCGACAATCGGCTGCGGCAGCTCATATCCAAAATCGAAGGGTGAGTTCCCCCAAGACATCATATCACTAGGCCCGAACCAATGACACAGAATCCAAGCACCTTGCGTCCATTCAAAGAGATTGCTGCGATGCTCATCGTCTTTGTCGAAATGCAGCGAGAAGCAGGATCTAGAGAAAAAGCACCAGCAGGAGATGGATGACGCCCGGAGTGCCATCAAAAACTTCAGCCAGTCCGACGAAGAGGTGTCCTCGATCCGCAAAAAGTATGACGACATGATCCAGCAGATGCAAGAGCAGCACTACAAGGAGCTGCAGGAGGTCTCGGACACCCTGAAGAAGCAGCTTTCGTCCAATGTGAGTTGTAGGGAGTCGAAGAGCAGTTGTTGACAAGGATTATTCCTCGCAGTATTACCCAGGAACAGTGCCTCGATCAAAGCGTAGATGTGCGAGTGGTGGCTCTGAACTCGAGCCAGTGTTTCGAACTGATGATGTTGTTTGTGCCACGGCGATTGTCCTTGTCCGGCTCTCATATCCGCAGAATCAAGAGATCGTCACTGACTACCAAAAGAAGATCAAGCAGCTCACCGAGGACAAACAGAAGGTGGAGGAAGCCATGAAAGAAACGGTGAACGGGATGAAGAAACGGGTAAACATCGATGTCCCTAACTGAGCATGCATGACTCTGCGACGTCGTGGTAGAGCTGGCAAATGTGGAGCACGGATTGGCTCACGCACATGGAATATGGATGCCCGTTTAGTACGACGAAGAAATGAAGTTTTACCAGCAAGAGTCCAAGAAGTTGAAGCAACTCATGGACGAGCAGCAAAAGGAAGCCAAAGAGAAGCTTGCCGACATGGAGAAAGCCATGGGACTGGATCTCGAAATGGTACGACGCTGTTTGCGCACAATGGGCGAGTTCGCTGATGATATCGATGATATCTCCTATATGTTCTGACGATCGCAGTGTAACATGCATAGGAGCGGAGTCGGGTCCGCGACCGCGACGAGGCAATCAAGGACTACAAAGAAGAACTGCGCAAGTAAGCAGACCGGGGGCTGAGGTACCGAACGTGGGAGCCGCACCTGATGTCTTGCTGTGATATCTAGGAAGAAAGATGAGGTCCGGGTGCTGGAAGCGACAACGAGCGATCTGAAGAACCAAAAGCAAGCGCTCGAAGTTCAGCTGAAGGATCTGAACTCAAAGCACGAAGCACTCAAGAAGGTTCGAAGAGCATCCGTGCCGTGGGTCGCTCGACGAGATCTGATCGACACACTAATGCACTATAAACGGACGACAAATCTAGGACCTACAACAAGCACAGTTTCGAATCGAGCAAGGGGGTATGGAGATCGATGCCACTGCTTTGTGAAACGCTTCTCTCTCGCCGGGGTTGTGTCTCAACGAGTCTTGCCGCGCCGGCTATACGTATGCGCTACGAACGTCGGGTTGACGAACAGAGATCAAGATCAGCAAACTGGAGGATACGCTTCTGTCGAACAAAATCAAAATCGAGTCCTTAGAATCGAACCTGTCCAAACTGCAGTCCGACCACAAGTTTGTGAAGGGAGAACTCTATGAGCGCGAGAAAGAGCTGGCGTCGGCCAACGAGTAAGTGTTGAGAACTGAGTTGCTCCGGCGGCGTTCTTGTGCAGTGAAGGTGACTGACCACGAGGGCTCATTATAGACAAGTCAAGGAGCTGACGGACGATAGCAACCTTATGAAGAGAATTAACATGGAGCTGGAGAATGGACTCAAGGATCGAGGTGCGATATCTTGGGGCATTTCCTTTACAAAACCACCGGGATCGGCGGGATATTGGAGCTGATTCTTGGATGTGCGTCAACAGATTCGATGATTCGGGACCTTGGAGACCAAATGAAGGCTCTGCGGAAGTCTCACGAAGAGGTGAGTTGATTCTTTGTCTCGGCAGCTGGTCCAGAAATCAGCCAGAAGCGCGGAAGGAAGATTCTGGTTGCCTCCCGTTTAACATGCTCCGCTGCCTAGGAACTGTCAAGTTCGCTGATCAAGCAAAAGACAGACCTGACCGATCAGCACGAGCGACTGCTCAAGCGGACTGTCAACGAGCTGCTCGACAAGCACGAGAAAGAAATCGATGCTAAGAATGAGGTAGTGTTCAGACCATCGGGATTTCGCAGAGATAGTACCCGTCTGTAACGTATCTATGGTGCGCCCTTCGCAGAGTATCAAGTCACTCGAGGAAATCGTCAAGGATCTGGAGGATGAGATGAAGAAGCGCTTGCAGCAAGCGCGAGAGGAGATGGATGAGCAGAAGCGCCAATATGAGGTGAGTGACGATGCAGCATGAGCGCATGGTGGAAAGGAGCGAGCTTATACAGAGACAGGAGCACAGTCATTGCTGCGCGGAGTCGACAGAGCTTGCAATCCAAGGAGCGAGAATCTAACCACGAGATTATCTTTTGCTGATGGGAAGCTTCAAATTAGCGACCTAATGCTGGTGAAGGGTGAGCTCATGCGCAAACTGGACGAAGCAAACACAACTATCGAGGAAAAGCTCAAGGAGATCAAGGGCTGCGAGGACGAGATTGATGTAAGTACTAGGTTTGTGCCGAAGACAGCGCGGAGCCGAGCCCGCGGGACTGACTTTTGTGCTAGGAACTCACCGATGGACTTCAATTTAGGCACTGAACAAGGCCAACCAAGCGCTCGAAGTGGACAAGGCCGATCTGTATCAGAAAATGCTGCATATTGACGGACAAGTGCGCGCTGAGATGACCGAGCGGTTCGAACACGAAACAGCCGAGCGTACATCAGAATGGTGGGTGAGATGGAGAGTGCTCTTTATGAGAATGGTTGGTGCCCTTCAACACCAGAAACCAAATCGGCTCTGTTATGGACCTTGAAGGCAATGCTGATCCAATAGCATGCCAATGTCCTGGCTGGCACTCTGGTGGATGCTTCGACCGATGCTCTGACTCTTGTCTTTGAATTCTGGGCTCCAGGGAGGCACAAAAAGCACAAGAGTTGGTCCTGCTTAAGGACAGACTCACCCAAGAGCACGAAACTATCCTCCAGGTTCGGTTTGCAAAATCGCCAGTTCTTGGCTGACTGCATGCTTGAAATCATGCGGTTCATTGTGGGAGTAACCACACAGAATGTGCAATTGGTGTGAGCTCCACCCATGCACTTGGCTGAAATCCTACGCACTTGTCCCTGTTTCAGAACACCGTCTTCAAAATGGATGCCCAACGAGTCGAAGAAACAGACGCCCTCAAATGGGACTTATCCATGGCGAAGGAGGAGTGGGCAAACAAGGAGCTGGAGTTTGACAAGCAGCTTGCGCAGCTGGGCACCGAGAAGCAAATGCTCTACAAGGAACTGGTTGATCAGCGGGATGTAAGTGGATCCACAGGGTGGGCCAGCATCGTGGGTGGTTTTGGGTGGGGGCGGGGACGTTAGGTCGCTAACACAAGGCACGAACGCACTCACTCCCCATCCAGAACAACATCAAGAGAGTGGCAGCAATCATGGACGAGCACCAGCAACAGCTCATCGACGAGAAGAAAGCCTGGGATTTGGAGGCGCAGGCAAGAGAGACCCAGCTCAAAGTCGGGCACACTCTTGCCCTGAGCGCTGTCGAGAAGAAGTACAAGGTCGAGCTCGAAGAAGTGGATAAAAACAACCAAAAGAAGATCGAAGAAATCAAACATGCCAACACCGCCGCTGCAATGACAGCCAAGCGCGAGGCCGAGAATCAGAAGCAGGCCGAACTCACCAAGCAGCGGGCGACGCACAACGCCGAGCTCGACCGAATGCGCGACCAACACGAACGGGACCAGATGGCCCTCCGAACCAGTATGGAGGAGCAGAAAACGAGCGAGATTGCCGACATTCGGAATAAGAATTCTGCCGCCATGGAAAAGAAAAACGCCTACATTGAGCAGCTCACACTCGAGATTGCAAACCATCAGGCAAGTGCATCCGAATCGCTCGATATTATCCCGGCACACATGGAGGGTCGGTACTTACTGTGCTCCCGTTTCTCCAGCTCGAAATCAAGGACCTCAAGCAAACCATCATGGAGCTCCGCTACGACATCAAGCAAGTCGAAGAACAGCTTGCTGAAAAGGACAGGGAACTGCAGGCCGCAATGTAAGTTTGCCCGAGAGGCCGCGCTGCTTGGGGCAACAGCCGTTCGCTGGTCCATGGTGGCAGTACTGGTCGGCGTGTTGAGCGGGGGCATTCGGGGCGGTGCAGACATTTGCACCAACACAACGACTCATCAATGTACTTCTATGCAGCGCCGATGGCAAGCAGCGTCTCAAGGACCTGGAGGCCCATATGCTTGCCGAGAAGAAGGATGAGATCATGAAGGTCAACGAGGAGCATGTCGACGAAGTCAAGCACATGATCCGCGAGTTTGAGCAGGCTCAGAACTTTTTGAAGAAACAGATCGCCCAGCAGGCCAAACAGTGAGTGCCGCCGACAGTCAGGGAATGTGGGTGGTGATACTGAGAATGAGTGCCCGAGTCGGTTGAGATGGATGATCACCGTTTGACTAAGCGACTGCGGCACAGACTCCAGGAGGCCGATTTGCGCTACATCAACCGAGAGCCACGGGAAGTGGATCTGCGGCACATTGCCGAGCTGGAAGAAGAGATCAAGAGGAGAAAGAAGAAGATATCGGGCCTTCATGTAACCCGTCGTGTTCGCCGAGTAGCTGGAAGGAGGAAGGAGAGTCATTCGTGGCCGAATCGGCCTGGGGTTGTCGCTGGTTTCTGATACGACTATGTGACTTGGGGGGCGGGGTGGTATGGCCATAGGACGAGCTTGACTACTACAAACTTGAGATGAACAACCGCGAGGCCAGCTTCAACAAGATCTTCAACAAAACGCCGCTGGTCGGGGTGATGCAGCCACCGACAGCGACACCAAAGGCAAGTGTAATGGAGAGCGAGAAACCACCATGGCAGCAATCGGTATCGATCGGGCGAGCCCACCAGCAACTCCACCGCCGCATGCTGCTGTTCGCTTAACTTCCCAACATCGGCCCATCTGTCCATCACGATCAGGGAGCCAAGAAAACCCCAGGTGACAAGAGCGATCCTCGGAAGGAACGTCTGCCCCCACTGTATTTACTGTCGACGACGCCGCCAGCCGGTCAAGCCACATAGATGTCGAGTCGGCCGCTGTCGCTGGACATGGACGTCCATGGATGGGAACGGCCGCGTTGGTTCATGGATATCGAGCCAGGGGCTATCTTGGTTCATTTTTGTGCATGTTGTAGCAATATCCGCACACTCCATTTTGTGCTGGTCGCCAAGCGTGCCCTCCACAGGAAAGCAAATGCAAATCCCAGAGTTGCTGCAGACCCGCGCTGGGCTGGTTGGAAAAGGTGATATGGCCGAGGCAGGTCCTCGGATCAAATCAGTGTCGACGGAAACCGACGGGCTGTATTCAAGGGCCAGCTGCTCACACAAAGGAAGGATTCCCGCTGATGGTGGGCGGCACTGGCGGATAGAATGGCGAAGCATCTCTTTCATTCGCTATGACGGTGATGTTCTGGGGCGGCCCATCCGTCTTCGATCAACACGCTGGATGATTGTGGGGGTAAAGAGAAGGCTAGGAAGAGTTATGGGTGCTGGAAATCAAACAGGGGGGGGGAGGGAGGGAGCTGAGCATCTACTGCGACTTCTGGGCGTCCTTCAAGGCCTTGGGGAAGGGAACGACGAATCCGTCCTTCAGTCCGCTCATCATGTCAATGTACTGCTGGGCAAGCTCCCGACAGTTCTTGTAGTGATTGACACCCTCGCGGTGATAGCACCATCGCAGCTTGTCTCGGAGGACGCCAATCTCTTCGAGGCGGATGAGCTGCTCCTTGTAGAAAGCGTCGCTGGCCTTTTTCAGAGCCGGTCGGTCTAGGAATAGATCAGTCATGGATGAGGCGATTCCAGTGTCAGTGAACGGGGCAGCAGGCTGATAGCAGCATCATATCTGGTTGAGCAGTGGTACACTCTCCGGTGTGTTGAGCCGAGCAGTGTCGCCCGATCTTGCATTCATCTGCCTCTGGTGGGTGCTGGTCGGTGCCAATTGAGAAGAAACTCGCTGTGGCTGCCACTGCAGGACCGACTGCGTATTTTCGATCCTCAAAATCACGCCACAGACGACTTTAAAAGCGGCTGAGAGCGGTATGGGTATCGAATCGTGCATCGGATCGCACACAGGATCGCATCATCTGTATATCCCGCGAGACCAACGTGTTGCGCAGAGGCCTCGGACATTGTCGCCGCAATGCGCTGTGGGCTGGTCATCGCCGGTGGTGAAGTCCAAGGTGCATCCATACGATTCTGCCGATTCCTCTTTGAGCTCGCCGTCGAGGCGAGATGCAGGTATCCAGCATATATGCCCGGCTTCTGATCCGGCGACGCTCGAGTCTATATCGAATGGCTGTCCGTCTCCCGGGTCGAGTTGGGTCGAGTCCCTACCGTGGGCAGTCAGCTCCGGATCGACGATCGGCATAGGGGAGATCTGGTGGGACGTAGGGATAGCAGGAACAAGACGCCCGGTTAGTTTCGAGGGCCGCATCAGTGATCCATATGCCAGCCGGGAAAGGCCACGAAAATCCTGGTCGACCAGCGGACACGAATCGGCCCGAGGGGCTCGTGAGGCTCGGAAGCGACTGTGGCTGAACAAAGCCCACTGGTCACGGAGGAGCCGCTCCTGGATTGGGGAAGAGCATTGGAGGAGCAGGGCTGCCTCGCGCTGGCGGTGTTGATCGAAAGACCAGGAATGCGCTGCGTGGCCCTGTCCTCTCCAGCAGCGACGGAAAGGGGAGGGGAGCCCACAGCGTGTCTCGATGGACCTACTTGGATGGGCTTCATCTCGGACATGGTGGGCAGCAGATTCGGCAGTGGGCAAGAGATGGGGAGTGCAGACTGGCTCGCTCGCTCGCTCGCTCGTTGGCTGGCGGATTCCTCTGTTGCTTGCTGCGAAATGGCCAAGCGGATGCAACGGGTTTTCGTTTTTCAAGACGTGCAGACGGCCAAGGGCGCCGCGCCGGCCAATGGGGACACAGGCCGACTGGCGCCGATGGAATGAATTTCATTTGCTGCGCGTGCTGCAGGCCCGCCCAAAATGAAACAGGACCACCAGATGGGTGTGCACATCCATCATGCCGAACGGCTGTTCACACCGCAGAGGCAGGACGAGGATGTGCCTCCGGTCTCCGTCGCATAAGGCTCGGTGCCTTGGGCAGGGGGATCGTTGGATGCGCGACCCTGCACATTCCATTGGAAGGATCGTACAGTCGGTCCAGAATGAAACGGGACAGATACTTTCTGGCTTCAGGGGCCTGTAGCTTGCCGAACTTCCATCGGCCCCAGTGGACAGGCCATGCGATTGTTTCCCGTCCTGGTTGGCAATCTCTTGGTGGTGTATTCATTCGACCCTCTGGATAGCTCCATGGTGTATCGATATCAAGATGCTCGACCTTCTCGAGTCGCTTGGCTTCCCGACAGTGTGAGCACACCTGGGATGTGTTGAACTCGTTCACCGAGCACACATGAATGAACTACTCGAAATACCGAGCGAACCTGAGTCCCCTGGGACTGGATGAATATCCCTCCCTTGCTTCCAGGAGGCATTTCCAAAGGCAATCACCACTTCGGTCTCCTCGGACATACTGAATAGCTATGAATGCGATGATATGGTGGGTGTATTCAGGTTCCAGAAAAAACACTGTCCTGGTTAAAAACGAGGTGTCCCTGTAAGAGCGTGTGCAGCCACATGGGCTGTGATGTGAGCGAATCGCAAGGGGCGGTGTTGTGTGGGAAGATGACGTGGTGCAATTATGGCAGCTATCCAGAGCTCGTGCTGCATGGCAGGCAAGTGCCACATCACATGCCGGATCATGAGCTGCCATCAAGCTCCCCGGTGGACCTAGAGCTTGTAAACCTGCTCGGCCGTGTATCCGAGCTTGGCAAGGATGCCTCCGAGCGGGCCCTGTTCGTCTTGGTCGACCGGCGTGCCCTTGGTACCCGAGACATGTCTCATCATGCTGGCAATCGAAGCGACAGGTCGGCAGGAGGCGCAATGGAATACAATTCACCGATTGATGATGAAATAGAGCGAGAGTTAACGATCTGGCAGTCACGCCGACGACTCGGCGCATGTGCAGCAACACAGCAACACTTGCACTTACCCTTCTGGGCCGCACACGAGGATCTGCAGGCGCTTGTCCGAGTCAGGGGAAGGCACCATTTGCTGGACCATCTTTTCGTTGATGTACCCCTTGCCTTGCTTCCACGACCATGTCGTGCCCGTCTCGACGGTGTGGTAGACCTTGATCTGATCAGGGTACTTGTTGGTCAGGAATTCAAGCTCCGAGCGCAGCAAGATGTCGGCCTCCGTTCGGTTGGCATAGATTAGTGAAATCTGGGTGTTGTCGCTGGGGTCCTTGAGGATTTTCTTGATCAGTTGGTAACATGGCGTGACGCCTGTGCCGCCGGCAATCTGGGCGTCCAATTGTCCACAATGAAGGAGAGCTGTTAGCATCAGTGGTTGTCGCCCTCAACAAACCGAAAAGCCCTTGCTCAGCTGAACAAGAAGACGATATGGTTGCGAGCGAGTATGCTCTGCGCCAGCAATACCGCCGAGCAAGCGTGCTCCCAGACAACTGCTCGACCATCAATCTCTTAGAGTCCCGTTAGGTACACCGAGGATGTGCTTACCATGGCAATGTGATCATAGTCACCGGGTTGGTACTTCCATGTCTCAAATGCACCGCAGATCTCAATCTTATCGCCAGGGACTGCGCTGTGGATGAACTGGCTCACGGCGCCGTCGGGATACTTCTTGACAATCAGGTCAAAGTGGTCATAGTCCCACGAGATGGGGCTGTAGTGGCGCCCGATTTGGCATGTGTGATCCTTGACAATGACCGAGCACGGCACCGGGATCTGCTGAACCATGGCCAGAGGCATGTTCATCTGGAACCGAAACAGCGACGTATCCGAGGTCAGGGGGATCACCTCGTTGAGCTGGAACTTGAGGAATCGTTTTGGATTCAGCGCGGGATCGCCCTGTGCATCCTCGTGAAGATAGAGGTAGTAGTAGACGTCGTAGCCAACCACGGCCATGATCGAGAGGCCGATGAAGGCAAACAGGAACACAGGCGTTCGGCGGGTTTCACCACCGTCGCTCTCCGGGATCTTGAGGGTGGTGGCATGTGGGCTACCGGCCGAGGTGCCGCCGCTGTGGGTGGTGTATCTGGATTGAGCCAAGGGCATGCGGGGGGCAGCGGGCGACATCATGCGCTGCACCAAACTCGGTGGCCGTTTGCATTGCCCGATCGATGATGCCCTGGTGAAGAGCGACCTCTGGATGGGACCGGAGATGCGGTTCGAGATGCGGCGGAACACCGGAGGCTGTCCGTGGCAGCTGCGGGCGACGCTGCGGGCGACAGACGCCGAGAACGCTGCGCTCAATGCGCTCTTGGGCCGGAGGATGCCGAGGGGTTGCATGCTCGGCGAGTGCTCGGCGAGGCTGGATCGTGCGGCGAAGAGCAGCACACCACGGAAAATGAAACAGCACACCGAAAACGCACCTCCGGGTCACGGGCCGTCACGTGGCGTTGGCGTGTGTGTGTGTATTGGGACCAGACAACGACGAGCCACACCCTTGGCACCTCGGGATCGGCACCCGAGATTCTGGGGCGCACTGCAACGGACTGCGACGGAGGGCCATTGCTGCGTTCCAGCCTTGCCTCTGGCTGGGCTGCCCGACGCCGGGCAGAAGCACAGCAGAGCAGAGCAGCAGGCTGGGTTCCGATTGGATCGGGCAAGTTGAGCATCAGACACTGATCCCGCAGCGGCCGCGAGGAAAGGAGCTCGTTGCGGGACACAGCAGATGTTGCTGGTTTGCTGGTTACTGGGGGTGGGGTTCATCGAGGTGGTAGAGGGAGAGGTCGCTAGTCATCGTAGTTGTTGTCTTCGCCGCGATGAGTGGCCTTGACCCGCTTGATCTCGGGAAGGCCGTGCTCGTCTTTGTAGAGACCGTCTTCGTGCTCGGGGATGCCGGGCCGCTTCAGCGCGGAGCCGTGGTGGTCAGGGCCGCCGGGATGGTCTGATCGGTGGGATGCAGCAAGGACAGCGATTGGTCAATAATCTACACAGCGATTTGCATGGTCCTGTCGGCCCAATGCACATGAAAGTGGCACCCTGAGCGGAGCCCGAGCGACCACAGCCACCTACCAACATCGCGCTCGTCGCGATCGATGCGTCCTCTCCTCAAGCCATCAAACCCGTTATCACCTGCTAGCCGCACGTCGCCAGGATGGGGCATCGGGTAGTGGTGTCCAACTTCGCCAGGCCGCCCCGAGACAGTCGACATATCGGGGTGATCGTGGCCGTCGTAGCGGTCGTGGCCAGAGACGTGCGGGTGGCCTTGAAGACCGCTCTCCCGTGGAGGCACAGCGCCGGTGGGATTCGCACCGTGGTAGAGGCGGCCATTCGACTCCTTCACCGACGGTGCCATCGGCGAGTCCATGTGTGCGCCAACTGCGCGCGGGTCTGCAACGCCGCGGTATGGGATTTTTCCAGGATAGTCGCGGTCGTAGCGGTCCCTCAGATCTCGCCCATCCTTGTAGTCCTTGGCATCCCGGATATCTCGCCCGCTGTAGGCGTCGCGCAGGGTGGGTGTTGGGGCCATCGGGGTATTGGGATGCGAGGGGTGGGCTCCTTCGCGAGCATCCCACATCTCACGGCCGTCGACGAGCTCCTTCTCGCGACCGTCTCGGACATCACGCGGCGTCCGGACGTCGCGGCTCGGGGTTCGTTCGGGATAGTATTCGTTCCCTCGGCCAACCCCGCCGGCGCTGGGAGGAGGTGCGTATCGATCGACAGGCGGCTTGCGGCTGTCCATTCGGGGATCATATCGCTCAGCAACTCCCGGTCGGCCCATCGGTGGTGCGCCATCAAAGGGAGCAGGGCCGTTTGTGCTGGGCATGCGGTCGGAGGGCCAGGCGCCGTAGTCCGGAGGCGGCCCGCCCCGTCCATCGGGAGCCGGCGAAGGGGACTCGAGGGGGGCTCCGCGAGCATCGTAGCGGTACGGACCCGCGCCCGGAGCGCCATAGGGATCCTTGAAAGCCGGGTTAAAGTCCGGGCGGCGGCCCTGATCATTGTGGAAACCCGGGTGGGGCGAGGGCTGAGCGGACTCTGGCGCCATGGGCGCAATCTTTGGCGAGTTGCGGGCTCCAGAGACGTTGCGGCGATGGCCCATCCGAGGAGAAGCAGCGGGCTGACCCGGATGCACCTTGTTCGGCGGTGGACCTCGAATCGGATCGGCCGGAGGGCCTCGCATGGCGTCGGGGGGACCTCGAGGGAGCAGCTCTCCGCCAGGACCACGGCCGCCTTCCATGCCCGGTCCAGCCCTCATCGAATCACTGCCGGCCATGTAGTTGCCTGGATATGGGCTCGAGCGTGCTTCGGCGGCAGGATCGCGAAAGGGGGGTGCGCTCTGGTTGGGGGTCGAGCCATGCGTGTGGGGAGGCTGTGGATACGGGTTGGAGGAGGGATGCGGCGAGGGGGCAGGTCCCGACTGCGACTGCGATGAGGGATGAGTGTCAGGGTAGTATGAAGATGGGTTCTTTGCATTGGGGTTGCGCTCGATATCCTGTGCCGAGGTCGATTGGTCGAGTCGAAAGGCGGGAGCGGTGCAGAGTTAGAAACGAGGATCCAGAGGAGCTCCGACAGCTGTGCTGGTATTTGCTGACCAGGGACAGGAACGGGAACAGGAACTTGACTGAAACCGAAAGACTTACCCGTCCGAGCCATGGAGGAACACTGCCGCCGGCTGGGGGACGGTCTCCACGTCCAAAGGGAGATGATACATGTGCTGTGAATGAGCTGTGGTCACTGCTCAAGGGTTGGTGTCGGGGCTGCTGGCCAGCACTGGAGAGCCGGTAGGGGAGGGGGGACGAAGTCAATAATGCCTCCTGGCTCGATATGCAGGCCCCCAGCGATCCATGGCCGCTTTGACGACTCCTAGAGCAACTCCCACCTTGCACCACTTCGGAGAGCTTGCAGGCGCTGCTTGATGTTTTGATTGTTCGGATCCAGCTCGAGGGCTCGGGAGTATGCATCGATAGCATCGTTAACTTGATCGTGGCAAGCCTCGTAAAGGGTTCCGATGTCATACCAGACTTCGCTGAGATAGGGGTTCAGGCAAATGGCTCGACTGTAGGCATCCAGCGCATCGCGATACTGAGAGAATGCGCAATAATCAGCAAAGCAACAGGGACACTGGTCCGGGTGTGGGTATCCGGCTGGAGAAGAGTACGGAGGCACATCCGCAAAACAAACCTGATTGCGCTGATAGTAGAGAGCGCCGATCGAGCACCATATGGCGGGATTCTGGTTGTCCAAGTTGATGGCCTGCTGGAAAGCGTGGTACGCATTGCTGTATCTCTGTTGCGCCATGAAGCAGCGCCCAAGGAGATAGTGGGACTGAGCCGCATCTTGGTTGTCTGTATCCGTGTTTCGCCGCCGACGAATCACAATTAGCGACCGGGAGGATGGAAATGAGGACCGAGTGCAAATTCAAAGTCGAGCGACGGCGGAGGGTTGGAAGAAAGCACAGTAATAGAATCAGCAGATGGTCGAATCCCGGTCGTGCGCCAAACGTTGGTGTTAGCTATTATGGATACAGTGCGATTGGAGATGACTGTACCACTGAACTCGAGAGATCGATTGATAAACTGAATGGCAGCATCCTGGTTGCAAAACGACGTGCCAGGCTGATGGTAAAGCCAGCCCATTTGCTGTAGGACTTTGGCATGGTTGGGGTTCTCTTTCAAAACTCGCTCGTACGCATCGCGAGCCGGGAGGAACTTTGAGCGTCGGAGGGAGGCAGAGTCGTGGAAATAGGACAATGAGGGGGGGGGTGTCGTCAGTTAGTGCATTGTTCGGTGCGAGGTCGTCGCCTGACACATCGTGCGAGGAGCCACTTTTCCACGAGCATTTGAGCACAGGGCCGTACCTCTTTTTGCTGTTCGTACACAAGGCCGATCTGAAACCAAATATCCGTTTCGACGAGAGGCTTGGGGGGAGACGAGAGCACATAGCGGAAGCACTGTAAACCCAGAGCCACCGCCAGCAGTTCGCCATAGACAAGACGTTGAAGCGAAGCCGTTAGTCAAGAGGCCACCGGGCGACGATCGGCGAAGAGGACGCTGCACCTAACCCAGTGCTCGATCACGGCAAGTTGCGACAGCTGCTGACCTCCAGACTCTGGCTGTATTTTTGCTGCTGCTTGTAGATGATTCCGAGTCGGAAATAGATCTCGCTCGCCTTTTCGAATTTTGGATCCATCGAAATGACGGACGTGAAGGCTTCCTCGGCATATTCGTAGGATCCATATCGATCATAGAGAATACCGATGCCGTACCACAGCTGAGGGTCCTGTTGTGTGGTGGGAGGCAGGGCCCCGTGGGGGATTGACTTGTCAGACTCGTCGCGCACTCAGAGCCAGCTTCAAGCGCCGACACGATCCAAGACTCTGGCAACATTGGAAGCTGCTTTGCCTCCGAGGCAGATGTATCTCCGAGCCACCGATTTGACCAAGCCACGAGCCCACACGACCAACACAGCGACGACCGAACGATCGATCAGCTGACTGGGTGATCGGAAAGTCCACTCGCGGTAGCCATGCATCCATCACCACACTCACAACGCTATTCGCCATCCTTCAAACGAGCATCTTTGCCGCTTGTATCCAAGACGCAGCTCATAACAAATGCTACCTTTGGGTTCGGCAAGAAGTACAGGGCCCGCTGGTAGGAGTTGTAGGCCTTCTGGAGCTCGTCCAGCATCAGATGGCAGTGGGCCAACGAGCCCCAGTGTTCTCCGTTCTGCTGGTCAAAGTCTTTGAGATACTTGGAAAAGTAGTCAACGGCCTGACAGAGAGTCATGTTGGGATCAAGCACAAAGGGTCAGAAAGGCACACGTTCCGGGATCAGGAGAAGGCAGAGAGGATGCCCAAGCTCCGAGGTGCCCAAGGGATCGAGTGCCACGAGGAAGCATCCAGCGGACCCAACTCGGCCGCAGGACCACATCGAGTGCACTCGTTAGTCTGCCACCATGCGCCTTCAGTTGAGATGCGCGGTAATGATGCCGGCGTGCTGGCTCCTCGACTGGATGACTAATAGCCGCCCAGCCGGAGCATTTCGCCGACCGCCACCAGATCGTGCCGATGGTTCTCGTCGTCAGAGAGAATGCCACGGAGCCATGATCTGTTGGCTGGCTGGCTGCTGGGACAAGGACAGAAGCAGGGGAATCCAGGGCCAACGACATGCGGGCAGAGCGTTCTCTGGCTCGAAGATAGGCTGGCCCCAGGTCGAGGGGCGATCTGCCAGGATGGTGCGCCACGACCTACTTTGGTATAGTGCTCCCTGGATTTGCAGGCCACTGCGCAGCGGATGAGAGCGGTTGAGTTCTGTGGGTTGTATCGAAGGACGTTTTCAAAGGCAACGACGGCACGATCGATGTCATTTAGAGTCTCCGACAGCCGCCCTGGCGATGGAGGTTGGTAAGACAGGTCATGGGAAAGAGCGAGAGGGTGAGTCAAAAGCGGGGAGGAGGGGGCGAATACGGACCGGGGATAGTACTGAGGGAAGGAATAGGCTGACTGCGTCCGAGATAGTTCAGAAAGAGACACTGCAGAGCACATCGATGTCGCAGTGGAATTCTGGGTAGTGCGGCGATATCGATGGGTGCGGGATCGAGCGGCAGTGGAGCTCGACATTACAAAGAAGAGGGAAGGAAGATGGATGCTGCTGGGGGGGAATAGAAAAGAGCACGCCCAAGATCGAGCAAACGGATAGAGGCAAGCCAAGGGATGCCGATGGCGGCGGATGCTCGTCGGGGTTGGGTGCGTACCAATCTGGAACCACGTTTGCTCGTTCAGATGCGCCAGGTGCTGCGAGGGATTGCTCGCGGGAGGAGCAGGCATGGTGACGATGTCGGAAAGCGATGGGCTTGGAGTCCGGTTACCGGGGAGAGCAGCGAGGGAGAGATGGAGGGGAGGGAGGGCCAAGAAGGACGGGCCTGAGCGTCGGCAGGACAGCACAGATGGTGGTCAAAGGAAAGGGCAAGAGCGACTGCTCAGGAGAACGAGGGCGACGGAAGAGTGCGAGCGAGCGAAAAAGGGCCGGCGAGAGCGATGCCGGGGGGGGGAGAGGACAAGGCGTGTCCAAAAAACGCAAAAAGCGAGGAGAGAAGGGGCGGCGAGGGCACGGCGAGACGGGGGGCGAGGACGCGGAGACACTGTCGCCAGTGGGCACGGCGAGGGCACAGCGAGGGCGAGGGCGAGGGCGAGGGCGAGGGGCGGATTCGGTGAGCCGCTCGGCACCCGGCCCAGGCGAGCACTTTCGCACTTGTTGCCGGCCCCCCCAGCAAAGCCACAGCACGCCCCCCCCCGCCCGGCAGTCGCCCACGCTGCCCAGGCGGTGCCCGGATCGGCTCGGCGGGTGGCCCTGGGACCTTGCTCGGACCGACCCAGGCTACGGGCACGAGGGCTAGGGCTGCCCCCCGCCTCGCCCCCCGCCCTAACCCTCGTCCCGTGCCCTCGCCGCCCTTCTTCGCCGTGCCTTCTCTCGCGCCGACTTCCCGCTCTGGTTCGTCTCGGTGGTCCTGCTTATCCTGCTCGTCCATCTCGGGTCTCCCGATAGCATCTCCATCACGTCGTGTCGACTGGCCTCCCTCGCCTCGCTGCTCGGACCGTCAGTCTGCGCAGGATCTGCAGCCGCCTTCCTCGCACGCCTCTCCCTGATACAGCCCTTCACTCACGCATCCACACCCTCTGCTCGATCGGGGTTGTCTGTCTCACACGATCAACCTCCCGGATTCACGGCTGCCCAAGATGCATTCCAATCTGCAGATCACCAGCGACGATGTCAACTATCTCATCTACAGATACCTTCTGGAATCAGGCATGCATCGCTACTCTTCTCTCACTTGGTCACCTCCCGGAAACAACACCCCTCTCGCTGCTGCCAATCGACATTCTCCCCGATGCACACCCACCTGACCCATTAATGCCATCGTCTGCATCTGCACCCGCACCAAAACACCAATTCCCCTCCCCCAAAACCCCTCCAACGAACCGCGTCTTGGTCAATCCGCACGCCCAGGCTTTGTCCATTCCCGATTTGCCTTTGAGATCGAGTCGGCCATCCACAAGTCAGACATCAAGGGATCGGAGGTCAAGTCTGGTGCTCTGATCGAGATCCTCCAGAAGGGCATGCGCTACTGTGAGGTCGAGGCCCACACCAACCTCGATGGTACCGAGAAAAAGTGCATGGCCCCCTTCAATCTCCTGGGCGTGCACAAATGTGACCTCGCCGCCGACGACCTGGAGGAGCGGGACGAGCGCTCTGCCAAGCGCCAGAAGAAGCTCCAGTCCGACGACATCTCACAGTCGTCCAAGCGTGACCGCAAGGAGGAAAAGCGCATCCAGAAGCTGGAAAAGGAGAGAAAGTCCAAGAAGGAGCCCAGCTCCGCCTCACAGCCCGATTCGCACTCGCTGAAATCCTCGCAGTCAGTCGATCGCCTCCCGGATAAATCCGATGTGGATATGCTTGATGCCGCTGGCGGTCCGGATCAGCCCGACTCGCCAAAACACAGGCCCGCAAACCCGGAGCCGTCGTCCAAATCCGAAAACTCGGCTTCTCTCGACCGCGCCGCCGATACTGCCGATGAAACTGGCTCGGTAGGCGAATCAACATTCAAGACTGGCGCTGATGCCGATGCCTCGGAGACCGTCTCGAAGGCTGACGCTGGCGACACCGCCATGATCACCCTCGATGAGATCACCGTGCTCAAGGGCCACGCCTCTGAGGTGTTTGCGTGCTCCTGGAACCCTGTGGAGAAGCTGCTCGCTACGGGGTGAGTAGGGCGGCGACGTCGGCTACCTGCAAGACCGAATCGCGGGTGTGCTAACTTTGGATGCTCGGATGTGCTGACTTTGGATGCTTGGATTTACCGCCTTGGCTGATCGGATGTGCCGTTGGCTGATCGGATGTGCCGTCTTGGCTGACCCTGCTTGCCTGCTTGCCTGCTTGCCTGCTTGCCTGCTTGCCTGCTTGCCTGCTTGCCTGCTTGCCTGCTTGCCTGCTTGCCTGCTTGCCTGCTTGCCTGCTTGCCTGCTTGCCTGCTTGCCTGCTCCCAACCCGCGTCTGCCGCCCTCGCCCTCCAGCTCCGGCGACTCGACAGCCCGAATCTGGACCATTCCCGATTCACCCTCCAGCATCAACACCTGCATTACACTATTGCACGAGACCACCGTAGCCAGCGCCGATGGATCTGACAACAAAGACGTGACCGCTCTCGAGTGGAATGTACGCTGCTCTCTCCATTGATCTGGCCTCTGGCAAGTCGTTGGTCCCACCGGCCCAGAAGTGCAACCCCCCACTGATATCTTGTCTGCCGTTGTCCAAACACCGTTTCATAAACAGCCGGCCGGGACACATCTGGCCACGGGCACATACGACGGTCTAACAAGAATCTGGACCAAGGAAGGTGTACTCGTCCATACGATGCACCGACACAATGGCCCGGTTTTTGCTCTCAAGTGGAACAAGTCCGGCGACTTGCTGCTGAGCGGCAGCGTCGACAAGACAGCAGTCATCTCGGACGCCCGAACAGGCGAGCAGCGCCAGCAGTTCGAATTTCACTCGGGTAAGACAACTGACTGAACAGCCAGCATCGCAATGATCAATGGCCAGCAAAGCCTGCAGCCGTGCTCGAGAATACCGAGCACCAACACCATCCAGCATGTGGAATCACCATCCACCGACACCGACACCGATCCGTTGTCTGTGGCATGTCACCTGCTCCTGGCAAATCCAATCCCTGCTCCTGTCTCTGCCGTCTGCCTCTTGCCTGCCGACTGACCACCGTTATCCGACATCTGCTGTCTTTGCTGCTGGACCTCCAGCACCCACCCTCGATGTCGATTGGAAAGACGATACCACCTTTGCGACGTGCTCGAGTGATCAGCAGATCTTTGTATGCCAGCTCGGCTCTCTTGAACCCCTGAAGCAGTTCAGTGGCCACTCGGGCGAGGTCAACGCCGTCAAGTGGGATCCGATGGGACAGCATCTAGCCTCCTGCAGCGACGACTGCACAGCAAAGATCTGGAGTCTTGACTCGGATGTGGCCCTCGCGACACTGGAGGGGCACGACAAGGAAATCTATAGCATCACATGGTGTCCAGTTGTGACGGAAAAGCGGAAGCTCTTGGCCACGTATGTACTTCAGAGGGCGCTGGCCTTGAATATGCAAGAGCGCCCCCGTTGTGAGCCAGGCGAATGACGGGCCCCGCCTTCTTGTAGCTCACCTATTCACCCACTCGCCTCCTACCGCCCTCCCCTCCCTCCCTCCATACCGCAGGAGCTCATTTGACGCAACAGCTCGTGTATGGGATGCCATCTCAGGGACATGCGTCTTCCTCCTGGAACGGCACGTTGAGGCCATCTACTCAGTGTCGTTCAGCCCCGATGGCGAATATCTCGCCAGCGGATCATTCGATAACAACATGAACATCTGGTCGATGAAGGATGGCTCGCTTCTCAGAACCTTCACCGGCAACGGTGGAATCTTTGAGGTCAACTGGAATCCCCACGGCGACCAGCTGGCCGCATGCTTCTCGAACAACAACGTAAGTCGACAGAGACGGCATTTCTGTTTCTTGGTGTGGCGCTCCATGCACTGCAGCTCTGCCGATCCGATTGTCTCACCGCGGCTTCTTCTGGAAACGCCCCGGACCGATGCTGCTTCTTCAGGTCATCATCGCATACCTGCCCGACTGCCGAGACAAATCCAAAGACGCGCACAAGAAGAAAGCGATCGGGAATGCTGCGTGAGCTGCTCGATTTCCGACTTGCCATCGGCCCGCGAAACTCCCCATGGGCCAGTCAGGTTGCTCAGGCTTGCTGGAACGGCAGAATCGAGACCAACTTGCCTGGTCCGGTCTGGGAGCGCTTTCACTGCCTCCCCTCCCCACAACTCCATGTACATACACCTGGCCTTGCCACCGCTTGCCGCCGCTTGCGTCCATCTGCGTCCATCTGCGTCCATCTGCAGAATCTGCGAGGCTTTCCGGCAACCATCACGCTCGCGTGCGCACGAGCAATCCATGCGAATATACAACGACCCTTTTCTGGGACATACAGGATCAGCTGCACCCCGTTCTCTGTGGAGCTGGATGCAACCTTCACCATGGCCGTTGTGCTGCTTGATGGACAATTGTGGTTTCTCGCCCATCTCGTCAGATTGCCCGCCTGACTCCGTTGCTCGCCCCGGCCCAGTTGCGGTTCAGCTGTCTCTCACGCTTGTTCGATCGTCCAATCGATCGCCAATCAGCCCTCGGCGCCAATGCCTTCCCGCCATTTGCTGATGCTTGGACTATTGTCTGCCCGTGCCGCTGACGCTTGCCCAGGCCACCCGGTCTGCTCGAAAGGCGGATTGCGGGTTTGCTCGGCCAAAGGTTGGATTCCCGTCGAAGGGCATCTGCGACTTGTCCACTTCCAGAATCGAGCTGCCGGGGGGGCTTTCCCACAGCTTCCGTCCTCCTCCGTCTGAGAATTCAGTGCCGTCGACTCTATCGATACGCACGCCTCACTTTGAAGCAACCTCCTCTCGTTTGCGATCACTGCCCGGGGGCAATCTCCGCTGACGCTCCCTTTGACCAGCCATTGTCACATCCCCTGCCCCTTGCGTCGTCGCTGCGACCCCGGTCCCGACACACATATCCCGCACGGTGGGTCTCGAATCTGCATTTTGCCCGTGAGGATAGCTCGATCTCCCACCAGGCCGTCTCATCGGGCCGTCCCACCAAGTCCACTGCATCAAGGCATCTCTCGCCCCCCGCCTCCCTGAACGGCACTGCTGTCGGGCCCTCCGCTGCCTCGTTGGAAAGTTGGCAAAACTCTCATTCCCATTCCGCCGCCCCGCACGCCGCACCCAACCACCTCTCTTGTCTGTTGCTTCTCGGCGCCCGGCGTCGGCCACCGCTGTGCCGGCTTGAGACTCTGGATCGCTTGGCATCTGCGGCTCCAATTCGTCGGCCGTCTGCTTGCACATCCTATGCCCCTCGCCCCCTCATTTCGCTCGGTGATTCGTCTCGGTTCAACACACATCGTATTCGAGACAACTCGTAGACTCACACTCACCTGCATCCTGATCGCTCCCGTCTCTCTCTGGCTTCAGAACGCTGGCCCTGCAAACTCATTGTCAATCGAGCCCTTGCAGAGGAATCGCCCCTCCCTCAAGCTCACATTTGCTTTCCAATCGGCAAGCCTTCCCTCCAGCAAGATCGTGAGTCCACCCTCTGAATCACAGCATCTGCCATTGTGCTCAACGCATCACCTCCAGCCTTTGCCAAGCAGCCTTCTTTGCCCCCCATGAGTGACTCCAACGACGCCAGCGAAATATCAAACCTCGGAGCCGATGTCGACAAGGAGGTTCTCGATGAGGAGCCGCGCTCCATCCTGCTGGGGCTCATCTCTCAGCTCCGGAAAGACATGGATCTACACCGGGTGACGCTGCCGACCTTTGTCCTGGAGCCCAGAAGCATGTGCGAACGAATCACTGATTTTATGAGCCATCCACAGCTGATCTTGGGGTAAGAAGGCCACAACCAGCGTACAGGAGAATCGCAGAGACACAAGCGGGAGAGGCGGATCCAATCGAGACGGGTGTCTGTGTCGATAGCGTTAGCCACGGCCATCGCACCTGCTGCTGCCGGGCAGTGCCGCCTCGTCGTTCCAGGCTCGTTTTGAGTTCGTTGTGGTCGATCCTTGGCTGCTCATGTGTCCCTGGTCCGTCGCGATCGTCGCAGCGGCCAGATCTGCTTGAGGGGATCCGGCGATTGATCTGCAGGGCAGCAAAAGCACACAGGCAGCCGGGTCGATCAGCACCGATTATGAGCGCTGGCCGCCATTCGTATTGACCGCTATCCACGAATATCGCAACCTCCAGAACGTCCAAGAAAGACGATCCGATGGAGCGCTTCATCGATGTCGTGCGATACTATCTCTCCGGCTGGCATATCAAGCCCAAGGTTGTGGTGGGACGGATGGGATAGGATGGGATGGGATGGTGGTGATGAGATGCCATTGGATGGAGCAGGATTCATGTGATGGAACGGAGTGGGGCTGGTCCGGTCAATCCTGGATCTCGACGATCTGCCTTGATCGGCGCATCAGAGAGCATCTCGCCGCCCGCAATTGCAACCCAGACAGCGACTCGTTCTTGTCGCTTTATGATGCTCCAAGTCGTTCGTCGCTCAGCCACACTCACACATGCCCTTGCGTTCTGCAGGGAGTCAAGAAACCGTATAACCCTGTTCTCGGCGAGTTCTTCCGATGCCGATACAAGCTCGAGGACCAGACCGAAGCCATCTACGTCTGCGAACAAGTCTCGCACCACCCGCCCATCAGTGCATACTTTTACGCCTCGCCCGACAACAACCTGGTGATCGAGGGGGATCTCCGTCCCAAATCGCGGTTTCTGGGGAACTCGGCTGCCACGATCATGGGGGGCGGAAGCCGGATTCGGTTCCTGAACCGCCCCGGCGAAGAATACCACATCTCCCTGCCCAACATGTATGTCCGCGGCATCTTGTTCGGCACGATGTATCTTGAACTCGGCGACGAAGTGACCATCCAGTGTCCGGAGCTTGATCTGACGTGTGAACTCGAGTTCAAGACAAAGGTTGGTCCCGGATACATGCCTCTTGCTCGACTTTTCGCCACCCGCACACTCGGCGCTCTCTTGCTAACCGGCGGATCGCTTTCCGATGGCCGTGACCCGCTTGCCGCGGATCCATCGACCGCTCCATCCATCCATCGGTCCAATCTCGGCGATGCGGCTCAGGGATTCTTCTCGGGAACCTACAATGGCATCGCAGGCAAAATCAAGCGAGAATCGTCTGGCGACATACTCTACAAGATCAGCGGCAAGTGGTCCGAGGTCATCTTCATCAGCGCCGTCGGCAAGAAGGGCTGCCAGGCCGAACAGGTCCTCTTTGACGTATCCAAGGAAAAGTGCTCCGCCAAGATCGTCCAGCCAGAGTGCGAGCAGGAAGAATTCGAAAGTCGCCGACTCTGGAGCAGAGTCACCAAGGCCATCGGCGCTCGGAACATGGACGATGCTACCGACGAGAAGACAGCAATCGAGGACAACCAGCGGCGAGCCGGCAAGGAGAGGACCGTTGAGGAGATACACTGGCAAACTCGGTTCTTTGAGCCAAGTGGCCCGAACTGGAAGCTGAGACTGGGCGACAGGTGAGGCTCCTACCACTTGTGCTGATTGCATCATTCCATGTGTGCTAATCTGCCTCCCTCCTCCTCATGGTGTCGCATTACCTATTCCGATGTACCGCCCGGTGATCACAGTATATACAACGATCCCGCGGCTGCCAAGAAGGCCCTTGCCGACTTTATATACTCGCCCGCACAGCTCCCACAGCACCAAAAGTTCTGGCTGGACGAGTCAGCCGGCAGCCCTACGAAACAACGGGCCGACTAGTGCCCACAAACCGCGCGCCAAAGTGAACACCCAGCCAGCCGGCCAAGGGCGCCGAGTCTCCAACATAGGCTCTTGGTCTGGTGCATTACAGCAGCGGAAGGCATATGGACAGTACCGCTCACCAATATGATCAGCATTAGGGGCTGGTATTGCACAGACAGCATCACATCGCATCGTTCCCACCACACTTTCAGATTGCGTAGAGATATAGATCCTGAAAGAATGAAAGAAACAAATGCAATACTCACAGAATCGAACGGAAGACCCTGTATTTATGGCCAGGGGCCGCTACTTTTTGGGTCCTGAATACACACGTCTGTCTATCATTCGCGATGCGCCAGGTCGCCCAGAGCGACAGACAACCAGAACGATATGCCACACGCACGCCTCCAGCATAAGGCGGCATCTCATCATTCCAAAGAATATCCCAACACCGTCGAACCCGCTTTGACATCAACAGGCTCGGTGGCCGTGGCCATCTACTTTTCAAGTGCATGATCGATGCCTGTGTATTTACACGCCAGCTACAAGGGCCGACAGAATGATTCCGGCAGCAACCGAGACGTTCAACGAGTCTACCGACAGCCGCTCCTCGCCAGCGTTTGTTGCGGCCTGAGCATGCTCGCTCGGCTCGGTGCCGCCTCCGATGACAATGTGCTGGTGGCAGAGCCTCGACACACTGGACTTGAGTCCGGTGCCCTCGTTGCCCATGACGAGGATGGTCGGGCCTTCAACAAGTGGCTTGCGGGGCACACTTCCGCCGGGGGCCGGGTAGAGACTCACTCGCTGATCCAGCGGCGCGCGGATATCGGTACCGTAGATATGCCAGCCCTCGATGGCCGAGCTCTGGACAAGGAGGGCACCAAAAGGTGAATATCGATCGGCTCGGCAGTCTGGATGTGGTCGGGCTACTGCAGCCATGTACCCATGATACCCGTCCTTCACACTGTTGGATGCCGGTATATCCGCCACCTACCTCGAGGAGCTTTGGGATCGACGGAGCAACGAACAGATCCATAACTTCCAGCGCGCCCGAGGAGGCTTTCGAAACGACTGGGCTCAGCGGGGCACTGCCGGATGGATACTGTCAGCGCAACGATTTACAAAGCCAACGGCCGACAGCACTGCAGTTGGTCACCAGCGTCGGGGGGGGGCGGGAGGCATACCTCTCCTTGCTTGAGATGATTACACCATCGAGATTGAAGAAATGAGCAGTTCGCAGTATGGCGCCAAGGTTCTGTTGGTGGAGTGCTGGGATTAGGAACGCCCGATCGGCGGGCTGGAGGCACTATTGTCTCATCAAGGACCGGGAGCAGAGGCTTCACCTGCGGATCCATGATAGAGTCGAGAACTAATGCCATAAATGAGGAAGAGTTTTTTATTAGTGCGGTGACTTGGCTATGAGGCACTCGCGGCGATGACTCAGTGCTCGCTGCTTGCGGTTGTCCATCGAGCGCCAGGACTCACCGAGCCAGATGGGAAAGCGATGGTTGGAAATCATCTCGATGGATTCTTTTGCCGATGTTTGCACAGGATACCTTGGCGTGTGTATGCATGGAATGGTCATATCAGGTTGATTGCATGTCCGGGGCGGGCAGAGGATGCTTCTGCGGCGCTGAGTGAATATGTATGTGCAGTCGCGATGGCTCTCGCGAAAGCCGCTTGTTGCTACCTGCTGGTCTCCGAGTCGAATGTTCCGAGCGATCGACAAATCTCGACTTCCAGAGGCATGGCTTCCATCACAAGGCCCTGCATTTGAAACGCCGTTGGTTAGCGATTTTCGTGCGAGCTGGCACTCAAACACAGTGCATGCCCGCAGGATGAAGTTCCCCGCCTGCAAATGCCAACAAGCACCTGGTTTGGTCGCTTTTCGCTCAAAACATCCAGCCGAGACTGCGATATTTCGCGGATCGGGATATTCTTCTTGCGGGCCTCGGATTTGGCAAACTGGATGAGCTTGCTTTATGGATTGCGGGCAGACCAAGTCAGTTCGGGGTGCTGGTTGAATCACATCCTTCATAGTGATATCATGTCCCCGCACCGCGGTGGCTCGTTTGTCTTGGTTTAATTTCATCGAGAGCGCATCCAACGGGTGCAGAGGGCATCTGTGCAAGCTCGACACCAGCTCGAACTATTGCCGGATCTGGCGATTGCGAATCTGGCGATTGCGAATCGTCCGCACCTTGCCTCGACTTGGGACAGCAGATCTTCTCGAATGTACATATGGTTGAGCTTCTTCCTGGACATTGGCGTCTCGATATCGAGCTGTTCATACAAGCCGCCCTGGATACGCACAAACAGCCGCAGGATCTTGCGTCTCTGTTGGTCCAAGGCCGGCAGCACCGAGGCAGCACCATAGAGCAGCTCGACTTTGCTTGGGGAGTGTCGGCTGGTGGAATAGAGCTGAGCGGAGAGACGTGGGCCTGCGGGGAAATACACCTGCACGGCCCGAGAACAGACCTGCTTGAGCCCTTGCTTGCCGAGCATATTCATCGATGGCAATCGTCAGCGCAAGCGGCGATGGAGAGAGATGGTGGTGTGGGTGCTTGGAACGCTCGACAACGCCCAATGGCAACCAAGATCACTTGACCACGTGGACATCCCACGTGTGGCTGCGCATCTGAGTTTGCCAACCGCCCAAGACGGCGCTCGCTTGGCAGAGACCATGGGTTCGGCCAGGGACAGGCTCCGGTGTCTGGGCAGTGCGCTGGCTCAGGGCAGGGCGAGGGCAGGCACGCGGGGGATGCGAATGCTGGGCCAGGTTGAGGTGTGGGGCGGCCGGGCGTGTCGGCGATGGTCTGGGTCGCTTGGAGCCTTGCCGATCCGCGCGACAAGCCAGTTTTTTTTCTCTTGCAGGCCCAGATTTCCGATCGCTGTCTGGTCCCAACGTATTCGCAAGCCCATGTTCACCCGCCGATCCACAGCATTGGACTCGGTCTTGGACTCGGATGGGCATACCACCGATGCCGGCTCCCGCAACCGCGCCAAGAGAGCCTCCCTCCAAGGCGCCTACTCAGGACAGGGCCTGCGTGCTGGGCATGTGCAGAACATGCTGCTTTTGCTCCAAGACCGACTGCTCGAGCATCGATACGAAGAAGCCTCCAGCATCGCCGTTGCCCTGTCCCAGACCGCCAAGACAGCCGATATTGCGGCTCAAAAGCTGGACGTCGTGGAAGTGGTCTGGAAGGCTGCGCTCGCCATCCTGTCGTCCAGGATTATGGGGCGGCAGATATGGATCGAGCATATGGACAAGCCCTTGGATGAGATGCTCTACAACGAAGGCCCAATGGCATCGCAGCAAGGTATCACCGATGACCAGCACGGGGAACCGATGCATGTGCGCAAGCGGGAAACCTTCCAGATCGCACGATCCATACTGCGACTTCTCAAGCAGCTCTTGCAGAATATCTACAATCCGGTGAGTGGTGATAGGGCGGCGTCGCTCTCCGTTGGGGGTTGTCCGGTGCCTTGCATCGAATCCGCGCAGGTGGAGGGCGATGCATCTGGATCGGCTGGTTGGGCTCAAGCGCAATGCAGGACTTTCCATATCCGTGGCTCATGCTCTGTACCTTCGCCCAGCCTTCTCAACTGATTGTCGAGTATCTGCTTCAACACATTCGCTTTGGGATCTTGGACGAGGCAATCGAAACCCTAGAGCGGTACATCACTCGATATCCTTACCGCGACGACGCACTGCTGCTGGGATATGCGGGTATCCTCCTCTATATCAAGATACGGACCCGATACGATGTTGCTCAGAAGGGTAGGCTCCGCAAATAACCTGGCTGGGATCTTGTGCGCCTCGCATCCAGCACGGCACAGAGCGATGCAACTTTCCATGGACCACTCGCAAACCCGTTTGTCGTCCCGCCTTGCTCTGGCCAGATATTATCCACACGTCCGAGTTTCGCCAAGCCCTGATGCACTTTGAGGCATCGTTCAAGATCGATTTCAGCCAAGAAATGTTCCTGTACTATTACCTGAAGGTGCGTTACCGCATGTACGTCCACTTTCCTCCGTTCCACGACCTATGTCGATGGCCGAGACAAAGACGCACTCTGGTGCACATTGCGCTGAGCTATGGCCCCTGCTTTCATCGATTCCAGCTACTCTTCATGAGTGATCTCGCCAAAGCCCAGCGCGCTGCCGAGAAGTTCGTGAGGCAGAACCCCAAGAATATCTTTGCGCTGCGCTATCTTCTCGAGATCCACCGAGCGCAGAATGCCGAACCTGCCGAGTGGCTGCAGATAGCAGAAACCATTTTGCTGCTCGACCCCGTCGCCCCGATTCAACAGACGCTCAAGCCTATCATCGAGCACTACGAGTCCGTCATGGCCCCTGACGAGAGTGGCGAGGTGCTCATGGACGACGGAGGCGTAGTGCGGTGCTCCGAATTGATTGTATCGTTTCTGGGCAACCGCCTCGACTACGGGAGCGTTGAAGAGAGCCGCGATGGTGTATCGGACCTGTGGCTTTGGGGGAAGCTTCTGCGATTCGTGATGCTCCTCAGGTAAGCTTGGCGCGAGGCATACGAGTGCCAAAAGGTCTGCTGCCGCTCAATGCCGTTCATGCAATCGATGCCCGTCGCTGAGCACAAGACTGGTGGCTGTTGTCACAGCTACTCAAGATGCTCGTTCTGTCACTCCAACCTCCTCAGGCACATCGACCCACAGTATCGATTTGGCGAAGCCTGGCAAGAACGGGGATCGTGGTGGCTCGATGTCTATTACCCCGTACCATCGGAGGGCCAGCAACCCACCGAGGTAGAAGAAGGTATTGAGTAGCTCCCCTCAGCAAACGGCAACGATATCGGCGGAGAATATTGGCGCCGTCAGGACAGTGTGCGATGTAAGAAGGCCATTGTTGCCGTCAACCGGGGGCAGGGCTTGACCCAGCAGCCACTGGCATCCATCCTTGCACTGATTTCTGATGAATGCCACTGTGGGCTTGTAGTCTGCTTGGTCATCAAGGCAATGGTCGCAAAGACTCTGTTTCCAACGCAGTATCCGAAAATCCGGTATCTTGAACGTCATGGCATCGACTCCAGCTACACACTGAGTCCATCGACACTGGATCTACTGAGCTCATATGAAGTTTTGCTACACGAGCTACTGGGTATCGACGACAAAGAGGACGGTCAAGTAGAGCGCAGCGATCGCGGATACCCGGGAGAGAGCGACATGGGTCTGGACGGGGACATGCGCGATCTCGAATCAAGAGAGAATGATTACGACGAAGTGGCGCTATGGAAGCAGCGCTTGGACGGCCGCTGGGGCGTCGTCATTCCCGACTCTGAAGATCAAGGCCACGACCAGAGCGACGAAGCAGAGTCCGAGCAGACCGTGCGGGCCATGGTCGATTATGCCCTCGACTCGTGGTCGCGATGGTACACCTCAGGCACTGTCTGAGACTGCGGTGTCGCTTGTGTAAAATGCGCGTGAGCACTTCAGAGCAAAGTGAGTGAAATAGTGTCTCTGCCGTGATCGAGACCTTCGATATACATGCCGTGCCCCCGCCATCATGCGGCGAGAGGCCAGTGCGATGCTCTATTCAAAATAGAATCCATGCCACTGCTTGGCGCCACTCCATGCGCACGAGAGCCGAAGCGAGTTCGCACAGCCCCATCCCAAGCAGGCAGAGGACGTGGGCTTTGCTGTCGACCTAGGTGTGTCTCGATTGGTCCCTCTTGGGCAGCAATTGATCCAAGTACTTTGTCGCCTCGCTGATCTGAAAGCGGCATCCCGCAATCGGTAGACAGTGCCGTTGACATCCCAGAGTTTCCCAATACTGGTTAGTGACAGCCGATCGCTGGGTGGATCATGGAGTGGATCATGGAGCGTTGCAGTCTGGCGAGCAGGATAAAACCCACCTTCTGGTCGATGTTTGTGACAAGTGGCCGTGCCGAAACAGTGGCTTCGGGGTGGTACTGATGATGTACGGCACGAGCAGTTGAATCGGTGCCAGCGGTCACCCACGGGCAATATCGTCTGAGAAAGGGATGCCGCAGTGAGCTATTCTGCTGTGTGACTGGAATGACTCCTTGAAAACCGTCGTCTGTCCACGCATTGGAAAGCTGCTTACCGATGCTCGGCAACGACATCAAGTAGCCGAGTATCATCGTCTGGCACGGCTCCGGCCGTTGGAGTGCCCTCCAGGTCTTGGTTCTCCCGAGATGCCGTGGCCCGGGCGAAATTCCACAGACCCACAACCCTATGGCAGAGATGGCATTTGGCTGTCGTGCGGCCGGGTGCTCCACGATGACACTCCCATCCGGCCAGCGAGAGCATCACAATCGACTGTAGGGCCGGCGGGGAAACAGGCCGAGACGAAAGAGACAGATCGTCCGACACATGCTTCAGAATCTCTTTGAGATGGGGGAGGATCTGAGGAGGATAACAGCAAGGTTAGCGACGCATGGCGATAGGGATCATTGCGACTGGGCAGCCCCCATCGGAGAACCGCAGGATGAACGTTATGAATGGCACCAAGGGTCCGATCTTGCACCTTGGATGAGCTGACACTGGGTATATCGTCACGGCAGTCCAGAAACGAGTCCATACGGCTGCGGAAGGCCTTTTCCGCGTAGTCGTTGGATACGATCGGGAACTTGTACGCGGTTTCTGGTGCAGGATGATGGAGAAAGGCATGAGCGATGGGCTGGGCGATCGCAACGACCATTCGACGCCCATCAGGTGCTCCTGCTCCATACCCGGGGTTGTGAAGGATCTCCATGGACACCGCTCGTTATGGGCTGTTTGCAATCGGGCCCGAAACTCGGCAGCGTCTGCGTGGGTGGTTCGCCAGGTCCGTTGGGTCAGGGCCGACACCGGAGTCGGAGCCGGAGTCGGAGCCGGAGCCGGAGCCGGAGAAAGATGAGAGTAAGCACAGTGCTTTTGCACCAAAGCCTCGACAACGGCGCTCATGACAGCCTGCGCTCACCTGAATCGTGCGCTTCGGCTCCCTGGAGATGGCAGCTGAGGATCGTATGGCAGGACGAGCAACGAAGCGTATTGAGGGCGTATCCGCACCAACCGTGGTGGGCGCATACTGCGGCAGACAGCGTATCCGGTTTGCCGAACCAGAACGACTCTTTGAAAGTCGAGATCCGGTCGAGCAGATCGGTGTCGCCGAGTCGGATGCGGTAAGAGTGTGGTGGCTGCTGCTGCGATGCTGTCCCATCGGCATGGGCATGGCGCTTGACTTGAAACACGGAGAGCACATCGTCGAGCTTGCGCTTGGTCAGGCTCGCAGTTGAGGGCAGCGATGGCGGTGGTGCAGTCATTGTGCCGAGCAAGAGGGTATCAGGACGATGGATTGGAGGGGGAGGAGGAAGCCGTCGATCAGTGGTTGTGGTTGTGGTTGTGGTTGTGGTTGTGGTTGTGGTAGGGCAACCAGTCGGCCAAAGTGCACGCGGAGGACGTTTCGATCGGTGCTGGGCGAGTTGATGGATGTCGATCGGTGCTGGGCGAGTGATGGATGTCGATCGGTGCCGGTCGGAATCTGATGAATGTCGGTGGATGTTGATGGATCCTGGTCGGTGTTGGCCCTTGCCCCCGCCGCCACGTGACGCGCCAGGCATTTTTGCTTTTCGGGGCGGTCTTCGGGCTTGCCCCTGTTCTGCATCCAGCCTCGGCCCGCACGCTGACCCGCATCCTGCGATGGACGACTCGACCCTGCAAGCCATAGAGAGGGGTACCTACGCCGGCAGCCAGATCCAGAGCCGATGCATTCTGCCGTGTGGCCCTGCAGGCACCACGCCGCACCGCCAGCCGTGCTAACCGTCAGCCTGCCTCTTCTCCCGCCCTCGCTCTCGGCCGTCGTCCTGGGCCAGCCTGTGGCCTTCTCTATGCGACCCAGTCCCCGGATGATCGGTTCCAGGCCGAATCCACCCTTGCCTACCACTTCCCCACCTTCGCCGACTACACCTTCACCACCGTCCCCAACGCATCCCCGACCACGCCGACGTCGCCTGCCGATGTCGTCGTCCGTTGCCAGATCCTGCTGGAGCGCTCGTCCTTCCCGTACGCGCAGCTCTTTGCTGCCAACCACCTCAAATCTCTTATCCTCTCCCAGTTTACCTATTTTTCGAATGCACAAAAGCTAGAGCTGAGTATGTGTCCAGCGGCGGCCCAGATGGGGTTGAGATTCGCTTGTCCGGCCACAAAGCCGAGCGTGGCTATCGGCAAGATACACTCCCGGCTGTCTCCCAGGGCTGTCTGAGCAGCTGAACGGATGATGGTGTCCGTCGTTCTGGATACAGCTTGATTTGCGCATATGGGGCCTCCAGGTCCTCTGACAGATGCCGTTGTGCCGCTCTTCTGCAGACAGCTTTGTGCTCAACTACCTCAGCCGACGGAGTGGATTGGAAAATATCATCTCGACCCAGCTCATCCAGCTGTACTCGATCGTCTGCAAGATGGGGTGGTTCGACTCGGATGACTTTCAGAATGTGATGAACGACGTCTCTCCTTTCCTTCAGGTAAGCCACCCGATCATCCGGCCTGCTTCCAGGACCGGCAGCACCGTCAATACCCTTTCCAGGTGCTGACCCTCTCGCCAGTCCACGGTGGAGCACCAGATCATCGGCGTCCAGATCCTCGGAAACCTCGTCCAGGAAATGAATTCGTCTTCGAACAGCACAAAAAACTTGTCAAAGCACCGCAAAACCGGTACGGCTGCCTCCCGACATCAATGCGTCATGCTTATCGGCGGTGGGAACGGACTGGCCAGCTTCCTCGTTGACCACTGACGCTGGCTTCTGTGGCCCTGCTGCATACGCAGCTGTGAATTTCAGAGACAATCAACTACTACCGATCTTTAAGATCTCCATCACAATGTTGAGTCAGCTTTTGATGACTCAGCCCTCCTCCCCAAAAGGTAGCTGTGCTATGTGATCCTGTTTCTCGCTCTGTTTGATCAGCACATCGTCGACCTGGACTGCAGTGGTACGATCATTCAGTGTTGGTATCCATCGCTGTCTTCAGATCAGGTCGGACAGCTCAAGCTTCGGGAAGCCACCCTTGTGCTGATGAAGAGCTGCTTGACATTTGATTTCATCGGTAAGTCCAGCGCTGCTCTCGTCAGACGAAAGCACGCTCGATACCTTGTGCGCCAGGAAGAGGCATCCCATCACCTCCGTTAACATTGCATTTAACGTCGACACAGGAACCAATCCCGATGAGTCGTCCGAAGACGTGGGAAGCAATCAGGTCGGTGGCGCAAGTCAGCTCGACCGAGCTGCGGCCCCCATACGCCGTCATCATGTGCAGCTCACATCGTGAGAACCGCTGTCTGCGGTCGATTGACGCATCTCGTAACGACCCGCGAAAACCCTCGTCCACCAGATTCCCAACGCCTGGAAAGGAACCATTTCGGATCCCAGCTTCCTACAGTCGCTGTTCGGGGCCTACAAATCGTTCCCGCCACCACTTTCCAGCCAGGTGAGGCAGTCATTCGAGCCGCTTGACTCACAGCGCGTGTTTATCGAGCCTGCCAATCGGAAGAGCAGGGGCATATCCACTGTGCTAGCTCTGAGCCAGGTACATGCACTGACAAACCAGCATTCCTGCGATCGTGAAGGTCATGGAGTGTTTGGCGATCGTCATGTCCACACGTCGCTCACTCTTCAGCGATGACGAAAAAGCCAACTTCCTGACCTGGTCCATGCAAGTCACGCACGACATTCTGCACTACTTTATCAAGCTGAACGATCCCGGAAACTACCATGGTACCGAGCCGGCTTGGTCTCGAGTGTGGCCCTGCGAACAATAATACTAACGTGCATCCTCTGGTTGCAGAGTTTTGTCGGCTGCTTGTGCGGCTCAAGACGGTCAACCAGCTCGGCGAAATCATTGAAAAGCCCAACTACAATGAGTGGATCGACAAAATTGCCAGCTTTACCATCAAAAGCTTCCACAGCATGACGGTGTGTTCCTTTGTCGGACAGATATGCCCGGGTTATGCTCTGGCAGTCTCAACTGTCACTCCAGTGGGCGTTGTTCTTGATGGATCTGAAAGCGACCAGATCGAGCTCATATTGGATCGGTTCGGTTTTAGTCTGAAAACTGCCAGAGCATCCAGTATCTCCTGACCTTCTGGTCCAAGATGGCTGGATCGGTCACTACGACAAGCCGCGCCAAGCTCGCTCAGTATGAACGCCTTGAGCAGATCGCTTCACAGCTCGTTCAGGCCTTTATCAACTCACGAATGAGCGACTTAGACGCCAACAACGACGAGGACGAAGGTTCGCCCCGCTGGGAGTGATCATTGCTTCGTCATCCGACCAACGCCAGCTGACCGGCCACACTCTGTCCATGGCTTACCATGTCTTTGGCTCAATAGTCTTCGATGCCGATGGGTCGCTTCTGAATACTCTCGAGTCCCTCGCAGTGATTGTGCGGCTGAAATACGACTCCATCAGTGCATATATCAAATCGGTCTTTGACTCGCTTGCGGGCCAATACGAGGTACGTTTGCATTCGAGCCGAGCATAATTTGCTCCGGTCAGTGTCGCTGACCTTGATGGCTCTCGTCAATAGGACATACTGAAGCGGCCCGCTGAGGCCTCAGCCCCCGCTCGACTCTTGATTGAAGGTGCAGTGGATTCTCACCGCTGCTTGCCATGGTCAGATTTGGCGATGCGCTTGACTTCTTACAAACCATTCCCTGATTACGGCGCAAAGCCAAGTTTACGTGGTGTGTCTACCTGATCGGTGCCAGTGTCGGCGAGAGGTAGGTTCGGCTCTGTTGCCGCGCTGCATGTTGATATGTCAAGTGTGCTTACGAAGGAGCGACCACCATTTTCTGGTTATGCAGAACGCCATATCAAACTACAGACGAGCAAGATGTCATTGACGGTGGTACGTAATGCTCACCATCCACATGTTCAACAGCGACGGCTTCATCGTGTCGGGCTTGCTGACTCATCGATTTTCCTCTCAGATCTCACAAGCAAGGTCCTTCAGGTAGGAGAGCCTCCACCCGCGTCACCTTGGCTCCCGAGACCAGTTCGGCCACTCACCACAACCAACCGCTGGATTTATCTTAGCTATTGAACGTCAATCATACGTTCATTATGCAGGTATGAGCGCGCTCCATCCGATGCGCTGTCTTTGATGGCGCTGATAGCTGTTTCCATACCCCCAATACACACCCCATCGCACATCCTAACGCACATTCGACACACCCTCTGTCTCCAATAGAACGGCCAGTCCTATGCAAATGAAAAGTTGATCATCGCCTTCCTGTTCTTTTTCCAACAATTCCGCAAAAGCTACATTGGTTAGTTTGCTGGTTTGCCTGACCATGAACGGGTGCATAAATGACTAACAACCGGACATGCTCGCGTTCCAGGCGATCAAGCGTCGCGGGCAACCAAGGTACGCAGCTTTCTTGGCCTCCACGCTCACAAGCCCCGCCTGTCGCGAGGTACAGACCCAGGCTCCATCGATGGTCGATGGCTACTTATGCTTTTCCGTGCCCGAAACAGGTCTATGTGGCTTTGTCTGAAGTTTTGGGCATCAACGACCAGTATATGGTCCTGAACATCATTGTGCAGACACTGTGAGTCCGTTCCCTTGTCTTGCTCAAGTCGTCGCGGAGGATATCACAACCCGGAACGTTGATCCTAACTCGCAGTCCGTCCATAGCGGCAATAACCTCAAGTATTGCTGGTCGAACGAAACCATTATATCACAGTCGCTGCAGCTTTTCAACGACTTGGTTACGGGGTGAGCTTCCTATGCGAACGATATGTTCAACAACACTGGTCCGACAGCAGCGCTTGTTCGACTGATCGACATATGATCCTTCTAACATGTGTGTTCCGGTGTTGGGTAGCTATATGTCGGTGAAGCAGATGCGTCGATCGGAGATGGCCCAGTTCATCTTGAATCACCACACGTCCGAGTACTTTCCATTCCTGGATGTTCAGAGTAACTTCAAGCACCGGGCTTTGGTAAGCAGCAGGGCGACACAGCAGCTGCATCTAAGCTGTTGCAGGCGCGCGACAGCACAACCCAGTCGCCATCTCTCGCGTAGCTCTGATCCGACTCGTTGCAAATACGCGCGACCTCTAGTACTACACCGCACTCTGCAAGCTCCTCAACGGAGGCGAAGAGCAATCCGACTTGGAGTTTTTGAACTTTATGCGACCATTCACGCTGAAGCTGGAGGAGCTCTGTCAGATCACCGACATCCAGACGCTCCGGCAGCCAAACGTTGGGGTAAGCATGGCAAGAGAGGGCAGTCATAGCCACGTGTGCACTCGCAGGCCGGTTTTGTGATCGACCCAAGGACAGACGAGCCCTGATCCCTGCTCGCTGACCACTGACCGTTGGCCACTGATCTATACGATTCTATCCAGGCTGCACTCGAAGGCATCTTCCGGGACTTGCGGTGTGTAATAGTTGCGCCAGCGCTCCCGACACTTTGGCTTTGCACAAATGGGTGGATGTGTGTGCTGTTTGCTGCTTAAGCTGACCTTGGCTTTCTCTGATTGACACCTTGGCCGCTTGCGAACAGAGGATTCCTGGCTGCTTCCTTGGTCAAAAAACAATATGCGCTGTTCTTCGAGTGGTTATATCCTTTCATAAGTCGTCCCGAAACCGGATCGCACCAGCCATATCTAACGTTGTTTCCTTGACCCTGAGCGCTCCGCGACTATGATTTCTTTCTTTCTCTCTCTCTCTCTCTCTCTCTCTCTCTCTCTCTCTCTCTCTCTCTCTCTCTCTCTCTCTCTCTCTCTCTCTCTCTCTCTCTCTCTCTCTCTCTCGGCCTATCTGCTTGCGTTTGGGGATTACCCTGCCGTATATTGGCATTGTTGGCATGGGACTCAAAGCCCATTTCAACAACCGCGTTGGAAATGCACTACTAAAGTTTGTCAACGAGCTTGTTCAAAACCGCGCGCAGGTATGATTTCTGTGCGTGCCTTTGCTTTGCGTTGGCTCATGATCAAGGACACAATCACCGAGTATCGGCAGGCAAACTAACTTTACGACTTGCAGCGGCTGAACTTTGATATCACCTCGGCAGACGGGTGAGTGTTTCCTTTAGCGTTGCCCGAGCCTGATAATGCTCCGAATGTGAGCACAATGACGGCCGATCACTCATTTACTTTGTCTCCCGGCCTGGTCCTCAATCCCAGCATCCTCTTGTTCCGCGAGACAAGCAAGATCTTGCATGTTTACTGTGAGTCAAAGTGGACTTTTTTGTGTGCAGTAATGCTGGAGGATCAGTCCGCATCCTGCCACTAATAGGACTGGACAATACCTCATCCCATCGCAGCTCAGCTTTTGAAGAACGCCCCCGCTGTCTCTGGAAACCAGCTGTGGTCTGATCGATACAAGGGCATCACAACCTGCCTGTGAGTCTCTGTATCGCTTGTATCGCTTGTATCGCTTGTATCGCTTGTATCGCTTGTGTCGCTTGTGTCGCTTGTATCGCTTGTATCGTTGCCGATACCCTGTCTGGCTTTACAAGCCCAATGGAGTCGCTGATGTATTGGTTGGTCTTCCAGGAACATCCTGCGGTGGTCGCTCGCGGGGCAATACGTCAACTTTGGTGTATTTGCACTCTACAACGACCAAGCACTCGTTGTGGCCCTCAATGTAGTCTCTGAGATGGTGCTGCAGATCCCCATGAAGGATATCATGGTGAGTCGCCGTGCTCCGCCTGCGCGCCTGTGCTTGAATCCGCGCTGTTCTACGGTCTTGGCTGACGACTTTGCCCTGATTGCGTGGGCCTGCAGGCATACAGCAAGCTGTGTTCGGTGAGTGGCTCGACTCTAGACTAGGGTCCCTCTGAACATGCCATCTGTGTCGTGTCGTTGAGACCGCAATGACTTCCGGAGACCATTCGATCCACCGGCCCATCGCGCTTCGCTATCGAAAGCCGGGTGCTAACCGATCTTGGTCAAACTCAGGCCTACTTCAGCTTCATCGACGTCTTCAGCTCCAAGCAAATGATGGAGATATCCGATCTCGACCCCAACTTTCTGCTCTATATCCTGCGGTCGTGCGGAGAGGGTCTCCGATCGGTTGAAACGCTGATTTCGACGCTGTCATGCAACACAATCGACTATATTGTAACGTTCCTATTCAAGCAGAGCCAACTCGAGAAGCGCCGGGTTCATTACCTCATCAGACGATTCCAGGAGATGCCCCAGATCATCCCGTTCTTGCTCTCGCGACTGATGGAAGTGATCTTGACGGATGACCCCCAGAACCAGTGGAGCCTATCGCGACCTCTGCTTGTTCTTGCGCTGCTCAGCCCCGAGGCAAGTTTCTCTCGGACGTGATTGTGTTCTGGAAGGATGGGCGTGCGTGGGCGTTGATGGCTTGCGGTGGATTAGTGTGCGTCGATGGTTGGCAATATGTTGGCGGCGCTGCTCTCGATCCGGAGCCCTCGACGCTTGATCGGGATCAGGATCAGAATTATCTGACCCAGGATGCTCGATTCCAGTACTTTGAGTACTACACGCAGACCCTTGTGCACTTCCAAGTTCCAGAACGACAAGAGTTCCTCCGCAAGGTGGGTACATTGATCAGCCTTGCCTTGCACGCTTCCGCTTGCTAGGTTTCCCGAAGGCTATCGGAAAGTCGCGGCAGATCGGTCCGAGCGACGGTTTCTCCTTATCGTGCATGGTCCTCACCCAAGCTGCTGTTCTGGGCGTCGTTGCTGCCAGTGCTTTGCCTCGCTCATGGACGGGATCGAGCAGAGCGTCGCCTCCAAGAATCGCGAAAAGTTCACCCAGCAGCTTCTGCGCTTCCGCCGCGAGCTGAACTCGGAGCAAGTCATTGTCCTGGTTCCCAAGGAGCTCCAGATGAACCCCGACAGCTGAAGCAGCGCGGCCCCCCGGCCGGCCGGCTGGGTTGGGTTGGCTGCCAGCCCGCAACGCCCTGCGATCTCCTCCGCCAAGCTGGCTCGCAGCGACCTCGTCGCTATTTCGTTGTGTGCGTTCCAAGCACGGCTGCATCCGATCGTGGGAAAGGCGCATTGGCAGCCGCAGCGGTCCCGACCCTGAGGTCCCTGGAGCGAACCCGGCGCTCTTTTCTCTCACCAGCTAGCTGAATGTAACAAACCACCACTGTCCATGTTGCTTTGCCCTCAGCATCCGTCCGCGCGTCGCCAGGGTGTGGATGGGCCCCTCTTCTGGCGGCAAGAGGCCTGCCATGGGGTTGGGCTGCACGCCAGCACCCTTTGCCAGAAGAAGAGCAGCCGGTCCCTCTTGAGGAGAGGGGATCTCTCTGCCAGCCCGCCTCCGTGGCTCCAAGTACCCTCGATTGCGGGCCTGGCGGAGGGACACAAAGCCCGACCGACCCTGCGACCCTGCCTGCCGAGCAGCATGCCAGGGACTCCGCCCGGAAAGGCGCAAGAGGGCTGGAGCAGCACTGTGCCGATCAAACAGGCAGGGTCGTTCGTGTCCGCCGTGAGAGCAGGGACAGACGGGGCCCAGCAGCCCGCAGACTCGACTCGGCCTTGCCTTCCGCCGTTGGTGCTGCTGCCGCTGTCGATGCGCTCTCCGATGATGGTCAATCGCCCCACAGGGGTATAAATCGACGGGCTGGCTCGTCGTTCGAGGTATCTGCAGTCCCATCCCATCACGGACAACTCCTGCTTCCTTTTGCCCATCGCCCAGATCGCCCCTGATCCGCAGTGACATCTTCTAATGATCTGCCCAACATTCAAAGCCACTGTCGCCATTGTGCTCCTGGCACTCTTGGTTGCTGCCCAGGCCCGTCCCTATCCCAAGGACGACCATCGTGGTCACGAAACCCACTCCTCCAACCACACTCGCACCCACTCCTCCAGTCACACGACTGTCGGCTTGGCTCATGATCCCAATCATCATCGCCCCGAGCACCACCGTCCAGAGCACCACAGACCCGACCACCGCCCCCATGACGGCCACCACAGCCACCACCATAACCATAGCAGCACTACTGTCGAGCCTCTGAGCACCAACTCTGCTTCGACAACCACTCTCTCCCCATCGGTCGTCTCTACCACCACCTCGAACAACCAGGGCGGCGGTGCTCCTTCTGCCACCACTACTGCTCCTTCTGCCACCACTACCGCTGCCTCGTCCTCGACTACCGCTGCCTCGTCCTCGACTACCGCTGCCTCGTCCTCGACGACCTCGGCCTCCAACCCCTACCCAACTGCCAGCTCGACCACCGGCTCTCCTGTGGTATCGTCCACCACCGCTGCTTCCTCCACTACTGGATCATCCTCGGCTACTTCTGCTTCGGCTACTACCAGCAACCAGGGCGGTGGCGCCCCGTCTCTCACCACTACATCTGCTTCTGCCTCTACCACCTCCTCTACCTCTACCGATAGCTGCCACCACTCTACCACTTCTGCCTCTTCTTCGGTCTCGACCACCACCGGCGGTCAAGGTGTGACTGCTCCTTCTCCCAGTACCACCACTGCCTCTGCCAGCACCACCGCCTCCAGTTCCAGCACCACTTCTGCTGATCCCTACTCTACTTCGAGCTCGACCACCGAGTCTCCCCAGACCACCTCTGTCGAGCCCTCGAGCACAACCGAATCGGCATCTGTGTCTTCGACTGCAACCGAGTCTTCCTCTGTCGAACCCACTGCCACGACTACCAGCAACCAGGGCGGCGGTGCTCCCACTCCCAGCGTCACTACAACCACCGCTTCTCCCAGCGTCACTACAACTAGCGCCCAAGGTGTCACTGTTCCCGCAACCACGACCACTTTCAGCTGCCCCACTCCCACCTTTACCCATACCGTGACTGTGACCTCGCATCCCCACCCGACTCACAAGCACAACCCCCCTCATAAGCACTCGCACGAGAAGCCTCCCCAAGATTGCGATGATGAGGATGACGACGGTTATGGCAGCTATGAGGACGAGGATGACGAGGACGACGAGGACGACTACGATTATGACGACTCCGAGACCTACGGCAATGATAGCTACTCCGGCGATGACGAAGACTGCGACGATAACGATGATAAGCACAGCTCCTATGGTGGAAGCACCGATCACCATGGCAACAAAAGCCACCATCCTTCTCAAGGACATAAATCGTCCGGTGGCAATGGAAAGCACCAGGGCAAGCACCACGGCAAGGGCCAAACGTAAGTTGCGTGCCTTTGTTTGATCAGCATGTCGGAAGCCGCTTGAGCGCGGGAGGGTCGGTGTGCCGTTGCTTGTGCTATGAGCAGTATACTGATCGCACGAATCGTTCTTCAGTTCGTACGGCTCGCAGAGCGAGTACTAGATACGCTCTCAAATCCAAACCGACGACCCTTTGGCCGGGCTACTGTTGACTCGACACATAATACGGTATTCGATGGCAATCCGTGGCTGTCTGATCCATTTCGACTGCACCTGATAATCTTTGGCAGCAAGCCATCCCTGAATTGTGATCCCATTTTTGCTGTAAAAATCATGTTTGTATCCAAAGTATCTTTCTCTCCCTTTTGTGCCAATGCCTCTGCGTGGGGCGCTTGACTGTGAGTTCCAAATACACCCTGAGTTTCACAAAGCTAGTTTAAAACCAGGTGGGGCAGCGATGTTCCTGAACGTCTCTGGATGGGGGGGGGCGCACGGCCTGGAGATGCAATACGCAGTCAGTCATCTGGACAGCCGAGTTGAGCGAGCCGCTCGCCGTGCGATCTTGGTGTCTCTGGCAGTAGATAGGTTGCATTCAGGACCCGGAAGAAAGTGACTTTCAGGACTCAAAAATAGGGCGTCCCGTTTTTATTGCATTGCATATCCATATTCCAAGGCGTACACAAAAACACATGTATTCGGGATATGCCGCGCACTCGGCGGGACGAGGGCGGCAGAGAAAATAGCTCCCTCCAATAACAATACAGTTCACGCGATAGGCCAACTAAGGCGATAGCACCGAGCTGAAAACTCAGTCCATGTACCGATATGGCAACCAATGCTGCCTACCGTAGCACGCACACAGGGAGATGTGAGATGCGACTGTGTGGGCCGGCCCGCGACAGGGTCGCCAGGGCGAGGCGATGGACAGAGACATCAAAGCCCCGAGGGCTTGCGCTTTGTTGTGTCGACACGCGTGATGATCTTGAAGCCTGTGCCGTTCGACTCGTTCTCGGAGAAAGCAAAGCTCGAGTGCATTTCCAGTCTCTTGAGATTGCGCACCTTCCCGACGGCCTTCTTGAGGCGTTGGCGAGATGTCTCGGGATTGACCTTGTTGAAGTGCTGCATCTCTTGGATGATATGATAGGACTTGGGGAAGTAGAACCGCCGAATGCTACAGAGCGGCAAGGATCAGTGTAAGTACAGGTCCACCGCCGAGTGATCCCGCATGTTTCACTCCTCGAGCAGGCAGGTTTTGCATCGACAGCAAGGTACTTACGCCTTCCATGTAAAGTCTCTCAATATGGCCGCGATGGGCACAACCACGATGCCAAACCAGAAGGCCGCATTGCCAAACATGGGCGGCACAATGCCGGCGAGCTCGGTGCTCAGGCCGATCATGGGACCGATCACCGAATACACCGGGAAAAGCACGAACCAGAGCCCAATGCTGCCAAAGATCGCCAGGAAAGTGTATCGCACCCAGGTATCCGCAATCAGGGCGGCCTTCCATGTGATGGTGATCAGATCGGTGGTGTAGATCATCTGGCCGAGCAGCCAGTTGTTGGCCACGCGGCCGTCGGCGAGCATGGTGCCTTCGCCGTAGACGAGCTTCATTAGGCTGTAGATGACGAGTGAGTGGAAGATCGAATTGACAAACCACGAGAAGAAAACGCTGTGGTTATAAAAGACCGAGTTTTGTCCGAGTTGGTACATCTTGGGATATTTGTCGAGCATCATGGCACTGACATAGCAGTCAAAAACGCCGATGGCCACGGGCTGAAAGAGGGCAAAGGCCACGTTGTAGGTGGCTTGCGTCCACGACTCGAAAAGGGTCTAAACAGGCGTTGGGGGGGGAGAGTGATCGCCAGTTAGTCAGACCATCGCTCAGACCGGAGCAGAGTCGCAGCGCGAAATGGGGGCGGCGGTGTGGGACGCTCACCTGGCCAGAGAAACCATTGTCCAGAGCAAACCACAGCTGAATCAAATACATGGTGATGTTCTTGTAGAAGCTGTACAGGATCAGCTTGCTGAGCCGCGAATACGCCCATCCGCCGTGAATCAACAGCAGCTTGCGCAGGAAGCGGAACTGGGCAATGGCAAAGTCGGCAGCTCGAGCGGCCTGAAGGCCCTCCATGCCCGAGATTCCGACGCCGACATGGGCTGACTGGATCATGCTGACATCGTTAGCGCCATCGCCGATGGCCAGCGTCACGGAGCCGCGAACGTGGTTCTTGACAAGCTGCACTACCAGCGCCTTCTGGAGCGGTGAGACTCTGCAGCATATCACCGCCTTGCACATGGTCGCCAGCTTCAGGAAATCGAACGAAATGTCGCGCTCGAGGGCAAAGCCAAGAGACTTGCCGTCAATGATGAGAGCCAGGGGCTGGATTGCCGTTCAGACGATATGGTCAGTAACCCATTCGCTACGGTCGAGGACATGCCAGCATGAAACCCCACACGGCCCATCTTCCAATCCGCCGGGCATTGGCCGGCACTAGTACAGCTCGTCCCCGCAGCTTTCGCCACGCATATTTCAGGGTAGTGGGCAAAACAAGCCTACCTCTGAGGGCCGGGGAACATCCTTCGACATCATGCGGGTCTTGGTCCGCTTCAAAAAAGTCTTCTTGGGATCGGCCGATGATGTCGGGAGCAAAGAGTACTGCGAGACCGTCTTGTCCTCGCGCTTGGAGGATTTGAAGCCCAGGAACGACTTGGAACCTTCGGTATCTCCGTGTCCCAGCTCCTCGGGGGGCAACAGTCCCTGGATAGACCGCAAGGTCTCGGCGAAATAGCTCTTGGTTTCAAAATGGTTGTCTTTGTTGCAGATCAGCAGTCGCATCTCGTCGTCCAGCAGCTTGCAGCTGTAGCCGATATTGATGGCCGTTTCCTGGCGATCGCCGGTGAGAATCCAGAGCTTGATGCCGGCCTCAAGGAGGGTATGGATGGCATCCGGGACGCCATCTTGCAGCTTATCTTCAATTGCTGTGGCGCCAAGGAGGATCAGATCCCTCTCGATCTCCTCTGCGCACTGGTCGAGCTCGGCTTGGCGATTCTGGATGGTGTTGGCAGCACTCTGGAATCGCTGGTTCCATCCCTCGTATTCGTCCTGGGAGACGACCCGGTAGGCGATGCAGAGCGTGCGGAGACCCTCGGCAGCATACTCTTCGAGGTGCGCGCATGTCTTTTTGTAGTGTTCGTTATTGCTCTCGGAGAGCCGCTCGAAGATCACGGTGTCGGCGCCCTTTGTGTAGAGCTTGATGCGGCCGTCGGGGCCACGGACGATGGCGCTCATGCGCTTTCGGGTTGAGTTGAACTCACAAATGTTCAAGATCTCGTATTCCTGCTCGACACCGTCGACATTGATGGCGACAGACCGGGGACGGCGCGTCTGAAACGGGACGATTTGTCAGTGTTAAAGACATACACAGCAGCAAAGTGGATTTGCTCGAGTAGCCCTCCCTCCCGTCCGTAGATTCAGGCAAGTTCGGGTTGGCTCCTACACTGCCATATGGACGGTGGATTATAGATCCCAGGCAGCATGGACATACCACAAAGTTGTATCCGAGCGATTTGGCGCCCTTGACCAGAGCGGCTTCATCCGGAGAGGACGCCTGGTAAATGACCTCGTCGGGATTCTCTTGCGAGGTTTCGGGAATGACCGTGTGGCAGACAGCAAGCAGGGTCAGGAATTCGTGGATAGTAACCCGACTTGGGCCATCCTCCTTCAAATTGTGGATGAGACGGTCAAAGCTTTCGTATGACTGTTGGGGACAAGTGCCGTGTGTGAGAATAAGAGAAGGGGCAACAACTCGCCCAGAGCTACTCGACCAGCCACGGCACTGAGACAGGCTCACTAAGGCGATCAACTAGTGGTGCCCCAGTCGTATATACAGCGATGGCTTACCGTTTTTTGCCCGGTCGAGTCTATGTATTCAATCTTGTCGTCCGGAACAACGTCGGCATAAGCGACACCGCCGATCGAGCACATACGGAACTCCATGATGTTGCAAGTCAGAGTGCCAGTCTTGTCCGAGAAGATGTAGTCCACTTGGCCCAGCTCATCAATCAAAGAGGAGGTCTTGGACATGGCAGGCGTATTGCTTGCTTCGTGGTACATATCCAGATCCTGATTGATGAGCGCGCTGAGAATAAATTTGACAAGCTCCATGGTGACGATCAAACTGGAGGCATAGATAAATACCGTTAGCTGCCCGAAGTAGGGAGTGGGCGGGCCCAAGATGCAGCGGCTCCAGCACGGTAGACTCACCTGAGCGGAATCAGGTTGTTGAACAGGATGATATAAGTCAGAATGTTCAGCCCAAAGTTCTTCCAGGCCGTTGCCGCATCGGGAGTCAGCAGCAGGATCGACTGCTCAAACCCGCCAGTCATCTGTTGAGTGTGCCAGAGAGAACGTCAATGCGCCAGGCAGCTGAGTTCGCAGGGCATGCAATACGCTTGGCTAGGCCGATCCACCGCAATAGCAAGCTTACCGATCGGATAAACATGCCCGTCGAACAGAGCAGCGAGATCAAGATCAGAATGCCAAAGAGGAAAATGATCTGCTGATTGACAAGAGCGTCGATCTTGGTGGACTTGATGGGTGTGGCCCTGAAAACCAACGTCCGTCGTCAGTCGCGCAGAGACCGGCATCTGCTTCCAGTCTGCAAACAGAACAAGGCTGCAAGGCCAAATGGCCGTGTCGGACATACGTAGCGTTTCGGAGGAGTTTGGTCTCATGGCCGGTGAAGACAACAACTCCGTAGATCCAAGAGGTGTTCCGGAGCTGAGCACCACGAAGCAACAGCTGGCTGGGATTCAAGGGGTACTCGATACCGTTGATCGTGATGGTTCCCTCGTATGTGTACAATGAGCTGTTGGGCTGCTCCGACTTGATCATGCCTACGGGAGGGCAATTTGATTAGCATTCATTACGCTAGCGCAGCCGGCTTAGGGGAAGCGCACAGACATCGGTTGCATTCACAGTCAACAGCAGCGACCATACATACCGGCTTGCAGGATTTGCAGCTGTTCCGATGAAGTGATTCCAGCTGTTTCCGGGAGCGCTTGCTTAATCTTCAAGTTGGTTTCGCTATAGACCGGTTTTGTCGGCGGCAGTCAATAAAACAGCTCAAGGCCGTCGCCGATTGCAAGAATTCTGGGCGCTGACGACCAAGTCGAGTGGAAAGAAGGTGGAACTCCATCGCAACAGGCTCTGCAGACTCGAATCCCCAGCAGCTGCGCTAAGGCAGCCCTAATACTACCACCGAGCGAATCAACCAAGCAATCTGTGACTCACCCATCCAAGTTGCTTGTCTCGATATAGCATAGACCTTCGGTCTCGGACGAGGACAACAGCACCAGATCGGCAGGGAAGTACTCTGAGTTCTCGACCCGGACAATGTCGCCAACAACAATGTCCTTCCACTGCTTCTTGGCAAAAGAGGTACCAAAGAGTACCGATGCCCAGCACGTATTGAGCTCGCGGTCCTGCTTGGCTCGCTTGGAGTCTTCGAGATATTCCTTGATGCCCGAAAAGACAATCACGATCGAAAGAGGAACGATGGTGGTGCCGCTGTTGGTGGGCGAGACGTCTTTGATTTGCTGTAGATGGCAACAGGGTCAGATAAGGGCAACTTGTGCCTACACCGGACAGACGGCTGGACGGTTTCCTCCATGCAGGACTGATTGCAGGGCTGATTGCAGGGCTGATTGCAGGACGGCAAAGCCCTGAATAGCCCTGTGGCGGGCCAGAGGCTAAAGGGCGGCTGGACTCGCGACATCAGCCCATGACAGAGTCGATGGCAAGCAAGCACGGATCAACATTGCTCCGAGCCATGGGCTGGCGATCAGTTCGTTGCATAACCAGCTCCGTCGCGCCACAAAGTGTGCCGTTTGGCGAGCGCCATCCCGCGAAGCCAGGAGGCTCACCATGCGGATGCAGCGAGAAGGCCGAACCGACGAACCTGGATGCACGAGACGAACAGGAAAAACAAGTTGGCGTATTTGGAGAACTGCTCGTAGAGGAACTTTGGCAAGAAAGTGACGGCATTATATTTGCGGGTCGAAATGGCGTTGTGGAGATACTGCAGCGCCTGGTTCTTGGTCGGATCGAGGAGATGGACGACACGATGGCCCGCCGCTGTTGACGGGCCTTTTTTCTGTTTGGCAAAGTCGAGAAGACCCATAACGGCAGACACAGCTGGGTCTCGGGCAGAGAACAGAGGGAGGAGGCGCCACGAGATAGAGGCGGGCGCCGTGGGAGACGACGGCGAAGGACGATGGAGCGCTGGCTTGTAGACCAAGACCAGATGGCAGGTGAAATCAGGACGGACGGCGCAGAAGGGCGGGGGTTTGAGGCTGCAGATGTATCCAGCCCGATCGCAGCCAGCCACGGCGCGGCCATCCACCGCCACCAAATGTGCGCGCCACAGCCCCAACACGCCAAGAACGAAAACCTTGCTTGGGACCGGCACCGGCGGGGTGATCTGCTGCAGCCAGCTCGCAGCGACAGGGCAGCGACGAGGATGCCAAGAGGGTGCATCGTAAGGGCGAACGATAGCGATGGCGTGGAGATGGTTGTGGTTTTGGCTCTGGCTGGCGACGATTGCGAGGAGGCGGTTGGTGGCGGTGTTCCCCGGACGCTGGTTCGACTGGTTCGACTGGTTCGACTGGTTCGACTGGTTCGACTGGCTTGATTGGCTCGATTGGTTCGATTTTCCACGCACCGGCGAGGAGCACGCGAGGCGGTTCTCGGCGAGAGCGGCCGTCTCGTCAGCCCCGCATCCATCGCCAGGATCCAAGCACATCCCATCCCCTCCATCATCAAACACCATGAGCGGCCTCAACAAGAAGCTCGAGCAGGAAGTCTCAGCCTTCCAGGACCTACAGAGAGGCAAGCAAACTGCAGTGCGCTTGGTTGTGCCCGAGGCGAACTTCCAGCAGCAGCAGATCGCCATGCCAGGATAATATCGAACCTCGAGAGGCGAAACACTGACTCTGATCTGCCACAAACATGGCTCATCCTGCAGATTACTCCAAGGCTGTCTCGTCTCTCCAGCAGCTGGAATCGCAACTGAAAGAAAACGATCTCGTCAAGAAGGTACTGAACTTGCTCGCCCTGTCCGAGCGTTTGACCACCCAGCCCAGCTCTGGCTCTGGCCCACATCCAACTCTTGTCGCCCTTCCTGCTCTCGAAAGCTTCGAGCCATCGCTCAACAAGCTTTGCCCCGGAACCATTGGTACTATCTGCTCGAATATCGACCAACGCCCCTCTCTTGCCACAGGAATTCGATCTGCTGGATCAAGATGCTGTGATCTACAAGCTCATCGGGCCTGTGCTCGTCAAGCAAGATCAGGGCGAGGCCAACGTCAACGTCTCCAAGCGCATCGAGTTCATTCGAAATGAAATGTATGTTGGACTTGTCCGATGCCTCCAGAGGATAAGAACTGTGTCTGAATGCGTCGTCGTCGACTCCGGCACTCCCTGCCGAACGATCGTGCAGTTTGCAGTCAACGAACAGCATTGTGGCCGTGGCGTGCCGTTTCCTCAGATGCTTTGACTCACGCCTCGTTGGTCGGTGGCTGGCCGTAGGGAGAGACTGGAAAAGCAAGTCAAGGACTTGTCGGAGAAGCAGGAGGCAAAGAAGCTGGAGGTAGGCGTCATACTGCTGCGAAAGCATCCTTGGCAACGCCGAATCTCATCGTGGCCACACTTCGGGCTCAGGTCGTCAAGCTGCAAACCGCAATCCAGCAAGCCCAGCAAGCCCAGGAAGCATCGGCATGATCGAGACATGAGGTCATGCATGGATCGAGTACCCTTGGCTATACCGGCTGCCCCACGGTGTTCAGAGGCAATCCTTGGCTTGCAATAAAATGTGCCCTGGAGTGCATCCTACTCTCCCCATGACCAGAGTATCTCCAGCGCCATGATGAAATCCTCTGCGCTCTCGGGCATCCCGTGTGCTTTTACAGAGCGCAGACGAAGCCCGCACAGTTTGAGGGACCAGAATGCCGATAGGCACACGAGATTACATTTTTTGGATCGAAAAAGCAGCCCAGACTCAAGAGTTGCCTTGGTTCACATCCCACGACGCTTGGCCACCCGTCCATCCGCACAACCTCTGTGCGCGAGATGTCTCTTGGTGGAAGCCAATCCACCGAGTATATCCTCCATCATGTATCCGTGTGTGTCGGAGCGGCAGCGGCTGTTACCAGCAAAGGCGGTAGGTGACGTATCTGCGAACCAGTGTTCAAAGGATCAGTACAGGGATCGATGTCAACTGGGCAAGCGGTCGCGAGCAGAAGAGCCATGCATCATTTGCTTCGATTCGATACGAATCAATCAATGACAAGCGAGTGTAGATCTCCAAGCGTTCGTTGGTGCACACGGGTCTTGCCGGCACATACTTTCCGGCGGTTTCACTGGGTCGGATGATCTTGACAACCTGGCCGCGCTGGAGGCCATAGTATCGCGCAATCGGATCGGTGCGCTGGATTCGCGGGAGTTGGGTTTCTTTCAGTCGGCTGGAGCAGACGGATCCAACAGGGAGTTGCGACGATGAGCGCCGAGCGTTTCGAAGCATGCTGCCGTTAGTGCCTATTTCGATGATTGAAACCCAAGGCTTGTGTCGTGGCAACGAGGCCGATCGATCCGCACCCATATCGCCGAGAAAGCTATACATACTATCTTGCTAGCAGGGTCTTCTTCTCTTCGACCGTCAAGACCTCGTGGTCGGGCACCAGGGTGTGCTTCGTGATGTTCACCAAAAGCTCGCTCTCCATGAACAGCTCGAGCTGGTATTTAGGCGCCAGCTCCTGGACGACCTTGTTGGCCGAAGGCGTCAGTTGTTTCTGGTAGATGAGTATGCCCTTGACGACTCCCTCGACAATCATTCGCTCGCAGATCCTGGGGGAGCGAGATCCGTCGGTGAGCATCAGCAACCATTGCTGGGCTGGGCCGGCGCCAGGCTTGGGGGGCGGACCGTCGTCGACAAGACAATGTACGCATGGGCCGCCGTTCATAGATTCGACAATCGCGCAGCGCTTCGCTACCAGTAAGTGCCCCTCCTACCTCTTGATGGGCTTTATTCCCACTGACTCGTCCTCGGCAAAGAAAACCAGCAGTTTGTCATTTTCGTCGTTTTCGCGCCCAGCCGCAAAGATGAGCGACTGTCGGCTGGAGAATGAGCATGCGCAGCGCTAGTGTCAGAGATGGCGAGCTCCAGTGGATGAAGAGCGCTTCTCCGTTGATTCAGCGCACTTGACGAGCGCCCGGGTTGTGGTCGAGCATTCGCCCGTCACGAAACAGAAGCGTCACCGATCGAACAGATCGAGCGCCAGCATGCAGAATCCAATGCCGTGTGGCCCGACCCAGATCAGCGATACGCACTCGATGTGTCTGTTTTTTGAGTATGTTTCTCTGAATTCGTCGAGGGACATCTCGAGCTCTGCGGTACTGACAAGATATCCCTGGGGATGTGTCGGTTGCAGAGGGCGCATTGACGTCAGCCGAGCACCGCACATGGGCGAGTGGGCGCAAACATACTGCTTGCGGATAGATCGGCCACAAATTCATACGAAATGCCGCTGCCGCGCACTTGGCACGATCGGCGCTGGGCATTCCGTCTGCGACGAGATCATTGGGCTCGGCGCCAGCAGCTCGACTTACCCGGTCCCGGACGAGCTCGCGAATGGTCCGGAAGACCTTGTGGAGGCGCGCAATTTCTCTGTCCTCATCCATGGCTGTGTGTTTGAATCGACTGTATCGGTATTTTGGGTCTGGTGCTGGTGCTGGCGCCGATGCAGATGGCCAAGCGGCTGGGCGAGTCGATGGGGGTGATGCGACGGAGCAGCGGCCCTGATCAGTCCCAAGCGGCGGCCGAATCTTGTCGAAGAAAAAATGCGACACACGTGTGCCGGCCACGGGTGGCCATTCTGCGGCCGTCGTGTGGCTGGATGTGGCTTGGCTGGCTGGCCCAGCAAGACCAAGGGCGAGCTGCCTGATCCCAGGTTGTTCGCCCATCAGCTCTGTCCTGGACGATCGCCGATGTGCCCTGTGCGAGCCAGACGGACAGCTGCCGAGAAGGATTTCGCCATGACCATTGCGTGCGCTTTGCAATGATGCGCGGCCCGGCCATGCCGATATCTGGCGCGGTGTGAGTTGCTGCAGAGCGACAATGGCCGTCATTGGCACTTGTCAATGGGAACCAGCGTGGAAAGACCCTCGGCGTGTCGTCCTCAGCATATGCTCAATATAGACGTCGAAGAAGAATGTGTATATGAAGCGAGTTCAGGAAGGGAGAGAGGGGGGCAGGCTCGGTCATGATGTCAGTGCCCTTCATTCGGCCACGGGCCCGGCGATTTTGGGCTGCTTGGCGCCCCCTGGTCCCGTCGCCGGCCCTTGACTCCATCTCGCTCTTGAGCCCGCCGTATCAGACTGCAAGAGCCCAGTTCTGTCACCGATCCGCTCCCAAGATGATGAAAAAGCCAAACATCCTAGAACGCAGTCTGCAGAAATCCAAGAATGCCGAGGTGCGTCCGCTTGGCCCCTCCCTCCTCGTCACTTTTGCCCATCGCACTAGCCGCCGTTGCTCAAAGGCATTCCGAATCCGAGCCCAAAGGCCAGCCGACCACAAGGCCCGATAACCCATCGAGCACAAAAGGCCGCTTTCAAGCCGATAGCTACTGACCCACCGACTTGCACCGATGTTTCTCGACCCGCCAGATCAATCTCTCGGCATTTACCTTCATGTTCTCCGAGATGATTCAGTATTCGCAGAAGCGAGTCCACGGCATCCAAGACCTGGAGAAAAAGTAAGGCTCTGCTATCCGTCTCGTTCGGCTACTGCCATTTGGCTGTCGCTGGTGCTTCTGTCCGGCACCAACCCACGCCTCTGCCCACAGCATCCGGGAGAGCATCCAGAAGCGCCTGTCTTGGGCTCGGTTCTGTTGCCATCTGTCTCGCTGACACTGCTGCCGACCAAATGCTATCCGTCGTCACCACGAATTGGACTCGATAGACTATCGGACTACGGCTACCGAGTGGGCATCCGAGTACTGGAGCTCTCGGCATGGAGGGAAAAGAGCGGTCGCCGCGAAACCCGGGTGCTGCCGATCCTATACTTTATCACGGGGCCGATCTGGAAGATGCTCTTTGGGAAGCAGGCCGACTCGCTTGAGAAGGGTACCGAGAATGAAGACGAGTGTGAGTGTCTATTTTCAATCCGATGCATCTGTATGCCGGAAGCAGCTGCCGATTGACGACTAAAACGCATGAGGGATCTGGATAGACATGATCTCGGACAACGAGCCGATTCTCTCCAAGTTCATATCCATCCCCCGCGAGATGTCGCTCTTGAATCCCAGTGCCTTTGTCGGTGGCATTGTCGAGGCCATCCTGGATGGCTCGCAGTTCGTAAGTAGTCTCCAAGCTCCCAGTCGATCGACGTCTAAACAGCTCTAGTCGCCCAAGGGCATCGCCTGGACCTGCAGCACACCGACTCGACTGCCGACGCAACTCGATCCTAATACTACCCCTGCGACTTGCCCATGCAGCCATGCCGAGTCACTGCACACTCCACCCCGATCGAAGGCTTTCCGCTGCACACCACGATCCTGATCAAGTTTGACAAATCCGGTGGGTCTCTGCGCTGCGTTCGGTATCGCTGATGATCTGATTTGGTCGTGCGCGATGGTATCCAACGCCATCTGCATATCCATGCATGCGTGCATTCTTGTCGCTAACAGTCACCTCGCTCTTCTCTATGGCTTGGCGATCGGCAGTCATGCAACGCGAAAAGGCCTTTGAGACCCGATAGACAGGGGTGAACACTAAGAGGCTTGGTTGCTGTTGCGTATGTGAATGTCCAACTACACCAGCCCAAGACATGCGGTCCGGGATCCAGGTTTCTGTGGTGCGGATGGTGCCGGCTGAGGAGTGCAAAATACAGCCCACTGACAGCCGGACTGCGAAACATGCGCCTGATATCGATTTGGTGATAAGTCGGTGGTCACGCCGGAGCCCGCGACGATGCTCGCAAGATCACAGGGGTGTTTATTGGATGTCGAAGTTGATGATGTCCAACAGGGACCGGGCCGGGCCGAGAAGTGAGAAACAGCAGCGAGATGGGCCGGCCTCTACTTCTTCTTCTTCTTTTTGGTGCCCTCCTCGACCTTTTGGCTGCGGGAAGAACCATAGATTGCTGCAACAAATGGGTAGACCGTTAGTCACCAGCACCAATGCAGACGGATTGCCGCGATCGCTGGATCCGTGCGGATGTATCATTGCATGCGACCGCCGCATAACCGGCCCAGGCGATCCATGAAGGCATTTGCGGATCAGCGGGTTTGTCCTTGGTCCCAGAGTCGCTCGCTACACTCACTCGAGATACGCGGGGGCTTGCCGCGAGCAATCAGAGCCTTCTCGCGTGCCCGCTCTTCCTCGATCCAGACGTTGTCCAGTTTCAGCGCCTGGATTTTCGGGTTCTGGTTTGCGAGCGCAAGGTAGTTGAGGTCGGGGTTGTGCCAGGTCAGCATCCGGGTGCGCACCGAGCCCTGCGCCAGGACGTTCTTGAATGCCAGGGGGGCAGTCGGGTCTGTGGCCGTCAGCTGTGCGCGGCTGGAGTCGTAGACCTTGTGTCGGAGGGCCGTCAGGGCCTGCTGGGCCTTGGCCGTCGGCTTCGGGGCAAGCGACATGATCGTTGTGGCAGCTTGATCAGAGCCAAATCGCGGCCGCCAGATGGCGCACCAAAGAAAAAGCCAAAGACCGAGAGTGCTGCGCATGTGCCCAGAAGCAAACGCACCTGGACCACACGTGGTCTGTGTGGCTTGTGCAGCACCAGCGCACTGCCACAGCAAAATGCCACATTTCCATGCGGGACGGCCAGACCGACCGAGACCAGACCGACCGAGACCAGACCGACCGAGACCAGACCGACCAAGACATGGGCTGTGTCGATCCGATGTGACGTGGGGCATCGTGCGCGGAGGGCGATGTGTCTGCGAGGCAGGTGCTGGCCGGTCTGTGCGGTGTCTCGTTTTCGTTTCGCTGACCAGGCCGCGCCGGATTGCAAATTCGCTTTCGGATTCCATCGCTCCATCGCGCTCCATCTCGTCATCCTCATCGCCGCCGTCCTTGCCCGCCATGAGCACGCTCTCGGTCGTGGGCTTGACCAAAAGGCTGCCGGACGATACGGTGCTCTTTGAGAACTTGTCGTTCCAGCTCTCGCTGCGCTTCGAGACCTCTCCATCGGTGCTAGTGGTTCGCGGACCCAGCGGTACTGCCTGCAATTGCAGCTCGGAAACCTGGCGCTCGGTGAACATCCAGGCTGACCAGACCTCCATTGCGCTTGCCAGGCACCGGCAAGACAACGCTACTCAAGTGTCTGGCCCAGCTGGTCCCATACGACAGCGGCGTGGTTTCGCTCGACGACCAGTAAGCTTGCCTCCAAGATACGGAATCGCAACCGATGCGCTTGCAACCGCCTTGATCCAACGGCCTCTGAACCCATAGGCCCATCCTTCTCCTAACAACACACATCCTCCCATCCAAAGACAACCGGACCAGCTCGGCATTCCACGCTGGCGCTCGCTGATTCAATATGTTCCCCAACGACCGCCAGTCTTTCCAGGAACGCCGCTGGAGTTTGTGGAGACCCTCTCTGGCTTTGCCTCGCAGAAGCCCAAGCGAAACTGCCTTGACCCCGTACGCATATTCTCTCTTATCTCGCATTGTTATGTTGCTCCGTTGCTGCGGCCGCTATGGATGCTGCTGCACAGACTCCGTATCCAGCATGAGTTGCGGTGTACTGACAACTTTGAATCGCTTCATACTGCCTCAGGTGACCATTGGCGAAAGGTGAGCCGCAACCCGAGAGTGCCGGGGCTGCAACGGGCGATAAAAATGCCTCGACAACGGCGTCTTGAAACCCCTGTGCTGAGCCTTGCAGTCGTTAACGGAGATGCCGGTAATCCCAATACAGCTGGGACCTCTCACCAAGCGCCTGGTCCAAGCAATGGTCCGAACTCTCTGGCGGAGAAATCCAGCGTGTTGCTCTCGCAATCGCAGTGTCGAGACAGCCGACGGTGCTGCTTCTGGATGGTACGAGCCCTTGGTGAAATCTGCAGCGTGTGCGAGATGGTGCAGATGCGGACGATGGCCTTCACTCTGGCAACCGTTGGCTCACCCTCACTGATTCTTGGACAGAGCCCACATCGGCCTTGGATGCTGCGACCTGCCAGAAGGTTGAGGCGACCCTCAAGAGCCATACCTGCATCTGGATTACCCACGACCCAGCTCAGGAGGAGCGGGTTGCGACGGCCAGCCTGCTGCTGGAGCGCGGGCGCCCAAGCGAGTTCATTCTCCACCAGCAATGAGCGCTATGGGTTGTTCGCAAAGGACTGCAGCAAGCCAGCCCATCTGCTCCAGTTCAGAGATCGCACTCAAGCCTGAATTCCTGGATCACAATCGGCATCGCGCTGGTTCGAATGAGTTGATACATATTGTTATTCACATCTCAGAACGGATCGCTGGCATCCAAGTCTGAGCGACCGTCATCGTCTGTCCAGCAGAAACCACAACACGACCACCCCTGGTACCCCCAGATGCGCAAGGTCTTTGGCTCCAGCAACCAACCCAACAGCGAGCAGGCTTGGGGCCGGGGCTGGCTGCGGAGCAATGATCTGTCCGAATCGATGGAGCGGCGGTCGTCTTCACCTTGCTCGGAGTCGCTGTCGTGGAGGGCAAATACGGGCTCGGACGTCATCTGGTCCAGTCCAGCCATCTCTGGTTTGTGCGGGTGATGCACCGATGGGGGCAGCCCGGGAAGAAAGCGAGCCTGGAGTCAGAGAGATGGGATTCGGCGGCGGCTGCCAGGGCATCATGCTGAGCATGCCTGAATACCACTCAGCAGGCCTGAATATCACCCTGGGTACGCCGATCGACGAGATCACCAAGACAAGCTACCTCGCAGATACGACTGCACCCCAGAGTCGTCTCGGCCACCACGGCCTCGTGGCCGGGAGATCTTGGACTTCTGGACTGCCTCCAGTCGGCGCTCGAGCCGACAAATGTGCTGCTCGTTGAGAGTTTGGATGGACCATCCTGTGCTCTCGGGGCAATGACGACTTGGATTCCGCTCTTCGTCCCAGGCAGACGGAATGTTGTTGCTGGCAGAAAGGGCATCTAGCTGCTCATCGAATAGGCCGGATGCTGCCGGTGGCACCAGAGAGGACTCAGAGCCGATGGTTTGCTCGATGCCGTCGACCATGGCCGGGAAGGGGGGGGCGATGGATGGCAACCCAAAGCAGCAGAGGTTGACCACAGACAGACACCAAATACACTACACTATATTCAGAAAAAAACGGGACAATATAGCCGTTTCCATGAACATGTAGTATGTGCTGTGCTTGCGTCAAGCAAAGCCACAAGAAATAAAACAGATCACTTTGGCAGCCTCCGAGTGAAGACCGCCGGTCGCTCTCCGATCTCCACAATCGACCTGCATACTGTGATCATGTTGCGCGCCGCATTGACGTCGCGATTCCACACTGTCCGGCAGCTGGGATTCTTGCAGCTCCTGACAAAGTGGGAATTCGCAACACTGGGCGCATCGAGTCCTTCCAACCGAACTGGCTCCAGGCACTTGGAGCACACTTGCGAGGTGTTGAACTCGTTCGTCGAGGCCACCTTGACGCTTCCATGATGGTGATTGGGACGGCGTCGGTGGTGCTCGAATTGCTCAAAGTACCGAGCAAACCGCTGCCTCCGAGGGCTGGATGCATAGCCCTTGCCCTGTCGCCATGACGCATTGCCAAAGGCGATCACCACATCGGTCCGTATCGGGGCGTGCTTCAGGACGGCCTTGCACATCCTGTCGACGGCCACTTGGCGCCTCTTGTGGCCCGTGAATCGATGGTGACGGGCCTTCTTGCCAAGGTGGAAGTCGAGCTGCACTCGCAGCTCCGGTCGCAGGACATGGGTGAGATGGACCTTGAAGGCCTCCGAGGACGACACCTTGGGCGAGGGGGTGGTCGACATCCAGGTCTCGATGTCGAGTTGCTTCTTCTTGGCATTGTGCCACTTGGTGTTGGACGTATGGCCACACATGTGCTGGTAGTGGCCATTGGAGAATGAGACCACCTCGTCTTGGTGGCCCGGTGCTTGGATGACCGCCGTGAAGATGGAGCCGACTCCAGGATCGATGCCAATCCAAGTGGTGCGGTTGGGGTCTGGGTCGCCGATGTGGGCCTGGATACGCTGCTCGGCAGTCGGAGGAGGCTCGATGGTCTCGGTGTGATCGGTTCGAGGCAGAAACTTGACGAGACCGATGGTGCATCCAATGCCATCGGTGCTGATCTCGTAGTTGAACAGCTTCTTGTTCACGTCCCGCTCTTGGAAGAGGGAACTACGCAGCTTGAAGCAACTGCGCCAGAGACGATCCTGGTTGTTGACACCGTCCTCACCTTCTTCCTTGAGCTTGTCCCTGGTGAGTCCAAGGCGCTTCTTTGGACCCAGGAGATTCCAAAGAGTGACCGTGTCAATCTTGACATACTTGGCCCTTGCAGTGCATAGAGGAACTATCGTGCACACGGCCGGAGGAGTGTCCAGAGCGAGCTGCTTGAGGGCCCACTTGAGTCTGGATGCCAGCTTGTTGATCTTGGACTTGGTGGTGCCGAGCTCAGACTTGGCCGTGGTGAACCTCTTGTCGTCGGAGGGAATGCCTTGGGTAGTGAGCTTGTCCAGCTTGGCCTGGCGCTGCAGCTCGGTGACTCGGAGGGCGGGCATGTCACAGTCGATCCACTTGTGGACATTGTCGACCATCTTGTCTCGGGCGAGGATTCTCACATGGTGTGAGAGGCGATGGAGGGCCCGGAAGCGGTCCTGGTCGTTGCTGTACCGAAACTCGTCCAGGACGTGGCCAAAGTCGGGATAGAGGAACTCGAGATCGGCCTTGGGTGGAGTCGGCCCTGGTTTCTCGAAGAGCTCGAGACAAGCCTCGATGGCTTCGTGCTTATGCTTGTTGGCTGGGAAGACGGCAGCGCAGAAGCGGCGAAGGAGTCGCCAGTAGGCCAGGTCGAGTGGGTGGTGCAGTTGGTAGCATAGGCATTGACAGCCAGTGTGAGAAGCTGACTGTGAGCACCATCAGGCAGACGAGGGGCCGGAGGCAGGTCTGCGTGCCGAGTGGTCTGGTAGTCGCGAAAGGAAGCGACCAGATGCTCGTTGTATTTCTCATTGTCCCCGGTCGGGGAGAGGGCACCGTCCTGGACAATCGTGAAGCATTGGCGGATGAATGCAGGTGTGGACTTGGAGATGACGGGGATGGGAATATCCTGCTCGATGCACCGGAGGATGTGCAGGTTGGGCAGCCTGGATGCCTCGAACTGGATCTGGGTCATGGCCTCGACGGTGGCCTGGATCTTGTCGCGGAGAGCGGGATTGAGACAACAGCCATCCATCGTCTGCTTGAAGCAGCTGAACTGAGGGGCGGATGACCTTCCATCCACGAGTGGGACGACAGAACTCTTGAGGGGCCGGTATTTGGGACATTTGCTGGTGTTGCACCGTTCGTGATCGGTGCCATCGCACTGGCGACATCGCTTGCCGGTACTCGAGGAAGTAGATGGACCAGGCTCGGTGGGATCGACATCCATTGGATCTGCAGAAGCAGTGGTGGTGAGCGACGGAGCAACAGACGACCAAGCATGCGTGGGATCAGAATACGAACCAGAGACAGGCTCCGACTGTGACTTGGCTTTCTTGGGCCTGGGTGGCCGAGGCTGGCCATCACCGGTACCCTTACGCTTCGGAGGCATGGAGGCAGAGGATGCTGGATGTCTGCCAGTGGTACTGGTCAGAGCAGAGACTTCTCTTTATCGTACAATAGCGCGATGATCAGATCAAGGCGAGATGAGGGAAGAAAGCAGCAGGACGAAGGTGTGGCATTTATACCCGAGAGCAGGAACCCGTCTGCGCGGGCTGGTTGGGGAAGTGACCTGTTCAAAAATCGCAGAGGGGTTCAAGCCAGGGATTTGAGCGTGAAAATGGCGGCGTGATTGGGGAGCTCAACTCCAAATTGGAGGAACTCAACCCCAAATCGGTGGGGACTCAACCCCAAAGAAGTTCTCGATGGGATTGAAGTCGGGTGAAGCAGGTGGGGTGAAGATCACTGACCATCCTCGGCGCTCGATGCAGTCCAGGACAGCCCGTGTCTTGTGCATGCTGACATTGTCCATCACAATCACAGAGTCGTCTGGGAAGGCCGCTCGCTCAAAGAACTCGACCATCGAGTGTGTCTTGAATGATGTGGGGATGTACATGCGATGCAGCACACCAGAGTGGTTGATGGCAAATGCCACCGAGACAGACTTGTGCTTCATGTGATTGCGCTGGCGAAGCGGAGCACCCTTCGGTGAGTATCCGTAAAGAGGAAAAATGGATCTCCTGATCCCTGTCTCATCGACAAAAACGAATCGTCGTGGGTCAATGGAGCGGACCTGGTCCCTGAACTGTGCCACTCGCTCATCCAGTCGCTTGGACTTGTAGAGGTGTGTTGCCCTCTTGTGTGAGAGACCTGCTCGGTGGATGGCAGTGTGGCAGAGTGAGAGTGATACTTTCCTCTGGAGGATGGACTCGAGCTTGCATCGCAACACAGGACCAGTCTGGAACGGGTCCTGTTCAATCAGGGTGCGAATGACTGGACATGCCTGCTCGAAGAAAGTGGATCTGCGAGCTGTGACTCGGGATGGGTCATCCAGCTTGCATCCTCGGTGCCATCGATGGATGGTGCTCTTGGATACACTGAATATGGAGGCGACCTTACGCAGGCTATGGATGAGGGCGTAGCATCGCAATGCGGCGGTGCGAAAGTCGGATGTGTGGCGAATGGTCATGGCCAGCGCGCGATGATATTGGGTAGCAAAATATTCGATGAATGGTCAAAAACCCGGGTGTCCCGTTTTTTATTGGATTGCCTGTAAGGCCCAGACAGCAACCTCGCATGGACCGCAGCGAGTATGCAGCAGCGAGTGCAACAGCCGGATCCGCTCTCTGTACAAAGCCGTTGCCATAGGTATCAAAGATATTGACTTTGCAGTGGACGCAAGTATCGGGACACATCGATGTTCGATCAGCGACCAATGATTTGTTGCGCTCTGGCCATGACCTTTCGCTCCAGAGGCTCGCACTGCTGCTGACGATCGTCCTCTAGCTCTGTCCAAAGACCAGGTCTTTCTCATGAATCACTGGCGGTGGCTGGGTTTGCATTCTTCTCCGGCCGGGCTTCTTGGCTGTTTGTGGCTCTGCATCGGCCTCGACTTGAGATTTGATCCCTCTATTCTTCGACGGCGCCTCGGATGATGCATTGGCGAGCACAGGAAGCGACACAGCATGGCCGGACGATAGGCCCTCACTCGTTGCTCTAGACGCCGTTGTCAGCGGCCGCCCACTTCGAGCACCTGCGTCTGTGCGCCGGGAAGGTCCGCCCGATGCGGTAGATGCAGCAGCAGAGGATGGTGTGCGAGCCGGAGCAAGCTCCGCATGGAATGTCGTCGTATCCGGAATCTTGGAGGATGCCTTGGATGATGACTTGGTACTTTGCTTGGGAGGTGGGGGCTTGATGATCTTTTGTGGTGGAAAGGGCTCAAGTCCATCCAGCGGTGGACTGCCGCCGGTCAAGGTCATGTACAAGGCATTCGCCTCGGTGTGGTCAGGATGGAGCTGAAGCAAGCTGGCAAGATCTTGGCGGGCCTCATCAATCCTCTGTGCAAACGGACAGTCAGCAGGAGCACTGGCCTTTCGCTCAGCAGCCACAAGGCTCGCTCATATCAGCATTCTCAAGGCCGGCAAAGCAAGAAATCGTCCCAGGAGCCGTGTGCTTGTTTGATGCAGCAGCAGCACTTGCCTCGGCAAGATAGTATGATCTGGCTCGATAGTAAAAGAACTGCCCGACGGTGGGATCGCATTCGATGGCCTTTCAGAAAGCCAAGCCAGAAAGTAAGCTCCATGCTCCAACAGAGAGATTCAAAACGGCCGCCACAAGTACCGTCGGAAATGAACCGCCGCAGCCTTGGGTTGGCTTACCTTGGTAAATTCATAGATTGCCTCGACATAGGTCCCCTGGTTGAAGTGCCGCTCGCCCATCATGAACCGCACAATGCCGCATCGCTTTCGACACTCAATGTCGGCGGGATCGAGTTCCAGTGCCTTTAGGTTGTCTGACAGCGTGCGCTCCAAGTGCCCAGCCAGGTAGTAGCAGTCTATGTCAAGGAAGCGGCGCGAGCCACAGGCTGAATGGGTTTCTTGCCTTGAAGCACAGCAGTACGCTTCTCGGCACAAGCAAGCGACAGAGGGCTGGTGAGAGTGCTCACCCGCTCGGTTTTTGTAAATCATAGACTCGTAGGGATTGTACTGGAGGCCGATGGTGAAGTTCTTGAGGGCCTCTTCGTAGTTTCGAGCTCTGTTTCGCACGGCAATCGGTCCCACCCACACATCATCAGAGGCATCAAATACGTGGGGAGCATTGCGAGAGCCGCACTCGTGTTAAGCATAAGGCGATTGCCATGCCAGAGCGGATCCTTACTGGTACTGCTCGACTCCGATCTTGTTGTACACGCTTCCGAGGTAGTTTCGAATCTCTTGGGTTCGTTCTGGGTCCAGCTCCGGGTGCTCCAATGCAGCGTTGAGATCGCCAATGGCATTGTCGCTCTGCCCGAGTTGGGCAAACAGAATGGCCCTGCAGATTTTGATCGAGCCAACGGCAGATGCGCTTGTCAGTCAGTGTCGATTCCGGAGACGGTCCATGGCTTACCGCTCAACCACAGCAAGCGCGGCGCTCAACCTTGGCGACAAATTTTGCCATGAGATATGATACCTCCTAAACAATATGATCCAGTCGCGCGGATCCAGCTCGATGGCATGGTTGAGGTAGTATATGGCGTTCACCAGGCTGCCCTTGAGGATCTGGTCGGAGGCTTTGTTCTTCAGATCGGCCGCCTCTCGCATGACGTACTCAAAGAGCTCGGGGATCTCAGGATGGTCGGGCCTCAGCCTGATGGCCTCCTGGAGGTCAACGTTGACGAGGTCGACCTAAGCAACGGCGGAGCAAGGGAGTATGCATACGTTGGTATGTATGTTGGCTCGTCCAAAACCCAAATGTAGCTTGCTCGTCAAAGTTATGGTCACAGCCGCCAACGGCGACTTGTCCGCAAATTTGACGGGCTCCGGCACATACATTCCGTTGCGTCTTGTAGATCTTGGCTCGCAAGATGATGACATCCACATCAGTCGGCAGGAGCTCCGTGACTTCGTAGAGGAGCTCGATGGCTTCGTCGTACTGCTCCAACCCCAGGTGCGCCAGCGCCCTGCCAAGCGGAGAAACAGCGGCATCGTCAAGACGGAACTAGCCGCTTTTATGGCACACCGAGTTGTTCCAGATGGTTTTTAACTTACATCCTTAAAAGCAGCGAGCTTGGAGCCACCCCACCAAGCTCCTGTGCGAGCATAAACATCTTGAGGGCCTCCCTGAACCGGAGGTGGTCGAGCAGGATCTGCCCCCACGTAAATGCGACGTTGGAGAACCGGATGGACATGTAGACCGGCCGAGACTGCCCTTGGCGGGCGAGGATGTCGCGGGCCATGCGAAAGTTCATGATGGCGCTGTCAAAGTCGCAGACGCACACACAGGCCTCGGCCTTGTGCCAGAAGTAGGCAGCCTCGGTGGGCCACAAGAAGATGCTTCTGGAGAATTCGGCGATGGCCTGGTCATAGTCCTTGTTTTTCAGACAGTCAAACCCCTTGGCACTACTGCATCCGTCGCCGTCCGAGTGCGGAGAAGGTGGCATTGTTGCGAATCCGGCGAGGTGACCCGGCAAGAATATCCCGAGGCGGATGGAAGAGGGAACGCAGCATCACGGAGGCGGGTGAGTAGAGATGTTTGCTGACGGGAAGGAGCAGCACCACAGGGAAATGCAATGGTACGCACTGCACATCGGCCTGCCTCATGCGGAGCTCGTCCACAGTGACTCTGGGCGGTCTCGGCTTGGCCGAGGCTTTGTACATTTCTCACGGGCGGCTGTGGGAAGCAGGTTCGACGGAAGCAGGTTCGACGGAAGCAGGTTCGATGGGAGCAGTCCAACGGGCAATGCGGCAACTGGCGGCGTAAGATATCTCCGGCGACTTCACTGCTGGCAGTGGCATTGGCTCGACGCATCCTCTCTCGCTCGCCAGATCGTCGATCAGGGGCAATGACGCTGGTGGTGCGGCTGGATTGGTCGTGTGAGCGCGCCACAGGGGATTTGGACGGGCCTCGGGTGGGGATTTCGGCGCCCGCTGGTCTCGATCGCATCGCCCTCTGCCCGATCCTTCGCCATGGCATCCATCATCAGCAGCGCCCTCCAATTCGTCCACGAGTGCCGAGAGTTCCTCAACGTCTTCCTCTATGACTCTGGCACGGAGGCGTTTGAGCTGTATCCCACCCACGGCGCTGTTATCGTCGCTCTCCTGGTCATCCCCTTGATCATCAATATCTACGTCGCCTACTGGTTCTCGATCAAGTACCCTCCCTTGGTGAGCCGGGCTTGGCCAGCAGCAGAAAATGGATAGATGGACCGATGGGTGTCTAGAGAGGAGCTCTGTAGCCGATTTCGGTGCGCTTTCCATCCATCAGCGCCTGTTATCGGGTTCGGCAACCCCTGGCTCTGGGCCCATTTACTGCTCCTCCTGACGAGAACCCCCCCCCTTCGCCTTTCTACAGCCGCCTCTGGATCCCGCAGGCCCTTACGGCCCTCGGTCGCCCTACCGCCCTCGATCCGACAACAGCTCCCCGTCTTCCCAGCCTGCCGCCACCCCGGAAAAGTCCAAGAAGCTGAAGAAAACCGAATAGGTCCTCCTCGGCTACATTTGATCGACGGGGGGCTGGCCGATCGCACTCTGCATCCCCGCTCTGCACCGATTTCTCCACCCGTCACCTGCACTCTTGGCCTGTTTCCGAGCTTCTATGATGTGATTCCGTCTGTTTCCGGGTGCCACGCCTTTCCTGTGCAGAGCTCCCTCTGGATTCCGTTGCTACCAACCAGATCTTGCTGGTGCTTTGGGAAACAACGCCCGCTCCGTCATTTTCTGATGAGAATGTATTCTCATTGATGGAAACTCCCGGCTCTCCGAGTCATGACTATCGCAGCTCAAGGGCAATGGGTGAAGGGGGGGGCGGACGCTGTATTTTCGGTTGCCCGGGCCAGCCATCGAGCACAGCGAAGGATCCATGCATTGGTGCTTATGCCTTGGGCCGGGATGAGGTCGAAGACGAGGGCTCTTCCTTGTACGGATAGTCCAGAGTGCGATCCTTGCGCTTCCACACCCACTTCTTGACACCGGAGGTGCCGTAGGTGGCCGATACAAACACACACATGCGCTTCTTGAAATCTCGGATGAAAATAGGGTCCCACAGCTCGCTGGCGACGCCTAGATCTTTGCAGCAGCGGACGAGGGCGTTGGACTTGCATCCTTCCGTAGCGGTAGCGACACCATCCTCGGTGAAGTAGTCCTGCTCGCCTCGAGCCTGGGCAGCGAATCGTCCGAGACAGAAGAGAGAGTACTCGCGAGACATGGTTCGGCCATTCACCGAGTGCGGCCCGCGAGGAACCATGCCCCAGCCGCCGGGACCAAATGCTCGATTAAGGATTCGGCGATACTTGATCTCGGGCAGATAGAGGAGCCCGTCTGCAGAGGCCATCGAGCAGGTGTGAGCGCGAGCGCCAATGGTCTGCATCTGCGGAGACTCTGGCGACTCTACTGGCCTTACCTGGTTTGATTTCAATATCTGCCTCCTCAAGCGGACTCATTAGGACGTCGACGCTCTCCTTTGGAAACGGCTCGGACGAAACGCCGTAGTGGCCGGTCTGCACGTTCTCGTCCGACGGGAACCATGGCTCGTTGAAGGGAGACTGCTTGGAGCCTGTGGCCGCCGCAGAGCCATCGCCGGTCGAGTTGGATGCCGCTGCAGACGAAGATGCGGCTCTGGCAGATGTTGGCTTGGGCAGGTATCGGCTTGCAAGGAGCATAGGCCGCCCCCACGGCAGACCGGCCCCGGCCAGCGTCATCCGGCGGAAGCCAGGCGGAACGAGAACGGAAGCGGCTGCAGTCTGCAGAAAATGGGTCCGAGACATGGCTGATCTGAAGGACGGTAGAGCGAGCTGGCGATCGAGGCAAGAGCAGATCCTGGCCTTGCAAAGTCCAGGACCAAACCCACGACTGCGGTTCCCGCCTGGCAGATCGCGGCACAAACTGCGCCTGCTCGTCCAGATCGCCGCAGAGAACATGACAGCAAACGACAGCGGAGGCAAGTGTGATATTGCAGGGCAGTGCCTGCTGCGGACCACCGCTCAGATGTGACTATTGGCAGTGTTTTGCAGTGCACTGGCAGTGCACTGGCAGTACATTAGCAGGCAACGGCTCGCCACAAAGTCCCGCAACGAGAGCCGCCGGTTCAGTGCTGGCCCTCGAGCCATCGTTCACAGTCCAGAGCAGCCATGCACCCGGATCCAGCGGCCGTAATGGCTTGTCGGTATCGTCGGTCCTGGACATCACCGGCAGCAAACACGCCAGGGACGCTGGTGTACGAGGTCCCGGGCTGGACGACAATGTAGCCGTCCTGATCCAACTCGAGCTGATGGCCGTTGGTGCCGTTGCCGCCTTGCTGGAAGATGGTCGTGTTGGGAGTGTGTCCAATCGCATAGAAGAGGCCGTTGACGGACAAGTCTCGTCGTTGGCCCGTCAGCTTATCCTCGATCTCGAGCGACTGCAGCAGTCGCCCGTCGCCCTTGGCCTCGATCGGAATGGTGTTCCAGAGGATCTCAATCTTGGGATGGGCCATGAGGCGGTCGGCCATCACCTTGGAGGCTCGCAGCTTGTCGCGCCGGACCAGGACGTAGACCTTGGAGCCGTACTTTGTCAGAAACAGAGCTTCTTCCGCAGCCGAATCGCCACCGCCGACAACAGCGAGGGGCTTCTTGCGGAAGATGGGCACGGCACCGTCGCAGACGGCGCACGCCGAGATGCCCGACTGCCAGTACTTTTCTTCGCCAGGCAGGTTGAGACGCCTGGCGGTGGCCCCCGTGGCCACGATCAGCGAGTGGCAGAGAACAGGATCCTCGGCCTCTTTGTGCTCGAGCCACAGCTTGAAGGGCCGCTGCGTCAGATCGACCTTGGAGACGGTCTCGGTGTGGATCACGGTCCCGAACTTGGACGACTGCTTGCGGAACAGCTCCATCATCTCGGTGCCGGAGATGCTGTCGGGGAACCCAGGGAAGTTCTCGACTTCGGTTGTGGTTGTGAGCTGCCCGCCTGGCGCAATGCCGCCGGCCATGAATCCTTCGTACATGACCGGCTCCATGTTGGCTCGGGCACAGTAGATGGCAGCAGTGTGGGCAGCCGGGCCGGAGCCGATGATGACGACCTTCTTGAGCTGGGATTCGGCGTCGCCGAGGCGGGTCGCGGTCGAAAAGCGAGCGCCGGGGACGATTGCCGGCACAACGGCATAGTGGATCGAGATGGCGCCGACGCCGGCGACAATCTTTTGCCGCGGAGAGAGGGGAGAAAATGCCCCGCGGATGGCTGAACCCAGATAGGGCTTGAAGAACCGGGCAACCATGAGGCTGACTGCGGGGAGAGCTAGTGATAGCAAATCGCCGCGCCAAAGGGATATAAAAACGTATGAGCGGGACGGACAGGCACGGCAACTGGCCAAGACGGACATGAGCCGAGCAAGACCGATGGCGAATGACGACCAGTTGGTGGCTAATCGGAAGACTGGACGCCAGATCCAACGCACAACCGCAAAGATCGCCGCTGGGTGCTGAAACAGAATGCCATCGATCCAACGGCGGCAGCATTGATGCCGGAGTCCAGTAGTGGAATCGCAGCAGCGGCGACACAACACGCAGTACAGACATGCCCCGAGACTCACCACGGGGAAGGGATGTTGGCCTTGATGATGCAAGCCCAACAGAAGCCAATCCAGCGCCGATCAGCCGAAACATGGGTCGAGAGAATCGGCGAGCTTGCGGTCATGTGAGGGCCACATGCCTGCGCCATAGCCAGTCCAGCCAGTCCAGCCAGTCCAGCCAGTCCAGTCGGTCCAGAGAGAAACGGGACAGAGTTCCTTCCTGGCTTCAGATGTCTGAACCCCGCTGACTGACTGTAGACCCCAGTGGGCAAGCCACGCGATTGTTTCCCGTCCTGGTTGGCAATATCTTTGTGTGGTGTATCCACTCGATCCTCTGGACAGTTCTATGCTAACTCGACATCAAGATACTCGGGTGACTCGAGTCGCTTGGCTTCCCGACAATGTGAGCATACCTGGGATGTGTTGAACTCGTTCACCGAGCACTCATGGATCTTGGAGACGGATCGGTCTGGTGGGCGTCTCTGGTGATGGTGGAATTGCTTGAAATACCGAGCGAACCTGAGTCTCCTGGGACTGGAAGCATATCCCTTCCCTTGCTTCCACGAGGCATTCCCAAAGGCAATCACCACTTCGGTCTCCTTGGACATACTTGCTTGGCCATGAATGCGATGAGTGGGTGGGTGTATTCAGGTTCCAGAAAACACACTGTCGTGGTTAAAAACGGGGGTGTCCCATTTCATTTTGGAAACACTGTAGTCTAGTTTATTGGTACCAATTAGGACTATCGTACTATGAGGACGCTGATTAACTGTAGCGGGGATCTATAGGGATTACGAGCCAAGGTGCTCTTTCTAAATGAGATGGAGGGAAGGAGGAAAGTGATCAATCTATACCAGAGGGAGGATGCGGGTCCATTAGGAAGGATATGGAGAGCGGTGATCAATCGCCAGGGATACAAGGGGCAGGCACTGCAGGTGCTGGCTTCTGGAAGGCCATTCTGCGTAATGTGCTCGCCACAGCAGCACAGCTATTCATCGTCTTCAAAGACATACTCCTCTGGCTGGGCGCCGGTCGAGTTCAAAGTGGGTTCTGGGAACACAACGCTGCAGCTGAAGCGGTCGAGACGCAAGAGAGCGTCCTGTGCCAACGGATTGTGTCTGAGGTAAGCTTGCTCGTACCAAGGGATGGCCAAATTAGTGCTGGCATCGCAGCCCAGGCCTTCTTCGATGCAGTAGCCGCGATAGTACATGCCACTGGCATCGCCTTGGTCGCTGCTCTCGATAAAGAGCGCCAGGGCTTTTGCAGGATCTTTGTCCAGGCCGCCGGCTCCGTCAAGAAAAACCTTGCCGAGATTGGTCTTGACTTCAGGAGTCTGGTCGTCGGGAGCGAGTGCAAGATAGCAATGGACGGCAGCAGCGATATCTTGGTCGGTGCCACGTCCGTAGTAGTAAGAATGGCCGAGGCCAACGTTGGAAGAGGTATTGCCGCCCTGAACGTCCCCAAGGAACATGGTGAATGAAACGCCGTAGTCTTCCAGATTGTAGTGGCAATAGGGAATGCAGAACTTGGCCTTGACGAAGCCGTGACGCACGGCAGCTGAATACCTGTGGATGTCAAACATGGCGATGGAAGCATGCACCCAGTCAGAGGAGCACTCGCTCGGGCGGTGAAAGCACAGGAGGCTCGGGTACAGATGATATCGAGACTCGTGAAGCAGTGCAGGGATGAGGGCTAACGAGGCACTGGTACACCCACCAATAAAGCGCCTCGCTGTAGTCAACATCCAAACCGGCGTGGCCGTGATAGTGATAGCAGCCGACGCCGTAGGCAGCCTCGGGGTGGTCCATATGGGCGGCTTTCATCCATGCCTCAAAAGCAGCCTCCTCGTCCCGAATGTCCGAATGGGAGTCGTAGATGCTTCCGAGTAAGAAGAGCATCTCGGCGCTCTCGGAGTTCCGGAGACCCAGCTTGCACCATTTCAGTGCTTGGCTTGAATTGCGCTCGATTCCGCGACCGTGGTGGTAGAACGACGCCAGGATGCCATAGGCCAAGGGAAATCTGTGACGCGATAGAATGGCAATGTGTTGAGAATGTCGAGTAAGGGAAGGGGTGGGGAGCGGTGTGAGTAGCGTGAGTGGTGTGAGTAGCGGAAGCAGCCCAGCCGGGAGGATCCTTGAAGTTGCCCGAGCAGCGACAAGCAGAAGCGGATACTTACTGCTGGACAGCCGCGGCCAAAGCGAAATCAAAGGCCTCGGTCGAGTTTGGATCAGCGCTGGAGAGCAGGACAGCGAGCCGGTATTGGGCATTGGGAAGACCGTTCTCGGCAGCCTTGCGATACCACTTTTCTGCCTCGGCCAGGTCGACAGTAACGGCATTGCCGTGCTCATAGAAATAGCTAGGCTGGGTCAGAGGCGGGCCCGGGTGGCATGCGGGTGACCGAGCGAGTGCGATGGCCGCGGACTTGGCGAGATGCTTACCCGACATTGAACTGGGCCATGGCATGGCCGACAAAGCCAGCTTTCACGTACCACTTGAAGGCGCTGCGATAGGACTGCTCGACGCCGAGGCCCTTGGAATACATTCTTGCGAGGGCGACCTGCGCGAGGACATGTCCCTGGGTGGCCGCGATCGCATAGTTGCGGGCGGCCTCGCCGATGAGGTTCTGGCGCATCTCGGCCTCGGCCTGGGCAAAGACCTTGTGGGGTGTTGGAACGGGGGCGGTGGGACCGAGACTTGGATCAGGACCATCCATGGCAGGCGGGCAGACAGAAGAATGGGTTGAATGCAGGATGGGTTGCAGAGGCGGATGGTGGTGCCTGAGAGAGGAAATTGGACGGGCGAGACGCAAGCCCAGCGAAGACCGTGCGGAAGACAAAAGCAAAACCGGCGGCCGTGGGCATTACGGGCCTCAAAACGGCCGGGCCCGTTACGGGGTCGCAAGAAAAGATGATCGACCAGACTCGGCCGACGCGGACGAGGACGCTGGCGCAGGGCCTCCGATCCTTGTGGCCGGGGCCAGTGGACAGCCAAGGCAAGCACAGACGGGGAGGCCCACGAAGCCGGATGCACCGTTAACATTGCGCACAGCAAAAAAAAAAGGTGCTTTGGGTTGCGGGGCGATGCAGACAACCAGACGGACACGGGAGCAAACACATGGACAGAGGGAGACGGATGGACAGAGGAAAGCGGATGACCAAACCGATCTGGGCCAGCGGGGCTAAGAACGAGCCGGGGCCGATGGTGGACCGTGTGGGATGGTGTTGCAGTGTGTGGTGAGACTGCAGCCGGGATTACATATCGCATTGGATATGGAATTGCATATAATATTGAATATATGGAATTGAATATATGGAATTGCATATTGCATGTGGAATATGGAATTGCATACGGTATTGCATGTGGAATATGGAATTGAATATGGAATTGCATATGGAATTGCATATCCCACATCCTACATCCTACATCCTACATCCCACATCCCACATCCCACATCCTACATCCCACATCCCACATCCCACATCCCACATCCCACATCCCACATCCTGCATCCTGCATCCCCACCCCCGCGTCCGCACCCACGGATCCTGCTCGCACATGTCCCACCCCGCACCACAACAATCCCTCTGCACGCCCCCGCGTGCTCACAAGGCCCGCCACTTGTGCCTGCCTTTCCCGGTCTCCTGCCGCCTGCCGCTTTCTCGTCGTCGTTCACCACCATCTTTCTCTTCCGTTCGTCTGTCCGCCCCGCCCTGCTTCTTCCGTACGGCTGCTGCCCTCCTCCTTCTCCTCCATGGACGCCTCGATCGCTCTGGAAGAAAAGTATCTCGGCTCGGCCGCAGAGGCTGCCGTCCCGCTCATCGCCTCGGGCGACTCCCATGATGACCTGCCTCGTCGCCGCTATCCGATTGTCTCTGCGTTGGTGCTTTCAGTGCTGCTACTTATTGCCGGCCTGCAGTCGATTCTTGGCCCTCGGCCCATGGGTAAGTCTCATCTCACCACATTTTGCCCCCCCCCGACGGCCTCCTGCGTGCTCGCCATCGTCCGGCCGCCCTTTGAAAGCGCTGCTTCCCATTCAGCTCGTTTACGAAGCACCTCCGGTCGCTGCCGACCCATTCATATCGCCTCTGCCGACCCAGCTGCCACATCGCTGCTAATACGATCCTCTCATCCGTCGCTCATCGTCAGATCCCAGCGTTGGCTGCGACCAGTCGCTCGGCGATGGCAACTGGGTCTTCTTGTCGGACTTCAAGGGCCCCGCTTGGCAGCCAAAGGGCTGCTCAGTCCACTACTACGGTGCCCGCGATGCACACGCCTGCTTCAACAACACCCGCATCGCCCTCTACGGCGACTCGACCATGCGGCTGTTCTACTATGCCCTGCGGTATCGTCTCACCGGAAACGCTACCAGAGGTGCCGACCGCCATGCCTCCCAGCGCTTCTCGGTCGACGCAAACACCTCGGTTGAGTTTTTCTGGGACCCTTTCCTCAACAGCTCCGACATTGTCTCGGAGCTGAGTGGCTCGAGAGTCCGGGCGCATCGCCGCACCAGTGCCCTCGTCTTCTCGGCCGGGATGTGGTTCATGAAAAACGCCAACGACACCGAAAACGGCAAGACCCGCTTCCGGACGCAGCTGCGGGCCATTCAAAACGGCGTCGAGTATTCTCCGGTGCCCTTGGCCGACAAGGCCATTTTCCGGTACCTGACCCCGCTCGTCAACCACAAGCTCAGCGAGCACCGTCGCCGCAAGATGCGGTCCGGCTTCGTCGACGAATACAACCAAATCATCGACGATATGCTGGCCTCTCGCAGCCCGCAACGCTCGCGCCTGGCCACTTCCCGGTCCATGCACAACCTCTACGAGTCCGCCCTTGAATACGCCTACGACGGATTGCACTTTTCGGCCGAGATTGTCGACAACGAGGTCGACATGTTCCTCAACTGGCTCTGCAACCCAACCATGCCCAACCTGACAGCAACATGCTGTACTCCCCGGCCCCAAGTGCGCTGGAGCCAGTGGCTTCCCATCGGTCTCTCGCTGGTGTCGTGCCTCGGTGCATGGGTGCTGACATTCCATCGCAGCGGTAAGCTATTGGTGCGACCAGAAGCCGTGGATGCATCGATCTGGCTCTCTTCCGTTCGTGTGACGCTGCTCTGCTCCATCAGGCTGATGTGAGCGGACTGGATCGTATCCGCATCCATTCGGGGATCAGGCCACCAGCAGCTGGGTCGTCCTCGAATGCTGTCGGCGCGGTCCAAACGAGCATGTCTTACGGGTCGAGCCTTTTACTAACGCCGTGAATTGATTCTGCTGCTCAGCGGCCTCCTCGCGACTCCGATCGCCCAGCTACGCGCTGGCTTGGCGCCTGCTCGTCACCATGCTGACGCTTGCCCTCATCCTTGTCGTGTCGTACTATCGGTCCTTCAGCCAAGTTAATGTGATGGCCAATGCCGCCGTCGGCACCGTCTCGCTCCTCATAGCAGGCGCGTTTTTGCTCTGGGTGGTCATGTTTTGCAAGCCCGTGGGCCAGCCCTACCCAATGCTGCGGCAACTCGAGGGCGCCTTTGCCCTCCTCGTCCTGCTCGACTTTTACTTCAACCACGAGAGCCACCCGGATGTCCACACCCTCTCGCACATTGTCTTCAGCGCCTTTATCCTGCTCCGATTCCACAATCTCACTCTGTACCAGCTTTCAAGTCGACTGACGCACCGCAAGCAAATCGCCGCGGCCTGGATCGTGGCCGCTCTTTCGACAATGCTCATCACCTCGATTGTTCTGCGTGTTTCTGTATTCACGTACTCGGTCCCCATCCTTGTCATCGGCCTGGAGTTTCTGGGCCTGTGCATGGCCTTTGATGCAAGCATTTCATCGTCGTGGCTGGCCGCCAAGGTGTTCTTCCTGGTCTCAACGCTGACGCTGATGGCAGTCAACTCATCCATGCTTGCCAACACCGGGCTGCTGCAGCCGTCGGCCAAGCTGGGCGTCGAGACCCTGGCCCTGCTGCTCTCTGCCAACATATTCACGCCGGTCCTCGGCGTCGCTCTGGGCTCGTACCACTACCAAGTATCCACCTTGCCCCCGTCGAGCGTGTATACTCCAAAGTACCCGATCCTGGAGTTTATCACCAGCAGCTTTATTCTGATCGTCTGGCTGGCCTTGTCGGCTCTCCTCCCGTCGGACCAGTTCTGGCCAGCACACCTTGTTGTCTCGCCCCTGGGACTCGTGGCGCTCTTCTACTTCATGACGGTGACTCTTCCGCGCTGGGGCATCCACGGCATCCAAACGACTGCCAACGGCTTCTTTGAAACGGTCCATTCGGGCTTGTCGTGGGTCCAGTCGCGGTCCTTGGTCATGCTCGTGCTGCAGTACCACCTCTTGCGTGGTTCCGATGGCGACTCTGTCCTTGCCGTGCTGCCAACGCGCTTGCTCGAGATCGTTTCCAAGCCTGTCTTTCTAGTGTTCAACGGCCTCTTCCTCCTGGCCCTGCTCTGTGTCATCTCCGAAAACGTCTATCAACTCGGCTTGACCCTGGTTTCGTGGCTCTTTGGTTCAGCCAACGCATCCGACGACCGTCCGAGCTCGTGAACTCCCACCTGCCCGTCTTAGTTGATCAAGTCCGTCTGGTTCTCTGCCCTGACCAGACGATTCAGCCTCCCTCCATCTGATGCCAACTGCGCCGCCTGCGCACACACTCTCGGCCTCGGCGCCGTTCTATCTATTGTCCGGTATCCGGCAGATCGATCGTCAAGATTGCCGGCCAATGCCTGTGGTCTATGTACCATACTCTGCCGACCCTTCAATCCTGTCCCCTGCATTCGAGAAGGGCGCATTTGGTGCACCCTGCTCTTCACTTCTGCACTTCCTTCTCCCCGTTGCGTGGTTTGTCGACTTTGCTCTCGGGGCTGTAGCCCGGTTCGCTCATATTTGTTAGATCTGCCTCGCGTTACGATCCCACGTTGTTGCTCTTATTCTCTCTTTCTTTGCCTTGTCCCGCCTCCCTCGCCAGATCGATGGATCTGCATTTATCACTGATAGAAGGTTGAGCTCTGGCGACGGCGACATCTCTTGTCGGCCCATCAACCTCTTCCTGCACTGCTCCCTCCTTCCTCGATCGATTTCCTTCCCTTCTCCCTAGAAAAGAGTTGCTTGGCAATGTGTTGTGCTTCATAGATCGGTGGCACTTTTGCCCAAAGAGAAAGAAATACAGTGTTCGTTTAGCCAAATGAAACGGGACGTCCAAATGAAAGGAGCCATCCAAACGAAACGGGACATCCAATAGGAATGGCTGCTCAGCTGCTGTTTGCTCTGGTTGATGGACCCTCGCACGGCCAAGTATCCCGAGCAGCATCGCCAGTAGCAGTGGTTTGAAAAGGTTTGATTTTTTGTATATTTTCAGAACCAGGAAAAGTGGAGAATGAAGCAGAATCCCGTGGGAGCGGTTGTGAGCCGTGGCAGGGAAGAGCGGGCTGCAGGGAGTATTTCAGACGAGCGGGGTGCTTTGATGGGCGCAGCGTATCTGAAGGAGGGTGCAAAATGTCTGGGAAATGGTCTCTAGAGCCTTGGCCGCACAGGAACTTAATCCTTGCCACCCAGGGTATCGTTGGACTGAAGAACAGATCGCTGAATCTTGGTCTTGGACTGGATCTTATCGTCGTCACCACCCTTGAGCGGCGCCGTGCCGAGCTCAAGGTCAAGGCCGCGTCCTTCGGACTTGGAGCCAGGGGCAGCCTGACTGCCGTGGGCACTGACATTCTGTGCATTTGCCGGAGCATTGGATACGTTTTTGATGTTGCGGACAAAGTTGGTTTTGATGGTCTTGGAGACCTGGCTCTGTTCCCGGGCAAGTGCCCAGTACACCAAGGCCGATCGAGCCGTGTCGATGCCATGGGTCAGCGCCGTTGTATCAAAGACGAGGCCGATGCCAGGCCACCAAGTGATCGCCATCTTGATCACGATGAAGATGACGACGTAAAAGATACGGAGCTGCTCGTTGTTTCGCAGTTGACGAAAGATCTCTTGGGTGCCGGCAAAGACACCCTTGGCTCTGCTGATGAGGCCAATGATGAGCATCGTGGCTGTGAAGAGCTCCAAGAGAAGCTTTCAGGGAGTCGTTTCGAGTCGATATGTGATGAAATGAGAGCATTAATTGATTGTTGTCAGGACCAAGCATATCAAGAAAGCAGTGCTGACAATCGTCCACACTCATGGTGCATATGTACAAGGTCGCCAGTGGAGGGCAAATCGACATAGTCGATGCATATCCAGTCTTGCGTGACAGTCTGAGGCAGTGAGCCATCATGCACTCTGATATGCAGCACTGGCCTCGACAGAGACTACAACTACCTCAACGGTGTACTGCTGCTTGTAGTATGAAGGATAGGTGTCGCCGCAGAGATAGGAAGTCTTGATCTTGGACGTGCGGTTGACAGTGCCGATGGTCACCAGGGAACAGTGCACCACAATGGCAATCACAAATACCGCTTGGCAGAAGCGCTTGTATTGTGTAAAGAGCATCAGCCGAATCGCCAGGATCGTGTAGACGACATACCAGCAGCCCATGAGCGACGCTGACAGCAGCGGCGCACGCGGGCTGCAGTTCAGCCCGAGAAAGACGCTGTAACTGGTAGCAGTGATGATTTTGATGATGTAGAGAAGGCTCTGCACCAAGTTGAGAGTGTAGATAGGCTTCCAACGGCGCTCCTTTGCGACCCAGAACGACAGATAGGCCACGATGAGGGACGACCCTGTCAGGCCGCCAAAGACACAGGCGTTGATGGCGTTGGCCTGGAGCTGCTGAAAGGTCAACGACGGGACCAACGAGTCGAGCGGAGGAAACTGCGTTGGCGATGCCGACATGGTTATTGTAGGTTCGTGGTGGTGGCGGTGGCGGTGGTGGTGGTGGTCCCCGAGTGTCGATGCTTCGAGCAGCAAAGGCGACGGGAAAGAATGAGTCGCTCAAGCAGGGATCGCTGTCCAGAATTTATAGGCTTTAATGCACGCCCATGTTGAAACAGGCCGCTCTATATATGTGGATGACTTGTGTGGATTGAATGATGTTGATCGAGCTGGCTGAATGACGTCGATCGGCGCTCACGTTGTTGAGATTTTGCTCATGTCCTGCGTCCACTTCGCTCATCCCAGGTGTGTGCTCCTGCCTCGACTTGCAGCGACTGTGTCTGAAACGACTCGCTGGTCCTTGCTGTCCTCTCGATTCATGTATCTCTCTGCTCACAGGACACCACAGAACATCCAAGGACAACGGAACGGACACCCGAGGAAAATGCCATCTTTTGTACGCTACTATCCAGCGATGGCGTGCCTGTGTTTGAAAGAGACGATGCATCTCGTTGGTTTTCGACACGATGTACCTCCTGCCCCATGAGAACACATTTTCTCACCCACCGGCCACAATCGCCATCTACAGAGTTACAGCTTGGACGAGCTGAGGATGGCGGCAGCCCTGCAAAGGCTGTGGCTCAAGGGCACCGTCCGTCAATCGGCGTGTGATGCGACTGTGGATTCGACTCGATCATGGCGGTGACTTCACTCCTTGTCGATATGGTTGGCTGACGTAGCTGACCGACGGTTCTCGCTTGCGGAAATCGCATCCACGGCCGAATGCGCTGGATCCGCCGCCTTCGTCGTGGCCTGATCCGTGCCGGACCGCAAGACAGAGAGAGAGAGGCGGTACCCAGACACAGCCGCTTGCTGGACGATGTATCCACCCATCGGCGTTCTGTTGCTGGCGACATACGACTCGACTGGGCCGACGCAGCGCAGCGATGCATGAGAGCGAGGCGAGACGATGTCCAGATCGGACCATCGGTCTCGGCTTTGCCAAAAGTCTGCTGCAGGACTCTGTATCTCGGACACAGCGCGGCACAATGCGATACAGAGTGATGCACTACGATGCCATGCTATTCCATGCTATTCCATGCAGTGCCATGCTATTCCATGCGATGCAGAGCAGTTCTGCATGAATGCATGCAGTCATTCGCCATCCACCCGCGCGGCCATGCACTGGCATACCGCACTGGCACACCGCACTGTGCCTGCTCTCTGATACTCTGCTCGGCCGGCCGCATCGGGGCTGATTGCTGGTGGGAATGCAAGACAGGTTCTGCCGCCCCAACCCGCCCTGCTTTGGGGTTGTTGAGCACGCCCCTTTGTTGGGCCGACAAAACGCAGGCGGTCCTTGGCCTGTTGGCTTGCTCCCGCATCCGCTCTTCCACTGCTCTTGGCCAGCAAATCGCTTGTGCATCTCTCGCTCCCGTCTCGACTGGCCTGAACCGGATCAGACAGGCGCTGGCTTGGGATCCTCTCTGGCTCCCCCCCCCCGATAAGCTCTGCTCTGGCTGTGCCTCACCCGCTTCCGCCGATCGACCGCCTCTTTGCTTTTCGCTCCCGCAACGATGACCGTCTTGGGCCTTGGACAGCGGGCTGTTTTGCTGACTCGCAGCGCACTGAGACCCTGCGCCAGGTATGCGCTCCCTCGACTGCCCGGAATCTGCCCCGGGCCTCGGCCTCCGACGCTGCGTGTGTCTGCTCGGTCGGGGGGGGGAGATTGTCGAGGTGTGGCTGCGGCTGCGACATCGTGGGGTTAGTGCTGACGCTGCGAACAAGCACCGCAACCGACCCAAGCTCTCTGAGACGTCGCTCATGCCTGGCAATCCGGCCCTGACCCCCCTATCGTCGCATCTGCGCATCATCCCCCTTGCTCGCAGCCGCTGGCCGGCCAGCATCGCCAAGAGACTCAAGGTCTCTGCCACCAATACCAACCGCTCCCCCATCGCCTCCAACTGCGTTGGCGGATACGGCTCCGGCCCGTCGCCGGTCTCCCTCGGCTCCCTCGGCCTCGGCGCGACGCTGGCAAAGTCCTCGCCCAAGAAGACTGGCGGGCTGAAGCATCTGCTGAAGGAATATGGCCCCGTCGCGTTTATCACGTACATGGGTGTGTCGACAGTTTCGTTGACGATCTGGTACACGGCCATCACCTTCGGCCTCGACGTCGATCCCGTGCTTGCACAAATCACCCAGGCAACTTCGTGGTTCTGGACCAGCGGCGAAGAAGCCGATGCCCTCGAAATCTGCGCCTCGGCCAATATCGACGAGGTCTCGGCCGAGCACAAGGACGAGAGCCTCGAAGATTCCGTCAAGAGTGCCTGGGCCAAGGCCGGCACGACCCTTCTGGTTGCCATCGCCGCCCACAATCTGATTGTTCCGCTGCGGCTGGGCCTGACGGCGATGCTGACGCCCGCTGTGGCGGCCCGCATGCGTGCCCTGGGACTGGAGTTTTGGATGAAAAAGAAGTAGCCAGTCGCCGGGGTGGGGCGTGCTCATAGCCCGTCCAGAGCCGAACGGAACAACACCTCTTACACAGTTCGGCTCTGCTTGTTGTTGATTTGGACGAGCACAGTCTTGAGATACAATATGCATTCGGCCATCTGGACAGTTCCGTGGTTTCTCGACGGCAAGATGGGCGTCTCTGGTGATGGGTGGGTGTATCTGGACCCAGAACATTGGATCGCCCGGCCCTCCGCTCACAACAGCATCCCCCGTCCGCCTGGGTCTCTTCTGGTTGTGGTCGCAGGTCTGCTCGCTGGGCGGTGCTGGAACATCGCTCATGCCTTGCTGTGGCCCGAGTGGCTTGGCATGTGGCTTGGCGCGCACGTGCACAGCGGATCCAGCCAGCGCCCGCGCCGGCGTCGCCGGATCCAGCCAGCATTTCACTCCCGTCTTGGACCAGCACCCCTCGGCCATTCGCCGTCTTCCCTCCCTCGCTTGGCCTGATCTAGATCCGCCCCGCTGCAACGGCCCTGTCGATCGCCCCTCTGCCCACCCCCCGTCGCTGTCGTCCAACTCGCTCCCCAGCACCACCGAAAAAATGAATGGCATGGTACGACCCTTCCTGTGCCTGGCCCGGCTCAGCGGCGCTCCTCGCCTGATCGACGATCTGACATTTCCTGTTCTTCGCTCTCGCTCCGCTCTGCTCTGTTCTCGCCTCTGTGCCGGCTGAAATCGCACCGGGTCGGCGATCTTTACCGCCGTCTCCGGGTCCACCATTAGCAACCCCAAATCATCTTGCTCCGAGAGGGCACCGACACCTCCCAGGGCAAGGGCCAGCTGATCTCCAACATCAACGCGTGCCTTACTGTCGCTGACATCATCCGAACCACCCTTGGTCCCAGAGGCATGGACAAGCTGATCATCGACTCCAAAGGTAGAGCTCCTGAGGATCACGATGTGTGACATATGAAATGTGCTCTGCTGGAGAGGCGGAGGGCGCTGTTGTTGGCTGGCTCATGCAGGTGCAACGCCAGACACCCCCCGAGTTTGCGCCCACAGCGGCCGGTTGCGATCGCCAGCTCCGTTGGCGATTAGGGCCTCTCATTCCCCAGGATAAACACACTGCAATAGATTAATCGCTGACTCATCTGTCGTCCCGCATTCCCAGGCGAGCCCGTCATCTCCAACGACGGCGCTACCATCCTGAAGCTCCTGGATATCGTTCACCCCGCGGGCAAGGCTCTGGTCGACATCTCGAGAGCCCAGGACGTCGAAGTATGTGGTTCTCTGTCAGCGCTGCTTGTCTGGGCCCTGATTACGGGAACACGCATTCCTGGAAGGCGGTGTCAGCCAGGCTCGGGCTCATGGTGGTATCACTTATCAATGCATCCTTGCACAGGTCGGAGACGGAACCACCAGTGTCACACTCTTTGCGGCCGAGCTGATGCGCGAGGTTCGATCGTACATTGAGGAGGGTGTTCCTCCCCAGACTATCATCCGCGGCTTCCGCACCGCCTCGGTTCTGGTAAGCCTCGATTCGGATGGCCGTAGCTCCCGATGCCTATCCTCGTTGGCTGGAAACACACGCTGATCGTCTCATTTCGTGGAATCAACCTACAGGCTATCAACAAGATCAAGGAGATTGCCGTTAGCGTCGAGCGCACCAACGAGGCGTAAGTGCTGTTCTCCGTGCCTTGTGATTTGTGTCCCGATCGTCGATGATCTTGGTGGATTGGTGGCCGGAGAGGCAGACGCAGGGCATGGACAGCTGCCGTGGACACTGACTCCGGCTCTGCTGTGTGCCGTCTGTTCCAGCGAGTTCCGAGGTCTTCTCGAAAAGTGCGCTGCCACCGCCATGTCCTCGAAGCTGATTCACTCGCACAAGGACTTTTTCAAGAACATGGTCGTCAACGCCGTCCTCCATCTGGACCAGGATGAGCTGAACGAGAAGATGATTGGCATCAAGAAGGTTCCCGGTGGTGCCCTGCAAGACTCCCTGTTCATCGACGGTGTCGCCTTCAAGAAGACCTTTTCCTATGCCGGCTTTGAGCAGCAGCCCAAGTCCTTCAAGTCGCCCAAGATCCTTGCGCTGAACGTCGAGCTGGAGCTCAAGGCCGAGAAGGACAATGCCGAAGTCCGCATCGAGGAGGTCAAGGTAGGTCTGCTTGGACCCTGGTCGTCCTGTCAGCCATGCAGCTCATGCTGCGAATCAGGCAGCTGCGACTTTGGCTTTGGCTGCCGGCATGGCGAGCGGGCTCCGTCTCTTGCCGCCCTCAGGCCGGTCGACCTTGCATGCCAGTCTCTGATGCGACCGCCGCCATTTTCAGGACTATCAAGCCATCGTCGATGCCGAGTGGTCCATTATCTATCAAAAGCTCGAGAAGATTGTTGCCACAGGAGCCAAGATTGTGCTGTCCAAGCTCCCCATCGGCGATCTTGCGACGCAGTACTTTGCGGACCGCGACATCTTCTGTGCTGGCCGTGTTGCCGCCGATGATCTCGGCCGTGTGGTCAAGGCCGTCGGCGGAGCTATCCAGTCGAGTGTGAACGATATCAGCGCCGATCACCTCGGAACCTGCGACTTTTTCGAGGAGCGACAGGTTGGCGGCGAGCGGTACAACCTGTTCCAGGGCTGCCCGCAGGCCAAGACTTGCACCCTGATCCTCCGCGGTGGTGCCGAGCAGTTTATTGCCGAGGTCGAGCGTAGTCTGCACGATGCCATCATGATTGTCCGACGAGCCATCAAGAACAAGAACGTTGTTGCTGGCGGTGGTGCCACCGAGGTAATGATTACGATTGCCCGTGTCCTCGAACGCCTGTCCGTGCATCTGTCGAGCCACGATGGACCGTTTGTTTGGCGAGTAGCCCGGGATGTTTTTCTGGCGAAAACCAACATTCACCATCGGTCACTTGCGTGGTTCGATGGCCATTGGTTTCCTTCACTGATCGCCGTGAACGCTGTCATCCGTACTGTCACAATTGTGGCTCGACATGGAGGCGTCAGGCTTGTGGAATGGTATTTGCTAATTGCGACTGAACATCTTGACGCTTTGCGCGCCGCACCACAGATGGAGCTGTCGAAATACCTCCGCGACTACTCTCGTGGTGTTGAGGGCAAGCAGCAGATGGTCATTGCCTCTTTTGCCAAGGCTCTGGAGGTCATTGCTCGCCAGCTCTGCGACAATGCCGGTTTCGACTCAACGGACATTCTCAACAAGCTCCGCCAGAAGCACGCCCAGGGTACGTGTGCTGCTAGATTGACATGCCTGTTTCTGGACGGGGCACATCTCGTTCAACCAGACGCGAGCCTTGCGATCCAGATAGGGCCTGGTCTGCCCTCATTCCCGCATTCCTGCGCTGTGTGGTGTGGTGATTGCTTGCGACCACGCCATCTTTAACCCAGATTCCCGATAATCTCAGGCGGCAAGTGGTACGGCGTTGATATGGAGAGCGAGTCCATTGCCGACAACTTTGAAAAGTTTGTCTGGGAGCCCGCCCTGGTCAAGATCAACATGATTGCCTCGGCCACCGAGGCCGCATGCCTGATTCTCTCCGTCGACGAGACCGTCAAGAATCCCCAGAGCCAACAGCCCGATGGCGGACCCGTCCGCGGCGGCCGTGGCCGTGGCGGTATGCGAGGTCGCGGCATCCCAAGACGCTGAAGCGGCAATACTCCTATCGGACCAGTCTCCACTGTGTCCGTGCCGGTACGGGCTCGGGCGTCACATCCCCAGCACCAACAGAAGCCCTCCCTTTCGTCAACATGCATTTCTCAGAACCAGCCGTTCCCGCAGCCCGGTACCCTTGTTCATCAATCAATCACACCAATGGGCTGCAGAATGGCTTCAATAAAAGTGTACTTTTGTACTTTTGGATGACGTTCTACAATCGGCATATATCGTCCCTTCAGCGCGCCGTGGGGACCGAACCTTTCAGAGTTTCGACAGCAGCTTGCCCTGGCGGTCGTCTTGATCATACTCAAGCTTCTGCATTTTGTCGAGCAGATCCTTGTCGTCCTCGGTGAGTCGCTGGTGCGGGAGGATCGAGGAGCCCAGAGCACGGCGCTCGACTTTTTCCAGCGGCTGCCCCGTCTCTCGTGATATAAGTGCCGATACCCTGGGCTCACAGAAGCGGCCCTGACAGGCCCCCATGCCGGCCCGTGTCCGTCGTTTGATGGTATCAGTCGAATGCGCCTGCACAGGCGAGGGCCGCGACATGGTGTCGAGGATCTCAGCCTCGGTGATGCCCTCGCAGCGGCATATGATGTTGAAGCGGGGGTCGGGGTGGTCGACACGATACGGCCCGTTGGGCTGCTTTGGCTGGATCAGTCGCCGTCGGCGGGGCTGGAACGAGTCCTTGGCACGAAAAGCCAGCTGCGTCTTGGACTGGAGGAGCTGACAAACGACCAATGCAATGGCCGGCGAGCTCGTCAGACCCTGCATCGAGATCACATCCAGGCAGATGGTGGAAAAGTGAGAGGAGGGTGAGATGGCAGAATAGGTTTGATGCACAGGAGCGCGAAGAACGAGTTTGTTTTCAAGTGGCCGATTCTGGGTGAGAACATTTGCCAGCCGGTCTGCCCGCACCCTCGGCCAACAGAGACAGTTACTCACAGGCGAGTCGATGCCGGCAACGTTGATAAAATTCTTCACCGCAGGATTCTCCTCGATTACAAAGTCTTTCCGGCTGCACTTGGCCCGGAGCCCGGTGTACGAGGTGATGGCGTGCGACACATCAAAGGCCGGGAGAGATTGCTGCGCGGACTTGATGATGAAGTGCAGGACGTGGGTGTTGGTTTCTTCAAAGGACTCTTTGAGGGTCCGCGAGGTCGGCCCAAGCAAAAGATTGCCCCAGAAGGTCGGGCTGACGAGGATGCCCTTGCCGCGCTCGAGGGAGGGCACTGGGAACAGCACATGCTGGGCCAGATGCCCCTGGGACTTGTCGAGCAGGATGTACTCGCCTACAAGAGTCGGGTTATGGTGAGCGGCGTGCCATTAACGAGAATAAGATCGCCATATGCCGCACCAGTGCGCCAGACGGGGAGGATCCCGATATCCATCCGCACTGCCCGCCTTCGGGCCGGGATGCAGTGATGCGATGTGACGCGATACGATGCGATGCGATACCAAGGCGATGCGATGCGCTGTTTCGCGAGGACTTACCGAGCCGAGGTACGATCTGAAAGTCGCAGGGCCCGACCATCTGTGCGATCTTGTCGGCATAGAGCCCCGCACAGTTGATGACCACACGCGAATGGAAGACTTCATAGTCCAGGGTCGAGTGGTTTTCAGCCCGGATGCGAAACAGTTGCTGTTGCGGTGCTGGTGCCGAGCAGGCAGGTTCTTCGCCACCGGCCTGATGGCCATGATGATGCTGCCGCTGGAGATTGCCTGGAGAGGCCTCCTGCAATGACAGAGCCTCGATACCAACGACCTCCCGGAGCAACTTGATCTCGACGCCGTTTTCCATCGCGTTTTCCGCCAGGGCAATGACATACTCATACGGCGACGTGATCCCGGTGTGGGGGCAATGCAGGGCCGCAACGACGCTCGGATGAACATGCGGCTCGATCTTGCAGATCTCGTCGTATCCATCCAGGATCCGCAGCCCCTGCACCCCGTTGCGGGCACCATTCTGCAGCAGCCGGACCAGCTCGCCGTCCCGCTCCTGCTGGCTGAAGGCCAAAACAAGCGAGCCGATCCGCCGGAAGCCAAACTCGAGCTCTTCGTCGAGCCCGGAAAAGAGCTGATTGCCCCAGTGCGAGACCTTGGACTTGAGCGTGCCGTGTTCCTCGTCATAGCCGCCGTGGACGATGCCGCTGTTGGCCTTGGACGCTCCCTGTGCAATATCACTGGCCTTTTCCAGCATCAGAACCGAGAGCTGGTACTTGGCCAGTTCGCGGGCAATCGAACAGCCGATCGCACCGCAGCCGACGATGATGATGTCCCAGATCTTTGGGCTCTCTCGGGTGGGGCAGTTGGTGCATTGCTGGGTGCACGGCTGGCGCCGACCGCCGGCTGGTGCGGCCAGATCTTCAATGTCTTTGATGCACACGCGGGTTGCCATTGTCTCGGGCAGGTTAATTGGGGAGAGATGAAGCAGGAGAGCTGCGGGAGGGGGGCGGGAAACGAATCGAATCGCCCGGATACGAGCAGGATCGGGTCTGAATCGCAGTGACCGCGGCTGGCGTTTGCATGTGCCGGGCTATTGCGCACAAGCCCTCGTGCAATCCTGATCGCCCTGTGAGACTTTGGCTTGCAGTGCTTGGCCTGTGCGAGGGAGGTGCATGGAGTGAGTGGGTGCGACGGGGACCAGCGAGCCTCTGCAGATGCAGTCACTGCAAGTCAGAGCAAAGAGCAATATCGTTGATTTGGGTACCGATCAAAGTCGCCCGATTCACATTACCCACGCTACCCACGCAACCCTCTCAAGCCATCCGTGTGTGAAGGCGCTCCGTTTCAAAATAAGTACAATGTATTCGTGGGCTCTCTCGGCCACGGAGCAGACCGCCCTTCTCGGTCCAAAATCGGTCATCTGGCTCCGGCATTGCATTCGAGACAGGCTCGGCCCGGTCAGTCGACTCGCTCGCGGGTCTCGCATCCCTCTGGTCCTGCGCCAATTGCGTTCGGCGGGCTGAGCTCTCGCTCGCCCAGACCATCGCGCTCCCGCTGAGGATCCGAGTCGACTCGAGACCGCCGGCGCTCTGCCAGAGTCTTGTCAAAGCCGCGCTCATGCTCTCGTTCGTCCCAGTCACGGCGGGCTCGCTCGCGGTCGCTCCGGTCCCAGTCTTTGTCTCGTTCGAAGCCTGTTCGCTCCCAGTCTCGGTCGCGGCGTTCCCAGTCCCGGTCGGCTGTCCAGTCTCGGTCTCGATCGCGGTCCCGATCGCGGTCTCGATCCCGATCTCGATCTCGGTCCCGTTCTTTCTCCCGCTCTCGCCAGCCCCGCTGATTGGCGCTGGGCGAGTCTCGTTCCCAAGAGCCATACTCCCGGTCGCGGGCCCAGTTGCGGTCGCGAGGGATGTTGGCAGCAAGTCGTTCGTCTCGGAACGACGGCGTCGGCCGATCTCGATCAAAGTACGGGCGAGATGCGCCTCCGCGAGGCTCGCGGAACGGAGGGCGTCCCATGTACTGGTGGGGCTTGGTGCGATCCGGATCTTGGTCGCGCTCTCCGATATAACCGGGCTCAAGGGCATCGAATCCCGAGCTCGGCCCGCCGCCTGGGGTCGACACGGACGATGATGGTGCTCCGCGGAATTCGTATCCGCCGAACCTGGCTGGGCGGCCGCGGAATTCTCGAGGCTCGCGCCTGTCCTTGCCTTCGGGAAGGCCGCCTTCGTAGAAGCCAGCGTCAGGCCCGTCGCGGTATCCGCCTCGGCGGTGTCGGGCTGCATGTTCCGGATAGGGAGGTCCGTTTCCAGGCTTGCCACGAGAATCTCGATAGGGCGGCGGGCGGGAGAAGGACGGGGGCACCGACTCGGAAATCTCGCCCTTTTCGAGCCCGTTCACGGACTTGGAATCGTCAAGGTCATCGGTACGCCTGCTTGTCGAGGACGGCTGCTCCTCAGACTCTGGTTTCGCCAAGGTCGCCGACGAGGGCTCTTCTACATATCGCTGGCCATCGCTGCTGAAGAGTGGCTTTGTCGGGCTGTCGTTTGAGCCAGCAGGTGGTTCCAGACTCGGCTGTGGCAACGCCTTTTCTGCAGCCAGGCCGATCCCCAGGTGTTGCAACGGCGGCTTTGCTTCGAACGCTTCGCCTTCTTCCTCTTCGTCTTCCTCCTCAGCGCATCCCTCGGGGTTTGCCGGGTCGTAGAGCTGCTCCGAGCTCTTCTGTTTGTGCAGCCGCTGGCCCGGCACAGAGTTTGGAGCAGACTCGCTTGTTGGTTGGGCATGTCCTTCTTCACGTTTCGTCGGCGTTTCGCTGCGAGTGGCTGCTTCATCGCCGAGCTCCTTGGCAGGCTCCTTGGCAGGCTCCTTGGCAGGCTCCTTGCGAACAGCCTTGTCGTGCTCGGGCCAGTCAGCTTCTCTTGAGAGTGAGGAGCGAGCACGCTCTCGTCCCGGTCGATCTGTCGGAGCTCCAGGGCGAACGTCTCGTGGCCAGGGAAGGTCCTTGGGTCGGTCGGTCCATTCTCGGCCTTCGAATCGCTCGCGATCTGGGCGGTCCGGGCGATCCCGGTCTCGATCACGTTCGCGGTCTCTGTCACGATCGCGGTCTCGGTCCCAGTCCCGATCCCTTTCACGGTCTCGATCTCGATCTCGATCTCGATCCCGGTCGCGATCCCAATCCCGTTCGCGATCTCGGTCTCGTTCGCGGTCTCGATCTCGATCTCGATCCCAGTCCCAGTCTCGTTCTCGTTCTCGACCGCGATCGTGATCACGGTCTCGTTCGCGGTCTCGATCACGGTCCCAGCGGATCCATGGGTCGCGCTCTCGGCCGGCGGGCGGTATGTATCCACCCACGCGGTCCCAGTATCGCTCCTTGCTTCTGCGGTCCCAAAACTTGTCGCCATCCACAGGCGATGGGTTCGGTCGGTCTGCGCCGGCGGGTCCGGGTGCTGGAGAGTTGGGTCCAGCGGGCGTCGACAGAGCAGGCCCACCGGGTCGTGTTCCAGGATATCGTTCCATCTCACGGGTCCGGGACCAGTCGTGACGGGGAGCTCCAGGCAAGGCCGCATATCCAGTGGATCGCTCACGGCCTTCCCAGTAGCGGTCTCGGTCCCGGTCCCGGTCCCGGTCCCGATCGCGATCCCGATCGAAGGTGCGTTCGCTGTCGCCGAGTCGGCTGATGTCGAAGCCTTCGCCCCTATCGTCGGCAGCAGACTCCTTGCCGTCGTGTCGGTCGCGGAGTGGTCTCGAATCTTCAAACGGAGCCGTGTCGAGGCGTCTGGAAAGGTCCATCCGATCGCCGCCCTGTCTTGGTTCGCTTCGGTCGGTCAGACTGCCAGCCACTTGATGCGCGTTCTCCTGCAGCATAAGTCGGAGGTCGGGAGAAGATCGACCACCGTCTCGGGATGGCCCTAGACGACGAGATGGGTGTAAGCGTGTGAGCATGGTGATCAGCTGGTTCGTGTCCCCATGCCGCGACTGCGCTGCACATCTGCCCTTCAGGGCGTGGGGACTGATCCCAATTGGAAGCCTCACGACCGGAAACTTCGAGCGTGAGTCGCAGCGTCACGACAACACAAAGTACACAAGGGAAACGAACCTGGTTGCAGCCTCCTTGATTCATCCAGCTGGGGCGCCGACGGGGAGGTCATCGAGGGACCTGGTGGTTGGTGGAAGTCTGCGAAAGGTTGCTTGGATGTCGGTGATGTCAGAGGGTCAGAGCTGGTTGCCGTTCCGGGCGATGTCTTGGAGCCCTGAGAGGGCCCTGGGCGAACAAGCACACCAGGTGCGGGTGTAGCTGAAGCAGAACTCGGGACAACCGACGAGGGCTTCTTGATCTGGGCATGGGGATGTCCGGGGCGAGGGGCGCTGCCCGTGAAGGACGAGGGGATGGCCGCTGATGACTGGCCAGCCGCTGCGCGCGGATATTGTGCGGTTTCAGATGGAGGTGAGCGGCGAAATGGCTGCCGGGCACTAAAGAGCGGTGGCGGCGGCGGCGGTAGCGATGATGGGCCCTTTGCCGCTACTGGGCTTGATGATGGCTCTGATGGCTCTGCGCTGGAGCCCTGGGTCTTGAACCGGGTCGGAGTCGGGGTCGACGGTTGCTGCAGCGGCGGTGGTGGCGGAGGCAGTGGAATTGGAGTCGGCTGTGGTGGCTGTGGCGGAAGAGATAGCGACAGAGGTGGCCGCTGAGACAGCTCCCCCCCGGTCTGCGAGCCGGGCTTCGAGCTTGACGGGACCGCTGATGTCTTTGTTTGGGAGACTGCCAATGAGCTTGGCGATGTCCTCTCGGCACCAGCACCAGCGCCGGCAGCGGCATCGCGGGGATGCATCGAGCCTGATGGGCCAGCACCGGGCTTTCCAACTGAAGCAATCGACGAGGGCACAATCTTGGGAGACAGCGGCAGCGAAATCTTTGGCGCCGAGAGTTTATGCTGCGTGAGCGTCGATATCGAGGACGATGAGAGCGATGTCGCCTCTGAGATTCCGCCGAGCGAGCTCGCAAGCATGCTCTTTTTGCTGAGTAGCGTCGCGACATCCATGGCCGGGAACTTGGAGACCGGAAAGTGGCCGCTGGGTGTTGGTGGGGCAAGCGGAACCACGGGCACCTTTGACGACTCGGCCTGGGTACTGTCGTCACCAAGAGTCTCGCCCTTGGCTGGTGCGTGAGGGACCAGGGGCGGGGAGGGTTCAGATGTCAGCAAGAGCAAGTTGGCCAGAACGAGTGTGGATTGAGTGCAAAGCAACCAACATCAGGATTGCCCCACCGGCTACGAGAATTGTAAAGAAAAAAAAAGCATTGCGTGGCATAGAGCCGCAGGGTGGAGAGAAGTGGCCACCAAGCTCCACACGGTTGACACACAGCTCAAGTACTTACCAAGCATAGAGTCCAGGTCCACTGCGCTCAACGCACCAGGCTCAAGCGACTGGCTCAGGGAGGAGGGCTTGGACATCGAAGGTTGAGGCGCCTCTTCTTTTGGTTCGATAGGCCGCGCTGGTGGTGCGGTGCTGTCCGGGTTGGCAGACGGGGTTGTAAGGCCCTTGGTCATCAAAAAGTCCTTTAGAGACACCTTCTTGACCGTCATTGGCGTCGGTGTGGCTGGCGGCGGCACTTCGCTGTCGTCGACCTTGACTTTTTTGTTGGCGTGCGCTTGCTCGCCATCGCTCCGTCCGGGGGCAGCTTCGGCTGGCGATGTTGCCGAAGAGGTTACGATCGACAGGCTCTCGCGCCGGCGCTTGGCTGCCATCGTCTCCGTGGAGTCGGCACTGGCAGCGTCCATCTCGGCCAGCACCGGAAACGAGGGCGATAGCGACTTGCTGGATCGCGTCGGTTGATTCAGCGATTGAGCCGTTGCCGCTGCATACGACTTTGCCCATGCTTTCTTGCCGCCCATGACTGTCTTGGCCGAGGGGACGCTGGCAACGGTGGTTGAGGAGGAAACGACCTTGTCGGGAACCCTCTGCTCAGACGCCGGCAGGGCCAGCGACGATTCGGATGCAGCTACGGGAGTAAGCAATGGCTTGGCCGATTTGTCCGAGGGCGAATCCTCGCCTTTGGCCGGGCTGGATGGGTTGGTGGTGATTTTGGCCACCGTGATTTCCTCTCCGCGCCTCTTCTTCTTCTTGAGCCGTCGCTGCTCCTCGATTCTGTCGAGGCGCTCGAACCGAGCCATCTCGTCGGCCAGCTTGCGCTCCTCGCGGGTCATGGGTCGGCTCGGCACCGCCGGCGGGTCGTCCGACACAAGAGTCTCAGGCTGTGTAGACTTGGTCTTGGTTGATGGGTCCAGCGACTCGGGTTTCTCGGAAGTAGGGGGGGCTGCCGGCGGTGACGACGGAGCGGAGCCCGTTGTGGCATCGTCGCCGTCAAGAGCAACGTCAGTGACGCCCTTGTCCTGCGACGACTTGAGCTTACGCACCAGGCTCTCGGGAAGCCCCTTGGCATGCTGTGCGGCACTTTCGGACGAATAGACGCTCGGCTTCCGCTTCTTCTTCTTGATGTCCACATGCTGTTCCTCTTGGATGCTTTGGTCGTCTTCAATGTCGACGTCCATTTCTCCCTGAGGTCCCTGCTCGCCCTCATAGAGCTTGGCGACACGGTGGACAAAGCAGGCCTCCGGGTTGGTGCAGACACAGGGGAACGTCATCCATCCGTCTGTCTGCGGGCCGATGACGATCTCCTGTCCTTCACTGATGGCCTGTGTGGCAAAGATATAGAGCCTCAGACTCTCGTTGAGGCTCAGGGGATGGAGTATCTTGTCGGTGGCATCGAGTTGAGGTATCGGCTTGTCATCATCGTCGGAAGCCGGTGACGGGTCCTCCACGACGATGAAGCTCTTCAGTACGGCGTTGACGACGACGCCGCCCCGGCCTTCGGTTGAGCCGCACCACGAGCGGACAAAGCGGCCGTCACGCTGGCCGACCTTGCGAGCATCAACAACAAACTGGCCGACGGTGTGGCGGAACATGTATCCTGGAGCAACATAGGCGTAGTTTGTGGCGGTGCCTGCTGATTCGCTGCGGAACACCGACATTGAGGTTTTGAGGACGCCCCATCGAGCAGTGGTTCGCCGCGAGAACTCGGACTTGGGCAGGCTTCCGAGTGAAGACTGAACATCGGTGAGGACACCCCGAATTTCGTCGATGTAGCTGCCGGCCGGAATGAAGCCATGCGCAAACAGGCCATTCTGGCGGAAGCTCTTACAGCTTTCATCCACATAGTCAACGATGGTGCGCGGTAGCGGTTGTTGCACCAACGAGCGCGAGACAACGACCACTTCACCGGATGACTGTGGGGTCAGGATGATGCCGCTGTGGGGGGGGGAGCAGGTACATTGGGTGTGAGATTTGCGTGGCGGACATGCGTACTGGATCTCGATACCAACAGAAGCGGGTGCGCCGAGCACCGTTGGCGGCCGGAAGCGATCCTTGTTCAAACGGAAAGCGCAGACGGAGTGAAAGGGACATACCTGGTGCCCTGACTCGAGGCCTTGTTCACAGAGCGGAGAAGATGCTCGACATCATCTTCAACTTTGCCGCTGCCAAAGTCATTGAAGTGGCAATGCGCAAAGCGGTGGGCCAAGATTGAGTACTCGGTTTCGAAAGTCTTCTCGTGGTCGTGGCGGCGCAGGATCGAAGCCTCGATGTACTCGTCCTCCGAGTCCGATCCGCGGGGCCAGTTCAGCAGTCCATGAAGCTTACTGTCGGGAGACGGCGCGCTCGAGATTTTTGGGCTGCCGACTGGAGTGTTGACCCTCCGCGGTGTCGACACTGGATCAAGGCCACCAGAAAAGAAGCAAGATAGGATATAGATAAGTTGGGCTGCTTGGCACCGGGCGGCTCGATAGCAGCGTATGATCGTGGCGATTCAGTCTTTGGATCAAGCGATATGAGCAAGGTCTGGATCCCTATGCGAGATCAAGGGATAGCCGAGGCAATGGTAACGGAGGCAATGGTCCCGGATGCAATGGTCCCGGATGCAATGGTCCCGAATGCAATGGTAACGGATGCAATGGTAACGGATGCAATGGTAACGGAGCCTCACCCATGTCTTTGGGACGCTTGCCCGAGTACGACGTTTCAGTATCCATACCAAAGTCTGGCTGGTCTTTGTTCTTACGCTTGACGGTTTTGTCGGTCCGCCGGGCCTTGTCGTCGTCGATAGGGCCCTGGCGAAAGGGTTTGGGGGGCTTGGACGACTTGGCGGCCTCTTTTGGCGGGTTGTCGGATGAAGACAGCGCTTTCTTCTTCGGAGAGAGGCTTGGAAACGGATCGCGGTCCTTCTTGATCGTGGGTGTCAGGGGTGGATCCACGATCGAGCGGCGCTTTCGGCCATCGCGGTTTTGCTTCTTGATCGACTCTTTCTCCAGGCGTTTTCTCTGCAGCCGGCGAGGAAAAAAACGAAGCAGGGACGTCAGAGGGTGCAGATCGGAACGATACGCGGCGGCCGTAGTGATGCGAGCAACAGAACAGCGGGTGGATCCGGGCAAGCTACAAAAAATAGCAACCAAGACCATGATCGATCGGTCACAGAGGGCCAGATGCACTCGATCGATCAGGCCACAGCAAAGGTGTGGGTACTCAAATGAGACTGATCGCAACACACGCGAGGCCCGAGGGATGCTGCCCAAGCCCACCACGCCGGATCAGAATTCGGAAGCGGCTCGTGATAGCCATGAGCCTCCCCCCCCCCCATAAAACTAGCGCCCGCGCATAGGAGAGTGAACGACGAAAGGCAGGCAGACGAGCTGAAGAAACGGGGTGATGAAAGCCCCGTGGAGGGCGACGCGGGCAGAATCAAGGAAGCAAACAGGAAGCGGCAGGAAGCGGTAGAGGGGGGGCGAGCCAGGGCCAATGGACGTACTTTGGTGAATCCTCGAGGATCGCACTTTTCACAAATATAGGTATCGGGCAGATGATCCGAGTCGGGGATGGGCGGCTCAAAGACGCAGGCGACGTGCTGCCAAACGAGGCAATTGTCGCATTGAACCGTGTAGCCGTCATCCTCGGTGTTTCGGCAGATACAGCGGATGATGCCCTCGTCCTCGCGGATATCGTCGTCTCGCTGATCATCCTCGTCCATATCGTCGTCCTCGATCGGGTGGCCATCGAGCTTGGAGATGGGGCGTGGGGACTCTGTTTCGTTGTTCATAACACTGTCATCCCGGAGGGAAGATGCGGGATTGTCGCGGCGGATCTCGAGCGAAAGATGCAGAGCGAGATAGGGATTGGATTTACGAGGCGTCGGATCGGGAGAGGGAGGCTTTGGTCTGCTTAGACCCATGCGATATGGAGGGAGGTCAGCGCAAGGCAGCGAGATTCTCCTAGTTGGGGACAGGAACGAGGGAGTGTGCCGGTCAAGACAGATGGGGGCAGATCAAGCCCGGGTGTGGTTGTGGTGCGTATCGGAGGAAGCGCGACGGAGGTGGATGGGCAGGGTGCAGAAGCGGGTGATCCAGGCGAAGCTGAGCGATCGATGTGGGCCGGCGAAGGCTGCTCGAGGCAATAGCGGCCGATGTGGGCGAGACGCAAGCACGGCCGGGCAGAGGCAGAGGGGATTGATCGACAGCGGGCGAAGGGAAGGGGATATGATCGCTGGGGAGGATTTTGGGAATGAGGCCGATGCAGGCGGGCCAGCCACAGAGTGGCTCGCTCCGCTGGCCAATCAGCGCGCGCGACGCAGCCCTAGGGGAGGGCGGAGGGCGAGGCGGCGGGCGGCAGCGAGGGTGGAGCGAGAGCGGAGGGCGAGGCGGCCGCGCGTGACACAGGGCTGTTTCGCAGGCTGGGTGGACAACATCATCAACAACAACGTCGCAGCAACGATCACGCAGCGACGCAGCGACGATATCGTGACGGCTGTGAGACGCTTGATATGCGCTGTGGCCATGTTTGTTGCGAATCCCGACGGCGGGGTCAGCACGGCGATGCAAGGCGATGCAGGGCGATGCAGGGCGATGCAGGGCACGCAGATGGAGGCGCATGTCCCCAGCTTGGATGGAGTATTGCCTGATGATGCTTTGGCCATGTGCATCTCCCATTGATTCCGCCAGGTGTCCTGGCCCCGAGCATTGGAGCAAGCTCCCGTTCGTGCAATCGGCCGGAGGGCATGGTGTCGGCGCTGGTCGCAACAGGCGCCTGCATCTCGGCGAGAAGGCAGGTCCGCCCTCGCCATGTCGGAGCCGCTGTCCCGTGTGGCTTAGAAGCCTTTTTTTTTTTCTCGGTGACTCAAGAGCCCCGCTCCTCGCTCGCGCGCCGAGACGCGCCGAGACCCGTCGAGGCGCCACTCTCTGCGGCTCTCGCTGGCTTTTATGGTCGGGTCTCTGCGCTTCCTGGCTTTCTTCCCTCTCTACCTCCAAAGCATCCGTTCCGTCAAAGTTCACAGAGGACCTTAGACCGAGTCTCGTTCGTCAGTGGAAAAGATAACACGTTTATTCTTTTTCTTGCTTGCTTGACTCTCTCCTTCCGTCTCTTGTGGCTTTTGCTTTTCAAAAACCCATATAAAACTCAAAAAAAAGCCAACCAACGAAAGGAATCCTCCGATTCTCTCTTGGTCCAAAAAATTTCAAAAATCACATAATCTGCTCGAGCAATCCAGCCTTCCCCCCCTTCCTTTCACTTGATCCTTTTCTTTTCGTCAAGTCACCATCATGTCTGCTGCCCCTGCCTCTCCCTCTGCCCAGCCCGCCGTCCCTCCCCAGGTCGTCGAGTCCATCCCCCTTCCCGGTTATGCCCCAGCCCCTCCCACCTCGGCCGGACAGGCCCCCTCAGCCTCGCTCTACGTCGGCGAACTCGGTAGGTAGCATCTTGTCTATTCGGCGACCCTCTTTGCTTCTCCGATCGTCCTCCCGGCCCCACCGCTTGCCCAGGGGTGGCATTCCTCGCCCGATGCAGCTTGTGACGGTATTGGGATCCGCCGCTGCGGCGCGAGTCACATGGCAGCGGAGGCCGATCAGGCTCCTCAGGGCACCACCCATGGGATATCGGAGAAACGCAAGCCTCGATCCACGACCGAACACTGGCGAGCAGAACAGAACAGCGATATCGAGCCTTGGTCAGGATGGACGAGCGACAATCGCAGGATCTGTGGATGGTCTTGAGTCAACTGGATTGGGACCAGCACCGCCATTCCGAGACTGGACGACAGCCCTGCGATCGAGGCAGACAGCGAGCACCCTTGATTTGCAACACGCCCTCCGGACCCTTGGAGCAGTCTGTTGCCGCTGTGAGCGGTGTGTGAGGCTATTGTGAAGCTTTCCCCTTCCACATGCGCGATTCATTCACCGCGCGGATTGCGCAAGTGCCGCAGCACGGCCCTCTCGACTCAGCCACCGGACCCGCAGCGACACCGTCTGCGTTGTGCTGGATGCCAAGCTGGATGCTATGCTGGATGTCATGCTGGATGTCATGCTGGATGTCAAACTGGATGCAGCGGACTCGCCCTGCCCGGTCGTGGACATCGTCTCTCAGACGCAGTGATGTGCCGACCCGTACTGACGTACCTCTGCTGTTTTAGACCCCAGCGTGACCGAGGCCATGCTCTTTGAGCTCTTCAACTTCATCGGCGCCGTTGCCTCGATCCGTGTCTGCCGCGACGCCGTCACCCGCCGCTCTCTTGGCTACGCCTACGTCAACTACCACAACGTCCTTGACGGTAAGCCCACTCGTAGAGCCCACACGACTCGCAACTGGGCTATCCGGCATTCATTGTGGACATGAATGCACCAGCTCGGCCGGTGCCAACCAATGTCCCTGACGACACTCCCTGCATCGATTCGACCAACATGGCACTGGCACGACGCAGTTGAACCCGCCGCCAATTCATCTATGCTGACATATACGCTCACGCCACCCTCCTGTAATCGTGATCTGCAGGCGAGCGTGCCCTCGAGGCCCTCAACTACACCCCCATCAAGGGCCGCCCCATCCGCATCATGTGGTCCCAGCGCGACCCCTCTCTCCGCAAGTCCGGCACTGGCAACATCTTCATCAAGAACCTCGACCCCTCCATCGACAACAAGGCCCTCCACGACACCTTCTCTGCCTTTGGCAACATCCTCTCCTGCAAGGTTGCCATGGATGCCGATGTCTCCAAGGGCTACGGCTTTGTCCACTACGAGACCTCCGAGGCCGCCGAGGCTGCCATCAAGCACGTCAACGGTATGCTCCTGAACGACCGCAAGGTCTATGTCGGCCACCACATTCCCAAGAAGGAGCGCATGTCCAAGATCGAAGAGATGCGCTCCAAGTACACCAACATTTACATCAAGAACCTGAGCGAGGAGGTCACGGACGAGCAGCTCCAGGAGATGTTCACTCCCTTTGGCATTGTCACCTCGGCCATGATCCAGCGCGACGAGTCCGGCAAGGGCAAGGGCTTTGGTTTTGTCAACTTTGAGGGCCACGAGGCTGCCCGCCTGGCCGTTGAGGAGATGCACGAGAAGGAGGTTGCCGGCAAGCAGCTCTATGTTGCCCGTGCCCAGAAGAAGGCCGAGCGCGAGGAGGAACTCCGCCGCCAGTACGAGAAGATCCGCGAGGAGAAGCTCAACAAGTACCAGGGCGTCAACCTCTACGTCAAGAACCTCGATGACTCGATCGATGACGAGAAGCTCCGCCAGGAGTTCTCCGTCTACGGCATCATCACCTCGGCCAAGGTCATGATCGACGAGAAGACCGTACGTATCTGGATCTGGATCTGGATCTGGATCTGGATCTGGATGGCACCCCCGTTTGGGGGATTGTCAGCACCGCAGTGGCTATTTGTGCTTGGCCATCTGGTATCGGCAGACTTGATCGGCAAACTGCCGTATGCGGTCGCGTCTTTGCGATGTGGGGCTCATTGGTGTCTTGCCCCGGCGACCAGTTCGTTTGTGAAGAACTCGCTGTTCGACTTTTGTGCGCCTGCCTGCCTGCCTGCCTGCTTGGCTCTCCGACTGACGCTATGCCCCCTTCATCCCTCAGGGTACCTCCAAGGGCTTCGGCTTTGTCTGCTTTTCGTCCCCCGACGAAGCCACCAAGGCTGTTACTGAGATGAACGGCCGCATGTTCGCCAGCAAGCCCATCTACGTCGCTCTCGCCCAGCGCAAGGAGGTCCGCCGCGCCCAGCTCGCCGCTCAGATTCAGCAGCGCAACAACCAGCTCCGCCTCCAGCAGACCGCCGGCGGTATCCCTGGCATGCCTGGCGCTTACCCCGGTGCTCCTCTCTTCTACACCGGCGCCCCTATTCCCCAGGGCCAGCGCGGCCAGATGATGGGCGGCTTCAACGGCCCCCGTCGCGGCCCCTGGAACGGTGTCCCTCAGGTTCCTCCCGGCCAGGCTCTCCCCAACCAGCCCGGCTACCCCCCGGCTGCTGGCCAGAACTATGGCATGCCCCTCGCTGTTCCCGCCAACGGCGTTCGCCCCCCTCGCCAAGGCCGCCAGCCCGGCCAGGCCGGTCGTGGTGGTGCCGCTGCTGCCGCCGGTCAGGGCCAGCCCCGTCCTGCTGCCGCTGCCCCCGTCCAGGGCGGTGTTGCCCCCAACGCCGGCCGGGGCCGTGGTGGCTACAAGTACACCCCCGGCGCCCGTAGCACTGCTGGCGCCGGCCCTGCTGCCGCCAAGAGCACCATCAACGCCGCCAGCTTGGCCACCCTGCCCCCGGACCAGCAGAAGCGCATGCTCGGCGAGGCCCTCTATCCTCTCGTTGCCGCCCAGACCGGTGCCCTTGCTGGTAAGGTGACCGGCATGCTCATCGAGATGGACAATGCCGAGCTGCTCCATCTCCTCGAGTCCCCTGAGGCTCTCAGCGCCAAGGTCGACGAGGCCAAGACCGTTCTGGAGGAGTTCCTTCGCCAGCAGAACGAGGGTGCCCCTGCCGGCGAGGACGCCCCTGCTGCCGAGTAAGCAGGCGGTGTGATCCCTTGCCCGTCACATAAATCCCCCCCCCAACCACCCACCACCACTTTCTTTACCTCTACTCCCTGTACCCCCCCACACACACTTTCTCTCTCACACACTTCCCCCCCCCAACTCAAACTTTGAACGGATGCAATTTATTGGAGGTTCCCGTGTGCACTGAGGCTTCTGCTCTTGCTCTCTTGAGCCAGGGCCAGGAACTCGGTGTGCGCGGATGCCTGGATATTCAGTTGCGGCATTTGCCATCCCTCCTTTTTTTTTGTCACAATATAAAGGAGACAGCGGTGCCCAAGTGGAGGGTCCCAGGCAAAATCTGACTACGTTTCATACAAAGCGTGCCCAAAGCGAATCGGGACAAACCCAGTCGTTCTTGGCCGAGTGAGTGAAGTGATATGATTCAACTTTGATGTGTTTTGTTCAAAACAATCGGTGGGGCCCCGTCGCCTTTTCAGCATGATGCGTCTCTGGCCACCAGGGCTTGCTGGTGTGATACCCAGCCGTCACCGGCACACCCGGGCATTGGCACCCAGGCGAAGGATGAGGGGAGAAGGGAAGGCATCTGCTTGTCTTGCAAACCAACCCTGCCACCAACCACCAACATTGAGCCTCAATCTCCCACGAAGGTGCTGGAATGTTCGCCCAGAGCCCGGCTGATGCCGCTCCCCATATCAACATTTGGCCGCAACCACCTCGACCCAGATATAAGCCCTCTCCTGGGCCGACTCGCCTGCCACTACCTCGAGAGCCACCGATTCCCCCCCCCTCACCAACCCCAATCTGCGCTCCATCCCCACTCAGCCGCATCTTTCCCACGACCCAAATGAAGCGACACTTCCGCCCAGCCATGAATCGTGCCCACCACCATCTCTATCGGCATCTCTACCCTCTCAAGCCAGTGCCACCACGCCATGCCCCTCAGTGGTGCTTTTGGTACGAACGCTGCTCCTGCTCCTGCTCCTGCTCCTGCTCCTGCTCCTGCTCCTGCTCCTGCTCCTGCTCCTGCTCCTGCTCCTGCTCCTGCTCCTGCTCCTGCTCCTGCTCCTGCTCCTGCTCCTGCTCCTGCTCCTGCTCCTGCTCCTGCTCCTGCTCCTGCTCCTGCTCCTGCTCCTGCTCCTGCTCCTGCTCCTGCTCCTGCTCCTGCTCCTGCTCCTGCTCCTGCACTTGCTTCTGCTCAATCGCGCCTCCAAGTTTGCTTCTCACGCTCCCTTGCCGTTTGTGCCGTCCAGGTCGCCGCCAGGACACGGCAAGGATCGATTGAATGGCCCGCCCTTGGATGAAACCCCAATCAGCAACCTGCCCCCGTCGATGGCGACTCACAAAATCACGGCGCCACACCACAGTGTCGGTGGCCAGTGAGCTCGTCTTTCCCTGTGTTGCGTTGCTCATGGACGGGACGATGGATCGATGGATCGATGGACAACGTCCCTCTCTCTCTCTCTCTCTCTCGTCTTTGTTTGGTTTCGCTCTGTTATGGCACGCACAGCTTTGTTGATTTTTTGTATTAGAATGATGCATCAAGGAAGAAACTTGAAAATCAGGTCCCCCTCAGGAGCAACATAGAGAAGGAAAGGGCAGAGCGGAGGGAAGATCAGTGAAGTGAAACATACAGAGCTATGAGAACGGCCATGGCCGACAAAGAAAAGGTAAGGGAGGGGGGAGACGAGTGCGTGATGCGAGGATTCGAGTCGAACGCCACGGCAGGGGCAAAGGGAGGGGGAGGGGAGAAAGGAAGGTGGCAACAAGCAGAAGAGGGGGAGAGATCGCTGGTACGGGCAATAGCAAGTGGGAAGAGTCAGCAAGGAGAGAAGCGATGCGAGGCACAGGCATATATCCACACAGTTGTCGTGGTTAGTTGCTCAGTTGGCCTTCTTGGTCAGCTTGTGCCAGAAGGACGAGATCTTCTCCTTGAGACCGTTCTTGGGCTCGGCAGCAACATCCTTGGTTTCCTCGGTCTTCTCGGTCTTCTCGGCCTCGACGACGGTCTCGGTGACAGCCTCGGTAACAACAGTCTCGGTAACGGTCTCGGTGACAACAGTCTCGGTGACGGTCTCGGCCTCCTCAGCGACAACCTCGGTAGCCTTGGTCTCCTCGGCAACAGCCTCGGTGGCCTTGGTCTCCTCAGCGACGACCTCGGTGGTGGCAGCAGCAACCTCAGTGGTCTCGACGACGGTGGTCTCGACAACGGTGGTCTCAACGACAGCAGTCTCAACGACAGCGGCCTCAGCGACAGCGGCCTCAACAACGGTCTCGGTAGCCTGGGTCTCGGCGACGGCAGTCTGGGGGTGAAAATCAAACAAGAATCAGTCGCAGTCCAGGAAATGCTAGCGGTGGATGGCCAACTGGAGGGAATCCATAGCAGAAGACGCATGCCAGCACAATTGGCTCCGCATGACGACTAGCAAGGGGATCTAGCAGTCAACAAGTGCCTACCTCAGCCGGGACGCTTCCGACAGCCTCCTCGTAGAGGGCTTCGGCCTGCACCTTGAGTGCCTCAGTATCGTTGCTGGTGGCGCTGGCGACAACAACTTCGGCAGTCTCGGCGGTGGTTTCGGCAGCAACCTCGGTGGTGGTGGCTTCAGCAGCGACCTCGGTGGTAGTGGTTTCGGCGACGACCTCGGTGGTGGTTTTGGCGACCTCGGTGGCAGCAGCAGCCTCGGTGGAAGGGGAAGAGGATTCCTTGCGGGCGGTGAAAGAGCGCTTGAGGTTGCCAAAGAAGCTGGAGACGCTGTGTGTGGAATAAAACAGGTCAGCGTCGTCGACTGGGGCGCTCATGGGACACATACCACGGCAGCTGCTGCCTTGGCTCTGGTAGCCGATACTGCAGAGTCGAAATGTTCCGGGTACCAGCAGTGCAACATGAAACTTACCGGTTCTGCTTCTTCTTTTCGGCAGTGACAGTGCTGGGGATGGCGGACTTGGGAGCAGCAGTCTCAACAGCAACGGTCTCAACAGCGACAGCCTCGGCGGTAGTGGTCTCAGCAGCAACGGTCTCAGTAGCAACGGTCTCAGTAGCAACAGCCTCAGCAGAGACGGCCTCGGCGGTGGTGGTCTCAGCAGCAGTCTCGACGACGACCTCAGTGGCAGTGGTCTCAGCAGCAGTCTCGACGACGGTCTCAGCGGCGGTGGTCTCGACAGCGGCCTCGGCGACGGTCTCAGTGGCAGTGGTCTCAACGGCGGCAGCTTCGACAGCAACCTCAGTGGTGGTGGTGGTGGTCTCGGTGGCAACAACCTCAGTGGTGGTGGTGGTGGTCTCGGCAACAACTTCGGCAGCAGCAGTGGTCTCAGCAACAGCCTCAACCTTCTCAGCGACAACCTCGGTGGTCTCGACAACGACGGTCTCGGTGGTAGTGGTGGTGGTGGCCTCAACAACGGTCTCGGTGACAGCAACAGCCTCAACGACGGCAACAGCCTCGGGGAAGGTGAAGGTGTTGTTGCTGACCTCCTGTGGATCCAAAAGGCACAGCATGCGTTAGGGGCGGAGCGCGTGTGCATGGGGGGGAGAAGGGACAGCGGTGCGCGGTGTGGACATGGGTCATGCCGTGCCATGTGGTGCGGGATTGCGAAGCGGAGGCGGGAAATGCACCATTCACGAGCGCGGCAGCTCCGCTGCCATGCCAACGGAGCGACGGAAGGGAGCAGAGGAGGCAGAGTGATGTGAAGTGAAGTGAAGTGAAGTGAAGTGAAGTGAAGTGAAGTGGGATGGGATTGCACATGCAGGAAAGGCAGGGGAGCGCGGCACTTACATCCTGCACAACGGTCTCGTAGGCAGACGAGAGCTTCCACTCGCCATCGACCAGGAACTTGAAGGTGATGGTCTCGGTGGGCTTGCCCTCGATGAAACCGGCATGGGTACCGTCCTCCTTCTGCTCGGGGGCGGGGGGGGCGAGACAAAGCGGGGTGAGTGCCCGATGGTAGTCAGTATGCTGCCAGTCCGTAGGCATATCAAAGGCAGCGCTCGCAGTGGCTTTGGTATTCGCTTCTCTCGTCAGCGCTTACGGCCCGGGGGGGGCACTTTGCTCGCCAACTCAAAATTCCTCCCCTCCCCGCAGAGCCATCCCGCCGCGCCCATGCCGGTCGGCCATCGGGGTGCGGAGATTGACGGGCCAAAGGGACGAGGGAAGAGGCAAGGCTTGGCCCAGGCACAGCGGAGCTCACAGCGGACTCCGAGCATCCATCCACCCACCCACTCGACCCGCTCTGCTCTGCCATGCCCCGAAAAGCAACCAACAGGAGACAGAAAAGGGCTGGAGGGCCGGGGTTGAGGTAATTATTTTTCTTACCTTCTCAAGGGTCACAGACTGAGACCACGAGTCGAAAGAGCCGGTGACGATAACCTGCAGCGACCGATCGATCGATCGGGCCAGCGACAGCGCCGAGGAAATTGCATGGGTTAGCTGGGCCCTCGGATATGGGATGGAATGAAATGGCCTGCTGCTCCTCGCGTTCGTGCGATGCATGCACTGCGACGGGAAGGCAATGGCCGTCGATGGAGACCACCAGAGCTCGGAGACCGATCTTCACGGCCTCGGTTGGGCTCGGCAGGCCTCGGCTTGCTTTGGCGACGGTCTGCACTGCAGCAGCGACGGGGGAAGGAGAGCCTGCAGACACGAGCAAGTAGTGGCCTCGCCTCAAGAGAGCGCGAAGAGAGTACGCACCTTGTCGCCTCCTTGGGTCCAGGTAACTTCGTGCTTGACAGACATTCTGATGGGGTTTGGCAAAGGTATGAGGAAGGCAGGAGCAGGTATGAGATGGGAGCGAATTGCGCCGAGCGGGTGACGGACGAAAGAGGGAAGCCGGCGAGGGGGGCGAGAGAAAAAAAGCACCTGGCGGCGGGCAACCAAAAAGGCAGGCCGGCGGTGGTGAAGGGCGCCTTGTTGGACCACAGCGAGCGCTCGCCATGTTTAATGGGCCGGACAACACGGCCAATGGTGCAATGCGCATGAGGCGCGGCGCGGCGGAGGCCCGTCTGGTGTCGGTGTCGCCGCGGCCGAACGGTTTTGGCAATCGCGGTTGCAATCGCGGTCGCTGCCGCGGCGTGGTTCCCACGTACACAATTTGCCCTTGGGCGACAGCGAGCGCACACTCGTGTATACATGCTGACTGGCCCCGCCGCAAGGGGTCGTTGCACCGTGCTGCCGGGTGGGAGACACGCGCTGTTGCTGTGGGGGTGTATTTTGTTGCCACTCCTGCTGCTGCTGCTGCTGCTGCTGCTGCTGCTGCTGCTGTTGCCGCTCCTGCTGCACTTACTGCTGCAGCTACTGCAGTTACGGCTGGCTGCATTCGTTACATTTTGTCGTCGGTCTCTCTTGGGCATTCGCTGTTGCTCGTCTTGTTCGTCGCAGCACACCGCCATCGCAACAGAGTCGCCATCACCGTCGCCATCGCCCAGCGCAGAGACGCACATGGCCGCGCTTGGGCACGATGGCGGCGTGCGTCGCCATCCTGAGCATGCCCCCCTGTCGGCCGAGTCGCCTCCTCGGAGCACGCACGCAAGGCGTCGTTTGGTGCTGCGCTGCTCCTCCTTTTTTGTTTTGTTTTTTCCATCCTTTTTTTTTTCGCTCATCCGCGCATGTCTCGCGGCAATCCACGGACCAGCGAAAGCCAAGCCAAGCCAAGCCGCCGCCACCAGCGATCGCCGGTGGGTGTCCTGCCGATGCCCAGGACAGCCGTCAGGAATCACAGCGCACCCACGAGCCCCCACCCCTGGCTGTATCTGGGCTGTTGGCCGCGGACTTGGAGACTGAACACCAGGCTTGCAGGGGCTGTCCTGTTCCAATACGGGCGCGCCGTGATCTGCCGTCCCCTTGGTGCCGTTGCCGTCGCCATCGCGGATGCCGTCGCCGCGTACGACTGGTCAGAAAAACACCCTGGCCCTGCGTCCCAAAGGAGCCAGCTGCAGCCATCGGATGCCCGCCGTCCTTGTGGCGGCATTGTCACCCGTGTGCCCAGAGCCTGCGGGCCGGATCGCCGTGAACCCATTCGACCCTCTGGCTCGCTGGCCCGTCGTCCTGGCGCTGATCCGATCCGCAGTGATGGCATCGGTCCGGACAGCACAAGCAAGTGGATGAGGATAAGGCCATGGCAGCGAAGCTGTTGAACTCTCCGAGAGGGAAGGCGCCGGATTCGTTCTCTCGGATGATCTTGACTCCTTTCTGTTGGTCTCGCACGGTGCCCCGGCCAAGATAGTGCATCCATCCGAGCATGTACGTGGCGATAGGCTTGATGATCGGGCTGGTCGACTGGGTGCTGGCCTCTTGCCAGTGGTTGAAGGCATCGACGTTGCTCTGTTCGACACTACGGCCCACGAACGAGAGCCATCCACGGAGGAACACGATGTGGAGTCGAGCGTCTTCGCTGCCTTGGTCAGCCGCTCTGGAATACCACTCGATGGCTGAGTCAAAGTCTTGATTCACTCCTTTGCCATCTTCGTAACAGCCACCAAGAGCGACTTGGGCTTGAGGGATCCCACGCTCTGCAAGGTCGAGATAGAGCTCAACAGCCTTAATGGGGTTTGGATCGATTTCGAGACCGTGATAGCGACACTCAGCCAGGTGGAAGTGTGCCATCGTGTGGCCGGAATCGACTGCGTCCTCCAGGCGGTGGATGACCTGTTCGTGCGTGAGCCTCCGCTCGAATCCCATCACAGACCACCTCTCAAGGTCAATCTGGAGGATCCTAGCCAGGAAAGAACGAGGCGGCAGCGTTGCCCTGGTCCGCCAAGGCGACGAGCCAGGATTGGTCGGCTGTGGTCGGGTGATAACAATGCAGCGAGACGGCGATCTTGTCGCTGGGCGTGAGGCCGATTTGCAGCGACTCTGGCACCAGCTGTGAAGGCGAGCCAGCTTGGAGCTCAGGAGGGCCGGGCCCGCCTGCAAACTCGGAGCAAGTTCCGGACGGTGGCGTGGTCGAGTGCAAGCTGAAAGCCGTCGCTGAAGTAGACGATGGTGAAGATATCCGGGCTGTGATCGTCGATGGCAAGGCGGACCATGTCGGGGGAAGAGAGAGGACGGATGCTGGGAGCTGCGGCCATGGTTCTCGATGAGGGATGGAGATGGAGATGGAGATGGAGATGGAGATGGAGATGGAGCGCAACAACACATCCCACACATCGCATGCATGGCAACCGCTTGTATTCGGCATCACTTCTCCCGAGGGTGCCTCCTGCCGACGAGCCACTCGAATACGCACAACGATATCCCGGAGATGTGTGGGAAGCACCGCATCCTGCCTCGCCTCGCGAAACGCCCCTGTTGTCCTCAAATCGAGTCATACGACCTGGGAGTGACATGGTGGGCCTCCTCGTCCGTTGCCGGTTGCTTGAAAAGAAAGACCAGGGCCACTAGTCCCACGTAGATGCCCAGCGCAATGTAAATCACCGTCTCCACGCCGTACAGAAGGCATCCCGTCACCACATTCACCACCGCCGCCAACATCAGCAGACGGCCCAGGTACCAGTGCAGCTTGTCCCGAACAGGCACGGATGTGCGCTGTGGATTGAATGTGCGGTCGATATAGACGCCGAGAGTCCACTGCACTATCGAGAGGGCGACAATGACCAAGCCGAGGATCTACACAAGTCGATCAAAGGGTCGCAGAGCAGGAGCGGGTTGGCGGGTTGGCGGGTTAGCGAAACCAAGGGACCATCGGAGTAGAATCCTGGCATTCAACATCGGTCCTCGGGGCCACCTGTTGGCTCATAGTCGCCCTCTCCCTCGTGGGCCAACACCGCTGAAACTCACGCCGTGGATGCCCATAGATCCATACGAGAAGTGTGGGATGCCGTCTTCGTTGACCTGGTACACGATCAGGCCGAATGAGGCAGCCGAAACCAGGCAAGTTCCAAAGATCTGCTCGGTATCGAAAGCGTTTAGTCAAGACACCAGACACCAGAGACCAGAGACCACCAGACACACACCGAAGCGGTGCATTTGGCTGTAGATGTTACTCACCAAGATCCGGCGGTGTAGCGGGAACCAGCTAGTGTGCCACGATACCTTCAAGAAACGGGCAATGTAAACCGCGATCGGCGCTGCGAACAGCCAGGCAAAGGCCATGAGCAGTCCATGGACCAAGAGCAGATTGATCTGGTCCGAGGTCGATGTCGACACAACGCCACTGCCGCTACCACTACCACTGCCACTGCCACTACCACTGCTGGAAGAGCTGGAAAAGTACGAGTTGGAGGCGGAGGTCAGCGGCCCGCTGTAATACCCGTATTGAGTGTGCTGCTGAAAGCTTGCCGCTGGGTTGGGTGAGTTTGGCGAGGGAGCATAGCTGTTATAGGCCCAGATGAAGTTTGTGACCGTGCCCCAGCTGACCGGAGCTTCGACCGTAACGACAAAGGAGTTGGCGGCCACGGATCGGTTGGACACCTGGTTGCTTTGGATCGCGAAGGACGATGGGTTGGCGACCGAGGGCAGCGTGTGGCCGGTGCCTGTTCGGTGGGATACTGTACTGGAGCCATCGCTATTGTGCCAGATGACCTGCGAACCGAAGCAAATCAAACGGCCGTCGAGCATCATGAGCAACCGGGCTTGGCCAGCCAGAGCCAGTCAAAGTCGGGCATTGCCTGGCCCAGAAGCGGTCAAAGTGCATGTACCGTGACTCGATTGAGTCCTGTAGAAGTGCATAGGAGCTCTCACGATGCGCTGGCGTACCATCATATCGGCGCCAGACATGCGACTGCCTGTTCCGATCGCAAAATACGAAATCGACAGAGAGATCTCGAATCTCAATTGGGGGTGAGTGTCGTTTCCCATATCGGCATAGATTACCGCGGCCGGCTGGAGATTGATCTGAGCCAGTGCTGGTTCACGAGACAAAAGTTCAGCAGCATGGCCAACGAGCGTGAGAAAATCATCGGGAAACACACACACACCCCTCCAAGGCGGGTATCGGGTTGGCAATACCAGAGATGCACTCCTCCGCGCCATATGCCCAGACGGTATGGAGCTCAGCACAGCCCGCGAGCCCAGCATTTCCGTAATCGACAATCGGGTCGCGACGGACTGAAACCAGGCACCAAGCGTTGGATAATCCTCGCGGACGCCGTCTGCTCCAATGCCATCCGGCGACTCACCGTGCACAGCGAACAATACGAGCATCCAAGTGGCCCGAGACCACGCGTTGGTTGACTTCATGTTTGGTGCCGGTGCTGCTGTGGTTGAGGTCTGTGTGTCGACGTTGCTATGCTCGCTGCTGCTGTTCTTGCCAATATATATGCCGAAGGGGGGGAGAGGATCGAGAAGGGAGGAGGGAAGGGTGGCGCCTCCCGGGTAACGGCGCTCAATGCTGGCGGCAAACCCACGGATAAACTCAATCGCACCCCCAATCATGCTTCTCCCCTGGCGCCATGTTGTTGTCATCACCGCCATCTCGGCATCGATTGGCCCCTTGCCGTGCCCTTCGAGTGATTGCGGCTGATGTCACTGGCCCATGCCGCGCCTACAGCATCGCAATTGCGACAGGATTGGAGCAAGGAGGCTCGGTGATGGCGATTGTGATGACGATGGCGATTGTGATTGTGATTGTGATGGCGATAGCGGTGACGATAGCAGTGACGATGGGAGGTCGCGCGTGTGTAGATGTCGCGGACGAGCTTTTGCGGGTATGATCTACTCGATTGTATTTTCGGTGGTCTGATGCGATGACTCGACGATCCCATCGCATCTTTCAAGCATGTCAAGTCACAGTGTGCCCTCTGGAAGAAATGGGGGGAGGAGGAGGAGGAGGAGGAGGAGGAGGAGGAGGAGGAGGAGGAAGCGAGGCCTCATTGCTTGCTTCACGGGTCAGTGGAAGGAAATACATGCGGCAATGTGCCCTTTCTACGATCGATACAACAAGAAGCAAGGAGAGAATTTTGATTGTCGGTTCACATAAAAATTAAGACAGCAAGCTAAACTGAGGGGGGGGGAGCACATGAATGAACGATGGTACAAAAACAAGGACGGAACGGGTTCTTGAAAGAGGACCATATACGAATCCAAGGCACCATAGCAAGGCAGGCCAACATGGTCTGCACGGGCTTGACTTGGCTTGGCTTGGCTTGGCTTGGCTTGGCTTGGCTTGGCTTGGCTGTGGAAGCGAATCACAAAACCGCTTCAAGTCGATTGGGGTGGCGAGACAAGCAGGAAGGTGACTTGCAACGATGCCGACGATGGTGGCGATCAGATCCATGGTCTTGTGGAAGGGCACTTTCTTGACAGAGCGATTCCATGCGTGTATGGCCAGCCGTGGGAATGGAGGCAACGACATCTAAGCGACAAAACTGCTGAAATGGCACGATCAACGAAAGGGAAAGGGCCGAGAAGGAGAAGGAGAGAATAGCGACCACGGACCAATTGAGCCGACTGGCGTTTCATCCTCGTGCGCTCCGCTGCGGCAAAGATCGGCTACCGAGTGTCAGCCACATCAATCGGTCCGACGAGACACCAAGTGGGCATCGATAAAGGCTCACCGTCGGGCGAGAAAGAGAAAGGCAGAGAAAGGAAAGGGTAAAGCGACACAAAGAAGAGAGAGAGCGACAAGGAAACGCAGCTCAAGCAAACCCAGAACTGAGAAATATATTCAGCGAAGTTAAAAAAAGGAAATGCGGGATCGGTCGGAAGAGAGAGGGGTAAATATGGAGAGGCGGGAGATGGGGAGGGGGGGAGGAGGGGCAAGGGGGGAGGGAGAGGAGCCGTCAGGTTGGCCGGAGAGCAGATTGGGAGGAGGGACAATGATTAAGGATGGTGGCAATGAGCTGTGGCCATCGAATCAAATAGCTTGCATCATCGTGGTGCCGCCGGTCAACTCTCTTCCGGAGGTCTTGGAGCGGAGAGGCCGGATCGACAGAGCTTACTGGTTGGATCCCGATTTGACAGGGTTTACCGCACACCTGCATTGAGATGACGGCCACGACGATGGCCGAGATGAGATGATCGAAAACACAGATACAGTCAGACCCTGTCGACGGCTCGTCCAGAAGCGACATTGATTGCGGTTCAGCCACACGGCTGGCCGAGGCTGGCCGAGGCTGGCAGAGGCCGTGTGGAGGGTGGCCGCACTTACATCCAAATTCTAGTCTTGTATATTCTGAACAGCTCGCGAACAAGTTCACGGAAGTCGATGCGACGCTCGGCGACAAAGTAGAACGTCAGCTTTCGTCGGTCCCTGTGGGGTGCAGCAGGAGATGGATGGGAGCAAGGGGACGCATTAGAGCAAGGGGGGCGCATTGGAGTACGAGGTGAATTGGACAGCAAGTTAGTGCGGGCACTGCCATTTGGACTTCAAACGAGATGAGTCGCCAAGATGGGCAAACGACAACCACAACCACAACCACAACCGCCACAGCTGCAACCGCCACAGCTGCAACCGCCACAGCTGCAACCGCCACAGCTGCAACCGCCACAGCTACAGCCCCGGCACCAGCGCTTACCACTGATACTCGGCATCGACGACCTCCATGGGCAGTTGCTTCTGGCGAATCTTGGTCTGACACACCGCCTTGGACTTATTCTCGTCCTGGCTCTTTGCAACCAGCATCGCCACCTCGTTCGGCTGGGCCAGACGGTAGATGCGCTTGGGGTGGATGTCGCGATTGAGGTAGTGGCCATCCATGATGCGGTCGGCATGCTGGGCCTGGTGCATCTGCAGCTGCTGCATGTTCATGATGCCCTCGACAATGACCTTGCCCAGATCCTTGCCGCGGTCGGCCTCGACAATGACCAGGTCGCCGAGCGTCACCGCCAGGCCGGGCTCGCTGATGTAGAAAAAGTCGGTGCGCCCGGCCTTGAACTCGACCATATACACGGGCCACTGGTTGACCGAGGACTGCATCTGCTGCAAGTTCTTGCCGGCCTCGACCCAGGCGCGGGCCCGGCTCTCGGTGTTTTCGAAATAATCGTTGATTTCGTCGTACATGTGGTTGCCGGCGGCGGGGGGCTGGGGCTGGGTAGCACTGGCGGCGGGCATCTCTTCGATCTGCAGCTGGTTCATAGCCTCGGCAAGGTATCGTGGCGACGATGGTGCCTGAATATAGTTGGGCTGGCCTGCGACCGAGTGTCGTCTGCAGGGTGGATGGCAAGGACGCGCGTTAGCAGGCGGGACGCCGAGTCAGCACGGCAGCCGTGATTGCGCGTATGAGGCATGGATGCGGTATGTGAGACGTGCGAACGAGGCGGGATTGGCCCGTCCTGAAGGGCTTCCGATCTCGTGGGAGGAGGAAGCGCACGTACTGCAAGCCGATCCAAGGACGTGAGCAGCGCACATCACACCCATTTCACGACGAAGCAGCAGCAATAATGCCTCTCACCGCCGACCATGCAAACGCCCCCTCCCCTGTGTACCGGAACTTGCCTGATGCCATCGTACTGGCCATAGTCCTGGTAGTACAGCGCCGGTGCGTGTGAGTATCGTCGAGGACGCTGGGCGCTCAACATGCTGGGCGAGGACATGGGGTTGTTGGGAGACTCGGAGCCCATGCCCGGGCTTGACGACGGAGCGTTCGTGCGCATCATACCGCCCACACTTGGGCCTGGCTGGCTTTCCCAGATGGGGCTGTAATTGGGCTGGGTTGAAGCTCGTCGGTGCAGGTTCATGTAGGGCTCATGGCCCATGCGCGAGCGATCCATCTGCACCGAAGGCCACAGCGACTCGGGCGGCATGTAGCCGTCTTCGCTGAGCTTGGAGGCTGTGGGCGAGCCCGGGCCCATGGCTGTGGTCGAGTCGTTGGAGGCAACGCGTGTGTCGGAGAGCTCGCCGGTAAAGCTGAGCGCGGGGATCTCGTGGCTGGGAATCAGACCGTAGATGGCGGAGGAGGATTTCGATCGTGAACGGGCCTTGGGGAGAGCGAACCCGTTGCCGTAGACATCGCTCTCTTCTTCGACGGGCAAGTTGCCGGCCTGTCGGTGCATCTGTGCGTAGGGATCGGGCTCTAATCGGTGGCCCAAGCCCATGCCAGCCCGGTCGGGGCCCATTGATGACTCGAGAGAGAAGGAAAAGCTGCGGAACTGACGAAGGGGCGGGACGCCGAGACCATCGCCGCCGTATCCGTAAGGATAGCCAGCAGCCGCGTTGTCGGTATCTGTAGCGAGAGCGGGGACGTGAGCTAACGAGCGTGTGTGGACAGAGCGAGGCACCGAGGCACCGAGACACCCAGGCCCGCCAGCATGCAAGCGACAGCGGTGTAACAGGCTCGTTGTCCGACAGCAGAGGCAAAGGGGGCTGATGAAGCAACGAGCGAGCAAAGAAACCCAGCGCGATACCAAGGCAGCGCCGGGGGGCTACTGCTGCCGGGGGGCGGCAGCGCATGAAGCAGACAGCCGCCAGCGGCCGCCCGGTACCAGGTGGCGGCGCCAGACACAAGCATCGGCGCAGGGTCATCTGCGACCCCGTCCCTCCCGCGAGCGATCTGGGAACGAGCCAGGAGAACAAACAAACGGCAGCGTGGCGTTTACCTTGGGGCTGTCGCGAGCTCGAGGCGCCTCCGGCTTGGCCCCACATCGATGAAGCAGGAGCCCACGAGATTGACGGGGCCCACTTGCCGCTGCCGCTGGTGGGCCGCATGCTGGTATCGAGCTTGGGGTTGATGGGCTCGGCGGAGACACCCTCGCCGGACTCGTCCTCCTCGACCAGGGCGTAGGTGAAGTAGGGCTCCTGGGCATCGTGCGCTTGTGGGTTTGGAGTGCTGGCTGCGCGGGAGCGGATGTTGCGCTTTCTCGAAAGGATCAGGTCCTCGTCGTGCTCAGGCCCGCCGATGGGCTGGATGTTGCTTCGCTCTGGAGTCTGAGGGACAGAGAACGGGCGGCCGCGCGGGGGGGATCCCACAGCTTTCCAGGCATCGTCGGCCGAGACCGACGAGTTTTTCATATGAGGTATTTGCTGGCCGGATTTGCTGGCGGGGATCATGTTTTTCCCATTATTGTTCATGTGTCTGTGTCGGATGGGTGAAGTTGAGGGGGGGGAGTTGGGAAGAGCGATGCCGATACAAGGGTCGGACGACAGGACGGACCAGTGGCAGCGACATTGCAGTTGCAGTTGCAGTTGCGGTTGCGGTTGCGATTGCAGTTGCGGTTTCAAGAAGAGTGGATTGCAGACATTCACAACCGGGGTTAGCCTGGGTCTTTCGACAGGCCAGATCGATGGCGCTGCAGAAACAAGCAGAGCCTCGAGTGTCCGAGAAGAGGTTGTCCCGCACGCCGCTGTCGTGACGCATCGCTCATGGGAAGCCCACCCACGAGCACGGGCATGGGCAAGATGAGGCCAGGCAGGATCAGATTTAGAGTGCGGATATCTACCGTTGAGGTGGGTGAATGCGATGAGGCCGCGAGGCTCAACGTACAACAGCGGGGGGAGAAAGTCTGGAATGTGCAGAAGAAGCGTTGGCCAATGGCAGCTGTGCACGATGGAGCCAAGTGGGTCAGAATCGCCGCGACGACGGATAGTCCGCATCGCTCGGCACGGACACAGACAACCAAAGAGGGCGTCAGCCCGCTGCGATGTGTGCAGGCCGAGCAGGGTCGAATAGGGCCGAGTGACGAACGGCATCGTCGCGACCTATCAACGATTACCCACGGGCCATTCTCGGATAGATTGCAGCGGACACACCTGAGCGCCAGTATTCGCAGAGCAGCAGCGCCCAGCGATAGATGACGTACCCTAAAGATGGAGAGCCTGTGCTCTAGCGTTGGCTGGGAGGAGGGGTGCCGGCGATCTGCTTCTGGGGGAGGAGAGGTGCGTGTGGGGCAGCGCTATCAGGGATAGGCGGTGGGGACAGATGGGAACTTCTTGGTTGCAAGCGCGAAGACGAGGAGGCCGCCGGTATGCAGATGGACGGGCAGAGGCCTGAAGGGTAGCGGGGGGGGCGTTGGATAAGAAACGGTCCGACGGAGGGGCGACAGACACAGCAGACGCCCGAAAGGACTGGGCCGGATGAAAAGGGCAACCAAAGATGAGGTGTATGCGCAAGACGGAGCAGCGGCGCCGAGGACCATCGCGAGGGAAGCCAAAGGCGAGGACGGACGAGGGCGGACGGGCGCAGGCCTCGGGCAACGAGAGCGCTCTCGCTGTCCGCGGCGAGGGGGGTCAGCGACGGGGTCAGCGACAGGGCCGGGACGACGACGGCGCAGACGGCGGTCGGCATTCGCACGGGGGCAGGCCGGGGGAGGGAACGGCTGCAGAGATGGGCAAGTGCAGATGTGTTAAGTGATGTGTTTGGTGTGTTAAGTGTTGTTCGTGGATGTGTTAAGTGGGTGTGTTAAGCGATGTGTTAGTGGTGTGTTAATGAATATGCTAGTGGGTGTGTTAAGTGATGTGTTAATGAATATGCTAGTGTGTGTGTTAAGTGTGGCTGTAGCATGGATCTCTGGGTGCGGCCGCTGTTGCGATGCACATTTGTCTCTCGACCAACACCGTCCATTCGTTGCACCTGATCGCGGCCTCTGTCCATCGACTTGCCAACAGCGATATCCCATCCTGCCGATGCTTTCTCACCCCGTTGATTAACACTCACCCGCCGATTAACACTCACCCGCCGATTAACACTCACCCGCCGATTAACACTCACCCGCCGATTAACACTCACCCGCCGATTAACACTCACCCGCCGATTAACACTCACCCGCCGTCGCCGCCCCACAATCCCATGCCGTCGCCTCTTTTGGTCATGTTGCGATCATCTCGCCTTTGACCGCCCTCCCTTTTGAGGCCACTCCGTCCCCATCCCGCTGGCCCTGCCCCCCATCCTGCCTCTAATGGCAATCGCTTCCGTGCCACCACCGGAAACCGCCCATGTCCCGACCACCGGAAAACGCAAACCCGCTGCTCCTATAAAACCCGGCGAAACCCGCTCCTCCATCGGCCAGCCATCACACACCTTGGACTCGCCGGGCACTTGTCTTCTCGCCGCCTCCCGATCTTCCCCCAGCTCTCCTCTCTGCTGAACCTGCACCCCATCGCCATGGCTCTCTTTGCGGCTTCCCGTCTCGGCGTCAAGAACGTTGTTCGATCCTTTGCCTCGGCTGCTTCTTCGGCAGTACGTATACTGCCGTCTTGCTTCCGCATCGACGCCGCTGCGAATCGACGGCTGCACTGTTGCGACGATCGTTGCTTGTGCCGTGGCGACCCACCCCGGTGTCATGGTGATCTGCCCATCCGTGCTGTCGCAGCTCGCCTCGTGTCCACCCCCCCCCATACCAACGTAACGTGCCCGACGCATCCCTTGCCTCAAACCCGCAGGAGCTCAAGAAGACGGCCCTCTATGACTTCCACGTCAAGAACGGCGGCAAGATGGTCGAGTTTGCCGGCTGGGCCATGCCCGTCCAGTACTCGAGCCTCGGCGTGTTGGCCTCGCACCACTGGACTCGCCAGAACGCCTCGATCTTTGACGTTTCCCACATGCTCCAGACCCGCTGGACCGGTAAGGACGCCGTCAAGTTCATCGAGTCGCTGGTCGTCGCCGATGTCCAGGGCCTGCCCGTGTCGGCCTCGACCCTCTCCCTCTTCACCAACGAGAAGGGCGGCATCATCGACGACACCGTCATCAACCGCCATGGCGAGAGCTCGCTCTATGTCGTCTCCAACGCCGGCTGCGCCGACAAGGATCTGGCCCACATCCATGCCCAGCTGGCCAAGTTCCAGAACCAGGGCGGCGACGTGGACGTCAAGGTCCTCGACGACGTCTCTCTGGTTGCTCTCCAGGGTGAGGCTTTGTGACTCTGGCTGCCGTGATCCCCGAGTGTGCGAATCCCAAGCGTGCAGATCCCACCAGGAATTTGCTCTGCCCTGGCCTGCCCTGACCTGCCCTAACCCGATCGGCCGTGCTTGGTGGCAATCGCTGACTCTCCCCGCCGCGCCACTCAATGTCCTGTAGGTCCCAAGGCTGCCTCGGTTGTCTCGAGCCTCACCAACAAGGATCTCTCGAACTTTGCCTTCATGAGCGGCCGCCAAATGGACATCAAGGGCATCCCTGTTTACATCTCTCGTCTCGGATACACCGGCGAGGACGGATTCGAGGTGCGCAAAGACGGCCAACCTGATTGCTTGATGCACGCTGGAGCAGACAACGCTCCAACAGCACGGATACCTGTGCGCCGCTGCTGTACCCACAGCAGTCGGTGGTGATGGTCAGATCGCCGCCCAGAAATCGGTGTGGGCGTCGTCTGTCGCGCTGTCCTGTGCACTTGCGAATGTCCAAGTATCCCCATCTGACCTGCGAGCCGCTCCGTTCTGCTTCTGCCGTATCTCGCGATCAGATCTCCGTTCCCCATTCCGAGGCCGTGGCCCTTACCGAGCATCTTCTGGCCAGCCCCCACGTCGAGCTTGCCGGCCTCGGCGCTCGCGACAGTCTCCGTCTCGAGGCTGGTCTCTGCCTCTACGGCCATGATCTCGACGAGACTGTTACTCCCGTCGAGGGTGCCCTGGTCTGGACCATTGGCCAGCGGCGGCGCGCCGAGGGCGGCTTCCTCGGTGCCGACATCATTCTGCCCCAGATCAAGGGCGGCGTCAGCCGCAGAAGAATCGGTCTCATCGTCGAGGGTGCTCCTGCTCGTGGTAAGCAAGACCCTTCTCTTCCTTTCTGCCGGATTGAGTCTCCGCGCTGACCGAGTTGACGAATTGACCGGGCAAGCACCAAGCCAGACGACTGCTGCCGTGCACTCCTCTGTTGGGACTGTGTCGACTGATTGCATCCCTCCACCCACGCTTGCACAGAGGGCGCCGAGATCCTCAACAGCAACCAGGAAGTCATCGGCACCATCACCTCGGGCTGCCCCTCTCCTGTCCTGAAGAAGAACGTGGCCATGGGCTACATCAAAAACGGATTCCACAAATCTGGAACCGAGGTGCTTGTCCGTGTCCGCGGCAAGGTTTCCAAGGGTGTCGTCACCAAGATGCCCTTCGTTCCCCACAACTACTACCGCGGAGCCTGAGCGTCAGAGTCATCCTGATGCTTGACTCTCGCCGCAGCACAGTCCCCGTTCTTTCTTTCCCCACTTGCGATGCTGAGGTCATCGACCATGCTTCCCCCTGCTCGGTCGTGATGCTCGGTCGTGAATCGCTCCTCATTTGTGATGCCCAGGCATGGCTCTGTCATCGCTGCTACCCAATCGATAGTGCATCGTTCGCTCATCCGTGTTGGTGCTCTCAGAGTCACAGACAGCGCCGTGAATATGCTGCCCCCGACCCGGATAGATCTTCAACATGTGCATCCGTCGCTCTTGCTGTCCCGTCGTCCTGTGCTTTCATGCCCACTGGTGCGAACTCGTCCGTCACGTGCGCACGTGGGCGATATCTCGGCCCCGTCGCACGAGATTGATCAGGATTTGTCCCGCAGCAATCCGCCTCGTTGTCTCCACCACCACCGTCGAGCTGGCTCTGGCCTCCTTCCTGCACCTCCCCTCCCCTCTCGGCAAGCCGACCATCCCCATCCCCATCCCCATTCCCACCCCGAGCCTCGGTTGCCTCCACTGCCATGCCCTCCTGGACCACTCTGCCGGCCACAGCCGCCACATCCAACGCCTTCGTCGCCACGATCCTGCGCGAACATGGCATCGCTCCCGCCTTGCTCGATGCCCTCGAGGGCTACATCCAAACACTCCCGAGTCTCCGGGCAGAGACGCTCGTGTACCGGCCGCTCTCGACCCAGCCCGAGTGCCGCGCAGGCGAAATCCAGTTCGAGACCACGGCGGAGTATGAAGCGATCCGGCCCCAGCTGGTGGCGATTGCGGCCCAGTTCCCCGGCCACGATATCACTCTGCAGGAGAACTCGGTCTTTCGCCGCAACAAGCGGCTCGTGGTCTTTGACATGGACTCGACCCTGATCCAGCAGGAGGTCATTGACGAGATTGCCAAGCATGCCGGTGTTGTCGAGCAAGTTTCGGTAAGCCGGTGACAGAGGCTGCGGCAAATCGCAGTGGCAAATCGCAGTGGCAAATCGCAGTGGTAGCAGCAGTGGCAGCCCTTTCGCTCCCACTTGCCCACTCACTTACTATGCTCGCGACCCTAGCGCATCACCGAATCGGCCATGAATGGAGAGATCGATTTCAAGGAATCCCTTCGGCAGCGAGTCGCCTTGCTCAAGGGCATTCCCTCCAACGTCTTTGAGCACATCAAAACCGTCATTACCTTCACTCCTGGTGCCCACCGGCTCTGCAAGGCCCTCAAGCGCTTGGGGTTCAAGCTTGCCGTGATCTCTGGTGAGTGCGGATGGCCTGGATCCACCGGGGGAGCCGACATGCGAGCGAGGTCTCTCCACCTCCCTCGATCGGTACGCCGAGCGTGGGCATTCCTCTGCAATTCCTATCAGGGTTCCTTAACAAGACTCGCCTTTCCTCTTTGACCGGGCTCCGATTCATCAGGCGGATTCATGCCGCTCGCTACCTACGTCAAGAACGAGCTTGGCCTGGACTATGCCTTTGCCAACCAGGTACCTTGAGAAAGGGCTAAGAGCAAGAATCGTGGTGGCATCGGCTGCAGTAGCAATAGTAGCAATAGTAGCAATAGTAGCAATAGTAGCATCGAGCAGGGCGATGGAGTGCTCGCAGCGGTCGTTCCTGGTTCATTCGTGTACAAGCAATCTCGCACACACCGCTGACTCGGCACTGGATCATTCCGTGACAGCTCAAGATCTCTGAAGACGGAACTCAGCTGACGGGAGAGACCTTTGGCCCTGTCGTTGACGGTGCAAGAAAGGCCGATCTGCTGCTCACGCTGGCACAGGCCAACGGACTGATCAACGCACAGGTGATTGCTGTCGGCGACGGTGCCAACGATCTGCTCATGATGGCCGAGGCTGGTCTCGGTGTTGCCTTCAATGCAAAGCCCAGGGTCCAGGCTCAGGTGCGTACGATCCCTCGTGTGGGTTGGCTGTGTTGGATACTGCGGGTCTTGCACTGCAACTACCCATCGACGTATGTACGCTCTCGATGTATTGAGGGGCTGTGCCTTGCGCTGCATCTTGTCTCATTCACCTCATTCACCTCATTCACCTCATCTATATCGTCTCTTCGCGCCGTGTCTGGATTTCGTACAGGCCCAGGCCCGAATCAACCAGACGAGCCTTGAGAACGTGCTTTACTTCCTCGGCTACAACGACGCCGAGATTGCCGCGCTCGTGGCGAACTGAGCCGACTGTCTCCAATGAGAATCATGGCAAACGGAAAGAGCCGGTGTGCGTGTGAGGAGAGCGGAGCAATGTCCATGGTGTCTGGCTGCTCCAGACCTTATCCACAACGTCTCAAACTTGAGTTGGGGAGGTCTGCCCCACATTCGCCAATAGAGAAGCGTCAGTGCCATCTCCCCGCTGTGCTGTCTGACTGACAGAGCTCGACCCGACCAAGTCGAAGGTACTGTGTGCATCGCTTGGCATATCATGGCGACATCACCCGTTTGCAGTGTTGCCTGGCTTGTGTGCACTGAACGAAACCCCCCCGTCAGGCATCGTGCCGATGGCGGTGCGTCGTATATCGGTTACGTGTCAAGTGTATATTGGTGAGCGAGAAAGAGAAGCAAAAGTATAAAACAAATCGACTGGAAATCACTGACATGGGGAGGAGGAGGGGAGAAATCGACCAGGGCGGCGCACACACCACAGACCACAAAGAGTGCCCATGTCCGCTGTGAAAAGAGCCAGAGGTAGGAGCCGGCTGGACATTCTTCAGAAGCAAGGACGGAGGAGCCTGGCTAGAGAGTCTGGGTCCCTGCGGTCTCGAGGATCGGTGTAGTTGGGAGGAGCAGCAGCTTGATGGCCGACACACGGCATCGTCGGTACCAGGACAGAGGGAGCATCCACAGAGAGTGAGGCAGGCGATACTATTTACAACGAGTCATCCGTGGCTTCCTCAGCAGGGTTGGTCTTGATGTTGGATTCCTGGAGGCGGGCAACGATGACGGGGCAGGTGGCGTGGGCAACGCAGTGCTGGGAGACGGAGCCGATCAGGAATCTGCAGCAAATCGAAGGAGGGCCATGGCAAGGGGATATGATGCGTTAGATGCTGCTGGGCGGATCCGGAATCGCCAGAGGCAGACAGCGCGGCTGCCCGAGCCGCAAAGACAGACTCGACTGTGGAGCTCGACGAGCTGGCCGAGAGGGATTCTGTTGCTTACCCCTGGATATGGGTCTTGCCGGCCGAGCCCAGGACGAGCATCGAGGGCTGGATCTCGCGGGCGAGGTCGCAGATAAGGTTGCCGACCTGGGGCTTGTCGCCGATGACGATGCGGACGACATAGTCGACTTTGTGGAGGTTGTGGCTCTCAGCCAGGACGCGGATGAGAGTCTTGATGCGGGAGAAGGCCTGAGAACGCAGCAACGCCGAGGGAGAGATAGAGAGACACAATCAGAACTGGTAAACGGAAGAAGCGACGATGGCCTGTGCCAACGGGCGAGAGCGACGAGATGGTTCTGCGAGCGAAAAGCCCTCAGGAGCAAGAGCACAGACGATGCAGCCTGGGTCGGAGGTCAATGTCGCCTCGCCCGCAAGCCGATGCGAGCCGATCTGGCCTGCGAGACAAGCGCGTAAACCCCAGCCAGCTGCAGCCGCGTTTGCCCTGGACAAAAAACGCTCCGACGGACGGGATGTGCTTACAGCTTCCTTCTCGACAGCATCGGGGACGACGGTAGAGACAACGAGCTTGTCGTGCTCCTTGAGGATGTAGGTGAACACCCAGGAGAGGGCGCTGGAGGCGTGGGTAGATTCGTCGTGGGCGAACAGGACAGTCTTGGTCATGATGGGCAGGAAGAGTCTTGCAAAGGCAGAGCCGGACAGATGGAGGAGGAAACGAGACGAGTGCGAGATGCAATGCAAAAATTCGGAGCGTCGGGAAGGCAAGACCCAGCTTTTATATCCACGCAGCTGATCGGACCAGCGCCTCGCCCGGCGGCGCTCTCGGCTGCATCTCGCCGGGTCGGTGGTCCGTTCATCCGCACAAGCCGCGCGGCGTTGAGTCATATTCTGTCAGCGGGTCAGGACGCGCCGGGACGACACGTGAGAGCGAGCCGGGGGATGGGCGGTGTTGGCCATGGAAGAAAGGGCTGGCTGTGGATGGTGGCAAGAACGGGCGATGCTGCGTGTGGGTGATGGTGGGTGCTGGTGAGTGCTGGTGAGTGCTGATGCTGCTGGCGGTGGAGAGGGAAATCGATGGGCGAGAGCAGGAGCGAGGGCGGTCGTCTTGCAGCCGGATCCGACTCTGTCCCCGGTGATTCGCAGCGCCTCGCCGGGCGTTCGATGCATTCGACGCATTTGGTGGAATCGATGCGATCGATGCGATCGATGCTGGGCGCTCAACGTGCTTGGCCATCCGCAGCGTGCTTGGCCAGCCGCAGGCCGCCTGCTCGGTGCATGTGCATGAGCAAGGCCACGGCCCACCCGCAGACCCCGGCCCATGAACGGCACTCCTCCGCGAGCACTCCGCGAGCACTCTGCCGAAAAGTACTTTTGCCCATCAGGGACCCTGGCGACGCAGTGATTCACCATGCATCATCCCGTCGCCTATTCACCCGCGGGCTCGGTGGTTGATACTCCACCGTGGCAGTGGTGTCTTTGCTGCCTGCAACTCCTCGCTTGCGACGCTATCCCGTCCTACCAGTCCGGGACCAGCGGTGGCAAACATCGGCCACTCGGATTGTTCGTTGCCTGGGTCGCTGGATGGCTGTCTCATTCCGTTCAGTCCGTCTCGTCCTCTCGACCGTCGATCCTTACCAGCATCTGTGATTGGACAGCCTTGGTGCCCTTCTCTGGAACCAGAGGCTCGAAACTTTGGCTCCTGAGTTCTCGTCAGACGTTCGCTTGCCGGCCTGCCAGCCAATCGTCTCGCTCCATGCCCATTCCAGCAGAAGATGCTCGCCAGACACCTCCAAACCCTCTGCGGCCGCGGCCAGAGCGACGCTCCCAGCCCGATGCCAACCACCAGCCGCTGCCGTCGGCAGGTCAAAAGGTCTGCGGGCATATCCTCCCGTCAAACTCTCGCTCGTGCAAACAAAACAAACCAAACCAAGAGATCTAACCTCATCGCGACCTGCACTTCTGCTCGTGTTGTTTGCAAACATCGGGCCTGCTTTCCACTGCTCCATGCCCCGGCCATGCCTGCGCTCCTGAACATTGACCAGTTTGCGGTCCCGGCCGACGAATCGATCCCGCCGTGGCTGCGAGTCGTGGCCATCGTCATCACCTCCCTCTCGGCCCTCGAGTTCTCCATCTACACGCTGCTCTTCCTGGCCTTCCTGGCGCACTCGTTCGCCACTGCGCGCTCGTTCTTGCGGAGGACATGGGTGTTGGTTGGCTCGCTGCTGTTCCTGCTCCTGCGTCTGCCCTTTGTGGTGGTGCATCTGTACAACTACAAGATTGTCTTCCCGCAGCTCGACTTTGGCGTCCTGACCGAACCGGAGGTCCTCACCGTATGCTTCTGGGCCATCTCTTGGCTCTACTTTGCCATCACTGCCCTGCCGCCCGTCGGCTTGTTTGTCAAGGAGCTCGTGGCGGCCATCTACTGCTGCTTCTCTCCCAGAGAAGGTGCCATCCTGGACCCTAACAGTCCAAGAAAGCCCACCGTCGTCGCTATCGTCCCGGTCTACAACGAGCTATCCGAGGTGAGCACCAGCGAGACATGTCCGGCCAATCCCGGTCCCTGTTCCCACGCACTTGACAGCAGCCGGATGCATTCGAGCTCTGGCCGTCTCGCCTGTGCGTTGTCATCTCGCCTGTGCGGTTGCCGTCTCACCCGCCCCACTGTCGCTCCTTCGTGCATCGAATGCCAGGTACTGCTCTCGGCATGTATTTCCTTTGTTGAGTCCCAGTACCCCAAGGACCGTCTGCATCTGATCCTGGCCTTTGACGACAAGTCCATCGATAGCCCCCTCTTCAAGCGAACCATGAAAAATCTCAATGTCCATGGCCACCACCAGACCGACGACCCCGATGTCTACAACCTTTGCTTTTCGAATGTACCGGTGACTCTGTGCCGCTTCCAGCATGCGGGCAAGCGCCAGACCCAAGCCCGTGCCTTTGCCTTGCTCGAAACGTACCACAAGACCGAGATCGACCAGGGCTCGCCGCCGCTGGTCCTGCTGATGGATTCGGATGTGGTTCTGGATCGTAGGGCCGTCGCCTCCATGGTGAGCCGCATGAGTGCCAGGCCCAGCCTCAAGGCCCTCTGCGGCCTCATCAACTGCACGTCGCCGTACTTCAATCTGTGGCTCTATCTCCAGGACGCCGAGTACGTCGAGAGTCAGTGGCTCCTCCGCGGCTGGGAGTCCATGCTGGGAGGCGTGACTTGCCTGCCAGGGGCTTTTACCATGCTGCGGTACGAGGTTGTCAAGGAGCTCGCTCCGAGCTACTTTGGTCTGATTCCGACGGCGTACATGTCGCATCTGGAGTATCCGCGACTTCATCTGGGTAAGACCGATCCGAATCGCCAGATCCCGGACTGCCGCTTCCGCCAGGGATTGCAGCCTTACTCTTCTCTTCCACCGCCCCATTGCCTCCATCCAGGCGAGGATCGCTTCATGACCTTCCTGGTTTTGGAGCAGTTCACGGGTATGCACCAAGTCGCCTTTGAGCCGCGTGCCCGATGCAAAACATACGCACCTTCAAAGTTCACCGATCTGCTGAGGCAGCGACGGCGATGGTTTCTTGGTAGGGCCACGTTCTGCGAGTAGAGCCGGACATCCAAATATTGAAATGGGCATTCCGTCCGAGACCCAGGCGGCAAACTACAGCCATTCACTCCGTCCCCTGTTCGCCGCTCGTCTTTGCAAGTTTCAGTTCAGGGAGGGCAGGCATTTCGGACCTTGGAAGCTCTGCTGCATATTGAAAGCTCTGCTGTGCATGGGAAGATCGGCTGGGCTGTCGAGCACATAGCCTGATTCACCTGCAATGCATTGCCGGACTAACATCGTGGTTTGCTTGCACTACAAGGCACCATCGCCAACGAAGCGTACATCCTGACGTCGCCGGTCCTGTGGGCAAGCTATCCGTTGCTCCTGACCATCCAGCTCCTCCACAGCTCCTATCGCTCTCTCTCCATGCTCAACTACCTCCTGGTGATCTTTCTCTTCCTCAGCCAGATGAACCTGTTCCCGCCCCTCTACTTTGTCGTCTGCTACCTCATTCCGCTCGGCCTCACTGCGCTGTCCATGCTATACATGGCCGTTCGCCTCCGACGATGGAACGTGGTCGTCTACCCAATCACATATGTGCTCTTCCCCTTTGTGAACTGGATCGTCCTCTTCTATTCGATCGCCACCTTCACGAGAAGGAGCTGGGGCGGCCCCCGTGTCGTCAAAGCCGCCGAGACCAGCGAGTCGCCCAGCCCAACCGAGTCCGAGTTTGATGCCCGCGAAATCATTGAGATGTACTCGGACGAATACCAGCGAGTATGGACCCCCTGTTTGACTCTCTTGCACATGCCCTCCGCCATGCTCGATGTCGCCGCGATCCGAGGGGCGTGCAGCATTCGCACCGCACTCGCTACTAACGCTTTCTGCCGGACCGGATGCAACGCACCATAGTGGGTGGTGTCCATGCCGCCGCCTCCACATGCCGCACCGGAGGTTATCACTGTTCTGGACACCGAGAGCCCTCGGTATATAGACCACGAGCATCGAAAGTCCAGCATGAGCGATGTCTCAGGCAAAACCCTGGCCCTTGTCCGAGCCGAACAAGACACTCCCTCGATGCCTGTGCCCATGCCCGTGCCCTTGTCCACGCCCATGTCATTACCGGAACAACCACGGTCGTCGGCTGACCCACAGCAGCAGCCCGACGAAAAGACCCTGCACCGGTTCAATATGAGTGGGTCGGACTAGCACAACCTTTGATGGGCCCTGACGAGAGCCTCGGCATCTGTCGTAGGCAAAAACGTGTTGCCATCTCCTGGTCTCCACCCACTCGCTCTGCTTCGCCCACCGCCGCTGTAACTTCTTACCCCTAAACTCACCAAGCGCTCCCCAAATAGTACCCCTGAATCTGATAGAATGTCAAATACATGTAATCTTGTGAGACCATAATCAGTCCGAATGTAAATGAGACACACAGATATCGTGGTCGAGGAAGGGAGCTGTTATTCGTGGCAGTGTCCATTTATGAGTATTCCCCCTGAGACACCGCACTCCCTTTGCTGCTGCCAGTCGTCTTGGGTCGAGTCCTCACTGCCTTTGACTCTCGCTGGTCGATATCCATGAACGATGATCGGCCCATCGAGTGTGACAGCCTATTTGTTGGATTCCAGCCGTACATTCGCTCGGTATCCTTAGCGACTTTCATCCCACCTCCGAATTGCGCTGCGGCCCAATGGTCATTCTCTCCAAGGAGCCGCGCACCCGGCCGCTGTCATGTCCTGAAGCTTCGTCGGATCAGATAGGTGCATGTCAGTGTCAGTCCAGCAACAAGGGTCAGTCCCGCGGCCGTCCAGGCGGTAGTGAGCAGCCCCGGCCGATGCCTCTTCCAAGCAACTTCGCGCGGAGTCAAGTCCCAGGGCCCCTTGAGCTCGGGCAAGACTTGACTGCCTGGTGCTGACGGGAAGCCCGAGATTAGTTGCGAGAACGGCTCGTGTGTCTCGAGCTCGATCGTCCCGGTGACCAGCGGGATCGTGATCTTCCAGGCATGGAGCATTGTCCTAAAGGACTCGTTGGTGTGGTCGGGCCGTTCGTAGGCATAATCACCCACGATGGGATGCCCGATAGAGGCCAAGTGCACTCGGAGCTGATGCCGGCGTCCCGATAGCGGCTCGAGCTGCACCAGAGTGACCTCCCGATGCAAAAAATACCCCACTTGCAAGGGCGTCACCAGCGTTTCCGAGGGCTGTTTATGGAAAACACAAATACAATCGTGGAGAGTTGACTGTTCAGTATGCGGGAGCAAAGAAGCGAAACGGGAACGAAAGGCGCTCGCTTGGTTGGAGTGTGCAAGGGAACGAGTCACCAACAGCAGCAGCAGAACAGCAGCAGCAGCAGCAGAACAGCATCGGTTTGCGAGAACGTCGAGACTCACCCGGCCAGGATTATCGTCCGTCCCAATGCACATCATCTTGTCGTTCCCCTTGACTGTCGCGATGGGCTTGTTGATCACAAAGCTGATGACGATAAGCGGCAACAGCAGCGGTCAGGGCAATGTGGTTCGACCGAAAATGGCCAAATGCAGATGGCTGGATCGACTGCCACTCTGACGACGCAAGCTGGCACTCACGGATCGGTGGTGAGATGGCCCCGGATGAGAGCGACATAGGTCTTTTTGACAAGCCGTCGCATGAAGAGCTTTCCACTGCGAGATAATGGATGGAATTGCGATTAGCCCACACTCATGATGACATCGCTCTGCCGTGCCGCAACACTGCGCATCCATCTGGCGATCCAACCATTCGCTGCTTACGTTGCGCCGGTCGCTTTGCTACTCAATGCCCAGATGTGGATGCCCGAGGTCACATAGTCGAGCTGGTGAGCCAGGAAGATCTTGCTGTACTGTGGAAACGCACCCATCAGGATGGATTCGACTGGGATAGATGAAGTCCGATAGCCATACGGCGACTGCGGTGAGTCTGGGTGCCGCTGCAGAAACAGCCTCAAGTGCACTGCATGGAATGAGCGAAGACCAAGCCAGTCCCTGCATGTTTGCCCCCGGAGAACTCCCGGAATCCGGCATAGATCCGTCTGCCCAGTCCTGCTTCGTTGTCTCCCCCGCTCGTCATCCGACCCAAATGGTGTCGGTGTGCATGCTCCGACAATTGAGTGGATCGGAAGGCGGGTAATCCAGCACCAAGCGCCTTACTTGTCGGACAATTGTGCAGCGGGCCATCGATGCGGACGTTGTAGCTGTCCAAAATATGGATGCAGGTGAGAGGAACTCGGAGCGACGGCGGCGTCGGGACGAGGCCAGGAAGCACGAGGGGCCCTCGGACTTACGGCTTGTTGATGATGAGGTACTGTCCCGGCTCATGATACAGGATCGGAATTCGGTAGTGGCGATCGAAGCGGGGATCGACGGCATCGACAGGAGGAGGGATCGGAAGCGGGCACTCTGGTGCCTTGCGGGCGTGGTATTCAAAGCGCTCCTTGCGGGTGAATCGAGGGGTGTACTGTCTGGGCGCTGGCGAGGGCGCTGCTGTCTCAGAGTCTGGGTTTGGAACCGACTCCATTTCGGCAGAGAAACGACGGGCTGAAGGAGGGGGTCGAGCGGGACCAGGCTGGAGCGGGTCAGATCAGATCAGATCACACAATCAACCTCTCGTGGCTGCCCATCTCGGTCACCTGAAAGTCACGTTGTTTGCGGCGCAGCAAAAGTTGGAATGGATCCGCGGTCGGTTGACGGACGGTGTCAACAACCAGGATCGTCTCTGGCGCAGTTGCTTCAAGCTGCGTAGTTCCCTCTTCCAAGAGCGGGTCAGGGACAAGAAGCTGTTCAACTACGAGATCAGCACCGATGGCATTGGATGCACCATCGGTCTCGTCAAGTTTGTGCCTCGAACCGATCGCACCGAGACCATCGAGCCTCCTCCGACTGCCGAGCAGCGCATCCAGGCCCACATCGGCAACTCAGACCCCGACAAGACCACTTGGATTGGCATCGATACTGGAGTCGGCTTCATCTTCACGGCGGTCATCCAAGCACCGGGCCACCAAGACGAGGTGGTCTCGTTCTCCAATGGTCACTATCAGCACATGATCACAGCGTGCAGGTCGATTGTGGAGACCGGAGGGCGACCGGTGGTGTTCACTCGGAGGCTGCCAAAGTGATTTGATTTATATTTTATGGCTTTGCTTGACGCAAGCACATCGCATACTACGCTATCAATTGCGGGTTTCCCGTTGTCAGGGGCCGATATTAATAGTGTAGTGTCAGATCGGATCAGAGCAGAACGAGGTCGCGGTTTCAATGGGACTATCGCAGCCACATGCTTCCTATCCCACTCTATTGAGCTACTGCGCTGCTTCGCCGTTATGATAGACTGATGTATTCAGGGACCAGAGAAAGAAGAGAGAAAGAGAGAGACAAACAGAGGGAGAAACCCCGACAGCCATCCCTGGAATCGGTGGTGGTGATTTGCTTTGTTTTGGTTCCGCCTTGGACTGACTACGCTGGCTTGCGGTGTGCTGGCCGTGCAAGTGGAAGCATGAGCGGGTGATGAGTTTGGGCGGCGAGTGGAGACTACGAGGATGAGTACCTGTACCAAGGTCGCGGATGATCGGATGTATCAGGATAAGGCCGGGGTTGCCTCTGTCTTGCCCATTCAATCGAGCTACATTGCACAGCGGCTGTGTCTGGACTGAGCGATTCCACGCCGGCCGTTTTTTGCCAAGCCCGATGGTTGAACATGTCCATGAGCGCACACTCGTTCTCGCAGCCGTCGGTGCACGCTTTAGATTTCCCCCCTCAAAGCTCCAGCATCCCGACAAACTCGCTGTGGAGCTCCTTGAAGATGAGTGCACTGCCAGAGAGTCGCTTGAGACGCACGCCGTGGACCTTCAGCAGCCAAACCTTGCAGATTTCAATCTCAAACTTGACAAATTCGCCATCAGCGGCATCGGGCGAGTCCGAGCTGAGGGTATAGGAGCACTCGAGCATGTAGTAGTCCTCCACTCGCGAGAACTGCAGCTGGTTGCTGTGTCGGCTCTGCATCACCACCAGCACTCGGTGGACCTCTTGGAACATCAGGGCCGGTGCCATCGACGACGTCGTCGCCGAGTTGAAGGCAAAGCGCACCGACCGGATCTCTTTTGGCGGCCGATGGAACAGGTGCCAGTCCTCGATCTCCTTCTTGGAGGGCTCGACGGTTTCGTCGGTTGCGACGGACGAGTCAATCACCGAGTTGTCGATGCTGCTGTTGGTCATCGGGCCCGCAGAGGCCAACTTGCCTGAAATGTTTGGCGAGTCGCTCATGCTCTCGCGGACAGTGGTAGAGTCCGACGTGATCGGGCTGACCATCGACATGCGTCGCATCTTGGTCATATCGCGGTCCAGGTCGACGAGGCCCTCGGATGCTCTCCTGACTTTGGAGCTGTCGGCAGTGCTGGCGCGGAGATGGCCGGTGTTGACAGATGCCGGGCTGGCCATGCTGTCCGTAGACCGCTTATCCACGGGCGAGACGTGCGATGAGATGGTCGTGATGATGCCAGGGACTTGGATGCGGAGCGATGCCGCACGGCGCCGATATCCGCCCATGGGCACTTGCACAAGAGACCCCGGATTCAGATCGAGCGGATTGCTGCTTCCGCTGCCGACGTTGGGGATCGAGGGGACAAGCGGAGGCGTCGACCTCTCCTGCATCGACATTCTCCGTGCGTGGGTCTTGGGCTTGGTGATAGGGGGCGCCGACGGCAGCGGAGACACTTTGTCCTCTTCTTCGACGATGGGCTTGTTACTCGGATCCGCCGCGGAGGCCGCGGCGGTGCGGACAACGAGCACTTCGTGGTTGGATATGGACGATCTCTTCTTCTGGAGATACTTGGCTGTGACTGGGGTGTCGCTGTCCCGGACGTGCGATCGGAAGGTATAGATCGTAAAGGTCTTCTCCTTGGTGATGCTGGAAATATACTGTCCGACGGCAGAGGCATCCGAGTTGCTTGTGACGCGAGGGCTGATGCGAGAAGGTGGGCCAGGCTCTTCAAAGTTGACCCACGGATCGTTTCGCAGTCCCTCCATGTCGATGCGAGCCTTGGGATCACGCACCAGAATTCTGGAAAGCAATTTGCGCAGCTCTGTCGCCAACGAGGGATGCAGTGCGACAAGAAAATGGCGATACCAGGGCACCAGATCAGCACAGAGTCGAATGTCAAGGCAGAGCCGATGCAGACTGGATGCAGGCTGGATGGGCAAGCCCACTCTGCCCGGCACTTGTCGACGAGCAACAAGAGATATGATGTGCAGGGGAGATCAGCTGACCGGAGCTCACCTGGCGAAAAGTAGTCCGGACATTTGTAGTCCACGGCTTTGATTTTGGAATACAGCGCCGATATGTTTTCGCCCACAAAAGGCGGTCTGCCTGTCATCATGACGTAGAGCACAACCCCCATGGCCCAAACATCCGACTTGACGCCTATGTATGGGATTCCAGAGATCAGCTCGACGGCGGCATAGTTGGGCGTGCCACAGAAAGTCTTGTCGTTGGAATGTAGCGCCGAGGGTAAATTGGGAGAGAACACATCCGGCGCAACAGTGGCACAACCGAGGGTTTGAAACACCGGTTCGCCGCAGAATGTCGGCACAATTGGTGCGATGTTGGTCGATACAGTCCGCGTGTGGTCGAGGGTTGGCCGATGAAGTGACAGCGCCGGTGCCATATTGTGCCGGTGCCACATTGTGCCGTGCCGACCAGCGATGGTTGATGGAGTGTGCATTGGTGAGCGGGAGAGTCAGCGAGACGTCCTGTGGGTGTCAGTGTCTATATGGTCTGTCACTGACCTTCATGTAGTCGTCCTGGTCCGACGTAAAGGTGCGGCCGAGACCAAAGTCCGAAATGAGGATGTTTCTGTCAGAGTTGAGGAGTAGATTTTCAAGCTTGAGGTCGCGATGGACGACGTTGGCTTGGTGGCAGTGATCCATGGCGGATATGATCTGGCGGAAGAACTTGCGAGCTTCCTTCTCTGTTAGCCGGCTTCGGGCAGCGATGTAGTCGATTAGCTCGCCGCCCGAGGCATACTCCCTGTGAGCATCCCCCCGGAAGGAACAGCCAAGCCAATATAGTCAAGCAAATGCGAACAAGAACAATGCGCGGCGTGAACATGGTTTCGGTGTGTCGAGTCGGTTGGAATCGGCATATGTGCGTCGAATGAGAGAGGGGAAGGGTTGGGTTAGCGCTGACATGGAAGTACAACACGCACGTTTGATGGGACCGAGCAAGTGAGAACCAGACTCCTCCCAAAGCATGCATGCGAATGCGGCCAGACGGCAAGATACGACACCAACGCTGCAAGCCAACCCAGACTCGAGAGACATGCGCGATACGAACATGATCACAAAGCACTCGTCCTCGGTCTCCATGACTTGGTAGAGCGTGATGACGTTTGGATGGTCGAGTCTCATCAGCAGCTGAACTTCCGGCTGGAGGGACGACACGAACGACTTTTCTCCCGCGGCTTTGTCACTATTTTGCTTTTCCTTCTCCTCCTGCTTTTCCTTCTCCTTTTCCTTCTGCTTCCTCTCCTCTTCTTGCGCCTGCGCCTCGGCCGTGCGGGGCCTGCGCTTCAGCTCCTCGGCCCTCTTTCGCTTCTCTCGCTCTTCTTGTGCCTGTTTGGCTTTTTTCGCCTTGGCCTCAATCTGCTTCTTGTCTATGATTTTGATGGCCACCTGGGCGTTGCAGGCGGCATTCGTGGGGAATAGAGGGATGGAGGCTGGGTCAGGTACAGCCCAACACGCAAGCACGACGACTTTGGCGACCGTGTGAATCCGCCAGGCAGATACACAGTGTCCGCCGAGCGAGATGCTGGCTGTTGCGAGTGCCAGCCGCAAGCAACCCCGAATGAATGCAAGGGAGAGTGGGCAGACCTTTTGCCCGGTTTCCCGGTGGTATCCGATCTTGACTTTTGAGAAAGCGCCCTGGCCGATGGTTTTCCCCACATGGTAGTCGCCGAGCAGTTTCTTTCTGGCGAGCATTTGCATTCGAGGCAAAGAAACAGCGGGGCTATCTGGTACTGAGGCCTACGAGGAACTGCTTTGGATGTATGCGGAGAGACCGTCCTTGGATCGGTGGGAAAGCAGTGGCGATACGAACGGAGGCTGGAAGGCGGTCTCAGCGGTGGCTCCCTGGCCGGCTCGCGGATGATGCAATGGTGCTAATGGAGCAAGCGGGACTCGATTCACACGAGGGGAAAGGAGGCTCGATGTGAACCACGTCAGTGGCGAATCGACGGCAAGATGTGCTTCGAGCAAGTGGCCGACGAAGAGCGATGAACCCAACAACAAGCGATGCTGCTCTGAGCGGCAGATGTCGTTGCTTCCAGCGACACCTGGCCGTCGCTGTCCACAAACAAAAGCCGTCCGCTGGGAGGACTGACGAAACCATCAATACCTGTCCAATCAGCCAGCCGCCACTGCTGCTGTTGTCGCCACCACTGCTGCATACAATGCCTGCTGGAACGACTGACCCACTTGCCTGTCGCTGCCGAGCCCGATCCCAATCACTTGCTGCATAGGCTTCCAGATTGTCACTTCCACCGGCCAAACGAGGCGGGGCTGGAGCAACCGGGCGGCGCGCGGGCGGGCAAAGAGAACACCGGTGATCCAGCCGGCAGCTCCGTTTAGTTGGCGGCTTTGAATGGCGGGCCTGAGAGGGCAGCACGGAGGCAGCAGCAGCAGCAGCAGCAGCAGCAGCAGCAGCACGTCTGATCATATCCCGTCTCTCGACGACGTCACTCGAATCGTCCTTGCCCCTTCTCGCAACACAGACGCACCGAATCACCAGTTCGGCTGTCTGCATCAACAATTGCCTCGACTCCATCTCTGAGCTGCTCCTCCTCGGCCCGACAGCACCGATTATTGCTGTCACAGAATTGATAGAGAAAGCCCAGTTTTGTCCGCGTCGCACCCGCACAACTTGCTCGCAACCATGGAGCCCAAGATCGGAAACATGACCAAGATGGCCAACGCGCGCAGGTGTGGTGCTTGTTGTCGACCACCATCGGCCGTTTAGGATCAGGACGAGGGTGGGCGAACCATGCAGGGATAGGCTCGTGTTGGCATCCCCGAGCGAGGCCGCTGAACATGGACCAACTCACTTGCAGGCGACACATGAACTCGTCGACGACGTCCTCGTCGGTATACCGAGAGGGTGATTCGGTCGTGGGTGGTCGATCCAAGAATGCGCTCGCTTCCTCGCAGGTGTATTCGGCCACCGTCAGCAAGAGCGGCATCCCCGGCATCCACGGGAAGCTGCCGACCGGCCATGAGATCATTGTCTATGACGAGGACGGCAACGACGTGACCCCGATCTCGTTGCTGGGGCCTCAGCGGGGAATCAAGTCGCTGTTGCATTCGAATGTGCTCCCCGGCGCCTCGACCACGGAGGTTTCATCCATGACAAGCGTCACCAAGGTGGGAGTCGTGCCTGGGCGAGTCGCTGGCCAGGCCATGATCGTTGGCATGATGTGCATCAATTGCTCAACTTGATCCTCGTTGTGCATGCCCCACAACCGCGCGAGGCCTGACACTGACCCTCCAAATGCAATCTGGACCGGCGCTGCTTGTCGACTTCCCAGGATACCGTTGCGGATGTCCTCAACAATCTGGAGACCATGACTGTCGGCTCGTGGAGCGCTTCGCAGTTTGGCCGATCCATGCACGGCTACGGCGGGTCGAGCCGGGCATCTGGCGCATCCACCCCCGAGGATAAGGACGAAGATGTGCTGTCGGTCGCAAGCTCGGACTCGAACGAAAAGGCTAGCACAGGCAGGTTTGAAGAGCAGTGGGCCTGGTTGGATTGGCGGGCTGGGCTGAGGGAGGGCTTGGGCGCAGACACAAGTACTTGAGCGGATACTTGCCTCGCTGGATTCAGTCGTGGCTCACTCATTTGGTTCACTTGGCGCACAGAGGAAACCAAAAAGGATGGCGGGGCGGGTGCAGTCGGTCAGGCGGCATCGACTCATAAGATCATCAGTGATGTGGACATGAACCGGATGCTCCACGTCCATCTCAGCGAGACCGACTCGATCTGCCTGGTGGACATTCCGTCCGTGAGCGTGTCGACCGATTTCGTTGACGAGGCAACGAGTGTCAAGGCCTCGAATGCAAAGTACAAGGAGGTTAGCGTCAAGCCTTGTGTTGAGCGCTTGCCCGTGCTCTATGCTGCTCTGGAGCCCGTGCGACCTTGAGAAGGCAACAACCGCTCAAAGCACACCTTTGGATGCTGATTCCGACCGGCTCGGTGGGTCTTTGCTCCCCCCCCCCGACAGCTCAAAGCCACCCGACAGAACAACGACAACTTCATCGACCGCGGCATGCAAACGCTCAACTTGCCCCCCAAATCAAAGGAGGTGCAAGTGGCCGCCACCAAGGTGGTGGATGTTGAGCTTCAAGTTGAGCAATGGACCATCTACGACGCCTATCACAACGGGCGAGGTGGCCTTGAAGGCGATGAGGCTTCTAGGATCTCGACGTAAGTGCACACACCACCCGGCAGCTTTGGCCATTCCACACTACGTCACGGGTGCAGCTGCTCTCCACACCATTCTAAAGACTCGCATCCTTTCATGCTCGCACCACTTCTCTGCTCCTCACGATGACGCCTCACGCTGGCTCTCTAGAGGCGAAGACCACGACGACGACAGGGGACAGAGCCAGCGACAAGATGTCCTCGTGGGAACCGACTCCATGACACACTATATGAGCACGGATCCATCGAGCAGCTCGGCAGTCAACGTCATGGGCACCAACACTTCTGTCGTTGGCGACGGCTATGGATCCGTTTCGATGGTCTTTGACGACGACAATGCCTCAGAGTCATCCTTCAACAACACTCCCGGCGGGGTCTCGGGCGAGGAGAAGAAAGAGGATCCGTTGGTCTTGGTGAGTACGAGCTGGCTGAATGGTGTGGTGTTGCTGAGATCGCGCCTGTTCGGCAGAGTCAGACCCCCAGCTGTGGTCGTTGTGGTGGCGGTTTGAGACTGGGATGAAACTGTCCACTCAATCTCAATCTGCCCATCTTTATCCGAAACAGCTGGGCCAGGAGAGCCTCCAGGCATCGCTGCAGATCATGGAGCGCGCCGTCCTGGGTAACTACTATATGAAACGATTCATATCCTATCGCGACTTGACGGATGTAGAAGACGAGCTCCAGGGTAAGACATGACTGTATTCTCATCCGTAGCTCGGTGGGCCCGTGGGAACGGATACATTACAGCAGCGGTGCCAGTGAGCTAATTTCCTTCCTTGGGTTGCTGCTGATCAGAGCGAGGTTAGTTCCGGGACTCGGAAACAAAAGCGTTTGAAATCTGGGCCTCGACAGATACCCAACCCCCGAGACACACGAATACGACTAGTGTGGTAGCAGAGAGCAGATCCCCACCAAGTCGAAACACGCACTAAGACCTCCCTTGTTGTGCTATGGCCCCCCTGTTCAGACCAGTACGACTCGAGCATGATTCCGTCGCTCGAGTACCTCTGGGCCTACAAATGCGAGCTGACCAGAGGACGAAGCGTGACGCAAATGGCCTGGAACAAGCACAACGAGGTATAAACGACTGTGCTAGATTGACTGAGTTGGACAGTCTTTGCTTGTTGCCTTGATCTGACTTGATGCCGTTGCGATTCTGGGCCGCCAATAGGATATACTGGCGGTGGCATACACCGAATGCCGACTGGCTGGATCGACCATATTTCCTGGTCTTGTACTGTGCTGGTCGATGAAGAATCCCGAGGTGAGACGGACCCAGCGGCCTCTCTCCCTTTCTGAACGATGATGCTTGTCCACAAACAGCCGTGTCTGCCCGAGCTTTGGCGGGCAAATCGCAAGCTCAGACAGAGGACAGAGGACAGAGGACAGAGCGTTCACACGACCGTATTTTGCCGAAACGACAGTGGCCCGAGCGAATTTACCGCCTCAAGTCGCCCGTGACCACGCTCGACTTTAGCAAGAGCAGTGGCAATCTGCTGGCATGTGGACTGATGGATGGCCGTATCGTGATCTATGACGTTCGTCGGAAAGACGATACGCCGGCACTCGACAATGCGTGAGTACAGCCAGGGAAGCACTCAAGAGTGAGGTGGACGAGCGTCCTAGCATCGCCTCTGGTGATGAGTGGCCTGATCGCCTGTGTGGCCCATAGACATGCGCTAATGCAGTGTCAACGACAGAGAAATCCTCGGCAAGCATCGGGATCCTGTCTGGGAGCTCAAGTGGATCGAGAAGCTTGTTGGCGACGAGCACTCGCATGGCGAGGAGACGCTGGTGTCAGCCAGCACTGACGGGCGGGTGACCCAGTGGTTGGTCCGAAAGGGACTCGAGTACACAGGTGAGTTACTCTGGCTCGCTATCAACCCTGCGAGAGTCTAGACCCGAGCTGGTGCATGTCCGATACTCTTGCTTGAGTACAGATGGGTGAATGCAATCGGATGGGCCATATGTGGTGATGCGGTCACACCTTCGATCTGCCCAGGGGTGATGCTGAATTGTCCATTGCAAAAGATCTGATGTCGCTGAAGCGAGTGACGAAGCAGGAGGTCAAATCAAGTGGTGGGCCTGTTTCAGGATCGTCTGGACAGGCCTCGATCGGTGGCGGCAACGGAGGCAGCCAGAACGTCAAGTCGACATCGGTGATTGCACGACACTCGGGTGGGCTTTGCTTTGATTTCAATCCAAAGGACAGCAACATGTAAGTTCGGTACATGGGCTTGGACCTCAGGACGGGTCGAGACCAGCTGCTTCTGTCGTCCAGTGCCACAGCTCGGATGCGGGTTGTATCAACTCTGGTGAACTCTGGTGAACTCTGGTAGCAGCATTGCTTGGGCAGGCGCGGCTGACGGGATCGTCCGTGCTAAGCAAAACTATTCGGTGGTGCAGCTATCTCGTCGGCACAGAAGACGGACAAATCCACCGATGCTCCTCCTCCTACAACGAGCAGTATCTCTCGACCTATGTGTCGCACACCGGGCCCATATACAGGGTGCGCTGGTCGCCCTTTGTGCCAACCGTGTTTCTGAGCTGCAGCGCCGACTGGACGGTCCGTCTGTGGCGAAGCGAAAAGGAAGAGCCCGAGTTCCGGTTCCAGAGCGGCAAGGACTCGGTTGCCGATGTGGCCTGGAGCAGCGGCAGCTCGACGGTGTTTGGATGTGTTGGCACCGACGGCCGGCTGGAGGTGTGGGATCTGAAGCACAGCGTGTAAGTGTCGCTTGGATTATGCCCGAGTCTGCTCGACCGGGGAGCACGAAAGTGGCGGACCGGACAGAAAAATTGACTGCCGGGTTGAATCGGAGACTCGGAGGGACTCGGATCGCTGCTTATTGCCAACTACTAATCAAAGCCCTCCTGGATGTATCGCTCGAAATCAGGCTTGATCCTCTGATTGTGCACACTCTGCTGGACCGCCAGCTCACATCGATCCTTTTCTCGTCAAAGTCACCCATTCTCTTGATCGGCGACGACAGCGGCGCTGTTAATGTCTACAAGCTCAAGCAAGTGCCCTTCCATCCCAACATGGATGTCAACGAACAGGCCAGCGCGCTCTACAACGTCATCGATTCCAAGAACCATCCTGGCCAGACGACCAACGCCAATGCCAATGCCAACGCGAATGCCAATGCCAATGCAAATGCTACCGCCAGTACCTAGTACATATGTGCGAGCCTCCAGGATGCCGGTGGCGGAGCTGATGTGCCGCGGAGGAGAGGCTGTTGAATGCAAAGGCGGATATGAATACAGCCGTCGCTACAGGAGTGATGCGTCGCCGGATAGGGACAGCGCCAGCGTGCATTGCGCAAAGGCAGAGGGTGGAGGCCAGCAAGCAGGTGCGCATTCATCGCAGCGACAGAGATGCCCCAAGCGCTGACTGATGCAGACCCAGTCCCGCGGGTCATGATGCGGGTTGTCCTGATGGCCGAGTTTCGGGCTGTCACGGGGGATGGCGATCGACACCCAAACCGCGCCCGCTGCGACCGATCCGCAAGCCATCCCCCGATCTCGGTCCGCTGAAATTTCGCACGTCCTGCGTACCGGGCCTTGGCTGTTGTCCATCCATCCCCACGTCTCTATCTGCCCCCAAATGAGTGTCCAGACCCGACGAGTCGTCGTCACCGGGCTCGGGCTAGTGACGCCCCTGGCGACAGGAGTCGCCCAAACTTGGTCCAGACTGATCGCCGGCGGGAGCGGCATTGTGTCGCTGGCAGACCATCCCAACCGCCAGTATCAGGCGATACCCTCGAAAGTAGCAGCCTTGGTCAAGCACGGATCTGGCGAGGGTGAATTCGATCTGTCCAAATGGATCGACAAGGGGGTAAGCATGATCGGGCCGAGGAGATGCGCTCGGATGGACGGCCATTCACGGCCACAACAGGGCTTGCAGCAACAGCATCAGAGGGTGCATGTGGAAGATCGATCATCCGGACTGGGAATCCGAATCCAGAGGCACTGGCTGGTCGATCGATCTTGCGGAACCCGAGTGCTCGCTGACCTTGACGTCTTTCTCAGAACGAAAAGCGCATGTCGCCATTCATCCAGTATGCTATGTGTGCCGCCAAGCAGGCTATCGAAGACTCGGGCTGGAAGCCGGTAGCCGAGGAGGATCGCCATCGAACGGTACGCTGCCTGCGCCAGGGAATGATGCAGTCTATCGATCGATTCCTTGAGCTAATTGTTGTCGGCGATCTCCAGGGAATCTGCGTCGGATCGGGCATTGGGTGCATCGACGAAGTGGCCGAAACATCCGCAAGCTTCGAGAGTCAGGTTGGCGCTGGTGTCAAGTCTGGACGAGGCTCGGAGCTGCCGAAGTGCAATTAGCTGGGATTATGACTCGAGAAGCCCCGGATCAAGGCCGGGTTATGGGACAGGGCTACTGGCCGGTTGGTCTGGCCATGCTGATGTCGATCGGCAACATGACTGCCACACAGGGCCTTCGCAAGATCAGCCCGTACTTTGTCCCCAAGATCCTGGTGAATCTGGCGGCTGGACATCTCAGCATGAAGTATGGATTCCAGGTACGGCCGAAAGTTGTGGACAGACAAGTGGCTCTGGGCAAGCTCCAGCAGCCAGCAGCACCAACAGCAGCACAACCACCAGCAGCAGCAGAAATAGTAGCAACAGCGCTAATTCCATGTCGCCTCCGGATTTGCATGCATATCTGCTACGGCATGGGCGATTGCTTGCACATTCACCATCCAGGGTCCCAACCACAGCGCCTCGACGGCCTGCGCAACCGGGGCACATTCGATTGGCGATGCGATGCGATTTATTCAATACGGCGACGCGGACGTCATGATAGCCGGAGGAACCGAGTCGAGCGTCTCGCCCCTCTCGATGGCCGGCTTTGCGAGGTGCGTGGTTCGCCGCTCCAGCGGATATGCCGGTGGTTCTGCGGATGACGCTGCGGATGGGCCGGCGAATGCCGCAGCGCTGACGATCTGGCGGGCTGCTGAGCAAGCGACCCGCCATCAAGACGATGCCGCGGAGAAACTGGGCCCCGGCAGACTGATGCGGACTGCATTCGGCCCTGCTGACCCATGCCGACTTTTGTGGTTGCGATTGCAGGGCTCGGTCCCTGTCATGCAACTTCAACGACCGACCCACAGAAGCCTCGCGGCCATTCGATAAGGACCGCGACGGATTTGTCATCGGCGAGGGGGCAGGCATCGTCGTCCTCGAGGAGCTCGAGCATGCCCTCGCGCGAGGCGCTCCTATCTATGCCGAGGTTTGTGGCTACGGACTGTCGGGTGATGCTCATCATATGACGGCTCCGCCGGACGACGGCAACGGAGCGGCCCGGGCGATGAAGCGTGCGCTGGCGACAGGCAATATCCAGCCCGACGATGTCGGTTACATCAACGCCCATGCGACCAGCACGGAGCTGGGCGACCTGGCAGAGACCCGGGCAATCAAGTCGGTGTTCTGCAACGGACAGGACACGCGCAGCGGCCTCTGCGTTTCGTCGACAAAGGGCTCGATCGGCCACCTGCTCGGTGCGGCGGGGGCGGTCGAGGCCATCTTTACGATCCTGAGTCTGAAGCATGTAAGTGGTGGGGTCAGGATCGATGGACAGGCCGATGCACCGACGGATGAGCAGGGCCGGTGGCGATGCGCGACTGCGCTGGGTCCTGCGTGTTTGGCACGACATGCGTCCGGATGGCACTTGGACGCAACGCAGATGCAACTCTGGCTTGGATGGCACTCTGGGGGCTCATTTTGACAATCGCTCTCTATCGCCTTCCCGACCGGCCTGGGGCGAAACGGCAGCGCATTGTCCCGCCGACCCTGAATCTCCACAGGGTCGATGCCGAGTTCACGCTGGACTATGTGCCGCTCAAGAGCCGCGAGCTGCCAGAGCTGCGCTATGCGCTGTCCAACAGCTTTGGCTTTGGCGGCACCAACTGCAGCTTGCTCTTCGGGCGCTGGACAGGGCGCTGATCCCGAACGAATGCCGGCCGCCGGAAGAGGAGCCGTGGGCGAGCCGGGGCTGTGTGGTGTGACTGTGCAGTGGAGCTGTGTGGTGGAGCTGTGTAGTGGAGCTGTGTGGTGGAGCTGTGCACTCGGACTGTGCGTTGTGACTGTTCACTCGGACTGTGTGGCTTCTGGCAGCACGGACCCACTGCGCTGTGTGACTGTGAGCAGTGCTCGGTTGGTGCAGCCGAAATATACGCCTTGTGCAGCGCTCCTTGCGTGGTTGGTGCAGCAGCACAGAGCGCGACCGCGTCCGCTGTGCACGCCGCGGGTCACACGCACCGCCGCAGCGACAGTGGCGGGTCACAGCGTGGCACCAGACTCACAGCCACAGCGAGACGGCACACAGCACAACCGCACACTGCAGCAGCACACAGGAACAAGGCAGTCCCGCGGCTGCGGGCATGTGAGAGCGCGCCGCGCCGCCCGTGCCGCCGCGTCTGTGTCACCGCTGTGTCGCCGTCCAGTCGCTGCGTTGTTCGGCCTTTGCCGCGCCGGACTTGTCTGCTCTTGTCCTTTTGATCTCGGCCTCACCTTTGACGCTTGCTCGCTCGCCTGCTCGCATCCATCCATCCTTGGCTCCCATCTGTATTTTTATGCCGCTGGCTGCGTTTGTCGGCCCCGCCTTGCCCTGCCGAGTCCACTCGCCATCGCCCTTGTGAGTCGCCTGCCTCGCCTGCCTCGCCTGTGGTCTCGTCGCTGCTGCTCGCTTGCTCGCCGCCTTGATCCTCGCCTTGATCCCCGCCCATCGCCATCCGCGCTGTGTCCTGATCACCCGGTCTGCTTGTTTTTCCCTTCATCCACCCTTTTCCCACTTCCGGCTGGTCATATCCCGGCCGCTGCCCTCGTCCGTTTCATCTGCTTCATCGCATCTCGCCTCTCCGTCACATCCCTCGCTTCTGACCCTCCTCTGATCTATCCCCGTTCTGTCGTCCTCTTGCATACTCTGACTGCAACCCCCCCCACTGCATCGGTCTGGGACTGTCTTGGCTGACACTGCATTGCTGCCTCGATCGTCTGCCAACTGGTTCTTTTTTTTCCTCGTCCGTCGTGGCCGATCAACTCAAATCGCTCAACCTCCCCTCGCCGTCGATCGGCTTGCGATCCATCAGCTCTGCTTCTCCCCTTCTCTCGCACACTTGATTTGAATCCTCAGGCTCCTCCCGCCGAGCAACGCTTCTTTCCCGCCATCGCCAGCGATGCTCTCCAACATCCACTCGTCGCACCTCGAGGTCATCTTGGACGAGTCCACCATCGAGCTCTCCGGCAACATCGATGTCTCACAACAAGCCCCCGGCACTCGCCCTGGGCACGATCTCAAGGGCAAGGTCATCCTAACACTGCACAAGTCCCTGCTCACGGCCGTCGAGCTCAAGGTCTGCTTTGCCGGCCATGTCTACATCCATTTTAGTCCGTCCAACTCCAGCTTCTTCCATCATCAGCCCGAGTACCCTCCGGCCGCCCGCCCGCTCGTCGAGCGGAGCGTTACCCTGTGGTCGCCTCAGAGCGAGACGGCCGAGCTCCGGGCCGGCATCCACGAGTGGGACTTCAATATCTCTGTCCCTGCCAATCTGCCGCCGACATCGGCGACCCGCTCTGCAAAGATCCAGTATATCGTCCAAGCTCTGCTCGTCGAGCGCAAGCTCCCTGCCTCCCACGGACCTGCTGCCACCCCACCCTCCAACCCACAGCCCATACCCGTCAAGCCGCACCTGGTCGAGACCCAGGCCACCAAAGTCGTGACCATCCAGACCTGCTGGCCACGAGGGGGCCTCCACGCAGAGCAGCTTATCTGCGACTCTACCCGGGGGATCCTCGAGGCCAAGGTCCACATGGCCCCGGAGGCATTTGTTGTCGATCCCGTTTACAAATTCTCTGTGTCACTCAACATCCTGAAGCCCACCGTCGTCAAAGAAGTCAAGAGCATCAAATGCCAGTTGCGGGAGAAACAGACATACCTGTGAGTATCGCTACTGCTTCGCTAATGTTCTGGCGCGATGTTGCTCTTGCGGCCGGCATACCCACCGATTACTCGTTGGCATGAGTTGGGGCCAACCATCTGGGACGCAGCACAGCATGTTGGCATTGGCATACGCGCAGGGCATTGGCATGCAACGGCTCGCCGACAGTGTCCTATCTCCACCATAGTGAATGAGTCGCTCAGTCCACAGCGTGACCGATTCTCGCTGACCCTCTCTCCTCGATTCACCCATTCCAATCGCATCTCGCACCTTGCATCGCGTAGGTGCAAGCAAGCCAACTCGGAAGAAACAACAAAACAAAGAGAGGAACTCGGGATCGGCATAGCCACGGTCACCAGCGTCGACAAGCAGTCGGCCCTCGTCTCTAATCGCGGCACTCCCTCGTCACAGTCCTCCCAGAGCGGGAGCGGGGGAGCCAACACCTTGTCCAGCTCCATCGCCGGTGCTAGTGCGCCAGCATCGTCCTTCTGCTCGCCCATCCACTTGGAGGTGTCGTTGCAAGGTGCCCACATTGACGTCAGCTTGCCCGAGTTCCGGGTTGTTCACCGACTCTACATCCTGGTGCAGTTCGAGACCGGTGGCGACAAGCTGGACGAGGTCATCGTGTTCGTTCCCATCCGTGTTGTCAACCCGAGCAGGTGGAGTGGCTATGCACCTGCACCTGTGCCTTCGCTCCTGCCCATCAACACAAACGTCAGCGGCTCCTACTCTGATACCAGCACCTTGGGCCGTTCGAAGCGAAGTGTGAGTTTACCCCAGTCGCCCGACTACACAAAATCCACACCCACTGGCGCCAAGTTCCAGGAACTGAGCCTTGGCAGTGTTGGCGTCGCGTCGTCTGCCGTCGGCGCACAGAGCCAAGGTCGATCCACCCTGATCCACAACAAGCGACGCAACGTCTCGGATCCCAATGCAGGTCTTAGCCCGCCGCTGCTGGCGCAGACCTTCCATACTGTCTCGCACGACCTCTACGTGTCGCCCAAGCCGGCGCCGATCCCCGAACGCAAATCCATGGACCCGGGGTATTCCAGCCGGGAAGCATACGCCAACAAGGAAAAGTCGGGTGGCTGGTTCGGCCTGAAGCGAAGTCTCAGCTTGAAGTCAAACAAAGCCTCCGGGCAAAACTTTGCAGGTGCGGCGCCTTCGCCGGCCCCACCGAGCTCGATCCGCAACCCACCTCCCCCCCTGAACCCCGCGCTGCTGCACAGCGGTCTGATGGAAACTGGCCTGGCTCTCGGAGGCGGCGGCACCGCCAGCGCCGGCAGCCACAATAGCCATAGTAGCCACAGCAATCACTATGGCATCGGTTTTGCGAGCGCCCCGCGTCCCAAGGCGCCGCCGATACAGCCGTCCCTGTCCAGCGAAGTCAAGCCGGACTTGGCCGCAGGCAAGGGCGGATGGATCAAGAACCTTGCCGATGCCCGTGTGATGATCACCAACTTTGGCCGAAAGTCTATGGACGAGAACCATCGGGGCAACGGCGCCGGCCCTGGCGCCAGCGCGGCCTTCCCACCGCGCAAATCCATGGACGAGAGCCGTGTCGAAACTACCAAGCGCTTCGGCCGCCCCAGCAATCTCGACGACGCCGACGACGACGACAACGACGACGGTGTCAAGTGGGCGGAGCAGCGCAAGGAGATCGAACTCGAGTACTCGCAGCTTCAGACTCTCAATCGGGTGCGTGAAGCTGCCGTGCGCGCCGAGAAGGACCGAAACGAAGTCTTCCAGCCCGGACACTCGGCTCCGCCCGTCCCGCTGCGGAACCTCAAGGCTTACGGCATGAGCGTCGCGGCACAGGGCAGCCAGGCGACAGCCTTTGCCAACAAGCGCGAGTCAGACCTGCTGTTCGAATCCGACGACGACAACGAAGGCCGCCGATGGACGTTTATCGACGGAGCGTATGTCTTTATCGAAACACGCGCCGGAGCAGGATCTCGCGCCAGTGCCGCCGACGAGAACGGTCGCGGCACGCCATCGACACTTGACGAGAGCCGCAGCTCGAAGCGATGGACCCTTGTCGACGGCGAATACGTTGCCAAGGAGCGCGTGCCGCTGGCCATGGACGAAGAAAATCCCGACAACGGCGAGTGGGTGCTCGATGGCGATGTCTATGTCATGGTCCCGAGTTGAAGAGGCTGCCGGTGCCACCGCGGTTGAAACAGCAGGGCCCGCTCGGACCTGTGCGCCTGCAGCAACGGCCACACTCGGTATAGCCGCGGCACCAGAGACCACGAATCGCCCCACCGTGGCGGCCCATTTTCGCTCCTCTCGTCGACTGGTGTCGCTGATGTCGCTGCTGGCCCTGTTGTACCGCACACTGACAGCACTTCGAAGGGGGCGACAAAGAAAACTTCTCGCTCACCCACTCACACCAAGAGACAAGAAACACAAAAATCACTGGATCGCCTGGCCCTCCGAGGCGATCGCTGTAATTACACCGCGAAACGGGGCACTGCCTCCCCCCCCCCGTTATTGAGGCCAGCAGCCATGCTATTTTTTTTTCTGGGTTTTGAATACACTCATCCATCATCCACAATGACGACGCATCCATCCCCACATCCCCGCAGACGAAGGAGGCCTGCATCTGGCCCAGGGGGCAGGACGCAATGTGCGCGGCGTGGCTCGGAATCGGTCCGGTTGATCTCTCTCGGCCGCGTCCTGTCGTGCCCGTGCTCATGTGTCCCATTTCATTTTGGAAACGCTCTATTTTTGGCCACCCCGTGCGACAGCTCACCGCAAACATGGCTGTGTGTCTCCATGTGCAGCACCGACGCTTCCTTGGAGGCACTGGACTCGCACTTCCCACGCCTGCTTACCAGCCTCTACCGCCCCGTCTCCCAGCACCGAGATCGGTCCGTATCTCTGGCTCTTGCTCGATTGTCGATCCGGTTTACATCAACTGCTAGTCAGTGCTGCTTCTTGCTATTGCCAAATCCCAAACTCGATCTCCATCTCAAGCCGCAACCCGTCGCCCCCCCCCTGAACTGTCACATATCTGCAACGCTCTCCTCCAAGCGCACCAGTCTCTCCACACTCGCCCCCACCCTCAAATGCCATCCAACATGCAAGCCGCCGCGGGTTTCCATAGCCAGGTTGCTTCGGCCAAGTGGTCCGACCTTCCATCCGAGCTGTGTGAAGAAGTCTTGCTCAGCTGCAGTACGCTCGAGTCGTTTGTCCGTCTCGGCCGTGCCAGTTCGCAGATGTATTCGATCATGGCGGATCCGAATGTCAAGGCCAAGTGGCTGATTCGGAGATTTGGCCTCAGCCAAGTGCTCAAATACGACGACATCCTGGGCCATCCGCTCATGAGAGCCGAGGTGGGTTTGAGGGCCGGCCTTGATTCGTTTCCCGGACGGGTTGCAAACGACCCTTGATGTGGCGGGATACTTGCTGTTGTCTGCGATCTGGAATTCGTCCTCGCATGAATATTGCTTGCGGGACGGAGCTGCCTCGCTCGCTCCCCCCTCCTCTCGAAACCGCCGCCGCGCCACTGATCCTCGGTCTCTCGGTCGCTCCCACAACCAGGTCGTCGAATGCATGCTCAACCGCGGCGCGCACTTCAATCAACTCTCCGACCTCCTGCACTTCCGCGACTGCTCTCCAAGCCAGGCAGCGGCCCGGTGCTTGGCCTTCCAGAACCAGCCGCGGAAGCGTCCGCTGCATCTCCTCAACTGGCTGATCGAGCAGGACCGCCCGACCTTGATCCACTGCTACCACCGACATGACTCAAGTAATCTGATGGAGGGCAACGGCCTGGCGCTCTACGACGCCATCGGTGGAGGCAAGGTGCGGGCCTGCCAGGCCTTGATCGAGTGCGGAGCCGACGTCAACATCAACGACGGCGAGCTCCTGCGACTGGCCGTTGGCTCTGGAAACGAGAGGATGGCTCGGTTTCTGGTCGACCGCGCCGGCGCCAAGGTCGTCAGCCGGCCGTTCTCATGGGCCACTGCTGCCCGAGACAACGCCATTGGGCTGCTTGAATGGGCCCGGTCGCTTGGCTTGGACCTGCATTTTGGTGCCGAGGAGGCCCTGATCGAATGCTGCACCCACGGGTCGCTGCGAGGCGCCCGGCTTGCCCTGGATATGGGGTCAAGTCCAGACGCCCAGAACGCATTGCCGTTGCGGCGGTCGGCCGAGCGGGGGCACTGGTCCATTGTGGCGCTGCTGCAACAATCCGGAGCCGACCTGGAGCTGGCAAGACGGTACGGCGGGGCGACTTTCATGGCCCTGATGGACGAGTGTCAGACCAAGACAGCAAGAGGCGAGATCGGGGGCGACAATCCAAGCAACGGCACAAGTCCCAGTAGCATCAACATCAGCAACAGCAGCACCAACATCGGCAGCAGCCCGGCTGCCCGTTACGAGTTTGGTCTCGTTTCAGGACGGATCGCTGCTGTCCGAAGCATTACTAGACTGTAAAGGAATAGACTTGACTGAGGACACCGGCAAGACAGGTGGTTCATTCGCCCCATCGCCTCCATCGCCCCATCGCCGCGATTGGTGTTCCCACGGACCAATACACAATCTTGAGCTCAGTTTGCTGACACAGCCGGCGGCATTAATGCCATGACCCTGGGCTGCCATCGCAAGCAGAGCGCGGTATGCGCGGGAAACGGCGGGCCAAAGCTTGCACTTCTCCTTCATCCGTTGATCCTCGTTGTCGCCAAGAAGCTGGTCGCAACGACGAATCGTTCTGGCAACGGATGGGCTGAGCAAAGCCCGCCAAAACAACAAAGCTGTCTGGCAGCTCCAATGAGATGGCCGCGAGCCCAAACAGCAGCCGCGAGTGCTCGCAAATCACCCAGACCTTGGCGCCTTTTTTTTCCCTCCGCAAGAAATCGTCCCAGTCGATCTACCAGAAGATCACCACCCCTAATATCGAAGCAAAGCCGCACCGGCTGCCGCTCAGGAGTGATCTTTGTCATGCCTCCGAGATGATCAAATACTGCTCTGTCAGATTCAAGCGAGCTATCGTGAGCTTCGTTCTCCTGGCCACAGCCATGGCTTGGATACGCACCCTTCCGATCCGGCAAAATCTGCCGTTGATGCAGTTGGCGCTCAAAAGCATCGACTCCATATCGCAACTGTATCTTCTGATCGACTACTTGAATGAGCTCTACGCATCGGAGCCATACCCATATGAGATCTACAGCAAGCATGACTACCGATTCGTGCCGTGTGAGCGTCCAAATCCAGTCCTCCCACGCAAGCCCCACAACGCCCCGAATCAGATCAGCAAAAAAGACACCGAGCGCCTGGCCTGTCTCATCGACCGCGCAAGATACACTATCATTGTTGACGGGCCGATCGGAAGGCCAGTCTCGTTCGGAATAGTGTCGTCGCACATAGCCCTGGAACTACATCGCCTCGGATATGTGAGTATTCTGAGGGCACTGGCATGGCCCAGTACTTTGGAAACATACGAGCTAACACTGCACCACATGATGCTGCACAACGCACCACAATGCGGGTCGCCATTATTGCGCATAGCTCGTCCAATTGGAAGTGTGGAGCTCAGAGTCTGCGCTGAGCCCTGAGCTTCAGCACATCAAAGATCTTGAGTCGAAACGCCCTCGGCCAGACCATCCCGACCTTTTCATTCGTGTGAGCCACATCGACAGCTTCGAGCCCAGGCAGCACAGCCACTCTTTTGCCGTGACCGCCAACGAAGTCCCATTTTCACTCAGCAACAAGATGGGCAAGAAACTCGTCAGCATCACCAACCAGTCGATGAAGGAGGACCCCGAGGGGCACCTTATCGCCCACAAGATCTTTGTGCCGACCCATTTCATCCAGGAGCTGATGTCCCCGCTCGTCCCAAACGTGGAGACAAAGGTTGGGCTCTTCCCACACGGCTTTGATGAAGATGTTTTCCGGTACAAGAGTCGCCACCACAGAGTCAACTCGGACACATTCCAGTTCGTCTGGATCTCGGTCTGGGGCGGTCGAAAAAACACCAAGGCTGCACTCGAAGCCTTTGTGCTGGCCTTTCCGGACGGGACCATCAAGTTGGCGGATGGAAGGACGACCCGGGTTGAACTCAAATTGGTTTGTGGACAGCCGCCGACGATCAAGCCATGGGAGCGAGAGTACTGGTCTGCAAAGCCAGGCATCATCATCGTCGACCCGGACGAAAGCAGGACCGATGTTGAACTGGCCCAGCACTACCACGACGCCGACTGTCTGGTGTTTCCAACTTATGCCGAGGGATTCGGCTTGACGGTGCTGGAGGCCATGGCGACGGGCCTGCCTGTGATTGTGCCAGATTTCTCGGGAATACAAGACTTTTGCGATCGGCAGTCCTGTGTCATGATTCCACCGACTCGATGGGTGAATATGACCCTCGGATCGATCCCAGGTATGGCATCGCTTTGCTCGATGAGAGGGGGGGGCTCACTGCATTATTGATTGCAGTGTCGCTGTCGGTGTCGTTACAAGTGGCTTCCAATGGTGGCCATCGCAGTCAGGCCATGTGGTGGACCAGTGTCACTGACCTGGCGGCAGAATCTGTGTGTACATTGCTGATTCGATGTCTCTGGTCCCAATACCAGGCTGCGGTGCTGACATTGATCCACGAGTGCTCGCAGCCGTCATGAAGATGATGGTGCTGGATCGACAAGGATCTATCCTCTTGGGCAAACGGGCTGCCGAGAAAGCTCACCGAGACTGGACATGGCGGAAGGTGGTGCGGGATTTCGACCAGAAGCACATATGCCCTCTGTTTGAAAGTCTGTGACTGAGGTGGAGGAAGGGCACATGTCGCCCGCGAATGGGACCGAAAAAAAGGGGTGCCCAAGGACAGCAACACTTGAATCTAGCTGATGGCGCAAGCTGGATATCGCAAGTCCGGAGGGCTCCCGCGAGTCCCACCGCATCCAACCATATCAAACGCAGCACCAGCTCACTCATAAACCCGTGGAGGGATGGAAGATCCGTCACTTGATTGGTGTGGTCGGGTTCGGAGGTGCTATGACTCACCCTGAGACCGACTGGAGCTTGCGGCGAGTGGCCATGCTCGTTCCAGAGCCCGCTGCTCGGGGAGTGGCTTTGCTTCCGAGACCAAGTGCAAAAATGATATCACCCACATGGTTTTGTATGTTTGTATATATTCGCGATTGACCAAGCATGATGTGGAGTTGTTCCAACCCAGAGAGATCGGTTTGACAGTGCTATGATGAGGCCTTACATGTGTAACAGAATCAAAGCCCGGGAAGGCGGCGGGTTGTAGGAATCGGGTTGGGTGGGGCGGGAGAAAGGGAGACGGCGCAGAGCCAGCCAAAATCAGCTGGAATCGATCGCCAGAATCCAATACAGGACAGCATAACATATGAGGAATGAAAGGGCTTCGCACAACTTTCCGAGGCCAGCACGGCAGCTTGGACAACGACGAGATGGCGGGCGATGGAGGGGGCAGGGCGGAGGAGTTAGCGGGCGCAACAAAGGTGAAATGCTTAAGATGTATTTTTTTGGAGGGAGGATGGTCAAAACTGGGAAGAACTGCGACAATACAGCTTCCGTATCATTCAAGAAAACGGCAGGGACACAGACGATGGAAAAAATAAGCACGGATCGCTTGACGAGAAATTTGGCCAAGCTTCATGGAAGGTGGAGGGAAGGGGGGTAGCAGCAAGCCTGTGATTGGGGATGACAGGTTGTGGGAGACATCGCGAGAATCGGTGCCCCGTCAAGTTCGGACCAGAGAGAAGCGAGTGGCACAGTTGTTAGCTCGTTTGGTCGGAGGCTCGGGCCAAAGACGCTGAACAGCCCGTCCTTCCCTTCCTTTCGTGAATACACTGGGAGGCCCAATGCGACGGAAGTGTCCCAGATGCGAGCGGCATGGTCGAGCCAGGGTGTATGCTTACCGGACAGAGCTGAAGGCTGCAGAGGCACACGGAGGCGCTCGTTTCCGGAAAGCAAGCTGCAGAAAGCAGGCTCCACGAGAGGGAGAACCTACTGCTTGTTGGTTATCTTCTTGATGAAGTTGGAGATCTTGCCCTTGACGGACTTGTTGGAGCGGATGGAGTTGATGGTCTCGGACTTGGAGACCTCGATGGGCTCCCAGCGCTTGGGGTCTTCGGTCGAGTCAGTGGTCTTTGTGCGAGGAATGGGAATACCCAGGATGTTGGGGTCCTTCTCCATGAAGACCATGTTCTTGGGAGCGAGCTGGGCGACGTGAGCGGGAGAGCGGGCACCGGACATGATGTGATGAGGGGTTCGTGCAGAAGCAGAGAGTAGAACGAGGGATTTAGAGTTTCGCGAGAGGAGCCGAAAGGGCAGCAGAGAGGAGTGCGGGGGGAGCGAGTGATTCACAACGACGGGGCCACGGCCGCCTGCCGTCTTAAATACTCAACTTTTTTTTTCTCTCTCTCGCTCTCGTTTGCTCCTGTCCGAGGGACCTGCTCCGGGCAGCCGTGGGCAGTCGTTTTCTGTCGCGGGTGTGTACAGACGCTGTTCTTGGTGGGTCCCGCGTGGGAAGGAAGCTCAAGGCGGTGGGGAACATGCCACTCGGCCGAGATCGCCGCGCCAGCTATCAGTGCCCGTGGAGCAGCAAAGACAGGCCGGCCGACTGTTCTCCTGTGCCGGATGTGCTGGACTTTGGGCGACGGGCCTGGGGGGGGGGCGTGTTGGCGAGGCAGGCTGGGCGGTGACGGACCCTGACTCGATTGCGGCCAGCGGCACAATGAGGATTATTGTGATCTGTGGCCGGCGGCAGCAGGACATGCAAAGTGCAGTTCGCCAACGTGCGCATTTAGGAAGCGACCCGTTCTTGCCGAATGTAAGGGCAGTCGCGGCGCGAGGACCGCAAACAGCCACCGGGCTGCGATTGGCTGAAATACGGACTGCCGATGCTGGGCGCTGGCCAGGGCGGACAGGGCGAGGGGGTGGGAGAGCATTTGGGCTGGCCGAGCTGGTTTGAGCAAGGCCGCTGGGCTGGTCGAGCAAGGCATCTGGGCTGGTCAGGGTGAGAGATGGCCGGCCCATCTCCGAAGATGTGGGCAGCGCGCGTGGGAGCGCAGCGCGGCACTCGGCCAGATTTGGACACGGTGCGCGCGTGTGCGCCGATCGCGGTGCCATGTACATGCTGCGCAGACGGTGACGGGGTATGGGTATGGGTTTGGCGCCAACCGATGCCATCTGCGAGGCTGTGATGCGACCGGGTGCTTGTAGATTGATACATTGATATATTGATTGATAGATTGATAGATTGATATATTGATATACGGAGGAGGCAGATCGCCCCCTCCAGTGCGTGGCCGCGGCGCGCCACATTCCACCGCAATCGCAGAGCACGGGCAATGCCCGTTATCGCTTCGAGTTCCGACTCATCGGGTCAATCACATCCTCCTGCTCTCGTTGGCGCTTGCGCTTGTGGAACGACCTGGCAATCCCGATAGAGTTGGTCAGTTGGGGGACCGGTTCTCTTGCTTCGAAGGTTCGAGAGCCGGACCGCTTCTCCACTCCCATTGACTTCTACTCCATCCATCCATCCATCCATCCATCCATCCCGCCACATCGCCTCTGCACCCAGCTTACCTATCAAAGTGCGGGTCCATTCCGCCGGGCATGCCCATCATAGGCATCGCATTGCCACCCATCATTCCCATGGGCATCCCTCCAGGGCCAGGCATGTACGAGCCGCCCTGTCCTGGTCCGTAGAAATCAGGCGGCGCGCCATAGGGATTGCCGGCGTTCATCATGTCGTTGTCGTAGTAGACCCCCGGTGGAGCCATCATCATGGAGTCGCGGCTCGAGCCGCTGCCGTACATCATGTTGGGCCCTCGATAGTGGCCTCCGGGATACCCGCCGGGCCGGGCAAAGTCTTTAGTGGGCTTGCCGCCCATTCGAGAGTCGTCCTGGTCAAGGGAGAGAGGCCAAAGGCGAAGGTGAGTCGCTAGATCAACACCCTGAGTGTCTCGTTGCGCCATCGTATGCCATCGTACGCATCTCCAGCACGATTGGAGTTCAAGCTCCATGGACTGAGCAGACTTACCATGGTCTGGATGGTCGAGATTCTCTGGCTTGCGTCGTGAGAACCACCTCCATGCCGGTGCGAATCGGGCCGGTCCCTTGGATTCGCATCGCGATCTCGGTAATGTGAGTCACCACGCTCCCGGTAGTGCGGGTCGTTCTTCTGAGAAGCGATGAAGGTATATGCCTTCTGGGGCTGCTGCGACGGAGCCGCCGATGCCGACGCCGACGCCGGCGCAGTTGCCAGCGCCGTTGTCTTCTCTGCCTCTTTGTCTTGGCGGCCCTGAGTGCGTTCGAGATGCATATCGCGGTCGTCACGCTCATCGGCGGTCCTGTTCTTGGCTTTGATGAATGATCGGATGTGCTCCTCCACCCTCTGGCGAGCCTCGAAGCTCTCGACCAGGTTATCGGGCGACTGATCGGCGTTGCACTGAGGGCACTTGAGTTTCAGAGCCGGATCTGGATTCTCAAGCAGCGACAGTCGTATGCCTGCACCGAAACAGAGACGTGAACAAGTAGCAACCGTCTGTGAGTCACTCGATTTGGGGAACGAGGTGCGTCCGTCACATTCCTCCCTCAAGCCTTTGTGTTTGGAGATCGGCATTAAGCAGGTCACTCACAGTCATCGCAGAAGAGGGTTTTGCAGCAGGGGATCTCCACAGCATCCCGCAGAAGCTTGCGGCAAATCTTGCAGGCCAGCTCATCGGGGACGGGCGCGTTGCTGTAGACGCTTTCGGTTGTGCCTCGGGTCTGCGCCGCCATCTTGTTCCAGGCCGTGCTATTGTGGGCGGCAGATGGATTGGATGTGTTTAGAGACGTTGCACGGGTTTAGAGACGTTGCACGGGTTTAGAGACGTTGCACGGGTTTAGAGACGTTGCCGGCTGCGAACGATCCAGAGTCTTGAGCAAACGACACTGATTGATGCTCAGCCCGGCGCCTTGGCTGCACACAATCAGGACCTGCAACCTGCGATCCAGCGGCCAGGACGACACTTACTCGTTGGGCTTGACTACCACCAGCTCCCCGGTCTGTGTAATCATGACGCCATCGCTAGCCTGTGCATCTTCAACGACAGTCAAGAAGACCTTGGGGATTCCCGTCGTGCGCTTGAGCTTCGGCCGGTCAAACTTGGCGTCTCCATGGGTAGGGCACTGGTTGAGAAAGTGGCCTATGATGCCGAGCAATACAGTCGCAACGAGAGAGTGGATGAATGGATGAGGTTCGGAGGCAGCCAGAGTGCGTGGCAGAGCAGGGCCAAAAGTGCGAGCGCAGGCGCAGGACAAGGCACAAGAGGGGCTCTATGATGTGGACCATGCCGGGGTCAAGCACCGCGGTCGATTGTCGATCGTTGCCTACCTTTTTGCCCACAGCGATAGCAAATGTACCCGGGTGGCAGTTCTTGATTCATGTTGTTGTTGCGCCAATCGGCGTCGCCATGATAAGCGCCGCTGCCTCCAGAAACCATGCTTGAGGTATGCGAGGCGCTCTGGGAGCCGCCACGGTCTCCAGTGCCTTGAAATCCACCGCGATGGCCACCACGACCGCCACGGCTGGAGTAGTGTGATTTGATGACAGGCTTTTGACTGCGAGGTCGAGTCGGACGCATGTTAGGCGAGGAACATGCATCCACAATCAACGTGCGGCTACAGGTCGCAAAGGTGCCCAAGTACACATGAACAGATAGACAGGCACCACAGCGTTCGGTACTCACTGGGACATTCGGTCCTGCTCGATCATCCAGTTCTCATTCGACTGCTTGAACATGGCTTGGATCTTCTCGTCTTCAGTCAGACCCTCGAGCATCTCTTGCGAGTACTCGGTTATGCCCTTGGGTCTGAGAGGTTCGATGACAAGCAGTTTGCCACAGATGGATCGATCGGTTGGCGAGCAGATCGAGGCATCGTGCGGAAGCAGCCGGATGCGCCCCAAGTCGATTGATCGGTAAGCCCCATATTGTACCAAAACGGTGGGTGAGTGGAGATGGACAGGTCAGCGACAGCGTGTGGTCGGAGCGATGCAAAGCTAAGCTAAGAGCAAGAGATGATGCAGAGTATCAAGCAAGGAATCCAGAGCTGCCAGGGTCGCCTGGGCCTGCTGCTTGGGAGCCTGGACTGGAACAGCAGCCACGCATCGCTGGCATTGCTGGCATTGCTGGCATCGCGCAGGACCAAAGTACCGAGCGCTGGAGACGCAAGCAAGCACATACACTTGTCCCTGGGTCGAACCCGTGTTGTTCAGGGTCATGGTCGATGATCTTCCTGGTGCAGCAGGATGGCCGAAGGCCGACCCTGTCCGGCTGGATGCCACTGTCGTTGGGTTGGCGACGGAGCTGACGTATTTCTGGGCCGTGCCCTTGCCGGGATGCCGGGCCGGCATGCGGCTGACCAGCACCGATGTATTCCGCGGCACCATGTAGTTGTCGTCATAGTATTCTATGGATCAGCCAGGTGGATACAGGGGCGAGACAGGGAAAAGGCGGGAGTTGTCAAGTGAATAGATACGTGCAGCATCCATGGGAGCCAGGACGGAGCAGCGTTGAGCAAGTCGGAGAGATTGAACGTTTTCGAGATTCATGGTGTTGAGGGGCGAAATTAGTTTTGTTTCGCAACACAGTAGAGTTTGATCGGATTTGGCGGGGATGCCGATGGAGCGGTGGGGCAGTTGGTGGTGAAGGGCGGACAGAGATTTGGTCCGAACATTGACGAGGCATCCAGGTTGATGCGGAGCAACATCATATATTGACACCAGATACGATGGCGAGGATGGTGAGGATGGCGAGGACAGCACGCAAGGACGCACATGCATGGGATAGAGGGAAGTGGGGGGGGTTGTGCAAGGCGATGGCACAGATTGGGGAGGGCCACGCCGGAAAGATATTGATGAGTTCAAAGCGCCGAATCGGAGGGTTTCATCAGAGCAAGCACAAAACGGGGGTCGGTGATTGGAATTGCTGAGTGGACTGAAGAGGATATATTTTTGCTTTGGTGCAAGAGCGGCCTCGGCTGGAGAAATTCCAGTTGTTGTGCAAGAGGCGGAGGGGCTGTCCCTCTGCAGACTGGGGAGTGCGACGGGGAGGGCAAGTGCACAGACAAACCTGGCGCACACGGCCAGCATGGCGGCAGGATGGCGGCAGGATGGCGGGTGTCGCAGCGAGGCGGAAAGACGGCCGAGGGCCGCAGAAAAATGCAAGCGCATCGGCTCCTCTGTCGGATGGACGGCAACGACAGAGGCATCCGCAGACAGGCAAGTGGCAGCGGGTCTTGCCCCGCTGATGCGCATGCAGCGAACACAGCGACGGCGGACGTCGTGCCTACCATCCGAGCAGAGGCAGCAGGCAAAAAAGAGGGTGCAGCGAACTCGGAGAGGACGGGGGAATGCAAGCCCTATGCAGCGGCGGCGATTTACCTTCGCTGGTTTCGGCGTTGTGGATGCTGAGATCGAAATCGGTGCCTTTGCCGAGCTTCTTCTGCTGCATGATCTCCTTCTTGAGATCAAAGACCGAGATGGTAGTGCCGTCAAAGATGACGGTGTCGAAGGACTTTGCGGCCTTGAACTTGTAGTAGACGATGGACATGACTGGACGGAGACGAAACGCTGATGCAGGGGGAGCAAGGTAACGGGGGTGCAAGCAACGGCGGCTCGGCTGCTCGGCAGTTCAAGGAAGCGAGAGCGGGAGCTCAGTGTCCAAGATTGAAATGACCAAAGCGATCGATGCAATCAAAGCGACCGATGCAATCAAAGCGATCGATGCAACTGAAATGTCCAAGCGGGAGGTGCAAGGAGCGCCGGCCCAGCACCCAAGAGGCCAAGGCCGGCACAGCAGCGCGCAAGCGCAGCGGCGCAAATGCAAAACGGCGGCGCACCCACGTGGCCCTCAGGTGCGCGGCACGTGTGCTCGGCAGCGCCGCCGGCGACACAGAACCGGGCGGAAGTGCGTGGAAAAACGGCTGCGCAGCAGCCACACACACACGCCGCCCGCAGCACCGCCGCGGCGGCCGCTGTCACCGGCCCGTCACCTGCCCGAAATTTTTTTTCCTCGCCCGCTGCCACGGCCGCCGCCGTCATAAATAGCGCATGCCCGCGTGGCTGATTCTGGCCACGGGCTTCTCCTTCTGTCCGATCTCGCCTCTCCCAGATACCGACCATGTACTCCTCGAGACTCTCCCGTCCTCTGCTGAACTCGGCCCGCGCTGCCAGCGCCACCGCCCGCGTTGCTCGCCCCTCGGTGTTCATGCGCCATGCCAGGTATGTCTCTTGCTGCTGCCGTTGCCGGCGCAGATCGCCTCCCGTCCCCAGTCGCCACGCGGAGTCGTCGGTCGATCGCTTTCGGCGTGCCTGCGCATCGATCGCACACGCAACGAGTCAGCCGGCCTCCGTTGCTGATCGGTGTGCACTGGCGAAATCCGGACCCGATCTGATCTGATCTGAACTGATCTGATCAGATCAGATCCGGCTCGGCGGTGGGATCTCTGCGGTATCGGCGCCTCCGCGACCTCTCCCCCCTCCGAACGCAACCCCGAGCGATCAGGCCGTTCGCGTTGATTGCCCTTTTCCAGCGCCCTCCAGCGCCGCCAGCTGACCGATCGTCTCCTTCCGCTGATCTGATTCCGACAGTGACAAGGTCCAGGGCGCCGTCATCGGTATCGATCTGGGAACCACCAACTCGTGTGTCTCCGTCATGGACGGCAAGACCCCCCGCGTCATTGAGAACTCGGAGGGTGGCCGCACCACCCCCTCGATCGTCGCCTTCTCCAAGGACGGCGAGCTCATTGTCGGCACCCCCGCCAAGCGCCAGGCCGTCGTCAACCCTGAGAACACCCTCTATGCCACCAAGCGTCTGATCGGCCGGCGCTTCGACGACCCCAACGTCCAGCGCGACTCCAAGATTGTCCCCTTCAAGATTGTCAAGCACTCGAACGGCGACGCCTGGCTCGAGGCCCGCGGCAAGAAGTACTCGCCCTCCCAGATCGGTGGCTTTGTCCTCATGAAGATGAAGGAGACCGCCGAGGCCTTCCTCAACACCTCCGTCAAGAACGCCGTCGTCACCGTCCCTGCCTACTTCAACGACGCCCAGCGCCAGGCCACCAAGGACGCCGGCCAGATTGCCGGTCTCAACGTCCTCCGTGTCATCAACGAGCCCACCGCTGCCGCCCTCGCCTACGGCCTCGACAAGGTCGGCGACAAGATTGTTGCCGTTTACGATCTCGGTGGTGGTACCTTTGATATCTCCATCCTCGAGATCCAGAAGGGTGTCTTTGAGGTCAAGTCCACCAACGGTGACACCCATCTCGGTGGTGAGGACTTTGACAACGCCATGGTCAACCACATTGTCGCCGAGTTCCAAAAGTCCAACCAGATCGATCTCCGCAAGGACCTGATGGCCCTGCAGCGCATCCGCGAGGCTTCCGAGAAGGCCAAGATCGAGCTGTCGTCCACCCCCCAGACCGAGATCAACCTGCCCTACATCACCGCCGACGCCACCGGCCCCAAGCACATCAACCTGAAGCTCACCCGCGCCCAGTTCGAGGGCCTCACCAAGGACCTGATGGACCGCACCATCCAGCCCTGCAAGACCGCCATCAAGGATGCCGGTGTCAGCACCGGCGACATCAACGAGGTCATCCTCGTCGGTGGTATGTCCCGTGTCCCCAAGGTCCAGGAGATTGTCAAGTCGCTCTTTGGCCGTGACCCCTCCAAGAGCGTCAACCCCGATGAGGCCGTTGCCATCGGCGCTGCCATCCAGGGTGGTGTCCTCTCCGGCGAGGTCACCTCCATCCTCCTGCTCGATGTTACCCCTCTCTCGCTCGGTATCGAGACCCTCGGTGGTGTCTTCACCCGTCTGATCTCGCGCAACACCACCATCCCCACCAAGAAGTCCCAGGTCTTCTCCACCGCCGCCGATGGCCAGACCCAGGTCGAGATCAAGGTCTTCCAGGGCGAGCGTGAGCTCGTCCGCGACAACAAGCTCCTCGGCCAGTTCAACCTCGTTGGCCTGCCCCCTGCTCCCCGCGGTGTCCCCCAGATCGAGGTCACCTTCGACATTGACGCCGACGGTATCGTCAACGTCTCTGCCAAGGACAAGGCCACCAACAAGGACCAGTCCATCACCATCGCCGCCTCCTCGGGTCTCTCTGACGCCGAGATCGAGAAGATGATTGTCGAGGCTGAGAAGCACGCCGAGGCCGACAAGGCCCGCAAGGACGTCATCGAGGCCGTCAACCACGCCCAGTCCATCATCAACGACACCGAGAAGGCCATGGGCGAGTTCAAGGACCAGCTCGACAAGGAGGAGGAGACCAAGATCCGCAACCAGATCACCGAGCTCCGCGAGCTCATTAGCAAGGACCCTGAGCAGCTCACCCCCGAGAATGTCAAGGAGAAGTACGACGAGCTCCAGCAAGGCTCCCTGAAGCTCTTCGAGATGGTCTACAAGAAGCGCGCCTCGGATGGTGATGCCAGCAAGACCGAGGACAAGACCGTTGACGCCGACTTCAAGGACGCCAAGGACGAGAAGAAGAACTAAGTGCGCGCTGCCGTGCTCCCCGCTCCCCACCGTTTTGCTTGCAATCATGCCTTTTTCTTCCTTTCTTCCTTTTCTTCCTCCTGCTTGACGGCACATCTTTGCTTCCCGCACTTGCTCTGGAGGGAACCTGCTTTCGCTCCATTCCCACGCCGTCCCCTCCCGCCGCCTTCTCTTCGATTCTATTTTTTTGCATGTATTTAGACCCACTGCTCATTGTCTCAGGCGCCGCTCGCTGCCCTATTCGGCACTGAATGTAATACATATTTATAGCCAATCCAGAAAGAAAAGGGGCACTCGGACTTTGGTCGTTGATCAAATGTTTTGTTACCAAATCCCATCGCGCGCTGGTCATGACCATTCTGTGATGCGGTGCTGCTCTGTCATCCATAGCGTGAGGAAGTTGCCTCCATATTCAATGTGTCCAAGAGCACCATTCACTGCCGGCAATGCATCACAGCGACAGGGCAAGGCCCATGGTGAAAACGAGCTGCCTTGACACAGTGCTGCCTTGACACAGTGCTGCCTTGACACAGTGCTGCCGCACGTTGACGGTCGAGTGGTTGATCGATGATGACCGTGGCGCCCGTTCGCCGCAATGACCCCGTTGTACTAGCTGTGGCTACTTGAACTTCGCCGCAGATGCATCTCGACAAAATGGCGCAGATACTGTCGCTGCTTCTGCTGGATCAAGGCCATGTACACGCCTTCGTCTCGGTTGTTTGGGCCAGGAATCCGCGAGACCAACTTGGTCTGCCAGGACAGAAGCGAGGCGTGGGCGTGGACAAGCACAAGGCGCATGTGTAAGCCAGAAAGGGAGAGCAGTTGGTCAGGAGACTCGTCAGTCCATGGCATTCTCGTCAGTCCATGGCATTCTCGGCAATCCATTGGCATTCTTGTCAATCCATTGGCATTCTCGTCAGCCCATCGACCCTGTTACTCACGATTGCATCCAGAGTCTTTTCGTCGCCGCGCAGCTTGGCGTGGTCTGTTGGAAGGTCGGAAACGGGGACAGCAACAGCAACAACGGTAAAGGCAAACGCAAGGGCAGCGATGTTACAACCGTGATGGCTGGACCTTGGTTCATATTCCCGTGTGAAGGATGTGGGCTGTCTGCGCCACACCGTTCCCAACACGGCGTCGCCCGACTTACATGCCATCCACTCGAGGAGCGTAACATCGTAGAGAGCTTCGAATGTGGCCCGCTTCACCTTCTGATACCAGCAGACGCCGCTGGGCCACGACTTGGTCGCATAGAGCTGCAAGCGCGCAAACGAGTCCGCATAGTCCTTGGTTGTGCCAAGGTACTGGGTAAAGACCACGGCGGCGTAATGCACTAGTGGTGGTGGTGGTAATTGGAGGCGAGGATGAAGCCATCACCCGCAGGGTGGTGATGTTAGATTCTCTTGGATGACCCAAAAGCACCCAATGCACATGCTCGTCGATATCCTCGGAACTATATCCGTGACTTACACTCGAGCTGCACGCAGCAGTCAATGAAACGGCGGAATGTCTTGGACGACCACAGCGTCTCGAGCTTGTCCATGCTCACAAAGTTGGAGGAAAGCTGCATCAGGCCGCTTGAATATTGTCTGGCGTGGGGCAGATGCGACGGCGTGCGAGTCAGATGATTTTGAGCCAGAAGTGCTTTCGAGTATGTCCATAATTCCCTCTCAGCTGGTCGCAATGTCCGAGCTCCGGTCATTCTGGCCCGAGACAATCCTAGGAGAGTGACGCCGCTACTCACTGGAGCGCCTGGAAGTGCTGTTCGCTTCCAAACCACAGATCGCCCAGGCAGAAAAACGAGGCCACATCGTTTGGCTTGAGCTCGGTGACGCTTTCGTACAATCTCTGCACGAACGCCATCAAGGGTGGATGGCATTGCTGGAGAGCCGACTCCAGCAGTGGCGGGGCCGCCTTCATCTTCGTGGCCGTTTCCTGGATCCTTTGATGTCACCACCCAAACCCAGGCGCAAGAATGAGAATGCCGTCAGCCGCATGCCGGAAACACAATTGCCACAGGTTGAGCGCGTATATCCCATGTCCAACCATCTCCGTTTGCGACATGTCCATGTGGCAGCAGACTTACTCGGCAATGTTCCACCCCTCCGTATATGAAGGATCCGCTGTGATGCTGCTCCAGACGCCGACATTCTCCAGGGTGATCTGCGTGGCGCACAACAGTATTGGTAAGTACACAAGCGTCCTCTCCTGTTGCGCCCATCGCATTCCAGCCACTCTAGCATCCTTAACAGTCGCATTGTCTATCATTATCAAAGAGCCATCAACTCGAAACCCTTATACCACCTTGCGGTTTGCCGGCTGCGATCGACTGAGAATCCCCGACAAAAGGCCGCCCAGGATTTTGAGAGCGTCGACTTTGCCGCTGCCCACAAGCACATCGAGCAACACTTTGTAGACAACCTTCCAATAGCGCGGCAGCCAAGCAGATAGGTCAGCTCACGTCTGTCGTTCGAGATTGCATTGCATGAGCTTGGCGATTGCGATGCGGAGGGATGGAGGGAGGCACGATCGTACCGGCTCGGGCGACGTCGCCAGCAGCGTTACGAATTCGGCTATGCACCCATGGATTGAAAACAGCACATTCTGGGGAAGATGTGCAACAGACTGTGGATCGTCGCTGACTGTTGGGCAGAGTTTATGAGGAGCGGGACATGCATGCTCAGGAAAAAGCAGCGACGGCGATCTCCGAACAGCATTTGTGCCAGTCGGTGTGAGGCAATGAGCCTTTGCTTACTCGATTTGTCGCCCAGAGTGCAGCCAAGCGACTGCTCGATCAGGGCAATGATTTGGAAGGCCTGACAAGCAAGCACTCCTGCAGAGAGCAGGCTTGTGGTCTGCGTCTCCAGTGCTAATGTGGACACCATACAAATCGCATCCATCGCCACCAAACATGGATGAATTAGCGGCCGATCCACTTCTGTTCAAGCTTAGCAAGGGCACATGGACTCGATATTGCACAAGTGCGCCGGTAGCTGTGTGGCAATGGCTTGATTGATAGCGTCTCTAGCTCTACCTTTGTTTGGCAGCTGTCCTTTGATCAGCTGCAAACGGCGTTGCAGATACGACTTTGTGTCCTGGAATGAGTTGTCCAGCTCGACCCTGAGGAATCGATTCTGGGGATGGGGCTGTTGTTAGCGAACAGCGCGGGTGCCAACGAAAACTGTAACGCAACGGGTGCGACCGAGTGAACCTATGCGGGCAAGAGAGAGGCTCACAGAAAGCTCGACCATAAAGCTAGCGCTGCAGCAACGATGACTCACAAAAATGCCAACATCGAGCACCAAGTCAGGCTGTCATCGCAAAAGTGACGAGTCGTGGTGGTGAGTAAATCGCCGTCTTTTAGAACCAGAGCGGAGTCGAAGCAGTTCGGCCACACCAGCAGTCTGTCCCGAGCGACCATGTCCTCATTATGGTCTGTGGCACATACCGAGACAAATTGGTTGACAATCGCATTGTGGACAACGCCTGCATTGCGTCCCCCACGGCTCTCCTCGTAGAGATTGAAGAGCTGCATGATCTTGATCTTCTCGGAGAGCTCACGGATCAGTGCCCCGATGTTTGGGTTATCATAGAGCCCGCTGGAATGGATTGTGGACGCTGCCTGGATGGCGGTTTCCGCTTCGATGTACAGCCCCTGTTTCAAAACAACGCAAGCACTCCGTCAGTTGCCACACATTCGACACCGAAGAATAGCTATATCGTGGTCATCGCAAACAGTTACCTGATCGTAGAACAGACGGGCATTCGAGCAAAGATACGGGATCGAAACCTAGACGAGGAATCCGGCGCCTTGGTCAGCTAATCGGTCAGCTCATTGCAAATAATCGTCAGCAATCCCAACCCATTCACATCCCATTCATATCCCATTCACATCCCATTCACATCCCAGACACATCTCAGACACCACCTGCCTGGGGCGAAATGTTGAGCATCTTCAGCTCGCCGAGAATGCTATCTGCCGAGAGTGGCGGCTTGAGGAAGGCGAGATTGAGCAGTGCCTCGGAAAAGGTATCACCAGTTACGGGCGCAGCGATCTTGCCCATCCTGTCGATCCGATGTTTCTGATCGGCTGTGAACGGACCACATTTGGACTCTGCAGGCAAGTGAGAATCGCGGATCCATGTAAGCAAGTGGGAGTAGCATGCGCTACAGCAAGGAAGATCATTCACTTACTTCGCTGATACAGCTCATTCCACAACGGCACGGTGTCGATAGCATCGCAAAACTGGATCACGAAGCTCGATACGACATCGGCCGTTGTAGATGCTGACTGGAGTCGGTGCCTCTCGATCTTGGAAAAGAAACAGGCAAACACATGCTTTGGGTCGGCGGAGTGCCTCAGCGTCACAATCAGACGCGGAGACAGCTGCTTCATCATCGCATCTGGCAGAGACACACAAGATCAACGATCATGGCAAGTCTGGATCGATCAAATGCAACGCCGAGCCCCAGTGTTTTGTCCACAACATCAAGCTATGCCTGGGCGGGCGCGGCAGTCGACTTTACCAGCTCCTTCGGCAGAGTACTGGAATGCATTGACAAGGGCGATCCCAAGTGCAACATCGACGCTGCCAGCATCAAGTGCAGCTTCACCCAGATACTGCCTCAAGCTTGCCGGGATTGTCTCGGCGACGAGACCGCTCTCCAAGTGCATCACGATATCGTCATAGTAGCAGCCCGACTGCAGAGCTTTGTAGATGCTGCTCATCGCATTTTCCGCTCCGGACGACTCGGAGGCCATGTTCAAGACATGTCGACAGACACCGATGCGCTTTCGCACCTTGGCCAGATCCACGGTGCTGGAGATTCAAATGGAAAGGCGTCAACCGCCTTGGTACGAAATCCCGCAGCACATGCTCACCACTTGAGCTTCCTGCTTCGCATTGACATCAAGGCGCAGCTTACCAGAATGCATCCGCCGCCAGGAACCCAGGGTCACGGCCGGAGAGTATGTTTTCGCATCGCTGGAACATCTGAAGCGCCTCTCCATAGTCGTCGATCTGAAGGCTATAGTTCCCGAGCTCCTCCATAAGCTGAATGGCTCTGTCGCTTCGCTGTTGTTTCCAAGAGAGGCTCGTCAGGGGTGGTTGCCATCCTTGGTCTGGATGCTGGATCCGATACACTTGCTGTCCGGATGAGGGGAACGGCCCAAATCCAACAGGCTCTTCATTCAGTTCGGGGCAATGCATCCGGTCGCGGTGCGATTCCTATCGTACCTCGTTCAGCGAGCTCAGAAATGTGCGAACATAGTGATGGTGAACTTGGAGCTGGTCGGCCGACTTGCCTGGCCATGTGTATCGACAAGCATATCGCAGCACGAACCGATGGAAAGTGAGGATTGCTCCGGTCGAGCTCGATGGCTCGTTGCTGCAGAAACGACATGGGTCAGCTACCGACCACTGACCCGACCCAATGCCCAGAGCTCAAGAAGGGGTTTGACGTTGGCCATACCGAATCTTGTTCAGCGACAGGAGCACATATGGCGTGATATGGTCAGGGATAGTCGACTCGAGCTCCTGGAGGGTCAGGGATATGCCGTCGACGATCTTGCAGATTGAGATGGAATCAGTTCTGATCTTACGCATGCTGTGCGAGCTGGACTTTAGCACAACATCCGGCCCCTCGTCCAGAACGGCGAGTCCAGCCAGGCATGGGTATGCAACAGACATCCGATCCAGAAACCTCTCTGTGGGCTTACCCGAGCCGAAAGGCCCAGCATGATCTGCTGCTTGCTGGTCAGCGAAAACACCTTCAGAGTATCGGGCGACACCAGCGGCTCGGCCAGATCAACCACAAACGACGGCGCTTTGCCATAGTCCTTCTCGAGATCGATCTTGGAGGCGAGGGCTGCGAGCAGGTCCTTCAAATGAGACTGGCCCTTGACAGGATCAAGCAGCGATGTCTGCACCTGCACGGCGAGGCCCGAATACCAAGGCGATGGATGGGATTGCACAAGGTCAACGATCGGAGCGAGTACGATGCGGGCACGATGAGGCACAGATAAATCCCTGCCGAGTTCTTTCGATGGTTGACGGCGGATGTGGGTGGCCAGACGGCATCATGGAGCCATTGTGATGCCGACCGCAAAAGCGCATAGCATCCTCGCAGAGGCGGGCTATCATCTCGTATGGAACGGCCGGGCGATATTTACATATGCAGAGATCTGGTCTGGGTCCAGTAGCCATGCAAAAAGATGTTCTCTCAACACCTCCATGGCGGGCGGCTGGATCAAGGCGAAAGATGTGCTGCAGACAGCCGGGCTCTGTGCTGGTTGATGCACCCGCGATTCAGACAGCGAGACTGAGACGGAGCCATCGCCGGCCCTGGAAGCAAAGGCCGACCACGGCCCATATCCGAGACGATCGCCTGAGAGGACCGCCAGAGATGGGACTCATAATGGACTGCATCGCCGCAGCATCTTACAGCGTTTCGATAATGAAATGGGACACCCCGTTTTGAGCCATGACATATATTTTGTTTCTGTGACCTGAATACACCCACCCACTCATTGCAATCATGGCCAAACACAGCACCCTCGATTTCCGCATCGCTGCACTGCGACCGGTGGTCTTCACTCGGAGGCTGCCAAAGTGATCTGTTGTATTTCTTATGGCATAGTTAGACGCATGCCATCGCATACTACGCTGACAAATGGGTTGTGGGCAGGTGTCCCATTCCCCCCTGAATACAATGTTTTCTGGCACACAAACTGCCAAACGCATTGACTCGGCTCCAAGGTCGAAGGGATGCACCCGGGCCATTTGGAAGGGCTATGTATTGACATACTCCGCCAGAACGAGCAAGACCGGGATCCTACTGGAATAGCTCGCGGGTGAACAGCCGACCGCCGAACAGGAGGTTCCAAGAGTGTGGGGGCTTCCACTGGATGGGCGTATCTAGTGTCGATTCACAGTCGATGATGCAAGGAAGAATGTTGCAGAGTCACAAGGAGCGATTAGACAAGTCCAGCGAAATGCCAGCGCCCAGCGCATGACATGTCCGGGACGCAAGAAGCATGGGCCTCCAGCTTACCTTTGGGACCATGCAGCAGCGTATCTGCAAATCCAGCCAGATTGACGGCGTCGGGGATGTTGTCTGTTCATGCATCAAGACCAAGCAGCCGTGTTAGACTCCATCAAACCGGTCTCTGTTCATGCATGCAGACCGGAATGCTGCGCGGGATGGGATGAGACAACTACCTCCTTCGGAAGCAAACCAGATCACGGCAATGATCGGGACAGTTGACGACCCAAAGTGCTCCAAGAGATAGCGGGTGGACCCGGCTCCCGGTGGAATGGCATGGTTGACAGCCCCATCAAGCGCAGAAGGATCCACAGGCTCAAGAGCCTTCCAGCCGTATGCGGCCACCTCATTTTCAAAAATCTTGGTAGGCTGGTTCGCCCAGGCAAATCGAACTGGCACGCTGGCAGCACGACACCAGTAACCCCGGAAAGGTTGAGCATTAGATGCCGACGGATCGGGAAACAGCTATGCTATCGATGCAGCGACGGTGCTCTGGGCTGTGTACCTCTGGATCTGCGGATCCAAGCGTCGTCGGGCATCGCAGCCAGTGAGCTGAACGACCTGCTTGAATTCGCTCTGCTCGATCCAGTCTTGCAGATCCTTGGCAAACAGGTCGATCTTGGTCTGGAGATGAGGATGGCGGCAGAGTCAGCACCAATGCTGGTGCGCCACTCGAAAGCTTCATTGTCTGGAACTTTGGGACGACCCATCATGTCCCTGGCGACTGCCGGTCTCCGTGCGATCGCAAAACGAGTGGGACGTCACCGCCAGTTCGACCGGCATTAGCCCACCTTGATCACAAGCGACCGCAGTTGGACCACGGTCAGTAGCGAGTCGGCATCTTGATAGACTGCAGTCGAGGATGGTGCGACAGATAGAAAGAGCGTTCAGCCGATACAGCCACAGAAGGGACTGGGCGTCATCCGAGACATGATGCTATCGCGACGGCAGCGTCGATCGATTCACCTTCAAAGCTGGTATGGAGCACACCCGCCTGATCACCCGGTTTGGCGTACGCATCGTTTCCGGCCAGCGGCAGAACCCACGGCGATTCCAGGAATCCGACTCGCTTCAAGCCGTAGGTGGACACAATCAAGTCGATGGCAAGCTGGGTCGATCATATCAAGCATACTGTGTCAGCATCAAGATTGCCACGAGGGCACTCATCGAATCGCAGGGAGCCAACATGCGATTGTGGAACAAAGAGGCACCTGTCCAATGTTGCCGATGTTGTTTGCGGCGGGCTGGAGCCCAGCCGTATCGTCGATGTCGGTGGGAGCGTCAGTTGCGGTACTCAACTGCTCATCTGCTCATCTGCTCATCTGCTCATCTGCTCATCTGCTCATCTGCTCATCTGCTCATCTGCTCTCGCTGTGATTGCCAACACAGCACATCGTGTTTACCAGGATCAAAGTCGATCCAGAGAGCTTGGCCGAGGTGTCGGTGCCGATGTAGAGCAGGGTCATGGCGAGATCTGGGTGCCGTCGCAGGGCGAATCGGGCCTGCCCCAGCCAGGAACAGGGCACATGGTTTTGGCCGGGGTCAGGGCCAGGGTCAGCCGCGGCTCGAGCCGACCACGCCGGATCCAGCCGGGGACATTGATCACACCCAACTCCGCCCAATCACGTTGCCTCGGGTCTTCGTGACAGGCGACCTGCTTGATCTGCGATGGCCAAGGTGCTCGGCAGCCCTTCCGATCAGCCCGCAAGCAGGCGGACAGACACTTGGCTCCGTGCAAGAGGGTCGCCATGGGCCCTGCGTGGCTTCTCACCCGATTCTGTCGTCGATTCCAGTCGTCCCACAGTCGTCGGTTCCTGTCGTCCTCCAGCCCCAGCCCCCAAGACCGTACACCCCGAGACGCAGGCCGAGAGACCTTCCAGGTCCTGATCGCCAACCAGCCGTCCTTTGCCAACACATCCGCAGTGCTGGTCCGATTCAGAGAACGGAGCTACCTGTTCAACTGCCCCGAGACGCTCTCTCGTCTTGGCTTTGAGTATGCCCTGGAGCCCCACTGGGCCAGCCACGTATTCCTGACCCGCCTCGACAACGGCACCTTTGGCGGATTCCCTGGTAATGGCTTGTCCTGCCACCGGATGGAGTCTTGAAGATGCATGATTCAGAGCAGTAAGCTGGGCGATCCTCACAGCTCATCTATTCCGTGCCATGCAGGCCTGCTCCTCACCAAGTACGACATCGGTCCAACCCATCTCCATGGCGGAAATGGTCTCGCCAGCATGGTCTCCGAGTTGAACCAAACGCATTTCATTGACAGGTACCATCAAGCAGCCGGTGCTTGTGCAGACAGCTACGCTCGTGGCAGTCGATGGTGCCACATTGGTCGATGATGCCATACCAGAGTGTTAACGGCCCTTGTCTTCAGAACAGCACTCGCATCCTTATCGACAGTCGAGGTCAATGACGGCTTCCAATACCAGGATCACTATCTCTCAATCGACACGGTCCATGCTTGGCCAAATCTCAATCCAAGCCATACCATTTCAGGTATGCGGCAAAAGCACTCAGCATCTGGCCTGGTCTGGTCCGGCAAATTGGCGAATCGCATGCGAAGCGTCCTGTCTGTGCAGTCCGGCGTCTCGCTGATCTAACAGACTCGCCAAATCATCACACTCGCACCCCACCGATCCAACAGCCGCACCAGCTGCACAAACCATTGGCGATCCATCGGACGTCCAGAAACACGATGGTCCTGAGCGGCGCCCTGGTGAATCCATATCGTATATCTGCCGCGGACCAAGCCGACGGGGTAGATTCGATCCTGCGGCCGCCTCAAGGCTCGGAGTGAAGAATCCCAGGGACTATGGTGAGTCTGCTGTTCCAGCAAGCCCGTGTCCCCCCGCAACTCTTCGTGATAGCCCTCGCTGGCCTAAGAGTCCCGATCGATGCTTACCTTCATGGCACTCCGTAGGACGCCTGGCGAGAGGAGAGGCTGTTACCGCCGAAGACGGATCGATAGTGCACCCCCATCAAGTACTCGTCGGTGAAACCCGACGCGGATATATCTTTTGCATCGTCGACTGCCCATCACCAACCCACATCGATTCCATCACTTGCTCGCCGAAATGGCCCCTGGAAACCAGCACAGCCGGCACCGGGGTCGTTGATCTCGTCATCCACATGCTTGGGGACAAAGTCATCGAGGACAGCCGATATGTCGTCTGGATGAACGCATTTGGATCGCACGTTCGGGTAAGACGAGAAACAACGGCAGAGTCGGTCCGTGCAGATGCCAAGCGCAACACAGACTCCCAAGCAATATTCCAGCCGGGCATGATCATGTCTTTTCCTAGCTAATCTGTGTTGTCATGCGCGGCCATCCACAGCACGTCATACTGAGCTCGAAAAACAGTCCCCATCCAGTGCCGTTTCGCTCATATGCCACTTTCCAGCGAATCGCCCATCAAGCTCATCGCGGGCTGTTTCCTCTACCACATCACACCACCGAGCCCGAGCAAAGTCTGGAAAGCGGTAGGACGGCCCTGGGTATTGCCATAGTACCACACTATACAGCGAAACTGAAGCCATCATTCTGATCCCGCAGTCCCAGGAATCCCCAAAACTGCCCAAGTCGGACACATTGGAATGTGTTTTGACTTTCAGAACTCGGAAATTGTGATTCGCAATGAGTCAGACCCACGGAGTCTCAGAGGTGAATGTGCCGCCACCCCGCCTGCCGAACCAGCCAGTCTTGCTGCCAACGCATCAACGCACGGAATCATAGTTTCGCCTTTGGGCACTGGGTCCACAGCCCCGACAACGTTCCGGAATGGTCTGTGTTTCGCTCCGCTGTTCCCTTCAAAACCATGCGCAGGTCCTCTTGAGCAAAACTTCACACGCACCGATTCCTCAGCAAGCTGATATGCTGATATGCTGATATGCTGATATGCTGATATGCTGATTTGATGCTGCAATGCCGCACAGTGAGCTCGCTCTTGGTTACTCTCTCGGGTGGAAAGCGGATATTGCTTGACTGCGGCGAAGGCACCCTCGGGCAGCTGTTTCTCCTCCACGGAGGACAGGATTTTGACCGGATCTTGGTCTCGATTCGGTGCCTGTTTGTATCCCATATTCACGCCGACCACCACCTCGGTATCTTTGGCTTTATTCAAGCCCGCGCCAAGGTAAGTTGCGGCACCTCAATGCGATGACAGTCGACTCCAGGCAAACGCCTGCCGCTTAAATGTGTTGTCCTCTGCCACCGCGGGCTCGAACAGGCACTCCAGCAGTATGAAGGGCCTCTGTCGTCACTCTTCATCGTGGGACCTCCGCATCTCCTTGGGTGGATCACATCCTTTGCCGAGCGACTATGCATTCCCCTGGATCAAGTCGTCCTGCTCAGCTCAGTCGAGGTCGCGCAGAGTCCCGGGATTGCGGCGTAAGTTTGGTTCAGCCCTTGGTTTCTATCCCGAGCAGTGCGCGGAAGCTATCGCATTCCGACTGACCGATAGACTGACCCTTTTACCAACAGCCGGCCGCTTCAGAGCGAGCTGGAGGTACTCTCCTTCCAGCCGGTCGCAGTCAATCACTGCCGACATTCATACGGCCTGGTGCTGATCGATCGCAAGATGAACAAGATTGTCTATTCGGGCGACTGCCGGCCGACACCAGCCTTGATTCAGGCGGGTGCATATGCCGACATTCTGATACACGAGGCAACCTTCGACTCTGAGAACTCGAACGAGGCCCGAGAACGGAGACACTCGACTGTGTCCGAGGCAATCCAGGCTGGATGCAGGTGTGTTTTTGATTGCCTGTCATGTCGTCGAGCCGACTCTCCACAACGAACTGGACGCCGTGCTCTGGACCGCCAACGAGCCGGCCCTGGCAAAGTACGGCTCAGGCATATCTGACTCGATTTGTCTTGGCAGCATGGGCGCCAAGCGTCTGCTTCTCACGCATTTTTCGCGAAGATTCGGGAGCCATCCGACGATACCAAGCGACCTCAAAGCGTGGAGGAGCCGAGCCGAAATGCAGGTCGGCTTGGCATTCGATCTGATGAGCATTCGCACAGATGACTTTGCGTATCTGGAGAAGGCAACCCGATCGATTCCAGCCATGGCTTGGGAATTCCAAGAAACGACATGTCCCGCTTCTCCTGCTGGGGCCCGGACAATGGGTTCAAATGCAACCTCCGTGGTCACCCGAAACCTCTCCCCGGCGTGAACGAATTGCTGTGGCCCCTGGGCTTCCGCGGTGCTTTCGAAGATGGAGACTGGACCAGCGAGCACTTGTTTGAAGCGGATTCTCGATATATTTCTGAGCGATGATGAGGCTCGTCCTGTTCGATGGACGGGCCGTCGACGCTCGACACCCCAACATCAATACAGGAATGGAAATACAGCCTTCCGGCTCTTCGGATAGGCGCTGCCAAAGGTTCGATGGTACCATTGGTGCTGGGAGACCGCCCGAGGCACCAGGTTCGCCAGAGTGAAAGCCAGGAACGACAGCGGGCCGCCGCTGAGGCCGTTGAGCAGTGCCCATCCGAACCACTCGAGGATCTCGCCCGAATAGTTGGCACAGGAAACAAGCTCAAAAAGCCCCCCGCGCGGAATGTGGTAGCGTTGTCCGGTGGAGGACTTTTTGCGTCTCAAGGCAAAGAGAATCGAGTCCGAGTGGATGTTGATGCCCATGCCGAGCAAAAACAGTGCCAAGCCTGTGTAGAACGACAGAGGAAGGGGCTCGCTGTCGGACCCTGCACCAAAGCGGGCTATGGCGATGCCGTTGACGTAGCCATTCGCGAGATTGTATACTATGGCCGTGACGACCGTCAGGACTCCAGTCGGTGCGATGCTTGGGGCACGCAGCACATAGACGAACGAGCGATGAAAATAGTGGACGACCCACAGCGAGAGGACGACGAGTTGAGTGGCGGTCCGGAATTGAGGCGGGGCAGCCAGGAAATACGACGCCGGACATGCGAACAGCGATACCGATTCAAATAGACACCAGCCCAGACGACCCGGAAGCACGGGCCCGAACCGAGCGTCTTGGAACTTGCCGAAGGGGGCCTTGAGGAACTGCAGGGTCGCGTAGACGACAACGGAGGAGGCATAGATGCCCCACAGCACGAGCGAGTACGAGTCGGCCATGGAAGAGGCCCACAGATGCAGTCGCCGCTGATGATGGAGGCGGCTTCTGGCTGTCTGGGGGTCAGCGCGGTGCAGAAATCGAGGCGGACGGCGATCGCGGAAGTACGTGTGTGTGTGTGCGATTCCTATATATGTCCGCAATGAGAGCCGAGTATCTCGGCTCTTTGCGTCCGCAAGATCAACCGCATCCGCACCGCAACTGATGAAGTATCACCTGCAGATCGTCGGGCCGGCGCTCCCCGGGCACTCGCCCTCGGTGCTGGTTCACTTTGACGACCAGCGATATCTCTTCAACTGCCCCGAGGGCCAGCAGCGCATCGGATACGAGCACAAGATCAGGCTGAAGAAGCTCAAGAGCATTTTCCTCACCCGCGTGGCATGGGAGTGTGTCGGTGGTCTCCCTGGTATGCCGAGCAAGGCCCATCGGGAGGACCGCAGTTCTCCAGAGCCCGGACGCAGCCGAGCCGCATTCGCATGCAGAGCGCTCTCTCGGCCGACCACTCGGCAATGCTGACATGCTTGACGCTGCCGTACAGGAATGATTTTGACCCTGGCCGACTCGGGCAGTAAGAACATCGCCATCCACGGGCCAGAGAATCTCACCCACTTCCTGGCGGGAACCCGGCACTTTATCTACAGGTATGTGTCGCACGGATGCACATGCTCTACCCGGCATCTGCCTGGAGGCATGGCTGATCGGTGCCCGTGACGAATGCGAGGATTCTTATTCCCTCTTCCGTTCCCTGCCATCGCTGCAACTGTGTTCTGGCGTGCTTGCCTCATGTCGCAGATCGGCAATCTCGGTGGAGACACACGAATTTCATCGAGTCGGCTCGGAGTACAAGGACAGGAATCTGGTCGTCTCTCCGGTCTACGCCTGCCCTTCGGATGATCTGGAGTCGGTGTCAGGTCCTCCGGCCGCATCGGCAGCCTCTGCGGTCTCGGAGACATCTGCAACATCGGCCACGTCAGAGTCATCGCACAAGCGCAAGAGCAGTCATTTGCACGAAGACAGTCTCCGGCAAAAGCGAAGCATCATCGACAATATGTTTTCCGGATCACAGCCATCATCGCAGCCCCTCCATTCGTGCAATTCGACACCGCCCGTTCATCAACCGAATCGAGATCTTCGGCCTCCTGAGCTGTGCCCGATAGCGGATCCGGTTGCCGTCGAGCCCAAGGCTCTCCGGCGGAATCGATCAGCAAGCCCGCTCCGTGTCGATACAGCCCTGGGTCAGGATCAAGATGTCAATCTGACGATTGCAGCCGGGTCATCCGAGAGCGTCACGATCACACCCGTCGATGTGGCCTTGCCGCCTGTTTGGGACTCGGAACGAATGGGCGCCGAACGGCTTCCGCGTGTGGCCCGCAGCCATGTCGCCATCACTTACATCTGCCAGGGCCCGGAGAAGCCTCGGAAGTTCAATCCAGCGGCGGCCCGCAAGCTCGGCGTTCAGCCAGGGCCAGACTTTGGTAGGCATAGCACTTGATGATGATGATGTGTGGATACGCCTGAGACACAAAAGGGCAAAGATGCGATGATATGTAGAAGGTGGCACTCATGATTCACCCTTGCCATCCATAATCAACAGGGCGCCTGACCAAAGGCGAATCCGTCCAAACTGCCACAGGCACCACGGTGACACCCGACCAAGTCATGATCGGCGACCCCAAACCCGGCGCTGTATTCTGTATTGTCGACTGCCCGTCCAAACGCTACATTAACTCCCTCCTCGCCTCGGCCGCCTGGAGCGCTTATGGCGCCGAGGGGCCAAAGAAGATGCATCTGATGGTTCACATCATTGGCGACGACGTCCTGGACGACGAGCGGTACCAAGCCTGGATGCGATCGTTCGGCTCCGAGACAGAGGTACAGGGTCGGCCTCGGCTTGCACGGCGGCTTGCCTTCAGAGTGAAATTGTCAATCGCTGGGGAACAGACCAGACGGCGGACCAGCCATTGACTCACTGACGTCAATCCGTATCCGCAGCACATCATCCTCAACAAGCAGTACAACGAAGCACGGGTGCCCTGTTGCGCCTCGGGTGTCATCCAATACTCGTTGAACCAGATTGACAGCCAAATATTCCCTCTCCCTCATCACTGCACAACCGCAGAGCTGGATCTTGGAAGCGGTATGGGTGATGCTATTGCAGATCGTGACCACGCTAGAGACACGCTCGTGTAGTGACTTTTATGGTCCAATTTGATGGGAAGCTGCGAGGCGCTGATTCTTCCCTGACTTGTGGTAGTGCCCACTTTGCCGGCCAAGACAAGGGCCGGCTACCTGCTTCAGAGTTATCAATTTGAGCCTGATGCACGATACCTTAGCGACATCGTGCCTGTTGACTACCTCGAGCAGGCCAAGAAAGCGCCTCTTTCGCAAAGCGTGGCTGAATCCATCGAGTGTCTTCGAGCAAAGGTAGACGAGGCCCAACAAGCGAGGCAAAACTCTGATGACAGCGCCGAAGCTTCCCCTGAAAGAAAGCCCTTGACCGTAACAACCCTTGGAACAGGCTCCGCCATCCCAGGAAAATACCGAAACGGTGGGCTGCCAGCGTTTTGATTCTTCCGAGTTCGCACCGCCACTGCTAGAGCCGAGTGCGGTGCTCTTGTCCGCCCCGGTGGCCTCATCGGCATTGCACTGATGTGGCTCCAGCGGGTAGCTGGCTGAGCAGTGCACTGACATTATCTGTATACAATAGTGAGCTCCACTCTCGTCAAGATGTGCGATGGCAAATATATCCTCCTTGATGGAGGCGAGGGCACGCTGGGCCAGCTCTTCCGATCGCTGGGACCATCACGACTCCAGAGCATGCTGCGCTCTCTGCGGTGCATCTTTGTATCGCACCTGCATGCCGACCATCATCTCGGCATCATCAACATTCTAAGAGCCTGGAAAGAGGTGGGTACCCGTCCAGACCGAGCGGCAACGGCGGTTTTCTCAAGACGCTGACCATGGGTGGGACGTCTCCAACCACAGGATCGCGCAACATACGAAACGTTCGATACGCCGTTCCTGTACATCATTGCGCCACAGCAGTTTTTTGTTTGGCTGAAGGAGTATTCCGATTGCGAGGACTTTGGTCTCGAAGATACTCGCTTCATTACCTCAGAGTCGATCCGATGGGGCTGCAAGAAACGCGAGAGGCCGCCAAACGAGACGTAAGTCAAAGCGCATCTCGGATAGGTGGCGATGCAGGAAAGTTCGCCAGGTCCGAGGACGTCACTTGGTCCGGTTCAACTCGCTTGGCCTCGCTCCTCACCTGGCGTTCCATATCCCTCCTGTGCAGTATTGTTCCTTCGCTGATGGCGGCCATGTCACTCAAGTCGATCAACACTGTCGGCGTGCACCACTGTCCGTCCGCATATGCGATCACCCTGGAGCATCAGTCCGGCGACAAGATTGTATTCTCGGGCGACTGCCGGCCGAGCGCCGACCTGGCCGAGGCTGGCCAAAACGCAACTGTCGTCATTCACGAGGCTACGTTTGAGGATGACAAGCGCGAAGAAGCGGTGGCTCGCAAGCACTGCACAACCACCGAAGCGATCGAAGTGGCGATCGAGTAAGTTGGCTGCGGCACATGCTCGATGCTGTGAGTGACTGCGGAGACGGCCCTGCCACGCGAGCGCCTGGTGACTGACGAGCAGCACCTCTGTTTCAGGATGAATGCCGAGAGACTGCTGCTGACTCATTTCTCGCAGCGATATCCCAAAGTGCCGTACATCCCACTCTCGATCGTGCCCAAGGATCACAGGCTCGAGATCGGGGTCGGGTTTGATCTGATGCGTGTGCAGTCTGCAAACTTTTGGAAGCTGCCTCTGATGAGCGACGCCATCAACCTGCTCTTCAGGGAGATGGTTGAGGAGGACGAGCCGGAAATATAGCGCATTCTGATCTGGGCTGGCACCGACTCGTGAGGAGCCGCATGGGCTGCCGGATCGCTCCCAGCTGCTGTTTGCGATCGGTTCGTGCAGAGTGCACTGCGCAACCCGCCGATCGCTTCATGACATGGAGTGTCGAGGGAGCTGCTCGAGGAAGCATGTGGCGGCTGGCTCCCCTGCGGATGCTCTGATTGGCCCGGCAAAATGCGGATCTGCGCGTGTGTGTGTGTGCGGCAGCGTGTGTGTGTGTGTGCTGGATGCAAATGGTCAGGCCTGACGTCGATCCGGCGAGCCCAGCGGCTCTGCCTCAATCTCGTTGGCAGGTAGGTCCTCAGAAGCAAAATGTTCAAGAGCCGTCTGCTTGCCAGGACAACAGTCTCGGGCCCGTGCAGGCTTCCCCGGGCAGTGCGCTCCAAGGGGGAGATGTCCGGACGTGCAAGCTCGGAGTCTGGCCAGAGCAGCCGGCAGCCAGACCGACGATGCTTCTCGTCGAGAGTTCCCCCGAGCCGCTGGAAGTTCTCGGAGACGCCCTACCAGGTGCTCGGGGTCGACAAGCACGCCAAGCTGCCCGAGATCAAGAAGAAATATTATCAGGTGGGCACCGGCGAATCGCTGGCGACAGCGTGGATGGCGGGGGCGGGCTTCCGCACAAATGCCGCGGCCCATGAAGCCAGCAAGGCAGGACTGGGATCGAGGTTTCGCACAGGCCGCCTGTGGGGTCGACTCGCATGCGCACCATCGAGCTGGGAGAGCGAGGAGACCTTGCTCCAATGCGATCCATCCAGAGGCTTGTCAGTTCGGGGATGCTGTGCATCCGGTGCTTGGCATCAGTAAGATCGTCTGGCATTGTCCATAACTCGACCGCCAACATCCGCGTCCTGCTCCTGCATTGTGGCCGCAGCTCTCCATGACCTTCCATCCAGACCGCTCGGCTCAAAAGTCTGAGGCCGCCAAAAAGCAAGCACACGACCAGTTCATCAAAATCCAGCAAGCTTACGACTTGCTCTCGGACCGCCTAAACCGAAGCGACTACGACCTGTACGGCGGCAGCCCCACCGGGACGTCGTCCTCCACCACATGGACGCCTCCGCCATATGATCCGTTCCAGGCCAACCCGGGTCAGTCGTGGGAGCAGTGGGACGTCAATGCTGGTCCTGGATCGCAATACAATCAAGGTATGAGTCTCTGTCCGAGTATTTATGGGCGAGGAATGTTGGGGCAACACCAACGGACCGAATCGGAGCTCATTCTCGGAAGCAAGCAAGTGGCATGCTAACTACGTGACTCTTTGATTCAGACTCTGGCTTGTTGCGTATGTTCTCGCCCCTCATCACCGTTGGTGCGCTCCTGCTGGTCTCTGGATATATCGTAAAGTGGTACATCGACCACATGTCTGAGACAAGACGCCGAATGGCGTGGGCCCGCTTCCATCACGTCAAGTCCAAGGAGGGGCTGCAAGACGTTGTCTCGAGAGAGCCGCCGCCGAATTGACCCACCCGAGTATCTCGGTTTACAGCGCACATACGACACCTCCTATAAGTACTTGATGTTCCAACTGAAGACTTGTAGCGATTGACTTGCAGTCGTCAAGACAGTTCTTGCAGCTTACCGCCACGGTGGCTCGCGTCCAGAGGGCTGGTTCTTCTTGAACAACCTCATTGTGAACACTTCCAGTCGATTTCTATTGATGCCGATATACATTTCCACTCGCTCACATCTGCCGTCAGTCAGAGCGAATCGTGGTTGGATACTGTAGTGGACAAGCTGCTCTTATGTATCTCAAAGCAGAGATTGCTCGTGAGTAACAGCCAATCCAATAAAAACAGGTTTGGTCGTTGCTGAATGTTATCACTCAAAACATCGCGCGCTGGCCATGACCATTCAGTGATGCGTTTCTGGATCTGCATCAAGGATTATTTCTCGCTCAGATGGCTCCCCGCAAGCGACTCGATCTCCAAGTGTGCTCGCGGTGCCGGGAAGCCAAGCGACTTGAGAAGGCCGAGTATCCTGATATCGATACACCATGGAGTGGTTCAGAGGGTCGAGTGAATGCACCACACAGAGAGATTGTCAACCAGGGCGGGAAACAATCGCATGGCTTGCCCACTGGAGCCTACGATCAGCAGACTTTTGTTGCTGATGCCAGAAGTGACTATCCCGTCTCTCTCTGGATAGACTCTAGAATAGCAATAGCCCCTCATTCCGGCGTGACGGTAGCCAAAGTCCCCTCGGGGAATCTTCTCAGATGTGATGGACTCTTGTGTATTCGAGACTCTGATAAGCGGCCGCAGACGCCAGAGCGGATGACTCGATTCCTTGTGTGAACGTCGAAAGTCAGATATACTCAAATTGGTTGCATGGTACACTACATGGTGAATGGCATGGAGCGCTGCGTGGCACGTTGCAGAAAGTGAAACAGGCACTCTGTGGCCAGCGGCTTCTTCCATTGCGGACAGAGGGCATGAAGCTGGATGCTCAACCGGATGTGGCTCGATCTGGCCCGGCTTGGGGGCTCACATTAGTAGTTCCTGCAACAGCGTAGCAAAGTGATAAGTTATATAAGTGCTAGGGGATCACGCCTACCCGGGCTGCACTGGCAAAACGTCCCAGAAACGACGGCCAACACCACTTCCGGGCGAGACAGCGCTTCCTACAAATCCAGCCAGATGTGCTCGTCCAGTCTCATTGAACACACATGTACCTGTCGCTGCTGCTCAATAAGCCTTTCCAGATGGGTGGACTTGATCGAGAGTTCTTCCACTTGAGTCTTTAGGGAAGCGATAATATCGTCCTTGAGGGCAATGGTCTTGCGCACCCTGTTTTCGACAATCTCGAGGGCAAGCTCCTGCCAATGATCGACAGCCAAATGAGTCCTTACGAGTGCTATCGAGATGTTGTTGCTCCGGCAGTGGTAAACCAGATGTGGACTCTAATCTCACCTTGTCTTTGGCTGCTTCCTGGATCTCGGCCTGATGGCGAAGCTGCCGGTCCTCGATTGTGCGTCCCAGCTCCTGGAGTCTGACCTCGAGCTGGCGGATTTTGCCCTCCTTCTGTTCGATCAATTCTCCGTATTCGATCCCTGGAGCCCAAGTATACATTTGAGCACCCGCATCAGCGCTCTGCACTCACAACAGAACCCAAGACCAAGCTTACGCGGATGCCCAAAGAGCCTCCTCCCAATAATAGTACTCCAAGCTCCACTTACTGATGGTATTCGCCAGCGTCTCTTCATCGACCTTCAGCCGACTGAGCTCTGCCTTTTGCTGCTTTATGAGCCCATCTTTGGAGGCGCACTCGTGTTGACACTTGAGCAGCTCCTTTTGAACCTCGCGCCGGCGCTCTTCTGAATTGGATAGGGCAGCTTGAGCACTCAGCACCTTGTCAAGAGCCAAACTGTGCTGATCTCGGAGCTGGCAAGCAGAGAGAGAGAGGTTAAATCCAGCCTCGAACAGACTCAAATGCAGCTTGCAATTCCAATAAGCTCCACACCAGCATACCTGCTTGATCTCCTCGGCTGTTTCGCGCTTGATTCTTTCCATGTCCAGCCGGTAGCGTCGATTGACGTCGCTCGTGCTGGAGTTTGTTTCGGACTCGATCCGCTGAACGACCATCTCCAGCTCGGCATCTCGTTCTTTCAAGAGCCGCTCTTTGAATGCTTTCTGTGGTGGTTCATAAGCCAAAGAGAGGCAGCACCAATCAGCAACATCTCCGAGGTTTGGTTGTGGTCTCTGGACTCGCCAAGCTTCAAGAGGAACTACAATGAGCCACACGCCCATGAGTGCCATCACTGTCACCGCCACCGCCTTTGACTTCATCGCAGACCTCTCGCTTCTGGATTTCGCCTTCGGTTTTTTGCATAAAATGATTTTGCCACTCCTCCTTCTCGATGGCGAGTTTCTCGCGGAGATTATTGAGCTGTGCGGGTTGGTCGGCATCGAGAGCGTGAGTATCCATGACATGGACATCGACGATGTGCAGTCAGCCCAAATTGTCGGCGAGACTCGTGGCATTACCTCTTGGATGTTCTTCCGACGCTGTTCTTCAAGCAAGCTTTCCTTCATGGCTTTCTCGGATTCAATTTGCCTTCGCAACTCTTCTAGCTGCTTGCGGTGGCTGAACTCGTCTGCTTTGCGCTCTTCGCGGTGAGATTCCATGATGTTGTGTTTCTGCTCCTCGAAATCGGATACCAATTTGCGCTTCTGTTGCTGAAACTAAGAGTTGGGGTCTGTTAGACTCTGCCTGGTGCTATCCATCGAAAGCTCGGTGCCGCTTGCGTGGCATGCCGGTTTATCCAAGCATACAGGGTCAGGGCACTCCAAACACAGAAAAGTACATGGCTTATCCAAGCCGCAGCTGGATTCGTGTGGTCAGCGGAGGCAGATCGTACCTCCATCTCATCTCGTTCCAGCTGCTTCTGGTATCTTTGTCGAGCAAACTCGCGCTCCTCCTCGCACGCCTTCTGGCGCTCAGCGACGATTTTGTCCCTCATTTGATCCTGGAATACGAGTTTGAACGGTGCACATAATTAGCATGGGTGCTGGCACATGGCGCATCGTTTGCGGATGCCACACCACCGGCCAGTTAGGAAAATGGGCCTACCATCAGCCTCTGGTGTTGGTCAAGTAGCACATTCTTCTCCTTTGCAAGCTCCTCTTTGAACTTTTCCTCCAATGCCCTGTTCTGGGTTTTGTGTTGCTGATTCAGGGACCCAAATCGACAGAGTGTATGATGAGACACGGGGTGTCCGTGGTGGAGACGCTTGGTCAAGGAAAGCGATACCAGCGATTGGCCAGAAGTAGCGGGCCGACCGGGAGCAACAGGCAAGTCGGAAGCAATGGGACCGGCCGGGAGAGCATATGCGATTTTCGAACGATTGGCCTACAGCAAGCATCCTCTGTATTTCGGGCTCGAGCCCTTTCACCGTCTGGTCTTTGATGGCCTTTGTTTTCTCTTGAATCCACTTTTCGCGCTTGAGCTTCTCAGAGGCCATCCAAAGCTCTTTCTGCTGCCTTAGCTCCCTGTTGTGTTGCTCCTCCAAGGCGAGTGCCTGGGGAAAGCGCATTGTGAGTTTGATGATAACTCTCGACTGTGATCAGAGTTTGCTTCACCCCAAAACACATTCTCCAGTGATGCTGAAGCCCAGGCGCCGTCCGAACATAAGGCAGATCCAATATTGCCAATCCCCAAGATATGGCCCTGATAGCTTGCAGCCGAATTCCGCAAGGCACTAAACTGCATTTTGGAGGCCAGACCTTTTCTTTGTATTCTTTCTTTAGCTGCTTAACTTCTTCTGTCAGCGCTTCGCATTTTTTTGAGAGCTCGTCTTTCTCTGCCAGCAACTTGTCAATAAACCCAAGATGTCGCTTGATCACCGCCTCGTACTCCTTCCGTTGCAGGGAGAGCTTGGATTTGAGATCCTTGCTCCTAAGAGACGGGATGGCCGTTCGGGTTGTCCGGAAGCCATTAATATCCCGCGCAGATGAAAGACGCACAGGGTCTATATCATCGATCCCCGGTGCCTTCGGGACTCTGTGGACCATGATGCTCTCTGCGGTAGTGTCACAGTGCCCTTACAGCTCTTCTTCTCTGTCATTCAAGGTAGACTTGGCCTTTTTGATCTCCTCCTTGAGCAGCGCGATCATCCTTGCCTTTTCTTCGATCTCCATTTGCTGGCCCATAATCTTGGCTTTCACACCGTGAAAGACATCTGGAGTGAAATATATAGACCATTGCCACGGACACGGAAGTTTGAGACTGCTTTCCTTCAAGCAGAGCCCGCTCGCGCCGATAAGCAAGAACGGATTGCAGAGCTCACCTGAACCTGCCGGAGATTCTTGAAACGCAGGAGCCGCGCTGGGTCAGACGATTTAGTTAGTCTACCACGGATGCAGCGCGGTTCACACCGTCGCCGATCGTCCTGAGCTCGCAGTATACGATCCCGTCGAGTTGGTTTCGTCAATCACAGCAAGTTTACCTGTCCTTCGTTGGCCGCGCTGGCGTTGTCGAGTCTACTTCATCGACATTCTTCAAAAAGTTCATGATCCGATCGATCCTGCGGGTTGTTTGCGTGTCATCTGCTTGCGTGGGCGCTGCTCCGGCTGCCGGCAGTGTCGACGCAGATACGTGCGGATCCGGAGCGAGGCGTTGCCGAGAATTGTCGGCCACAGCCATCGTCACAAGCGATGCAGATGATGCGCGGGTGGCTGGAGCGGATGAAAGCGGTGGATAGCCGATGTGGCAACTTGGCACGGATGAGCCCATGGGTCCGCTGCGTGAGACGATGGCAGGACCTAATTGGTGCGTCTCCGTATCTGACGGTGGGCTCGTTTTCGACGACCCAGCATGCATGGCGACGGTCGCTGTGACTAATCGAGTGGCTCTCTCGGCTGTCACTGGCCGGATGCTGGCCGACTCCACCGGCAATGCATCGAGGCGACGTGCTTGAGCATGGTTGGACACTGTCCGGGCTCCGGAAACGAGTTCGACACAGCTGGCTCCGCCTGCATGATGTGCCTGTCGAGACTGTGGACGAATTGTCTGAGTGCATTCTTGATGAATCAAAACCCTGGCTTGTGGAGAGGGCGTATCGATACATCCGGTCGCCGGAGGAGGCGTCCTGGTCAGGCGTTCGGTCGACGGCATGGGCTCAACAGAGCTGCTATCGAAGCATGAGGCGGGACTCTGAGCCGACGGCACTATTTCGTCCAGCGCGACGGCAGTCAGAGGCTCAGGGTGCACCCCCTCATGGTCATCGGCAATTGTTTGGTTGTCGTCTTCTTCAAAATCTTCAAACGAAGGTGTGTAGCAATCCGGTATATCGGCTATCGAGTCGTTCTCGATCACCACAGCTTGGCTAACCATGAGATCCCCTCTGCAACTTGATAAAGCAGATATTGGCCTTGGGCTGGCGAGCGATTTGTCTGCGGCGTTCCCAGAGACAGCCGGTCGGATCGATATGATCCGTTCTCTCATCAGCTCCTGGGAAGGCGGCTCAGGTTAGTGGTGACGGACGACGAAACAGCAGGGAGTATTCTCATGGGGGCACTGGTCCTTACAGCGGAGGCAAGGCATACCTCCCGCATCTTTCGTGCCTTCTCCAATCGCCTCCGAGTCACGTCGCTTTCGTCGCTCTCGGCAGCACCGGCAGTTTCTGTCGGTATCAACGAGTTGGTGGGCTCGAAGTGCATGTCGCGTCGAGCCCAAAGCTTGCCCAGCTCGAGTCGAGCCCGAAACCATCTCTGGATAGCGATGGCTGAGACCTCGAGCTGATGGCTGAATTCAACAGCGGGACGCACAGGGGGATCGGCGAGAGTGTCTGAGGAGTCTGACTTGACAAGCACGGCCTTTGCGGCCATAATGCTGGTCGGGTGCTGGGCCGGGGTGGTGGGCGCGTCTGCCGAATGGACCGAGCCCTTCCTGTTTGCAGAGCCAGGCGATCGGGACTGTTTTGACCATGGAGCAGGGGGTGTGCTCGACCCGGAGGTGGTCTTGGAGGCATGCGTCGGATGCGTGACCTTTCGCTGGCGTGATTTGGGAGCAGATTCAGGTGTCGACTTTGCTCGCATGGGCAGTGCTTTTGTCACCCCAGAGCTGACTTTTGTAGACGCAGAGACTGGCTCGCGGAGGTGGGACTTTAGCGAGGTACATTGCACCGACAGGCCCGTCGGCTGTCCTTTGGACCTCATGTTCAGTCGATCGTTGGTTGCAGGATGGCTTGGCTCTGGTGGGACGATCGGATCCATGAATCCTGCCAAAGGAGCAGCAGTCGTTTCGAGCGTGTGCAATCGGGTTGAGCAACCCGAGGCCCATCGAATCACAGCCTCACATGACCGACGATGCAATCAGGGCCTTGGGATGAGGTGTCGGGCAAGCAGCCTGGCTCGGTTCGGGTGCTTCGTGCCGGCAATCGAGTTCGTAGGCTGTTGGCTGGCTCGGCTATCCACTCGCACTGGGACCCGACCCTTGTTTCTGATATTTCGGCAGTCTCGGCTGCATCAGCGCTCGAGCAAGCACAAGGGCCGGCGACAAACCTGATTCCGAATCGTTGACCATGTCGTTCAGCGGCAGCGGCAGCTTCTTGAAAAGCTCCGACGCTCTCGCCAACCCAAGTCGAGCCTCCGTCCAGAAGAAGCTGGCACTTCCCCCAGACCAGGAGCTCGCTCGAGCCATTTCCGATAAAAACCTGGGCGTCCATAACCTCTCGTTGAGCCGGCAGAACTCTCAGAAGCAAGCGAACCGCCCGAGCCTCCAGAGCGAGAAGGTGCGGGCCTCCACCGCCACCCAGAGCGACAAGATTGTCCATGACTTGGCGACGGAGCAGCTCATCAAGTACTCGCGCACAGTCCGGCGCAACCAGACGAATGCATCGTTCAGCGGCCGCAACATCACGCTGTGGACGAAGAGCGTCCCGCATCCCAAGAAGTGCGATACCATTCGAGAATTCCGGTTCAAGCTCCGCGTGCTCCAAATCGTCTTGGCGATCGGTAAGGCGGCCGAAAGAAGACCAGCGTTCCCAGCACGACAGAGGCTCCGTAGTTGGCCGATATGGCAAATGCGAGCTGGGTCCGATGTCGTCCCATGCTGCAGCAACCGACTCCACACCGGCTTGCGGTTCTCGCACGGATGTGCCCAAACCGCTCGCCATCACACCAAGACAGCTCCCCGATGCTGATTGCGGCCTTGCAAGATAGCGCCCAAGTACTCACTGCGTCCTTCTGACCTCTGGCGGTTCGGCATAGGCTGCTTCATTGCTTTGGCACTGGCTTCGTTCAGCGTCAACTACTCGAGCACAGCCCTTGGCGTTTCTGGAATGAGCATCACTTGTCTCACAGCGATATCTTCGGTGGTAAGGATGAACCGCATTATCTCACAAGAATAGCAGAATGCGGATCGGCTCGGCCGAGACGAAGCAGGGTTAGCAGAGCCGATGAATGCGAGGACGGGTCAAACGGGCACCCAGCATGGCCTGTCGAGACACAGGGCAGCTCTGCCCGGAAATCCAATTGAAATTGCAACTCTCTGACCCCGTTCGGATACTGACGAGCGACATCCCTCTGTGCCATCTCCAGTTTGCCTCGTTTGCCAACATTGTGGCTTATCTCATTCCGGCCTTCTTTGGCATCCCGCCCCATCGCCACCAGCGCATCAGCCGCGTCGAGTGCTTTGTCGATCTCATCTTTGCAGGTCTGTGGATCTCATCGTCGTCGGCGATGGCATACTATGGCCAGTGTCCACGCGAAACCCTCAGCTGGGACACAATCAAAGTGATGTGCATCCCGTGGGATGTCTGCATGGCCTTTGGGTACCTGGCCGGCATCAACTTTGCCGTCAGTTTCTGGCTTGGTGTGATGGATCTCCGGGAGTTTGGCTTTGCGACGCCCTTCACGCGGGGAAACTGGCAGGTGTTCGATGACGATGACAACGCAGTCCACGCAACATAGCCATCGAGGTGATCATAGACAGAGCAGATGCACGTTGGAATGACATATGGTGCACCTGAATGGCAAAGTACACGAAGGCTCGTTGCGAACCTCTGATCCCGATGTTGCATCGGGGGGGGGACAATACAAGTAACTGAATGTGGAGGCAGGCATATGTATTGAGGAACCAGAAATAAGCGCCCGCTACCACGGAGACTGACTAGCCTGGTTGCATTGGAAAGACAGTCGAGAACGACAGAGTTCCCCAAGAGAACGGCCAGCGATGGGCACAGTTGCGCCGTGCAGACTTATGCCCAGGGACTATAGGATGTACAGATTGATGCCAGCGACAACGAAGGGTATTGCGCCGGCTGGATGTGCGCAGGGCTGGCGCTGCCGTGGGCGAGGCCGGTTCTGAATCGCCATCAGAGCTCCATGCGGGCACCCCACTGCTCGCCTCCGAGCGGCTTGACATACTTCTTCTTATCCGAATCGCCGGAGCGCAGGTGGAAATCGGCAATGGTGATCTCGCGACCCTCAGGGATGTCCTCGAGAGCGTAGTAGATAATGTACCAGGCGTTGTTGTAGAGCACGTATTGTCGCTGTTGACAAGGATGCAGACATGCAGATTAGGCCGAGTCCAGCAGCAAAGCCTCGATCGATCCGAGGCAGCAGCCTGCGCAATACCGAGGCAGTGCAATGCCAGTCATATGGCACTGCCATTGCTGTTGGCGAAGAAAGCAATAAGGAGCGACCATGTGCCGCCAGTGGCGTGGATGATACTTACATGGGCATTGGCTGGGGCAATCAACAGAGAGCGCGATGGCATTTGTGTAGTTCGACGCAACCCCCAAATGGATGTATCAGCTAAATGTAATCGGTCGAGTCGCTTCCACATGCAGGGACCCCGAGTCCGGGGCCAGGCTGAGATGGCCGCATTGCTCACCTTCATAGTACGGAAGAATCCAGGCACTCCAGCTGGCGTACGACTCAAACGACACCTGAAGATGGAGCGACTCGCCAGTGGCGGTCTTGAGCTCTGAAAAGTATGCAGCGTTGCCGGGAGTAATACTGGGGAAGTCCACGTTTGCTCGGAGATAGCCGGTGTGGGCGGCAAGGACGTCGTATCGAGAAATGTTGGTGGCTACAGCGAAGCGACGCGATGGTGAGCTGCAGGCCAGACAACGAACGCGAGGCCGGCGAAAACAGAGGGCAAAGCACAAATCGAACTGCTCGTCTCATGAATACATGACAGCTACGGTTGTCGGTCTCCTCACCCGCAAACAGGCCAAAGCCTCTGTCGTGTGGGGCCGGCTTGACGATGAAGCGCGTGTCGACGGCAGGGTTCCAGGTGTCGATAAAGTCGTGGGCCTTTGCGCTCATGGCATCAACCTTGGTAGGATCGTACAGGTAGATATGGTCCTTCTTTGGGTCGTGGGTCTTGATGGCAGCTTCGACTTCGTCGCTCTCAAAGACGTATCGATTCCTGAGCTTGATGCCGAAGGCTCCTTCGATGGTGTGCCAGTCGTACCAGATCTCAGGGCCGAAGGTGTTGCCCGAGTGGGCTGGACCGGCGCGATGGAAGGGCTTGCCAACCAGAGGGGCAACCGGGTCCTCAAACTCGGGAAGACCGACTTGCTTGAGAATGGGGTTGAGCAGCCAGTTGCGGAACTCGCTCTTCTGGGGGCCCTTGGTGTATCCCATCAAATCGATGAGGGGGTCGAGCGGAGTAGGCTCGAGTGTCTGTCGTGCATGACCAGGAGCGGGATGGCGGCGACGATGTGGTCATAGCGTACCCGGAAACAGATGGACTTGTCAGCGCCGGCAATTGTGATATGCACTTCCAGATCAAATCCGGGTCCTGCCAGGGGAGCCAGATCGGCCGCTGTGCTGTGCTGTGCTGTGCTGTGCTGTGCTGCTGCTGTGAAGAAGCTAGCAAGCCGCAGGGTTCGACTCGTGGAGGTGTATTCGCATGGCTCGGGCCTTTGCGATCGAATGGACAGGTCCACAGACCGATTGCGCTGCTGAGTGCAGATCAGGGAACCCGGCGGTGGCCAGGGGGAGCGAGCAGTGTATCGTACCGTCAGACATTGGTAGAAGGTGGCGAACAGGCCCAGGGAGATCAGAATAATGAGGTTATCCAGGTGCGGAAACATGGCGCTGGCGTTGCGAGGTAGAGGCCGTTGCGAGGCAGGTCGGGACGGGTCTGATTACAGTTGCTGGGCCGGAGCTCGGCAAGTCAGCACAGATCGAGGAGACGGGAAGGCGAACGAGGCAGCGAAGAGCAGAGCCGTCGATCGGAAGCAGGGCGCCGGGCTGACGCGAGCGTCTGTTTGTTGGCTGGCCACGGGTGCCTTCTGCGGTGGCACAGGGCTGGTGTGCTGCTGCGCACACACTGGCAGTGGCCACGCGGTTGGCTGGCATCACGTGTTTCGGTACACAGAGGCGCGCCGCGCAACGCCGATTGGCCCGCGGGCAAGTGCGACGGGATTGGGCGCGAGATGTCGCGAGCGCGGCGCAGTCGGCACTGCTGTGGCTGGCACTGGAGTGGCTGGCTTTGCTCTGGCCATGGGATGGCTCTGCCCTGGCTTTGGCCCTGGGTGAACCCTTGCTCCACGCCAGCATCATCGCCAACATCACCAGCATCACCGCCAGCATCACCAGCATCATCGCCGCTGCAGATGGACGTCGACAAGTGGTTTGTTCTCCTCGGCATTCTTATCGACTCGCCCGAGCTGCAGCACCCCGAGCTTCTTGGCAAGCTCCAGCTTCTCTCTCGCGACGCATATCGCATGCTCATCGACAACGAGTATATCTGGAAGCAGTGCTTCACCCGGTACATGGCTCAGGTTGTGCCGCATGCCAGTCTGGAGAGGTTGGTCCTGGTTGGCGCCTACCGAGCTCTGGCCCTTGGCCTGCATTCGTTTCTGACCCGAGCAACCGAACATCCAAGTCCGCACGAGCAAACGTACTGGGAGGCTGCGAATGCGAATCCAAGTCTCTTTTGGTGGACGGCCCAGGCCGCGATGCGGTGCGAGCCGCTCTTCTTATCCCGATGGCATCCATTTGAGCTTGACTCTGTCGAGGAGAGCCGCACCAACGAGCAGCAGGGGCAGCAACGACGGGCCCTTCATAATCTCCGCAGCTCTCTCCAGTTCGAGAGGAACGATTCACCAAACGCCCGCTGGCTTATTATCAGCGATGCCGCCTTGTGCAGCTTGCCCGACAGCATCGGCGGTTTCTGGCGGCTGGAGGGACTTGTGCTCCCCAACAATCGGCTGACGATGCTGCCGCCTCTCATCGGGAAGCTGACGCTGCTTCGGCGGCTCGATTTGCGACACAACAGACTCACCAGACTGCCCGAATCGATTGGCTTTCTCACGGAGCTGGAGCAGCTCTTTCTGCAAGACAACGAGCTTGTCGAGCTGCCTGACGCCATCGGTAGCCTCAAGTCGCTCAATCGGCTCTATGCTCACCGCAACCGGCTCGAGACGGTGCCCAGCACCATCGGAAACCTCCCAAATCTGCAGCAGCTGAACCTGGCAAAGAACCGGCTCCGGTCGCTGCCTGGGACACTGGTGCTGCTCGAAAGTCTATCGCAGCTCACGCTGTCACATAACCAGCTTGATGCGGTGCCTGACTGCGTGGGGAAGCTGCCATTCCTGCAGCAACTGAATATGCTGCACAACCCGATCAGGGCACTTCCAGATAACTGGGACTCTGTTACGAGCAGACTCGACCAAGTCAAGATCGACAAGCGACTGCTGATTGACGACGATCGATCGGATCACTGAAGGAGGAACAGAGCCCGGGCGAGTCGACCTGCTGCTGAACGCGAGCGACGACCAACAGGTTTCATGAAGACAGAGCCGTGGCCGGGACACTCCGAGTTATTCGTTAGGCATTCCGTATCGACCATCGACCACCACCAATCGACCATCGACCACCACCATCTAACCAACCAGCCGCCGGGTGGTGCCGGTCCCGTGCTCGGGCCAGCCCGGAGCTCATGCCGGGCCGTGCGGCTTTGCTGCTCCCGGCGCCGAGATGAGATGCGTGACTCGGCGGACGCTGTCACGCTCCGTCGCACAGGCTGCGGCTTATCTCTCTTTTTTCTGCGTCTGGCGCGCTGGTTGGCTCCTGCAAATAGCCGCACGTCGCGGCGCCTTGCTCCGTTCCTGTTGCTCGCGTGCAAGCCTCTCGCTGCTCCTCGCCCTGCCCTCGCCCCGCTCCTCGCCCGCCTCTCGCCCCGCATTTTCCACAAGCAAGCCGTTCTCGGTCTCTCCTCGCTCGGCGCTTATCTCCTCAGCCCTTCATAAACCCATTCGCTCGCACCGCTTTCCTCTGATCTCCCATCCCATCTGCCCATCCCCCCCAAGCCCCGGCTCCCGCTCAGTCTTCTCACTCTATCGCCATGGCCACCAGCGCTGATCTTGCCTCCCGCGGACGCACCCGCTCTGCCACCTCCCGGCTCTTCAACGATGCCCTCAACGACATGGACGATCGACGCATTGCCGACATCAAGCCCCTGATTCCCCCTCAGATCCTCGTCGAGGACCTCCCGCTCTCCAAGGAGGCTGCCCTGACCGTCTTCGAGGGCCGCAACCATGCTGAGGCCATCATCAAGGGCGAGGATGATCGGCTTCTGGTTGTTGTCGGCCCCTGCTCGATCCATGACACCAAGGCCGCTCTGGAGTACGCCGCCCTGCTCAAGAAGTACGCCGAAGATTCGGCCGAGGACCTGCACATCGTCATGAGAGTCTACTTTGAGAAGCCCCGAACCACCGTCGGTGAGTCAGTCTGGGCGGATCTCGCGCTTGATGCAGCTTCCGTCATTATGCGTCTGCGGGCGTGGCCCGGTTGCTCCAGCCACCCGCATCCCAGACTCATGTTTGCTCACCACCCCCTTTCTGCGTGCTGCTGCCTTTGCTCTTGCTCGCTCTTACAGGCTGGAAGGGTCTCATCAACGATCCTCAGCTCAACGGCACCTTCCAGATCAACAAGGGCCTGCGAGTTGCCCGTGGACTGCTGCTTCAGATCAATGAGCTCGGTCTCCCCACCGGCTCCGAGTTCCTCGATACCCTTACTCCCCAGTACATTGGCGATCTGATTTCCTGGGGTGCCATCGGCGCTCGCACAACCGAGTCTCAGGTCCACCGCGAGCTTGCCTCGGGCATCTCGGCGCCGATCGGCTTCAAGAACGGCACCGACGGCAACATCGGCATTGCCATCGATGCCATTCGTGCTGCTTCCAGCGGCCATCACTTCCTCTCGGTCACCAAACAGGGCATCTCTGCCATCGTCTCCACCACCGGCAACGACTCGTGCCACATCATTCTGCGCGGCGGAAACGCCGGCCCCAACTACGACGCTACCAACGTGCTCCGCTGTGCGTCGCAGCTGCAGTCGGCCAAGCTTGGTGCCCATCTGATGATCGACTGCTCGCACGGCAACTCGTCCAAGCAGTTCAAGCGCCAGCTCGATGTTGCCAACTCGATTGCTGAGCAGCTGTCGTCGGTCAACTCGTCGGCCAGCAACATTGTTGGCGTCATGATCGAGTCGCACCTGGTCGAGGGCCGCCAGAACATCCCCGAGGAGGGTCCCTCCGGCCTGGTCTACGGCCAGAGCATCACCGACGCCTGTCTCTCCTGGACCGACACTGTCGTCGCCCTGGAAAGACTCCGCGAAGGTGTTCGTGCTCGCCGAAGCAACCGCGCGGCTGCTGCCGACTATGCCGCCGTCGAGGCCACCAGTGTCGTCGACGAGTTGTAATTTCGCCCCCCCCCCCTTCTCCCCCCCGTCGTTGCCACCTTTCTTCCTGCTTCCGTGGAGTGCTCTCCATCGCGCCTCTGTTTTCCTCTTCATGTGTAGACTATTTATCGGTGTGGAAATGAAACAGGGAGCCCCACCCCCAATTGTAAGGGGGGGGTCACCTTTTTCTGGTTCTTAATACACGCAAACGAAACGGGACACCCTGTTTTGAGTCAGGGTTGTCGTTATTTTCTGGTCCTGAACCCTGAGCACACAGCCCCGCCCATCGGTCTGCTCGCAGTGCCTGGAGAGCCAAGCGACTCGAGCCACCCGAGTCATCTTGATATCGAACGATCACACTTTGTACAGAACAGTCCAGATGGTCGAATGCATACACCCACTCTCGCATCGCCGCCAGAGATCGACCAAGAGTATTCAAAGACCCCTTGCTGTGTGGGTGAATATGTGAGGAGGCGAGGGACTCTGCGCGATATGTGTATAATACTGGGGAGTTGTCAGAGGCTCTCTGTGTAGACAATGAGATCGTGCTAGAGACCAAGCAACAGAGAATCCAGTAAGGAGAGACATGATATGGAATGATGTGATGAGGAGTGGGTCTCGATGGTGGTGAAAGCGTTGGATCAAACGACTGCAGCATGTTCAGAACGAAACGAAAGAGTCTGTTTTTGAGGACAGCAATGATGCTCTAGAATGCAAGGTGCTTGTGAGGAGAATGCGAGGGTATCAGAAGCAGGCAACTCCAGAGGAGCCATGCAGGTCGTCCGTCCGACTGATGTAGAGATACAGGAACGACATGATCACCCCCAGCTGGGGTTGGGATGATCCTCGTCGCTCGCCGAGTAGCCTGGTGCTATCGCGAAAGTCGTCATCGTCGTTGCCGTCGCCATCTTCGCTGCTGGTGCGGCTTTCTTGATCGATATCGCTGGCAGCGCTGCTTGCCAAGGCATTTGACACGGAGGAGCCTTCAAAGGTCGATCGATGTGTCGTCCGAGACAGGGGAATCCATTCGTGCCCGGCGACGTTCGCCAAAGGACTGCCGCCGTCGGCCTCGGACGATGCAGTGGAACCCCGCTGGCGAAACAGACCACGCAGGTCATGGCTTTCGAGGTAGGTCCATACGGCCTCCGAGTCTTGGGGTTGGCCAGTACTGCTGCTGTTGCTGTTGTTGTTGCTGTTGTTGTTGCTGCCCTCGCCAGCGACAGAGGCCCAGAAGGACGCAGATGCAGGGGCGGCCTTCGTGGACTCGGTCGCTTGCTGACCGAGCCATCCCCAGAGCCGAGCGGTCGACTGGGCCGTGGATACGGCGGTCGTTTTGGCCTTTTGGAGGAGCTCGTGGATGCGTCCGATCCGCAAGGGTTCGGCGGGATGCAGCATATGCATGATGGCGCGCGATGGACGGCGGTGTTGCTGGGTCGGGTGGAGGGAGGAAAAGAAGAAGGATGCAGGGGCGAGACCTGGGTGGACGCTCGTGGAGAGGATTCACACGCTTGGTCGTTTATGATATGATCCGACCACGATGTGTTTGTACGGGACAATGCTCTGTACACTTTATTCAGAAAAAAAACGGGACACCACAGCCGTTTCCATGAACAGTAGTATGTGCTGTGCTTGCGTCAAGCAAAGCCACAAGAAATAAAACAGATCACTTTGGCAGCCTCCAAGTGAAGACCGCCGGTCACTCTCCGGTCTCCACAATCGACCTGCACACTGGTCTCGGAGTGCCAGCGATGGATGATACTCTTGGACACACTGAATATGGAGGCGACCTTACGCAGGCTATGGATGAGGGCGTAGCATCGCAATGCGGCGGTGCGAAAGTCGGATGTGTGGCGAATGGTCATGGCCAGCGCGCGATAACATTGGGTAACAAAATATTCGATGAATGGTCAAAAACCCGGGTGTCCCGTTTTTTATTGGATTGCCTGTAACGGTGGTCGACAATCCACCCCATCCAAACGCCTCCCTCCTTTGTCGGCTGGTCCCAAGGCCAAGGCTGTGCACCAGCAGAGAGGACCAACAGCCAGGCAACCTGCCAGCACAAGGAGGGCTCGTCCGAAATAGGCCTGACAGCGTCCAGTGTCCTCGGAGTGTATTGACCAAAGGTGGTTTGCTTGGGGGGGGGCAGCCAAGTAGGATCCAGGTGCAGCGGCGGCCGCTGCAATCCGGTCTGAGAAGGGGGGATCGGAAGAGCGAAAGTACAAGTAGAGACGACAAGTACGAACACAAGAATGCAGGCAAACAGAAGGAGCGGCAAGAGAAAGCGTGTATCCCTGCGAGCGGGAGCGGCTGGGTGGTGAAGCTGTGATGGGGTCCTCGACAAAAGGGAAGGGAAGAAGGTCATGAACAAGCAACTATGAGATGGGTGGGGAGGGAGGCCAGCTGGCCGTTCGCAGGTGTCTAAACCGGGCACACAAGACCAGCACTATTCAACAATGCCAAAGCGCACGTCGCTTTACGTGCTGGTTCCGTACATGCGGGCAATGTCCTTCTTGTAATGATCGACAATGTCGGCTCTGCGGATCTTGTGAGCGGCAGTCTGTTGGCCGGGTCGGGCCAGAGCAAGAGACATCAGTGTGCGTTCGCCGTCGACCAGTAGTGCAGTTTTCGACGACACCACGCCACGCCACAACCGTCTCAACCGTCCCAACGCATCGATGCGGCGTACTCAGGCAGCCATGCGGGTGGGCGGGTGCAGGCAGGCATCTTACCGTCATGTTGTTCTCGGTGGTCCACTCTTCATGGCAGACAAAGCAGGCTCCGATCAGATCGGCGCCCTTCAGCTTGGCCTTCTTGGCAGTGTCGACCAGGTCGTCAAAGACAGCCTTCTGGATAGCAGGATGGCCAGCGATCTCGTTGCGGTCAAAGTGGTCCTGGCCCGGGAATAGGTTGTTGGCGGCAGCGTATTTTTCGCACTCCTTCTCGACGGGGACAACCAAGGCAACGACGAAGCTCTGCTCGGGGTCGGCGTACAGGCAGATGTTGGCGACGTAGTGGCTCATCTTGTAGACAGACTCGAGCTTCTCGAGAGCGACATACTCGCCGTTGCTGAGCTTAACCAGGTTCTTCTTGCGGTCAATGAGGACAATGTTGCCCTCGGGACTGAACTCGGCAATGTCGCCGGTCATGAGCCACCCGTCCTCGGTCTTGGTCTGAGCCGTGAGCTCGGGCTGCTTGTAGTAGCCCTTCATGATGTTGGCACCACGGACCCAGAGCTCGCCCTGGGGCGGAGTGTTGGTGACCGCGTACTTGCTATCGGGCACGTTGACGAGCTTGGCCTCAACCGAGGTACAAGGAGGACCAACCTTGCCGAGCAGGTGGGGCTGCGAGATATCCTGCACAGCGATAAGGCTGTGCCGGCCAGCACGATATCAAGCCGAGAGACGCATAGGAAAGGGTGCATGTCAGGAAACGACGTGTGGAGATGCCACCGCGCTGCTTGTGGGAGGGGTCTCGACCGGTGATAATGTGCCGGACTCGAGAATGATCGCTTACCCGACGGTCTCGGTCATGCCATAGCCAGCAATCATGGTGCAGATGCAGGTGGTGAAGAATCGCTGGGTCTCGCGGGCCATGGGAGCGCCACCGGAGAGAGCAAGACGCAGGCGGCCACCGGTCTGGGCCTTGATCTGGTTGAAGACCAGAGCGTCCAGGAAATCGGTGGGAAGACCAAGCTCGATGCATTTCCACTTGAGCTCATAGGCAGCATAGAACATGTTGCGAACGAGGGTGCTGGAGGTGCTGAGTTTGGCATGCACAGCCTTGCGGATACTAAAGCCAAAGGAAAACATACACGTGCGCGATTAGGAGCAGCCCATGGTGCATATCTGCATCGCAGCAAGCTCTCGTGAGCGAAGGAATGCGCGGCCGTGACGGTGGCAGCAAAGCAACAGAGCGTATCGACATCGATAAAAGTGGATAACGACAACATCATCGTCCATAGCCACAAATGAACCACGGCGATCACAATTGAACCACGGCGTGCAGCTATCGACTTACCCTTCCCAGACAGCAGGCACACCCGCCATCAGCGTCGGGCGAAGCTCGCGGATATCACCCTTGCAGTTGCGGACCGAGGAATCCGTGAGCGTGCGGACAGAGCCGTAGCCGATGGTGACGCCGACCCAAATGGCAAAGATCTCGACAACGAGCTCGAGAATGTGGGCCAAGGGCAGGAAAGCGAGGTAGACATCGTCCTTGGGATTGTGCTTGGAAAAGATGCCGATGCCGTGGGCACCCGTAACTTTGAGAGGGCAAAAACACCAACAGATGAGCACAAAGTCATGATGGGTCTGGGGGGAGGCAATAAACGAGGACGCGCACTCATGCGGCGCGACCAACCCGACAGCCCAACAGACCGCCTCGGTCTCGCTTCATGGACACTGGTCGCATCAAAATGAAGCAACGGACTCACCTCCAGCAACTATTGCACAAAGCAGTGGTATGGAAGACAACGGTACGTCCGATCGTATTAGTATGAGCCAGGTGGGTTGCGCGATAGACTTTGATTGCCCTTACCAATGTTCTGGTGGGTCAGCTCGACACCCTTGGGGTTGCCGGTAGAGCCGGAGGTGTACATGATGCAGGCGGTCGACTCCTTGGTGGGAGGAGTAGGCTGCGAAGGGTGCTTCTCGCCGAGAGCAATGAGGTCGTCGATCGAGTAGATGTTGATGTGGGGGAAGGCCGACTTGATGTTGTTGATGATGCCATCGGCAGGAGTGCCATGGTAGACGATATGCTTGATGTACGAGACCTTGGGAATGACCTTCTGCATAACGGGCAGCAGATCGGCGTTGGTGAACAGGGTGGTGACCTCGCCTTCATTGAGGGCAAAGGTCAAGCCCTCCTCACCCAGGGTCTGTGGTGGAGCAGAGGGATTGTGCCAAGAAAGGGGTCAGCGAAACGATAGAGGGCATTGCGTCGGGCCGGCCAGGTCTGCCCTATCCGCTCGGAAGCGCAGGCCAAATCAGAGGCGGCCACGAGACTGATGCTCTCGAGTCGCAGGACCACGTCATCCCACCCAAGGAACACGGGTAGGAACCACGGGACACCAGGCAGAAGGTTGGATGTCCGGGTGGTAGCCACATGAGCAAGCGGACGCCAACGAGCAGATGGACGCGGGTCGTCAATGCCGGGTCACGTACATCATATGCAGTGGAGATGGTCAGGTCCTGGGTCCAGCATCCGTTGCAGAAGAGCATCCATTCGCGGCTGGAGAATCGGACGTGGGAGAGGCGAGAGAAGCCGAGAGTCAGCCCCAAGCGAGATACACCGGCGATGGTGATGGACAGAATGGATCTGGTGGAAACTACGGCAGAGGCAGGGCGGTATGCGCGGCAGATGCGCATCGGCTTGGCGGGTCGGGAGAGCGGGAACAGACGGCCACAGCGGGCCACGCCGCCGTTTCCAATTCGAGCCAGGGTGGGGTGGGCGAGCCGCTGCTCGTGGGCTGGCGACCAAGACCGAGCGAGCTGGGGAATGCTGCGTGGGCCGGAGCAGCAACAGGGCCGAGCACAACAGCGTCCGACCACCAAGCCCTGAGAGTCGAGACAAGCAACGCATCGACAGCGAGGGCGCAAGCAGATGGAGAGTGCAGCTGGCAGAGAGCCGAGCATACCTGGTACTCGCAAAGAGGGTGACGATGTCGCCCTTCTTCAGACCCAGCTGTCGGAGACCAGAGCCGATGTGAAGCATTTTGGCGTAGGCTTCCTGATAGGTGAGGAATTCGTAGCCGGAGAGCTCAAAGTACTTCCACTTTTTGATCTCCTTCTTCTCAACACCACCGACGACCTTGGTGACTTCCTTCTCCTCCTCGACGATCTTGACGACCTGGCGCTTGCCGAGGGTGGGATGGTTGGGCCGTTTCTGGACGCCATCGGTGATGAGCTCGAAGACGGTCGACAGATGGGGCTCGGGAGCAGCCCAGAGCTGGTCCTTGCTGGCGATTTTGCGCCTGGGACGGGTTTCCTTGGTAAAGTCGCCCTCGGCAGTTTCGATCTCGACGGACTGGATTCTGTTTGAGTTGAGGAACGCGAAGGTGGGGACGGCGATGGCCGTCACCGCAACGGCACCCAGAGCGAGTTCCATGGCGGTAGGTGGGTAAGGACAAAGCAGAGGATGGAAGCTGGATGCGGTGCTCAGAGCAAACGGGCCCGGACAGGAGGATGGCGAGTCGGGGGAGAGGCGATCGGCGAGAGTTATATAGGTCGGAACGCGCGAAAACGCAGAACAGAACGACAGCCGCGGGCGCAGCGTGTGTGTGTGAAGCGCCACAGAGGCGATTGTGCTGGGACCGCGTTGGCACAGTGGCTGGATTGGAGCTGGACCGCCACAGCCGGCTACACAGACACAAAGCATTCGCTGCTGACTCCGCTGCCCTCACGCCTGCGCTGTGCGACACAATCAATGCACATCCGGTGGTACGGGCGCGGCACCACTCCCCCACAGCTGCGCACACAAAGTCTCTGTGGCTGCCTCACTGCCTGCGGCCTTGTCGCGCCAGTGCCTGCCAGCCGCCCCAGCGTGCTCTTCACGTGTCAGGGCCTTGATCTCCCCCCCTGTCGTCTTGTGGCCGATCCAGCGCGTCGATCGCCATGGGAGCGAGGGCTCGGAACCATCCCCGGCCTCAAGGCCAGTCTGCGTCTGTGCTGGCAAGCGCACCCGCGGTTGGTCCGTCCAGATCCAAGCGATCCCCGCTGTCCCTTGCCTCTGGTTCGCGCTGTGGGCCTCATGAAACCGCCGCTACCCAGATCGAGGTCCTTTCTCTATTGCCATCGTCACATGCCAAGTACCACATCGTCCATCCAGTCGGCCGTGGATCCGTTGATAGCAATCTGTCCGTTGCCGAACCACTGCAGTCAAGCTGGGCGAGTTCTGGTCTCGTGGTCTTTGACGGGAGCAGCAGATCCGCCATGAGGTGCCGTCGTCCGGCCCAGAGCACACAGCTCTGCTAATTCAGTGTGCCGTCTGGAAAGCACCGACGGGCCATGACATTGACTTGGTACTCGTACACAGCTGTTTCGAGGCCTGCGTTGCCGGGCGACAGCCGGAAATCAGTTAGTGGCCCGGTCGACATGTGCACCCCCGCAAAATTGACCCCCCCTCCTTCGGCGGGCTATGTTGTCCTCCTCCCGCCACTTGATGTGTCTCTTGTCCTTGCTCGTTGTGCGTCTCTGGCCTCTCGCTGCGGACTCATCTTGTTCAATGAACATGAACAGATTGCTTGCCCCCTAGCTTCGACATGATTCCAGCCGCCCGCTCGCCTCGCGCCGCATGCAGCGTCCTTTGGACTGTTCGAACCTACCAACAAAGATTGTGCTGCTGTCCGGCGAAAACGAGACGCCGGAAATGTGCTGGTCGTTCTCTGGTGGAGCCACGCGGATCGATTGGACTTCGGAGAAATTCCTCGTGTCGACCAAGTTGATGTACGAGACGTGCTGTCGTCCAAAAGCAAACGCAGTGTCAGTATGCTTGCGAGCCTGCTCGCCGATCCGGCCCAGATCTCGAGTTCCCTGGCCGCCCCGAGCCCAGATCCCAAAATCGCCAGCCACTTGTCCCATAGGATCGACCCACTCGCGTATCCAGGTATCAGTCAGCTCGGTCTTGCATCACCTCGCTGAACATGAGTAGATCGACAGGCCCTGACGGTGAGAATTTGACCGATCGACAGGCGCCCTTGACTTGCGGGTACTGATTCGATAAAAGCAAGGTCAGGATGGCGGGCGATAAGGCACTCACGCACCTGCTGTGCACCTCCCCCGGGACTGGACGAACAGCTCAAACAGGCAGGCACTTTGGCAAGCCGCCCACGTTCTCGTGCAAAATCCCGGGCCCTTCTCGCATGCACTGCCTTGTCGTGGCACCCTCACCTGCTTCGATGTGATCTTGGCAAGCTTCTCGCTGCTCCGGACGTCCCAGACAGACACACAGCCGTCTTGGCTGGCGACAGCAAACTTTTCCGATGACTGGTTCCACGCACATGAAAAGCTTGCGTCGCTGGATGCTGTTTCCCACGATATCCACTTCAAGGTGAGCCGAAGGACTGTCGAATACTGGTTTGCAGTAACATCAGACTGCTTGGCCATCGCTGGCGAGCCACCCACCTGTCAGGGTCGAGATCTTTTGGTACCCTCCCGTGGGAGAGATGTCATACAGAAACACCTGGTTCGAGTCTCCCACGGCCACCATCTTTTTGCCGTCCGGGCTCACCGAGACATAGTTGACGGCGACCGGCAGCGAGATGTTGGTGATCCTCTGGAGGCTCGGCAGATTGTATACTTTGATGGTCTCATCGTTGTTGCACACCAGCAGACGAGTGGACCCAAGGTGGTTGGATATGCTCATGGCGTTGTTGATCGATCCGCCGACGGAGATCTGGGCAAACCTGGTGCGCCCGAAATCCCGAGGAGCTTTAGTATTGTCTCCTCTGCGACGGCTCTGCGACGGCTCTGCGACGGCTCTGCGACGGCTCTGCGACGACTCTACAGTGTCCGTGCCAGTGCCTCTGCTCCCGTACTATCCCTTATCAAGGCATCATACCAGTTGTTGGATAGGTTGCGGACGATCAGTTGGCTTCGCTGTCCTCCAGCTGCCAGGTATCCGCATCTGCAAAACATGGACAGCGGCATGATTTAGCTTGGCCACTCCAGGCTCACACATTCCACCGCCAGTCCGCGGAGTGATCGCCCCAGGCTATATGCACAATCAGCACAGATCAGTGGTTATCTATTGGCTCTTGATCAAATACATTGAGGCTTCTCAGCAACATACCCAGCCGACAGAGACGACGGCGAGAACGACATATCTCGAAAGATCGTGGTGGTCTGGAACGGTATCAGCCAGTAGAACGATGGGCACGTCAGGATTACCTCCAAGCACATACTTGACGGCAAACTCAAGCAGCAGAATCTGCAAACGAAACGACACGCTCACCCGCTTCTCGGTCGTATTATACATGAGCACGCTCCGCTCGTTCGAGTATATAAATTCGTTTCTGTTGCTGGGGCATGCCAGGAGATCACGCAGCTGCCAGTGCTGGATGCTGATGCGAACCGGATACTTCTTAACCTGGGGCTTTATGAACTCGGTGTCCTCACTGGCGCCCGGTAGGGTCGATTCGTCAAGTTGATCCCACACAGTACGATGAGCAATAACAGATGTTAGTGGGAGCAATATTGAAGAGCCGGGGCCTAAGCTCGATATCGCGAGCCTGCCCGCAGCAAAAGACAATCTGTCCGCCGTCTCGATATCGACGGGCCACGACCACTCGGCAGCCCGGCCTGGGACGAGCGGTTTCGAGGCACCGCTCCCAGCAACGCAAGCCTCGCGCCATCCGATGAATAGATAGATAGATAGAGAGAGAGAGGGATGCATGGGTGGATATGATAGATCTAATTGATTCCGAGCAAACTTGCACCCCCTCCTTCTCCGGAGAGGAGAGCGATCGATGGTATGGGCAGCTACCTCGAGTAGAACGTCATTGTGGGGTGGGATCACTCTTCAGTACAGGAGGATAGTCGGAGGGCTGTTGCGATGCAGACGGAGGTGTGGGAAGACTCAAGTCCAAGTCGTGGCCGCCACGCATTCAGCACTCTATGCGACCGAATTGCGTGTGCGGACGGCGCTGATACGAAGCGGATCGGTCCAGCAGGATCCAGCGGTGATTGGGTTTCTGGCCGCCCATGTGATGACAATACTGCCCTCGACCGGCAGCCATCTGTCGGCCAGCGGACTGGACTCATTCGGTTCCTCGATTGCCCCTCCCCTCATCGCCATTCAGGCTTCGGAGACCAAGGCGCATCAGTTCAGCAACATGCTATTTGGCGAGCTCGAGATAAGGTGCGATTTTCTGCTGGGCTCGTTCTGCACGCACGCCGATGCTGTCCCTGGGCCGACGCCGAGCTTGGTATAAGCCACTTCTCGCGAAGCAAGTGATGATATCCGACACGTCCATGACATACTTCGCTGTGCTGATGCCCCATACCGCTCCCTCTTCTGCCGGAACGCTTACTGCGGGCCTCTTCAGCAAGTCCTATGGACACACGACCCTCGCGCTTCCAAAATACATCTCTCCGACCGTCATCTGCTATGTCTCGGGAAACTGCATCAACTTTCTCGATACGGGCGACTCTGAAGCGAGCGACCACGATCAAGACCACCTCAGCGAGGATGGCCACGAGACCCATCAGCAAACCGAACCAAGCGAGTTGAGGCCCATCACGAGCGACACCCAGATCACCGCCTTCACGACCTTTCCAAAGGATAATATCGTCGCCTATGCCGAGCGCGGCACCACCACCATCACCATCGTGAAGTGGTCGGCGACGTCCCTCAGCGGCAGCAGCGGACCGCCCGTCGTTGTGAACGGTAAGGGGATGAAAGTAATTCCGAATATGTATCGATACACCCGAGCACATCTCCGATGCTCCGATGCTCCGTTGCAGCCCGGACATCATCGTGGGCCGTATCCTCGCGGCATATATCGCTCTCTGGACCGTGCCCTAGGCTCATTCTTGCCCCTACGCTCTCTCGTCCGCCCCAAAATCTCCTCGTCGCCGTCCCACACATTATCGCGCAGCTCCGTATGATCTCTCGATCGTGTGTTTGGCCTTCTCGCTCAACGGCCAGTATCTTGCTGCTCTCGGCGACCTCCCAAACTATACGGTCTCGATCTGGGACTGGAAGAGCAACAGTATGCTCTGCTCCGCTCGCAATGAAGCACCCGCCAGCCAAATCAGCTTCAATCCGGCAAACTATCGCCAACTCGCCACCTCGGGTCTCGGCGGCGGGATCAAATTCTGGGATCTTAAGCTTGGATACAAGTCCTACAGTCTGATATCCAGGTACAGCCGCTGATGCACGTCCATTATGCTACGAGCTCGCTGCTCCTCGCCAAGTTGCTCCCCGCCAAGCTGCTCCTCGCCAAGCTGCACTCGGCACTGACTCTCCTTTCCGCGGCGTGACGCGCAGAAATGGCGAGGACTATCCCACGACCATCGACGGCCAAACCCAAGCCACGACTTCGGCCTTCGAACTGGATCCAGACGACTCGACCCATTCGCCCATCTCGCCGTCGCGTCACATCTGGAGGCCGGATCAACAAGTCTTGGCCGCCACTGAAGACGGCAACCGCATCGTCGCCTTTATTCCCACGGTCGGATCGTGCAAAGTGTTTGTGTCGGCCAAGATAAGCCGTGGGTCGCTTCAGCTTGGTGAGACCCGGGAGCCCGACCAAGACAGTGAAAATGTGAACGAGCGCTTCTTTGCGGACTGGGGCGGACCTGCGAACATCAAAGCCATGGTGATCTCGAGGGAACATATCATCGTCGGTGGACAGGTTGGTTCATGGCTCCAATGAGCGGCAGTATGAATCTGCTGATTGTAACGTGCTCTATCGCCCTCAATCTCTTTGTTTGGGTGTCCGCAACATCGTATCGCGCGGCTTATCAATCCAGTCCAACGCTCTGTATCCAATCCTCTCGCCAGGACTCGGTGCTTCGATGGGCGACCCTTGACCAGCCCCCGACGGTCGTCAGGTCGCTCAAAGTCGGCGCCTCGCCCATCATTGGGCTCGAGTTTTCTCCGAACTACCACTACTTGATGGTTACGACCGTCGATGGTCGAATCTACACTTACAGTGTGCACGACAGCATCATTAAAATGGTAAACCGCTCTCGGATTCGCAGCTGAGCTTGCTGTTGATGGCCTCGCAGGCCCTGAGGCCGCACAAGTATCCATCCATGCCTCTCCCGCTGAGACGATATGGTGATGTCTCCCTCGTGTCGCTCAAACTCCTAACCACCCTTCTTCTTCGACGCTTTGGGTCTACAGAAACTCTCAAACGATATCCTCGGAGTCACCTGTGTGGACATTGCCCGTCTCTCGGGAATGTTTGTCACCGGTCATTCCGGAGGAGGCGGAGTTGGCTTCTGGGACCTTGACCGCAAATGCCTGCTGAATCGAGTTGAAGTTACCGACAACATCATCAGCATCGCCGCCAGCCCGTTTTCTTCAATGGTGGCAGCGGGATCAAACAGCGGCATGCTGAGGCTCTATGTGACCAAATCCGGCATAGAGCAGCCCCCAAGCCTAATCTTCAGGGAGCGACTCGATGGCCAGCCGCTTATCAAGGTGCGACGGCGATCGCAATGACTTATTCTGCGCACTTTGAGGACGGACGTGTGTGGCTCTGTAATCAAAGAAATCCATTGACCCGACTTGACACATGCCGACCTGTGGCAACGTCAACGCGGACGACCAGCTTTTGTTTGATCCAACAGGAAAGTATCTCGCCGCGGTCTCTTCCAGCGGCTCAATCTTCTTTGTGGACGTTTATTCCAAGTTCAAGCTCCTGGGAAGAGTCGAGCTGCTGCTGTCCAATATCGTTGTGCGGTCGAGCTGCTGGAACTTTGAAGAGCCCGAGCAAGAATCTGGGCTGATTCCTGTAAGTCGAGATGTGCTTTAAACGAAACCAGGATGAACAGGCAGCCGCAGCACACCCCGCCGCGACTCGCGGAGCTAACGCTGCTTCGTGCTTCTTATTGCTATTCGATTGGCCGCTATCGCGACTAGTTTCTGTTCCTCTACATTCTGACGTCAAACGAGATTGATCAAATCAGCTTTGTTCATCGGTACACGCTCCCCGTGGACCAAGAGCTTGTCCCTACAGAGAAAGGCGAGCCCTTCAGTAAAAGCGAGGTTCCGGTAGGTTCTGGTGCGCGGAGGATACGCCGCAATGGAGGGCGCGGTAACTACTTGACGCACTGCAGACAGCGGCACGGTTAGAGAAAGCGCATAATCAATCTGCTGATGCTAGAGCCACAAAGCACATCTGACGTTCTTCATTCTTGCTGTCAAACGGCTCTCTGTCAGCGGGTGACATACAGAATCGATGACTATCTTATGGATATAGCCGTGGTGCCATCGCAACTGACCGGCGGTCGGGAGGGCTTTTATGTTGTTTCGGCCGACCGAAGTCTGAAACTGTACCAGGCACCCGGAGGCATCTGGACCCTCAACACCGAAGATCAGCTGCAGGAGTCTGTGGCAATCATCACACCTATGCTGGAGCTCCGGGACCATGAGACCTCTCAAAACTGGATCCGCAGCTCGTTCTCCGGAGAGTGGCTCTTTACCTGGTCCACCGATGGCACCATCGTTACAAGAATGATCATGGAGCCCGATAAATCGATTCGGATCTATGTGCATGATCCCTTTCAGGGCGGCGTCCGCGATGTGGCCGTCAGTCGCGACTGTCGCCTGATTGTCTCGGTCGGAGCCGATGGTTTGCTGCGGATTCTGGACTGGAAGATCAGCGCCACCGGCCGCCGAGCAGCTGCCGAGATGTCCTCCGGGGCGGATCGGTTGATTGAAGAACAGTCTGCACTTATCAATGAGATCTACAACAACATCATGGCCGTGGACACTGTAAGTTGCGTCCCACTCAGCCTTGGCGGTAGTGTCGGCATCCTTCAGGCCCAAAAATGCAGGTGTGTTGGTCGCGAGCACTGCCAAGAATTGATAAGGAGCACACCGAGATCTCACCGGTAAATTCCGACCCAGGTCATCTCCGAAAGCGATGGAGCAGGTGACTCTAGCACTCTGACTCAGGAACAGGAGTCCAAACTGACCGAGGAAAGTGCCCAGAGTCGCCAAGTGGATCATCGCAGCAACCCGATATATCCCCGCTTTGAGGCTGTCCGGGAGAAGATCACCAAAATGATCGCAGCCAACGGCGATGTGCCGGAGATGGAGCGGCTGCTCCCGGAAGACTTTGTAATTGATTTTGAAGAACGTGATCGACTCACCAAGGTCTCAGACGAGCAAATAGACAAAGTAAAGCAAGAAATCGAGCAGGAGAATCTGAAGAAGCAGATCATAGCCAACCGAATCAAGGTAGTCGCGCGAGAGGCTGTGGACACGCTTCATTGGTGCCTGACCACGTTTTGTCGCCATCCGAGCAGGAATCTGGAGTCTATCTCACATTCGTTCTCGCCCTGACCATCGCAGAGAGAATGCTGGGAGTCGATGGAAGTGGTCGGACAGTCCGTGATCTCATTCCGACCAGACCAGCTCACCGGTCGTCTTATCGAAGTCAGCAATTACCCCATCCGCAAGTTTGATCTGCAAGAGCATGAGCAGACAATGAAAGCCATTTTGCTGCGGAGGATCCAGCTGTTAGTCCAGAAATCCAACAAGGTATCGTGCCGTTGCTAAGCCGACATGTCAGGGATATCGACCAATGTTACATCGCATCGGTGCTTCGACGAATGGATACAACGAGAGACTCACACTGCATATATTCTCAGCAAGCTTCGCGCTCGGCTACCGCACGAGACTCACCCACCAAGGAGATTCCCTCGGTAAGTGACAGGGAGGACATGCTGCCATCTGTATGCAGATAAGCCATGTCAGTCTCGCACGCCGTGGGCAGCTGCTTGTGCTCACACGCGGCCCTCGGATGGTATACAAACCGCAGAAGGAAGTTGAGGTTGCTGAAGTGGATGAAGATCAAGAGGAGTCTGCTGCTGCTGCCACCGCTGCACTGGCAGCCAAGGCTGTACCTGCCGCCACCGAGATCGATGTCAGCACATGCGCTTGCCAGCATATCCTCTACGACCCATTCGAGCTCAACACCAACGAGAGGAAGCGCACACAAGTCTACCTGCTTCTTCAGGTGATCCACGACATCAAGGTAAGTCAGCACCCCGGGGAATCTGCAAACTGAATGGACTAGCTAAGCTCAGAGAGGCTCAGAGATTCTGACGATACCACAGAGAACCTTCAACGCCACCTTCAAGGAGTTTGTCCGAATGAAATCCGACGAAATCAGCAAGATCGAGGAGAAAAACGATCGAATTACACAAATATTGGCGGAGTTACAGGTCAGACATCCCGGTCCGATTCCAGACCATAGATGGCCGGTGCATAAAGCTGCACGCGCTCCTCTGACCCATACGGTGAATTCAGATTCAAGAAGCAATCTTCCACCCGATCCTGACGGACGATGAAGTTCCCGAGAGAATAATTCAAGTGCTCGACAGCGAAGTGACTTCTGAAAGGGTAAGCGCGCGAGCGGTCCGCTGAACGATATCCAGCCTCAGCCTCGGGCTTGGAAACCGCAGTCTGGTAGTCCTAACTCGCGAGGGAACACCGCCATCCAGTTTATCACCACAGAGGAAAGAAAGCGAATAGAGGAGAAGAAGAAAATGGACGAGGAACGACTCAGAGCCCAACAAGAGGACGATTCTCGCGAAAGAGCCATCATGTACATGATGGGCGGCAAACTGGACGATAGGTGGGTTCATGGAGCAACCTCCCAGGCTCGGAAGACGACATGGCTGCATGTCGATTCGTTCGTATGCATGTTCTCATCGGGTTAGTGGATGCTGGTGACGAACGGAATTCAGATCCGATCAAGAGGAGAAGGAGGTCTTGGTCAGACCCGAGTGGATGAACAAGCCCAAAGAAGACCTCAGTGAAGAGGAGAAGAAGCTGATCAAGGAGTTTGAGAAGAAGATGGCTGTCTTCAAGGTCAGCCGAGAGGGAGGGCTTGGTTTTCGGCCGCGTCGCCCCTTCCCTGGACTGAAATGCCCTACGAATCCCTGTGCTGACCCTGAATGCGTTTCTCTCCACAGGAAGAGCAAGAAAAGTACAAAAAAGCGCTAGAGACCGAACTGAGAAAGCTCCAGAGCGGAATCACCGAGATCTGCGACGGATTCGATAGCAACCTGCGCGATTTGTTCCTCAAGAAGCTCGATACCGACCAGCAGATATTCCAAAACGAGCTCAAGATCACCAAGCTGACACAATCCACGCTGTACAGCGAGGATGACGAGATGAAGGTATTTTCCGGATCTCGCCTGACAAGGATGCTATGTCGCCGCTTCAGAGATACGCTCGCTTTGGATTACAAAACATAGGTCGCTGACATGAAATTGCACCGCTCGGGCCATCAGGAAACCGAGCTCATGAAGCGTCTGGAGGACCTCAAGAACGAAAAAACCACATGCATGACCGAGATTCCCGAGATCAAGGTATGCGCTGCCCTCTTTCCAAAGCTGCCCCGGTCGTGAAAGCCGGCTGGGTTATCTACCGACCAGAGCCTATGGGCTGAGGATTCTCTACTGACTAACCATCACCCCGACTAACCATCATCCTCTGTGTTTCCAGCGAGATCTGGAACATTGCCGCGAAGAGTACGAGCAGGCCGTCAAGCGCGACAAAGAGATCGAAAAGGCATTCAAGAAGGAGTTTCATGCTTATGACTTTTACTTTGACGCTCTACTGAAGCTCTTCAAAAAGCGACAGGCGGTAAGACTGAGCATGCTTGCTCGAAGGAACGGGTGCCAGCGAGCCACATCGGGGCGAGGAGACGCTCTGCGTTGCCGCCTAACACGCATGCCATAACGTTTTCGACAGACTCAAGAGGAGGGCTCTGCACCAGCGAACGATTTCAGTGAAAGCCCGTACTTCCAATATGAAAAGGCCGTCATTGCCTCCGACGAGCCTGTTGTTGCGCTCAACCCCGAGATCGATATGCCCGAAGGACTGAACGCGGAGTTGTGGCAGAAGCTCCAAGAAATCCGAGATCGCAAAATCGCCTCCGAGACCGAGGTCCGCCAGTGTCTCAAGAAGTTTACGGACATGCAGCAGCTGGTGCAGGCCGTGCTAGAGGAGAGCGAGCGCATCCGCACCGAGACAGAGAAGATCACCAGCGACTATAATGCTTTTCTGGAGTACAAGTTCCACACAACCTACGACCTTGAGAGTCTGTTTGAGCTGAAACAGGGCCAGGTGAACCTTGATTGAAGTCGACATGCGCCAATTTGCCCTTATGTCACCATAGCCTGCCCCGTTTGGCGACCTCATATGCTTTGCTTGCCCGTAGCCTCGATCGAATGCTGATTCAGCTACTCTACCGTCCTCTGTTCAGGTTGAAGTTGCCCAGGCGCCCGTTGTGACGGATTACTCTGATGCAATCCTGATCCACCGGTCGGTAGTCGAACAGATCAACGAGGGAATCGTTGCCCTCGGCAAGACCAAAGTCGATGCGCTGAGGGAAATCAAGGACTACCGAAAGGGCATCCATGCACTCGAGTGGTAAGCCGCTCGCTCCAATCGATCCACCCACTGTAAACAGTGTGTTGCGTACCTGTGGAGAATGCGAGGCTCACCCTGGTCCTGCCGCCACAAGGGAGAACAAAATGCTCGACTTCCAGGCCGAGGACTTGGTCATCCGGACAAGAGACATCCAGCTCCTACGGGTTACCAAGCAGATGCAGGAGTACCTCCGGAGCGGCGATGAGTACAAGCAGTCTGCCGAGATCGCAGCCCTGGAGAAGCGAGCCGAGTACAGCCAGAAGGTATATGGGCGATCGGAGGGAGTGCCCAGCCGGGATACGATGCCGCTCTGGAGCCGAATGATGCCGCTCTGGAGCCGAATGATGCCGCTCTGGGGCTGCGTGACACTGCTCTGATGCGCTGTACGGCTCTCTTCAGACACACGGGCACAAAATCGAGGAAAAGAAGAGGGTCGTAACCAAGATCGAGAAAAAGATTCGCGAGAAGGCAGTCGAAAACAAGAAGCTCGACAAGCAGCTCGGCGATCTTGCCAGTGCAGTCGCTGAACGAAGCAAAATCCACAATGTGCAAACAGGTCGGTCGAGAGGGCCGTGCAGTGTGCGATGTGGGCTCCGGAAGGTCCTCCAGCCGAGACACCCGGATACCGGAACTGACGAGACCCTGTCTTGCAGCCAACCCAGTCCCCAACACCGAGTGCGTTGACAAAGCCTCGCTCAAGGAGATCTACACCCGACGCAAGCTTGTGGATCTGGCCAAGTCGCAGGCTCAGGACATTGCCATCCTGCGCGAGGAAGTCGAGCGCCTGCGGCTGCGGACATACCCAGCATTCCCCACGACCAAGCCCGGGCGCATTGTGTAGATTCCGGCGACCAGGGCGTCTTGACTCTGGGGACGGAGCTGCGGTGCAACATTGGGGCAGGCGGGGGGCTGTTTGAACATGTTGCACGGCGCCAGCCGATCTGGCAGGGGCAGAGCGTCCCCCCCCCCCAAAAAATCCCATGCCTGTTGCCCCAGACGACCCGCAATCAGCTGCTATGGGGGAGGGTGATCGGGCAGGAGGGGGAAGCCACGTCGATTGGCTCGGCAGCGGGGGCTTTTTTGGGAGCGATCCCAGATATTTGCAGCGGGTCTGCGGTTCTTTCTCTCCCGCCTGTCTGCCGCCCACCCGCCATGCTCAATCCCGTGCTGCCGACGCCCGGCGAGGACGTTATCATCGTAAGAGACCTGAAGGTCCGCAACATCATCGGCGTCGATGCATGGGAGCGCGAGCGCCGACAGCCGCTCACGATCGACATCCACCTGTACTCGTCCATCAGCGCCTCGGGCGAGAACGACCAACTATCCAAGTCCATCAGCTATGGCACGATCTCGGTTCTCGTCACCGAGTTCTCCGAAAAGACAGCCTATCGCTCTGTCGAGGCCCTGGCTGTCGGCATTGCCCGCGTCTGCCTATTCGAATGCGGCGGCACCAAGGTGACCGTCCGGGTCGAGAAGCCGAGAGCGCTTCTGCATGCCGAATGCGCTGGTGTCGAGATCACCCGATCCCGGGAATATTTCGAGAAGCTCGATGCTCTTGCCTCCGAGGGATCCGTCTCGCCTGCACCAGCACCGACCCCCAAGGGCGAGCTCGATGTCGCCGGCGATGACCTGATCTTCATCAAGAATCTCGTTCTCAACACCATCATCGGCATCCACCCTTGGGAGCGCGTGGAAAAGCAGCGGGTGGTCATCAGCATCCTGGTTCACCTTGATCTGCAGCCCAAATATCTGCTCGAGGACCACGTTCCCAAGATGCACAACTATCGCACCATCACTCGCACCATCAGCCGGTACGTTGAAGAGAGCAAGTTCAAGACGGTCGAGGCCCTGGTCTTGTCCATCGCCAAGATCTGCGTCGAGACATGCCATATCCCCAAGGTCACAGTCCGCGTGGAGAAGCCCAGCGCCCTCGTATTTGCCTCGGGGGCGGGCATCCAGATCACACGAGACCGATCGTCGTTCCAACCGACTGCCTCCGAGCAGATTCAGCGCGGCAGCGGCCATGTGCATACGGCCTTCCTGGCAATCGGTACCAACATCGGCGACCGCGTTGCCAACATCGAGTCGGCCTTGGCGATGCTCGAGTCTGAATCGTCCGTCACGGTCCTCGACACCTCGTTCCTTTACGAGACTGCGCCAATGTACGTCACGGACCAGCCGATGTTCTTGAACGCCGTTTGCAAAGTAAGTGCTGTTGATTGGATTCTCGACGTGCTCGGCGAACGCTTGGGTCGGAAGGGAAGCAGCGCACCGCAAAGGGACTCTGGTTACTTCGTTTGCAAGGCCGCTCTACCGGGGCCAGTGGCCGGTGGGGGTCTACCTTCAGCGGCCTCTAACGCTCACGGCCGATCGGCAATCGGTCGGTGGCTCATGTGAATCCGCTGAACACGACTCTGACCAATACCCAGGTCTCCACTTGTCTGTCGCCCGAGGCTCTCTTGGACTGGCTCAAGTCCATTGAGGTCGGTCTTGGACGCGACCTGAAGGGAATCCGAAACGGCCCCCGTCCCATCGATCTCGATATCCTGTACTACGATCATATCAAGATGGAGACCGAACGGCTGGTGATTCCGCATCCACGCATCAAGGAGCGCGAGTTTGTGCTGCGTCCGCTCTGCGAGTAGGTGTTGTCTGCGGCCATGCAGCAGTGCTAACGCTGCTCCTGGGGCCCGATCTGTGCCTATCCAGGGCCGACCGAAGAGTTTGCGCGGCAAGATCTAGCTCTTGATACCACTGGTACTGACACCTGGGACGTTCATTCTCGCACGCCTCTGTGCATAGCATCGCGCCCAATCTGGAGAACCCGACGCTCTTTCGGACGAATGCCCAGCTGCTGTCGCTCCTGGCACACGCAAACAACCCTGAATCGATCAGCAAAGTCACACCGATCGGCAACACCGTGTGGAGATGGTGCGATCGCACGTTCATCATGGGCATTCTCAATGTCACTCCCGACAGCTTCAGCGACGGCGGCAAGTTCTCGTCGATCGATTCGGCGCTCTCCCAAGCGAGGGTGATGATCGAGGGCGGTGCGGACATTATCGATATCGGTGGCCAGAGCACCCGACCGAACGCCGTCGAGGTTTCGGAGCAAGAGGAGATTGATCGGGTCGTGCCCGTAGTCGAAGCCATTCGCAAAGCCGGAATCGAGATCCCGATTAGCGTCGATACGTATCGCTCCGGTGTCGCCCTGGCGGCATTGAAGGCCGGCGCCGATCTGATCAACGATGTAACCGGAGGCGACTATGATCCCAACATGGTTGCAACGGTCGCAAAGCACCACGCTCCATATTGCTTGATGCACATGCGAGGCAACCCACAGACCATGATGAACCTGACAGAATATGAAAACAATGACGTTGTTGAGGACATCAAGAAGACGTTGGGCGAGAAGGTCTCGGCAGCCATCAAGGCAGGTATGCGCCGATGGAACGTCATTGTCGACCCTGGAATTGGATTTGCCAAGACAGCCGAACAAAACTTTGACATTCTGAAGAAGCTCCCTGACCTCGTGAAACGCGGCAGCCCGCTGCACGGCTTTCCGTCGCTTGTGGGGCCGAGCCGGAAGGGCTTTATCGGCGCGGCTCTGAACGAAAAGGATCCGGCCAAGCGAGTGTGGGGCACGGCGGCTGCCTGCAGCGCCAGTGTCGCTGGAGGAGCCAATGTCCTCCGGGTCCATGACGTCAAGGAGATGAAACATGTCGTTGTGATTTCGGACCGCTGCTTCACCAGGTCGATCTGACGATCCAGCTGTCCGGTATGAAGCATGTCGTCGGACGGCACCGATGTTGGTTTCCAAGATATTGCTTTCTTCATGAATATACAACGGTGGCTTGTAATCTGTCCTGGGCGGTGGCGTATCTCGGCCTGTGGAGACGATCGACTGATGCCATGATGCAAGGACCAGGCTGGACTGGCTGTGGCGCAGGGTATCCACGTGACCGGGTGTGCACTTGGACAGCCAGCTCCGATTTCTGCCGATTTCTGCCGATTCGCCGTTGTCGATCTGTCCTGCTGGGAACTCAGGCCATCAATATCGTCGATGAGCAGCAAGGCCTCTGGTGCAAAGAGGCCATCACGGCCTCCGTCGTCTGCTTCGGCATCGTCGTCATCGTCATCGCAAGATAGCCAGAACACCGTCGCCCGGGCTGACCAAGGCGGGCTGGTCTTGCGCAAGCTGCAAGCGGCGCTGTTGAAGCACACCTCGCCCGAGCAATCGCTGCTGAATTGCATCCGCGAGGCGTGTGCGCCCACCCTTTCCTCGCCCGATTTTGAAGCCAAGATTCGCAAGATCAAGCAGCTCTTTTTCGTCCGGGACTTTGGCGGCATCTTCAACGACCCCGAGCTGGTGCCGGCATATTCAGCCGAGTACATCCCTGGACGGGCACTCTGCTACCGCGAGTTGTTCACGGCCCACGACGAGCTGCGCCAGGTCCTGCTGAAGGACCAGGGCCATGTATTTGCCCTTGGTGCTGGCGCCGGGAGTGAGCTCGTCGGGCTGGTGTCGGCCATGCTCGGGATCGACAAGTTTGCGACATACATGCAAAAGAGGACGGCAGCCTCGGCCGCTGCGGACGAGATCCCTGGATCTGAAGCTGAGAAACGCAAGCTGCCTCGGCTGACCCTGCACTTGCAGGACATTGCTGACTACAGCTGTGTCCTCCAGCCCCTCGAGGCAGCCATGAGGACGCACTACCGCCTCCCAGAGACCCGCCTGACGATCGAGTCGTCCGTCTTTGACATCCTGGACGAATCGCCCGAAGCCAAAGCGCTGCTGCTGGCCCACCTCTCAAAGGCGACGCTGGTAACGGCCATGTTTATCTTGAACGAGCTGCTGGCCAACAACAAGAAAGACTGCGTGCGACTGGTCACGCAGCTGGTGCGGGAAACCGCTGTGGGCTCGCTCTTGCTGGTGGTGGACTCGGCGGGATCGTTCTCGGAGGTCAAGGTCGGACAGGGCAACTACATGATCTACCACCTGCTCGACAGCATACAGGGCCTGGAAGTGGTCCTCAAAGCCGACTCGCAGTGGTACCGGTTCCCCGAGGACCTCAACTACCCGCTCAGGCTCAACAACATGCGGTACTTTCTGCGGCTGTATCGCCGGGTCTGATCCAGCCAGCACCCAATACACCCACGTGATCCAGCAAGGCAACCGCTTCATTTCATTTTGGTTTTTTCTTTTTGGGCTGGGGCAGCCGCGGCTCTGCTCCAACACCCATCGGCTGCCGAGCTCGAGCAACGCTCCAGCCCAGCAGACTCGTTGCCTGAGGAAGAAGAGAGAAAATAACAGAGAGATGCGATTCTACACGGGAGACGAAGCCGGGCTCGTCAAAGGTACGATCCAGATGCGTTGTCGGGGCCGCAGCGATCGAGCCGGATACTCAGCCGATCGGCTGCGGCCAACTTGGCTGCGGCCATATCCCATCTTCTGACGCCGGCCGTCTGCAGCCGTCCACTTCGTAGCACCAAAGGCCGAGGCAAAGCCTGTCTCTACCAAGGGCAAGCCCAAGCACGACAAACTCGACAAGGACAATGATCAGCCCGAGCAGCGGCCCGTGGTCCAAGCTTGGGGATCTGTGGACAAGATCATGGGTATTCAGATGATGGCTTGGGCAAGCGATAAGCAGGTGACTGCTCCGAGTCGCAAGCATTGACCGAGATGCTCAGCAGCATCAGCTCCGTGATCATGAGCAGCCCCAGCCGGTGTGCTAACTGGCCTTCGTATTCTGCTCAACAAGATCGTCGTTGCCCGCAACTCTGGGCAGATTCAGTATATCTCGACCCAAACCGGATCCGTGGTTCGGGAATATATGCACATTCATCACCCGGCGGATGCAACCAACGTGGGCATCAGCCCGTCTCTGTCCAAGTTGGAGCACTTTGTCGGACTGCACGAAACGGAGGGGCAAGTAGCATCGTCATGACATCGCCGACCGAATCTGTTCTTCGTCGCAACCCTGGCTCGACAGCGCAGGTCGGCTCAACCTACTTACCGTTGAATCTCGGTCTGGTGATGTGACGGATTATGTGCCATCGGCTTGCTTGGCATCGACCTTACATGGAATCGGCCCACATCGCGAATCGACAAGCAGAACCCTGATCTCATGCACAAGCCATGGACGAGTGATATACGACCGTATCTCAGAGAGCGAGGTTTGTGGATATATTTTGCTAGTTGCCCCCCCCCCACCGTTGGGATTGAGCAGCGCATACAAACCGGCCCGACGCCGGAGCAAACGCAACGGATGCAGATCCTTGGTCTGGATTCTCCCATCTGACTCGGTGTCAAACTTATCGACCCTCTCCCTTTTTGCTGACTCGGCTACGCTTCGGCAGACGGCGCTTCCAAGCCTGGCGGTATCGCTTGGCCAGGATCAGCTGTGCCGGATGCGAGTCAGCGCATCTCAACCCAACATCTTTGTCACAGGAGGAAAGGAGCGAGAAATCGCTATTTGGGACATCAACAGGGCAAAGGAGTCGGCCCTCCAGCCAATCTGGAAATCGAAAAATGCAAGTGCGCCGATGCAGCAGCGCTGGCGATGTTACCGAGACCCTGGCCGTGACCATTTCGAGGGCTTGTTGACGAAGGCTGAGTAGGGCTCGCTCGACGCAACCATTTGACGGAGTAGCCAAATAACACGCACCTTCTGCTTGTGCCCTCAGGTCAAGAACGACTTTCTCGATCTGCGAGTGCCGGTTTGGAACACGGACATTCAATGGTGTACTCCTTCCGATACCACAAAGTTTGTCGTCGGCACCGGTCACCATCAGATTCGCCTCTATGACACCAAGGCAGCCCGTCGTCCGGTGATCAGCAAAGAAGTCGGCGAGCATCCCGTGCGGGCTCTGGCACTGGCGGAGAACGGACAGTAAGTTACTCGATCGGCAGGACCGAGTTTGTACGAGCGGTGTGGGGCTATCATACAGCTCCCTTGACGACATCCCACTGGAGCTTGATCGAATCTCTCTGGGATCTCCGGACTGTGATCGGTACTCGCCAAACCGAGCTTTGCCCTTGCGCAGACTAACCAAACGTGCTGGTGGCGAATCACAATCGATAGGGAAGTTATCCTGTCGGATACAACCGATTTGATGATGAGCTTTGATCTGCGGATGCAAAAGGTCGTTGCCAGATACAAGGGTCTGGACGGATGCGTCACAAGCAACTACGCCTGTGGAAACGAAAAGTCGGTCGTCTCGGTCTCGATGGATCGCCACCTGAGAGTCCACGCACGGACTAGCAAGGCCAATCTGCTCAAGAAAGTCTATCTGACGCAGCGACTGAGCGCCGTGCTTGTAGATGAGGAGTGGGTGGACGAATCCTCCACAACAAAATCAACTCGCGATACCCAGATCGGCGAAGGCCTATCCCATCGAGCGAAAGCTGCGGCCGTCGGAGATGACGGCGACGACGAGGATGAGGATATTTGGGAGCGAATGAAACAGGTGGATGAGGAAAACGAATATGACGCAGAGGCGCCTCGGCCCAAGAAGAGGAAGCTGCTGGAGAAGAAGGTGAAGCGAAAGACGGCCTTCATCGTGGCGGATAAGTGAAGGAGCTTATGAATACATGGGGCCCTTGAGACGAATTGACTCGATATCGATCAGGCGGATTTGCCTGCCACACTCTTTCTCCGAGATCATGCGGTTGGTCAATTTCGGGCAGACTCCTGATACAACAGAGTCTGCACTAGGTCGACATGTATTAGAGAATCATGGGACGACGTTGCATATGGACTTGGTGGCCAGATTAGGCATTTCCGGCAAGCTTTTGCAGCTGGCTGAGGGTCACTTGCAGGAGCTTCTGGACGTCAGCGAGGAGGCCCGAGAGGCTGAGGTTTGTGACAACATCGGCCATGACGCGAAGAGCCGCCTGAGGAAGAGCCATAACGGAGTTTCAAGCAGGGTTCAGAGCAAGCGCAGATGCACGGGCCACAACGGGTTGGTCATGCACCGTTGAAGGTAGAGACGCTAAGATTGGCGATTGCCAGAATGCCTGTGACCATACGAACCTGATATCCCAAGTTGAAGTCCGGATTGACGGCATTGGCGAAGAGAACATAGCAAGCAAACATGCCCTGCAGATAGCACAGGCTGCGAAGCGGACCGATTCCGAGGATATAGGCCCAGTTGTAAAGGACTCGAACGAGGACAAAGTAAACGGCATAGCTGTTGGAGAAACCGTTGCCAGGGAAACAATCAGTGGGCTTTGGGTCGGCCAGAGCGAGTCAAGAGCGACCGGATGATCCACGAGCCCTGCGACCAGACCCTCGGCGGTCAAGATACGCTGGTGAAAGCATGGGGAGGCAATGCGAGAACGGAATGCGTACGTCTGCTGGATCTCTGGCGACACGTTGGTGATGTATGCAAAGGCAACGGCGGCGGCAAACACGGGGAACGCCTCGAGGCTGTTTTCTAGAGACGCAAACGAGCGATGATGAGATCGGTTGGTCTCGGAATGAGAGGGCGCACAAGCGCTCGATCCATTGCAGCTTCGGAGTGGAGGCGAGACGAAAGAGTCGACAGAATCGACAGAGCCCAGCGCAAGGAGAGTGACAAGTCACTGAGATCATACATTGCTCTCCGGACTTACCATGGGCAGAGAGGAAACGAAGAGCAAAGCCGCGGACATTCTGGCGGCCGATGCGCGGGCTCTGTGGAAAAGCACAACCATGGGGATGAAGCGACATCTTGCGGTGAGCGAATCTAAAGGGGGATTGGGTGGGCCTGCCGAACATGCAGTCCAAAAACACCGAGGACAGCTTACACTGGCATTGTAGCCCTTTTGCGAAACTGTCTGGGCAACGACGGCAGCGACGCCCATAACAACATATGTGAGGAATCCAAAGAACGCAACGCAAGCAATCGGGAGTTTGCTTGGCTCTGTATCATACAAGAATCGAGGCGGGCTCGTCAGTCTGCGTACACGTTTGAAACCAACGACGATAACCAGGGCCACGACGGGCCAAGCACTGGCACCGGTAATAGAAGCTACTGAAGGACAGAGGGATATCGGGGCGATCATACCGATGAATGAAAAACGTTTCAGGATCTGAGGCATCACGTAGGTCTCGATCGGGAGTTGGGAGTGGAGACCCAGGAAGAGGGTAGCTCCCATCACGTACATGAGGCTCACTGTCGGAGGCAGCGGTCAACAGGTAAGTCAGAGGAGGGTAGCATGATGGCACCGATTCGCTTGAGAAAATGCTCTTGGCGGACGAGGCGGAACTGGTAGGCTATCGCCGGGCCAGCGGGACGGCTGACGGATGGGAACAAGCGAGGGCAGCCAAGAGATCACAGGGCCGGACGCACCCCCAAACGATATCTGGATCAATGTCGAGATTGCCTTCATATTGGGTTGAGGTGCCGACAGAGGACGGAGTATACAGGGTGATTGACAGCGCGAGACAGCAGCCGCGGTGACGGAGCAAAGAAAGAAGAACCGGGATCTGGCGGCCGCGGTGGGCAGAAAGAGCCGCGAAGACAGGCCGAGTTCGCGCCAAGCGCGCAGGGCCAGCCCGCCGCACACAGCAAATGGAGGCGACGGGGACGAGGTGCGACGGTGGGAGTCAGGACGAGGCGAGTGCGAGTGTCGGTGGTGGACTGAAACCAAGGATGAGCGGTGGATGCATGAAAGTGGTGGTGGTGGTGATGAAAGTGGTGATGAAGGTGATGAAGGTGATGATCAAGGTGGTGACAAATGAGGGACGAAGCTGATATTGTGCCGATGCAGAATGGTGATGCAGAATGGTGATGCAGAGTGGTGAAATAGCACTGACACACAGGCTCGTTCGGACCCAAGCACGCCGTGGTGGAATCACATCATACCCGGCCATGAGCAACCAAGGGTGTTCTGGTGTGGTGGTGTGGTGTCATGGTGGCAGCCGGGAGACAGATCAGACAAGCAACGGATGGGTAGCGCAGTCGGCAGCGCGTGGGTCTCATAATCCCAAGGCCGCGAGTTCGATTCTCGCCTCGTCCAAGTGCTCAGAGCAACTGCAAGTGCAATGGCTCTGTTTGCGATCCGCATTGGTCCAGTGGCTAGGATTTCTCGCTCTCACCGAGACGGCCGGGGTTCGATTCCCCGATGCGGAATTGTCTCCCAAATAGTATAGTGGCTAGTACTCCCGCCTGTCACGCGGGCGACCAGGGTTCGATTCCCTGTTTGGGAGTTGTTTTTTCCTTCTCTCTCTCTCTCGTCCACCTTCCTCCTGCCTCATCCCCCCGTCGTCTGCAGGTCCATCGCCGTCGCCGTCGCCATCTGCCTCTGCTCGTTGCTGCTCGCTCATCGTCGGCTCTGTCCCTCCCTCCACCAGCTTTCTCGTGTTGAAAGACTGTGGGGAACACTCGGATGGGTGTTCAGATTTCTCGCGACCATCAAGGCCGGTGGAATCCCCCCCCCCAACACCATGAGTCTTCAGTCGTAAGAGTTCAGTCGTGAGACTGGGAAAGAAATAGGACTATCGGCTTTCCCTTCTTCGCTTCCCTTCTGTTTTCTCTTCCTTTCTTCCACTCTTTTGCTTTTCCAACTATCCCTGAGATATCGAACTGCTAGTGCCGACCAGGTGCCGATGGCTCTAATTTCGAGATAAAGAAACGCACTATCCACGAGATGTGCAAGCAAGTCATCGACCAGGCGCCAAGGGAGACCGAGGTGGTGATTGCCTTTGGGAATGCATCCTGGAAGCAAGGGAAGGGATATGCATCCAGTCCCAGGAGACTCAGGTTTGTCAAGTACTTTGAGCAATTCCACCACCACCAGAGACGCCCACCAGACCGATCCGTCTCCAAGATCCGTGTGTGCTCGGTGAACGAGTTCAACACATCCCAGGTATGCTCACATTGTCGGGAAGCCAAGCGACTCGAGTCACCCGAGCATCTTGATATCGAGAAACCATGAAGATGTGCAGAGGGTCGAATGCATCCACCACACTCCCACATCGAGACATCAATGCAGCCAGGAACATGATCTCGGTATGCCAGTCGATCATCGCCACAGGAGATCGACCGGGTATATTCAAGACTGTGCTTCCCAAACCAACGAAATCAAGGAGATTGCCGACGAAGACAGGAGTGCAATGCCATGGCCTACCCGCTGGGCCTACAGTCATTCAGCAGGGTCCAGAGATCTGAAGCCAGGAAGGAACTGTCCCGTTTTTTTCTGGACCGACTGTACAGCGCCAGAGCAAACAGTCACTGTTGTGACAGATATAGTGACGGGTCTAGGACAGCTGGAGGTGGTAGAAGAACCCTAGACATCATTGCAGCACCTCAAACGACAACATCGCCATTGTGCCGAATGAACGTGATCCGATTCCGACCAGAACCGCCGACTCTTGCACACGACCCATCGGGACTGGATGCTTTGGAGCCTGGTGCGCCAGGACTCGATGTATCGACCTTTGATGAGCCAGTATCCGTCCTTTGGACAGCCGTAATAAAATCTGAGATCCGGCGGACCGACATCCGTGCCAGTCGCTCGAACGGAAACATCTGGAACACATGAGGCATGTCTTGGTACACTTCGATGCGGACGTCCTCGGTGTCGCTCTCGGACCCTGAGTCTGACATGTTCTCTGGATCGATCACCACTTGGTGCGGTGCATCCAGACGGTCATCCGGCAAGCAGCGGCCCTTGAACTTTGACCAGAACATGATGCCTTCGTCGCGAAGCCGCTCGGCACTGCCAACGGTGATCAGGGTTGGCGGGAGAGGCTTGGTCGGAATCTTTGTTGCAAACAGAGGCGAGACATATGGATGGTCCAGGAGGTCGTTGGTGGTATAAAAGTGCCTCTTCTCTGGGTTTTGATTCAGCTTCGGCAAGATATCCAACAGGACATGATCATCGAAGCTCGGCATTGAATGGGTCAAATCGAGCTGTGGGGATGGAGGGCCATCGATCAACATCGGTTCAGATGGAAAGCTCGGCCGGCCACTGTCGCCATGCTCAGAGTCTGAATACGCCGCCATCGCTCAGGTCCGAAGCATCGAGTCGCCATTGCTGGAAACTTGCCCATGGCGACATCACCGCGAGTCCGCCGGGAAGCGGCCATCGTCCGTCGTCTCGGAGCCACAGGGCCGCTGCGATGGCCAGCCCACCGCCCGCCGAGTCGCCAGCAAAGACAATATTCTTCGGATCGTATCGGGGGTGGGTTGCTCCAGGCGGTGGGTCGATCAGAAATCGATATGCCGAGATGGCGTCACGGAGGGCACATGGGAACGGTCGTTCTGGGGCCAGGCTGTAGTCGATGGCTGTGTGCAGGAACGAGGGTCAGAGCGCAGGTTTCATAGCATACGAGGGAAAGGCTGCTCGACAACGGCTCCAGACCGGGACGGCCATGAGACATCGGAAACCCGATAGAGCCGCTTGAAAATATAGAGCTCAACCCAGATAATCATCGATCTCATCCGTTACACTCGGGCAGGGAGAACGAGCTTGACTCACAGAGCACTCTGGATCCCGTGAACCGTGCAAACAGCCCCGTCAGGATTTGGTGCGAACGAGGCGATAGAAGAAAGTAAGCCCCGCCGTGCATGTATAGAATGATCTTGCTCGGGTCCGAGTTTGTTGCGTCGATCCAGTGGCCCGGAATGTCCTGGGCCGGATAGGCCTTGGCAAAGCGCGAGAGATTGCATTCTGGTGTTGGAGAGGACTCAAAGATTGTCGAGTCGCAAGGGATCGGCGATACTGTCTTGGAGGTACCGGGCGGCAGGGGCGAATACACAAGGCGGGTAACCACACGGGCGACTGCCGCCGAGTTCTGAAAGGGATAGCTGGAGATGCGCAAGCTGTCGACGAGAATATTCTATGGAGGCAGGTCAGTCGATGGCTTGGCAAGGCATGAGCGGCCGACGCAGGTGTTTGAGCGATCGAGGCGAGCTATCGAGGCGAGCGATCACTACAAACATGCCCAGCGAAATGCCCAGTTGCGAGACAGCTGCCAACACCCACCAACAGGGGATGGCGCTTTGATTTCTGCGGTTGCTTGCCGAGCTCCTGGCGGATGCGAGGCTCGAGGAAGAGCGAGGCATGCCAATGCGAGCGGCCGTCTGAGCTCAGGCAGCGTGCGGGGAGCCAGAGAGGCGATCGGGCCAGCAGCCTTCGCGGGGCAGTGCGAATCATGCTGGACGGGAGCCCCAGACCGAGGTGTGCTTGGCGAGGGCAGAGGAAAAAAGGCAAGATGAAACAATGGAGGAACAGACGCTCTGCAGCCGAGCCCCCTGAAGATGACCAGGCCAAGCACCGCGCGAGGAACATGCGCCAATGACTCTGGATTGGCTGGATTGAATGCCGGATTGAATGCTGAATTGAGTGCTGGATTCGACACTGCTTGATCCCTGCTGCTCGGCAGCAGCCTAGAGACGGCTCTGAATCAAGGCCACTTGCCCAGCTCCTTGATGCAGCTGATGACCAGCCCGAGGCCTTGCTCTGCGGACTTGCGATACCAGAACATAGCAGTGTCGATATCTCGGATGACACCCAAGCCAAATCGGCGGCAGTCGCCGAGATCTTTCTCCCCGAAAGGATTGCCTTGCATGGCCGATTGCCTGAACCAATGAAATGCCTTCTCAACGTCTTGGCCGACTCCGTCCCCCTTGGAGTAGCAGAAATCAACCATGCACTGGCCGTGCGAGTTACCTTGGTCGGCAGACTCGCTGAACCACCAGAATGCCTTCGCATAATCCCTGAATACATCCCGCCCAGAGTAGTAGCATCTTCCGAGCCAGAGCTGGCTGACACTGTGACCGTCGTTGGCGAATTGTTCAAGCATTTCCACCGCCTTCTTTTCGTTCCATCTGGTTCCGAATTCATGGTGCATGCACACGGCCGTGAGGTGCTTGCACAACCAGTCTCGGCTCGATCCCAGTTTGCACAGTTCAACGAGTTTGCAGGATGTGGGTGAGCCGGAAAAAGTCCAGCCCCTCAAATCCAGACACTGGGCCCGTCTGCAAACTTGGAGCAGGGCCTTGATGGTGGCGTGGTCGAACGCGAGCTGAAAGCTGTCGTTGCAGCAGACAATGGTGAAGATATCCGGACTGTGATCGTCGATGGCAAGGCGAGCCAGGTCGGGGGAAGGGAGGGGATGGGTGTCGGGGGCTGCGGCCATGGTTCTCGATGAGGGATGGAGATGGAGATGGAGATGGAGATGGAGATGGAGATGGAGATGGAGATGGAGATGGAGATGGAGATGGAGATGGAGATGGAGATGGAGATGGAGATGGAGATGGAGATGGAGATGGAGATGGAGATGGAGATGGAGATGGAGATGGAGATGGAGATGGAGATGGAGATGGAGATGGAGATGGAGATGGAGATGGAGATGGAGATGGAGATGGAGATGGAGATGGAGATGGAGATGGAGATGGAGATGGAGATGGAGATGGAGATGGAGATGGAGATGGAGATGGAGATGGAGATGGAGATGGAGATGGAGGCGTAGCAAAGGCACACACAGAACAACATTTATCGCGCGACGCAATGATCATCACTTGAACGCAGCATTGGCTTCGCCCGCTGCCCATTTGCTCGCGGATCCAGCGGAAATGGGACCATGAATGTTCTGGCGCAGTCAACTACATTATCCACTCATTGTTGGGCGACTGGGGAAGACCTCTCCGCATTTTCGGCGGTGCCCGTTTCATCGATTTGATCCACTCGATAAATCAAGGGACCCTTGGTTCACTGCTCGAAGCCAGTATCTCTCTTTGAATACAATGAGGAGTATATTCACCGGCTTGCCGGGATTCCTCTTGGATCTTCACAAAGGTTCTGGCAGCAACAGGAGCGGCCAGACGGGTAATTCACCCAATCGAATCTGAGGCGGTTGTGGCCCAGTTGTGTGCTTTGGACGCTCGGCTGTTTCGCATGTCATATCAATTCAGCAGCATCATTGAGGGAAATCGGCATTTTGCGGTCGGTTCGCCCATCTATCCACATCATGTGCTGTTGGCCTTGGAGTGGATAGGCTACAAAGCCCAAAATGACATAAATTAGCTTGGCCCGCGTGGAATTACAGAGACTATAGTAGTCTTACTCACCTCTATGACGACGGGATGTTCCTTGATCATGAAAAGTGACCCGTGGGTATGGATCACTCGGCTTCCCCAGTCGAAAAGCGAATCAGTCACTTTCATCATGTTTCGGCCGTGTCGTATCCAATTCTTGGGCTCCGAGCAATCGACCTTGGACCAATTTGGAAGGGCCGGATCGACTCCAGGGGCGTTGGCGGCACTGATGAAAGTGCTTGTGGTCCTGACAAACTTTTCGTCGACGAGTGACCAAGTGATTGTGTTCTTGCCCAAATCCGACGTCTCGATCATTGCTCCATCATCAGAAACGGAAACAGATGACACGGACATAGAATGTCCGTCCAGGATCTGCTTAATCTGTCCACTCGGAATGTCAAGAATGCTGACAACTCGATCGGTATTCTTGCAGGATCCATGCCCGACAACAATCGTTTTTCCATCGGGCAAGAATTTCATGGTGCGAGCGAGACTTGGGAGCTTAGAAAAGGCGCACACAAGTTCACCAGTTTCCGTACTCCTCACTCGAATGAGACCATCCGAAAGAGTACATGCGACAAGACTGTCGTCGGGAGATAGGGCAATGCGAAAAGATCTTTCTTCGATTGTCTTCTTCAGTTCGCCAGATGCCGAGTCGTATACCTTGATTTTTTGCGACTTTGAAATCGAGAAAATGAAGCGGCCGCTGTGAGAAATCACAATGCTTTTTTGAAGACCCAGAATGTCTTTGATAGTATACTTAAGCTGGAGAGTACTTGAGTCCCGAACTTTAATGGTCTTGTCAGTCGAGCCAGAGACGATCCACTTGCCGTCGGGTGAGATCGCCACCGAGGTTACGGGCTTGATGTGCCCTTCAAGGCTACGACTGACTTGACCCGTGGTAACACTACGCACCTTGACAGTTTCATCGTCTGAGGCAGAGGCAATCCACTTGCCATCGGGCGAGATTGCCACAGAGTTCACTTGGCTCGAGTGACCAGCAAGTGTCTTCATACATGGATCCCAGGTGGGTGTTGGACCACAGGTGACCAGAAACGGGATCTTGTCCTCGAGCTAGTCGGCATATGTCTTGTAGATCGCCGTCTCCTTCGGTGTGAATGCATACCCCGAGTTGTACACCTGTGGCGCACTCGCAATGATCGGGTCGGCAAACTCGCGGATGAATCGATACGTGTCCTTGACCAGTTCCTTCGTGGTGTCGTCGACGATGGTGCTGGGTGCCTTGGCGATCACTCCTCGCAGCACAGCCAGTTGCTCGATGATCGGCTTGACCACATGTGTGAGCGACCCACACTCGAGCCAGAAGAACACATGTGTCTTGACGAACCGAGTGAGCACCGCTGCCACATCGACCATCTCGGGCGACTGCCACACCGGACTCGACTCGGCCACTCCTTCCACACACCACACAAAGTGTGTGATCCAGTGGGCGACGCTGTATCGCTGCGACGGTGTGATGATTTTGTTAACTCTGTCCTCGAGGTCGGCGATCTTGTCGTGAAAGTCGTAGATCTCGCAGATGTTGATCACTGGCTCGTGCGAGAGGATCACGCCGAGACATCCATTGGCAAACACCGTGTGGAACGAGTCCGACACATGCCACGGATGGCCAGTCGATGCATCGCCGAGCAGATAGTCCGCCACCGACTTGTGGTTGAACTTGACCTCGGTGTTGGTGGACTGGCTGTCTCGGGGACCCAGTCCATTGGCGCCAGGATCGAGGACCAGGCTGAGGCTCTTGAGACACTCGCGAACGACGCCGATCTCGAGTCCAAACACATCGGCGATGACCTGTGGGGTCAGGATCGACTGGGCCGTGGCGATCGCCGACCCCACCGTGACCAGCTCGGCCGGGTGGCTCGACTGCGAGTGGATCTTGGCGAATGTCTTGTGGTACAACTGGCCGACATCGGCGGCGCTGTCGTTGATGTCCTTGATCGTGGCGAGTGTCACTGGGCCGTCCTTGGATGCTGCGTCGACGGTGTTGAGGATCAGGTTGATCCACACGAATGTCTTGGACTGGTCCAGCAGGATGGCGACTGCTTCGGTGCGGTCCGAGTCACTGAGAGTGTCATACACTCAAAGTCGGTGGCGGATGAACACTCGGAGGTCACGGATGTTCTCCTCGCTCGAGGGTTCGATCGTCTTGGTTGGTACCCCTCCAGACCAAGGTTCGCTGTCTTGGGAAAGTATATTATGGCCCTCCGACCAAGTTGGTTCCTCATTGGCAAGCATCTTCCCCTGGGGCTTTCAGAAGCAGGAACAAGGTATCAGCCGCCACCGCTTCAGCTGGGTCTCACACCATTTTCATTCACAGAGCCATCGAACTGTCGATCTACATATGTTCACCCTCATCCCAAAAAAGAGGCACGACGTTTACCAGTCTGAGTGAAGTCTTGGATTCGTTCGCGTCCGGAAAGCAGCCAAAGCTTGGAGAATCGATCGGGGGGGGGAGAGAGGAGAAAAGGGCCTGGATCGCCTCTTTTGAGCCTCGGCCGGACAACCCGGCCAAGGGGAGGAGCTCCGCAGAACCGAAGGGATCGCGTTCCTCCGCTTCAGCCACCAGGCGGACGATGTTGGCAGTCTCGGTCGAGCACCGACCCAGGCCGACGCCGACCAAGAATTGATCTCCGCGACATCCCAAGGAGCCCAAACTTGGCGACGGGAGCGTCGCCTTGCTGCTGGGGGGGGGGCAAGGCCGCAGCCTGGACAAGGAGATTCCCGTCAACCGAGCGCATGCTGTTCGCATGATGGACACGGCCACCCCAGCGCCGTCACCCAGAGCTGCGCAGCACTCGGAAAGTCCTGCAGTGCTGTACGGCAAGCCAACCGTTCCTTGCAACGGCGTGGCGCAGGCGCATGTATGAACTCGTGGGGCGCGGTCATGCCAGACCCGGCCCAGCAGCAGGTGGCGAGACACCCGAGACTCGTATAACTGCCCTCGTTGCTGCCTGCCTGGGTTCGTCGCCATCTCCGTCCTCTGTCTCGCTGTCCGCCATGCTGACCTCCAAGCTGCTCGTTGGTATGTCCAAGGATGCACCGTGATCCCGGCCATGATACAGCAGTCCTGCTTGGGCCGCCTTTGGCCGCTGCCCGTCCTCAGCCAGCGAGGCCCACCTTCCCCCAGCCAAGCCTTGCCCTTTGACCAACCTCCGCCTTCGTCTCCATCGACCAGTCTCGCTGATCGCTCCCTTGGCCCTTGGCTTCTCGCTCGGCCCCAACAAGGGTATGTGCTGCATTGCTGATCTCGCAGTCAACTTGCTCTGGGCAAACGGATCTGTTAAAGCCCAGTCTCTCTGGCCGCATCGTATCGGCTGCATCCTGTCCTCACCTGGGTTTGCTTTTGGCATCGCCAGCCTCTCCCGTCGCCGCCGCGGGGTCTCTTACGTTTGTCGATGGCTCCAACTCAACTACACCCACGACCAACTCCAACGGTACCCACCACTATGTCCTCCGCCCGCTGAGCGACCAGGAGCTGCAGCACCTCGAGGAGACCGACAAGCAAGCCTACGAAGAGTATCTCAAGCTCGAGAAGGACCCCAAATTCCAAGAAAAGATCCGCAAGGCCCAGGACTACCTCGACAAGATCCAGCAGTCCGGCATCGATCCCCTGACCCTGTTCCAGGACGACTCCATCCCCAACGACCATATCCTGCGTGTCATCTTTGTAAGTTGGTTATCCCACAGCACCTCGAGTCCCCTTGATCGCTGTGAGCCATGCCCTGCAACCCCTGCACGATCAGCGTCCGCGCTACTCAGCCGGCACAATGGAGATGTTCTTTCTGGCCGTGATATGTCTGTGTCTCCCACCATCGTTCCAACTCTCCCCTTCTCACTCCGCTGTCGCGCCTGCTCCCTCTGTTCCCAGCAAGAAGAAAACATCGATGACTCTCACCATGCCGCCTTGGCCGAGGCTGCTCTACGAAGCACCCCAAGCAACGGCCGAGCCGCCACCGAGCCTCAGCGCTTTGATGCTCGTGACTATGGCTGGGTGACCTCGATCAAGGACCAGGGCCAGTGCGGCTCGTGCGTTGCCTTTGCCACCGCCTCGACCCTGGAAACCACCTGGAGGGTCCTCACCAAGACCGATGTGAGTCTCGATGGACCCTGGCCCAGCAAATGCGTCGCATCGTACGAATCCCGTGCCCACATGCTCACATGATTGTGCACCCCTCCACTGCCCACTCGGTCCACAGGGCACCGTTTCCGAGGCCGATCTCTTCTTCTGCCTCGGCCCCCACTATCCTCTTCATGGGCATGCCCCCCGATGCAGCACCGGATGGGATCAAGTTCTTGCCGCCGAGGCCGTTGTGCAGTATGGCGTCGTGCCCCGGGCCTGCTATCCCTATCCCGCCAATTTGGATTCGGATCTGCCGTGTCAGTCGACGCATGTCTCGCAGGCCTGCACTACCCGCACCCGTTTCAACGCGGTGACTCTGAGCTCGTTCTCGGCCATCCGCCAGCACATCATGACATACGGTGCTGTTGCCACCGGATTCATCGTCAACGAGGACTTCCAAAATCCCAGTTCTACCGCCCATAACCGCGTCTACGTCCCATCCGCCGGTACCAAGAAGGTTGGCGGCCACGCCATCAGCTGCATCGGCTGGGACGACAGCGTCCGGGCTTGGCTCTGCAAGAACTCTTGGGGCACCAACTGGGGTGAGTCGCCGTACTTGCATATAAAACCCTCGGCTCACAGTCTCACCAAGGATGCGTTGTCAGAACTGCATGACCGGTTTCCACGATGAGACTGGCCTGCCCACGCTTCCATTTGCGAGTCTGTCACTCACAGTTGTGTCTTGATCACCCTCTCTCTCCAACAGGAACCGAGGGCTTCTTCTGGATCCGATACGGCGTCTCTGGTCTCATGGGCACCTCTGGCCCGAGCAGCGAAGATGCTGTTGTTGGCTACACCAGTCTGCGCAAATAGAGCGATGATCTGGAGACATTTATCTGCCATACGAGGCAATTTGAGCTTACAGCGTACAGTGTACCCATTTCTAAACGTAACACCCTCCCTTGAGTAAAGGTTGGCGTCGATTTCTAGTCCTGAATATACACCATCCATCGCGACCATGCTGAGTATCTTGACGTCGAGACCCTGGAGCTGTCCAGATGTTGCATGCACCACCCTTGTATCATGACATCAGCGCAGTAAGGGACACGATATCGACATGCCAGTCAAACGTCGCCACTGGAGATCAAGCAGATGTATTCAGGACTGTGCACCTCAAACCATCAACAGTCAGCAGTCGGGGGAGGAACACTCAAGGGCACCACTGTCCGGTTTCGTTCTGAACATGCTGCACATTCATAGAACGCATCGCAGGCGGAATACTTGGAGTAAAAGCCTCCACTCATTGGAAAATGGAGACGGATTTGGAAGAACTTAGATGAGGGCAAAGATAGAGGCGGAAACATCATTCTTTCCGAGGTTGCCAAGGCTGAAGTTGTCCTCGACGGTGGCCAGGAACGAGTAGTGGTTGTAGCTGGCGTTGTCGTTGACGCCGGATCGGGCACCCTTGCCCACCAGGATGCCAAAGACTTGGTTGTTGTTGTTGTAGTTCTCGGACTCGTCAAAGGTGATGAAGAAGAGGGTGTTGGCGTGGGCAGGGTTGGTCAGGCGGGAGGGCAGGAAGGACTGGAGCCAGTTGTCGGCATAGGCAACACCGGTATCGTGACCATCGTTGTTGAGGCTGGCAATCGAGCAGGTTGATTAGATTTGGTTGTCACGATTCAAGCATGGATCGAGCGCCGCTCGAGCACGGTGAAGTGTGACTCACTCAGGAGAATAGAACATCAGGTTCGGGAGGTTGCCGCTAGCTTCGTCGGCGGCAAGCTGGCTTGCGATAACAATGTTGCTACAGCGGGAGGTGGCTGAGATATCGGTGAAGGACAGGAAGGGGACGTGCTTGCGGGCATATGTGCCGGAACTGCTGCCAGTGAAGCAGCCGCCTGAACGATTGGACGCCAAGTACAACAAAGTTAGAAGACAAGAACTGCATTCTTGGCCAGCTTCACAGCATTCCAAGCGAGCATTCCAAGTGAGCATTCCAAGTGTGCATACCAGGATAGCCCTGAAATCGATGTGCCATGCAAAGCAAGTGCAAAGAGCAAGTTCCGTGCCAAAATGAGCGGTGGGTTAGCGATCGATATCGGTGTCATGAGAGTATTATTATCCGTGGCACCTACCTCGGCATAGTTCTTCCAGGTAAGACCCTTGGCTTCGAGCAGATCGGCGACGTTCTTGACGTTCAAATTGACGTTGGAGTCACTGGTGACGCCGTTGGTGCTGCCAGAAACCAAGGCGATGTAGCTTCACAGGCAATTCGTGTTAGCACATTCTCTACATGGTACAATGTGAGGATCCAGAAGCAGAATGGTTGAACAAAGACTCACTTGGGCTGGGATGGATGGGCGACAGCCAGATAGTTGCTGAGCAGGGTGCCGGACTGCTGGAGGCTGGACATGTAGGGAGCAGTAATGGCGGCGGAGTACTGCAGAAGGGGCAAAAGCAAAGTCTACCTGTTGGCGGTGCGCAAGTACCGAGAGAAATGCTGCGCCAGACGAGCACTTACATCCTGGTTCTCGAGCATGATGATCATGATATGATCAAAGTGCTTGCCGACGGAGGGAGTGACGACAGGGGTAGTAGTAGTAGTAGTAGTAGTAGTGGTGGTGGTGGTGGTGCGAGGAGAGGTGGACGTGGTGGTGGTGGTGCGGGCAGGGGAAGTGGTAGTGCGGGCAGGGGAAGTGGTAGTGCGAGCAGAGGCGGCGGCGGTAGTAGTAGTGGTAGTAGTGGTACGAGGAGGGGTGGAAGCGGTGGTGCGGACAAGGGAAGGGGTAGAGGCGGAAGGAAACCTGAACCAGCTTTGATCAGTACCGAATTCGAGTCATTTAGATGTCAAAACTGGTCAACAAGTACTCACTGGCAGCTTATACCGTTCCCGGCCTGGACACAGACCGTTCCAGCAGCGCAACTCAAAGAGAGCTGCGAGCCATAAAGGCAGAGGGAATAGCCAGGCAGGGAGCCAGAGGCAGTGCAGAGGTCTGGCAGAGAGAGAGAGAGAGAGAGAGAGGGCCGTCGGTCAGCAGAGAAAAAATAGAGCCTCCAAGTCTGGTAGCTGGATTACATACATTGCCCATCGGTGCAGGATTGGGCAGCAACGACGACCGAGAAGGCCAGGGCAAGAGAAGCAGCGATGAACTTCATGGCAGCGTTCAGAGGAGTAGGGCGCAGTTGACTCGCGATCGGGATTAGATGTCGGGATGGTGTTGTCGATCTGGGGGGAAAGGTCTCTTTTTTATATTCCAGGCATACACCTCGTCTCGAACGACGAAGAGCCGCTGTGGGAACTCGGCAATGTCGTTCCCTCCGGCTATCCGGAACGATGTGCGGCTGAGCCAGGCGCGTGCGCACGGGCCTGGCGGGCTTTGGGGGGTATTCCCCGTCATGTTCGCATCGATCTGGGCGGAATTCTTGACCCTGCATACCGATGTGCGACGGTGGCTCCGGCGCCTGCGTGGGAGCTTTCCTCGGACCGCAAACGCAAGAGGTCCGCCGAGAGTGTTTTTCGTGCTGTCCCATGCTGCATGCACTCGGCACATGCACGCTCCATGGATGGAGCACAATGTCACCCGACCGCATGCGTCGGTATACTCACAGCTCGTCCGCGCTCGCGATGTCCCCTCCAGCGCCTCGGTGGAGGTGCCTTTTCTCTTTCGGTAGCGTGCTCATGGAATTGGATTTCTGCATTTGGGTGGGTGCCTCTCCATCGGCCTCCTTGTGTCTCCCCACCTGTTGCTGCGTCTTCGTCGCGAGGCTGGTGGAGAAGCGGTGGTTGCGTCTGGTCAAGATCAGGGCGGTAGCGGCTATTCCACTTTGCTTTGATCATTGCTTTGGCTTTCGCCGCCGCCTTCATGTTCCTCGGGGCTGTCTCCTTCATTCGTGGAGTGGCTCCCTGCTTTCGCCAGACAAATGCCACGGTGCAAGTAAAGTTTGGCTGCACTGACAGGCCTGGCAGGTCGGGGTTTGGCTGGGCAGCCCGGCCAGACGCTTGATGAGCACGATACCCGCATTCCAACTCGATCACAAGAGCCACGGACTTTGCCGATTGCGAGCGCGATTCTGATGAGATTGTTGCTGGCAGTGCAGGCGAAAGGAGAGCGGGACGGAATGGACCTCGGTTCCCCGTCCTATGACTAAGGGTGGCTCCCCAGAGCCCCTGGGCTCAGCCGAGTTCGGCCGGTTATGGTGCGGGAATCGGCTTTACCCTGTCGAGCCAGAGACTGATCCGATGCGACACATGGAGAAGATCGCCTTGCAGCGGACCAAGGCGTGACCCGCATCGTGACCAGCACAAAGGCGGCACCATCAGCAGTGCGACCTGGAAGGCAACTTCCGGCCGCCGGTGGCGGGTGACTCTGCGGGAAAGCGTCTGCTGCCAGAGCACCGCTGCCATGGCAAAGCTGCCGGGGTAAAGCTGCCAGAGCAACGCTGGCGGGACGATGCCGCCAAATGGCTCCGGAGCTTGATTTGGAGAGGCAGCGATGGATCGTGGAAGTCGACGCTGGTCAGAACGAGAATGAGTCTTGGGATGGGTTCGACGATGTGGATAGACATTGACACTCATTGGCAATAACAGGGCCATGTGGTTACTGCTACGGCCGATTAGGTCTTGAGAGCTTTTATCTGAAGTCTAAAATGGGGGACATGTGCTGTCTACGGAATAGGCTCGTGCGGGGTGGACAAACACGGGGGAGTACATCTCGAAATTAGAGCCATCGGCACCTGGTCGGCACTAGCAGTTCGATATCCCAGGGATAGTTGGAAAGCAAAAGAGTGGAAGAAAGGAAGAGAAAACAGAAGGGAAGCGAAGAAGGGAAAGCCGATAGTCCTATTTCTTTCCCAGTCTCACGACTGAACTCTTACGACTGAAGACTCATGGTGTTGGGGGGGGGATTCCACCGGCCTTGATGGTCGCGAGAAATCTGAACACCCATCCGAGTGTTCCCCACAGTCTTTCAACACGAGAAAGCTGGTGGAGGGAGGGACAGAGCCGACGATGAGCGAGCAGCAACGAGCAGAGGCAGATGGCGACGGCGACGGCGATGGACCTGCAGACGACGGGGGGATGAGGCAGGAGGAAGGTGGACGAGAGAGAGAGAGAAGGAAAAAACAACTCCCAAACAGGGAATCGAACCCTGGTCGCCCGCGTGACAGGCGGGAGTACTAGCCACTATACTATTTGGGAGACAATTCCGCATCGGGGAATCGAACCCCGGCCGTCTCGGTGAGAGCGAGAAATCCTAGCCACTGGACCAATGCGGATCGCAAACAGAGCCATTGCACTTGCAGTTGCTCTGAGCACTTGGACGAGGCGAGAATCGAACTCGCGGCCTTGGGATTATGAGACCCACGCGCTGCCGACTGCGCTACCCATCCGTTGCTTGTCTGATCTGTCTCCCGGCTGCCACCATGACACCACACCACCACACCAGAACACCCTTGGTTGCTCATGGCCGGGTATGATGTGATTCCACCACGGCGTGCTTGGGTCCGAACGAGCCTGTGTGTCAGTGCTATTTCACCACTCTGCATCACCATTCTGCATCACCATTCTGCATCGGCACAATATCAGCTTCGTCCCTCATTTGTCACCACCTTGATCATCACCTTCATCACCTTCATCACCACTTTCATCACCACCACCACCACTTTCATGCATCCACCGCTCATCCTTGGTTTCAGTCCACCACCGACACTCGCACTCGCCTCGTCCTGACACCTACCGTCGCACCTCGTTCCAGCCCTGCCCGAGTTCCCGCGCGGAAAGGTCCTTGGTTGTGGCTCTCCGGACCGCCAGCCATCGTTTCGCGTTCCACCAGCAAATTCGATCATCCCGCTCCTCCTGTGCTGTTCTCGCCGCCATGCTCTGCGACTGGGGCGAGGTCATCTTTCGCTTCCAGACCCTGGGTCTCATCGTCGACGCCTTCTTCATCTCGGCCACAGCCACCGTGCTGCTCTGCGTCTTGGTGCCGTCCCTGCAATCCACCCTGCGATATGGCAAATCTCTCGAACCCGATCGCGACAACAACAGCAGCAGCAACAGCCCTGCCCAGCAGTCGAGCGCCTGCCGTGAGGTGCAGTGGCCCGCCTTCTTCTACGTTGACAAGACCAAGTTCCTGCACTTTTACGCCTGGGGACTTCCTCTGGTCACCGAGATCCTCTGGGAGCTAGCCATATACGACCCGTGCTCTGCGAACTCGTCGTGCACCCTGCCTCACTCTTTCCAAACACCCGTGCTGGGAACGATTCAATGCCTCTTTCCGATCAAGCCGACGCAGCCGGTATCGCCGCTGCCTCGATCGGTGGCCGAGGCTAGCAGTAGGCTGAGCGAGGCAAGCGTCCATCTCCTCGGGTTGCTGTTTTTGTGGATCCAGATGATCCGTCGACTCTGTGAAGAAGTCGCCAACAACACCAACAACACCAACAACACCAACAACACCAACAGCCCCAACGGCGCCCGAACGTCGGGAGCAAAGATCCACATCTTCCACTATCTTGCCGGGATCCTGTTCTACACCTTTGCACCCCTCTGTCTGGTCGAGTCCGGCTTGGAATCGTTTGTGCAGGCCCATGGCGTTCTGGGCTGCGGGCCGATCTCGACACCCACCAAGCTCGCTGCTGTGGCCTCGGCGATCCGGTTTGAGGTTCGCCATGGAATCGCTGCGGCACTGTTTGCTTGGGCGTCGCTGGAGCAACTCTGGGCTCACTCGCACCTCAGGTCCCTCCGAAAGATCGCTCGCTCGACAAGCTCACCAGACGGCCACTCAGCGAGTCTCTTGACCAGCAGCAGCAACAGCAGCAGCAACAGCAGCAGCAACAGCAGCAGCAGCAGCAGCAGCAGCACGGATCAAGGCAAAATCTCCACCCACAGCCGGAGATACGCCCTCCCCAGCGCACGCTGGTTCGTGCATGTATCATGCCCACACTATCTCTCCGAGATCGGAATCTACGCCAGCCTGGTGGTCTGGACGGGCGGGCGCTCGGTCTCGCTGTGGCTCATGTGGTTGTGGGTCGTGTGCGATCTCTCGGTCGCTGCGGATATGCAGTGGTCATGGTATCGTCGCCACTTTCCAGAGCAGATGGCGGCCACCCGACGCCGGCGACTCGTTCCGTTTGTGTGGTGAAGACAAGACAAGGCCAATACATCTCTCTGATCGACTTCCAGAGGAGCTATGGTTTCGCCTGACAGTCTCCCCCCTCCTCCATCATCAAACGGCGTCGCATAGCGCTCATGTAACTTTTATTGAGCTTCGTCAGGGGTGAGAGACATGAAAAACATGCAAATGGGCCAGGCCGATATCGGATCTGGGCAACTGTGATCCGCTTGTGAGATCATGCAGACATGTGGGAAAGCAGAATAAGAAGAAGAAAAGAGGGTGAATCTGAAATCACTGATAAATGAAAGAATCGATAAGAAGACGCGTGGAGGGAGGAGAGAGGCCGGTGGTCAATGTGGATACAGATAGTCAGGGTATGCGCAAGAGGAAAAAGAAAGACAGAAAAAGGCACGACAAACGGGGTTCCCGATGTGAGGGGCAAACTAGGAGAGGAGAGGGAGCCCAAGAGGAACAACAGTAAAAGTGAGGAATGCATGGATGCGGAGCAGAAATGAGGATAAGAAGAGAGCACGAGCAAATAATCCCTGACGGCAACTACTTGGGCGGAGCGGCTGCGAGCTCGCCTGTGCTGCGTCTGGGTGAGGTCTGCACCACTGTGGCGGACGCTGTGCTGCTGGTGCTCGCAGTGATGTCGCTGCTGGTGCTGGCGATGCTGTCAGCGTCCATGTCTCTACAACTGCGCGAGAGAGACTCAAAGGACAGATCGGTGGGTGAAGGCACAAAGGGCTCGATGAAGTCGGTGCCGACGCTGGCTCGCTTGTACCGGTCGTTGCTGCTTTCGACCCGGGAGCCAGACAGGAATGAGGAGCTGGGCCGAAGCGACGAGGACCGCACCAGCTTTACAAAGGGATTGCTTGGAACGGACGGGGTGATGGTGGCATCGCTTTCGCCAGAGAAACGATAGTCGCGACCAGCCTCGGCGCGGCTGCGGTCCAGGACCAGAGCCTTGAAGTTTTCCATGGAGGGCCGGCGGGTGAGTGCAAAGGCCTTCTTGAAGCGATTGTAGTGGGTGTCCGGGCCCGGTGCGATGTTTTCGACAATGTCGTTGGCTTCGTCTTCATCGTCGGCATCGCTGCCCATGTCTCCGGGACCGGGGGTGCGAGAGCGGCCGCGGAGCAGGTTGGGAAGGTTGAGGTTATCGGTCGAGGCATTCGGGCGAACGGACGAAACCGAAAAGGACATCCAGCGGCGCAGATTTCTGGACGCACCGGGCCCGCCCCGTCGCAGCTTCTGCATGAGGGGCCACGGGCCGTTATGGCCTTTGGCGGGGGGTTCATAGACACGGAGGGGATCGTCCTCGGCGAGGGGTGTGGAGCGGCTGTCGGATCGCTGAATGTAGAGCTGGTCTTCGAAGCGGCTCGGCATGCGGGAGAGGAAGCCCTCAATTTCGTCAAGGAACTCGGGAGTGAGTTTGTCGGGAATATCCAGCGGGATGCCGATGTGCTTGGCCACGCTATTGCGCTCCTCATAGGACTCAATGATTTCGAGACCCGAGTCGTAGTCAGCGCTCTCGTGAGCCGAGACCGGGTCGGGAACGGCGGACGCCTGGACCCAGTTGATGGAAAGATGGGGTGAGTGGTGGAGAGACGGATGGAGAGATGGAGTGAGTGAGCAAATGATGGGGTCACGGAATGAAGGGGGCCAATAGGCTGTGCCAAGGTGGTTTGTACATTTGTTGTGGCTCCCGGCTTGTCACAAAGACTCATACGTCATGCCATGTCAATCCACCCGCCATGCTGCTCTTGCCCACTGATCATGCCGATCCGCGCCACAGCTTACCTCTTGGAGCAGCAGGCCATGAATGGCGCTTGAGAGCCGCGATAGCTCATTTTGGATGACATAGTCGTTGCCGGCGCCACTGCCGTTCTTCCAGGACTTGATGGCCATGGAGAGGCGGAAAAGGTCGCCGCGGATTTGGGTGATGCGCGGGCCACGGAGCGGTCGTGCTCTGGGCTCTCCCGGCACAGGCGAAAGGGAGCGAGGGGGAACGGAGCAGGCATCATGGGGAGCGGGGGAGACTTCGTACGGGGCCGAGGCAGAGGTATTGTCGGGAGCAAAAGGCTCGATATCGACAGCGGACGAAGCGACAACGGAGGGCGAGGAGACGTGGTGGACCACAGGTTGGTGGTGTTCTGGAAAGTCACTCTCGGGAGGAGTCAAGGGCGTGAGTGGAGTTGGGGTCTGGGTCTGGGCTCTGAGCCCAAGAGAGACGCTGCTCAAGAGGCCAGATTGCTGCAGGGGGCTGCGCTGTTCATGAACGCCCAGCTGGAACTGCTGGACCTGGCCTTTCTTTAACCAGTCCCGGACGCCCTCGTCCATGGATGAACGGTAGGGGTGGATACGGTCGTCGACGTTGATTCGTGAGATTGCTGACATGAAGACTGCTTGGTGGGAGTGTGGTGGAGGCTGTGGATATGGAATACGGGGACCGGCGGAAGCTGAGGGCGGCGACTAAAGAGATGTCGGAACGATGAACGACAGAATGGAGGGAAAGGCGGACGATGGGATGTAATCGGGTGGTGGGGTGGATGACGAGGAGGTGATGTGCTGAAAGAGGAAGAAGCGATGGGATGAGATGGGATGAGATGGGGGGATGGAGAGAAGTGGGAGACGAAGGCCGGATGGGGGGGGGGACAGACAAAGTGCGGACAGGGAGACTGCAGCGAGATTCGGGTTGCTGGTAAAAGGGAACACACTGGATGTGGTGGGAGGGCCGGATAAGCTTGCTTTGGCTTCAGGCCGAAACAGCCGCTGGACAGAAGACAGGAGCGACGGTGCGGACGAGGCAAGAGTGCGGTGCAGGACAGCGGAGGGAGAAGATCGGCCATATGTGGAGGGCGAGGCCGGCGAGCGGTGCGACGGCAGCAGACAGACAGCACCACCCAGCAAGCGTTGCGGGGCCGCCCATCCGGGCCGCCGTCCAGACAGCCCAGGCAAGCAGCAGCAGCAGAAAGCAGAAAGCAGAGGCAAATACAGGAGGCAAAGATGTCCGCGTCTGGTCCAGATGCACGACAGGGGGGGGGGTTCGTTTCTGGATGAGGGTCCGGTCGGTGCGACGCGGATGTCCTCGCCTGGTTGGCCCGGATGCTTGCACAAGCGCACAGTCGGTGTGCTGGCCCTTGGGTGCCGATGGGAGGGCGATTGGGGTGGGACTGTGTGGGTGCATGACAGGTCGATGCAAGAGAAAGTGAAGGAGTTTGTGTGCAAGAGAAGGAGTTTGTGTGGGATCGGTCCCAGCGCTGTTTGCAGTTGCACCGGCGGTCTGCGGCCGGACGGGTGGGTGGTCGGTTGGTGCGCTGCGGTATCGGCTTTGTGTGCCCTCCGGCGGCCCAAGGCCTCGTCGTCGCCGTGGGGAGGGTTGGAGGTGCGCTGGGTGTCTCCCTGTCTCTGGCGCTGAGAGTGTCTGTGCTGGGCTTGACCGGCGTTGATACCAAGCGATTGTGTCGGGCATGGTCTGTTCTCTGCTCTGCCTGCGATGCCTTGCCTCCAGCGAAGACACTACTGCCAGTGATGCCAACAGAAATGCCAACAGAAATGCCAACAGAAATGCCAACAGAAATGCCAACAGCAGCGCTGATGCCAACGCTCTCTCGGCAAACGGCATCGTTTCTGGCGGGACCGTCCCGCTGGCCTTGCTCCTCGATCTCTCCGCTCCTCTCTCTGCTCCCCCACCCGCTCCAGGTCCATATCTCTGTCGATCTTGCCCGCAGCGGTCGGCCCTCGCGCAGATTTGCCGGGGGGGGGACCCACACAGGACAGACTCGTGCGGCGAGGGGGGTTCATTTCACCACCAGCGAGCTAGACCAAACAGTGCTGGTCGGCTGCTGGCCAGCGGACCAATCAGCCGATGGCAACTGACCGACTGCCCAAATTGGACCGGCGGTCCTGTCTCGTCTCCACCAGCAAATCGATGGCGCGGGGGGACCTGTGCCGATCGGCTGCCAGCGGCTGCCCGCCGACTGCACCGGGCACGCAGCGACCGCAGCAGCAGGCATCCAGCGACCGCAGCCAAGCACCGACACGGGCTGGGTATCCAGGCGACATCGGCCAGCATCATCGCCAGCATCATCGCCAGCATCATCTGCACAAGCCAGCATCGCCAGCATCGACCAGCCGGCATCATCTGCACGGGCTGCAGACCCCAAGATCCAGCCGATCGCGTACATTGGACGGCGTGGCGGTCGCACGGCCTCTCTGTCACGGGTTGTGCGTTGGGTGGAGCAGCCGACCACAGGACAGCCACAGGACAGCCACAGAACAGCACTTTGGCCAAAGGGCAGCGCACTCGCTTACCGCGACAACCGCATTTGCACCATTCTGCTGGCAGCAATCGCAATGGCCGCGATAGCCGCGACGGTCGCAATAATCAAAATCATCAGTCGCATCCGCCTGGCCGTTGCGCCTGGCTGTCCCACCGGGCCTGGTTCCCGCGTGGGCGAGAGGGCCTCCACAGCAACGCCATCCAGGCTTGGCGTGCTGTCGCCAGCGGCCAAGCGGACCTCGGCTGTCCTTGGCCCCCCTCTTCTCGGGTTCGACATCGGTTCGTCTCGCTGGTCTCGCTGGTCTCGCTGGTCTCGCTGGTCTTGCACGGCGGCAGCCCGCACCTCCCAGCCGCCCCAACGGCCCACAGCCAGCCCCTCCCCAAACAAACCCGCGTAATATGCACTTGCAATGCGCTTGCAATCAACTCTTGCCATCGGCGCCTGCGGCGGGTGGTGGTGGGTGGTGATGATGTTTGCGCAGAAGGATCCGTTCGCTCGAGTCACGGTGTCGCCGATCGGGCCACGCCGTGTCCCACAGCGCTGTACCCACCAATCAGCCGCCGCGCCGCACAGGATCATGGCCATAATCCCGCCCCCCCCGTCATCCGCGCTCGCTTTGGCCCTGTGCCTCGCCTCTGACGTCAGGCTCTGGGCCAGGCTGCTGCCAGATGACATGCGCTGATCAGCCATTATAAATGCCTCATGAGCGGCCCAGCACCTGCCTCCGCCTCGCCTCTTGGCTTATATTTCCGCTTCGCAAGCCCTCCACCGTCCTTGCCTCTCGCTCTCCCTCGCCCGCTTCAACATTCGACACCAAGCCTACAAACTGCTGCTCTGCCATCCATGAGTGCTCCCAAACCGCCATACCCTACAGCCGACCCCGGCTTTCTATCTCGCCTGGTAGGTTTCTCTCCGGCCATCGTTGCCACCCAGTGCTCGGTCGTTGTTGGCTCGTTGTTCGTTCCGTTTGCTCGTTGCTTGCTCGTAGCTTGCTGTGCATCCGCATCCAGCGTCGTTGGACGCTGGTCCACCTCCGTTGCCGCCACCAAACCATCCGGCCTCCGTCTGTGCTAACACTTGAGCATCCTCCTCTTCCCAGACCGAAAGGCTTGATCGATACGTGCCCGGCGGCATAAATCCTTATATTGACGATATTGTTGCTGTGCCAGCGCCGCCTTCGCCTTCGCCTTCACACTCCACGGCTTCGACTCTCAGTCCTCTCGTGCCTTCAAGCTCGCCCGAGAGCTCTATCAACCTGGATGAGACCCCGACATACATCTCGCTCTTCACCTTCGACGACAGCGTGCCTCAGACCATCAACCCCCTGCAGCTCAATGCCCCAATGTCGCTCGCCAGCTCCCGCCCCATCTCCATGTCGGCATGCGCGGCCTGCCGAGGCCAGTCCCACATCCACACCCACTCCCACACCCACACCCACACCAACCTCGCCCACTCCCACTCCCACATCCACTCCTATCCCCATCCCCACTCCCACTCCCACTCCTATCCCCTGCCTGTTGCCCACCCCCATGCACTCGGCTCTCTCCAGGCACCCGGTTTGATGTCCCAAAAGACGCTTCCGGCCTCGTCGCTGCACTTCCACCCCAACCCGTCCATCCACCCCCTCTCGATCCACCACCCCCAAGCCATCCTCCGGTCCGATGTCCACTTGCCGGCCCGAGACGACGCCATGTCGATCGAATCGGCCAGCCTCGGGTCTCCAAACCCCTTCAAGATCGGCACCTCGCCCGAGACATCGCTGACGGTCGAGCGAACCCCCTCGGAGCTGTATGGCGGCAGCGGGCCGTTCTTCCTGACGCTCGGGGACATTGGAGCACCGTTCAGCAGCGATCTGGAAGCCTACGAGATCGGTGGCTACTCTGCGAGCGATATGTCGTCGCTGGCGTATGGCGGGGCGTTCCCGATGAATGTCCCTGTCATGGCGACCGCACAGGCACCGACTCCGATGACCACTCCGACCCTCACTCCGACCCTCACTCCGACCCTCACTCCGGCCACGGCGACCATCAAGTCGGCTCGTGACGGCCATCATCAATCCGCCGAAGCCCGACACAGCCATACTGCGGGCGCATGCAGCCACCTGGACAACGATGGCGGCAGCCGCCCATGCAGCCAATGCGCGCGCCTCAAGTACATGAGCCGTATCGACAGTTCCCGCAAGGAGCGCAAGCGGGGCGCCATGCGAGGCTCCCACATATCCACGACCAAGAGGCAGAGCTTCACTGTCGACCGCACCTTGGCGTATCTCACCTCCAGCGACTGCTCCGAAGGCGAGGAGTCAGAGTGCTGCTCCGACCACGACGAACGCCCCGTCTCCCACCGCAAGCTCTCGGTGGCCTCCCTGGGCTCGGTGACCTCTGCCGGCGAAGACGAAGCCTGCTCGATTGGGTCCTCGCCACTGAGCCAGCTGCAGGACGACATGGTCTTTGGCCTTGACGACCCCTCGAGCAAGGCTCACGGCCTTGGCTTTGGCAGCAACGAGGACTTTCTTTTGTTTTCCGATCCCGTTGTTGGTTCGCCGTACATGGCTGACTTGACCGAAATGATGCTCGACTAGGAACCCGTGTTGGAGGAAGTGAGGCGGATGGGGGTGGGTGGTTGAGTTCTCATGGCGCTCTGGTCCGCTGTGACTTTACCATACCCACCCTCCACCACCACAGTATCGCCCGTCTTGGCGGCCGATGTTTGCCTCATACCCCTTCCCTCCTTTGCGCTTCCCTCCTTTGCGCTTCCCTCCTTCGCGCTTGCCTCCTTCGCTCCTTCGTTCTAACGCTGCCTGCCTGTCTGTCTGCACACCCAAGCCAAGCTTCCAGATATCCTTCTTGATGTACCCTATTATTTATTTGTATGTATTGACTCCATTGTATCGACTCCATTGAACCTCTCTCTATCTATCTCTCTCCGATCCCCCAGCCGTTTTGACTCTGTAATTGGGCTGGGCTGGCCGCTTATCTCCCTCCAATGTATATGTTCTGCACTTTGACCGTGTCTCTCCCTCCCCCTGTATCCATGCATCCATAAAATACATTTACAGCGTATCCACCAAAAAACGGGACACCCGGGTTTTTGACCACTCATCGAATATTTTGTTACCCAATGTTATCGCGCGCTGGCCATGACCATTCGCCACACAACCACTCTCCAGAGGAAAGTATCACTCTCACTCTGCCACACTGCCATCCACCGAGCAGGTCTCTCACACAAGAGGGCAACACACCTCTACAAGTCCAAGCGACTGGATGAGCGAGTGGCACAGTTCAGGGACCAGGCCCGCTCCATCGACCCACGACGGCTCGTTTTTGTCGATGAGACGGGGATCAGGAGATCCATTTTCCCTCTCTACGGATACTCACCGAAGGGTGCTCCGCTTCGCCAGCGCAATCACATGAAACACAAGTCTGTCTCGGCTGCATTTGCAATCAACCACTCTGGTGTGCTGCATCGAGCGCCGAGGATGGTCAGTGATCTTCACCCCACCTGCTTCACCCGACTACAATCCCATCGAGAACTTCTTTGGGGTTGAGTTCCTCCAATTTGGGGTTTAGTCCCTCCAATCAAGCCGCCGTTCTCACGCTCAAATCCCTGGCTTGAACCTCTCGGCGATTTTTGAACAGGTCGCTTCCCCAACCAGCCCGCAAAGACGGGTTCCTGCTCTCGGGTATAAATGCCACACCTTCGTCCTGCTGCTTTCTTCCCTCATCTCGCCTTGATCTGATCATCGCGCTATTGCACGATAAAAAAAAGTCTCTGCTCTGACCAGTACCACTGGCAGGCATCCAGCATCCTCTGCCCCCATGCCTCCGAAGCGCAAGGGTACCGGTGATGGCCAGCCTCGGCCACCCAGGCCCAAGAAAGCCAAGTCACAGTCGGAGCCTGTCTCTGGTTCGTATTCTGACCCCACGCATGCTTGGTCGTCTGTTGCTCCGTTGCTCACCACCACTGCTTCTGCAGATCCAATGGATGTCGATCCCACCGAGCCTGGTCCATCTACTTCCTCGAGTACCGGCAAGCGATGTCGCCAGTGCGATGGCACCGATCACGAACGCTGCAACACCAGCAAATGTCCCAAATACCGGCCCCTCAAGAGCTCTGTCGTCCCACTCGTGGATGGAAGGTCATCCGCCCCTCAGTTCAGCTGCTTCAAGCAGACGATGGATGGCTGTTGTCTCAATCCCGCTCTCCGCGACAAGATCCAGGCCACCGTCGAGGCCATGACCCAGATCCAGTTCGAGGCATCCAGGCTGCTCAACCTGCACATCCTCCGGTGCATCGAGCAGGATCTTCCCATCCCCGTCATCTCCAAGTCCACCCCTGCTTTCGTTCGCCAATGCTTCAAGATCGTCCAGGCCGATGCCCTCTCCCCGACCGGGGACAATGAGAAATACAACGAGCATCTGGTCGCTTCCTTTCGCGACTACCAGACCACTCGGCACGCAGACCTGCCTCCGGCCCCTCGTCTGCCTGATGGTGCTCACAGTCAGCTTCTCACACTGGCTGTCAATGCCTATGCCACCAACTGCACCACCCACCTCGACCTGGCCTACTGGCGACTCCTTCGCCGCTTCTGCGCTGCCGTCTTCCCAGCCAACAAGCATAAGCACGAAGCCATCGAGGCCTGTCTCGAGCTCTTCGAGAAACCAGGGCAGACTCCACCCAAGGCCGATCTCGAGTTCCTCTATCCCGACTTTGGCCACGTCCTGGACGAGTTTCGGTACAGCAACGACCAGGACCGCTTCCGGGCCCTCCATCGCCTCTCACACCATGTGAGAATCCTCGCCCGGGACAAGATGGTCGACAATGTCCACAAGTGGATCGACTGTGACATGCCCGCCCTCCGAGTCACCGAGCTGCAGCGCCAGGCCAAGCTGGACGAGCTCACTGCCCAAGGCATTCCCTCCGACGACAAGAGGTTCACCACGGCCAAGTCGGAGCTCGGCACCACCAAGTCCAAGATCAACAAGCTGGCATCCAGACTCAAGTGGGCCCTCAAGCAGCTCGCTCTCGACACTCCTCCGGCCGTGTGCACGATGGTTCCTCTATGCACTGCCACGGCCAAGTATGTCAAGATCGACACCGTCACTCTCTGGCAACTCCTTGGTCCAAAGAAACGCCTTGGACTCACCCGGGACAAGCTCAAGGAAGAAGGTGATGACGGTGTCAACAACCAGGATCGTCTCTGGCGCAGTTGCTTCAAGCTGCGTAGTTCCCTCTTCCAAGAGCGGGACGTGAACAAGAAGCTGTTCAACTACGAGATCAGCACCGATGGCATTGGATGCACCATCGGTCTCGTCAAGTTTCTGCCCCGAACCGATCACACCGAGACCATCGAGCCTCCTCCGACTGCCGAGCAGCGCATCCAGGCCCACATCGGCGACCCAGACCCCGGTCGCACCACTTGGATTGGCATCGATCCTGGAGTCGGCTCCATCTTCACGGCAGTCATCCAAGCACCGGGCCACCAAGACGAGGTGGTCTCATTCTCCAATGGCCATTACCAGCAAATGTGTGGCCATACGTCCAACACCAAGTGGCACAACACCATGAAGTATCGACTCAGCATCGAGACCTGGATGTCGACCACCCCCTCGCCCAAGGTGTCGTCCTCGGAGGCTTTCAAGGTCCATCTCACCCATGTCCTGCGACCGGAGCTGCGAGTGCAGCTCGACTTCCACCTTGGCAAGAAGGCCCGTCACCATCGCTTCACGGGCCACAAGAGGCGCCAAGTGGCCGTCGACAGGATGTGCAAGGCCGTCCTGAAGCACGCCCCGATACGGACCGATGTGGTGATCGCCTTTGGCAATGCGTCATGGCGACAGGGCAAGGGCTATGCATCCAGCCCTCGGAGGCAGCGATTTGCTCGGTACTTTGAGCAGTTCGAGCACCACCGACGCCGTCCCAATCACCATCATGGAAGCGTCAAGGTAGTCTCGACGAACGAGTTCAACACCTCGCAAGTGTGCTCCAAGTGCCTGGAGCCAGTTCGGTTGGAAGGACTCGATGCGCCCAGTGTTGCGAATTCCCACTTTGTCAGGAGCTGCAAGAATCCCAGCTGCCGGACAGTGTGGAATCGCGATGTCAATGCGGCGCGCAACATGATCATAGTGTGCAGGTCGATTGTGGAGATCGGAGAGCGACCGGCGGTCTTCACTCGGAGGCTGTCAAAGTGATCTGTTTTATTTCTTGTGGCTTTGCTAGACGCGAGCACAGCACATACTACTGTTCATGGAAACGGCTATGTTGTCCCGTTTTTTTCTGAATAAAGTGTACAAGCCCCTTCTCACAAAGCCTAAGGGAGACCCGTGCTCTCGCTGACTGGCCTCATGGAGCTTTGGCTGGTCCTTTGGTGTGCGATGCAGCAATCAAAAGTCGGCGTCTATTCTCCCATCGAGCGTCCTTGAGGGAGTGACGGCGGGTGACGGCGATCCATCCTTGGACACAATGTCCCGAGCCGCCATGGGCACATTGATCCATTCACTGGTTGCGGTCTGGTTGTTGACGGAGATGGGCGCTCTCGCCAACGTTTGCCTCGAGTGGTGCGATTGCCGACGGCCACCCCGGACAGAACGCCCCTCCCCTTGATGCCGTTGCCGCCAGTGCACCACAGTCGGTCCTCGGCTAGCCACCCCAGCGGACCGGCAAGGACAATCGGCCGCTGTCGCATACCATTTGCTCAGGCCGGCACGAGGACTTGCAACCTCTGCCAAGCACCGCAACAAGACCGCTCCTCTCGGCCCTTCTTCCGACTCCCCCACCCACCCTGCCGAACAGCGCCGCTCTGGCTCGGCCGTCTGTGCTCCCCCTTCCTTCATCCTGTCTTCATCATCCTGCAGTCGGACGGATCGATTGGGCGCGGGCGCTGCAGCAACGGAGCGAGTGAGTCGTCCCTTCGGACAATCACTTGGCCCGACGGAATAACATTGCCGCTGGATGGCCACAGCGGCAAACATCTGACAGAGTCGATGGGCCTTCTCCCATGGCTGTGACTCGGTGGCCACTCTTCCCGACAAAGTACCGGCCAAGCGCAACGGGAAGAGCGCCGGCAGACACAATCTGGAGCACGAACTGCTCGCCAAAGCAGCCAGATCGAGTCGAGTCAAGTCGAGTCAAGAGTACAGACAGGGCCCAGCCGCCCCGGGGCTGAGCGACCACTGATTGGACGAGCCGACATTGGCGGCACACCGGCCGCTGGTCGACGAATAGTCGTCTGCTTCTTCGTCCAGGATGTGCCCATCGAGTGTCCGAGGACAGCGTCCTGCCAGCCCGATCGGCTTTGGTTTGTGGTGTGGTTGTGCTGGGATGGAGGGGGCTCCGGTGGGAACCACTCCCAAAGAAAGGCACTAGGAAACAAGGTCGCTGCAGGCCAACATGGCAAGGCACGACAGGACATGGCAGGACATGGCAGGATATCTGGCAAAGCCCGAGGAGGTCCAGCGAGCGGGGGAGGGTGTGGGCAGAGGCCACACGCACCGGCCATAGGACAGCTGATGCCAGGCCGGCCGACAGCAAGCCTCTCGATGACGACAGGTTTCATTCGGGGGGGGGATGCAGGTGACGGACGCTGCGTGGATGATCCCGCCGTTGTTTCTGCCCCTTCTCATGGGACAGTGGCAGATTGCAGTTGGTATCGCTGCCGCATCCCACACCACGATGCTTCCCACAGACCACCCGAAGCCAGCCGCTCGAGCCCAACCACTCAAGACCAGCCACGGGCCACTTGCCATCCACATGGCCTCGCTGGGTGTTTCCAGCATGGCTCCTTTGGTCGCTGGTATCTCACCTTCTCTTGCTCCCCTCTCCTCCGACATCCGTCGCCCAAGCAGGCTTCCCACGGCTCGATTGGGTCGTGCGGCGGGGCTGTCACTGTCGGCCGGTTGGGTTCTGCACTGGTGGCGAGAGGGACAGCTGCGGGACAGCGATGCCGACCATGACCGGAGGATGTAGCGGGCGGGTATAGTCGCTACGGAGCTGGCCGGCCCAAAGCACCGATGCCCCAATGCACCAATCCATGAGTGCGCGATACACCGATGCACCGATGAACCAAAGCGGCGATGTTGGCCGACGGCACCGGCCGCTGCGGTTTTGCGCCGCCGCGGCGGGTGCTCACCAAAAGATTGTCTGGTCTGGATTTTGGTGTCAAAGATGCACTTCCCAGAGCAGCCCGGGTGGCCCTGCCCAACGACCCAGCCGGTCCGGCAGCAGCGGCAGCAGCAGCAGGATGTGTCCTGCTTCCAACTTGGCGGTTACTTGACAACTGCTCGGTGTGGTAGCTACTTGGCAAACCGCTTGCTGGCGGCCTTGCCCTGGACGAGCGTCCGCCTGTTGGCCGTTCGCGGCTGCTGGTCGTTCCGCAGATCCACTGTCGTTGGGTATTCGAGCACGTAATCAGGGCATATCTGACTTGAGTGCACACCGCCCCTCTCACCATATGGTTGCTTGCCCTGGTGGCCGTCGGCCGCATGCATCCTTCTCTCTGCCTTGATGTCCGCGTCCGCATCCTCTGTGAGATCTCCACCGTTGGTCTCGCCCATCCCACGCTCCCAACGATCCCGCTTAGCACTCCCCCCCGCTCATGTCGAGTCCCTGTTGCTGGCGTGCTGCTCATGCACGATCGTTCGCTCATCTATTCCACGCCCAAACCAGTCATCCCCTCGCCAGAGCCACTTGTCCCTTTCGTTTGCGTTGGTCATCCCACAAAGGGACGATAGAGGGGGGGAGTGCAACCACGGCGATGCACCACTGAGCCCATAGGGCCAGGCGGATTGCAACGGCCGACTGCAGTCAGACACTCCAACAAGAGCACACCCAGAGAGCGACGGCCACGCGCCGGCGAGAGGGTTCAATTTGCAGTCCCCTTCGGCCAAGGGAGGGTTTGGCTCTGGTTTTCAGCCCAGGCCCGTGCGGACAAGGGTGGACCACGACGGGACCCCTTCGGCCGACCACTCCCTGCGGCTCCCTCGTTCGGTCCTGTTGCAGGCCCGCTGTCTGCAGCGGCATGCCGGCCCTCCACCCTAGCGGCCTGCTCTCGAACCGCTGGCGAGTGCACCGTTATTTACGTCTGATCTCATGGGCGATCTGGTGCTGTCGGCCGCGATCGTCAGGACCTCCCCCCCCCATCGTGTCCGTCGTCAGTCACCGTCCCGCCCCTCGGTCAACCTCTGGGCTGACTCTTTGCATCTTATAAAAACAGGGCTCTCCATCTTCCGCCTCTCGTCCTTTCCTCTCATCCCTCCCTCCGTCGATCTTCTTTTCTCAGCTTCCGCCGCCTTCGAAGCCGCTGGTGTATCTCCCTTGGATTCCCAGCTCGACGATCGCTCTCGCTCTCTGTCGGGGTCAACAATCTCATACCCAAATAACCCTCAAAAACAGTACCAACAACAACAGTAGGGGGGAAAAAAATCTTGCCCGCACACAGACAGGCCACTTACCACCCCCATATTGCAATCAAAGAAGAAAAAAAGCCAACCAACTGCAGCCATGTCCATGTCTTCGATGTCGTTTGCGTCTCCCCAGGCGGACGCCTCGCTCTCACCGGGCCAGCTTGTACGTTAGTTCTTCTCTCCTGCTCCCTCCCTTCGTTTCTCCACCCCCCCACCCAAAGGGCGGTACCAGAGCCAAGGCGCTTTCTTAAATCGGGTCCTTTTCGCCCTGTCCCCCCTTCTCCCTCCCTTGTCTGTCGTCGGTCTGCTGTCGGTCACTCTGTCTCCACCACCGGTCTCCTCCTCCCCCGTCCTTGATCTCCATCGACCCAAATCGATCCGCCCTGTCTCCCACAGTAGATCGTACCGGTGATCTCATCCTCAGCTCCTCCCAGATAACGACTTGGGTCGGTTGGAAGGGGGGTGTCTGGGCAGGAAGGGAGGGGGAGGCACTTTTTAGTCATTTCCGCCGTGATCACACTTTCCACGATCACACGCGAACGCCATAGATCACTCCTGAGCACTTTGGAGCCCAGGCTAGCACAATCTCACCGACCTCCCCCCTGATCGCACGCTCGCAGTGCGTGGCCACCATGGACATCCGCCCTGACTAACCCGAGCCCTGTATTCGCCACCGCCCGCCTTACCCAACACTACCAGGAACAAAAGCTCGATCGCTACATGCCAGGCGATACGAATCCGTACATCAGCGAAGTCTCTGCCGAGTCAAACTCAGTGATCTACCCGTCCTCCAGCCCGATGCGTCCGGATCAGATTCATTCGGCTTTCATGGGCCAAGTGCAGGTCTCCCCAGGCGACCACGAGCGGATGCCACCCCATCTCTCGCCCCTTTCTCCGGCGTCGCCTCCCAGCATTTCCAACACCCCCACTCTGGGCTGCCACATCCACCCGTCGATTCATGCCATGCACCCCCAGACCATCAACCCCCTGCAGCTCAATGCCCCAATGTCGCTCGCCAGCTCCCGCCCCATCTCCATGTCGGCATGCGCGGCCTGCCGAGGCCAGTCCCACATCCACACCCACTCCCACACCCACACCCACACCAACCTCGCCCACTCCCACTCCCACATCCACTCCTATCCCCATCCCCACTCCCACTCCCACTCCTATCCCCTGCCTGTTGCCCACCCCCATGCACTCGGCTCTCTCCAGGCACCCGGTTTGATGTCCCAAAAGACGCTTCCGGCCTCGTCGCTGCACTTCCACCCCAACCCGTCCATCCACCCCCTCTCGATCCACCACCCCCAAGCCATCCTCCGGTCCGATGTCCACTTGCCGGCCCGAGACGACGCCATGTCGATCGAATCGGCCAGCCTCGGGTCTCCAAACCCCTTCAAGATCGGCACCTCGCCCGAGACATCGCTGACGGTCGAGCGAACCCCCTCGGAGCTGTATGGCGGCAGCGGGCCGTTCTTCCTGACGCTCGGGGACATTGGAGCACCGTTCAGCAGCGATCTGGAAGCCTACGAGATCGGTGGCTACTCTGCGAGCGATATGTCGTCGCTGGCGTATGGCGGGGCGTTCCCGATGAATGTCCCTGTCATGGCGACCGCACAGGCACCGACTCCGATGACCACTCCGACCCTCACTCCGACCCCCACTCCGGCCACGGCAGCAACTATCACTCCCACAGCCATCTCGGTGTATTCCGGCGATATCTCTGACGCACCCGCGGCACCAATTGTGTCCGGTAGCTCTAGCACCCGCAGCTCGTTCTTGAAGAAGGATCTTGGCTTCTCGACTGCTTCCGAGATCCTCTCCAAGCTCGTCCACAGCACCGGCCGCGAAAGCATCGGGTCGCGGCGCAGCCAGGTCAAAGTTGCATGCAACCACTGCAAGAAGGCGTGCAAACGCTGCGATAGCAACCGCCCATGCAGTCGGTGCGTCCGCCTGGATTATACGGACTGTGCTGATGCGCCTCGAAAGGAGCGCAAGCGCATCAAGCGGAGCATCAAGACTCCATCGATGGAGTCTCTCACGAGCGACATCGAGACAGCATCGCAATACACCACCGCCACCGCCACAACCGACACCAGAGACACCGACTCCATTTCCATGCTTTCCACCAGCGAGTTCTCCGAAGGCGAATCGACCTACCGCTCCGTCTCCATCAAGACCCGGCCATCGCTGACCTCCATTTGCTCGATGTTCGAAGATCCGGTGTCTCCGCCCCCGATCCACATGCCTCTTCGCGATTATGCTGAGCCCATGGACAGCATGCCCCAGACCCCTGAAGAATTTGACAGCCTGCTCATGAATCCCAATCAGTTTGAATCGTTTTTCCCCGAGGGTGGCTATCGCTTCTAAGGACACTATGGCCCTCACGCACTCTCTCAGCCCGCAACACAAGCACTCATTCGAAATGCATCTGTCTTCCATCCATCATCCACTCATCCAATGTACATGTTCAAGCACGCATCTTCATCATTCTTTGTCTCCATCTACTCTCAAACTGTGGCCATTGCCACAATTCCCATCTTGACCCTGCGGCTTTGGCTGCAACCCATCATGCAGCGGGCCCAACGATCGAAACGCATCCAATCCCGTCCTTATTTGGAACCCCAAAAAAACAAGAAAAAGAAACTAAGAAGTTATGTTCTTTCATCAAGCGAATCGGAAGCGACTCGACGCTTTGCGCAGCTTTCCTCTGATCTGGAGTCCCTCGTATCGTATACGTGCACATGTATGAATGTATCAGCATTTGGCGCCATTACCAACAGAAAAAAACAAACGAAGCAACCTCAATCTATCTCTCCTATCATTTCATTCATCCATTCACCTATTCATCTTCATCATCACTATCATCGCCATCGCGATGGTCTATAGCATATACGTTGCGCTCACTTTGCAGAAACAGTTTCCTCGACACGGCTCCTATTTATTCTGATTTAACGGTTTGTTTGATTCCAGTTTTGAAATCAATTGATTTTCATTCCTTCCTTTCATTTTGGACTTTTTATGCGATCATGGCAATGGATCATGACTTTGAGTTATTATTCTTTTTGAAATGAAACAAGGCGAAAGCATCCGCAATAAAACCCTGAAAGCGGGGATACCCGAGTTGTGGTATTGTTGATCCTCCTGATACTTACTTTCCGATACACCCGCTGAAATGAGCTCCCCCGCGCTGGCTCGTATCCCTCGTGAAAGCGTCCGAGCAGCCCACAGGGCACGGTGTGTCTCGCTGTCGCAGGTCAGATTGCTGCGACGCCAAGATGACCACAGACACTGGCCTTTGCGTTTCGCTTTGACCGTTTCTCCAGTGCCTCGCTGTCGCTATTTCGAGAAGAGAGAACCCGCCAAGTGGTGCTCCGCTTCCTTGGCGGGGCGGCCAAGTCCAGTCCAATCACGACCGATTCGCTCGTTCCCACGCCCATCGATCGCAATGGGTGAAAATTTGGGAGGGACGAGCGAGCACTTTTGTCGTTTCGTGCTTGCTCTGCCTCGCCGCCCCCTCCCCTCTCAGTTCCGAGGCTCGGCTGAACTCCAGTACGTCTTCGTCTTTGCGCCAAACGCCTGCATCTCGCACGTTTGCCGATTACGCTCCGCTCTCCAACCGAAGACCCTCTGTTTACCCCCCCCCACCTGCGCGATCGAGTACGGTTCATTCTTTCTTGCATCCAAGGCTTCGCGATTTTGTTCTCTCTTCCACATCTTGTGCTTGTGAGATCCGCATCTAAAACATAGCTACTGACACTCTCCATTTCCTTCGCTTCGTCCAGTTATCATCCTTCCCCTCCCTCAGGGGCAGAGAACCAAACAAATAGAGAGGGGGAAAAAAAAACAGGAACATCAAATAGCAAAGGAAAGGGCCAAGCAGAGAAAGATATGACGGAGAAGGCACTCGAGGCCATCTTGGCCAATCTGGCTACGCGAGTTGGAGCAGACGAAACGCCGACGATCACTTCAGCGGGCCGGCTGATCGGTACCCCAGCCATCGACATTCCAAACCTGAGCGACACGGTTCTGTTCGACCCCGACCTCTACTCCTACGCAAGCGGCAATAGTGGTGGTGGTGGTGGCGGCGCTGGGGAGAAAGAAAGGGACAAGACGGTATTCTCGTATTTCACGGTGGAGGGCAAGATGATTACGAAGCTGGTGCGTATTGCTGCAGTCGCGTTTGTGAGCAGAGTTGCTGCTGTTGGGAGGATGGAGGATGGAGGATGGAGGAGGAAGAGGAGGAGGAGGTGAGAGATGGCTAAGATGCGATGAGGATCGAGGGTGCCGGCAGTATCAAGGCGAATTGAGTCAAAAGAGTGTCGGACATTCGGCCTGGGCACACTAATACCTCGAGCAGCGCGAGCAGTTGGCTGCGGCGGATGTACATCGTTGCCCCTTACTGACCGTATGCTTCATTTGGGTGCTGGGTCATCGGAACAGAGCGATATTTTGAAAACCGGCAAAGAGCTACTGTCGAGACTCTACTCCTATCGTCACTGCGGTCAGGCTATACCGCAGGTAAGGCCTCTCGAATGGCGTGTGGCTCTCCCGTCTTGCCTTGGGACATCCGGTCCCGGCCCCATAGTCAAGCTCTCCGGCCAAGAACCAACTTGACCCAGACTCACATTCCCATTTCGACACTCTCGCCTCAGGTCCAAGCTATGAAGCCCGACTGCAGCGCCGAGTACTACAAGCGCGTGCACGAGATTCTGCAGCCCGAGATCCAAAAGATGCTCCAGTTCATGAACTTCAGGGACTCGGCCAACAAGATCGTCACGGAGGTGTTCTCGGTCATCATTACCGAGGTTGCCTCCAATCCCAGCGACGTGTTTTGCTCGGACAACTTTCTGCTCAACCTGGCGGCCATCTTGGATCTGTATGTCGTGCTGGATGCTATGAAGAACATCAAGGGCTCGATGAACAATGACCTGTCGCAGTACAAGAGGTAAGGGGCGTCGATCTCGCTGCGCTAAGCCGTCGCTGCAGCGATGCTGTCGTTGTGTCGCTGGCCGTCTATTTTCTTTCACCCAGCTCTTGACATCGTGGCCAACACACGACCCCACTGTTGCTCACTTTGACTTCACTTTGACTACATTTTGACTACATTTTGACCTCACTTTGACTTCACCGCCCTCTTTCACTCCCATTACCATTCCCGTTCCCGTTCCCGCTCTCCCCTTCCCTCCAGAGCAACATCGCTTATGCGCCAGGCCATGCTCTCTGCAAACCAGCCTCTCGATCCAAAGCAAAATCTGATGGACGACGAGACGACGATGAAGCTGTATCTGTTTCTCGGAAACCAGGACCAGTTCTCGATCGAGCTGAAGAAGGGCTTGCAGGCCGTGACTGGATACGAGGATCTGATCCAGGAAATGATTGGCACCTGTGCCGACTACATCGAAAGCGAGCAGTACCTACTGCCCGACACCAAGCATTCCTATCTCAAGGCAGGTTGCCGGTGAACGAGGAGAGGGACGAGGGTCGTGGGAGTCCACCAAGCGCATGCACACACACTTGGAGCACCCCCACCAGGCCGTCAGACCAACGACCTGGAGTTGGCAACATTGGCAATATTGGCGCCGCGACTGATTGAATGCCCATGATCGACATGCAGGCGATTGCCTTTGGGCTTTTCCTCATGGATGGCGACACTGACGAGAAAGACATCACCAAGAGAAAGCGGTTCCGACTGGACCGACTCGCCAAGCTTTTCCGGGTGAGTTGGGCAGAGCAGCATGCGCTGCGACGACACACATCGCGAGTCAAGGGTGCCGTTCGGGCCGCGCGGTGAGCTTACAACAAACTCGTGGCTCGTCCGGCTGACCACCATTGATCGTCCCTTCCTCTCCATCCCTTCCAAAGACTGTACCGGTGGTGCCGCTCTTTGGAGACATGCCCATTACTCTATCTACCATCTACGCCAAGGCGCCTCACCTGGGGAGCAAGTGGCAGGCCGTCGACATGAGCGAAAAGGCGGCCTTTGAAAAGTCATACAAGATCGTCAACTCGCTCGAGGCCACACGAAACAGCTACCACGAGTACCTGACCACATTTGGAAAGACTACCAACATGGTAAAGCGACGAGCACTGAGCCGCGGGAGGCTGCCGTGAATCGCCGAGCTCTGCGACAACGATGCTGACTTGACCTGCCGTGACACCACCATAGCTCCGCAAGGTGCTTGAGCAGAAGGGCTGCTTCTCATTTGATGAATACGAGCGAATCTACGAGATTTTGTTCGAAGGAATCCGGCTGCTTTGTGCCTGTACAACGAATGTGCTGGAGCAGGTACAGTAGCGCAAACAAGTGCCGGCTCCAGTCGCTATATTGAAGCCGATTGATCAGCAATGCTAGACACACGCTGACGGTACACTGGAAGAGTGTGTATACTGCGTGTGGGAGACCAGGCGGATGTCTATCCAGGAATGCCTGCTCGACATCCGCCTGGACCAGTGGCGTAGTGGTGTTGATGTTGTGCAAAATCTATTGCTGAACCTTGTGCCTTGCAGAGTGCATGGAAATATGCCAACCCAACGAGCTCAGCGATCAACATGGACATTCCTCCGACTGCAATCGACTATGAGCTGGTGAGTTGCGCACCACCGAGCAAATCAAGCGCCCAGAGATCGCTCAGCTGCAGCGACACACGCCTTGGGAATGGAAGAAGGGGATCTGACTCCAATCGGCTTCGTTGAAACAGGTGGTCAAGTACAACTACAGCCCAAAGGAGCGGCGCGCGCTCATCGAGGTGTGTATGTGGACGACGCTCGCCGTCGATAGTGATCCATAGCTTGTGCCCGAAGCGCTTACGCCAGCGCGATTTGTTTGCAATTATGCGATTTGCTTCGACAGTACATTGCCATCATCAAGAAGCTCTCGAGTCTGTTCCTGAGCCTCGACGACTACATGATAGAAGGGATTCAGCGGCATTTGTATTCGGCCTTTCAAGGCTTCATGAAGTACAACATGGCCGACTATATTGCACATGCAACCAAGAAGAAGCGCTCGATCGCCAAGTAAGGCGCTGGTCTTGTTTAGCGGTATCGTGGCCAGCGCTTGCTGCCCGGCTGTGAATGTCGGGAGGTGGTGGCGTTGAACTGCTATCGTGGCAATGTGTTGGAGGTTCGTGATCGGCCAGTAATCCAACCAACCCTATCTCTCGCCGCATATCCTCCACGTTCCGGTGCACACGTTACGAAAGCGTGCTCAAGGTCGTCAGAGAACTCTCGGTCGATGGCCTGTCCGACGAGGCCGCCAAATCTCCGTCCAAGACGATGCCGGTGATCAATCCGAGGAACCGAAAGGAGCCATTTTCCCTCACGCAGGTGCGCGAATCTCACCAAGCCCAAATGCCCTTCTTGAGTGCCGCGCTTGTTGTGGACGAGATCTGTTCTCAGAGAACTAACCATCCTCTCTGTGCGCATTATCGCTCGGCACTCGCGCAGCTGCACTATGCTCGGACCTTGATGGGCTTTGCCTTCAGTGAGAAGTCAAAGGGCATGAAAGGCGGGCTGCTCAAGGAGAAGGACTTCAAAGAAAGCCACGTGGACGAGATGCAGGATTTTTTCTACAAATCGTACTATTTCCCTCACATGATCGATTTCAAAGGTATTGATTTGGATCAGTGTCTGTGCATCGCGGCGCTATATTGGGACTCTTAGCAAGCCAGAGCCTAGTAATGGTCGGGGAAGGGGAGGGGAGAGGGAGGACATGGTCGCGTGCATTTCCTTTCGGCCTGTCGAGCTGGCGACGCTGATGCCACTGGGCCTGGGCCGACCAAACAGGAACGGTCGAGAGCTGCTCGGATCTCTCAGATCTCTGGTACAAGGAGTTTTATCTTGAAATGTCCAAGAAAGTGCAGGTGTGTGTTTCGCATTGGTGACGCAAGCCAAACTGTGTGCATGAATCTGCATCGATTGCGACGAGAACAGAGCCCACGACCCACTAACGACCAAGCACCCATCTGTCCTACTGTAGTTTCCAATTTCGATGTCACTCCCATGGATTCTTACCGAGTCGATTCTGGACGGACTGCATCCCGAGGCCATCGGGTACGAGATCCCATTTTGTCAGCTTTCGGCCGTCGTTGTGAGCTTGGCGGCAAAGTAGCGACTGAATATCTCCGTGTGCCTTGTGGATCGCCTCCACAGATACCTGTTCTTCGCCTTTGATGTCTACAACGATGCTGCCAATCGGGCTCTGCATCGCCTCAAGTGCAAGTTTATATACGACGAAATTGTGGCTGAGGTAACAGCTCTGAATTGCTCGTGAAGTTGTCGGCAGTGATTTGCGCCTTCGTCTATGTCTTCGATTGTTGTGTGGCCTTGATTGACCTCGGATATGTTCGCCGGTCTCTGGGGTGGAGTCACGTTCGTATCGATGTTTGAGTTGAGAGGCGAGAGTATGCGCTGTTGGTTCAGTTTCCGATGGCTGGTACTGGATTGAGACTCATCTGCCACCACTCTGGGCAGGTCAATTTGTGCTTTGACCAGCTGATCTTCCACGTGAGCGAGCACATCTATTCTCATTTCAAGAGATTTGCCTCCAGGTTGGTTTCGCCGGTACTCCCGCTTGAGCCGTCGATCGTCGTCGCAGAGTTCGATCTGGCATCTCGAATAGCAGGACTGACGATCGTATCCCTTGCGTTTTCAAACACCTCGTCCTTGGACGACAGCATGCTGCTTCCGATCGAGTTCCGCAACAAGATGGATGCCTGGTCTAGGCACTCGTACCAAGGGAGTAAAGAGACGCCGCTTGACTGCTACAACAATATTTTGAGACAGCGGCACTTTCAGGTTGGTCGAGAGGGCGTGGGGGGGGGGCTGTAAGGCCGTTTGTGGTTGCCTTCGTGGGACATGAGGAGCACTGTGAATATCAGAGGCAGAAGGATATCGAAGACCTCGGCCCTAACCAATCGATCTGGCGAAACATCGACGATAGCTGTTGGGGCGCTCTTTGAACATGGCAAAGCTGTTTGCAGAGCAAATGAACCAGCAACTCCGGAAGAGTATCGACATTGCGATCGGCCGCTACGAGTCTAGCACCATGCATATGGTGATTGTGGGTATTCGTCTTGGCACGGACCTAGACTTTGAAACCGGAGCTGCTGCCTTACCGGCTGATATTGACCTTGAGTGTAGCGATGGATGGGGGTTGGCTGTGATCCTCTATGCTAAGGCTACTGTTTCATATGTACCGCACATCTGAACTGTCGCTCAGGAACTCGAGCATCTCCTCAAGGTCATCAAGGAAACGCATCGGCTCTTGTCCCAGCATCTGACGCTGGATTCGTTCGAGGACATGCTCATGGAAGTTGATGAGACGGTCTCGCTGACCAAGGTCAACGGTCGGATCCTTACGCACACGGTCTCCCAGATCATCGAGGATGTTGCACCAAACTCGGTCTACAATATGCACAGCCGCAGGTATGTCCCGCATTACTGTCCGTGCCGTGTATTCTGAGCTGCTATGGATGGCTTCGCTCCAGCAAGGCTGATGCCATCGATCCACTCTGCAAGATTCATGCGAAAAGAAGGCACTATGGCCCCATCCAAGCCGCAGCAGAAGGTTTCCCATTCGCATATGTATGGATCCAAAGTAAGCTATACTCTCAGCTTGACTATGTACCCATGTACTCGACTATGACCTTGACCTTGACCTTGCCCTTGACCCGGTGTTCTGACGCCTTTGGATGTATTTGCTGCCAGAGTATCGGCTCGCTGCTGGGAGCGCACTTTGCTTTGTATCGTGGATATCTAGGCGATGCGCACTTCCAAGCGATTGCGCGGCTGATCGGAATCAAAGGTGTTGCTGTGCTCCTTGGCGAGATCACCTACCACGCCGAGCAATTGGTGAAGTATCGCACGACAGACCGGATGACAGTGCAGCCCATGCGAGCAGATAGGGCTATCGGAGCTCCGTTTGCGCAGAGATCTCTGGTATGCTCGTTAACACGGCCTCGAATTCTTTCAAAACCCCAGCTCTCGACCCAAGTGTCGGCATTCGTGTTGGTGTTCCAGAAGGGAGCTGCTCAGACGGTCAAACTGCCGATGCTGGAATATGGCGTCGTTGGCGCATACGGATACTTTGCCGCACACTTTGGTCCGATCATCCAGTATCCAGACCTCCACTCGCTCGTTTTGAATGGATTCCGGAGCTTTGGCAATCTGGCGCTCCTGCTGCAGTGCATGGATGATGCAATGGTATGCGGTGCGACACACTCGCAAGCGGCGACTCGCCTGATGGCCAAACGAGCACCCATACTGACCACAAATCGATCGTCCGACTGACAACCAAACGCGAATTCTGCGGCGAGCAGCAAAGCGAAAAGTGTTTGGGAAGGGTTTTGCTCGGCCTGTTCAGCACACAGACTGCTTCAGGTGGGCTTCCGTAACATTGTGCCAATGTCGTTGCGATGGCACTGCCCTAACATCGTGCATCGCTTTGAATGGGGGGGGGGATGCAGGGGCTGCCGATGTGCTTGATCAGCTGGTTCAAGACGGTGACGCACAACACAGCAGAGAATCGCTCCCGATGGTATGTTTACTTGGCTTGCGAGCCACCTAGCAGCGAAACTGCCGGTCGATGTGCTGTGGTTATCGATAACGACCTGTGGCGCCCGATTGGAGGGATTACTGACAGTGCGAATCCTGGTGCTGTTGGCGATCAACCCAGTCGTTCGGAGACTGGAAGAAGCGAGTCGACACCATCGCAGGCTATGAGGGAGCTGGCCATCTCTTCCGCAAGTTCCTGGAGGATCTCCGAAAGACTCTGGCTCATACAAACGAAGACTGGAAGATCAGCGACGCGCAGGGCCACCTGAACAACCCCAAAGCGTTCTACAAAATCTGGTGCGCAATACACTTTGCGTTTCTGCTTGCTCCAGAGGAGGAGAGCGTCGACAGCCCCAGGGATCTGTTTGGAGACGGCGTCCTCTGGGCCGGGTAAGTTATTCGTCGCGCAGCGAAGTGATATGGCAACGCAACGATGCTTCCTCAGAGGCCGAGTGCCGGGCGGAATGCGTGAGCCTTGCGCTGACCGTGACGATCTTGCGCTGTCAGCTCGATCATAATGCAGCTGCTGGACCAGGTGGAGCTGTTCAGAGCACTCGATCCAAGCCATCACGTCCTGCGGGTGTTCAAGCACGAGTCTCGGACAAAGGACCAGCCGGGACAGCCCGCCAAGGACATGAAAGACAAGCTTCCCCCGTCAGTGCGGCAGTTCCTGAGGGCTGCGCAGCTGGACCAGATCCTGGAGGACGAGATATTTGATGTGCTTGGACGGGCCACGGCGACGGCTTGATGCCGAGCAGCGCGGAGAAGGCTCGCGGGGTGGGGAGATCGCTCGCCAGACACAGTCCGAGGACCTGTATCGCATGCCGAATTCAGAACACGGCTTGGCGACGCCCAGCCGACCCCTGGCGCTGGGGCAGGGCACCCGCGGCTGGGCACCGGCCGCCCTGCCACCAGCGCCACCGCTCGATCGGCACCCGTGCGCTTGCATGTGAAAACCGGCGAGGTGCCCGCAGCGGCCCTGTGATTGTGTGCTCGCTGTGCGGTTGTGATGGCGACATCAGCAGGCTCGGTCGCACACTGTGTCACGCACGTTGTGTCACGCACCTTTTTTTTTCTCCACGCAGAGCCGTTTTTCCCGTGCGCGCCGGGGCAAAAAAGGGGTCGGCGCCGCTACAAAACCGACCGCTCAGGCCTCGCTGCTCCTGCGCTTCCGCTGCCAAATCTGCTCTTATCGCCGCACCCACAACGTCCTCTGCGACCCTGCTGCCTTCGCTGCCGTGAACCCGCTCCGGTCTTCCATCTGTCCCCTCCAGCCCGTCCAGTCCTACCGCCAGCGCCCTTCTCGCCCACCACCACTCGTCCAAATGGCTGCTTCCAAGACCAACAAAGTTCAGAGCTGGACCAACGACTTTCTGTCCGATCTCCCGTGCTGGTTCATGGCGCTCTACGGAACCATCTTCTGGATTGTTGTTGCATACAGCATTGGAAGCACCCCCAAGAACGCTGTTGCCTCTCCTCTGTTGTGAGGACCCCGTCGATGTGAGTCGTCTCTCCTGCCTCCTCTGTCGGCAGTTGCCCCCTTGCGGGTGGGCTTCATGATGGGGCGGACTCCCTCGCGGCGATGCGCTTGGGCCACCAGGACGGCCGCGTTGGCTCGTGGGCCGTTTTTTCATTCGACCGGAGAACGCAGCGCGCCGGCCACACCACGTTCCTGGTGGCTCCACTTGCGCTGCTGGTCATGATAACGATAGCTGTTGCACGCGCGCTATCGACCGACGCCGTGGCCTCGCTGGTCTGATTCTCATACCGCTGCCTTCTGCTGAATCCCGTCTGCAGGTTCCCTCATCCGCGTGCGCTGCTGCTGTCTTGGCGCATCCTCCGCAGGTCCAGGATGGCCGTGCGCTCGTCCCTCCGGCTTGCTCTTTAATTTGGTGCTAGAGGCCCACACGGGGCTCCAGAATCCCCGGTGTATAATGCGTGTGTAAAATTGTTTTGATGATGTGATGATTCCACCAAGCCCTTCTCTGAACTGGCTGCGTCTTGCCTATTTAATGACGTCTGCATTTTGCTTCTTCTCTCAGCTTGTTCCTTCTTATTCTCTCAGCTTCTTCGCTCAACTTGTTCCACTCAGCCAGCCGCTCTCTTTGGCGCATCCTCTTCCCTCTCGTATGCATACTTTCTCGTTGGTGCTTCCCTCTTCCACCTTGACACGACCTCAACTTGCTTCTCCTCCCGCTCTCTTTTGCTGTATACTGTTTTGATCTATCCAAGCCTGCGCCGCGTCTCCCTTCATGTTGCTCCGTATTCATGGACGCGCACCAAAGCGGCCCTCTTCGTGCCTTCGACCGAATATAGATTTGGACTCGCTACTCTCTGTGTCCCAGCATATGGTCTGCAAATAGTCCTTCCGCGTGTGAATCGGTTGGCTCTCGTCGGGACTGGCATCCGCATGCACACGCACTCTGCCCACTCACTCGCTGCTGCGGCCGAGACCCATGCTTCAAGTCGACTTGGGTCTGGGAGAACGGGCTCCGCCCTGTCGGATGGATCGAGACGGCGGAATATTGTCCGCTCCCATGGCGATCACGGGAAAGCGGCATGACCGCACGTGTCCGTCTCGCTGGACGAGGCGAGAGCGTCAGCGAGGCGAGGGCATCTCGCTCTGGCTGCGCCACGGCCTCTGTCGCTGCGCACGCCGTCTCGGCCACACACCACCGCCAGCGACCCCAGCCGCTGCGAGATCCCCGAGATCTCAAGACCCAAAGCGCCCTCTCTCTCTCTCGGCTCGTCTCTGTTCGGCCATCATCACACCCGCCGCTGCCGCCTGTCGCTCGGACCTCGCTCCCTCTATACAGCGGCGCTTTCTGCTTGGCCGACGAGCACTACCATACACCCGATCTTGCTCGCGCAGCAAGACCTGATCCTGTCGCCCTCGTCTGATCACACCGCACGCCATGGCCGAGCAAATCCAGAGAGATCAGCAGTACCAGTACACAGCCAATGCCAGTCTTGTCCTGAACGTCAACCGCTCGAGTCTCCCCCGACGAGACCAAGAACCCAGCGGTGAGCCCGAGACCCTCTACGGACGGATCAAGAAGAATGAGTTTGGTGATCGAGCCGTTCGCACCATCGATGAACAGAAAGAAAAGGTCGAGGCCAGGAGAAAGGCCAAGGAACAGAAGCTGAAAGCCAGCGGCGCCGAGCGCGATGCCGTCAAAAAGTCGAAAAAGGATCGAGACAGGTATGTTCTTGGCCTCCTTGCCGACGCACTCTTGCTGCCGGTTCCCTGAAGCCCACGCTCTGCAGGTGTGCTCCTCTGCCGGGCTCATCTCACTACCGCTCGTGGACTGCCACATGCGCTGGCCGATGCATTGGCCGATCAGACTGCACTCGATCCCGTCCTGATACCTGTCTGTCCTTTCTGTTTGTTTATCTGCCTGGGATTGATGGCGACACACCGTTGACCCCCGCTTGGAAATGCCCCACCTATGCCATGTCCTTGGCTCGTCAGCTTTGCCCGATATGGGCACTCGAACATTCTGGCTGCCACCGACGATTTTGAGGGCGAGACGTACCGCCCGCGAACCAGAGAGACCCGGCAGACGTATGAGCTGATCCTGACCAACATCCAACGCTACCTCGGCGACATCGCAACCGAGTACCTCCGCGGCGCTGCCGACGAGGTCCTTGCGATCCTCAAGGACGACTCGAAGAAGGATTTCGACAAGAAAAAGGAGCTCGAGGGCGTCTTTCGAATCTCGGTCAGCTCGGTTGACTTTTCGCAGCTCGTCAACCTCTCCAAAAAGATCACCGACTACAACATCACAGACGCTGCCGAGCCCAGCAACGAGTCGGGCATGGCTCGCGACCAAGATCTAGACGAGGAGTATGGTGTTGCTGTTGTTTTTGAGGAAGATGATGAGGACGAAGACGACGACGACGAGTACGAGGTCAAGGATGCCGAGGATGAAGACGACGAAGAGAGCCGCCGAGTCGGTGCCGTCGCCGACGATGGCGAGCCCTCGGATGTTCTCAAGACCAGTGCCGCCGGCGCCGATGACATGGACACGGAGGCGGACAACGACGACTTTACGACCGTTATCACCGCCGGCGCAGCGAAAAAGCAGACCAAGGGCGCCGCTCCAACCGAGGTGCTCAACCCCCACGACGTCGACGCCTTCTGGCTCCAGCGCACCGTCTCCACATTCTACAGCGACGCCCATACGGCGCAAGAAAAGACCAAGCTTTCCTTTGGCATCCTCTCGTCTGCATCGAACCCCAGAGAGTGCGAAAACGAGCTCATGGCCCTCTTTGACTTTGACAAATTCGAGCTCGTCAAGCTCCTCACGCGCAATCGCGATGTCATTGTCTGGTGTACCCGGCTAGCCCGAGCCGAGGGTGACGAAAGGGTCAGCATCCAAAACGAAATGCGCGAAAGCGGATACGCGAGCATCCTTGAGCAGCTCCTGCTGGCACCGACCCGCAAAGCCCAGGGCGAGAGCCGTCGAGGTGTCGTCGAGGACGCCATGAAGTTCCAGCAGGCCCAGGGCCCCATCGATCCGACAGCGTTGCTGAGCGCTTCGGCAGCGACCGTATCAGGATCATACGTGCCGCGAGCCGTGATCGATCTGGAATCGATGACGTTCGAGCAGGGTGGCCATCTGATGTCCAACAAAAAGTGCAAGCTGCCCGAAGGCACCATCAAGCGAAGCAAGAAGGGCTACGAAGAGATCCACGTCCCCGCCCCCAGGAGCAAGCCCATGGCTGAAAACGAGAAGCTTGTACCGATCGCGTCTCTGCCCCAGTGGGCTCGCGCAGGCTTCAAGGGCGCCGAGAAGCTCAACCGGGTCCAAAGCCAGGTCTATCCCATCGCCTTTGGCGAAGATGAGAATCTGCTGATCTGCGCCCCGACCGGTGCTGGCAAGGTAAGCGGGTTTGCTGTCGTTGCTGTCGTTGCTGTCGTTGCTGTCGTTGCTGTCGTTGCTGTCGTTGCTGCCAAATGCGATGCAGGCGCGTGGATCAAGCCGCCGCCTACATTTTACAGTGTCCTTGGGCGCTGAGCCACGAGCCGATCTGGGCTTGTACTGACCATTTGTCCTGATATCCTCTGCGCCTGTGCCAACCGCCAGACCAACGTCGCCATGCTCACTATCCTGAGAGAAATAGGCAAGAACATGGATGAGCAGACCGGAGCCCTCAACTTGGAGGCCTTCAAGATTGTCTACATTGCCCCCATGAAGGCTCTGGTTGCCGAAATGGTCGGCAACTTCCAAAAGCGCCTCGACAACTATGGCATCAAGGTATCCGAGCTCACCGGCGATCGCCAGCTCACCAAGCAGCAGATCGCCGAGACCCAGATCATCGTCACCACTCCAGAAAAGTGGGATGTTATCACCCGCAAGGCCACGGATCGCTCCTATACCAACCTAGTTCGTCTCATCATCATCGACGAAGTCCATTTGCTCCACGACGAGCGCGGACCTGTCCTCGAGAGCATCATCAGCCGCACGATTCGCACCATGGAGCAGACACAGGAGCTCGTTCGCCTTGTCGGCCTCAGTGCCACGCTCCCAAACTACCACGATGTCGCCGCGTTCATGCGCGTCAAGCCCAACCGGGGCCTGTTTTACTTTGACAACAGCTACCGCCCATGCCCCCTGAAGCAGCAGTACATTGGCATCACCGAGAAGAAGGCCATCAAGCGCTTCCAGCTCATGAACGAGATCGCATACGAAAAGGTTATGGAGGAGTCCGGCAAGAACCAGATTCTCATCTTCTGCCACTCGCGCAAGGAGACCGCCAAGACCGCCAAGACTCTGCGCGACATGGCCATCGAGAAGGATACCATCGGCGAGATCCTGGGCCGTGACGCAGCCAGCCGCGAAATCTTGCAGACGGAGGCAGCCACGGTCAAGAACAAGGATCTGCAGGACATTCTGCCATACGGCTTCGCGATCCACCACGCCGGCATGGCCCGATCCGACCGCACCCTCGTCGAGGACCTGTTTGCCGGCGGCCACGTCCAGGTGTTGGTGTCGACGGCCACGCTGGCCTGGGGTGTCAACCTCCCCGCCCATACCGTCATCATCAAGGGCACCCAGGTTTATTCGCCCGAGAAGGGCCGCTGGGTTGAGCTGAGCCCACAGGATGTCCTCCAGATGCTTGGTCGCGCCGGCCGTCCCCAGTTCGACACTCACGGCGAGGGTATCATCCTCACTACCCACACCGAGCTGCAGTACTATCTGTCGCTGCTCAACCAGCAGCTGCCAATCGAGTCCCAGTTCATCTCTAAGCTCGCCGACAACATGAACGCCGAGATTGTACTGGGCAACATTCGCAGCCGCGAGGATGCGGCCACCTGGCTCGGCTACACCTATCTGTATGTCCGCATGTTGCGAAATCCGTCGCTCTACAACATCACCCCCGATGATCTGGCCGAGGATCGCTTCCTCGAACAAAAGCGAACCGACCTGGTCCACAGCGCCGCGACCTTGCTTGACAAGAGCAACCTGATTCGATACGACAAAAAGACCGGCAAGTTCCAGGTCACCGAGCTGGGCCGCATTGCGTCGCACTACTACGTCAGCCACCAGTCCATGGCCAAGTACAACCAGCACCTCAAGCCGACGCTGAGCCTCATGGACCTCTTCCGCATCTTTGCTCTGTCGGAGGAGTTCAAGTTCATTCCCGTCCGCGAGGAAGAGAAGCTCGAGCTCACCAAGATGCTCGAGCGCGTGCCTGTGCCTGTGAAAGAGAGCATCGAGGAGCCCACTGCCAAAATCAACGTGCTGCTGCAGGCCTACATCTCGCAGCTGCAGCTCGAGGGCTTTGCGCTCATGAGCGACATGGTCTACGTCACCCAGAGCGCCAGCCGAATCATCCGAGCAATCTTTGAGATCTGTCTCAAACAAGGCTGGGCCCAGCTCGCGCGCAAGGCCCTCGATCTCTGCAAGATGGTCGATCGCCGCATGTGGTTGTCGATGAACCCGCTGCGCCAGTTCCGGTCGTTCCCGGCCGATCTCATCAAGCGGTTGGAGAGCAAAGAGTTTGCCTGGGACCGCTACTACGACCTGCAAGAGTACGAGCTGGGCGAGCTTGCCGGCATCCCCAAGCTTGGAAAGCTGATCCACAAGTTCGTCCACATGCTCCCGAAACTCGAGATCGAGGCCCATGTGCAGCCCATCACGCGCTCTCTCCTGCAGATCGAGCTGCGAATCACGCCCGACTTTACCTTTGACGAGAAGGGTGCCAGCGGCGCCGAGTCGTTCTGGGTCTTGATTGAAGACGTCGACGGCGAGCAGATCCTGTACCACGATCTCTTCCTGCTGAAGGAGCGATATGCCACCGAGGAGCACGTCATGAAGTTCACCATTCCGCTCTACGAGCCCTTGCCGCCCAACTACTTTGTGTCGATTGTGTCGGATCGCTGGCTTCATTCAGAGACGCGTGCGCCTGTTTCGTTCAAGCACTTGATCCTGCCCGAGAAGTACGTCCCGCACACCGAGCTCTTGGATCTACAGCCACTCCCGACGGCTGCGTTCGGGAACCGAGAGTTTGAGGCCGTCTACAAGGACATCCGCGTATTCAATCCCATTCAGACGCAGGTCTTCAACTCGCTCTACAACTCTGACGACAACGTCTTTGTGGGTGCGCCAGCCGGAAGCGGCAAGGTATGTGTGCTAGTTGCCGTGTGTGTGTGGTCGCAGTTTTTTCGATGGTCCTAACCTTCGCTGGGCAAGTGTGCTGAACCTCCTCCTATCAACCTCTTCCTATCAACCCTATCCATCGACCTCCTCCTATCAACCCTCTCCATCACTCCTCTCTATCGACCTTGGCTATCGACCGTCATCTCATTACTTTCCTGTCTCCTATGCTCTAGACGATCTGCGCCGAGTTTGCTCTGCTTCGCCTCTGGGCCCGCAACCCGCGTGCTCGCTGCGTCTACATTGCGCCAAACGCCGACGTTGCTGAGCTGCAGATGGCCGACTGGAAGTCCAAATTCGGCAAGCTTCTGGGCGGCAAGAACATTGTGCTGTTGACCGGCGAGACAACGGCCGATCTCAAGTTCCTTGAAAAGGGCGACATCATCTTCTCGACCCCGGAGCACTGGGACATGCTCTCCCGCCGCTGGAAGCAGCGCAAAAACGTTCAGACGATTGGGCTATTCATCGTGGATGAAGTTCACTTGATTGGCAGCACTCCCTCTGGCCCGACGATCGAGGTCATTGTGTCGAGGATGCGCTTCATCAACGCCCAGATCGAGGGCAAGATCCGTATCGTTGCCCTGGGCACCTCGCTTGCCAATGCCCGCGACCTGGGCGAGTGGATTGGCGCCAACAGCCACTCGACCTTCAACTTCCACCCCAACGTGCGTCCGATTCCGCTCGAGATCCACATCCAAACTTACAACATCCCGCACTTTGCCTCGCTGATGATCGCCATGAGCAAGCCTGTCTTCCTCGGCCTGACTCAGGTTGCGCCCGGCCGGCCGGCCATCGTCTTTGTTCCAAGCCGCAAGCAGTGCCGCCTGACGGCCATCGAGCTGCTGACGCTCTGCGCTGCCCAAGGAACGGCCAAGCAGTTCCTGCGATGCAGCGAAGATGCCATCGAAGAGTATGTCCAAAAGATCGAGGACAGGCATCTGGCCGAGACCGTTTCCTACGGCGTGGCCTTCTTCCACGAGGCCCTGAGCCGCAACGACAAGCGCATCGTCGAGACGCTCTTTGAGAGCAACGCCATCCAGGTGGTCGTTGCCAGCAAGGATACCTGCTGGGGCATTCGTCTGCGCGCGCAGCTCGTCGTTATCATGGGCACCCAGTTCTACGAAGGACGGGAGCACCGCTACGCCGACTACCCGATTGCCGAGGTTCTTCAGATGATGGGACGAGCCACCCGTCCGGCCCCTGGCGAGAGCGCAAAGTGCATTCTGATGTGCCAGGCGGTCAAGAAGGACTTTTACAAAAAGTTCCTGTACGAGGCGCTGCCGGTCGAGTCGCACCTCGACCACTTCCTGCATGACCACTTCAACGCCGAGGTTGTCACCAAAACCATCGAGAACAAGCAGGAGGCCGTCGACTATCTCACTTGGACATTCCTCTACCGCCGCCTGACCCTCAACCCGAACTACTACAACCTGCAGGGCGTCACGCACCGCCACATCTCGGACTATCTCTCCGAGCTCGTCGAGACGACCCTCGAGGACCTGGCCAACTCAAAGTGCATCGAGCTCGAGGACGACAACATGGGGCCCCTCAACCTGGGCATGATTGCGGCCTACTACTACATCAAATACGAGACCATCGAGCTCTTCTCGATGTCGCTGACCCAGAAGACCAAGCACCGTGGTCTGCTGGAGATTATCGCTGCGGCGGCAGAGTACTTTAGCGTGCCCATTCGCCACCACGAAGACAGGGTGCTCAAGCAGATCTACGACCGGCTCCCTGTCAAGGTCGAGAACCCCAACTTTATGGATCCACACGTCAAGACCAACATCCTGCTTCAGGCGCACTTCTCGCGCATCCAGCTGCCACCTGATCTGGAATCCGACCAGAGATCGATCCTCACGCGAGTGATTGCCCTGATCCAGGCTGCCGTTGATGTGATCTCGTCCAACGGCTGGCTCGACCCTGCGGTCACGGCCATGGAGCTCTCGCAAATGTGCGTCCAGGCGGTTTGGAACCGCGACTCGGTGCTCCGACAAGTGCCGCACTTGACGCTGCCTGTGATCGAACGGCTCAAGGGCAAGGGCGTCGAGGACATTTTCCAGCTCATGGAGATGGACGACGATGACCGCAACCAGGCCCTGGGCATGGACGGCAAGCGCATGGCTGACATTGCTCGGTTTGCAAACCGGTACCCCAATATCGAGTTGTCGTTCGATCTCTCGGAGGACGAGGCACACCAGGGCGACATGGTGACCCTCAAGGTTGTGCTCGAGCGCGATGTCGACGAGGACGACGAGAACAGCAGCGGCCCCACCGACGTCGGTCCTGTAATCGCACCGCACTTCCCCGTCAAGAAGGATGAGGGCTGGTGGCTTGTTGTCGGCAACCCCAAGGACAAGACGCTGCTGGCGATCAAGCGCCTGACACTGCAGCGGAAGCTGACTGTCAGCCTGGACTTTGCCATCCCGGAGAGCGTCCTCGGCGACGTCGACTTCAAGCTCTACTTTATGTGCGACTCGTACACCGGCGTCGATCAAGAGTACGACCTGCCGATCAAGGTTCTCGAGGGCAACGACGCCGGCGAGGACGATGACGACGGCGACGAAGGCGACGACAGCGACGAGGAGATGGAGGACGCCTAGGAATTTTGCCGTGTCTGGTGGCCCCGTGGCCAGGGTGGGGGAGCGGGAGGGTGGGGACCGCACGCAACACAGCGCATTGAGAACATGTGACGCAGCCCCGAGCTCCACAATAAAGGCAATCCAATAAAAAACGGGACACCCGGGTTTTTGACCATTCATCGAATATTTTGTTACCCAATGTTATCGCGCGCTGGCCATGACCATTCGCCGGACAGTGTGGAATCGCGACGTCAATGCGGCGCGCAACATGATCGCAGTGTGCAGGTCGATTGTGGAGATCGGAGAGCGACCGGCGGTCTTCACTCGGAGGCTGCCAAAGTGATCTGTTTTATTTCTTGTGGCTTTGCTAGACGCGAGCACAGCACATACTACTGTTCATGGAAACGGCTATATTGTCCCGTTTTTTTCTGAATAAAGTGTAAAGGACGACTGAAAACTAGGGGCGAGAAAGGCGGCCGCGGAGTGGGGATGGTGATGGGTGTGGTGATGTGCGGTGTGGTGATGTGCGGTGTGGTGATGTGTGGTGGTAGTAATCCACAACCAAGACAGACAACGATGGCAGACGATGCGAGGAAATGATAACCGGCGATGGTTGGTCTGCCTTGCCCTGCCGCGTGGACGAAGGAATTGCAGTTCATCAGCCCGCACGCCTCGTCACGAAGTGGATAGGCGTGTGTCATCTTTGCTTGGCCGTGGCTTCATCCTGCTCTGCCTCCTCTGCCTCCACCACAACCACAGGTCCGATCGATCGGGCAGCTGAAGGGGACAGGCCCACGCCGACGGGTCTTGTGCTCATTCAGATGGTCGGTGTGTAGCGCCGGTGGAGTGCGGGGAAAGGGGAGGGAAAGGGATCGCCTGGACAGGCAGACCGACCATCAGACAGATATTTGCTTGGCGCTGTCACTGCTGGCCCAAGACGCTGGGGGGGGGGCACAAAAGGGCCCAAATGGTGCGAGCCTGCGAACAAGGGTGCAGGCGAGAGTGCATTGTGCAGCCGGACAGCGCCGATGCGGGAAGTGGGTGGATGAGCAGATGGGGGAAGCAACGAGATGAGATGAAGACAATGGGACTTGCCAAGCAGGGAAAGGATGAGAAAGAATCCAGAGATGGGGAGGCGGACGGAAAGCACAGATGCCAAATCAAACCAAGACCGGGAGTGGTCACAAAAGTCAGTTGGTTGGCCAAGAATGTCAGTCGGTTGGTCAGACAGGCAGCTTCGCCCACCCTCCTTCGCCTCGAGATTGCCCGCTGACCTGAGCCAAAATTTCGCCTCAGAGCCGTCAACGAGTGAAGGAAGGCGGACGACCGACTTGTGGTGCGGGAAGCCGCCGGAGGAGAGCTACTCGTGGTTCCAATCCCGCGACAAGACGAGGTGGAGCCCCCTTCCCAGACCCGCAACCACAGGGCGATTGAAGGGAATAGATGGAGGCGGCGGACAAACAAATATCTGCCGGGATCAGCAAGGGACCAGTCCGGGATCTGTCCGGGATCTGTTTGGGATCTGTCCGGGATCTGCCTGGGATCTTGTGGATGGATCCGCTGGTGGGAATGGGCGGTTGATTGCTGGGCGTTGACTGTCGGGTGTCATAGCAGCGCTGGCGGCTATCGAAATGGCCAGCAAGCCTCGGGGACAGCTGAGGCGTATTGTTACATTTACTAGGATCGACAGGCCACCTCCCGCTGCTCCACCCGCCCCGACTGCCATTCAATTTCAGAAGAGAAGCACGAGCCGACATCGTATCTATTCAAGATGCATGGACAGTGGTGATCTGATGGCATCGGCAGTAACCGGCCACTAGAACCCACTTTGGAGACAGCTAGCTACGGTCGACTGTAAGGACGGATAGATCTATTGACGATGGAACCGAGGTGGGGAGGAGAAGTGGTTATGCAACACACAGAGAAGGAAGGGACGGCGGGAATCATGGGAGCTGCAATTGATTCGTGCAAAGGAGATTTGGCGGGAGCGTCAAAGCAAAGAAGCAACCGAATAGAAGAAGAGAGCCGGAAATATATGGCCAAAATGGAGGGAAGTGCCAGTGAAATGTGGTGCAAGTATCGCAGGCAACGGTAGACTCGCCGTGAGGCGTCGAGAATGGGGATGGGTGTCGCTGACGAGGTGGAGCATGCCGACTTGAAAGTGTTAAAGGGGGCAGCAATGGACGGATGGAGATGGGAGACACAACCGGAAACGAATATAGTACATTAAAACATGGCCACTCGTACGAGTATATGAATTAGAACCAAGTTGACCAAAACATTAGAAGAGTGAAGCTGACACAAGGGCCTGTCCACTGCAGGACAGGAGAGCCGGCGACGAGCAGGCAAGGGAGGGGAGGGAGTTTGATGCAGAGAGGAACATGAACGACTTCCCAGGTCGATGGGGGATCGATGGAAAGAGAACGAGAGCGAGCCGGAGCCGGAGCCGGAGCCCATCGGCGATGTGCATAGTATCGGGAGATTATGTCGAGTCGTCGTCGCTGCTATCGTTTCGCCTATTATCTATTGGACCTTTGATTTGGCGACGAATATGCCGACGTCAGGGAGCGCTGCTGCCCCTGGTCAGGGGAGCGTGGCGACGACGGCGAGTTTGACTGCAACGAACGTGAGCCCGAGAACGACCTCTGGCCCTCAGAGGCATACAGAGGACGTGGCGGTGGCGGCGGAAGATGGCGGAAGGAGCCCGGCGGAAGAGGAGAAGGGCCCGGCGGGAAAGACTGACTGTATGGCGGCCTGGATGGCGGTGGTGGTGATGTCCCACGCGAGGGCAGCTCGCCTGGGAACGACGACGACGGAACCGGGCTTGCTCGAAATCCCGGGGTGGTTCCTGGTGTCGGCAGCAGCAGGCCGGCCGGCGACAACGAGTGCATCGAGGCGGTACTGTTGTGGAAATCTCGGTACGATTGCTGCTGCTGCGGTGGCTGCGACGATGGCTGCGCCAACAACTTGGGCTGGATGGCATATGGATGGTATCGCTTGGGAACACTTCGCTCGGGAGGTGATGTGCGCTCCGACGACTCTTCCGACGAGTGTCCCCCGAGGGCGGCGTCCTTGCGAATATGGATGGCGACGCCTTGGCGGGCAAAGCAGCGGGACAACTCGGTCGAGTCTAGTAGGATCCATTGCCGGAGCGTGGGGTGAGTGTGAATCGCCAATGACAGCAAGCGCAGGAAAGGTCGTCAAGACTTCCCATTTCCCGCCCGCAGCCTCATTAATGCCCGGATCGATACCGCCCCTCATGGGCTTCTCGTGGGCCACAAAAGTTGAATGCAAGGGAGTAGGGCAGTCGTCGTACCTGTCATTCCCGGAAAAGTCTTGGGCGGGAAGCTCTCAAACACATCCGAGACGATGCTGGCCTCGAATCCTGTGGTCGAATCGCGCCTGAGACCAAAGCCAGGATGAACAGGTACAATGTCAGCATCAGTTCCCACGATGGAGACGGCAAGCTCGACTGAGGACCAGCCTGGGGAGGATGGCATTGCTATCGTGCTAGACCCCGTCGGTGGTCCTGGGCGGACTCCCTGGTGGCTGGAGAGACCACGATGGCATCGCTGGCGGCATGGGGCGGGGGGCAACAGGAGTGGATCCAGCCCCGGCGCGCAGGGCAAGTTGCCTTGGTCCACTGCCTCGCCTTGGCCGTTCGTCCCACCACAGTCGCACCCATTCCTGCAGGTAGTTGAAGGGAGCCCGAGCAACGCCCAAGGCGATCCAGCCTGCCCACCCGCACATCGATTGCCCAGCGGCACCAACAGCCGCCATTCCACGCCCGCTCACACGATGGGCGCCTTTGCCCAGAGCGCCATCCGCTGCCGCCACATCCACCACCTTCGCCCTGCCGATGGACGGCCGCGGCGATGAAAGGTGGGGACAGCATCGATGGCGACGGCGACGGCGAGATGTACCTACCGCGTCACATTGATCAGATTGAACTTGAGACGGTACGTGCCTTGTGTTCGTACTGAGATGTCGTTGAAAACGAAAAACATGCCCTCCTTGCCGCTGTGGTCGTAGAGCACCGCGCAAGATGTCACCAGGGTCCCCACCAGCGTCTGGCAGAACTGCGACGATGACGAAAAGGGATAGAGGTCGTGGGACGCTTGCAGACCCTTTGTCTTGGCGCGAGCTGGGTCGACAGCAGGATCGTTTGGCGATGCAGGAGCGAAGGGCCATCGCGACCGGTGTTGGTTTGAGCCCGAGGAAGGAGATTGCCGCAGATAGAGGTCGTTTGTGGAGGTTGTTGATTGTGGGATAATTGGGAGAGACTCGGGTGAGACACGTTTCCGATCCTGTGGGTTGGGGCCTGTTGGCAAGCGCGGAGCCATTCCATGCCAATTCCACCTCGGACTGCGTTGGATACGTACGATGGATGACGACGCTTCGGTCTTCGCTGCCTTGAGCCGAATACAACGACACGTAGCAGACCAGAAGCGGATAGTGCTCGGGGCTGGGCAAAGAAAGGGCAAAGGAAGACGCGGACCCAGAGTTCGATCCAGAGTTCGACCCGGGCCAGAGAGCATTCCAAAGCAGAGCCGAGGCCGCAGACAGCGCAGATGGTTGATGGCGCAGATGTGATCGAAGGTTGATGGGCGATGCGGAGCAGGAGCCGGAGAGCGGGAACAATAACCAATACAAGAGTGAGAACCGCGAGTCCGGATCGATGACTAGTGCTTCTCCGTGCAAATCAAGCTGCTCTCTGAAACGGGTGTGCTTGGGGAGAGACGAAGGCCAGAGGATCGAGCATCCCGAGTGCTGCTGGCACATGTGAACAAGATTGGGTCGGGGGAGTAATCGAGACTCGCCCTCCAGGATCACAGGCAGCACAATCTCGGCGTGATCAGCAACGGGGGATCGTTCCATACCTGACATCGATTGTGTTGCCTTCTCGATCGACAACCAGCAACTGGATCACAGGAGGCGGGTCTCTGGAAAGCCGCGATCGAGAACACGAAATCAGCAACCGGGACAGAGAAATGTAAGTACAGACGACGAGATGCAGACACGGATAGCGAGAGGCAAGTATGTATGGATGAACAAGAAGCAAGTTGGGATAGCGAGACGCAAGCATAGGCCGAGACGTCAACACAGGCGGACCCAGACACATCCCGACCGAGCCGAGACCAGCTGAAAGGTCGCTGGGCCCGATGGAGGTATTCCCAAGTGGAGTATCTCCAGGCGACTGGACTGCCACGATCGGATCCGTTTGTAACTGCAACTGCGCCGATGGTGTTCCTGCGCCTGTGCCTATGGCTGTCCCTTCTCCCAGACGACATCGACACTCGGCTATCATGGGCCTGCACCTAGTGCAGTTGCAGCGGACTCGGTCTTACATGAGCCGCCGATCTTTGGTATCGGAGAAGCCGCACATCCGGGCACGAATGGGCTGCTGGGAGATGACAAGCTTGTAGGTGCTGTGGATGGGCCGCCGTGTGCCATAGTCGAGGGCCATGGCGTGCAGGGGTGCGTGCGTACGTACGTTCGGGAGAGAGGTGGAGAAGACGGCCCGAGTCAGGAAAAGGCAAAAGGCAAGCGAGTGGCAGAGGGAGCGGGGCCGCATGGGGCAGCTCGCACGGGCAGCCTATATTGCCCGGGCCATGAGCAAGCCGTGCCGCCCGTGAGGCGGTATCAAGATGGAAGCCATAGCAAAACCATCGACAGCAAAAGTAACAATCGCCACAAATTGCAGCAGTAGCCACGGCGACGATAGTGGCAGTGGCAGTCGCAGTGGTGGAGACATACACGTCGGATGGATGCATGCTTGAGCTGTGTGGTTGAGAACAGAGGCAAGATCCGGTAGAGGCAGCTCAGCTGGCTGTGGGTACGAGATGGACAAAGGTCTGGAGGGTGGCCGATGCGAGCGAGAGGGGGCTCTGGAGTGGCCAACAGCGATTCGGGGGGAAGGGAGATGCTGAGGCAGCCGGGGATGGGAGGGGGAACAGCCCGAGCCCTGGACGACGAGAGTGGTGCGAGGCAGGAGGACAACGGGGGATCAGAGCAACCAGAGAGATAAACCAGAAAGAAATGCGATGGGATAAGAAATACCGCGAGGGACTGCAGACCAGAGCCAGCGTGGGTTGGGAGAGCCGGGAGCCTGCCAGCAAGGTGGGTTGGGGGGGGGGTGCACTAAGTGGGAGCGTTCAAGGATTCCCCTGACCCCAGTCCAGCAATGACGACAGGCGCGAGAACCAAGCGCCCAAAGGCCGAGTACAGCCACAAGGAGACCACGGCGAGAAGGCCGCGGGCGAGCCCTAAATCCTGGGGACGAACCAGCGGGACGGCGAGCACGCCCAATCATGAGGACGGCAGCAGCCACCTGTCTGCCCGGGCCGAGCAACGCCCCGGCAGCTCAAGGTACCATGGGTGGGTGCCTGGAAGCGCAGAGCACACTCCGCCGCTTGTTGCTCTCCTTGCCCCGGGTGGCGGGTGGGTCGTGGGAGCCCCTTGCAAAGACCCCCCCCACTCGACCAGCAAGCACAACGGCCCCTGTCGTGGGACGGATGCTGGCTGCTGCGTGGGAACCGGGAAAACCGAGTGTGAGCTGGAATGAGCAGTGGCGATGGTGTTGGGTATAGCAGTGGCAACGGTGTTGGCATCGAGATCGCTGGTGTCGGCAGTGGTGTTCGCACCAACTTTGATGTTGCTGCTGCTGCTCTGACAGCATGCCGCGCCACAGGCACCGTCCAAGTGCACAATACAAAAGCACCACTTGCAACAGCAGAAGGAGAAGCAGAAGCAGAAGCACCGATATCTGCACGCCAAAGCACACTGCCTGCAGCCCTGCCCCCACAGCCACCATTCGGCGGTTCTCGCTCGGCATAACACCAGGCAAATAGGAGAAACCGCAGCCAGTTCCGCCGCAAACAAGCGGTGGCTTTGTCGGCAGGCGCGTTGTACTGATAGGCCGGCTGTTGGCAAAGAGCAGCGATGGAGGGAATCTGGCTGCAACAAAGGCGCATCGGTGCGCCCTTGTGGTTGCGCTAATGCAGCGTTGGGGTGGTGCGTTGGCCCTGTATGGCGAAGGACAAAGGCTCGTCGTCCAGCAGGACGGATGCCAGCGGACCACACCACACCACACCCACCATACCACACCATACCACACCATACCACACCAGACCCAAACAAGCCGAGACAGAGCACGGCAGAACGAACAGCCCCGGGGCAGGGCGGTTGGCCGATCGCCAGATGGATCGGGGAAGCTGACAGCGGTGCAACCGCCGTAATCGAAGCGAAATGGAGGCGCTGGCCCACCGCCAAAACACGGCAGCGATGGCGGGTGGGTGGGTGGATGGCGGTGGTGGACAGCCCGGCCCATTGCGATCGCAAGAGGGAAGATGATCGACCAGGAGATCAGATGAGACGAGATGTGCGCGGGTCTGTCGAGGTGTGGTCGCGCAGCCGCCCGCCATACGCACGCACACCCGAGACCCAGAGCAAAGGGCGGCCCTGGCCAACAACCAGCGAGCGAGCGCCGGACCTGCCACGCATGGCTCGTGTACAGGTTGCTTGCACGCCGGCGTCTGGCCGGTGCATGGGGGGAGAGCACCGGAGGCCTGTGGGGACGGAGCAGCGACGCTGGAGGCCGGTATATGTACGGTGCCTCGGATAGAGACCCCGCAGCGACCGGATGGGGCTTGCAGCATCTGCATCTGTGCACTAGAACGTCCCGAGTTTCAATGCGTGTTGTTCATGGTGGGGAGATGGCATTCCGAGTTGAAGGTGTCGCACCCACCGCCGATGCCCTCAACGCACATGTCCTTGAGAGCTCATCCCATAATATCTCATCGCCGAGCCCGTCGCAGCCATGCGAGTGGTGACAACACCGTCTCGCCAGGCTTTCGACCGACACCGTTCCAGTCCACATCGACACCGTTCTGGTCCACACCAACACCATCCCCGTCTCAATCGCGGGCAGGCAACGGTGCAGCCACGGCCCGATCCGCCCACTCCCCTTGCGGCTCAATCTCCCCACGGCGCTCCTCAATTTACGGGAGGGGGAGCCGATTGCATCAAGGCCGCCACGGCTCGGCAAGACGCAGCGCCATTTGCCTTGCTGCCGTCAGCCCTTGCGGGCGTCTCTCGGCTCTTTCCCTTTCCCATCTTTCTCCCCACGCCTTGGCAACAACGCGTGCAAGCTGCTGATTGTGCAAGGTGTTTCATCGCGCTGAAGCCGCGGCCCACCCGATCCTGCCTAGCACAGCCACAAATCCCCACGTCGCACACGAGGGCCTTGTGCGCCCTTGCTTCGCGGCGCGGCGAATCTCGTGGCTGAGCGTGCCTGCGCAAGCAGTGCCGGAACTTGGCCGGCTGCACTCCAGCAGCCAATCCGGTGTCTCTGGACCAATGTGCCCCTCTGTGCATCAGACAGATCTGCGCCGGTTTCTCTATCGTGCCGCTGTCTTCCACTTCCAGCCTGTCGGCCTCGCCATCCTGTCTGCCACCCAATCCCATCGCATTCTCTCCACTCGCCAAGCACCAGCCAGTCCCGGGACTGTTATTTCGCCAACTTCCTTCCTTCCCCCTCCCCCCCAAAAAAATGCGCCGAAATGGGCCAAGCCAAATGCAGCAGACGACTTTGTCGCGTGAGCCTGATCCGATGGCACTCGCATCTGCGACCAAGGCTGGGGCATCTGGGCCGGCAAAGCCGGCGGCGATGGATCACAAACTCCCTCATACGACCAGACGAAGGGCGCCTTCGTTGCTGGCGGCGCATTATCAGACAAAGCCACAACGCCGCCCAGCCGTCTGCCTCATCAACAATCCTCTTGTCCAGCCAACCAACTTGCTGGTGCATCGCTCGAGCCCAGCAACATTTGTTTGCGCATGCGCCGCAGATCCCGAGCAGTGCGAATCTGGGCGCCGGCTGTTTTGATGCACAAGTCATCTCCGCTTCAAAGTTGCCGCCTGGACCGACCGAGTTTCGGGGCCGGGGGCGTTCATTTGCATCATCTCCTTGCAACTCACTGCACCGTCAGCTTGAGGGGCTGTCGCAGAGGACTCGGATCTGTGACAAAGCCAGACCCATTGCGGATGAGCTGGATGGGCCAGTCCCAGCGTCCTTGATCCGATCCAGTCCAAGCCTTGCTGATCCGCCGCCACGCAACAACATGCAGCAATAGCATGCAGGGACCTGTGCCATCCGAGTCCCTCTCCCAGTCCCAAAGCGCCGACCATCAAGGCTCATTAAAGGCCCAGATGCGCTCTTGAGTCAACTCTGTCCCGGTTCCCACGAGCCAACTCGGGTGGGCGGTGGAGTCTACGGATTTCCCACGACGAGAGACAGACACGTACATGTTGTCAGCACTCCTCAAGGCTCGAGGTGGATTGCTTGTTCATAGGACCAGACTATCCACAGGCGTGATGGTCGACGGCGCTACTCGGATCTGAATTGAGAATGCGGCCTGCTGAATCCAGCTAACGCCGTACCCCCCGAAGAGACTGCGCCGCGACGGTGTCGCTTGAACGATTCTGGTGCGATGTATGTGCAGGAGCGTTGTATTTCGAATCGATTGATCAGTGTCAGCCCGTATCTCCAGTATCTCCCTCCCCCTTGGCCTCTCCTCATTTTGTAGCAGATCTATCCCGCCTATGGTCCTGTAAAGCGTGCATCTCCAAGCCGAATCTCCAGTCTCCAGTATCCAGTCTCCAGTCTCCAGTCTCACGGCTCAAAGTATATACAACCAAGATCGAGACCCATGCCGACCACCCGGTAAATGGATGGAAGCAGTCTCAAACGGAGCAGCAAAGAGCATAGCCGTGCTACGATGCCGCTCATGCAGCAGCACAGCAAGAAGGGATAGCGTAGGTTCCTAGTTTCAGTTGCGAGCGGCAGATGGCAGCAGACTCCACGATTGGTTCGAGGAGTGTCTCGGCGAGGGCCGGTCGGCTTGAATCCTCAACACACGACTTGGCTGGCCGAGTCTATCGCTCAGTGATGGCCACAGATTTCAAACTGCTCTCCCTGGAACGAGTGTTTCTAGATATTCAGTGCCCGCTTGATGATCTCCTTGACATCGTCGGATGCTGGGTTGTTTGACTCTATCGAGCTGCCATACATTTGGATTCCTGGCTCATAGAGTGGCGGATAGCCTCCATGGTAGTCGCAGTGGAGTGGTCCTGATCCGCTGCCGTTGCTGCCGCCACTGCCGCCGGTCGGTAGGACGTTGCTCTGGACAGGTCCGTAGTCGCATGGATTGCTCTGAACCTGTCCCCGCATCTCAGCTCCGTCGCCGTATGGCATCTTGTAGAGCCCGTGGCGAGGCTCGCCAAAGTCGACCGGCGAAAGGCCCTGGTATCCGCCGCCATTGTACTCGTGCATTTGTGTGGGCAGCAGAAGCGTCTTGGGGGGCTCCATGGCGGCGCCCTCGATGCCATGGTGGAACGATGAAGATGGGGGTGGAAGTAACAGTCCGAGGGATCCTTGGTACGACGAGTTGGGGGCGTCGTTCAGGTTGCTCATGTTCATCACACTTGGCTTGGCCTTGCTCTTGGGCATCGGGTAATCCTCGAGAGGGAATCCAGAAGAGGGGTATGATGAGTTGTACTCGATCAGATACGATGTTGAGTTGAATGGTGTGGACACTTGCGATCCGAGGTGCGGCAGTGAGTACGAGTATTCATCTGCAGGCTGGGTCTGAGACGAGGGCACCAGAGGCGAGATCAGAACTTGCATTTCGTAGTCGCGATGGTCTGCTGGGGCCTGCGATGACCCAACTAAGCCGTCAGCGCCCGCTCCGTTGCTGCTGCTGCTGTTGTTGTTCCCGTTGCTTGGGGCACCATTTCCACCGCCACTGCCGACATGGTGATGGTGGTGGTGGCTGGAATGGTGGGGATGCATATCGCCGTTGCTGTTCCCGATGCCAGTGCCGAGATCGTGGCTGCCAGGACCATGGGCACTGTTGTTGCTGTTGCTGCTGATACTACTACTGCTACTGCTGCTACCCAAGCTACCGACATGTCCGTGGTCGTGGCCATGGCTGTGGCTTTGCGCATGGTGCTGGTTTGCACTGTGGTTGCCCTTGGTTTGGCTGCCTCCAACGCCATTGCCGTTGCTGCTGCAAAACTGCTGGTGATCGTGCGCAGACTGAGGTGACGTCTGCTGGTCAACCGAGATGCCAGTCATTGCGTCTGTGAATTTGTATGACCAGGAATTGTATCCCGGGATGGTCCCGAGTGGACCAAAGTTGACACAAAAGCCATCGACATTCTGGCCACTGCAGAGCGATGTCCAAAAGGAAATATGCGTGTGAGACGGCGCCATCCAGCCCTACGTAGCAAGGTGCGGCCATGGGACGCCTCAGCCTCAGCCATGGCGAATAGATCAAAAGACCCAACCAAAGCGAATGGCCCAGACAACTACCAGGTACACATCATGCACACGGCCTATCACGCACTTGCTTTAGCACATGCGCAATATCTGATCCAACGCGCCGACTCGACACAACAACCAAACTCTCATCCCTTCAACTCAAGGACGCTCGATCAAGTGCGTGCCTTCGATGCCATTGCACATCTAGTCCATGACCGCCAGACGCAATACTCACAGATACACAATCACATGGGACTCGTCCTGTAGGATCTTCTCCCGGCCCGTGGGCGTGAGAAAGATCAGTCGCGACGCAAAGAAGCAGTGCGGGTAGTTCGTGACGGCGTCAAACCACGAGTTGCCCAGATCCACCTTGAGGAGCACAAAGCACGACGTAATCTCGCCCGCGAGGTACTTTTGCTCGGCCATAAAGAACCATCTGGACTGCTTCGAGATGCCCTCCTGGTCACATCCCTGCGGGGGGGACAGCCACACATGGCCCTTCCAGGCTCGGTTGAGTCCGTTCAGGGCCTCGTCGTAGATCTCTCGCGCAATCTGGTTGGCGTGCAGGTCGTTGGCAAAGTGACACGTTGCTGGATCGAGATCAAAACAACCGCATCCAATAACCTGCTTTGCTGCCTGGATGATCTCCTTGGGTGTGTAGAGCTCGCTGCTGAGATCCGAGAAGGAGACTCCCGTCTCTGCGGCCAGCACCAAAGAAATCAGGGACGAGGGGCAAAGATGAATGAATGGCAGTCATTAGTTTACGGCATGGGCGTTCGCGGAGACGCTGTAAGCGCTGTAAACGGAGCCGCCATACTCAGCTCTCGACATACGTCCACAGCCATCTCACTGAAGGCATCCTGTGACGATCCAGATGCGTACCGTACTTGACCGTCATGGCAACAACATGCTCCTCGGTGATGGTCAGCCCCGAGTCGCAGACCTGCTTCCAGATGAACCGCCGAATTTCCGGCGGAAACTTGTGGAGCGAGCGGATGTGTGAGATGTTGGCCGGAACGGGCAAGCTCGGGTCTTCGATGATGGATTCATACACGCTCCTAGAGCACCGGACGGGACGACAGTGTGATCAGCAGGCGCGGCGCACAACGATCCAACCCCAGGTCATCGAGCACTTGACTCGGCGTGCGATTATGGCCAGTGGTTGCAGTTGCCGCCAACAGGCACTTGCGAGTTGAACAGGGCACGGCATTCAATCGCAGCGCCCAACCACAGCAGAGTTGCATCCCCCATCCCAAGCCCCACTTACGCGGAGCACAGATATGTGTTGGTCGTTCGGCGGCTGAATTGAAACCGATTCTTGGCGTATACATATATGGTTTTCTCTGGTTCTGGATCGAATGAGAAGGGAATCGAGAGTGCGGTCAGCGATATCACAGCAATACACCACGGCCAAACTCCACGTCAAATACCACGGCGCTGCAGTGACTATCCTGCAACTTTATCGCTGTTTACGGCGCGACAGTGTATCTTGCGCCGACGCACATGGGAACTGCCATCGACACGCGATACCAGAGGCCCACCCAAGACCACAGCTACTGGCAAGCGCCGTGTGTTGTCACAGGCCCGCTTGGATCGAGATCAAAGCCACGCCCTGGCCCAAGCCACGACGTGTTGGGGGTAGATGCCTTACCATACAGCTTTTCGGCATCAATATCGCGCAAGGCAGCCGCTAGATACCAGCAGGAGGCGAGCGGATACAGTGGTGGTTAGGGGATCACCGAAGGGACAGTGAAGGGTCGTCCGCAGCCAGCCGCTCGATGCAGTTGGCTCCCAGTGTCAGCCGGCTAGGGAGCATTGGTAAACACGCTTCCAGTTAGTCCGACAAAGCAGGCAGCCCCTCGTCCAGGCTTACCAACAAGAAAGAACTTGCCGGTGCCCAGGTGCTCGCGTATGATATTCTCGAGATGTACGAGCCGGAGGTGCTTTTCCTCCAGAGTCATCTCGACCACCCGGTATGACACGAGATCATGACCAGCCGGGTGGTAAGTGTACTCAAAGTCCCCCCGCCCGGTGGACTTGGCCATGCCGGGGATCTCGTCGACGTGAATGCCGTGCGCTTTGGTCTCCTTGGAACGGCCGGGCTGTCCACTGGCTCGCTTGTTCTTGAATTTGCGCGAGGCAGACTCGTCGCCCTCATCGTGGTGCAGGTGGTGGTTGCTGTACTGAACATCGGGGTCGTGTGGATACGCGTCTGGCTTCCACTTGCGCTTGCTGACCGCGCCGATATTCTGGAACTCGTTCGTTGTGAGCATCGCTGGAGAGCAGGCCGACAAGGAGACTCTTGGTGCTTCGAAGCCTAAGGCTTGGCCGTTGGGAGCGGCTCGACTAAACGGGCCTGATGCTGTGGGAACCTGCGAAGGAGCGAGAACGGGCAGGGTCGACGCGGCCATGGCCCTCCAAACCCCGGGGTTCTTCTGCGGCACATTACGCGCCCAATTTCCCTCCATTCCCTCCCTGGCCGGGTCGTCCGACCCAGCATTGCGACAAACAGCCGGCACAGTTCGTGTGGGGCGAAATGAGCGCGTAGAGAAGGGGGGGAATCGGTTCTGGCGGCCGCCACTCGAAGAAGACTCCCGCCGGACGAAGGCGCCCAAGGCGCCTGAGAATGCGGTACGGCAAGTACCCCGCGGCCAGACCCTTGCAGCGGCCGGCGGCGGAATAAAACAGGGACTCGCCGGCTTTTACACAGAGCCTATCTGTAGCTGACCATGAGCCCATCCAGTAGCCTTGGCACGCCGAACGGAGGCCCCTATCAACCAAAGTCGTCTCGAGAGCGATTCATGTTATTTGGGATACTCAATGCGCCCCGGTGCGCAATGCCACGGCGCTGCTTCAGCGACCCGCCCAACCAGATGCATAAAAGTACACAAAAAATGCCAAAAGCAGGACCAAGCCGCTTCCGACCTCGACGGCAATCCGATGCGAAAGCGGCTTCGAAGTCGTGGCGGCAGCGACAGCAGCAGACTTGGGTTGGCCGGGCGTCTGCTGAGATGCTTGGCGCGGAATGGGCACCGGGACCGTCTGAACTGAGATTCCGTTGTCTGCATCATCGCCGGCACCCTCATCATCATCCTCGACAGTGTCCCCGTCGGATTCTTCTTCGTCGTGATCCTCATTCTGGCCATTGTCGTCGATCCGGTCGTCGTCCTCGGACTGATCACCGTCGCCGGTGCGATCGTCGCTGTCGCTGTCGCTGCCCCCATCATCGTCTCTGAGTGCATTAGCCGATTTGCTTTGGGGGCCAAGAGTGTTCCCTGATTTGCTCCCTGCCCCCTTAGTTCGACCGAGGCCTTGGGAGGTGTAGTACGATTCAAAAAACTCGCAGAGCTTGGGCAGATCACCGCATGTATACCAGGTGACCGAGCCGTCCGCATCGCAGTCCATGCACTTGGGCACAAAGCTCGTCACCTTGCCGAGCTGGTCGGGGGCTTTGCCGTAGAAGCTGAATGGGTCCACAATCTCCTTGCTGACTCGGTCTACCAGGAAACCAAAGGTCTGGTGTCGAGAGACCGGCACAAGAATGTCGCTTTGCGCAAAGGCTGCACCAGGTGCGCTGAATGTCCACACCAAATCGTATCGCTTGGACGGATACAGCTCGCAAAACAGCGCAAGCACCATCAGGAGACTGAGTAGAGGGTCGTCGGGCTGCAGCAGGCTGCCCAGGGTTGCCTGTAGATATCGATTCGTATCGTGCCAATGCGTCGACGATATGCTCGTTACCCTCCAGATCGACAAGCGAGCTAGCTCCCATTCCCGTACTCACCACCCTTCAAGGGTGACCCGATGCTCGTGCTTGTGAGCGTGCCCCCGGACAAACCTACCTCGGCGGACAGACCCTGCTGGAAGCTGTTCGATGCGAATGAGGCAATGCGAGTGACAATGCTCTTGAACCTTGCGCTGTTCTGGGCCGCCGCATACGATGCCGGGTCGAACCGAGACATATCCCAGTACTGGATATGGGCGGACTGAGTCTTGAACCACTCGGCAACGCTCTGGGAGCATCCATAGATGATCCGGGGTCAGTCACAGGCTCCAGGTCGGACGGTGGCCGAGGGACGAGTGCACTCGCAATACAACGTACCCATGAGTTGTGGCGAAGATCCATCATCATGCCAAGGAAGTGTTGGTCGAGGCCACCTTTGGCCGGGCTCGCCTTCTCGGCTTTCTTGGAGGTCTCGAGATAAATCCGCTTCAGATCCACATCGTCGGGCGCATGAGCGAGGCCCTGTTGGAAAGCGCTGAGGGCATCGACCAAGTTGCCCAGTTTCAGCTCAATCATGCCTGCCGTCGGGCCGAGTTGTCAGCGTCAGCCGCTGCTCTGAAGCCATCGTCCTCGCAAATCCCCTGATGGCAAAGGCAAATAGAACCGTCGACAGCAACCACCTACCCTTGCGGTACCAGGCCTTGGGCCATTCGGGCTGGACCGCAGCACACCGATTGGCATACTGCCTGGCATCCGTCAGGCGATCCAGTCGAATGAGGGTCTGGGTGATATTGCCCAGGATGCTGGCGTTGGCAGGATCGAGCTTCAGGGCCTTCTGGTATCGCTCGAGGGCCTCTCGAAGGCGAGACTGCTTGTAAAACCCATTGCCCTCCTCCTTGAGCTGCTGGGCCTGATCGGCCGTGTGGGCGCTCAGCTCGACCAGCTCCGTGGCGAGCTTCTTGTAGAGGGTGGCCTTCTCGTTGTCCTTCAGGGCGGTATAGACTGGAGTTGAGGCATCGGTGTTACTGCAGTTGCTCTGGGTGAAAATGGGGCAGGCGATCTATGCTCTGCCGTATCGACCGTGCGGCCTGCGCTCAATCGCCCAGACACCATCGACCATCATACTCTGGGCAGCCCGAGTGGCCGCGGCCACCCGTGTGGAGAAGCAGTTTGGGATGATCTCCTCGGCCACCTGGACATCTTCCTGCTGGAGAACGGCGATGACGTCGCTCAGGGCCTTGCTGTATTCCTTGGTTTCCATGAAGCATGTGCTGCGGGAGAGCATGGGCAGCTGCTTGGGGATCTGGGGCCATCGCTCCATTAGCTCGGTGAAGAGAGCGGCGGCCTTGGAATAGTCCTTGGCAGCAACGGCGCCAGACGCAGCGAGCAGAACATCTTGTGGGTTCTGGATGGTGCTTGAGGACATGGCCCTGGGCGAGAAGCGCTGGAGATGCCGGATGCGTGATGCCGGATGTGTGATGCAGGGCAAAGGGCGCAAGAGTGTGTCGCAATACCCCGACCGCAATCAAGCAGCGGCAGGCCGGCATCAGCCGATAACCGCACCGATATCGTGGCTGAGAAGTACATTGCTGGCCATCTAGGAAATGTATTGGTGCGCAAAGGCTTCAATGCAGCAGGTGAAGGTCGGCCGGCCATAGCGCAGACATACCAGCCGATGACAGCGACCATCAAGCCGTGCAGCTGGCGATGCTCTTTTTTTCATCCACCACCTCGACTGCATCCTTCGAGACGCCGAGATACGGCTTGAGATGCTTCATGAACGGGCGGATGTAATCCAGCAGGAACCAGATCCCGATCGTCAGCGGCGGCACGCCCATGAACAGGAACGCCGCAATCTCCATGAAGCCGATGGGGAAAAAGAACACGGTCGACTGTAGCTCCGGGGCCGTGAGATACAATAACAGGCTCGACAGCGACCTGAAGCTGCTGATCAGGCATATCGAAGTGTAGATGATGCGCTTCAGGATGTTCTCGAGAGGTTTGCGGTGCGGCGAGATGATCATGTACGGCAGCATCAACACCCAGCAGATGAAGAAGATGGCGACGCAGCATTCGTAGGTACTCTGCGACCCCAGGATCGAGGAGAGAAGTAGAACCGATTTCGCTGCAACAACCGCCAGAGTTAGCCATGGATACGCACATAATCATATTGTGGAGCCAGAGCCACAATCCAGGCAAGAAGCCACTGCAACGAGCCACTGCAACGAGCCACTGCCACTGCGACGCCGTGGCCGACCACAGCAAGATGTCCCAAGCCTACCGAGATAGTCGTAGGAGAAGAGCCACCAGTACTCTGGCTTGAAGTGGCTGCAGAACATAAAGTAGGCCAGCGAAGCAACAGACGATGCTGTCTTCTTGGGTGGGTTTGCTCTGGAGATCCGCTCATGCTTCTTCCGGGCGATGAGGAAGATCACGAAGGGGAATCCAACGCTGACGGCGACCAGAACGACTGCTGCGGTGATCGCCATTCCGAGGTGATTGCCCACGAAGCACTGTACAGTCGGATCGACTTTCATGACTAGCATTTGTCTCTCGGACTCATCATAGACGCGGATGCAGTTCATGATGTCCAGGGCGCTATGGATCAATGGAAAATAACAAAAATCGGCAATATGGAGGGTGCTCCACTGAGAGCGCAGATGTCGCATCAAGAGAGCCATCAGTCAGCACGGCCACGAATGTATGTGTGCGATTGTGTTGAGTGGATCGACGCATTTCCCGGTTATGAGCAACTCGGAGCTCCGGGGTGAGCACAGGCGACGCTTGCTTACAATCAAAGCAGACCGCATTGTTCGACCTTTGAGGATCTTGAGTGGGGTTGTTGTCTTTGTTGTGGCAACTTGGTCCCAGAGCAGCTCAAGGAGGTAGAACACAAAGAGAACAGCAAAGGCAAAGATTGGCCACAGGAACCTATTGTGTAGAGCAAGCAAGTCAGTAAGTGAGTGAGTGAGTGAGTGGGCGAGTGAGTGAGTGAGTGAGTGAGTGAGTGAGTGAGTGAGTGAGTGAGTGAGCTGATGCTTCAGCGGCATCCTTGCGAATATACGGCGCACAGCGAGAGTCCCCAGCCAACTTACTTGAACCCCGACTTTGCGACGCCACTGACCGGATAGATGGCATAGTTCAGAGGAAAGTCAATGTTCAACTGCACATCAGCAGGAACGAACGGATGAGTATGAGAGTAAGTGGTCGTGCGAAACAGCAAGTTGGCTTGCCCAAAGATTCACACCGCAACGCCTACCGAGAATATGCGCAGATACAAGATCCACTCATCATAAGATATGCTCGTAAGTGACGAGGCCTATTGAGAATTCATGTGTCAGTCGAATCAGCGCCGTTAGCATAAATGAGAGGAGCCTTTGCCTCGTGGCAGCGTACCTGGAAGAAGAACAATATACTAGACAGATGCCAGATATTCGAGTCAGCTGAGTGATTCGAAGATTCGCGTCGATCCACTCTGCGAATCCATCGTTGCATTGCTCCTGAAACTTACTCGTTCACCCAGACCAGGAAAGTCGGGGGCACAAAGATGGTGAAGATTATGTAGAATATGGTCCCGAGGACGATCAAAGTCATATATACCGACGATGTGGTTGGGTCGTATGGCACTGGATCGAGTACAGAAACCATCAATGAGAAATGGAGGCGGTGGTGTGCGTTTGCATCGAATGTCCACAGCCGATACAGCCGATGCAGCCACGCGGTTGATTGCACTACTTACCACATTCATATCCCCAGTAATAGTACTACGGCACCAGTCGTCAGAAGTTGATGCATTCCGTCAGGTGAGTCGCTGGGTCTATACGAGCACATGGCGAACGCATCGTGTGGACACATTCCTCTATGTCGCCACCACTCGCATACTCACACCAGGAGAGCATTGGGAGCACAGATATCCCTCCGAGTTTGCCGCGCACGTTGCAGAACTGTTGTACATGCATGCTTGATGTTCATACGGCAGTTGAAGTGAGTGGTTTGATCTGGAGAATCTCTGACGAAGCGTTGATCAAGAAGAGTGGGGCAGCAGTGCAATGTCGCCCTTACCACCACTCGGACAGCAGACTCCATACAACGGACAGCTCTGAAATATTTGATCGCCATCCTGACTGATGATCTGATCAAGCAGGGAGCGTGAGCAAGCGCTGAAGCATCGGGCTCTTGAGCGATTCGTGACGTTCGGTGCCCATGCGCAGAAGCAGGGGTCCTTACCTGATAGTATCCTTCTGCTGGGTAGAGCTGCGATCCGCCGGGGCATATGGCGCCTATAGGCATGTAATGGTCAGTGCGTGTGGTCGCTGGCGGATCGAAAAGCGATGCAACCTCGGCACGTTTCGGCAAGTGCTTGGTGAGAAAGCAATAACTGCCGCGATATCATCCGAATTGCGCCGAGAGGTCGATGGGCGAATGGGGGTGATCCGGCTGAATTGTGGTAGTGGGCGGACGGACGCCGATGACGCAATATGGCTTACCGTCGGGACACCTTTGGCATGGCAGATTGGACCGCACCAAGCTGTAGCTGTTGGTGCCGCAAACTGCACACACATTTGTGTTGGTTGACGAATCGTAGACCATGCCTGATCCAGCGCTGCAGTCTGACGGTCAGGGTATTAGCGATGCTTTGCCGTGATTATCGAGCACTAGCAAAGAGACCGATCAACGAAACCCACTCTGATCGAAGGTGAGGTTGAACAGTGGCCAGGAATTGACTCCGTCACTTCGGGATATACCCGAGACCGCCACGCCTATGATTGAGAAGGTGCCGGTTTGGCTGTTTGGCAAGATGCTGCTAAAGTTGACAGTGTTGTCGGAGTTGACGATGGCTTTCGCTGTTTCGCCGCGAAGGGCACCCGAAACAACGCTGCCAGTTCCCTGCGAGATGGCTTGGATCTGAACAATGACAGGCGCATTGAGGTTTACCGCTGGAAGTACATAATGTTAGCAGCTTGCCGTCAGCCTTCAAGAGCCAGAGCCGCAGTGGACTCGCACGCACTATCGTCATGCTCACCTGATAAGCGGTTGAAGGCATCGACCGCCTGGACAACGAACCACGGAAGAGAAGACGACAGTCCAACTGCCGTCGATGGAGCTATCCAGTTGGTCAAGTTGAGCTGCAGCGACATGGGCGGCGAGTCCATGACAAAGCTCGAGGAGATGATTCCGTACACTGGCTGTTGCTGGAATGCAATGGCAAAGTTTGTGTCTTGTATGAAGAAGGTTCCGCCTCCGACAAGATTAGAGAATCCACTGCCAAAGGAGATTGTCGATGGGCTGTTGAGATAGACGGAGCTTCCAAATGGAGATGCCGTATTTGACATCGTCACAGACTGGTTGAAGAGGACGGTTGCACCGCCGTCCATGTACATCACACCACCCATACTTGACGCGGATGCTCCGTTGATTGTGGTCGTTCCGGGACTGTCGAAGCGCAGGGTGCTGCTCTGGTACAGACAAAAGGCACCGCCGATACGGGAGGAAACGCCTGAAATGACAATGTTTCCAAGAAGCGATAGGGTCGACGGCACGCCATTGGTTTCTGCATAGAGAACTCCGCCGCCATTCGTCGCTTGGCAGTTGCTGACCGTCGAGTCTCTCATGACCACCATGGCGCCATTCTGGATGAAAGCCACAGATCCAAAGTTGGACGAGACACTGCTGATCCGGCAGTTCGTTAGGCTTGACACAGAATACGATGGGTCGCGATAGACAACACTGGATGTTATGATGCCGCCATTGGCGGAGACTCTGAGCGTAGAGAAGGTGCAGTTGGTGGCGCTGAAGGAGCTGTCTTCCATAAATACGATGCCACCATAGGCTGCTGTAGTGGTCGTTACGATCGTGTTGTTCATGGTGACCTGTGATAGGGACTGTGCAGTGACGACTCCGCCCAAGCCGCCGCAAACTAGATTCTGGAGCACCGAGTTGATGATCTTGAGGTTGCATCCGGACCACATGTAGGCGAGAGAGCCCTGCGTGCTCGCCGAAGCGCCATTCACAGAAATAGTATCCAGCAGCAGCTCGGCGTTGTTGTTGAGGAAGAAGGCGCCGCCGCTCTGAGCCGAGACTCCCGAGACGTAGACCGATCTGACGATTGATGGAGAAGCAAAGCTGCCGGCCCCATAGGAGTATTCGTAGTAGGCTGGAGGGCCAACGGATGAATAAGCGAGCAAGCTATTAGCGGAACTCTGGTATGGTTCGCACAGCCTTCCGCCTCATGGACCATTCGCTTACCGCATCCCGCCCACGTTGTGCCGGTCGCATTGATACAGCTTCCGCCGGTCCATATCACCTGGGACGATGAGCTGAAGATTGCTCCAACGCCCGAAGTGACCTTATGGACCTGAAAATTGGTCAGGGTCACGCTCGAGTAGCTAAAGATGGCGCAGCCGCCGAATCCCGAGGCCACCATTAGCCTGCATCGAACGTTGTTTAGCGACAGGGTAGCGTGGTCGGCCCATATGCCCCCGTTATTGAGGGTGCTGACGTTGGAGAGAGTGGAGTTGGATATAGTCAAGATTGAATCGGCCGCGGTGTCGCCATAGAACGATATGCAGCCTCCTGAGGTGGAATAGCTGCCGTAGACTGAAAGACTCATGTTCGACAAGGTCACGGTTGAGGGTCCTATAGCCAACATCTGAATCCAGTACGCGTGCGACGGGGAAGAGAATTAATGATGTCGTGCGGATGCCGCTATTCCACAAAGATCTCTGCGGGCGGCTGCGGGCTCCTCCGTTTGCTGCTTGGTCGGCTTCTGCCTTACCACGGCACCAAAAGGTCGCTTGTCGATTGTGGTGCTGATGGCCATGGTCCCGGTAAAGTTGAGCAGAGTGCCCGTGAAGGTGCTCCCCGAGCTGACTTTGATCAGGGTTACGTTGATGTAGTGTGTGTCTGGCGGACATACGAACACATCAGCCTTTCACTCAGATGCTCGAGGTGCTGTCGCCGGCAAGACGGTCTTTCTCACCCATGAATGTCGCGTTGTAGACATTGACTACTCCTCCGCCCATGATCCACAGCTGGAAATGTGTCCGGAGGCATGGGTGCGATGTTGTGGAGTATACAGCAGGTTAATTCATATGCGACAGTGTCCCCTGAGGCACAACCATCAACGAGCGGCATTATGCCGGATGGATAATAGAGCAGGATGCATCCGAGAAGCCAATGCCTTACGATTGCGCCGGGATGCGAGCCGGTGGTGGCTGTGGCCGTCACGATGCCTGGAAAGGCGCTGACGTTGGTCGGGGAGCGGTTGCTCGGGCCGACGAATGATACATTTGCCAAGTTGAGGGACCCATAGACCTGGATGGGTGGACTGGATGCACGACGATAGAGTGTGAGTGCACAGCCAACCTTGTCCAAGCACCGAATGCAGTCCAAGCAGTTCAATGCCAGTCGGTCCACCGTTTCCACGATGTTTTTGCGGACAGAACAGAACAGGACGACAGACAAAACACAAGCCATAGGTACATACCAGTTCACGAGGGCACAGTTGGATATGCTTGCGGAGGAATGCGCCTGAACAACGTATATATCGCTTGTATTGGGCATACTTGGATTGCACACGAGGGTCGTGAAAGACGACCCTTGGCAGCCTCCGACAGGGTCAAAAGTCGCATCAACATGGAGGGTTTGCAGCAGCAGTAGCAGCAGCAGCAACAGAAAAACGGGTGGGGCCGGCCGCCCAAAGAGAGTCAGGTTCATGGTGTACAGTCCAGCACCTTGACACCACGCGCTGGCATCAAGAGGGATCGTCCAGCAGGATGCAAAGGGGACAACAGGGCGCATAAGAGGCTTTTGAGCGTCGAGTTGCTTGCTCAAGCCACTTTCGACCAGGCAGGCAGACAGGCCGCAAACTCCCCGACAGTCGATCGGACCCAAATGTCGTCACTTGATTCCAATCATGAGAGGCGCAAGCGTGCGAATGCCCTCATCAGTCCAGCCCGATGCGATCACATTCTGGACAAGTAACCATGACCGAACAGACGCTGAATCAACGTGGTGGCCCCACTCGGCTGGAGCACAGGTGTATTGGCCGTCGAGCTGGTCTCGTCAAAAATCTGAGCAACGACACCCAGATGCGTATGGAGCCCGACAGTCCGCTCGCGACATCTCCAGTCTACTCGCCCAACGGTTCCCTCGATCCGGCGCAGATGTGAACATTCAGTCATCGTGTGGACTCGAGTAGTCGTCGCCACTGCCACTGAGTGTCCGGAGCGATGACGGAGAATGGCAATCACCATTCGAGATCCTCTGGACGGACGGGATGCTTCAGCGGAATGATGCTTTCCTTCTTGACATCTCGCGGCAGTGCCTTGCGCATATCTGAGTCGCACCGAAAGATCTGGATGAGTACCAAAGCTGCATATGCCACCAGAGTATGGCAGTGCGGATTGCTGTGCGGGTTGCTGTGCGGGTTGCTGTGCGGGTTGCTGTCCAGACCAGATCAGACAACATGGCGACCTGCTCAAATGCATACCAAAGGCGTCCTCAGGGTCGTCGCCGGTGTAGTAGCTAAGTACTCGCCGGTACACGGTGTATCCAAACTTTGTATACATGTCGATGGCCACGGAGTTGGACGAGCGGACGAATAGATCGACAAAGTAGGTGTTGTAGCTGCAATTGGACAGGGGTAGGGATCAGCAAAAGGACATCATTCAAACGCTGCCAGCAGGAACAGTCGTTTATGTGGAGCCAAACGGGCCGCAAAGGGCCATGGGGCCATGGAGAGGGCTGCCCTCAGGCCCGCACAATAGCTTACATTTTCTCCGAGACTTCCTCGAGAATCTTCATCAGGCCATCGGCGAGACCAAGCCGACGAAACTCAGGCGAGACCGTGAGGGCCGTGACATGGCCGTGCCAGAGCTTGTTCAGGCCCTCGGCCTTGCCCATGACTATATCAGGGACGAAGAACGGTCAGGAGGCCTGATGACAGATCCGGCGACCAGCAGAGCTCCAGAGGCGGTCGGATAGCAGGTCGCTGCTGCTGCGTCTTGTCGCTGCTGTGGCTCGCCGAGTCGCCGTTCAACCGACAGGCGGCTTCGTCAACGATGGTTTCCGCCAGCCGACTTACTGTATCCCATCAGCGACTTGCCCGGAGACTCGGCCACGACGAAATAGTCGGGCCACTGGGCGAGATATTGCAGGTAAAACGACAGCCCGTACTGTCCATAAAAATGACGGCAAAGATGCCGACATGAAACGGTCTTTGATCAGCCACAGACACCGTCGCGATCTGCGTTCGTGTTGGCTTGCAAGTTCCCTCCCACTCTCGTTACCGTTTCAGTAAGAGGATCAAGATTGCTGCAGGATTGCGACCACGGAGACATATTGGTCAGCGGTTGGTCGGAGGCACCGACTCGGCTGCCGAGACCAGGTTCGGGAAATCAAAGTCCCTCAAACCTCACCCGGCACACTACCCTCCATATCCGACACGCAAGCACAGAAGCAGTGGCGCATACATGTTGTTGAAGCGGAACAGGTCGTCCGCGACGAATCGCCGGAGTGTGGTCATTGCGGGATCTCTGGATGTGGATCTGGATCGATGGCAAGCACACAATCGCTTCGCCGATGGCCACGAAGCATTTCGCGCTTGTGCTCTCGCCGAGAACGGTCGCCCAAGCGAGAGCATCTCGGGGCTGGATATGACGGATTTCACCCAACCCATGACGACACACTGCTGCTGATACTGCTCGACAGCAGGGCGACGGACATTGACGGACATTGATGGACTGCGGGTACTGACGGGTACTGAGGATTCGGAGCAAGGGTGTCTGTCTGTTGATTTCAATATCCCAAAGCGCACCGTTCTCGGTGCCAAACCATGCCGGAGCCGAACATCCTGCAACCATGAGCCCAGCGGGTCGTTCACACCAGCCGGTAGGTCCGTCGAGCCAGGGCATCCGACAGCCGCTTGGATTCCTCTGTGGCGGCCGCAACAAAGTCAAATGTTGGGAGCCGAATCAGATCCGCGTGTGTTAGAGAAAGATCCATTGATACGAGCGCCCAGTAGCCAGCCCTGCCGCCATACAACTGGTATTCGCTCGTCAGCTTACGCTCGAGTTGGTTGAGGTTCATGTCCGTCTTGGGAACGACGGCAAGCAGCGTGCGGCCACCTGACTTTTGGCCAACGAGCCAGGCGTCGTTCTTGGTCTTCAGATAGATCTCTTTCAGTCCAAGCTCTGGTCTGGACAAGACGCAGAGCAACAGCGATAGGGATTAAGCACAGGGGCGGGAGCAGAGGCAGTAGGGACGGGATGGGGCATAGATATGGCTCCGGGTGTCCAGAGTCAGTCTTGGGCTCACCTCGTCAGCTCATCGTTGATCTCGTCGAGACAGTCGATGATCTCGGGTGCCCCGGATGCCCCACGGGTTCCCACAAAGGTGGTCTTGTAGCGCCGAGTGGTCGAGTCGTAGTAAAAGTGCTGGTAGGTCTGCTCGATTGCTTCGCTGGGGGCAGCAAGAGTCGCTGGGATCAGGGCTTCTGTCCGGGCTCCATCGTCGCGGTGTACAGAAATACAGACACAAACCTCTCAGCCTCTCGACGGGCCGCTTGTTCGGCAACTTCAGCAAGGCGGTCATCCAAAAAGATCTTGAGGTTGACCCAGAAGGAGCGAGTAAACACTGTCTGTGGATTTCCGATGGAGGCCTTGGGAAGGGCAAAGGCAATGGTGGCCGAGCCGACCTGTCGTCGCCAACCAAAAGCACACAAGCATGTGCAGAGGGTGTTGAGTATGCAGAGTGTGAGAGCGGTGAAGTCCTCGACAAGCGAAAGTGGTGCTAGGACAGAAACTTGCTCGGCGATGACTCGACCGAGCTGTCAAACCGCCATAGTCACCCAGAGGCACAAGTTGCAGGCGCGCACCAGCTCGCTCAGACCGAATGGCATCTCACGAGGAGGACGGGAAGAGCAGCGTACCTGGTATACAATCAAGTAGTGCTCGATGCCATTATCTCCAAGATATACTCTCTTCGGGATGCTGTCATTCTCGAGCGCGTCTCCGGAAAAGATTGGACCGACCAAGAAGCCACAAAATCGAGTGGATGTTCGCCACTTTGCGGAGAAGGATATCCGCCCATCCGAGCCGCTGCTTGTCTCGGAGATGGCCGGGGACTTGAGCGAAGCCGGTCTGGTTCCGATGGCCGCCTGCAATGCCATGCAATCAAATGTCATCAGATGAAATGCAAGGACTAAGCGAATCAGCCACTGAGCGGTGGCTCTCGTCACCGGTGTATGCCCACCTCGCCTTTCTGCTTGACTTGGTTGATGATGTTGTCGTTGATCTTGCCTGTTTCGGGATCGGTCAAGTAGTCATAGATTTGGTGCAACGAACCCAAGTCCTTGAAGCCGCTATAGACGACGTGATGATCCCAGAGCAGCAGCGGTTGTCTGAGTTCCGGAAAGGTCGTCTGGAGTGACCGGATGAATGCGAGGATGGCCAGGGACGATTCTCGCTGCGGATCGATGAGGCTGATGCCTACGAATACACAAAAGTCAGCAATGCTACGGATCCTGGTGGGCGAAAGGGCGCAGATTGGTGTGAGAACCTGTCCTTTACGACTGCATCATACCATTGAAGGTCGTGAGCAGATCCAAACCAGAGACGTTGATCCGGTCGAGATAGCGAGTGTAGAAATCCTCGAGGGTTTCTTTGAAGGCCGAGAGCGACCGAGACTCGATGAAATGGCGGAAGCCTCGATGGAGGATCTGATTGCATGTGTCGTCGACCAGAAGCAGCGGTAGCAGAAACGAGAAACCTGAGTGAGCACCAACTCCATTACACAACCAGACCGATGATGTTGCTGGTGCTGTGTCGGGAGCATGATGCGCGCTGATATAGAGACCAGGCAAGAGCCGCATGTCTCGGCCCGACCATGCACAAGCGCTTGAATTCCGTCCCAGCTTGCCCCTCTGCCTCTTCGCTCACGACAATGACGGCCGGCCTGACCTGGAACGACCGGTAAGCCCGCCCAACAAGGGATTTGAGAGCTTCGTCTGGGAGGTTGCTAGCGTACTTTGTCGATGTGGTACCGTCCTTGCGAGTCTCGGTCGTGAATCCCCTGGCGATTTTCTGTCGACGCAATCATCGTCAGTAGGGAGAATGCTAGGCCGGTTGATGCCACGGCTTGCCATCGCCCTTGCGGGTCCAATATCCGAAGGAGACAGGAGGCTTCCGTGATGAGCGCCCCAGAGCTGCAGCCGCCCCCCACAGCGTTACCATCAGCATCCACCACCCGTCCTCGGGCTCAGTGACCACCGAGACGTGCCGACGAGTCTTGATGATCTCCCCAGGACGAGACGAGCCAAAGTTCCTGTTGAAACATCGAATGTGGATGAAGGCCGAGGCGGCCGAGCCAAACGAGTGAGCCAGCAGCGGCAATCCAGGGCTGCCCGATTCACAGAGCAGTTCCCAGGAAGATGTTCACAAAGGAAAGCTGCAGCTGCGATATTGGCAGAGCGGTACGGACGCTGTAAAGTTGATAATGGCCTGGGCGAGACCAACTTCGCGGAGGACGCTGTCGCTGGCATCCAGGGTCGGATACGAGAAACAGATCTGGCGGTCGACGGTCTCCTCGGTCGGGCCGAGAGCCGGGCTGAAGATTGTGAATTGAACGAGGCGAGGGCCTTCGCTCTGTGTCCGTGCCATGGTGGATGGAAGACGGCTGGTGTGGGCGGCGACGACCCGGCGATATGGAGCGGAGCGAGAGGGGATTTCGGCGGTCGGTTGGGATGCGTTGGGTCGTGGTGGCGAGCCCAAAAGCCACGCGAAGGCGCCGTCGACTTGCTGCTGCCAGGGATCGTGGCGCTGGGAATCGGGATGCCAGAAGAGAGCCGAGGTCCGTGCTCGAGCAGAACTGCACCACGGCCGATGGTCGATGCAGCGAGGCACCATGCAATGTGGCCATGAATACATCCGAGGGCTATATCCGCCGGCAGCGCATCTCTTGCCCTGTCTTGCACGGGTGGATGGAATGAAAAATGTATTCACCAGAGCCGAGCAAACCACCCAGCCCTCTCCCCGCTGACGACCCATGTCCGACTGCGTCATCGGTCGGATCAATAGAGCTTGCGGCTCTCGCCGAGCCCTTGGCTGCTTCCCTGGGCAAAGTTGCCAAAGAGAGACTTGACGATATTGGTCTTTTTCTTTTGCGGACCGCTGGCCGAGATATTGGAGGAATCTGGCGGTGGCCAAGGGTTGAGGTCAGCGAGGGAGGATAGAGGCGATAGAGGCGATAGAGGCGATAGAGGCAACGGGAAAAGACAAGCGTTGCGGCGCATTCCACAACCAGGACTCAGATTCGGTCGTTGCTCGCTGCTCGAGCGCTCAAGGGACGTGAGCAGAGCTAACGCAATGAGGCTCCAGCTCAAGCAGCCGCCAGCCAAGCTACACCACTGCGAAGCGAGCAGCAACTCACCAAAGTTCGGCAGGGTGTATTCGTTTGCCGTCAGCGAGACAAAGAACATGAACGGCACCAGCCATACGCACAGACCGAAGAAGGTGGCGACCTCGGCAAACGGGTGGTATTGAGATGAGAAGTGCCAGAACCAGAGGAAGTGATCGGCGACGGCGAGGACTGTCGGATTGTTGATGGCGGTGCCAGACATCCGGATCCATTCGATGGATTCCAGATCCGTGCGAATGGATTGCCCAGCGAGTTTGATCGATTTCGATCGCGTTCCATACGATGCCATTGATGCAACCCAAAGCAAGCGCAGGAGAGGAGCACAGTCGGTGCAAAATCCGAAGCGATCAGCTGGGCTGGACGGGCTGTGGGCGGATTTGAGCAGAACCCGAGGCAAGTCCAGCGAGCCCATCACACCCTCGAAGCTACGTTGACATCACTGTGGAATCCTGCATCCGACACTCACCGCAGCTGATGATGAAGACCGGATCGACGATGGGGATGGAAGGAAACGTTCGGAGCATCAGGCTGTACCAGGCATGGCATCCGATCGAGAACACCAGCTTCCACCACGACAGCCGGTCAAAGGCCAGGAGAAGCACATGGAAGCCGATGATCACCTGGATGAGGGAAGAAGCAGAAAACAAGCACACTCGTGAGCCCAATCCGATACAGGGGAGCCGTGGAAGAATTCTTTGCGATCGGCTGCCGGACTCGTGCATGAGATGTGCGCAGACGACTCACCCCGATCGACGCCCGAATGATCCTCTTGGTCTGGACCGAATATTCCTGCAGACGTACATCATAGAGCATCATCCCGTGTCAATGTGCATACAGCCGTGCAAGATACCATTTGCTGCATTGATGAGCGACGGCGACCAAGGACCGACCTCCACGATTTCTGCGAGATAATACAGCCCGCTGCCTGGAGCGCAAAGGAGAGTGCATCGAGGAATGAGTTATGGGGCAGCTGCCAGCAGCCTTCGCCGAAGCAGCACATCACATATCGAGCAGGCGGCTCACCCAGGCTGAACGCGACGGATATGAAAAAGGCCACATAGCCAACATAGACGAGGATTGGCAGGAACCCCATGATGCGTGAGTGACTGGGGCGATGGATGTTGGGATCGCACGCCCAGGGCCGAACAGGGCCAAGAAGGCGTGGACCAGCGGATCGAGCCAGCCGGGCGTGGATCGAGCCGCGTGTGTGTGTGTGCTTGGGCGAGAGCAGGCCGGACCGAGAGCAGCCGAGAGCGCGGCGAGAGCGCGGCGAGCGAGGGTGGATGAAGTGTCGTGCCTGTGTTCTGAATGGGTCTCTGCAATGACGACGCCATCCCAGCAATGTTCTGGGAGTCGAGTTTCGGTTTGGCTTTTGTTTTTTATTTCGTTACTTTTCGAACAAAATCGGATGATGCAGAGAGTGCAAGAGTAGAAAACAAGAATAGAAAGCAAGAATAGAAAGCAAGAGGGCGGTGAACGAATGCGGATGGATGGATATATGTACAGAGTTCGATGCTCACAGAGATCGGATGGTTGTGTATACCAAAGGCCAATCGGCCCGGAAGCGACAGCAGTTAGGTAAGCACTTGGCTGCCCCCGTCTACCTCCGTGCCGAGCGGCGGGCGGAGCTCTTGCCCACGGACTCGAGATGGCGAATGACGGCAGTGCCGACGCGGGGGTTGGGGAGCGGCAGGTTCTGGATTTTGAGCAGGTGGGTGCGGTAGTGCTGGAGGGAAGGGCCGGCGGCGACGTTAGCTGGCAGGGTCGATGGACTGGGACAGCATACAGGGACCATGAGGCAGCACGGCGACAGACAACAGGAGGGGCTGCATACCTGGTTCATTCCGTCCTGGCGGCGGAAGCGGGCCTGGCAGTCGGGGAACGGGCAGGGATAAGGCTTCTCGCCGGTGTGTATCCTGGTGGTGGGGGCAGAGACGGGAGGGCATGAGTCAATGCAGCATTGGCATGTCTGTCAGACAACGGCGGCGGAGCCACGGGTACACCCGGGCCTGGCCCAGAGTCATGATTACTCACCGCTTGTGTCTTGAGAGGTGGCCGCTGGTTGGCAGAGAGAAACGCGGCAGGAACAGGACCCGTCAGCAACACAGCCAGCAACACAGCCAGCGAGACCACAGGCGGGACCACAGGCGAGACCACAGGCAAGGCAGCACGCCCCCCCGCTTCCGACAGCCCCGCAAATGTCAAAGCCGCAGGGCAGCACCCCCTGCAAACAAGGCGGACACTGGGCACCATCCCCGCCGAGACGAAGCAGGCGGGCGAGGGACGGGGTCGTCCTCCGGCCCCGCCGATCGCTGTGGTCTAGTTACCTGGTCGTAAAGGTCTTGCCACAGGAAGGATAGTCGCAAGGGTAGCGCTTGCGCTCGGAGAGGCCAAGCTTCTTGTCCTGGGCCTGGGGAGAGGTGACAGGGCTGCTGAAGGAGCTGCAGGAGGCCATGGTCGAGGACACCGCCGGCGAGAAGGCCGATGCATTGTGGCGGATCTGGGTCCAGGCAGCAAGCTGCTGGGCAGCGAGGGAGGTTTCGAGGTCATGGTCGGTGCACGGCGTGGACTCTTTGGAGCTCGAGACCTGGCTGTGGGCAGACTCGCTCGGGCTGTCGGGCGACACCAGGCGATCGTACTCGGTGGGAACATGGATCTCGTAGAGATCATAGTCTCTCTCGCAGAGGAGGTTGACGAGGTTGCCGGAAGACGAGCGGCCGTAGAGGCAGAGCGCCGACTTTGGCGACAGGCTGGCGCTGGCCAGAGTTTCAGGGAGCGTCAGGACCATGGCGGCGGCAAACGGGCGTGCAGAGGCAAGGTTTTTTGGGAGGCGGGTGGGGACCGGAAGCAGATGCAGCGATGCAGCAGAGGGCCCAGCAAAGCGATCGGGCGGGCAGGGCGAGCAAGTGGAGGTCAGCGACCGGGTTTGGGGGAGGGGAAGGCGGTGCGGCGGGAAGGCGGGCAGGTTTTATCGGGCGAAGGATCCAGGGCTGGAACTTGGGCTGGGTCGCCAGGAGGCCAGCGCGACGGGGGGGTACTTTGTTCCGCCCCTTGCCTTGCCGCTGCCGGAGAGAAAAGGGCCGTGAAGGAACGGGTCGGTGTCACCGCGACGAACTCCAGCCGTCCCGGATCAGGTGCCGCGGCATCCCCCAACACCCACATGGTCCCACGGGCCCTCGGCCGAGCAGAAAAATGTAAAACGGTTTATCCGACGGGGCAGGTGGGTCCGAGGCCGCCCGGCCGCTGCCTGTTCCGGCGACCCCCGAGCGGCCACTGGTCCGTGGACGTCTCCACCAGGACCCCCTCCCAAGGCCCAGGGAGCGCAGCGGCGGCCGGGCTGGATCTGCGCTGGCGTCTGGCGGGCGAAGATGCTGCTACTACTGACGTTGATGTTGCTGCTGCTGCTGATGCACCTCACCTTGGCCGAGACAAAAAACACACCGCAACACAACATTGCCCTTTTGGCTGCTCGGGAGACCGGCTAATCACAAGGCCCGACGACGGCGGTGCCATTGTCCCTGTCGCAGGGCTGGGGCAAACAGGGGCCCACGGGTCAGCTGCTGTCGCAGAAGGACAATGTCTGTGCGCGCTGCGCGCCCGGATCGCGGGCCACAAGCGCTCGCGTCATCCCGACAAAGCCGCCCTCGCGCCACAGAGACAGCGCGCCACGGCATTGACGGGTATGCCCCCGCAGCGTGGTCCCGCAATGCGCCGCTCGCCCACTCTGCCCACTGTCGGCGGCGCAGGGGACCGCGGCTGTCAGGGCGCTGCCCGGGTGCCTGCCTGGCCCGGGAGCGCGTCGGTGCCCGGCCCCGCTGTGCTGTACAGACAGGTGTGTATGGCGCGAAACACGGTCAGACAGCGGGTCGGCAGCTCGAGCGAGACCAGCGAGGCGACACACAACGGTGTGGCCGATGCTGCCGATGGGCATGCGCTCCCCTGCAACCCAAATGCCGTCCAGGCGAGTTGACGACAGCCGCCCCTCTGAAACCAAAGGCAGCAGCAACCCCAGTGTGCTGCACCCGTGACCCGCCCGCACGCGCCTGCCGCAGACAGCCGAACATGGTGTCAGCTCCGATTTTATCCGTCTCCCTTCATCGGCCGCTGGCACTGTGCCGCGCTGTCCCCGCACAGCCAGGGGCCGTCAAGGACAAGCAGCGGGTACGTGTCGCACAGAGCGTCGAACATCCCCGTGCTGCACCCCCGCACAAGGCCCGCTGATGGCCCCGCTCCCTGGGCCCCGCGGTCGCTGGCTTGTGACCGGCCGCGCGGCTCGCTGCTGGTTGGCGTCCTCGGGTGATCCGCATCGAGCTGATTCGCTGGCGCGGTGGCCTGCTTTCCTCTTTTGCCGTCAAGGCGCCGCTCCCCCCAGAGACCTCCACCACTTGGACACAGGCCGCGCGCTCTGAAATGGAAGACTGCCCCGTGCGACAGCGGCCGGGGCTGCTCCGCACACCCCGTCAACGTGCGCGCTGCTGCGGAGGTGTGTCCAGTGGTGTCGCGGCCTCCCCCGCCGAGCCGCAAAATGGCTGTGGCGCCCGCCATGGCTCCAGCGCGGCGGCAGAACACGACCCAGAGCCCATTGGCCGGCAGTGCGGGCATGCCCCATCTCCTGCGCGCTTCCCCCTGTCCACGACCCAGCCCGCACCAACCATAGGTTCCTGTACCGGCCGCCATTGACGAATTCGTGCATCGCCAGCGGCCGGCCAGCACCACGAGGCGATCTGCGGCCATCTTCCGGCGCCTGTCTGCGGGCCACGACCCATGCCCCAGCGTGTTCTCTGTGCCGTTTCCGATCGACCCGTCGCCTGGCCGTTTGCACGTTCGCTTGCCGCCCACCGGATTGTCCATCCACCGGGCTGTCCATCCACCCAGCTGTCCATCCACCGTATTCTTCATCCACCCACTCACCCACCCGCCTATCCCTTTCCACATGGGCCCTTCCGGATGGGCCACATCTGACTCGTTCCTCACCGATCGCTTGGCTTGGCTGGGAGATCCGTCCTTGACGCCTGACAGAATCCTGCGTTTCCCTCGCCCTTCTGCCCCGAGGCTTGTCGCTGGCCTTCATCCCAAACCAGGAATGCACCCCGGGTCCCCATCCCACACGGATCCTGCACCGATCCATCTCATCGAGGGTTCACCCCAAACGCGGTTGCGGGTGCCAGGGTCTTTCGCTGAAAGTTAAGGTCGCCTGAACGGGAGTCTCGTCAATTCCAAGATGGGACTTGCGCTCGCCGGGATCCGCTGGCTGGAACAAGAGGCAAGCGATCGTCTCGGGCACAGCACACATGCACGGCTATGCATGGTACTGGACCATATCCAGTCATCCCGTTCCTCGACAGTCCATCCATCCCATCCCTCAACAGTCCATCCGTTCTGCTTCGACCGCGAATCGAACCAGCTGGCCCGCACGTGATGCTGGCGGGCAGGCTTGACAAATCGCAGGCGATCGGCCTTTGCCTGGGCCTGCTGTCCTGCCAGATCTTGCCCAACTCGCTCGCCAACTCACTCGCCAACGATGCAACGCATGGCGTCTGTGGTCCGCGGCCTTGCCCGCTCCTCGCTCCGAATGCCTCTCCGGACTTTCCATCTGGCGAGACCAACCCATGTTACCCAGGCCGTTGCCTCTCGGGCAATCCAGACGACCTTTGTCCTGCAGAGTAAGACATCCAGAGCTGCGTCGCACCATCAGCCATCTGCAGATGCACAAATGCCCCAGCCGGAATCAGCACAGGATCGAGATTCGCATCTTTGAGCCTATCAAGCCGATCACTCACCAGAGAGCCGAGACAGCCTTGGGATCTTATCCGGCGATCTGATCGTCCAAGCCTTGTCTCAATGGCCCTCTGCCAGCACACACCCAAAGGCGATGCACATTGGAACAGCGCCACTAATGACGTCCTTTTGTTCTCTGGGGCCTGGCTCCTCCTACGACTTCCACCAGAGCGCTCCATGTTCATCCAAACCGAGGTCACCCCCAACGTGGACTCGCTCAAGTTCAAGCCCGGCGTCCCCGTCATGTCCAACGGCGAGACTGCTGAGTTCACCAGCGGCCGAGAAGCGCTTGTGTCTCCGCTCGGCAAACGCCTCTTCCAGATCGACGGCATCCAGTCTGTCTTCTTCGGCCCCGACTTTATCACCGTCAACAAGCACCAGGAGCACGCCTGGCAGATCATGAAGCCCGAGATCTACTCGGCCATCATGGACCACTTTGCCAGTGGCCAGCCCATCATCTCCGAGGGCGTCGAGGCAGCCAGAGACACCGAGATTCAGCCCGAGGACTCGGAAACCGTGGCGATGATCAAGGAGCTGCTCGATACCCGCATCCGCCCAACCATCCAGGAGGACGGCGGCGACATTGAGTACAAGGGCTTTGAGAACGGCGTGGTCAAGCTCAAGCTCAAAGGCTCGTGCCGCACCTGCGATTCCTCGGTCGTCACCCTCAAGAATGGAATCGAGAACATGCTCATGGTGAGCACTCTCCACGAGACCGATCGACGCAGTGCTGAAAGCGGCTTGGGTGTTGTGGCTGTCTGCATATCTAACTCGCTCTGCATCGCGGCCGCATTTGACGCTTGATATCACAGCACTATATTCCCGAAGTCACTGCGGTCGAGCAGGTCTTTGACGAGCACGAAGCCATTGCTCGGGCCGAGTTTGAAAAGTTTGAAGAGTCGCTGCGACAAGACCGGCTCAAGTGAGCGGCCAAGCCGAGGCTCGCAGCATCATATGCCGCTCCGACGGCCCAACGACTCTGATTGAATCCGGACCGCATCAGTGTGGGGGCCCATCTTGAAAGTGTCGCGGCGTGGCCCCAAAAGCAGCGCTTCTGCGAATGAAAGCCCACTGAAACCTCTTCGACAAAGATCCAAAGCTCTCCATCGAGCACCATGAATACGCAGTGGTTGTCTGTTGGTTGGTCGCCACCGCTGTCATTGCCATTGGTCGTGGATGGCAAGTCGGTCTTGAGGAGGGCTTTGCGAATACATCTAGTCATTAGTATAGGAGTATATGAGGAGCTATTCCGTTTTGGTGGTTTGGGGTGGATGGCGGGGACCAGGGAAAAGGAATAGTTTTTGGGGGTAGAGGTAGACGCTGGGAGAGGCGCCAGGGCTGGCCTAACCTAAGGGAAGAGGGCGTATATGTAGGGGTCGTACGGTATGGCGGATACGATAGAGTTGGCGTTACCAAAGGGATGAGGGCGGGGGACGGTGGGGTCAATGGGCTTGTATTGGTGTGGTTTGCTTTATTGGCGTGATCGTCTCGGAGGGGCGGTTGTAGTGGTGAGAATCCATCGTATCTGTCAGCATCCTGGCAGAGGAGGAGAAGCACTCGTTTCTTCGATATGAGGAGGAAACGATCTTGCCCTGCCGGACCGGGCGTATTTGAGGGAAGGCGAGTGGATGCTGGGATCGGGGGGGGGAGGGCGGAGATCTGGACATCGGTTTGCGAGATGGAAATGCTGGTCTGCTCAGGTTGTCCGGCCTCGACCGGCATGGATGACAGGGTCGTGTGATCACGGCGACCCTGGTGGGTGAATGATCGATTGCCGCCAAAGCGAAAGAATATTCGAGGGGCTGGTTGGCTCTGTCGGGGATGATGGAGTGGTCAGGCTCTGCTGGCGATGTGATGCGATGTGATGCGATGTGATGCGATGTGATGCGATGTGATGCGATGTGATGCGATGTGATGCGATGTGATGCGATGTGATGCGATGTGATGCGATGTGATGCGATGTGATGCGATGTGATGGACCGCGATACCGGCTCGACTGGCTTACTTGTGTGTATCATGGTGTCAGGGCAGGGATTCGATGCTTTCCGATCGTGGTGGGCGAGGGCGTGGTTGGAGGGGAGATTTATTGGCCGAGGAGATCTGATCTGATCTGGCCGTGGGTCGTGTCGGATCGAGGGAGGATGGTCTTGGTGTTGGGGAAGGTTGGTGGCTTACTGCCTGCTTTCTACGGTACCATGTGGCGAGGGATGGTCTGGGTGGTACTGACTCTTTCCACCATCTATGGTTATAGAATGCGTATCGATTGTAATGGTCGATTTGTCGTTGTCGAGTCAGTCGATGGTTCTCTCGGTCGATCAACATCAGCGATTGTTATGGGACAGCACTCGTTGGATGTATTGGATGTATTGAATGCCAAATACAACACTCGGCCATTGCCGCTTTATCGAAACCACATTGCAAGTCCACTGATTGGTATCACGGTGTCTGGGTGGGTGTGGGCGGCGCGGTTTGCTACATTGCACTGCTTGCATGTTCAGTGTTGCGACTTGGTTGTTTGGGAGTGGGACTCGGGAGGGACTCGGGATCAGTGAGACTTACCGAGTGTCTTGAGTCTGTTGATGGCCAAATCGGAACCCTTGTCGGCGGACTTGAGCGTATACTCGAATGATTTTTCAAATTCCTTCGAATGTTCATTCGACCCAAGCCGCGGTATGCGGATCCAGCTTCGTACTGGCCAAATGGATTGTTCTGTTCTGCTGACTTCATGTACCATTCAAGCGCTGTGTCTCGGTTCAGGGGGACTCCTCGACCCAATACGTTGCAACGCCCAATACAGAACTGGCTGTCGTCGTATCCTTCATCTGCCAGTTCCTCAAAGATCTGTGCTGCGTGGAATTGATTCTTGTTGGTTCCGAGTCCGTTGGCGTAGCATATGGCCAAGAGGTGCTTGCATAGCCACTCTCGGTCCGCTCCCAATTGGCAGAGGTTGAAGAGGAATTCATTTGGGTTCGTGGGTGGATGTGAGAGTGTGCTTTCAAGGGTACACTCGTCTTCCCCGACACTGAACTCTTTCGTCTTGTTCTCTCGGATGATCTCAAATCCCACACCCTTGTCCTGTAATGTGCCCCGGCCAAGGTAGACCATCCATCCAAGCATGAATGTGGCGATCCGCTTGATGTCTTGGTCGGTGGACATTGTGTTGACCACCTCCCATTGGCGGAGGGCCGAGTAATCGCTCTGTTGGACGCCATCTCGCGCTGGAGCATTCGAGCAGCGAGGTACGTGGCTGCAGGATGTCCTCGTTTGACGAGGTAATCGAGCCATTTTCGTCCTGCTACGACGCCACCGGCGAATTTCGGAGAGATGGAGAAAACATCATCCTTGGTGAACATGTCGGGTATGACTTGGTCAGGGTCGTATGGACGCTGCTTCTCAAGCCAGAGTCGGAATCGGTTCACTTTGGTGTCCAAAATGAAGTTTGCCTGCCTGCACACCAGTCGCATATTCCCAATATCGCTGCGGGAAAGACTGGTTTGGAAGTTGTCGTTGCAACAGATGATCGTGAAGATATCTGGGATATGTGAGTCATGGCGGCGGTTGGCTAACAGGACGGGTGCGTACTCTGATGACGATTTGCTTACGGCCGTTGGGTTACACAGAGTCACGTGAGACCACGTGTCGACCTCGATCCCGGCATGGCAGCCAGCCTTGCACTTCTTCGCCGGGGTGTGATCTGCGTCAGGTCGGGCCAAACAAATATCGATCACCAGAGCCAGCGAGCAACAATGTTCAGCGAGCTGACCGAGGTGTTTCTGGACCTGAGCAAAGACCTTGTGGATGATGACGTCGTATTCGTCCCAAATGACAAAATCCTGAACACCTCCATCAAGATGGCTGCCCTGGGCTCGCTTCCATCGATCACCCACATCCTCCGAGGCCTGGTTCCACACCAAGTTCTTCACGCCGAGCCCGATGCAACCAAGACCCACAAGATCTGGTTCTTTGATGGGCTCCTCTGGAAGCATGTGGATCTGGACTACGCCCTGACCAAGCTTCTCACTGATCCCCAGGGCGCCTTCCAGGGGTGGGTCGAAGTGGTTCGAGCAAGGTACGCCAGCTCGAACAAGCTCAAACATGCCAAGGATGTGGTCGAGGAGATCAAGTGCACTCTGGGGCGCATCCCAGACATCATTGAAGACAGATACAGATTTGCCCTGGCATTCCAGCACAAAAAATTCAACATCGAGACCTTTGCCATCACCCACGCCAATGCATCGACCAACACCATCCTCTTCGCCAATGGGATTGTGCTGGAACTGCCTGGCCTCAAGGCTCGTCGGGTCAATGCCGGTGACTGCTTCACCCACTCGCTTCCAGTCTCGTACGTGGTTGACGACTTCTATTTAGGTGTCAGTCGCAAAGTCTACAAGCTGGAGGAGTTGATTCGCTCGATACTGGGCAGCAGCAACGTCGCAGAGTACCACTTGCTCTTGCGCTTCTTGTCAACGTGCCTCACCGCCAAATCCCGCACTTCCGAGTCAGCGCTCTTCCTGGTGGGGAACGACCAAAACCCTGGCAAGCACCTGCTCCTACGTCTGATCCAGCATGCTCTGGGCTCGCGCATCCTGAGCGTCCCGGGTGAGAGGCTGGTCTCGCAGATCAACCCTCCCAGTGATGCCCCTGTCAAGGAGCTTGTGGTCGAGGCCCTGGACGCTGGTGCCACCTGCATTCTGGGCGAAGGACTCAAGAGCACGCAATTCCTGGTCAAGGCCAGCCATATACCTACTCTTGCGTCGGTCACTCCAATCTATCTTAACCACCGAGCCATGGAATATGTGCTTTTCGACATGGGGCGAATCAAGACAATCGTCAGTGTCGACTCATGGCCCGGGTCGTTTCGCCTCGTGGGGGATGAAATCTGCGCCAAGGAGAGCATCGTGATCAATCTGGCACAAAACATTGCTGTCGATTCAGCGATCGTGGCATCTGTGGAAGATGGCGAATTCGACCAAGCTGTGATTGCACTTTTGTTGCGATACATCGCTCCTGGCAGGGAGATGCCCGCTTGGATCTCTGAAGACTGAGTGCCAGGCCCGACATCCGCGATCATGTCCGGCTCCGTGCAAGTCGCTCGCGTGTGTTGGTCTTGCGCTTCGTACCAAACACGGCATCTTCTTCGTCCAGCCCAAAGGCACTCCCGTAGTCAATAAATATCTCTTCTCCATTATGAATGTCCCGCAGTGCCTTCAGCACCACACCGACTCCCCTGTCCTGGGCGAGCTTTGCGTTGACATCGTTGCCGTCGTCCGAGTGGTTGGCGAGCGTTCCGATTCCTCTCCGGCATGCACCGTCTTCGTATCGACCCACGTTGAGCCCGATTCGGCGTTCAACGAGGTATGGGGCGCTAGTGTTTCCGTACCGGGAACGACTTTCTTGGCCAGGGACGGGTTGTTCATCGTACTCGATGACCACTTGGCCTCTCTTGAACAGGACTGCATTCTCGAGTCGTTCGCGCTCACCGTCATCGTACACACTCGCGGGCACATGCTTGTATGCGAACAACCCCTTTCCTGCGCCTGGGATGGTGGAGTCGTCGATGCGCAGGTTTTTCACCGTTGCTAGATGGGAGTAGCAGTACTTGACACCAATGCATGTCGTGCGTGTGCAGCGTCGACCATCGAGCTTGGTGGCCACACAGCGTTCACACCGCATCCGGCATTCCCATGAGTCGACATCGTCGCTCTCGTAGTCAAAGTAATATGATGTCTTGAAGACACCGACCAAAAGAAAGTCAAAGCAGCCCAATGACTTCTCACCCTCTCATTTACAGATTCGGTAACGCACCCCCCCCCCCAACCCATTATTCCCGGAAGCCAGCGCAACAACGTCAAAGAGGAGGGAGATGAAGCATCACTGGATTACATTCTCTCAACTCCACCTCCCGAATACCAAGCCAGTGTCAACGATATCATTCAAACAGAATCAACCAAAACAAGCACCACGATCGAAGGTTCATTAAGCAATACCTCGAACACGGTTCATAAATTCCTTGAGGACAACGGACTCTCAAACTACAAAAGCCGTTTTGAGGAGCGCGATTTCGACACCGTCGATGTGGTATGTGTCCTTTGCCATCCGTAAAGTCAACCTCGTGTGCTACTGACTTTTGTACTCCACAGCTCCTTGCTCTCAATGGTGACCAGATTGACAAGATCGGACTGAGTGATGGTGCCATCATGAAGCTCAAGATTGCACAACAAAAGTATCGTCCACCTTCTGCATCTACCTCTGGTTCCAATCCGGCACCATCAGTTGCTTCTCCTGTGCAAGCATCGAATGATACTGAAGGCAAAGGAGCGACACCAGAACCCATATCAGATGTCAAACTCAAAGAAGAGCCACTGATGTACAAAGAAATCGATGTTGTTCCGACCTGTAATGACTATCAGCCGGCTCGAATTCTCGACAGTTGGAAGTGTAGAGAGGGACATGATGCGCACGATGTATACATCAGGTAAGGAGCTCTCATCGACCCAGCCGCGAACCATGCAAGTGTACTCTTGATATTCATTACATGATCGCATTATATTGGCTACCGAGTCAGCAGCGATAAATTGAATGCAGTACAGTTACGTGCCAAGCCCAACTCCACAAAATTGAACGACATTCCCCTCCACGCATACCTTGACGAAGAATGTCTCGAAGATGCCGAAAAGTGGGAGGATGGGTTCCTCACCGGACTTTATCAGTCTAAAGTCATTGTTCTGCTGCTATCCGAGGAAGGTCTTCAAAGAACGTTCGACGCCCATAATACGCCTGACAACCATTTTCTCGAGGTATGAAGACTCTACCATACAACAATCTACATTGAACCACGACTGACTCGTGTTCATCCACTCGATTAGATTCAACATGCATTGAAGCGTAGGAAGGACACTGACGGGAAAAGTCAGCCAGTGCTCGTACTCCCGATCTTTATGTGGTCTTCTCATAAATTTGGAAATGATACATTCAAAAAAAGCACCTTCCCGATGCCTCAATATTCCCTCTGTATCCACCCAAACACCCTCGAAGTCCCCGATCCAATGATCATAGTATGCCTATGGCTATCAGTGAGACATTTACGGAGCTGCTCAAGTACCAGTCACTTAACACAGTTGATGACGCAGCACTTAAATTGTAAGCTCCTCGCTGTTTGTTAGAATGTCCGGAATATTCACTAACTATCATGTGATTCGTTTAGACTTCTCCCCAACATTCGCCAGCTGATAACGAAAACCTCCACAGCTGCTAAGGAGGGCGATATGTACACACAAGGTGGAAGTGTCGTCCTCACCGCCGAACAAAACTCGCTCCTGCGATCCCTCCTCGATCCCGTCGACTCTGCTTCGGACAGACGAGCACTCGAGGATCTGTATGTCGAGGGAACCCGCCAGTGGCTGTTTGACCACGTCACTGCCTGGGTCGACGACGACGACAACGCCGACCGGGTCCTGTGGGTCAATGCCGTCGCTTGTGTCGGCAAGTCCGTTGCTGCCGCCCAGATCGCCAACATCCTCACGGCCACCAACCAGCTGGTGGCGGCGCTGTTCCTCAAGTACAACGACACTCGCAAGAGCGATCCACGAGTGGTGCTGAACACCATCGCATACGGTCTGTGCAAGTGGTACGCACCGATCGGCCGTCGGCTACTCGACGCCGGCCACACCAAGGACGACCTCGACAAGATGAGCATCCCCGAACTGTTCAAGGCCGTGATTGCCGATCCACTCGAAGCCATCGGCAACTACAGACCCAAGGGATCGGTGATGATCCTGGTGGATGCACTCGACGAGTGTTCTCCGCGTAACCAGCTGCTCAGTCTGCTTGCCGTGCGCTTCGTCGAACTGAACAAGACCCGTCCGTGGCTCAAGCTGCTGCTGACATCCCGACCCGAGAAGGACATCAAGGCAGCATTCGATGGAGTCCCGACCAAGACAATCGAACCCTCGAGCGAGGAGAACGTCCGTGATCTCGAGGTGTACATCCATCACCGACTGCTAGTGCACGGCACTCTCATTGACTCGGACCGCACCAAGGCAGTCGCCATCCTGCTGGACCAGTCCAAGACATTCGTGTGGATCAACCTGATCCTCAACACCGTCGATGCAGCAGCCATGGACGGCCCAGTGACACTCGCCACGATCAAGGACATCAACGACAGCGCCGCCGATGTCGGCCAGCTGTACCACAAGACATTCGCCAAGATCCACTCGCAGTCGAGCCACCCGGCCGAGCTGGTCACGGTGGGGTCGGCGATCGCCACGGCCCAGTCGATCCTGACCCCACAGGTCATCGCCGATGTGTTTGGACTCGAGATCGGCGTCGTTCGCGAGTGTCTCAAGAGCCTCAGCCTGGTCCTCGATCCTGGCGCCAATGGACTGGGTCCCCGAGACAGCCAGTCCACCAACACCGAGGTCAAGTTCAACCACAAGTCGGTGGCGGACTATCTCCTCGGCGACGCATCGACTGGCCATCCGTGGCATGTGTCGAGCTCGTTCCACACGGTGTTTGCCAAGGGATGTCTCGGCGTGATCCTCTCGCACGATCCAGTGATTAACATCTGCGAGATCTACGACTTTCACGACAAGATCCCCGACCTCGAGGACAGGGTCGCAGTCAAGATCACACCGTCGCTGCGATACAGCATCGCCCACTGGATCACACACTTTGTGTGGTGTGTGGACGGAGTGGCCGAGTCGAGTCCGGTGTGGCAGTCGGCCGAGACTGTCGATGTGGCAGCGGTGCTCACTCGGTTCGTCAAGACACATGTGTTCTTCTGGCTCGAGTGTGGGTCGCTCACACATGTGGTCAAGCCGATCATCGAGCAACTGGCTGTGCTGCGAGGAGTGATCGCCAAGGCACCCAGCACCATCGTCGACGACACCACAAATGAACTGGTCAAGGACACGTATCGATTCATCCGCGAGTTTGCCAATCCGATCATCAAGAGTGCACCACAGGTGTACAACTCGGGGTATGCATTCACACCGAAGGAGACGGCGATCTACAAGACATATGCCACCCAGCTCGAGGACAAGATCCCGTTTCTGGTCACCTGTGGTCCAACACCCACCTGGGATCCATGTATGATGACACTCACAGGCCACTCGAGCCAAGTGAACTCTGTGGCAATCTCACCCAATGGCAAGATCGTTGTCTCTGGGGGACACGAATCGAGGTCTATTGACCCAGGAGATTGAACTGGAGAACGGTCCAGTATCGTCAATATTCCCCGTCAGTAACTCAAGAGCGTTCTACCTCAAGACAAACACTCGGATCTATTGCTATCAGAGCCAGGGTGCCGAATACTTGTTGCGAGATGAATTGAGAATTGAACATGAATTGCCTGCCCCTGAGATCGTGACAAATTGCCATTCCTTACACGATATTGGGTGGATATGGAGGAGCAGGGGAGATCGATGGCATTCCCTTGCCAATTATCTGTTTCAATTCCCTGAAGACCTTTACGAGGTATCAAGAATCGGGGTTTTCAAATGTGGGGGCCTTTGGTCGTTCAAGAGAAGACTCATAATTTGATTGTGAGTAACTCGCGTTCGTATTTGAGAATGTGGTTGAAATGATTAGTACTTACCTGTGCAAATATTGATACTCCGATTCTCGGTTGTAGCCCAATGACGACCTGCGAGCTAATGAGGGTACTCAGGATCAATCGAGTCCAAGCGATAGCTCATTTGATCGAACTGATAACAAAGACAAGGACTCTCAAGAAAACACATCATTCATGTTTATGGGAAGTGGATTGCAAAACGATATTTAGCACCATGATCGAGAACGGATTCTGCCCATATAAGCAATTGCCTGAAAAAATTGCATTGAGCGAGCCCAACAATCGCACTGATTCCGACAAATTCACAACACCAAGCGAAGTTCCTTCCACCGACAACGACAATAGGTACCAAGAACATTTAGGTGAACCATTTGTGAAGAAGAGTAAACAAGCCATGCTGACCGCCACCATGGGTGGCATGGGCAAGTCTGTCCTCGCCATCCAGATCCTGTTCTTCATGATGGGCATTATGAATGCGAGCAACAAGGAAGACCTCCTCGCCATCAAAGCCGAGACCATCGGCATCAAGCCACAGTACCGCCAGGTCTTCTGGCTCAACTGCTCGACCGAGTCGCTGATTGACTTGGCGGGACTGCTCGACAAGCCTTATCTTCTCGAGCGCGAATGAAAGCCCATTGAAACCCCTTCGACAAAGATCCAAAGCTCTCCACCGAGCAACACGAATACGCAGTGGTTGTCTGTTGGTTGATCGCCACCGCTGTCATTGCCATCGGTCGTGGATGGCAAGTCGGTCTTGGGGAGGGTTTTGCTAATACATCTAGTCGACTCGGTGACCCGTGAACGATCTCTGTCGTGGTGGTGCCGGGGACTGTGCTCAGGCGGCCATTTCATGGGAGTGATCCTGGGGATGCTGTGGATCGAGCCGTGGCATCGTAGAACCGCAAGAAAAACATCGAGGCGTAGTGCTGGGTAGGTTTGCTATTCTCCAAGCCTGGTGCTGGACAGGGGCCTTGGACGAACAAGCTGTTGGAGAAGCAACATCATCGTCCTTCGGTGGTTGTGTCGCTGGGTTTCGGGTCCGAGGTGGCGGTGTCAAGCCTCCGGCACAGCCACCGTGTCCATCCATTTCGTCTTGGCTGGGCTTTTGCCTGTCGTCTCCTCTCCTTCGCCATCATCATCACCACCACCGCTATCGCCCTCGCTCTCGCCCTCGCCCTCACCACCCCGTCCAGCGAGCCATGCACACCTCAGCCATCGTCCTGGGAGCAGCGCTGCTCGGTCTGTCCCAGATCCCTGCCGTGGTCGCAACGCCTGGAGGCTTTGCGGGCAGCGACGCTTTTGGCTCGCCGCTCGAGTCCGTCGACCACGCCGTCTACCTCAAGTCATCCCGGGTCCTCGCCGGAGCGACTGCAAGGTGAGCCTGGCTGCTCCGGAGGGAATGGAGGCGCTTGCTGACCAGTGCTACGGCTACGGCTACGATATGGCATGTGCACATGTTCTGTCGGGGCCAAGTCAGCCTTTTGGATGGGCAGTCGTGCTCTGCTCATGGAAGATCGCTGCGAGGGCCAGCTCCATCTGATGACCAACGATATTCTTCTCCTTCTCAACGCTACGGCTACATATGCAACTGCCGGGTTGGTATTCAACCTCAACCGATGATCGATTGAATGCTGGATCGACGCTTAACGAACGCTCCTTCGCTGATCGCGATCGAACTCGGTCGGACTGAAACTGGACTGGACTCTGTCGGATTGCGCCGAACTGGATGCACACAATCGATGTTGTCAAACCACCTGTGACGGCGACCGCCGCACACGCCACCAAATATCGGGTGATATGTGGATGCTGCAGTGGCAACGAGTTTGACGCTCTCGTCGCCGGTCCCTTCAAGACTAGCGCCAGCACCAACGCACACTTTGCCCGGCTAGTCTCCAAAGTCGACACCTCCAGCGATATACCTCTCATTGGATTCCCCTCTGCCGAACAACGAGTTCCGCACTCGTCCGTCAGCGTGGCGGGCGTCACCGATGGGATCGACAGCACGACGCCGCTCTTTGTCCCGCTCGAGCAGCTCGACTGGAACAGCATTGTCTCGTCGCCCAATGCCGTAGATTTGGCCGTGGCTACCGAGCCGGCTGCGGCTGTTGCGTCCTCCGACACCACCGTTGCCTTCCTCAAGCCATTCTTTGGCTCGTCGCAGTAGCAGCAGCAATAACCGCCCGTAGTCTTGGCATTCACATCGATGCCGCAGTGTCGCAGAGATGCAGTGCTGCAGACATGAACCACATCACCCGCCCCCTCAATCCAAATACACACATTTTTGCTCTTGTCCTTCAGCATGTATATCCCGACCATCGTTGCCCATCCCGCCACGTGGATGCTCACGTGGATACAAAGTGCTCCTGGTTTCTCGGTCGCTTGTCGTCCGTGCTCGTCCTCCGTCCTGCAACAATCGACCGTCATCCTCCATCATCCGTCCATCTGATCACCAACCACCCAAATGCATTCCCTTGCCGCCACTTCGCTGCTCGCCGCCGCACTGCTGGCCGCTCTGCCTGGCACCTTCGCTGGCGTTGCCCCTGCCGACCACCACGCCAACTTTGCCGACTCCTCCGTCGCCTTCCAAGGATCCGTTGTCTCGACCACGCCCTGCGAGTCCCAGATGGCCGTTCGTCTGACTGGCTGCCACAACGCCAAGGTCTCTGTCACTTGCGTCTACTTTGACGACAACACGCCGTCTTCGATCAAGACCGGCGACGTCGTCGACGTGCTCGGGCTCGGATACGGCGCCACAGGCGCCTGCGGCCCCTCGCTCGTCGAACAGGGACAGTCCTATGTCTTTGGTGTCAACCCGCTTCCCTCGCAGTCGCTGGCATTCATCCTGCCAAACATCTGCCAGACACCCTACAAGCTATCGTCTGGGGACGCCGAGGGAGGAGCGGTCGTCGTGGATCCGAGCCGCCTGAGCTCTGCCCTTTTGCTCGTCCAGGACGGCGCCGTGACTCGCAAAACGCCGCTTCTGTCATCGTGCGGAGCCTCTCTGCCCGACGCTGAGGCCCTCGATGCCGAGTAGAAGCGCAAGTCGACGAAGCTCGCCTGTGCGATTCCTGTGGTCTCTTCCCCAACAGCGCTGCCCTTTGTCCTCGCGTTCGTCTTTGCCTCCATCATCAACGACGCTTCAACCCTCGCCTCCATATCCTGCGAATTTCTTTTTTGGTCCTCATCAAGTCGCACTCCCACACCAGCCTGCCGCTGTCTCGAACCCGAATACGATGTTTACTTTTTCTGTTATTGTTTTTCACGCCGTCTTGCCCGTGCCATCGCGCTGCCGAAGCCAAAATACATTACACATGAACTTTTTGAATCCGCATGAGGGTGTGCTTGTGTGGGGACGGGCGGGCGGCTGGGCACTTGTTGTGATTGATGGAAGCAACAATGTTTGTTGGTCCCTGAGTCCGCCAGGGCCATATCATCCATTGTGGCTGGGTCGCCATCCAGATGAAGAGCCTCGGGGCAAGCATCGGTACATCTTCCCATCGTTTCTCGTTTGGACGCTAGCGGCATCGACGATGGCAAACTGCTCAGCAGCGGGCGATATCTCTGCAACAGACAGCAAAATCAGCCTTGATTTCGATGTCAGGCCCACTACAAAGCTCCTGGACTCGGAGGCCAACGACCTCGTCGAGGCCGATGATTCCTCCGGCGGCTTGGCAAGCTCATACGGTGCGGCTGCTTGGTCCTGGAGAAACATACTGCCAACGATCTACTCGGGATGTACAACGGTCGGGCACGCCTTGGGCAGTCTTCTCGTCTACATCACCATCGGCGACTCGGTTGCCCCTGACAAGCGAGGTTTCTATGACAACCTCAACCACGGCATCTTCTCGATTTCGACGGTCCTGGGGCCGATCCTTGGCAGCGCCTTCACCGACAACGAGGCCGGCTGGAGGTGGTACTTTGATGTCATCCTCCCGCTTGCCGGGTTCTCGTTGACGCTCTATTTCTTCGTGGGAAAGTGGGCACCCAAGTACCTCGAGCCCGAGTCGCCGTCTGAGCCGGAGAGCTGGAGTGCCGTCGGCATCTGTATCGCCGTTGCCATGATGCTCTCCGGCCTGACCTACTGGGGCTCCAGCCACATCTGGGACTCGCTGGTGCCCCTGTCGATCCTGCTGGTCGTCGGGATTGTCCTCTGTGTGCTGGTTGTGGCGGTGGGATCGTACTATGCACCTCGCGGTCTGCGGCCCGCCGGCCTGTTTGGGCACTGGAATTTCAATGTCTGCAACTGGATCGGCCTGGCGGCCAGCATGCAGCTCTACGGTAAGCACTTTGCTTGGCTTGGAGGTTTTAAATTCATTCGATGTGTTTCGCCGACCCTGCACTGTCGGTATGTTCTGTGATCATGCACTGTCGGTATGCTCTGTCGGCATGCACTGTGAGCATGCTCAGTTGCCACTAACGCCTCTGTTTCGTTCGGCCAGGCTGCATTTTCTTCATCCCATTCTATCACCGCATTATCTTCAATGAGAGTTCCACCGATGCCGGGCTCAGCCTTTTGCCGTTTGTCGCTGCCTTCAGCATCACATCGGTGGTCACCAGCGCACTGGCATACCAACCCACAAGCGCCTGCAGCTTGGCTCGCCTCGGCTCCGTCCTATTGGCAGGCTCGATGGCCATGCTCATGTACATCGACACCAAGCCCAACCCGCTGCTGGAGAATCTCAGCTTGATATTGTTTGGAATCTCATCCGGACTGATCTACCCCAGTATTCTGGCCATCACCCAGCTGTCGCTGCCGGAGGAATCTTGGACGCAGGCGACCATTGCCCATGCCTTCTTCAAGACGCTCGGCGGCATCTTTGGCCTGGCCCTCTTCCAGGCCACGCTCAAGCAGAGCTTTGAAGACCAGGTACATCAGGATGTCGGGGCGGATATATCCAAGGTGAGTGTACTTTGTGGTAGTCTGTCTGGGATCTGGGCCGAGGGCCGCAGGTCGGTTGGTCAGTCGGCTCGTTGAGAGTCTCTGAGTTTACTGTTCAATAAGTGGGCCTGTCGTTCAGTGAGTGTGTCTATCGTTCAGTGAGTGTGTCTGTCGTTCTGATCTCCCTCTTTTGTCTGCGCACAGTTTGATCCCGTTCACGTATCGACGCTGCCGGATCCGCTGAGGCTGGCGGTGCTCGGGTACTTGGTGGCAGGGTTCCGGGCGGTGTGGGCAACGGCGATGGTCGTCTCGTTGATGGCGGGCTTTGGCTCACTGCTGATGCGTGCCGCTGACGCCCGGGGCACCAAAAAGGTCGACATCCCACTCCTTTCTGAGTAATTTGCAGTCAGCTCCAGTCAATAAAAGCGGGATACGCTGTTGTTTGGCTGATGTGGTCGGTTTGGATTGCAAATGGCCTTGGTGGTCGAAGGCTCTTACACACTACGCTGACACAATGGCAATGAGGGTGTCCCATTTTCTCTGGCCGCAATGTAGACTCTCGTTGATACAGCAGCACAGGCAGAGCGTTCCCATGTCATATCGCCATCGCTCTCGTTCCTGGAGATCAGTCGGCACGTGATGGGGCTGCGTCCCTCCCGGCATCGATGCTCCAGGGTCGGCGGCTCGAGTGTGGCTCGAATGGCTTGACCAGGGTCCGCTGGCTGCTTCTGCAAACGAAAAGCACACCAGGGCATCGTCTGGGCTGCTCTGCGGACGCTCCGCATCTCGCTACTGCTGCCAACCATGTCTGATCGCTACTCGTTCTCCCTGACGACATTCTCGCCCTCGGGCAAGCTGGGCCAGATCGAATACGCCCTCAAGGCCGTTTCCCAAGGCGTTACCAGCATCGGAATCAAAGGTGCGGCGGTGTGTCGGGCTTGCCGCTCATGTGCAGACTTGGGGGGGGGGCTGGAATCGTAGTGCTGCTCTCTCGACGCCAGCGCCGGATTCTGCACCACCGAGGGGGCATGCTGCACGCATCGTGAGTCTCCTGTTTCGGCTGCATCCGTATTCACGCTCCCTCCCTGGATGCTTCTGTCTGCAGCTTCCAATGGCGTCGTGATTGCCACCGAAAAGAAGACCAGCTCCGCTCTGGTGGACCACACCACGGTCGAGAAGGTCTCGCTGATCTCAAAGAACATTGGCATGGTCTACTCGGGCATGGGCCCCGATGCCCGAGTCCTGCTGGATAAGGCCCGAAAATCGGCTCAGGAATACAAGCGGGTCTACATGGAGGAGCCGCCCGTTGCCATCCTGGTCAAGGAGATCGCCGGCATCATGCAGGAGTACACTCAGTCTGGGTAAGAGTCGATCATATGGGAAGCTGTAGGGAAGGATCCAGGCTGTCGACGCAAGATCGTTTGGTTGCGCAGGATCTGGACGGCTGCGCTGACAAGCTGCCTCTGCGATACACGGCTCCAACTTACACTCTCGCGATCTGCGGTTCTTGCTCCAGAGGTGTCCGTCCCTTTGGCGTCTCGCTTCTCATTGCTGGCTACGACCACACCGGAGCAGCCCTGTACCAGGTTGACCCCTCGGGCTCGTACTGGGCCTGGAAGGCCAGTGCCATCGGCAAAAACATGATCAACGCCAAGACCTTCCTCGAGAAGCGGTAGGTCATGGCAGCACGGCTTGCAGATGAGAGTTGGAGACACTTGGCCTGGCGCGGTGGATCCTGATGGCAGATAGTCGTCCGCGGCGCGATATCCGTGCACTGCGGGGGATATGTATGTGCTAATTGGCGCATCGTGGCCCTGGCCCTCAGCTTCACCGAGAACATGGAGATCGAAGACGCTGTCCACACCGCGATCCTGACTCTCAAGGAGAGCTTTGAAGGCGAGATGACCGAATCGAGCATCGAGATTGGAATATCACAGCTGGAAGAGGTCATCAACACACACGGCCAGCGGGAGAAGATTGGCACGTTCCGACGACTGAATCCCTCAGAAGTCCGCGACTACCTTGCCAACATCGCCTGAGTGTGTCTGAAGGGGCAATACATGCAATCCACGCAACTCCACCCAATACTCTGACCGAGTGCCGTCCTCGCCGATTCATTAGTGTCCCCAGGTCGAGACTGCGTGGCTGCCAGCACCGCAGTATTAGCGACCGTGTGCACTGGGGAGTCATGAGCGCGGAGGGGCCATGGGAATCGCCGAATGGTTCATGGTCGGGAGTGGATGGTCCAGACTCGCTTAGCGGGCGAGCCTCCCGCACCCCCTGTTCCCAGCGACAGCCGCACTTTCCTCGCCCCCCGAGGCGCTGGCCCTGCTCCACCCTTCTGCATCTGCGCCTCCGGGCTCATGGCCAATGTCTGTCTGTTTGGCCGGGGTGAGGGACAGCCTGGCGCGGCTGCGCTTCGCCACTTTTTTTTCTTTCTTTGGAGGGCTGATTGATGGACGGCCGATTCGCTGAAAAGGACATCGCTGCCATTGCCAGCCCGGATCTCGCTATCCATCGACTCGACCACTCCCTCCCTCTCTGCGCACACATTACTGCGATGCCCGTGATTACACCCGAGCAGCTCGTCTCGCTCCAGCAAGCTCGGAGCCATATCCGCAACATCTGCATCCTGGCCCATGTCGACCACGGCAAGACGACGCTCTCCGACTGCCTGCTGGCCTCCAATGGCATCATCAGCCCAAAAATGTCGGGCAAGATTCGCTATCTCGACTCGCGGGAGGACGAGCAGGAGCGAGGCATTACCATGAAGTCGTCGGGCATCTCGCTGCTCTTCAAGATCATCAAGCACATCACCCTTGCCGGCACTGTCGATGACGGGACACTATCCCAGTCCAAGACCGAGGAAGACGATTATCTAATCAACCTGATCGACTCGCCCGGACATGTCGACTTTTCATCCGAGGTCTCGACAGCTTCGAGACTATGTGATGGAGCCCTGGTCATTGTCGACACCGTCGAGGGTGTCTGCACACAGGTTAGTATCCCCGTCCCCCATGCTCTGGTTGGGTCCCTGGATTCCCCAGCTCGAATCCTTCAACTCGGATTCTTGCTTGTCCAGCGGCCTGCTGGCAGATTGGATTCCATTCGAACTGCCACACTGTCGTCGCCTGCCTTGCCCCACGGGCATGGAATGTCATCCGGCACTCTCGCTCCGAACGCATCCTGTTCAGCTGCCGTCTGATTCGAGTTGTGATCCTGCAGACCCACACGGTGCTGAAGCAGGCATGGGTTGAAAACGTCAGACCCATCGTTGTGCTCAACAAGATCGACCGGCTCATCACCGAGCTGAAGATGACCCCGACCGAGGCATACATCCACATGAAGAACATCCTGGAACAGGTCAACGCCATCATGGCCGTCTTTTACTCCGAGGACCTGATGCAGGACGATGCCCGAAAGTTCGAGGAGGTCCAGCAAAAGAATGCTGCCCCGACCACCAGCAAAGAGGATGCCGAGGCCCTGGCCAGCGGTCTGGAAGATTGGAATCTCGAGGATCGCGACGACTCCAACATCTACTTCTCTCCGGAGAAGGGCAACGTCATTTTTGGCAGCGCTGTCGACGGCTGGGCATTCAGGTAATGGGGACTGGCCTCGATCTGTACAAGCGCATCTGTACAAGCGCATCTGTGCCGGTCGTGACTGACATTCCCAGCGGCGATTCTCTGCAAAATCTTGGGCTCCCATCGTCCTCAGAATCAACCAGTTTGCCTCCATCTACGCCAACAAGCTTGGCATCAAAGAGTCGCTTCTGCTCAAGGTCCTGTGGGGCGATTTCTACTTGGATCCCAAGACCAAGCGGGTTATTGGCTACAGGTCGCTGAAGGGCCGGTCGCTGAAGCCCATGTTTGTGCAATTTGCGCTCGAGAACATCTGGGCCGTCTACGATGCGGTTTTCAACCAAACGTAGGTTTCTCTGTGGATTGTGGGGGCGGAGGTTCAGGTTTGTGCTGCATGGATATGAGCCAGCCGCGGAGATAGCGTCTTGACGGAGATGAGGTCTGGCCGGACACCTGTTGTGAAACAAATGTCTGGTGGTGTTGGCCAAAGTAACTCATGTGCATCGGCGGTGGCTCTCAGCGACCGCTCCAAGGTCGAAAAGATCGTCAAGGCGCTGAACCTCAAGATCCTACCCCGCGATATGCGAAGCAAGGACAGCAAGATGCTGCTGCAGTCCATCTGTGGCCAGTGGTTGCCACTCTCCAGCTCGGTCCTGGCGGCGGTTGTGGAGCTGCTTCCCTCGCCCCTCGATGCCCAACGAATCAGAATGCCAAAGATTCTCCACCCCGAACGCCACATCTCGGCCGGGAACGATCTGGCCGAGGATGCTGACGCCTCAGAGCTTGACCGTGCTGTCTATCGCTGCGATGCGAGCGCCAACGCCCCCATTGTCGTCTACATCAGCAAGATGTTTTCTGTCCCCGCCAAGGATCTCCCGGTCAACAAGCGCGTCCAGCTTACGGCCGAGGAGATGCGGCTCAGGAAAATGCAGACGCTGCGCATGCGGCAGGAGAGCGAGGGCCAGCATCCCAACCGCAGTCTCTCGACCGAGGAGCTGAGGCTCAAGCGGCTGAGTGCGCTTCAGCTCCAGGGCGAGGGACCGGCTCCTCTGGCCGAGATGGTGACTGCCGTGCCGGCGCCAGAACAACCCAAGAACGATGACCATGAGCACCTGATTGGATTCGCGCGCATCTATTCCGGCACCATCAAGACGGGCCAGACCCTGCATGTTCTTGGGCCCAAATACGATCCCCGGTTTCCGGACAAGTACCGATCCGAGATCATCGTCGAGCAGCTTTATCTGCTGATGGGTCGCGAGCTGCAGCCCCTCGACGAGGTTCCGGCAGGCAACGTCTTTGGCATCGGCGGACTCGACGCCCATGTTTTGAAAACCGCCACGCTGAGCAGCACCCCGGAGTGCCGCAGTCTCGGCGGGCTCCGTGTCGATGCTCCGATCGTGCGTGTCGCCCTGGAGCCCAAGGATCCCAGTAAGTGCCCGCATCGTGCATCTGCAAGTGATGCAGCCAAATGAGCTCCAGGTGTGCACTCGTATCTTCCCTCCCCAAAGAGGCTGGCGACAAGAGACATCCAGCAATCATAGCTCGCTGCATTCGTCGCCTCGATTCTTGGCACTGATGCACTTCGCCACGCCGATGCTGCCGACATCCGAACAGCCCAAATGAACCAACTCCGTGAGGGACTCAAGCTCCTCAATCAAGCTGATCCCTCTGTCGAAGTTGTTTTGCAAGAAACAGGAGAGCACGTCATTCTGACTGCAGGCGAGCTTCACTTGGAGGTGAGATATCTGCCCAGCAAATTAGTCTATGTGCTCGCTCCATAGGCATCGGTTGGGTCGCTGTTGCATCCAAAGGGGCTGCGATCGCACTCGTTCGCCTTTCCTGACCCATGCGACTGCTGTTCGGTCCCGATCCAGCGCTGTCTCAAGGACTTGAAGGAGCGCTTCGCCAAAATCGAAATCCAGTGTTCTCCGCCAATCGTGCCATTCCGCGAGACAATCTCAAAGTTCCCGAGCCTGACAGCAACGACGACGGGCGAAGCCAAAGACGGTAAGCGAGAGTGCTGTATCCAAGGCCGATGATCAGCGTTGGGGCGGCTGATACCGGCTGCCGTGCCCAACAAACTCGATACTCCCCCATGCTGACTGCCCGAGGACACATCCATTTCCACACAGACACAGTCGACACTGATGACGATGAGGCCACAGAGGCCAAACCCCCAGCTGCGCTTCCAACTGGCAGCACCGTTCTCTACACCCGGAACAAGACATGCAAGGTCCATGTGCGCGCTCTCCCGCTGCCTCCGAATGTGGTGCAGTTCCTCATCAAGAGCGAAGCCAGCATCAAGTCGGTGCTCCAATCCGACGACAGCGGCAGCCACATCGACGACCTTCTCAGCAAGCTCAAGGAAGAGTTTGCGATTGCAGAGAAGGAAGGCGACCTTGTCGAGCCCGAGAAGTGGGCCGGTGTTGTGGACCGGTGAGCGCTGTTGTTGCAATCAGTGGCGGGGGTGTCTCAGGATGTCGCGGGATATGAAGATGGAGTGGCGTGCCACCCAATTCAGGTCTATGATCGCTGTCCCTTGTATTGCTGGCGATGCAAAGTTGAGCCGCGGCTTCTTTGATAACCTGACTCTTCGGATCCGCAGATTGTGGGCTTTTGGACCCAAGCGCATCGGCCCAAACATGCTTGTCAACAACATCGCGGGATACGACCGCGCTGTGTAAGTGTGGGCGCTCTCCCGTCTCGGAAAGGAGCCGTGGCCTGCATACTGAACCATGATTGCATGCTTTCCTCGCAGTTGGATCCGCAACGCCAAGGCTAGTGGCCAGTATACCTCGTCCAACAACAATGAGTTGGATCGGGCCTTTGACGACGATGCCCGCGAGAGCCTCGAGGACAGCGAGGACGGCCAACAGGATCGCGAAGGGCAGGACGAAGGTCCTGTCGATGGCGACCACATCCTCGGCGCCAAGGATTTTGACGGCAGCATCAACACAAGCTTTCAGCTGGCCACTCAGGTTGGCCCCATGTGTGCCGAGCCGATCATGGGAGTGTGCTACTTTGTTGAAGAGTTTGAAATCGATGCGGCGGCACAGAGTAAGTGCATCAGCAGCGTTTCCGGCACCGGGCTGTGATGTCAACGCGGGACAAAACGGGGTTCAAAGCCTATTCGCCAATGAATGCGCTGGGGAGCCAACCGGCATCTTGCTCACATCGATATCATGTCGCTGCCTGCCTTGCGACACAGCATCGAAGGTTAGCTCGCTTTCTGGACAGATTCTAGCAACCTTCAAGGATGCTTGCAAGCAAGCCTTTCTGGGATGGTCCCCGCGCCTCATGCTGGCGATGTATTCGTGCGAGCTGCAAGCCCCAGGTATGTTGCGACGAGGTTTATCTCTCGGTGCTGCGGGCAGCCAGGTCAAGATACATCGAGAGACATACAGCCTTTGATCCAGCGATTGGGCAAGCAGCAGCCCCGCCAGTCGACATTGACATGGCTTGTGTTCTGACGGTGTCTCCAGCTGAGGTCCTGGGCAAGGTTTACGCCGTGTTGGCCAAACGACGAGGACGCATCATTTCCGAGGAGATGAAGGACGGCACGCCCTTCTTCAACATCAAGTCGCTTCTTCCTGTCGTCGAGAGTTTCGGATTTAACGATGGTCAGTGTTGTTCAAACAGCATCAGTTGGCCTCTGCGGCCGAACGAGATCCCCACCCCCACGAGCGCGCTGGCAGATAGTACCAGCCAGCATATCACTCGACATATCATTCGACATATCACTCGGCAGCGAGGGCAGCGTACCCTTTGGATGGTGCTGTTTGGCTCTGACCATTTTCCAACTCGATACTCTGTCTCACCCCGACTTGGGTTCGACTCGCTTGATCCACCAGATATTCGAAAGAGAACCAGTGGCGCGGCCAGTCCACAGCTGATTTTCTCAGGCTTTGAAGTCTTGGACCAGGATCCATACTGGGTGCCCACGACCGAGGAGGAGCTGGAAGATCTTGGCGAGAAGGCCGACAGAGAAAACCTGGCCAAGAAATACCTCGAAAACGTCCGGAAACGCAAGGTATGCGGGGCAGGGAGAGTTTGGACGAGTTGGGTTGGATTGTGATGGATTGGACCGGATCGCTCTTTTCTTGCTGCTCTTCATGAGCAACATCACTGACACAGCCAAATGGCTGTGTGCCCTTCACACTCTCTTCAGGGTCTCTTTGTCGAGCGAAAGATCGTCGAGCATGCCGAGAAACAGCAGACACTGAAGAAGAAATAACTCGGCCTTGCTGCAGCGCTCATGGCAGATATCGCATCCTGTCAACGGGACGGCGCCTCCGAAGAGCGCCCACATAATGAAGCGAGCCGCTCTACGATTCCAGTTTTGTGCTGAGCGAGAATATACAGACACACCCTTCACAATGGCCATCCATCGCACTTTGATTTCCGCGCTACTGCCTGTGGAAGGCTGCATCCACCGCCAGTGTGTCCAAGAGCACCACCGCACTACGGGTCAAGAACGGGCGATGGGTCTATGGACGATCGTTGAGGGGCACCACCCAGCAGATTCAAATGGCTCGGGGTCATGAAGCTCCGAGTGTCCGGCACTTGCTGTGTGGGCTATAACCGTGAGCCAATGCTGCTCAGAGCATCCGGCGAGACTGCATAGGTTGCCGATAATGTATCTCTGTCGAGGGATGTTTGTAGCGTCACCGGTTGGACGATGGGGACGAGAGACTTGTTTCCAGCACATTGCTGTTGGCATCATGTGCTTTGAGTCTTTCCTGATGCATTCGGGTTTACCGCGAGTGGAGATGAGGCGCCTATCCAGAGTCATCGCCGGAGAGCTCGTAGCTCCAGGTATCGGCAGGCGAAGGCCGCGACAACTTGGTCCGTACCGTCGAGCCTATGAAGTACGGCGACCTGCCACCGGAGGATGTGGCCGAGCGCCGGATCCTGGATGTCGAAGCTGAAGGGCTGCGAATCGCAGCAGGTTTGGAACGCTCTGCCTCGTCGAGATGGCCTGCCTCCTGGCGATGCTTGCCGGGATAGAGTCGGGTGGGCTGCGTCTGCTTTGGAAACAGTCCCCTGACGCCGACGACATCTCGGTTGGCAAGGTACGTCTTGCGCTTCGGAGGTTCTGGCTTTGGCTTTGGCTCTGGCTCTGGCTCTGGCTCTAGATCATGCGAGAGCCCGTGTGATTCAGGCCCGGCAGGGACTAGGTCTGGATCCGAGGGCGGAGCAGATATCGAGGCCAGCGACTTCTCGTACGGATACCGGTAGTATGCCGTCCACATCCGAACGAATTCGTGGTAGTCCGGATGGTCCCAGGGCGGGGTTGCGTATGGAGAGCGGACGGTCTCAGCCGGCGGCACTGACTTGGATTCACCCCTGAGCCGCTTGAAAGACGGGGTTGCATCCGCATCGGTCTTGGCTGTCGGCCTCCCGCTCCGGGCACTGCGAAGCTTGGTCTCTTGAGGTGGATCAGACATGTCCTCCAGCGACAGGGAAACGCTTCTGCGGTGCTTGGACGACGTCGGCTCCTGCTCCACATCGAGGTCGAACACGGCCTGCGCTGGGAGGCGAGGAAAAGGTGCAAAGGCGTGAGCCCAGAGCAGACCAGACCGGAATGAGCAGGACGGATCGACCAGGGTGTCCTCCGATCGCAGTGAAGATCGAGGCTGCCCGCCGACGTGCCCGACAAACCTGGTGCTCTCGAAGTGCGATCGGGCTGGCGAGTCGGGGAATAGGTATCAAAGCCGCTCTTCAGATCAATGGGACGCTTGCGGGAAGGAGGACGAGGGTCCCAAAGAGCATCGGCGTCGCTGGGCGAGGCATCGCTGGCCGTGTCCGAGAGGTCGATCGAGATGGACGGAGACTTGCGTTGGACCGAGGGCGGTGTGGCCTTGGGCGATGCTCTCGATGGAGATAGCGATACTGGGCGCGGGGATGCCGGACAGCTGGAGTGCGACGGTCTCGAGAGGCTGCCGAATGCCGCACGAATATCGCCGTTCTTGTGGGATCGCTTCTGGCCGGCGTGGTCGAGGTAGAAGGCAAGGGCTGGAGCAACTTTGGCCCGAGGCTTTTTCTCAGGCGGCATGGCCTGCTGGATGCTGGCGATGCCGCAGGATGGACGTTGCGCTGCCGAGCGGGCTCGATGGCGATGCAGGGCGGGCTCGGTGTCGCAGCGCGGGCTTGATGACGTTGCAGGATGGACTTGATATCGGAATGCAAACGGCGAAGCAGTCGAATGTCAGTGCGGTCACGTGTGCCAAGTCGTCTGTCAAATCGATCACACCCCCCACGGCAGCAGCCAGTTCCCACAGGCGGTGCATGCGTACTTGGGCGATGTGCATGTCCAAGCCCTAGTCCATCACGGATGCACTACAAGAGCCACCGCTTGCTATCAATCGGGACGACGGGCATGCCTCGTGTGTTCGCAGCGTAGTATATTGTACATGGGTGGGCGGGACTCGGGGATCAGCGCCGTTTCGCGCAGCTCGAGCCTGGCCGCCCGCTCACGCTGCCTCTTCCGCAGGGGTTGCGGATACTGCTTCTTCGTTGCCCGAGCTCGGTGCCGGGGCGGTGCTGGTGCCGGGGGCTGCCCCGGGCGTGGCCGTTCCGCTGCTGCTGTTGGCAGGCGCCTGGGCAGCAGCAGGCGCGGCCGAATTGAAGGTATAGAAACTTGTGACCTCGGCCATGTTGACGAGCTCCTGGATCTTGTTCACGATCTCGGGAGCCGACGAGAACGAGGGCGGGAGCGCGGGGTAGCTTGCAGGCAGATGCTGGGCGTGCAAATCTGTGTTAGCGTCGTCTGTTTATCGGGGGGCAGGTCGATACGGGCCGAAGGAGCAGAGGCAAGTCGAGGGCAGCACCGATCGGTCCCTGGACCAAGATTGAAGAGACGCAAGCAGTACCTTGCTCTCCTTGAAAGCGTTGTGGCAATGCAGGATTGCATCGCAGAGAACAAAGCGAATAATCAGCTGTCGCAAAAAGTCGTCCTGCATGAACCGCTTGACAGATTTGTCTGTCGACCGTGGCGGTTCATGTGGCCACCATTGGGGGTTGAGTCGGGTTTGATTCGGCAGCGGGGGAAATGGTTTGAAGGTCAAAAGGGAGTTGGGGTTGAGGATTGAGTGACTGCGTCAGCGACATCGCCAAGGCAAGCAGCAAATGGCAGCCCCACGCCGCGCAGATCCTCTCTGGATAGTGCAGCTGACCACACATTTGCGTGGGCGATAGCAACGACTGGCCAAGGACATCATACCCAGGTTCTGGTTGGCATCCAAGAGGTCCGAGATCTCCCTCTCAATGCTGGTCATGTGGGCCACGCATTTCTGCCAAGTGTTCGTGGAGATCTCGTTCGTGTCCGAGATGAAGACAAAAGCCTTGACGGGAGAGTGGAGGAAGAGCGTAAAGAGGCTTCCGATAAGGGTGGTATCTTGTTGTGGTTGGAGGCGGCGGCGCCGCAGCGTCGAGGATGGTAGCGGTTGCGGAGTATATTGTTAACATCGGCAGTGGTGCGGTGGCCTGTGCACGTCCACGATAACAGACAAGATCGTGCACTCAAACAGCAATCTACACATACACACACACGCAGGGATGCAATCCGTGCTACAGAGGGTAAGATACCTTTGATGGTGGTGGGGTACTCGGTCGGACTCAAAAGACACATCAAGTTCTGGTTGAAAACCTTTGGGAAGTTCTGGAGGTGCAGGGACAGATCCGAAACGCGCAGAGCATTAGCCTTGCTCGTACTTGGCATGTGCCAGTTCGGTCCACTCGGGTTTATCAGGATATCACAAATGCGAGACTTCCAGCCCTGAGGCGCTCGCTCCTATCCAACACCAAAGGGCACCGCATCGATTCAGATGACCCACCTTGAAGGCAGTGCTGTTGGTGCTGTCGATGATCAGGAACAGGGGTTTCCGAGTAAACGGGACCAGATCGTGCGGATGCAGGCAGTGCACGAGCGAGGTCTGATCCGATTCGCTCTTCTCATTGCCCTTGCGTGCGTAGTTGACGGCAGTGGCAACGCCTCCGGTGTAGCTCGAGTCGGTTTGCTCTGGCTTTGCGGAGCGCTTGCAGCCGTTGGCCGAGATGTACAGCAACATGGCCGAGTTGTCGGAGATGTCCTGCGGATGGCGCATCAGTTCAGATATTAGGCCAAAGAGGAGGTTGACATGGGATGCGCCGTCAGCCCTGCACTTGACGGCGGGGAAGACCAAAGGCGTATGCAACCAGAGGCAGCTGAGGGACAGTGGAGACACTGGTACCTTAAAAGCCGTGGCAATGTACAGCAGAAGCTGCGAGATGGTGGGGCGGTAGAGCAGATATTTGTGTGGATTCGTTCTCCTGGTGGCCGATTTGTCGCTGGTGCGATCGCCGCCATCGTCGTTTGCGTTGGTCTCCTCGCTTTTGACGACGACGTCGGCGCCCATGGTTCGCTGGACTCCAATGAGGCTCGTAGCAGGCTCTCGCTCGAGCGACTGAAGGATGCGATACATGTCGAGGGTGAGCTCGGAAAACTTGATCTAGTCGGCGAGGGAGGGCAATGAAGATCGATTAGCATCAGTCGACATGGCGCCAGGCTGATGGGCTCTGCTGAATCGCTGGAGCAATCCAATCTCTCGCTCGTGCGCTTCGGTCCATCCATCGTTGGAGCGATCCGATCCATGACATGGCATGGATCGCCGTTTCAACGGCCAAGAGATTGAGGATCATCGGGTATTCGTCTCTGAGGGCCGAGTGCGATGGTTTGCAGCCCACCTGGTTCTGGTAGTTTCCGACCAAGATGGCTTCCTGGAGCTTCAGTTTCGGCTGGCCGTCCTTGTCGACGCGTAGGGTGCGCTCAAGCTGCAGGCGGTTGGTGACGGACAAAACGTTGCCCTCAAAGTCGACCGGAGACAGCTTCTTTTCAGCCTGGGAGGGACCGACAAGCAGGTCAGACCCTCGCATGATAAAATGAGCAGATCACGACGACATGGGTGCAGAAGCCGGTCGCCGGTGATGGCTCCAGTGGAAGCAAAACAACACGACTCGACGACCAAAGAGAAACCTGCAGACGCACCTCCAAGAACGTCGTGATCTCACTCAAGACGACGCTCCATTCGGCAGTGTCGTTGGGCTTGAAGCTCTTGGTGTAGTCGTCGACCAGCAGGGTCAATTCGTCCATCAGCTTGTTGATGACTGCATTCTTGTTGAGCAGCAGACAGACAACGATGAATCGGGCAAAGTATCGCAGCTTCTTGATGACCAAGCCGGTGCTGTTTGGCAGCAAATCCCATGGTTAGTCTGCGTCGCCAAAAGTCCGATGTCGATCTGGTTGGGTGCGCGCCGAAGACAGGGAGGCAAGGGCGTTTCTGGGCACCAATATCAATGCCAGTCGAGTTGCTGCGAGCTACCGAGGGGGAAAGGGAAGGATTCTCTACTTTTTGGTCTCCATGACATCCCGGAAGTACTGACGCTCGCGAATGGCGTCATAGAAGATGAAGGACTCGAGTAGATAGTTGGTTTCACTCGTGCGTAGATAGTAGTGATAGTAGAGCTCTGGACGACCGCGAGGAGGAGAGGGATGAAGCAGGATTTGTCAGAAGTGAGGCTGAGAGCGTCGGCAACTTGGGCTGTTTCGTTTCGTTTCGTTCCGTTCATGAATCCAAGGCGACTGGCGGTCCAAGCAGAGAGCGGCAGACTTACGCCCAATCTTTGAGGCGATCTCGCCAATCTCCCAGCGCTTGAGGCCGTAACTCTCGGACGATTCAAGAACCGCTCTGGAGACCAGGGATAGAGAGGTCGATCAGCGTTTGGGCTGGAGAAGGACAGACAAGCAGACATTGGCCGAGGACAAGCCCCATGGCCGCTTTGAGCGAGAAGGATGATTGTCGTTCAGCCGAGACAAGCCAACCTGTGCTGCTGCTGGAACTTCCAGAGCTTGGTGTAAACCTCGAAGGTGCGCTGGAAATAGGGCTGCCAGTTCCGCCCGGTGGGCGGCAGGTCTCTCAGGCCAGCAAACAGCTGCTGGGACTTTTCGAGGAGATACTGGAACTCTGGAGGCCGCCATTGTCGATATGGCGACGATATGGCGACGATATGGCGATGATATGGCGATGATATGGAGCGACCGCGATGTGCGATACATGCGAAATGCCGGCCGAGACGAGCGATGGTGGCAGCAAGAGAGGGCAAACAGACAGTGAGCATGCTGCGAACATGGCCCTGGTCGGAGACGAAAGCCGCAGCCAGGGTCTGTGGATGACTTTGATGGTGCCAACCCGAATGGTGCGTTGTCGCAACGGCTGGACGATATGCTCGGAGAACATTGTATCGCATTGCCTCGCGGAGACGGAGGCGACAGAACGACGACTGGGTCGCCGACAGAGGCCTGTCTTACCCTCGACGATTTTGTTGCTCGAGGGCTGGACGGGCTGCGCCAGATCGGCATCGAGGTGCGGGATGTCCATGCTGGAGGCTTGACTTGGGCAGGACGCAGGAGCAAGCGGTGGAGAAGGTTATGGCCGACTGCGGTGCGGGACAAGGACGGGTCCGATGGCAAGACGGCGCGGGGAGGCGGAGGTGGGATGCGCAGAGCGGATGCGGATATGGATGTTGGATGTTGGATGTGGGGGGGGGTGGACGGGCGATGGGTGTTTTTGCGGGTCGGGTGGGATGCGGCCGAGAGGCCAAGCGAGACGAGGGCGAGGATGGAGCGCGAGGGGTGCCTGGGGGCGAGCGAGAGTCCGGCAGGCGGCGCACAACAAGCAGCGGATATCGGGTGAGGTGATTGGGTGATTGGCCGGCCAGGGTGGATGGACATGTGGATGCAACGATGCGAAGATCTTGATGGGAGCGGCGACGGACGGTGATCAGGACGATGGACGGTGATTACGATGGTGGTCGGTTGGAGTTGGTGAGTGTTTGTTGGAGTTGGTGAATCGGTGTCGAACAAAGTATGAAAAATCCGACATCATTTGCGGCGGTATGGCCAGTACTACTGCAAACCTGATGGCAGACATTGCTGCAAACCTGATTGCGGACATTGCTGCAGACTACAGCTGCCGATGCACATCAATGGCGACGACTCGGTCGCTCTGGGGTGCCGATGCGGTCTCGGCCGAGCCCAAGTGCGATCTGGGTCGCTGTCGACCGAAAGCCGTCGCCCGACTCTTGGATCCCATCTGACAATCCACCAAAGCACTCTGCCATTGCAATCGACACTGGCATCCTATATTCACAAACATCATATATTCACAAACATCCTATATTCACAAGCATCCTATATTCACAAGCATCCTATATTCACAAGCATCGGATATCCACTGTCCTCAATCCGCAATCACCCACATCCTTGGCCACTCCCAGCCCGAAACAGACCCGATGCAGACCCCCAGTATCGGCGACCCCACCGCCTGGTCCTTCGCAACCCCGCCTGCTGTCCTCGCCGACGACCCAGCCGTCCCGCTGCTGCCCACAGGTCCGCCATCGCTTGCAATATCCGGCATCGCCCGGCCCGCCACAAGCTCGCTCGCTGGGCGACGGTTTTCTCTTGCGCCAGCGACCTCTTGTGCCTGGGTCCAACTGTTGCTGCCCATGCTTGGCTTCTCCGATATCGTCGTCGTCTGTGTCCTGGTCATCTTGATCCTGGCATCCGCCGTCCCCTAGCTCCCCTTCATTTGCACCTCCCGACTTCCGGGTCGTCCGTCTGCATCAACTGCATTATCCACTCTCCAGTCTCCATCATCCGTCCAATCGCTGCAGCTCGACTCCCTAATCCCCTCATCCAATCATCTCTTCCTCGCTCGCTCTCCCTTCCGTCCTGTCGCCTCGGGTCGATCTGCACAGCCGAGAGAAAGAAGCGGCCTTACACCAAACGACAGAGCAGCACCTCGGGAACCCCAACTCCAACCTCCAAGCGCCTCAAGACCGAAGACGGATCACTAGACCCGCATCTGGACGCTCGATCAATGGCCCCGACGCCGACAAAACCAAAGTCCAAGGACACCCCCCGAGGCGGCCGCAAGTCCAAGATCACCCTCGAACGTGAGCACGCCAACGCCTTTATTCAGAGAAAGATCATGATCCTCAAGATCCAATACCAGCACATCCGAATGGAGAACGAGCTGTGAGTGAGGAGTGCCGGGAAGGCAGCATTGCAGATGCCTCTTTGTGGTTTCTGCAGTAGCCGCAGCTTTCACTCCTCGTGCTTCTGATATCCGATGTGCGATATCTTGTGTGGTTTCCCGGGTGGTTCCTGAGTGGTTTCCTTGGTGGTTTCCTGGGTGCCATCCCACGACTTTGGAATGCCCAGCCCTTTTGTCGTATTTATCGCCAAAGCATGCTCAACTCTCTCGTTCTAACAATGTTTCCCTCCTTCTTTCCTACCTCCCCCGTCCCTCGATCCTACCTCCCTCCTTGCATCCAACTCTGCCCCCATCGCGCCAAACGCTCAACCGCATGCATCAGCTTGGAGGACGAGTATCTGGCTGCCCGGAGGCTCGAGCGAAATCTCAAGGTGAGTCGACCAACGTCTGCCGCCCGTCGCTTGGCTTGCGGCTGACTGTGTGCTGTCTCGGCTTCAGATCGAAAAGAACATCATCCTCGATAACCTGATGCAGCAAAAGAAAAAGCCCAAATAACACACCCAGTTCCCTCAGCGCGGCCTGCTGCTGCTCACGGCGCTCCGCCATGCACATCTCAATAGAATCGTTTATATCCGAGCTTGCGTCGCTGCGGGCATGGTGTTGTCTGCTTGCCGCATGGCGATTTGTCCCGCCGCTCCGCCCTGGTCTGGCGATCGGGCTGGTCGTCATTGTATGGCGACCATCCACCCGCGCCAGCCACCGAAACTCAAATGCTCCAGCCGCCCGCCCGGCTGCCTCGCTCCCCTCATCGCTCCATCGCCTCCTCTGTCTGCCGGTCCGTTTTCTGTCTATCTACTCCCGCCACTATGAGTGCCATCTCTACCTTTGTCCACCACTTCTTGAAGCAAAAGAAGGTCGACTGGAAGGACACCAACGTTGCCCTGATCGGCTCGGATGTGGGTGGCCCGCTTGTCCTTGGGCTTGACTTCCAGGGTCGAAACAACCGCCCGCTGGCTCGGCCCGACTCGGCTTGCGTGCTGTGAGGCCCTCCTGCCAGCCGGCGGCGTTCCCTGGCCTGTTTCCGTTCTCTTGACTGTTGTCAGGACTGCAGACTAACAGGGCGCTGCTCATCGCTTGTTTGACTCATGAACGGCTGCTCTCCTGTCGTGGCTATCGCCCCTGTCCATCATCGCGGCGTTTCCGTTCCGTTGTGAATGCTTGGCTCCATCGTCCAGCTCGACAAGAAGGCCCGTCTCGATGCCAGCAACCACGAACGAGCCTGGGATGGCGTTGGCCAGAAAGTGTATGTTGTCATCCCTTGGCCGGCTGTTGGTTATCGCCCTTGGTTTGCGTCATGGAGCACACTAACACGCAGGATCAACTCACTCGCTCGTGGCCAATCTCGGGCACTCCTCTGTCTGTGGATGCACTCGTTGTTGTCTCATCAGCGAACTCCGTATCTGGAGAATCAAGCAGTTCGAGGTTGTTCCCGTCCCTGCGAATGAATACGGCCAGTTCTACTCTGGTGAGTTTGGCTGCAGCCCTCTCTGCAACGCTTCCGACGGCCTCTGCTTGGAGACAATGCATCTCGTAGCTCCCACCGATCTGACGACTGACTTGTCTCGACCAGGTGATTCTTACATCATCCTCAACGTAAGCTGCCGTCGATGCATCCACGGTGCCAGTGCTTGTTTCACTGTCCTCTGTCTACTGACCTTTGTACCCGGCTCGATGCGGCATGTTTTGCTTGATTGCAGACCTGGAAGGACCCCAACGGCCCTCAGCTGCACTACGACGTCCACTTTTGGTTGGGCTTGAGCACCACCCAGGTACGGTTTCAGGGTCTGCGTCTCGCTCCTTGGCTGGCCCGGCCTGCTGCTTGCCATATACTTTGGAGTCCAGTCCCCGCAAAGGGGAGAGGGGATCGGCTGCCTCAACAACATATCCTGACTGTGTTGGGTTGTTTGTCATATCCAGGATGAGGCTGGCACTGCTGCCTACAAGACTGTCGAGCTCGATGACCGTGAGTTCATGGCTGTCGAGAGCTGTGTTTCGTGGTGGTGGCTTGGGTTCCGCCGTCTGGTTTTACTGTGTACAAAGAATGTAAACTGTATGTCGTTCGCCAGCACTCACGGCATCTCCATTTCTGTTGCGCACTCGCAGATCTCGGCACCCTCCCCATCCAGCACCGCGAGGTTGAGGGCTACGAGTCCGACCTCTTCCGCTCGTACTTCAAGGTCATTCGGATCCTCGATGGCGGCTTCGAGACGGGCTTCCACCATGTCCAGGTCAAGGACTATACTCCACGCCTGCTGCACTTCCACGGCCCCGATCGCGGCGGCCTGAAGGGCAACGTCGTCCTGACCCAGGTCCCGCTCAGCTACAAGAGCCTGAACTCGGGCGATACCTTCATCCTGGACAAGGGCCTGGTCCTCATCCAGTGGAACGGCAGCGCCTCCAGCCCTGCCGAGCGTGTTCGTGCAGCCCAGATCTGCCGCCAGCTGGACGACGAGCGAAACGGTCAGGCCAAGGTCATCGTCTTTGGTAAGCGAGCAGCGCTCTGCTTTCATTCGGCAAGCCCTGTGACCTCGGCGGCGGCGACTGCCGATGATTCTTCTTACTCACTTGTCCCTGTGATCCAGAGGAGAGCGACAACGACGCTTCGGAGTTCTGGGAGGGCATCGGTGGACGCGGACCCATCAAGAGTGCTTCGGAGGCCTACGTCCAGGGCACCGAGCCGTCGTTCACCAAGGTTCTGTACAGGTGAGACACTGCGAGTTGTCGACGACAGGCTCGAGTGTGCAAGCCATTATGGACACCGCGGTACATATGGGCCATCTCTAACGGATCGCATTGCGGTCCTTCTCTTTGTCTGTCCTTCTGCTCCTGGTATACCCGGCAATCCGACCGGAGTATCTCCAGACTCAGCGAGCCCGCCGCCGGCAACCTCAAGTTCAGCAAGGTCGCCGAGGGCACCGCCGTCCAGCGAGGTCTCCTCAACTCGGGCGACGTCTTCATCTACGACGACGGATCCCATGGTGAGCTTGCCTGGTCGAGTGTTCATGTCAGGGCCGAGCTCGTGGGTGGATGATTGCTATCGGCAGTCGAGTTTGTCGAGTGCAGGCTGTGGACGATCCGAGTGCCGGGTTCCCCGTCGATGCTTATGCGCTGCTTTCTGACATGCTCGTTGCTATGACTCGATCGATATCCAGTGTGGGCCTGGATCGGCAAACACGCCAGCGCCAACGAACGTCGCCAGGCCATGTCCTACGCCCTGGTGAGTCCATCTGCAGTCGATACCGGTTCTGGCATTGCGGCCCTGTCCAAACAGGGCTCTGTTTCACTCGGACCAACGGTTGTGCGGACCGCATCGACCGGACTGACACTTTCCCTGGCCCTTGCCATTTCTGCGGTCCAGGACTACATCAACCAAAATGCCCGCCCCATCTACCTCACCGTTTCCCGTGTTATCGAAGGCTCCGAGGGCAGCCACTTCTTCGAGGCTCTTGCCAAGTGAACAAATGGTCCGTCGCCGCAAGCAAAATGCTGGTCGGCGGTCGCCCCTGGCCAGCGTTGATGGGCCTGCCTTGCCCCCGATGCCCAGGAATTGCGCCTCGGTGTCTCCACTCTCCTTTCCATCGTCGATCTCCCACAATCTACGCCACAAATATGAGCAATGCATTCATCCATTCGGCCTGAGACCAGACAGAGGATTAACCTGTGCTCCTCGATGGCCATCGTCACATGGATGTGATTGTGAGTGGCAGCGCCAGTGCTCCTGGTTCAACAAGCTAGGTTGTATTCGGTTGTGCGTCACGGAGATGGGAAGGATACGATCGGAGTCTTGTCTGGATCGTGAGCGACAAGCTCAGACCACAAGACAGGAAGAGATGAGGTGATGGGATAATACTGGAGTGGAGTGGGGTCGAGCCGAGTCGAGTGGAATGGCAAACGGGGAGGAGGGGAAGTGACAAGGGCAGATGAAGTAATCCTCTTCAGACAGCAGTCTCATCGCTTAGCGCTGTCATACATGTGGGATTTCTGGAGGAGGAGGAAGGGAGCTGAATGGGGAGTAGTGTTGAGGTCGTGGAAGATGAGGAGGAGGAGGAGGAGGAAGTAGGGAAGAGCCTCTATTGCTTGTACCGACAAGGCAAAAGAAAAAAAAAAAAGAGTCAAGCCTGGGATGAAACATCAAAACATCATCACGAACGCCGCCATCCTCATCGAGCGGCATTTTTGGGGGAGCAGCCGAGAAGCAGCACAGAGAAATCCACTGCTGTCCCTCGGCTGGCTGATCAAATCAAGGAATCCACAACTAGTTCTCATGCGGCGATTTGGGTGATGGCGTCCGCACAACCGATCGCGAGGCCGAGTTTGCAACGGAAGGAGAGCGCGATCGAGATTGGGAGCGGGATCGAGATCGCGATCGAGTTGGAGATTGGGTTTTGTTGGCCTGGACGAGCGGTTGGGACTTTGGACCCTTCGGAGCCGAGCTTGACTGAGACCGCGACCGAGACCGAGACCGCGACCGGGACGGAGATTTGGACTGGGTTCGGGCTCGGGCATTGCGGCCTCGCCTCTTGTCCGGGCTGGGCGAGCGACTCTGTGACCTGGCGGGCGAGTAGTGCCGGGGATTGCTTCTGGATTTCGGATCGCTGTGTTGGTTCCGGGATCGTCGTCGTCGCTCGGTCTGGTGCCGAGAAGATCGGCTGTTGTGGTTGTCTCGGGACCGAATGCGATCGTACGATGGGGAGCGGGAGGCTGAACGACGGCGGGGCGACCGAGATGAAGAGCGAGTGCGGGACCTGGATCGACGGTCCCCTCTCGATCGGGATCGTTGCCGACGAGACCGATCGTTTGATCTCGAGCGATCGCGACGGCGAGTGCGGCTGCGAGAACGAGACCGGCTGCGGGAGCGGGAATGGCTGCTGGAGGACCGGGTTTGCCTGGAATCCATGCTGCAGGGGTCAGCGATGCAAAAGGCCGAAGCAGATCACTCCATATCGACGGCATGATTGCGGAGGATCAGCCACGGATTGCGGAGGATCAGCCACGCCCCCCCCCCAGAATGCACACTGCCGATTCGAAGGAGGCCGGTCAACGAACCTTTTGTTGGGTCGGTAGTATCGATCAGGCGAGGATGTTCGCTTGGCGCTCTTTTTCATCTCGACTGTAGCTGGTGTGAGTTGATGCGACAGGAATGAAAAGGGGGAGAAGCATGAGGTATCGACTGTGGGCGAGCAAAGAAGCGACCGTCCATGTTGTTGCAGTGCCCCAGTGATGCTTGGTAGCAATCAGTCCAATACGGGGCAGTCCCGGAACGTACATTTTCGACAACCCTGAGCCCACTCGACAGGCAGGTTTCGTCCGTTAATGGTGATGTACTCGATCTTGTCATAAGCCGTTTGTGCATCATCATCGTTGACGTATCTGGAAGAAGAATGCAAAGAGAGTCATTTCGAAGGATAGTTCGATGCGAGTGCCGAGTTAAGGATGATATCGCAGATCGGATTTGAATTCAAGCCATCGACATTCGTATCGAGTTCCTGGTGGCCGGACGATCGTCGATGGACGGGAGAAGGTGCTTCTGTCAAGGACAGCTAGCAGCCACAGCCCAGCGAGCACCATCGACAGTGAGTGTCTGAGATGCCGTTGGACAGGAGCAACAAAAAAAAGGATCTGGCGAGGCAGACACTGCAGCCATTTTGGCGCCGATGCTGAATGTATGCGAATCCTCTCGGCTTGCCATTGTAGTAGTCCTTTGGAATGTAGACTGAAGAGAGAAGATACCGAATCGTGTTAGAGGGTGAAGGGGGGGGGATCGGCATCAACCCGGTCATTCTGCAGATAGGGTCGGAGCGACGGCTATGGGCATTCACAGTGCGACTTACCATCTTTGACTTTGCCATAGGTCTGGAAAGCCTGCAGCAAGTCATCCGGTCTGGCGAAGCAGACACAAAAGTCAGCGGCGACTGTATCGCGGGAACGACAAACGATGTATCGCACAGCCAGCACCAGATCCGCAGCGACTTTCCCCCCCCCGCCTGTTGGTGGGTGGGTGGACTTGCCTGGTGTCGTCGCTGAGGCCCCTCACAAAGAGGGACATGCTGCCGCTGTCTCTGTCTCTGTCTCTGGGCATGGTTTCTCGCAGAGCTGGAGCGTGTGGTTGGTCGTGGTTGGGAATCCCGAGACAGAAGGATCGGGGGTGCAAACTGGCGAGCAATAGTGTGGGAGGGATGAGACGACGGGGCGGAGGACACTGGTTCAGCCACAGACGACCCTTCCTTTCGGATGGGGTGACGGTTCAGCAAGGTCGATGGAGATTCTGGTGAGAGCCATGCCACCAGAGCACCTCCAAGCGACAAGTCCGACGAACGGTGCCATTGGAGAGCAGCAGAGCGGTGCCAGATGGCCAAGAGTGCGCGATCGGTCCTCCTTTGGCGATCAAATCCCTTGGCGATCAAATCCCTTGGCGATCGAGTCCATTTCTCTGCGGATCGGCCGGTGTCGCCCACCTGACTGCGACCTGATTGTTCCTGGCTGGGTTCGCAAGGTTCCCAGCAGCACCTCTGGGGATGCGGCGGGAGGGAGGTGCTTGTGTGCGGGTGTGTGGGTGTGTTGCCGCTTGTATCTTTCGACGCTGTCCCGGCTGGAGCAAGGATTGAGTGTGCGGCGATTGAGCCACTGTCGAGCCGATCACACAAAAGCGGCGGCGGCAGCAGAGAAGGGGCAGGAGGAGGGTGGAAAGACGGGCCCGATGCTGCAACGCAAAGAGGACACGATCGCAGCCGCTCCAAGCGACCCAAAAAACAATCGGCGATTTCATGTCGCAATTTTTTTTTTCTGTGCAGACACACGTGATGGGATAATGGTAGACCAGCGACGACTGAGGACGATGCGGGAGCCGAGGGAGCGGGGAGACAATGCCAGTGTCCTGTTGTGAAATAGAGCGTATATGGCAATGTCGTATATTGCTCAAAACAGGGAGGCAACAAACGCAGCAGAGGCAACAAGCACAGCGGCGGCAATGCGGGCCGCAGGGGGCTGCTCCAGACGATGGAAACAAAGGATTGATATGCCAAGCAGCAGCTTGGTCGGATAAGTGTACAAATGGCTGGTTCAGCCAGAGCAGCTGGCGTTTGTGGTTCGATCACAGAGACCGGCTTGGACTGAGTGCGGCAAGGGTCGATAGCGAGAAAGGCAGAGGATGAACAAGTGCAGTGCTGAAAGGGCGCAGCGTTCAGTGGGAGATCATTGTACCGAGGGCTCGGGGAGCGATCAGGGCAGTCAGATCGACCGGGCCGTGCGTCTTCATCCTGAAACTCAGCAGCACATTTGCAACCAGGGCGGCGACGACAACGAGGCAAATGATGACAGGCTCGGCCTTGATGATGAAGGGACCGTCGCCGCGGCCTTGGCGCAGCTTGATCGCTCGGATGTGGAAGATGACCAGATTGACGAGGATGATGCCCATGGCAATGACGGCAAAGGCAAGGCCGGTGTAGACGGGGAAGGGACTGGTGGTGAAGTTCATCAGCAGGAGCGAGAGCGACAGCATCTTGATGCCCTGTAAAATCAAGCGCCACACATTGGTCAGGAAAGCGTGGGCGAAGCGGCCTTCGATGCGATGTGCTCGATCGATGATGACAAACAAGGTCGGCGGGCGAGCCACTCACCAGGCTGAGCCAGCGGAGGAACGTGCGCTCGTTCGAAAAGTAGACCTTGCCGAGCTGATCGATTTTGACTCCAGGAATGTTGGATGGCAGCTTGAGCTGCGACGAAATGTCCTCGATCTCGGGCTCGCCGACAGCTGGGCGGGGCTTCAGGATATCCTTGTCCATCTGGTAGAACCAGAAAGGAACAACGTCGACGCGGTCGGTGTAAAAGTTGGAGATGGCGTGGTGGAACTTTGAGAACTTTGGCACCTTCTCGACCTGGAGAGCAGGGGACAGGAGCAGAGGGAAGTTTGAGCAAGCCGAGTTCAAAGCAGCGTGTCCAGCTCGGCGCACGAGATGGTCGGAGGTACCGAAATGCAATCCGAGCACCGTGCGTTCAAAGGGATGAAGCAGAGGGCTGCTGGACTGCCGGGCTTACAAGATGCGAGTTGGCGAGCTCCATGGCCCACTGGGGAGCCTCCTGGCCGTGCTGGGTCTGGAGCTTGATTTCCAGGACAGCATAGGGAAACAGGATCTTGTCCTCGTCCGGGACGTTGGGGAAGGGCCAGTCGTTGGCGGCGTCCATGCGTCTCCAGTTGTCGCCGGCCCGCTTGCGGCCGTAGTTGTCTTCGCGGATCAAAGTGAGCTCGGTATCGAGGGAAATGCGGACACGGGCGTCGGCCGGCAGCTGGAAGGCAGTGCGGTTGTAGGTGGTGCGGATCATGGGGTGCAGGCGCTTGCGCAGGACCAGTTCCTGAACCTCGTCGGCGAGGCGCTCCATCTTTTCAATGTTCTTGATCGACATCTTGCCCTCGGCTCTGAGCTTGGTGGTGAGCTCGCGAATGTCGTACTCGCCGCGGAGATAGGCATTCAGGTCCTTTTCCTTCATGGAGAATCGCTCCTTGACGGAGCGCTCGCCGGTCCAGTCCTCGTGGTGGGTCTTGCGCTCGACCCAGACCTCGTCGGTCTTGTCGCGCTGGCCGTACCATCGGAATCGGAGGTTCTGTTGCAGGCAAACATGAGGGCTCGGTTAGAGAGGCCCTCGGAGAAGAATGGGCCGAGCAGCATGGCGGCATGTGGCGCCACGGCGACCAAGCTGCTCAACAACGATTGTTACTCGAGGTGTTGCATACCTGGGCCTTTTCGTCGCGGATCATGCGGCTGTTGTACAGGAAGAGCTCGTCGTTGTCGAAATAGATGGACGAGAGAGCCGGATCGCTGGGCTCGCCCTTCTTGAAGACCAGGACAGGCAGATGCTGCAGGACGAGGCACTTGACGGCCATGACGTTGTCTGTGAAGGTCGAGAGGGTTAGCCACGAGCACGCCGGATACATCTGCTCATGGTGCAGTGGCGCGGCGTAGAGTCGGCAGCGTGCGCACCTTTGTGAACCCAGTACTTGGTGGTCTTTCGAACGATGTTGCCGGCATCGATGCCGGGACTCTTGTCCTTGGAGGAGGGCTCACCCGAGAGGGAGCGCACGGTGTCGAACAGAGTCGAGAGACGGATGACAAAGTCGCTGTACTCTTCGTTGTTTTTGTCGACGTTGAAGTTTGAGCGGCGCACGCGGACGATGTACTCGGGAGTCAGTTTGTATCCAGTGAGTTTGTCGTGCTTCTTGAGGATCTAATGGCCATGAGAGGGAATGAGCGTTGGCAACGGGGGCAACGGGGGCAACGGGGGCAACGGGGGCAACGGGGAAACGGGGGAAACGGGGGAAAATGGGGGAAACGACTGACGCGAGCGCGGGAGGGAGATTGCATTTGCTGCAGCAAACGGAAGGACGACTTTGACACGCACCTTCATGAATCCTGTGTAGTTGAGGCGGATGAAATACGAGAGCTCCTTGAGGTCCGATGTCAGGCGAGTGACTTCTTCGCTGATGTTTTCCAGGCGGCGCTTCAGGATCTTGACCTCGGCGGGATCGTCCTCGGACCGGGGCTGCGAGACGATCGACTGGGTGGCCGTCTCGGCGGCCTGGATGCGACGGATGATTTCGGCACGCTTGAGGTTGATGAAGGATTGGATCTACGAAGAGGGCAGCATATGCAGTGTCAGCTCAGACACGACGAACCAATCGGCCGAGTCCGGGCGAGAGGGAGAGGCTGGGAGATGGGCTCACGCGACAGGAGCGACGATGGCACGCAGCGGAGATGGGAATTACCTTCTCGAGCTCATCGTCGAGGAGCGAAACAAAGTGCATCTCATCATCGTCGGTGAAGGGCGAAACGGAGGCGCGGCCCTCAAGCTCGGATTTGAGGAAGTTGTATTCGCTGCAGAGAGAGGTTACAGCGTTGGTGAGTCAATAGGTGGCGGAGATGGATGGCGTACGCATGGATTGCGGCGTCCGGCGATGCAATGGAATGATGGGGACTCATGGTTTGGCGGGGCGATGGCGATGTGCGTGCTTACATGGAGTAGAACTTCCAGTCGGGATAGATCTCGTCTTCGAGACGCTCGCCAAATCGCATGGTTGCTTTGGATGGTCAGGGCAGGGGAGGAGCTGGATGCTGGATCAAGCAAAGGCGCAAGAGTAAGAGCAAAGCCAACAGGAGTGTTTGTGAGGCGAGGCTGGCAACGAGGGTCGAGCGGGCTTGGCGAACGGATACGGAAATGGAGGAGGACCGGGGATGCGAATAGACACAGCGAGCAGACGCACAGCGAGAGTGGTTGGGAAATTGGAATGAGTTGGATTCTTCTTTCCACCAGCGAAGCGACGGGCCGATGGGATGGGCAGCGGCTCGGAAGGGAAACGGGTGAGAAACGGGTGGGAAACAGATGCAAGAAAAGTTTGGCGAGGCGGGCTGAGATATATCGGCGGGCTTGGGGAGAAGGAACGGCGACCAGCAAAGGAGAAAAAAACCAGCGAGAGCGCGGCGAGAGGCGGCTTTGGCACGGGCGAGAGCACGCGGGCGAGAAGAGATGCTCTCGCGGCGTGCACACACACACGCGCACGCGGTGGGAGGGACGGAGACAAGGCCGGCGTGCTTGTCCGCGGCAAAGCGGTTCGGACGCGGCCGACAAGTACTTCTGAACCACTTGCGCACAGGGCGGAAGTGGTGCGCAGCACTCACCGCCGCTTGTGCACCCGCGCCTGTGCCGCTTCTGTGGCGGCTGTGAGTCTTCTGCGACTGTTGCGCCGCTGTTTCTGCTGCGAGACGCGTTCTGTGGCATCTGCGGCCTTGCTGCCGCACCCTCCAATCAGCGTGCTGTTGCGCATCCCAACTCTGTTTCCCCGCCGACGATTGGCTGCGGCGAGAACGCACGCGCCTCGGCAACGGCGCGCGTGCATGTCAGGGCCAGCCAATCGATTGCCGTGTCGCTAATCACGTGTTCAACACACACACGTGGATGATGCGCAGCTGGTTGTGGCGCATGGTCGGCTGCGCGCGGTCCAGAGTGCCGTTGTCAAAAGGCCCTGGTACAGGCAATCCAATAAAAAACGGGACACCCGGGTTTTTGACCATTCATCGAATATTTTGTTACCCAATGTTATCGCGCGCTGGCCATGACCATTCGCCACACATCCGACTTTCGCACCGCCGCATTGCGATGCTACGCCCTCATCCATAGCCTGCGTAAGGTCGCCTCCATATTCAGTGTATCCAAGAGCACCATCCATCGATGGCACCGAGGATGCAAGCTGGATGACCCATCCCGGGTCCCAGCTCGCAGATCCACTTTCTTCGAGCAGGCATGTCCAGTCATTCGCACCCTGATTGAACAGGACCCGTTCCAGACTGGTCCTGTGTTGCGATGCAAGCTCGAGTCCATCCTCCAGAGGAAAGTATCACTCTCACTCTGCCACACTGCCATCCACCGAGCAGGTCTCTCACACAAGAGGGCAACACACCTCTACAAGTCCAAGCGACTGGATGAGCGGGTGGCACAGTTCAGGGACCGGGTCCGCTCCATCGACCCGCGATTCGTTTTTGTCGATGAGACGGGGATCAGGAGATCCATTTTCCCTCTCTACGGATACTCACCGAAGGGTGCTCCGCTTCGCCAGCGCAATCACATGAAACACAAGTCTGTCTCGGCTGCATTTGCCATCAACCACTCTGGTGTGCTGCATCGCATGTACATCCCCACATCATTCAAGACACACTCGATGGTCGAGTTCTTTGATCGAGCGACCTTCCCAGACGACTCTGTGATTGTGATGGACAATGTCAGCATGCACAAGACAATGGCTGTCCTGGACTGCATCGAGCGCCGAGGATGGTCAGTGATCTTCACCCCACCTGCCTCGCCCGACTTCAATCCCATCGAAAACTTCTTTGGAATTGTGAAGCGTCAATACAGGAAGATGGCAGCGCTGAATGCGTCCGAGGGTTCAGAGTCGGGATGGTGACCCTGTTTGAGTCTGCCGTGCGGAGGGTGCTTCCAGATGTCTTCCCACGGCTGATTGAGCGAGCGATGCGCTTCTGGGGTTGAGTTCCCTCCAATCAAGCCGCCATTTTCGCGTTCACATCCCTGGCTTGAACCTCTCGGCGATTTTTGAACAGGTCGCTTCCCCAACCAGCCCGCGCAGACGGGTTCCTGCTCTCGGGTATAAATGCCACACCTTCGTCCTGCTACTTTCTTCCCTCATCCTCGCCTTGATCTGATCATCGCGCCATTGTACGATAAAGAGAAGTCTCTGCTCTGACCAGTACCACTGGCAGGCATCCAGCATCCTCTGCCCCCATGCCTCCGAAGCGTAAGGGTGCCGGTGATGGCCAGCCTCGGCCACCCAGGCCCAAGAAAGCCAAGTCACAGTCGGAGCCTGTCTCTGGTTCGTATTCTGATCCCACGCATACTTGTTCGTCTGTTGCTCCGTCGCTCACCACCACTGCTTCTGCAGATCCAATGGATGTCGATCCCACCGAGCCTGGTCCATCTACTTCCTCGAGTACTGGCAAGCGATGTCGCCAGTGCGATGGCACCGATCACGAACGTTGCAACACCAGCAAATGTCCCAAATACCGGCCCCTCAAGAGTTCTGTCGTCCCTCTCGTGGATGGAAGGTCATCGGCCCCTCAATACAGCTGCTTCAAGCAGACGATGGATGGCTGTTGTCTCAATCCCGCTCTCCGCGACAAGATCCAGGCCACCGTCGAGGCCATGACCCAGATCCAGTTCGAGGCATCCAGGCTGCTCAACCTGCACATCCTCCGGTGCATCGAGCAGGATCTTCCCGTCCCCGTCATCTCCAAGTCCACCCCTGCTTTCGTTCGCCAATGCTTCACGATTGTCGAGGCCGGTGCCCTCTCGCCGACCGGGGACAATGAGAAATACAACGAGCATCTGGTCGCTTCCTTTCGCGACTACCAGACCACTCGGCACGCAGACCTGCCTCCGGCCCCTCGTCTGCCTGATGGTGCCCGCAGTCAGCTTCTCACTCTCGCTGTCAATGCCTATGCCACCAACTGCACCACCCACCTCAACCTGGCCTACTGGCGACTCCTTCGTCGCTTCTGCGCTGCCGTCTTCCCAGCCAACAAGCATAAGCACGAAGCCATCGAGGTCTGTCTCGAGCTCTTCGAGAAACCAGGGCAGACTCCACCCAAGGCCGATCTCGAGTTCCTCTATCCAGACTTTGGCCACGTCCTGGACGAGTTTCGGTACAGCAACGACCAGGACCGCTTCCGGGCCCTCCATCGCCTCTCACACCATGTGAGAATCCTCGCCCGAGACAAGATGGTCGACAATGTCCACAAGTGGATCGACTGTGACATGCCCGCCCTCCGAGTCACCGAGCTGCAGCGCCAGGCCAAGCTGGACGAGCTCACTGCCCAAGGCATTCCCTCCGACGACAAGAGGCTCACCACGGCCAAGTCGGAGCTCGGCACCACCAAGTCCAAGATCAACAAGCTGGCCGCCAGGATCAACTGGGCCCTCAAGCAGCTCGCCGTCGACACTCCTCCGGCCGTGTGCCCGATAGTTCCTCTCTGTATTGCAAGGGCCAAGTATGTCAAGATTGACACGGTCACTCTCTGGGAACTCCTGGGTCCAAAGAAGCGCCTTGGACTCACCAGGGACATGCTCAAGGAAGAAGGTGAGGACGGTGTCAACAACCAGGATCGTCTCTGGCGCAGTTGCTTCAAGCTGCGTAGTTCCCTCTTCCAAGAGCGGGTCAGGGACAAGAAGCTGTTCAACTACGAGATCAGCACCGATGGCATTGGATGCACCATCGGCCTCGTCAAGTTTGTGCCTCGAACCGATCACACCGAGACCATCGAGCCTCCTCCGACTGCCGAGCAGCGTATCCAGGCCCACATCGGTGACCCAGACCCCGATCGCACCACTTGGATTGGCATCGATCCTGGAGTCGGCTCCATCTTCACGGCGGTCATCCAAGCACCGGGCCACCAAGACGAGGTGGTCTCATTCTCCAATGCCCACTACCAGCACATGTGTGGCCATACGTCCAACACCAAGTGGCACAACACCATGAAGTATCGACTCAGCATCGAGACCTGGATGTCGACCACCCCCTCGCCCAAGGTGTCGTCCTCGGAGGCCTTCCTTGTCCATCTCACCCATGTCCTGCGACCGGAGCTGCGAGTGCAGCTCGACTTCCACCTTGGCAAGAAGGCCCGTCACCATCGCTTCACGGGCCACAAGAGGCGCCAAGTGGCCGTCGACAGGATGTGCAAGGCCGTCCTGAAGCACGCCCCGATACGGACCGATGTGGTGATCGCCTTTGGCAATGCGTCATGGCGTCAAGGCAAGGGCTATGCATCCAGCCCTCGGAGGCAGCGGTTTGCTCGGTACTTTGAGCAGTTCGAGCACCACCGTTGCCGGCCCAATCACCATCATGGAAGCATCAAGGTGGCCTCGACGAACGAGTTCAACACCTCGCAAGTGTGCTCCAAGTGCCTGGAGCCAGTTCGGTTGGAAGGACTCGATGCGTCCAGTGTTGCGAATTCCCACTTTGTCAGGAGCTGCAAGAATCCCAGCTGCCGGACAGTGTGGAATCGCGACGTCAATGCGGCGCGCAACATGATCACAGTATGCAGGTCGATTGTGGAGATCGGAGAGCGACCGGTGGTCTTCACTCGGAGGCTGCCAAAGTGATCTGTTTTATTTCTTGTGGCTTTGCTTGACGCGAGCACAGCACATACTACATGTTCATGGAAACGGCTATATTGTCCCGTTTTTTTTCTGAATAAAGTGTACAATCGACTTGCCATCACGACTCGATCGTTGCGTTCACGCTGTTCCTGTCCTGTGCGGCGTGGCTCGCTTCAGTTCGTGGCTTTGCCGCTGGCCGGGTTCCGATCCGCTTTGCTCTTCGTCCTCCTTCGTCGACGGTCTCGCATCCGTCGTTATCGATCTCCACTCCGTCGACATTATTATGCACCATGACAACTGGCGCCGGTTCTCCTCATGCGCTCGATGTGATCTCTCCTTCCGACAACCGCTGCCCTGATATCTTCACCGTCGTCTGCTTCAACCACAGCTTCCAGTCCGCCCTCGACTATGCTACAATCAAAGCCCTTCTCTACGTCTGCCGGCGAGCCCAGCCCCTCCTGAGCTCCAAGATGTCTCGCCTCCACGATTGGTGTCAGACGACTGATCTCCGTCGCCCCGATGGATCGTTGCGGATTCGGCTCACCCCTGCCGACCAGATTGCCCTCTCGCTCCATTGCGATGATCAAGCCACCCTCGACCGTTCCTGGCTCGTTGCTCTGGCAGAGCAGAAAAACGCCTCTGCCTCGTATCTCCTGGCCCAGATCATGCAACACGAGATCGATCAGGAAGTACAAGTTGAGGATGGGTCTGAAAGGAGGAGGGCCCGGTATCAGCAATTGTTTCAGCACCTTGAGAATGCAGTCCGCTCAGGCCATCGAATCGCACAGTTCCATCTGGCTGGCTGCTATCACGATGGCACCGGTGTCGACCAAGACCGCACCAAAGCTGTTGAATTGTATCGAGACCTTGCCGAGAGTGGATTGCCTCAGGCTCAAGTTGGACTCGGTCGATGCTACGAAGGCGGCGAAGGTGTCGATCGAGATTTCAACACCGCCATCGAGTGGTATACCAAAGCCGCTGATCAGGGATGCGATGATGGCCAACTCGACATTGCGTTCCTTCGGGGCTGGTTCTCACTCATCGGTCATGGCGTCGAACAGAGCGACGAAACTGCCTTCCACCTCTGGCAGGAGGTCAGCACCCAGTCCAACAGCCCAGTCCACAAGCCCATCGCCACCCATATGGTTGGATGGATGCTCTATCTTGGCCGGGGTACCCAGCAGGACAAGCAGCGAGGAATCGCGATCATCCGCGATAACAAGTCAGACGAGTTCCCTCTCGGCGAAGATAATGGCCTGGCCTGTGGCTGGAACTACACACTGAAATCATCCGACTCGCCCGCATCCCGCACGTTCTTTGAGCTGTGTCAGCTCGGATCGGATCGTGACTGGCTGTGCAAGCATCTCAAGGCTGTGTGTCTGATCAACAGATTCGGAGCCCAGGTGGAATCGGGACAAGCAGCGAGCATCTTTGAGCAACTTTCCAACGACGGCCACAGCGACAGCCAGTTGTGGATCGGGGATTTATATAGTTCCGGTGGTGGGGAGTCGGAGGCATTCGAATGGTACAGCAAATCGGCCAACAAGGGCAACTCGTATGGCGAGTGGATGGTTGGCTTTTGCTATTACGATGGGATCGGCGTCGCCCAGGACTACGTCAAGGCAGCCGAATGGTTCCGCAAGTCGGCCGAGCAAGGAAATCGATATGGACAGTATTGGCTCGCCAACTGCTACGAGTACGGCGAAGGTGTCGCCAAGGACATTGACACTGCCATCGTCTGGTGCCGCAGGGCTGCAGAACAAGGAGAGCAAGATGCTGCCGTCAATCTCGGGTTTCTCTGCCGGTCGTCCTGATTTCGAGTTCCTCCCAGTATCCTTTGGCAGCCCTGGGGACACGAGCTCCAATCAATCAAGTCTGTCGAGCACACGGGTCTCCCTTCCATGCCGATTCATGTCATGTCTGACATTCAATTCATTCAATAAATGCATTGCTGATGCTAACTGACAACATTGAAATGATGAAATGATTCAACCAGCGAGTGGGCGGGATCCGACGATCGATGCTCGTCCTACAGCCATGAATAGTGAGTACGATACAAGCCATCGAAGCTATAGGGTGCCCGTGAAAACGGATAGCGATTCGGTATTTCCACTCAAGTGACACTGCGAGGAGCTCCTGGAAAATGACCGGTCCCCTTTCGCCTTACCTGTGATCATCCGAGCTCGCTCGGACCAGTGGTTTTCATGAAGTGGGCCCTGGTGGAATATCATCTTCTGCCCCCATCCATCCGCCTCTGCTATTGCTATCTTCCCAGATCAGTTCCCTTTGTATCCCTCTTTCAAATAATCATGTCGTTGCATGTGAACAGTGATGTTTTGAATCAACTTCATTGTGCAAAGGACACGCCATGATACAGACGGACATCTTCCTTGCTGTTTGAATCAAAGCACATTGAGCAATACCGCATGAAACAATCCTCAATAAACTAACGACTGACTTGGCTTGGAACATCAGGCTTTGTTCACTCTCTGGCGACAGCAAGGGCATTTCTTGTCGTGGATGAGCCATTGATCGATGCATTTGCTATGAAACTTGTGACCGCACTCGAGATCCGGGGTCAAGCCCTTCTCAAAGCAGATGGCACAGGTGCCGTCCGGTTTCCCTTTTTCAAGAGGAATCACTTCGAAGAGGAGACGTTTCCACTCGATGACGTTCGACTGGTTGTCTGTGGGATTGTATCGAGTATAGTTGTCGCCAACTTGCTCCCAGTTGCGACTAACCACATCTCCGGCTGCCTTCATACCAGAGAAACGCCACGAGCAGTTTGAGAAGGCGGCCGTCACTGGCTTGACATATCGTTTGCACATGGGACAGGGCGGGATCTTGTTCTTGTCGTCCTCGTCAAAGAAATCAACGTCGTTGAAGCCAACCTGGAGAATGACCCATTGCTTGTACGCTCCGCAGCTGGCATTGTCGCACTTTCCCTCCAAGTTCATCCCATTTGTTGCATATCGCCAACGTGGGGCCTCCGATGACCATTCTTGTACTTGACGAATTGTCGAATCGGAAACGTCCACAAAGTCCACCATCGCACCACCACCTCGGAGTCTCAAAACGATATGGAGAGTGGATTCCTTTTGTATTCCATAGTCGGCGATTGTGTGATCATCTTCGAGCTGCTTGCCGGCGAAAATCAGGCGTTGTTGGTCAGGTGGGTTACCCTCCTTCTCTTGAATCTTGCATTTGAGATCGTAAATGGTCATATTTCCTCGGACCTCGAGAGGAACTTTCTTTCCGGTGAGAGTCTTGATGAAAATTTGAATATATGCTGAACCATCACTTACGTTGCGATAATACACTTCTACACGGGACAAAGAACTGAGACCGCTTCCAGACACAGTTCCTGTGGTATCCAGAGCTTGGCCCCACAGCCTCAGGCCCTGGTCGACATTTGATATTCCAGTCTGGGCTCGGATACAGTCTTGAAGCTTGGTTATAGGGTCCGTCTTGAGCATGTCTACAACTATGCTCCTGTCGCCATATTGAACGCAGAGCCGAATCGAGTTTTCTGAAAGAAAAATAGGATGAAGGTGAGTCCAAATCCAAGAGTGAGCTGCTCGATTTTCCCAATCGTTACCTGACATTTCTCGGGATTGAATAACGGGGCCATCCGTGATACCGAGGTCGGAGAGCCTGGCCGAGGCGTGGATGGCTTTGTTGTTGTATGACAACTCAAACCTGTCCGAATCCTGGCCAGTCACCTTGGCTATGGCTTGCTTCAGGGCCGCTACATTTGAGGTTTCCTCGACCCGGACCTTCAAGGCTTGGCCGTCAAAGAGCAGCACATTCACTGTGAAAACTGTGGAGTGGATCGTCAGGTGGAAGTTTTGCGAAGCGCCGTTCAGTCCCGCTGGGTCAGGCGTTTCGTATCGAAGCCGAACGATTCGCAAACCTACCTCTGAACCGGTATTGGACATTGGGCTCTGTCATGGCATAGTAATCAAAGTTGAAGCTCGGAGAGCGGGTCTGTCTTGCGTGGAACAAGACAATGTCGCCTGCTTGGGCTTCCAATGCCATCTCCTGCGATTTGAGCTGGCTGAGGAGAGCCTCGGCGAGGTTGCCACCCTTCCTCAGTCTCACTCGCGTGACATGGCCAGGAGGAGGATAGGACTGGTGCGGCCAGAGCGGAAGGGTCGTGGAAACGCAGGAGACGATGACGGGGTCACTGGACGACGGCATGGTGGCGGTCTAGCTATTCCTCGATCTCGGTCGGTGGACGAGGAAGGCTGATGGAGGGATGTCGAGGGAACAGAGGCCGTTTTTGTTTCCGCAGCAGTCGGAGGCGGAGTCGGGGGGGGGCATTTTGGGGAACGGCCTGCGGGGGGGGGGAGAAAATGCGCGTGCACCACATGACCAGGCAAAGTCCCTGCTTTGGATGGTGCTCGCGAGTATTCCGAAGTCGCCCAGACAGCCTCATGCGGTTCGGCGACGCGTTTTGGGATCATTCAGTGAGGTGGACCCGATCAATGATGATACCGTGTGGCATGACTTGGGATTTCATCCCATCCTTGCCCACTCTTTGCCACATCGCTTTCCTCGTCTTCCGCCACCACCCGCGGCCTGCTTCTCGTCTTCTTGTACCTCTACATGCATGGCAAGCCAGGCAACTGAGCATCCGATCTGGAAAATCGCATTTGAGGCCGTCACGGACTGGTCAACCGAACCCATCGCCAGTGGCGGCTTTGGCGAGGTGTTCACGGCCTCATACTACGGGACCAGAGTGGCCGCCAAGAGGCTTCATTCCCGCTTCAATGACCAGGCGCTCGTCTACTTTGAGCGGGAAATTGGCATCTGGCATCGTCTCAGTCATCCACACATCCTGCCCCTGCTTGGTGCTTGTGACAAGGATGCCAGCGGCAAGTCCATCCACCCGTTCATGGTGTCGCCGTTCATGCCCAACGACACCCTCCTCAAGTTTGTCTCGGATCCAAGCAACCCCCGTTCCGTCGAGGAGAAACTCCGACTCCTCTACCAAGTCGCCGCGGGCATGTCTTACCTCCACGGCAACAGAGTTGTCCACGGCGATCTGAAAGCCGTCAACGTCCTCCTGGACGCCTCATTCAACTCGGTCATCACCGACTTTGGCCTCTCCCGAACGAAACACACATCTGCATCAGCCGCATGAGTCAAGGTCTCCAGCTCTTCTGGCGGCACCCCAGGCTATATGGCGCCCGAGATGCTGGACGATGAGCCAGCCGGCACCTCGAAGAATACTGACGTTTTTGCGTTCGCCATGACCATGTACGAGGTGCTCAACGATGGTAAGGAGTCCTGGGTCACCAAGGACAATGCTCCGATGAAGCAAGCCCAGATCATATCCCAGCTACTCCAACACAAGCGTCCCAAGCAGTTCCCTGGCATCCCAGACGACATTTGGGCTCTTATCGACCGCTGCTGGGCCCACGAACCCACAGACAGACCCTCGTTCCCGGACATCCTTGTCGCCCTCAAACCATACGACCGTCCTGTACAGCCACCGGCTTTCCCGGCCGCCGATCATGTTGCTGTTCAGGCCAGCGGCATCGATACCAGCCGCTCTCCGCCCCAGTCCAGTCATCTTGATGAGCTCCATTTTGACGACATTGCCGATGCTCCACATCTGTCCAGTCAATTGGTCTCCCGTGCCAAGCGAGGCGACCCAGCAGCCTGTCTCGAGGCGGCCAAGTTCATTTCGGATGGTCTGACTGTCCGCCACGGAGATTGGAAGCTCGCAGCCCAGTTTTATAAGGCCGCTGCCGACGGTGGATTGGACAGCGCTACTACAGTGGGGAAGGTGTTTCCCAGGATCCTCGCAAGGCATTCGAATGGTCCCGCAAATCGGCTGAATAAGGAAATCGTTACGCACAGTTCCATCTTGGCATCTTCTATCAAAACGGCTGGAGCGTCCCCAAAGACGTTGACGCCGCCATATTCTGGTACCGCAAGTCGGCTGACCAGGGCCACGAATACGCCATCAACAGTCTCAAGGTGCTTGGGATTCGATAATTGAACTCCAAAAGAAGATTCCCTTGGCAGCAGTCCTGTCGGAATAGAACAGGCATTCAAGCTTGAATGAAAACCAAATCCTATTGCGTCGATACCAAGCAACGCGCTCGCAGAGTTTTATGGTTGAGCGGCAATCGCCATATTGTGTTGCGTTTGACATTCAGTATATTATCAATGTAAAGGGTAGTGATGTCCTTTTGTATTCGCTGGTGGCTCATGACTACGGCTGATGAACACCATGCTCGACGATTGTGAACAGCAAAACTCCCACCAGATTTATCTCGGATACTGAGCGAATGGTCCGAGCGTTTCAGATCACTCTTGGGAGCCAGTTGGATGTGAACACCGAAGCGACTCGAGGAAGGGTGGGAGGATCGGCAGGAAGATGTGATGGGATGCCATCGTTGACGATCGGTTACCCCCTCTCACATATCCACTCGAGTCACTGCAAATTGATCGTGTTTTGGAAGTGGGTGAGGAGGGAAGCAGCGTTGATGCTGTCCGAAACACGCTATACAACAAATATGAAGGAGAATGACAAGCTATGGAACAAGTTCAGGATTCACGAGCATGCAGACTGGGTGGATGGATATCGGTGGCCACCCAGGCGCGGGGGCGGAGCGGGCTGGAACGCACGGGTGAGCGCATGCGAGGGAGGGAGGGGAGCTGGATGGAAGGAGCAGGAGCTACAAGGAGAAGAAATAGAAAGAATGAAAGAGAGATATTGAGGGAAAGGGGGAAAAAACGTAGCCAAAGAACAAAGGCGATCAATGTCAAATTATTGTACGATAACAGAGCCCCTCACGACAAGGTGCTGAAGTGGCGAGGCAAAGACGGGTGCAGTCGTGGCCGAGGCGGTGGCGGTGGGCAGAGAGCGAGAGAAAGAGATGTAGAAGGGAGGGGGCAGACATGTGATCTGAACGAGACACAGAATTTGAACGAGACACGAAATCTGAAAGGGACACGGGATCCAAATGGGCCAGTAGATCGTAACGGCTGTCCCTCTGTCGTTTCAGAAAGGTCGCCCTCGAGGGTGGGCTGGAATGCGGCAGCGGACCCTTGGTGGTCTGAGGCAGAGAGAGGTCATGCTATTCAAGAGTGGGTGGGGACTTGCTCAAAAATCTCGTGGACGGCTTCTTCAACGCTGTATTCTCGGGCGAGCTGGATCGCTCGATCCAGGGGAATCCTGCAGGTCGAGAGGGGGGAGAAAGGAAAGCGGAGCGGGTCAGCACCAAGCCGAAACCGAGTGAATTGACCCAAATGCAGGATCCTGTCCATCAAGATGCAGGACAAGAGACTCACCAGGTGCCCTGGTATTTGCCGTAGCCGCCCTGGACCTTTTCGTGCTCGCCGCCGTGGATCTCGCGCTCCAGGATCTTGGTTCGCCGGCCCTTTTCGATGCCAGCCACCTTGAGCAGATGGGTGGCGTTGACGTATCCATCGACTCTTCTTCTCATGACAGCCACGCCGTTGGCAACGATTTCCCAGACGGGGACATTGGAGTAGGTGGCTTCGTAGACGCCCTCGCGCGGGGGGAGAGGGGTGGACGAGGTGCGGTCGCGGCGCTTGGGGGGCGGGGTGCGTGCGCCAATGTCGTCCGAGGTGTTCCGTCTGCGGTTGGACCCGACGACGGGGGGCCGATAGGACATGACGGGGGTGCTGGCGGGGGAAGGGTGGGCATAGGGATGGTAGGTGGCAAAGGGAGCGTGGTGGTAAGGGTGGGGATGGACTTGGGAGGGCATGGCCGAGGGGTGAGTGGGCTGGTAGTACTGGTACGGATAGTACGAGTACTGGGGCTGAGGCGCACCCTGCGGATGGCCGTACGGGTTGTGGGAGAGAGCGTTGACCATGGAGCCCTGGTGCTGGGGAGCCGCAGAAGGAGACGGGGTAAGCGCAAGCGGCGACTGTGAGGCATGTGCAACGGATGGGTGCATAAAAGACATGGAGAAGGCAGCGTCCGGACGAGTGTGGTGCTTACCACCTGCGGGTGCATGGCCGGAGGCGTGTGGGAGAGCGGCGACGTTGTCTGGGTTGGAGGCGAGGCCAGACGCTGCTGGGCGGTCTGCATGACTTGGTGGCTGGCAGCGGCTTGAGGCTGGGCAGCGTACTGGGCCGTGTGGTAGGGGTTGTAGTAGGCCGGAGTGGCCATGGCGCTGGCATGGTGCGGGGAAGGCGCAATCGACTGGCTCGAGATCGGGGGAAGGCCCGCGTATGCCGACGGCTGGCCGGGCTGGGCGGAGCCGTCCTGGGCAGTGGCATCGGGCCAGGCCACAGGGTACGCCGACGGCATGGGCGGTGCATAGATCGAGGACGGGTACATTTGGTCGGGGGCTTCAGGCAGGGGCAGAACAAGCTGCTCGGGCTCGGATTGATGGACGCCGTTGGGCTGGCCTCCAGCAGATTGACCGTTGGCTAGGTGGTCCTGGTGGTCTTCGTGGCCGGGACGGCCGAGCGAGGGATGGGTGCCGGGAACAGCGTTGGTTAAGGGACGCTGGTTGTCGGGCGAGGCGGGCTCGGTCATAGTAGCTGCAGCGAGAGGGAGAAAGAGGGAGAAGTGGGATCGTAGGACGGAGATTGCAGATGATCAGTCGTTTGGATGAGATTTGATGAGATATGATGCGATATGGTGAGATATGGATTGAGTAGCAGACGACGATTGGGAGAGGCAGAGTCGGATAGCGATCGGAGCGATGGCAGCGATGAGGGGAAGGGGAATACAGGAGAGCAACAACAACAACGAGGAGGAGGAGGCAGAAAGAAGGTCAAGGTGAGAGAGATAGAGAGAGAGAGAGAGGGGAGTGCGGCTCAACAAAAAAAATTTGTTTGACCCCTGCAGACCATCAGGCCAAAAAGCAAACAATGGGGCCAAGGCGGAAGAGGGAGAAAGACTGGCAGGGCCTGTCCACAGCGAGCGCTGCCGCCTGCCGCCCAGGGCAGCGACGGAAAGAGGCATCGGCTGGCTGGGGACTTGCAGCTGCCGGGGAGTCTTGTCTCGCACGGCTGCTGGAGGTCCTGTCATGCAGCAGCATCGCCAGCGATACAGCTTCGACAGGCCAAAGCAGGTGCCATTCAGGGACTGGGAGAAAGGCGGCGCAGGCCGAGCCTGCAGACCGGCAGATTGGCCGCCAAAGGCAAGAGAAGAAGCAGAAAAAAAGGATTCGACAGCCAGGGCTCCCACAAGAGGACATGTCCTGCAGCTTTGTCTATACCCGGCCATTGGACCGGCCACGGTTGCAGGCATGGACAAGCTGCAGAACAGGTTGCAGGCAGGACAAGTTGCAGGCATAGACAAGTTGCAGGACGACGACGACGACGACGACGACGACGACAGCATGGAGCAGGCAGGACGAAGGAAGGGAGAAGAAGGGATGGGGGGAATGGGAGGGATGGCGAGCCAGGCGTTTACATACGAGTGTTTGGAATGCCACTCGCGGCAGCGGAGGCCACTTACAAAGTGAAACTGCTTTGGTGCAGGAGGAAACTCGGGTTGACGTGGTCGAGAGCGTGGAAGAGAACGGTCCGGAGCGAGTTTGGTGTTTCTTGTGGGGGGCAGAGACAACGAAACGGGCGGCGGACGGGGGCGGGGCGACGGCGGAGGCCACGGCGGCGAGAAGGGCGGCGAGAGCGGGTTGGTGGCGAGAACAAGCCAGAAGGCGGCGAGAACGCACACCGAGGCCACTCCGAGGCCGCAGCGAGGCCGCAGCGAGAACACCCCGAGCACCCGTGGCGAGACCCGCGCGAGAGCGACACGCCCACGCAGCGACACGGCCGACGAACGCACACAGGCGCACACGTCGCCGTCGAGGGCGTTTCCGTTTTTCTTTTCCGCCCTCCGCCGCAGTCTGTGTGTGCTGCGCTTGGGCGATTCGATCCGGCTGGCTGAGGTGATTCGATCCGGCTGGCTGGGAGAGGCATGCCATGATTCTGTATCGTCCATCAACACGCATCTGTTTCGATGGCCCCTCCATCACCCACAATGAATATCACCACCACCACCACCACCACCACCACCACCACCACCATCGATATCCTCGATATCCTCGTGTTCTCCGATTTCGTCACCGTCGAGATCCTCTCAAAGCTGCTTCTCATCAGCAGAACTTGCCATGTCCGCTTCCGCTCGTCCTTTGGCTGGCGCAAGTGCATCGCGTTGCTACTCTGCCATCCCGTCGCCGACTTGCCTTTGCAGCTCGGTTGGGATCCGTCCTCGGCCGCCAAGCAGCCTCTCCATCCCAACCACGGCCCATCCGCTCATGCCTCGCATCCATCCTCAACTCTTCAACAGCACCGACGCGATGGCGAGCGTCTGCTTGCCCTTGGCCTCGACCATCTCCTGCATCGCACCACCACCGTCCCGCACGCCCTCGAGCACGGATTCTGGGCCTGGGCCGTCGGCCATCCTCCAATCTTTGCCTCAACCATGGCGCTCTGTCGCCGCAACCACGAGTCTTTCTTCAGCCGGTGGCTCAACGGCTCATCCGTCCATCCCACCGTCGCATCGGCCATCCGATCTGTCGCCTCCCTTCCAGCTTCGTCTGCGGCAGTGCAGCCCACCGCTCTCCGCATTCTATACGACACGGGCTCATGCCATTCGCTCCCCGATTGCATCGGCAACCTTGCCTCGCTCCATACCCTCACCATCACTCTGGTCCAGCTCCAGTCGCTGCCAGAGTCCCTCGGAAACCTCCGCCTTCTCTCGGTCCTGATCGTCAATCTGAACGCCCTGCGCGCCGTTCCACTCTCCATCGGCTTCCTCTCCAACCTCAGATACTTGGACCTCAGCGACAACTGGATCGAGTCGCTGCCCGACTCCATCGGCATGCTGCCCCAGCTGCGGCACATCAACATTTCACAGAACCGCTTGACGCTCTTGCCAGCCACTTTCGGCAATCTCACTCAGCTCACAAAGTGGATATCGCACTCCAACTCCATCCTCCGTCTCCCGTCATCCATCGGCCGACTCGCTGCACTCCAGGAACTTCAGCTCTCGTCCAACTGTCTCGACGGTCTTGTCGACTCGATCGGCGGTTGGGTGTCGATGGTCGAGCTCGATCTCAGCCACAACCACTTGTCGCAGCTCCCCGACTCTTGGTCCAGCCTATCGCAGCTCACTGTGCTGGTCCTGGAGCACAACCAACTGACCCATTTGCCGGACTCGCTGGGCAAGCTCCCGAGCCTCGTGCGCCTCGCCCTCGACCACAACTGCATCGTTTCGCTCCCAGACTCGATCGGCCAGCTGCGTTCGCTACGCCATCTCTCTGTCGTCCACAACAGCCTGACGACCGTGCCCGAGTCTGCATCTGGACTTTGCTCCCTGAGCGAGCTGTTTCTTGGCCACAATCGGCTGCAGGACCTGCCCGAGTCGCTCGGCAAGCTGCCGCAGCTCATCCACCTGGACCTCGACATGAACATGCTGTCGACTCTGCCCTCTTCGATCGGCTGTCTCGGACGACTGCAGGTCCTCAGCGTGCGCAACAACCGCCTCGACGCCCTGCCGGTCTCGTTCGGGGAGCTGCATTCTCTGCGGAATCTCCAGCTCGACAACAACCGCTTCGCGAGCATCCCGCCAGCACTCGCCCACCTGCCGCAACTGCGGGTGTACTCTATCGACGACAACCCGGTGTGTCTGTCGTGATTGCCAGGGCGCCGAACGAGTGGGTCTGGGAATGCGACGCGACCAACATCATGCCGAGCATCATGACGAGCATCATGATGAGCATCATGACGAGCATCATGAAGTCAACTTGGCCCTCCACACAACACACAACACACAACACACAACACACAACACACAACACACAACACACAACACACAACACACAACACACGCCACACAAAGCGCACAAGGACACGCCGCTGTATTGGCCAGTGTACACCCATGTACAATGCGTTCCGCGGCCGTGTGACTCTGTGCGCGGCGACACACGCGGCGCTTCGGACCAAAAGCGGCGCATCGCCTCCCTGGGCCGCTTTTCTTCTCCCAGTCTTTCGTCTCCTTCGCTCTCATCTCCTTTGCTCTCATCTCCTTCGCCCGCCTGCTCCAAACCCCTCTCCTTCGCCATGCAGATCAAGCTCTCTGCCGTCGCCGCCCTCCTGGCCCTCTCTGCCGGCTTCGTCTCCGCCCAGACCTGCACCCCCGATGACCTGATCGACGACTACCACTACCGTGTCCTCGAGGGCAACTACAAGACCAACGGCGGCGGCATCGCCGGTGCTGTCGGTGCCACCGTCAACATTCCTCCCAGCGGCGGCATGGAAATCGTCGCCGGCTTCGACAACAGCCTGTTCACCACCGGCGCCGAGCTCGACACCCACCCCGGCACTGCCCCGACCTACAACTACTGGTGAGCTTTATGCCGCTGATTGCTGCCATGTCCGGCCAATGTGTCCTGCCGCTGTCCCCGTCCGGTTCTCCAGCAGAGAGTTCTCTCGCCTTCATGGAGCACCGCCTGCCGTACCGAGCTGGAATGCTCCTGCTCACATCTCTGTCTTGTCTCGTTCTGGTCGATGGGGCTTTCCCGTGACCCAGGTTCACCCAGTTCGTGAGTATCGTTTCCATTGCCTTTTACCTTTGGCTTTTACCTTTGGCTTGTACCTTTGGCTTTACCTTTGGCTTGCATCCACCGGCATGGCCACTCTGGCCACTCATGGCACCCAAACTGACTGCAACACATCCCGCCTGCTTCCCTCACCACCAACAGAACCCCCAGATCTGCTCCGACCTGACCACCTACACCTCCATGGAGCTCGAGATCATCGCCGACCCCGGCATCGACTTCAACATCACCCTGACCCAAAAGTCCGCCGATTGCCTGACCCGCGCTGGCCATGTCGGTGAGTGGACTGACGAGCCTGTGACCTCTGGACGTCACTCCCAGCCTCTCGCTGCCTTCCGTGCTGCTCAAAGTGATCTCCAGCCGCCCGAGCATCGTTTTGGTGACTGGTTCTAACCCCCATTTCAACTCCTGGTCTCCGTTCCCCACAGACTCCCAGTACCACCTGCTCAGCTCGCTCCTGACCCCCAACGGCCAGCTCCAGACTCTCCGTCTGCCCCTGTCTCTGTTTGCCACCAACCTCGTTGGCCAGCCCTATGACTTCCAGCACGCCAAGGACTTGACCCTCGTCAACCTTCACCCTCAGGGCGCCAAGCTGGTGCTCAAGAACTTTGTCATTCGCGGTGACTGCAACAGCTCGGCCACCCCTGGTCTGCCTCCCGCAACTGCTTCCGCCAGCGCCGCTTCGAGCTCGGCCGCCTCGGCCAGCGCCAGCGCCAGCCCCAAAGCTTCCTCGGGTGTCGTTGCCTCTGCTCCCGCCTTTGGCTTTGCCATCGCGGCCCTGACTGCTGCTGCCGCCATGCTGTTCTAATCGGCTACTCTGTCGAGTAACATCAATGCTGCCCGGCCAGACTCAATGCTGCCCGGCCAGACTCAATGCGGCCCGGCCAAGCCCGAATCTTATTCCCGCGGCTTTCTTCAGACCCAACCCAACTTATTTTCTTGTTTCAGTGCTTGCTCGCCTCTTGCGGTCTCTTGCTCCGGCCAGCGCCCGCTCCCTCTGCCATGCTCTGCCTACCATACTCTGTCGGCCCTACCCTGCTCTCCTCACTACAACACATCCATCCTCCGTGCCTATGCCCACCTTTTACACTCATCTCACCGTATTTTTTAGACCCCTGCTTATCTATGCCTGTTATCTTAGATCCAGAGTTGGTTTCTGTAATCGCACGCGATTGCCACCAGACAAAAGAATATGACGAAGCGCACATATGCGAATGCTGCGACTACTGGATTCACTTTCACGTCAATCGTATGTTGGAATGTCTATTTTCGGCTCCTCGGCATCCATGTGGCACCCAATTACATTTGTGATATCGTCGAGAGTGTCCAGCTTTCTCGTTCTCCACAAATCGTCGGCCGTCATGGTCCCGTGGTGGCCATGCCAGCTGCTTTGGCATCTTTGGCTTCTTTAGCTTCTTTGATGGCTTGGGCCTTCACGGTGCTCTCGATCTCTGCCATACCTTGTGCCCACGATTTCAGCGTCGAGTCTGGGATGTAGTCGTATCGCCAGATGAGAGAGTCGTCGCCTGTGTACATGAGACTCCTGCGGAGAGAAGATCGAAAGAAGAAAGGTAGCCGCAAGGATTAGGGGGGGGGAGGAGAGCAAGGGCGCCATTGGCTCATTCACATGGAATCCGATTGCTTCCAGCACGCGACGCCGAATTGTCGATGCGGCCCCTTCCCCAGCTCCGCTCCATTCTGTCGAAACCATAACCGGCCGACCGGCCGAGCTTACCTTCCGTTTTTCGAAAAACTGCAACACCACACAGCCCTGGTCGACCGCTTGTGATGGAGCTCGGCCGCGCAGGTTCCGGTTGTGAGGTCGTAGATATACACAGCTCCGTCGGTGCTTCCGGCGGCAACGTACTCTTGATCGGGACTATCGGTGGGCACGAGAAGATCAGAAGCTCCAGGGGTTAGCTATGGACGGGAACTCGCATTGATATCTTGCTCTCCACTCTCCCCTGCGACTCTCGGCGGTTCTCATGGAGTCAGCGCGCACATCAAGCCCCCCCCCACAGATACAAACATGTGTGCGGTTGTTGGCAACAGACCTGATGTCGACATGGCAGTTGTGGTCCCCGCATTCCTTCATCATGAATTGGTGGATGATCTGCTCAAAAGATTTCAGTCCGGCCCGTCTCAGCAACACATCCAAGGTTGACCTCAGCTGCCAGGAAATCGACATCAGAGTACGCGTGGTTTCAGGAAAGCATCGAGTGCAACGGCAGTCCCATTCTTCCCCTCCCCCAGCTGGTTGGACTGAGTATTGAGGGGATGGGGATGAGGCATCGCCACGAGGAGCTCAGCGCAGAGAGTTGGCCCATGTGCAATCGAGCGCATCTGTCGTCCAGCTTTGGGTTCTGACTCATCTGCTCACCTTATATGACTTGGGGCACCACACTAGCACGGAATTGTGCTTCGAGCGTGAGAATACAAGGTGGCCCATGTACTTGATTGTGGCTTGATCCATTGCCCGTGGGTGTCCGTCAATGGCATGTCCGTCAATGGCATGTCCGTCCGTAACACGCCTGTAAGTGCTTGTCCTCGATGTTTGGCGCATGAGAGTGCCTGATTGCTCCATTTTCACCACTCATTTCTGCCCATCAAGCTGCAGTCTCAGAGTGTTTGGTTCTCCCCCCACGGCATCCACAGCGACAGTGGCGCACTTACCCGTGCCTGCATCGAGGCTCACTTCGTGCACTTTGTGATCCTCGGACTGGATCGGAGTGAACTTCGTGGCTGCCTTTTTGTCAAGCGCATGGACGCTGGACGGAATGGTCCATTCGGCCAAAGATCCGTCGGCAGCTCCGGTGACAAAGGCGTAGCCCTTGGAATGAACGTCCTGAGTTTGAGCGACAGCAGAGTGGGTATGCAATCGTCAGAAGGACTGGTCCGCGAGTTGCATCCCCGTGAACAATCTTGGGCTCCGTGTCCTGTCTGTAGATCGCACTCATGCCTCTCACCATTACGGTTGCGTTGGTCTTGAAGATACACAAGCAACGTCTCGCCGACAAGTGCCACAGCTGGACGGTCGAGTCGGACATGAGCGAGAACAAGAGCTCGCTGTCGATCGGGTGGGCATGGAGTTCGACGATGCTGATCGGAGTTGTAGTGACATCTGGCAAGAGCAGCTCGAGTCAGTCTCGTCTGCGGATACGGAGCCGTGCCATGCAGTGCCGATACAAACGGATCTGTCGGCCGCGCCGTTCTGCAAAGCTCCATGAATGCTTATGCGCATATTGCTCTGCCAGTCGCAGCACGAATGGAGCACGAGCCCCTCCTCTCTTCCCAACGTGCCACTTCCCACTGACGTACCACTGTTTGTATCGATGCAATCGGTCTCCTTGCTCATTGCAAGGCTCAGCAGCCGGATGCATCCGTCGCTGTCGCCCACGGCGAGGACAGTCTCGAACTCACGGCGCACCCAAGTACATGTCACGAGCTTGAATGGTGACTATAGACGGTCGATGGCCAGGCAGCGTTGAGTCAGAACATTAGAAAACCGTGGTCCGGCATAGCGCCAAGCAGAGCCCAAGCTGACAACAAAAGACAGAGTCAACCCCATGTTGAGGACAAACGGCATAGCAAACCACATGCCTTTGGCGATCTGCCGGGCTTGGGCTTCACCGTGAACTGCGAGATGATGTCGAGGTGATCTCCGCAATGTTCGTTGTCGTAAAAGTTGACCTGCCAGCGAAAACGATGAGGAAATGGTTATACCATCCAGCAAGGCAGAGATCGGATGTCATCTGATCGACAGCAGGGGCCAAAGCAGCGTCACAGCAGGACAGTCCGGGGCTGGGATCTGTGGGTTTGGGGAGATTGGCGGTGCTTGTCTGTTTCCCCCCCCCGCCCTCGATTGCCTCCAGGCCTGGTGCGGTTCTTGAGAGCATAGAGGCGCACCTGTTGCTCGCTGAGAGTCGCATAGATGTTGCTGGTGTCAATCTCCTCGAGAAAGGCGATGCCACTCATCATGGACGGATACTTGTTGTAGCAGCATCGGTAGATGGGCTGGCCATGGTTCTCCTTGACGATACGCCGGAGGTGGAAATTGGCAAAGATGTTGACGGGCTTCTGCTCCTCTGGCTGCTCCTGCCCCTTGCGCTGCGGCTGGCTGGGCTGGCTTGCTGATTGCATGCTGATCTGGCTGGCAGGCTCGGGGTGCGACGGCAGCAGGCAGGCGGCGATGGAGGACAGGGACGCAGCGAAGGACAGACAGCCCAGAGCCGAGCACAAAACCTGCCCCCCTCGCGCACGTGGGCATCTTCATGCCCAACACTTGGATCCAGTACTCAACGGCAGCAACATCAGCAGCGACATCAGCAGCAACATCGACATCGATAGCGACATCAGCAGCGACGTATCAACAGCGGCATCGACATATCAGCAGCGGCATCGCCATTTGCATCGCCGTCCGCGTCTGCCTGTCGCCATTGACGTCGATATCGACTGCCCTGAATCGCAATCCCACCCCAGGCCGCCTTTCCCGTTTTTTGTCTGTCCTGCCACGGCCGGTTCTTTGCGGAGCGGCGGTACCGACCGTCCCTGGCCGTCGACAATCCGCTCTTCTGGATATCTGCTCGCGCTCGCTCGCCCGTCCGCTCCACGATCCGCCTGCTTTCGCTTCTGCATCCAAGGCAACACGTTTTGTCCTGTTGCTTGGCTGGGCTGAGGATTGCTACTGTCCGCAAGCCCGTCCGTGTCTGCCGAGTCTGGCCCGTGCATCTCGTCGATCCAGACACTCTCCGTTCCGCTGGGCCATCTGCAGCCGTCGTTGTTGCTGCCCCTGGCGCAATGGCTTTTATCGGGACCTGCCTTTCGTCCTGCTGTTTTCTCGAAGAGCATCCCCGGGATCCGCTCCCCGGCCGCCCGTCATCGGGCTTGCACCAAGAGATCGACCTGGATCCAATCCCGTCGCTTCCCCAGCAGCCCCAGTCGACGCTGCCCATGACAACCACAGGGGCTTCAGAGCCCTGGCTGCATCCTCTCGAAGCCTTTGTCAACCTCGCGGCCTACGAACCCACCAGCCTGGCCATCTTCACAAACGAATCTGGCTCGCCCGAGACTGTGACGTACCTGGAGGCATGGGAGCGCGCCTATGCAATCGCCCAGGGCCTGCAAGCCCTGCCGGACTGGTCCGACGACGTCAGCGTCGTTGCGCTGCATGTCGAACCCGAGGTGCACTGGGTGCTTTTCACCTACGCCCTGTGGATTCTTGGCAGGTAGGGCCGAGTATTCGCCTGTGCAAGCGGCATTGTTGTGTGGCGGACCCAGGCTGGCGGCTTTCTCGGCTCTGGTGGCTTGCCTCCACTCCCGCCTGCGATTTGGCCTGTGGTTCAAGGCAACACCAGTGCAGTCTTGCAATGCCTCGGCTGCGTGGGTCTGCCAGCTCACACCCCGGGACGGGCCTGGTTCCTGGTCCACAGCGCCGAGCACGGCGGTTGCCAAGCTGGCGGCTGGGCAGCTCCCGGGCGATTCGCTGATTGTTGTTAACTGTCTGTCGTTACCGCGTCCTTGCGCTGGCTCCAGAAAGGTCATCAACTTTGCTCTCAACTGGCCAGCATCGATCCGGACCATCATCTGCCACCGGTGGGTCTCGTTGCGCTGCTGCCTGCTTGCGGCTGGATAGAGGGCAACGTCCGTCCATCCGGCTCCCCTGGCATCGGGACCCCTGGCCTGCTGCCGACCCTGGCACATCCGTCCTCAACCGCTTCCTGACATCCGCCCTTCATTGCCGCCCTGTCCCAGACTCAACATCAAGTTTATCCTCTACGAATCCAGCAAGCCCGGCCCCACCCCCGATGTTCACATGGTCAGCGCCAGCTCCCTGCCTCGGCTCAGTACCGTCCCGCCTCCCTCGCTCGATCTCTGTGCTCCTCTCCAAGAATACGTGGGCTACATCAGCACCTCAGGAACGACTGGTATGGCGAACAAGTTGTCGATTTGCAACATGGCGACTGCCGCTTTCGTTCGAGTCTGTACTGACTCGTAGCTTTATCAACTCTGCGCACTTACTGCATCGCTGGACTCAGGCATCCCACGAACGTAAGCACTGCCCAGCAACCAAACCAACCGCTGGCGCCGATGCGGTTTCCAAGTTCTGTCCCGTCTGCGACAATCATTTTTCTGCTCCGCTCGACCTTACACTCTCGCATCGATCAGGTTCCCTGCTCCCCATAGGATGGGAAACACCCTCAAGCCATCCTGGCCCGGAAGGTACATCTCCAACGGCGTATTCCAGGTCCGTTTCCGGCGTCTGCATGCTTCAGCAGCAAGCCACAATGCGCTGCTTGCATCTCCAAGACCGTGTGCCACCCGCATTTTCTCGCAATTTGTTGGACAGAATCGGCTCACCATCTGTATCCGCGCCTTGCTATCCAGGCACCGTCCTTCTCAGTGACCATGGGTTGGCTGCTGTCCAGTGCCAACGTCAAGGGTTCGCTCTGGTTTCCTCGGCTGACTCCAAACGTCGTCGACAAGGTCAAAGAGGCTATCGCTCTCTTGAACTCTGGCATGCAGCTGCTCTTCCAGGTCGGCATTCATTTCACAAACAGCCTTGATACACTCTGGCTCGATCTCTGACGTGTGGCGCCTTTTCCCGTCCATGAGCAGTCTCCGTCGTTCATGAACATGACCTTCCGAATGGCACAATCGATGGACAAGAGCGCCAAGTGGCCTGCGGTCAAGAGCATCGTGATGGGCGGCGAGATGCTGCCGCCTGTTCTCGTGCACCAGGCCCGTGAACTGTGTCCCAACGCACTCATCCGCAGCATATACGGATCGAGCGAGGCAAGCACTCCAAATCGATTCCGTTATCTATTGCGACGAGCTGCCCGACAGCTTTGCTCTTTGCCACATTGCTTTGCCCGATACCGTCGCTCTCGGCATGTGGTGATGTCGCTAACCTCCGAGTCGAATCCCACTCTAGACCGGCGCCGTCGGCATTGCCGCATACTTTGTTCTGTCGCCCGCCGAGCCGGTTCCCACTCGCCTGGTGTATACCCTCCGCATTCCAAACGTGCGGATCGCCCTTGTGGACAATGCTGGCCAGCGCTTGGGTCCGGAGACCAAGCGGGGAATCCTGTGCTTTGCAATCGAGCGCAACGATCCCAAGGGCGACCATCCTGATTTTCACACGACCGGGCCACAAGATCCCCTTGCTTCTTTTGGGTACTTTGCAGACGGAACACCCCGCATCTGCACCATGGACGATGCAGAACTGGTTCGGGAGAGCGAGTTCGTAATCCACGGCAGGTAGGCTGAGACTGCGATTGCGGGTTGAGACTGTGGTGGACAGTGCCGTGATGATGCACACTGTATTGGAGTGTGCCGCGATGATGTACAGCATCTCCGCACAAGAATGGACTGCTGTCGGACCATATCCACCGATCGCTGCGGTACTTGCAGTGTGCTATGTTGTGCTGGACCAAGTCGCCGCTTACTCATCCGATCGCCTGTGGGCTGCTCCAGATCCGGCCGCCGTGTCAAGGTCAACGGCATCAATGTCGATTTGGGTGCTCTCGAGAGCTTGCTGCTGGCCGAGATGCGTAAAGAAATCACTCACTGCAACATCACCCAGACTGCGGATCTCAAGATTACGATGCTCTATGTCCTCGCTCGCTCCTCCAGCACCAAACTGACTCCTTCGCACATCTTGACCAAGACCGAGTACATATTTGCGCTCCAGAACATCCCCAAGATCCCAATCCACAACTTTCTCGAGCTGACAGAGATCCCCTTGAACGGCTCTGGCAAGACGGATCTGAATCGGCTTCAGCGGCTCGCTGAGCAGGCCAGCTGCCACGGACTGGCCATGGGCTTTCCGCCGCTCGAGCTCAACAGCGACACTGAATCCAAGATTGCCGCCAAGGTTTCTCGTCTGGGATCCGAGATCGTGGGCATCGACGCCTACGGCGGGCGAAACTACTACATTGCCGGCATCGGTTTTGACTCGCTGACGGTCGTGCGTTTGGCGATCGCCATCAAGGAGGAGTTTGGCGTCGAGATCTCGCCCATGACTCTGCTATCCCACGGCATGACTCCGCAGATCGTTGCCAGTATCATTCAAGAGAGCCTCGACGACCGCCCCTTCAACCCCCCAGCCACCGACCTGACTTTTGAGGTGGTTCAGCTCGACGATGCATCCATCTCGGCAGAGCGCTTCAGGCCATACGCCGCCACCGAGCGTCCTCGCGCGATCCTGTTGACAGGTGCGACGGGCTTCCTTGGCTCTTTCCTGCTTTTCGAGCTGGCTGAGAGGTTCCCTGACACCAGTATCGTGTGTCTGGCCCGCGCCGAGGACGACCGCAAAGCCTTGGAGCGGGTGCGAGCCAACTGCCACGCACTCGTCTTGGAGTCGCGCACCGAAGGCAAGACCAAGTACGATATCTGGGACCGGGTCACGGCCGTCCGCGGCGATTTGGGGCAGCCGCTCTGGGGCCTGGCGACGGACGTCTGGCTGGAGCTCGCGAGGTCGATCGACCTGATCGTCCACAATGGCGCCGAGGTGCACTGGCTCCATTCCTATGAGAGACTCAAGTCGCCGAATGTGCTGGGGACCTTGACCGCCCTAAAGCTGGCCACCACCGACCACCTCAAGGCAGTTCACTTCATCTCGACGATGGGCGCCATCCCCCTGCTCAGCCGCGGCGGCGGGCGGTACAGGGAGGAGATATATCCGTCGCCAAACATCTCTGGTGGATACGGACAGACCAAGTGGGTCTCGGAGCAACTCGTCAGTCGTGCTCGTTCTCGCGGAGTACCAGCAACGGTCGTTCGGCCGAGCATCATCACTGGCGACAGTGTCTATGGAGGTAGGTCTGCCGCCACTCAGGCTTGCCGGCATGTACTCGGATGCCGGGATTGTGGAAGACGACAATGTGTCTCGTGGAGGTGGTGGCTCTTGACTGAAACGGCGATCACGGCCGCAGTGTCCAACTCGGACGACTATATCTGGCGCTTCATTCGAGGGTGCATCGAAATGAAAGCCACCCCGTCCCAAGTCAGCAATGTCTACATGAGCATGAGCCCGGTGGACTATGTGGCCGCCGCCATTGCCGAAATTGTTGCGTTTCCTGCAGCGCTGGACAAGTTTGTATTCCACATCAGCTGTCCTCGGAGCAGGTAAGCACCGCCCACTGTGGGACCGAAACTGGCCAGGACTCCCAAGCGAGGGGAGGTTGAATGAGATGTCGAGGTTGTGCTCAGCGATGCCGAGTGCCGCTGCGATCTTGGACACACGATGCATCTGGTTTGGCCATCGGACGGCGGCTTGCGAGAGTCAAGAAGCCATGACCCAGGATTGCCTTCCGTCCACGTCACACTCTCTGTCTGGGGTCTCGACCTGTTGACTCTGTCCTAACCATCTATTGGCATGTGCTATTGCGATGCTGCTGGGCTCCATCGAAACTGCCGGGCTCCGCCAACTGTCCTACATTCGAACGGCTTCATCGGCCCAAATCCAACACCGCCCACGACTATTGATGCGCTCCCCAACCACAGCATCAGTCAAAAGGCAATGTTCGAGCAGGCCAGCGCCATGGGGTGGCAGCTTCTCTTTGTCACCGCTGACCAGTTCGAGTTCCTGCTCCGGCAGGCAAACAACCCCAAGCTCAACATCCTCTATCCCCTCATGGTCTTTGTCGGCACCATGGACTTTCATTCCGTCGACGACAGCAACACACGCTCGATTGTCTCGGCGACCTGTCCCGAGGTCTCCGAGAGCTTTGGAAGGTGTCTGCAGTACCTCGCCCACGTTGGATACCTGCCACCCCCAGCCAACCCCGCTGCTGCCATGCACAAATCCATTGAATACCCCGAGGTTTCCGTTTTCAGTCGAACAGGCCGCCATCAGTAACATCTTCCCCATGGTGTGGACCAAATCGGCGATACTCGGGTTTCCACCTGGTCTCCTGTCACTGGCGATCCGTGGGCATCGTCCTTGCCCACTTACGAGCCCGAGGAGCAACCATCGCTGCCTCACCACAACCGTATTGTCGCAAAACATCACACCACGGACGGCAAAACGAACACCGATCCACACAGGACTGGAAGAGGTAGAGAAATACATACACATTCCAGCAATTTGGCTCACACAAGAATGCAGACAGAGGGAACAGCATACACGCATCAGAACAGATTGTACATTGCCGCAGTGTCTGGCCTGAGCTGATATGATATCGATGGACTATCGTTTGTCAGCCGACTTCCCGTGGCAACGATCGACTGGCACGCCGAGATCATGTTCCTCGTTGCGATGGGCAGGTGTGAATCCAAGCCCCCAAATAGCGACAGCCCTGCCTCAGCGGAGCGCCCACTTTGGTTTGGGTAAAATGTATATCGAGCGGTGGATGAGTGTGTATTCACATCCAAGAAATATGATATAAAAACAAGCGACCTGTTTCCCTCCGAGCCAAAGAGTCAACAAAGGTGTCAAGAGAAACGAGGGAGAATCGAGTGGGAGGGGCAAAGAGTGGATGAACAAACGGAGTGTTGGCGATGTGGCCCTCCGAGGCGAGATAATACAACTAGACAGATTGGCGGTCTGGCTCCAATGAAAGGGCAAGGGATAAGATGGCGAACGGCGGCTGAGACCGAGTGGAGCGAGAGTGTGTGAATGTATAGAAAGTGTAGGTGCCAGAGAGTCAGCAGGCAGGTAGGCATGGGCAGTGGAGGCTGGCACTGTCGGTCGATCGAAGACGCGGAGGAAGAAGCAAAGGGTGTTATTAGAATTATCCGTCAAAATAGTGTGGTGCGCTCGGAAGGGTGTGCGCGGCGGGCACCTTCGCTTGTACATCCAGCATCGTTCAAGGCGGGCAAGATTCGAGGCGGTTGTGTGTGGCCTCGTCCGGCCGTGGCGGTTGTGCTCTACTCGTCGTAGACTGACGGCGGAAGCTTCAGCAGCGAGTCCCACTCAGTGCGGGCGGCGCCGGGCAGGTGGAGCGAGGGGATGCCCTTGAGCGAGTCCTTTGGTTGGGCCGACCACAGCGGCGACAGCAGCGCAGAGGGATTGGCTGGGGTGTGGTTGCCGATGAAGCCATCGCCGTTGGCACGCAGACCGCCGTTTCTTCTGGGCTTGTCGATGCGACCGTGGCGAGACTGCGTCCCATTCGAGACCGATTTGGATACGCCATGGTGGCTGCCGTTCTTGAACTTGAATGCCTCAAGGGAGGGCGACTTGTACGGCTTCAGAATCGGACTGTACTCGAGTCCCTTGTGCGAGCCCACGAGCGTCGTTTCGAGGCTGCCCGTGTTCATGCGCACCGCCTTGGCCACGTCCTTCATTTTGGTTCCGATGCTCATGCGGCGCTGGCGGCGCGAACTGTAGGCATAGATGGGAATGCGCTCCCATCGGTTGTCGTCGAGATGGCTCTTGTCGTCTGGAGCCTCGGTCCTGTCCGAGTCCGAGTCCAGGGCCTCGGTGTCTACCCAGTCGTCCATGGTGATGAACGACTCAGTAAGGGACGAACTCGAGGCCGCCTTTTTGTCCTGTAGAGTGCCCGAGATGGACGACGAAGTCGACACAGGCACCAACGAGTCTGTCGACGACCTTGCAGCCTGGGCATGAGTGCCATTCTCAGTGGGCCCGGCGGCGGCCTTGCCAAGTGTGGCTGAAACGGGCAGATCGACCGCCAGGGGCGCCACGGCCGAGAAGATCGTTGATGGGGCAGCCGATGTTTGCAGATGCAGTTTGGAGCCCTGCTGGGCCGATGCCGATGCCGATGCTGACGCCGATGTCGATGCTGCAGCCGCAGCCGCAAGACTAGTGAGGCCGAGGAGTGAGGACGACAGATTCGATAGCGGCGGCTGGCCTGGCACTGCAGCGGCAGCCGTACTCGCGCCAACCTTCGCGGTCGACTTTGTCGCTGATTTGGACGACCCAGAGGGTGAGGATTTGTCGCTTGAAGGGGAGGGGGCACCTCTGGCGCCAGGCTTGCCATTTGCCGCCGATATCTGGGCAGCAGTCGCTGTGAGATCGAGATTGGCGTTGGCCAGAGCGGCTGCCGTGAACTCTTCGAGGACCTTTGCAAAATCGAAGCCAATATATGGGGGCTGGGCCGGATCGGTGCTTGTGGACGCCCCACTGGATCCGTCCTGTGCGGGAGTCAAGGGTCCGGCAGTGAGCTCGGTGAAGCAAACACACAGGCTCGGGGGATCTCATGCGACCGGGCACAGCACATACGATAGATGACACAACCACAAGCGAGGCAATCCGCACAAGACACAAACATACCATCTTCATTTTCGGGAGTGGCACCGGCGGGAACCCAGCCAGAGATGGAAGGCCAAAGCTTGCGAACGGATTCATGTTGATGCCGTTCAAGGCCGACATCATCGCGCGCACCTTTGGGTCCAGGTTCATGCCGTCCCACAGCTTCTCGAGCTCGCGCTTGCGGAGCTGTGTAAGCGCTAGAAGCGTGCCGGGCGCTGTCGCTGCCATCGCCGCTGCCGCAGCGGCCATCGGGTTGACTCCAAGCAGAGGCACCGGCCGCTGCTTCAGCAACAGGTTTACGGCTGCCTGGGCCTGGGCCTGCGCTTGTGCAGGGCTCTGCGGGGGTTGATTCTGGGTACCTGTCGGTGTCGACGCTGTTGGCTGCTGGGTGGTGGTCGGGAAAGCCATCGAGCTCCCTGGAGCTGGGAGGAGATTGGCAGCGGGGGCGAACAGGGACTGGGGGATGCCAGAAGTGGCCGCAAGCGGGTTGATCAGCAGACGAGCGGCATTGATATTGGATGGATTCGGATGCGGGACGGCCGAGGGCCGGAAGCCCGGCGGAGTTGCAGCGCTTGTGTTGGGGCGGCGGGGCTTTGGGGCAGCGGGCTTCTTCTTGAGCGAGGACGACGACGACGATTTGGAGGACGCGTTCTGCTGCGGCCGTTGGAAAGTCATTGTCTCGGTGGTAGTGGTGATTTCGCCGTTGGGCCCGATGTGCGACTTTTTGAAGTCGAAGGACACGGACGCAGCCGGCGCAGGTGTCGGCGTCGGGGGTGCGGGGACGGGCGGAACCATGATGTTGGGCGAGGGAATCGTTGCAGGCGTGGCCGCCACTAGCCCGGCCGAGGATGCCATCGCAGCCGAGATCTGACTCGACAGCGCGGCCGAGGCTATCAGCTCCGGGAACTTTGCAGACAGCAGTGCCTGTGGGGCATCGATCATGGTAGACTTGGAGTCCTGGGCGAGGTACATTCCGGCCTCTTGCAGAATGTGTTCCGGCAAAGTTGTGTCGATGGCAATCTGGTCCAGCTCGCCACCGACCACCTGCGACAGGATCGTGCTTGGCGACGATGCGGTGCTGGCGATCGATGCTGAGTGTGCCGTGAGGACACTTCCATTGGAGATTTGGCTGAGCGGCTCTGCAGGAGTGCCGACGTGGCTTGTTGTCGAGCGGCTGCCATAGGGGTCGTCGACAAGGACATCCATATCCGCAGATGCCGCCTCTGCACTCGACATCGCTTCCTCGGTGCCGTCCGCCTCGGGGGTGCCCTGTGCGTTTGCTTCGTCGTCGGCCGTCTCGGTGACTTGGTCTTCGGGCGAGTCCGACTCGGTCTTGGGCGAAAAGCTGTCGGGCAGCGAGAGTAGATTGACAGGCACCTCCGAAAACGACACGCGCTTGCTGATGATGAGGGGCGACTTGCTCTTCCAGAATGACGACACTTGATCATCGCTGTCACTGACGTCTGGGTCCTCGCTGCCGGAGTAAAAGTCCTCATCGGAGCTCCACTGGGCTCGCCGCCGCTGGTCCTCCTGCTGTTGCTGCTGCTGCAGCCGTCGGATTTCGCGTTCAACCGGGTCGAGCCGGTCCTCGTCGTCCAGATCGTCTTCATCCTCTTCCTCGTAGCCATAACCCTCGCGACTATCGTCCTCGTCCTCGTCCTGCAAGTGGCCTTCGTCGTCGTCCGAGTCATCATCCGAGTCGTAATACCGGTGCATGCTCGCAAATTCACCGTCTTCATCACTGCCGCTGATGGCGACGAGATCCTTGATTGAGTCTTGACCGTCGTCGTCGTCGGTGGTGGTGGCACCAAAGCTCGAAGCAATATCACTCAGTTCGCTCTCGCTCTCGCTGTGGAGCGGAGCCGTCGGCGAGTGGGCGGCTTGGCCGGATGCAACCTGTGCCCTGCTTGCAGCGCCGCTTGATCGCCTTCCCGAGCTGACAGCTTTGGTGAATTCGTCGGCAATCAAAGCAGCCGTCGTTGCCGGCGTCGTCACCAAAGAGTCACTGGATGACGCTTGTGAGAGGGAAATTGAGGGTGACGACACTGCGGCCATCTTTGCGGCTTTGGCGGCCGACTTTGTCGAGGCACTAGAGAGGCGCCGCTGACGATCTGTAGATTTCGGCCGACCTCTTGTTGGAACGGCGCCATCGTCGTTGGTTTTGGAGCGATGAATGACCTCCTTGAGCGTCTGGCTTACTTTGCCGCTACTCTTCTTGGTCTCTGAGGCAGTTGGCAGTGTATTTGCCGCTGATCCTCGTTGCTGTAGGGCCGAGGTGCCAAGCAGCCCGCCTTTGACTTTGGCGGAGGCGTCTTTTCCAAGAACCTTGTCTCTGATGCCGGACTTTGTTTGTTCCCCTGATCGGGCAGACCGTGCAGGCGTCGACTGGTCCTCAAAGAGCGGCGGGTGGGTCTGTGTGGGGAATGGGGTTCCGGGATGGAGCGCTGTCGGAGGAGCAGCCATCTGGCTTGTTGGTGTGAATGGCGTTGGCTCGTCGTCGTCAATGTCGACAATATCGACCTCTTCGTCCTCGAGATCCGGATCCAAGTCCATTTCTCCAAGATCCTCCTCGATCAGCGACCGTTTCGTTGGCTGCACCGCCGATATCAGCTTGACACTCTTGATTTGAAGTTCCTTGGCCTTGGTGGAGCTGGCTTTCCGGGCTGCAGCCTTGAGGGTCTTGGTGTCGTCGGCTACGGCCGACTTTGGTGTCCGGGTGCGGGGCTTGCCGACCGGGGTCGTGGGTTTGGGTAGCACTTGTGCCTTGGCCAAGTCGGCAACGGGCATCTTGGTCTTTGGCAGCCTCGGGGCAGTGACAGGGGTGGTTGCTTTGAGAGCGGCGTTTGGCAACGGGTCTGGCTTTGGCACATCGAGAGGTAGTTGACCAGGCTTTCTTGACTTGGCTGAGGCCCCGTTGGGTTTGCGCTGAAGGGATTTTACCGGAGTGGCGACAGGGACAGGCGAGGCTTTCGGGGTATTGCAGGTGCAGTCTCCGTCGCAAACGGGGCAAATGTCGTCATCGAGATCGAGGTCTTCGTCGGGCACGGCCTTGATAGGCTTGTCGATTGGCTTGTCAACGGGCGAGGTCTCGGCCGATGATGCCACATTCACAGGAGGGGCTGGGAGTTGGTCGATGGCAATTAGGGCGTGTCGTCGGAACTGGGTGCAAGCTACACGGGACTGCTTCTGGACAGGAAACATGGCGTTCGCTGTCGGATATATATACCTTTCCCGGCAACACGAAGCATCTTCCCTGAAGTAACGGCCTTTGACTTGGGAGCCACTGGGCTTGTATCGAGGTCAGACAGGTCGCTCGGAGGCGGCAACACGATTGTTTTGGCCGACAGGAAGCTGCGGCCGGGTCGTTGGTTCAGATCGGGAGTGAGTGTGGAGTCATCGGGCCGGCCAGCGTATCGAGCGAGACATGCCGCGGGTGGAGACGGGGATACGAATGAGTCATCGTTCATTTGTGTGTAAGTGCTTGTCGCGGATAGGGAGCCAGCGCCAGCATTCGATGGGGGGGGGTACGGATGGTCCGAGAATTGTGGGGCAGATCTCTGAACGAAGAGCGTGGTTGCTCACGCAGACTGGCGAAGAGGGAGGCAAAGGATCCCGTACCTTCCGATCGACTTTCCGGCCTTGCTTTCGGTCTTGGTATTCTTGGACTTGCACACGGCGCAGATATACTGCGACTGGCTCGGCGGCAGTACAATGCACTTTTCATGAAACAGATCTGAGATGCGATAAACATAGAGAAAGAAGCGTTAGCTCGAATGTCGATGTTGGTTGGTAAGAGTGGTCCACAGCGAGGCCAAAGTCAAGGGCGGGAAGCATCGTGCTGTCCGAAAGAGCGACCACACGACCAGACGGGCAGACATGGCACTGCACGGCTGTGCGGGCTGATCTGCGGAGCGGAGAGGATGAATGGCGGCAGGCAACGAGTCGGATGGGATCAAGCGCAGATGGGGCGACACAGCCGGGGAGGGATGCTGGCGCGCCCGCAGAATAGCCTTGCCAGCGATGCAAACGAGATACGATGATGCCAATGATGCGGATGATGCGGATGATACCAAGGGTGCAAACAGTGCAAACGATGATGATCCACGCAGATCAGTCGCTGCATCCAACACCCAGATCGATGGCCGCGGGCAAGAATAGGTTCAAAAGAGGCATGGACTCTTGCAGGCAAGGGGAATGTAAAAGAGGATTCCATAGGATGGAGCAGTGCGGATCGCAAGCGCATCGGAGCCCGAGCTCGGCGGAGCGTCCTTGATGCAGTCGTTGGCTACGTCGTTGGGCCATCGGATCGGCCGCGACAGAGTCTCTGCAGCGCCACTCGCTCTTTGCTGGCAAAACGTCCTCACCTTTACAATCGGAGCAGGTGACGATGGAATGTGCCCCTCGGCTGGGATTGCCGCACAGACAATTCAGCGGCCGTTGAGCCGCGGCTTTGGCCGGGGTCGCTTTCCTTGGGCCTCGTTGTTTGCCAACGATACTGGTGGTTGGTGATGGCGCAGCCAGAGGAACAGCCGGTGGTGCAGCAGGAGCGGGAGCTGTCGCAGCAGCGGCCATGCCCAGGGCGGAGCCGACGGCGGTCACGGCGGCAGCAACCGACTTGCCACCGATGGTCGGGGTGGGAGAGCCAACGAGATGCTGCAGGCTGGTGGGAACCATCTTTCCAGAGTGACGATGTGGTGTCGCGGGAGCGGATCGAGGCAGGATCGCCGACAGGTTTGGATAGACAAAATCAGGGGGGATGGATTTGCCGGCCCGGGCCGACTTACTGGCCTTCTTTGGCCGAGAGTCGGCATCGACACCCAGTTTGCGTTTCCGGCCTGGGGCGGCAGCGACGGTCGGTGTAAAGAGCGGCTGAGGATCGCCTTCGGGGTCGTCGGAATCCTCGACCGACGAGTCCGACTCCGAGCTCGAGCCGCTGGTGGTAAAGTCGCTCTTGTGGCTGGTGCGGCGCTTGGGGCTGTCGTCGTCGTCGGAGAGTGACGACCCCGAGTCGCTGCTGTCGCCTGTGGTTGCTGATTTGACGAGCATTCGCAGGATCTTGGCTGCGTTCATGGTGGGCAGAGTATGGCTGGGAGATGGGCGGCTGCGGGTGACTGAGTGACGGAAAGATTTCGTGTGCTGTGGAGAAAGAGAGGAGATGGAGACAAGGTTCGAGGACGCATATGATGTTGGAGAGCGGAGAGTGAAGGGTAGTCGATTGATGGATGTTGGTCAGAGAAGAGCGACGGGAAAGGCAATGGGAGTCGCCAAATAGGAAAGATGCCCATCGGTCAGCGGATGAGACACAGGCAGATTTGCAACAGCGTTGGCACGGCAGTGCAGACCGACCGACGAACAAAGCTATCGAGGTAGGCCAGCACAGTGGAGACGGGATGGAGCAGCACAGGAGCCATCGAGCGGCCCCGAGGTCGAATAACCACGGCGGAGTGTTCCGACGGCTGAGCGACGATCGTGTGGACAGACACCTGCCCGGCGAGAGGAGAATGCTCAAGGCGAGAACGGCAGGCTCACCTTTGCAGATCAGCAGTCCAGCACAAGGACAGGTATATTTACAGGAGTGGTGATGGGGAGGGCGATTACACCAGGTGCGGTGTGGTTGCGCTTTGTGTATTCGCGCCGGATCGACGATGCGCTGGCGATGAGTCAACGACGAGTCGACGGCGGGTCTGCGGTGGGATCGGCGGTGGATCGGAAGCAGAGAAGGCGGTGGCCCGAGCACAACAAGGCCGAGGATCGAGTGGAGTCGGCCGGCGTGGTCCAAGATGCGAATCAGTCTCGGTCCGTGTCCATAGCCCCGGATCGAAGAAACATCGGCGACAACAAAAAAATGCAACCGCCGCCTTTCCGTTTTGGGCCGCCCAATCGCCGCCCCGCTGGCTCGAGCCGGCTCCAGCCGTGTGTGTGTGTGTTCTCTGTGTGTGTGTGTTCTGTGTGTGTGTTCTGTGTGTGTGTGTGTGTGTGTGTGTGCCTATGTCGCCTGGTCTCATCCCATCACCCATCACTCATCCCATCACCCATCACTCATCCCATCACCCATCCCATCACCCATCCCATGCCCTCTGCAGCACTTGGATCATGCACCCGCCACCCTCCTCCGCATAGACGCTGTTGCAACCCCATGCCGCGCAGACGAGCCGACAGAACCCGCCATTTTCTCTGTCCCAGACTTGCCGCTGTGCCTTGCTCGGGCCAGCCCTCCATTTCCCACCGCCAACCACTTGCCCGGCAAGGGAGCGGGCTGCCCGCCTCGAGAATAGTATAAAGCTGGCTGCTGCTGCTGCTCCCGCCTTACCCCTGGGCAGACTTTGATTTGCGTCGAGCTCAGTCTACTTCCGACTCATTGTGTCCCACGCGACTGCCGACACTGTCCCTGCTCGACGACAAATCTCCTTTGCAATCTCTTTGGTGCAAAATGAATTCGCTCCGTGACTCTGATATTGTCCTGGGCACTGCTCTTCGCCACAGCACACAGCGAAAGCCTGTCAACTACGAAATGGAGCGTCGGAGTCGCCTGGGCCAGTTCCGCCAAGCTAACGCGGAATCCAGCATCTCAGTACTCCCCGGCCCGGCCGACCGCATCACTCGATCCAAGGGATTCCAAAGGTATGAGGCTCGCCAAGATCAGTTCACTTCCATAGGTTTCATTTTGATGATTCCCAAAGACGTGGTGTATGCTGCCTCACGACGGCTCGCATCCACTGTTTCACTGACGATGAACCCTCGTCACACCTATCTAGGTTCAGTTCCTCCCTATCGAGCTTCTCCATCAGCCGCCTGTTTGGCAGTCGCGTTGGCTCCTTCCTGAGAACGTCCATGCGCTCCTCCAAACTCAAGATCATGGAGGACGAGGATGGCGAAGATGAGCGCGGTGTGTCTGCGTTTTCAATGTCCGTCTGCAGCTCGGCAGGATATGTCCGCGCTCCAAGACCGCTGGGTCCCAGGAACGACCAGAGGTGCTCGCAGAGGGAAACCACGGTCGCTGTCGGCAAAGCCCCAGAGACCGGCATGGTTCACACTTGCAGGTACGCTGGCTGCCGTGACTGATGGAAACCACAGCATGCACTGTGCAATGTCGGTGCCTGCTGCATGTCATCCTTGGTCTGACTCTGCACTATCGTTCCGCTGCACGCAAATCCCAGCGAATCGACTCTCGTCTTCACCAGCGACGTGCTGCCAGAGTGCACCGAAGATGCCCATCGCGTTCTGATGGAGCAAATCAATCGTCTCAAAGCCGAGAGAGACGTGGCCAAGAAGCAGCTCAGGCTGCTCACGAGCGTGTCTCTCGAAGGTGTGGATGCTCGCAACATCGATGCCATCTCCGAGTCACATTCGCACCTGCTCGGATTTATGGCGATCCTGGCTGTGAATGGGCAGTGTGGCTACGCACTTGTTCTCAGCGAACCAGGGTGCCCGAGCATTGATTTGCGGCTGCCGCTGACACTTCCGCGGTTTCTTACAAAGATTCCAGCGACATTCCACAGGCTCTCAAATCTCTGAGAGTGCTTATCGACGCCGCTCTGCATGACTTCAAGGTCGGGAAGGGTACGTCTCGCATCTACTGGTGCTGCTCCAGAAGGATTGTAGAGCGTCGTAGCTGTAGTTGCGTGAACTTGGTACGAGGAATTGCTGCCAGATTGGACAGCTGAAATGTCACGGCAAACACATCCACCATGTCCACTCTTCAGAGAAGAATTTGTTTGGCTTTTCGGAGGCTCTTCAAACAGCCAACGAAGTCTTGGGCAAGATCGAGGTACGGAGGCACTCGTTCCTTTCACATACACATAGATGTTGTTCAGGTATTGATGAAGGCTGACCAACGTACCCCCGGACTTTCTAACAGGTTTTGCGCAAGAATCAACTCTCCTGCGCCTTGGAGCCACCGTCTCCACCGCACCCGCTCGCCCAGAACTCTGAGCCACTGTCCAGTCAGTTGATGGGGCAGATCATGTGCTCCGACAGCGGCCCCGTATGTGGCTCTAGGGACGTTCTCGACTCAGTGATGGATGTAGACGAGCTTAATATTGAACCCACCAAGGTTCACAGCAATTCAGCAGCTGCTGAATGTGGTCTATCCTCGACGGCTTCTGAAGTCGCTCATCTGGCGACGACCGTCGAAAGCGCCAATTCGTCTACACTTCAGTACCCCGTGCCTCCACCCAGATCCACCCGGATCTTCAAGACTCTCTCACAGACGATCGGCCTTCGAGTTAGTCTTGATCCCGACACACCTCCTCGCACTCGCAGTCCCTCTCCATCGGAGGCAATCAAGTCCCGATTCGGCTTCCGCGACTACTTTACGAACCAAGTCCACCCGACCGAGCTGAGCGATCTGAGTGCGGGCCGATCGAGTCCAGCACAGCCCTCTGAGCCAGTCGCCCCCTCTACGGGTTGCGATGATATTGATGTCACGAGTGTCCCATGTGCCTTGGGTGCCCAGGGCAGTGGCATGTCCGTGGGCGAGGCCGTTGATGCGATTGAGACAATGGCCAAGAAGCTGCGAGAAAGCCGTAGCTGCTATCCGCCTCCGAAGACGGGCTGCAAGCAGCAGACAAAGGCCAGAGGGCATGTTTCTGGTCTGGCGGCTGTGCCCGAGGAGTCCGAGGCATAGAAACGTGTGGAAGTCGCCGCCTCACCCTTGAAATATGCACTTGGGTGACATGGCCATCACAAGATACTGACATGCAGACGCAGTATGCAATCGAAACACGCTTGGAGCGATACTTGGCTCGTGGAGGCGGGTTGATGGCGGACACCCTGAATGCGGGATAGCGCTGGTAACCAGAGGCGTGGTCGGATGCCACAGCCGGCGGAACACTGCAAAACCAAAGTTCGTCCAGTCCCGGACTGCCGTGATCGGAGCATGCCAGATCAAGCCAGGCTCGAACCGCAGGTGGCTGGCCGCAGGCTGGCGGGCGAGCATCACCACACATCTCTGGGCTCAGGCCAGCATCCGCCTGCTCCAGATCGCACACCGCAGGTTATGGATCTCTCGCACGGCGACAAGCTCGCTGCCCAGGCAGCGTCCTGGATCAGCACCCTGCAGACGGCGCTTCCGTCTTTCCATGTCTCGACGAGTCGTCGCGCGGGCCCGGCCGAGCCATCGGTGGCCTTCCTGTCAGCCCAGTCCACAACCAACATCCCCGACGATGCAGCAAGCCAACAGCCGTCCCCAGCTGCCCCTGCGATCACCTCGACTCCGACAGCAGAAGCAGCAGCAGCCGAGGCGCGAAAGCGACAGGACGAGCGGGATCGAGCACAATGCGACAAATGGAAGGGCAGACTGCTCAAGAACAGTAAGACCATTCACGACGATCCATAACCAGAAATCGCCGGCGTGATCCCAAGCGGGTGCATCTGCGGTTCTGTGGGCTGTTTCTTTTTTGTTTGGATGGGGTGCGCCTATGCACAGTACTAACGTCGAGCCGATTGCCGCTGGATGCCAACAGGCCCTGTGGTCCGGTTCATGATGGACGAGTTGCAGAAGAGCAAGTGCCCGTTCCGGGACGACCTGTTTACCTGCATGCCCTGCGATGCGACACGAGCCGGAGGGTTCTCGCCCGAGATTGGGGTGAGTGCTTCAGTCGATGGGCATTCCATCACCCATCGGCATTTGCGGCCATTTGGACCCATCGAGGCGCTGACGATTGGCTGCTGTGTTGTTTCTCCATCCAAGGTGGTGTTGTGCCAGAACCAGATGCAATCCAAGCAGCACATGGAGGATACCATGACCCACGAGTTGATGCACGCCTACGACCACTGCACCGTCAAGGTCAACTGGAGCAACCCCGAGCAATACGCATGCGCCGAAATCCGAGCCATCACCCTCAGCGGCGAGTGCAAGTTCACGCGGGAGTTGCGGAGAGGCAACTTTGGGTTCGGAAAGCATCTGCAGGTGAGACATATGGCGCACAGATCCAACCGCTCTTTCGAAATGTTCCGTCGCCATGCTTGGGCTCCACCCGTGCAATCGTATCTTGGGTAAGGGCAATATCCTCATCGATGCCATTCCTGCCTGCCAGACATGCGTCAGACGCAGGGCCATCTATGCCATGAAGCAAGTACCGGAGTTCCAGGAAGGGACGGTTGCGGAGGACGGTGAGTAGTCGTGCACTCGCAAGACAGCAATTTGGTGACTCGATCAGTCGTCGGATGAACACGATCTCGGAGAAAGGCACTGTACTGATCGTGATCGTGCGCGACAGCTGTACGATACGTCTGGTCAAGCTGTTTCAGCGATACCGCACCGTTCGACGAGATCTACTAGATCCCGTCAAAGGCCTCGCTCCAATGTGCGACAATCGCCTTCCTTCGAAAGGAGCGATCAATACAGATCATCAATGCCAGTTGCCGCATGTTCTAGAGCCACCGCTGCCGAAGTCGCGCTTGGAGCAGATGTGCAGGATCGATGTGCTGAGGGATGATTGGAATGCGCATTTGGCCATTGGTCTCATGACAAACTAGTGAGCGAGTGCATCAAGACAGCCCCCAGGTGCAGCTTGAAGTGCATTTTATTCAGCAATGGCGCTGGGTGGCGGTGTCTGTGATGGCGCAAGCTGGGTCCATCACTTGGCTGGATGCGCTTCATCTACGGAAGTGGAATTTGAAGAAACTGTCTGCGGTCTCGGAGCGGGTGAACGACAGCTCATAGAATCGCGACTCGGCCGTCAGCAACACCATCGTGTCCCCCGGCTCGTACTGGGCAAACATTCCGCTGATTTCCTCGAGCCGATTCTGCAAAGGTGATGGCCAAGAAGAACAAGTCAGCACCACATGACGCATTCGCTAATAAGAGCAGTTGGCTTCATTCCGTCTGGGCTTGGACGCTGGATGCCAACCTTGGTATCTTCGACACTCTGGCCGCCATTCATCATCAACAGATACTCTCCATCGAGTACGATAATCTTTCCTCTCGCGATGCTGAGGCGCATTGATCGTGGAGCCAAGCAGTCGATCGTGACGTGTGTGTACACCATCCCGTGCATAATCGACTCCTGATAGGCTTTGGCAATCTTGGAGTAGCTTGTAGCATCGTCGTCAACTTGCTTCTTGGGAAACTGGAGCATGACGACGACGAGCGGGGCCACGATGACTGTTGGCATAAATGTCATTATGGCCATGCGCATGTATACGTGTACGCCAAAGAACTGAGGACTGAAGAGCGGCGGCACCAGGAGGATGGGCAACAGCACCATTTGCCTGCCGAGGAGCAAACCTATCGCATGTGAGTTTCGTGATGAAGATGTCTTCCGTTTGATCCAAGACACGATAGCACGACGACTGTTTACCCCGTCGAGAGCATGACCACCTGGTGCTCGGCTCTGTGCATGGAAAACGAGAGGTATATGTGGTGAGCCGGCTCGTCCGCTCCGACAGCCACCCAGCTAGATGCAATCGATGCGTCGATATGCTGGTGCGCTGGTCGTAAGGGTATCGAGGCAATGCAGTCCACGCACCGGAAGTTTGGGTTCCGCGACAGTTGCACCATTACATAGAACCCAGTTACAGATATGGCCAGATATAGGCTGGCGAGAGCAGCAAACACCGGGTTGATTGTGAAATCGGGTTGGCAGTATGTGTAAACGTTGAGGGGGTCGATATAGAAATCAAATGGCGCCTGTGGGAAAAGCGCCTCATTGATGCTGAGAGCGATCTGCAGCGAAGCAGGATGAGTCGAGGAGGCGACAGCCAAGCACAAGCTCAACAGATAAAGGGACAGACAAGCAAACAGACCAGTCCGACGATGATGTTGCACGTAGACGGCCCCACTCTGATGGGCAGCGGGATGTCTCGATCCTCGATTGTTCGAACTGGGAGATACTTTGCGAATGCTGCACATGGGTAAGCTGCTGTTCAAGCCGGCAGCCGAATCGATATGCTCTGAGGGCCAAGTGCGATAGAGCTGCTCACCAAATGTCATCGAACTCAGGGCCCTGAATTCGATCGAGACCAGAGCATCAGCACCGATGGAGGAATCAAAACGACTCCAATACCACCCCATGCTATTCTCTTGGCCGAGTCGCATGGTTGTGTGGTGATGATGTTTCCAACTTTGACGTTGGCGATCGATGTCCGGCTCTCTCACAAACAACCCTCCAAGTTCCGATCGCAGACTCTGCATTCAATGGATTGATAGGCGGCTCATTCTGAGAATAGTCGCGCAAACCTACCCCACACTCAGGCTGTAGCCGAGGATGATGACGGCCGGTCGAATCTTGCATATGGCCAGGCTAGGAGGCCCGATGAAGCAGAATATCGTTGAGTAGCCGACGATGCCTCCAAGCAGAACTAGAGGAAAAAAAGTCACGGTGCATTCGTCAGCCTTGCGGCAAAGGTGAATAATTTCTTGGAGTCAGCCGCCTGTTCCCCTTACGCTGGATCAGAGGAGTTTTTGTTTTTCGAACCCGAGGCCGCTCGGGATATCGAATAATGTACGCTAGAGCCAGGAAGCTTGCGGATATGCCCACACATGCCAGCACGACAACTGGCCAGAGAGCTTTGATTTCCTCGTTGAGACTTGAGATAGTAGGAAAGTCTGCAGGTGGCGCATATATACCTGGACCACACCCGAGCGATGCTGATCAGCTCATTGAACATGCTCGCCCTGTCGCTTGCGTTGATAGAAACGCCGGCAAGCGTACTTGCCAGTAAGATTGGCAGAGACCGCTGGATCAGAGCGAATGTCCGGAACGGGGCAGTGATAGACACGTTAGAAACGGAGAGCATAGCGCGCTGGTGTCCGTTGAACAAGTCCTGGCGCTGCAAACGAGGGACACTCACAGAGGTTGTTGAGATAGTACATTGCCCAGATGTCGTTTGCAGAATATAAGTACTCTGGGAAATCCGGCGATCGGCTGTAGTTCGATGACATGGTGAATTGTTGCACCGAGACAGCGTCATCTCCTGCACCTGCCTACATGAGGTCAATGTGTCCATGTTGACGTTAATTGGATGATCAAACCACTGATATAGGTATCCGTGCCAAGCAACATACCACGAGGCAAGCGTACACGCCACTGTTGAATCAAAATTGGTTAATGTCGCTCCACGATCCCCCTCTCTGGGCCATCGGCTTGCCTTGGGCTTACCCCGACAATCGATCTCCGTATTCTTCACAAGGTGCACGAATTGGTCAAGATAAGGTGGCGTGAATACTCTCTCAAGCTCAAAATCGGAGCAGCGACCGTGCTGATACATACCATCAAAGCTCAGTGTACCCATTGAGCCCAGGCGGCCCGTGGAGAACGCCGAGGGGCTGGTGAGGTTGCGAGGCAAATGGCCTTGCCTGAGTGTGTCAAGGGTGATGGATGGGTCGGCTTGAAGGATCTAGGACGGCTCGAAAGTCAGTCGCCATCGAGGAGGCGATGGTGCAGACACAGATGCGCGTCTTGCACCTTATCAAAGCCGTAGAATAGAGCCAGCGCACAGTCGAAAGCGAGGCTGGGCAGGACAAGGATGTGGTAGCGAAGTCAGCGGCAGCCCACAAAATGGCTCAATCACAGCGTCCTTGACCAAAACTAGTGTTTCCAGTTCGATTCATCGCGGAGCAGCTCATCCTCTGACAGTCGCATGAAGGACTGCAAGTGAAATAGATGTACATACGGCATCCCGGTCCAAGGGACTAATGGGGTCCACAGCGGCCCAAGATTGTAAGTGGACCACGTTTCGTTGAACTTGTTCCACATCTGGTTGCTCGGCCAGGTGGTCACGGGGCCGTTTCTGCTCCATTAGAGTAGTAAGCAACAGCCAATGCTCATTTCGCTCAGGCAGTCGCTTTGGGCTTACATCGAGAAGAACGGATTCACATCCGATGGCGCGAGTGCTCTTCCAAGGTTGAATGTTTTGTTTTGTATTTCCGGGCTCGAGAGAGCGTAGTTCAAGAACTCAAAGGTTATGCCATCAGCCATGTACCAGACATACTGGGGCCCGTTTAGGCCATCGACTCTGTGCGGTGTGCAATGGTTAAGTGAGTGCGCGACTAAAACAGGCAAAGACACCAGAAAACAAGCGTGCACAGCCACTTACATTGCCTGTTGCGCGACGGGAGAATGTGGGAATGATTCACCTCGATGTAAGCACTACGGAATGACTCGGCTCTGCAATAATGTCCTGAATATTTCCAATTGTCGCATACCTGCAAATATAGTAGGGCTGCTGCGGTCCAGTTGGTCAACAGGACAAAGATCCTTCCATTGGATTGCTTGAGCCTCTGCAGTGGCGTCGCCCAGTCATTCAAATAGGCATCGCTGTTGTCGCAAAACACATAAATGGTGTCCAGGATGGTAATGCCAAGGGTCGCCGCGCGCTGAATGAATCCCGGATAGAATATTGGCCCATAGTCATCGTAGAACGAGCACTGTCGAACGGGTTGAGCCGTATTACTGGGTGATGAGATGTACATGCTGCCTGCCTGTATTCGACTCATCAACGGTGCCGAACCTACCGTCACCACCAAGACGATCCGTTTCCAGCCCATGGCGTACACCCAGTCAGCGATACCTGACAGCGGCAATCTGTTAGTGATCGGCAAGCGCCTTGACACCTTGTCGGGGGATTGTGGCATTCAGAAATGCCATGGCATCCCCAGCAATATGCAAGAGGCAGCTTACTTCCTCCAGCAATCTCGGCTGTGGGCAGGGGCCGAAAGGCTGTCGGATAATTGATTTTGTCTTCAATCTGCAAGTGCCAAGCATGGACGGTGAGCCCGAGCTGCCCTCATGCCCTTCACCATTGCCACGAGAACATCCTTACATTCATAATGCCAGAGAGCACTACACAAAACTGTGGTGATGGAGATCAGACTCGGGCTACTTATTGGTCGGCAGTGCAGCAGAGATCCGAGCACGCCATACCGGCAAATTAAACTGGCCCGAGATCAAAGACTCTCCGCTGATACTGCTTTCGTCACCCAATCGACTGATGGTATCGCCTGAGGCAATAACTAGAGAGTAAGCATCACTTGTGCATAGTAATCGCCGAGAAGTCATATAGTCCGATTCCACTCATCTGTGCTGATCCAGGTGACTCACCAATGAATGCAGCATACTCCTCGGTCGCAATGGCATCCCGCGTCGAGATGAGCTGGCCAGGATAACATGGGACTGCGTTAGTATCCTGGCTGTGTGGGACGGCACAATCGTGGCTTTTAGCATCCAAACGCACCCCCTGTGCAGCAAGCGAGACGCTGCTGTAGATGTCGATGGTATCAATTTGAACTCGCTGTGCAGGGACGAGCCCATTTTTGCGTCAACATCATCAGCGTTGTTGTCATGCGTCTGGCGGTCACTGGAGAGCCAAGCCAATGGTAGCTCATGCAATTCCAATTGGCGCTTTTGCCACTCACGACTCCCGGTAGGTCATCGTTTCTGAATATGACACGCAAGATAGTGATCGCCGTAAATGTCAGCAACTATTCGCGTCGTCGGATTTGCCAAGCGAAACTGGGTGATCTGCAGGCGAGGGATTGTGCCTTACTGTTCGTTGATGATGTCAGCTGCGGCTTGCACAGAGTAGAACCTGCGATCGTTGGATGCGAGATTGTTTGCATGTGAATGCAGAATATCAGATAGGCTTGGCAACACCGACGATTTGCGGTGTAAGGAGACGCACTCACAGCATCATGGCGTCCAACTGGTCTGTTGGAGTAGGATATGGTCCGCTCGGGAGAACGAAGGGAGCCGAGAATTGCCCGAGCACGCCGATCTTGAGCACGCTGCTGGTGTTTTGTTTCATTGGATGAACAGAATACACGGGCGTGTATGACTTTCCCGTGAATGTAGCGGCGTTGATGGTCGCAAACTGAAGTGCTGTCGATAGGAGTAAGCCGATAGACCAGCCATGTCCAGGCATGATGTTGGCTCGTGTCCGTGTGTCTTGGATGTGGTTGTCGATAGGCTCGAAATCCACACGATGCGTTGGCGGACGAAGGTGCGGTGATATCGAAACACTCCCATTTGGATCAACCGGAATGTGAAGGGCATTTCATACCGGCGACTGTGATTCAGGGATGGTCCGTGCCTGGCCCGGTCGCCCACAGCTTACAGGCAATCCAATAAAAAACGGGACACCCGGGTTTTTGACCATTCATCGAATATTTTGTTACCCAATGTTATCGCGCGCTGGCCATGACCATTCGCCACACATCCGACTTTCGCACCGCCGCATTGCGATGCTACGCCCTCATCCATAGCCTGCGTAAGGTCGCCTCCATATTCAGTGTATCCAAGAGCACCATCCATCGATGGCACCGAGGATGCAAGCTGGATGACCCATCCCGGGTCCCAGCTCGCAGATCCACTTTCTTCGAGCAGGCATGTCCAGTCATTCGCACCCTGATTGAACAGGACCCGTTCCAGACTGGTCCTGTGTTGCGATGCAAGCTCGAGTCCATCCTCCAGAGGAAAGTATCACTCTCACTCTGCCACACTGCCATCCACCGAGCAGGTCTCTCTCACAAGAGGGCAACACACCTCTACAAGTTCAAGCGACTGGATGAGCGAGTGGCACAGTTCAGGGACCAGGCCCGCTCCATTGACCCACGACGATTCGTCTTTGTCGATGAGACGGGGATCAGGAGATCCATTTTCCCTCTCTACGGGTACTCACCGAAGGGTGCTCCGCTTCGCCAGCGCAATCACATGAAACACAAGTCTGTCTCGGCTGCATTTGCCATCAACCACTCTGGTGTGCTGCATCGCATGTACATCCCCACATCATTCAAGACACACTCGATGGTCGAGTTCTTTGAGCGAGCGAGCTTCCCAGACGACTCTGTGATTGTGATGGACAATGTCAGCATGCACAAGACAATGGCTGTCCTGGACTGCATCGATCGCCGAGGATGGTCAGTGATCTTCACCCCACCTGCTTCACCCGACTTCAATCCCATCGAGAACTTCTTTGGGGTTGAGTCCCCACCGATTTGGGGTTGAGTTCCTCCAATTTGGGGTTTAGTCCCCCAATCACGCCGCCATTCTCACGTTCACATCCCTGGCTTGAACCTCTCGGCGATTTTTGAACAGGGTCGCTTCCCAACCAGCCCGCAAAGACGGGCTCCTGCTCTCGGGTATAAATGCCACACCTTCGTCCTGCTGCTTTCTTCCCTCATCTCGCCTTGATCTGATCATCGCGCTATTGTACGATAAAAAAGTCTCTGCTCTGACCAGTACCACTGGCAGGCACCCAGCATCCTCTGCCCCCATGCCTCCGAAGCGCAAGGGTACCGGTGATGGCCAGCCTCGGCCACCCAGGCCCAAGAAAGCCAAGTCACAGTCGGAGCCTGTCTCTGGTTCGTATTCTGATCCCACGCATGCTTGTTCGTCTGTTGCTCCGTCGCTCACCACCACTGCTTCTGCAGATCCAATGGATGTCGATCCCACCGAGCCTGGTCCATCTACTTCCTCGAGTACCGGCAAGCGATGTCCCAAGTGCGATGGCACCGATCACGAACGTTGCAACACCAACAAGTGTCCAAAATATCACCCCCTCAAGAGTTCTGTCGTCCCACTCGTGGATGGAAGGTCATCCGCCCCTCAATACAGCTGCTTCAAGCAGACGATGGATGGCTGTTGTCTCAATCCCGCTCTCCGCGACAAGATCCAGGCCACCGTCGAGGCCATGACCCAGATCCAGTTCGAGGCATCCAGGCTGCTCAACCTGCACATCCTCCGGTGCATCGAGCAGGATCTTCCCGTCCCCGTCATCTCCAAGTCCACCCCTGCTTTCGTTCGCCAATGCTTCAAGATCGTCCAGGCCGATGCCCTCTCCCCGACCGGGGACAATGAGAAATACAACGAGCATCTGGTCGCTTCCTTTGGCGACTACCAGACCACTCGGCACGCAGACCTGCCTCCGGCCCCTCGTCTGCCTGATGGTGCTCACAGTCAGCTTCTCACACTGGCTGTCAATGCCTATGCTACCAACTGCACCACCCACCTCGACCTGGCCTACTGGCGACTCCTTCGCCGCTTCTGTGCTGCTGTCTTCCCAGCCAACAAGCACAAGCACGAAGCCATCGAGGCCTGTCTCGAGCTCTTCGAGAAACCAGGGCAGACTCCACCCAAGGCCGATCTCGAGTTCCTCTATCCCGAGTTTGGCCACATCCTGGACGAGTTTCGGTACAGCAACGACCAGGACCGCTTCCGGGCCCTCCATCGCCTCTCACACCATGTGAGAATCCTCGCCCGAGACAAGATGGTCGACGATGTCCACAAGTGGATCGACTGTGACATGCCCGCCCTCCGAGTCACCGAGCTGCAGCGCCAGGCCAAGCTGGACGAGCTCACTGCCCGAGGCATTCCCTCCGACGACAAGAGGTTCACCAAGGCCAAGTCTGAGCTCGGCACCACCAAGTCCAAGATCAACAGGCTGGCATCCAGACTCAAGTGGGCCCTCAAGCAGCTCGCTCTTGACACTCCTCCGGCCGTGTGCACGATGGTTCCTCTATGCACTGCAAGGGCCAAGTATGTCAAGATTGACACGGTCACTCTTTGGAATCTCCTTGGTCCAAAGAAGCGCCTTGACCTCACCAGGGACAAGCTCAAGGAAGAAGGTGAGGACGGTGTCAACAACCAGGATCGTCTCTGGCGCAGTTGCTTCAAGCTGCGTAGCTCCCTCTTCCGTGACCGGGATATCAATCACAAGCTGTTCAACTACGAGATCAGCACCGATGGCATTGGATGCACCATCGGTCTCGTCAAGTTTCTGCCTCGAACCGATCACACCGAGACCATCGAGCCTCCTCCGACTGCCGAGCAGCGCATCCAGGCCCACATCGGTGACCCAGACCCCAACCGCACCACTTGGATTGGCATCGATCCTGGAGTCGGCTCCATCTTCACGGCGGTCATCCAAGCACCGGGCCACCAAGACGAGGTGGTCTCGTTCTCCAATGGCCACTACCAGCACATGTGTGGCCATACGTCCAACACCAAGTGGCACAATATCATGAAGTATCGACTCAGCATCGAGACCTGGATGTCGACCACCCCCTCGCCCAAGGTGTCGTCCTCGGAGGCTTTCAAGGTCCATCTCACCCATGTCCTGCGACCGGAGCTGCGAGTGCAGCTCGACTTCCACCTTGGCAAGAAGTCTCGCCACCATCGCTTCACGGGCCACAAGAGGCGCCAAGTGGCCGTCGACAGGATGTGCAAGGCCGTCCTGAAGCACGCCCCGATACGGACCGATGTGGTGATCGCCTTTGGCAATGCGTCATGGCGGCAAGGCAAGGGCTATGCATCCAGCCCTCGGAGGCAGCGGTTTGCTCGGTACTTTGAGCAATTCGAGCACCACCGACGCCGGCCCAATCACCCTCATGGAAGCGTCAAGGTAGTCTCGACGAACGAGTTCAACACCTCGCCGATGTGCTCCAAGTGCCTGGAGCCAGTTCGGTTGGAAGGACTCGATGCGCCCAGTGTTGCGAATTCCCACTTTGTCAGGAGCTGCAAGAATCCCAGCTGCCGGACAGTGTGGAATCGCGACGTCAATGCGGCGCGCAACATGATCACAGTGTGCAGGTCGATTGTGGAGACCGGAGGGCGACCGGTGGTCTTCACTCGGAGGCTGCCAAAGTGATCTGTTTTATTTCTTGTGGCTTTGCTTGACGCGAGCACATCACATACTACATGTTCATGGAAACGGCTATATTGTCCCGTTTTTTTCTGAATAAAGTGTACATTGGATCAGGGACGAGAGCAGTATCCTTTCGATTGCATGACTCGTAGATATCAAACTGCAGAGCAGGCACGCGGACCAGTGCGTCAAATAGACATCCCAGCACCATGGCGGACATGCAATGGCTGTGTCTATTGCTGATCTCGTCGCTGGCAGGATGTGTCTTCAATAGTGTCCGAGGTCCAGAACAAGCGAGGTTGAAGGAGGAATAATGCTGCAGACCAACAATGAGGGCCAAGAGGCAACCGAGACAGCATACCACCATGAGCCCCCGGCTGCTCATATCCGATCCGATCAATCCATGACTCCTGTTGCTCGCCCAGATGCACCAGGTATCGTTTGCTTGTCCAGACTGCCGCATGGACGCCACAGCCAGTGTATTCAACCATGATGCCGGAAGGGACGGCCACTCATGGATGCGACATTATGCCTCTTCGAGGCCGGGACAGCCGTCTCAACTGCACCAATCGATCGCACAGCTCCGGAGGGTGAACGTTGGAGAAGAAGACATCAGGTTTTTTTTTTTTTTTTGTTTTTTGTTACTATAGTCAACTTTATTCAAGAAGACAAGCCATCAGGTCCAACAGGTTGGTACCCCGGCACGTTGAGTACACAGGCAAGCCTATTTACTCCTGTTGCAGCCTAGTGCTGCCTCAGCTGCTGTGAGGAGTGAACAAGCGCAAGGACGAAGACCAAGTGCTTGGTATGAGCTTTATTAGCTTTTAGCCCCGAACACCAAAGAACAAGTTTTGTTCGAACTGGTGTTCAACATAGGCTCAGACATGCAGGGCTATTTATAGACCGGGAGAAGGTCGAGGGGCAAAAGTGGGCGAGAAGGGTGGAGCATCACAGAGAAGCGAGAAGGGGGTGCGAGAGTGGCTGGTGTGCAAGCGAGAGAGGCTTGGCACAGCCCGGGGACATGTGCCGAGCGGTGGGGGAGGCAGGAAACCAGTAGACGCGGGTGGCAACGGCGCGTGCTCATGCATGGGGGCAAACAAACACGTGGGGACTCATGATTGGTGCGGAGGGAGAGAGCATGCGGGACAATCTCATTGGTCCGTTGTGATGCTGGTCATCACACTATCTCCTCCTTAAACTACGGCGTGTTCCATCTTGAGTTCTCCTGGGGCCAGGCTTGTCTGGGTAGCGTCGGTGGTACTCCGCGGCCACCGTTGGGGCAAAGACAATGTCGGCGGGCTCCCAACTTCGATCGGTGACCGGGTAGCCTTTCCAATCGATGAGATAGTGCAGCTTTCCGCGCACGAACTTGGAGTCTAAGATCTCTTCGACCTCCCACTCCAAGTTCCCATCGATGACCACCGCAGGGGGCGGCGCTTGCACCCGACCCGGAAGCGAGTTCTTCTTGTAGGGCTCAAGAAGAGACACATGGAACACCGGGTGCACCTTTATGTCCTTTGGCAAGTCCAGGCGGAAAGCCAATGTCCCGACGGCCTCGAGGATGGTGAATGGTCCAATCCTCTGGTAATCCAGCTTCTTGCTTGGGCGAGTGGTGCTGATGTTACGAGTCAGCACCCAGACTTGATCGCCCGGACGCAAGTCGGGAGCCTGGGACCTCCGGAGATCTGAGAAGTGCTTGTAGTCAGACTTTGCCTTCTCAAGATTCTCCTTCAACAGTGCCAGGTTCCGCTGGAGATGTTCAACCCTCTCCGTGGCAGAGGGAACATCAGGGCCGCCAGCGATAACGGGGACTTCGAACCTTGGGTGGAACCCATAGGTTGCCAAGAATGGCGAGGCATGTGTTGACGAGTTCTCGAGGTTATTGTAAGAGAACTCGGCCAACGGCAGCAGCTCGGCCCAGTCATCTTGCTGATACGACGTGTAACAGCGCAGGTATTGGTTGATGACCTGGTTGACCCTCTCAGTCTGTCCATCGGTCTGGGGATGGAAGGCCGTGGACAGACTGGTTTGGATCCCGAGCTGCGTGCAGAGTGCCTTCCAGAACCGAGAGGTGAACTGACTTCCTCGGTCTGAAACCACTGTGTCGGGGAGGCCATGGAGACGAAAGACATTGTCGAGGAACAGTGACGCAGTCTCCTCCGCCGACGGCAGTGAACGCCAGGACATAAAGTGTGCCATCTTTGTGAGGCTGCATACCACCACAAAGATGCAGGTGTGACCCTTGGACTTTGGCAGATCAGTGATAAAGTCCATGGTCAGTGTCCCCCAGGGTCGATCGGCTGTCTGGAGTGGCAACAGGAACCCAAACGGCTTGTGTCGCGGAGCTTTCGAGCGTGCACAGGTGTCGCACGTCGAGACGTACTCTTTGACATCTTTCCGATAGGTTTGCCACCAAAACTGTCGCGATACCAGAGCCAGAGTCCGTCGGATGCCTGGATGACCCACAGCGACTGGGTCATGGCACGACTTGAGCGCCGGAACTCGGCACGACTCTGGGACCACAATCCTGTTCTGGAAGGTGAGGTACTGGCCATTCCAGACGAACTTCGGGTCACGACGGTATTTGTCTAGACCGGGATCCCGAGCCTGCTCTTCGGCTATGAGCTGCAGCAAGTCCACAGGGTCACTGCGACTTGCAACCGAAGAGCGGGCGTCTCTGCTTCGGAGCACGCGTATCACCGCGGCAGGATCGAGAAGCAGAGGCGGATCCCTCGACACGGAGGCCGACGAAGGGATGTAGTCCGAGCGACGAGACAGGGCATCGGCCTTGCCGTTCCTCGCACCAGGACGGTACTGGATGCGGATGTCGAACCGAGACAAGAACTGGGACCACCGTGCATGGCGCTGGTTTAGGATGCGAGCCGTCGCCAGGTACTCCAAGTTCTTGTGGTCGGTCAGAACGGCAACGGGATGCTGGGCGCCTTCGAGGTAGTGTCGCCACGCCTCGAAAGCCTCCTTGATCGCCAACAGCTCTTTCTCGTATATGCTGTAGTTACGTTCAGCATTCGAGAGTGTCCGCGAATGGAACGAGCAAGGATGAAGGCGATCATCAGCACCCCGCTGGGAGAGCACGCATCCAAGCGCAAAGTCCGACGCATCTGACTCTACGACGAACGGCTTGGATGGGTCCGGATGCACCAGAACGGGCTCCGAAACGAAGGCATCCTTCAAGGATCTGAATGCTTTATCGGCTTCGCGGGACCACTGGAAGCCATGCGTCTTCCGGAAGAGCCGAGTCATGGGCCCCGCGATCTTTGCGTATCCATCGATGAAGCGTCGATAGAAGTTCGCAAACCCGACAAAGGATCGAAGATCCGAGATGTTGCGCGGTATGGGCCAATCCAAGATCGCAGAGAGCTTGGATCGCTCCATACCGATGCCCTCGGGCGAGACCATGAAACCAAGGAACGAGACCGAGGTTTTGGAGAACTCGCACTTCTCCAGCTTGCAATACAGCTTTGCAGCTCGGAGCTTCGAGAGGACCTGCTTGACGTGCTCTACATGCTGCGACGGATCAGCACTGTAGATCAAGATATCGTCAAGATACGCAATTGCGAACTGGTCCAACTCGGTGCGCAGGACGTCGTTGATGAAGTGCTGGAACGTCGCTGGCGCGTTGGTGAGCCCAAAGGGCATCACCAAGTACTCGAAGTGCCCATATCGAGTACGGAAAGCTGTCTTCCACTCGTCCCCGGAGCGGATGCGCAGCAGATTGTAGGCTCCACGAAGGTCCAGCTTAGTGAACACCTTCGCGCCTCGAAGTCGGTCCAGCAGCTCGCCGATCAGCGGTAAAGGGTAACGGTTCTTTACCGTGATACCGTTCAGTGCGCGGTAGTCAACGCAAAGACGAAGTGAGCCGTCCTTCTTCTTGACGAAGAGGATTGGTGAGCCTGCTGGGGACGACGAAGGACGAACGAATCCCTTGGCAAGATTCTCGTCGAGATAGTCACGCAGAGCGTGAAGTTCGGGCTCGGACAGTGAGTACAGAGGCCCGAACTTTGGCGACTTGCCCGGCTCCAAGTCAATGGGGCAGTCATAAGGGCGATGCGGAGGCAAGGAGTCAGCTTCCTGTTTAGAGAAAACAGACAGGAAGTCCTTGTACTCCGCAGGCACTTCGACAGTCGCAGTGCTCGGCTCGTCAGTGGGCAGGACATGGACCTGAAAGATGGTCAGGGGTTGCGTTCCATGCCTGCATGCATCCAAAGACTCGCGCATCGAGCGGTAATCAATGCTGCAGACGCGGAGAGGAGCGTCCGAGCTGAGAGGAGGGGCGTGGACAAGGTCAGAATAATGTTCGACGGTTACTTTATTCTGAACAATGTCCGAAGAACAAACAACAGGAGGAGGTACATCAAGGAGGGAAAGAGAACTGACAACAGAAGAAGGGGTTTGGGAAGAGCGAAGGGGTTCGGGAGGAACAAGACAAGAAGGGGAAGACGAAGGTGGGAGCGTAGGAGAGGAGCTTAGATCAATCAAAGGAGTGGAATCATCAAGAAGGGGAGTGACATTGGAGGAAGTGGAGCAAGACGAAAGAGAAGTAGTGCATGGAGAGGGGTCGGAATCAACAGAAGGAGGGAGACAAAGAAGACCGCGAGACCAGACAATCTTGGGCTCGGCGGTGCGCAACCAAGGAAAGCCAAGGATAAGTGGTTGATGTGGAGACCTGATCACATCGAACCGAAGGCGTTGCGAGACGTCCCCGAGAATCACCTCGAGTGGAGCAGTCTCGCGGAGGATGGGGCCAGACGACAGCGGCTTACCATCCACGCCTTCCACTGCCAAGGGCGAAGCCTTGGAGCAGGTGGGGACAGAGTGTCGAGCAACAAAGTCCTCGTCGATAAAGTTGCCAGAGGCACCAGAATCGACAAGTCCTTCGCACGACAGAGAATCACCAGAAGGAAGACGAACAGCGACGGGAACAACCAACGAGCAACGACGAACAGACGAAACACAAGACTTTGGTTCGGTACCAGCTTCGGCACCAGGGTTGCGGCTAGCACAGACAGTTAACTTTGCCGAGGGTTGGCAGGACAGCTCAGGTATTTGCACCTGTGGATGAGGTGCAGTTCCCAGTGACACCAGAGGTGCCACGGGTACTATGCCAGAGCTGAGAGTGTCCGCCGGTCCAGAGGCAAGGCGAAGCTGTCCGCACATCACTGCTTCCCCAGTACTTACCAAAGGCACCTTACCAATGTCTTCACTTTCGGAAGGCGGTGGGCACGGCTCCGGTTCAAGGCCTTCACTTAGAACCGGGCCTGGTCGTTTCCCGAACTGAAGTCTTGCACTTCTCCATCTTCGTAAACGATGGTGCGGATGATCCTCGGGCCGGGAGGTCCAGGGGGCGGTCCGGTAGCTCTGGTAGATCCAAACTTGACGGGGCAGTTTCGTACCAAGTGGCCCTTCTTGCCACAGTACAG